CAAACACCCTAACACCCTAAGCAGTACGCTAACACCTAATCACCCTAACACCCTAACACCCTAACACCCTAACACCCTAAACACCCTAACACCCTAACACCCTAACACCCTAACACCCTAACACCCTAACACCCTAACACCCTAACACCCTAACACCCTAACACCCTAACACCCTAACACCCTAACACCCTAACACCCTAACACCCTAACACCCTAACACCCTAACACCCTAACACCTAACACCCTAACACCCTAACACCCTCTAACACCCTAACACCCTAACACCCTAACACCCTCAACCTACACCCTAACACCCTAACACCCTAAACACCCTAACACCCTAACACCCTAACACCCTAACACCCTAACACCCTAACACCCTAACACACCCTAACACCCTAACACCTAAACCCTAACACCCTAACACCCTAACCTACCCTAACACCCTAACACCCTAACACCCTAACACCCTAACACCCTAACACCCTAACACCCTAACACCCTAACACCCTAACACCCTAACACCCTAACACCCTAACACCCTAACACCCTAACACCCTAACACCCTAACACCCTAACACCCTAACACCCTAACACCCTAACACCCTAACACCCTAACACCCTAACACCCTAACACCTCTAACACCCTAACACCCTAACACCCTAACACCCTAACACCCTAACACCTAACACCCTAACACCCTAACACCCTAACACCCTAACACCCTAACACCCTAACACACCCTAACACCCTAACACCCTAACACCCTAACACCCTAACACCCTAACACCCTAACACCCTAACACCCTAACACCCTAACACCCTAACACCCTAACACCCTAACACCCTAACACCCTAACACCCTAAACTACCCTAACACCCTAACACCCTAACACCCTAACACCCTAACACCCTAACACCCTAACACCCTAACACCCTAACACCCTAACACCCTAACACCCTAACACCCTAACACCCTAACACCCTAACACCCTAACACCCTAACACCCTAACACCCTAACACCCCTAACACCTCTAACACCCTAACACCCTAACACCCTAACACCCTAACACCCTAACACCCTAACACCCTAACACCCTAACACCCTAACACCCTAACACCCTAACACCCTAACACCCTAACACCCTAACACCCTAACACCCTAACACCCTAACACCCTAAACACCCTAACACCCTAACACCCTAACACCCTAACACCCTAACACCCTAACACCCTAACAACCCTAACACCCTAACACCCTAACACCCTAACACCCTAACACCCTAACACCCTAACACCCTAACACCCTAACACCCTAACACCCTAACACCCTAACACCCTAACACCCTAACACCCTAACACCCTAACACCCTAACACCCTAACACCCTAACACCCTAACACCCTAACACCCTAACACCCTAACACCCTAACACCCTAACACCCTAACACCCTAACACCCTAACACCCTAACACCCTAACACCCTAACACCCTAACACCCTAACACCCTAACACCCTAACACCCTAACACCCTAACACCCTAACACCCTAACACCCTAACACCCTAACACCCTAACACCCTAACACCCTAACACCCTAACACCCTAACACCCTAACACCCTAACACCCTAACACCCTAACACCCTAACACCCTAACACCCTAACACCCTAACACCCTAACACCCTAACACCCTAACACCCTAACACCCTAACACCCTAACACCCTAACACCCTAACACCCTAACACCCTAACACCCTAACACCCTAACACCCTAACACCCTAACACCCTACACACCCTAACACCCTAACACCCTAACACCCTAACACCCTAACACCCTAACACCCTAACACCCTAACACCCTAACACCCTAACACCCTAACACCCTAACACCCTAACACCCTAACACCCTAACACCCTAACACCCTAACACCCTAACACACCCTAACACCCTAACACCCTAACACCCTAACACCCTAACACACCCTAACACCCTAACACCCTAACACCCTAACACCCTAACACCCTAACACCCTAACACCCTAACACCCTAACACCCTAACACCCTAACACCCTAACACCCTAACACCCTAACACCCTAACACCCTAACACCCTAACACCCTAACACCCTAACACCCTAACACCCTAACACCCTAACACCCTAACACCCTAACACCCTAACACCCTAACACCCTAACACCCCTAACACCCTAACACCCTAACACCCTAACACCCTAAACACCCTAACACCCTAACACCCTAACACCCTAACACCCTAACACCCTAACACCCTAACACCCTAACACCCTAACACCCTAACACCCTAACACCCTAACACCCTAACACCCTAACACCCTAACACCCTAACACCCTAACACCCTAACACCCTAACACCCTAACACCCTAACACCCTAACACCCTAACACCCTAACACCCTAACACAAATTATAATAAATTTTAAATCTATAAAAAATGACTGAAATTTTTTCGCATGAAAACACAGAGGATTTTTTTACTCTCTTTTAAATATATCTATTATTAATTATTAGGAACTATGCTACTTTAATTTATAAGATAGAGATACGGTTATTAGAAGAATGCATAACGCTTATTAATCATCATTTTGATTACTTTATCAATTTATATTTTATAATTTTATAGATTTATTGGGGTTTTTCCTCTGAATTTTAATTTTCTATGAAAGCAGAGAGTTGAAATAGAGGCAAGGCCTGCTTCCTAGTTAGAGCTACTTAGAATTAGAAGAAGAAAAGAGCAATGCATTCAATATTTTAATGAAAGCTGGTCATCAATTTAATTTATTTAAGAGCTGATAACGTGTTATTTCTTATGAAGTATTTAATTCTCTGTGCTTATGCTTAATGCTCTGGCTTCATAAGAGTAGCTGTCCTGAATCTCAAAATAGGGAGAACTATTTCTAAATTTTATTGATTAGCCGAGCAGCTCTTTATTTAAACGAAAATAATAGTACAAATTAAGAGCCAAAACCTATATGATTTAATTTGCACGATAATTTACTCAAACTTCAAAATTCTGCATGCAGAGTTAAACAAATATGCAGACTCCACATTTGAAATTTATTCCTCGCACTAAGCTCAGATTCATATATAAAGCTTGGATTTAAGTATTAATCTTTTTATGACGCTAAAATTTAATTAATATATTAATCACGAATATAAAGTCTACTTCTCAAGATAAATATGCTCATTATGATGTTATTTTTTCAGCAGCTAATTAAAGGTTCTCATTAACCTTTATTTCTTCAGCTATTGCTTTATTTTCATTGCCCTCTTTTTCTTCCTTCTTACATAATAGCTCCCTCAAAGCATTCTTATTTTTTCCAATCTTCCTAATTTCATTAAAATATCGATATGGTACCAGCTTGGCTACATTTTCTGCTACATGCACTTTAAAATCCTCTATACTCTGAAACTCTGTAACCCTAAGCCTTGAATATTGATTTTTTTCTATCAAATCAAGTATTGAGACACATATAGACTTTCCAACATTTTCAAAAATTTTAATATCATAAGCTGGCGACCCATTATTATAAATTACACTGTTTCGGTCATCAATTAGTGATTCTTCTATTCCCGGTGATGGTATATTATTTGTTGTTATCCCAGAATGATAATTGCACTCTAATGTATAGCACCTCAGCAACCCTGCTGCTTTGAAAATTCCTACTCTTCCACTGCCTTCTCTTGAATCTCCATTTTTATCATGGGCTTTCATATTTTCATCACTAAAATTGCATTGTTCCCAGTGAAAATTAACGTTATTTATTTCCATTAATTTAGGGAATAAGCAAGTTTCTACTTGCTTTTTGAAGTCATTCATATAATTTCCAAATATAAAAATTCCTTTGATTGAGGCATGGGCATGTAAATCTATGTAACAAAAAATCCTTTCTTTATTATGGACTATTAACTCTTTTATCGCAAAAATTGTAGGGTGTAAAGAAATTATAGGATCAGAATAAAATCGATTTAAATTTTGCCCTAAAGTATCAAATCTCATATTTCCTTTGTAAACACCGTCTGGATTCAGCATTGGGACTAGCAAAAATACAAAGTTGTCTAATAATTCTATAGCGCGAGGATCTTCTGATAGCAGAAATTTAATAAGTCCATTCATCATGAACGAGCTTCCTGACTCAGCTGCATGCACCCTTGCAGAGATTACGATTAATTGTTTTTCTGAAAACTCTTTTGGTCCATTAGACATCATATCCGTTTCTAAAATTCCTTTGAAAGACGAGATGGCTAAATAGTCGCACTTTCTGCCTTCTACACTTGAGATCAAATTTTCTCTAAAAATATATATATTTGGGTTAGAAATGCTGTCTAAGAAATTTTGATTGTCTTCATAACTTCACGGATAGGTAAATGCAAAATAAGCAGAATCTTCAGCGAAGTAATGGGAAAAAGAAATTTCTGTACCTTCAGGGGTTGGCACTGCAGTGAAATCAGATGTGATTCTTTCCCAATTTTGTTTGTCATAAGAGAAAACAGGTCGAAAGCCAAACTTATAGAGATTAGTCAAGTTTCCAATATTTTTCACATGGAAAGTTAGAGTTTGGAGTTCTGAGACAGAAACTTTGAAATAGAATCAACCTCTCGCATTTGTATTAGGAGAATCTGTACATATTCATAAGAAAAATTTTGTAGGTTCTTGCTTTTCAGCTCGGATTAAATTACCTGAATCGAAATCAGAAGAAATTTCAATATTTTCTTCTGGAAAGCGGAATATACAATGACTTTGATGGGCTTCCATATTATTTAAAATATTTCAATAGGAAGAAATAGCAAAGCGCAGGATAATTTATAAATTAATTATTAAATAAGATGCATCATAAAAGAATAAATTAAGACACACTACACTGATTTTGAATACTTACCAAATTTAAATTCTAGATAAATAAATTTTCATAGTTTAAATATAATTTAAGAAATTTAAATGAATATAACTACTATTTATCAATTTCATATTCGTTATATTTAAATCAATGAACTTATGACAACTGATCGAAATAACTCTTTCTTACTTTAGTATGAATATTTTTTACCATATGAATTTATACTTCTTTTCTTGGAGTGGCGCTGCAAGCGCAGGCCACTCCATGCGGAATTCCTGTGTTGGTTTAACCAACATAGAGTTGGTCGAACCAAAACTGTGCGTTGGTTCGACCAACCCATGAATTCCGCATGGAGTGGCCTGCGCTTGCAGCGCCACTCCAAGGAGGTTTCTATATTTAAAATCAATTATTACATAAATAAGGTAAATTTCGCAATATAAAAATATTATTTGGAGAGTGAAATTTTGATATGCAGAGTAGTAGATTTGAAACTATATAACCTTTATTACCCTAGAAATTGCTAGGCAAATAAATAATCTTTTATTACCTTAAAGATTAGTTAAGTAGAAGATCGCTGACACTGAAAGTAGATCAGCAAATGAGTAAGAGTCTAGAGACTCTGATGAATCATATAACGCAAGACTTTCAGAGCAGCTATCAATTGACCCTGAAGCATGCAGACTCCAGCTTTCAGCTTGCCCATTCATTGCATTATAATAATCGCAAGCTTCCTTTGTTATTGTATGGCAAAAGCAAAGCGTCCCAATATCTGATGAGTGCGCATTCTTTCCTGAGCACCTAGAGTCGCTGTTTTGGATTTTTGGGAAAATAACTCCATCATATTGAACGTTGGGATAAATCTTTGGGCAGTATCCGTTAGAAGTTCCATCTCCAGCGCACCTACATGATTCTGAGTCTACCTCTTCCGAAGTTGTATCTGATTTATACACACAAGTGCTTCCAATTGTGCAGCCCCAAAATTAAGATTATTTTTATATGGCCATGAGTAAAGTCAACAACTGATCACTCGCACCTCAGCTCAAAAGCTGACTTCAGGTCAGGCTCTGAAGAGACCATACTCCTGGCCTGCCGCCATTTTGATTTCTGGTCTGAGCCACCTGTCCAGAGGATCAGCTCCTCTGGACAGAACCGCTTCTTGGGGAGCGCCCCGATGGCCCTGATGTGGAAACCCATGTGGTAGGCAAAACCTGTCTAGCCATCTGGCTAGGACAGTAAAACCTTCAGAGAGAAATGCAACTTCCTTTTCAGCACGGCTTCCTCACCCCCAAAGGCCTACTCAAGATAGGGGATGAGGCCCTATGTTTCAGCTTCATCAGGGATGGGTCCTACCAGCTCCATAGGAGGTGCGTCTCGTAGTCCAATTTCCGTCAACATCACTATTTTATTACTCGCAGCCTCAAGGCATCTCTACTTTAGTCCCACTGACATAGACACTGACTGAATCACATACGCCACTTGATGTTGCATAAAATGTCTTGCAGTATTTTGGGTCTGAAACTGTAGTACCAACGTCAAATGACCAATAAGGAGTGCAGATACCGTTATTGCAGCCAGCTCCTGGCAAGCATTGGTTGTCAATTTTGCAGGTTTCATTCATTTGGGATACTTTGGTGCATTTATAGCTGGACTCAGGGCAAAAGTGCATATAGTCGCAGTCTTCATCAACTCTGCAGGCATCGTCCTCAGCTATTGCTTCACAATGCCCACTGTCACAGTTTTGGCTATAGCAATCTTTGTCTTCACAGCAAGGGAGATAAGTAGACAACGTTCCATCACCTGGGCAATCAATGTCACTTTCACTAGTAGAGTCTGAGACACAAGTAGCGTTATTCCAGCTTGAACTGTCTTTAAATTGGTCTAGATTTGAGCAGGTATAGTCGCCTTTGCATGGACTTGCCACAACTGAGGTGTCATTCACTGCGACACATTTTTCACCGGCAGAAACACTTGATCCACAAGTAACAGTCTTGCAGCTTGACGTATCGACACAAAAGGCTAAGCTTATTAAGGTTGCAATCACAAAAATTGGTCTTATCATATTTATTATAGGACATATTTAAAATGGAGAGACCTTGGAGGTATAGCTCCTCTAACAATTCTTAAAAAGGTAACTTCGGTCCTTTGTGGGTCTAAAAGACCAAGAGACAGCTTCCTGGAGTTGCAACACTCCACTAGATTTGCTGGAAAGAGAGCTCTTACTTGGGCTGAGGCAGTTATGTTCTAACGGTCGACCACCCGATCTGCTATTTAGAGCTGGTACTGATCTATTATAAAGGCTACAAGAAGATGAGGAGTTTAATAATTATGAGAAATCGTATTAGAAATTATAGGACAAAAATTCTCTTCAGCCAAAATCCATGTTATTTTTTGTAACAGATTGCCCTTTTTTAACTACAATTTTGATAGGAAGATAGCAACGATTCTGCATGAAAACGGGATTATAAATAATAAATTGAATTATCTTCCTGATTTTAGAAAGTCGGTAGTTAGTATTTAGGAAAAAATAAGTTGTAACAGTTGCTGCTGAGAGAAGAAAAGCCATTTTATAATGCAATTTATTTTATTGTAGCAGTTTTGATTTATATTATTAGATTTTCTCATGCTGATGCTCATCTGAGGTGCACGCAGATCTTTAGGCTAAAACAATATATTAAATATAAAATTAAAAATCTAAAGTTGCTAATCAGAAAATCCTTTGAAAATTTTCTAGTCTGTATTTTCTATCACTATGTTGATAATGAAATCCTGGATCTAAATTCTAATTCCGAAGTCTAGAGCGCTGCTTAATGAAATTTGTAACAGAAAATTATATATGGAGTATATTATCATATATTAAGGTATCTTGCATCTTCCTTTTCAGCTTATGCAATAAATCTGCCTCTAAACTTCTCTTAAGCATTATTTAGTTTAGTATTGCTTTGATCTCAATGCCAAAAGTTAAAAATTCTTTAAAGAGTTTTTTTGAAACAGACAATATTCTTCATCAGCCTTTTATACTTTAAAAGGGATTTCAGCTATTTTCTATGGATAAAGAAAGAAAATTTCTTGTTAAAAATTAAAATAATACATTTAATTTCATTCAAAATATATATTCAAGCTGCTCATGGTTTATGTTTTGTTAAAAAAAGAGTATTATAAAATTTTCAACTTATTTTAGCTGATTTTTTTAGTTCATTTAACCCATATTTCTTAATTTATCTTCTTATAATTTTCATCTTAATTATAGCCAAAAAAACTTCTTAAAACTGTTTAGAGTCTTCTGAGCTTTGTAAGCTCTCATTCCCTGAACTTATAAATGAATGCTTCAGCTTTGATTTCGTTGAAAATCCTTCAATAGAGTCTTCACCTGCTTTACTGTCACTTTTTGGTTTAAAATCAGTCCCAAATGAAAGCTTTAAGAACATCTCCTCAGTCTCTTGTGCCAATTTATTCTAAATTTACAATACTGTTTCCTTTTGTAAAGTATCTAAATAATCAAAAATATTTCTATCAGCTTTTAAAGGCTTCTTCTGTGAATCTCCATTCAATCTCTGTTTAAGAGAGAAATTTTCTCTCTGCAGTCTGTCTATTTCATTAGCTTGCTCTTTTATAATTCTTTCTTTTTCCTTTAGTTCTTCAATAAAGAAATTTTCACCTAAAATTCTACCTTTTTTTATCAAATCTGTAGTGCTGCGTGAGCTTTTGGGGATTTTTCGCTGTTTTATAGCACCTAAATCTGGCCTTTCATTTCAATTATGTTTTTGCTTTTTGTGTAGAGGATCAAGCTAAGCTAGATTTTACAAGGTATCGATTAAGTACAGGAAGAGGGCCATCTGGAGGTCCAACGTTGAAAGGTGCTTGCAGATTTTCATTATTTATCATTTCCAGCAATACTTCTGCATGAGTGTTTCGATTTTTCTTTCATGCTGGGTTAGTTGTGACTTCAGAAAGCTTATAATTTTCTGCTATAATTTCTTATAAGCTTCCACGTGTGGAATTCTGCTCCACACGTGGAAAATCTTTTTAGCATGTGAAGCCTGCTGCTTATTGGCTTGCTTATACATGCAAAAAAATTTTAACGTGTGGAACAGAATCCTGCACGTGGAAGGCTATAGGAAATTATCAAAGAAGCATATCAATCTGCCATATAGTTTACTCACTCTTGGATTCTGATTCTCTGGTATTTTGGTAGCTTAATGCAGAGCTTTTCAATTTCTTCTTAAAAAATACCGATGATTATTTCTTTGAATTCTTTATCTAGATTTTCCATTCGAATTTGAGGTTTTGTTATAAATTTAATTAATAAAGATTTGGAAAAAGAAATATAGTATCCAAAATTAATAAAGAATGCTGAAATCTATTATTAACATAAAAATTGTGACGTTTTTCAATATTTATGAATAAATACAATAAAAAATTGGGATAATCATGATTAATATAATTTCCCATCAGCTTTATGCTTAAATTATATAGTGATAAATGTTTCAATTGATTAAATGGCAGTTTTATATAAAATATGAGCTTACCCCGAGAAGTTCTCAAGTGAATCCACAGCTTAGATCTGGCATATTCAGTCAAAAACCCCAAGCGCGACTTTCAAAACGGCTTCCTTATTGCAGAAATTTTTTCTCGCTATGAAGAATACTCAAATGACATCGAAATGCATTCCTACGACACAGGCCTAAACATTGCCAAAAAACTCAGTAATTGGACTTTGCTCGAAAACTTCTTCCGCAAGCGAAATATCCCAATTTACAAAAAGGACTGGGAGCCTGTAATCTACGCGTCCCCAGATGCCTACATTTCGCTGCTTAACAAAGTCTATCAATTCTTAACAGGTAAACCCCTTGAAGAGCCTCCAATCAAGCCGACGCAGCATCCAAAAGAAGGCGCAACCCATGCGGTGCTTTTAAAAGACAGCGAAATGCAGCAAGCTATTGAGAAAAACCAAACAGGAAAGATGAATCAGCTACTAATTGAAGAGGAGCCTGAAGAGGTAAAAACTACTATTGGAGAAGTCAAGGTGACTCTTAGAAAAATGCCAAGAGGCAGCTCAAAAGTATTGGAAAAGTCCCAGAATAGGCTTCTCCAAGGTATTGAAATTCGAGATGTCGAAATCAAGCCTGTTGAAAGAAATCTGGTTCAAATCCGGGCAAGCAAAGGCCAAAGCGTCCAAAAAAGCTTAGAACTCAGTGTCAGCGGCTCTGTGAAGCCTACAGAAACTTCTCCATCACGATTCCCTACAATGCATGAGCAAACAGTTACTGTAGCCCGCTCTATAAATGAATTGTCAGCAGAAGTCATGTCTGACGCTCTTAATTATCTAGCAAAATCTCCTGCTGAGTTTGGCTTCGAAAACCAAGCAGGGAACTATGGGAAATACTTTTTTAAGAACATGGAAACCTTCAGTAATGATTTAACAAGTGCTTATTTCGAGTACATAAAAAAGAGAATCAACGCAATTGTTGACCTTGTACTTAAAAACCATCATGAATTCTGGTGTCTGGTTTCTCTTATGTTTCCACCTATAGAAAGGCTAAATGTAAATTCAGACCATTTTTTGCATTTAATGGAAGCTCTCAGCTTAATTGGTGAAAAAATGAGTCTAACAGACCCTAATGTCACGGAAAGGATCTTTTTTAAGTACTTATTGAGCAAAATATCAAGCCTAATGACTAGCAACCCAGGCAAGCGAGAAGTTTTATGCCACTTGTTTTATTCCTTTATAGTCCCAGAGCCTGCTTTTAGGATGAAAGCTATACAGAAGCTAAGCGAAACACTATCTGGGTATCATGAACTGATTAAATGCTTGGCAATTTTAGTGAAGTATGATAAAGAATATAATGACGAGCTTCATGATATTTTTATTTATTATGGCTTGCTAGGCTTAGAGCATTCATCTCCATTTGTAAGAACAGCTGCATTGGCTATTTTTTCGCAAATTGCGACATTAAATCATGTCCCAATTCTCAATGTTGTACCTCAATTAAAGGCTCTTGCAGATGACAAGTGGTGGGAAGTCAGAGCCCAAGCTATACAATGTGCTGGAACTTTATTATCAATGGTCGATCCCTCTGAAGAAATCCATACCCAAGAAGCCATTCATGGGCTTAAAGAAGTTATTTTTAAGTCATTTTATCCAAAAGCTACCAAAAATATCCTAATTCCCCTGTGTGAGTGAAACAAAAAAAATTATTCGCGAGCAGAGGGGGTTAATTTTGTTCTTTGCAAATTTTCTTTTTCTAAATTCAAAAAATCCCAATTTGCAAAAATTGTAAATAAAAATTGTTTAATTTTAAAATGCAAGTTGTTTAAAATTCAACAGAATTAGACATATATTTCATTATGCTATTTATCACTTTTATATCAAATTATTTTTCATAGAAACTTATTGTTTGCTCATGAAGGTGGAGTAAGAATAGGGCTTGTTTATATCGCCCCAGCCCTCCACAAGCATCCATCACTATCTGACCGGTATGTGGAATGCTTATTAGAAATGCCAAGCGACATAAGGAAAGCTCTGCTGGAGTCTCCAACAGAAACCCAAACCCAAACTCTTATGGAAGAAGGCATGTTTGTGTTAGGATCTAATACTCAGAGATACAAAATGGGTGGCTGTCCACTATTATGGAGCTCTCCTGCTGTAGCATTAAGTTTAGCAAACTATGTAAAATCAAAGGAGCTGGAAAATTTGGATGAAAGCCATGCAGACATTTTACTAGCTTGTGTAAAGCCTACAATTTCTGAAGAATTTGACACTTGGATCGAGGTTTATCATAAGCTGCAGGAATATATCTGTGTAGCTCTCTGTGATGTGGATTTGTGCTACAAAGCCATGGAAATATTGAAAAAGTTCTTGACTGTGCAAGGACTGTACGATACTACAATTGTGAGCTCAAGGGATATTTTATTAAAAGCTTTGAATCTGGTGTTCTCAACAAGCCAAGAAGAAGACTGTGTGCAAGCTTCAATGGGCTTGCTAAGATTTTTGTACTTTGAGAGCGGGGTTAAAATAGTCCAAGATTTCGTTAAGGTGCTTTTAAAGGCTTTTGATGACAAGTATCATGATCTTTATTTGACTACAGATCTTCCAGCATTATTTAAAGAAATTTCTAGCTAATTTAATTCTTATATAATTTAAATATTTATGTAATTTATTAACATCTCTCTTATATCTACTCAAGTTAAATTATAAAGTCAATGTCTTTATCTTGACACTTTAAAATTAATCTCTTAATTCTTATTATGAAGTTTTCTAGTATCCCTATTTACATATTAGATTTGTTTGGTCATCAATAAAAATACTACTTTTTTGAATAATACATGATTTATGCTATATCATACTTAGCCTTATTAAATAATTTATTATAGTTTTGATAGAGTATAAAATATAATTATGAATATAACCCGTCGGATATTTCTCTTTCTTGTCATCTTTTGTGCAACAGAAAGATACAGATCTGCCGATGCAATCGAGTTATCATTACTTCTCCTCAAAAGATAGCTTGCCCCCTCTGTGAGCGAACAAAAAAATGTTTGTTCGCTCACGAAAAGGGATAAATATTATTTTAAAAAAATTAAATATAAATTTTATAGTAAATTTTTCTATGAGCTGCTCCATTATACTACTTCTTATTTATATATCTTTTTTTTTGCTTTAAAACACTGGCTGTTATCGATCAGACCTGCCTGAGCAGGTACCCAATATTAATTAGCTATAATATTAATCCCGGGGGAAAAAATCTTATTTATATGTCAAAATATTTTTTCATTATATCAAAACAATGTTTTGTTCGCTTGAGGAGGGTGGGCTTTAAGCTAAAAAATAAGGATTTTTCCAAGGCTTTTGTTCACTCAGAGGGGGAGTAAGAAAAATTATTATTTTCTATTTATTATTGTCTTTTTCTATAATTTATAATAAAAATGAGGAATTAGAAATTTCAGCATCAAATCTTACCTGCGCAGCCTACACATGCAAGAATGCTGATCAAAAATTCATAAATGACACTTGTGTCTACTATGATAGAGACCTCAACGCTTATTTTTCTAAAAAATGCTCAGACACCTCTAAAGCTTGTCTTCTTGAAGGAGAACACCCAGGAAACTACACATGCCAGCCATACATCTCTTCAAATGGTCTCAGCTGGCCTGGAGAACCCTGCACAACTATCACTGACTGCGAGCAAACTTATTCTAAAGCCTGCACAGGAGGCATCTGTGTTGGATATCCTGTTAGCGCAACTTGCGAAGATTCCAATTATTGCCAGCCTGGAAACTCTTGCAGAGGCTCTCCACTTACATGCCAAGCACAAATCCAAGTAGGCTCAACTGGCTGTCTTTCTGACGCAGACTGTACCAATGATGCAGCCTGCAACATAACTTCAAATACAAACGGTGCCTTAAACGCATGTCTCCCTGCCTTCTCAATTCAGCCTCACCAGCCTGTAGGTGGCTGTGTCAACGGGGTTAGCAACCTTTGCCGGCAAGTAACATGTGCGGCTCATCTAGGCGGGTTTTATTGCACAGACCAGGTTTTCTCTGACTACAATGTTCCAAAACCATGTGACCTCACAAAAACAGGCCAGTGTGTGTCTACTGAGGACGAATTTTTTACCCCTGCATTTCAGCTTATCTCAGACTGCGAATGTGGGTACAATAGAGAAGGATTGTCTTATTGTGCCCTATTTCCTGGAGATGGACTTTACCAGGCTTATATAAATACAGTTGTCATGTGGTTGAACAGCACAGGGATATTAAAATGCAACACTCTCCGTCGAGACCAAACTAACTGTATGAAAAGCTATATGGACGCTAAGCAGTTTAATAGATATGTGTATTACGAGTTTGTTAAAGAGCTATATCCTAAGATTTATCAGAGTGAGGACTGTGTTGTAGACACAGTTACATCGTTTTATGCAAAAGCAAGGGATAACTATGATGCGGATAACGAGGACTTTGCAGTGAGTATTGCAGGAATCACCTTTTTATTAGGCTTGGCGTTAAATTAAGAAAATAAGATTATTAGGTCTCTTAATAAGCTATATCAGTGATTATTTAGTCATAAGAAACTCTTCTTGGCTCATTATTTCTCCACCTAGGAGGTGTTGGTGGTCTCTTTCTCAGTGCGTCTTCACTTTCAATCCAGTTTGATCCATATGGATTATCTACAGGGTAAATTAATTTCGGCTTAATTTCAAAATTCTTTTTGAAAAATAACACAGCGCCTGCGTTTTTATGCCTTCCACAATAGTCAGTCGCTGAAAAGACTGTGATCAAATCGCCTCCGGCAAACCTTTCGAACCCATCCATGACGCACTCATGAGCTCTAATAATTTTTGACAGGCCATTGTTGCTTAAAAACTCCTTGACGATATCAGGGCCGAATTTTACAATATTTCCAGTGCCGTTAGGGTCTCTGATGACGTTAGCTTGGATACCGAGTTCTTGGTCTGAGTCTGTAGGGTCGCTTCAGAGGATGTCTACAACTAATTGTTGCTGCTCGTTGGTGACCTCATGGACAACTTCTAGTGGCCTTGGCAAGTTTTCTATTTGGTCGATGGTTCGTAGAGTGCTTCCAATTCCGCCATGCAAGCAAATAACTTTATCTTCTATGACTGCAGCTAAAGGCAAGTACTCAAAAAGCCTGTTTATTCTAGCGAATATGCTTTTAGGGTCATTTGGGTCTTCTCCTATACGGATTTGGCACTCGTCAGCAAAGCCAAAGGCGTTATTTATCCATTTGTCTTCGTGATTTCCTCTTATCATATGAATTTGGTCAGGGTTTTTGCATTTAAGTGCCATCAACAGACATATAGTTTCTAACGAATGTGAGCCTCTATCAACAAAATCTCCAATAAATAAATAATCAAAGCCGTCTAAATCGCCGCCATCTTTTTTCTTCTCAGAAGGACATCCATACAAGTCAAAAAATCTCATCAAATCTGCGTATTGCCCATGCACATCTCCGAAGACTTTTATGGGCGCTCTCAGTCTAAGCACCATAGGCTGATTTTTGATAATATTTTCACACTCTTCAGCCAAGGCCAAAATATGCTCCCTTCTAAAGCTAAATCTTGCATTAGCAGGTGTATTTCACTCGCTTGGCCTTAGTAAATGATTGATAAATATATTATGCAAAGGGTTTCCACGCTCTGCATTGTTAGTCACTATCGGAATTGACCCCGTCCTCGTCTTCGCTTGTTCAGTGTCAACAGGTGCAGGTGGCAGAGGTCTTGGCTCTTGAGGCTTTGGTGAATTTCTTTCCAAATTCCTTGGGACCAAGTTATCATGCCCATTAAAAAGCTTCAAAGTGTCCACTTTTGTAATCACTGAGGTAGGGATATTTGGAGTGTCATGCTCAAAACCGCCGTGGATGTACAATAAAGCGTCTAGGCTTATGCAAGAATGTCTGAATCTCAGTATTGAAGGGAAGCGATACCATTCAGAACTATCAGTATCGTATACTTCGAGAGGAACGCTCTCACCCACTGTATTTGTCCTCCCTCCAATTACAATCATAGCTGAGTCCAAAAATATTGAGGTGTGCTGGTACCTTGGGGTTGGAAGAATTCCGCCTGGCTTGTAAGGAGCGCGGACCCAGTCCCAACGCCCGTCACGATGACGCCGAAGGCCCCAAGAGTCATTTAATGCACTTTGGTCACCTGTCCTACCTCCAAAGGTAACCATCATCCCTGATGCAGAACCAGTCGAGCATAAAGCAGCAGAGTGGTAAACCCTGGTAGGCGGTTGGTCACCACTTACCTCAATTTTTGACCATGAGAAAGGAGACCGCTCGACATTGAGGCACCATACGTCATTTACTGTTTCTGAGCCGGTATTCCCTGCAAATACAAGTAAATGAGGCTTGGAGAATAGTAAAGTGTGGCCGTATCGCCGCCCTGGGGTAGTTCCTATGACTGGGACTATCATCCAGCTTGCCGCAGACTCGCCATTTCGAAGATCGAGTAGATACAAATCGTCGCTTGCAAGACTTCCGCCGCCTGTTGCACCCCCGTAGACCACAAGCTGCATGTTCTCCACCATTGAGGAAGCATGAGCAGCGCGCGGAGAAGGAGCTGAGCCGCTTGGATCTAGCTTGGTCCAAACTCGTGTGGCGAGATCTAGGCAATAAGTATCGCCAGTGATGGAATATTTTCCTGTATCTCCAGTTGCACCTCCAAATAAGATTGCTTTAGATTTAGTGATTAAAGTAATTGTATGACCTGATTAGGATTTACCAAATCGAGCTTGCGGGATATCTCCACGGACTTCAAAATTTTCAATCCCGGTATTGGCAGACATTTATTATAAATTTCAAAGAGTTATAGTTTATTTCCCAAGATTTTTATTAGAGAGACGAATTACTTACTCCCCCCCTCCGTGAGTGAACAAAAAATTTTGTTCACTCACGGAGGGGGGGGTAATTTTTTTTTTTAAAAAAATTTATATATAAATTTTATAAAAAATATTTTTTTTCGAAATTTAAAAAGATCCTAATTCGCAAAAATTGGAAAGCAAATATTAATTTAATTTATAAAATTTATGTTTTAAAAATCAATTTGTTTAAAATTAAACAGAATTAGCTCTAGATTTCATTATACTTATTATCATTTATATATCAAAATTGTTTTCCATAAAAAAATTTTCTATTAAAAAATTTTTGTTCACTCGGGTGGGTTTTTGGGCAAAAAATAGCGATTTTTCTAATGGTTTTGTTCACTCACGGACGGGGGGGAGTTAGAATTAATCAATTTTTTAAATTTATTGTGAATTTTTAATATCTTAATATAGTAATTATAAATGTTTAAGTTCGATTGAAACTTTGCCTTGATCAAGCATTTATAAGTAGATTTACGCAATTGCATACAGAACATTGCAAATTAGATCTATAAACAGAAAAATATTTATTTAATTTTAAAAAATTGTCACATAAGAAAGTTGGGTAGTTTACCCCAGAAACAATTCAAGCAATTATTATTAAAAATGTATTAAAATTTCATACAAGATAATTATCAGCAATTAAATGCCAAAAGTGTGCATCATTTCTGAAAGAAATCATCTTCAACTCCTTTATTTAGCCTTCAGTTTATAGTGCATTTAATTACTAATGGATATGAGAAATATCCGAATTCATAAAAATAGTATTTTTAATGATAGCATCTTAATTCTTTATATTAATTATATAAACACATTACTTTATAAAGCTTTGCAATCAATATCAATTAATAAGCTATAAAATAATTATCTGCTGAGAAATAAACAAGCAAGAGAGAATGATTTCATTTAATCGATGAAAGGAGAAAATTCCTAGCAATACAATCATACAAAATTGACTTTCATTAATAGCAGATATATTTTATACAAAGAGATCAATATGGTCTCCGTTTATCCATATATAGTCCTCCAAATTTTTATAACTTTTTAATTGTTAATTTGGTTCATTTTGGTTAAATTTTTTCCATAAATCAAAGCTAAACTTAATAATTATTTAAAAACCAGAAATGGATAAAATTTAATAAACGTGCTTAAAATTGATTAAATAATACCAAAATTTATTTGTTAAAATATAGAGCTTTCTCTTCAATAGCGCAATAAGGTGTGCTTCCTAGTTTGACTAAAAGGTCTTTAGACAATAAAAATCTGCTGTTCCTTCTTCGTAAGAGAGGCTTACAGTGAAAATAAAAGAGTTCTGCCCGATCAATCTACTTGAAGAGAAGCTATTTGAATATTTACACTTTTGGTTCGTCAAATGGATCTGGCGAGCCAATTCTGGCCAGTACTTGAAATAAAAAAAAATGATAGCTGCCAGAATTTTATTAATTTTCTGATGGAGAGTATGATCAGAATTTTAATAAATGGCACAGGATTAGACAGCACACTTAAAAATATTCATTACGCTAAAGTGATTTATGTCTTATAATAAATGCTTTATCTTGGTGCCTATATCAATCGCTAGCCATCTTTATGAATTTTAAAAAAACCAATAAGAAAATTTTAATAAACGTTTTTAAGTGAAACTTGCTGTACGAGCACAACTTCATGAACTCTCTTTGTGCCTGAAAAAGATGTAGCCAGTAGTTGTATTTATAAATCCTATTTTTCCATGCCACTATAGCCATCTTTATGAAATTTAAAAATCCAAAAAGCAAATTTTTAATAGACGTTTTAAAGCAAAACTTAAATTCAAAGCGCAACTTAATGAACTCTCTTTGCTGCCTGAAAAAGATGTAGCCAGTATAGCCCGTTCCCGGCTATAGTGGTATTTATAACTCCTATTTTTCCATAGTCATTATAGCCATTTTTATGAAATTTAAATATCCAAAAAGGAAACTTTTAATAAAACTTTGCAGCATAAGTACAACTCCATGAATTCTCATTTCTGCCTGAAAAAGATGCAACCAGTAGTGATATTCATAACTTGAATTTTTCCATAGTCACTATAGCCATCTTTATGAATTTAAAAATCCAAAAAGCAAATCTTTAATAGACGTCTTAAAGCAAAACTTCAAGTATAAGCACAAATCCATGAAATCTCATTACTGCCTGAAAAAGATGTAGCCAGTATAGCTCATACCCCTTTATAGATTTCTTTATCGAGCAAAATGTACTGGATTATTGAACGACAAAGAGAGACTCTATTAAAGGAAAGGGCTGGATATCTATATCAGGAAGTGCTAAAAAAGTGACATGTCAAAAAATGGTGACAAGTCTGAAAAAAGTTGACAAGTAAACGCGCCAATTTTTAAAATGGATTTATTATTAAAATAATTTAAAACTTAAGATATTTAATTTTAATCAATATTTAATTATGCTAAGTACTTCTCATATGAGTCGATAAGAACTTCTTATATATCTAAAATCGCAAGCCACGCACTTTGCAAATTATAACTTTAATCTTCATAAATAAATTAACATTAAAATAAAAAATTCCATCGAGCCGGAAAAATGCACATTGAGTTGCAAGTTTTTGATTTTCACTTACAAGTCATATTAAATTTTTGCTAACTCCCCCCCCCCCCTCCGTGAGCGAACAAAACCATTAGAAAAATCGCCATTTTTTGACCAAAAACCCACCCTCCGTGAGTGAACAAAAATTTTTTTAATAGAAAAAATTTTAATGGAAAAAAATTTTGATATATAAGTGATAATTAGTATAATGAAATCTAGAGCTAATTCTGTTTAAATTTAAACACAAATTGCGTTTAAAACATAAATTTTGCAAATTAAATTAATATTTGCTTCCCAATTTTTGCAATTAGGATTTTTTTAAATTTCGAAAAAAAATATTTTTTATATAAAATTTATATATATAAATTTTTTTTAAAAAAAAAAAATTAACCCCCCTCCGTGAGCGAACAAAATTTTTTTGTTCGCTCACGGAGGGGGGGGGGGGAGTAAAGTACTTCTCATATGAGCCGATAAGAATTTCTTATATATTGAGATACACAAGCCACGCACTTTGCAAATTATAGCTCTAGTCTTCATATATAAATTGGCATAAAATAAAGAAAATTCTATCGAGCCGGGAAAATGCACTTTGATTTGCAAGTTTTTGATTTTCACTTATAAGCCATATTAACTTTTTGCTAACTCCCCCCCCCCCCTCCGTGAGCGAACAAAACCATTAGAAAAATCGCCATTTTTTGACCAAAAACCCACCCTCCGTGAGTGAACAAAAATTTTTTTAATAGAAAAAATTTTTATGGAAAAAAATTTTGATATATAAGTGATAAATTAGTATAATGAAATCTAGAGCTAATTCTGTTTAATTTTAAACAAATTGCGTTTTAAAACATAAATTTTGCAAATTAAATTAATATTTGCTTCCCAATTTTTGCAAAATTAGGATTTTTTTAAATTTCGAAAAAAATATTTTTTATAAAATTTATATATAAATTTTTTTAAAAAAAAAAATTAACCCCCCTCCGTGAGCGAACAAAATTTTTTTGTTCGCTCACGGAGGGGGGGGGGAGTAAGTACTTCTCATATGAGTCGATAAGAACTTTGTATATATTGAGATACACAAGCCACACACTTTGCAAATTATAGCTCTAGTCTTCATGAATAAATTAGCATAAAATAAAGAAATTCTGACGAGCCGGAAAAATGCACATTGAGTTGCAAGTTTTTAATTTTCACTTACAAGCCATATTAAATTTTTGCTAACTCCCCCCCTCCGTGAGTGAACAAAAAAATTTTGTCACTCACGGAGGGGGGTTAATTTTTTTTTTTTAAAAAATTTTATATATAAATTTTATAAAAAATATTTTTTTTCGAAATTTAAAAAAATCCTGATTCGTAAAAATTGGAAAGCAAATATTAATTTAATTTATAAAATTTATGTTTTAAAAAAGCAATTCGTTCAAAATTAAATAGAACTAGTTCTAGATTTCATTATACTAATTATCATTTATATATCAAAAACTTTTTCCATCAAAAAATTTTTCTATTAAAAAAAGTTTTGTTCACTCCGGAGGGTGGGTTTTTGGTCAAAAAATAGCGATTTTTCTAATGGTTTTGTTCACTCACGGAGGGGGGGGGGGAGTAAGTACTTCTCATATGAGTCGATAAGAACTTCTTATATATTTAAAATCACAAGCCACGCACTTTGCAAATTATAGCTTTAGTCTTCATATATAAATTAGCATAAAATAAAGAAATTCTATTGAGCCGGAAAAATTACATTGAGTTGCAAGTTTTTGATTTTTACAGCTATTATTAATTTTAAATATTAAATTTAAATATATATAAATCAAAATATTTAAAGCCAATATATAATGTGTAATTATATCTTCTGTCTAATTGAGTATCTTAAGTTTTAAATTATTTTAATAATAAATCCATTTTAAAAATTGGCGCGTTTACTTGTCAACTTTTTTTCAGACTTATCACCATTTTTTGACATGTCACTTTTTAGTACTTCCTGATATAGATATCCAGCCCGTTCCTTTAATAGAGTCTCTCTTTGTCGTTCAATAATCCAGTACATTTTGCTCGGTAAAGAAATCTATAAAGGGATATAAACTATAGTAATTTTCATAATTCGAGTTTTTCGATAGTCACTACTTGATGATAGTGAGACTTGGTGGAATCGAAATTTCTAAAGGAAAAATCTGCGTGTGATGAAGCTATATTATTATTACCAAAGAAATTATTAAATCGGTTTGAAAGGAATAATTTGTCTGATCCTGTTCCATTTATTAAAATTCTGATCATACTCACCATCAGAAAATTAATAAATTCTGGCAACTATCATTTTTTTTATTTCAAGTACTGGCCAGAATTGGCTCGCCAGATCCATTTGACGAACCAAAATGTTAATTTTCGACACAGCCTTTCTTCAAGTTCTCGAGAATGGTCAGACAGAATTCTTTATTTAGGCTGTTTGTCTCCCCCATGAATAAGGAATAGCAGGTTTTCATATGTCAAAGATCCTCCGGTAAAGCCTAGGAATGTGTCTTATTGCGCTATTGAAAAGAAGTTACTATAACAACTTTTTGACCCTATTTACTTAAGTTAAATATATAGCAAGTAGTTTTAGAAATTAAAATTAATTAATAGCAAGTTACTTAAAATTTGATAGATATTTAGCCAACAATTCTGATATGCTGTTGCCATGATTTATCTCTTACTTCTAGACTTTTAAATTGTATATAAACATAGGTAAAATTTATATTTTCCACCCCATTTAAATTAAACAATTGTTTTTAAATATAGATTAGAATAATAATTTTATTAAATTAGTTTTGACCAAATTTAACAAAAAATTTAATAAATATTTTATTAAATTTAAAAGAAAAAAATCATACAGAACAATAATATAATACTTTTTTAAAAACAAAATTTAACCCCATTTTAAATGTGAGTTAATTGAGGTCCAATTAATTAAATATAAGAAATAGGGTTAATATGTAAACATAATTTAACAAAAATTAATTTTATATTACTCATTTCCATTTATTTTTATTGAGAAATAGCTTATCATACATCAGATAAAGGTGGATTTTAGTTTTTATCGCTCGGGAGTAAGAAATAGGTTTTCTTCAAAATGGAATAAAACTATTATTTCCCTCAACAGAAACCATCATTAGTTGATAATTTTGGATTTATCAAATTCAATGATTTGACAAAATTTAGAGGTTTAAGCATCTTACCTTTTGGTCAAATTCTTTCACAGCATTGACTAGTAAATACTTTTAACTTGTCTACAATAAAAATTAATATTTAATTTTACTTTTTTTTTCATAAATTGCATATAGAAGCATCTGTATTGCGAATTTAATATAAATACTAACTCCTTCCCCCATCAGCGAACAAAAAAATTTTGTTCGCTCACTGAAGAGGTTAATGTTCTTTTTAAAAAAAAATTTTATAGAAAATTTTTTTTTCGAAATTTTAAAAAATTCCCTTTTCTCGAAAATTTGGAAAAATGAATTAGCTAGAGATTTCATGATACTAGTTATCACTAATATACCAAATTTTTTTTCATAAAAAGTTTTTGTTCGCTTACGGAGGGTGGGTTTTTGAGCAAAAAAATATGGATTTTTTTAATGGTTTTGTTTCTAAGTAAGGGGAGGAGTAATACTTAGCCTTCTTGCAAGTTTTTATAAGCAGAGCGAGTTATATCAATAAATGAATGAGCTGAAGAAAAGAATCAATAAAAGAAGGTACTCTGATACTTCTCTGATCGATTATTGAATCACCTACCAAAAAAACCACGAAGTGACAAAAAAAGAAGAGAGCAGTGGGAATGGAAATTGGTTCCCAATCCGGCAAAACACAAGAAGAGGATCAAATTTAATCCTCAACTACCTTGGAAGTCTCAAAAAGCAGCCCTCAATGGTTTTGAATCCAGAAAGCACTTTAAAAATTATATTTGACTCTTTTCATGGTCTTTTAATTATAATGCAACTTATCACAATTCCTTTTCTTATGTATTTTGAAGATCCTGAGTTTACTTCTTGGAGAAAAACTAATGAAATATTGAATTTTTTATTTTATTTTGAAATTGTATTACAATTTAACACCGCATATTATGAAAAAGGACATCTAGTGTGCACTAGAAAAGATATTGCTATTAAATATCTTAAGACATGATTTGCCTATGATATGGTTGCTTGCTTTCCGTTTGATTACATACTGGCCGGAAAATTGGCGGCGAATGACGATTCTACTAGTCTAGACGCACTAAACACTAGCAGGCTTTTTACCTATACCAAAATTATACAGTTAGGCCGCTACTTCAAACTGCAAGGAATCCTGAACCATGCTGCAACCTGCACAATGGATCCTAAAATCAGTGAATTTTTCAAGTTTTTCAGGCTGGTATTGGTTGCTACGCTGGTAAACCATTACACAGCTTGTGCTTGGTATTATCTTTCTTGACTTGATTCTTTTCATTACCCACAAACTTGGATAACGAAATGAATAGACGTGCGTGGCCCAAAAGACACTTTGGGATATTATTTTGAAGCACTTTATTTCGCAGCGACCACTTTATTTACGATAGGATACGGAGACTATGTTCCTTGCACAATTTCTGAGAAAGAGTTTTGCATCGTCATAATGAGCACTGGGGTTCTGATTTTCTCATATATTGAAAGCAGGATCAGCCAAAATGTGATTGATAGGTATGAAGAGAAAGCTAAATTTATGGAATATCTCGTCAATCTGAATATCTTTATGAGAAAACAGAAGCTGCCAAGTCTGCTTAAGTTTAAAGTAAGGACTTATATGGATTACATGAAATCCCTTACAACTAACTCAGAGTTGAAAGAGCTTGAAGTCTTAAAAATGCTTTCACCGCCTTTGCGTGAAGAAATCCTCGGAGTCACCAGAGGGAAAGAGCTACATTTGTGCCCAATCTTTAAGCAGCTGTATGGAACTAAATTAATCAACGAAATCAGCAAGCTTTTACAGCTAAAAAATTTTGCCCCTGAGGATGTGCTCTTTAAGGAAGGCGAAAACGAAACAGTCATTTATTTCATTACTGCTGGCATAGTTGAAGTTTACCACGAAAAAACCAGAACTGTCTTTAAAGAGCTTGCAGAAGGCAAATATTTTGGAGAAATTGGGTTTTTTACTCGACAAGTCCGAACTGCCAGCATCAGATGTGTATCTTTCTGCGATATGATTTCTTTAAGCCGCGATCAGCTTGATATTCTTGTCAAGAGGAAGCCTGACGCGTTCCAAAAGACATTACAGCTGCAAACTTTATGCCAAAGCCACGATAACTCAAAATACGCTCCTTTAGGCGTATACTGCTATCTCTGCAATCTTTTAGGACACACAGCTATCACCTGCGAGAAAATTTTCGAAAAGATAAATAAAAACAGAATGAAAGAGAAATGGGTAAAAAAGCGGATGACGTCAAAAATATTCAAACTGGCTGATATAAAGCATCATATAAACTTAAAAAGGAAAAAACGGAAAAGCCGCAAGTTTTGCAGTCCTTTAAACTCAAGCGGATCTATAAGAACGCCTGAAGAGCTGTGAGGGGGCAATGAAACTATGCTTTGACATGTGAAAACCCATTTGGAAAGCTCAACGATTGGGAAGCAAGTGCAAAGGGAAACGGACAAATTGATAAGAACTGAAATGACTCCTAGGAGGCAGACTTATTTGAATGTGCTAGGAGATAATGAGAGCGATGAATCAGATGATGATACCAGCAGCAGATATTTAGGTGACCAGTCTTTGTCACCAAGGTCTGATGCAGGATATTTAGCAGCGTCTCATAAAAGGGAAAGGTTTTTATCGTTCCCTGAAGCTTATCTTTCTACATTTAAGTCCAATGATATATATATTAATTAACAAGAAATTCAAATTTTAAAAGGGTGGTATTTTTAATGTTATTGCTGCTTTGAATGCAGATTAGGATTTGCTTGAAAACTACTCCCACATGTTAGCGTAATAAACAAATTTTAAAGCATCTTCAGCAGCCAAATACTTTAATGCTAATTATAATATTTACAGCTAAATACCACATCTGATTTTGTTTTAATATAATTTAAAAGCTGCCATTGCTATTTTCTAAGAAAATTTCTCTTAATTTATTTATTTCACAGTACAAAACAAAGATATTGCTAACCCCCCCTCCGCGAGTGAACAAAAGCATTAGAAAAATCTCTATTTTTGCCCAAAAAGCCACCCTCTATGAGTGAACACAAATTTTTTTAATAGAAAAATTTTTTATGGAAAAAATTTGATATATAAGTGATAATTAGTATAATGAAATCTAGAGCTAAATCTGTCTAATTTTAAACAAATTGCGTTTTAAAACATAAATTTTATAAATTAAATTAATATTTGCTTTCCAATTTTTATAGCGTGAGATTTTTTTAAATTTCGAGAAAAAAAAAAAATTTTATAAAATTTATATATAAATTTTTTAAATAAAAAAAATTAACCCCCTCCGTGAGTGAACAAAATTTTTTTTTTTTCACTGACGGAAGGGGGGAGTAATATATTAATTTTTTTATATTAAACTAAGATTTTATAATTTAGTTTACTTTCATTTTGGCAGATCTTAAAAATAGCAGCAGCACTAGCAGCACTCGTTAGAGGAACCAATAAAGTTTAATTTTTACTATTCACCTATAATTAAATATAGGAAATTCCGATGATGACGCTCAATGTGCTATCATCGGGCACCTACAGTAAAGGGTCCATATTGGAAATGGGGTTCAAGTGCCCTTTTTGACATGTGGAGAATATCACTTTCACGTACCAAAAAGTGGAATCCATTTCCAGTGTGGATCCTGAACTTTGGTTGCTCGATGATGGCGCATTGAGTGCCATCATCGGTCAACTTGTATATGATATCTCACCTAGGGCTCGCCTCTAGGACAGTGGCTTCAAGGACATATTTATTTATATTGACGAGATTTTGCTAGTTTAAGAAAGAACATATATGCAAAATCATCAATTCTGGCTGCGTTTAGAGCCTACACCAAGCTCAAAGTCAGGTGATTTAGCCTTATTTGACTATGGGGACGAGAAATTGAAAGGGGGTTCCCAGCAGAGCCTATAGAAATTTCTCTTCAATAGCGCGATAAGGCGTGCATCTTAGTTTGACTAAAAGGTCTTTGGTTCATGAAAATCAGCTTTTCCTTAAGAGAGGCAAATAGTAAAGGTGAAAAGTTCTGCCCGATCCAGTCTCGAGAACTTGAAGGAATTTTTTGGTCTGAATTTAGAATACCTGAGTTATTGTGGAATTTTGATTTCTTGCAAAAATTTTTAATTTTAATGTATTTTGGGTTTGTCAAATAGTTTTGACTAGCCAATTCTGGCTAGCACATGAAATAAATAATAAAAAATTGGCATAATTTTTTAATTTTCTGATGTTAAGGATGATCAGAAAATCTACAAAATCAAGATGGCGACTTAAACGAACAAAAAATATTTAAATTAATTTGTGCTCGAGTCCAGAAAGCGGAAAATAAGGGCCCCAAATAGCTAATTTTAGTTCTCAAATATCAAGTTCTCAATGAAACCGCAAGTGGTGACTTAAGAGTTTTAATTTTTTTATTGCGTAGAAAATCAAGATGGCGGCTTAAACGAACAAAAAAATGTTCAAAAATGAATTTGTGCTCGAGTCCAGAAAGCGGAAAATAAAGGCACCAAATAGCTGAATTTAGTTTCTCAAATATCGAGTTCTCAATGAAACCCCAAGTGGTGACTTAAGAGTTTTAATGTTTTCACATAGCGTACAAAATCAAAATGGCGACTTAAGCGAACAAAAAATGTTCAAAAAATGAATTTGTGCTCGAATCCAGAAAAGCGGTAAATAAAGGCACCAAATAGCTGAATTTAGTTCTCAAATACCAAGTTTTGAATGAAACCGCAAGTGGTGACTTAAGAGTTTTAATTTTTTGCATAGCGTACACAATAAAGATGGCGACTTAACCGAACAAAAAATGTTAAAAAATGAATTTGTGCTCGAATCCAGAAAGCGGAAAATAAAATGCACCAAATAACTTATTTTAATTTTTAAATACCAAGTTTTGAGTTAAACCGCAAGTGGTGACTTAAGAGTTTTAATTTTTTGCATAGCGTACACAATAAAGATGGCGACTTAAACGAACAAAAAATCTTCAAAAATGAGTTTGTGCTCGAGTCCAGAAAGCGGAAAATAAAGGCACCAAATAGCTGCTTTGATACTTTAAATACCAAGTTCTCAATGAAACCGCATGTGGTGACTTAAGAGTTTTAATTTTTTTAATGTCTGTAAATCAAGATGGTGGCTTAAACGAACAAAAAAAATGCTAAAAAATGAATTTGTGCTCGAATCCAGAAAGCGGAAAATAAAGGCCCCAAATAGCTTATTTTAAATCTCAAATATCATGCTTTGAGTTAAACCGCAAGTGGTGACTTAAGAGTTTTAATTTTTTTTATATAAGTACAAAATCAAGATGGCGGCTTAAACAAACAAAAAATATTTAAAATAAATTTGTGCTCGAGTCCAGAAAGCGGAAAAATAAAGGCATCAAATAGCTTATTTTAAATCTCAAATATCATACTTTGAATGAAACCGCATATGGTGACTTAAGAGTTTTATTTTTTTAATGGCTTATAAAATCAAGATGGTGGCTTAAACGAACAAAAAGAATCTAAAAATGAATTTGGGTTCAAATTCAGAAAGAGAAAACAATGGCATCAAATAGCGAAATTTAAATAAGAAAAATCAATTTGAGAAATATAAAAGTTATTTATTAGAATTATTATTATTTTATTAGCAAATATCTGGGCGTCTTATAGCTAGAATATATATGCTTGCTTTCACAAATCTTTAATTTCGTTTTTTTGATCCTGCGCCATTTATTAAAAATTTCTGATCATCCTTAACATCAGAAAATTAAAAAATTATGGCAATTAATTATTTTTTTTCATTTCAAGTGCCTGCCAGAATTAACTCGTCAGAACCATTTGACGAACCAAAACCTATTAAAATTAAAAATTTTTGCAAGAAATAAAAATCCCACAATAACTCAGGTATTCTTAATTTAGGACAAAATAATCCCTTCCAGTTCTCGAAACTGATCGGAGAGAATTCTTCATTTTCACTATTTTCCTCTCTTATGGAGAAGGAACAGCAGATTTTCATTGTCCAAAGACCTTTTAGTTAAACCAGGATGCACGTCTTTTCGCGCTATTGAAGAGAAAGTTCTATATCTTGCCTCTAGACTATTTGTGAAGACTTCCCAGTACGATCCAAGCTAGTGTCCTAGGCTTCGAGTTCCCGTATCAGCTGAAAGCTGACCTGAAAATTCATTTTTAAAATGAAAAATATCGTGGCATATGCCTCGATGCCTAATCAATCAAATCTAATCTAAAATACTATTCATCCAAAATACTCCTCATAAAATCTAAACACAAACTCTCAATTAAATCCCAAAACTTTTTCACAATAAACTATGGCAGACAAATCTCCAGCTCCAAAGGAACAGGAGCAGCAAGACAAAAGCGCTAAAGACAAGCCAGACACTAACCCTCAAGATTCTGAGCCAAGTAACATTCGCATGCGAGCAGGTGATTATATGGTCCATATCTTCATCGAGCAAGGCCGTGCTTTGATGCCTCCAGGTGGTGCAGATACCTCAGACCCAGTTATCGTCGTTACTGCTTTTAGCACCCAAAAGTCCACGAAGCCGCTTAACGACGTTGGTGGTTCCTCAATTGTATACTGAGGAGAACATATTTACATTGAAGGCAAAAACATCCAGCCAGACGACTTCAAAGACCAAAGAATCACAATTGAGGTCCGAGACCACAACAAGCTCTGAAAAGACGCCTTACTAGGAGTCCACGAAATCGATATGGTTTACATTTATTCTCAAAAAGACCATGCAATAATTCACAGATGGGTCGTTCTTTCTAATCCTGAAGACCAACACTTTGACGTCGTCAGAGGGTATATCAAAATAGGAGTCTCTGTGCTATATGAAGAAGACAAAGCTGTAGATTTGGCAATTAGAGAGGATATGAGCCAAAAAGATAAGGAAATGCTGCTGCCTCCACATGTAAAGCCAGTTACTGTGCAATTGATAACCCAGATTTTGAAAGCTGAAAATCTGCCTGTGATGGACAGAGGAGGGACACTAGACGCATACTGTGTAGCGAGGTTTGCAGGAGCTGAGTCCAAGACAAGCACTATAGTAGCAGATAAAGCAACGCTGACTGCTTATTGGTACGAGGAAATTTATTTGCCTATTTTGGTGCCTTGTGTGACCAATACAATGTCATTAACTTTTTGGGATTGGGACAGCACAAGTGCTGACGATTTGGTGGGGAGTGTAGTATTTAATTTTGACAAAATAAGAAGAGGGCTTTATAAAGACTATTTTTGGGCAAATATTTATGGCGCACCTCCACTGGCTGAAGGTGATGCTGCAGAGTATATGAACCATGTCCCTCAGTTTGCTTCTAACTGGAGAGGCAGGGTGCTGCTTCGTCAATGGGTCGAAGAAGGTGCTTCTGAAACTTATAAAAAGACACAAAGAATTGCTGAGGCTAATATTGATGTAAAAATCAGAGATAATTTTGAGGTCGGGCAGGAGTATGAAATCAGAGCTCAAGTGATGAGCGGGAATGCCTTGCCGTTTAAAAAGGGGAAATATTCTGTAGTAATAAGCTGGTCTGGCGCTGAGTCAATATCAAGTCTCCAGCAAACAGAAAATGCTTCAGTCGACTGGTACGAAACCCTTCGCCGCCAAATCTGCATGATTCCTAATCTGGCTGAAAAAGACTTGCCTGATGTTTTTGTATACCTTGTATATGACGAAAAAAGAATTTGCTATGCAAGAATCAAGCCAAATAAATGTATGGATATAAATGGCCGAGCTGAGTGGATTCCTCTAATACCTGACAAATCAATCGGAAAGGTAAAAGAAAATTGGAAAGCTGGGTTTGTAAGGATCAGAATTTACATTGGGCCTTTTGACAGTGATAACGACGACTTAAAGGCAGGGCATTGGGACCAAAAATTGATCAAGCCAAAAATGGAAGACTGGGTGCTGCTTACCCACGTTTTCCAAGCCAGAGACTTGCCTGCTGCAGATGGAGTTGGGCTATCTGACCCATATTTAGTGATTTATTGTGCAGGGGTTGAAATAAATACAAAAAATAAGCCAAGAGAGCAGACACTAAACCCTAGGTGGTATGAAACTTTTCCATTACAGATAAGAACTCCTTCAATAGAAGATGCGCCACCTGTCTTGGTCTCCCTTTTTGACTATGACGTGCTTTCAAAAGATGATATGATGGGAAGGGCGCTAATAGACTTGTCTGACGCCTCAATGAATACTGATTTAGCACCGAGGCCAAAATGGTATCCAATAAACCTTGGGACTCCTGACTCTGAAAAAGGAGCAATTTTATGCTCGTTTACTTTGGCTAGGCCAAGCTCAGTCCCAAGATTTAATATTACACCAAAATTCGTAGATAAGACTGTAGAAATCAATATTTTAGGACTGAGAGGGCTTAAGCCAGCTGTAGGGTTTTTGCCTGTCAATAAAGCATTTGTAAGGGTCGATTTGAATTCCTTAGACTTGCCAGAAGTGTCCCAGGGTATTAAATTCTTGCAGACTCAGCCATTTGAAGGAGGGTCAGACCCTAATATAAACTCAACGCTTTCATTCAGATGCAAAATCCCAGAAGACCCGCTGTACGCTCCAGTTCTCACATGCACAGTCTGTGACAATTTATTTGCTGGATTGTCTCAGCCTCTTATAGGGACTTTTAGTATAGATTTAGGAAAATACTCAGAAATGAAGAAAAGCTTGAAATCGCAGTTTTTCTCTAGCCAGTTCATGAAGGTGACTACAACTTTGACAAATCCTCTTAACCTTGATATTGAAGAAGAAAAAATTCCTCAAAGCAAAACTCAGATGTCCCCTTTGCCCCCTCAATCTACGAAACAGAAGCCAGAACTTGAAGTTTTGCTGCCTCCAGGTATGAGCTCTTCAAAGATAACTGATGAAGCAGGAAATTTTGAATCTGTTGACCTAAGCCATGACACTGACATTGATAAGAAACCATCAGAGCAACCTTCTAAAGTATATGAAGACCTGAGCAAAGTAGAGATCCCATTTGAAGAAGCAGTTTCTAATAGTAAAATTGTTCTCATGCCACAGTACAAAGAAAGTAAAACTAAAAAGCTAATAGAAATCTACCCACCTAATCCTGACAACTATTTAGCTATTGGGTATAACCGTGAGCCAGATGATGGGAAAAAGCATTATCGGTACTATATTCATGAAGAGCTTGAGAAAATCCCTATTTTTGAAAAATCAGCTTTTGAAGAGTTCAATATATTACGAGGTGCAAGCCGAGGCGTTGATGAGCTACCTACATTGCATACTACCCACCAAGAAAAAGATGGCCAAAAGTCAACTGTGGAATGTGTAGGGAAATTCAAAGCTTTAATAAGAGTCATTGACTATCCTCCTAACTCGTCCAGCAATAAGAAATTCTTGCTTGTTCGTAGGGTTTTCGCACAAAATTTTCAAATAGTAAATTTTATATGAATAGATAGAAATTTGCTTATTATTGGGGGGCTTTCAAAATCAAAATTTGGGATTTCCCTACCAATAATCAAGAATTTGTTTAATATGGGCTAGTAAGTGGCAACCATTTGGATTTTTAACAGGCTTGATGGGCTCCAAAGATTTTCCTGATGATAACTCTGATTTTGAGTCTATTGCTAGAACCCTGCTTGTGAAAACGCAATGTGTTGTTAGAGTTTATATCATTGATGCCTTTGATCTTGAACAAAAAGACTCTTTCAGCAAGTCTGACCCTTATTTTAAAGTAAAACTAGGAGGAAGATCTATAAATAACAGAGAAGAGCACCAGGAAGACGTCTGCGACCCCAAGTTTTTCAAGTGCCATGACTTTGAGACTACTATTCCTGGACAGTCTCTACTAAAAATTTCTATGTGGGACTATAATAAAGTATTCCCAGACTCAAAAATAGGGACGACTATCATAGATATTGAAGACAGATTTTTCAATAAAAGCTGAAGAGGGCTAAAAGAAGTCCCAGTAGAAACCCGAGCTCTTTATTTGCCAGCTTCTCGGAGACCTCAATTAAATTAAATTAAAAGAGTCTTAAAATCATTCAGATTTGATGCTTCCATACTCTTTCAACGAGGACCCTTGCTTGCCAGGGTAGCATCGGCTACCTGAGCCCTATCAATAGAAATCATCTTCCAGGACTAAGGGACTTGCACTATGACCTTGAGTTAGGAAGACCCATCTGCGGGTGCTATGGAGGTAAATGTTAGCCCAATAGCTCCTTTCGGCCACCTTGAGGTAGGCTGATACCTAGCAAAAAAGTCATGGCGCTCCGGAGCCAGAAGGGAAAAGAACCCATGACCCAAAAAAATTCGAATAACTAATATTTGGACTGTAATTGTGACGGCTGACTCCCAAATCCACCCACCCATACAACAGATATACAACGTGCTTAAGGTTAGAATCAAAAGGCCTGAGCTTGGTTTATGCTATAAAACCATTTTGGCTCCCGCAGTGTGATGCGTCGTAGATAAGATCATATTTTCTCCACCACACAAAATATTTATTGTAAACCTCAAGGATATGTCAGAATGTGGGTAGAAATCCACCACAATACAGTAATCCCTGATCAAGTTGACATAAGTCCTCGCCCGCCAGCCAAATTTGAAGCTAGGCTTATTATATGGCGCTGTGAAGACGTAGAAAACATGGACTTCGAAGGTGTAAGCGACTTATTTGTCCGTGCCTGGGTAAACCAAGAAAAAGACAAAGAAACTGACACCCACTATAGATGTGTCAGAGGAAAAGGGTCGTGGAATTGGCGCATGAAATTCCCAATAAGCCTTCCGCAAGCTGAAAATACAGTCACAATTCAAATTTGGGACAGAGACGTTTTCTCTAGAAACGACTTTATTGCTGAGACTTCTTTTGAGTTCAATGAAATCGCGACGATGGCTTTGGAAGAAAACCAAAGGGTCAAGAAAAAAGGATCATCTGAAAACTGGAAAGAGAGAGTTATGAACACTGAAAATGAAAAATTCTGGGTCACGTGCAAGAAAAGAGACAAAAAAGGAGGCTTTGAGGATGGCGGGAAGGTGCTAATTAGCTTTGAGCTGGTGCCTGAGATGAGGGCACAAGCGTGTCCCGTTGGAGAAGGAAGAGATGATCCTAATATTGACCCAAAGCTGCCACCACCAATAGGAAGATTTGAGTGGTCACTTAATCCTCTGAAAATGATATACAGTTTTAGATAGACGGTAAACATTTACTTTTGATAGCCTTGGCTCGTCAATAGGCAAGGCCCATACTTGGACTTTAAGACTTCTTAACTAAATATAATCATCTTATCTCTTTTATAAGGATCGCTCCTTCATGGCTTAAATATGCATAAAGCTTTAATGCAATTCTTGCAGTAGGATTTTAGTGCTTAAATTTTGGTATCTGTATTGTTCTTATATTTTAGATAGATTGTGGCTATATTTAAAAAAAAATAAATCTTTGTTAACAGTCATTATTCGGTAAACCAAAGTAGTGACAGTGTGCCAAATCTGATCGGCAAATGAAATTAATTTTTCACACGGAAATTAATGATTCCCAGATTCTGATAAATTTAAAGCATTTCTGATAAAATATGGGCATATTTGTTTCTCGCCATTTGAATACTCTCAAGTACAAAAGTATCGAAATAACCTTATTATGTATTATGATAATAGCTTGTGCTATGACCTAGTAGATGCTCGATATAAACGTTCGATATATCGGCTATTATGTTATTTTATGATAATAGCTTGTGCTATGACTTAGTAGATGCTCGATATATACGTTCGATATATCGGCTATTATGTCGTATCAATTAGCTATTTGTTTTGAAACGGCTAAATTAGCAAGTTGGCAAAGTACTGTTAGATGATAATGGCTTCAGCAATCACCTAAATGAATGCTCGATATAGACGTTCGATATATCGGCTATTATGTTTATCAATTAGCTATTAGTTTTGTAACGGCTAAATATGCCAGTCGACAAAGTATTGTTAGATTATAAAGGCTTCTTCCATCACCTAAGTGAATGCTCGATATAGACGTTCGATATATCGGCTATTATGTTTATCAATAGCTATTAGTTTTGAAATGGCTAAATATGCCAGTCGGCAAAGTATTGTTAGATTATAAAGGCTTTTTTTCCATCACCTAAGTGAATGCTCGATATAGGCGTTCGATATATCGGCTATTATGATTATCTATTAGTTAATAGTTTTGTAACGGCTAAATATGCCGGCCGGCAAAGTGCTGCTAGATTATAAAGGCTTTTTTTCTATCACCTAAGTGAATGCTCGATATAGACGTTCGATATATCGGCTATTATGATTATCTATTAGCTAGTAGTTTGTAAACGGCTAAATTAGCCGGTTGGCTAAGTGCTATTAGATTATAATGACTTATGCTATCACCTGAGTAAAATGCTCGGTATAGACGTTCGATAATTTTTAGCCGACCGGCTAATTTAGCCGTTACACAAACTACTAGCTAATAGATCATCATAAAAGCCGATATAACGAACGTCTATATCGAGCATTTACTTAGGTGATTGAAAAAGCCTTTATAATCTAATAGCACTTTGCCGGCCAGCATATTTAGCCGTTTCAAAACTAATAGCTAATAGATAATCATAATAGCCGATATATCGAACGTCTATATCGAGCATTCACTTAGGTGATGGAAAAAGCCTTTATAATCTAACAATACTTTGCCGACTGGCATATTTAGCCGTTACAAAACTACTAGCTGATTGATAAACATAATAGCCGATATATCGAACGTCTATATCGAGCATTCACTTAGGTGATGGAAAAAGCCTTTATAATCTAACAATACTTTGCCGACTGGCATATTTAGCCGTTACAAAACTAATAGCTAATTGATAAACATAATAGCCGATATATCGAACGTCTATATCGAGCATTTAATAAGGTGTACAGGCCATTCGATATATTCGCTGCTATGTTTATCAATTAACTATTAGCTTTGAAACCGCTAAATATTCCATTCGGCAAAGTGCTATTAGATGATAATGGCTTCAGCCATCACCTAAGTGAATGCTCGATATAGACGTTCGATATATCGGCTATTATGTTTATCAATTAGCTAGTAGTTTTGTAACGGCTAAATTAGCCAGTTGGCAAAGTGCTGTTAGATGATAATGGCTTCAGCAATCACCTAAATGAATGCTCGATATAGACGTTCGATATATCGGCTATAATGTTTATCAATTAGCTAGTAGTTTTGTAACGGCTAAATATGCCGGTCGGCAAAGTATTGTTAGATTATAAAGGCTTTTTCCATTACTTAAGTGAACGTTTTATATATTTATTATTATGTTTATCAATTAGCTATTAGTTTTGTAACGGCTAAATTAGCCAGTCGGCTAAACTTACCGAACGTCTATGCCGAGCATATCACTCAGGTGTTAGCATAAGTCATTATAGTCTAATAGCACTTTGGCGACTGGCATATTATTTAGCCGTTTCAAAACTAATAGCTATTGATATAAATATATCGAATGTCCATATCAAACATTTCACTAATAATAAAAGGTGTCAAATGATGACAACAGAAAGAGAAATCGCCTAAATGAGGTGAAAAGATAAACATTACTAAGGATATGGCAGAAGCCTTTATAATTTAACAGCACTTTGCCGACCGGCATGTTTAGCCGTCACAAAACTAATAGCTGATTGATAAACATAATAATAAATATATAAAACGTTCATGTAGATGATGGAAGAAGCCTATATAGTCTAACAATACTTTGTCGACTGGCATATTTAGCCGTTACAAAACTAATAGCTAATTGATAAACATAATAGCCGATATATCGAACGTATATATCGAGCATTCATTTAGGTGGTGGCTGAAGCCATTATCATCTAACAGCACTTTGCCAACTGGCTAATTTAGCCGTTACAAAACTAATAGCTAATAGATAAACATAATAGCCGATATATCGAACGTTTATATCGAGCATCTACTAGGTCATAGCACAAGCTATTATCATAATACATAATAAGGTTATTTCGATACTTTTGTGCTTGAGAGTATTCAAATGGCGAGAAACAAATATGCCCATATTTTATCAGAAATGCTTTAAATTTATCAGAATCTGGGAATCATTAATTTCCGTGTGAAAAATTAATTTCATTTGCCGATCAGATTTGGCACACTGTCACTACTTTGGTTTACCGAATAATGACTGTTAACAAAGATTTATTTTTTTTAAATATAGCCACAATCTATCTAAATATAAGAACAATATACAGATACCAAAATTTAAGCACTAAAATCCTACTGCAAGAATTGCATTAAAGCTTTATGCATATTTAAGCCATGAAGGAGCGATCCTTATAAAAGAGATAAGATGATTATATTTAGTTAAGAAGTCTTAAAGTCCAAGTATGGGCCTTGCCTATTGACAAGCCAAGGCTATCAAAAGTAAATGTTTACCGTCTATCTAAAAATGTATAAGCCAGCTGTGCGGGCCTGAGTTCAAGGCGAAAATTTGTTTGCTAATTTGCTGTGCATTGTGCTGTTTGCTGTTGATATTTGTGTTCCCGATGTTCTTTTCGAGCGTCATGTCAAATTTGATCACTAAATAGCTCAATGTTGGCAGTAATTAAATTATGCTTACCCTATTCCAAATTTTGGTTGCAAGATTTTCTATTAAATTATAATAATCTAATCCAAATAAAATATTTTTAAGTAAAAGTTAAGAGAAATTTCGTAATTTAAATATGATGATTCGTCAACCTTCAAATACTTCTTTTCGAGCCAATTCTACATCAGAACTCCGCAGTTTTGAGCCCTTTGAGCCTGTAACTGAAAAAGTTCTCGTTCAAATAAAAGGTCCAGGCCTGGAAGAAAAATCCTGCTTTTTAGACATCCATATCGCCATGACTCAGGTGCAAAATTCCCATCACCAAGTGCTGAATATCGAAATCACAGACGAGGCTGACCCTTTTTTTCTCTACGCAACAGAAATTGGTGAGCAGGAATTCCATACGATAAAACATGAGCAGCAGCTGCTTATTGACTTTTTGATGTTTCCGCACAACGTACTTGATTTAATAAGAAGAGTGTCAAGGACCTTTGACGAGAACCCAAAATTCAGCTGCTCAATTACACGTGTAAATTCGCATGAAGCGACCTTTTCGATTTCTGAAATCAACTACATGAGAAGTTTAAGCCACATTACACTGAGATTTCGAGGAGCGAATGACGAGCTTATTAAGGCTCATTTGGCCTCAAGGGTGAAAGAGTATAAGGCTTGCAGTGAAGAGCTGCAGGCCAAGCTGAATTCTACTGAAGAGATGCTAGAACTTAAATCTGCGCAGTTTAATGACATTTCTCGACAATTTCAGACGATAAAAATAGAAAATGAAAGAAAATTAGAAGAGAGGAGGCTGGAAGACCAAGAAAAACTGACGACGGTGAGGCAACAGATGCTTGATACTCAATTGAGCATGCAGAACCAGTTCGACTATGAAAGGCGAGTGCTTGAAGAAAAGTATCAGAAGACGATACAGGAATTAAATGAAAAACTGGAGGCACATCAAAACAGACTTAATGAAGTTTTAGGAAATAAAACGTCTCTGGAAGGAACAGAAAGGGAGCTCTCTGCGAGGGTAAATAAGCTAGATCATGAGCTGGAGCTTGCTAGTAATGAGCTGGCTCTGCTTCGGACAAATAATAAAAGCTTAGAAACGACAAAGTTTGACCAGGAAAAAGCGATAACTGAATATAGAATTAAGCTGGAAAACTTGCAAAGGCAGCTGCAAGATAAAGAAGAACTGAACCAAAAACTGCAAAGTTTTATAGAGACTAATAATGAATTTAAGTCCCAGCAAGATGACACTATTGGGCTATTAAAAGCTTCAGTCGCCAAAATGGAAGACAAGCTAGCCCAAAGTGCATCTGAAATAAACAAAGGAAACTCCATCATCCAAAAGCTTCAGAGCGAAATCAAATCAGGCAAGCAAAAGCTGAAACTGAAAAATACCGTTGTAATGCAGCAGGAAAATGTCATTCAGCAGAAGCAAGACCAAATAGACATGCAGGAAAAAGAAATTTTTCAGTTAAGAAGAGATATAGGGAACAAAGAAGACGAGTTAAAGCGAGTTCAAGACGAGAATTTGCAGTTAAAGAAGAAGGTGGAAGAGTCTAAGCAGAACTTAGGAACAATGCAAGAGACATTGAATTGGCTAAATGGAAAAGTCAATGATTTTGAGAGGTCTAAGCTTCCCTACACGTCAACCTATAAGGTTTCTTCAACGCCTGGAGTGTTCAAGCCGTCTGGGTATGATCCAAATTTAGGGACAACTTCTCCATTTAAACCTATTCATTAATATAATCAATAGATATTTTATTAGATATAAATACTTATATAAGGAAAATAGCATACCTACCAAATGGAAACGAATCCAGTGACGACTTCTCCATACAAGCCGTCTTATCAAATTGACTCTTCGACCCCTTCTGCCTTTAAACCAACAGGCTATCAGCTTGAATCTAACACTCCTTCTTCTTTTAAGCCTTCAAGCTACGCTGTTGAGTCATTCCGTACCACAACTCCAAGAGTCCCACTGGGCTCCAATACAGTGATATCAAGCAATATTCTCCCTGACTCTGATGTTTTGCCTAGCTTTAAAGAGCCTATCAAATATAAAGAACCTCGCTAATATTTTAATAATTTAAATTCAGGAAAATTATTTAGCTTTTTTATTTAATGTAATTCATATAGAACAAGTAAGCCCAGCTTCTATTTTTTAATAAGAACTTATTAGTAATAATAGAATATCAATTTAAAAGGATTTTCAGCTGAATGCCGCATAGAAAATCTTGGCTTTTCACCTGGCTGAATTGAGCTTCTAACTGAAGCTTTTGGGTCAGAAGAAACCACGCTATGGTCCATCACATTTTCAGGGTTTAGGATAATAATTTGTGGGAGAAGGGCCTCTATGTTCCGCTTGAAGTCTTTGTTTTTTACAATTTTGTTGCCGATGACGCAGAGAACTCGCAAGCGTTTATTCTGAGCCAAAGCTGCGAAGCATTGGAACTGGTTGATTTTATTGTGAGATAAATCAAGCAGTGCTAAGCACTCGTTCTGAGAAAGCGTCGAGACCTTGGAAATCAAATTGTGGCTTAAATACAGTTCTTTGAGGTTTTTCAAGACTCCAAGGCCCTGGACGTTTTCTATCATATTTCAGCTTAAATCTAGAGACTCCAATGCATTTGTGCTAGGGAAGCTTGGGATTTTGGTGATCCTGTTGTTAGAAAGTTAAGTTAAGTGTTATAAGATCATAAGCGGATAGGCAAGTAGCCTCCATATCCTACGTAAACTAGCTAGCCTAGGGTTATTTCCCTCGGTTAGAGCCACCTCTTGCAGACGCCCCTTAGTCCCGATAAGTAAAGACTAAGTGGGAAGCAAAACCTGTCCTGCCTAAGCCGGGACAGGAAAACCTTCAGGGTAGAAACGAAACTTTATCTCAAACCCGAAGGCCTACTCCAAAAAGTGACAGAGGCACTATTTTCAGCTTCATTGGAACGGGCTCTATTTGCTCCATAGGAGTGCGCCTAGAAATCCATCTTCCTTAAACGCGATTTTATTTCCTGTTAGAAAGGCTTAGAATTATAATAGATGACGTCAACCCATGTCTGAAACTTGTAAGCTTTTTCCCTGATAGGTCTAAAATTCTATTTTGAGGCTCGTCTACGCTGCTTTCGTCCTTTGGTTCAGAAAAGGCTATTGTTTTTTCGTCTTCAATTTTCTGAATTGATTCATGAAAATCAGGCAATTTTAGCGGTGGTCTGGCATTAGGTGGTGTTAAATCATGGCTTATCCTGCTTCCAGATGAGAATTCTCTATTGTGAAAAGACTGTTGGAAGCCAGTGTCACTTCTAAGACCTCTGGGGGTTTGAGGAATCCTCAAGTCTCCCACTCTTGGAGGTCTTTGTTCAGTATCTTCGTATTCAGGGGAAGAATTGCTGAACCTGCTTATGTACACCAGTTCATTTAAGTCAAGGCTTTTAGGGCTTTCTGGCAGAATCTCTTCTTCAAAGGAATTTGTCCTTAGACTCAGAAGTATGGTTTGGTTCATAACGTAATCCCATGACAAGTGCTTTCCGAAATCTGACTCAAAACAGGTGAAAACGTCGTCAAAGCTCATGCATTGGACACTTGTGGACTTTTTGTAGGTTTCTCGGTTTTGTAGAGGCAGACGGAAAATGTTGTCGAGGAGAGTGTTTAGAAATGCTTCAGTTGTGATCGTATTTGCGATGGATTTCACTGAGGCGATGCCTGCGGTAATGTTGTAGATCATGCGAAGATGGTTAAGCCAGTCTATGCGTTCCATCACTTTGTCTTTTTCGTTGCTTATGTTTTCAGACCCACGTGCTCTATCAAGCAAGTTTTCCATTAATATCGCGATTAAAATACTATAAATGAAAGAGGATTTTCGAAAAAAATTAAATGATAACTATAAATTTATTGAAGATGATTTAAAAATTGTTTATTTTAAAATTAAATAGCTGCTAAAAATAGCTGCTGTGGTTCTATAGTTTAAATTTCTATTTTAGAATTTTCTTACTCAAATGATTTTAAAAATGCCAATATTTATAGCATTTAAATAAGAATCAGGCATATTAAATTAAAAGAAACTCCTATTAAAATCTTATACAAGCAAACTTAAGCTAATCGTTATAATATCTGGGCTGATGCAACATTCTAAACTCTTCCTTATCTCTTAACGTGTCATTATCCAGATTATCAACAGATGACTCTTTGGCATCGTCAATATACGTAAAATTCAGCCCAATTTTTATTGGCGAAATATTTGTCTTTGCTTTTTGTTGTTTTACCTCCTTACGATGGGTATGCCTAGCACTTGTAGTCAATGGTCTTGGCTTTGGAAGTGACCCTTTTGGCCTCCTTGGAAAAGGAGGTCCACCAAAATCCACAGCGAGGAGATCAAGATCTTTAAGTTCATGCCTCCCTTTGTCATTTCTAATGCGCCCATTAGAAGTTCTCAATACTTTTCTGATTTTTTCAAATGATAATTTGGCGTTTATGTCGATATTTTCTTTTCTACGCGAAATAGTAGGAATCAAAACGTCGTCAAGCTTGGATTTCAAGACTTTTATGAACATCCGGTTGTGGACTGGCCACAGGTGGGTGTTAACATGGGTGAAATTTGGAGATTTTTTAGGTGTAAAGGTATATGATTTTTGATGGCTTTTATTATATTTAGTTTCAAGCTCTCTTGCATATTTGTTGTTAATGATTGTGTCCCTGTGCTTGAGTAGCGTGGCTTTGTAGATAGAATCAATGTCTTCACTTTGATTTTTTCGGGGTTTCATAGAATTAACAATTATTAAGTAATTATAGTAATCATGAAATAATTTAAATGATTATTTGGTAGAGAATTTTAAAAAATGCAAAAAAGTTCATTATTTAATAAATAATGGATTTAGTGGTAATAAATAATATTATAGGCTTTTAAATAATATAATCCAATCTTGCATATGTTTTGACCTTACAGCATGCGATCTTACTCTAATTGTATTGCTTATTTACAGACATTTTTATAAAAAAATAAGGCCATTAATACTTGCCCTAATAAGTATACCACATATTATTTTCATAAATTTTTAATTATACTTACATCAGATTTTCCCAATAAATAATCCCAGCTAATTCTAACAGCAAAACCAGTCAACTAATAATATACACCCATTTTATTTATTTCATATTATTTCCAAAATTCTGATCGTTATAATTTTCATATTGCAAAATCCATAAAATGAATGAAGTACCAACCACTATCAGATTCTTAGAACGCAATAAAGGCAAAGTCCTTACTTGCTACATTTTATACACAATTGCAAAAATAGCAGCTGTCGTGATCTCTCTAGCCGCAACAGGCACGACTGCCAAAAATGGCATTGATTTATTTTTAATTATTTACCTAGCGGTAGATGGCTATGAACTTCTATTCTTTTTGGTGCTAGGGATTTTTTATTACTGTGGAAACGTTCCTATCTCGTTTTCAATGACCAGAGGGATTCAGGTGATTTTAGAAGTGTAATTTAAATGCAGGGTACGTTTATCGTTGGTCACAATTATGCTTGTAGGAATTTCAAGGAATTTAGAACTGCTAGATAGCGCTGCTGGGGTTGTGGGGTTTATTTTAGTCAATATTGAGTACACCAAAGCTGTATGTTTTGTGGCTTATATTGCTGCTAATTTTAAAAAAATCAGAAGAATTTATATGCAAAATTTAGGACTAGAGTCAAGCAGAATTGAAGCCCAAGAAAAATTGGAGCCTCATGCGAAAATATTGGAAAAAGAAGGTTCATGCGCTATATGCCTAGAGCCTATTCGAGTAAATTCTGTCTGTATTATTTTGCCATGCGACCACGCATACCACCATATTTGTTTGAAAAATTGAGTAGTCATCAGATGCATTTGTCCAATGTGTAGAACTATTATTTAAATTTATACTCTCATGATAAGCATAAGCTTATGCCCTTAAATAATCGGTTAATTTTTGAATATTTTTAATAAATTTTAAGGTTATTTTCCATTGACAAAAAGGTAATTAATTTTCTTTGTAGAATAATTATTATGGTTTAAGTTAATAGACCAAGAGTTTACATTTGTCTTAATCCCCACTCTGTGAGCGAACAAAATTTTTTTATTCGCTATGGGGGCTAATTTTTTTTTATATAAATAATTTATAAATTTTTTAATAATTTTTTTTTTCATAAAATAAAATAAAATTGAGAAGTAAAAATTAATTTAATTTGTAAAATTTATATTATAAATTGCATTCTGTTTAAAATTAAACAGATTTACCTCGAGATTTCATTTAATAATTATCACTTATATATCAAAATAAATTTTCCTTAAAAATTTTTATATTTAAAAAGCATTTTTGTTTGCTAATAGGAGGGTAGGTTTTAGGCCAAAAAATAGGGAATATTCAAATAGTTTTGCTCACTTATAGAGGGGGAATTAGAAATCGTGAAAAAGCTCATTTACACTGCAAGAAGCCGGTTGAAAGAAATTGGGGTCATCAGGATAGTTTGCGAAAGAAGATGTGTCATTCGGCCCTGTTAAGCTCGGCATTCAAGGTGCGCTAATTTCTTTTCTAAATACCATCATAAAATCGACACCTCTGAACCATTTCATAGCTTTTATTTCTTCACTTCCCCCAGTCCCTAGTCTTTCAGCTTGGTTTAGGCATAAAAGTCTGGAAATTAATTCAGCGGCGTTATTTGAAACAATTTCAGGCATCTCGAATTCCCCTTTGACTATTTTCTTATATATCTTATAAGGATTTGGGTCAAAAAATGGTGGATTCCCTACAAGCATTTCATATATTAAAATCCCAAAAGCCCACCAATCCACCGGTTTTCTGTGTCCTTCAGATTTGATAACTTCGGGGGATAGATATTCTGGTGTTCCACACAAGGTGAAGCTCCTTTCACCTTGAGAAATTATTTTGCAGAAGCCAAAATCAGCAATTTTCACATGTCCTTGGTGGTCGATAAGGATATTTTCTGGTTTGAGGTCCCGATATACGATATCTAGTGAGTGCATATAAGAAATAGCTAATATTCTTTCCTGTATGAATTATTTTAATTTTAATATAAAATGCCTGGGACTATTATGATTTAAAATAATATAAAATTTCTGTAGCATAAAATAACGCAACATCATTAGGAAAATGATGAAAAAGTCTTAACCTTGTGAACAATTCCCCTCCTGGTATATATTCGAGCACTAAGTAGAGACACGAGGAGTCTTGGAAGGAATTAAAGCTGTGTAATAGTTACAGCTTGATTATGAAGGGATGGTCCATGGTCGATAAAACTCGTTTTTCAGTTTTCGCGTGTTCCACTTGTTTGAGTTTCACTATAATTTCTTTGTTAATCATTTTAAGTGCATAATGAGTACTATTGCGCTGGTTTTTTGAACGAACTAATGCTACACGTGCAAAAGTGCCAGTACCTAGATAGGGGATACCAATAGTTCGAATTACCTCGAGATCTCTCAAGCGCATAGGCAACATTATTTTGTTCCTAATAATGGTAACTTATATTTAAAGATAAATAAATCAATTATATACAAATTTACTTGTTAAGTTTACCTAGAGGCACTTTGTCCATTGAGAGAAGCTCTCTTAGGCGTTCTTTTCTGTATTCATTATTCTTCTTATCCTTTAGGCTATAAAAGTTTCTATTTTTATATTTTTTTTTAACATACGGCTTTTTATAATTTTTTTTGGGATGAGAATTAGCATCTTTCCTCCGATTTAAGGCAGTTTGATAAGGGGAAATTGGCTTAGACTGAGGTCGTAGCGGCTGATCAGGGAAGATATTGTTTCTTGTAGATTCATAAGCTTGCTGCTGAGGAGGCTGAGGCTGAAAAGTGGGAGATTGGATATTAAGTGGCTGTTTCGTATACATTGATTTGAAAACTTCTCCAGTGTTATCTGGCTGAGGCTGATATTCTATTATACGTTTCGGCGGAGACATCGCTGCAGGCTGAAAAGTAGGTTTTGCTTGAAAAGCAGGACTCTCAGAAAAAGGCAATTTCACAGCAGCTTTTGAAACTGGCTGTGCCTCTATCGCTGAAATCTGCTTAAACTTTGGCTGCGCCGGCTCTATTTGTGTCACATCTTTTGGAATTATCTCGAACTCTTGAGCTAAACTCAAAATATCTGTGCTCGGCTTCAGATTTATCCTATTTTTCGGATTTTTTGACAAGAAATATTGCATTGAAATAGGTTCTGAGTCGTCTTCAAAAAATAATCGATGATACCTCTGGTAAAATTCGTTTGACATTTCTTTAAAATTATTAATAAGCCAATTTAAGAAACCTCATTATAGGTTACCCATTTAAGAGTTAGTATTAGGCTCCAACCATCTTTCCGTATGAAGAGTGTTGATCCTGAAGTTGGTTGTATCAACTTCGGCAGCCAATTTTTCCCTTCTTTTGGGAAATTTGATCAAAATTTAAAGATCAAATGCCTGACTATCAAAAATTTTTCTGAAAATGCTAATAAGCATTTTTAAAAATGAAAAACGAGTTATGAGTAACCAACTTCGAACCCCTTTAGCACAGCCTCCAAAATTTCTGGGCTATGGACTTGTCCATCCTTGCAGAGGACCAGAACATGGTCCTGCATATTTCTCCCCACATCTACAAAGTTGTCAACCTGAATATGGGTTTCTGCCTTGAGCTGCTTATTTTCATCTAAAATATTAGCTTTTAAGCCTTTTTCAGGCTCCAGTCTTTTTTTATCTTCAGTCAGCAGGTTGATTTCGTCAATAAAAATCCATGATTTCCACCTGTAGCCTGTCACATTTGAGTGCTCAACTTTTAGGACCTTTCCACCTCTCAGCAGCCAAAGCCTGCTAATGCAGTATCTGAGGTTAAACACGTATTCTACTTGAGGATACCAGCACCAAAGGCCAGCGAGCAGGAATAGGTCGTTTTGCAGCCAGAGCAGGCCAAAAGGATTTGCAAAGTACATGTAGAGGAAAGAAGGCATTGACCAGGACCACACGGAGTAAGGGTAAGGAGTAAGGACGTCTTTGAGGCGGAATGGCTCGGCTTCGTAGAGGAGGAGTTCACCGGTTCTGTTGAACTCGATCTGTTCTTTTGGCTTAAATACTGTAGTGTCTTGGACTAAGGCCTTGCGCTCTCCTAACATGAATTTTTGGAACTCCTCTTGACTTGGGTTGCCGATGTATTGATAATGCTCTTCGTAATATGGGCTAACTGTGCTGAACCGACGTAGCGATGAGGCTACTACGCTGCGTAACATTTTATATTAGCCAATAATGATTAGAAAGATTTAGAATATCTGTAAGAGAAAAGGGAGCAGTGATATAGAAAGAAGCAGCATGGATAGAGAGAAATTTTGGGAATTTTTAAGAAGATTTAGCTAATTTAAATTAATAATGAAGAGAAGATATGAAATATTCAGGTAATCATAGAGAAATGTACAATGAGTCTATTTCTATATTAATTTTGTGGAAAAAGTATGATTTTTAAATAAAAAGAAATTATTTTTGTATTTATTTTGTTTGGGTCTTTAATTACTAATTTTCTCAGAATGATAGCAATTAACTTCTTCCTTTTGTCAGTTCTTTTGAAAATCTCTTATAAAATGGTGAAGAAAAGTTTTCTTTTCCTTTCAATCCTCGCAATTTCGTTTGCGCAACAAAAATTCACAACTTCAGGTGTTGGGGCAGGTGGGAATATGGCGATACAGCTAGATGTCGCTTACTCTTCAGTTGTAACAGGTGTAGGTGCTTTTGCAGCGGCCCCTTATTACTGTGCACAAGGATCTGAAGTCACGAGCAAAACAGCTTGTATGCTTTCTTCATATCTGATCAATGTAGACGCTTTGGTTCAATATACCAAAGATATGGCTTCATTAGACAACATTGATGATGTCCATAATATAGCACAAGATAACATTTGGCTTTTCTCTGGATCACTTGATACTGAAGTCCATCAAGATACAGTTATTCTTAGGCTATATAAATAATTTACTGTATAAATAAGGAATTCATGGTATTTTATATAAATTGTGGACCATATGTAATAAAATTGTTGTAAATTTATTAGAGAAAGGGTAAAAAGACCCAGCAATATTTTTCAAATTTCGTGAATGCCTACAAAATAAACTCCACCTTTGACGTCGCAGCTGAAAATTCGTGGGTTACTAATGGATATGGAAATCCTTGCTGGTATCTTGGAGCTCCTTATTTAAGCAACTGCCAATATGATGCAGCAGGATACATCCTTAAGCAGCTTTATGGGACTTTAAATGCTCCTGTGACCATGAACTTTTCTAATTTTTATACATTTGATCAGTCAGAATTTGTATCAAGCTTTGACAGCGGAATGGTCACATATGGCTGGATTTATCAGCCTTGGAGCTGCTTATATAACCCCAACTGCAAGGTCCATGTTGCTCTGCATGGCTGTGACATGAACTATGGCGCTATTGGAAACGCATTTGTTAGAAATTCTGGATTAAATACTTGGGCAGAGTCTAACAGCATTGTAATTATTTATCCTCAAGTACTTGCACAGCAGGTGGTTAATCCAGCAGGGTGTTGGGATTGGTGGGGATATACAGGGGCTGACTATGCTTGGAAATCTGGCCCTCAAATGTTAACTTAATTTAAATTTATTAAAGTCTTCTAGATTTGATGACTCTTCACACTTTGGCTAACGCCACTTTCTCACTTACTCCCCCCCTCCGTGAGTGAACAAAAAATTTTGTTCACTCATGGAGGGGATTAATTTTTTTTTAAAAATTTAAATATAAATTTTATATAAACAAAATTTTTCGAAATTTTAAAAAAATTCTAATTTGCAAAAAATGGGAAGCAAATATTAATTTAATTTATAAAGTTTATGTTTTTTAAAACGCAATTTGTTTGTTTAGACATTAAACAAAATTAGCTCGAGATTTCATTATACTAATTATCACTTATATATCAATTTTTTTTATTAAAAAAATTTTTGTTCACTGATTGAGGGTGAGTTTTTGACAAAAAATAGGGATTTTTCTAATGGTTTTATTTCACTCACGGAGGGGGGGAGTAAGAGAAAACTATACCTTTATTTGGAGCAGTGGTCTTCTCTATGGACAGAGCGTGCAATGCGATCCCAAGAGCATCAATGCGTTAGAAAAACCCCTTCATCATTTCGCCATCAGTTGCAGAGGCACCGGTAGGCCTGATAACTTTTGTCTATAATCCACGAGGATTGGATACACCCAGGTAAAAGAGGCCATGCCTCTGGAGCTCGGAGCAAAAAGCCATGGTCCAAAATTAGCCGGATAATTGATACTTTATCATGAATCCTCCACTTGCTTTGAGCCAAGCCGTCAAGGACATAAATAGCTACCATATTAATTATCCTCAAATGTTAGGGATTTATAATATTACGCAAAACATTGATCTCATCACTTCTCATTACAGGCCTAACCTTTCAGCTAAAATAAATAAAACTGGGAATTAATTGGGCATATAAATTAATTAAATGGAAACATATAGGGCTGGATCGTGGGATATAGAGGTTTTTCATGGAAATTATATGAAAACAGATGAGCTAAGCGCGTTGGGTGCAAGGTTAGGCATTAAGATCCCTGATATTGTAACGAAAAGTTATGTGTGTTTTAAGAATTCTGAAAGCAAGGTTGCTTATAGAATTGACCCAGAAGGCGCTTTGAACATGTGCAGCTTGAGCTTAAGAATGCAAAAGCTGCAAACTGAAGGAGAGCTTTACTATGATCATATTAACGTAATTCCAGAGCCAGTTAGGGTCCATCATTCAGGATCTTGGGCAAATAAAACTTTGCCAAAAGACTCCCTTTTTAATGAAGCTGATTCTCTATATCTTTTCATTATAAATTCGGAGAATTAAGCTTTTATATGGAAATCAGAAGCGAATAATAAATAATTTAGTTTTTGAGTTATAATTTATCAATGCTATTAGAATTTTTTGGTATTTTTATTTTTTATCAGGGAATTTTTTCTTAAATCACAATTTGGGAAAAATATTATGATAATTTATAGAATAAAGAATACAAATCCAAGCAAAAGAATTTGATCCAGGGTGCGATTGAACATATTCTTCACCTTATAAAGGCGAACTATTACAAATTGACTTGTCTCCTCAAATTGATCTAAAGTTTAGAGAAACCAATGAAAATATCCCTTTAGAAATGCTAGGAGTTGATAACCCAATCCTATGAAGCACAGACATTTTGCTCTATGAGGACGAGCTAAACGACAACGGACACTCCCGCTTCAATTTCAGAATTCGTTGCATGGAAGACTGCTTTTTCGCACTCATAAGGTCTTATCTCCGAGTAGATCATGTAATAGTCAGAATCATAGATACTCAAATTTTTCACAAATTCTCAGAAAGGAAGATCTTAAGAGAATTTCAGCTAAAAGAAGCTGATTTTGATGCGCTTCGGTCCAGTGGCTTCGATATTTCTCCACAGTGACTAATTGATCCTTATCAAAGCGATATAGTCTATCCCAATTTCTTTAATTACCCTTTTTTCATATTTAACTCATATAAAATCTATTTCAATGATATTTTTATATCAATTTTTGCCACTAAAATTTAGCTTTAAGGACTACTTAGAATATTAATATTTAAATGTTTGCTAAAAGTAACTGAAAATGCTTCCAGCTAAAAGATCAAAGCATTTATTATGGAGAAGTCGGCTACATAAAGCCATCAGGAGATATTGCACTAGAAGAAAATTTAACACCTGAAGAGAAAGCCACGCTTAGAAAAGTAAGGCATGGCTTTGGGATTCAGCTATTCATGACGAATGCTTCAGAGGTTTTATGCAAATATGAAGGGGAATGGAAAAATGATAAGAGAACTGGCCAAGGACTGTGCATTTTTCCTAACGGAGACTTATATCAAGGCAAAATGCACAATGATAAACGCCACGGACAAGGAACTTATCAATGGAAAGATGGGAGAAAATATGAAGGAGAATGGAAACAAGACCGCATGGAAGGCTCTGGGAGTTTTTCTCATAGTAATGGGTTCAAGCTGCAAGGACTTTTCAACGCCAATTATTATCTGCACAAAGATCTCGCCGTAAATCCTTTTTTAGAAGAAGAGCAACTCCAAGAAGAAATCAAGCTCCAAGAATCTCACAAGAAAAAGACCATAAAAAGGCTTGACCTCCAAAAAACTGAAGTCAAGCTCCACAGAATTCCCAACCTACAAAAACTCGGCGAGGCCTTAGCTAAAGTCGACTCCTCTGGCAGAATTGGGATAATTCTAACGACCCAACAGTCCTTCCTGAAAAAAAGCGAAATTTTTGACGCTTTGCGAAGGCTCAACAAGCAAGTTTTTGAGCTTGATCTCAAAGGCTTAGCCCAGATGAAAAAAGAAGAAGGAAAAGAAAGCGTCAGATCAGCAGTCCGAGGAGTTGTAGCTGACGCATTAACCAGCGGAGGAATTTTGCTGCTAAATTTAGACGATACGACTTCAAATTATAACGAACTGTATTATCCTGACATCCAGGAGTTTTATCACAGCACATCTTTTCCTCCTTATTTGTTTAGACCTAATGAGTTTAAAGAAAAAGAAGAAATTTGGAACGCGTTTTGTGATGGACAAGAAATGGGACTTGACAAAAGCTACCAGTTTTTGCTATGGAGTAAGGTAAAGCTGGAAGACAGCTTGGACGACCAAGATATCCTGGTGAAGTTTGAGAAAAGGTTTTCCAAGATTTTGCAGCTGGACAGGATTGATTTGATTTTAAGTCATAATGATATTGAAGAAGAGGAGCAGGATAGCTAATTTAAAGATTTCAATAATAGGTAAGTTAAGTTGAACATGAGAATTTGTGACTGTTGTATAGAAAACTAGCTATGGGCAGTATAATAAGCAAACATTATCCATCACAAGGATTCCTAATAAATAATAATGGCGACAGAAAGTTTAGTGGTATCAGCAAGTCATCAATTTGAGTCAGCTATCTTCAATGCACCAGTTGATAATGTCTGGACTCACATTCGTAGCTTAGCTTTCCATACTCTTTGCCCATCCTGGGTGTCCAATGTAGCTTGGCATGAAGGTGAAGCTGGAAAAGTTGGAGCCACAGTGCAAATGACCTATACAGATGGCTCTCATTGGACAGTCAACATTCTAGAAATTAGCGACATTAAGAGAACAATTGTTTACGAACTTATCACTGCTGACCCTGCCGCTCACTCTTACTCTTACGTGAACACAATTCGCCTTTTCAAAGAAACATTGACTAATAAAACTTTTCTTACCTGGGAAACCGACTTTTCAAACGACGCGACCGCCAACACCATCATGGACTGCAAATATAAGAAGCTTGAAGCTCTCCATGCTATGGCTACTACTTTAGCTAATTAAAAAATTAGTAATTAACACCCTTGTCAAATGGATCTAATAATGCCCCAGAATCATTCAGCCTAATGAGAAGAGCTGCTTGTTGTCTCGGTGTTAGCATCGTTGCAATGGTATCAATTATGCTTTGGAGGTGCCCAGTCCTCCTGAGTAAGCATTTTTGAATTCTTTTTAGATTTTTTAAGCAGCTGTCGTAAGCTTCTTTTGGGCAAGCGTGAAAACTTTCTATCTGATAAATTATTTCCTATAAAAGTAATAGTATTTTATTTAAAATTTCTAAAATCATATTCGAAAAAAATTCATTAGTTTTTTATATTGCCAGATTCTTTTTTTGCTTCAATGGCTTGCAAGTGGGCTTCTGCGTTTTGCAGCTGCTCTGGGGTTATAGAAGGGGAAATCATTAAAATAATACCTCTGTTTGAGACAACATTGAGTAAGCTTTTTACTCCCTTCCCCTCCGTGAGCGAACAAAACATTGGGAAAAAAGCCTCTGTGCAACATTAAATTGTTTACAAAATATTTTGATACATAAGTAATAATTATTATAATGAAATCTCTAAATAATTTGTTAAATTTTAAGCAGTTTGCATTTAAAACATATATTTTACAAATTAAGTTAATCTTTCTTAACATTTTTTCGGACTGGGATCCTTTAAATTAAAATTTTAAAAGAAATCCCCTTAAGCAAGTGAAATTTTTTTGATGCTCAGAGGGGGAAGTTAGCAGTTCTGGTACGAATATGCTGGATATTTGCCGCATAACGTATTCTATGTACCCTTGACGCTCTACACCATCAACGCCCATTTTGATGCGGAGTGTGTCTATCGTTTCTTGGATTTGTTCATCATGTCCTTCAGTTTCTAAAAGCGTTTTTAGCTGGGCAAACCTCATCTGTCTCTCAGATCTTAATTGCTCTGAAACCTCATCACTTATTTTGTCATCATCGCGTGCTTCTTGCCTTAAGCTTTCCACCTCTTCAGTTAGGCTTGCGACCCTTGATTCCAAGTACTGTAGATTTTGCTTTTTCCTGTTTCTCGTGTTTCTGGCAGAAAGTCTATTTTTTGCCAGCCTTCTCAGTCTCTTGGCGTCTGGAATTGGTTTGTGAGTTTCTATTTCTTTTTCTTTCCGAGGTGCTATGAAGTTGTGGTTCGCATCAAAGAAAGGCTCTTGCACATTGAGAAACGAAAGAAAAATGTCATCGCCTAAAACATGGGAGTCTAAATTTCACTCCATTTTACATTTATTCGACACACTTTATAGTAAATTATCTCCTGGGTTTTGTAAGATATTTCTTATTCCCCCTACTTGATAGCAACAATTCTTAAAATATTTTTTTAAAAATTTATTAGATTTTTAGTCTATTCAATAAAAAAAATATTTTAAATAATTTATTTTAACAAAAAGTGTTTTATTATTAAATAGGAGGTAGAGTATATATGGAAAATGCTTATTTGAGTATTAAAAATGATTATTAGCAAGCTTAAAATCTGTCTCATTGGATATTAAATGCTTGATTTTACTTTTTACTAATTTATATTTTTTTATTTATTTTTTCTTGGAAACTGAATTTCAGTTTCTGCTATCCAGTTCAACGATTTTTGCTGTCATTAATGGTTTCTATTTAGCTACTTTTAAATGGCTTATGAGTCTTCAAAATGTCCATTTCCTAATTTCAATAATATTTAGCTGCCTACTCAATGTCAGACCAGCTTCCCAAAAAACGCAGCAAGCGCGGACGTCCTCCAAAGCTTCCAGAGAAAAAATCAAAACCAGACTCAGATCTTAGTGAGCTCTCTAAATCCCAAAATCCCACCACAAAGCAAGAAAAAGCAATAGAAAAACCAAAACATCAAAGTGATTTGCTAGAAGTTTACAATAATTTGCGAGCTTCCTTCTTAAATACTGGGGTTTCTCAGCAGAGCCAACTTCTAATTCGAAGGATTTCCAGCAATCTGTCATCGTCTGGTGAAATCAGTTCCCAGCTTTTATTCAGGATTTTAAACGAAGTCCTCCAAGAATTGACATTAAACGAGCTCGAAGTCGTGTCTTGAGCCATTGCGCTTGACCGGTACAACTGAAAAGAAAACACTATGCCTATCCAAAACCTGCTGCTAAATGTAGCTTTTGCGGTTAAAAATCAATTAAACGAAGACATCGCGCCTTATAAAGCTTATTTATCGTCAAAATCAGCAGATTATATGGATGAATATAGCTCTTGGGCTGAAACAATCAAGCCTCTGATGAGCATCAATGCCAAAGATATCAATAATAAATTCAAAGAACTTGGAAAACTGGTGGGAGTGCCTGGGGATTCCAAAATACAGGACTATAATTATTACGTGGATGAAATTCTGCAGATTTCGCAGCCAGCTATACAAGATGTGAAGGATGAAAGTTTATTGAGCGTCAAGAAATATGAATCAAGCGGGCTGAGGAAGGCTTCTGATTTCGACTTCGAATCAAGCACAAACAATAATCATGCAGTTTTACCCAAAGTGGAAGTAATGCCGACCAATTTTTTGGAGGGATGGGATAAGGCTGATCCAAGCTTCCATTCTCCAGCTATAGTATCTTGCTCCCCCTCCGTGATAGAAAAAAAAGCCATTGGAAAAATCTCTAATTTTGGGTAAAAGCACCCATCCTCCGTAAGGGAAAAAAAATTAATAGAAAAATTTTGATATTAGTGATAATTATTATATTGAATTATATTTAATTTTAAACAGTTTGCATTTTAAAAACATAAAGAAATTAATATTTAAAAATCTTTGAGAATTGGGGTTTTTTAATTTCAAAAAAATTACTATAAAATATATAAACAAAATTAACCCTTTGTGAGCGAGCATATTTTTGTTCCCTCACAGAGGAGGAGCTAGCTATTTTTTTCTGTAGTTACAAGTTAATATAGCAATTTTACATCAAAATTAATGCGAATATATGAAAAAAATAGCAAAGAGAGTAGTAAATCTTAATATCAATTAAATTATTTTGATAAAATACCGTATTTATTGAGGAAAAATTTTGAAGATATAAGCGCAAGTGTAGTGTAGTGGTTATCACATCTGCCTCACACGCAGAAGGTCGTGGGTTCAATCCCCACCACTTGTACTTTTTAATAAATTTTTTCTTAAAAAAGTCTTATTTAATTTTATATTAAAAGCATTTTCTATAAACTACCAGCGCGCCTTGATCCAAATACTCCGCTTTTGTAATAAACATCGGCTTAAACGATGGCAAATGTGATAAAATCGACCCTCCAAGCCAAGCTGAATACCCTCTCTCAGGTGGCGCAGCTACCTCAATATTAATTGTGCTTGGTGCAAGCGCTTTTACGTCCTTCTGCAACCTCTCCTTAAGCCTCTTCAGCATACAATTTCCTCCTGCTAATAAAATGTTTTCATATAGCTCTTTCCTAATATTCGCGTCACAATTAGAAACTGCCTTAAAAACAGTATCTGCAATCCCTGCTGAGTCTTTTCCTATCATTCCAGGCTGGAACATAGCTTCTGGTATAATGAACTTTTCCCTCCCAATAATCATCACTGAGTTATCAGGCAAATGGTATTCTTCCCTTTCCCCTCCATTTTCAGCTGCATTTTTCAAAAGAGTGTCAAAATCATATGCGACCATGCAGTGCTTTTCTTTTATATCCACTACAAGTTTTTGGTATGTCAAAGATGTGAAATCGTGGGTCTGGTTATACTCAATATAATGCTTGAGCAAATAATCTGTAAGATCTCTCCCTGCCACATTAAGCCTTAATATTCCATGAGGCAAAGCGAAACCTTCATAAACAGGGACAGCATGGGTTCTTCCTTCTCCTGAGTCTACAACTAATCCTGTAGTGCGGCCTGAGGCAAATAAGGAAAGCACAGATGTGGTGTACATATAAAGAGAAGGGCATTCAAAGGTCTCGAACATGACTTCAGCCATTTTTTCACGTGAAGAACGAGGTGTGAGAGGAGTGTCTGCGAAAAATAAGGGATTTTCCTTGGAGGATACATTAAGTTCTTGGAAGATTTGGCTCCAGATTTTTGCCATGTCGTCCCAGTTCTCTATGTAGCCGTTTTTGATAGGATCTGACATATTGAGGAACTCGACTTTTTCGACTGCTTCAGTTCCGATGTAATGATCTTTTTGGTCCATTCCGACCATAATTCCTGGATATTTGGGAACACCGATTAAAGTGGGCTGAATAACACGAGGGCAGTCTTCGTCTGCAAGTCCTGCTTTGATAAAGCCAGTCCCGTTGTCGATAACTACTGGCTTAGGAGAGTTGCTGTCCATGGTAAAATTATAACTGAATGAGAAATTGAAAAATGGAAAGGATTTATTTAGCAAAATTTTACGCAAAACTATAATAATTAGAGCCCTAATAGGTAATGGCTTCATTGGAAAGCTTAAGAACTCAATCAAATGGCTCGTGATGTCGCCCACAGGACGAATAAGAGATGGGCAAATGCCTAATCTCTGTGGCGTTGGGGATGTGCAATAAACTATGTATAATTATAGTTAAGTCATAATAAGAGATATATAAATGATGTTGTATTTATTTATAATATAAAATTATGAATTTTTGCTATATTTTTAACAAAATTAATTAAATTGCTCTAGCTTCATGTTTGGGCCCTCTCCATTAGTAAGCTTCAGTAATCTTGACTATAAAAAGCAGCAAGCCAGTTTAATCCGTGAAACCAAGCTCCGGCTACTCAGCGAAAGGAAGCTTAGGGAAAAATCTGACAGAGAAGAAGAAATCAAAGGGTTGCTCCGTTACCAAAATGCCGAAATTGAGTACCTTAAAGAATTAGCCAAGCGAAAGCAAAAAAATAAGAAATCATTAACCCCTGACCCTACAAATTCTAAGCCTAAAATGAGAGAAATTGAATACAGAGATATTGGGATCCAGAATGGGATAGACAATGCAATTGACGTTGACTTGACAAATGTTCATAAACTATTAAAAAAGCCAAACGCTGAAATGAAAGATGGAGAAACACAAGCTGGGAGTGGAGAGCATTATAAACAAGGCTCAAGATCTACATATTTTTCACATGACTGAAGAAAAAAGAGAAAATTGTCTCCGCCTATGCTCCTTAAAGAAGGAGGAATAGTAGTGCATTTAGTCGGAGAGCCTCCACCGATACAAAATCCGGTTATCACAATAAAGCATATAAAAAAAAGATCGACAACAAGTCCGATACGATCAATTTCTCCATTAGGAATTGACCCAAAATCTAGTTTTGAAGCTAAATCTATATCGATTAGGCATGAGAACTCTTGGCACGAAACTTGCGATTCTACACACATAAGTAAAAGAAGCTCTATAGGGTATCAAGGACTAACCCCTAAATTAACCCCAGACCGGTTTTTATTCAGGGATATGACGCCTAACAGAAGGAACCGTAAACGAGAATATGCTAAAATTGATAAGATGAAAGACTATCACGAAGGCGTTGTAAAGCCTAGCCACAAGCCGAAAATGGATATGAAAAAATTTATAGAGGTTGAAGCGAAAAAGCAAATAGGCACTTTATCTATGCAGCTGAATAAATTTAGAAGAATTAAACTGTCAGATTTAATGTAAATAAAAAAATTTGCTAACATCATTAAAGATTCAAGATAAAAATAATTAAAAATATTGCTGCTATATAACCAAGAGCAAGAGTGCATTGATTTTTGTTAAAGCTTTCTAAAGCTATTAATCTGTGTGCATTTTCATAAATTCCTTTGGCTTTTTGATATTTACTTTTAAATAATAAAATGGAGTCGTCAAGATAATTCCTCTCCGAGGTTTATAGGGTTCAGTTTTCCCAGTGAGACCTTATCCAGCTATATAAGGTAAGCAACTGGAGGGGCTCACAGCCTCCTGGCCTGATCCTTGGATGTTTGGCGCGCACTGGGTTTTACTGCTTGACACTCCCGAGGAAGGAGACCCACAGGCGGCACAACGCGCAGGAGTCAAGTTTTGAGCAAGGCAACGCAGCCTGTGAGATCTGGCAGCTAACTGGCTGTCACTTGCTTAGGATAGTCCGACAAACCGATAAAAATGGTGATGACGGAAATGCCCTGTGATGCCACAAATTTGTGTCTACTGGGGTGAGCCATTGTGAAATTACTAAATCACCCTGCAGAATCAAAGAAGCACGCTAAATACTCTAAGTAATGCTAATTTTAATGGTATTTATTTATTAAATCTATCCTTTCTTTATATCTTTGACTCTTTAATTTTTCCATTTCAGTCTTTTCTAAAAAATCGATATTTTTCATGCCAATTTTATGTTTAGCTTTCATCTCATCTAATTTAATTTTAATTTCTTCTTCCCTGATCATTTTTCAGTTTCTTTTCTCTTCATTTTCAAACTCAATTAAATACAGTTTTATGATATCTGCCATTTCATATTCTTTATTTCTGGCCATTTCATTTTGAATATTTTTTAAAGTTGTTAATTCCGCAGAAAAAATGGGCATAATTTGTATAGATTTTTCTAGTTGCTCTTTGGCTGATTGGAGCTCTTTTTCGAAATCTGATTTGGCTTTATCTCTTGCGTCTTTGAATTTTTTATAATTCTCTGAAATTAATTCATTTCAACGATCTCTAAATAAAGCGTATTCTGATTTAAAATCAACTATCATTTCATAATGATTTATTTCTTGTTGCTCTATTAACGTTTCCTCATGCTTTCTATTTTCTTCTTTTATTCGCTCTAATATAGCTTTATGTGTTTTTCAAGCCTCTATATAATTTTCGTTTTGTTCATTTGCATTTCTTATTGCTTCAAGTTCTTTTATGCTTTTTTTTGGAATTTCTGATGAGTATTTATCATTTAGTATTGCTGAATTTTCCATATCCATTAAACTATATATTATTTTTCTTATAGAAAAAGGTAATAATTTTTAATTGGTCTGCTAAGTTTAGAAAAAGAAAAATTATAAATAAAGCTTACTGCTCGGGAAGTATTGGCATTTATAATAAGAAGTTTGCCTAATTCATTTTTTATCAGCACCAGCTTGTTTCAGCCAAATAATTAAAGTATTTGTCCATAGAAAAATACTGTATATTGATTTGGAGCTAATGTAAAATATAAGCTTTATTTAATATAGTATATTTCCAATCACTAATTAATCAATATCCTTATCAGTAATTATGGCAGTATAATTAAATTTCAATTTAAAAGGATTTAATTTATAATCTACCTAATAAGCAACTTCATTCCAAGGCTTAGTTGTAATTTTATCTTCCCTATAAGGCAGAGCATAATCATAAGCTAATACCTTTTTTAATGATTCTCTTGGTTTAGGGTTATGCTTTTTGTGGCTTCCAAATGGATCATATTTATTATTTTGTTCAAAAACACTATACAATTTTCTTTAAATTACTATTTTCCTCTATTATAAATCCAAATTGTCCTTTCCAAGCCAGCCTATTTACTTGAATTTCGTCGGTCACTAAATATTTTTTACTAGCTCGTCCTACGAGTTCTTTGGCTATTTTCTGAATTATTTGCAACATCATCATATAGACATGGAGGATCAGGGTTTATCAGTTTTTTCCTTGAGCTCTGTGGAGGAGCTTCTTCATCACCCAAAAATAAAGGATTTCTAGATGGAGTTTGAGGCCGCGCTTTTATCGCAACTGGGACTTCTGGCCTGCTAAGCGTATTTCTGCAAGAGAACACCTTTTTAGTAGGTTTAAATGGTAAATTGTTATCAGTGCCAATTTTAAATGATCCTTGGGACTGATAGGAATAGGCTCCTTTGGCGATTCCTTTTGGCCTTTCGTCGAGTCATCTTGATTCGGCTAAATAAGAAGGAACTTGGGCTTTGGATAGCCGTGATTTGGTTTCATAAGATTCGTCTTGGAGAAGAGGGTTCCGAGAAGGAGTTGAGCACCGAACTTGGTTTACTGCTGCATATACCCCAAGACGCATTATAGATCGTCCTGGGCTATCATTTGGAGCTCAAATTGCGGAGTTGACAAATTCTTTTAGAGGTGTGTTTTTCAACTTGTGGAAGTGGTTTGGCAACTTCTGGTGTCAAACATATCCAATTGTTGGGGGTCTTAAATATACCCCAGGACGATTTATAATGCGTCCTTGGCTATAATAGGATTGTTTCATTTTAATGTCTAACGATTTGAATTTATTATAGATAATGATTTATGGAATTTTTATTGATTAAAAAAATTAGAATCAGCTTAAGATTTAAGATTATTGAAGATAAAGGTCTTAATTGGTAATAAGAATTTAGAAAAGATATTACCGCTTTAAAAAAGAAAATTTTAAAATTCATGGACTTTTTGTTATATTAATTATTTAACCTTCAGAAGACTCTGGGCCTAATACATCAGAGCCAATTGATTTTCCAAAAATATTGAAACTTTGACTGTTTTGGAGCTGCCACTTTAAAATAAAAATTTCTTCTTTATACCTTTCTAATTCTTCAGTATATTTCCTTTCTAAGCTTTCTTTTTGCTTTAAAATTTCATTAATATTTAATTCAGTATTTGTTTCTTGATTTTTACACAACTTTCTGTTTTCTTCATCAAATAGTTGAATTTTATGTAATTTTTCGTTAATTTTTTTGAGCTTTTCAGCAGGCTCTTCACCTGCTATATAAAGGCTTTTCTGGCTATTGTAGCCATCTAGATCTAAAGAATTCTAATTTAATTCTACCTGATGCTGATTTACTAGATTTTTTAAAAAATTGTTTTCTTTCTTTAGCTGAAAATTTTCGTTTCTTAGATTTTCAATAATTTCTTTCGAGCTTCTCAAATCATTATCAAGGTTAATTTCTTGGCAAGCCACAACTTTTTGATTCAGTGAAAATGGGAGCTTGCCTGAATTTAGTTGATTTTCCATAGTAATAAAAACTTATTTAGATAATAAAAGCCAAACCAATTAAAGATTCTAGTCAAATATAGTTTTCAAGGCTCAAAACTAAACAAATAAAAGCAAATATAAGGCTCAAGCAGGAAAATCATATATGATTTTTTTAAAAATAAATGACCATATACTATTCATAAAACCCAAAACTAAGTTAAAACAGCTTATTTTCCTTCAATTTAGCCATAAAAAGCCCCTAAAATTCCAAAACACCACTTATCAATCACATCTCTCGAAATATGGCTAGACAAATATCTAGCCATAAGACTTTTAATAAAACTCCTAAAATTAACATTAAAATTATAAATAAAATTAATGGAAGACCAGATATTTATTACCTCTGATGCTGCCTTAGAGATGCTTAATAGCGGATCTGCATACTTCGTTGACTCCACATTGATACGAAATGAAGATTCCAGGCCTAAGCATCACCAGCTTAGAATCAAGGGTGCTAAATATCTCTGCATCGTTGAAATTGCTAACACAGCCGCCATCGGGCAAACAACTCCCTGGCCAACTCTGACCCAATTCAGAGATGGAATGATCAAAATGGGCCTTCCAAACGACGGCAAAAACGTCATTATATATGACCAAACTGGCATTGGAACCGCTGGCAGAGGTTGGTTAATGCTTAAATACTACGGGTACCCTCACGTATACATATTAGATGGAGGTCTTCCTAAATGGACAGCTGAAGGCAAGCCTACTGATTCTGAAGAATATGATGAAGTTTGCCATGACCCAGCCGATGAGGATAAGTATCAGCTTAATGAGCACAGAGAATGGAGAGTCTTTATTGATGAGATGGAAACTTACGTTAGCCAAAGGTCAATAGGGGACAATAGCATTGCCTTTTGGGACCCAAGACCTTTAGAAATTTTCCAACTTGGAGCTGTGCCGACTGCTGTCAATTTTGCAGCCACAGTAAATCTTTTCAACCCTGACAAGACTGTAAAGTCCAAAGAAGAAGTCAAGAAACTTCTAGACGAAAATGGGATTAGGACTGAAGGCGCGGTCGTTACTACTTGCTTGAGAGGAGTTTATGCATCTTTAGGTCTTGCATTGCAGCATTATATTGGGAACCATAATGTTAGAATTTACACAGGATCATGGGAAGAATGGAGACTTAATAGAAAATAAAAATCTAGCTTAAAATTATTTTCAATATATTTATTAATTTAATAGGTTAAGTTTCCCATTTATATGGATTTTTCGATTTAAAAATTTATATTATGTATTAACTGTATATAAGTCTTTTTCATAAAATTACTACAATTAACGAAATTAACTGAAATAGGAATAAAGAAATGCTAGCTAATCAAATTCATAGTGGAATTATTTTATCAGCAAAGAAGTCTCCTCATTTGTCAATATCATTCAGAAGTCGCTTCAGAAAAATTTCCCTTCTACCCAGTTTACCAGCCTAAAAATCAATAATTAGTAAAAAATAATTGATAAAGTCTCTTACCTTACACCTCCGAATTGCAGCGTCGAATATCAGTTTATAATCTTTTGGAAGCGCACTTATGAAGCCTAATAAAATAAAAAGCTTCAGAAGAAGATAATAAAATTGTGATAAACATCATTTGAAAGATATAGGGTCTCTTAATAAATTGGTAGTGCTAAGACTTAATAAAATACGCAATCAAAATAAAAAATAAAAGACTCTCTACAGAATCTGAACGCTGATAGCAGATCTGTCACGACTAGGAATCCTCAGTTTAGAACTAAACCTGAGGCTCTGCAAAAGCTGTAACTTCAGTAAGAACTCTAAAACTCCATATCGTATTTAATCTTAAACAATTATTTATACCATTTCCATTCCTTTTTTTTCTTCGTAATCCGCATGGGAAAGCCTGCTTTCTGAGCCTTGATACATCCCTTCTTCATCGCCTTCCCTCTTATCTGTTTCCATCCTTAATAGTATTTTGAGCTTTCCTATTTTCGTATTCTGAGGCTGCAGGTCATAAGGCAAAGAATCCCTTTCTACCAATGGTGGCTCTTCAAAATCAATAACTCGTTTAGCCCAATCTTTCCAGGTTTCGTTAGGATCTGCAACAGGATCAACGAATTCAGGCTCTTTCTTAGGTGGAGGAACTGTAAAAGGTGGAGCAATTTCAGGCGGGATTTTGCAATCTAGCGACATCAAAAGTCCTGGATAATCCACCCATAGCGTCTGGAGTTCTTCTTTTATCTGTAAGAATTCTTCAGCGTTTTTATTACACCTTAAGCCTTTATTATAAAGAAAATGTGCAGCGTTGTACCAGCCATATAAAACGGCAAAATCTAATGCATTCATCCCATGAGAGTCGACTTGATTTGGGTCAGCTCCAAATTCTAGTAGGAATTTTATATAACTTTTTTTCTTATATTGCCTAGTAAAAATTTCAAAAGAAAAATATGCAAAACTGCATCTCCATTAAATCCAAAAAATACCTAAAAAAAATTGTTATTTAAAAATGCATTAAAGATAGGAATAAATTAAGGTAAAAGAATATATAGAGGTTTCCTCTATATAGCGCTAAAAGCGCAGACATTTTCCCAGGAGCTTTCCAAGTTCGTCGGACCAAATCGCTTTTTGGGTCCGACCAAGGCATTGATTTGGTGCAACCTACCGATAAATTCCGATCAGAATTTATCGGCCTTACAGCGCCAAACATAGGAAACTTCTATACAATCTAAATGCCCTTTGGCAGCTGCCCACATTAGTGCTGAAATTTTGGTAGAAGTAGTGTTGTTTAGGTCTACTCCTAAGGATACTAATTCTGCTAAAATATGAGGCCTATTAAGATATGCTGCTCTTGTAAGTGCATTTGATTTCCCATCGTCTGAAATTGGATCATTTAAAAGGAACGGAAATTTTTGGACTAAATCTCGTACAGCTATTGGGTCGTTTGCGCTGATTGCGACCCAAAGATTATGTTTTGCTTGAGTGTTTCCCATTTATTATAAATTCATCAGAAAAATATCTGAATTTAAAATAATTATCTTAAGTTTTAGGAGAAATCGAAATTAATTTCATTTTTAAATCAAATCAGAAGGACTTGGGTCTTATTTTTTTGAGGAATTAACGATAAATTATTTTTATTGAAAAAATAAAATAAAGATTGAAACTGTCTTATTATCCAAAAGTGGAAGGCTCAAGCTTTCTCGAGAAATTAATATGCTTAGTAGCTTGCCTATTAAGAAGAACTATTTATAGATTTGGCTAATTTTTTGGAGCCTTAAAGAGATGCTGATACAGATTATCAATATTTGCGTTTATAATTTTCTTACCTGTAATATGCTCTTTGGCGGTTTAATCACAAATTACGCATTCCTAATAACTAAACTTGTCTATAGTTTTATCTTCAAGCACAAAAGAGAGAATCATAGTTTTTCAGCTGATTTCTTACCTCATAATTTGGATTTATAATATAATTGGTTTTACTGATATTCTAGATCTACTCCATGCCTTCAAAAAATGGCAATTGCAAATTCTTACTATAGCATCAATACAATTTATATTAGAAATTTTATTCAAATTGTGCGACCCAAGGAGGCTTGATTGCCAAGATACGAAACTTAATAGATGATTTTTATCGTGATTTACCTTAAAATATTAGATATTAGCATCTGATTTGCGGTTCTTATCATCATATGTGGCTAATTCAAAATTCTTATAAGCGATAATATATAGAGAAAAGAGAAAGTAGGCCATAATCTTTCTGCTTATAATTGTTGATGGCTTTTTTTAATTTCCCATAAAAAAGAGAATGTAATTTATGTATAATTGAGAAGATAACTCGTCAAGGATACAAAAAGTATAATATAAATATTTTTACAAGTAAAATATATAATTAATTAATCTCGAGCTAATTTATTTAAATTTGACAGTTTCGTTCTAAATAATATTTTTTCAAATTATCATTCAAATATTTGTAAACAAAATATTTTTTATATAATTTTAAGAAATTAAAAGATTAAGCTCCTTGGATAACGGGCAAGATTTTTGCGCACGAACCAATGGGTAAGAGCTGACTTTGCGCATGATAGCATATGAGCTTCATTAAACTATACACTTTAAAGCTTGAATTTGGCTTTATTATAGATATAGTATCTGTATCGCTCTAGCGTACTTGATGCATGCTTCTCCACAGCAACTTAAGCCACCTAAAGGTGGCAAGCCAACACTAAGTTGACAGAAGCAGATCTTTCGCAAAGTTTTGTCAACTTGGAGCTGACTTGCAACCTTTAGATTGCTCGCCAAGCTCAAATTGCTGTGAGAAATTATGCGTCAAGGCACCCTAAAGAAGTGCAGACGCTATATACACATTTGGCTATTAAAATTATGGCTTTAGGATTTTTGGCACCAGGCAAAAGCTTGATCTTTATTAAATTCCAGGTTTTTCTCTAGTTACCGATTATGGCTCATAATAAAAAATTCCCTATAACTTTAATAGAACGCTTAAACTAAACTCCGCAGCAGCAAAATTTTACGCCATATATTAATTTCAAGCTTAGCCGGTGTTTAAAACCCTTTTTCCTTTCAACTCCCAATTTTCCAATTTTTCCCTCATAATTTCAACATCTAAAATTTTTCTTCCTCAAAAGCTTTGCTTCAAAACAACTAAATTTTTCCTCCAAAGCTTGAAAACTTACCAAAATTTTATTTCCATCCCATAAAATTTTAATTAATTTTCACCTCATTATTCTTCACAAAATTCGCTTAATGGCCATTACATCTAACATATTATAAAATGTCTGGTCCAGATCTGCCAATTCCTTTTCAAAGCTTCGACACACATGAAAGGGAAGGCTTCTCGATGTTCCTTCCTCAATTCAACCAATTCATTACACAATCTTTCGATGGAAATCTCGAAAGCATTAATCTTCCAAACACAGAAATATGCTGATTTTGGCTATTTTTCTTTATATACGGTGCTATAAATTATGTTTTTCTATAGAAAATTTAGTATAAGCCTGATTTTTTTCAGGCTTTTGCTTATAAAAATGTATAAAAGGCGAAGGAAATCGTCTGCCTGAGTTTTTCGGGTTCTATGAAAATATATTAAGGATGTCAATGGAGTCATGCCTGATGAATCCAAACCCTGAGTTCTGGATGAATTTCCAAAATCCAGAGAGTTCTTTCTCTTCTGAAGGAATTGACCTTCCTGCTGAAATTAAAGGCTGTCTTAACGCAACACAGTATGAAGAGAAGCCAAAGCAAATTGGCTTAATTTCAGCAGAAGAAAGGAGGCTTAAAATCCAAAGGTATTCTATTTATATTAAAATAACTATAAGAGGATAATTGTAGAATTCTAAGGATATTTATATTAAAAAATATATTTGGAAAAGAGAAAAAGAAGGACGTTTAGAAAAATCGTCACTTATGAGTGCAGGAAAAAAGTAGCAGATTCAAGGATCAGGGTGAAAGGTCGATTTATTACAAAAGAGCAAGCTGAAATGTTGAAAAATATACATTGTGAGAAGGCTGTGGAGGCTGATTAAAATAATGTTTATAGCTTGTTTATCTAAATATGCATTTTCATACTTCTGATATACAATTTCTAATAATTTTTTAATAGCCAGACTCTCATCACAATTTGCGGCTGCCAATTTTATCATTCCTGTTTGAAATCTGTAACCAATATAGCTCATGAACCTTTATGGATCGACCTTATTGAAAATGCATTCGCGCTAATGGACTTCATATATTGGGATATCTTAGACCAGACCCCTCAAATTTTAGAGAAATATTACATTATAATGAAAAATTTCCTATTTTTAAGCTGATTCAATTTTTTATTATAATCTGAATATTTCTCTAAAATGTGAGGGGTCTGATCTAAGATATGCAAGATATGAAGTTTATTAGCACGGCTAAATTTTCAATGAGGTCGATTTATAAAGGTTCATCAACTATATCCTTAATTTTTGCCTTATATGCAAAAAAAGTTTTACAGTAAATCATATTTAAAATTTAAATTTTTAACTCCCACCTCCGTGAGTGAACAAAACCATTAGAAAAATCCCTATTTTTTGCCCAAAAGCCCACCCTCCGTGAGTGAACAAAAATTTTTTATGGGAAAAAATTTTGATGTATAAGTGATATAGATAATTCCTGGGGATAGCGCGGAATACGCTATCCCCAGGACCAACCGGGATCGGATTCACACATGGAACGGGAGTTCCATGTGTGGATCCATTTTTTACATGTGAGATATTTACTTTCACGTGTGAAAAATGGATCCACACATGGAACCCTCGTTCCATGTGGGATCCGATCCCGGTTGGTCCTGGGGATAGCGTATTCCGCGCTATCCCCAGGAATTTTCTATATCTATTATCATAAAATCTCAAGCTAATTCTGTTTTAATTTAAAACAAATTGCGTTTTTTAAAACATAAATTTTAAAAATTATATTAATATTTGCCTTCCAATTTTTTGAGAAGCAGGATTTTTTTAAAACTTCGAAAAAAACAATTTCTATAAATTTCTATATAAATTTTTGTAATCCCCCTCCATGAGTGAACAAAATATTTTTGTTCACTCACGGATGGGGGTGAGTAAGAAAAATATTTCTTTTGCTATTTTTCTAATAAATTAGTATAAATTATCTTTGAATTTTCCGCAACACAATTTTATGATTTTTTAAAAAAAATCAAAGCATTTTCTTTGAAGATTATACTCTTCTGGGTATTTTATTTATTATGCCTCCCAATTTTTGTATTTTTCTACCTAATTTCACTAATATTTAGTAAAATTACCTAACTAAATAAGTATAATATTTTCAACAACCTGAAATGGGATGCTGTTTTTCATCAGACGATGATGAAACTTTAAAGCGACCCTTGCTAAAAGCTGACCCAAGCAGCATTATAACCCACTATCCATCTCCTTCCCAGCTAACTCCTGAAGATTTTAAAGCAATCAAGCTCCTCGGCAAAGGGTCTTTTGGAAAAGTTCTTCTCGTAACCAAAAAAGGTACAAGCAATTACTATGCTATGAAGATTTTGAAGAAAAAAGTTATAGAAAAGCGAAAGCAAAGGACGCATACGCTGAATGAGAAAAAAATCATGGAAAAATCAAACTGCCCTTTTATAGTCCAATTGAAATATTCTTTCCAAACTAAAGACAAGCTCTATATGGTCATGGAATATAATCTTTAGCTTAATTATTAGCCAGGCATTAGGAAATTTAACCAAAGAAAATATTAGTGCTTATAGGGCACATTTAAGGTAAAAAATATATATGAGTGGCGGTGAGCTTTTCTTTCACCTCAAAAAATGTGGACGATTCACTGAAGAAAGAGCCCGATTTTATGTCGCTGAAATTCTCCTGGCCTTTGAATATTTGCATAGCCATGGAATAATTTACCGAGACCTAAAGCCAGAAAACATATTACTTGACTACGATGGGCATATAAAAATCACTGATTTTGGGCTCAGCAAGCTAGGACTTTCCTCTTCAAACCCCAAAGCTTTTACCTTCTGCGGGACGCCTGAGTACCTCGCCCCAGAAATCCTTAAAAATCAAGGGCACGATAAAAAAGTCGATTTTTGAAGCCTCGGGGCTCTTCTTTACGAAATGCTATCAGGCGCTCCTCCATTTTATTCAAAAAATAGAAACGAAATGTATAAAAACGTGTTAAACAAACAAGTAGAAATGAAGCCACATTTTTCTAATGAGGCCAGCGATTTTTTATTAAAACTGTTACAAATAAACCCAGAAAATAGACTTTCGGATATGGAAGAAATCAAAAAACACCCATTTTTTAAAGGGCTGGACTGAGATGAGCTAGCTCATAAAAATTATGATGCACCTTTTAAGCCAAGAGTGTCAAATTCTACAGATGTAAGAAATTTTGACCCGCAGTTTACGTCAGAGCCTCCAGAGGATTCGTGCGACTCGACTGTGTCTCAGGATCCTTTGGTTAATAAATACCCAGATTTTACGTATATAGGCCATGATGAGCTTTATGCTGAGGAATAATTAACTATCCTTCATAGCGTAAAAAAAGCATAATTTCTAATTATATTATAATAAATTCTTATTTATATTATGAAATATAAATGTTTATAAAATGGAAAATTTCGCAATAGAGCCTGCCCCTTCAGATCTCAGCAAAGCTGGGATCTACCTCAACCCTGATGTCAACGGCATGGGTCAAGAAAGAATGGGAACTTCCATCATGGCAGCCATTTTCAATGGAGGTGTTATTTTTGGTGCAGACACACGAACAACCATGGGTGCTTACGTCGCTTCAAGAATTTCTGACAAAATTGAGTGCATCCACGAAAAGATTTTCTGCTGCCGAACTGGGGTTTCTGCCCATACCCAAGCATTAGCCAGATATGTAAGATACTATTTGTCGCAACATGTATTAAATGAAGGCAAACTTCCCCTAGTTTTGACTGCTGCAAGGCTCCTTCAAGAACTTTTGTATCAGAATAAAGCGTTTTTAGAAGGTGGGTTTATTGTGGGAGGCTGGGATCCTGTAAATGGTTCACAGCTGTATGAAGTCGCCTTAGGAGGGACTTTGGTGAGCCAAAGGTATGCGCTGATGGGGAGTGGAAGCACTTATATTTATGGGTATTGTGATGCGGAGTTTAGGGAAGGGATGAGCCAGGAAGAGTGCACAAAGTTTATTAAGAAAGGATTAGCATTAGCAATGGCAAGAGATGGAGGGTCTGGAGGCTGTGAAAGATTGCTGGTGGTAACGCCTGAGACGGTTACGAGAGAGTATGTGCCTCAAGAGGAGTTTCCTTATAACCTTAGATAAGAAATATTAGGATTATTAATTTTGTAGTGTTAATATACATTTTAAGGTAAATTTAGATAATTTATAGTAAAGGTAATGAATCTTTAAGATTAATTTATTAGGTTTATCTGAAATTATTCAATAAAATAGATCTATAAGTTTAGTCTATTAATTTCTTGAGTCAAATGAGGGACATCTCCGATGAAAGCAGGGAAATCAAGCTCAGTGTCTTTTCCTGTAAGAATTTCCAAGTGTAATTTTGATGATGGCAGGCCACATAGTCTTCCTTGCTGAGAAACAATATTTCGTTCTAAAATCAAGCTAAAGGGCAAATGAGATCCATATACGCTGCTGAGAAATCTCATTTTTTCCTCTTCTCTTCTTCTTAATGTTTGTTTCAATTGTCGTGGGTCTTCCATTTTATTATCAGATAGCTATATTGATCTTACTCCGCCATTCTATAAATGAGGCAAATTGTTTAGGAAAATTCCTGTTAAAAATGTTAATAATTTTTTTATATAAATTATAATTTCTAGCTAATTCTATTAAATTTTAGAAAGCTTACATTTTAAATACAAATTTTATGAATTAAATCGATATTACTTTCGAATAAAAATGATCTTTATTAGAAAAATTGGCCTGCTTTCAGAGCAGAGACTTAGAGATTTATTATAATTCCTCGGTTAGGCGAATATAATAATTTATATTATAAATTTAAGACTTTCGAAGCATTTGACTTCGATCTTTTCATGACTTTTGGCGTCTGCATACTTGGCAATATATACGGAGATTTCAGTTCTTCTTCTATGAACTCTTTCCATTGCTCTTCTTTAATCTTATTTTTCTTGGATTTATTATACAGATGTGGAATAGATATTTTCTGACACGGATCTGTCGCGTCAAATTTTAGCTTAGCCTTAATCACTTGGATAATTAATATGGTTGTGGAGACAAAATATGTCCTTGCTGAAGACGCGCCACTTTGGCGCTTAAATGACTTTATAGCCTAAACCAAAGTTCAGACCCTTTGATTCTAACCCTAGATTTGTTGTATGGCGGCCGTTGGGGTGGGTGATCTTGGGAGTCGGCTGGTGGCCATTCCAGTCCAGGTATTAGTTATCCGGATGATTTTGGGCAACGGATTCTTTTCCTATCGGTTCGGAGGGCCGTAGTTCTTTTTTTCTGAGTGTCACCTCTCTCAAAGGGTAGCCGACAGGGAGGAATCAGGCTAAACTTTACCTCCATGGCATCCGATGGCATAATGACCGTCTTCCTAACTCGTCGAGACTCTTGGGTAGCACAGTGCAAACCCTGCTTAGAGAAGATCACTGTTCCAAATAGTGACTGAATTTCCTACAGGCAAGCAGGTTGGCGTTGGTCGAAAGCATATGAGGCATCAATCTGGAAGACATTAAGACTCTTAATTTAATTTAATCACTTGGGAGTAGAAAATTCTCTGCTTCTCAGCGTTATCAGAGTCTTCATCATTGTTTGTAGACTCTTCAAGAATGTCTTTTTCTATTATAGCTTCTTCGCTATCGCTCTCTAAAGTAATTCCGACTGAAAGCTCTTTATTTCTGCTTTTTCGGGTTGGAGGTCTTGTCTTGCTGATTTCTCTTTGTTTTTGCTTCACTTTGTCTCCAGCAAAAATCGTCCGAAATTCTTGGCAGATTGTTTTTAATTTTTTGGCTTGGACTCTTAAAGAGAGCGAAGATTCTAATATTGCATTATCAATAGTATGCTCAATATTATCGAGATCTTCTAGATGATTGTTATCAATCATAGAAATTAAATTTTGGCAATTTTTCTTTAGTAAAAGAAAACTGTTTTTTTCGGCCTCGCTATCTGGTTTATTTTTCACAAAGAAAATTTTAATCCTTTCGAGATTTTGTCTTGTTATTTTAAGTGTATTTTGTGAATTGAATTGAAAATTAAAGCTTTTTGAGTGCTTATGAACATCTTTTGCAATGCTTGTAGAGTTTAATTCCATTTCAGAATCCGGCTCTATTTCAAGCTGAGTGGGAGAGTGATCACCTGCTCTAGGAGAAATTTTTCTGAAAGAGGTATCGCTGAAAATAGTTGAGGATGTGAGTTCTCTGATGGCTCGATAATTCGAGAAGCAAAAACTTAGGCTAGCGAGTTTCATATTTTTTATATAAAATTTATAGCTAAATTTTAGGAAATAATAGCTTGGCTCTGATGAATTGATTTATAATTTTGCTAGTGCCAATTTATACTTATGAGATTATTCATTACTACTAGCATTAGTATAGAAAATAAAAGATTTGTTTAAGATAAAAGAATTTATTTTGAAATGCTTTTAATCTTTAAAATTTCAATTATTCTAGGCTGAAAATCTTATTATAAAGTTGATCTTATATAAACTTATGTCATTTGATAGCAATTATTAAATTGTTTTTATCCAAAAAGACTTCGGTGATTTTCTTTAAGTTTAATTAACAAATTTCACCTTGAATTATCTATAACTATTTTATTAGATTTTATTGGGAAAAATCTTTTCTTACTCATCATTTTTATATTAGAATATAAAAGGCAAAATATTTAAGATGGTGTTTAAGGTTTTATACCCAATTTATCTGTGTAACTACTATGAGAAAGCAAATCACAGGTGAGGAAATTATATCTCAAAATTTAGATATTGCGAAAAAATAGCTGATGTAAAATTCTTTATTGAGATCTATAAAGAGAAAGTCTGATAAAACTAATATTTATCAATTAATTTTTTTGAGCTTCCTCAAATTTAAATGCTTATAATTACCATAGTAAGCTAGTCTGCCTACGTATAATTACTTGAATAATATTTAAAAAGCCTTGTGCTTACTTACAAAAATATTTTATATAAAATCTATTAATTAAATGGAAGATTTAGAGAGTTGTTATATAAAAATTAGCCAATGAAAGACGAGGAGCTGGTTTTTATTCTCAGAAGAGCTTCAGATTTCTTAGCTGCTTATGACCCAATAAAGACGCTTTGCTTAAACCATTATTTTCATTAGGATTTATCAAGCCCTGAGTTTTATTTTTATATTTCAAAATCAACCGCAAGCTGAACGCAATCTTGACCGTAATGACCCCAAAATATTCGATCATTTCATAATTTATAGAATGCAGCCCATTTATTTGTTACGAAAATCTATATAACTGCATAAAATCATCCCCAAATATGATTAAAAACCCATATGGAGAAATGGCTTGATTTTTTGAGAAATATGTAAAGGAGATAACGGGCTGCTTATTGACGTCTATCACTGCTATAGGAGCAAAACTCTTATTTTAGCTGTGCTTTTAGAAAATGATCACCATCAAGCACAAAGCAATTTCATATAATCAGAGCACATGTGACTAGAAGAAATTTGAAATGGTCAGCAGACTTGAAAGCAGTAGCTTGAAATAATAATATTTGATGAAAATCAAAGAATAGTAGAAATATATCAAGCTCATAAATTATATATTATAAAGCCTATATTTTGCCACTAGAAACTTAAGCTTGAAATTAAGGAAGCCATAATAGCTTACTATGGCAAAGACAGAGCTTATTAAAGTTGACATTATGGTGCAGGATTTAGAGATTTATATTCAAAGCTATTTAATAATGTATAGTAGCACATTAAGCTATTTTGCATTGAAAATTAAATATTTTTGTCTTATACTCAATTCCATATTGCTTATATAATAATAAAAATTAGGAAAAATTTATATAAAAAATCAGTATAATTTCAATAAAATTATTTGTATACCTCAAAAGATTTTAAATTAAAAGGAATAAATAATGGAAGGGTGGAAATATGAGCTATTTGACTGTGGTCGAAATCCTTTTATGTTTATATGGTCTATTTGTATGCCGTGTGGATATCACTGCATGCAAACGTGTGACGCCAAACATGCTGAGCCTGAGAATCGATTTGCTGGACTAAGGGCTTATTCTTTGGTTTTATTTTTAGGTCCTATTGGTGCATCAATAAACCGTTATATGCTCAGAAAGACTCTAAAGATTAAAGATAACCCAATAATGGACCTCTCTCATTTTTGTATTCCGTGTTGTGCTGTGACTCAAGAATGGATGCAAGTAATGCAGTCAATGAAAGGAAATGAAGAGCTCAAAATAACACAGCTTAAATCCATAAGGTATTAGAACTCATTTAAAGGAATTTTCTGAATTAAATCGCTTTTCTTATATAAATATGTCATTAATTTTGTTTTTGCAGTCTCAAGAACAATGATTGTGGATAAACTTTTTTTACAAAATAATTTTCAGTAGCTTTAGACAGTCAGTTTTCTTGCCAATAAATACATAGATAAGCTGTTTTAGGGCAGTTTTTACGGATTGAAATAAAGCAGGATCATTTGGGGTTTTAGCAAGCCTTTAATTTGTAATAAGTTGAGAAGGAGATCATTGAAAATAATAGGTGTTTGATTTATAGGAAGTCTTTAGTCGTTGGATATTTCAGCTTGCAGGCTATAAGAATAATAAAAAATTGATTTAAGAATTAATAAAATAGAGTGAAACTGTTTAAAAATTAAAAGAAATTTTGAATTAAAAATCAATATATACATATGATGGCTTAATTAATAATAAGACTTAATGCTAGCAAACAGCGTATTTAAGAATACTAAAACAATTTAATTGCTTCAATATTAGACTGTACCAACATCCTTTATCCAGTTCTAAAGATATTCTAATCATTTATTTCTGCATTTTTATTGACTTAAAATAAATTTTTAAAGAAACTATTATTGCTATCCTTGTGAAGAATCATGAAATCAATTAAAAATACCAATTTTAAAAGTAAATTAAAAGAATTACCAATATTAAAGCAAGCCCGAAAATTACACATCCTAGGCAAGAATTTGAAGTTTGTTGAATATAGGCCTCAAGCTTAGCCTTTGTCCTCTCCATAGAATTAGCATTCTTATCAATCATTTTCTCAAAATTCGTCAGCAGATTATTATGAACATCGAGCTCTTCCCCAATATTATCACAATACATATGCAAATTTTCACTGCTTACATACAGTTCATCAATCATTATTTCTTGATCTTTTTTAAGCTGAATCTGCATTTCAAACGGCGAAGTCTTTGCTGGGGGTTTTTCTTCAGATTGAATCTTGACTATATGGTCATTGAATTTCAAATCATATTTTCATATTTCCCTTAAATTTTCTTTATTTTTTATTATTTTTAATTTAAAATAATATAAATCCCTATTTTTCATACTCTTTTTGCAGCTCGCTAATAGTAACTTTCCTTTTTTCCAGCTCTGTCTGGTTTCTACATATCTTTTACATCATTGTGGAATTCAAAAAAGCATTTAAAGAATCCAATTCAATCGCAAGCTCAGCCAGCTTTTTCGTGATCCTTGCTTTGACTTTTTTCTGGAAAAGCTCTGAAGATCGGTCATATTCTCGTGAGTCAGAGTCCAAAGCTCTCAGAAGTGATTTGATTTTTTCTGTTTTCTTGGGGAACTCTGACATATATTATTAAACTATTTTTATATGAATTTTATTATGCGTTTTAATGATGGTGGTGATGAGGATGATGGTCAAACAGATTTTTTGCGATTGTATGCCGCATAATCTCATTGGTCCCTTCCACAATTTTCAAGACTCTCAACTCTCTATACATTCTTTCCATGCCGTACTCCCTTAATAGTCCATATCCTCCGAACATCTGTAAGCAGTCGTCCACAATTTGTGCACAGTCATCAGTTGCAATTAATTTTGCAATTGAGGCAAAAATATGTTTATTTTGGATAGGCTGGTCCATCAGCTGTGCACAGGCTCGGGTCGTCATTCTTGCAGACGTTAATCTTGCTAAAGCTTCTGCCATTTTGAACCTGAGGTATTGGAAATCTTTTAAGTGTTTGCCGAACTGTTTTCTTTCTCCCATATAATTAGAAGCTTTTTCTAGGGCGTACCAAGCCCCTCCTAAGGCACAGCTAGAAATGGTTAATCTGCCTCCTTCAAGGCCTCTCATAGCTATTTTCATGCCTTGTCCTATTTCTCCTAATAAATTTCCCTTTGGGATTTTACAGTTATCAAAATTCACAAGTCTTGTGGGCTGAGTCCTCCATCCAAGTTTGTCTTCTTTTTTGCCAAAGCTGAGTCCTGGGGTGTCTTTTTCTACAATAAAACAAGAAATTTCTTTAGGTCCAGTCCTTGTCATGACGAAATATAAGTGGCTTTCTCCGCCTCCACTAATAAACATTTTGGAGCCATTAAGGACATAGTCATTTCCTTCAAGTTTTGCAGTTGTGGACATAGCTCCAGCGTCAGAGCCAGAATTTGGCTCAGTTAAGCAGTAGCTTGTGAATAAGTCAAAGCTAGAAACCCCTGGCTGCCATTTGGAGCGCTGTTCTTCAGTTCCAAAAACATCGAGAAGTCCATTACACATATTGTGGATGCTGATATAAGAGGCTGTACTTATGCAGCCAGTGGATAAAGCTTCGAGAATTATGCTTGCTTCGAGCTTCCCTAGTCCTGTGCCTCCATGTTTGTCGCTACAATAGATGGCTCCGAAGCCAAGATTGCCAGCCATTTTGATAACATCGATAGGGAAGTGATCGGTCTTATCCCATTCATTAGCAAAAGGCTCCATATGCTCTTTAGCGAATTGGAGAGCAGTTTCTTGAAATGCGAGCTGATCTTCGGTCAGATTGAAATTTCCAGCTAAAACGCTGCTAATTGGGCGAGATAAAATTCTTGTGCTTAGATTTAAAGATCTGGCCAACATTTTTATTGTAATTTAATGGAAAATTGAGATTAAAATTAGGTGGCTTACTTGTAGTACTGAATAAATGTGAAAATTCAACTTGATTTATTGATATTATATATTGGCTGCTGGGTGTAAATTTTAAAAGAATTTTTTCAAGTAATAAAAATTTTGATTATTTTTAATCAGGAATATATATTGAGATCGGAAATGTCTATTAGATAATTTATATATACTTATATAGAGCCTATATTAAGCTTCTTTGCCATTTCATAAACTTCTCTTTTCTACCAATATCTGTAACCCTTACTCCCCCGTCCGTGAGAGAACAAAAAATTTGGTTTTGTTCGCGGAGAGGGGTTAAAAAATTTATATATAAATTTTTATAGTTAAATCCATATTCGAAATAGTTTAATGCAAATATTAATTTAACTTGTAAATTTATGTTTTAAAATGCAAGCTGTTTAAAATTAAACAAAGCAAGCTAGAGATTTCCTTATAATTATTAGTTTATATATTAAAATAATTTTTCTTAAAAAATTTTTAGACCAAAAATAAGAATTTTCCAATGATTTTGTTCGCTCCAGAGAGGGAGAGTTACAGCCCCTCTTACGTCATTTCATATCTACTTATTATTTTATCTAAAACTGCCTAATGATTACACAATTTAAAATATGGAAACGCAGTCACTTCGTTCAAGCGAAATTTCAACCGATTCTCCATCTGTCTATCAGCTTATAAAATCTCAAGAATATTCAGGCTTAACCCCTATTTCTCCTTTTCTATCCAAATTTTCATCTTTCACAAATGATGCCTTGTATCGATACCCAATTCTAGATGCTGAATATCTGACTTCCACCGATAGTAACCATCGAGCACTTTTACTGACAAATAAGGGAATATTTTTGGCTATTTTATGCTAATTTTTTTATAGCAATTTTTAATTAAAATTTCCATTTAAATTTAAGGGAAAAAAGTGCTTTTTTTGCTAGACCCTAAATAAGCTGACCTTTGCAGACAGGATTAATATTAAGAAAAACCTAGAAGTTCTAAGCTCATCTAGTCCTTTTAGCAAAGGGAGTGAAGACAGTCATGGAATCAGTACCCAGGAAAGTCAAGTAACTTTTATGCAGATAAATCAAGTCCCAGTGAACTCTATTGAAATTAGTCGCTCTATAAACATTTCTGTCTCGTCAAAAATTTCGAATTCCGAAGAGTTTTTAGGAAGAAATTCGTTAAATTTTAGGTTTTTTGAGAGTAGTCAGACTAATCCTGAAACTGACCAAGAAATAGAAAAGCCAGTGATTGATAATGCGGATAAAGAAATGATTTTACAAATACAGAGGAATTTCCATGCAAAGGCTAATGATGAAAGATTTTACCAATCCATAACGCCAGCAAGCTCTTATAACTCCATCATTTCGAAGTCAAACTTGCGATTAACTCCTAGAGGGTCTACCAATGAAGTTATAGCTGAAAAAACAAGTGGAGAAAGCGACATTTTTCAAGAAAAATTACAAGATACAAGTGACATTGAATGGGAGCCGAACATGCTAAATGATTTTAAGAAAAATTTTGAATTGATGCCATATGATATTTTATTATGAATATTTTAAATCATGGAGCCAGTATATTTTATAAAGGATTTTATTGATTTTATATTACTGGAATAAAAGATTATTTATTAAGAACTAGAATAGGTTGAGCGAAAGTTTCGGAGACGAAAAAATCAATGAAGACTCAATAATGTCGTTAGCTGAAGAAGGAACGGCCCATCCTCTACAAGTTTATTGCTCAAGCCCTTCTGCATCAAAAAATATTATGATTGCTCGTCATTTTAAGCCTGCTTTAATAAAGCTAGAGCCTAAAGTCCTCGCAAGCTTTGCAATCTCTATTTCTTCATGGTCAGAAATAAGCTCTGATTCATTCGCGGCTATAACTGGCTGCAACCCATATTCATAGCTCCTCCAATTAAATTATTTTTATGAAAGTTTTCATTTTGATTCTTTTTCAATAAAATTAATTCCTTAATTGAACTAGATTTTTTGTTTAATTGGGTGTGATTAAATTTTTTTAAATAATTAGTTTTTTTTTAAATCAATTTTTCAACCCATATTCCCCAATTATGAGAAAAATCGCTATATGCACTCAAGCAAATAATTTTGAAGACCAAACAGGCTATTCTGCCCTGCTAGAACTTCTCGCCAGTGTCTGCTGCTCAGGCTTCAACTCAGCATTACAACTAGAGTACTCCAATATCATAATTAAAATATGGCGTCTTCGACTGGAAATGGCCTCCCGGCCATGCAGCCTCGACTCATATTTTAATTATATCCCGGCAAGGTTTTACCATTTCAGAGATGGACAGCAATGCTAGGTAAGCAATTCTGGTAGCTTTCAGAGCCTAGCCTAGTTTAATCTCAGGGGCGGATTTTTCCTCATGGGGAAGGAGGGTACGGAAGTTGGAAAGGGGAAGCTCAGCAAAGTCCTTTGGACTATTCGGGCAACTCCCTAGCGTGAAACTGGGCGTTACGTCCCAGGCTACGTATTTTTCCTTTTTGCCGACAGCTGAACAGAAAATCCATTTTTTTGGGTTTTCGGAAAAGCAACCCATGTGCAAGCAAGTAGCTCATCCATGAGCCGTCGAAGCCGGCAACACTTGCCCTAGAAGCACATTGGTGATCGAAGTAGGTTATCCCCAACGATTTGTGGGCCCGATGCGACGAAAGGCGAGCGGTAGACCTGGGGACGTCGACCCTGTAGTGGACGTTAAGCGTTATAAATTTTATGTAATGTAATGAATACTCCAATATCGACGCCCAAAACAAAGCAATAGCCAACAATTCCTCCTTCAGGCCTTCTCTCTTATCGGAAAAAGTATTACAAAGTATCGCAAGATCTTCAGTTTCCTGACTTTCATGCGGTTATGAGCATTGTGTATTAGTCACAAATGAAGGAAAAGTAATGACTTGGGGATATGGAGCTTCTGGGTGTCTAGGGCATGGAAATTTGCATTCACATAGTTTTCCTAGACAAGTGAAAGCATTAGCGAGAGAAAGTGTAGTGTATTTGGAATGTGGAGGGTATCATACTGTAGCTGTAACAAATAATGGATCTGTTTATTCTTGGGGTAGAGGAGATGTATATCAGCTTGGGATCCCGTTTAGGGAGCTCTGCAAGGATGAAACAGGGTATGTCTCTCTTGTCCCGTTAAAAATTAATTATATGTTTTATATATAAAAATAGCTTTTTTTGGGGTTTTATATTAATTGGGTAGCAGTTTTATATAAGAAAGAGTACTTTTCAGAAAGGAACATCACTATTAAAGCGATCGCATGTGGAGAAGCCCATACATTAGCATTAGATACTAATGGCAAAGTTTTTGCATTTGGCTGGGGGGAGGATGGCCAATTAGGAATCTCTCGAGATGAGCTTACTAACCAATCAATGAGCAAAGAAATTACCTTAATTTCTGCATTGGACTCCTTAAACATAGTAAAAATCTCTGCGGGGTCCATTTTTTCTGCTTGTTTAACTGAAACTGGACAAATCCTTGTCTGGGGAAATGGAGAACAAGGTCAACTAGGCCAAGGCAGTTCAGAAACAAGCTCAGACCACCCCATCAGAGTAGAAACCCTAAAAGAAGAAGTAATAATCGATGTCATCTGTGGAGAAAATCACGTCTTAGCCCTGTCTGACAGCGCTAAGCTCTTTGGCTGGGGTCTCGGCAAAGCTGGCATGTTTTCCTCCTCTCTTGAACAAAAATTTTCAGCTGGAACTGGCCTTGTCTGCTTTAAGCCAAAATGTCTCAGCGAAGCTGATATAAATCAGCACTTTGTGGTGGACTCAGACTATTCCGCTCCTTTATTAATCCCAAAGAAAAACGAGCAGTCCTTACTCTCTGCTGTGGCTGAAAAACTCCAAAAGCTGCAACTTGCTTAATAATTTTAATAGGTATGTATTTTTGTATATAATAATATGTAGAAGAACGCGGCCCAGAAAAATAATAAATAATGCTGGAATAAGTCTCTTCTTTGCTTTTGCAGTAATACTTGTAAGCATCTAGGTGAAGAGCTTACCCTTGATCCTGCCATTAATTTTTATTATTATTCCATATAAATGACGATTTTAGTGAATTGATTAAGGTAAAGGTAAATATAAATAATAAATGGCCCGAGCAAGAGAAGCTATGCAATTTATAATGTTTAAGGAATTTATAAGATCTAGCTAAAATTATATTGGATTATAATAGGAAAAAATACACAAAATTTCTATTATTATAGATAGGGATATAGATTTGTTGATTAAAAAGCTGGAAAATCAGCTAGGAGTGACTGAAGCAACGCTAAATGAAAATTTGCGAACTCCAGAAGAGAAAGCCCTTCAAAGCTCAGCTGTAGAGACTCCTCAAGCAGCTCCAAAAGAAGAACAAAAAGCTGAAGAAACTCCTAAGACTGAGGAAACTAAAACAGCTTCAAAAGCAACAGAATCTGCAGCCTCTTCTCATCATGAAGAAGAAATTAAGGTCAACCTTGCAGAAGCTCCACTCAACTTATTCAACCAAATTGATATAAGAGTAGGAAGAATTGTCGAATGCTGGAAACATCCTAGCAGCGAAGCTCTTTACTGTGAAAAAATTGACCTTGGTGAAGGAAATCTCAGAGAAATCGGCAGTGGGCTTCAAAAACACATCCCAATCGAAGACATGAGCGGACTTGTCCTTGTCTGTGCGAATTTAAAGCCAAGAAAGCTTGCTGGGTTTAACTCAAATGGAATGGTCTTTGCCTTGCATACTCCAACTGGCTTTGAACTAGTCAGGCCACCAGTAGGGTCTGCTGTAGGGGAAAGGGTAGGAATAGAAAATATTCGCGCTGCTTCAAATGAGCCAATCTTACCTGCTTTGAATCCTAACTCCCCCCCCCCCCTCCGTGAGCGAACAAAAAAATTTTGTTCGCTCACGGAGGGGGGTTAATTTTTTTTTTTAAAAAAAATTTTTTTCGAAATTTAAAAAAATCCTAATTTGCAAAAATTGGGAAGCAAATATTAATTTAAATTTGCAAAATTTATGTTTTTTAAAACGCAATTTGTTTAAAATTAAACAGAATTAGCTCTAGATTTCATTATACTAATTATCACTTATATATCAAAATTTTTTTCCATTAAAATTTTTTCTATTAAAAAAATTTTTTGTTCACTCACGGAGGGTGGGTTTTTGGTCAAAAAATGGCGATTTTTCTAATGGTTTTGTTCGCTCACGGAGGGGGGGGGGAGTAAGAAAAAAATTCTTGAGCAATGCACTCCATATCTTCAAACTGACGGAGAAGGTTTTGCTAGCTTCGGACTGAATAAGCTCGTTACAAGTGCTGGAGTAATCTCAAGCAAACATCCTAACGGGCACATATCTTAATTAATTATTTAGGTGAATTGACAATTTTATTATCATTTTTATATTTTTATCTAGAAATGGACTTTGATCTGTGCTATTACATAGCTCCTGTTGCATTGGCATTAGGAGTTCTTATAGGGAGATTCACTCATAAGAGGACAGGGCTTAAAGAATACAACAGCATCCTATCAAGTTTAAACGAAAGTTCTCAAGAAGCAGCCAAAAGGAAACTAAAATACAGCATCTACTGCTCCCGGCTCCAATTGTTTTCCAGATTCCTTCTAGCTGCTTATATTATAACAGGCTTTCTTCTTATCTACCACCACGACGTCAACATCTTACTAGATAACTATATTTATTCTATATCTGCCCTGCTTATCCTCATAAGCTTCTATGCCTCGACATTTGGGACTTATTGGGTAGTTCAAGATAGCGAAAAAAAGATTGAGCTTTATAAGCAAAAAATCATATCAAGCAAAAGCCAATTAATTAAGGATCTCGGTCAGGAAGTCATTGAAGCTATTAAGGAAAACGACACTTGTAATGCGAAATGCAAAGAAAAAACAGCGAAGCTAGAAAAAGACTTGAATAAACACATACAGTTTATTAAGGATTTGGCAGGGTTTCAGTGGTGTGATGGATGCGCGCAACAGGTTGCGTGCACAGGAGGGTGTGGAGGGAAATTTTTTGCGTTTACAAAGAGGAAGTTAATGGATCTAAAGCTATAAGTTAAAGTATGTCGGGCTTATCGGATATTTGCAATTTAATGAGATTTTTAAGTAATGATTACATAATTTTATATAGTGTATAGAGATTGGATTTTATTGATTTCAGCTTGTGTGAAAATGAGGTTTTTTTTAAAAATTAATTAACTCTTTTCAGAGAAATAAACCATAATTAATACCAAATTATCAGAAATTATTAATGGATGTACTAATTATTCATAAATACATTATAAATGCAAACAATATTAATTATTTTTTCTGCAGGAGTAAGATGATAGTCAAATAATTTTGAAAAAATTAAAATAAATACACTAATCAGATTCTTCAGATAAAACAACACCATGAGGATATGGAGTTGCCAACATAATTGCTTTATAAGGTTTTCCAGCATTAAACTCCTGAGGACACATCACAATCATTGGTTTCTCTTCTGAGCGCGGCACATCAAATCCCAAAGGTAGTCTCGCTGACATCATCGGAGGCGGCCTCTGATCTTCAGACTCATCCTGATAAATTGACAAAAAAAACAGCTGCCCTCTATCCTTTGCCCTAAAAATCATAACAATAATCATGATCCCCACGCTCTCACTAATTTCATCAGGAATTGTAATAAAATCTGATTCCCTTAATGTATTTTCCCCTATAACCAAATCCCCTATTTCTACAGCTAAAAACAAGCTCAGCTGTATCACAAAAAACAAATGCAAAATCAGCAGGTAAAATTTCAGCATATTAATTTTCGCTGCATAAGACGCCAAAAGTTCAGGCAAGTTTGTGTTCCTGAGGATACTGAATCTTCACTGGAGGTTTTTTATGTTGACGAGTGTGTATTTTACATTGAGATAGAAAAATATAATCAATATCGCGAGCAAGGCAAAGGACAATTCCATTTGTTGGATCATATAAGCACTGAAGCCGAGGTAAGAAGATCCCATTGTGATAGCTACAATGGTGACTTCGGTTCTGTCCAGAAGTTCTCGGGTAATGCAAAAGCCTTTGCTAATTATACATATTTATATGGGCTGAAAATTAATATTCTGTAATTTTTTATATAAAAATAGGGGTTTTTTTGATATAAAATAGGATAAAATAAGAGATGTGTAAAGGAAAGTGTTGTAAAGCGTATATGTAGATGTGTAGCCTAAGCCTCAGTATGGATACCACCCAGTTGCGTCTCTACAAGCAAAAGCAAGAAGAGCAGCAAATTCACTATTCATCATTTTGAAAAGAACTATAAAAGTCAGGATTTTGTGAAGTGGCTTTATGTGTTGCCGATTGATGAAATAAGTGTAGATCATTCAGATAATGAAATAAAGCGTCCATACTCCTCCAATAACTACATAAAATATTGCTTTAACTAAGTCATTTTCACACATTATTTCATTTAATTTACGCTGATAAATGGCATTTCAGGAGAATACAGTTTATTATTTAATTGACAAAAAAATTATTTATAATTATATATAGTATGAGCCTGTTTATAGATCTTTAAGGAATATTTTAAAATGACAAAAGAATTTTTCTTAAAGTTATTTTTCCTCAAAGTCGATATGGAGTCATGCACTAAATATAATCTATTGGATTTTTAAAAAATTAACTTATATATTTGGGCAAATATATCTCTAAAACGGCTTTTAAGCTGCCAGATTTACCATCAACTTGCAGAATTGATTTAGAACTAAATTCGGCAAATAAACTTCATGAGTAGAGAAAGCTGATAGCCGGGCGAGCTAAAAGTTGTTCTGAGCTATATATACATCCTATAAAATTTTATGCAGAAGCCCTTTGCAAAATGCTGAGCAATCTATAATTAATTTTTATGAAATGCTGCTCACACAAAATTTTCACAGCCTTCGCAAGAAATTCATTTTAGGATTATAGCTGATAAATACGAAAAATATTTTTCGATCTTTTTGGTGATTTTTTCAAGATTTTATAAATAAATAAGCAGTTAACCAACATTTTTAATTCTCAAATATTTTTGCCCATAACAAGTGCTTTAATCATATTTTCATAATTTCTTTACATTAGCAAATTCCATTTTATATCGTAATCAATGCTTTATAATAGGCTGGATTTCCATATGAGTGTTTTTATTTCATACGAAGAGCTTAAAGAGCTTAACCCAGAAAGCTACATGCTAATATATTGCCTCCCAAGGTCAAAAATCCCAGCACAGCATGTCCCAGGCTCATTTCTATTTTATATTGAAGATGATCCTGATCTATTTATAAAAGAATCAGCATCAGTTGAATTAGACTCAAATAAAGCAATAGTCTGTTACGGGACTGGTGACAGAATGGAATATTCCTGCAAAGCTTATTGAGGCTTCCGAGCAGCAGGGGCTACTAACATTCACGTGCTGTTAGGAGGTTTTAAGCTTTTCAAAAATACAAATATAGAACTCTCTGATGGCGCTCCCCCACTGCTAAAGAAACGGACTGGGAATAAATTGCAGTTTGACAGAAATTTAGTTATGACAAGTCAGGATTTTTTAAAAAAACAAGTAATTTACCATCAAATTTTTTACTTGGATGCTGTGCCTTTTAATATGATTGATATCAGAGGAAATATATACTTTTTAAGGTAAAATGAGCCTAATATTTAATTAATTTTGAAAAAAATTAATTTTTGTCAAGAAGCATACTAACGCAAAACCAGGTGTCACAAAATTTATCACAGCGAGGGTTTTCTATTATACCAGATAGGGCTGCGATTGTGCATGGAGCCATGGCTGGACTGCTTGCACTATTATTGAAATATTTAGACTATGAGTCTGTAGCAATTGTAATTGGAGATACAAAAACTATCACAGAAAAAGCGGAAACTAGCAGGCTAACTTATTCAGCCCATGAAGGCCAGAAAAACAACGATTCAAGCTTAGTTTCAAAGTCATTTTTAGGGATTGATATATCTCACTATACAACTCAGCTGCCAGAATCAGAGAAAATACAAGAATCAGGGAGAACAGAGCATACTTGTTATTGCACAGTCATGTAAATTATAAACGAAATATTATTGATATAAATTATAATGTTTTTATAATTTGGCAATAAAAATCTTTATTTTTTGGTCGTCAAAATGTTAATTTGGAAAATCTTCATGATATATTGCATTTGAAGTTTTAGTGTATAATGAGCATCATTGAGTTGGTGCAAATTTCTTCAATCTATGTATTTTACCTAACTCCCCCTTTAAATTGAAAATAAACTTTTAAATAGACAATTTTTAATTTTCAATAGAAAATTTTGCGGATGAAATTAATAATTTTTTTATATGACCTAATTTAATCAAGAGATTGGAAGTAGAATAAAATTTAAACAGTTAGCTCTGAATAAATTAGTGATTTGAAAAAAATCTAAATTTCTAAAAATTAGATTCAAACTTATTATTTTTTTTTTTTTTATTTTTCAAACACTTAAACTGGAGCAATTGGTCAGAAATATCTGGTTTCCCGCAGCAAAGGACTGAAGCAAAAATCCACTTATTTATGGCCTAGTTCAATGGACAGCTATTCATGCTTCTTTTTACCAGCAGCACTTGAACCAGCTGGCGCTGAAATGGAGCGGGGTGAATTACCTCGTATTCAGGCTATAGCTGTCTCTTATAATACATATTCTCTACTCATCTTTAACTTTACTCAATTATTATAAACATTGTTTTATCTTCTCATCTGAGGCGCAGATTGTTTTCTTTATGTCTTCACTTTAAAATATTCAAGCTATCTGGGCTTTGAGTTGAATTAGATTATGCATTATATTTACGCAATCTTAATTTCAAATGATGATAATCTATGTCTTAATTTCTGTTATCTGTGATTCTGCCCTATTAAGATGTTACCTTTCGTAAAAATTAATAGCTATTGTTTTAATAAAGAGATTTCTCCTTGAAATGCTTTAACGATTTCTTATTTAGAAAATATTGTGTCTCCTTTAATGTTCTATACGATGATAAATTTTCCCAAATGCTAAAGATGATGTAAAGTCTGTTTGCCGTACTAGTTAGTGTTCTTGATTCTAATGTAAATTGTTTATAATTAACTGATTAAATTAGATACTTTAAGATACGAAAAAAAGATGCTTTTTAATTTTGAATTTATATTAATTTTGATTTACCTTAATTTTCATAAATCATTTAATTATTTTTTTATGATATTATCATACAGTGATCAATCAAAATATTTAAGTCTGTGATTTGCATTTCTGATATAGTTATATATCTTCACAATGCTCAGGAAGTATATAATAACTATTGATAAATTTTAATAATCACGATTCTTATATACCAACTCCCCCATTCCTCCTCAAGCAATTCTTACTTACTTATAGAGAACTTATCTCAGTTATGTTAGTAAAAGCTGTCAGTGCATAGTCTCGAACTCCTGACATTGGGATTTATATTTAGGATAAAGATGGTGTGCTTCCTTATTTTTTCTAAAGCTTTTCATACTTATTATTAGAGATTTCAATTAATTAGCAATTTAAGTAATCACATCTATTTTTGAGATTTCTTAACAGATCAAAATCCGAGGTATCACTGATTTGGGGAAGTTGGAACCTGCTCTCTTGAGCTAAAGGAAGCAGACATTATTTTATTTCTCAAACATTTTTGAAGGTAAAGGACTGAAATTCAAGTTGCTGCGGCATCTTTTGCTTCAGTTCGGGAATTTTTCCGGTTTATTACTGCCATTGGTACCACCGGATTGCACACAACCGAATATTTGACAATCATCATCTCCTCTAACTCTTGGCGGAAGGGTAAATGTCTTCAAAACTAGGAAAATTTTCTACAATTCAGGATATAAAGCCTCTGTTCGGGGGAATTTTCTGTTATTTTTAGTGAAGGATCATCCCTCATTTTCTTCGGGAGCAATATTAATATTCTACTCTGGCTTTCTACGTGACGATAAATTTTTCCAAACGCTTGAAGTAATATCAAAGTCTATCTGCCAAGATAGTTGATGCTCGTATATTATTGTTTAAATTGTTTATAAATAACGGTTAAAATAGGATACTTTAAAGATACTTTATTTCTTAAAAATGCAACTTTAATTTGAATTTTGTTAGCTAAATTTTTATATATTTGTAAATAGTAAGGTAAATTCGGTTTATAATTAAAAATATGTGTCTAAAAGAATTATTATATTTTTGCAAGGATTGATATGGGTGTGTTTATTTCATATTGAAAAATTAACGAAAATTTTGTCATAAGCAGATTTGGAGTTAAATTAGATATCTTGAGTGTTGAAATCTAATATTTCTGCCAATTATTTTATCGTTTTGGGATCTTATTCGAATTTCTTTTTGCTCGAAACTTGAGGTTAAATCTTTTCTTTCTGAATTTCCATTCTAAATTTAAACAATTAATAAAAGGTAGAGCATCTAGCTTCATTTTTTGCTTTTAAATGCATAAGAGGCATGGTTTATGGCTTCAAAAGTTGATTAACTAAACAAAATTTTGTAGTTAAGAGATACAAAATTACCTTTTATCTAAATAAGGAGTCTTCTATTAACTCCCTCCTCCATAAATGAACAAAACAATTGAAAAAGTTTCTAATTTTTTAAAAAAAACTCTATGAGCGAGTAATAATTATTATAATGAATTTTAGTAATCTATTGAATTTTAAACGACCAAATTATTTTAATTTGTACTTTCATATATAAATTACTATAAAGTTTATATATAAAATTTTTTTAAAAAATAAATTACCTCAGCATACAATAATTAATGCTAAAAATTAGCAATTGATAAAATTTTTCGATAAGGGCAGAAATATTATCTCTTATAACTAAAATAATTTTTACATATTTTGGGGCAATTTTAAGTAATAATAAGTTAGCTTATGTCTTTTTGCTATAAATATAAATCTAGCCATCCGTTCGTAATCCTGAATTAAAGTTTATGAATTCATCTGTTTTCTCTAAATTTGCTGCTGCATTCTCTCCTCAAGAAAAATTAAACCAGATACTAAAGTTTAAATTTGCTTCTTTGCTGCACATTAGATACATCTTTTTAAGATATAGAAAGCCAAACAGCTTTAAAGTCTCTTTGCAGATCCAAGAAAATTTAAACCCATTTAATTCAAATTGTTTATAATTAACGATTAAAACAGTTAAAGATTAAATGTGGCTCTTGAAAGCAGCGAAAAAATTATTTTAGGAATTGATATCTCACTATAGAGCTCAGCTGCCAAATTTAAGAATCATTAGTTTTAGTGTGCAATCATGCAAAAAATAAACAAATTATTATTTATACACACTATAAATATTAAAATAAGTTTTTAAAATAATAAGCTTGCAAACTTTTATATCTAGCCTAGAAAAAATAGTAGACTGTCCCGTGCTGAAAAATCCTGAATCACTCCCAGCTTGTTATCCAACGGGAAATTGACAAATGTCTCATATTAAGTGGGCTTAGCAATCACCCTATATGACTCGTCATAACCAACTCAAGATTTTCCAGGACTCTTCTAGCTCAAGGCGATTAACTATCTTATCTAGGCTATAACTAGATCTTATAACAGAGATTCTTTATTTTCGCACAATTAATAACAATATTTCATAACCTTCACTTCTGAGACACTGATTGCTTTCCTTACGATTTATTTTTATAGTATTTTATAAGGCCTTGAAAAAATCAACTTTTAAATAAAAATCGCTATCTAAATTTTAAACTAAACCAGTCTGATCTCTTAATTTCTTAACTTTACGTTTCTTCCATTTCTATGAGTTTTTACTCTTTTATTGAAAATTTAATAATCACAGTTCATTGTTGCTAACAGTAACGCATTATAATGATTTTTTTCTCTGAAAGGGAAAAGTGATTACTTTCTAATATAATTTTTCTTTTCTAGTTTTTGATATTAACGATGCATCATTCCAAATTCTAAAGGTGATATTAAGAATATCTGCTTGGCTCACTGTGAGTTCTGTATTATAATTTAAATTGTTTATAATTAACCGACTAAATTAGATATTTTAGATACGAAATAAATTAAAGATGCTGAGATTTCCTTGAATATTCATAAATTTATTGAAAATAAAAATTATACTAATTAAATTTCTTATAGTATAGAATCAATATTAATGCTTTAGTCTGTAATTTGTATTTTGCAATGTATATATCTTCTTAATAAAATTATTGAAGAATTTAATTATTGATATTTTGACTTTTATGGCCTGAGCACGATTTTGGTATGGCTCCACAATTTTTCCCACGTGAAAATGTAATTGGCTCAACTAGTCAGACACAAATAAAATGGCAACGACACCGACCCGTCCTCTCCCGGAACTGAGGCGAGATTGGGGACCATGCTGCGGCCTGAAGCCAATCCGCCCAGGGAAAGGTCCTGAATGGGTACTGGTAGTTTGTGTCCGGCTAGGTTTCCCTCCCAGTCCAGCAACGGCGATCCTAGGGTCGTCCCGATAGGACACGGGGCACAAAGGGTTTTTCCTCTAGGGACCGCTAGTGCCAATTTGGAGGGCATGGCAGGAGCCGACAAGAGCTAAGGAGTTAATCCTTAGCTCTAACCCTAGTCTGGCGACGTGAAGCACGGTGACCCAGTCCGCCTACTTCCGGGATAGCACGGCCAAGCCCCATGACCGGAAGGAGCTGAGTGGTAGCCTGTGGCGCTTAGGTGCGCACTGGGAGTAGGGCAAGGAAAGCAAGCGAGGCGTCCAAAAGGCGGAAGAAAAGGACCTTCGGTCCTGGCCGGGAGCTACTCTATAAATTTAACTAAGACTAAGACTAAGGCTCAACTTCTCAAACCACTCTCAAAATGATAAAATCATTTGTTGTAGGGTTTCTGCCATTTGAGAAGTTTACTGAGCCAATCCGTCTTTTTCACGAAAAGATCGAGAGAGATATCAAAAAATGTAAAAAGAAGCATTAAATGCAATAGCAAGGCCCTTTCTACATAGTAGGTTTTTTTCATTGAAATATTTTTTCTGTCCATTTCCAGAGCTATTAGTAATGCGATATTCTAATTATAACTTGAGCACAATTTTTGGTTGGGTCTCCCTTATAAATTTAAACAAAGCAAAAAATACATTATTTATCCAAAAAATTGCACGCTAACCCAAAGGGAAACAATGAATATAATTGTTAATATATGAAAAGTTCTTATAAACTTTTATACAAAGCAAGTCTTTTAGCTCCTTCAAAATTTTATTATAAATTAATTAAATTTTAAGATGTGTCCCATAATAAAATATGCTCATAAAGGTGTTCATACATGAATAATAATCGAAAAAAATTAAAATCTGTTTCTGCTAATTTCAGTTCATTCTTTCCATAAAGTATATGAAATTTCCATACTTAAAGCTCTCGATGACTAAATAAAATGTTCATCAGTAGCGTAATCCTTTCCGGATTCGTTACTAGAGGATGATAACAACACACTGCTATTAGTGAGCACTGCGACTGTCTGATACATATCTCTAAATCTTCATAACTCATATAAATGGAATTAAGCTTTGAGTGTCCGATTTGCTTACTCCCCCCCCCCCCCCTCCGTGAGCGAACAAAAAAATTTTGTTCACTCACGGAGGGGGGTTAATTTTTTTTTTTAAAAAAAATTTATATATAAATTTTTTAAAAAATATTTTTTTCGAAATTTAAAAAAATCCTAATTTGCAAAAATTGGGAAAGCAAATATTAATTTAATTTGCAAAATTTTTGTTTAAAAACGCAATTTGTTTAAAATTAAACAGAATTAGCTCTAGATTTCATTATACTAATTATCACTTATATATCAAAATTTTTTTCCATTAAAATTTTTTCTATTAAAAAAATTTTTGTTCGCTCACGGAGGGTGGGTTTTTGGTCAAAAAATGGTGATTTTTCTAATGGTTTTGTTCGCTCACGGAGGGGGGGGGGGGAGTTAGAAGAATACAATTCTGAGTGTAAGCCACTTATTATGCCATGTGGGCATAATGCATGCATCGAATGCCTTACAGGGCTAGCCAGATCAGGCTCAATAGCATGCCCTACTTGTCGAACCACTCATAATAACGTCAATGTCAACACATTAACAGTGAATTATGCACTCATCCCTTCAAGCCCAGGAAAATCCAAAGGCAGTTCCACAAAGCAATACATCTTAGATCACATGGAAACAATCCAGCAACAGCTTAGCACACTTCAAAAAGCAGACTCCACACTTAGAAATGATTATGATGCCGCTCAAGGTTACAATAGACGCTGCCGAGATGACTCAAATGATAAAATTGACTTATTAATCACTACCTTGCAAAATCTAAAGAAAAAATTCAACACTTTGATTGAAGAAAGTGAGAGGGTTAACGAGCAAAATTTAACTCAAAGAATTAATGCCATACAAATCAAACTTGAGGAAAGAAATGCATTGATGACAGATTTACAAGGAGCTTATAGTGATGGAAGTGAGCTTAGTGCGCAGTCAAAAATAAATTTAAGAAACCTTCATGATGTGCCAAACCTAGAAACGCAGTTTACATATTACAAATACTCTGAACATCCAGACCCAACTTTTTCACAACTTTTATACAGTTTAAGATTATTTAAATCAAAAAAAAATATTATGATTTCTGAATTTATTTAAGCTAAAAAAGTATAAATAATACAGGAGGATCAATTGCTGCAGAAAAAATCATTTCATTAGAAGAAACTAAGCCACCACAGCCGGTAGTCCAGCCAGTCCCTGAGAATAAGCCAGTAGTCCAGCCAGTCCCTGAGAATAAAGTTGCACCAAAAGGAAGGGTAGTTGCGCCTAAAAAATTTGCCCAAGCTAAAGAAGAAGAAAAAGCTGCGAACCCTATTCAGCCCAGACAGAAATTTGCTGAGAAGCCAGGGTTAACAGGATGGCTTGTCCAAAACAGGTTTTCTGTTTTTGAGCCTGTAGAACCATGGATGAGTGCTCAGCTAGAGGATGGCAGACGTCAAGGAAAAGTCGAATTTGAGATTATTGATCCTAACTCCTCCCTCCTTAAGCGAACACAGTTTACCCAAAAAAATAAAGATTATCAAAATGGTTTTTTTTTCGCTTACGGAGGGAGTGGAGTAAAGGAAATCCGATTTATAAGGTTAATTTATTTGAGCAGAAGAGCTATAGATGACACCCAAAGACCAAAAACTACAGCTGTCCTAGAAAATTAGAATACCGTCCCTAAATATAGGAGTTTTCCCTATATGGCCCGATAAGGGCCGTGGGTTCTCCGTAGAATCCCTCTGCTGGTTGAACCAACCAGTGAATTGGTCAAACCAACGCACTGAGTTGGTTTGACCAACAGAGGGATTCCACGGAGAACCCACGGCCCTTATCGGGCTATATAGGGAAAACTCCTATAACTATTATTTGCATAATTTTTATTAATTTTTATCTAAAAATGTCAAGTGATGATTACTACTCACTGCTTGGCGTCCACCCAGACGCGACTCCTGACGAAATAAAAGAGAGCTTCCAAAACCTCAGTTTGCTAACACACCCTGACAAGCAGCCAGTTCATTTGCGAGAAAATGCCCAACAGTCTTTTAATAAGCTTTTAGAAGCCAGAGATGTCCTTTTAGACCAAGCCAAAAGATTTGCATATGATCGATATGGGCAGGCTGGGGTCGATTTATTGAAAAATAAAAACTATGCGATACAGACACTAGATGATCAGCATAAATTAGATAGGAAATTAAAAGGATGGATTAAACTTCTAAAAGAACAAGAAATCAGGGCAGAGTTAAACCCAAAATCTTCAGCTATTATGGCTTTGACTTGCGCTAAATATATAGACTCGTTAGATCACACTTATTATAAACAAAAAGAAATCCCTGTGAAGCCTTCATTAAGGCTGGAGTCTTTACAATTGCAGGAATCAGTTAAATATGATTTTACTGAAAATGTGTCAGGGAATATAGGATTTATGATATATACTAAAGGAGGGTTTGGATTCAGCACCATAATGCCGAATATTATGTGGAGGTGGAAAGACTATGTGGCACAAGCACAAGTCCAAGTAGGAGATAGAAATGCCTGCGCAGTCTCAATTATTGTATTTTCTTATGAATTTATTTTTTTATAAAAAATAATTAAAAAAAAATGAAATATATATGAAAAAAAATACAAAAAATTTTGAAAAAATGTCAATTGTAGGGCAAGTTAATGTGCTTAATGGAGGAGCGCTTGGGACACTTATGATACAAAGGAGGATTTCTGATACTTGTTATAGCGATTTAAAGCTTCAGCAAGGACTCACAAATTCATTTGAAGCAGGAGTACACAAAAATTTTGGGGAGAAGAAAAAAGTTAGTTTGAAATCAAATGTAAATCAGTCGGATTTGTCAATTGGAGTTTCAGGGTCATATAAATTGAATAAACAGACAGTGCTTAAATCTGGGGTTGATTTAGTTATGAACACTCCAGAAAATTCTCTAAAATTACACACATCACTCGGCGTCCTCTTACAGCTCAGCAAACAAACAGCTATGGGCTATAGCCTCGAAACTCAAGGTGAAGACGTCCTTTTTGTCACAAAAATAAAGCGCGGGCACATAAACTTCGAAATCCCTCTGTACCTTTCTCACGCAATGTCTTACAAAGGCTGACTGATTGGTGCAGCATGTGTACTATTTGGGTCATTTTTGACCAAAAAGATATACAGCGTTCTCTATAAAAATCCTAAAGCTCAGCTGAAAAAGGAGAAAGAAAGCGAAATTGAAGAAAAAAAGTTCCTACATAGGCAAGAGCTCTTAAGTATAATTCCAAATGCAAAAAGGATGGCTGATGAAGAAGCAGCGAAAAAAGGATTAGTAGTTATAGAAGCATTCTATGGTAAAAGTGACATAATTGAGAAAGTAAGAAGAAATGAGGAAAATAACAGTGAGGAAATTCTTGATGTCAAGTATCTTATAGAGTAAATAAATGAATTAATATAATCATTAATAAGAAATTAGCTGATAATATTTAATTTAATGAAGAATATACAACATTTAGTAGAAAATTCCAAGCTGAATTTGTCAAACACGACAAAGTCAACTTTGCCTGGGTTTTATAACCCTTGCGTTGATGCCTCTGTGAAGCCTTATTTGTATATTAAATACTCGTATGGAGATGCTATTGACATGGTGATTGCTAAAGATGAAGATGCAATAAATATTCCTATTTAAGCTTTATTAAGAATTATTATACTCTTAATTATATGTCAGGGATTTCGTTCAAAATTCTTTTTCTTTCCAGAGGATGTGCGTTATATGCTCTGAATAAGTTATAAAGCATAGACTGAATTTATGCAAATATTTATGCTCAAATTTTTATTTATTATAGAAAAAGGAGTTTAATTATAATATATTACTCCCCCCCCCCCTCCGTGAGCGAACAAAAAAATTTTGTTCGCTCACGGAGGGGGGTTAATTTTTTTTTTTAAAAAAAAATTTATATATAAATTTTATAAAAAATATTTTTTTTTCGAAATTTAAAAAAATCCTAATTTGCAAAAATTGGGAAGCAAATATTAATTTAATTTGCAAAATTTATGTTTTAAAAAACGCAATTTGTTTAAAATTAAACAGAATTAGCTCTAGATTTCATTATACTAATTATCACTTATATATCAAAATTTTTTTCCATTAAAATTTTTTCTATTAAAAAAATTTTTGTTCACTCACGGAGGGTGGGTTTTTGGTCAAAAAATGGCGATTTTTCTAATGGTTTTGTTCGCTCACGGAGGGGGGGGGGGGGAGTTAGTAAAATCTTGCTTAATGGAGAATAAAGAAATAAAAAACTAATGGAATTGATAAAATACCCGCAATTATTCAGTAAGGGAGACCTTCTGCTATAAATTTTGCTTTGGCTTGTGCTACAATGCCTATAATAATTAATGAAACGACTGCTATACTCAATGAAATAGTAAGAATAATTTTTCCATAAGGGAATTCATAGCTGTCAACCTCTATACTTTCGCCGTCCTCAACTTCAAAACTTTCTGCTAAAATTTCTTTATTCCCTCCTTAAAAACAAAGCAAAACTTATATTTGAGAAAATAATTTTTTTAAGCTAGCAGAGAATATGGTATTATAATATAACAATTTATATAGAAAAAATAATAATTTGAACACATAATAATGAAATTCCAGCTCGGAAAAAATTAGATAAGCTATATGAGCAAGATTTTACGTTTCAAATAACTACAATTTTTTAAAAAAAATTAAGCCCACTAGCAAGCAAAATCTTACTCGGTAACAAAGCGGAAGCTAGCAATGTCTGGTGGGACTAAGATCTCTGGCTCAGATTTTGTGACAGAGTCATCTTTCGAGTCCATTAATTAGATTTTATTTTAGGACTATTTAAATTTAATAATGAACATTTTATAAAATGGGATATAATAAGTAACACTTAAGAGGTAGGAGATATAAAGAATTATTTTATTTTTTGAGAAATAGAATACAAATTTAGGACACGCTGAGGAAAACTGTGAAAAAATGATTTTATATCGGTTTTAGGAAAAATTAATAGATTTCCTAATAAAGAAAAGAATATAAGCATTATCTTTAAATGAGGAGGAATTATAAATTTTATATTTTAAGATAAGTTTTATAACACTTAAGCCAATTAGAATTTGCATTTTGCTACATAAAGTGGCATCAAGCTTAAGATCTTACAAAGCAATATTTTGAAAATTATACTTTAAAACATACAAATTATGCATCCTTTCATTAATTAATTACCGAAAGACAATTGTATGCGAGAGCTCATCAGCTTTTTCTTGCCCATACAAGGCCTCAACAAGTTTAAGTGCAAACTCCATAGCAGTCCCAGGCCCTTTGCTTGTAATGCACTTATTGCTTACCACAACTCTATCATGCACCCTTGACTTATTATGAAGCTGTTTTTCACAGCTTGGATAGCAAGTTCCAACTTCTCCTTCTAATAAACCATGGGTTTCAAATACAAGAGCAGGGGCAGCACAAATTGCTGCATACCATTTTTGGCTTTGTTTTTGCCTTCTTACTCCCCTCCATGAGAGAACAAAAAATTTTGATATATAAGTGGTAATTATTATAATGAAATCTCTAGCTAATTCTGTTAAAATTTAAACAGCTTGCTTTAAATATAACCTTTTACAAATTAATAATTGCTTTGAATTATTCGAATTAGGATTTTTTAAATTTCGAAAAAAAAAATATATATAATTTTTTAAAAAAAGAAATTAAACCCCTCTCCATGAGCGAACAAAATGTTTTTATTCACTCGAGGAGAAGGGAGAGCTAGCATCTCTATAAGTATCGGATCATCCCTTAAGTTTCCAGTCCCAGGGCCTCCAGGTACGACAATCATATGAAATTTTATTTAATTCGAAAATTGTTTTATTAAGCAAAATCTATACTTATGCATGAAAAAAAATTATGTATTTTTAATATCAATAAGTTATTTAGCATTAACTACATATCAAAATCTTGGTTGCTTACATTTGAGATCAGATCATCTGCAATGATTCTGACGCCTTTTCCAAGAGTTACTTCAAGAGAATTTCCTGATGCAGCTAAGACGACTTCTGCTTGGCATCTTCTTAATAAATCTAAAGGAGTCAGCAATTCAATTTCTTCGGAACCATTAGTCACTGCGACTAAAACTCTTACCATGCTGCGCTTAATAAATCTAATCATTTTTCAGATGATGAATAAATAGACATAATTTCGAAATTTTATATATTTAATATAGCAATTGCCCGAGGATGGCGCTATCTTGCGCCATCCTCGGGCAATTCCTATATATTCTACTTAAAATAGTCATCTGTTTTTATAGAAAATAAAGTGTCATCTTTACCAAGTAGATTAAAAATTTCTAAAAAATTGACTTCTGTATTAAGCTGTATGTTGGAACCAGAAAATGATCTGTTAATTTTATTCATACTCAATGCAGATCAGAAAATTAAAATTCAGATCAGACTTCAAAATATATCAGAAGAAATAATTTTTTCCAGATTAAAGAAAGGTCAGACTTTAAGTTCTAATTGCTGTAATTGAATTAATTAATACTTGCGGAGACAAACAAAAGCTCAATTTTTATAAAATTTATATTAGAAAGTTTTAAATGCTAAATAGGTCTAATTTAATATAGAATCCTTCGAAAATTGGTTGTTTATTGGAGTTTCCGCTAGTTATGAGAAAAATCAGCCAATCTTTTATATAAATGACCAAGAAACTGTAAGTTCAGTTACTGATAAATTTACCATTTTTTAAAATAACTTATAAAAATCCTGAATGAAACATTTGCTAGCACCTTAGCCCATAAAAATTTAATAAAATATCCTCCAGGCACCAGCCACATTTATATTGGAACAGTTTTTTGTTCCAATTAAAGAGGGAGTAAGATAAATTAATTATAATAAAACCATTATTAAATCATTATAATTTGCTTTCGAAATTATTGCGAATCAGTATTAATATAAAAAGGACCTTTAGTATTGATATCTGTGCTTCCAAGACTATATACTCTCTCGTCATTTATGTTTTCAGGCGTTCTTCCTTCAAAATAAGCCATATTAACAGTTATCTCCTCAGCATCCTCTTTAGGCTTGGATGATATACTACATTACAATTTTTTTAAAACCAAATTTAACGCTAATTCAAATATGCGTTCTATTTTTAAGCATGCAAACTCATAAAAAATAACACACATAAAATCATTTTAAGCAAAATTTTATATAAACTATATTTGACTTGATAAAATAATCCTTCTCCTGGCTTTTGTAAATTTATTTGCAAAATTTTTCATGAATCATTCTTTAAATTGTTTTATTCCTCTTATTAAATTTGTGGCTTGAACTATAAGTATTGCTATGATATGGAACAGCAGGGACATACTCAATAATGATATTATAGCCCAGCCAATATTTGTACGATAATCATCTGATATTTTATCATCTAAAAATTTTAACATCAAGCAATGTGAAATAAAATAAAAAAGTTCGCAAGATATATGCAAGCCATTTCCTAAATACAAATTTTGATATGGTCTTAATAAAATTAGGAAACTTGTATAGCATCTGAATAGTAATAGATTCCTTTAGCAATAATTTGCCAAAGTAAAAGATATAAGATTTCCAATTTGTAAAAAGGGGTTCATAGGTAATTTTTGAAATAAAATTTCGCATATGGAGTCTGCATATTTGATAATTCCATAACACAATATTAAAATGGCAGTTAAGAGATAAGTCCTTTATACCTGGTCCGCAGTAGGGTCCTATACCCTAGCTTATGTGGCAGAGGTCGATCCTCTTGAGAGTCTAGAGTGAAGTGAAGGTCAATGCTGAGTCTGGAGTTAATCAGAGAAGTCTGGAGTGACTTATTAACATTAACGGTTTGACGGTTAGGAAGGTCCACCTACCGTTATTCAGAGCTGTTAATTAAGTTTGACCTCACTGAAGGGGACTGTATACAAAGAGATTTCTATTAAAGTTAAAGTTAAATTCCATAAGTCGAGTTCTAATTCACGTGTGGACCTTTTTTTTACAAAATAAAAAGATATATTAGATCATCAAAAATGTAAGACTATTTCTCTCGGAAGCAATAAGGTTTATCCACATATATATGTAAATGATAAAATGAGCGAAAGTGCCATTTGTATAATTGCATAATCATATAAAAATGCACAGAAAACAACAAATAGCACTCTTCGGGAGTTTTGAAATATAAGAAAAGAGACTTTAAGTCTAGAATCTCTTTTAAATCCTTCATATAAGGTTCCAAAATGTTGTTCATGCATCTTCATATTGAGTGTTTCTTTAGATTTCAAAGTAACTTGCCAAATTATTAGCGCAAAGGTTGAGGCAAGGTAAACTATTATTAAAACACTCAAAGTTAAAGAGAGATACCCTATATCTTGGCTTGGTTGTGAAAATTCTCTTAATTGGAGAAATGCTGAAAGAGTGATTTCGAGAAAAGACTCAATTCCTATTCTGAGTAAAATTGAAAAAAAATATAATTTTTTGATTTTTTTAATTAATGAGAATCTTGGACAGAGCTTATATAAAAACAAAGAAATTGGAAGTCCTGCCAAAATAATAGCTCAGGCTAATATAAATTGACCAGAGTTCATAAGAAAATCAGTATTAAAATTTTGTTCTACAAATTTATGTGGAGGATCTGAAAATGGATCACTTTTTACTAACTTCTCCAAGGAAAAAAAATAGCCTATATTATAAATATTCTTTATAGTTAAATTCTTTCATTTTTTCAAATAGCCCAGACATAAACTTAATCCCAATAGCAGCTTCATTAAAACAATCTTTTTTATTGTAATTTCATATAAAATCCATTATATCATTAATAATAAGCAAAAATATATATATTATTCATTTGAAGTAAGTAAAGCTGGAAAGGATTTGGTAAAAAATTCCCATTTGCAGCACCAAGCGCTTCTAAATACGAGAGAAGATTATCTGGGTATTCCGGGGATAAAAATATCAAATAATTTTGGATTTGCATTATTTCAATCATATTCCAAAAAGCTTGAAAATTAAAAGATCCCATAAAAATCCCTGCTGATAAAGATCCTAAAACAGAACTAGCAGCAGTTATTGTTGTTGCGGTTATAAATTGATTAGAATAGAGTTATAGCGGGTCGCAGGGGTTTATTTCAGCCCCTCACCGTCCAACGGATAGCTTCGCAGTGACGCTAAGCGCTATCCTCACACCACCTTTTTCCCTTCTGACGTCACCAAAAAATGGTGACGTCGAAGGTCTTCGGGGAAGCCACCCCACCCGGTCGGGGTCTCCGAATCTCAGCAGAAAACTCCTTTAACCTCTGACAGGGCTCAGAGTATAGGGGAAACGCCTTCTGCCTTCTCCATGGCCTGTCAGAACCATATCACAGGCTCAATAATGCTCCCATGGAGAGGTATCGGGATTTTGCGCCAGTAGGGTCATCTTGCAGGTAAGGAAAAAAGACAAGGGTCAGCCCCAGGTCAAAAACCCACCCCGGAGAACTTCGCCATGTGGCTCGCCTTTCCTGGGCCTGGATCAACTCACAGGTCACCAGGAGTCCACATCAGATCACGTCATTTTAATAATTCTGGTTATAACTGAAGATTTGATTGCTTGACCAGTTGTATATGCAAAAGATTCAAGCAAATTTGTAGACACTAAATCCCCCAGTTCGTGAGCGAACAAAAAAAATTTTATTCGCTTTTTTATATATATAAAATTTTAGTAAATTGGAAAGCAAAAATTAATTTAATTTGTAAATTTATGATTTAAAATCAAGCATTTTAAAATTCAACAAAATTAGTGTAGGATTTCATTATATTAATTATCACTTATATATCAAATATTTTTTCAGAAAAATTTTTATATTAAAATGTCTTGTTAGTGGTTTTTACCGAAAAATAGGCATTTTCCACTGGCTTAATTTGCTCACGTTGGGGAGTGAGCTCTCTTTCATTTCATTTCCATTGAAATCAGCTATCGAGCTTGGATTTTTAAATATAACTTTTACACTAGTTCCTGCAGACACACTTTCATGCATACTTAAAGTGATGATAAATAAAGAATTTTTTTCAGTTATCGACCAGCTGAATTTTAATATACTTTCGATTTCTATATCAATATTTTTCGAGATTTCAGAAGTAAAAACTACAGGCTCGCTGAATAATAAAGAAAGAAGGTAGCATTTACTCTCTTCACTTACTCAGCCTCAATTAATAAGAACCAAGCCTTACATTTTTCATTTTTAAAAACCTAGAGTTTTTATAATTATGCAAAATAAAATTAATTTAAATTTTTTTAATTATTTTTTTTGTCAATAAAACAAAAATTTCATTATTAATTGAAAGCAAGTTTAGATACATAAGAATTGGTAAAGGAGGGGTTATATCCTTACATACATCAGGAGAGTTTGAGCTTCCTCCAAAGCAAGACCATCCAGTTTCTACTGCACAGCTAGATGAGCAGCCATCTCCATTAGCATTATTTACATCATCGCATTGAGCTTGCCCCATATTTCTTCCATCTCCACAAATTTCAATACAATTATAAGCTAATTGAGACAATAAATCTTCAGAAAAATATGAGACCGGAATTGCAAAATAATTAGAATAGCCTTCAAACGAATCACAAGGATAGCATTTATTTGAGCCATAGAGAATAGGCAAGCTTGGAACGCAAGAAGTACAGTTTGAAGAAATACCTGAACAAGTCATGCATGAGCTGTCACATTTTAAGCATTTATTTGAAGAATCAAAAAAATACCCATTCATGCAGGCACATTTTCCTTTATTATTTGTAAAACTGCTTTTGCATACAATGCAGGAATCTCCATCATTGCATCTAAGGCAATTGTTAGAGCAGCTGAGGCATTTTTGAGCATTAAAATCGAGATAAAATCCATCTCCACATTTATTTACGCACTCATTATCCTGTTTAATATATCCGCCCTGGCATTTGCATTTTCCATCTATTAAAATGGCATTAGCAATGCACTGTATGCAAGCCCCGATTTCATATGTAGTGCATTTATAGCATAAATCATCGTAGCAAAGATTGCAAGTATCAGCTCTGGAGCATGTTCATGAGCATTTACTTAGACATTTTTGACAGTTTCCATTCTCATCTACATACTCATCTTGACCACAAGTTGGCAAGCAAGAATTTAAGACTCCTGGACAAGCAGAACAAGAAGTGCAAGTGCCTAAACCTGCTATGATTTCACTATAGCTTTTTCCATAGTTATACATAGAAAAACTGTACATATATCCAATAAACCCACAGCCTCCTTGGATATCATTACCAATATGGTAAGTCATGTTAACTACTTCTTTATAATAGCTTGTGATAATTTCTTGGTAGTAATTTCTATTTCTTGAAATTATAACTTTGCTTGTTTTAGATAAATGATCAAAAGACAAAGAAAAAGATAAAAGTTCCCATTCTCTTGTATTTGCATTTGCAGATGGTAAAACTAGTTCTTGTAACTCTGCCCTTGTGTGAGCAAACAAAAATTTTTTTTAAAAAATATTTTGATGCATAAGTGATAATTATTATCATGAAAATTCTAGCTAATTCTGTTTAATTTAAGCAGCTGCATTTTAAAAAACATAATAAATTTTACAAATTAAATTAATATTTGATTTAAAATTATTTAGAATACGGATTTTTTTAAATTTTGAAATATAATTTTTGATAAAATTTATAAAATTTTAAAAAAAAAATGTTTTTTGTTCGCTCATGGAGGGAAGTGAGCTATTTTCTTTATTTGTAATTGAAAATTTAAGAGCTCTTTTTTCTATAAAAATTCGTAAAAATTCAATAAGATAAAAATTTTTTTGAACAGTATTATCGTAAAAGCTATGAACTGCACCAAATTTTAATGCTGTGAAAAGTATACCTTCTGAAGAAAATGATAAGGCCCATACTTCTATTGTAAAATCAGAACTAAATATGCCAGATTGGTAAGTTTTATCTATTGCTATATATGAAAATTCCTTGAAGTAAATTCCTCTTTTATTAGCAGGATAAGGATCTATATAATCAAAATCTGGGTAATAATCTATATAATTACCAAATTTTGCATTTAAAGCAGAAATATCAAAATTTTCTAATAATTTATCATCAAAATTTAAGCTCCCAATGCTTCCTGGGGTGCCTTTGCACTGATTAAGAGAGTAATCTCATGCATAGCCTAATGGACAATAATCAAAGCACATAGAGGGGTTGCCAGGCTGAGCAAAATATCCATTTGCACAGCTTAAACAATTAGATTCTGTATCACCAGAGCTGCATGCTGCGCATGAATAATGGCATTCTATTTATTAATTACTTTGGCAAATTCCATTTTTAAGAAAATACCCAATTTCGCACATATCACAGTACCATATTGATGCCCACAATAAGCAGTGTGGATCAAGATAAATAGCTGCGCTATATATATTGTTATTATACTGCAGTAAAGTTGCATCTATAAAATTGCTTGGATAAAATCGAAAATCTGCATAGTCTCCAGGAGAAATTGTATCGTTAAAACCACCGATATATATATCCATATCAGTACTATCAAATGGTAAAGCCGCATAAGTGTAAGTAACAGATGATGAAATTAGCGGAAAAAGTGATGACGGTGGATTAATGCCGTTTTGGCTATAAAGGGTCAATAATTTAGAGCCAGAGTTAAGAGTGATAGCAAAAAAGAACCAGTTTCCAATATAGCTTGAACTAGTTATTGATACTGAGTCATATGCATGATTAGTGCCATCAGTGCTATATATTGTTGCTTCCAGCTTATCACAGTCAGAAGAAGATGAGCTTAGAGCTAACTCAATATAGACCTTAAATAATTTTTTGCTATATATCATTAAGAATGTAAAACCTCCCAATGGACATGGCTCAAATTGAAACCATCCTGTAATTGAAAAATCGTTTCATAATAAGATTAGATTAATGATGCTGCTTGCAGTCCTCACTTTCTGAGCAAAAACGCTAGCTATTATGTGGACTTCCTCAGGGCAACTTTAGTCCAGGAAGAAACCCCCAGTTTCTCGGTAGCCAATCTATCTGCAAAAATACGAACCTCTATTTCTAACCCAAAAGTGCCAGTATTGCTCAACCCTGATTAGTTTAGGCCCAGATTGCACCTTACTTGGGACCCTTTTCAAGTGGAGAGACTTTTGCCCTTGAGATTTTTGTAAGCATGCCTTCCATTTTCACCTTGATTAGCTCAAAAAGAAAAAACTCAGCAGCTTATACCACTCGGGGTAGTCTCCAAGCAGCCTGACAGACAAGTAGCCCTGATTCTATCGTATACCCCCAGGCTTGGGGCTGCTAGCAAAAAAAAACTTCCGACCAGGCCACTGCAGAAATAGCACTAGACTTCTCGCCTCGAGGCTAATCCATCCTTTGCATCAAAAAAAGTCTGGATATGTATAAGAGCCCAGCTACAGGAGGAAACGTATTTTTTAATTTATATTAAGAAATATTTTTCATAATGATGGGCTTATATCATAATAAATCCAAGAAGCGGTATCAAAAGTATAAAATTTATCATCTATTGTCAAATAGGGAGTATTTGAATACAAAACAGGCTCAAACAAAGGAAAAAATCTTTCCGCTTCTGAAGCGCACCATTGATCACATTTTCCATAATCTATGCTTGGGAATAAACTTGTACAACTAACTGCTGCACAAGATGAGGAATATTGCAGCTTTCAGTCAGAAACTTCATTGTAAATATTATTATGGATCCTAAAATCGCCAATTCTTCCTCATATATACATATTTTTTCCCAATATTAAAAATGAGTTTACTGGTATAGAGTGATAACGCTTATAGATCGACACTGACTCCTCCCACTTCAAATTTCAATTTAGACGAAACAGAAAAAATGAATTTACTCATCAAGCTCATAATGATAAACTTGCCATTTTGTTTTTAAATTAAAAGTTCTAGCCATAGCTGCTCACGAAGTATATTGAAATTTCTACATAGAAAAATCCTGATGTATAAAATTCTGAGCCTAAATTATTGTAGTAAAAAAGGCAGGACTTATTTTCAAAGCCAGCTGATATTCCTATAAATATTCAATTTTCAGAAGATTCCTAAATAAAACAAAAAATAAAATGGTGACGTTGACGGAAGCAGGACTCCGAGGCGCACCTCCTATGGAACTGGTCGGACCCATTTCTGATGAAGCTGAAATATAGGGCCTCGTTCCCTGTCTTAAGTAGGCCTTGAGAGGTGGGGAAGCCGTACCGAAAAGGAAGTTTTATTTCTTCCCCGAAGGTTTTCCTGTCCCTGCCAGATGGACTAGACAGGTTTTGCCTACCGCATGGTCTTCTTTCATCGGGACCATCGGGGCACTCACTCAAGAGTGGTTCTGCCCAGAGGAGCTGATCCTCTGGACAGGTGGTTCAGACCAGAAATCATGATGGCGTCGGGCCTGGGAGTATGGTCGCATCAGAACCCGACCTGGAGTCGTCTTTCGAGCTGAGGTGTCGTGGTCCGCTGGTTCGCCCACGTATGGCCGTATAAAACTAACTAACTAAATAAATAAATAAAACATACATAAGGTAAAGTTAATAGTGAAAAACCATAACTATCAGCACTAAGCCATTCCAGTTTTAAAACATGAAATAAATAGGAAAGACTAACAAAAATTCCACCTCTTGTCATTGTATTTTCTTCAGCTTTAGGTAGACGGATTGTAAATATTGGCCCACTTGCCACTTCAGGTAGTTTAACCCAAAGAGAGATGCCGAATTTTTGTTGAATTTGGTCTCCTGATAAAAATGATTCAGTCATTTTGATTTCTAAACCAGCGGATTCACCGAAAAATAGAGAGTATTGAGGCGGAAGTATAGAATAGACACTTGGACTGGTTTCTGCACTGAAGCAGACAAAGAAAAAAAGAAGAAAAACCAAAAAGCCCATTGTGGTCATTTTATTAATTTTATTGGCTCAAACTAGCAAAATGCTAAAAAGGGCCTATTTATAATTATAAAAATTCTTATCTATAAATTATTGATACTTCTATATAGCTCCTATCGGATTAAAGCTATTATCACAGCATGCATGATATATAAAGTAAATTTGCAGAAAATTTTAAGAAAATTTTGGAATAATAAATATGATACTATACATTTCTGATTGAAGCATTTTAGCCTGTTGAAAAGGGCGTTTACAATGAGAAAACTGATTTAGAGAGGCAAATCCTTATCACAGAGCCTTTATAATAAAAGAAAAGTCAGGCAGGATTGTAGAGTAGTAGCCCTTATGCAACAAAAAATATTTTTATATTGAACCATGATTTCACCTGAAGGTAATTATAGTGACTTACACTATCTAGAACGGGAATTTTGGCGGTAGACTATCAAAAAAAGCCCTGTTCTAGATAGTGTAAGTCACTATAAATTCGAAAAGTTTGCAAAGGCTTAAAACTTCACTCAATTAATTTCCTTCTTCAATAATGCAAAAATAATCGAATTAATCCTGCTTGATATCCATCTTAAATTATTTCTACTAATAAATGGTGTAATAAGAAAAATCGCTTAAAATCCTTTAAAACCTCATAACTAATATTAAACTACTTCTAATGTTTTAGCATTCTCTCTACTTTACGTCTTCTTTTCGTCATAATAAATGATATTTTATAACAAAATATTAAGTATTTCTGCAGCCGAGCTAGAGTATTTAATAACCTCAGACAAGAAGAAGCAGCTTTGCAGGACTATAATAAGGCTGATAATTTGAAGCAAGAAAATCAGGCAAGGATGAAATTTTTCTGAAATGATATCAATTTTATTAGCGGCGTATTAGTCCGAGACCGTATTGAGCTGCTCCAAAAAAATGCAGATAAATTTGGTTATGATAAGCAAACATTATAATTATATATGCTTAAAATCTATAGAAAACAATTTGTAATAAAATTTTAGTATATTATTTGTGAGCGTTTTTCAGAATATTTGCTTCTTTATAGATTCATCAGCTTCTTCGCTATGATTAATTTTCGACAGGCATTTTCTTTATTTATATATATTTCTATTATTTGGATTAATTCTAATTGCATCATTGTAATATATTAGTGCCTCTTCATATCTACCTTCACTTAGGAATGAATAAAAATATCAATTAATAAAAACAAAGAAATTAAATACAAAAATTTTTAAGTCTATAATATATATGGTTTGGGTGTTTCTTCTTTTCTTTCTCCAACTTGGCATAAATGCAATTTCAAGCGTTTCCTCAGTCTTCCCACCTCAATACTCTCAATATTTAGATTGAAATACTAATATTGACATAAAGCTTACAGAAGCAATCTTGTCTGGTGAAGAAATTCAGCCAAGCTTTGGAATTTCCTTTTGGATCAAAATATATGATATAAAAAGCGACCAATTTATATTTTTAATAGACCAATCAAAGTCGAAATCCAAATCAAATTGAAAATTTAACAATTATCTTGGCCTTAAATATTCATATTTGTTGCCATCATCATCTTTTTATTTCTTTTTAGAGTGGGCACAAGAAAATGCTGGTCCCTCATCAATTTTGAAGCTATCTTATGTAAAAATAACATAGACTCCTTCTGATAACTGGATATTTATCGGAATATCTGCAAGCACTGAAAATAAATCATGCCTTTTTTATTATAATAATTTTGGAACTGAGTCTTACATTTCAGAAGATTTTGATATAGAAACATCAATACCTGTCAACTCACACTTGCGAATTTTAGAATTTGACTCTTTCCAAGTAAGAATTAGCGATTTTAGAATCCACAATAACATTTACAATGAATTTTATGACTGAAGACTGCAATATTCCTCATCTTGTGCAGGAGTAAGCTGTGCAAGTTTGTTTCCAAGCATAGATTATGGAAAATGTGACCAATGGTGCGCTTCACAAACTGAATGGTTTTTCCCTTTATTTGAGCCAAAATTATATGCAAATGCGCCTTATTTGTCTTCAAATGATTTGCCATATTATTTTCATAGCCAATCTTTTGTATATAATGATGTTTCTGTGCCTACAATTGGATGAAGCGACTATTCAATTACAGGCTGGTTTCAATTTTCTATATGCAAAGAGCCAACTTTTTTTCAAATTGAAAAATCCCATAAGACATATTTGCAAGTAAATTTGGCGACTAGTGCAAGCAATTGTGATATGATGAAAGCTAAAATATATAGCACAGATGGGACTAATATAGCTTATGATTCGACTGCCATTAATGGGGCCAATTATATTGGGAATTGGATTTTCTTTGCTGTCACTATTAATTCTAGTTCTAAATTGTTAAAGATTTATACCCAAAGTAGTCCTAACCCTCCATCGGCTACTTACCCTCTTGTTTCATCTTCAATTACTTATACATATACAGCACCAGCTTTTACTTCTGATAAAGGTATATATATTGGAGGAACTCCGAAGCAAAAATATCCAGGAAATTATGCAGACTTTCGATTTTATCCTGGAAACAGCATAGATGCTACTTTAATTGAATATAATAACAACATATATAGCGCTGCTACCTATCTTGATCCTTATTGCACATCATGATCCTCAATTTGGTACTGCGGTGCTTGTGAAATTGGTTATTATGCTAAAAATGGGATATGTCAAAGTAATTAATAAATAGAATGTCACCCTTCATGTGCTGCATGCAGCTCTGATGACACAGAAATAAATTGTTTAGGTTGTGCAAGTGGATATTATGCTCAGCCAAACCATCCTTCTATATGTTTTGATTATTGCCCATTAGGCTTTACTTCTGACTCGACTTTAAACCAATGTACAGGAACTCAAGGCTCTATTGCAAATATCAACTTTGATAACAATCTACTGCTGGATTATAATGCATCCACTCTCAAATTAATAGATTATTTTAAGACTGATAATCAAAATTATCATAGTTTGTTCCCGGCCAATAAAAGAGGAATCTATATAGGTAAATCTGAAGCTGATCAATTTGTGCTAGAAGAATCAACACAAAATAGAAGGATTCTAGGCTCTGATTTTACGATTGAATTTTGAGCAATGCTATTTAAATGAGACCCTCAATCATTTTTAAGTGCCCAACAAGATATTGCAGGTGCAACATATATCTTGTTTCGAAGACATAATGAGAAAATTCTTAGTCTTAATATCCTTACAAGAGAATCTTCGATAATTGAAGCGAGTTTATATGAAAATGAGCAGAAAAATAAGGAATGAGCTTTTTATTCTGCTTCAGTCTCCTTTGATGATTCATATAAACATACTCAAGTTACTCTTGTTTGAAATGAAAAATATGAAGTAAAAATAGCTCTAAGCTATTATAAAGATGTTTCTTGTCTAACCTATTTTTTAGGATCAGGATTAAATGGATTTCTGTATAGTTTTGCGTTATATAACTATGGAAAAGGCTATAATGAGATCCTGTTAAGTCTAGGCACTTGCAGTTCTTGTTCTGCTTGCCCAGGAGTCTTAAATTATTGTTTGCCAACTTGTGATAAAACTGAATATGTGGATGCAGATGGAAATTGCCAGAAATGCCCAAGCTCATGCCATGGCATATGCTCAAGAGCTAGCAGTTGTAACCCTTGTTATGATGATTTATGCTATAAATGCACTAAATATGAAATTGGGACTTGTATCCAGTGTGTTGAGAATGCAATCCTAAAAAATGGACAATGTGAATGCCAAAATGGATATAGAAGGCAAGGTGTGCGATGTGTAAAAGCATGCCATGATGGGTATTATTTTGATCTAATCACAAAAGAGTGCCTTAGTTGCTTTATCAACTGTCTAAAATGCGGAGATGGGAATACTTGCTTAGTATGCAAAAATGGGTTGAATTTATATAATGGGAAATGCATATGTGCAGATGGATATTTTAGCGATTCTTCAAATAATTGCTTAAAATGTGATATCTCATGCTCGAATTGCTCAATTATTCCTTCAAACTGTACTTCTTGCATATCAGATTTACCTATTCTCTATGATTCGAATAAATGCTATCCATGCAATTCATTTGAAGGCTACTCTACTTATTTTGCCATTCCGATTTCTTATTTTACAGATGATTTATGGTCACAATTATCTTCTAATTGTATTGAAATTTGTGGAGATGGAAAAAATATGGGACAAGTTCAATGTGATGATGGAAATAATGCAAATGGAGATGGCTGCTCTTCTAGCTGTAAAGTGGAAATTGGCTGATATTGCTTTGGAGGGAGTGCAAATTCTTCTGATGTGTGCAAAGACACAACTCCGCCTTATCCAATCCTTGCGTACTTAAGTAAAACCGATTTGGGTTATTGCCTTACTTTATCATTTAATGAGCTTGTTACATTTGGTATTGAAATCTCTAAAAATATTGAAATAGAAATTGAAAATTTAAAATTTGACTGGTCTATTATTTCGAAAGAAAACTCAACATATATAGTTGATTTAGATCTTCATGAAGATGCATCAGCTGGGACTGTCGTAAAATTAGAATTTATAAATCCTAATTTGATTATTGATGTGAATGGAAATGAAATGCAAGAAAAATCAGTTTCTACAAAATTAATGGTGTCTTATTCTTATATTTATACAGCAGGCCAAGTAATATCTTCTTCAGTTACAACAGCAGTAACCACTACTGTAAGCATTTCTCTAGTTGTTTCAATATTATCTACATTTTCTATAGGATTTCTTGACATGCAAGCGATATGGGGTATGATCGAAACTATGCAGATCCAAAATTATTTGATATACTTATCGCCGAAATACCCTGACAATTTCATATCATATCTAAAAGCACTTGGAATGGCAAATGGGAGATTCTTGCCAAATCCGTTTACGAGATATTTAGTCAACACTGACCCTTTTCCAGACCCTCCACAGAATTTTGTTGATGAAAATTTAAACACAGACTTTCTCATGAACTATGGGCAATTTCTATTGGTTTGAACTGCTATTTTAATAGGATTGCTTATTTCTTTGATATTATTTAAAGTAAGGCCAAGCGATTCAATAATAAGATCCCTTAAAAGCTTATTTTTATTTTCAATTCTCCTTAGTCCCCCGATCATAAAAGAATTCTGCTTATTAATAAAGTTTTTTGTAATATTTTGAATTAGTAAATTTTATAGATCGATATTTGCTTATTATTAGGAGTTTTCAGCTAAAATGTCAAAAATGCATTTGCCATTCAATAATAAATAAATTTCGATCTATTATAGAAAAAATTACTATTTGAATTAGCAAGAGCAAGCTTATTACCTAGAGGGGGTTAGAATTGGAATTGAGTCCTTCTTGGAAACTACACTTTCAACTTTTCTCCAATTAAGAGAAATTTCATTACCAAGCCAGCGTATCGGCTACCTTTCCTTGGCTTTGAGCATTCTGGCAGCAATTTATCTTTTATTGAATTTTGTGCTTATTATTTGCCAAATTACATTTAAATCTGCAGAAACGCTCAATAAAACATCACATGAAAGACGATATGGAGTGCTATATGCAGGATTTAAAAGAAACTCTAAATTTGCAGCATCATTTCTTTTATTTCAAAATATCCGCAGAGTTATTTTGGTTTCCTTATGTGTATTTTTATATGACCATGTATAGCTCATGCCATTATATAGATTTCTTTATCGAGAAAAATGTACTTGACTCTTGATTGAGCAAAACAGATTCTCTCATAGAGATGAGCTCAATCTCTATATCAGGAAGATTTAAAAATGTCATCTCAAAGTGTAAAAAGTTGGCAAGTAAACGCGCCGATATTAAAAATGGCTTTATTATTAAATTAATTTTAAATTTCAGATACCCAATTAGACTGGGATTGATTAATAAATAAAAATCTTAATTTAAAAGGTCTTATAAATTAATGATAATAATAAATACATAAATAATAAATGCTACATATAAAATAATATGTATAAAAACTAGATGTCATTCTCAGCTTCTCCATACTGGACGCTATCTTGTATCAAGCATAAGTCCAAATATTATTGAGTATTCGATTAATGTCTAAGCCGTAGCAATAATTCTTGGAAACCCTGTGATGGTTTAATGGGGGAGTTCCGCTTTTGATTTATTTTAGATATATCTAAATTTTAAATTAATTTAATAATAAAGACATTTTAAAAATCGGCGCATTTACTTGCCAACTTTTTTACACGCTTGTAACCATTTTTTTTGACATCTAATTTTTTAAATCTTCCTGATAAAGAGATTGAGCTCATCTCTTTGATAGAGTCTGTTTTGCTCATTCAAGAGTCCAGTACATTTTGCTCGATAAAGAAATCTATATAGGGTATGAGCTATAATTTTGCAAGTGGCTTTTTTAGTAACTTCATCATTTATTTATACAGCTTTATTGATATTATTGAGACCATATGAAAAATCGGTTTTAGGAAACAGCCTGAATATAGTTTGCGAAATTTGTTACTTTTCTTCTAATTGTTTAATACTGAAGCTTTTAGATGATGGTTTATCTGATGATAATCGAACAAATATTGGGTGGGGTTTAATATCCTTATTAAGCTTTTCTTTGCTACTTCATATAATATCTATTCTTATCAACTTAGTCTATGGAATAAAAAAGCTATATGATTGGTTTTTAAAGATTAAGATTAAGATTACGATAACACTTTGTCGACCCCCACTTAGCTTAGGATCTAACAATACTAGCCCCTCCTTCATGAATTCCATCCACTCACAAACAGCTCTGAACAACGGTAGGTGGAATCGGCCTAACCGTCAAACCGTTTCTGTTGCCTATGGCCCAGACGAGTCTCTCTTCGGTTCTTGAATATGATTCAAGAGTAATTGGAGCTGCCGAAGCAGTCCCAACTCTGATTTCCTTCAGAAAGTAAGAACTTCCCTCACTAGGAAAAAGTATAGGGGACTGAACCCCTAACCTATGCCTTCCATTTTTAATTGTGTGGTTTTTAAAAAGTTTTGCAAATAAATTTGTTATTAGAAAAAGAAGAGTCATTCTGAATGAAATTAAATCGCATAGGCCAAATCAGGAATGAAATCAAATAATGGAAGACAAATCCTTACAAATTCATGGTCTTGATCATGATTCTACTGTGGCACAAAGCCAAGAGCAAAGAAGCATCTAATAGGAGACTAATGAAATAAAATAATTTAGATATAAATTGAATAATCAATCTTTAATATAATCAAATTTGCAAAAAGAGCCTCACAAGGTAAGGCCTTTGCTACAGAACTGGAGATTTAAATGCGAAAAAATATTTAGTATTGCAGCAAGATGATATTTGATAGAAAAATTTTACTCCCACTCCCATCCTTGATCGAACGGCTTGCCATCGTTTGATGGGGGCTAAAAAATTTTTTTGGGAAAAAAATTGTATATATAAAATAAAATATATACATATACATTTTTTTATTTACTTTTAAATAAGAGGGTTAAGAGTATTTAATAATTATTTTTACAGCAAAAAATTGAATTAATATTATATATACCAATTTTTAATATTTTGATTTATTAGTTAATCTTTTAAACTGTATAAATTTTAATTTGTTCCTTATTGATTTAAATTTTAAAGAATCTCTATTTATTAGATTATTGAGTTTTTAATCCTACGTTGATGACTAAATCACTTCGGATGGTTGATTCTGTAGCTTTCTGTCGTCTCAAAGTCTCTAAAAACAACTTCATTATGCATATCTTCCCAAGCTTTTGATAACTAATATATTTTTATATATATATTTGCATGATATGAAAATCATTCGATCAAGGATGGGGGATAATTTCCCCAATTTTTAGGAATTTTTACAGTCAATCGTTCGATCAAGGATGGGGGGATTAGGAATTTTCTAGTTGGCATCTATCCATAAATATTCTTCTTCTGTTAAAAATGTATAATATTAATTTATTTATAACAAATAAGCATATGAAATTTTTTAGCTGCTTAAAAATACATTATTCTAATGCTCCTACTTAATAATCTTACCCTCCTTTTATTAGCAAACAAAAAAACTGCCTTCTAAGGAATTTTATAAATTTTTAAATATAAATTTAATGTTGATTGCTTTAAATTTGTAAGGAAATATATATTTAATTTACAAAATTAGTATTTCAGATACAAGCAAACTAAAGCTTAAATCATTAGATAGATGCTTAATTATGCAAAATTTACTACATTTAATATATTTTCTCCAAAAAAAATCATTAAAAAATATTTTGTTCGCTATTAATTCCCAAAAAACAGGATTTTTCATAATTTTGCCAACTCCTCAAGGGTTAATCAGTGCCATTATATATTAATATCGCTTTTCCAAATTCGCCTAAAATCTGGCAACTTTTTTATTTTTTATTAATATTTTATTTTGGCAACCATTTTGGGGAGCAAATATTTAAAATCCAATTTTGATCGATATAATATCTAAAATTTTATATAGACATGATTTTATACTCACAACAATTAAAATTCAGAATTTTGCATCTTCTTATTAATAAAAATAAAATGAATACTATGACATCTTGGATTTTTCTCCTATTCTTTGTAGAACTCAGCTGAGGAGCTAGTTCTAGTGTTTCTTATATATTCCCACCTCAATATTCTTATAATTTCGATTCATCATCTCTTCAAATCAAACTGAGTGAAGCAGTTTTAGCAGGAGATAGCATTCAACACAAATTTGGCCTTTCATTTTGGGTCAAAATCTTTGAGGTATTCATTCCTGGGCAAATATTTAGAATTATCCCTCCTGATGCTAAAGAAAGAGATAGCGAAGATTTTGTTAGTCTTTTTTATTCTAACTTATCGCATGAATTTATATTAGTATGGCTTAATTTTTGGAATGAAAATTTTTCAGTACTAAATTTACCTTATGTATGCTTTATTTAGACTATCTCTGCAAATTGAATATTTATTGGAATATCAGCTGGCTTTGAGAATAGATCTTGCCTTTTTTACTACAATAATTTAGGATCAGAATTCTATGTATCAGGATTTTTCAACTCAGAAATATCAATAAAAGTAAACTCATTTTTAATATTGACAGGAAGTTATGAATTTAAATGAAGAATTGGTGACTTTAGGATCCATAATAATATTTATAACGAAGTTTCAGATTGAAAGTCTCAATATTCCTCATCTTGTGCTGCAGTTAGCTGTACAAGTTTATTTCCAAGCATAGATTATGGAAAATGCGATCAATGGTGTGAGTCACAAATTGAAAATTTTTTCCCCTTGTTTGGTCCTGCTTTGTATTCAGATTCTCCTTATTTAACTGTATTTGATGAAGTTTACCAGTTTAACTACAGTAATAGCGTTTATTATGAGATAAGCTCGGCACTATGAGGTGACTTTTCGATTACAGGATGGTTTCAATTTGAGTCATGCCCATCGGGAGGCTTTACATTCTTAATGATATATAGCAAAAAATTATTTAAGGTCTATATTGAATTAGCTTTAAGCTCATCTACTTTTGACTGTGATAAGCTGGAAGCAACAATATATAGCACTGATGGCACTAATGATGCATATGACTCAGTATCAATAACTAGTTCAAGCTATATTGGAAGCTGGTTCTTTTTTGCTATCACTCTTAACTCTGGCTCTAAATTATTGACTCTTTATAGCCAAAACGGCATTAATCCACCTTCATCACTTTTTCCGCTAATTTCATCATCTGTTACTTACACTTATGCGGCTTTACCATTTAATCATATTTATATGGACATATATATCGGTGGTTTTAACGATACAATTTCCCCTGGAGACTATGCAGATTTTCGGTTTTACCCTAATAATTTTATAGATACAACTTTATTGAATATAATAACAATATATATAGCGCAGCTACTTATCTTGATCCACACTGCTTATTGTGGGCATCAATATGGTACTGTGATATGTGCGAAATTGGGTATTTTCTTAAAAATGGGATCTGTCAAAGTAATTAATAAATAGAATGCCATTATTCATGCGCAGCATGCAGCTCTGGTGATACAGAAGCTAATTGTTTAAGCTGTGCAAGTGGATATTTTGCTCAGCCAGGCGCGTATTTTATGTGTTTTGATTATTGCCCATATGGTTATGAATATGATTATTCTTTTAATCAATGTTCGGGTACTCCAGGATTAATTGCAAGTATAAATTTTGATGATAATTTATCAGGAAAAATTGAAATTCCTGGAATAAAAGTGCAATTTGGAATGGAAGGAAATGATTATTACCCAAATTTCTATTTTTTAGATCCTTATCCAGCTAAAAAATAAAATGGTGACGTTGACAGAAATTGGAGTACACCTCCTGATGGAGTGGTGAACAGGCGCGATGGGATAGCGAAATATACTCCTTGCGAGTGAAGTAGACCATCTCAATGGGAGCCTGCCGAAACAGGGTGCATTCTTTCTCTGCCAAAGGTTTTCCTGCTCCAGCTAGATGGGCTAGACAGGCTTTTCCTACAACATGACCCTTTTCTATCGGGACCAGGGGCATTTACCATGATAGCTTTGCCCAGGAGATTAATCCCCTATGCAGGCAGTTCAGGTCGGAAATTCAAGATGATTTTTCCTCGTTTGAACTCTGAGGTCTATGGAGTTTATGCCTTGGAAGCGAGGTAGGACAAAGGCTAGTGGGTATCCACTTATGGCCAGTTTAAACAATTAATTTATTTATCCAGCTAATAAAAGGGGTTTATATTTTGATGGTTCGAGGCATGCAACTATAGAGGAAATGTCTCGATCTGGAGAGCTTGCAAGTTTGGAGTTTACAATAGAAATATGAGCCATGCCTCTTTTAAATCTATATAAGAATTATCTTTTCTCAGCACTTAGTGTTATGCCCAGCTATAAATTTAGTGAAAATCTCTTAACTTATGAAGATATGAAAATTTATTTTTTAGAGTTTTTTACAGAACATAACGTGCTTAAATTTACTATAAAAACTAAAGAAAATGATTCAGTGAAAACAGCTATGATACTTACTGATAATATTATAAAAGAATGGAAATTTTATTCAGTTTCTCTATCTTTTAATAGTTTATCCAAAACAAGCCAAGTCCTTCTACTAAGAAATACAAATTATTATACAGAAACTATTTCAAGCTATTATAAAGAACCGTCTAGCATAGGCTACAGAGTTGGGAATGGAAATTTTGAAGTCTGTGCATTTAATGGATATATATATAGCTTTGAAATGTATAACTATGGGAAAAGCTATAGTGAAATTATACAAGGGTTAGGCACTTGCAGTTCTTGTTCTGCTTGTCCAGTAGTCTTAAATTCTTGCTTGCCAAATTGTGATAAAGATGAATATGCAGATGAGAATGGAGCCTGCCAAAAATGTTCAAGTAAATGCTCATGAATATGCTCAAGAGCTGATACTTGCAATCTCTGCTATGACGATTTATGCTATAAATGCACTAAATATGAAATTGGAGCTTGCACACAATGCGTTGCCCATGCTGTCTTAGCAGATGGAAAATGCAAATGCCAAAAAGGATATATTAGCCAGGATAATGAATGTGTAAACACTTGCGGAGATGGACACTATATTGATTTAAAAACTGAAAAATGCCTTAGATGTCCTGATAATTGTCTTAGATGCAATGATGGAGATTCTTGCATTATATGCAAAAGTAGCTTTGCTCTAAAAAATCGACATTGCAGTTGCCCAGATGGTTATTTTATTGGCTCTTCTAATAAATGCTTAAAATGTGACAATTCATGTTTGACTTGTTCTGAAAATTCTTCAAATTGTACTTCCTGCGGATCAAATTTGCCTGTTCTTTATGAATCAAATAAATGCTACCCTTGTGATTCATTTGAAGGTTATTCCACTTATTTTGCTGTTTCTATTTCATATTTTACTGATGATTTATTTAGTAAATTATCTTCAAATTGTATTGAAGTTTGTGGAGATGGAAGAAATATGGGACAATCTCAATGTGATGATGGAAATAATCGTAATGGAGATGGCTGCTCTTCTAGTTGTGCAGTAGAAATTGGATGGTCTTGCTTTGGAGGAAGTGCAAACTCTCCTGACGTATGCAAGGATATAACCCCGCCTACACCAGTTCTAGCATATCTAAGTGAAAACAGTTCAGGCTACCTTCTTATATTAGCATTTAGTGAAGCCGTTAATTTTGGGACTGAAGTTTCAAAAAACATCAAAATAGAAATAAAAAACACTTTAAAATTCAACTGGTCTATTATGGAAAAAAATTCTTTATATATCATCACTTTAAATATGCACGAAAATGTGTCTGCAGGAACTAGTGTAAAGGTGACATTTAAAAATCCAAGCTCTATAGTTGATATGAATGGAAATGAAATGAAAGAAAGCTCAGCATCCACTAATTTGCTTGAATCTTTTGTGTATACAACTGGGGAAGCTATCAAATCTTCAGTTACAACAGCAACAACAGTGACTGCTGCTAGTTCTGCTATAGGATCTTTGTCAGTAGGATTTCTTATGGGGTCTTTTAATTTTCAAGCTTTGTGGAGTATGGTCGAAATAATGCAAATCCAAAATTATTTGATATTTTTATCCCCAAAATATCCTGATAACCTTATATCATATTTAGAAGCACTTGGTATCGCAAATGGGAATTTTTTGCCAAATCCTTTCCAGCTTTATTTCGTGAAAAATGACCCATTTTCTGATCCTCCTCAAAAATTTATAGACCAAAATTATAATACTGATTTTCTTATGAACTCTGGCCAATTTATATTAGTTTGGGTTCTAATTTTACTTGGATTTCTCATAGCTTTGGTTTTATATAAGTATTGGCCTAGATTTTCAATTATCAGAAATCTTAAAAACTCATATTCATTTTCAGTCTTACTCAGAACTGGCATTGAATCATTTTTAGAAATCACCCTTTCAGTTCTACTTCAACTAAGAGAATTTTCCCATCCAAGTCAAGATATAGGATATATTTCATTGACTTTGAGTATTTTAACACTGGTTTATCTTGTCTTAACATTTGTACTTATATTTTGGCAGGTTACTTTAAAATCCAAACAAACACTCAACATGAAAATGCATGAACGGCAATTTGGATCTTTATATGAAGGATTTAAAAGAGACTCTAAGCTTTCAGCATCTTTTATATTATTCCAAAACTCACGAAGGGTTCTTTGTGTAGCTTTTTGTGTATTTTTGTGCGATTATGCAACTGCTCAAATGGTACTTTCAGTCACATTATCATTTATGTATACAATTTCTTTAATTTTACTAAAACCATTTAAAAGTTTGTACTTGGGAAATGGGTTGCATATGCTGAAAGTTAATTATCTGTAAAATCATAAACATTTCCAGCACATAATGGCGCTTTTTGCGCCAAAAGTTAGGAAGTGCTTATCCTGTCAATTCTGAAAGGAGTTGCAGTGTGAGAGGAGATTTTGCGTGAGCAGTAGTCTCTTCAGTGCTGAATTCATGGACTGCAGGAGTTGAAGCGAAGATGGAAGCGTGGTGCAATGGGTGATGGCATGGAGACAGCACATGATACAGGGCAAACATTTTAATGGCCTGCATTGGAGGCGCAAGCAGGTAGTGCATTGATTTTTTTGTGAAATTACTTTTTACCTTTTACTCTTAAGCTATCATAAACATTTCCAGCACATAATGGCGCTTTTTGCGCCAAAAGTTAGGAAGTGCTTATCCTGTCAATTCTGAAAGGAGTTGCAGTGTGAGAGGAGATTTTGCGTGAGCAGTAGTCTCTTCAGTGCTGAATTCATGGACTGCAGGAGTTGAAGCGAAGATGGAAGCGAAATATTTTATTTTATTGCACATTGCTTTATACTGAAGTTATTAGACGATAAAATATCGGATGATTACCGAGAAAATCTTGGTTGGGCTATAATATCACTCTTGGGCATGTCATTGCTGCTTCATATTATATCAATCTTAATAGTTCAAACACTAAACTTGATAAAAGGAATAAAACAATTTAGCAGCTGATTCATGAAAAATTTTGCAAATAAATTTGTCGAAATTAGAAAAAGGATTATTTTATTAAATAAAATAAAATCTAATGAACCAACAAATAATGCAGAAGATATAAGTGAAAGCATGGCTTATTTTGAAGGAAAACCACCTGAAAAGTCAAATGAAGAGAGTATATGTAGCCTTAGAAGCACAGGTGTGAGGACGAGTGATACTCTTTTTATTAACACTCATCAAAATCAATTTGAAATCACAGAGAAAGAAGTCTAAAAATGCAAAAAAATTGATTTAGGAATAAATAAAAATATCAATTTATAAAAACCAAAAAATTAAATACAAAAATCTTTAAGTTTATAATATATATGGCTTTGCTGTTTCTTCTTTTCTTTCTCCACCTTGGCACAAATGCAATTTCAAGTGTTTCCTCAATCTTCCCACCTCAATACTCTCAATATTTAGATGAAAATACTGATATTGATATAAAGCTTACAGAAGCTGTCTTGCCAGGTGAAGAAATTCAGCCAAGCTTTGGAATTTCATTTTGGGTCAAAATATATGATATAGCAAGAAAAATCAGTTTCTACAAAATTAATGGAATCTTATATTTATAAAGCAGGCCAAGTAATATCTTCTTCAGTTAAAACAGCAGCAGCAACTACTCTAAGCATTTCTCTAGTTGTTTCAATTCTATCTACATTTTCTGTAGGATTTCTTGACCTGCAAGCGACATGGGGTATGATCGAAACTATGCAGCTCCAAAATTATTTGATATACCTATCACCGAAATACCCTGATAATTTCATATCATATCTAAAAGCACTTGGAATGGCAAATGGGAGATTCTTGCCAAATCCTTTTGAGAGATATTTAGTCAAAACTGACCCTTTTCCAGACCCTCCACAAAATTTTGTTGATGAAAATTTAAATACAGACTTTCTTATGAACTATGGGCAGTTTCTATTGGTTTGAACTGCTATTTTAATAGGATTGCTTATTTCTTTGATATTATTTAAATTAAGTCCAAGCGTTTCAATAATAGATCCCTTAAAAAATTATTTTTATTTTCAATTCTCCTTAGAATTGGAATTGAGTCCTTCCTGGAAACTACACTTTCAATTTTTCTCCAATTAAGAGAAATTTCATTACCAAGCCAGAATATCGGCTACCTTTCCTTGGCTTTGAGCATTCTAGCAACAATTTATCTTTTATTGACTTTTGTGCTTATTATTTGTCGAATTACATTGAAATCTGAAGAAAAGCTCAATAAAGAATCTCATGAAAGACGATATGGAGTCCTTTATGCAGAATTTAAAAGAAGCTCTAAATTTGCAGTATCATTTCTTTTATTTCAAAATATCCGTAAGTTATTTTGGTTTCCTTATGTGCATTTTTATATGACCATGTAGTTTTGTAAGTGACTTTTTTAGTAACTTCATCATTTATTTATACAATTTTATTAATATTATTGAGACCATATGAGAAATCGGTTTTGGGAAACAGCCTGAACATAGCTTGTGAAATTTGTTACTTTTCTTCTAATTGTTTAATAATGAAGCTTTTAGATGATGGTTTATCTGATGATACTCGAACAAATATTGGGTGGGGTTTAATATCTTTATTAAGCTTTTCTTTACTACTTCATATAATATCTATTCTTATCAACTTTGTCCAAGGAATAAAAAAGCTATATGATTGGTTTTTAAAAAGTTTTGCAAATAAATTTGTTATTAGAAAAAGAAGAGTCGTTTTGAATGAAATTAAATCGCATATGCCAAACCAGGAATGAAATAAATAATAGAAGACAAATCCTTACAAATTCATGATCTTGATTATGATTCTACTGTGAGCACAATGCAAGAGCAAAGAAGCATCCAATAGGAGACTAATGAAATAAAATAATTTAGATACAAATTTAATAATTAATCTGTAATATAATTAAATTTGCAAAAAGCGTCTCATAAGGTTTTCAAAGCCTTTGTTGCAGTGGGATTTAAGTGCGAAAAATAATTATTATTGATGATAATTGATAGAGTTGCAATAAGGAATTCTTTATGTTCTAGTTGACATCTAGCCTTAAATATTCTCTTGCTGTGATATCAAAGGGAATTTCTATAATTAGAATGGGTTAATTTAAGCATCTGTAATGGCTTAATTAAGTTTTAAGTGCACTGACTTTCGTCTTTTCTTATGCAAGAAAGTTAAGGAGAGCTTTTTTTGTGCCTTCAACTAGCATTGAAAAAATAAAATTGAGATCATGAAGCTCTTATTAAATGTGCAATGCTCCACTATGGCTCTTGCAAGAATATGTATAAGGGGAAGTGCAGTTCACCAAAATTTAGCTTCGCAATCACACATCGGCTCATAACATCTTATTGTGCTTATCTTATCTATCATTTTTATATTAGCTCATAACTCAAAATAGTACCTCTTAATATTAAAATTCCAAATTATGCGCACAAGGCTTCTTTATTAAATTATTTTGAGACTTAAATTCAAATATTACTTAATTAAATCTACCTTTCACTTTTTTTAATTAAAGTGTTTCAGGCTTATTCCTTAGCGCAAATGAATATTTGATTGTTAAAACTCTTAAAAGCCTTCTAAGTTATTAAAAAACAGAATGAGAATGGAATTAATGCACCTCAAATTATTTATTAATATTTATTTATTATTTTATATATTTGTTCAAATTTAATAATTCATTCACACTAGAAAAAAAAAATCATAATAGTAAAAAAGATTATGCTTAAATAAAATATTTTGATCTAATTGAAGATATAATTAATTAAAATAAATAATTTAAGGACTTTTATCAATTTTTTTTGGTTTTTTTAGGATTCCATCTCTGTGATTTCAAATTGATTTTGATGAGTGTTAATAAAAAGAGTATCACTCGTCTTCACACCTGTGCTTCTAAGTCTACATATACTCTCTTCATTTGACTTTTCAGGTGGTTTTCCTTCAAAATAAGCCATGCTTTCACTTATATCTTCTGCACTATTTGTTGGTTCATCAGATTTTATTTTATTTAATAAAATGACCCTTTTTCTGATTTTGGCAAATTTATTTGCAAAATTTTTCATGAATCAGCTGTTAAATTGCTTTATTCCTTTTATCGAGTTTAGTGTTTGGACTATTAAGATTGATATAATATGAAGCAGCAATGACATACCCAAGAGTGATATTATAGCTCAGCCAAGATTTTCTCGGTAATCATCCGATATTTTATCATCTAATAACTTCAATATCAAGAAATGTGAAATAAAATAAAATATTTCGCATGATATATGCAACCAATTTCCCAAGTACAAGCTTTTAAATGGTTTTAGTAAAATTAAAGAAATTGTATATATAAATGATAATGTGACTGAAAGTACCATCTGAGCAGTTGCACAATCGCACAAAAATACACAAAAAGCCACAAAAAGAACCCTTCGTGAGTTTTGGAATAAAAGAAAAGATGCTGAAAGCTTAGAGTCTCTTTTGAATCCTTCATATAGAGATCCAAATTGCCGTTCGTGCATTTTCATATTGAGTGTTTGTTCGGATTTTAAAGTAACCTGCCAAAATATAAGTGCAAATGTTAAGACAAGATAAACAAGTGTTAAAATACTCAAAGCCAATGAAATATATCCTATATCTTGGCTTGGATGGGAAAATTCTCTTAATCCCAACTCTGTGAGCGAAAAAGGACATTGGAAAAATCTCTATTTTTGAGTAAAAAATATCTCCGTTAGCAATCAAAAATTGTTTTTGATATATAAGATAATAATTATTATAATAAAATCTCCTGTTTAATTTAAACAGCTTGCATTTTAGAACATAAATTTTACAATTTAATTTTTATTTGCTCTCAATTTATGAATTTTTCAATTTTTAATAATTCGAAACAAATATTTATATATGAATTTTTTTAAAAAATAACCCTTCTGTAAACGAGAAAAATTTTGTGTGCGCTCAAGGAGGGGGAAGTGAGTTGAAGTAGAACTGAAAGGGTGATTTCTAAAAATGATTCAATACCAGTTCTGAGTAAGACTGAAAATGAATATGAGTTTTTAAGATTTCTGATAATTGAAAATCTAGGCCAATACTTATATAAAACCAAAGCTATGAGAAATCCAAGTAAAATTAGAACCCAAACTAATATAAATTGGCCAGAGTTCATAATAAAATCAGTATTAAAATTTTGATCTACAAATTTTTGTGGAGGATCAGAAAATGGGTCATTTTTCACTAAATAAAGCTGGAAAGGATTTGGCAAAAAATTCCCATTTGCGATACCAAGTGCTTCTAAATATGATATAAGGTTATCAGGATATTTTGGGGATAAAAATATCAAATAATTTTGGATTTGCATTATTTCGACCATACTCCACAAAGCTTGAAAATTAAAAGACCCCATAAGAAATCCTACTGACAAAGATCCTATAGCAGAACTAGCAGCAGTCACTGTTGTTGCTGTTGTAACTGAAGATTTGATAGCTTCCCCAGTTATATAAACAAAAGATTCAAGCAAATTGGTGGATGCTGAGCTTTCTTTCATTTCATTTCCATTCATATCAACTATAGAGCTTGGATTTTTAAATGTCACCTTTACACTAGTTCCTGCAGACACACTTTCGTGCATATTTAAAGTGATAATATATAAAGAATTTTTTTCAGATATCGACCAATTGAATTTTAAAGTGTTTTTTATTTCTATTTTGATGTTTTTTGAAACTTCAGTCCCAAAATTAACGGCTTCACTAAATGTTAATGTAAGAAGGTAGCCTGAACTATTTTCACTTAGATATGCTAGAACTGGTGTAGGCGGGGTTATATCCTTACATACGTCAGGAGAGTTTGCACTTCCTCCAAAGCAAGACCATCCAATTTCTACTGCACAACTAGAAGAGCAGCCATCTCCATTACGATTATTTCCATCATCACATTGAGATTGTCCCATATTTCTTCCATCTCCACAAACTTCAATACAATTTGAAGATAATTTACTAAATAAATCATCAGTAAAATATGATATAGAAATAGCAAAATAAGTGGAATAACCTTCAAATGAGTCGCAAGGGTAACATTTATTTGATTCATAAAGAACGGGCAAATTTGATGTGCAGGAAGTACAATTTGAAGAATTTTCAGAGCAAGTCAAACACGAATTGTCACATTTTAAGCATTTATTAGAAGAGCCAATAAAATAACCATCTGGGCAACTGCAATTTCGATTTTTTAGAGTAAAGCTACTTTTGCATATAATGCAAGAATCTCCATCATTGCATTTAAGACAATTATCAGGACATCTAAGGCATTTTTCAGTCTTTAAATCAATATAGTGTCCATCTCCACAAGTGTTTACACATTCATTATCCTGATTAACATATCCTCTTTGGCATTTGCATTTTCCATCTGTTAAGACAGCATGGGCAACGCATTGTGTGCAAGCTCCAATTTCATATTTAGTGCATTTATAGCATAAATCATCATAGCAGAGATTACAAGTATCAGCTCTTGAGCATATTCATGAGCATTTACTTGAACATTTTTGGCAGGCTCCATTCTCATCTACATATTCATCTTTATCACAAATAGGCAAGCAAGAATTTAAGACTGCTGGGCAAGCAGAACAAGAGCTGCAAGTGCCTAACCTTTGTATAATTTCACTATAGCTTTTCCCATAGTTATACATTTCAAAGCTATATATATATCCATTAAATGCACAGACTTCAGAATTTCCATTCCCAACTCTGTAACCTATGCTAGGCGGTTCTTTATAATAGCTTGAAATAGTTTCTGTATAATAATTTGTATTTCTTACTTCTGCTTAAATTAAAATTAATTGCTTTATTGTGTTCTCTTTATTGATTATATTATGTAAAATTTTATTTATAGTCACAATATAAAAATGCCATTATATTTTTTTTATATATTTATACTAAAAGTTTTTATACACAAAGGGTTTAGCAGAAGGACTTGGCTTGTTTTGGATAAACTATTAAAAGATAGAGAAACTGAATAAAATTTCCATTCTTTTATAATATTATCAGTAAGTGTCATAGCTGTTTTCACTGAATCATTTTCTTTAGTTTTTATAGTAAATTTAAGCATGTCAGGTTCTGTAAAAAAATCTAAAAAATAAATTTTCATATTTTCATAAGTTAAGAGATTTTTGCTAAATTGATAGCTTGGTATAACAGTAGATGCTGAGAAAAGATAATTCTTATATAGAGTTAAAAGAGGCATAGCTCATATTTCTATTGTAAACTCAATACTTGCAAGCTCTCCAGATCGAAAAATTTCTTCTATAGCTACATGTCTCGAACCATCAAAATATAAACCCCTTTTATTAGCTGGATAAATAAATTAATTGTTGAAACTGGTTATAAGCGGATACCCACTAGCCTTTGTCGTACCTTGAAACTCCATAAACCTCAGAATTCAAACAAGGAAAATGGAAGGCCCACCATCTTAAATTTCCGACCTGAATTATCTGTTTAAGGAGTTAACTCTCTAGGCAGAGCTACAATCTGTAAAGTGCCCCGTAGGTGCCGACAGATAAGGATCATGTGGTAGGAAAAGCCTGTCTAGAGAATAGGAAAACCTTTGGCAGAGAAAGAATGCACTCTGTTTCGGCAGGCTCCCATTGAGATGGTCTACTTCACTCGCAAGGAGTATATTTCGCTATCCCATCGCGCCTGTTCACCACTCCATCAGGAGGTGTACTCCAATTTCTGTCAACGTCACCATTTTATTTTTTAGCAGGATAAGGATCTAAAAAATAGAAATTTGGGTAATAATCATTTCCTTCCATTCCAAATTGCACTTTTATTCCAGGAATTTCAATTTTTCCTGATAAATTATCATCAAAATTTATGCTTGCAATTAATCCTGGAGTACCCGAACATTGATTAAAAGAATAATCATATTCATAACCATATGGGCAATAATTAAAGCACATAAAATACGCGCCTGGCTGAGCAAAATATCCACTTGCACAGCTTAAACAATTAGCTTCTGTATCACCAGAGCTGCATGCTGCGCATGAATAATGGCATTCTATTTATTAATTACTTTGACAGATCCCATTTTTAAGAAAATACCCAGTTTCGCACATATCACAATATCATATTGATGCCCACAATAAGCAATGAGGATCAAGATAAGTAGCTGCGCTATATATATTGTTATTATACTGCAATAAAGTTGTATCTATAAAATTATTAGTGTAAAATCGAAAATCTGCATAGTCTCCAGGGGAAATTGTATCGTTAAAACCACCGATATATATATCCATATAAATATGATTAAATGGTAAAGCCGCATAAGTGTAAGTAACAGATGATGAAATTAGCGGAAAAAGTGATGACGGTGGATTAATGCCGTTTTGGCTATAAAGGGTCAATAATTTAGAGCCAGAGTTAAGAGTGATAGCAAAAAAGAACCAGTTTCCAATATAGCTTGAACTAGTTATTGATACTGAGTCATATGCATGATTAGTGCCATCAGTGCTATATATTGTTGCTTCCAGCTTATCACAGTCAGAAGAAGATGAGCTTAGAGCTAACTCAATATAGACCTTAAATAATTTTTTGCTATATATCATTAAGAATGTAAAGCCTCCTGATGAGCACCACTGAAATTGGAACCATCCTGTAATCGAAAAGTCAGCTCATAGCGCCGAGTTTATCTCATAATAAACGCTATTACTGTAGTTAAACTGGTAAACTTCATCAAATACAGTTAAATAAGGAGAATCTGAATACAAAGCAGGACAAAACAAGGGAAAAAATTTTTCAGTTTGTGATTCGCACCATTGATCGCATTTTCCATAATCTATGCTTGGAAATAAACTTGTACAGCTAACTGCAGCACAAGATGAGGAATATTGAGACTTTCAATCTGAAACCTCGTTATAAATATTATTATGGATCCTAAAGTCACCAATTCTTCATTTAAATTCATTATTCCCTGCCAATATTAAAAATGAGTTTACTTTTATTGATGTTTCTGATCCGAAAAATCCTGATACATAGAACTCTGATCCTAAATTATTGCAATAAAAAAGGCAAGACTATTTTCAAAGCCAGCTGATATTCCAATAAATATTCAATTCGCAGAGATAGTCTAAATAAAGCATACATAAGGTAAATTTAGTATTGAAAACAATTCGTTCCCATAATTCAGCCATGCTAATGTAAATTGATGTGATAAGCGGGAATAAGAAAGACTAACAAAATCTTCATTATCACTTTCTTTAGCATCAGGCTGGAGAATTCTAAATATTTTCCCAGGAGTGAGTACCTGGAACATTTTGACTCAAAGTGAAAAACCAAATTTTTGCTGAATGCTGTCTCCTGCTAAAACTGCTTCGCTCAGTTTGATTTGAAGAGATGATGAATCGAAATTATAAGAATATTGAGGTGGAAATATATAAGAGACACTCGGACTAGCTCCTCAGCTGAGTTCTACAAAGAATAGGAGAGAAATGCAATAGGTCATAGCATTCATTTTACTAATATTAATAAGAAACTGCAAAATGCTAATTATTGTGAGTATAAAATCTTGTCTATATAAAATTTGAGCTATTATATCAATCAAAAATATATTATAAATATTTGCACCTCAAGACGGTTGCAAAAAATAAAAAGTTGCCAGATTTTAGGTGAATTTGGAATAGTAATATTAATATATAATGGCACTGACTACCCTTGAGGAGTTGGCAAAATGATGAAAAATCCTGTTTTTTGGAATTAATAGTGAACAAAATACTTTTTAATGAATTTTTTTTGGTAGAAAAATATATAAATGTTAATTTTGCATAATTAAACCTCCATCTAATGATTAAGGCTTTAGATAACTTGTATCTTAAATACTAATTTTACAAATTAAATATATATTTCCTTACAAATTTTACAAATTTAAAGCAATCAACATTTAAAAATTTATAAAATCTTTCAGTAAACAGTTTTTTGTTTACTAATAAAAGGAGAGTAAAATTATATTAGAATAGTGCATTTTTAAGCAGTTATAAAACTTCTATATGCTTATTTGTTATGAATAACTATTTAATAAATATCAATTTATACAATTTTAACAGCAAGAGAAATATTTATTGTTAGATATCAACTAGAAAATAAAGAAGAAAATTCCTAAAATTTTTCTTAGCTCAACTCTATCAAATATCACCCTACTCAATACTAATTATTTTTTAGCACTTAAATTCCTAGCTCTGCAACAATGACATTACCTTTATGAGACTCTTTTTTCAAATTTAATTATATTAGATTCATTATTAAATTTATATCTAAATTATTTTATTTCATTAGTCTCCTACTGGATGCTTCTTTGCTCTTGGCATTGTGCCACAGTAGAATCATGATCAAGACCATGAATTTTTAAGGATTTGTCTTCCATTATTTGATTTCATTCCTGGTTCGGTTTATGCGATGTAATTTCATTCAGAATGACTCTTCTTTTTCTAATAACAAATTTATTTGCAAAACTTTTTAAAAATCAATCATATAGCTTTTTTATTTCTTGGACCAATTTGATAAGAATAGATATTATATGAAGTAGCAAAGAAAAGCTTAATAAAGATATTAGACCCCACCCAATATTTGTTCGATTATCATCAGATAAATCATCATCTAAAAGCTTCAGTATTAAACAATTCGAAGAAAAGTAAAAAATTTCGCAAACTATAATCAGGCTGTTTCCTAAAACCGATTTTTCATATGGTCTCAATAATATCAATAAAGCTGTATAAATAAATGATGAAATTACTAAAAAAGCCACTTGCAAAATTACATGGTCATATAAAAATACACATAAGGAAACCAAAATAACTCTGCGGATATTTTGAAATAAAAGAAATGATGCTGCAAATTTAGAGTTTCTTTTAAATCCTGCATATAGCACTCCATATCGTCTTTCATGTGGTGTTTTATTGAGCGTTTCTGAAGATTTCAATGTAATTTGGCAAATAATAAGCACAAAAAACAATAAAAGATAAATTGCTGCCGGAATGCTCAAAGCTAAGGAAAGGTAGCCGATATGCTGGCTTGGCAATGAAAATTCTCTTAATTGGAGAAAAGTTGAAAGTGTAGTTTCCAGGAAGGACTCAATTCCAATTCTAAGGAGAATTGAAAATAAAAATAAGCTTTTAAGGGATCTTATTATTGAAACGCTTGGCCTTAATTTAAATAGTATCAAAGAAATAAGCAATCCTATTAAAATAGCAGTTCAAACCAATAGAAATTGCCCATAGTTCATAAGAAAATCTGTGTCTAGATTTTCATCAACAAAATTTTGTGGAGGGTCTGGAAAAGGGTCAGTTTTTACTAAATATCTCTTAAACGGGTTTGGCAAAAATCTCCCATTTGCCATTCCAAGTGCTTTTAGATATGATAAGAAATTTTCAGGATATTTCGGTGATAAGTATATCAAATAATTTTGGATCTGCATAGTTTCAATCATTCACCATGTCAATTGCAGGTCAACAAATCCTATAGAAAATGCAGATAATATTGAAACAACTAGAGAAATGCTTATGGTAGTTGTTACTGCTGTTGTAACTGAAGAAGATATTACTTGGCCTGTTGTATAAGAATAAGATACCATTAATTTTGTAGAAACTGATTTTTCTTGCATTTCATTTCCATTCATATCAATAATTAAATTAGGATTTATGAATTCTAATTTTACGACTGTCCCAGCTGATGCATCTTCATGAATATCTAAATCAATTATATATGTTGAGTTTTCTTTAGTAATAGATCAGTCAAATTTTAAATTTTCAATTTCTATTTCAATATTTTTAGAGATTTCAATACCAAATGTAACAAGCTCATTAAATGATAAAGTAAGGCGATAGCCTGAATCATTTTTGCTTAAGTACGCAAAGATTGGATAAGGCGGAGTTGTGTCTTTGCACACATCAGGAGAATTTGCATTCCCTCCAAAGCAAGATCAGCCAGTTTCTATTTTACAGCTAGAAGAACAGCCATCTCAATTTGCATTATTTCCATCATCGCATTGAGCTTGCCCCATATTTTTTCCATCTCCACAAATTTCAATGCAATTAGAAGATAATTGTGACCTTAAATCATCTGTAAAATAAGAAATCGAAATGGCAAAATCAATAGAGTAGCCTTCAAATGAATTGCATGGATAGCATTTATTCGAATCATAGAGAATAGGTAAATCTGATATGCAAGAAGTACAGTTTGAAGAAATAATTGAGCAATTCGAGCATGAGATGTCACACTTTAGGCACTTATTTGAAGAATCGCTAAAATATCCATCTGCACACATGCATTTCCCATTTAATAAATTCAACTCACTTTTGCATACTATGCAAGTATTCCCATTTCCGCATTTTAGGCAGTTGATAGGGCAACTAAGACACTCTTTTGTGATTAGATCAAAATAATATCCATCATTGCATGCTTTTAAACATTGCACACCTTGCCTTTTATATCCATTTTGGCATCCACATTGTCCATTTTTTAGAGTTGCATTCTCAACACACTGAATGCAAGCACCAATTTCATATTTAGTACATTTATAGCATAAATCGTCATAACAAAGGTTACAACTGCTAGCTCTTGAGCATATACCATGGCATGAACTTGGACATTTCTGGCAATTTCCATCATTATCCACGTATTCAGTTTTATCACAAGTTGGCAAACAATAATTTAAGATTCCTGGGCAAGCAGAGCAAGAACTGCAAGTGCCTAGACTTAGCAGGATCTCATTATAGTTTTTTCCATAATTATATAGCGCAAAACTATACAGAAACCCATTTAATCCTGATCCTAGCAAATATTGTATGCCAGAAGCTTCTTTGTAGTAGCTTGGAGCTATTTTTACTTCATATTTTTCATTCCAAACAAGAGTAACTTGAGTGTGTTTATATGAATCATCAAAGGATACTGAAGCAGAATAAAAAGCTCATTCTTTATTTTTCGATTCATTTTCATATAAAATAGCTTCAATTTTCGAAGATTCTCTGGTAAGGATATTAATACTAAGATTTTTCTCATAATATTTACAAAAATTAATATATACTTCGCCTGATCTATCTATTTGAGTACTGAAAAATGATTGAGAGTCTGATTTAAATAGCATCACTCAAAATTCAATCGTAAAATCAGAGCCTAGAATCTTTCTATTTTGTGTTGATTCTTCTAGCACAAATTGATCAGCTCATAATGCACCTATATAGACTCCTCTTTTATTGGCTGGAAACAAACTATGATAATTTTGATTGTCAGGCTTAAAAGAATCTATTAATTTGAGAGTGGATGCATTATAATCCAGCAGTAGATTGTTGTCAAAGTTGATATTTGCAATATAGCCTTGAGTTCCTGTGCATTGGTTTAAAGCAGAGTCAGAAGTAAAGCCTAATGGACAATAATCAAAGCATGTAGAAGGATGGTTTGGCTGAGCATAATATCCACTTGCACAGCCTAAACAATTTGTTTCTGTATCATCAGAGCTGCATGCAACACATGAAGGGTGGCATTCTATTTATTAATTACTTTTACATATACCATTTTTAACATAATAGCCAATTTCACAAGCACTGCAGTACCAAATTGAGGATCATGATGTACAATAAGGATCAAGATAGGTAGCAGCACTATATATGTTGTTATTATATTCAATTAAAGTAGCATCTATGCTGTTTCCAGGATAAAATCGAAAGTCTGCATAATTTCCTAGATATTCTCCAAAAAAGATATCTTTATCAGAAGTAAAAGCTCGTACTGTATATGTATAAGTAATTGAAGATGAAACTAGAGGGTAAGTAGTCGATGGAGGGTTGGGACTACTTTGAGTATAAATTTTTAACAATTTAAGGCTAGAATTAATAGTGATAGCGAAGAAAATCCAATTCCCAATATAATTTGTTCCATTAATGGCAGTTGAATCATAAGCTATATTAGTCCCATCTGTGCTATATATTTTAGCTTTCATCATATCACAATCGCTTGTGCTAGTCGCCAAATTTACTTGTAAATATATCTTAGAAGAATTTTGAATTTGAAAAAAAGTTGATTCTTTACATATATAAAATTGAAATCAGCCTGTAATTGAATAGTCGCTTCATCCATTTGTAGGTACAGAAACATCATTATGTAACAAAGATTGTCTATCAAAATAATATGGCAAATCATTTGAAGATAAATAAGGCGCATTTGCATATAATTTGGGCTCAAATAAAGGAAAAAACCATTCAGTTTGTGAAGCACACCATTGGCCACATTTTCCATAATCTATGCTTGGAAACAAACTTGCACAGCTTACTCCGGCACAAGATGAGGAATATTGCAGCCTTCAGTCATAAACTTCGTTGTAAATGTTATTGTGGATCCTAAAATCACTAATTCTTTCTTTTAAATTGTAAATTTTTAAAAATTGCAAGTGTGAGTTGACAGGTATTGATATTTCTATATCAAAATCTTCTGAAATGTAAGACTCGGTTCCTAAATTATTATAATAAAAAAGGCAAGATTTATTTTCTGTGCTCGCTGATATTCCGATAAATATCCAGTTATCAGAAGGAGTCTATGTTATTTTTACATAAGATAGCTTCAAAATTGATGAGAGATCAGCATTTTCTTGTTCCCACTCTAAAACGAAGTAAAAAGATGATGATGCCAAAATATATGAATTTCTAAGAGAAAGATAAGTTTGAGCTTTTCAATTTGATTTATATTTCGACTTTGATTGGTCTATTAAAAATATAAATCGATCCCTTGTTATATCATATATTTTGACCCAAAAGGAAATTCCAAAGCTTGGCTGAATTTCTTCACCTGACAAGATTGCTTCTGTAAGCTTTATGTCAATCTCAGTATATTCGTTTAAATAATGAGAGTATTGAGGGGGAAAGATTGAGGAAACACTTGAAATTGCATTTACGCCAAGGTGGAGAAAGAAAAGAAGAAATATCCAAGCCATATATATTATAAACTTAAAGATTTTTGTATTTAATATTTTGTTTTTATTTTATATTTTTATTAACTCTTAAATTACTAAGAAATTTTAAAAAGCTCAAAGTTCGTACAATTTTCTAACCAGCAATTTCAGCAAGATTTTATCAACAACTTCAGCATCATATCCAGTAGCGCTGCATCAATTATAGCATCTGAAACAACTCCTGCAGCATCTTAATCAGTATTTCATATGCTATTTAAAAATTATATTAATTATAAGACAAAAATTAATTATTTTTATCTTGAAATCGCTATTCTAGATTCTTATCCTATGAATAACTATCCCCACTAGTATCAATATTTAGAAAATTGCCATCAGTGTGAATTCTTGAAACTTTTTCTTCACAAATTTCTTCTGCTTTTAGTTCTTTGCTTACTTCTTTATTCAGGTCACTAGATTCTATTTCATTCATAAATATTCTTCTCTTGGCTTTCAAAAATTTATTTGCAAAATTTTGCAGAAATCAATTTTTGAGTTGTTTGACTCCTTGTATTAAATTTGTGATCTGAATGATAAGGAGACATACTATATGGAGTAGCAAATAAGTACTTAAGAGTGCAATTATTGCCCAGCCAAGATTTGTTCTATAATCATCAGATATGTGGTTATCTAAAAATTTTAGTATTATGCAATGAGCAGCAAAATATAAAATTTCACAGATTGTATTTAGAAAATTCCCTAAATATCTCTGCTCGTAAGGTTTCAGTACAATTAGTAAAACTGTATAGGTTAATGATAAGGATGCTGATAATAAAACTTGAGCAGTTGTGTGCTCGTATAAAAACACACAAAAAATTAGAAGCAGGACTCTGCGGATATTTTGGAATAGCAAAAATGATGCTTTTAGTTTAGAATCTCTTTTAAATCCTTGATACAATACTCCAAATCTTCTTTCATGCAACTTTGTTCCAAGCAGTCCTTTAGGCTTTAACGTTACTTGCCAAACTATAAGAGCAAAAGTAGAGACCAGGTAAAGTATGGTTAAAAAACTTAAAATCAATGAAAGATAGCCAATATCTTGGTTTGGCTGTGAGCACTCTCTTAATTGCAGAAGGACTGAAAGCGTGATTTCTAAAAATGACTCGATTCCAGTTCTAAGTAAAATAGCATAGAAAAATGAGTTGTTTAGTCATCTTATGATTGGTAAGCTTGGCCTTATTTTATATAAAATTATGCAAATAGGGAGACCAGTCAAAATAATAGCCCAAACTGCTACAAATTGGCCAGCATTCATAAGGAAATCTGTATTAAAATTTTCATCTGCAAACTTTTGTGGAGGATCAGGAAACGGGTCATTTTTTACTAAATACAGTTGAAAAGGATTAGGTAAAAAGTTTCCATTTGCTATGCTTAAGGCACGAAGATACGTGATAAGATTATTAGGGTATTTTGGAGATAAAAATATCAAGTAATTTTGTATCTGCATTATTTCAAGCATACTCCAAAATGCTTGCAAATTAAAAGATCCTGTAAATATAGATCCCGCAGCCGCTCCTGCAGCTGCAACTGTGGTTGCAGTTGTAACAGAAGTTTCCATAGCTTCTGCAGTTTTGTATGTGAATTGAGCAAACATAATTAGAAAATGGGCATTTTGTATGCTACTTGACTGCCGTCAACAGCACTCATTTACATTTTTTAATTATGAGGCTTGGTTTTCCAAGGGAATTATATCCTGGCTGAGTTAGGTAAACAACTTGGAGCGGCGGTGACAGCCCTCTGGCCTGACCTTATGAAAAGTGAAAGGCTTATGACTTTCCTCACTTCCATCCGACGGAAGAAATGAAGCTTTTTGTCGTCACATGGCGTCAAGGAAGACAGAAGCAGTTCGCGCATAGTCGCCTTAGTCGGCAACACCATATCAGACTGTCACTTGGTAATTGATGCAATTTGTCCCAGAGGCTTGCGGGTAAACACGTGCTGGAATATGGGGGTAACCTCTGGTGCTGGCAACCCCGTAAATGGCGTAAAATCAAGTAAATTTAAAGGTAAGCTAAGAATGGAGCAAGCAAAATTGATTTTACCTTTTTCTCTTTCATTTGATTGCCACTTGTATCAGTAATTTCACTAGGATTAATAAAGTTGATTGTCACACCTGTCCCACTTTCTACGCTTTCATATAAATTTAACGTTACTTCATAAATTGATTTTTCTAATGAAATAGCCCAAGAAAACATTTCTATCCCATCAATTGTAATTTTAATATTTTCTGATAAATCAGAGGTCATATTTACTTTTTCTGAGAATGATAACGCAAGAAGATAGCCTGAGTCATTTTCGGATAAATATGCAAGAAATGGTCAAGGCAGAATTATATCTTTGCATATATCAGGAGAACTTATACTGCCTCCAGAGCAAGTTCACCCAGTTTCTATTGTACAATTCTCAGAGCAGCCATCTCCATTTTTATTATTTCCATCGTCACATTGAGCTTGTCCCATATTTCTTCCATCCCCACAAGTTTCAATGCATTTAGATGATAATCGTGACCATAAATCATCTGTAAAGTATGAAATAGGAACTGAAAATAAATCTGAAAATCCCTCAAATGCTTCACATGGGTAGCATTTTTTATTAAAGACAATAGGCAAATCTCCTGTACAAGATAAGCAATTTGAGGAATCAATTGAGCAAGTCAAGCAGGAAATATCACATTTTGAGCAGTTATTTGAAGAGTCTAAAAAATGCCCATCAGAGCACTCACATTTTCCATTTCGCTCAATAAATCCTGTCTTGCATATTGTGCAGCTTTCTACATTGCTATAGCCTGAGCAGTAGAATTGCTTGGGTAATACCTAACGTTGTCTCAGCGTAAATTTATTATTCTTGCTTAACTAATAAATAATCTAATTTTTCAAGTTAGGGAGAAGTTTGGCACAATTGAAAAGGTAATCCATAAGTGTTTCAGGCAGTACAGATATACCACATCAATAAGAATAATCAGGCTACACACTTTGAACAATTGCTAAGGCAGCTAATACAAGACTGAGTGCTTTCATCCAAATAAAACCCATCGCTGCATTTCTCTACACATTGAGATTCTTGCTTAATATATCCACTTTGGCATTCACACTGTCCACTACTAAGAACTGCATTCTCAACACACTTGATGCAAGTTCCAATTTCATATTTAGTGCATTTATAGCACAAGTCATCATAGCAAAGATTGCAAGTCCCAGCCCTTGAGCATATTCATGAGCATTCACTTGGACACTTTTGGCAGTTTCCATTCTCATCTACATATTCAGTTTCACCACAAGTTGGCAAACAAGACTTCAAGACAGCTGGGCAAGCGCTGCACGAATCACAAGCCCCTAAACTCATCTTTAATTCATTATAGTTTTTCCCATAGTTATACATTGCAAGGCTATACAAAAATCCAAAAATTGATTGCCCATAGCCTACTGATCCTACAGTATGAGTTATTCCAGGAAATTCTTTATTATAGTTAGGCATTGCAGCAGTAAATAAATTGGTATTTTTGACCAATAATATTTCAGTTGACTTTGCTATATCATCATATAAAGGTTTCCTCTATATAGCGCTGAAAGCGCAGACATTTTCCCCAGGAGCTTTCCAAGTTCGTCGGACCAAATCGCTTTTTGGTCCGACCAAGGCATTGATTTGGTGCAACCAACCGATAAATTCCGATCAGAATTTATCGCCCTTACAGCGCCAAACATAGGAAACTTCTATATTTAAAAGAAATTGAGTAAAACGCCCATTCAGGTGAATTTCCTGAGTTCAACCATTGAGGAGAATAATACTCTTGAATATATTTGTCATCTCTTTCTATGAAAAGTTCAAGGCTACCATTTCGATTTATCCCAAATTTCAATAATCATTTAGACTTGTTAAGTCCATATAAATCTTCATAATATGATTTTGATAAGTAAAAACAGCCACTTGACTTAACTATAATTCATGCTTCTAAAGTAAATTCAGAGCTAAAAAGTCGTCCAGCTTGATTAGAAGACTGTGGCTCAAAATTAATTATTCCTTGACATATATACATAAAAATGTGACGACAGACCACCCGACTTCTCGACCCTATTTCTTCAACACCAGCAGGCAACGACCCAGTGTCGAGGATTTAGGCGGAAAGGGGTCGGTAATCCTTTACGTATAGTCGGGCTGGGTTTTTCTAGGCCCAGGGAGCTAATCCCTGGACTTAGAGTTTTTACTCCGGTACAACCCATTGGAAAGGGCAAGGTCGGCCAATGTCTAAAGGGCAATATGACCCTCAGACCCTGAAGACGGTATTTGCCTAACGAGAAACTGGGAGTTTCGACCCAGGTGGTTGGCCCTTAGACTCCAGGAGCCATGGAAGTCAAGACTGATGCGCGAAGCCTCGTCTGCGGCGACGGGGAAGGGTGTCCGCCGGGATTCTAAGGGATAAGAGCGTGTAGAGGTGCAAATTCTCGGCCCTTGCGAAAGCGGATGGCACAATCTAATCTAATCTAATTATTCCTTGACTTAAAAATAATCCTCTTTTGTTAGCAGGCAAAGGATCGAGGAACTCAAATTCTGGGTAATAATCATCAGAACTTATTCCTAATATCAAATATAAATTCGAAAAAATGAAGTTCCCTGAGAGATTATTATCAAAATTAATGTTTGCTATAGTTCCTTTGGCGCCTGTGCATTGTTTAAGAGGAAAATTTCATGTGTAGCCTAATGGACAATAATTTAAACACATAGAAGGATGGCCTGGCTGAGAATAATAACCACTTGCACAGCTTAAACAATCTGTTTCTGTATCTTCTGAGCTACAGGCAGCACATGAAGGATGACATTCTACTTATAAATTACTTTGACAAAGTCCATTTTTAATAAAATAGCCAGTTTCGCAGGTGCTGCAATACCAAATTGAGGATCAAGATGTGCAGTGAGGGTCAAGATAAGTAGCTGCACTGTATAAATTGCAATTATATTGCGTCAAAATGGTATCAATATAGCTCATGCACCTTAATAAATCCCTATACCCCAGCAGAATACCGAATAAAAAAATATGGTGCAGGCACCTTCCTCATTCAGTATAAGTCTGATTAGGCACCTTAAAACATATAACGGAGATCTGCCATTTTCGTTTTTACTTTTCAAAAAAGCTGACAAGTACAAATGAATTTTGAAAATTAAAATGGATGGCCAATAATGATCTAAAATATTTCAGGGGCTATACTGCTCCCAGGGTAAATCCTAAAATCCGCATAATTTCCTTTATAAATTTCAATCCCTTTTCCTCCAATTAAAGTAGATTTTTCATACGAATATGCTTTTGCTACATAAGTATAAGTAATTGAAGATGAAATCAGAGGGTCACTAGTAGATGGAGGGTTTGCCCCATTTTGGGAATAAAGGGTCAGTAGCTTTGATCCAGAGTTAACAGTCACAGCAAAAAAGAACCAATTTCCAATATAGCTTGAGCTAATTATAGTTGCCGTATCATTGGCTATATCTATTCCATCTGTGCTTCATATCGTAGCTTCTAGCATATCACAGTGGCTTGTATTTGTACTATTGATTAGCTGTATTGATAATAAATTTTCTTCCCAATTATCATGGAGATAAAAAAATGTTCCGATTTTTTCTTGGCAATCTGAAAACTGAGCTCACCCTGTAACAGAATAATCATTTCACTCGCTATTTGGGACATTAATTGTACGTCCAACATTAGAATAAGCTTTATCTGAAATTTCTATATAAGGAGTAGCTGAATATAAAGCAGGAAGAAATGCTGGAAAAAACCATTCAGTTTGAGATGCACATAGGTAGTCACATTTCCCATAGCTGACACTTGCAGATAAGCTTGAACAAGTTTCTGCTGCACAGGATGATAAGTATTGAAAGCTTCAGTCAGAAACTTGGTTATATATGTTGTTATAGATCCTAAAATCACTGATTGCACCATTAAAAGTTGCCGGACCCTCAAATGTGATGGAAGATTCAAAATTTAATGAAATTCCCAACCCTCCATAATATTATCATAAAGAGAAAAAATATATAACAGTATTGTTTCAACTATAAAATTATTAATTTAAACCGTAATAAATAAATTTATTTTCCTAAAAGAGAATTAAATCAAGAATACCTGTAATATGGGATTCAACCCCTTTGTTATTATAATAAAGCAGTATTGACTTATTCTCATAACTTAATGAGACTGCTACAAATATCCAATTATCACTAGGAGCCTATATAAAATTTACAATAGAAAGCGAAAATGGCTCATAGGTTTGGCTTTTCTGAGTCGCGCTGAAGTTTAAATATCGCATTGGAGAACTCTTATAATATATGAGGGATGGTGAATAAATATATTCTTCTCTACTTATTTCTCATTTATTCTATAAAAATTTGATTTTAATAGATTTTTATTTAAAAATTATTTTTCTAAAAATTAAGCAAATCTATATAAAAGAGTTACTAATTACTCTGCAATCTTCATTGTAAAAATTGTACCTGACTTGGTAATATCAATTAATTTCATTCACAAAGAAATACTAAAAGTCCCATGATTTTCTTCTCTTAAAACTGCCTCTGGAAGTAAGACTTCTTTTGGGGTGGCCCGGAATTTAGTACGCTGTACTAAATTCCGTACTTTTTTTTACCGTCAAAATGACTGAGAAAAAAAAAATGTACTTTTTTTTTACGGAAAAAAATACATCATAAAATTTTTGTACTTTTTCTAGGATGGGGTAAAATAGTACATAGGTTTTAGAAAACCATCAAAACGGGGGTAAAAAAGTACACATGGCAAAAAAACTCGTTAATAGAGGCAGGTACAAATAAGCTAAGAAAATAGAATAATTAAATTAAATAAAAGTGTATAATGTTGTATATTTTCTTAAATATAATAATAAATATGAATAGATTAAAAGAACTGTGCAGTGTCTTAGACAATATATATTTGTTTTGATTGTATTTTTTTTTTAAAAAAAAATATTAGTAAACAAGTTCACTATAATTTTTGTATATATTGTATCGATAACGATCTATTATTCAAAATCATTCATAATAAGACTAAAGTATTATAATCGCGAAGTAATATCTAATAGCATGATTAAATGTTTAAAGGTATGCACGGAATGCATAGCTACAGTTTATTTTAAAAAACTTAAAAACTTACGTAAAAAAGTACAAAATTTTTTTGTACTAAAAATTCCAGTAAAAAAGTACATGTACTTTTTTGTACTAAAAATTTTTTCAGTAAAAAAGTACATGTATTTTTTTTTATACGGAAAAAAGTACATGCTTAAAAAAATCAATTAAAAAAATAGTACCTATTAAAAATTAATAAATTATGGAAAAATAATTTAAATAATATTTAAATAAAACATATGAGAACGCATTTTCTATGTTCTACTGTATATGATTTAACATCACAATTAGCCAATACTACTGAAAAATACTACTGAAGAATACTACTATAAAAACACTTCCTTAATTTTTTAAATCTATAATAAAATAAATATATGCAGAGTGAAAAATTAGAACAAATTGAAGCAGAAGATTCATCAAGTAGTTCATTAGGAGCAGCTTACTTACGTGATAAATTTGAAGCTTCTGAAGATGAAATTTCTTCTGAGAATTGAAGTGAAATATACGAATTCAATAGAAAAGATAATACGCCTCCAATTGGATCAATATCCAAATCTCATTGATCAAATCAAATTACACCATTGAATTTATTTAGGGCCATTTTTTCAAAGAAAGAATTTATTATTGAAATAATCAAGAAGTGAATGTTTATGCAGAAGCTCTTTCAAAAAGTAAAAAAGTATATGGTGTCAGTAACTGCTCAAGAACTTGAAAAATGGATTGGGATATAGTTATGATGGATCTAATAAAAGCTCCCAAGCATAAGGATTATTGATCTATAGTCCCTCTTTGCAAAATTTGGTAATATCTGAGTCATAAAAAATCTAGGAGATTCCAAGACATAAGTCGTATGCTAAATATATTTTACAATTTAGAAATATTCAGCGCCAACTATTTTATTGACAATTATTATGGAAATAGAGTTTCGCATAAACTAATTAAAAATCTCCCAGAAAATCCACAGAGATATTATTATTTTTTGACGCTGGTATTCAAGCATTGAACTCTTCACTTCTATCTTCAGCCTTAGTTTTGCTGCAACTGACTCAATTAATAAAAGCAGAAAAGTCCTTCCTATAGCTCATATTAGCAAAAAATAAAAATGCAGGCTTGTTTAAGAATCTCCAGAGGAATGAATTCAAAGTTTGCATGTAGTTATTACTGGGAAACTTCTGAATCTGTAAGCAAACGAAGGAGGAGACTGAATACTGCTGCTGCAAATGCAAGAAGCCACTTAATCAATAAAAAATTACTTGTTTAAAAAATTTTTACCAAGCAAGGGTTTTAAGCGTAGTCCAAATGAATCAAATGAAGCTGGAATAAAGCTAATAAAAACGTAATAGATAAATAATATTTATGAACTCATATACAGTAGAACATAGAAAATGCGTTCTCATATGTTTTATTTAAAAATATTATTTAAATTATTTTTCCATAATTTATTAATTTTTAATAGGTACTATTTTTTTAATTGATTTTTTTAAGCATGTACTTTTTTTCCGTATAAAAAAAAAAAATACATGTACTTTTTTACTGAAATTTTTAGTACAAAAAAGTACATGTACTTTTTTACTGGAATTTTTAGTACAAAAAAATTTTTGTACTTTTTTACGTAAGTTTTTAAGTTTTTTAAAATAAACTGTAGCTATGCATTCCGTGCATACCTTTAAACATTTAATCATGCTATTAGATATTACTTCGCGATTATAATACTTTAGTCTTATTATGAATGATTTTGAATAATAGATCGTTATCGATACAATTATATACAAAAATTATAGTGAACTTGTTTACTAATATTTTTTTAAAAAAAAAATACAATCAAAACAAATATATATTGTCTAAGACACTGCACAGTTCTTTTAATCTATTCATATTTATTATTATATTTAAGAAAATATACAACATTATACACTTTTATTTAATTTAATTATTCTATTTTCTTAGCTTATTTGTACCTGCCTCTATTAACGAGTTTTTTGCCATGTGTACGTTTTTACCCCCGTTTTGATGGTTTTCTAAAACCTATGTACTATTTTACCCCATCCTAGAAAAAGTACAAAAATTTTATGATGTATTTTTTTCCGTAAAAAAAAAGTACATTTTTTTTTTTCTCAGTCATTTTGACGGTAAAAAAAGTACGGAATTTAGTACAGCGTACTAAATTCCGGGTCACCCCTTCTTTTGACTTTAAGTTATCATAAAAATACTGCGAGCATTGTTTTGGAAATATTTCCAAAACGCTAGCACTTAAAAGAATTGTAGAGAGCGAGAAAAGAGTAAAAGTCCATATATTCATTAGTGTAAATAGATATTATTTCAACATTTAAAAATTGCAACACTCAACCATTTTAGGGAGAAAAAATAATTTTAATATTAAAGTTAATTATTCTTCTAAAGCCTAATCCCTGCTTTGGATCGGGCTTAGCTGATATCTCCCGATCTCACATGGAGGATTGACGATCCAACGTTTGTTGGCAAAGTCAACTCCTATATGGCAAATCCTCTTGTTATTTTAGATTGTCATCTGGGAGTTGACGTTGCTAACAAATATTGGTTCTTTAACTGCCCATCTGACTCCTCCTGACATCAATCAAGTCTAATCCAAAGAAGGAATGGCTATAAAAGATTTATTTTGAATGATAGATTAATTGATTCTTTTCTAACAAAGAAAACATTTATACCAAGAAAAGTCATATAGCATTTAGTTATTTATACACAATAGCTTATAATCAAGATATTGTAATTTATTGGTATTTTCTAAAATATCCTTAATTAAGATGCTTCTCCTAAATATTTAAATAAGAATTAATTGACACAATCAAAAAATAATTAAAATAAAGTATATTATTTTTAAATATTACTTACTCCCCCCCTCCGTGAGTGAACAAAATTTTTTGTTCACTCACGGAGGGGGGGGGAGTTATAATAAAAAGACGAAATTATAAAAACTCTCTGAATATTAAAATATATTTTAGTCACTCATTTGAAATTCATTCTAAAAAAATTTCTAATAATAACTAAACCCAGTTAATTTTTCAAATTATTTAAAAATCATGATTAATTTTTGATTTTAGTATCATCATTATACTTGAGCATCTTATAAATAAATCTCTAATATACCCCGATTTCTATTTAAATTTGATCGTTAATTACAGTATGGTTACTAAATTTGTTATTTAATATTTTAAGCAGACAAAATGAAAAATTAGCTTTTATTTTTATTTGACAAGCTAGGATGATGAGAAAAAAATTAACTATTTAATTTTAATTCATCTTGGGGATCAGGCTCGCTTGACGAAGTCTCTGTCAATTTTTCTTTTAGTTGTTTAAGAACTTGGGCTATTTTATTAATTTGGCTAGTAAAGAGTGCTACTGCATGAAGCAATAAAGATAGGCATAGTAAAGTCGTAATAATCCATCCAAAATTTTTCCTGTTATTGCTAGACAAATTATGATCTAAAAGCTTAAACATTAAGCAATGTGCTGAAAAATGCAATGCTTCACTAGCTATGTGTAGATGATTTCCTAATACTTTTGCTTTAAATGGTTTTAATATCACTAACTCCCAATCCTCCGTGAAAGAACTTAAAAAATTTATTTTCATGGAGGGGTTTAATTTATTATTTTAAATAGTTAATAATATAACCGTCAAAATTTAAAAAAAATTCAAATTTGTAAAATTGAGGATAGTGGGCTTTTGGGCAAAAATATAGGATTTTTCCAATGGTTTTGTTCGCTCACGGTGGGGGCAGTAAAGAAGCTATGTATATCAATGATAAGAGAGCTGAAAGTGCTACTTGAAGAGTTGGATAGCCATATAGAAATACACAAAAAGCAATAAAGAATACTCTGCGAATGTTTTGGAATAAAATAAATGACGCTGCTGTCTTTGAGCTATTTTTGAATGCCTCATATAATGTCCCAAGTCTTTTTAGATGTAGCTTTTCGGTTAGCTTCTCTTCAGATTTTAATGCAACTTGCCAAATAATAAGTGCAAAAGTTAAAACAATATAAAGTGTTCCTATAATGCCTAGTATCAAAGAAATATAGTTTATATCTTGGTCTTGTTCTAAAGCTTCTCTTCATTTGAGAAAGACTAAAAGAGTGATTTCTAAAAATGAAAAAATTCCTACTCTTAATAGGATTGAAAATAAATAAGACTTTCTGAGCCATCTTACTATAGAAACTCTTGGATAGAGCTTGAATAAGAGCAAAGAAGTTGGAAGTCCAATTATTGTAGCCAATCAGAGTAATAAAAATTGTCCAATAAATAAGTCTTTAGGATAGCTCTCAGGAGTGTCAGAAATAATAATATTCCCTGCTAAAAGTCATTGAAATGGATTAGGCAAGAAACTTCCGTTTGATATACTAAGCGTACTTATATAAGATAAAAGATTGCCAGGATATTTTGGTGATAAAAATATTAAAAAGTATTGCATCTGCATCATTTCTATCATGCTTCATAATGCTTGATTATCAAAATTTTTGACAAAATAGCCTGAGAATGCTGACCCAACTGACGATGCCACAACTGCAGATATGGCTATCATATCTATGGCTTTTTCAATTAAATTTCCTGATTCATATACAAAGTTAAGTTAAGTTATAGCCGGAAACTATAGATTAGCTATAAGCGGGCAAATTGACTAAGCTTTGCCGTCTTGGCTCCAAAAAATACTAGCCTTAATCACTCACGAGACAAAAGAGGGAAAGGGAAGGTCGCCATTTTTGATTTCCGATCTGAAATATCTGTCCAAGGGACCAATTCAAAGGTAGAGCCACCATCTGTAGAGTTCCCCGACAAGGGAAGGCTATGTGGTAGGGAAAATCTGTCTAGCCTATTGGCAGAGACAGGAAAGCCTCCAGTCCTCAAGCCTGAAGGCTTATTAAAAAGGGAGAGGCCTGTTTTAGCTTTATCTAGATGTATTCTACTTGCTCAATAGGGAGTGCTCCTCGGAGACCAATTTCTGTCAACGTTAAAATTTTATTTATTCACATGCAAAGGAGTGCATCAAATTTGTTTTCACCAGCCTTTCTTTCATTTCCAATCCACGCATATCCACAATAGCGCTTGGATCTATAAAATTTACAGTGACATTCATTTTACTGTCTACATTTTCATAAATTTCCAATGCTATTATATATATAGAGTCGTCTAAAGATATAGACCAATCGAAATTAATAATTCCAGCAATTTCTATTTCAATTATTTCTGATATCTCGGCTCCAAAAGTGACAGCTTCACTGAATGATAAAGTAAGAAGATACCCTCTATCATTTTGACTTAAATATGTAAGAATTGGTGAAGGAGGGGTTTCATCTTTACAGCTGTCAGGAAAAGTTGCATTCCCCCCAAAGCAATTTCATCCAAATTCTATTAAACAGTTAGAAGAGCAGCCATCGCCATTATTTCTATTTCCATCATCACATTCAGCTTGTCCCATATTTTTTCCATCTCCGCAGATTTCGGCACAGTTTTTAGATAATTTTTCAAATAAATCTTCTGTAAAGTCTGAAATCGTAATCCCTTGATTTTTAGAATAGCCTTCAAATATATCGCAAGGATAGCATTTATTATTACTGTAAATAATCGGTGCTTCTAAAGGGCAAGATGTACAATTTGAAGATCTAATTGAGCAAGTTAAGCATGAAGCGCCACATTTTAAGCAGTTATTTGAAGAATCAGCAAAATATCCGGCTGCACATTCACATTTACCATGTTGTGGAAAAAAGCCAGATTTGCAAATCATGCAACTGTTTTGATCCATGCATTTTAGACAATTTTCTGGGCAGCTGAGACATGATTGAGAACCAGAATCAAGATAAAACCCATCGCTGCATTTTTCTACACATTGAGATCCTTGCTTTATATATCCACTTTGGCACTCACACTGTCCACTGCTAAGAACTGCATTCTCAACACACTGTGTGCAAGCCCCAATTTCATATTTAGTGCATTTATAGCATAAATCGTCGTAGCAAAGATTGCAAGTCCCAGCCCTTGAGCATATTCATGAGCATTCACTTGGACACTTTTGGCAGTTTCCATTCTCATCTACATATTCAGTTTCACCACAAGTAGGCAAGCAAGACTTCAAAATCCCTGGGCAAGCGCTGCACGAATCACAAGTCCCTAAACTTGGCAAAATTTCATTATAAGTTTTCCCATAATTATGCATTGCCAAGCTATACAAAAACCCTATAAATGAATTTCCATTCAAATTTCCAATTTTATGAATCATTCCAGGTATCTCTTTATAGTGACTTGACACAATAGCCGTATAAGAATTTTTATTGATGACAAATAATATTTTAGTAGACTTGGTAATATCATCATAAGTAAGAGAAACAGAATACAAAGCCCATTCCGAAGAGCTTTCCAATGGTGAGATTACTCTCTCTTGACTTCCATCACGCCTTAATATGTGAAGAGAAATTTTTTCATCAAACATTTCAAAGCCAAAATATAAAGTTCATAGAGAGCCTAGATCGTAGCCATAGTAATTATGCTTGTTGAAGTGAGTCGCATGAAATAAAGCTCCAGGATTATTAACTAACGATCAAATTTCAATAGTAAAATCAGAACTAAATAGCCTATCTTCTTGAGTAGGAGACTGGGAGATTATTTCTACTGATCTAAAGTGAATAAATATCCCTCTTTTGTTGGCAGGCAAGGGATCTCAAAAATTGAATTTTGGATAATACTCATCAGATAATTCTCCAAATTTTATATAAACGTAAGAAGAAATAAAATCACCTGATAGATTGTTGTCAAAATTTATGTTGGCAATAACTCCTTGAATACCTGCACATTGGTTAAGATAAGAATCCTTTACAAAGCCTAATGGACAATAATTAAAGCACAATGAAGGATGGCCTGGCTGGGCATAATACCCACTTGCGCAGGCCAAACAATTAGCTTCTGTGTCATCAGAGCTGCAGCCATCGCATGAAGGGTGGCATTCTACTTATAAATTACTATTGCATATTCCATTTTTAACAAAATACCCGATCTCGCATGCTTTGCAATACCATATTGACTCTCATAAAGTGCAATGAGGATCAAGATAAGTAGCAGCGCTGAATATATTGTTGTTATATTGCATTAAAGTATTATCAATAGCATTATCAGGATAAAATCTAAAATCTGCATAATTCCCTGGATAAACCTCTTGGTGATTTCCTCCAATAACAATCCAGCTGAACGATACTAATGGTAGTACAGAGTAATCATAAGTAATTGACGAAGAAATTAAGGGAAAAGAGGCAGATGGAGCACTAATACTATTTTGAGAATAGAGCGTAAATAACTTCGCAGTGGAATTTAAAGTTATAGCAAAAAAGAACCAATTTCCAATATAATTTGAAGAAATAAGTTGAACTGAATCATCAGTTTTATTTTCAAAGCTGTAAATTGTCGCTTCTAAAACATCACAGTGAGCTAAAAGGCTACTGCTCTTTAATTTTACTTCAATAATTATGCTTTGGCCATTATTAGAAATTTCTAAAATAGTTTCCGATCTATTTTGACATGCTGACACTTGAAGCCATCCTGTGACTGAAAAGTCATTGCATTCCTTTCATGGGTTATAAAAGTATGAATATTTATATATAGTCATATAAGGAGTCTTTGAATATAAAGTTGGCTGAAATATTGGCAAAAATGTTTCGGGTTGAGATTCACATGATCGGTCACATTTTCCATACTCTATAATTGGAAACAAGCTTGTACAGCTGACCTCTACGCATGAAGTTGAGTATTGCAAACTTCAGTCTGAAATCTCATTAAATATATTGTTATGAACCTTAAAGTCACCTATCCTACCAATGAAATTCTGTATTCCAAATAATAAAACCGCATTTGATAAAATCACTTCCTTTTCCAAAATTCCTGAATTGAAAGATTCAGTTCCTAAATTATTACAATAAAACAATAATAATTTTTTTTCGTAGCTTGCTGAGAAAGCTATAAATACCCAATTATCAGAAGGAGTCTAAATATTGCTTACAATAAGAAGAGATAATCTTTCATCTTCATTCGTGACCGATAGATATAAATAGGAAGTTGTTGAACTTTTTCAAGCATAAAAAATACAAGGAAATTGCAAAAAATTTTCTCTAAATTATAATTACTTTCCATATTCCAGTCAAAAAATGCCGCCACTCTTTCTAGGATCTATTATTTTGACCCATAAAGAGATTCCAAAAGTTGTATGCTTTTCTTCTCCTCCTAAAACTGCATCTGTAAGCTGCATTGCTGTTTCATTATTAAATCTATCAAAATGCACAGAGTAATACTGAGAGTAATACGGTGGAAATATTGATATGATATCAGAACTCGATGCAGTTTGAGAGAAAAAGGCAAAAAGAAATATGCATACAGCCATTATATTTAATGATTATATCTATATATTTATAAATAATTAGAGAAAAACTAGCATGAGGCTATCAAAATCTGAAGTTCATAAATGTTAAAAGTATATGAGAGACATTTAATATAAGTCAATAAGATAAGGGAGGCTTGTCCTCAATTTAAATAATTTTCAGTCTGTCTTTAGAGATACCCACAGATGATGTGGAGAGTGAAGACAAACTGAGAATAAAAGATTGCATGAGTGCAAGCCATTTAAATTTTTTAGATATAAAGTTTAACATGCAATGCAATATAAAAATTCAACATAAATATTTCCGAGTCGATAACTTTAAAGAGTTATACAATATTTAAGCTAACGCATCAAGCTGAGATAATTTTAGGATTAAGGGCTACCTAATTAACGGCAAAAGCCATTGGCCAGCGTAATGCTGATTTTCTCCTTTTCTTTTGTCTTTTTCTCTCCTATCCTTTCTCTGATTCTACATCCTCTCAAATTCTTCTCTTATTCAAATTCCTCCTATTCTTTTGATTCTATCTTGTCTTCAGGCCTTTCTCTTCTTCTTTCATCTTAATTTTATTTAATTTCTCCTCCCTTTGTGACTTAAGTGATTTTTTGGCGGATTTTTCCTAATAATAAAAGGAGTCAAGTGATGACAACAGAAAGAGAAAAGCGAAAAGATAACTATTGCTTAGAGAATATGAAAACTGCTAAAATTTAGAAATTAATTAATGCACATTGTATTTAAAGTCAGCTAGAGGATTTTCATTCATATTAAAGCTCATCCACCATAGCTAGGCATCGACTTCCTCATTCTTGCTGGTTCAACCTGGCTTGAGTCCAGGGCGTCTTATCTCTTTGGGCTGAAGTTCGAGATAAAACTCCAAGTATCGCCTTAGGCACCTGCTGTCTTCAAGATCTCCTATTCCAGTAGGATGTTCCTAATCTAGAGAAAATGACGGCCCAACTTTTCCCTTTCCCAACTCTATATCTGGAGAAAACCTATATTCCAAGCATTATACCCTGTGGCACGGAGAAAAACTCTGCCCATGTACATCAAGAATCTTGCCTGTTTCTCAGCTGATGAAAAATCACTATAAAAGGAGAAATCATTGGATCACTGCAAAATAAATAGATGATGGAATAGCATACAAAAGTATAAGGTTGGTATTATAATGACCTTGCAGCGCTGATTTATGAAGCCTTAGACTAATTTATTGTAAATACGCTTAGGGATCTTTTAAGAATTATATTAATAAGACAAAAATTAATTATTTTTATCTTGAAAATGCTATTCTAGAATCTTATCCTATGAATAGCTGCCCCCCACTAGTATCAATATTTAGAAAATTGCCATCAGGGTGAGTTCTTGAATCTTTTTCTTCATAGGTTTCTTCTTTACTTAATTCTATATTCAGGTCACTAGATTCTATTTCATTCATTATTATTCTTCTCTTGACTTTTAAAAACTTATTTGCAAAGTTTTGAAGAAATCAATCTTTAAGTTGTTTGACTCCTTGTAGTAAATTTGTGATCTGAACTATAAAGAGGCATAGTATATGGAGTAATAAAGAAGTACTCAAGAGTGCAATTATTGCCCAGCCAAGATTTGTTTTAGAATCATCAGATATGTGATTATCTAAAAATTTTAGTATTAGGCAATGAGCAGCAAAATATAAAATTTCACAGATTATATTTAAAAAATTCCCTAAATATCTCTGCTCGTATGGTCTCAGTGCAATTAATAAAATTGTATAGGTTAATGATAAGGAGGCTGATAATAAAACTTGAACAGTTGTGTGCTCATATAAAAACACACAAAAAATAAGAAATAGGACTCTGCGGATATTTTGGAATAGCAAGAAAGAAGCTTTTAGTTTAGAATCTCTTTTAAATCCTTGATAAAATACTCCAAATCTTCTTTCATGCAACTTTGTCCCAAGCAGTCCTTTAGGCTTTAACGATACTTGCCAAACTATAAGAGCAAAAGTAGAGATCAGGTAAAGTATGGTTAAAAAGGTCAAAATCAATGAAAGATAGCCAATATCTTGGTTTGGCTGTGAGCATTCTCTTAATTGCAGAAGGACTGAAAGTGTGATTTCTAAAAATGACTCGATTCCAGTTCTGAGTAAAATAGCATAGAAAAAGGAGCTTTTTAGCCATCTTATTATTGATAAGCTTGGTCTTATTTTATATAAAATTATACAAATTGAGAGCCCAGTCAAAATAATAGCCCATACTGCTACAAACTGACCAGCGTTCATAAGGAAATCTGTATTAAAATTTTCATCTGCAAACTTTTTTGAAGGATCAGGAAACGGGTCATTTTTTACTAAATACAGTTGAAAAGGATTAGGCAAAAAGTTTCCATTTGCTATACTTAAGGTACGAAGATATGTGATAAGGTTATTAGGGTATTGCGGAGATAAAAATATCAAATAATTTTGTATCTGCATCATTTCGAGCATACTCCAAAATGCTTGTAAATTAAAAGATCCTGTAAATATAGATCCTGCAGCCGCTCCTGCAGCAGCAACCATGGCTACAGTTGTAATAGAAGTTTTCATAGCTTCTGCAGTTTTGTATGTGAATGGAGCAATCAAAATTGATTTTACTTTTTTCTCTTTCATTTGATTACCGCTCGTATCAGCGATTTCACTAGGATTAATAAAGTTGATTTCCACACCTGTCCCACTTTCTACGCTTTCATATAAATTTAAGGCGACTTCATAAATTGATTTTTCTAATGAAATAGCCCAAGAAAACATTTTTATCCCATCAATTGTAATTTTAATATTTTCTGATAAATCAGATGTTATATTTACTTTTTCTGAGAATGATAACGCAAGAAGATAGCCTGAACCATTTTCGAATAAATATGCAAGAAATGGTAAAGGAGGAGTTATATCTTTACATATATCAGGAGAGCTTATACTGCCTCCAGAGCAAGTTCACCCAGTTTCTATTGTACAATTCTCAGAGCAGCCGTCTCCATTTTTATTATTTCCATCGTCACATTGAGCTTGTCCCATATTTCTTCCATCCCCACAAATTTCAGTGCAATTAGAGGCTAATTGAGACACTAAATCATCTGTATAATATGAAATCGGAATAATAAAATAGGTGGAATAACTTTCAAATGAATCGCATGGGTAGCATTTATTGCCATATAGAATAGGCAAATTTCATATGCAAGATGAGCAATTTGAGGAATTAATTGAGCAAGTTAAGCATGAAATATCACATTTTGAGCAGTTATTTGAAGAGTCTAAAAAATATCCGTCAGAGCATTCACATTTTCCATTTCGCTCAACAAATCCCGTCTTACATATTGTGCAGCTTTCTCCATTGCTACACTTTAAACAATTGCTAAGACAGCCAATACAAGATTGAGTGCTTGCATCCAAATGAAACCCATCGCTGCATTTTTCTACACATCGAGATCCTTGCTTTATATATCCACTTTGGCACTCACATTGTCCACTGCTAAGAGCTGCATTCTCAACACACTGGATGCAAGTCCCAATTTCATATTTAGTGCATTTATAGCATAAATCGTCGTAGCAAAGATTGCAAGTCCCAGCCCTTGAGCATATTCATGAGCATTCACTTGGACACTTTTGGCAGTTTCCATTCTCATCTACATATTCAGTTGCATTACAAGTTGGCAAACAAGACTTCAAGACAGCTGGGCAAGCAGAGCAAGAGCTGCAAGTGCCTACACTTGGCAAAATTTCATTATAAGTTTTCCCATAGTTATACATTGCCAAACTATACAAAAACCCTATGAATGAATCTCCATTCAAATTTCCAATACTATGAATCATTCCAGGTAACTCTTTATAATGATTTGACACAATAGCCGTATATGAATTTTTATTGATGACAAATAATATTTTAGTAGACTTGGTAATGTCATCGTAAGTAAGAGAGACAGAATACAAAGCCCATTCCGAAGAGCTTTCCAATGGTGAGATTATTGTCTCTTGACTTTCATCACGCTTTAATATGCGAAGAGAAATTTTCTCAAAATAGTAAATATAAAAATTATTAAAATGAAAATTTTTAAAAATTTTAGTCAATTCATGCAGGCTAATAAGAAAACATATAAATTATTCTTATAAAGCATTGACCCGAAATCAAAATATAAGTTTCATAGAGGGCCTAGATCGTAGCCATAGTATTTATGGCTGCTGAAGCAATTTGCACGAAATAAAGTTCCATGATTATTAACTAACGATCAAATTTCAATAGTAAAATCAGAACTAAATAGCCTATCTTCTTGAGTAGGAGACTGGGAGATTATTTTTACTAATGTAGAGTGAATAAATATCCCTCTTTTGTTGGCAGGCAAGGGATCTAAATAGTCAAATTTTGGACAATACTCATCAGATAATTCTCCAAATTGTATATAAACGTAAGAAGAAATAAAATCACCTGATAGATTGTTGTCAAAATTTATGTTGGCAATAACTCCTTGAGTGCCTGTACATTGGTTAAGATAAGAATCCTTTACAAAGCCTAATGGACAATAATTAAAGCACAATGAAGGATGGCCTGGCTGGGCATAATATCCACTTGCGCAGGCCAAACAATCAGCTTCTGTGTCATCAGAGCTGCAGCCATTGCATGAAGGGTGGCATTCTACTTATAAATTACTATTGCATATTCCATTTTTAACAAAATACCCGATTTCACATGCTTTGCAATACCATATTGACTCTCATAAAGTGCAATGAGGATCAAGATAAGTAGCAGCGCTGAATATATTGCTGTTATATTGCATTAAAGTAGTATCAATAGCATTACCAGGATAAAATCTAAAATCTGCATAATTCCCTGGATAAATCTCTAGACGAGTTCCTCCAATCACAATCCAGCTGAACGATGCTAATGGTAGAACAGAGTAGGCATAAGGAATTGATGAAGAAATTAAGGGAAAAGAGGCAGATGGAGCACTAATACTATTTTGAGAATAGAGCGTAAATAACTTCGTAGTGGAATTTAAAGTTATAGCAAAAAAGAACCAATTTCCGATATAATTTGGAGAAATAAGTTGAACTGAATCATCAGTTTTATTTTCAAAGCTGTAAATTGTTGCTTCTAAAACATCACAGTGAGCTAAAAGGCTGCTGCTCTTTAATTTTACTGCAATACTTATAATATGGCCATTATTAGAAATTTCTAAAATAGTTTCCGATTTATTTTGGCATGCTGGCACTTGAATCCACCCTGTGATTGAAAAGTCATTGCATTCCTTTCACGGGTTATAGACGTATGATTTTTTATCAATAGTCATATAAGGAGTCTTTGAATATAAAGTTGGCTGAAATATCGGCAAAAATGTTTCGGGCTGTGATCCACATCGTTGGTCACATTTTCCATACTCTATAATTGGAAACAAGCTTGTACAGCTTACCTCTACGCATGAAGTTGAGTATTGCAAACGTCAGTCTGAAATCTCATTAAATATATTGTTATGAACCTTAAAGTCGCCTATCCTCCCACTGAAATTCTGTATTCCAAATAATAAAACCGCATTTGATAAAATTACTTCCTCTTCCAAAACTCCTGAATTGAAAGATTCAGTTCCTAAGTTATTGCAATAAAACAGTAACAATTTTTTTTCGTAGCTTGCTGAGAAAGCTATAAATATTCAATTATCAGAAGGAGTCTAAATATTGCTTACAATAAGAAGAGATAATTTTTGGTCTTCTTCGGTGAACAATGTATAAAGCTGGAGATATAAAATGAAAGCTGCTGAACTTTTTCAAACATAAGTAATACAAGGAAATTGCAAAAAATCTCCTCTGAATATTAATTACTTTCCATGTTCCAATCAAAAAATATCACCACTCTTTCTAGGTTCTATTATTTTGACCCATAAAGAGATTCCAAAAGTTGTATGCTTTTCTTCTCCTCCTAAAACTGCTTCTGTAAGCTGCACTGCTGTTGTGTTAATAAAGCTATCAACATACTGAGAGTGATACGGTGGAAATATTGATACGATATCAGAGCTTGATGCAGTTTGAGACAAAAAGACTAAAAGAAATACGCATACAGCCATGCAATTAATATTATTTAGATATATTTTTAATATTAATTAGAGGGAAAATTAGCATGAAGGTTATCAAAATCTAAAGTTCATAATTGCTAAAAATATATGAGAGGTATTTGGTAGAAGTCGATAATCTAAGGGAGGCTTGCCTGCAATTTAAATAGTTTCAGTCCATCTTTAGCTATACCCACAGGGCCTCTTCAAGCAGAGAGATGGTATAGAGAGTGAAGCCAAGCTGAGTTTAAAAGATTGTATGAGTATTAGCCATTTAAATTTTTTAGAGATTAAAGTTTAGCATGCAATACAATATAAAAAATTGACATAGGATATGTCCAAGTCGATAACTTTAAAGAGTGATGCTGTATTTGAGGCTCAGTTCCTTAGTGAGCGGGCAAAAATTTTAAAAAAATTATTATTTTATAGTAATTTTTTTTAATCAAGCTTTTATTTTGAAACTTAACATGGATTTAATTGAAGAAATCAGAATCAAAGCCCAATGAGATATTGAATAGCTACCAAAGAGCTTGCGCTAGATTTATCCAAAGTTTTCGATTAAGAGATGCAATTTGAAAAATTATTTGGATGTGAAACCTCACTTTTGAATGCTAGCTGATACAAATAATTGTAAAACTAGAATCAGATAAGTTTAAACAAGTACAAATATTAATTTAAGAATTATTGGGGAAAAATTAAGAAATAGGAGAAGAAATATATATTAAAATATTTTTTAGAATCTGTTTTATCTTAATTATTGTGGATATTTTAAAATAGCTACAAGTAGGATTCAGCATATATTTTGAAAAATATATCTAATAACTTCAAATTATTATTTTATTAATCCATCACTCTTACCTATAAATAATATTTTCTTGGAAAATAATAAACAATTAATCTGAAGAAATGAATCTCTTTTCCAATAAGGAAATATAAAAATACACAAATAGTCTGCCAATTTTTATACAAAAGGTCATATTCTTTAATACCCAAACTACAAGAGTATTCAAATAATAGGCTAAATTAAAAATGAAATATAATGATTATTTTAATAACCAAACATAATCTATTCTTTCCTTGTGAAAAATTCATCGCCCATAGTATCTGTATATAAACTTTCATCAATTGGGACAATTTTGGTCTTTCTAAATGAGTGGATTTCATCTTTAATTTCTATATGCTTTCTTTTCCTTTTAGTAAAACTTTCACTTTCATTTTCCTGATTTTTTGGTGAAACTTTATTATCTAATATAATAGACTTTAAATTTGACTTTCCAATGTGCACAAATTTATTAGCAAAATTTTTCATAAAATTGTTTTTAAGATGCTTAATTCCTTGGATAATGCTAATAATCTGTGTTATAAAAAGCGCAAATATATGAAGCATCACAGAAAAACATAATAGAGCAATAACGATTCAGCCTAGCCTTACCCTGTCGTTGTCAGATAATTGGTCATCTAAAAACTTAAGTATCATACAATGTGCAGAAAAATAGCAAAATTCGCTAGATATGTGGAGACCATTGCCTAAAATTTTTGATTTGAAAGGTCTTAATAGAACTAATGAAATTGTATAGATAAATGATAAGACAGCTGAAAGTGTAACTTGAATAATTGTATACTCATATAAAAATACACAAAAAATAGCAAAGAGCACTCTGCGTGCATTTTGTAATAAAAGGAATGATGCTGTTAGTTTTGAGCTAGTTTTAAAGCCCTCATATAATGTGCCAAATCGTACTTCATGAACCTCTGTAGTAAGCTCCTCCTCTGACTTCAGCGTAACTTGCCAAATAATAAGCAAAAATGTTAGTATTAGATAAGCCATAGTAATAAAACTTAAAATCAATGAGAGGTAGCCTATATTTTGATTTGGTTCTGAGATTTCTCTTCACTGGAGAAAAACTGAGAGAGTGATTTCTAAAAATGACTCGATTCCTATTCTTAGTAAGATTGAGAATAAATACGATCTTTTAAGCCACCTAAATATTGAAACTTTTGGAAAAAGTTTTAAAAAAAGCAAAACTATCGGAAGACCTATCAAAATGAGAAACCAAACTAGCAAAAATTGTCCAGCATTCATAATAAAATCAGTATTAAAGTTTTCTTCTATAAATCTTTCAGGAGGATCAGGAAATGGATCTCTCTTGATTAAATATTTTTGGAAAGGGTTTGGCAAGAAATTTCCATTTGCTATGCTAAGAGCACTGATATATGATAAAAGATTATCAGGATATTTTGGCGACAAAAATATTAAATAATACTGAATTTGCATCATTTCAACCATACCCCACAATGCTTGAAGATTAAACATCCCAAGAGTCATGCCTGATGATATAGACCCAACAACAGCTCCAACAGTTGCAGATGTGGTAACAGTAGTTACAGACGTCTCCATTAACTGACCTAACTGATAAGTAAATGAAGTAGCCAATTTGGTTTGAGCGTAGCTTTCTTGCATTACATTCCCATTTAAATCTACAACTGAGCTTGGGTCTATAAAATTTACAATTACACTTGTCCCACTAGCAACATTTTCATAAATTTCCAATGTAATAATATATATAGAATTTTTCAAAGAAATTGACCATATAAATTTTGTAATTCCAGAAATTTCTATTTTAATATTTTTTGGTATTTCAATGTCGAAATATACAGCTTCGCTGAATGATAAAACAAGAAGATAGCCTGAGCCGTTTTCACTTAAATATGCAAGAATTGGAGAGGGCGGCATTAAATCTTTACATATATCAAGAGAGTTTGTGCTTCCTCCACTACAAGATCATCCAGTTTCTACAGTGCAATTAGATGAGCAGCCATCTCCATTGTTATTATTCCCATCGTCACATTGTGCTTGCCCCATATTTCTTCCATCTCCACATATTTCAATACAATTATAGTGAACTGCACTGACTGGCACGGGATGCTTTTGGCTCGAAACTGAGCCAAAAGCACCCCGTGCCAGTCGGTGTAGTTAACTATAGAAGATAACTGAGATAGCAAAGTGTCTGAAAAATCTTTAGCTGAAACAATAAAGGAGCTGGAGTATCCTTCAAATGATTTGCAAGGATAGCAATTATTGGTGTCATATAAAATAGGAGCGCTCTGGGTACAAGATGTGCAATTTGATGAAATAATTGAGCAGGTTAAGCACAGGCTATCACATTTAGAGCATTTATTTGAAGAATCGGTAAAATAGCTGTCTGCGCATTCGCAGATCCCATTTTTTAAAACAAAATCGTTTTCACATATAGTGCAAATGTTTTCTTCACTGCATTTCAAACAATTTGATAGACAGCTGAGACATGATTGAGTATTTAAATCAAGGTAATACCCGTCTTCACACTTATCTACACATTTAGAACTTTGCTTTATATATCCGCTTTGGCATTCACACTGTCCGCTTTTAAGAATCGCATTTTCAACACATTGGCTACAAGTCCCAGATTCATATTTGGTGCATTTATAGCACAAATCATCATAGCAGAGGTTACAAGTGCCAGCTCTTGAGCATATCCCTGTGCATGAACTTAGGCATTTTTGGCAGTTTCCGTTATCATCTACATATTCTGTTTTATCACAAGTCGGTAAACAATAATTCAAGACCCCTGGGCAAGCTGAGCAGGAACTGCAAATTCCTAAGGTTAGCTGAATCTCACTATAAGTTTTTGCATAATTGTACATTGCAAAGCTATAGAAGAATCCGCGAGCTGCACTCGGCAGATCTCCTATATAATGATTCATTCCATAGAGCTCTTTATAATAAGCTGCAACTGTCTCAATATAATGATCAGTATTTGTTGAAAGCAAAATTTGAGTAGTTTTTGATAAATCGTCGTAGGATAGCGAAAGGGAATATAAGCATCATTCCGGATTACTGAAAGAGTTAATAATCGTGGGTCAAGCTGTGTCGATATTTAGATGCTTATATTCTGAATCTATAACTTGTACTAAAAATGATAATCTCTCATATTGATCTATTTTAAACTCTGCAACGATTATTTGGTAGAAGTTTTCATAATTCAATACTGGATCATTGATAATAAATGCGCGACCTACGCTTGCCTTATATAGATCCCCGTAAGAATGAACCATAGCTCATATTTCGATTGTGAAATCAGTGCCCACTAATCTTCCAGCCTGTATAGAATCTTTTGGAGTAATAGTTAACTCGTCGTTATCTAAATAGATACCCCTTTTGTTGGCAGGCAAAGGATCGAAAAAGTCGAAATCTGGGTAATAGTTTTTTTCCTTGCCAAAGCCAACGTAGATATTGGAAGAAATAAAGTTTCCTGATAGATTGTCATCAAAATTAATGTTGGCGATAGTATCTTTTGTACCAGTGCATTTTCTAAGAGAAGAATCCCATATATAGCCTAGTGGGCAATAATCAAGGCACATAGTAGGATGGCCTGGCTGAGCATAATATCCATTTGCACAGCTTAAGCACACAGTTTCTGTATTATCTGAGCTGCATGTCTCACATGAAGGGTGACATTCTACTTATGAATTACTTTGACATAGTCCATTTTTAATAAAATATCCATTTTCGCATGCTTTGCAATACCAAATTGACTCCCATAGAGAACAGTGAGGTTCAATATAAGTAGCAGCACTATATATATTATTGCTATATTGCAATAATGTGGTATCAATATGATTTCCAGGGTAAACCCGAAAATCCGCATAATTTCCTGGGTATATTATAAAATATGCATTCTCGCCGATATAAAACTTTATTGAAACAGTTAACGGTGCAGCTACATAAGGATAAGCAAATGATGAAGAAATAAGAGGAAATGAAGCTGAAGGTGGATTAGCGCTATTTTGAGTATATAAAGTAAGCAATTTTGATCCTGAATTAACAGTAGCCCCAAAAAAGAACCAATTTCCAATAAAGCTTGAACTGCTAACACCCCCTTTGTTAGCGAAAAAAATTGGTTAAATTTATCTCTACTTTTTTAATAAGCTTTATAAATAATAATTTGAAATATAATTTAATGATTATAGCCATTGTTTCTCTAGATAATTCTTGAAGCTTCAATTTTAGAGCATTTTTTAAGCAATAAAAAAATCTGCATGATATCGAGCAATAAATTGCTTGCTAATCTAAAAAGGATAAGTGACACAGAGCTATATGCATAATTTACGCTATTCAGATTATAAACAGCCGCCATAAGTGTGTCACAAGGATTTGATAAAGAGCTAGATGTCAAGCTAATATTCAAAACTGGCACAGCAAACGCATTCGCGAGCTCAAAAAATGTAGTTAATTCAGAATGACATACTGGGAATTGGACCCAACCTGTAACTGAATAATCGTTTCATCCATTTGCAGGAATATTTACATCAAAATAGACATCCTCATATTTTATATCATAACTCCTACGCTGAATACTAATATAAGGCATATAAGGGTTTAAAACAGGCCTTATTAAAGGTAAAAACCATTCTGATTCACTTTTACACCATTGATCGCATTCAGCATAACAAATACTTGGATATAAACTTGCACAGCTTATCCCTATGCAAGAATTTAAGGCAACTAAATTTCAATCAGCAGCATCATTGCAAATATTATTATAAAATTTAACATCGCCAATTCTTGCACACATGTTTCCTGGTCCTCCAATCCATAATAATGAATCAAATTTCATAGGAAAATTAGAAGTATATTTTCCACTTTTATAAATTTCTGTTCCTAAACTATTGTATATCAAGAGCTTCATTTTTTGTCACCTGAACAATACATTCAGCAAGATCGAGCCATTGGCTTGAACAATTTATACTGATCAAGCCAGTTTAAATTAGAATCTGCAATATTGACTATATATAGTACTTTTAGAGTGGATTAGTCACAAGGCCTATTCAGGCTTTTTTATAATGAGCCAAAAAGAGATTCACAGTATAATAAAAAATGGAAGATTTCATTTCATAGCTGACAGAGAAAGCTAGAAATATTCAATTTGTGGAGGGGGTCTAAATAAATAATACAAAAATGATTGTGATATAGCCCAGGAGCGATTATTGATCGCCCTGGGCTATAATAAGGCTCAGAAAACTCCCCGAGTTGGTTTTTCAACTCAAATTGACAAACCAACTCGGGGAGTTGACAAATGCCGCCTATAAAGGGTATTTGTCAACTCCCCGAGTTGGTTTGTCAACTTGAGTTGAAAAACCAACTCGGGGAGTTTCTGAGCCTTATTATAGCCCAGGGCGATCAATAATCGCTCTTGGGCTATATCTGTGTCTTCTTTATCAATTAATTGTAAAATAAAATAGCCATGCGGTGAATATTGGAGATTGGGATATCAATATCTAGGTTCATTAAGACTCTTTTCTGTCTCGAATTTGAAAATTTCGCCACTTGCTGTTGAATCAATTATTTTAATTCAAAGGGAAAGACCAAATATGCCTTGGTTTTCTTCGCCCAGGAGGAATGCTTCAGAAAGGCTTATATTAACTCGAGGTGAAGAATTATCAAAATACTGAGAATAAGTTGAAGGAAATACTGGTAGAACACTTGAGCTATAGGTAAATAGGCACCTGGATAAGAACAGTAATAATGGCAACGATATCATTATAGTTATTACTGAAATTATTCGATATGGAAACTTTTAGCCTGAACTCCCTCTTCTATAATCAAGGAAAATTTATTGAGGGGTTTTTTATATATAGAATTATTTTAAAAATGCAAAAAATTAAGTTAAAATGTATATTCATAATAATTTGTGTTTTAGGGTGCAAGCTGTTTAAAGTTTAAAATGATTAGCTGAATACTGAATATCTGATTATATAAACCTTAATTATATATCAAATTATTTACAAAAAAATATATTAAAAATTTTTGCTATGGATTAATTTCTCAAAAGTAAATTTCAAATAGTTTTGTTCACTCACAGAGAGTAAGTAAATATGGAAGATTTAAGAAAAATTAAAAATATATATGATTAAATTTTGAATCTTAATGCAATATTGAGCTAAAGTTAAAGCGATCCTGTCTAGTGTCTTTCTTTATCAGTAGTTAAGACTGAACTTTGATCATTATTATTAACTAATTTTATCATGAAAATACCTCTCCACAATAAATGAAAGCATTTCTACTGGTTAACCGTTATCCTATTTACTATGTGAATATATATTAATGGTAAATCGTCTGAATGTTTATATTCTTTATAAATAGGTATATTTTCCATCGTTATAGAGCGACTTTGGCTGGTGTTCATCTTTCAAAGATTTGTATTAGGTGAAGAGCTCTGCAAAAGGTAAAAAGTATTAAATTGAGAAAAGCTGTTTGAGGCCTAAGGTTAAATAAGCATCTTTTAAATTTATAAGAATATTAATATTAAAATGCCTAATAAATATAATTATGCAACAACTATAAAGAGAATTAATTCAAATCATTCAAAAAATATTTATAAGAGTTTTTTTATAATAGCATTATTGAATTTATGTTAAAATAAAATTAAGCATATCTATAGAAAATAAATTTGTTCAATATTAGAGATTTATGCATATCATATTAGCTATTAAGCAATATATTACAATAAAATATTGATTTATTTAATATAAGATCAAAATTATATTTTATTCAAAATATCAGAAATCAACGGATTTTTAAATTATTTCTTATCATGTATTTGGATTTTAATCATATTTCATTAATATTCTTACATTTAATAAATACTTTTTTATATTTATTAATAAACTAAGGGGATAGAACTTTCTTTCTCCTCAAAGAATAAATCTCCTCAGTTCTTTCTGATTTTGAAGTTTTCTTGAATGATTCATCTCCCATAGTTTCTTCAAACGGGCTGTCTTCTTCAGCAGGTCTTATTTTTGTATCATTTAAATTCAGATCATCGTCTACAATTCCAGTTTTTTTGCCTTCAAAGTATGCTAAATTCTCGTTATTATTTCCTAGTGTTTTCCCAACTTTTTGAGTTTTCTTCTTAAGCTCTACTTTATTATCCAAAACAATAGTATCAATCATTGCTTTCCCTTTATACTTTTAAATCTCAATTTGCCCAGTTTTCTATAGAACCTAATATAATATTATCATATAAATTAATGATTTATTTAAATAATTTATTAGGCAACTTCATTTTAATTTGTATATAGAATCTTGCAAACTTATTTGCAAAGTTTTTCATGAACCAAGTCTTGCATTTTTTCATTCCATTAATGATATCAAGAATTTGTGTTACAAGACATGCTATTAAATGAAGAGTTAAAGATGATGCTAATAAAGCAATTACTCCCCAGCCAAGATCATCTCTTTCTGAGTCTGTTAGCTGATCATCTAAAAACTTCAGTATAATACAATGTGCAGCAAAATAAAGAAGCTCACTGCCAATATTGATAGCATTTCCTAACACTGATTTTTCAAAAGGTCTTACTCTTTCGTTCAATAAGCTACAAATTTTTCTATTATCTTTTATATAGCGAAAAATAGCAATCGAAATAAATTAATAATTAAATTTAAACTCTCAAAAATTTTAATAGCCTGTTTAAATTCAAAAATCATATATCAAGGGGTTTAATTTCGCTGATTCATAGAGGAGTTAGTAAAATAAGTGAAAGAGTGTACCCAAATGAGACCAAAGTAGACAAAGCTACTTGAACTGTTGTATACTCATATAAAAATACACATAGTAGCACAAAAACAACTCTTCTGACATTTTGAAACATTAAAAACGATGAAGTAATTCTTGAATTTCTTTTAAAGCTATCATATAAGGTCCCATATTTTCTTTCATGGTTTTCTTTTTTTAGGACATTTTCAGTTTTTCTGGTTACTTTAAAAATTACTAATCCAAAGGTGAACATAAGATAAATAAAAGTCAAAAAGCTTAAAGTCATTGAAACGTAACCGATATCTTGGTTTGGCCTAACAAGATGTCTTCATTGAAGAAAAACTGCAAGAGTGCTTTCTAAGAACGACTCAATACCAGTTCTGAGGAGCACGGAGAATGCATAGGAATTTTTTAGCCATCTTATTAGTCTGAATTTTGGGAAATATCTGTAACCGAGAAAGACTAATGGCATACCGGATAAAATGACCATCCATAACAAAATAAACTGCCCAGCATTCATAAAGAAATCGGTGTTAAAATTTTCGTCATAAAATGCTTTTGGAGGATCTGGGAAGGGATCATCTTTTACTGCATATATCTGAAATGGGTTAGGCAAAAAGTTTCCATTTGCAATACCAAGGGCACTTAAAAATGTTTTCACATTTTCAGGATACTTACTCCCCCCTCCGTGAGTGAACAAAAAAATTTTGTTCACTCAGGAGGGTTAATTTTTTTTTTTAAAACAATTTATATATAAATTTTATAAAGCATATTTTTTTAAAAACAATTTATATATAAATTTTATAAAAAAATATTTTTTTTTTCAAAATTTAAAAAAATCCTAATTCTCAAAATTGGAAAGCAAATATTAATTTAATTTATAAAATTTATGTTTTAAAAAGCAGTTCGTTTAAAATTAAACAGAATTAGCTCTAGATTTCATTATACTAATTATCATTTATATATCAAATTTGTTTTCCATAAAAATTTTTGTTCACTCACGGAGGGTGGGTTTTTTGGCAAAAATAGCGATTTTTCTAATGGTTTTGCTCACTCAGGGAGGGGGGGTTAGGAGACAAAAATATAAGATAATTTATAAGCTGCATCATTTCAACCATTCCCCACAATGCTTGAAGATTAAACATTCCTCCAGCACACGATGCAAACCCTGCAGCAGTAATAGCCCCAGCTCCAGCAACCCCAGCAACAGTAGTTACCGTCGTCGTAGTAGCCTCCCCCATCGAATACGTAAACGAAGTCGGCAAACTTGTTTTTGCCGTACTTTTTTGCATTTGATTCCCACTTAAATCAACTATTCCACTCGGGTTCACAAACTTAAGTGTCACTGTAGTTCCAGTCGCGACATTTTCATACATCTTCAGCGTAATAATATAAACCAAATTATTCAAATTAATCGACCAATCGAATTTCCTTGCCCCGCCCACATCAATTTCTATATTTTTTCCCATTTCAATCAATACACTAATCTGCTCACTAAAAGTAAGCCCAAGCAAATACCCAGAGCTAGTCTCACTCATATAAGCTAAAGATGGTTCAGGAGGAGTTGTATCAATACAGACATCATTTGTCGTATAAGTCCCACCAGAGCAAGATCATCCTGTTTCTACTATACATACAGATGAGCACCCATCTCCACTTCTATTATTTCCGTCATCACATTGAGCTTGGCCCATATGTTTTCCATCCCCACAGATTTCTGTGCATTTTTGGGCTAATTGGGTTAATAAAGATGTACTCATGCTACTGATAGAAACTGCATAAGTGTACCCATAACCTTGGAATGAGGAACAAGGATAGCATTGATTTCCATCATAGAGGACAGGGGCACTAGATATACATGAGGTGCAGTTTGAAGAAACTACTGAACAAGTTTTGCAAGAAGTGTCGCAGGCTTCACATGTATCATTTTCAGTCGAAAACCAGCCATCCGCACAAGTACAGATGCCATCACTTATAATAAAATCAGAAAAACATACAAAACAGGTAGATGCGTCACATTTTTTGCAATGTGAAGGGCATTGTGTACAAGCTCCAGCAGCTAAATCTACATAGTAGCCATCGTCGCAGGAATCTACACAGGTTGAATTTTGTTTTACATAGCCAGAGGAGCAATGACAAGACCCACTTGATAAAGTTGCATGTGTAACGCATTCAGTGCAATAACCGAGCCCATAGTGAGAGCATTCATAGCATAAATCGTCATAGCAAAGATTACAAGTATCTGCTTTATTACAAGGGTGGCTGCAAGAACTGTCACAGCTTTGGCATAAATTATTGTCATCAACGTACTGCTTTTTGGTACATGTGGGGAGACAGTACCCTAGACTTGCAGAACATGCGGTGCAGGTACAAGATCCTAAGCCTCCTTGGACGACTGATGGTGCGCGGCCATAGTTATAGAGCACAAAGCTATAAATGTAGCCTACATAGCTAGCAGCTCCACTATATGCGCCGATCCAATGAAGCATATTACTAGTTTCTTTGAAATAGCCAGAAATAGAAGAATAAGTGTAGGAAAAAGTATTTCTCATAATATTGACTGATGTTGTCGTTATGGAATCATCAAAAGTGAGAGATACTGCATAAAGAGCCCACTCATAAGGAGAAAAACTGCTGACTACAGAAGGAGTGTATAAATCTTGGCCAGTCCCATCCTGATTGACCAAATGCACGACCATCCTTCCATAATCATCAATTTCAAACACAATTGGATTCGATGTCTTCCAGGAGCAGCTTTCTTTGAAATAATAGTAAACACATGTCTTTGAGCTTGTAAAAGAAGAAAAAAACGTCCCGGATAGCATTGGCATTGCTCATAGTTCAATAGTGAAATCAGTCCCCATAACTCTTCCAGTCTGGCTTGAAGATTTCGGGATGACTTGAAGCCCTCCTCTTTCTAGATAAATCCCTCTTTTATTTGCAGGGGCAGGGTCTTGGAAATCATAATCAGGATAATAAGTCCCTGCACTGAGTCCATATTGGATAAGGACGTCCGATTGAGAAAAATCTCCGGTTAAATTGTCTTCAAAATTAAGGTTTAGACTGACTCCTGGTGTTCCGGTGCAGGAATTAGTAGAAGTGTCCTCTGTGAAGCCTATAGGACAATAATCAAAGCACAATAATGCATGACCATATTGTTTATAGTTTCCTGCAGAGCACGAGCTGCAGGAAATTTCATCATTAGCTGTACATGTAGCACAAGAAGGATGGCATTCTAATTATATCTTACTTTGGCACATTGCTCCAACTATATAGTAACCACTTGGACATGTTTGGCAGGTCCAAATACTAGAAAATGAAGTGCATACTGGATCCATAAATGCTGAAGAGCTGCCATAAATACCGTTGATATCTGCTACTGCTAGGGCAGTTCCTGGATACAGCCTTAAATCAGCATAATCTCCTTTGAATGAGGTTGTATCGCTTCCTCCTACAAAAATCCAAATATCATTAGGCACTAATGTAGCTGTAGGTCCTGCAGACATAGAGGATGATGCTGGGATTGAAGAAGTTCCTATGTATAATACAAAATTTGTTCCATCCGAAGTAACTGCAAAAAATGTCCATACACTTTTTAGAGTAGTTACACCACCTGGAGCAAATCCTGGAATTGTTTGCTGGGACGCTGCTGAACTATCATATATTGTTGCCTCCATTTGCGTACATGTACTTGCCATATTTATACTAAGAATATTGCTGGAAGATGCATAAGGGGTGCCTGAATTTGCCATGATTTTTAAAATTGTAGTTCCTGAGCCACAAGTAGAACTAGGTTTTATCCACCCTGTGACAGATCTTAGTCTTAGTTAAAATTATAGAGTAGTTCCTTGCCAAGACCGAAGGTCCTTTTCTTCCGCCTTTTGGACGCCTCGCTTGCTTTCCTTGCCCTGCTCCCAGTGTACACCTAAGTGCCACAGGCTACCACTTAGCTCCTTCGGTCATGGGGCTTGGCCATGCTATCCCGGAAGTAGGCGGACTGGGTCACCGTGCTTCACGTCGCCAGACTAGGGTTAGAGCTAAGGATTAACTCCTTTAGCTCTTGTCGGCTCCTGCCATGCCCTCCAAATTGACACTAGCGGTCCCTAGAGGAAAAACCCTTTTTGCCCCGTGTCCTATTGGGACGACCTAGGATCGTCGTAGCTGGACTGGGAGGGAAACTAGCCGACACAAACTACCAGCACCCATTCCAGACCTTTTCCTGGGCGGATTGGCTTCAGGCCGCAGCAAGGTCCCCAATCTCGCCACAGTTCCGGGAGAGGACGGGTCGGTATCGTCGCCATTTTATTTGTGTACCCTGTGACAGATAAGCTTGTAGAAGCACTCAAAGCTGATGATAAAGTCTTTCCAAAGTAAACTTCGTCAGTGGATGTAATAATTTTGCTAGTTTGTGTTGAAGAAACTGTAAAATAAGGGCTGCTTGTCCACAAAGAAGGCTGAACTAAAGCCAAATATGACCCACACCATTGATTAGCCTGTGAGTAGCATATATTAGACTCTCCACATCCGGTTGAACCGCAGCTGCTTCTTAATGTATATTGAGTATTCCAGTCTGCTAATTGTAAATATTCATTATTATGAATTTTAAAATCTCCCACTCTTCCAGTAAAAGAGTCACTTCCTCCCATTATCAAAACTGAATCAAACGAAATTCCGATTTGGGCATTTCAAGACCCACTGCTACAAGTTGAGCCACTTCCTTGGTTTATACAAAACACTACAGTTTTGTCAGGGTAACTTGCGGAAATTCCAACAAAAATCCAATTTGTTGAAATCGTCTATATATTTTTTATACTATTTTTTATTGATTTTACATTAAAAATGATAAGACTTTTATAATTTTCAATTTTTTTTGGCAAAATTAATCATATAAATATAGTTTACAATTGAGCGAGATAAAGTTTGGCTGATTACACTATAATCAGGGTTATTCCATATAATTTTCAATGTACTCGAGGAATAATAAAGTTCTGGAAAGTTATTGTAATATGTAAAGGTCGAACTAAATATTTCATACACTGGTCTTTCTATGTTGAAAATATCACCACTAATAGTGGAATCGACAATTTTGACCCAAAGAGAAATCCCAAATTGGCCTGTGCATTCTTCCCCAGAAAAAAAAGCTTCTGATAAAGTGATGTCTAGCTCTGATGAAGAACCGTTAAAGAATTGTGAATACGCTTGGGGAAAAATTGTATAGTCAGCTGCGTGCACAAGATATATCAAACTTAAAAGAAAATACGCTGTACAAATTATCATTATTGCACCAATAAAAATGACTTAAATTTACTTTGAAAAATTTATTATGTGAGCTATAGGATTTTTAATTTAGGCGAGATTGCTATGGAAATGATGAATTTCTTTTCATTTCTGACATTTCTTTTAAAGGGGAAATTTAATTATTATGGAAATTGCATTAATTTCTAGCTCATGTCTTTGATTTTTTATTTCTTTTAAGTTTTTTAAAAAGGTAGAACAAAAATGTTATATTACTGGCAAAAATCTACTAATTTTTATGAAATTAGGTGTCTCTTAAGCAATTTTCATTAATAAATAATCATGGCTCTAACTCCCCCTTGTAAGTAATAAATTAATTTTTTTCTCGAAATAATTCTAAAGCAAATATTATAAAAATTTATGTTTTAAAATGCAACCTGTTTAAAATTAAGGAAAATTAGCTAGAGATTTCATTGTAAAAATTATCACTTATATATCAAAATAATTTTTTATAAAATATGTTTTTAAGGTAGATTTTTACCAAAAAGCAGGACTTTTGCTAATGGTTTTGTTCGCTGACGGTGGGAGTAAGTATAATTAACCAAAAATGCTATTTTATTTAAACAGGCATAATTACCATTTATTTGACCTTGCCAGCTTATTAGCAAGCTCAAGAACTTTATCACTAATTAATATCATTCACTCTCTGTTATTCATTATTCTAGGCATGCAACTATAACGCATTTCAATTGTAATGATATCATTCAAGATTTGGAAATATTCATTCTTAGGTGTTGTAAGATATCTATGAATAAGTTCTGTATACACTTCATAAGTCCATGGTAATCTGTCTTCAAATTTTAGCTCTGCTAAAATTTCGCATTTCTCATCATAATCGAGCTTATTGAAGTTGTGGAGTTTTTTATGAAGACTAATTGAAGCCCTTAATTCTTCCAGATTTAGAGAAAAACCTAGACCATGATAAACTTGCTGATTAGGATGCTGGTCACAAGTTTTAACAAGCCACTGAATTGCTTCAAATATTCTTAATTTGCTGGAATATTCACAATCTAGCATGTATAATCTCATCGCGTCACTTCCAACTCCATATAACTGGACTAGTCTATAAGCTGTTTTTACAGATTTTCTCATTTCATGTGAGGTTTCTTTGGACTCAGGATCTTCATTAGCAAGCTGAGGGGTTATCCCGAATATATAGCAATTATTCTGCTCATCATCTAATTTCCTCAGCTTTTTTATTGTATTTTCATAAATACCATTTTCTTTAATTGCAAAGCAGTAAGTAGGGGAATCAGGCAAAATAACAGGGTTTAAAAAACTTTTGCCTTCAGAAGTTTCATTTGAATTGCTATTTGGTGTTATGTCAAGTTCTTCAGCTTTGCTAGAATTCAAAAGGATAGGACTGACCTTTACTTTTAGATTTTTTTGAAATTTTTCCTTTTTGAATTTTTCACTTTTATCTTTATTTGAGTCAAGTCAAAGATCTTTAAGCTCATTATAAATTTCTGTATAAGGGTCTCTATCTTCTCTGTAAGGGCCAATATACCCTGGGCTTCCAAGTCATTGGATTTCTGCAGATTCCATTTATTGATATAAATGAATTTATCTTCTCAGGTATTTAGGTTTTGATATTAAGGAATGAATAATTATTAATATATTTCTAATATACTTTCTAGATCTACCTAAATAGTTTAAATTACCATTATTAGTAATATTAAGAATTGCGCGTTCAAAAAATATTATTTTAAAATTTGAATAAAAAATTTATTAATTAAACCTATAATCAAAATCTCAAAATAGCTCATATATAAAGTGACCAGTTATGAGCGACCCGTTATCCCTGTGGCAGGAGTCTTTATGAATATCTGGACGTGGCTTTTTGTGCAAAGAGCTGCCAAAGAGTTGGGTTAGCCTTGAGAGGCCCTCACTATTTCCGCTTATTAGTTGTCTGGCTCGAGCAGCGGCTTTTTGCATATTTTTTACCAGCAGCGCCAGACTCAGGTTGGCCTCCGATAGAGACAGGGCGACTTACCTGCCTAGGCGCTTCATGGCCTGCCCGAATCATCTAAAGGATCCAGTGAACGTGAAAGGGCGATGTGGTCTAAGCTAAGCAAAGTTGGATAAACTAATTGCTTGGGTTTGGAAATGGGAGTTCCTGCAAAGTCCGTATGACTCATACGATGGATGGAAAATACCTCTACCGAGAAGCCAGGGCTCAAGTTAACTTTAAAAAGCATGATGCTCGGAAATAGAGACTATAAAGACGCATCTTAATATAATATAATCTTATCAAAATCTCAAAATAATCCATAATTCTAATTCTGAATTAATATAATAAAAGTTTCCTTATGCTAAATCTTGGATTTATTATTGCCTTATTTTCTTCCATATATATAACATTAAAATTATAATCAAGTCTCAGCAATCTAATTTTAATTTATAAGCAAATTAGCATGCTCCTCCTCTGATGAAAATATTTCTGAGTATCTTCGAAAAGTCCTTTTAAAAAATTGAATTATTTTGGAATATTTATTTAGAAATGGAAGTTGGAAATGAGCTCAACAAAAATCTTGAAGAAGTACAAGAAAAAGATAAGCAGGCTGAATCAGTTGAAAATTTGACAGAAAATAAAAGAGATCTTATTGAAAACTCTACAAATCTTGAGGAAGTAAAAGCTAATGAGAGCCAAAATCCTATTCGTAAACCAAAAGTTATTAAAGGTAAAAGGAAGGTCGAAAATAAGGAGGAATATAAATGCGATGAGCAAACTCACTCAGACAGCCACTGTCCTACTAAAGTAACAGTCTTTTGGTAATTAATTATATCTCTTAATCTTGCTTCAAAACTTACTTTATCAAAACTAGCATTTATCCTAACCTTCTCAGCAATTGTTTGCATTTTTCTAAAATTATCACATTTATTTCAATACATAAACTTATACAAAAGATGTGACTGAAAAGGTTTATTTACTTTTCCTCTTACTCCCCCTCTCCGTGAGTGAACAAAACCATTAGAAAAATCGCTACTTTTTGCCCAAAAACCCACCCTCCGTGAGTGAATAAAAATTTTTTTAATAGAAAAAGTTTTTATGGAAAGAATTTTGATATATAAGTGGCAACTACCATAATGAAATCTCGAGCTAATTCTGTTTTAATTTTAAACAAATTGCTTTTTAAAAATAAATTTTATAAATTAAATTAATATTTGCTTTCCAATTTTTGCAAATTAGGATTTTTTTAAAATTCGAAAAAAAAATTATTTATAAAATTTATATTTAAATTTTTTTAAAAAAAAAAAATTAACCCCCTCCGTGAGTGAACAAAATTTTTTTGTTCACTCACGGAAGGGGGTGAATTAGATAGCTAGCAAATCCCTATTTTAAGAAAAATTAACTTCCGTTTATAAGAATAAAACATTTTTTAATATACATAAATTATATTTAATTTATTATAATAATTAAAATTTATACAAATTGTGCTCTAAAATATATAGATCTCATCCAAATAAAAATATAAAAACAGCATATAAATTTAATATAAAAATTAATTTTTGTTATTTAAAAATTGCTAGCCAATAGAGATTTAGTCTTTTTCTTTTCAAGCTTCTTCTTATAGAACTCTAATTCTTCTCCCTCAAGTATGTATCCATCAGCTCTTCCACTCTGTCCAGGCCTTGAAGTGACACAGGCCAAAAGTCTTCCAGTTTTGAAGTCATTTTCTAATATAGGATCAATTCTCTTTTCTTTAGCATTCTCTTCCCACTCTTTTTGTATTTTTTCCCATTTTTCTTGAGCTTTCGCTGATCTAGTCGCAGTTTCTTCTTTTTTGACTTTTCCTAAGTCTTGGCCATAAGTCTTATAGAAGAAAGCTTTGAATGGTGTGGCATCGACTTCTAAAATGGTGTTTTTGGTGATTGTATTGGTCCTGACAAGTTCATTGTTTGTAGCGTTGTAAACGACCCAGAGAATACGTGTTTTTATGGTAACATTTTGACTTGCCCAAGAATAGTTACCAGCATCTAAGCGTAAGGCTCTGTATTTGGAATTTCCTCCACGGCCACGGACAAGGTGAATACGTTTAGCACCCAATTTTGTCATTGCTGGCTGTCTTGCTTTTTCGAAAGCTCTCTTTTTCTTGTGAATTGGCATACGCCCTCCTGTCTTTCTACGCTTGTGTCTTGAATCACGTGAGATGCCCATGCCCACAAATTATAAATGGCTGATTTAGGTAAACAATTTGATAGAAATCTTGGGAAATAAGCAGGAGATAGTTAGGCTATTAATAAAATCATTATTGATAGAGATGCCTTGCAAAATTAATATACTTTATATTAAGAAAGCAAATTTAAGGTTAAAGAATTTAAGTTAAGTTTAAGGATTGACTATAATATTGGATAACAAGGTTAATTTAGGATTCTTTGATATCATTCTGTAGACTCTGCTCTATGAACCTTCTACGAGCTGCTAATTTCGCAAGATATTGAGTATATGCAGCCCCATAAAAGATAATAGGTGAAACCAAGCCAATTATGTGAGATTTTCATGTAGGAAAGGGCATTGATTTGATATAGTTGACTGTAAAATAAATACCAATAACAGAGAAAAGTCATTGCCTTACTGCTGGACATAGAGTACAATTATCACTTCCTATAGGCGGGTGTTCTACCATAATAATTTAAGTAAATATATTTGTATATGCTTCAGGCACTCTCTTCATAAATTATTTTTGATAAGAGATAACTATATCTTGTTTAAAGAAGAAAAGATGTATGCGAAAACGAGTCTAAACACTAAGCGCATGGTACTTAATTAAAAACTATCTCATACGAAATATGATTAGTCAATGTTTTAATAGTCATTTTATTTCGAAACTTTTTTATTTCAAAGAGGCCAAAGGATCTTTATCAATTCAAAACAAAATAGCATTTATATGCTCTAAGAATTAATTTTGTTTAATACTATTTCTCATTAATTGGCTAATGAAAAGTCGAGCATACTAAAATTAAAAATTACATATTTTAAGAATTTGGCATAATATTTTTCAATCCGAATAAGCATTTAAACCTTCAATTTTTTGACTAAATGAATAAAGAAATCTCAATTCTTTCAATTTTGCCCAAATACTTCATAAAACTATTATCATCAAAACCATTTTCTTTTGGATATTTTACGATATCAAAATATCTAAAATACTATTAAAAAAATTGTATTATTCAAGCGGATTTAAGTATAAATATATATAAATTAAACTGATATTAAACAATTACAATTCTTTATTTGTTAACTTCTCCCTTTGCAAAACTATTAAAAAATTCCAAAAACCCTACGTAAGCGAACAAAATTTTTTTAATATAAAAAATTTTCTATAAAAAAAATTTGATATATAATTATAATTAGTAATGAAATCTCTAGATAATTCTGTTTGTATTTTAAAATATAAATTTTAAAAATCAAATTAATATTTGCTTTCCAATTTTTGTGAATTGGGATTATTTTAAATTTCGAAAAAAAAATTTGCTATGAATTTTAAAAAAAAAAAATTATCCCCTTCGTAATGAACAAAATTGTTTTTGTCTGCTCAAGGATGGGAGTAAGCAATAATATATTCTTTTACAATTAATTATGTGATATTTGCCTTAATAAAATAAATTATTATTTTTGAAATTATCATTTATTACAAAGTATATACTTACTAGCATTATATTTAGTTTTAAAATTAAAATCAAGATTCCCAAAGATAGCTTGAGATAATGAGTTATAATTTATTATTTTCACAATAAAAATATTATAAAACTAATATTATTGCAAAACTTAAACACCATGGCTTTTCAAAACTCCAAGCAAGCTAACAAAGATTCCTTTTTTTCATCATGCTCAAATTCAGAGCGGCCAAGCATAAATCTTAGATCACAATTCAAAAGGCTTTCTCAGCAAGCCGGCTGCCTAATTCCTTTTGAAAGAGCTGACAGCACTTCATCAGGCTCATCCATTTCTACAGCAACAAGAAAAATTGGCTACCACAATTGAAAAACCCAGCGTCACCTTACGTGCTTTACCCCAAAATCTCCTACAAATAACCTTCAAATGGATCAAGATAGAATGATTTCTTGTATAATTCAAGATTGTGATATGATAAAGGACGAAATTCTAGGGGCGAGAAAATCAGTTGAAAGAGATGCGAGTGTCACAAGAAAAAATATTTTAAGTGTAAGCCAAATTGAGAACTCTGAAAAATTTCAGTCTTTAATACATGAGGATTATTTTGAAAAAGAAAAGAAAAAAATTGAAGAAAATTATGATTTTTTATATTAAAATATTACTAGTCCTCTGTTACCTCATTTTTAATAGATTAAGATTAAGATTAAGATTAAGATTACGCTGGGTATTTAAAGTCCCTACTACGTCCGAGGTCGCATGCCACGGTTTCCCGTGTGGTGGCAGAGCGTTCACCAAGCCCGGGCCGAAACCCCCGGTTTCTCGGTAGAGGTATTGTCAAGGGCCGTATTATACCGGCTTTGCTGACCACCTCCATTTCCAACTTGGATCGTCGCCTAAGTTTACGCCAACTCCGCTTCGTCGTCCGCCAGATCTGCCCATTGAAGGGCACCTTTTAAACTGGAGAGACCCCCGTCTCGATGTCTAACTCACCTCCCCTCTTTTCCGGTCATCCCGAGAAAGAACTCAACAGCTTTCGCCATTCGGGGCGAGCCACTAAAGCAGCTTAGGCAGGTAATTCACCCTGCCTCATTTCGGGCACTCACTGGGCTGAGCGCTGCTGGCAAAAAGAAGTCACGAATAACTGCCTATGGGTCTGGTCGCAAAAACAGCGGTTCTCGCGCTTAGGCCTCTCGCTTCGAGGTCCCGGACGTTGTTGGGCTAATTCCTGGCTCCAAAAACCATGCCCGGATATACATGGGTAATCACCACTGGGAGGGTGGGTCGGTCGCCATACGCCATTTTATGTATATATTTTTTAATAGATAAATTTATATTTTAATAATAGAATTCTTTATGCTTAATTAATTAAAAATATTATATATAAAAACTTGCATCATAATGAAGAACTTGACAAAAAATATGATAAAGTTCGGTCACTTTTAACACCTTCAAGAGAAGGGAAAGCACATCACAGCCGTTTTCCCAATCTTGAAGTAAATGTAGATAAGCAAAATCATTATTTTATTACAAGTGAAGATTTAATAGATACAGAAACAGCCCACATAATATCACTTAATAAGCGGTGCTTTGGTGAAAATTTTTCACCAAAAATAAAAGAATCACCTGAAAAAAGCAGCCCAAAAGCTAAAGCAATGATAAATGCGAGCGAAATATCTCCAGAAGAAACTATCCTTACTGATATAAAATCAATAATATCTAAAAAAAGTGAATACTCCCCAAGAAAAGCAAAATCTCCAAATAGCTCTTGTTTCCCTTCAAGAATGGGCTCAGAAAGGATTTTTGATAAAATGCGAATACAGCATATGTCGCCTTTAAATCAACAAATTTTTCATGAGCTTGATAGGCTGATTCCACAAAAAATAGCAAACGCCAATAAAAGGAGCCAGCCACTATTCAAAAGTAAAAATTTTAACATGAAAAATAAAAATAAAAGCAATAGAAAAGAAGAAAGCTATGGTAAAAAGAGCTTTAATAAAAAAGGGGAAATTCAAAGCAATTATTTTCAAAAAAAAGTGTTAGATAAAAATGTAATGGAACTTTTTAAAGGCTGCAAAATTGAGCCTAAAGATTTCAAGCTGAAGAGAAGAGTTGAGAGGCTGCTAACTGCAAGACAAAACTTAGGTAACACTAAAAAAGAAGTATTCTAGGAGTTTCCCTTTTATTAGTATAAAGCTGACACATATAGAAGGTAAAATTAAAACATTAATAAAAGCAATGTAATATAAGCAGCTCTCAGAATCTGCGACTAAAATTATATGGTTATTGAAATTTAGAGATCAAAAATTTTTTTAGTCCATTTTCAAATTCGTTTTTCTGGTCTTTTACTAAATTAATTCATGCTATAAATTACAAATTTTAATCTAATACTTTTTATATAAAATACTCAAAATATTAAATGGCATCCCCAAATCAATCAAAGAACTTCCTATGTGCCTCTGACTCAACCTTGGACTCACAGCTTTCTCCATTTCGCTCACAAAACACTTATTTTGCAGATCACCCCGACAAAAATTCAATTCATTGTAGAGTTTCAAGCTCACCATCCTACTGGTCCTCGTCAATGTCTTGAAGAAGAAATATGACTAAATCTGATATCCTATTTACGCAAAATGGCTTTAACATTTTTAAAGGGGTTATTACTTTGATAATTTAAAATCTGAGTTTAATACTTGAGATATAATCCCAATTTACATTAAAAATTATAATCAATTTGATTATACAGCCACTGCATCCAAAGGATCAATTTCCAAACAGCAAAGAGACCAGGATCGAAAAATTACCAATATAATAAACGATTGCGCATTGATACAAGATGAACTAGTTGGAGCATGAAAATCAGCTTCATCTAATGTGAGAAAACACAAAAGGTATCTTAAATTTATAAAATCTAAAGTATTTTCCACAAAATTCAATTCATTTTTGCACAATGATATATTTAATAGAGAGAAAAAAAAATTTGAAGAAAATGTAAAAATTTTAACTCAGGACATTAACCTTACGTTAAAACATGAAAAAGTAAAATCGCTGCTAGGCTCTCCAAAAAGAAGTGAAAGTCCAACTAGATTGCCAAGCCCTGATGCTATAACTAAACAAAGAAGTGAGCAATTGTTTGTAACTACACAGGATATAACAGATTTTGAAACAGCACAGCTGGTAGCATTAAATAAAAGAGTTTTTGGAGAAACCTTTGTAAATGAAATAAAAGAAAGTGCTCAGGATAGAAGAGTTAAGCATAGATCGATGCTTGATCCTAATGAAATCTGTCCAGAGCAGACTATACTTAGCGACATTAAGCAAATTTTGCATCAAAAAAGACGCCCGAAACACAAAAAGATAGAAAAGCCAATAGAATCAGAACTCAGGGCTCGATGAGAAGCACAGAAGCTGCTAGAAAAAGTCCACTTAATGTCTCCAGTAAATCAATATATTTTTACAGAACTAGACCGAATAATCCCCAGGACAAGCGAGCACATAAAGCGTAAAAGCAACCCCGATAAAAAATCCAAAAAAGAAGAAAAATCAAAAACAAATAAAAAAGAACCAGAAAACTTAAGCGTTATAAAGCACACAGTACAAAAGAGAATCAGCCAAATGAACTACTCCAAAAAGAAAGACCTCACAAAAGAAGCTCTAGATCTTATAAAAGAAATAAGGCAAGAAGCCAAAGATGTCAAATTAAAGCGGCGTGTTCAACGTTTGGTAACTCAAAGGCAGCATCAAGTTTACATAAACAAAGAAATGTCTCCCAGCTAATTGTAAATCCCACAGTTAATTAATTTATTATAGACTTTCAAAATTGTTTAGAAATGGAGACAGAAAGTGAAAGATCAATATCAGAAAGTAATGATTATTTAGGTGAGGTTTCTCAATATTTATCTGATTTCACATCTGAATCTCTTAAACTTATTAAATCAAGCCAGGTAAAAGACGCTTATAAAGTACTTAAAAGCTGTGAAGAACTGTTAGAAGCTGTAGCATCTCAAGGTGGCTGCATTGACCCAGACATGATTTTATTGACTCTCCATAACTGTGCTTACTGCTGCCAAAAGCTGCAAAATTATGAAGAATGCGCGTCATACTTAGACGGCTGCGCTTATAATGCAAGTGTTAGGAATATTTTAGCATCAAAAGATGAATCTCAGAGTGAGCCGTCTCACTATACAGAAAAAATTAGAAAAGAGAGATATCAGTGCAAGCTTCAAACACAGATATGTGCGATAATGTCACATGTGAATAAGCATGATTTAGCATTAAATCATGCAAAAGAAGCATTGAAATTTGGTATATTATAGAAATATATATATGAATTTCTAAATATTTTTTAAATAAATAGCTAATTAAACGACAAGAATATATCTCTTTTATGCAGAATTGCTCTAAAGCTTGCCAATATTATACAGTTAAAAACACAAAATTACCTAATTATATAAGGCAGAAAAGAAATAATGATCAATCTTCTGGCAAAACTATTCAACAGCAGCATGATGCCTATCTTGGAGACTTGGTGAAAAAGAACTCACATATTTTTGAATTTTTACTCCAAAAAATTAATGGAAAATCAAATAGCAGAGCAACCTCTGCTAAAGTTCCGAAACTTGATTTAAGATCAATCCTTGGTGTCCAGCATTACAATGACTGGATTTATAAATACGAAATTAGTGATGTCCTTACAATAGACCCAATTACTCCAACAGACGTTAAAACTCCATTAGGCTTAATCGGCGAGCTAAACCGAGATCTGATGCTTGAGAAGATCTGCCTAATCGCAGTTGTTTGCTACTGCATGGCAACTGAGCTGCGGTTTTTATATCAGACTGATAAATCTGAACTAAAAAGAACTGAAAGCAATGTATGATATTTTAAAGCTTATGAAATAATAAAGGACTTAATACCTTCAGAGTCTCCTCTGTATCAGCATATAAAGCAGAGCTATCAGTTCTACATGAATAAAGAACAAAAATTACAAAATAAAACTCAAGACAGTTCTTTTACATCAAGAGGAAAATCTCCATTAAAAGATAAAAGCATTGAACAAATATACTCAAGGTCTTCTTCAGCATCTAAGTATAAAAAAAAGATACCAATTACAAAAAGAGACATCACGCCTGCAAGAACGAAAACTCCTATATTTGCCAGATTAGACTCAAAAAATGAACAAATAGGCAAAGGATATAAACAAGCGGATTTTGGATACGAATTCCAGACTGATAGGAACCAAAAACCGAAAGCAAAGCTCAGCCAAGGGGAGCATTCAAAAAGTGATAACTCAATCAAGTATAAGAAAAAAGTAAACAAAAAACATTTGAATCTTGAAGATTTCGTTACTGGAGAACTTATAAACAAAAAAAATTCTGACGAATCTTATGATTCAGATTATATCAGAGATAACTTTGTATTATCTTCTCAAGAATTATATGGTGAAAATCCTGATGACTCCGCAAACAATGCTAGAAATTTAAAAAAATTCGAGTCGATAAAGAGCAATTTACAAAAGAAACATATTTCGCCTTTATACCAAATTTTTAACGAAGACCTCAAAAAGGAAAGCCCGAATAACGCAGTTTCAAATAAACAGTAGATGTTTTTATATTTAAATTAAATTATAATACCTTATATGTCACATAGATCAAATCCTAGCCAACTGAGCACTAATGATGAATCGAAAGGAAATGAGCTCGACAGATTCAGCGCCAATCAATCATTGGCTTCATCTACTTCATCGATTTTTACTAGATCACCGTTCGGAAAAACTGGTGAAGGGGATCATGATTGAAAACTTGATAATAAATGCTTTATAGTATTTAACATGAATAATAGCATTTAATGGGGCTTATTTTACATTAGAGATGATGGTTTTTAAAAAAATAATGAAGTGATAAGTTTAGAAATATAGTATATCTGTGATAGGAAATTTAATTTAACTATCAGAAGACATCACTGCAGGTTTTGTGGAAATTCTGTATGTGATGATCACTCAATGAAACGCCGCCAATATGAAAATCTGCCTAAAAAACAAAGAATTTGTGATAATTGCAATCGAGAACTAATTAGAGAAGAGATTAAAAAAGAAATCGAAGAAGAAATTGCAAAACTACAGAGCGAAGTACAGCATCAAAAAGAAATGAATGAGAGACTTCTTACTCTCCTCGCCTCTATGGGCGAACAAAATCTTTGAAAAGTCCCTATTTTTAGGGTAAAACTATCCGCTATGAATAAATAAAAAAAAATTAATATATAATTTAATGAAATCTTGAGCTTAAAGATTAAAGATTAAGATTAATTAAGTTACTGCAATGCCAAGTCTTGCATTGATTCATGGACACTGGCTAGGTTTGCATTTTTCAGAGCCAGCACCATCAGTTCCTACACCCGGCTTATGGAGGTCTTAGCTTCGCCTGACGAGTCCTTACTCCCTAGGAATGAGCCTCACTGAGCTCTCCTGGGTTTTAGCTTATTGGGAGAAAAACCTTTACGAGGAAAAACCCAGGCTCATCAAACTCTACGGAAAAATTGTGGCGAGATACGTCGGGCTTCTCTTCCTCCGCCCTACGGATAATCTTGTCCTGGAGTCTTCTCTGTCGGGCTTTAACACGTAGCCCTTTCCCTAGTGGCTCTATGAATCAACTAGTTCTGGAATTCTGTCCCTCGACTTGCGCCATTTTCTTCCCCAGGACAAATAATTATGAATCTTGAGCTAATTCTGCTATTTTAAGCAATAAATTATCAAAATATATTAGCGAGTAGAGATATTTTTAATTTTTGAAAAAAAATCTATAAAGCAATTTTTTTCACTCAAGGAGGAGGGAAGTTAAAGAACACACAGAAAAAACCCAAAAAATCAGTCAGCTTGAATCAGACCTTACAAAAGCAGAAAGAATCCAAAGGGAAAAAGAGCAAAGTATGCAAGAAAAACTGAACGAAGTCCTTGAAAGAGGAGAAAAATCAAAAAATTTAGTGGAAGATTTAAGAAAATCACTAGATGTTTCCCATAATAATGAGCAGGAAATTAGTAATCAGGTTCATGAAGGAGAGAAACAGCTTGAAAAATATAGAATTGAGTCTGAAAATCTTATAACTAATAAGCATAAATTAAATATTTTATATATAAGACAGTAATCTTTTTTAAATTCATAGCTATTCAATAAGAAAAGGTGTAGAGATAGAAAAGAAGAATTAGCATCACAAATTGAGCATTTAACAAACAGAATTAAAAGCAGTTTACCTTTATCTGAAGTCAGAGAAGCTATGTGCAACCGATGCAAAACTAGACTAGATCAAACCTATAAGCCATTTGCGATGGATGGGACAATAATAGAAGAAGAAAATGAAACTTCAGTACTAAGCAGCAGTGTTCGTGGCTCTATAAATGTTCTAAAACGAAGTTAATTGATATTAAGCTTCTAATCAACATAATAGATTGTCATTCTTTATCATTTTTCGTATTCTATGTGCTTATTTTTATTATATTATCATATTTAAAGAAATAACTAGTCTAGATTCTAAAAATATTCTATTGGTAAGTTTAAGAAAATAAATAATTTTTAATCACATTTCAGATAGGTACTTATTAATATCTCGAATTTGGTGAATTTATAAAATGGCAGGACTACGAATTGGTTGGGTAGGAACTGGTGTTATGGGCCGCTCTATGGCTGAACATCTTATCCGTGCTGGCTACAGTCTTTCTGTCTATAACAGGACTCCTGCCAAGGCAGATTCTTTAACATCTCAAGGAGCTAAATTTGCTTCAATTAAAGAAATTGCTGAAACTTGCCAAGTTGTCTTCACAATGGTTGGATATCCTCGTGACGTCGAAGAAGTTATATTAAGCCAAGGCGGCTTATTAGAGTCTTTACAGCCTGGTTCTTTATTAGTAGATCACACATCATCAAGTCCAGGCTTAGCTATAAGAATCGCTGAAGCGGCAAGAGCCAAAAATATTGAAGTTGTAGATGCCCCTGTCTCAGGAGGAGATGTAGGAGCTAGAGAAGGCAAACTAGCAATTATGTGTGGAGGTTCGGCAGATGGATTTAGCAGAGCTAGAGAAATTATGAAAACCTATGGAGCCAATATTGAACATATGGGAGCTCCTGGGGCAGGCCAACATACAAAATTGACAAATCAAATCATCTTAACAGGAAATATGATTGGAATGGTCGAAGGACTTGTTTATGCATATAAAGCAGGCTTAGATTTAAACCAAATGATTACACTTATAAGCGCTGGAGCTGCAGGATCTGCTTCTTTAAGAGTCCTTGGCCCAAGAATTGTACGTGGAGACCTTGAGCCTGGATTTTATATCGAGCATTTCGTTAAAGATCTTGGCATGGCTTTAGAAGAAAGCAAAAGGCTTGAACTTTGCCTCCCAGGACTCTCAATGGTAAACCAATTTTATCTATCATTAGTCGCTAATGGAGAATCCCGCAAAGGTACACAAGCCTTAATTCATGTTTTAGAAAGGCTTAATAATATCCAAGTTAGCCCAAGGTCTTAAAATAACAAAATTCCTAAAAAAATGCAAAATAAAATGGTGAAGTAGATGAAGATGGACTCCGAGGCATACTCCTATGGGGCAGGTAGGATCCGTCCAATGAAGCTGAAAATAGTGCCTCTGTCACTTTTTGAAGTAGGCCTTCAGGCTTGGATTGCCGAAGAAGGAAGTTTTGTTTCTCCCCAAAGGTTTTTCCCTATCCCTACCAGATGGGCTAGAAGGTTTTGTCTCCCACATAGTCTTTGCTTTTGGGGCTAACGGGGTATCCGCCAAAGGTGGCTCAAACCTAGAAGCCAATCCTTAGGTTCTGTGGGTTTACGTCAATTAAACAGTATAGTCGTCTATCCGGTTATGGATTTATATTACTTAGCTTAACTTAGCTTAAAAAATGCATTTTTCTTGATAATTCAAATGCTTATAATAAAAATGAGCGAAAACCTTGATATTGTGATTGACTTGTGGAACCAGCATTATCAAGAACTTGCAGCAGCATTTCGCTTGAAAATTGAAAGGACTCAGCGGAAAGAACTAGGACAGTATCGGCTGCTTTATAATGATGAAGCACCTCATACTCCAAGCCCAATAACAGGGACAGCCTTTAGTAATTTTGAAGACACAGCTGAATTTTTTAACACCCAGGACACCAACACGGTGCTTTGTTGGATTGATTTTGATAATGAAGAAATTATGAAAGAAAAGCCATCAGAAGAGTCAAAAGAAATTTGTGACGAAGAGGTTGAAGATTCTTTGCATCCTCTTTTTATCAATCCAGTGCCTTGGACGACTGGACATGTTTATTTGTCGCTATTCCCTGATGAGCATTTGCCTCAAGCGATAAGTACTGAGCTGTTGACATTAGCTTTAAATAATCTGCAATAGAATAAAGCATAAACTACTAATAAAAAATTATTATTAATTTATATAAAAAAAAAAGGCTCAAAAAGCCTATTATTATCTTATAATTTTTTTTCAGTTTACTAAAATTCAGAATACTTTCCGTTTATTTAGAGGTACATCGATGAGATTGGGGTATGACTCATTAGGAGCAAACACTGACACTAATCATCTGCATTTTGATGTTATTTTCTTAAATGAAATTGGGCTGAGCCAATTTCCAATTGAAAAATCCCCGAAGACTTTGCTATTAGAGTCTACATTACAGCATAAAGATGTGGATGAAATTAACATGTTTACTGTAGGAGTCAGACTTTTCCAAGTAGAGTATCCAGCAAAGTGCCTTGTAATCACACCTAATCAGGAAGTAAGCGATGCTGCAGTTTCAGAGGCAAGTGAATCAATTGGAAATGTAGCTGGGATGGTAGTGAATTATTTTATTGAAAATAATAAACTTCTTATAGTTATATTTTATCATAAAATTCATTAGAAAGCCACTGATTAAATGGTACAAAAAAACTAATAAAATTAATTTAAATAAGCATATACCACACTCAATTATGATGTCAGGAAATGGATTAGAACTATATATCTTTCCCAGGAACTTCCAAAGCGCATTTGAAATAGGTAAAGCTAGCTTTTTGGATCTATCAGGTGTAGGTTGTACTTATGAAAGAACTGTATTTGACAATTTAACAGGCCCTGAGTTCGAAGATTATTTGAAAGCTCTGTCCTGCGATAACGAAACTTGGAGGAAGATGAGTTCTTATATCCAGAATTTATTAAGTTCACTTTATTTTTAAATAATCAAAATTAGATTTATTTACAAAAATTATTATTAAATTATTTGCCCAATAATAAAAATATTCTCCATAAATTTTTATGTTAAAACATCTTATCAAAAATATGTCAACAGGAGGATTTGCTCTTCATGGATATAATGAAGGATCACTTCATCAAAGACTTCAGCTATTAAAAGCATCAGATACTTTTATTGAGTGCCTTAACCATATTAGCACCCTAAATAATGAACAAATTGTCATTGCGGATTATGGATCATCTGAGGGCTATAACTCAATGGTATTTTTAAGACAAACTCTTTCAAAATTTAGAGAAACTTCAAGCAGCCCTATTCTTGTTTTTCACAATGACTTGCCAGACAACAATTGGGTGAAGACTTTTAAAACAATTTTGGAGTTTGAAGACTCATATATCAAACTTCCAAATGTCTATTTTTCAGCAATAGGACGATCATTTTATGACCAAATTTTGCCAAATAACTCAGTTCATATTGGGCTTTCATCTGCAGCTCTTCACTGGCTATCCCAGCCTATTAGTGCTCCAGACAATTGTGTGCCTTCCTGCTCAAACAACCCTGAGTTCAAAGCTTTAGTATCAAAAGTGGCACATAATGATTTAGTCACACTCCTGCGCCAAAGACACAAAGAATTAGTTAGCTCAGGAAGATTAGTTATACAATTTTTAACCGAGTCTATATCAACAGCTGCATCAACTACTATCATTAATGCTACTACAGAAAATTCGTTTAACAAAGGGTATATTACTGAAGAAGAAAAGAAAAACATAACGATCCCTATGTATGGAAGAACTATTGAAGAAGTCCAAAATGCCATTAATGAAATCTCTGACTTGTATAGAGCTATTTTATTTACACAAGTAGGAGAAAGCAGGATTCCTGGTATTGATAATCTTCCAGATGAAGAAAAAGCTAATTATGTTAATGGGCTTAAGAGACTTGCAGCAGCTTCTTTAAAAGGAGTTATACTTACTTACTTACTTACTTACTTAGTTTTTAAGGTGTCTAGTGCCCACACCCCTTAATGAAAAAGGGTCAAAGCGACAACTAGTGACGTCACCAAGCCATCTTGGAATATGTGGTCAGCCCACACCCAAGCCTTCTATGAGGCTAATCGCCAGATAAATCGCCGCACATCTCACCGGCGCGTTGCCGTCGCTCGTCCAGACTCAGCTCCTGCGCGTGTTCCGCCTAAGGGTCATCCTCCCGTGGGGATGTGCTGGGAGGTAAAACTCCGAAATCTTGAGTGCACTGAGGAGCCGTACCTTTGGTTATCTCCAAAGTTAAACGGCTGTTGCTGTGCAGAAGTTCTCGAGAGAAAACCCAACCCCATAAATAAAATTCCATGAGGGAGAGAAAATTGGCAGAGCCAATTTCTCTCTCGAACCGAATGCCATTTTATTTATTAAAAGGAGTTATACAGAAAGCAGTCAATAGGAGTGATGAAGAAAGGAATGCAATATATGAATTATTTATCAAAGAGATGTCAGACTTTGTTGATACAGCTGATGTTAATCATTGGCCACAATATCATTTGTTAGTTCTCGAGAAGATTTCTTCATAAATAGTCTTAATCTAAGAAAACTAATATTTACAACTAAAAAGGATTAGGAAATGCCTAAAAGCATAATAATATTATGGAAGAGATCAAGACCTGGGCTCTCAGTCACATGTCTGATCTATTAAGATCTCTTAACGATCCACAAATGATCACTGAGATGGCAAATTACATTTTAACTATCCAAGAGCCAGATCAGGTCAGAGCAGAATTATCATCAATGCTTGGGGTTGAAGACGACGACACATCTCAGTCTTCCTTACTTTTGAGAGCTAGAAAATTGGACTTTATTGACAGTTTTATTGAAAAAAGATTTGCAATTCAAAAGAAAATCAAGAAAAAGAAGCCAGTCAAGATCGAGATGAATAAGCCTAATATGGAAAGGCTGCAAAAAGAACTGAACGGCCCTGCTTTTGTTTCTAAAAGGTTGTGCTACTGTATGGCAACTACACATGAACTCATAGGAAACTGTTTAGCTTGTGGAAAAATAGTTTGCGCAATAGAAGGGAGAGGCCCTTGCATGTATTGTGGTCATATGGTAGTGCCTAAAGGAGAAGTCCCACAAACCCTTCCTGACGAAAAATCTTATATCCAAGCTATCCAGCATAAAGAAAAGCTTCTAGCCTTCGACCAGAACACAGATGAGCGCTTAGCAGTAATAGATGACCACACAGATTGATTTGACATCGCCAACAATGCCTGGTTTTCTCCAGAAGACAGAGAAGCTGCTTTAAAAATGGAAAAAGAACAAAAAGAAAGAGCAGAATCAGCAAACCGAACCATGCACGTTACCGTCGATTTAGCTAATGCAACAGTGGACGCTGATATTCGCTCTAAAAAGGTTGTAGAAAAAGATAAGGTTCAACAAAAAGAAAAAGCTGGGAAATTTTTTATTGAGGCTTCTAAAAGGCTCCATGCAAGTACAGATTTGGATGATAAAGTTAGGGTTGTGTATGAACAAGTTATGAGTAAACTGAAAAACGAGCCTGTCAAAGAAAAACCAAAAAAAGAAGCTTTTTCGGTTGTGCAGAATGAAGATCCTTTTGCAGAGCTGGCTGCAAAGGTCGAGAAGCCAAAAATCCATGATCCGATGATATTTACGGAAAGGTCAAGATTAAGATTAAGATTACGCTGGGTATTTAAGGTCCCTACTACGTCCGAGGTCGCATGCCACGGTTTCCCCGTGTGGTGGCAGAGCGTTCACCAAGCCCGGGCCGAAACCCCCGGTTTCTCGGTAGAGGTATTGTCAAGGGCCGTCTTATACCGGCTTTGCTGACCACCTCCATTTCCAACTTGGATCGTCGCCTAAGTTTACGCCAACTCCGCTTCGTCGTCCGCCAGATCTGCCCATTGAAGGGCACCTTTTCAACTGGAGAGACCCCCGTCTCGATGTCTAACTCGCCTCCCCTCTTTTCCGGTCATCCCGAGAAAGAACTCAACAGCTTTCGCCATTCGGGGCGAGCCACTAAAGCAGCTTAGGCAGGTAATTCACCCTGTCTCATTTCGGGCACTCACTGGGCTGAGCGCTGCTGGCAAAAAGAAGTCACGAATAACTGCCCATGGGTCTGGGTCGCAAAAACAGCGGTTCTCGCGCTTAGGCCTCTCGCTTCGAGGTCCCGGACGTTGTTGGGCTAATTCCTGGCTCCAAAAACCATGCCCGGATATACATGGGTAACCACCACTGGGAGGGTGGGTCGGTCGCCATACGCCATTTTATGTATATGGAAGGTCAAGATAAAAGGCAATGCTTGACTATGCATCAGCCATGAGCTTCATTGTTGGTATATGGCTTTAAAAGAGTAGAAGGGAGAAATTGGTCAACTGACTATAGAGGCCCATTATGGATTCATGCCAGTGCTAGAAGGCCAACACCTGAAGATATAGCTGCAGTTGAAAGCTTCTACACAAATTTATATGGAAATGCCCCTGATAAGCCTTCATTTCCTGATAAATATCCGACAGGGGTCCTTTTAGGAAGAGTCGAGCTAATAGATGTCCTGGCTCTCCCTTCAATGACAAATATTTTAAATAAAAATCTAATTTATTTTATAAAATTGGTGTTTTTAGGATAAATATCATTAAATATTTGGAAATCTCATAAAAAAAATCATTGACTATATATTTAATATATAAAAAATATTTTATGTAATAATTTTTTTTGCTTTAAAAAGGATAATTTTCTTGTTTTGCTATTCTCTTAATGGAGGAGTGAGTGGAGAAGAATATAATGAAATAACTCCAGAAAATTTTCGAGAAGACAATGAAAGCAAATTTCGATTTATCATAAAAAACCCAATGAAATTACTCGTACCAATAAGGATGCTTGGGAGCAAGAAAATTTACAATCTAGATTTTCAGCTGTGGGAAGGAGCTTGCAGAGGGCTCAGAAGGGTTTACACAAAGTGGTGGCCAGTTTTGGATCAAGAAGAAGAAGAAAATGTAGCTGAGCTTTATTATTAAATTTTACGATAAATTTGACTAGCTATTTGCTATCATATAAATTTCTTATGATTTATGCTAAATTATATACACTTTTACCATAAATAGCCTAGAGATTTTCGTGAAGTAAATGTTTTTATATATAATAGCTTTATCTATAGGCACTTCACACAACCAAACAGCATAAATGTCATCTGAGCTTTCACCTCCTGTACAATTTTGCACAGAGTGCAAAAGTCTACTTGGCGAAATCCCTATATGTGGCAGATGCAACACAGCAAACGAGCTAAAAGACAAAGAAATCACAATTGAAAGAAATTACCCTGGGAGAAGAGGATGGGATCAAGAAATCATCAAAGCAGCCCGAGCTACAATGAATATAGAATGCTCGCAATGCGGGGCACAGAAAATGTATTACACTTCACGACAGATGAGGAGCGCTGATGAAGGAGAAACGGTGTTTTTAGAGTGCCCGAAGTGTGGATATAAAACAGTACAAAATTAAGACATTTCTAAAAGTTTTTTATAAGAGAATTGGCCTTAAATATCTTTGAGGAGAATATCGATAAAAGTTCGATAGAAATCTGATCTCTTGCCTAATCCTAAATTTATGACTGAGGCTGGGATACTTCCTTTAGGGTCAGCTAAAGAAACGGATGATTAAGATTAAGATTAAGATTACGCTGGGTATTTGAGGTCCCTACTACGTCCGAGGTCGCATGCCACGGTTTCCCGTGTGGTGGCAGAGCGTTCACCAAGCCCGGGCCGAAACCCCCGGTTTCTCGGTAGAGGCATTGTCAAGGGCCGTCTCATACCGGCTTTGCTGACCACCTCCATTTCCAACTTGGATCGTCGCCTAAGTTTACGCCAACTCCGCTTCGTCGTCCGCCAGATCTGCCCATTGAAGGGCACCTTTTCAACTGGAGAGACCCCGTTTTGGTGTCTAACTCGCCTCCCCTCTTTTCCGGTCATCCCGAGAAAGAACTCAACAGCTTTCGCCATTCGGGGCGAGCCACTAAAGCAGCTTAGGCAGGTAATTCACCCTGCCTCATTTCGGGCACTCACTGGGCTGAGCGCTGCTGGCAAAAAGAAGTCACGAATAACTGCCCATGGGTCTGGTCGCAAAAACAGCGGCTCTCGCGCTTAGGCCTCTCGCTTCGAGGTCCCAGATGTTGTTGGGCTAATCCTGGCTCCAAAAACCATGCCCGGATATACATGGGTAACCACCACTGAGAGGGTGGGTCGGTCGCCATACGCCATTTTATGTATATAAGAAACGGATGATAAATGGGTTTTTGCTGGGTTTCCAGCAAGAGGCTCAAATAGGTGAAGACCATATTTTAAATCTACTCTTATAGAGCCTTCGTCAGCTTTTACTTCTTCATAATCTATAGAAGTGTCTACAAAGCCAAATGTGTTTTCGTCAAACTGGAGTTTCTTGCAGAAGTATACAGCTTCTCTTTTTGAAATCCCAGGGACTGGGACGTTAATTAAGTCATATTTCACCCTCCCAGTGCCGTCTGAAAAATGTTTTAGAACTTCAAATTTAGCGACAACGTCTGGATTAAGTTCACAGTAAACTTTGCTGAAATTTTCATAAAAATAGTCACAGACTTTTTGAGGAGGCCTGTCAATGTATGATTCGATTTTTAGTTTGTCGAGGCCAGATTCGGTGTTTTTACGGAATGTAAAGAGATCGGATCAGTCTCGAATAGGCTCCCATCCTGACATGTCAGAAAGCTCGTTCATTGCTTCAAGGTAAGCTGTCTCCAGTTTGGCTAGGATTGCAGGGCTTTCTTCATCCATTTAATTAAGGTTATTACTGGGAGAAGGTATTTTGCGGTAATGGGGTTATATTTTCCACTCATTTTCAAACATGAGGTATTTGATGTAAAACTTCAAAATAAATTTATAAAAACGCGAGAGGAGAGCTATAATAGGAAAAATTGATTAGAAAGCATATATATTAATTTCAATTAAAAATTTTGTAAAAATATGTTTTTTTCATTCTTCTTATATTTACCTTATTTTTTGACAAATGCTCAAGAAAAGGTCGCAGTTCATGACTTCAGAGTGGTAAATACATATCCACACTCTAAGCAAGATTTCACGTAATAGCTATCTAGTCAAGGATTCTTAGTGAAAGGAAATTCAATTTATCAATCTACTGGGTTATACGGTAGAAGCGAGCTTCAGCACCTTCATCTGACTAATAATACAAAAATTAAGTCAAAAGCTCTCAATAAAAAGCACTTCGGTGAAGGTTTAACTGAATGGAATAACAAGCTATTCCAGCTAACATGAAAGGAAAATGTAATGATGGTTTATGACATAAACACTTTTGACTTGATTGAAACTGTTAAATATCCTGCTGCTCTAAAAGAAGGCTGGGGGATTTGCTCTGATGGCACTTATTTATACATTTCAGATGGATCACATAAAATTTATGTCATGAATCCAGCAGATTATTCTATCATTAAGACCATTTTGGTTACATCACTAGGTCAGCGAATAACTAGAATTAATGAGCTTGAATGGGTTGATGGAGAAATTTGGGCGAATATTTGGTATGCACATTATATAATTAGAATTGATCCCTCTACTGGGAAGATAAATTCGTGGGTAAATCTAACTGGGCTAGAGCAAGATGGGGAATATAGCTCATGAAATGCAGGAGAAGTATTGAATGGAATTGCTTATGATAATGGCAAGATATATGTGACTGGCAAAAATTGGGCTCATATATATGAAATCGAATTAGGTAAAATAACAGTTTTAGAGCAGATACCTATAAATTCTCGTAAAGATTTAAAATAAATTAGTTTTTATGAATATTTTTGATACTGCAAGGCTGACCTAACCTAGGGTATGCAGAAACCCATTTGGCAGAAAGCCCTGATGGTTTTGTAGTTCTGAAATTACCAGACTCTTATCTTAAACCCACATACAATTATTTGGGGTATGCAGCGTAAGCTCGCACTTCTGGAGATGCAAAATGATGCTCAGTAAGTGTAGATTAGTTCAGAAAAATTCATTTAGTTCTATTAGGAAAAAACCTTAAGCTGGCAGACTATTTTAATATATATGATGGCCAGTTTGAGAAGCTAGTTTTATTTTTATATAGCGTATAAATGCTTTTTACTTTATAAACTCACTCACCAATTAATTAGTTATAATTCGGAGGAAACTTTCTCATTTCCAACTCCCTTTGGTTATTCTGTTCTTCTACTCTTGAAGGATTTTCTCTAAAATTCGCCCTTGGTAACCGTCTTTGATTATAAGCTTGCTGTCCTGGATCTTCTTCATAAATTTCTTTTTGTCTTTGATTATTAGATCCCTGAGACACCCTAGGATCTTCTTCAAAAATGACTCCAGGCTTTTTCACATATAACTTTACCCCTCCTTGCACATCTCCATATACATCTTTATCATCCCTATAGCTTTCATCAGGATCTCTCTCATACCTTTGCCTTTCTTCCTCTATATTTTTTGCTGGAGTTTGAGGATAAGTCCTATCTTCTGTATTTTTATATACACTTTTCATTGGACTCGGCTCTGGATAAGGTCTCTTATCAACATTCGGGTACTCAAATTTTACCTCATTTTCTTTCGGATTTTGTATTCTTGGCATATCTACATGATGTATGTACCAATTAAACCAAACACACGAGGTTATCAAACAAATGATAAAAATGTACCATAAAATCAAAATTGTGACAGTGATTCCTGCGCCTACAGAATATTCACTATTGCAATCATTGTCTTGGAAATACCATACGCTTCCTAATAAATATCATGCAACTTCAAATAAAGTAAACGCAAAATATACTGGATAATAACAAGTGTCAATTCCTAATGTGACACCTTCAAAACGGAGTCTGTGCATCCCATTTCCCATATATGCTTTGCATAGCCTTGTTCCACCTACTACTGAATTGATAATGACTCCAGAAATGTAAAGGCCGAATAATCCTTCTAAAAAGACTTGAATTGGTGATGAACAATCCCCGGGGTTTGCAATTGCAGTCGCTCCAATAACGAGTAAATATAATAATTGAACAGCAAGATGGAATATTTTATAGTAGTAGCATTTACGAACCCAGGAGAACTTTACATAGTAAGCTTCAGCTTTTGAAAAGTGATCTAGCATTGTTAAATTTAAAATTATTAAAAAATCTGATATTTTGCCTAGAGAAATATGTATCAATTTAGGCAAATTTTATTTCTCAGCATAATTAATTTTGTAAAGAAAATAATTTTATAATAAGACTATCTTAGTTAAGGGCCCAGTTAAAAAGAAGGTCAATTGCGTTTCCAAGGCTTTGTCCACAGAGACTATAGTCAGCAGAGCAGTTAACTACATTATAAAGATCAGCGTTAACAGTCTTTATGTATTTGTAGTATCTGGCAAAGAATGGCTTGAAGCCATCTGGTTTAAATACAGCATCAACAGCTTCGAAGAGAGTCTTGAATGGGCAGACTCCATCAATTGATTGAGCTTGAGGAAGGAAAGCTTTAAGATCCTCAATAAGCTGGGATACAACTGTAAGGTCTCCACCTGCGAGTTTTTCAATTTCAGCAATAATGGTATTAGCGCTGGTTCCGGTAGCGAATAATGCTTGGTAGCATGGTCCTGTTGTTGAAACATCTCCTTCAAGTCCTTTGGTAAGTCCAGCAAGGAAAACCATTAAGTCTGAGTAGCTTGTAGCTTCGAAGTGAGGGAGTTTTTCAGCGTTCAAGCTCCAGTTAAGAAGGATTCTCATGACTTCTCCGAGAGATCTTCCACATTCGTTGAAGTTGGTTTCACAAACTCTGACGTTGGAGAGGTCAGCATCAATAGTCTTGATGTTTGTGTAGTATCTCATAGCGAAAGATTTAATTCCGCCGTTGAAAATAGCAGCGATTTGGGCTTCAAGGGTGTTCCAGGCACAGTCGGTGCTGAGTGGGGTTACATAAGGTAAGAAAGCTTTAACTGCGTTGGCGAAATCAAGTACGTAAGCAATTCCTTCAGTCTCTACCTTTTCGAATGCTGCAATGACTGTAGGTAACTGTTGGCCAACTGTTGAGAAGGCTTGGTAGCATTTTCCAGGGGTGGCGGTTGAACCTTCAAGTCCATTGAGTAATCCTGCAGCGAAGTTAGACCAGTCGCTTAGAGAGGATTTTGGAGCTCCAACAAGCTTGGATGGGGTTGGTGGAACAACAAGTTTAGCGAGTGCTCCGAGGCTTTGTCCGGCTTGGTTCCATTGTTGTTGTTGGAAGTAAGTGATTGTCTCATAGTAAGAGCTTTGAATGCTCTTACTCCCCCCCCCCTCCGTGAGCGAACAAAAAAATTTTGTTCGCTCACGGAGGGGGGTTAATTTTTTTTTTTTAAAAAAATTTATATATAAATTTTATAAAAAAAATATTTTTTTCGAAATTTAAAAAAATCCTAATTTGCAAAAATTGGGAAGCAAATATTAATTTAATTTGCAAAATTTATGTTTTAAAAACGCGCAATTTGTTTAAAATTAAACAGAATTAGCTCTAGATTTCATTATACTAATTATCACTTATATATCAAAATTTTTTTTCCATTAAAATTTTTCTATTAAAAAAAATTTTTGTTCACTCACGGAGGGTGGGTTTTTGGTCAAAAAATGGCGATTTTTCTAATGGTTTTGTTCGCTCACGGAGGGGGGGGGGGGGGAGTTAGCATTGTGGATCAAGTTGACCAAAAGGTAAAAAGCTCCTTCACTTTGGATGTCTTTTTCGAAGCTTTGTGGAACAATCTGGAGGCCACATTGGAGTTGGGCTGTAATGAGGTCTTTAGCAAAGGTCTCGAGTGAGGCGATGGCTTTTGATAAGCTTCCGCCTGCCATAGAGAGCATGAATGATCCTAAGTCAGCGTTGAGGGTGTTGATAACAGTAGCATCGAAACAGGTAGCTGGAACGCTGCCTGTGCCTGCGTAGCCGGTCATGAAGCCTTGGATGAAGGCAATATTGGCATCGTAGTTGGTTGACTGCAAGTTTGGAAGGACATCTTGAGGCATTGCTAGGCCTACTGAGAGCAATCCAACGAATAAAAGTGCAAACTGCTTTACCATTTTATTATAATGGTCGTCAGATAATAGGACTTATAGCCATATATATTTTCAACAACAATTAGTCTAATAATTATTTGAGCTTAATTTTGAAATAAAAATATTTTTAAGCAGGAAATTAATAAAGGAGAAGTAATTAGGGGATTAAATTAAAAGTATGATCATATAAAAGCAAAGCTGCTTGGAGAATTTGAGTGAGTTTGGCAGGATTGAGAGATTTAAGGAAGAGGAGCTCATTTTATAATGGATTTAGGTGAACGAAATAGGATATTTTAGTCTCCAATGCTAAAAGCTATTTTTGGGCTTTAATATTAAAGGCAATCACAAATTGAATAATCGAGGTTTATTTAAAACTAAAGCGCTTTTATCAGTTTCTCTAAATTTGTATCATATTTGTTGTTAATTCGTCATATATTCCATATTTCTCTTTGCAGATTTAAGCATTTTTAAAATATTGATTTATTCAATACTAAAACTAATCACCAAAATATTTATTTATAGAAATTTTATTAGAATTAATATTTTATATCACCAAATATTCTCCTAAGTTTTCAATTTGCTTAAAAACACTTCTTCTTCCTCCTCTAAATTTTCTTCGGAATACATAAGCTCTCCATGAATATGCTGAAAAATCACATTTTGTCTTTTCCAAAGCTCTTCAACCTGGTCTTTTAAATTATTCATTCTCAATGACAGATTTTCTTTTCCAGGTTCATTCCTTATCATATCAATTTCCCTCTTTAAATTTTCGACCTCCTTTTCTGAATTATTCAAGTTTCCTGCAATTTCTTCCATGGTCTCACACATTTTCATCATCTTACTGCTGATTTCTTTTTCAAGTCCAATAAGCCTATCATCAGTATAAAAATTGAACTTTAAATCTTCTAAATCAGCCTTCATCCCTACAAATTCTTGGACCTGTCCCAATTGTATTTCATGGTCTTCTACCTTATGTTCTACATCAATTAAAGAATGGCTTATATATTCCTCTACCCTCCTCAGTCTTTTATCGAAATCTTCAATCCTCCTATTAATTTCCTTAAATTTGGATTCTTCTTGCTCTTGTCTTAATTTATTCATTTCGTCTGACAAATGCAGCAAATGCTCGATTTTTTCAAGTTTCCTCTCAAGCGCACTTGTAGTGTCCGCTGATTTCACATATTTTGCCATTAATGTAATAAAAGATGTTTAGCTTGAGACATCAAACAAAAAGAGCTTTTGGCAAAGCCTATGAACAATGGAATTTTAATATTTTGAATCCAATAACTAAAGGATATAACAACAATGGCTTTGTGGATGTGTCTAAATTTGAGACAAGTGTGCAGGATACTGATTACCAGAGGCCTCCACAGCTTTGCCATGGGCTTAATAAAATTGTGAGGACTGAAGGGATTTACCAAATAGATGAAATTATTAAGCTGAATAATGGAGATCAGTTTATCAAAAATCTCCCAGAAATAGCACCTAAAGTTTTAGAAAGGCTTCCTACCTACAGCCCTCCATCCAAGGACAAAATTCTGCTAAAAAAAGCTCAAGATATAGGCTTGAAATATATAGCTGGGTCTTCTAATGTAACTGAAGCTTTGTCACACATTTTTTGGGTCCTCACAAATTTTAAATCACCGAATTTTATAGGACTTGGAAAATCATTTAGTGATAAAAACATGAACTATATGTCAGCTTACAAAAAGCCTATATCTATTATGCTTACTCCTCCCTCAAAAAAAAAGATTTTATTTTTTTTTCCAAAATTAAAAAAATCTTACCCAAAATTGGAAAGCAAAAATTAATTTAGCTTTAAAATTTAAATTTTAATGTACAAGCTGTTTAAAATTCAGCAGAATCAGCTAGAGATTTTGCTATATTAATTATCACTTATATATTAAAATATTTTATTTTTGTTCACTCACAAAGATGGGCTTTTGAGTTTTTTCCAATGGGGGAGCTAGAAAGCTGAGCGATAACCAGTATGCAATTGATTCAGATAAAGGACCTCTGCCTGCAAGCAATTGGATTTTGACCATAGGTGGTGTTATTATGGAAACAATGTTTACTACGGAAAAAAATTTATTTACTAAAGTTTTTGATCCAAAAGCTACACTTTCTGAAGAAGACAAAAACGCCTTAAAAGATGTGAGCCGATCCTATCGTTTTAGACAGTTTGGAAATATTCTTATAAGATCTCAAATAGATACAGAGTCAATAGATGAGCAAATTAAATTAATTAAGAGTCTTAAAATCTTCAGATTTGAGGCCTCTACGTACTTGCGAACACCAGACGCTTGCTTGTCAGGATAGCGTTGGTTACCCGAGCTCCATCAACAGCAGTCTTCTTCCAGGACTAAGGACTTGCAATAGGTCCCTGAGTTTCGACGGGCTAGGAAGACTTCTCAGTGCTGTACATCTTGCGGGTGCTATGGAGGTAAAGATTAGCCCGATATCTCCTCTTGCCACCTTGAGGAAGGTTGACACCCAGGAAAAAAGAGTCACAGTCCTCTGAGTCTGCAGGGAAAATAACAGTGACCCAAAAGCCATCCGGATAACTAATACTTGGACTGGAACAGCCACAAGCTGAACTCCCAAAGCCACCCACCCCATATGGCAGCTATACAGCGTGCTTAGGGTTAGAATAAAAGGGCCTGAGCCTTAATTTAGGCTATAAAGCCATTTGGCACCCACAGTCGTGCGTCGTCGGTAAAGACATATTTTGCCCCCACCATATAAATTATATATCTGAGCAAGGAAACCCTTTTGTGTTTGAAATTAAAACCAGAGCATCAGCTCCAATCAGATATGACGTCGAAAACTACAATTTATATACAGATTACCTGATAAACTCCAGGAGCGGGTACGTAAATTCCTATGAAAGAGAATATTTTGACTTATTAAGGTCTATTATCCTAAAGTATTTATTCCAAATCAAGCTTGGAAGAATGGACGGAGCTTTAATAGCTTATCACAACACAAAAGAAATTTTTGGGTTCGAATATATATCAGTTAGCGAATTAGAAAAAAGAGTATTCGGAAACAGTGGAAAAGCTGATGAAGTCATGAAAATCTGCTTGTATATTTTGCAAGATATCCTTGATGATGCTGTAAAATTGTACCCTGATGACAAAATGATCAAAATTGGGCTATATGCGCATAATTTTTCTGGGGAGCTGGTAACAACTGTAGAAAGAATGACACATTATGAGGAATGGCAGGAGAAAAGAACGATTCCTGAGGGGATTGAAGATATTTATGATTATTATAACATTTATCATCCAAACGTGTTTGCGCTACAGTTTAAAAGAAAATTGTTTCCATATTTAAATGGAATTTTACAAAAAGAGCCAATTTTCTTTGAAGAAGGAGATGAGTTTGCATTCAAACAGTATAAGTATGCAGATGGGGTGATGGAGAATGAGAAGTATTTATATTTTTTGCAGTGTTCTTATAAAGATGATGGGGTGCCTCTTGATAAAAATTTTTGGGGGGTTTGGAAGAAATTCAATGATTTCCATTACTATAGAAGGCCATTACACAAAGATACAAGAGAAATAGATTAATCATTAATTTTTAGTTGAATTCAATATGTTTTATTGAAGATTATATAACAATTGGAATAATCCTATTTAATAGAGTGGAAATAGTATGCCTTGAATATCTAATCAGAAATTAATAAAAAAATTCAAAAAACAAGTCATAAAATTAAATATTATTAGATAAATAATTTTTATTTTTGAATTAAACCGTCCGATATGACTATTATTGTAAATCTCTAAATCTCGAAATGTTATAAATGGAAACAGAAGAAGGTGAAAATTCAAAATCCAGTGGAGTTTACGATACCTATATGAGCCATGAACTTACTGATGAAAATCAGCTTGACTTAGCTGCAAAAGAGCTGATGCGGACAAAACTTCTCAGAATTAAAGCATACAAAGACAGCAAAGCAAAAGTCCTTACTCCCCCCCCCCCCTCCGTGAGCGAACAAAAAAATTTTGTTCGCTCACGGAGGGGGGTTAATTTTTTTTTTTAAAAAAAATTTATATATATAATTTTTATAAAAAATATTTTTTTCGAAATTTAAAAAAATCCTAATTTGCAAAAATTGGGAAAGCAAATATTAATTTAATTTGCAAAATTTATGTTTTAAAAACGCAATTTGTTTAAAATTAAACAGAATTAGCTCTAGATTTCATTATACTAATTATCACTTATATATCAAAATTTTTTTCCATTAAAATTTTTTCTATTAAAAAAATTTTTGTTCACTCACGGAGGGTGGGTTTTTGGTCAAAAAATGGCGATTTTTCTAATGGTTTTGTTCGCTCACGGAGGGGGGGGGGGGGGGTTAGTAGCCAAGAACGTACATGGCTTAGAAAAAGAGGAAAACGCCAATATATTGATTTTGAAGATTCTATTCGAAATGAGCTTAGAAAATATTTTCTCTCAATGGACCAGGATGGAAGGGGTAGCATTGGAATTGACGAGCTAATGGAGCCTTTAATAGCACTTGGGCTCGCAGAAAATAGGCAACAAGTTAAAGAACTTTTTGATGCAGTTGATACGGATAAATCAGGCCAAATCGAATTTGATGAATTTTTAGCGATTTTAAAGGGTGGAGATGGGAGTTCTCCAATGGCAGATTTTTTTAAACAAATGACTAAAGGAACTTTAACAGAAGATGCTAAAAATTTACCCTTTAAACTTGTTGTAAGCAGCTATAGGAGAAAAATGCTGATGGAAGCAGTTATGACGGATGATCCTAATAAAAAAGCTAAAGGAGAAAAAATAATGAAAGCGTATGGCAGTCAGTTGGACTTAAAAAGTTCATCGAGAAAAGCTGGATCAAAGTCAGCTAGGGTTCTACCAAAAAATTAAGGCTGTAAATTAGTAAAATTTTAAGTTGACTGTAAATCGTTTTATTATTAACTCCCCCCCCCCTCCGTGAGCGAACAAAACCATTAGAAAAATCGCCATTTTTTGACCAAAAACCCACCCTCCGTGAGTGAACAAAAATTTTTTTTAATAGAAAAAATTTTAATGGAAAAAAATTTTGATATATAAGTGATAATTAGTATAATGAAATCTAGAGCTAATTCTGTTTAATTTTAAACAAATTGCGTTTTAAAACATAAATTTTGCAAATTAAATTAATATTTGATTTCCAATTTTTGCAAATTAGGATTTTTTTAAATTTCGAAAAAAATATTTTTTATAAAAATTTATATATAAAGTTTTTTTAAAAAAAAAAATTAACCCCCCTCCGTGAGCGAACAAAATTTTTTGTTCGCTCACGGAGGGGGGGGGGGAGTAAGAATTTTCTGGATTTATTTTGATATAAATTATTTTTAATTCTTTTTAATTTATGCATTTTTAGCGGGATTATTATACTTAAATTAATTATATAGATATTAATAAATGCTAATCATTAAACTATTAAATATTATTAGAAACAATTCAATACAGAGAATTTTAATGTGTAATTAATCTAAACAATTATATTAAAGAAAGAGACGTTATGCATCAAATAAAGATTACAATAAGCATTACTCATTAAGATAAAATATTTAAATTTGCAAAATGGATTTTAATCCTAGCAATATTGAAGCTCTCAAAGACCTTTTATGCGGTGACGAAGACGAGCAAAGCCCATACTCTAACTTTTCATCAGGAAGCGCATTAAATCCCGGCGTCATTGGAGGCGGCCAAAAAGAAATGGCTCCTCCCAATGCAAAAATCGAAGCCAAAGTGAATAGACCTTCCAAAAATGACATCTGGCAAGCTGAAGAAGTAAATAATGTGCAAGCTGAAAAAAGTGACGACAGACCTGAGCCTGAATACGAAATCCTTTATCAACAAAGAGTAGGCACCGAAGACGTTTACCTTGGGCTCAGCGATTTAGATACTTCTTCTCGGCAATGCCAAGATTTAATTTTAAAAATAAAACTCCCCAATACCAGATTCAAAGATATTGGCTTAGATGTGGATCCTCAGACAGTCAGACTTCAAGCACCTAATTACAAATTAACATTGCCGCTTCCACATGCTGTTTTAGACAAGCAAGGGAGTGCAAAATGGGAAACAAACAAAGACCTGCTAACTGTGAATTTGCCAATAGACAAAAATGATATCCCATTATAGTTAATTCTTTATTTAGAAATATAAGTTATATTGAAGATGGAATGGTTACTTTCTCCGAAATCATTAAGCCCCAAAATTCATCCACGATCGGCTGGAAGCCACTCAAGGAATCAATCACTTTCAACTGTTCATAGCTATTCTTCATTCAATTCCTCAATGCCTAAGAAGCTAAAATATTTGTCAAAACTCAAAGGAAGGAACTCGAATCCTAATTTAAATTTATCACCAGAACTAGCATCACAAGTAATTAAACTTTATTTTTTGCCAATGTTCCAAGATGAATTTAGAGACATTCAGACTAAGTTAAGGGCTACTACCTATGGAGTCTCAAAATCAGGAGAAATCTTTAAAAATTCTCTCAGTTCTATTTTAAAAGGAGAGTTAGAGCTCGTATATCATGAAATACAAATCCTTTTATCAAGACTAGACCAAACAAACACAAGAAAAGATGAAGCTGCACAAGAGCTTATAGAAACACAACAAAAATTGTGAAAGGCACAACTTGAATTAAACTGTATGAATTTCCAATTAAATGCTGAAGAAAGCAATAGAAAACAGATTGAAATTCAAGGGCTGCATTTGAATAGAGAAATAAATGAGCAAATTAATAGTTTAAAAGAAATTGAAGGGAAAAAATGTGAGTTAACTAGAGAACTTTATAAAGAAATTTCATTTAATGAGATGTTAAAACAAAATGCAATAGAATTAACACATGGGTATGCGATATATAAAATGAAAAATGATATTATGGGCGAGAGCTTAAAAGGATTGCATCAGTCCTGTAAAAGTGTCGTTTTTCCGACTGATCTTGAAGAAATATTAAAAAATGAAATAAAAAATTCGAGCAGATATTATATATTAATTGAATTGATTTTAATATATAATCATTTTTATACGAAAATAATTTTAGAGGTTGGTGTATAATTAGCCTAAAACGGAATACACATACAGGATCAGTCAAATATCAGATCAATACACAAATGATCTTAAGGAAGTATTAAAAGAAAATGATGAGCATTTTAAATACAATGGAATCAATGCAAAGAAGAGAATCTCACTAAGATCAGAGCTAAAACAGCTTAAAAACTCAATAAAAACCAAACTTGATAACCTCAACAAAAATCTTATTCAAGCAATATCTGATCGTAGAAACTTCAAAGAATCTCTAGAAAAGCTTGAAAATCAATACAAAGAACTCACAGAGACCTATGAAAGAGCCCGCTTAGACGAAAGAAAACTAGGCAAAAAATTCGAAGTTGACGAAAGAATTTGCAAAAACTGCCAAAAACCTTATTACGAAAGCCAGAATTTTAATTGGTCTTGTAAAAGGCATCAAAGCACATGAAGTGGAGAAGTCTATTGGTGCTGTGGCAAAAGAGATATAAATGCTATAGGCTGCCAATCTTCTCACCATGTGTCACGTGAGGAAGATGAAGGTAATAGCGATGAACCAAAATTTAAATTTAAAAGATGCTCGAGCTGCAAGGAATATGGGCATGGCCCTCATGAGTGCCCAAAAGACCCTAATGCTCAAACTAATAGAAATGCGATAGCTATAGTTGAAAGGCATAGGCATTTGACAAGGATTAAAAAAGGCCCTTCAACTATGAACCTAAATCAAGTGGCTAACCCCTCCATCCTTGATTGAACGATCCGCAATTACTCAGTCAAGATGGAGATTATATAAAATTTCTAAAGAAAATGTATATATAAATTATTCTATTAATTCTCACATTTAAAAGTTTCCCTATATCAAATATTTTTTATGTGCTGTGATAAGATGCAAAGCAGATTGCACAGTAGCGATTATACTGCAAAATCTCTAATTTTCATTATTATCAAATTCAAGTATTTAGATCTGAGGTAAAAGCATTTAAGTGAATTTGATAATTAATTATATAAAAATTGTTCAGTCAAGGATTCAAAACTTACCAAATTTTTAATAGAATCGTTTGATCAAAAGCGGAGGAGTAAGGCAAAAATGATCATGAGCGAAAGATTGCAAGGAAAAGGCTTTGGAAATCCTAATGTATCCACTCTAGAAACTGAAGAAACTGTGTTTGGTTTTGAAAAAGGATTTAATGACATAAAAAATTTAAAGAAAGAAGTTGAATTTCAGCCAGAAAAGGTAAATTGTAATTAGAACTTATTTATATTTACATATTCATTAGGCAGCAAAAGTGGAAAAAAAGGAAAAAGTCTAAATTCAAGCAGAAGCAGCACCCCAAAAAATTCTGAATTCCAGTCATTTAGCAAGAGCAGAAATGTAACCCCAAAAAATATTGAATTTCAAGCCTTACAACTAAGCCGAAGCAGAAACGGGACACCTAAAAATTACGAAATCCAGACTAACGTTCGATATAAGAGTGAATCTATTTCACCAAAAACGAAAACCCCGAAATCAGAAAAATTTATTTTTAGATTTGGTGGATAATATCTACAGAAGTGTCTATATGTATCAGTTTTCACAATAATTTTGATATCTTAATTCATATTTATAATTGGCATACACCTTAATTTCATCCCAATGCCTCTTAATTCTAAATAATAATAATACATCACGCAATAAATAATTAAATGGCAGAAGGCTGGGAAAAAGTCCATAGCATTTTATCTTGGAAAGAGCCAAAATTATCAGGGCTAGTCTTTGGCTGTTTGAATCTAGTTTTTTATCTCATTGTGTTTGGTGATTGCTCACTGATCGAGATTTTGAGCTACATCTGCTTATCAAACTTAGTTGTAGTTTTTATCTATCAGACAATAAACCCTTCAACCTTTCCCGATGATGAGTATGAGTTTGTTTCCCGAGAAGTACTAGAAGATTTAATAGCCTTTGGAAATGACTTATTCCACAAAACTTTTGGCAAAATCTACAGTCTGAAGAGCACCGAAAATGTCATTCAAGTCTTGCTGGCTCTTTTCATCGCAACTTTTGTGTCTGGCTTATTTTCTACAGCAGGATTTTTATGGTTAGCAACAATATTGGCATTTGTTGTACCTATTGCATATAGCTCACAAAAAGAACAAGTTGATAGCCAGATTCAATTCGTGAAGGGCAATTGGGATGGGGTCAAAAACCAAGTGAAAGCAATGATACCTAAGGCAAGATCGTGCCAGAGAGATTAAATAATAGAATAATTATAGTTATTCAATAAATTATGTCTGATTATAATTGCTCGAAGGAATTAAATGTACGCCTGTGAGGTGTTAATATTCTTGAGCTTGGAGTTAGCATTCTGGTGCTTGGAGTCGTGTTTTTAGGAGGTTCTGGGGTAAGTCTACTGCTATCAGGAAGTTTTATGAATGACTTCAATTGATTATTCAAAGGTGGGTCATCAGCAGTTGGCTTAGAAACTACAATATAATCGACTAATTTTTGTGTGATTTTATAAAAATTGTCTTTCTTTAATTTCCCTACAGCTGATGGGCTCGAATCTATAAATCTCTTTTGCATAGTCCCAAACTGTACAGCTAAAAGCTTTATTTGCTTATGAACAGACTCAATTGACTCCATCAGTCTATTAATTTCGCTTATGTCTACCTTCTCGCTTACAAGATTTATTGTATCTTCTCTATCTATTTTTCTTAACATCTCGCTTTCAAAATTCTGCAATTTTTCTTTGATGATTTTCAGATCCCCAGAATCGCTATATCTTTTATCACAATATTCTTTTAATTTCGTTATCTGTGCTTGCATGTTCTTTATGACTTCTTCTTTTTCTCCTTTATCAGCGATTAATATATCATGATTGATTAAATTTAAAGCCCAAATCCTATTTATAAAAACCTTATTTTTTTTTAAAAATAATTTAAATCAATATAAAGCAATATATATTTAATTTTGTTATGACATCATCAACTTTTACTTCTACACTTGCATGCTTTATAACAGCTGAAATTTTTTGGCTTATTTTTTGTAAGTCATATTTCGAAGCCTTTTCAAGAATCAGTTCATCAAATCTGCTCAAAACTGCTTCATGATCGACCATTTGGTACTGAAAAGATTTTATACAAGTTTTAAATTCTTCGATTTTAGGAAGTGTTGATCGCTCAAGTTTTTCTAGGTCAGACTTATAAGCTTTAATATTAAGCTGTTCAGTTACCACTGACAAGTCTTCTTTTGTAGCTGTTTTTTTGATATCTTCAGCGATATCGTTTATAGATTGCTGCAAAAGAGATCCTCATTGGTTCATTCTTGCTTTAGAGACATCGAGCTCTTTTCTTACACTTTCTTGATGTTTGGAGACATTTTCTAATAATTTTTGAAGATCTTCTGATTTGGCATACCCTCTAAACAGCTCATAAAACTCTTCTTTAGTCTTTTTCATTTGCTCTCCAAAATCATCTTTAGAAATGAAGGTATCTCATGCTTCAATTTCAAACTTTTTTAGATCTTCATTGGTTTTTATGAGATCTTCAGCTTTGGCTAGTGATCTTATTTCAGCTGTTAATTGTTGGGCATATGACATGGGGCATAAATATTTATAATCTTTTACATTAAAACGTCTAAAAAATAAGCCAAATATAGAGGTAATTAATTCGATAATAAAAGGTGAAATTTATTAATAATAGTATAATTTCTTCACCTAGTTTTTGAAGATCGATTTGGTAAGCTTTAAATTTGAGATCTGCGCTGATTTCGTCTATATAAACTTGAAGCCTCTGGATATCCTCAAAGCAAGCCTTTGATTTATTTAAAGCTTGCTTAATATCATAGCTGTAGTTATGCTGGGTTCTGATGAATTCATTTAATTCACTTTTGCTATGTTTATAGCGCCTATCAATCTCTTCTTGAATGCAGCTGATTGTAAGTGATCTAGAAAGTATTTCATCAATATTTTCTTTTATGGTTTGCACTATAAGTGTTTTTATGCTGCTTTCGCTGGAAGTTATTGGTAAATTTTCTAACTGATTTTCAGTATCTCCCATATTAATTTCTCGGATTTGATCATTAAATTAATGTAATATTTATTGAAGCTAATATAAATAAATTTTAATTGATACTTATATATTGTTATTCTTTTATAAATATCCTTATTATATATTTAAACACTTATATAGTCAATAATTTATTAATCTGAAATATAGATATAGCCAAATAAAATAAAAAATCAATTATAGCTTGTTTCCTCAAAAATTAAAAATCGTTTGATTTTTTTGTTACTAAATATATTTATTTACCAAGAATAGTCCACTAATGAGCATTTTTGGTTGGCCAGACAATAGCTGGCTTGCCAAATTCGTTGGCATGACATATTTTCTAGCTAACCAAATTTAAGAATGGCGAACCAAAAATGCTCCTTAGTGGGCTATTCTTGGCAAACAGGTATAGTAAATAACGTATAATATAATGGATGACTCAATTTGGGCTCTAATACTTACTATTGGGATTGACATAATTTTATTCTCCCTTGAATTTTGTGCGTTCTCTATTTATCGAAAATATAGAAATAAGCCGATAAATCTTAAATTAGAAGAAAGAGAAATAAAAGTTCCTATTTATTCTGAATCAGACACCCCTCTGCGTGTTCTATTTAAAAACGTTTGGAAAATTCCTTTTTCTGAAATGAGCTATTATAGTGGGATTGAAGGGCAGCTCTATTTAGCTCTGCATTTAGTTTTAGGTGGAGGAATGATAGCTTTTGCTGTTTTAGGCTGTGGGATATTAATCCCAGTTTACGCATATTACGGCGAATCTGAAATAGATAAAAGCATGAATTATATAAGCATGGCCCATATATTAGACCAATATGATATAATGGCTGTTGTTCTGGTATTTTTCGTTTTATTTACCATCCTCATGTTTGTTGTCATTAGTGCATATATTGGACATGCATCAACTATTCACTCAAAACCTTCTGAATTAGTTAATACAATAAATAAGTATACATTTGAAATATGGGGAATTCCAAGCAACATAAAGCCGCCTCAAGCAACAAAAGAAGTATTTGAATTATTAAGATCTCAATATGGAAATGATATACAAAGTGTGTACATTGTCCCAGATTTAGCAGATGCTGCAAAAATTAAGCTGGAGTTAGATGAAGCAAAAGCTCGCCTTCAGCATTTCAAAGATTATTACCTTGTAAAAGGTGAATATGCCAAAATTAGTCCTAAACTATGTGGAGAAAAGATTGATGCTATCCAATATTATGAAACTATCGTAAAAGATTTAACTTTGAGATTAAATGCAGCCACTGAGTATGGTAAAAATGAATCTTCAGGAATAGCTTACGTTTTATGCAAATCTCCTATAGTAGCATTTAATGTCGTACAGAAATTCCAAGGGAAAAAAGACTCATTGAATTCTTGTGCATGAAATTTGCATTTAGCTCCTGCTCCTGGAGAAATCAATTGGCATAATATGACTACTAAAAGGCATAAATTATGGGTGACTCGGCTTATGCTGTGGATTACATTTATTATATGCTTCTTTTTATTAATTACACCATCAACTCTGTTACAAATACTAGTGGAACTTTTAGATCTTGTAGGTGCTAAATCTATTTACCAAGGAGCTATTAGCCAGCTGGTGCCATCTCTGATACTTTTGCTATATCAATCTGCTATTGTAAGGGTCAGTGTAAACTATATTGTGAAAAAAGAAGAACTCGGCAATAAAAGTGAAGAAACAGTAAGTGCTTTGTTTAAATTCTTGCTTGTAATGGTGACTTATACTTTTATTGTGCCATTAGTTGGATTTCAAGTATACTCAATAATCACGAATACTCTTCTAGGAGAGTTCGATAGATGGAAGACTTCCCAGGCAAATATTTTTGCCTATGAAGCCCAGTTTTTTACAATTTTTATGATCCATATGACTTTTTTCAAAAATGGGGCTGATTTTATGCAAATCCCAAAGCTAATTAGGGTGAAGTTCAGGCAAAGAGCAGCAGTGAATGAAACGGAAAGAATGCTTGCATATGAAGTAAATTCTATATAGGCATACGAATTCAGGTGGGCTTATGAATATGGGATTTCAATATCCTCGCTTATTATTATCCTTTCATTTTCTGTGGCATATCCAATTATTTTGGTTGTGGGCGCTGCTTTTTTTATATCAAGAGTAAAATATATTTAGTACTGGACTGCAAAATATAACTTGTTGTGTTTTTATTGCACGGTAAAAACGACAACTGCAGATCGAATTCCACGAATGATGACAAGATATTCTAATATTTCTGAATAGAAATACTCCATTTGAGTTATAATTTTTAATTTTTAATGCTTTAGTTAGAATTAAATAGCATATCTACTCGTGGCAACACTATTTTTCCAATTGATGACATGCTATTTTCTCTTCTTGAGTAACTCAATTACCTATTTTGCAATCTCAATTGTCCTTATTATTCTATCAATAATTATTTTCACCCTGGTATATTGAAAAAGTCTTGACATTGAAAAAGTTCTGAAGCTCGGATTTAGTTCAGAAACGTTCGAGGAAGAAGGACTCATATTTGATGTAGACATAGAAAAATATTATCATCCTTTAGAAACTAGAAAACAATTAAGCCTTAAAAAGATTGGGGAATTATAATTAATTTTTCTTATATTAATTCGATTATGACTCTCTTGATGCAATTATCTGGGCTAATGGTGAAAGATCTCTTTCTATTTTGTCTAATTGGGTCAACACTTTCCCAATAGGCCCATCTCGAGGCATTACAATTGCTAAAAACATTGAATCCATGCTCTTTTGGATTAGGACTTTTTGTGAGTAAAACAGCGTAATATGTTTGGCTCTACCAATTGGGAGTTTAACAGAGTTTTCAAGTGTGCTTTGGAACATTGCAGATAAAAGCTGAATTTCTTGGATCTTTTCACCCCAGTTGATAATTTCTACACCGTTATTGTCACATAAGCTTAAGGATGTCACTTCAAGAGATCTTCCACAGTTTTCAAAGTATGAATTCAGAGAGGCTGCCATTTATATGTATAATTTATCAACATGTTTGCATGTCTCTGTGAAATTAGATATGCAAGGCTTGATTTAATTGAAATGCAGCATTTGCTATTGGTAGCAAAATCCTTTTAAACGATAATTGAACTATTACTATTAAATTAATATTGAGAAAAAAATAATATATGAACAAATTTATAGATCTATTTAAACATATAAAGCATAAAAGATTTATTCTAATAAAATAAATAAGGAATTATGATTGCTATAATAAGTGCTATAACGAAATAGCATACTTTGCTAGACTCTTTTACGGTGATCCTCTTGTATGCATAATCAGCAGATCCAGCAAAAATTGATTTTTCAGACATGCTAAAATCAAGAGCTGTCACTGGCAGAGAGAACTCAAGATGGCTATATATTAATGATAAATTTTGAGTGTCTATCACTTTTAGAGACCCATCACTTGTTCCTATTGCTGCATATTTTCCTGATTTGCTTCCTTTTAATACACAAGATTGACCACTATGAATTTGTTTTGTGTTTATTGGATGAAAACCCTTATTTACGTCTCATTTTGTAAAATAGCTCCCAGCTTTCAATCCTGTTTGTATTGTATACAAATAATCATTTTTTTCAGAAAAGCAGCAGCCTTTAAACATAAGCCCTTGTGGGTCGCATTTTCTTGAAAAATAAAGAGTTTTCATATGTAATCCACTCGGAATTTCATAAATTCTACAAGTTTTGTCTTTAAACGTAGCGCAAACCATTAAATTGTTTGGCATAATATCTATCCCTGTCAGACTACTATTATGTTTCATCTCAGTAATCCTCGATAGACTTTTATCTCCACCGTTAATTCTTCAGAGCTTTATAGATCCTTCATCAGCTCCCTCCAAAAGCATTGTATTGTCTGCTGATCCTTTTATATATGAAATTGATTTTTCCTCTTCACATTGGATTCTATGGACTTTTTCTATGTCGGATTTTGGGGAAATTCTTATAATGAGAATATCTTTTCTGATTCCTGCTATAATGATATCTATTTTTTTGAGTCATTCTAAAGATCCAACTAAATCTGTACCTGTGTCTTCTTCTTTGATTGGAGTTTTTAATGGAATTTCAGCTTTGTATAGAGCAAGCATGTTTTTGACGCCGTATGCTTTGCCACCGCCTCCTCCACTTATAAGAATGTTATCTTTGTAAAAGCACAGAGCCCAAATAGGAAAAGGCAGAGAATTCATAATTATGGAATTTATGCACAATGAGGGTGGCTATACCTTTAGATATTATGCATTATATATCTTATTTTATAAAATGAATACTTAAACAGCAATCACTTTTTATTTTCGCTTATAATAGCAACTATTGGCTATCATTTCTAATTAACGCTACTAAATATAACTGATTTCTTAGAAATACAAGGAATGACTTAAAAGTAAATATTGTTAAGTAGTCAGACTAACAATAAGATTAAAATGACCCTTTATAATAAGCATGTTTTCAATTTCAGAAAATCAAAAACTCAACGAATGAATCCAGAAAATCAAATCAAGAGAAAAATTGAAACTCAGAAACTTTTCCCCACACAGAGCTAATAACGAAAATTTGGAAAAATTAAAGTCATTAATTGAAGTATCATTAGATAAAATCTCGCATGGAAAGCGTTCAATTCGAAATTCAATTGATAATTATAAATCTTTTGACAGTTTCCAAAGTAGTGAAAATGCACAATTTCCAGCCTCAGTTAATAAATCCACAAGAAAGTTCAAAGTTTTCACAAGAAAAGAGAAAAGCAATTTAAGTTTTGTCAAGCATAAACGATCTGCCAATTCTATTCCTTCAAGTAATATCTTTAAAACTTATCTCCAACTTGATCCTATAGTTGTTAAAGAAAATTTGTTTGTAAGACAACTTTGCCCCAGTGTAAGTCGTCTGAAATCTGAGAGGCACACACTTACTCTATATATAATATAATTATTATAGAAAAATAAAAATAAAATATTCGATTTTTAAAATAAGGCAATTAATTTTTCTTATCAATTAAGAAAAAACCGAGACAGATCATGTGGAGCTCCGATAAGACATAAAAAAATAATGAGCGAAGACTTAAAATTAAGTGCTAGAAGTGAATCATCAAATGAAGAAGTTGTTTTACCTAGCAAATTAAATGATCCGAAAATTGTAATAAGAAATATTTAAATTAATAATATGTCTATACTATAGCCATTCATTTTCCTTTGAGTTTACTCGCCTCTTCATGTCAAATTTGTATAAAAAATACTCTGATGCTTGGCTTTGAAGTGCAACATAATAAGCAAAACTATCAATAACTAAAATGGGTGAAGCAAGTTTATCAGCAAAAAGATTAGGCATCGGACCATGTACTTTAGCCAATTTATTTGGAGGATTACCCATATAGATAGATCCTCCTGACTCTATCACATAAAGATTATCCATGTCTGAAAATAGCAATTTCAAAGCTGCAGCTTTGAACGCCTGGATTCGTTGAGAAAAAATGCCGGTATCTGGGTCTAGTGAATAAAGATGTCCAGTGTCATAGTCGACTACATAAACTTTCCCTTGAAAAGTTACTGCTGAAGAATGCTTCATAAAGATGGGCATTGTTCCAGGCTGATTTCACCTATTGCATAGTCAATATGGTATTTTGTCGAAAGCAATTAGCTCCTCTAATTGCTTCTCATTCAGCAATATTTTAATTATGAGGTTTAGTTTTCAGATGAATCCTAATCCGCCTATACCAGGCGAGACCGACGATTAGTGGACATCTAGCCCTAGTAAGCGAAAGGAACAGTGTTTTGCTGAGCGACCAATCCGGAGGGTTAACCTTTAGCTGGGAGCACAGTTAGTCGAGTAAGAGAGAGCGAGGTCAGGACAACCCGTCAAAACCGGAACGTTGGCGTTGGCATCTTTCCAGTGGCTCCTTTTGAAGCCTCCCTCAAAAGACCTTCATGCCAATAAAATGGAAACCCCAGAGCGGCAACAGTGGTAGAAGGAGATGAGCAGCTCAGTAGGATACGTTAAAAATTATAGGTAATATATGATAATAAAGATATAAGATTCCACCTCTTGCTGACAATGTCAAACCTACGAAATGTATTTAGCTTGTTCAATCCTTCAGATCCTCCAAATGCATAAATATTTCCATTCAAGTATGCGAGTGATGCTCATTTGCAAGGCCAGCCATTTTGCAGATGCGTGATTCTTGATTTGCTTTCAATAATGAAAGTAGATCCTTTTCTATTGTCATCAGTGTCTCCATAGCAGAATATAGTCCTATTTGGAAGCCTAATCATAGAAATTCCTTGAGACATATAGCTTTCAAGCCTTATTGAGTCATTTCTAGTGGTATTTGTAATTGTGTCAATTTCGATTATTTGTTTATTTGTGGAATGATAAAAAATGAGACTGCTTCCGGGGAGCGGAATTTCCTGAGGATTTGTACCATTTGATGAAGAAGGATTTTTTGGCAATAGCTGAGGTAAAGGGCTGGGAGCAATATTATGGATTTGTGCATTTTGAGGATCAATAAGAGCAAAATTTGTATTAAGAGGCTCCATGTCAAATGATCGTGTATTTTTTGATAGTGCGACATCTCTAGGGGAAAAATTTGTTAGAATCATTTTTGATAGTGAGACATTTGACCGAAAAACGTTAAAATAGGCCAAATGGTACTCTATTTAAAGATTTTTAACCAAATTTTCTTCGATGAAATACACACTATTAAATTTGCACGATCATTGGACCTACACCCATATTAAGATATTGCTCTAGATTTGCGAATATTCCATTAATAGGGTTTAAAAACTCTGAAAAATTCCAGCTGGGAAGCAAGCTATTGATTTCATCTGGGTTTTTTGATAAAATAGACCCAACCTCGCAGTAAGGAGAGCAATTAGTATTCATATTAATTGCTTTTTTTAATAGCAAAGAGCAACGTGTTTCTAATCCTTTAAGATCTCTCAAAGCCTTTGTCAGCACTTTACTGATCAAGTCATTTATATTGCTGGCTTGTATTATTAAGTCTTTCTTTGTTTTCTCTATATAAAGTTGTTGGGACTTGATGTGCTGAATCCCTTGAAATGACAGAGAAAAATATCAAAAAATTATTTAAATAATATTTTGATCTAAATCATAATTATTTCGTTTATTGCTTTGATATAAAATTTTTATTTAATTTCATATAAAATTTTAATAAAAAATTGAATTAAACAAAATGTTTTGTTTGTAGGTGAAGGGATTGAATAAATTTTATTTTACTTCCAGCATTTACGGGCTGAAGCTCGATAATTTGTGGGCTACAAGAAGGTGAAGCATTTGCTACAAGGTGAACTCCAAGATGGCTCTGGCATAATAAGCAAGGAGGACTTGAACATGCACACATTCATTTAGGAATGTCTAGGCACATTTGATAGCAGCATTTATAAGTCTGCATAATTAAAATTATAATCTTTTTATTTTAATTTTATAAATTGATATTTATATAATTTTGTTTTTTATTCTTTAATACAAGCATAGATCAATATTAATTCAATTTTTATCATTGTTGCAATTTGGCTATAAGCAGCACACCAAATTAAAGTCGAAAGTTTCTCGAAAATTCAGAATTATATAAAATTATCTTAAATTGAGTCTAAGCTCAAAATATTTTAGTCAAATTTGTAATTTATTGATAATTGTGTGATTAGTTTATTTTATCGTATTTATCAGTCATACTTTTTCATCAATCTTCAAATCAATTTATTTCGATTGCAATTAAGAGAATTCGCATACATTCATTTCATCTATCAAAAAAATAATCTTAAATAATTCCTTTTTAACACGTGTATAAATATGTCCTTTAGGTACTTACTTTTGCTGTTAGTCTTAACAGCCCACGGAATTGAAGAAGAAGTATCAAAAGACCACGAGCTGACTACTCTCGAAGAAACATCAGAAAAATACGAATTTCAAGCAGAAGTCGCAAGTCTCATGGATATCATCATAAACTCTCTTTACATCAATAAAGAAGTCTTCTTAAGAGAACTCATTTCTAATGCATCAGACGCTATGGACAAAGTCAGATTTCTTGCTCTAATGAACCCAGAAAAAGACTACGGTGATTTAGAAATCCGCATATCTTATGATCCTGCAAAAAAAACATTGACCATTTCAGACAAAGGAATTGGGATGACCAAAACTGATTTAGTCGAAAAACTAGGCACAGTCGCAAGGTCAGGAACTACACAATTTTTAGAAGCCATTGCAAAAGGTGGGAGTATAAATCTAATTGGGCAGTTTGGTGTTGGTTTTTATAGCAGTTTCTTAGCTGCAGATAAGGTTACTGTTGTAAGTAAACATGATGACGATGACCAATACATCTGGACTTCTTCTGCTGGACCTCAGTTTACTGTTAAGAAAGATCCAAGAGGAAACACTTTGGGAAGAGGAACTGAAGTTATTCTTAAGCTTAAACAAGATGCTGAAGAATTTTTAGATAAAAAGACTATTCAAGATACAATTAAAAGCTACTCAGAATTTATTGATTATCCTATATATCTGTATTTGGAAAAAGACAAGTATATTGATGTACCGATGACAGAAGAAGAAATAAAGGAAGAAGAAGTCAAAGAAGCCAAAAAATTGGAAGAAAAAAGAGCTGCTTTATTAAAAGAAAGAGAAGAAAAAATTGCTAATGGAGAAGAAGTCCCTGATGAAATAGAAGAACCTACCCTTTCTGATGAAGAAAAGAAAAGAACAAAAAGCGAAAAAACAACAGAGTGGCTCTGGGAACAAGTAAACACTAAAAAAGCAATTTGGCTTAATGAGCCTAAAGAGAACAAAATCAAAGACTACGTCAAACTGTACCAAACCTTAAAAAAAGATGGCTCAGAGCCTCTATATTTCACCCATTTCCATGGAGAAGGAGAAGTCGATTTTAGAGCCATTATCTTCATCCCTGACAATCCACCTGTTGACATGTATGAAGAAGTCACCAAATCTAAGTCAGGCTTAAGACTTTACGTCCGAAGAGTTCTTATTACAGAAGGTCCAGAAGATTTAATTCCAAAATATTTAAATTTCTTAAAAGGAGTCATCCATTCAGACGACATGCCTTTAAATGTCTCCAGAGAAACCTTACAGCAGCAAAGAATCTTCAAAATCATGAACAACAAAATAGTCAAAAAAGTCCTTGATACTTTACTAGATTTAGCTAATGACAAAGATGAGTGGAAAGCTGAAAGACCAAATGAAGATGATTGGAAATACACAGGAGAAGACGAAGAGGTCAAAAAAGATATGGACCAAGAGTACCAGATCTTGCTTAGGTGGAGTCTTAAAAAAGGAAAAGAAAGATATGCAGAGTTCTGGAAAAACTTTTCTAAGGCGATTAAAACTGGAGTTATTGAGGATGCTAGTAATAGAAATAAGCTGGTTAAACTATTGAGATTTCAAAGCACTGCCACAAGTGGGGATGAAAAAGATCTTACATCGTTTGCAGAGTATGTTGAGAGAATGCCGTCTACTCAAGAATTCATTTATTATCTTGCTGGAGAAGATTTAGAAGCTCTTAAAAAGGCTCCTCATATACAGAAATTAGTAAAAATGGGATATGAAGTCATTTTGCTTGATGATCCTCTTGATGAATTCGCTTTTAGCTACATCAAAGATTTTGATGAAAAAAAGGTTAAAAATCTGGCAAAAGGAGAACTTGACCTTGGAGTCATGACTGAGTATGAAGAGAAAAAAGAACAAAAACTTAAGGAGTTGTTCAAACCATTAACAGATTGGTGGAAATCACAATTAGGAAGAGAAGTCGATAAAGTCACACTTAGCAGAAGACTTACAACAGATCCAGTCGTTATTGTAAGCCAAGAGTCTGGGTATACAGCCAATATGTATAGAATTGCTAAGTCTCAGGCTTACTCAAACCAGCAAAAAATCCCAGATCACTATGTGCCAAGAAAAATTCTTGAAATAAATCCTGCTCATCCAGCGATTAAAAAGATGCTTGAATTGGTAGAAGATGATCCAAGCACTCAACAATTGAGAGATTATGGGTGGATGTACTACTACACAGGGCTGCTTGCATCTGGTTTTGCACTTAATGAAGATCCAGATTTTTCTAGCAGAATATATAGAATGATGAGCAAAAAGATGCAAGTTTCGCCTACCGAGCCTTTAGCTGAGCCTGATCTTCCAGAAGGAGATGATGAAGATGAGGAAGGAACAAATGAAGAAGGAGATGTTGAAATTTTAGATGGTGAAAATGATGAAGAAACAGCTGAGAGCGCAGATAATGTAGAAGAGGGAGAAGCAAAAAATTTAGAAGAGTTAAACAATAAAGAAGAAGAAACTACACAAGAACCTCCAAAAGCTGAAAAGACTGAAGAAAAGAAAGAAACAAACTCAGAAGAAGGTAAAAAGGTTGATCTTTAAGGTAAAATTGATTTATAATTTAATTACATCAAAGAATTGGACCAAAATATTATTTTTTTTATATTTTTTCAAAGTTCGAGAATAAATAGGCAAAGAAAATGGATAATATCTTCCCAAACAAATACTGTTGCTCTAAAAATTATATAATTGCTTGATTAGAATTATTTAACCAGACTCAAATTGTTTTAATTTTAATTTTCAATATATAAGGATCAGAATTTTTTAGTAATGATTTTATATTTTCTATGTTACCCAAATTGGATTTCAATTTAAGTTCGAATCATTAAAAGAATGCAAATATATTATTTAATTACATATCGGCATATAAACAGCTTGATATCCAAGCAAAAATTTAGCAATCGACCTCAGATTTGAAGGTTTGGTTTAATGTTCCATCTGAACTTAGTAGGCTCATCCTTCTTGAGTCAGCAAGAGCTCGCTTAACAGTTCCATTGCTGAAAAGCTTGCTCAGTCTTCTAGTGTCCTCAAGGTTTGCTGATGCTTCACTTATTGTGAATAAAGATTCTTTCTTCTCCTTGGTTAATATGAGCTTAGAAATAGTTGTTGGGACTCGCTTCGGTGGTTCTTGGAAAGAAACACTTTGGATAATTTGAATTTTCATTTTGTGATGTGCACAGCCCATAGTTTTTATATTTATTAAATATAAGTAATCATCCAGTTCATTTTAAAAAACTATTTTCTGAAACCGCTTTATGTTTTGAATTAATATTTTTAGAGCAGCCAGCATACTCAAGATGAATTTTTGAGGAAATAAGCTTAGTAGTAAACTTTCTATATAAATTCTCAATCAATTTACTAATTTGATTTTACTTGATACTATTATAATTTGAAGCTGCTATATTGATTAATTGCCAGAATGACATATTAATTTAACAGAAAATGAAAAATGCAAATAATTAAGTTATGATAATAGTATCTTTTTAAAGTATTTTGCTTAGAGATTAATGCGGCAAAGCTATATGCAGCAAATCTTTTCTGTGTGATTGCATATCTTCAAAGCTATCAATTTAGCATTTATTACTTGCTATTAAAAGTATGCTCCTATTCAGCTGAGTTTAATTAAAGATGCCGGAGTTTTAGGAGTTCATCAATGAATCAAATTTAGCACCATAAGTATCCAGGCTCTAAATTTATTATCGAGTATTACAATTTTTAAATTTCAACTAACAAGCCACTAATATTTAAGACATTTTTATTACAAGTTAGAAATGAAACTGTTTATGATTAGTTAATCATTCAGCGCAATGCCAAACATTTTACTTGGATCTAAAAATACCCCATGCTTCGTAAATGAGTTGATTGTATTCATATCTTCTTCAGCTAAATCAAAAAATTGGCTTTGCCAATTCTCTTGGATCCTTGAAGGAGTTATAGATTTAACCACACAGCCGCATCTTCTTTGCAAATTCCATTTAATTATACACTTTGCTAATGAATTTAAATTTAATTTAATAATTCTATTATAAAAATATCTCCTTATGAAAATCAAGAATTTTATTTAAACTAATATAAAACCTGGGCAGGTGTTTTTTGCATTTTTTCAGCTATTTGGATAACAGCTGGGTCCTCAAGAGCAGTTTCATTATAATGATAATATGGGTTATTTGGAGGCTTTAAAATTACATTGTATCCCATTGGTATTACATTATTCAAATTGCAAAATTCAATAAGCGCTTTTCTTTGGTAATATGCATGAGTTTCGAATTGATTGCAGACAGGCGGAATAGTTGCATAACTAAGCAAATCATTTAAAAGCCCAACAGTTCAATTGCTAACTCCAATGCTTCTAACTAAGCCTTCTTTCACTAGCTCTTCCATTTGCTTTCATGCTAAATGCAATGGGTATCTATCAAAAATTTTATAATTGTCAGCTGATGGAGTGAATACAGGTGGGTCTTCAAGGTTTGATTTAACTGCAAGAGGCCAATGGAGAATGTAGAGATCTAGATATTCCAATTTAAGCCTCCTCAATGAATTAATGCAGGCTGATCTAATATCGCGATATTGAGTTGGCCAAGCTTTTGTTGCTATGAATAGTTCTTCTCTGGCTACTGCCCCTGAATTTATTGCATTAGCAATACTCTCACCAATATGCTCTTCATTTAGGTAAAACGAAGCGCAGTCGATATGACGATATCCAGTTTGAATAGCTGAAAGTATAGCTTGATCTGCTTCATTTTGTTCAATCTTAAACGTTCCAAAAGCAAGAAGAGGCATTTCATAGCCTGATGATAAGCTAACTTTCATATTTTTACTCACTAGAAATGGAAACATTGGTGTTAAGTTTATCTATAGAATTAGCATTAAACTAAAACAGAATTATTTTTAGCAGTCATTATAGAGTTAATTTTTAATCCAGTATAAGATAATGAATAAGATTAATATTTAATAAATTTCTTATGGCTGAAATCACTTTATCCTATAGAATTTATCCTTATTTAATCAATATACCAAATTAATTATGCATTTATACAAGATATATAAATTAAGACAATCTCAAATTTTCCGCTTTGGATATCTATCTACAATATACACTAAAATGGCATTGCGAACCAACCCATTCTCTTAATGCATATAGCTGGGAAAAACTCAGAGATCTTGTGGAAGGTAGATGGCACTCGGTAATGTTTACCCAGCCAAGTTTTACTTGGTTTGCAATGCCGGGTTAGGCCAACTGCAGCTCGTTTCTGGTGAAGGTTTTACCTCTGAGAAGTAGATGTTTGGCGTTGGCTAGGAAAAGCCCAGCAGAGTTTTCTGGACCAGTCAGGCGATTTTCTAGCTTGATCAGTTTATGCTCTCGGTAAACGAGCTCCACTCCAGCTAGTGTGCGAGCCCATTTCTGGAGGAGCATAGCAGATAGGTAGCAGCAGGCATTCACGAAGCAAGGCGGAGATAAATATCCGTACTATGCATCACTGGGGAGTTTTCAATAATATTAATTAATAATTTAAAAGCATCCATCTACCTTATTTACCTAAACCATATTAAATTATCTCATAAGAAAGTAGCAAATTTGGTTTTTATAATCAAACCTAAAAATCTATAGCAAACTTAAAGGAGGTAGTTTTAATTTTTGCGCTGAACTTTTATGTTCTAATTGTTTAGCTTTTAAAACACAAGGATCTTTCAACGATTCGTCTATTTGTTCAAAGCTGATGTTTTCAGATGCATCACCAATGCTCATAAACCTTCGATTTTTGATTAATTTATTGACTCCGAGGCTTAAAATACGTTTTTGAATTGATAATAAGTCATTTCTCGCAGATTGGTTCCTTATCATAAGATTGTCAAGTCTTTTGAATTCTTCATCTATTGAACTATCAACAGATAAAAGTTTGAGTTGCTTTTTTGGGGATGAAGGAACAGGAGTTATTGACTTTATTATTGGTAAAGGCTCGACTGATTTTGAATCCCTTCTTAGGTTTGTATGCGAATCTCTTCTCTTTATAACTGAGAGCATTTTTAGAGATTTATCCTTTTTTATCAGGACTGGCCTCTTGTGCATTAAACTTATATTTGAAATAGAGTGATCGTTTTTTGACACATGACTAATACTTGTGTTTTGAACAAGCTTGTGCTTTTGTTTTTTGACAACCGGCCCATAAATAGATGCAATTTGTGTAATGTTGGATTTCATATTTATGCAAAAACTTGAATAAATCTTTTTAGATTAAAAATTTTTTATATGAAGACTATTTCATTATTTTTACTTAATCCAGATCTTCATACTTTTAATTTATATTATTTTTGTATATAAATTTAGACTTTTCAAATAATTTATTTGGATCAAAGCATAATAATAAAAATTGCAGTATTAAATCTCGCTCATTAAAATTTCTGCTTCTAACCTTATTTTATTATTATGAGGCTCAGTTTTCTCAGAGAATCCTTAGTCAGCTGCATCAAATAATCAATAAAAAGGGGTTTACAGTCTTTTTTGATCCCTTGGAGCTTCGGAAGACTAAGGCTTTTACTGCTTGGTACACCCGAGGCGAAAGCGTAGTAGCCTAGTTAGATATGCGGTGACTAGAGTGGCAATAACGAAATATCTGCCAAGATAACATATCATTTTAAGTAACAGAATCGCTCGCTAAGTCATCGGCAGCTTAATCCCTATTTTTAGAAAAGCTTTTATATAATACTTAATTAATCATAATCGATTTGGATATAAGTATTTTTTAATGTACCTAACTAATAAAATTTTTTTAAAATATTAAAATTTATAGTTTTCTGTGGTCAAAAAGTTATTAAAGTGTTGCATCTGATAATTTCTTTCTTGAAATTTCCCAAAAGTTTTATTTTTTGCAGCTTCAATTCTGTTTTCAACAGCTTGAAGCTCAAAACAATTGCCAGTCTGTAAATTAAAATGAAATTTTGGGGTTACCTTTGTTCTGATACCTTCTTTCCATGATGAAGATTTTTTGAGATCTATATTAGGTGGAGTCTTGATAACGTGTGTGTCAATTTTTAATGATAATTTGTCATCATTAATTTGGTAAGTACTTATTATAGGAACTGACAGTTTTTTAGTGTGCATTGATCTGAAATTTTTGCTTGATTTACTAGTATTATGCTTTCTCGAGGCTGGACTATGCAATCTTCCAAGCGATTCTAAATTAGAAACGCTGGAATGCTCCTTTTTTACTATGCTAGAATGAAGGTTTTTGGGTTCATTCATTTTATTTATTTACTGTATAAATCTAAAAATCTATTATTAACACTACCCTAGCATTTACATTGGAAAAATTTTTGCAGCATCTCTTTTATGCCTTCTAAATTCGAGTCTTGGGCGACACCATCACATCTTTTGATTTCCTTTTTTTCTTTAATTATCTTTGCAATCGCTTCACCAGTTGCAAAAATGCATTTATACGCCCTTCCTATAGATGGCGCGCAATGCGCCATCATCGGACCATGTCGGGAGAGGGTTCTCCACGAGGAATGGTTCCACGTGTGGAACCCTCTTTTTCCACGAGCCAAAAAGAGGGTTCCACACGTGGAGAACCCTCTCCCGACATGGCCCGATGATAGCGCATTGCGCGCCATCTATAGGAAGGGCGTATATCTTTTCATGATCATTCACTGCTTTTCAATGCATTATATGCAATTCGTATACCAGAAATGTTAAAAAATACGCAACCTACTGGCGTGATCCCTTTGAGTGAATTTAAGATGTCTGCTTTATATATAGATGAGGTGGAGAAGCAGCAGACGCTTTTAATGTTAACTCCAAATTCTTTTAACTGTCTAATGTAGGAATTTTTTTGCCTATAGCCGTTTAAAAAAATTACTTGGCCTTCTTTGAGATCTGGGTCAGTTTTCAAAACTTCTACCAACTCGGAAGCACCTTTTTTAACGGTAACTTCTGGGATTTTCGACAAAATGTCAAAACAAACATTTGCAGTGCTTTCTCTAAGTGCGTATCATTTCAAGTGTCGTATATTAATACCAATTCTTCCAAGAGCTAATACTGACCGATGGCTGGGAAATATAACTGCTTTTATTTTTTGGAGGTTTTCAAAAGCTTTTTTTACGTTTCCTTCATGATTCTGGAATTGGTTGGAGAATGAACATAGAGAAGAAATGGAGAATATGGACAACTTGATAAAGGATTTTATTAATTCAATAATGAAGATAAAAGAGAGAAATGCTGGAAATCAGCGTTAAATTAACCTAATAATAATAACGTTTCCTTCATGCTTTTCATAGTTTGTTTCTAGAACTGGAACACATAATACTTGAAGTCCTATTTCCCTCAATGATGAAGAAATCTCGTCTGGTATGTATGGGTTACTAAAAAATACGATAGGGCTAACGTTCATAGGCTAAAGATAATATAATTATTTGCGTAAACTGCGTTGAAGCTTACAGATAATAAATGAAAATAAATAGGGATCGTTAATGAGATAGAATTTAAATTAGTTTAAAATAGATGGTTTTTATATGAGAGGTGATAAGAATTGCCTTAATATTATATCTTACCTAGTTTTAGTATATAAATCAAGAATAGATTTAAATATAAATGTTGAGCATCATAAGCCTGAATCTCTTGAAGTCTTAAAAGATGAAGTTTTATCAAAGTAAAATTAAACTTTAAGGGTAAATATAATTCAGCTTTGATTATCCAGACCTATCGCAAAAATAGCACCAACAATTCTTATAAATTAATTTTCATTAATTATAGCTCTTTAATCGAAATATAAAAAGCATTTTAAAGTTTATTCAATCATAGTTTTCAAATTTCCATACTTTTCATTTCTATTTTCTATAGATAGGCATTAGGCTCCAAAAGTTCAAAATTCAAAAATAAATGTCGTTAAATATCTAACATTTATATTTAAAATGCCCGAAAATGACAACGTGAAAGTAGCTGTCAGAGTTCGCCCTCAAAACACAAAGGAAAGAGAAGACTTCTCAGGCAACCGATGCCTAGAAGTCGACATTTCTTCAAATAAAATCACCCTAGATTCAAAGCCAACTCCAAAGCCTTTTATATATGATTTTGTGGGTGATGAAGATATTACACAAGAAGAAATATTCGAAGTAATCGGGATGCCAATAGCCTCAAGCTGCCTTGCAGGCTACAATGGTACGATCTTTGCATATGGACAAACTGGTGCAGGAAAAACATTTACCATCCTTGGCCCATCTACATTAGATGTCAATGATATTGAATCTACTCAAAGAGGGCTATTACCAAGATCTATAGAATTTATTTTCAGCTCAGTTAAAAAGGAAATAAAAAGGTGTAGTGGGCTAGAGTTCTTAATAAAATGCTCATTTTTAGAAATTTATAATGAGCAGATTAACGACTTGCTATCAGACCAAAAGAACTTGCAGGTTAGGGAGGATGTTAAAAAAGGGGTTTATGTAGACAATTTGCAGCAAGAAACAGTAGCTAACTATGAAGAAACTTTGGAATTGCTATATAAAGGGATAAGAAATCGGCATGTTGGGGCGACTTCAATGAATAAAGAAAGCTCAAGGTCTCATTCAGTTTTTACACTAGCAATTGAAAGTAAGGAAAAGCAAGACAATGTCTGGAATTTAAGGTCAAGTCTTTTTCATTTAATTGATTTAGCTGGATCTGAAAGACAGAAGTCTACTGAAACTATGGGAGAAAGACTAAAAGAAGCAGGGATGATAAATAAATCTTTATCAGTCCTAGGAAACGTGATAAACTCTCTTGTCGATATTTCAGAAGGAAAAAATAGACATGTCCATTATAGAGACTCAAAGCTTACATTTTTATTAAAGGACTCTTTAGGAGGAAACTCAAAGACTTGCATCATTGCCAATGTAAGCTCTTCATCAGCAGCCTATGGAGAAACACTTTCCACCCTGAGATTTGCTGAAAGGGCCAAAATGGTCAAGAACTCCGCCATTGCAAATGTGGACACTTTAGGAACTATAACAGAGCTTAGAGAAGAAATCAAAAAATTGCAGCTAAAGCTGAAAGAAGCAAAAATTAACTCAAAAGAATGCTCCACCTCTGATTATTCATTAATGGTCCTTAATGACAGAGTTAAAGAGTTTGAGTCCTTACTTGAACAAAATATGAAAATCAGGCTGCAGAGCGAGTCTGCCTTGCAAAATGAGATTGGAAAAAGAGAATCTTATATAAAAGAATTGATGAACACAATTGAAAAATACGAGAATAAAATTGAGTCTGATAAAATGATCATAAAATTCCGACAAGATACAATCCAAAGGCTACAAAAAGAAGAAAAAAGAGATGAAAGTGCAGAGATCCAAGAACTGAAAGAAGAGATAGCAATACTTAAAAGAGAAAATGAAAATCACCATATCGCGTCAAAGCTGTTTGTAGAAAATCAAGCTTTGAAAGATCATATCAGAGCTTTAGATCAAGAAATCAAAGAAGATTCCTGCTCACTCAGAAAAAGACTGAGAGAGAACCAAGAATTCTCTGAAAAGCTACAGCTAAGCCTCAAAAAAAGTGCAGTTGAGAGAGAACAGCTTCGAGTTCTATTAAACCAATATGCAAGTTTTAAGGGAAAAGGAAACCAATCACCCCATGATGCCACACCAAAAATCGAAGATCTTTCTCAAAGCTTTGCTTATTATTTGAACGCTCAAGCTGAAAAAGACTTAGCTATGAATCCAAAAGCAAATGAAACAATGCTAGCTGATTTTGAAGCTGACCAATTTGATATCACACTTATAAGCAATTTAGAAGAAAATGTCAAACCTTTTGGTGTCTCCCAAAAAGACAATAAAATTTCTGATAAAAATGAAGATAAAATCGCACAAGATAAAATTTTCCAGAAATTTATATTTGAAATAGGAGTATTAAATGATGAAATTGCAAATAAAGAAGATAATATTAGAGACTTACTCCCCACTCTCGGTGAGTGAACAAATAATATTTTTAGCTCAAGAAGTAAAAATTAATTTAATTTACAAAGTTTATATTTTAGTATGCGAGATGTTTAAAATTCAACAGAATTCATTGGATTTTTCATTATATTAATTAACAAAAATTTTTTTTAGAAAATTTTTTGTCTGCTTACGGAGGTGGGCTTCTACGAATAAATAGGGATTTTTCCAATGGTTTTGTTCGCTCTCAGAAGAGGGAGTTAGAAACTAAGATATCAAAACAAAACCAAGAAATCCAAGAACTGAAGAAAGAGAATTCTCAGTTCAAAGATATGGAATTGCAGTTTGCTGTCATTGAAGAAGATCTTTTGAAAGCAAAAAACTCGTTAGATTGGTATGAAGAGGAGCTGGATAGCACCAGAACAAAACTTGAAAACCTAAATGAGGAGATAGCAAAGCAGAATAAAGAACTGCAAGGGCTAAAGAATGAAAATGCGCAGTATAAAGAAATGAAGCAAGAGTTTGCTTTAATTGAGAACGAATTTTTGAAAGTAAAAAATTCATATGAAGCAGAATTGGGCAGCGCAAAAGCAAAGATTGAAGGCCTTAGCTGTGAAATAGAAAATCAGAACAAAGAAATAATTGAACTAAAGAAAGAAAACTCACAATATAAAAATATGAAGCAGGAGTTTGACATTATTGAAAGCGATTTCATGAAAGTAAAGCTATCTTATGAAGAAGAGTTAAAGAGCTCTAAAGCAAAGCTTGAAAGCCTTAGTTTGGAAATATCAAAACAGAATCAAGAAATAGAAGCTCTGAAAAAAGAAAATTCTCAGTATCAAAATATGAAACTAGAGTTTTCTACAATTGAAAAAGATCTTATGAAAGCGAAAAACTACTATGAAGAAGAATTGGGAAGCACAAAAAACCAGCTTGAAAACCTCAGCTCAGAAAATGTCCAAGTCAAAGCCTCCTTAGCTGAAGCTAAAAAGACAATTCTTGAACAATTCAGTCAAATTTCAGCATTAAACAAAGAAATTGAAAGCTTATCATTTAATCAATCAGCAGAAATAAAAGAAGAACTTGAAGGTTTGAAGAATAAAATAGACCAAGTCCATGACAAAAACAAAAAACTCAATGAAGAGCTTAAGCTTTCACTTCAAAACAAAGAAAATATGATATACGATTTAAAAAATCTACAGAAAAGAGAAATATTTTTAACTGAAGAAAACGAAAGCTACAGATCTCAACTGGAGTCTTATTGCAAAGATAATGAAAGATTAAAGGCTGAGAACGCAAACTTATCTAAAGAGCTGGCAAAACTTGTAGGCCATAACAATTTGAATCAGAAAATCAAGCTTCATGAAAGAATGAAAGAAGAAAGCAATAAACTGAAAGAGCAAAATTACAGCTTAAGAGAAGAATTAACTCCCCCCCCCTCCGTGAGTGAACAAAAAAATTTTGTTCACTCACGGAGGGGGGTTAATTTTTTTTTTTTATATAAATTTTATAAAAAATATTTTTTTCTAAATTTAAAAAAATCTAATTCGCAAAAATTGGAAAGCAAATATATTAATTTAATTCATAAAATTTATGTTTTTTAAAAAAAGCAATTCGTTTGAAATTAAAACAGAATTAGCTCTAGATTTCATTATACTAATTATCATTTATATATATCAAAATTTGTTTCCATAAAAATTTTTTCTATTAAAAAAATTTTTGTTCACTCACGGAGGGTGGGTTTTTGGGCAAAAAAAATAAGGATTTTTCTAATGGTTTGTTCACTCACGGAGGGGGGGGGAGTAAGGAAAAAAACAGATAAGCTTGATGCAATTCAAAAAAGATATGATTTATTAAAGCACGAAATTGAAGCAAAAGAACAAAGCGGCTCAGAAAGCTTGAACTCAACTTTAAGCAGTGTTTCAGCAATTGAAAGCCAAGCTAAAGAGTTCAAAGAAATTATATCAAAACTAGCTCCATTTGTACCGGAGAACATTAATGAATTTGATGTTGGAGATGAAGTAGTCTCGCTTATAAGCAAGCTTCAAAATGATTTGCTGGCAACTACTTCAGAAAGCACTATCAGAGAAAAAGAGTTGCAAAAACAAATTTCTAGGATCAAGCTCCTGGAAAGTGAGAATTTATTGATGAAGCATCAACTCATGGTATCAGATGATTAATATTTTAATACATATTTTGGTAGGTAGACTCAATATAAGAATTAATTTAAGAAGCTATCCTTAATTGCATCTAAGAAAAATCCTATTCAGTATCTTAACATTTTTTAAGTACTGCTGGTATACTAGTAGTTAAAGTATTTTTTATTTTACAAAGAGCGCTATTAACATTTTTTATATTAAATAATCAATTTAGCCTTATCTTTTACCAATAACTGCTGCTATTTTATGAATTTAAATATCCCTGTACTCATTACTTATTATTTTTAATTCAGCTAAATAATTCTCAAATAAATCTTAAAGAACCTTATTCTTTTTCCAACTCTCTAATTGAATGCCTTCTAATCTGAACTTAGGAGTGGTAGGAACAAAATGAGTCTTCAATCTGTCATGCCCTCTATTGTCATACTTAGTGCCAGCATGAACCAAAAATCCATTCACATATTTTTTGTAGCTAAATCTCTTCAAGAATTTGTGAAGAATCATGTCTTGCTCTATAGACTGCATGTATTCTTCTTCAGCAAGTCTTGACTCATATGCATCCATTCCATACTTTTCCCATGATTTCTCAAGCTTTTCTCCTGCAATTACTGTTTCATCTAGGGTAGATGGCAGTGCCTTTTTGAAGTAGTTTTTCACGATTCTTCTCCATATGCAGTGCGGCGGAGGTATTCCCATTTAATTTTTATAAAGAAGAAAAGAAATGGTATATATGATGGATAAATAATTTATGAAAAAGTGCTGAATATTTTATCACTAAGATTCAAAATTTTAAAGCGGGATTTTAGGTATATTGTATAGATTTTTATTTGGAAATATTGCAAAAGGCTTATTTCTTTATTCTAAGCTTAAAACATAAATTAATTATAAAATTAGCATTAAATTTAGCAGTTTAATAATGATACTTTTATCTTAAAAATTCGCCTTTAACTTACCGCAAAAGTTCTGAAAAGCCTGTTAACTACTATACTCATTTTCCAATTACCTATTACTTTTACTCTTAAATTATTATGGACTCGAAAAGAAGCTGAAATGACCACAAAAAGAGCTCAAAACTAACCACAGGCAAGTGAACAACAAAAGAACTCAGCAAATTACGTAGAGAATTATGCAAATATGCCCATCGCCACAAGCTTACTCCAGAGCAGCTTTCAAGCATATGTGAAGACACAACCCCTGATGAATTCTCTAAAGTATGAACCAAACTTGCCAAACATTTTCCTGAACGAAGTGTCCAATCCGTTCACAATGCTTGCAAACGTAATTTTAACCCTCTCTTACTTACTTAGTTACATAGTTTTTAAGGTGTCTAGTGCCCACACCCCTTAATGAAAAAGGGTCAAAGCGACAACTAGTGACGTCACCAAGCCATCTTGGAATATGTGGTCAGCCCACACCCAAGCCTTCTATGAGGCTAGTCGCCAGATAAATCGCCGCACATCTCACCCGGCGCGTTGCCGTCGCTCGTCCAGACTCAGCTCCTGCGCGTGTTCCGCCTAAGGGTCATCCTCCCGTGGGGACGTGCCGAGAGGTAAAACTCCGAAATCTTGAGTGCACTGAGGAGTCGTGCCTTTGGTTATCCCCAAAGTTAAACGACTATTGCTGTGCAGAAGTTCTCGAGAGAAAACCCAACCCCATAAATAAAATTCCATGAGGGAGAGAAAATTGGCAGAGCCAATTTCTCTCGAACCGAATGCCATTTTATTTATAATTTTAACCCTCTCAACTATAAAGGGAAATGAGAGTTATGGGAAGAGCAAGAGCTTATAAGACTAGTAGAAAAGAACGGAAATAGATGGAAAGAAATTGGGGAAGCCATTCAAAGAACTGCATTAAACTGTAAAGATAAGTGAAAACAAATGGGTGCAAAAAATAAAGAAAGCAGAAAAAAAGGACCGTGAAGTGCTGAAGAAATTTTGGAGCTAGTTAATTTGATTATTAAGGACTCAGGGCTAACACCTTTAAATTTGAAAGAATTTGATATATCAAATGAAGACATAGTTATCAGGCAATTGCAAGAATATATTGAACCAATTAAAGGCAAACTTGCTAAAAAAGATATAAATTGGGAAAGAATCAGCGAAATATTAGTCACTAGATCGTCAGTTGACTGCCGCCACAAATGGGGCCCATTTTTGTATGGAAGGATAACAGGGACTGAAAACTTTTCTGAAAAAGAAGACAGGAGGCTAATTCGAGGTATCAGAAAACAAAGCCCAGCAGATCGCAATGATATAGATTTTTCAAAAATACATAATGGCAAAATCCCAAGTCAAAACAGATTCAGATGAAATGTTTTATACAGAGCAATTTCTGGAAGACTAAACTTATCTATAGAAGAAGTCCTTGACAAGCTTGAAGCAGCATATGAGGCTGAAAAACTTGAAGAAACCAATGAAAGCAAAGCTGAAACAATCGTTGATTATTATAAAGCAAAATATTTTGATTAATTTATTTCATTAACACTTTCCCATAGTTTTCTTGTTGGGTCGAAAGTCATAACGTACAACTTATAAGAGTCGTCGCTAATTAAAGCTGAGTCTAATGTGATATCTACAGGAGGTTCTTCGTAATGTCCTTGGAAGTTCACTTTTATTTGATAGTTCCCGTTTAGTCTATCTTGGAAATATTTCATAGGCTCCTTTTTTAATTCAGTTTTATCTGTTTCTTTTGTGACTTGAATCATAGGAAATAATGTATAAGGAGAGTCGTTGCTGTCAACGCCTTGGAAATACAAAAAATCTTTAAGGTTTCCTTCGACCACTTCTCTTCCTCTAGATATTTTAAGTCTTCTTACTAATTTAAATGATGGAATTTCTAATCCGAGCTTTTCCATCAAAAATTGCATAACAGTGTCGCAAAAAGCGTGAATTTGTAAAGCTGCTCGGCCATCTAAAGGAGTTTTTTGAAGATTCACAATTACAAGCCTTCCATGATTACTTACATCTTCTGGAATATTAACAGCAGGAGTTACCCTCAGACTTGACCCCATAGCTAGACATAAATCTGCTTCAGCCCCATTTCGAAATCCACGATCAATAACATCTGCATCTAAATTTTCTCCAAAGTTAATGATAGTGTCCTTCAGCTGTCCATTGCATTGCGGGTTGTCACATCTTCTTCCAGTAAGATGGTCATGAACTTTCTGAGCAGTTCTGACTCTGAAGTCTCTCATATATTCTTTTTTGCAAGTTGTGCAGACTTCTAGATTTGTGTTTCCATGGAGTTCTGACAATTTATCAATTGGGATCCCACTTCTTCTGAGTAGACCATCAGTATTTTGGCTTACTAAGTGCTTACGTAGGCTGATTTCCATAAATTTGACAAAAGACATGTGGGTTTGTGTAGGGATTGCTTTAATTGAAGCGACATGATGAGCGTTTGGTATTTTCTTGTCTTGCGCTTTCTTTTCCCAGATTCCAGGCCCTGTTTGTAATACTGTGTTGTAGCCGCTTCTAAAATCAGGAATTCCTGCTGATGTGGATATTCCAGCTCCAGTAAACACTATAAATGAGATGCTTGACGGACCCATAAGGCTAGTTGTTCTACTTTTGCTTCAAGCTCCTCAGGAGTGTCGAAATATTCTTTTTTCTCTTCTTCGCTTTTTATTGCTGAGTCTGCCATTTCTTAAATAGAAGAGACTGATTTCTATATTTAGTAAAACTTTACCAGATTAGACCAGAATTTGACCAAATCTATTTTAAATAATTATTATTGTGAAAAGCTAGATAATTTGTTAGTTATTTTTCAAGGAAATTGAAAGCTTATTGGGAAAATCCCAAGCCATAAAGGTTCAGACGAAATGTTTTATACAGATCCATTTCTGGAAGACTAAACTTATCAATAGAAGAAATCCTTGACAAGCTTGAAGCAGCATATGAGGCTGAAAAATTTGAAGAAACCAATGAAAGCAAAGCTGAAACAATCGTTGATTATTATAAAGCAAAATATTTTGATTAATTTATTTCATTTACACTTTCCCATAGTTTTCTTGTTGGGTCGAAAGTCATAACGTACAACTTATAAGAGTCGTCGCTAATTGAAGCTGAGTTTAGTGTTATATCTACAGGAGGCTCTTGATAATGTCCTTGGAAGTTCACTTTTATTTGATAGTTCCCGTTTAGTCTATCTTGGAAATATTTCATAGGCTCCTTTTTTAATTCAGTTTTATCTGCTCCTTTTGTGACTTGAATCATAGGGAATAGTGTATAAGGAGCGTTGTTGCTGTCAACGCCTTGGAAATACAAAAAATCTTTAAGGTTTCCTTTGACCACTTCTTTTCCTCTAGATATTTTAAGTCTTCTTACTAATTTAAATGATGGAATTTCTAATCCGAGCTTTTCCATCAGCAATTGCATAACAGTGTCACAAAAAGCGTGAATTTGCAAAGCTGCTCGGCCATCTAAAGGAGTTTTTTGAAGATTCACGATTACAAGCCTTCCATGTTTGCTTACATTTTTTGGAATATCAGCAGCAGGAGTTACTCTCAGACTTGACCCCATAGCTAGGCATAAATCTGCTTCAGCTCCATTTCGAAATCCACGATCAATAATATCTTCCTCTAAATTTTCTCCAAAGTTAATAATAGTGTCCTTCAGCTGTCCATTGCATTGAGGATTATCACATCTTCTCCCAGTAAGATGCTCATGAACATGCTGAGCAGTTCTGACTCTGAAGTCTCTCATATATTCTTTTTTGCAAGTTGTGCAGACTTCCAGATTTGTGTTTCCATGGAGTTCTGACAATTTATCAGTTGGGATGCCACTTCTCCTATGGAGACCATCAGTATTTTGGCTTACTAGGTGCTTAAGTAGGCCGATTTCCATAAGTTTGACAAAAGACATGTGGGTTTGTGTGGGGACTGCTTTCGTTGAAGTGACATGATGAGTCTGTTTGGTTTTCTTGCCTTGCGCTTTCTTTTCCCAGGCTCCAGGCCCTGTTTGTAATACTGTGTTGTAACCGCTTCTAAAATCAGGAATTCCTGCTGATGTGGATATTCCAGCTCCAGTAAAAGCTATAAAGTGAGATGCTTCACGGACCCATAAGGCTAGTTGTTCTATTTTTGCTTCAAGCTCCTCAGGAGTGTCGAAATATTCTTTTTTCTCTTCTTCGTTTTTTATTGCTGAGTCTGCCATTTCTTAAACAGAAGAGACTGGGTTCTATTTATAGTAAAACTCTGCCAGATTAGACCAGAATTTGATAAAATATATTTTAAGTAATTATTATTGTGAAAAGCTAGATAATTTGTTAGTTATTTTGTAAGGAAATTGATAGTTTATTAAGAGGATTCTCAATAGCTTTATCTAAAAACTCTAGAGTTGGATGAGCATATCATCTTTCTGCTTTAAATTGTCCTGTAAACCAGCCTATATGCCCTCCAGTTCTGGTGACTGCTAAAATCAAATTAGGGTTTGATTTAAATTCATCATATGGTATGCATTTATTGGTCACTACAGGATCATTCATAGAGCTCAATGCAAAAACTGGAACTTTGATTTTATTTAAATACGAAACACAGCTTGAGTATTCATAATAATCTTCAGGATCGTTGTGTCCTAAAACTTTACAAGTGAAATGCAAATCAAAATCAAAACTCCTTTCTACTTTAATTGCAGTATCCATGCTAACACCGAAGTCTTTCTCCCAAGCTTCATAGAAATCTTCATGCCTAGTTATCATATTAAGGATACTTTTTGTTAAATACATATCAGCTATCCTTGATTTTGGCCAATTTTTTTTTAGATACCTGGCACATATCGCTATATCAAATGGTGTTGAAATTACTGAAATCCCTTTTAATAAACAATCGTTTCCAGACTCTCCTGCATATTTTAGGACTAAATTTCCACCCATTGAAGTTCCCAATGCAACTATTGGTGCATCAGGGTATTTTTTGTGTATATGCTGAATGGCAAATCCCAAGTCTTTTGAATCGCCAAGCAAGTTTGGTTTTAAAGTGGTTAATGGGGTACCACATATGCCTCTTCCATGAACTACTCCAACTCTATAGCCTTTATCTTGCGCAATCTTCACAGGGTTTTTGATATAAGGAGCCTCACTTCCTCCAGTTAGCCCAGGGACAATTAGTAAAATTTTATTATTGTCTGGCATTTCATTTCCCATTACTCAATCAACGGAATATGTTCCACCATCTTCTAAGGTAATTAGCTCCCTTTGATAAAGCACGCTTTCTGTGAATTTTAAGTCATTTTTCATCCTTGTTCTTCCTGAACCTAAAAGAGCTTGCAAGAATCCTCCAGGAATTCAAATAGTTGGGAAAAATGAGCCTTTTGCTAGAGTTGGAATAGATTCAATGAGCTGTTTATTCTTAGGAGTTTCAGCATGGTAGAATTTAATTTTATTATCAGCAATTGGATAAAGTACTCACGCTGCACCTCCTAGTAAGGCATATTTAATCATTTTCGAAAATGATTATTTTAACTGGATATGGGATATCTTTGGTTTTAAGATTTAAATATATCCAGCTAAGGGTTTTTTGAGAAATAGCTGCATAACAGAGTTAAAATACATGAACCCGAAAATTGAAAAATTTTAATTTTCTTTTTCTATATCTTGACTTATCTGCTTAAATCACTAAAAACATTATTGGATTTAAAAATAGTTATAACTTGTATGGTATTAATGCGTAAATATTTGAAAAACGATTAAGAATAAAAACAGCGCCAATAAAAAATCTCAATAAATATTATTGCAAAATTATTACCCAAAAATTATTTTTTAAATGTTTTTTGATGCTCAGCCATTATTATCCCATTCTCCATCTTTTAAGCGTAATTATAGTCACTAGGCTGCCATTTTATTTAAGGACAAAAATAATCATTATTATTATTAGCTTTACTTACTCCGCCCCTCCGTGAGTGAACAAAATCATTAGAAAAATCGCTATTTTTTGCACCCTCCAGTGAGCGAACAAAAATTTTTTTAATAGAAAAATTTTTGATGGAAAAAATTTTGATATATAAGTGATAATTACTATAATGAGATCTAGAGTTAATTCTGTTTAAATTTAAACAAATTGCTTTTTAAAACATAAATTTTATAAATCAAATTAATATTTGCTTTCAATTTTTGCGAATTAGGATTTTTTTAAATTTCGAAAAATATATTTTCTATAAAACTTTTATATTAATTTTTTTAAAAAAAAAATTAGCCCCCTCCATGAGCGAAACAAAATTTTTTTGTTCACTCACGGAAGGGGAGTTAGTGAAGTTTGTTTTTAATTATATATGGATTTGATTTTCTACTAATAGATGTGAAAGCAGGCAATCTTTGTCCAAACTCCTTCCTATCTCTGATTAGAGGCAGGTTTAGTAGCACAGGAGTCATCACAAAGTTGCTCTCTAACTTCGATACATCGGGGGTATAGAAGTCTTTTGCTTGTTTATTTCTTTTTTTAGTTTGTTCTTGGTTTATTGCTATTATGTTATTCTCTGAGTGAGTTCGCTTATGAAGTGAAAGCTGACTTGCTTGCCTAAAAGATTTTTCACAAATCTTACATTTAAAAGGTGTGGATTCTGTATGAATATTTAAGTGTTCCTTAAGGTTTTGCTTGCTAATAAGGAGTTTTTGGCAGTATTTGCACTGATATTTCTTGAGTTTTAGGTGAACATTTTCGATATGTTGCTTCAGATTGAACTTTGTGTTATAGTGATTGCTGCAGTTAGGGTATATGCAGCAAAACCACACTGATTGGGTCAAATTTAGCCTGTCGATGAAGCTCATAATTTAAATTTTCTGCGAAGTATAAATTAGAAAATGGTGAAACGGATACTTGTAAAAAGGGCAAAATCTAGTTTTAAGGTTCAGCATGGATTATCGTGATTAAAACATATTAACTGGCTTTTATTAATTTTTTTGGTATTTTCTAAGTATGATAATAAAGTTTTCCAGCATTTTAGCCTATAGCAATCATTAGTATTTGAATTACTGCTGGTGCTAAAAATCTAGAAAATTATTAATTTTTAATATTTATAGTGCAAAGATGACATTTTATAAGAGTTTAGCTTATAATAAGCCAAGATGTAAGTATTGAAACTTCTAAAAAAATTTTCAAGGCTGAAAATCCTGATTTGATGAAATTAAGTTTTATAAATATTTTCAATAATAATGGAATCTTACACCCCTCCCCCTCCATTAGCGAGCAAAACCATTGGAAAAACCTATTTTTGCCCCAAAAACCCACCCTCCATAAGCGAACAAAAAAATTTATAATAAAAAAATTTGATATATATAAATGGTAATTATTATTATGAAATCTCTTGCTAATGCTGTTTAATTTGAACAGCTTGCATTTTAAAACATAAATTTTACAATTAAATTAATATTTGCTTTCCAATTTTACGAATTTGCGATTATTTTAAATTTCAAAAAATAATTTTACTATATAATTTACTAATAAACATTTTTAAAAAAAAAAATTAACCCCCACCTAAGCGAAAAAAAATTGTTTTATTCTCTCACGGAGGGGAAAAAGTTAGTAAATAAAAGATAGACATAATAAATCTTTGCAATTCTGTTATAGAAAATTAGGTAATAAAACTTTGGAGAGTTTTTTGAATAAATTAAAAATTTCATTTAAGGTTAGTAAGCTTAGGGTAATTATGATGCAGCCTCGCAAATTATAAAAATAAATTTACCTTTCGTATTCTTAAAAAAATTATCATTATTCTTAAGATGCTTGGGAAAATGGTTTTCAAAAATGGAAGAAGCTGATCAATAAAAAGAATAAAATAATAAGCGTTTTAAATTTTATTATTTAAGAAAAAGATAAACAAATGAAAATAAGGAAAATTTATTGAAATATCGGGCTAAGCTTATTTTAATTATAAATATATTCAATAAACTCAAAGAAATCCAGACTCATGTCATAATCTCAGATTTATCGAAGTTTTAGTTCTTTAAATTATTTATTGAATGAATTTGCTTTAAAAGATGAGCTATTTCTTAATTTAGTTTTGATTTTTATCTTTGATCAGTTTTATAGTAATTTATAAAGCAATTTTCTATTTCCTTTCTCAATTAATAAAAAATGCTGCAATTAAACTTTTAAAGCTTGCTGTATAAAGGGAAATAAATATTCAATTTTTATATAGAAATTTTAATCAATATTTTAAATTGCTTAGGTATGTTTGTTTTAAAGTTCTTTATCTTTAATTTCATTATATTATTTTTAAAAGAACTCGCATTAATTGTTTTAGTGATATTTCTGGGCAAGCAAACCTTACTTGAATATTTCTTTACTTCTATAATATGAAATAACAAATTAAATTCATTTTTTTAATTCTTCGTTTATTTAAAATATTTTAAATTTATATATTTATTATAAAATAATTATAAATTACATGAAGCTAATCTTAAATTATAATGCATTGGCAGCTTGAACTTTGCTCTTCAACTTCTAGTTTTGGCTCTGTGTCCACTAAACTCTTTCCAAGCCTTGCAATTAGCTCTTTGAGCTCTTTATTTTCTTCTTCTCGATAAACAAGCTCGGTTTCCTTACAATAAATATTCTGTTTCATAAGATTTGTTTTTGCCTGTAGCTGTCTTATCATATCCAATATGTTGGCTTGATCAGGAGGAGGGCTTGATTTTATATCGCTAATATCAAATTCTACTTCTTTATTAAGTTCTTCTTTATCTCGCAAATTTTCGGTCACTGATTCAAAATGCCCTCTTAAGCTACTCAAATATTCCTTTGTGTGCTCAGCTTCTTCCAATAAATCAGTAACAGATTTTTTCATATCAGTCAGTTGATCTTTATAAAATCCTATTTCGCTATTAAATTTCTTGGTATTATTGATATTTTCTTCGCTTTTCTTTTTTAAATTGCTAAGCTGTCCTTTTACAGCTTTGCAAAGATCTTTATGCCGCTTTTTGATTTTTTCATGGTCACCTATTGGGTCATATTCTTTATCAGAGAATGCATCAGAGCTGCTAATTGTTATATTAAGTGAATCATTAGATTAAGATTAAGATTTTGCACGGCCATAAGTGAGATCCCCACTAGCCAGACTACTTTCACTCCAAGAAAGGTGGCCTACGCTGAGTGCATAGGCAGGAAAAACCTTCAGGGAAGAAACAAAACTTCCCTCTTCGGAAAGACACCCCAAGCCCGAAAGTCGACTTCAAAAGACCTGCTTTCAGCTTCATCTGAATGGTTTCTATCTTCTCCATAGGGAATGCGCATCTGAAGCCAATTTCTGCCAACCTCACCATTTTATTTCTGTGATTCATTAGGAATTCCTGATCCGCTCATTGCTTCCAAGTCATTAGGTGGTGGCACTTCAATACAAGAGTCAGTTTTTTCATTCAAATAAGAAATCTCTCGAGATGTGAACCCTGACATCGAAGTTTTAGAATCTGATAATTCTTTTATTTGTACTTCCAAAGCAGCAATGCTTTTTGAGTTACTTAAATTCCTTAATCGTGAAACCTTTTCAGAGATTTCTTTGATGAAATCCATGGTAACACCTTTTTGAGATGTGGGAGAGTTGATCATTTTTATAAAAATATATGAAAATTTGCTGCAGGATTATTTTAATTTAAAGTTTAGCTCCTTCATGCCTCAGCAGCCAGGTTTTTATATCCATCATATGACCGCTTTGCTCACCAAAGAAGCCTCCAAGGCTGTTCATAGCTACAACTCGATGGCATGGGACAATAATTGGAATAGGATTTGCCTTGCAAGCACCTCCAACTGCTCTTGGACTTGTAGAAAGTTGTTTTGCGAGCTCTCCATAGGTCATTACCTGTCCTGGAGGAATATTAATTAAAGCTTCCCAAACTCGTTTCTGGAATGGGGTGCCTACGAGCATCATGTCAACGTTGAATCTATAATTAGGATTCATAAAATAATTTGAAAGCTCAGATGCAATATATTTAGTACTTTGGTCATCAGGCTCTATCAGTGGAGATGATTCTGAGAGCCATGAAATAGATTCCAGCTTTGAGTTGAGAACTGATATACCAATTTTACCAATCGGCGTTAATATTGATGCATATTTGGCATCATGCATACTTTTGCTCCGTGGTATCGAATTGGCGCCTGAATGAATAAGTTGAGTGATCATTTAAATTAAAAATGTCTGAAATACTATTAAAAAAACTCCAAAAATATTAATTTTAAACCATTTTAGGTTTTCGATTATAATAAAAGCACTTTATATAAATGCTTAGTTAGTTTCAAATCTGAACACTTTTTCAGAAGTCGATTTATACATTGGGGAATTGAAGAAGCTTCTTTCTTCTTCTCTGTATGTTTTTGGTCCAGAAAGTTCGACTTGCTGCTGGACAGTTTTCGGCAAATTCAAAATATTTTTCGGGCTTAGCTTTATTTTTCTCTGATTCAAATCTTGAATCACTGAAGGAATATCTTCAACTCTTGATAAACTTTCCAAAATTGGAATAATTTTCCCAAGTTCTTTATCATATTCGTCATCAAACCATGATTTGATTGGAACAGCATTATTTGGATGCATGGAATATGCAATCGGAGAGTTATCCACAATAACTACATCTTTTACATTCCTTCCCAGCTGGCTTAAATTCTTCACATAATTTCCATTATATATGACGCAATTTTCACGAAACAGCCTTGAGCTTATATAATTATCTGGATCTAGCTTGTTTATCACTGGGTTTGCATATTTAGATAAGCTTGCAGTAAACAGCACAATTTCATAGAGCCTTGATACCTTACTCCCCCCTCCTTGAGTGAACAAAACCATTAGAAAAATCCCTATTTTTTGCCCAAAAAAACACCCTCCGTGAGTGAACAAAAATTTTTTAATAGAAAAAAATTTTTATGAAAAAAAAATTGATATATAAGTGATAATTAGAAATGAAATCTCGAGCTAATTCTATTTAATTTAAACAAATTGCGTTTTAAAACATAAATTTTATAAATTAAATTAAATATTTGCTTCCCAATTTTTTGCAAATTAGGATTTTTTTTTTAAAATTTCGAAAAAAATTTTTGTTATAAAATTTATATTTTGTTCACACACGGAGGGGGGGAGTTAGCCAAAAATTCAGAAACTCCTGGCCGAATCTTGACATAAATCAAGCTTGTTATTCCTTCAACTTCTATTTGAATAACCATATCTGGATTGTTGACAGGTTTTAATGAGCTATGCACTAAGGTTTCATCCAAATCTAACACAAGGGTTTTGGCTATTTTTGACTGAAAATCTTTTGGTGGGAGTAAAACAAACTTTTCTGTTATTTTTTGAGGCTTTTTTGTGGATACTTTTAAGCATGAACAAAATGAATGGAGAAACTTGACAAATGAGTATATGCTTAATGAGCTTCTTGAAATTTGGTCCTCAGGCTTCGCCTGTGTTATTATGTCTTCTAGCTGGACTTCGTAATAGCTGTCTTCAGAATCATCATCAAGACGTTTCTTGTTGATCTTGCCAGTTTTGTCCATTTATGTGTATATTAAAAGTAATCAAGTTGATTAAAAATAAGACTTCAATTAAATATTCCCACTAGGCGAAATATAAATAACTAAACGAATGCCATCATTAGGATAAATGATTTTGTATCCAATACCTTTAATCATTTCACAGTACTTTTTATTCTTGAGAAAAGCTAAATTTTTGTTCTTTTAATTTTGATTATTTTTTTGATAAGATTAGGATTATTAAAGTCTGGCGTTATCCATATTGGCGACGCAGTCACTAAGGCCTCCCGTACCTCCTCCTTGCCTTGTGGCTTCAGTCTTGAGCGGGCAGCTTATGGATTTCTGCTGCGGCGATTGAAGTAGCTTAATTCCAAAGATTCTTGGAGTCTGTCGGGTGCCAAATGCATTCCTCCAACAGCTGCAGAACAAAGACTACTCCCCGTGGCCTGTGTCGAAACCCCCAGTTTCTCGGTAGAGGAATACCCATGAATCCTCAGATCCAAAGGCCGTTGTTGAGCACCTCCATTTTCAACCACAGGAAAGTAGCCAAAACCTATCCGGATACACATCTCTCGATCCTGCACTTGATTCTTGACCCGAGTCCGTCCCAGTTCTCCGTAGCCATAAGGCCTGGACTATTGCGTCAAGAGGGCAGGTTGGCACGTGTCGCCATTTTAATGTATTTATTTTGATAATATATGGTGATTTATATTGTAATTTCTCAATTTAATGCGTCAATTTATATCTCCTAATATGATTATTAAAACACATTTTTGATTATTCTTGAAGTAAAAATACATACACAATAGCATTTTCAGCTATAATAAAGTCTTACTAACATTCCCTCAATTAAAATTCAGCTGAACTTATGCATTAATAAACTTTGTAATATTCTTACTTATTTAAATTACTCTTTTTTATTTGGAACTTCAGGGCTCGGCTCATTCGGTAAATGCCCCCACTTAGCCTTAAACTTTGCCCAATCATCTGACACATGCAATCTATCATCTTCTCTTTTTGTAATGCAAAACTGATAAACCTTATAAAGCTCTTTACATTTCTTGACTTCTGATTTCTTTTTAGATTTACTCATGCAGTTATCATAAGCTTGAAATTCCTCATGGCATTTTGTGGCATCAATCATCAGTTTGACTTGCTTATTAAAAGAATCCTCCATGAATATTAAAAAATATCAGCAATATGGGAAGCATATGTAGCTCAGGGCATAAGGCTTTAGAAACAACGAGGCCAAGAAATGTGGATGTACTGGCACCTGGGAATTTTGTGCAGGAAAATAGCAGGTCTTTTTATTCGATCTATAAACTTAGCCCTGATCCACTTGGGTCTGGAGCTTTAGGGGAGATTCGACTCTGTACTGATTTAAGAACAGGTGATACAAGAGCTGTAAAAATTATTTCTAAAGCTGGGCTTAATAAAGCAGAGGTAGACAGCCGCAGTGTTTTCCGTGAAGTGGAAATCTTAAAGACTTTAGACCATCCAAATATTTTATTCTTTAAAGAATAATAAGGCTAGTTTATGATAGACAGAAATATTTTATTCTATTTAAAATAGGTAGGCTGCCCAGCAAAATTGGATTTTTCTTGCTATTAAATATAAAAACTTTTGAATATTTTGAAGATAGATCCAACTTTTATATAGTCATGGAGTATTGTAAAGGAGGCGATTTATTTGATAAAGTTTCACATAAATAAAATGGCATTCGGTTCGAGAGAAATTAGCTCTGCTAATTTTCTCTCCCTCATGGAATTTTATTTATAGGGTTAGGTTTTCACTCGAAGACTTCTGGACAGCAATAGCGGTTTAACTCTGGAGATAACCAGAGGAACCACTCCTCAGTCCACTCAAGATTTCGGGCTTTTACCTCTCAGCACATCCCCACGGGAGGATGACCCTTAGGCGGAACACGCGCAGGAGCTGAGTCGAGCGACAAGGGCGACGGCAACGCGCCGGGTGAGACGTGCAGCAAGGCCGGTGAAGCAGGAGTTGATAGAAGGCTTGGACGGGGCTGACCCGTGCCAAGATGGCTCGCCTACGTCATCAGTTTTGCCATAGGCCCTTTTGGGCTGCGGCACTAGACACCTTAAACACCAGATAATTAAGTAAGTAAGAAAAGATAAAGTTTCACAGTTATTAGTATTTACGGAAAAGCAGGCTGCAAAAATCATGAGCCAAGTATTTTCTGGTCTAAGTTACTTACATAGCAGAGGGGTTATCCATAGAGATATGAAGCCAGAAAATGTGGTGATAGTTGACGAAGCAGATGGTAACGAAGGCGACCTTCAAATCAAAATCATAGACTTTGATAATGCCACATTTTATGAAATTAACACCCAAATCACTGGGTCATATGGGACTACTTTATATATGGCTCCTGAGGTTTTTGATAAAAATTATAATGAAAAATGCGATATATGAAGTTGTGGAGTAATTTTATATATATTCTTGATTTTTTTGAATTTCGATTACTATTTTACTAATCTTAAGCATGCTTATATATAATATATTTGTATACTTCTCTCTGGAACCTCACCATTTGATGCCTGAAATGATGCTGAAATTATAAAACTCATTAAAAAAGGGAAATTCAGCTTAGATGGAGAACGCTGGAATAATATTTCTGAAGAGGCTAAAGATTTAATAAGAAAATTGCTTGTTAAAGATGTAGATAAAAGATTAAACGCATCTCAAGCCTTCATGCATCCATGGTGCACTTATCATCATAATTCTAATGAAAACAAAGAAGATATCCGACACAGCATTTTTCACATAAACCGACTGCGGAGAGCTTCTAAATTGAAGCAAGCAATTCAGACATTTATTTTAAGCCAATTAATGAAGCCAAGTGAGCTTAAAGCTCAGGAAGCCATATTCAGCTCAATGGATATTAACGGCGATGGAGTAATTTCAAAAGAGGAGCTTTATACACATTTTAAAGAAACTATGACTGATGAAGATGCCAGACTTGAGGCTAATAGAATTATGGAGTTTGTAGATACAGATAATAATGGTGTTATAGACTATACTGAATTTTTAAGAGCTACAGTAGAAAAAAGAAAAATGATAACCAAGACAAATCTTGAAAAAACATTTATGATTTTCGATAAAGACGGATCTGGGTATCTTGAAGTTAACGAACTTACTCCCCCCCTTCCGTGAGTGAACAAAACCATTAGAAAAATCCCTATTTTTTGCCCAAAAACCCCCCCTCCGTGAGTGAACAAAAATTTTTTTTAATAGAAAAATTTTTTATGGAAAAAAATTTGATACATAAATGATAATTAGTATAATGAAATCTAGAGCTAATTCTGTTTAATTTTAAACGAATTGCTTTTTAAAACATAAATTTTATAAATTAAATTAATTTTTGCTTTCCAATTTTTGCGAATTAGGATTTTTTTAAATTTCGAAAATAAATATTTTTTATAAAATTTATATATAAATTTTTTAAAAAAAAAAATTAAACCCCCCTCCGTGAGTGAACAAAATTTTTTTGTTCACTCACGGAGGGGGGGGAGTTAGGGAATGGTTTTCAGGGGACACAAATATTAATGAAGGCCTGCTTAAAGAGTTTCTAAAATTCCCCTTGGCTAGCGAGCAATAATTTTTGTTCACTAATGGGGATTAAATTTGTTATTTAAAAATTTATATATATTCAATATATTTCTGATTCAAAATAATCCAGATTTGAAATGATAAATATAATTTAATTTTTAGACGGAAATAATTCTAAATTAAAGAGAGTCTGATATTATGCTCGGTAGCCAAGTGTATTAATTTTCCTAAAAATGGGTATTTTTCTAATGCATTTGCTCCGAACTAATTGGGGTGGTAAATAACCTACATGTAACAGAGGATGGGAAAATTCATTTTGATCAGTTTCAAGAATATTTATATACATTTACAAACGAAAGTGAATATTAAAAATTAATCAGTAATTTATCCAGTTAATAAATATATAAGATATAAATGAAATGGAGACTAAAGGAAGGAAAATGGGCATCCACAACGCTGCATATGAAGTCGATATAGCTCAGGAGTGATTTTGATCGACCTGGGCTAGAAGAATGCTTGGAAACTTCCGATTTAGTTTTTATCCGAACTAACTCGGGGAGTTTGAAGATGCTTTACATCAAGTTTATTTGCAACTTCCTGAGCTGGTTCGTCAGCTTGATTTGAAAACCCAACTCAGGGAGTTTTCAAGCATTTCCCGAGCTCAAGGAGATCAAAAATCGCTCCTGAGCTATAATGATGTATGAATGGTCCCTTGTAAAGTTGATGATTCTACCAAAAAATTTATACCTGTTTGTAGACCAGAAATAAGTGAAATTAACGTACAAAGGCAATCTTGGACTGAAAAAGAAGACCAAGTGCTGATGGAACTTGTTAAAAAGCGAGGCACAAAAAAATGAACAGCAATTTCTAAAGAGTTAAATGATTTAATGTATCATGGAAAATTAATAAGGCATGGAAAACAATGCAGGGAAAGATGAGGAAACCATCTAAATCCATCATTGAAAAAAGGAGGGTGGACTGCTGACGAAGACATGTATATTTTGAAAAGACAACAAGAAATTGGAAGCAAGTGGAGCCAGATTTCAAAGGAATTGCAAGGAAGAACTGAAAATAGTGTAAAAAATAGGTGGAAAAGTATTATTAGAAAAGGCGAAAGGGCTGGGCTTGAAGCAAATGAGCTATTAGGAACGATTAGAATTGAGAGCGGCGGAGAGATTGGGGAAGGTAATGGCTTTTATAGCGAGGAAAGCACATTAACTTATGAAGATGGTGAAAGAAAAAATTCTTTTTCTTCTTATGATAGTAGTGAATTTAGAGATGAAATTGATTCACCATCTGAATTTTTAGTAGATTATTAGAGTACTTTTAATAAATTATAGCTATCTTGTGAAAAAGAACTAATTGCTAATATTAATAATGCCCGCTTTATTCATTTTATCACATTATCATAACAAATTTTATTATTTTAGATTTTTAAAATGATTTTCATTTAGAAGCATTTAAATTTTGCATTAAAAATATAATTTACAAATAAATAATGTCATAGCTCTGAAATCTTTTAGATTTATTGCTATCGATAAATGTTTTATATAACGATGACCCCCCTCAATCTTCATGTCTACTGCAACAAAATTTTTCGAAAAAAATTTTCATGCCTACTGCAACACAAAATTGTTATAAAAAGAATTAATGCATTTTTCTCTAGGTGAGTTTCTCAAAAACCCCATAAAACAGCGCTGCTGTAGCGTGTCAATGACCTTCTCATCGAGATTTGGACGGCTATTGTCATTGCTCGCCATTTTATTAAACTTATCTAGCTAAAAAGTACAGAAAAATTTAAGATGCGCATCTAAAAATTTGCTGCAAGAGGATTAGGATTATTACAGACAGGTACTAGCCATATTGATGACGCAGTCATCTAGGACCTCCAGTACGTAAGATTCTACAGCTTTTCGACTCCAGCCAGAGAGTCTATTCCTCTTACGAGTGCCATTCCGGTACCTTCTGTCTCCTCTTTGCCTTGCGGCTTCAGCCTTGAGTGGGCAGCTTATGGATTTCTGCGTCCCTGCTACGGGAAATTGGAGTAGCTTGATTCCAAGGATCAGCTCCTTAGAGTCTATCGGGTGTCAAAGTACCTTCCTTCTACAGCTACACTCAAAAGACTGTTCCCCTGTGGCCTGGGCAAAAACCCCAGTTTCTCGGTAGAGGAATGCCCATGGGTCCTCGGATCAAAAGGACGTTGTTGAGCGCATCTATTTCCAACCACAGGAAAGCAGCCAAAACCTGCCCGGATATACACTTCTTGAGCCTGCGTCTGATTCTCAGCTCGGGGTCCGTCCCAGTTCGCATTAGCCATAAGGTCTGGAATGCTGCGCCAAGAGGGCAGGCTGACACGTATCGCCATTTTAATATATATAATTTGTTGCAAGAGACATGAAAATTATTATTTTTTTTTATATATAATTTGTTGCAAGAGACATGAAAATTATTATGTTTTTTATATAAAATTTTATATTAAAAAATTGCATTTTTGTTGCAATAGACATGAAGATTGAGGGGGGGGGTCATCGTTAAATATCCCAAAAACAAATTATTGACTTAAGGTAATTTTTTTTGCCTTAATTAAAATCTTTATTTTGGCTATAAAATCTTAAGACAGTCCTTGTATGACCATTCAGCTTTCGAATGTTTTTTTATCAATTATTTTTTGCTCATATGACCCTAATTCGTAAGAATAATGTTTAATTGACTTATTTAAATATAAATAATCAACTAATAATATGCTATAAAAAAAATTAGCTTCAAAAATATAAATGACTTTTTGCATCTCTTATATATAAATAGAGTCAAGATTGATTAAAATATCAATAAATATTAACCAAGAAAAAATATTTTTAGATTATGAAAAATAAATAGTTTACATATTAAAAAAATAATGTATTTTTATTTCCCTTGCCTACCAATACTTATCATCTAATTGATTAAAATTAATTCCGATATAGTTTCACCACAATAATTTTTTCTTTATTTTCTAAAATTTTATATATAGAGCTTTATAATTTTTTTATAAGAATTTAATATAAATTAGAATAGATGATTTTAATAATTAAATAGTTCATTTAAACCCTACATTATATATCATTCCCTAATAAGATGCGCTCATAAGAATTCCATTTTGTATCTAACTTGTGACGTAATAATGGTAGATTCCTTAAGGTTTGACAACAGAGTCGTAATAATCACTGGGGCAGGAAGTGGACTAGGTAAAGCATATGCTCTTGAATTCGGAAAAAGAGGCGCTAAAGTAGTAGCCAATGATTTAGGAGTCTCAAGAAACGGAGAAGGCCACTCATCAAGAGTAGCTGATATAATAGTCCAAGAGATCCAAAAACTAGGAGGAATCGCAGTTGCGAACTACGATTCAGTTGAAAACGGAGATCGCATAGTAAAAACAGCAATTGAAAACTTTGGAAGGGTAGACATTGTCATAAACAATGCAGGAATATTAAGAGATTCAAGCATCCTTAAAATGAAAGATGCAGATTGGGATATCATTATGAGCATTCACTTGAAAGGAGCATTTACTGTAATTAAAGCGGCTTGGAAATATATGAAACAACAGAAGTTCGGCAGAATCATCAATACTTCAAGCGGGTCAGGAATTTATGGAAACTTTGGCCAAGCAAACTATGGGGCAGCTAAGATGGGATTGCATGGGATGACTTTGTCATTAGCGAAAGAAGGAGAAAAAAATAATATCAGGATCAATTCAATAACTCCAGTTGCTGCTTCAAGAATGACTGAAGACTTGTTGGCTCCTGAAATACTAAATATAGTAACCCCTGAAAAAATTGTTCCTTTAGTCGTTTATCTGTGCCATGAAAGCTGCAATGATACTGGAGGACTTTATGAAGCTTGTGGAGGACTCATCACTAGAGTAAGATGGCAAAGATCACCAGGAATATTTTTCTCAGGTCAGTTTTCAGCTGAAGATGTGCAGGCAAGGTGGAGAGAAATTAACAGTTTTGAAACTACCAGGCTAGGGAATCCAGATTACCCTACATCAACAACTGATACTTTGAAAAAGGTTTTATACCTGATACAAGAAACGGCTAAGCCGAAGCTTTAAAGTTTAAATTAGACATGATACTAAAGAAAATTTTAATAATTAATTAAATGAACGTAGCCAAGGTTCTAAGCATTTTTTTTGTTACATGGAAACTTTTCGCTTTAGAGTCCACATCAAAGCAGAGCCCTCTCGAAGTCTCTTCAGAGATGGAAATGCGTGAAGAAAATTATAACAGAATGGAAAATTATTCAATTTTTTTAGAAAATGATAAAGCTGATCAACTTGAAAAGGCTAATCAGTTAGAAAATAATAATGATTCCAGCTATTATATAGGCGACAATTCTATTGAAACTGGACAAAGAGCACAAGAAGGAAATGCATTTTTGAATCCAAATGCTTATGATAATCATCAAGATAAAACTAAAATCCAAGAATTCCAAAATACAGTTCCAATTATTATTGCAAATGAAATCAAGCTTGAACATATCAGTTTGGATTTATCACAAGATCTTGAAGTAGGATGAATTGATGAAAAATTAAACTTAAACAGCCAGAATATAGGGCAAATGTCAAATCAAGACCAAGCTACTGTTATAAACGAAGTGAATACTATAATTATGCCAGAGCCTGAAAGCAAAAGCGAAAATGTCATCGAAACTTTTATTGAGACTAATGTTTTTAGAAGCAAAACACAAGAGTCTGTATTTAAACCAAAAATTTTATTAATAACCACTTATTTGGCTAACAAGTATGACTCTGGAAAAGTAAGTGCGCTATATTTGAATGAAAATGAGGTCGTCGAGCTGATTGGAGGTCTGCAGAAACCTACAGCTACTTGCTTAGATGAAAACCATAACTATTTATATGTCATTGAAAGCAGATTGAATAATAAAGGCTATATTTATCAATATGAAACAAAATGAAGTGATAGAAGGTTTGTTCTAGCTAAAAATATGTATAATGTCATCTACCATGGAATCAATCCTTACGATTGCAAAGTTGATCATTTGGGAAACCTATATTTTGTGGATGCCGCTCTTAACCAAATCAGCGTCATCGGATACATGGACTTATTTTCTGGGTTTCTCAATAAGCATTATATTATGTATCAAAGAGATATTATAAACAACAAATTAAATTATCCAACAGCAATTGATTTGGATAGCAGAAATGATATTTATTATATTAATAGTCAACTCGATGAATATTCAGGAACATTGAACAAGGCAGATTCACAAACTGAAACCAAAAATGGAGGCTTGATAGAAACTTATTCCTTTCATAATGTATCTGCAAAAGGAGTCACATATACAGACAATGGATCTGTTTTTTATTCACTTGAAAATGGAGAAGTGTGAACTTACAATCCAAAAGATAAAACTCACAAATTATATGAAATGAGTAATATAACTGACCCTGCAGGAATATGCTCATGTGGAGGCTATGTTTACTTAGCAGATAGCGCTAAAGGGATTTATGAACTTAAAGATTCAATGTCGGATAATTATGTTGATTTTGTTTTCAGCATGGAAGATATTCATGGAATATTTTGTGTAAGTTTTGGAGTTAAGCTCTTTCTCGGGATAAATATACTAATGAATTTTTTGTAATTTATTTGATTTAAATTAAAAAGAATACTTTTGAAATCAATAATAAATTTTAGAATTAGTAACAGAAGATTGACAATCAAGTAATTTTAACAGAATAATAAATCATATTTAGCATAAGTATACTAAATTTAATATCAAATATTTAATTAATGCTTATAATTATTTAGAAAACATTATCCTTGATGCATTCAATATTTAATTTAAATTTCAACAGCATCCTCTTACCTCAACCATGTTAAATTGATTATAAATCTTTTAATGATTGAAGGCGAAAAATCAAGTTCGAGTTCTGAAAGTGAGATTTCCTATCAAAAGAAATACGAAAACCCATTTAACAATGAGTTTAATGAAGACGAAAGCTCTTTATATTCTTATCCAAGCCCTGAATGTCATGAAATTCTATCTAACGAAGATTCAGATAGTTTACTTGATATAGGAAACATATCAACAGAAAATCCCAAAGTAAATGACATTAAAAAGCAAACGAAAAAGTTAAAGGCGTATGTAAAGTCTAAAATAAATGACATTAAAATCGAGCCTTCAGGATTTCCAAACACCACCCAAAACAATAATAGAATTCAATTGGGTTCTCTCCATGAGTATAACGATCACTCAGTCTCAGCTGCAGAATCTCAAATAATGGATCAGCTGAGAAACCTTCAGAGAGATGTCCAAACTATGAATCATAGGCTTAGTACAAGAGAAGAAATCTTAAAAGGTAAAGAAAGAGAAAATAAAGAACTAAAAGAAGCAATTAAGCGGCTAGAGCAAAATATTAATCAGCTAGCCGCAACCACTGCAACTGATTTTTCTGATCATGAAGATGAAAAAATTGTGTGCTCGTGTACCAACAAATGCCTAATTATTTAATTTAAGATTTTATGTAATCAGAAAATTTTTCAAAATTGATCGGAATCAAGGATTAAACAGTTTTTGTTGATTACTCCCTCCCTCCCCCTCAGTGAGCGAACAAAAATTGTTTTAATAGAAAAATTTCTTATGGAAAAAATTTTGATATATAAGTGATAATTAGTATAATGAAATCTCGAGCTAATTCTGTTTAATTATAAACAAATTGCATTTTAAAAAATAAATTTTACAAATTAAAATTAATATTTACTTTACAATTTTTGCAAAGTAAGATTTTTTAAAAATTTCGAAAATTTTTTTTTTTTGTGAAATTTATATCTAATATTTTTTAAAAAAAAAATTAACCGGGCGAACAAGATTTTTTTGTTCACTCACGGAGGGGGGAGTTATTCTTTTGATAATATCCATCGGCTTTTTAACAGTAAAAATATAATGGGAAACTGCATGCAATACCTGGGTCAGGAAAACCAGCTTTGCTTAATTTCTTCTACAAAGACAAATAAGATACCTGTACTTCAGCCCATTAAGCATAATAATCTTTATAAAAGAAGAGCGTCACGAGCCAATAAAGAAAATGAAAGAAATATCAGAGCGGCAAGAGGAAAGCAAATTCGTTGCAGTTCTTAATGTGTTTTTATTTTAATAAACATTTAAATTCTTAAAGATTTGACCGTAAATTGTTCAGTAAAATTTTTAAAATGATAAACAGAAATTTAATTATGATGCTATAATAATATATTTACTGAGTATCTCTTACTTTAATTATACAAGCATAAAGCTTGATTTGTATCAGAAAATGGTTTTAATTAAAATCTAACTTCATTATTTGTCAGTAGCTTATTTAATTTACTTATACATTATTTAAATTTAAATATATAAATCTGTCAGTTTAAATAAATATTAATTTCATTAACTTGTATAATTAAAGTTTGGATTTTTGATTTTTCTCGATATCAGTATTTTTTCTTTTCATTTTTAATGAATAATCTCTTGTTTTTTGCTCTTTGCTTTCTCCTTTGGTCTCTTTTTCTTCTTCAAATATTTCTTCGTCTGACCATCTTAAATGGCTGCATGTATTGCTCTGGGCTTTTTGATAGCAAGACATTTTACCAAAAATTTTTCTAGTTCGACGTTTACTATAATATTCGTTAAATTTCTAAATTGCCTGAAAATAAAATTCACATTTCCTGAGCCCAAAAAGCTGTGCACCGTTCTTAAATCGTTTGCTTCAGTCATAGTTGATACAATTGAAGGAAGTGAATCAGAGGAGTCACTTATTTGAATTCTTTTGAATTCAAGAACTTTAAAATTCTCCTGGCTTAATTTACAAGCAAGTTCTTTTATTTTTAGCGGCAAATTCATGCATTCTTTCAGAAGTGATGATTCAGCTAGATCTTGAGCAATATTCATATCTTTATTATGAAATTAAATTAAATGATTAAACTAGATATAAGCGGGCAAGCCAGCTAGCCTTTGACTCGTCTTGGCTCTAAAAATAGCAGTTTCCATCACCCTTGGAGTTCGAATGAGGAAAATGGAAGGCTGTAATTTTGGATTCCGATCTGAACCTTCTGCCCAAGGATCAGCTCTCCAACACCTGTAGAGTGCCCCGATGGTCTCGACAAGGGAAGGCCATATGATAGGCAAAACCTGCTCGCCTATCTGAAAGGGATTGGAAAGCTTTGGAAGAGAAATAAAACTTCCATATTCGGTAAGGCTTCAAGCCTGGGAGACCTAATTCAAAAAGAGACAGAACCCCCTTTTTTCAACTTCATCATTATGGGTCCTACCTGCTCCATAGGGAGCTCTCGACAAGGGAAGGCCATATGATAGGCAAAACCTGCTCGCCTATCTGAAAGGGATTGGAAAGCTTTGGAAGAGAAATAAAACTTCCATATTCGGTAAGGCTTTCAAGCCTGGGAGACCTAATTCAAAAAGAGACAGAACCCTTTTTTCAGCTTCATCATTATGGGTCCTACCTGCTCCATAGGGAGTGCGCCTAAGAGACAAATTTTCATCAGCATCACCATTTTATTTCTATCTTTATTATAAGGAATTACTTCTTTGCGATCTAGGCTTCTGTCTAAGCACGCCAGAAGCATTGAAGCTGATTCTAAAGGCTCAAGAGGATTAAGTTCATATCTCTCACAAGGATATCCAAGCTCAATTGGAAAGCTTGTAATTATTACGCTAATTTTATATTTGCGATGCAAAGTCTCAATTAAGTTATGAAACTGAGCCCTGGCTTCTCTAATAATATCATCACAATCATCAAGCATTAAAAGCAAACTTTTATGGCTAAGGTTTTCCTCCATATCACGATCCTCAAATGATATGAATAAGCCTTCTTTTTCCAAATTTTCATTAAATTGTGCCAAGCTCCCTTGGGATCTCATATTAATCCAAAATATTCCATCAGGAAATTTTTGCCTTGTATGCATATAATATCCTATATGCTTTATCAAAGAGCTTCTGCCAATCCCTTTTGGTCCTACAATATGGACAAGTCTCGTTGCAAGCAGTTTTTCTATGACTTCGAACATCGCCCTATGCCTTCCAACTAGGCTGCTATTTGTTCTTTTGATATTTACATATTGTCCTTGTATTGAAGTATGCAACACATTGCCAGGAAATAGGACAGATTCATGTGAAAGAATATCACTTGACGAGTCACTAAACAACGGCTTATCTCCTTTTCCTAGTAAAATAGGTCCTTTTCCTTTATACAATTCTTCAATATTGAAGTCTTCATGATTAAAATGTTCAAAAAGTTTTGAATTAGAATCAACAAATTCGTCACTGACACGCTTTGCTGCTTTTCATGCCTTTTTTACAGTCTTCCCTTCTACTATTAGCGCATAAAATTTTTCACAAAATGTTTCTATAGCTTTTTCAAACATAAGCTGAAGCTGTGTTAAGTATTTGCAGAGGGGATATTCTTTATAATCGAAACATATCACAAAATCTATACCGATTTGGTTAAATAGATACTCACCAATTTTTTTACCCCCTTTCCATATAAATTTTATAGTAAATTTTTTTAAAAAAAATCCCTATCCGTAGCAATTGAAAAATATTTATTTAATTTTTAAAATATATGTTTTAAAATGCAAGCTGTTTAAAATTAAACAGAATTACCTAGAGATTTCATTATATTAATTATCACTTATATATTAAATTTTTTTGTTCGCTCACGGAGGAGGGTTTTACAAAAAAAATAAAGATTTTTCCAATTTCCTTATTCGCTCACGGAGTGGGGAGTTAGAAAAAGGCATGGCTAATACAACTAGACTCAATCCACATCTCTCTGAGGCTGGGCCAAATAATTCTTCTAGTTCTAGCAAAGAAACATTATCAGCGCTAAAATTGTTGTTTTCTAATACCAAAGAGTCCCTTTGCGGCATGCAGGTCGAGAGGTGTAGTACTTTGCAGCCTTCTTTTATATACTCCATAAGTTTTTGTCTTGTCCCAACATCAAATTTCATATAAATCAGTTTTCGTTGTTGATACAAAGTATCAAGAAGGTTTCTTTTGAAAGTAGAAAAATGAGTGCACACCACAGAATCCAAAATAAAATTTCCAGTAGTAGAGTTAATTGATACCAAAGGATAAGCTCTCAATACCACAATTACATTTCCACTGCGTCTTCTTATGCGCTCAAAAATCAAATTTAGCTGCTCATTGATTTGGACTTCATAGCTCCTGTCTTTGAATTTCCGTGCGATTTCTAATGCAAATCTTCAAGACTCTTCTGCTGCAATTAATCTTTCCATGTTAAAATAAGCTTTTCCCAATAAACAAAGAGATTTTTCTTCTAGGCCAATTAGATTCAGTTCTTTGAATATTTTATAAGAGGTTTGCAGTCTTCTGATTATTTCTTCATCACTATGGTTATTAGAAATTTTTCATTCACAATAAAGTAAATAAGATCGTGCAAGTCCTGAGCTTCCTATGCTGAACCATAAATCTTTAAAACGGCTTACTGCCTGTTCTAAGTTTTCATTTATTTCATTTACTCTATTCTCATACATTTCTTTGCGCTTAAGAGGTGCATTTATAGAAATAATTGCCCTTAATAAATAGCTTTCAGCCAAGCAATCAGTCATTTCATTAATTTCAAAGTGCTGCAAAGCTTTTTCAGCTTGTTTTATAGCTTTTTCGATTCTGAACTTCTTTTTATATTCAATTTTCATAGCACTTCAGGAGAGCCTCAATTTATGCTTGAGTGTTTCATTGGCGCTGAAGGTTTTAAGACATTTTTTCATGTTATCTATAACATTAAATGCTTGGTTTTTCTTCCCAAAGAGGAGGTATATGCACATCACGCATTGCCCCATTTCGAAAACAAGGTTTCCAATTTGCGAATCTCTATGGTCATAATAAAATGGTTACATATGGAAGTGGCTGTCTCGGAAAACCCTATCGCCTCCTTTATTATTACGGGGCTCTGTTTTCAAGGTGGACCTTTATCTACAGTGCCAATATGGATTTACTGAATAGGGTAATTCGTTGTCCTAAAGAAGAAAGGAGACACCAGGAGGGTGACTCTTAGACGGAACACTTGCTGGAGTCAGGATTAGATGAGGCCAAATGAGGCCCGTGAAGAATTCCTGGCACTCTTCTGGAATGTATTTTAGAAAAGATGGCTGCTGACCTTAACAATCAAGGGATATAAAAAGGTGAGCCTATGCAAGCCTAAATCATCCTAATGAAGTAAGAAATGCGTTATAATCTAAATAATTAGTAGTGAATCTCTACGGTCATTAAAAATCTGCCTTAAATAATTTTCACTGAGGTAGTCTGCAAAATTGCGCTCCATGCATTCAAATAACTTCTGGGGAGGAATTATTGAATTTTTTATAGTGCTCAATATTTCTGCAACAATTTCTTCGTAGTTACAGAGCTTTCAGGTTGGTGAAGGATTTAAAGCGTTGAAATTTCCAAGGGATTTCATCACATTTGAGCAGGCCATAGAAGGCAGCTGGCTAATAATTTGCATTAGAGCTCTAGCCAAAGCAGCCAAATACTCTATGCAAGCAATTGCATTATCAGCCAACGGGCTGACTTCAGATTTAATATATTTTTTAACAGGCTGAGAAACCATCAGAATTTCTTGACTCGTCAATTGCTCAATTTCCATTATATTTAAGCTTTCATTCATATCCAGAAACGTGCTTGAGCGCAGCTCTTGGCTTTCTTCATCCTCGCTATCATCTGAGTTATTATCATGGTCATTCAAATGGATTTTTACAAGTCATTCTTCCCCTTCTTGTGACTCTAAAAGTGAAAGTGCGTCTTTTCAGTCACAGACTTGTTTGCTGCATATAAGGTTAAGATTTTCTCTAAAAATCCCTACAGGTAGTAATGACAGTAGCTTGATAAGATTGACAGCTTCTGGCTTGCGGTTTTGAAGATAAGTAAGTGATAAATAAAGGGAGCGAGAATCTTCATATTCATTAAGGCTAGAATGATGAGACTGATAGTCAAGTAAAAATTCATCAACTGTTTTTTCCATAAGTACAGGCATTACTTGAAACAGCTCAGAAGGAGACTTGCAGACAACGTTTAAAAGCTTCAGGACATCATTCCTGATTTTCTGGTAAACTTCTGTCCTCGTTTTAATTAGCTTAGCTGCAGCTCTTTTACTTAGTTCTCCAAGCTTGAATTCTGCAGCTCTATCCAGCTTTAAAGTATTCTCGCCACTCACGACAATTCAAAACTTAGGAAACTGTGTCCTTTCAAGCAGTGAAACAATTTTATTTTTTACTTTTTCTTTATTGTGAGCAATAATTCCACCAATATTGTCAAGGATTATTAAAAGATGCATGTTTTCAATTATTCTTGCAATTTCTTCTTTGCTTTTTTCTCAAGGGACGTTTAAGCTTTTGGCTATCATTTGATTAATTGTGCTTGAATTGGTTTTGCCTTGGAGATTTAAATAAAGCACTCCATGCTTGAAAATTCTTCTCTCACAAGCATAATGAGCAACACTTTTTACCAGAAGAGATTTCCCAATGCCAAGTTTCCCACTTACTATTATAACTCTATTGTTTTTGCCCATTTCTAAAAGCTGCTGCATTTCTCTGTTTCTTCCTATGATTTTCTGCCTTATTGGAGGTGGCTTAAAAGGAGTTTCATATGTATAAGGCTCCTGGATTTCATTTTGTGTGCGCTCAGAGAAGAGAATTTGATTCCCAACTTCTTTGTTTTTCAGCAGTAATTTGAATTTCATTGCTTCATTATGTGGGACTTCTGGTGAGCAGCAACAAATTACTCAGCTTCCATCTTTGATTTCTTGCTCACTTGGAGTCCTTGTTTTATTGAATTTTGCAAGAAATTTGGTCGCCCATTGACAGTTTAGCTTATGGACTGAGTCATTATTTCGTTTTTCACAGGTGCATTCTTCATTTATTGTATGCTCTCCATGGTCGTTTCTGGCTTTTCAGAGACACTGGCGCTTATGGTTGTGGGCACAGCAACAAGTTGTTCTCATAACAGCTTGTTCAAAATTGACATTTTTCTTGGCTTCAATAAAAGCGTTTTTTATTGATTTTCCTCGGAGCAGACTTCTATAAAATGTGACTGCGAAAGAAATAGCAGCGTCGTCTAAAATTTTGCATTGGTCGTGAATTGTAATTACACAGTCAATTCCGGCATCTAGAAATACGTTCCCGATAGCTTGTGAGAAGCAAGCACTTACGATGACGATATTAAAATACTTGCAATGGGTCTCAAGAATTTTCTTAAGCCGACTTTGATTGACTTCATCCCTCATTCCTAAATATTTGTGAGAAATAAAATGGGGGAAGATGAATTCGAGACACACTTTATGTGGAGCAGGTAGGATCAGTCCTGGTGAAGCTGAAAATAGTGCCTCTGTCATTTTTTGAAGTAGGCCTTCAGGTTGGGGATACCTGCCGAAGAGGGAAGTTTTTTTCTCCCGAAGGTTTTCCCCTGCAGATGGGCTAGACAGGTTTTGCCTCCCACTTAGTCTTTGCATATTAGAGCTAAAAAAGCATCCACAAGAGTTGGCTCTAACCTAGGAGATAATCATTAGATTAGATGGGTTTATACCAGATAGGCAGACTCATGCTCTATCCCCTTATGGCCTTATAGAGCTTAACTAAACTTAAATATTTACTGTCTTCAAAAGCCAGCACAAATTCATTAGGAAAAGTCCTTTGATAATACCCATGACAGCTTATATGAAGTATTTTGGGTTGCAGCTCCAGTATTTCCCCTAAATGCTGCAAAGTTGCTGTTTCAAATCTAATTGATGCATGGATTTGGCTTCTTTCAAAAGCTTCCAATAATTTTTTCCTTTCCAAGTCAAAATTTAAATTCCAATTATCGCATTCTTTTACTTTGATCCCATCTTTCCTTGTCAGAGGAGCTGCATATAGCATTGCCATGTCAAGATGCTCTGAGCTTGCTTGGTTTTGATTTACAGGTTTTAATTGGTCAGTTTCTTTTAAAATAGATTTAAGGTGCGAAATATTGGTTTCTAAGTCTTCTATTCGTTCTACTAGAGTGCCAATTTCACTAATTTGTGATTTTTGGATGAATATAATTAAAATGGCATGGTGAGCTGACATACCCTAGCTGGCAGGTTCATTGGAGATCAGGAACCTCGTGCAAGGGAGTAAAGCATTCGGAAATGTGTATATGGCTCCGTTTTACTTGGTTTGGCAAAGTGCAATGTCGGGTTAGCTGACCACATGCTCACATCCTGGTCAAATATTTACACCTGGGGAGATGGTTTGCTGGAGTTGGAATGGGGATACCAAGCAAGGTCAGAGCCACTTTAGCCAATCGAGTAAATCCCAGCTCGATCTCAGGTGTTGCGTCCAGCCCCGGCTCTATTTTGGTGGACAAATGACCAAAAAAATTCGTTTTTCGAATATCATGGAAGGCAAGCCCATTGATTTTGGGCATGGTGACCATGCGTCTCTGAGTATCAGGTAGAAAGTGTGCAAGCCATATTCCGCAAGTAGCAGCACAGCCAAAGGCTTTTTTCGGACTGGCAAGCAAGCAAGCGGTGGAACTTTATGCAAAAGCGGGTAATGATCTGCGGACCTGCAGGGAACTTCTCTATAATTAATTTAAGTTTGAGTAATTTTGGATGAGAAGTTGAATTTCTCTTTCAGTTGAGAGTTTGTCTTTTGATGAAAAATTTTTATATGCGCCTATTTCTTCATCATAGTAACTTATAGTTGTACTTGAATTTACAAATGCTTGGTATTCTAATAAAAGGTTTCAAAGATCTACATATGAAATTTTATTATCAGTAACAGATTTTTCTGGAATTTCAAAGCCGAATAAATCAGAGCCTGAGCTGAGACTTCCTACGTCATATGAATAGCTCACCCACATTTTGATATATAGAGCTTCTATTAATAGGATTATAAGATTGAGTGAAAAAATGCAAAACTTTAATAAAGAATTTCATTTTTGAGTTATTGTGCTGTGCCTATTATAAAATGGATATTTTTCTCTCCATCATGATCTTAAATGATCTCATTATATTGCTTAAATAAATATCATCGCATAATTTCTAATTTTAATTAAATTCTGATGTGCTGAATAGTAATCATATATCTTTATTTTTGATTTTTTAATAAGAACTTAATATAAATAACGCAAGTTTATCTAATTAAATATTAATTTTTTAATTCAAATTCCTAAATTTTCAGGTGTATGCATTTTTCTTCTGAACTTTTTAGTTGTTAAGTATTTCCTCTGCTATAAGTGGTCGAGAATTTTTTCCTTGTAAGGCATTTGATCGAAATTTGATGATTTTCTGCTCAAATGTCCCAAAATAAAAGATTTCGACAAAAATTTCCCAGGAAATGTCTCACTCGCAAAAATTCTGGATCAAAAGACATGGAGCCAAATTTTAAACTGTGCAGATTTTTAAGTGATTTGTTAAATTAAATGATAACAAGTGCAGATTATAATCTAAATGAACTATAAAAATAAAATGGAATATTAAAAATTATATAATACGTTCTATTTTTAAGCTTTAAATATTGTTAATTTGAAATAGTAGATAATTAATAAAATCACTTCCTAATGGTCGTCTAATTGGCATCGAAAAATAATGAAAAAGAAAGCTATTTTATTCCAAAAATAGTTTATTTCTAATTTGATTCATAATAAACTATATCCATATTTCCAATATGAATTGAATTAATTCCTGATATGATAATGCTAAATGCTAATTACAAGAAAACATGAAATTTTCCTTCAACGAAAGATACCGATAATTTTACTTGAGAAGTCTACCTTCTTCTTTCGATCCTCTCAGGGCTTCTCGTCGCTTTTGCAGGAATAATATCTGGATTAACAGTTGGCCTTCTCTCAATAGATATAGAGGCTCTGGAATCTAAAGCACTTACGGGAACAGAAAAAGAAAAATTGCAAGCTATGAAAATACTCCCCTTAATCAAGAAGCACCATTTATTGCTTGTCAGTCTGATAATTGTGAATTCGCTTGCACTTGAAGCACTTCCATTGATTTTAGAGTCAATGATCGGAGACATAGGATCAATAATTATAAGTGTTACAATAGTTTTAATTTTTGGAGAAATAATACCGCAATCTATTTGCACAGGCCCAAAGCAAATTGAAATTGCTTACAAATCTATTCTGCTAATTAAATCAATTATTTATATTTTACTACCAATTGCATGGCCATTATCTAAGCTTTTGGATAAAATTTCAGGCTCAAAACATAAAAGAAAAATTAATAAAAATGAAATAAAGAATTTTATATTGACAACATATTCAAAATCAAAAAATATAGACCCAGCAAGACTGCAGCAGCTTAAAATAATTGTGAATTTAATTGATATCAATTCACATGTTGTTAATATGCACATGATTCCTATAGAACAAGTTTTTAGTCTCAGTTCTGACACACTTTTGACAAGACATATGCTCTGTGAAATCAAAAATACGGGGTTTAGCAGAATACCTATATATGAAAGACATGAAAAATCCAATATTATAGGAATTCTACTCTTGAAGAGGCTTGTAGGAGTTGATGAAAATATTTATATCAAGAACTCACTCCCCCCCCTTTAAATTGAACAAAATATAGGTAAAATTTCCACTTTTTTGGTAAATTAACGCCCCTTTAAATTGGAACAAAATTTAATTTTATAATAAAAAATTTTATATATATAAATCATAAATTTATGTAAAAAGTTTTGATATAATTTAAATGTTTCTTCTTAACTAAAATTAAAAATTTAGTTATATCCTGCTCTTGTTTAAAGAATAGAGTATAAAGAGCATTTTATTTAAATAAATTTATTATCCTTAATTGTAAATTTTTAAAAAATTTAATTTTTTTTGTTTTTAAAAAAATTTTCAAAAACAATTTTTTTTTTTTGTTGATAAAAAATGATATTTTTTTTTTTAAAATAGCTTTGATATAAATTCAAGACGAATTCTTTACAAAAATTCAAAATTTACCTATTTCTTGCTTTATTTTAAAGAATAGAGTATAAATAACATCTTATTTAAACAAAATTAGCACTTTGATTAATAAATTTTCTAAATGTTTTTTTATCAATAAAAATAATAATTTTTGTGTAAATATTTTTGATACCAATTAATAGTGGCGTATTAATTAATAATAAAATTTTAGTTATATCTTGCTTTGTTTTAAAGGATAAAGAGTAAATAGCATTTTATTAAACAAATTTATTAATCTAATTCGATAAATTTTTGAAATTTTTATATAAATTTTTTTTTTTATTATAATGATTTTATTTTTAAAAAAATTTTCTTAACCCCCTTTTAAATTGGAACATAATTTTTAGTTCCAATTTAAAGGGGGGGGAGTCAGGCATAAAATTAATAGAACCTCTCTATGTTCAAGAAGAAATCTCATTTTATGACCTTTTAAATATTTTTCGGCAAGGAAAATCACATGTCGCTTTTGTTACTGGGCTCAATAAGGATAATCAATCTCCATCTATAATTGGTATGATTACATTAGAAGACGTTATCAGAAATATAACCAAGCTTGAAATAAAAGAAATTTTTTCAGAGCCTCGAAGCCTTATTTAGACTCTAATAATTACTCATAATTACAAGCGTGTTATTAATTAAATAATCTCTGATTATGTATAGAACTGCGACAATATTTGGATACTTTGAGTATCAAAAATCCAAAATTGACCAGATATATTAATAGAATATTTACATAGTTTAAGGACATCTCCCAGCTTCAAATGGTGCATAATTCATGACGTGCTTGTAAAGGATTTCTTTTTGCCTATCAGCATGCGGGGTATGTGGACTCATTTCAGGCATGACTTTATTATCTGATTTCTCAGCACTTGTTTCCATTGTAAATGATCCGTTATTGTCTTTGTTGAGATCTAAGACTATACAAGTGATATCGTCAACATTTGTCTTTTTATAGGCAGAAATCTTTAGCCATCTTAATCTTGCTTCTTCGCATAGCAGTTGAGCAATGCATGAGTTGCTTGAGTTTGCTTCTGAAATTGATGGCTGGACGACTTCTTTTTGACAGTTTTCTTTATAGGCAGCTACAAAATTGACGACTTCTTCATTGGACATCACGTCCCAAAGGCCATCAGAAGCCATAACGATAAACTCGTCCTGCTCAAAATCAAAGGTATGAAAAGTAATTTCAGGATCGCAAATGACGCCAATTTGTCTTGCTATTCTATCACCAAGGGTTCGGGAGGTAGCGAGACCTGGCGCATTTTCTGTTAGGTTAAGCTAGGTTATAAGAGAAAGGTGCTAGAGTATTGGTGACATAGCCACCAACGACCTCCAGTACAGAGATTCATCCGCTTTGTAATAAAATTACAGTAAGCCTAGCAGCATGCGGCAAAATTGTCTTTGTCTTTATTCCTACGACAGCAGAATATAAATACTCCCCTTTAGCCGGAACCCCTAGTTTATCAGCAGAGGATTCAAAAGATATTGCTGACTCCCCCCCCTCGAAGTTCGACCAAGATTTTTTTGGTCGAACTTCTAGGGGGGTTAAGAAAAATTTTTTTAAAAAAAATTTATATAGAATTTTTTTTATATAATTTAGTAGTTAAAAAAAAAAAATTTATCATATTCTTATGTATGGTTGAGAGGGTGTAAGGGTTAGAAAAAATAGTGCAAGATGGTTTTGTAACGCTTTTTTAGAACTTGAATACAAAAATCGCAAGCTCACCCCTACATAGTTTAAAATTTTTGAAAAATTGCTTATTTTCCTAGTAAATTTATATAGGTCTTGGTCGAACTTTGAGGGGGGTTAATTTTCCAAAAAAAATAGGAATTTTCCCTATATCTTGGTCGAACTTCGAGGGGGGAGTGAGTTCCTCCATTTTCGGCCACAGATAAAAGCAATCAAAAACCTACCCGAACGCACATATGTAGATCCTGCACTTGATTCTCGGCATGGAGCCTGTGCCAGTTCATCTTAGAAGAGATTAAGTTGGCAGTGTCACCATTTAATGTATATCGCGCGTTTTCTGTTAACTTATAAATTCTATGAGGGCCTGATTTGACACCGTTATTGGATTTTCTTTTGATGCAGCCACCGTTTTCAAGAATTCTCATAATTTCTGTATCAGAATCAGGCTTGTGGTCCGTTGTTAATTGAAATGGCTTAATTGGGTATGCATTTGGATATTTTCTGGCCTTTTTTAGATCTTCTAGAATAGATCCCCACTCATCATTTGAGTAACATGCTGTAGCTGGTCTAGAAGATCCAGAAGCTATAAGCGCTCTCGAATCGCCAACATTGGCAAAATAGACTTCATTATTCTGTATTAAAGCTATGACTTGTGTAGTGCCTGAATAGGTAATTGAAATCCCACTCTGATAAAGGGCTTCGTCACAATGCTTGGTTGCTAATATTAATGACTGTTTTGGAGAGTTAGCAAATTCTTGCTTATGCGTTCTATAATAATTTTCTAGTTCATTGCTTACAAATGAACTCACTTTTTCACCTTCACTCCCATGGCCGTCATGAATTGCCATTAGAATGCTGCTAGAGTCCTCTGCTACAAGGCAATGATCTTGGCAGACTTTAGGGGCAAAAGTTTCGGCCTTTAAGCCTGGCAGAGTGCAAACTGAAATAAAATATCTCCTATTTTTATGTATAAAGTTTTTAATAAATGTGGATTGATTGTCAATATCTTATTTTTAGTAAGCTAAAAGATATTATAATATATTATAAACTTATTTTAATTAGATAGAATATAATTTCTCTCGCAAGAACTATCTTAGGATTAGTAAGCTCTATGCGTTTTTCGATTAAATCTTCAGCTTCTCCTTGCTTGTTCCATTGAATCACCTCGAGAACTCTGTTTCTGGGGTAGTTCAAAATCGAAATCGTGTTGTTATTTGAATTTTCGCTCTTGGCACATTTGAGGCATGATCCCATTTTTATATGTATAAAAACCATCAAAAAATGCTAGTCATATTTCAATACTTACCAGTAGTTTAAAAATTCAGATAGAAAATTTTTCAGAAGATTTAAATCTTTTTATTAGGGCTTGAGCTATTAATTTTCGTCAAAAATTAGATAAGAGTTAAATTTTTTAATTTTTTCTAGAATAGAGGTTTCAGAGCTGCTCAGAATTTCTTAATTTTAAATTAATTAAAGCTTAGAGGTTTTAATTTTTATCTCTGGCTGAAAGTTTTCCATTTATATTTTAAGCCTAATATATGAGTTTCTAATTAGTTCATGCAGCTGAGATTTTTGATGTTTTTAAATTGAAGTAAATAAAAGAAAAGTTAATTATTTATCAACAGAACGAAATAAAAAAATCCATAAATCTGGTAAGATTATTTTCAAAGCAAAATTCTGAAAATTTTTTAAGAGTCTTTTTTGATAGCCTGGGGTCATGCTATTGGGATTTCCATTTCTTCTCTCTTTTAATAAAATGAAAATATTTGTGATAGATGTAAAACCAGACAGATTATTTAATTATCTAATTAGTTTATTTTGAAACAAAGCTAAATTAATGATTCTCAGTATTTTCTTCAATATAAACTTCTGCCAGAGCAGCTTCTTTTGCAGGATTCAAACTGCTTTCAGAGTTACAATTCATTAAATTCATTGCTTCTCTCTTTATCTTTTGAGATTCTGGGCTCAAATTAATGTTTTCAAAAGTATGAACTGCCCTTACTGCTATATTGCTACTATATTTATCCATAAACTCTATTTTACTGCTATCAGCAGTAATTGGTCTAAAAGTGTGTTTTACTTTATTTACAAGCCCAAGTGATTTGGATTCTAGATTCCTCATTTTAGGAGTATTTCCAAAGTCATTAATTCTCTTGAATGCTCTATTTCCAGCTTCCCTCGTTTTATTAAAAGTCCTCACTATTCACCCTTTAAATCCTTTTTCTGGCTGCGAGCTCACGACTTCTTCTTTTGAGTTTTCTTTTGTAGCTAGAATTGAAGGTCTTGGATGTGCATAAAGCTTGGTTTGCTCATCCTGAGCTAAAAGAATTCCATCCTCTAAAGGCATAAAATTTGATTCACAGTTTACTTCTTTGGATATTATTTCTAGCATATCTCTGTAAAATGTAGCAGACCTTGTTCGGTATTTTAAATTTATTGGGGTTTCATTTGTAAACCCGTAGTACATAAAATAATCTCGCAAGGCTGCGTTACCTCCTGCGATCATTAATTTGAGTTCTTCGGGATTCCAAGGCTCATCTCTTATTCCCCTCCATGAGCGATCAAAACCATTGGAAAATTCCTTTTTTTTGGTGTAAAAAGCCAATCTCCATGAGCAAACAAAAAATTTTTTAATATAAAGATTATTATGAAACAAATATTTTGATATATAAGTGACAATAATTATAATGAAATACCTAGCTAATTTTAGTTAATTTTAATCAGCTTGCATTTTAAAACATAATTTTTACAAATTAAATTAATATTTGCTTTAAAATTCAAATGGGATATTTTGAAAAAAAAATTACTATAAAATTAATATTAAATTTTAAAAAAAATTAATCCCCTCCATGAGTGAACCAATTTTTTAAGTTTGCTTACAGAGGGGGAGAGTTAGAGATTTAACTTTGCTTGCCCCTTTAAGTTCTAGATGAGATACCGCGCATTGATTGCAGATGAAGACACCATGGTTTACTGAGCCATGGTCTGGGTTCGGGCTATTACAATCAACACACGCCTTATTTGAGTCATCAGCCATCAAGGCTTCAAAAACTTCGAATGCTAAGCCTGCTTCCATTCTTTAAATTTTTTATATATTAAATCAGCATGGCTTAATATAATATATTTTATTAAATAACACAGAAAGTGAATAAAGCCAATTTAAGACAAACTATAGCACTATAAATGATGTATATATTAATTTTTTTTGTTTTTAGAGGTAGTGTACAAAAATATTTAGAAAAATTTTTATAAAATATCCTTTGTCAAAACCTTTTCTCATTATAAATATCTTTAATTTTTTGTTATCTCAATCTCATATTGCATATTTCATCTTCTAACTTTTGCCATTTAAGTAATAGTTAAAGTCCATAGAATGGTAATCGTAACATAGTCATCATTGGTCGTAACTCAAGAAAGTGAATTTAACTTCATCCTCCGTATCCTCAACACCAATATTGATGGTCGCCGCAAAGTAATGTATGCTTTGACTGCAATTAAAGGAATAGGAAGACGCTTTTCCAATCTCATCCTCAAAAGAGCAGGTGTCGATCTTACCAAAAGAGCAGGACAGCTTACAGAAGAAGAAATTGAGAAAATTGTCACCATCATCAATAAGCCAACTGAATATAACATCCCTACATGGTTCTTAAATAGAAGAAGGGACATTGTTGTAGGAACTGATTCTCAGATCGTGGCCAACTTTTTGGATGCCAAGATGAGAGAAGATCTGGAAAGGATGAAGAAAATGATGCTGCATAGAGGTCTCAGACATTGGTGGGGAGTTAAATGTAGAGGACAGAAGACGAAAACTACTGGAAGAAGAGGCAAGACTGTTGGTGTCGCTAAGAAAAAATAAACAAATAATAATGAAAAGGAGTTCTTTGGGAAATATCTTTTAATTTGCTGTTTATAGTTAATTAGTGCTAATAGCGTGCAGAAAGATCTTAATTTTTCTATTATTAAGCATATTGCTGTATGCATCTAGCTTTTGACAGCTTCATAATTTTTCTCATGTTTATTATCTAATTTATTTTTTCTTTGATTTTTTAGCAGATCCTTTTGGTTCAGGAGCCTTTCTTTTAACAACTTCAGCTTTTCCAAAAAAGTGTTCTAGCACTAGCTGTGCAGGTCTTCCTTGAATTTTTTTGAGTTTTTGAATGCCAGCATCAACTCTTGCCTGGGCGAACCCTTTTTGCACGATTAAATATGGAGATAATTCTGCTTCATTAGGTGCATTCCATTGAATTTCAACTCCATCACAATTATCAACCTCTGGGGTTAAAAAGAGCTCTCTTGCTCCTTCAAAATTAAACTCTTGAGGGATAGCGTATTTTTTCTTATCTGAACCTGAAATATGATCTACTACTCTTTCAATCGTTCCATATTGCTTTATTAATTTATACCCTGTGACTGGCCCAATACCTGAAATATGCTCACTCCCTCTCCTTTAAAAAACGAGCAAAATCATTGGAAAATCATTATTTTGGAAAAATCCCCCTTTTCGAAGAGCGAACAAAAAATTTTCTGATATAATAAAGTTAAAAAAAATTTTCATAATTGTTGTCGCGAGATCTCTAGCTAACTCATATTAAAATTTTAAAAATTTTGCATTCTTATATAATTAAAGTAGCTTTTTTTTCAAATATTTTCAATTTTGGATTTTTAAATTAGGGAGAAAAAAGCCATTTAAAGAGTGAGCAAAATGGTTTCTCGCTCTTAAAAGTGAAGTGAGTCAGTATAATCGCATCCTAATAAAATGCACAAATCAATGAACTCTCTTTGGTTTAATTCAAGTCCTGCAAGCAATTCATTATAGCTAATTTCTACAATTGGCTCCTTTTTGGAATTAAATCCTCTTAATAAATAGGTGGCTCCAAATGTAAGGCTGTCCATATCCTCAGATGCTACAGCTTGTGCTTTTCCTAGTTTCACTAAATGAGCGCACTGAGCTTCAGCTTCACAAGGAGCCTGTATTACAGGGACTCCCATTAGCCTGAGCATTTGCATAGCATCTTCTTTCATTTCTGGAGTTATTCTAATAGTTCTCTGTCCGAATTTCTTGATATCTTCTTCTTTTCCTTCTTCAATTGCTTTTTCTACGTTTTCTTCAGCTTCTTCTTTAGCTTTTTTTCGTTTTTCAAGCTCGGCTGCTTTCATTGTTGGTGGCCTCCCATCAAATACCCAAATTGGTTTGACTCTGTTTTCCAGAAACATAATCGTTCTATTAAACAGTCCAAGCAAGTGAGCTGTATGGTTGCCATCTGAATCTGTTAGCATCCCAAGGCCTGATTTCGTACTAAACTGTGTTGCTATTAAAAACTGATACATAGCCATTGAAGCATCACAAGCAACTATTTGGCCTGAATATCGATCCAGTGGGAGCTTTTTGACTGCCCCAGAAGCTTTTTCATTGATCAATTGCATGAGCTGTTTAATCCCCATTTCGCGGTTTTTATTTTATGTCAACTTGATATAGCTTATTTACTAATTTGATTTAAATCGTCTTTTTTCTGAGGAAATTCATATTTTAACACCCCAAGTTTTTATACAAATTTTAATGACACAAGAGATTAGAGCTCCTGATCAAGCAGAAATTGATGAGTTTTGTGTGGCATGTGGCCAAAAAGACCTGCAAAAAGTATCTGAAATGTGTGGGAATAATCGTATTTTAGTAGAACAATGTGATAGCAAATTGAGTCTAAAACCCCTTTTTCATGCTGTTTTCTGTGGCTCGTATGAGGTAACATATTTTCTTTTGGAAAAGGGTTCTGATCCGAATTGTAGAAACGCGATAGGGGAAACTCCACTTCATCAAGCTGCTGATAACTCGGAGTTGAGGCTTGTAAGAGCTTTACTCGAATTTAATGCAAATCCAAATCTAAAAACAAATGATGGAGAAACACCTTTGCATCAAGCGACATTTAGAGGTGACGTTGGAATTGTAGAGCTTTTGCTGCTAAGAGGTGCAAACCCAAATGAAAAAAATTCGGTAACCGGTAAAACTTCGTTGCATATTGCTGCAGAATGCGAACAAGTTGAATGTTTAAAGATGTTATGCTTCTTATAACTGATTATAAAAAGAGCACAATAGTCTTTTAATTAATTAATAATAGCATAAATAGTATATTAGATTATGGGGCAGAAGTAAGTATCACAGACAACAATGGAAAATTTCCTGCAGAATTGACTGAAAACTCAATGATCGTCAATATTTTAGATAGCTATTATCAAAAGTTTGATTTTGACAATGGCAGTAGTTTATTTAGTGTAAAAGAAGCACAAATTGGAGATGAAGAGACTGCCAGCACTGTCAGAAGTTTTCAGGGAAGTCCACAGCATTCAAAGTATATGAGTATCGCATACAGTATTGACTCAGAGATGACCCTTTTTATAGGAACAGACACAATAAATGACTGTAAATCAGAAACCACAGGTTCAAGCATCAATGGATCAGAAAGCTTTTTAGTCAGAGAAAATTGCAATAGCATCAATATATTTGAAGGTAAAGCTTTTTTATTGAAATTTTTGAAAAATTTGAAGCTTGAACGCTATTTTCAAGTTTTGGTTGACTCAGGATTTGATGATCTTGACAGCATGATTGACCAGATGAAAACCCCTTTGCCAATCACACGTGAAGTATTGTCTGGAATTGGCATCGAGAAACCAGGGCATATTTTTAGATTGCTGATGGGTTTGGAATATGAGTCAGGCATCTATGATACGCCTTTATCAGAGCATTATGACTCCAGAACTAATCTTATGCTAAATGACTCTAAAACGGAATTCCAGCAATGGCTTGAATCGATAAAGCTAGGTCATTTATTTATATGTTTTGAAGAGAGTGGATACGATGATATTGAGATGAATAAAAAGGCTCCATATCCAATGACAGTTTATTTTTGACTGTGTACATAACATCGAAGCATTTGATCGAAATTTAACGGTTTTTTTCGGTCAAGTTTATCACTGTCAAAAAGTTTCAACCAATTTTCGGCAAAATGTACTTCGGTCAAATGCACACTATCAAAAGCTCACAATTATTGGACCTGCACCTTAATAAAAAGCTTATGTTCTCAAGATATCCTATTACTGATGAAGTTTTGAAAAATGAAGTAGGCATTGATAAACGAGGATACAGGTATAGGATTTTGGGTAAAATTCACGAAGAAATTTTGAGGAGTAAATGTCCTGTTCTTCTTGAGACAAGAGAAAACACGAGAAATTGTAGCCCAAGCTGCAGCATTTTTTAAGTATATGGTAAATTAACTTACATTTTTCGCAAATTATTAGAGTTTTTTCTTTTTATAATAGATGATTACTAATGCTTATATTCAATAAAAAAATTATTATTCAAATTATATAGCATTAAGCAAAAATTCGAGCTTTTAGCTATCTGGATATAAAGAATCATCTTTATTATAGTTCTCCCACCCAGTAATCGTGCTATAAATACTTGAGTTGCTGATTTGTTTTATTTTTGGCTTTCTCGTCATATTTTTAAAATCAGCTCCAAAAAATATTTTTTTATTTCCAATTGAATGCTTCAATACTTTTCTCGGTGTAATAATAGATAATCTTTCATTTAAACTAAGTTTTGGACTTGGATTTACATTGTCTCCAGCTCCAATTATTTCATCTGAAAGGTCTATGGACAATTTTTGGCGTTTCAGATCTTTTTCTTCAAGCGCGTAATTTATTGGTATTGTTTTCGGACTCAACTGTCCTGTGATTTGACTTTTTTCAGCGGGCTCAATTTTTTGAAACGATTTATTAGGAGACATTGGACTCTGAGCTCCTTTGAGGCACTCAAAAGGATGTGAAAGATCTGATGGTTGGTTCTGAAGCATAAGGTTTCTGTCAGAATTGCGAAAAATTTTTTGCCTAGATTTTAAAGGGCCGAGCTTAGAAAGGAGTTTTATTTTATTAAGTTTGAAAAGATATTCTTTATTTCCAGATGGCTTTAGAGATGAATAATGACTCATGTGAGGCAGTTTTAATAAATGCTGAGAATTATCTGTAATTTGATTTTCATCTGATGAAGTATGAGAGATTATTTTTATTGGGACGTATTCTAGCTTGGTTGCGGTTGATAATTTAGGCAATGAATGTGTGTCTTTTGTCTTGCTTATGTCTTTATTTTGAATATTTTTGACTGTTTCACCTTTAATATTATGCATAAACATTTTTTATTTAATAATCTGTCAATAAATTATTATTCAGAATTTCATATTTCTGCCATAATCTCCAAAATAACAAGAAAAAATAATTAAGTTTCAGCTTTAAATAATAAATAAATTCTTCAAATTCGTTCTATCTTGATCATTCGTATTTATTCAAAATTTTCTCAAATCATGATAGTTTTCTATGATTTATCCAAAAATTTTATTTACTTTGAAAAATGAATGAAAGAGAATTATTATGAGTTAATTTATGAAACCTTAATAAAATCCCCATATGCTAATTTTGCAAAATGGATTTATTTAGTCTAAATTTAGCTTTCTTCTTGTTTGAATTAACACATTTGAAATTCTATGCACAGCACTTGGATTTCCTGTAACATTCTCACTGCTATATGGAGCACAAATCTTAACATCTAGGTCAACCAGGTATATATTAACTCCATCCCAGTCACACTTATACGTCCTAGATATTTCGTTGAAGATTTGCTGGCCTTCAGGACTTGCCAACTCATTTATTTGCCCTGCATTTTGTGAGTCTTTTTCCATTTGCCTGCTTATGTCTTCAAGAAATCTATTGACATCTATATAAGGTATTTCGGTATCAACCCTGTGGCGTTCTCTATCCAGCACAACTATATCTTTAATATATTCTGTATTCACAAAAACATAATCTCTCGAATTTTCATTTCCTCTATAAAGGATGACTACATTTGCATCTTCGTCAATAGTGTAAATTCTCCCTTTGTGTTCTTCGTCAAGTGTAGTGATCACTTTAATTTCCATACCCACCATCTCTGTGTAACTCAAAGATGACATTTTGGATTTATTTAAGTTTGCAGATTGATTTTACTTAAAGTTTAGAAAAATAAAGACAAAATAAGAGAATTAAGGTTAAATTTGCTGAACGTAGCCTCTTAATAGCACTTCAAAAGGACTGCTTTCTGGAATGCCTGGCGGGAGGAATCCTCCTAAAATCCTACCTTCTACTAAGATTTCGACCCATTGGCCAATTCCCCTTACATCCTGCTTAGATAAATAATTACCCTTATAATTTATTAATAAAATACTTTTTACAATTTATTTATTAATTAATTTGAAATAACTTTTTTAAAAAATTTAAGGTGATGTTAGAACTACTAACTCGTTAAGTAATGGATCGGGAGGTGGCGGATTAAAAGTAAAGGTGATTTTTTGTTCGGCGCCAGGTGGAGTATTTCCTTTTACCACATCACATGTAAACAGATTATTATCCACTTTTGGCATAAGTATTTCAAACGACCCTGCCTTATCATTTTTTGAGTTATTTAGTTTGCAGTTTCCAACTACTATTTTTCTTTGCCTGGTTTGCTCCTGCAGTTCTTGACTAAGACCAGGAGCATCTTTAACAAAGGTCAAGACAAATCTTGGCGGCTTATCAGCTGATTTTTGCAAAAAGTTTAAAGCGCCTTCTTTTTCCTCTTCTATTAATTCTTGGGACGAAGGCCATCTAAATGGCTTATCGTACTTGACATACATAGATCTCCTCCAACAACTTCCAGCCAAATAAATTTCTTTTGGATCAATTTGATTTGGAACATCAATAAGGATATGTTCATAATACCTTTCTGAAGAGTGGTCAGGGTTAAATTTAACTTTGACCTGCAAACTGCTTCCTGGCTCTATTCTCCCATACTGTGGAATAAACGTAAAATTAACTAACTCCCCCCCTCTGTGAGCGAACAAAACCATTGGAAATATCTCTATTTTTTGCCAAAACCCACCCTCCATGAGTGAACAAAAATTTTTTTCGAAAAAATTGATATATAAGTGATTATTAGTATAATGAAATCTCGAGCTAATTCTGTTTAATTTTAAACAAATTAAAATAATATTTTTTTTCCAATTTTGTGAATTGATTTTTTTAAATTTAAAAAAAAAATTAACCCCTGCTTGATCGAACATAATTTTTTTGTTCTCCCACGGAGGGGGAGTAAGCTGTTATAATTTTGTACGCCAACCATTCTCTTCTTGAGCATGAATTCAAATGGGAATGATACGATATTTTTTAGAGTAAAAGCTTTTTCGACAAAATCACCAGGTATTGCATTTCCCATATTGAGCAAACCATCTTCTGGGTCGAGCTTGAGCTCTGGCCTGACACCTCTGCCTTTAAGCACTATAGAGACTGCAGAGTTTCCAGTCCTGATTGTCAATTTTTCCTCAAAATATTGCTGGTTGATTGGCTCGAATTCAACTACTATTGCTTTCTTTTGGCCAGACTCTACTACTCTCATAGCATTTAAGACTGTAAACCCTCCAAATGGAGGAAGCGGATCCATTGATAAAGAGACTGGCTGCGTATCTTGATTAAGCAGCGTAAACTCTGCCACTTTTCTGCAAGAAACAGCAATTTCTCCAAAATCTAACACTTCTGGGTCTGCGATCAGTGTTTTGTTTATTACAACAGTCTTCATCTGCAAATAATGCAGCCGAGTCACTCCATCAGGAAGAAGTGGCCTAAAATATACAGGAATGAGCCACTCATAATGCTGGCTTCTTTTAGCAGGCTCATCCACATAAAAATCATAGACTTTTCCTCCTATATTATACAGCTCTTTTTCCAAATTCCACTCTTCTGCATCTTCCCGCTTTTGAAGGTCTCTAAAATCTGAATCAAATCTAATAAGAATTCTGCCCATATCCCCAGTTGCAAGCCTTGGAATCACAGTAGGAGTGATTTTCAGGCCAGCAACATCTATTGGAGGAGGGATAATTTCAATTGCATATGGTAGTTTTCTGGATGAATTAGTAACAGAAATCATATATTCTGACATCTCTCCTACTGGGAGGCCTGGGAAATCAATTTTGTAAGCAGAAAATGCAATTGGGCAGGACTGAAGTTTAGCGGAGTATGAGACTTTGAACTCTCTTGCTGTTAAGTCGCCTGTTTTAGCTCTTATGTAGAAGTCATTTGCATCTTTTCCAAGCTCAGTCCCAGCTTTTACAGGAGCTGGCCTATAAATGGCAGTCATTTGGAGCTCTTCAAATGGAAGTAAAGTTCCAAACCCATCAAAAGGCTGTATTGAGATTGTTTGTGGCAAGCGAACGAATGCATACTCTTGAGGTAACGCGCTGTGGCTTTTCATAATAAATTTCATACTTACTGCAGTTTGTACATAGACATCACCGAAATCCAATAAAGGTGGCTCAACTGTAATGAGATCACTTGTTAGTTCTACATGAATTGAAAAAGGTACTGGCATTACTTGGTTGGCTCCTGTAACTTTGATGGGGATATTAAAAGCATTAGGAGCTTCTTGAAAAGCAGCTAGCATTGTATATGCATTATTATCAGGTCTAAATTTAACCCATATATCAAATTTATCTGATCCTTGTATATATCCTAAGGTAGGGCTAAATTCAAAATGCTCTTTAGCGTCTTTTGGAAATGTCAATTGAATTTTCATAGGATTCACACTTCTGTTCCTAAATCGCCCAATTAATAGGGAGTTAAAATCCTACTCTTGAGGAAAATAGCCCCTTTAAGAGCAAGAAAGAAATTCTTATACAGGTATGATTTTACAATTTTTTTTTATATATTAAAAAGTTTATTATATATAAATTTTAAAAAGGAAGATTATACATAATTTTAATATAAATTTTTAAGATTTAACCCCATGAGCAAGCAAAATAATCTTACTCTATATAAAAGAAGGGGAGTAAGAACAATTTTTTCACGATACGTATGATTTAATACACAAACTTTGAAATCATATACTTCTTGCTCTACATAAATAGGGACGTCAATGCATTCTCCTCTCACAGTCAATATGATTGGACTTGTTTTTTTGTTTTTGAATACAATCATAATGGTATCTTCATAAACTCCTATGTCTGCAGGTGAAAATTTAAATGGAATCGTCGTTGTGGAGTATCCATCAACTTTCCCAGATCTCGGGAATTTTAGCATAGAAAATAAGCTTTCTGGATTGACTTCTTCGTAAGTTGGCGAGCTTTCAAGAATTTGGCTTTGTGAAATAGAAGATTCTTGAGTTACTAGCATTGTTTGATCAGCAACTACAGGAATGGCTTCTCCATCTTTATCTAATAATGAAAATTCACTACCCAACGCACCTTCGTTTTTTATTACAAGTGTTCTATTGCAGTGCTCACCTAGAATGACTTGACCGAAATCAATAATATTGCTTTGGACTGAAATTACACTTTTCTTGCTTAAACATTCTAAAGGGATGTCAATTCTGCCAGTTTCACTTAAGATTGGGAAAACTGAAATTATGTCTGAGTTTATCTGTGGGGTGAAGGTTATTTGAATAGGACATGTCAACCCAGCTGACATTCGGCCTGGAGGAGTAAAAACTATATTGAAAAAGTCTTTGATTTCTGGGTCTAAAGGCAGAAGTTTAAAAGAGTTGAATGTAAAAGAAACATTTGTGAGTATGACTGTTTGAGTATAGGTTTGGCCAACTTCAAAATCTTCGAAAAGGATTTTTTCTGGCTTTGGAATGAAAGCGGATCCTTGAAACGTTTTGCCCCAGCATTTTTGTTCGTGGGTGATATTTTGTTTGTGTTTGATTCTAGCTCTTACTCTTTCTATCTAGTGAAAATAAACTAATTTTTTATATAATATTTTATTTATATTATTATATCTAGGAACCTTAAAAGTTTATATAAATTAAAAATTAGATGCCCTACACATTTACGACAAAAAATTATATACTGTTTTTAATATTTAAATTTTATAAAGCAAAGTCTTTAAAGTAAAAAGATTTTATTAACTCATGAAGGAGGAGAGTTAGCATCATATCTTCTTCGTATTTAGTTAGCGGTCTTAACTTTATACCTGTGGCGTCTTCGCTTTCAGTTTTGGTTTTTATTTCTTCTTCCTCTTCCATTTAAATATATATTAATTTTGCTATCATAAATTTAAGTAGGAAAGAGCACAAATTAGCTTGCTAAGTACAAAGAGAGCAATATTTTCTGCTCTTATCAATAGAACTCAAACCTGAGCTTAATTAATGATGTAAAGCAACTCAATATCTTAATAAATTGCATTAATCAATATTACAGTTAATTATATGTTTATCATCGATCCTCTTATAGGATTCAAGCTTGACCCACCAATATCTGTTGATACTTTTTCAATTACCTCGCCAGTGTCATAAGGATTTCTTTCATAGTTTTCTAAATTCCTTGCATAAATAATAGCGCTCACTGAACATCACCAACATACTGGTAATGATATCAAAACAATGATACTTAAAGTTATCCCTATAATACTAGCTTCAGCAGCACCTTTTGAAGACATCAAGTATGATATGAACTCAATGAGACCTGTAGCAACTGTACTCAATACAAAATAAATTGCATAAATAATTATGCAGTACTTATATCTTCTGACAATAGAAAGCTTTTGAAATTGAGCTGCGCGAAGTCCTAATATTCCAACTGCAACCCCAATAAGACATGTAAATAATTCAATAATCCCTGAATACAAAGTATGAAATGATATCGTAATTAAATTTGCTATTGTAATTATCAAGCAAATAACAGAAAAAATTATAAGCAGCAAAGCTTGTCTTCTGCATCTTAAAGAAAAATCAACAATTTCGCTGGGTAGTCCTTGCTTGATAAAATGCACCTTTTCATCCATTATAATAAAATTAGAAAATATTAATTTCAGCAAATATTTATATTACTCAAATGACTTTGGCATTTTTACTCCAACTCCTCCAAGCCCACAATAGCCACCTGGATTTTTTGCTAGATATTGTTGGTGGTACTCCTCGGCTAAATAAAACTCGGATACAGGACGAATTTCTGTAGTTATTGTTCCAAGAGATGCCTTGCACTCCCCTCTGTGAGCAAACAAAAACATTGAAAACCTTTATTTTTTGGGAAAAAAAAACTACCCTCTGTAAGCGAGCAAATATATCGATATATAAGTGATAATTATTATTAAGAAACCTCAGCTAATTCTGTTTTATTTTAAACAAACTGCATTTAAGACATAAATTTTGCATATTAAACTCATTTACTGCTTATTTTATGAAAAGGAACTTTTTTTAAATTTTAAAAAAAAATACTATAAAATTTATTATATATTTTTTAAAAATATATTCTCACTAGTGAGAGATCAAAATTTTTTGCTCGCTCAGGGAAGGGGAGCTAAACAATTCTCTTTGATAAATGTTTCTGCTTTCCATTGCAACTTCTCTTTGCTCAGGTGTGTAAACCATTATCATATGCCTTGCTGAGCTGAATTTTGAAGAAGTATGCTTTATGAAAATCATCATTTTTATAGAATGTAGCCTTTTTACCATAAATTACTTATACCAAATTAACTCTATAGAGAATAGATCTATATTGTGTGCCTTGATCTAGTCCTTGCCTCATTCCTTGTGTTGGGTCATGGCTTTCCCAAAAAAGCTTAAGTAGCGTTTTATATGAAATTTGCCTTGGATCATAGACAACCCTAACTACTTCATTGTGCCCAGTATATCCTGAGCAAACTTCTTCGTATTTAGGATTTGGAGTGTATCCGCCTGCATATCCAGCCTGTGTTGAATAAACACCTGGCTGTTTCCAAAAAAGCCTTTCAGCTCCCCAAAAGCACCCTAAACCGAACATTGCTACTTCCATTTCAGGAGGAAATGGGCCAAGTAATTTTGTTCCTAATACGTAATGAGTGTCAGAAATTGATACAGCACGGTCTCTACCAATTAAGGCATCTTCAGGGGATGGGAAAGTTGTTAACTTTTCTTTTAATTTCTGGCATTCTTGCTGATATCCACAGCTTACACATTCATTGCCTTTTTCAAGCTCTATTTTTTCTGCATTTAGAAGTCCAAAAATTTCTGCCCTAGGACGATATGAGCAATATTGCTGTCCTTCTAATGTTGTTTCTGACTTAAGACTTGTATCAGCTGAAACTTTTAAAATAAAAAGAAGGATTACGTGTAGCATTTATAATAATTATTTAAAAATTAAAATTAAGAGGAAAAGCATTTAATTATTGACAGTAAAATTTTTTATATTTAATATAATAGAAGAACTTAAAAAGACAATAACCCCTTACTAAAGTAAAAAAATATTTGCATTCTAATTAATTGAGATAAATAGGCTTGAATCTCATTTTTCTTTATTTATATCTGCTTTGTTACAAAACTCATCGGCATCATGTAAATGTGTGTGCTTTATTACTAAAATTTGCATTCAAATTATTAAGCAATGTATAGATATAATTAAGTATGATTTTATTTTTTAGTCTTTTTCAACTTTTAAAATTAAATAAAATCAGTTAAATGAAATCCGGAATTTCTTATTAAACAGTCAGATTCTGATTATAATAATCCTATTAAATTGGAAATGTTTGACCCAAATATATTCCTAAACGACAGAGATCTGAACGATCCAGATGGAAATGGTCAGCCGTTCCTTCCAGATCTCCAGCAGTTTTTTATGGCAAACATTCCTTTTGAGACAGACAATGGCGAGTTCCCTAAAAGAGAAGACATGCTGGAAGCAATGTTTCCCCCACGTCCAGATCTAGAACCGTTCGATCCAAGTGTATTTTTTTCATTTGATCCTACTCTGTTCCCCCCAGACGCTCAAGACATCCAGCGATTCATAACACAGCCTTTTGAGTTTTTTCCAATAGTGAATTCAGATAATTCAACAAAAGAAAAACCTGAGAGCACAAAATACGAAAACCAGCTCTTGCCTAAGCCTCAAATCTTAATCTTAATCTTAAATATTTATAACGTTTTACGTCCACTATCCAGAGCTGCCACCATATTTGTCCACGTGCCGGGCGCATGGACCTCTGGATCGATCCGCTTTGATTCTTCACCATGGCACGGGCAAATAAAGCGTTCCGGCTTCGATAGGCTTCACTGCCGCCACGGCTTTATACGCCTAAGGGTCACCTTCCTCGGGTGTGCTGAGGGGTAAAGACCTGAGCCTCTTGAGTGCATTGAGGAGCAGCTCCTCTGGTTATCCCCAGAGTTAAGTCACTATTGCTCTGCAGAAGTTCTCATGGTAAAACCCAACCCCATAAATAAATTACTTGAGGGAGAGAAAATTAGTGGAGCCAAATTCGCTAGAGCTGAATACCATTTTATTTATGCATAAGCCTCAAATCATGTATTCAAACACTGCTAAAATTGGGACGCTGACGCTTGAAGAAAGACACCTAAAACTCCAAAAGTTTTGGGAGAAGAGGAAAAAAAGAAATTTCAGTAAAAAGATCTCCTACGAGTGCAGAAAAAGGGTTGCCGATGACAGAATAAGGATTAGAGGCAGGTTTGTGTCGAAAATTCAAGCTGAAGCACTAAGAGGCTTGGAAAATGAAAAGAATAATGTATCTTTCCCAGATAAGAAAGAGTAAAATCAGGTTATTTTAAATTTAAATAATTAACTGCGTTCTTTCTCACTGACTATTAATATTTGTTACATTAATTTATTCTAAATCAGTCTATGCGCTTAAAATCGTTTCACAATTGGAATATTAAACAAATTAATATTTTTTACTAAAATCTCATTCAATTTCGGAATTATGCTTTTATCACTCAAATTATAAAATAATTTTAGGCAATGTATCTTTATTTCCCTTTTGACTCCAAACTTTGGAAATATGCATCAAGATCGTCTTCTTCCTCTCCCTCTTCTTCCCCGCTATCCTCAATCTTATCCTTGAACTTCTCTATGAGCTCATGGTCAACTTTTTCTTCTTCCTCTTCCGTATCTACCTTCCTCTCCGAATTTCTCCTGTGCTTCTTTCTTTTCTCAATATATCTCCACAGCTGCTGCGACTGCTCAACTTCTACAGGCTCACTGCCGCTGATAAACAAATCAAGCATGAAATCGTCTCCAAACCCTTCATGAGTATTTGCAAAATCCAAGTCAGACTTCGCAAAACGTATATGAATGTCGCTTACAAAGGCAGTGTGAAACATGACTCTAAAGATAGTGATTCTTTTATTGTCTTTTGTTTGGTGCCGACATCTGATTAAAATATCGCCTTCTGCTTCTAAATCAATATCAAAAGAAATTGACATGTCTGACTCAAAAAATGATAGAGGTGGGGCATCTTTCTTAATGCTTGAGTAGATCATGTTAGAGCCTTTAAAGATTTGGATATAAGGCCGCACACAAGACCCTTGCTTCTCTATTATTGGAATTCCATTCATAATCAGTCTTTGCAGCTTAACCTTATGGGTGATTGGCTACTTATTAATTACTCTTTCGCCTTGCAGAATTCTATCAAAATATCATAAATATCGGCTTTGTGTTGGAAAAAGCAAGTTAATTCTTTCAGTTTTCGTGAATTCGCATATATGAGCTAACGCTTGTTCTGGATTTTGGTAGTCAAAGCTGCTCCAGGCAAGATAGCAGGCAAGGATCATAAAGCTTCTGGCTTTAGTTGCCTGGCAATGGATCAGAGCGATATTTTCTGCATCAGTATCAAGCCACGCTTTGATTGAATTGCAAATAGAGAAAATAACTTCAAGAGGAGGATTTGGATAGCCAACATATATAAAGTCCAAAACTTGTCCGCCAAATATATCTGTTTCATACTGATGCTCGCTGAGATTCCAGACCATATACTTACGCCCATAATGAGTGTTAAAATATCCGGCCAAGATACTGCTATAATCTTGAGTTGGATATGGAATTATTGCAATTCTTGGAGTAATAAAAAACGTTTCAGGAGGAAGATCTGCTTAACAAATACTTTCTTGAGACGAAAACACTGGAACTAAATCTTGATCAGCTTTTGGCTTGTTGACTTGATCGATAATGTTGGGGATTTTTTGCAAAAATGACAAGAATTTCGACATTTATAGACAAGAGAATTTATGAGGAATTTTAAAGCCAAATTAATCGGTAGTGAATATTACTTTTACTGAATAAATTGTTGCATATATACATTGTGTCAATTCACTTTATGTGTAGTTAAAAAGTTTGACTCTTATCCAGTCCTAGTGATTGTGCTTGCTCCTTTGAAATAAACCTACCTTTTATTCTTAGCCTCTGCTTCGCTACCCTTCTTCTTCCATTATAGTCGAATTTTTTATGCCAAGGACGTTTTCTCCTTTTTTCCAAGTACTTCTCCACTTTTTTCTTCCGTTCTTCAAATGAGAGCTTTTCTGGCTCACTTTTAGGTTGAATAACAGCAGGCTTTACTGGCTCTTCAACAGGCTCTTTGTCGTTTTTTATAATTTTTGGTGGGTCAAATATCGGGATATCTTCTGGATCCAATTTTAAAACATCTGAAGGAATTGGAGTTTCTAAAAAGAGATCTGGGTCGCAGAGGAGGTTTACAAACGACCCAAATCGCTCATGTTGAGTAAATTCTTTTCCTTGGGCTTCAAAATCTAAGTCATCAAAACAGCTTTGGTTTTCCATCTATTTATATACAGTACTTTAATTTATGTAAATATTAGATTGTTTAATAAAAATTCACCTAATTTCCTTCACTTATAGAAGGGGGTTAATTTGGTATATATAATTTATAGTTTTATTAATTTTTTTATTAATTTTTTTATCCAAAAATAGGAATTTTTCCAATGGTTTTGCATGCTCATGAAGAGGGGATTAAAAGACTCAGCATTCATAAGATATGGATAAGTTTATTACAGTTAAGGTGAAAAAATGGCTTAAATGGAAAACTAATGTATATTGCTTTTATTTAAATTTTGTCATTGAATTTTTATTGTTCCGATTTTTTCCCAGTTTTTTCTGTAGAGGGATTTTTGGGAAGATGCACTTCTTTTGAAGGCCGGGAAGGGTTTCGAAAAGCTATGATCTTTTATGAGACTTGGCTTATTTAAATGATATGAAGCTTCTAAATCTCCTGATCTTCTATCCTTTTACACAAATAAAATGGCAGCTTACCCAACCCTTCCTTCTTCCATACCCTCGGGGTTTTTGAGTTTAAGAGGGCTGGGGCTTAGAATTTTGTGTCCTGGTAGGTTTTTGTCCCTGGCCGGGACATCACAACAGGGTTTCTGCCCGTATCATAGAATCCATATGATAACTCCACACTTCTGGATACGGAGAATAATGGGGACCAGAAGGAAGATTCAAGGTCCTGTCTTACCTAACATCGCCGGATAGATCATGCCGACCACTAGGAGTCATCCAAGCAAATCCCTGGGTGATGTCTCCCCGAGAGATGGGGACGTCGAACAGAAAAGGGCGTTAATGCAGACCGATGCTTAGGATGAGGAGCCTGAAGTCGACAAAGGCGGAGAGGAGCTGAAGTAAACCCCGAAGACCTATTCAATCTAATATAATCTATCACTTTTGCGCCCTCTGATTCCTCGGTGATGATACGGAAGTGATGGATGCACCAAAGCTGGAGAATACCTGCCATATCTACTTGAGGGCGTTTCTATATAGCTCTAGACCACTTAAAGCTCTCTCTTAGTTAAGGATACCTTTATAACTTGTGAGGTTGACTGGGCAATATCTTCTCCAAACAAATTCAGTAAGTAAGTTGGCAAGCTACCCTTAACTTTTATCTTTTAATTCACAGCTTGGAGCAAGCTATAACAAGTCCTAAGCTTTAGTTTCCTCATTTAAAGGTGCGTCTGTAAATAGCATTCTCCAAGAATTTCTTTTCGTTTCGCTTTCTTCAGGATCAAATCCAATAAGTTTGATATTGGTGATTTTAGCACTATACACAATCATAGGAGGCCATGTCTTGCCAGATAGCCTGAACATAACTTCCACATTATTTGTTCGACCTCTAACCAACTTAGAAAGCCTAGGACTTATGTACTGAAGCAAAAATGAGTTCATTGTAGTGCAAAAGCTTTTTATTAGTAGCCGAAACTTTCTAAAAATTGTTCGATATATGCATTTTCGAAGGACATTTAAAACAGTCGAATTTGACAATGAGCTTTTCTTCTCTGATTCGTATTTTGTTTTACGAAGCCTTGGAAATCGAGAGAGGAGAGTTTGTTTTTGGTATTTAAACCCTGATATAGGAATCATCGGGACAGGTGTGAAACTTTTCATTACTATAAATTTTCATGAAGCAAATTTTTGATTAAAATAATGAGTAAACAAAATCAATTAATTTCATGAGAAATTATCAAGAAGCTAGGCGAGGCTTCAAATAATTATTTTGATAACAGTAAATCAATATAAAATGTGAATGATAATTAATCAGTTATTAAGAAATTTTCAAGTATGATTAACAGATAATAGATTTAGAATAATCGATTACAACTCCACACTCAAACTTTGAGTTTCACTTTGCCTAAATAATATTATTGTAAACTTAGCATAAAATCCCTACTCTCTTTTATAAAACTAGGCTGCGCAAATATTTGTATAAAGCTTTAGTATAATATAAAAATACTATAAAATTTTAAGATGTCACAAAAATTAATTAATTTAACTTTATTGTGAACCTTTGTATATAAAAAATTACTCTAAAAACAAGAAAACTGGGCTTGAATGCTAATGGAAGATAGATTTAATGTTTCTTTATATTAAACTCAAAAATATAATGTACAAATGTGAAGCAGTGATATAAAGTTTCAGAGATCAATATAAACAATAAATAGCTAACATTAATTAGATCGTAGAGGTAAAAGTTGTATTCCTTCAGCTTCTGTGTTTACTCTATAGTTTCTTTTTGGTTTTCTCCTTCTGCTCTTATATTTCTGTACAGCCCAAAAAGCAACAACACTTCCATATACCAGAGACGCTATAATGCAGGCGATCCCTCCTTTAAATTTGTTTTTGATTTCCACATATTCATAATCAGTGCAAAGAGCAATTCCTAAGCCTAGCTAAGTAAACTTTACAAGATAAACTGATCCACATGCAGAAAGAATCAAAATATAGGCCTTGAACCCTGAAATTTCCATCTCTGGAATATAAATGGTATGAATTATTTATGTTTCCCTTTTTGGGAGAAATTAAAAGCTAAAGAGAGAATTTTTAAATTTATTTTTAGCGAAAATTATCTTGAAATCTTTTTATTTGTCAGATAAAATAAATATAAAAACATTAAATACTATTTTAAACTCGACGATCTCCAAGCATTAAAATTAGCTTCACATTTCTTTTTAGCTGAATTCGTGAGCGGGAGACTATTGATTGCGTCTGTAGCTTCATTCGGGTAGCATGGGTGGACGTTACTTATTTGATTTGTATGATATGCTTCTTTTTGATTTCCGCATTTATATAAATAAAATGCATTCTGTTTGGGAGAAATTAGCTTTTGCTAATTTTCTCTCCTTCTCACATTAGTGCACAGGCTTTTTGTTGACGAACCTAGTAACGTCACTAGTTGGATCCAAAAGAGCTTTTCAGCTCTAGGCAGTTGAAGACCTAAATACTAACTAATTAGATAAGATTTCCGCATTTGCATCTGAACACAGTCGTCAGCTTATAATAAAAATAAGCCTTCTCCAGGTCTTGTTCTATGTATTTGCCTTTTTGATATAACTTTCCTAACCTAAAAGCGGCCTCTGGACTGCTTTTGCAAGCCTTTCTTAGCCAAAATATTGCTTGGCGGATATCTGGCTCTCGACTTCTACTCCCATGAAAGAGCAATTGAGAGTAAATAAGCATAGCTTCAGTGTGACCTTTTTCTGCCTCTTCTCTGTTGTCTTCAAATCAAGTATCTACACACATTTTGATGCATAATTAAATATAGTGTCTCGGCACAGCCTCGAGCGCATATTTAATTATTGACAAGGTTATGCCAATCCAAAAATGGATAATAATGGGAGGCAAGCAATTTCGGCAGCGTGCTGAGCCTATCCTAATCCGCTTTCAGGATTAGAATTTACCTCATGGGGAAGATGATATTTTGAGTTGAAAATGATAAGAAAATCTGCGATCCTATCGGCATCACTAGACCAATCAGGATCCATCCAGTAAGCCAGAAGTTAAGCCCTAGGCTTTAAGCTTTCCCTTTTGCCGATATCTTTGGCCAGAAACCATTTTTGTGCAGCAAATCAGCAGTCAAAATCCGATGCCGAAGCTGGGACAATTCATACCAAGAAAAAATGAGGATGACATGCAACTTTCGGGGTAGCCCGAAGCAGGAACATATGCCCTTCTAGATAATGTGGTAGAAGACTTCAGAAGCTATAAATCGTTCATTAATCTACACACATTTCGATACACTCTCTTAAATTAACTGAACCATAATCTTGCATTTTATATTATCAATTACAATTATTGTATTCTTACCATTACTCTAATAGGTCCTTTGCTATTTGTCTTAAAAATTAGATGCGATTCTCCTCCAGATACTGCTATTGATTGATTAAATCTTTGAGCACTAACAAAAATCAATTGCTGCCGGTAATCTAAAGTTTGGAAAGTGACATAAGTGTTGCCATCACTGGACTTATGCAATTTTAGTATTATAAAGATATTGTTTATCTTTATTCCTTTTTGTTTTGTTTTTATATCAGGGTCACTCTTATCAATTGAGAAAGGCTGCTTTTTAGGTTTGAAGGCGATATTATGGGCTGATTCTGCATGCTTTACAATTTTATCAGGCATAAAAGTAACGAAACCATTGCACAGACTGCATTGAATTGCTTTATATTTGCAGTTTCTTTCATGATTTGCTAAATCTTTGAAGGGCCAAGCCTCCTTGCATTGTTTCCATTTGCAAGGGATATCAATTTCAGTCGTGATTTCTTCAGCAACCCTATTTCTAAAAGGCAAAATTGCAGTCCTACAAATATTGCAATCTAAATTATCATTATAGCAAGCTTCACAGTAAGAATGCCCTTTTTTGCATTGGTAAATCGTAGCATATAAATCTTATCTTATCTTATAGAATTTATACGCTTAACGTCCACTGCGGGGTGACAACCCCAGGTACTGTCACTCGCCTTGCGTCGCATCGGGCCCACAGGTCGCTGGGGATGGCCCTGCTTCGATCACCAAGGTGCTTCTCGGGAGAGTATTCCGGCTTCAACGGCTCATGGATGAGCTACTTGCTTGTTACATGGGTTGCTTTTCCGAAAAACCCAAAAAATGGATTTTCTGGTCGGCTATCGGCAAAAAGGAAAAACACGTAGCCTGGGACGTAACGCCCAGTTTCACGCTAGGAAGTTGCCCGATTGGTCCTAACGGACTCTGCTGAGCTTCCCCTTTCCAACTCCGTGCCCTCCTTCCCCACGAGGAAAAATCCACCCCTGAGAATAGACTAGGACTAGGCTCTGAACTCCACCAGAATTGCTTACCTAGTATTGCCGTCCATCTCTAGAATGGTAAAACCTTGCCGGATATAATTAAAATATGAGTCGAGGCTGCATGGCCGGGAGGCAATGCCCAGACGAAGACGCCATATTTTAATTATATCGTAGCATATAAATCATTGTAGCATAAATTGCAAACTAAAACGTCGAGAGCTGGAATTCCCCGCTTCATAACTGAATAATATTAATAAAAATTTATGCTTTTATTGATTTTATTAGGTCTCACCGAAGCATTGGTCTGTCCAACTATTCAATGTAAAGATTTAAAGGACGGCGTCTGTGCTGAAATCAACGGAAATGATATATTTATAGGCGGCTGCAGCAATGAAACTATGAAATGCAATTTGGCTGACATCATGCCAGCTTATAAAGCCCAGCAAAGATATGTGAATTGCACAATTAGAACGAGAGAGATGTATCAGATATCAGAGCAAAGAAAAGGCCAGCTTAATTCTTCTTTATGCCATCGCAGAAATGGAGATTTAGAGTCTTCCACTTTTGGGTGGAGATGTGACACAGATGATGACTGCAAAATTAAGGGGTCTGCAAAAAAGTGGTATTGTGAATGTGCTTTTGATGGGTATAGCTATTGTTTACCTGCTCCAAATGATCAAATAATGCGTGATATGTTTGATTCTATATGTGATGGAAAAATAGATGATTTTCTTAAATCAAGTTTAACTGTGAATTTATTCCCTTATACTCAAAATCTCCCTGGATGTGTGGATGATAAGTTTTCGGATTATCAACTTTTGATGCACCTGCAAGACGGAACAATGCAAAACTTATACCAATTTTTCGATGATAGTTTTGCGACCTTTATAAAGATCGCTGGGGTTATATCGATTTGTTTAGCTATTTTATAAAAATATTAAAATTATCTTCAAATTTAGTCATTAATAGTGAGCATGCTTAATTTGCATAACTAAAATTAATTAGTATCAGATTGGCAAGTAAAAGAATATTGCTGATAAATTTTATTGTGTTTTAAAGCCTCCACCATTTTCTAGTTCCTTATAAAAATTAAAAGAGGGAATAATTTCAGCTTAAGAGCTAAACTCTTATTTTTTGCAACTATAAAAATATAGCCTGAGCCTCATTTTGGCTCGGGTTGTACGGATGTATCCAGATTATAATGCACTATATATTATTTTTTGCCATCTTAGGAGTTTTTTTACCAATAAATGTTGGTAAAGCCAACTTTCCTTCCGATATCAGGAGACATAGATATAGCCCAAGTCAAAAGGAAGCTCGGGTCATAGCGGGGGCTATTTTCCTTTATAAAACAATGTCAGCAACTACATTTGACAACGCTCCATCTTGGGGATCAACTGCTACTAGTGGCGGATGGGGAGACAGCTTTGCAAAGCCATCTATCCCAGAAGTAACAGCAACCGAGAATAACGAAAACCAAGACCCTAATGCTAAACCTCAACTTCCTCCTCTTAACTATGAGACCTTACTCCCCATTCATGAGCAAGCAAGTTTTTTTGAGTCACTTTTTATCTTTATTGTGAAAAGGAGATTTTATTATAATAGTTATTAATTATATAGATAGTCATCAATTAAAAGATAATTTTCCAATGATTTTGTAGGCCTATGGAGGGAAAAAGTTAGGAGAAAAGCTTCAACAAATAGATTGGAACTCAGAAACTCTCATTCCAGTTGTCTCAAAGGCTTTTGAATCAACTCTTTCACTTGAAGATATCAATAACTTCTTTACACAGAATGCTTCAGTGGTTAAAGGCAGTGAGATAAAGCCTATAATCTCGTTTGCAGAATTTGGTTTTCCAGAAGCAATTACAGCACTGTTTGAAGCTTCCAAGTTTATTCAGCCAACTCCTATACAGTCTTTAATGCTGCCTTCTGCCCTTGGTGGAAAAGATATAATTGGTATAGCCTGCACAGGTAGTGGAAAAAACACTTACTCCCCCCCCTCCGTGAGTGAACAAAACCATTAGAAAAATCCCTATTTTTTGCCCAAAAACCCACCCTCCGTGAGTGAACAAAAATTTTTTATGGAAAAAAATTTTGATATATAAATGATAATTAGTATAATGAAATCTAGAGCTAATTCTGTTTAATTTTAAACGAATTGCTTTTTAAAACATAAATTTTATAAATTAAATTAATATTTGCTTTCCAATTTTTTGCGAATTAGAATTTTTTTGAATTTCGAAAAAAAATATTTTTTATAAAATTTATATATAAATTTTTTATAAAAAAACAATTAACCCCCCTCCGTGAGTGAACAAAACTTTTTTGTTCACTCACTTAGCTACGTACTTCCAGCCTTAATCCACATAACTAACCAACAGCCAATTCAACCAGGTCAAGGCCCAATTGCTCTTATTCTCGCTCCAACCCGCGAACTTGCTAACTCCCCCCCCCCTCGTGAGTGAACAAAAAATTTTTTTCACTGACGGAGGGGGTTTAATTTTTTTTTTTTTAAAAAAATTTATAAATTTTATAAAAAATATTTTTTTTCGAAATTTAAAAAAATCCTAATTCGCAAAATTGGAACGCAAATATTCATTTAATTTATAAAATTTATGTTTTAAATAGCAATTCGTTTAAAATTGAACAGAATTAGCTCTAGATTTCATTATTTTAATTATCATTTATATATCAAAATTTTTTTCCATAAAAAATTTTTGTTCACTCACGGAGGGTGGGTTTTTGGGCAAAAAATAGCGATTTTTCTAATGGTTTTGTTCACTCACGGAGGGGGGGGGAGTAAGCAAATTATCTTTGAAGCTAACCGATTCGGCAAATGCCTTGAAATCCGCAGTGTCTGTCTTTACGGTGGTAACGGAAGACAATTCCAAATGAAAGACTTAGAAGTTCTTCCCCAGCTTGTCGTTGCCACTCCCGGACGACTTCTCGATTTCCTAGAGTGCGGCGCTATCAATCTTAAGCGAACCAGCTACATTGTGGTAGATGAAGGCGACAGAATGCTTGACATGGGCTTTGCTCCTCAACTCAGAAAAATTCTAAGCCAAGCCCGTCCTGATCGTCAAATAATAGCATGCTCTGCCACATGGCCAAACACTCTTGAGGAGCTTTCCAAAGAATTCATGAAAGACCCAATCGAAATCCACATTGGCAAAGAAGGAGGAGTTACTGCGAACCACAACATCACACAAGTCATAAATATCGTTGACTCAGAAGAAAAAATGGACAAACTCGTTGAAATTGTGAAGCCTCTGACTGAAAAGCGTATCTTAATATTTGTCGATACAAAAGCTCAATGCGAAATTCTCTCCTCTGAGCTGGAATCAAAAGAAATAAAATCAGCTACACTTCATGGCGATAAGTCAATGAAAGATAGGATGACTACACTTCTTGATTTCAGGGCTGGGAGAAATTTTATTGTTATTGCGACAGATCTGGCCAGCAGAGGACTTGATGTTAAAGATCTTGACTATGTGATTTGCTATGATTTCCCTAAAAGAATTGAAGATTATGTTCATAGGATTGGAAGGACTGCAAGAGGGACTTCTAAAGGAACTGCCATTTCTTTTTTTACAAAAGATAATGCTAAATGTGCACAAAATTTGATACAGGTCTTAGAAGAGGCTCAACAAAATGTCCCAAGGGAACTTAGCTTGCCTTGCAAGCGAGAATTTTATTTTACTTTTTTACTCCCCCTAACGTTTAAATTGGAACAAAAAATTTTGCTCCAATTTAAAAGAGAATTTACTTTTTTATAAAAAATTAATATAAAATTTTCTTTACTATTTATAGCTTTAAAAAACAAAAAAGCTTATTGAATGCAATATTTTTAAATTTTAATTTATTTTTTATTAACTCCCCCCCCCCCTCCGTGAGTGAACAAAACCATTAGAAAAATCGCTATTTTTTGCCCAAAAAACCCACCCTCCGTGAGTGAACAAAAATTTTTTTAATAGAAAAATATTTTATGGAAAAAAATTTGATATATAGAAATTTCCCTTAAATGGCGCAGTTTGCCCTTGATTTGCCCACTGAAAAAATTTTTTGGTTCGACCAGTACCATATGTTTGGTCAAACCCAAAAAAAATTTTCAGTGGGCAAATCAAGGGCAAACAGTGCCATCTATGGGAAATTTCTATATAAATGATAATTAGTATAATGAAATCTAGAGCTCATTCTGTTTAATTTTGAACGAATTGCATTTTAAAACATAAATTTTATAAATTAAAATTTATATTTGCTTTCCAATTTTTGCAAATTAGGATTTTTTTAAGTTTCGAAAAAAAATATTATTTTTTATAAAAAAACAAATTAACCCCCCTCCGTGAGTGAACAAAATTTTTTTGTTCACTCACGGAGGGGGGGGGAGTAAGAATTTACTCAAAAAGTTAATTGATTTAGAGTGAAAAAAACGTTTATATAGTATTCTACTTGAACTTCCTTCATTAAATAAGGTCAAAGCTATTGATTAAAAATAAGCTTTTTCACTTAAAAAATTTCCATTGAAAATTATAATTTTGTTTCAACTTAAAGGAGGATTAATTTACCCAAAAAAAGGAAATTTTAATAATATTTTGTTCCAATTTAAAGGGGAGGGGAAGTTAATATTAATTTTTTTAAAAGATAATTACAAATATTTAAAGTCAAAACGCACTATAGTTTATAGAATTTAAGTTTTAGAATCAGACTACTTAAAATTAAAAGAATTAAATATAATTTTTATTGCAATAGCTATAACTTATCTGTTAAATTATAAACAAAAATTTTTGCTCACTTATATGTTTGATAATTTTTTCATAGAGAAGGGGCAGTTAGAAGAATGATGAGAAAACCCAAAGGAGAAGCCCCAGAAGAAGGTGAAGAAGGCGAAGAAAAACCAAAAGGTAGAGAATGCTTCAAATGTGGAGAAACTGGACACATGTCTAAAGAATGCCCAAATCCATCAAAATCAGGAGGTGATAGAGCCTGCTATAAATGTGGGGAAACTGGACACATGTCAAAAGAATGCACAAACCCAGCAAAATCAGGAGGAGACAGAGCTTGCTACAAATGCGGAGAATCTGGACACATGTCTAAAGAATGCACTAATCCAAGCACTAAAAATGTTGGAAACAAGGGCTGCTTTAAGTGCGGACAGGAGGGTCATATGTCAAGAGAATGCCCAAATCCAGGGGAAAATAGAGGTAGAAGAAGGGAAAATGGAGAAAATGGTGGAGGAAGAAGTTTTGAAAGGTCAAGAAGTCCAAGGTGTAATTAATTTATCAAAAATTTTTGTAATACTTTTTGAGTTATAATTAAATAGTTTGAAATTATGTCAGAAAACAATGGTATGGGTGCTATAAATATTTTGGTGATTAAATAATTTATTATGGAGGATTATTTCTCTGCAGAATCAAAGCCAGAAAGCCATAAAAAAGCTTTGAAATTTGTGGGATTAGTGGCATTTATTGGGATTATAGCAATTATCGCCAATTTTTCATCTTCAAGAGAAACTTCAGTAGTATTAGCTCAACTTGAGCTTGAAGAGCAAGAATTCAAATCATTTATTGAGCTCTATAATAAACAGTATTCAAGTGAACAAGAATATCAAAATCGCTTCAAAATCTTCCGTGACAATTCTGCATATGCTAGAATTTTCAATACGCATGGTGAAACTTATATCCTAGGCATAACTGAATTTTCTGATTTAACTTCACAAGAATTTTCGGCTAGAATATCAAGTCCAATTACAATCCAGCATTCAGAGGTTCAAGAAAGCCAGCAGGCTGAAAAACTTTCAATACCTACTTCAATTGACTGGACACAGAAAGGTGCAGTTACTCCAGTCTTAAATCAAGGAGGCTGTGCATGTGGATGGGCTTTTTCATCTGTAGGAGCTATCGAAAGCGCTTGGAAAATCAGTGGCAACCAACTTTTGACACTTTCAGAGCAGCAACTGGTTGATTGCTCAACTAATTATGGAAACAAAGGGTGTAATGGAGGCAATGTGGTTAATGCGTTTCAATATGTTCAGTATAATGGAGTTACTACTGCAAGCATATACCCATATATTGTTAACTTCCCAGCATATTTAGAAAAATAATCTCAAAAACATACTGGCAAAATATAAATTATTAAATTACTTCTGAAAGAACAATAATTATATTAAATTAATATATATATAAGTAAAAAAAAATTAGACTAGAAGAATTAAGCAAGGATCTTGCACTTATAAAACTTCTACAAAAGCCGTACAAATAGGCTCATACAGAAATGCAGGCAGAGGCGTTGAATCATTAATATATAATGCTGTTGCCCTTCAGCCGGTTTCAGTAGCAGTCCAAGCTAATCAGCCTGCTTGGCAACTTTATAAAGGAGGCATTGTATCTAACAATTGCGGCACTCAAGTAAACCATTTTGCTTTAATTGTAGGCTACGACCAAACCAACTCCCCACCATACTGGAAAGTAAAGAACTCATGGGGCGCAAGTTGGGGAGAAGCAGGCTACATCAGAATTGCCGTTGTAAGTGGTGACGGAGTTTGCGGTATCCAAATCCAGCCATCTTACCCAATCGCCTAATTAAAAATAAATTTAATTTATTTTCACAAGCTACAATTATAATTATTTGCTACTTGGGAAATTGATTTGAAATGACAGAGAACGCAACTGGTACAATTCTTGGAATATACACAGCTATATTTTCTTCGTCAATTCCCGAACAATTAGACCATTCTCTACTGTGTAAAAACCTTGAAGAGGACATAGATGTCGGTGCTGAGACTCCATCGTCGCCAGGGTTAGATTTTATTCCATAATACGCAAGAAGTTCTGGATTTATGTGGCAGCCTACATCAGCTTTTGGAGTTCTCGGAGATGACGATAAATTAAATAATCCTGAACTGTTCTCTGAAAAATTAAACGAGCTTAATAATCATGAGTTTTTTGAAAACGATAAACTTGACATACCACTCTCAAATGAGACAGGGTTGTCAAACGGATTGTATTGCGGGATTTTATCAATGCGAAGAGGCGGCACTTTTGTGCGAGGCTTCGCAGGAGTTTTAAGATCTGGAGAATTGATTGATGTGGATAAATTTTCATCACATAAAGTTTTGATAGGGAGATCAGGAAATATAATGGAATTTCTTGATGAAAATTGTGACTGGCTTGAGACTGAGTAGTCGGAGCTAGAGTCTGATAAGTCAAGAGAGACAGGCATTGAGGAAAACTCTTGCTCAGCGATATCACTTCGGTTGAAGCTTGATGACTGTCTTGCACAGATGCAATCTTGGTAAGGATCCCTCCCTCATTTGTCCAATTTTCTAGTCTTTTTTTTCTAACTCCACCCCCCTCCGTGAGTGAACAAAAAACCATTAGAAAAATCGCTATTTTTTGCCCAAAAACCCACCCACCCTCCGTGAGTGAACAAAAATTTTTTTTAATACAAAAATTTTTTATGGAAAAAAAATTTTTGATATATAAGTGATAATTAGTATAATGAAATCTAGAGCTGATTCTGTTTAATTTTAAAGCGAATTGCTTTTTAAAACATAAATTTTATAAATTAAATTTATATTTGCTTTCAAATTTTTGCGAATTAGGATTTTTTTAAATTTCAAAAAAAAAAATTTTAATAAAATTTATATAGTCAAAAATGATTTGTCCCATTTTCTAGTCTTCTTTGGATTTTTTCGAATTTTTGCTTTAAAAAAACTAGAAAATGAGACAATTGAGGTCCTGAAAATTTTTTTTTACTATCAAAATTTTGACTAGAAAATTAGACAAATGAGGTCCTAAAAAAATTTTTTTTCCTATTAAAAAAAACTAGAAAAATGGACAAATAATAAAGGACTAGAAAATTGGAAAAAATGAAGGGGGGGATCCTTATTTTTTCGTTGGGTTTATCATAATCAGTGATCATGATACTCAATCTTTCAAAAGAAAAATTTGAGGTTTGAGTTGATCGTTCAGCTAATTTTTTAGAATTTATTTCAGCCAGTAGTTTGTCATTGGCTTCTCTTTCTCTTTCCAGCATCTTTTTAACTAATTCGTAATGAATGCATTGCTTCTTTCCCATATAATCATTAAGAGCTGTTTCATCAATTCCTGCTGTAGTTAGAAAGATTTTATATATGAGACCCTGGGTCTTAGATATTCCTTTCTTTTGTTCTATAAACTGGAATTTCTTTCTCATGAGCCAATTAATAAAATGGCAAACTCTTCCATCGACCTCCTAATTTCAATTCCAGGTAGCCCTCCTCTCTGTATTATTGCTCCCGAAACTCTTAAAGATCTTAACCAGTTAATATCCGAACATATCAGAATCAATGCTGATTCATTTTACTTCATGTATGACCGTAAAGGAACTTTATATCGCATAATTGACGATAGGACTTATGCTTCTTTAATCCAAAAAGGCATTGCAGCTCACCAAGAGGAAATCAATCTCTTAGTTGAAATCGTCAATCAAGCTGAAATGATGGCTCTTGAAGAAATCCCAGAACCTCCTAAAGCTCAAGAAATTGCCACTCAAGAAGAAGCTAAGATTATAGAAGAAATAAATGAAAATCAACTGATTTTGCTATATAAAGTCTTAAACTCTGTAAATTCGCAATCTCGACAAATCATCATTGAGAAAGATGAAAAATTATCTGACTTCTCGCTATTAAGAACGAGCAAGTTGTTTTTTGCTTGCCATTAAGGATTTTAGAGGGCTAATTTTTGTTTAAAAGTTTTTATATTAAATTAAAATATTTTATTTTGGTTTTAAAAATCCCAAATATTGAAATAGAAAATTAAGTTTAATTTATAGGATTTGCATTGTAGAATGCAAGCTGTCTAATTTAATAATTTTAGCTCGAGTTATCATTATAATTCTATATAAAAAATATTTATGAAGCTATAAAGGGGTTTATTTTTATATAAAAATCAGCATTTTTCAGAGCAGTTTTGCCTGCATATAAATGAGGGAGTAAGCTCGCTTATGATATATTAAAAGATCAGCTGTGTATGCGTCCTGATTGGACTTGCGCGATTTATACAGAGGATGGATATCCTGTAGTAGGAACATTATCACAATTATATTTGGTTTCTTGCCGTGAAGTGTTAAAAAATAAAGAAAAAATCTGTGTATTTATAGTCCCTTATTTTGATATTAAAATTGAGCCAGCTTTAAATCATGAAATTGGAGATTCTACAATTTTTGTCAAGCATGTGACTGACGAAAATAAACGATATGCAATTAAATTAGATTTATCTACATGTACAGTTCTAAATCTAAAGCAAAAGTTATTTAATATTACAGGGGTACCTCCATTCGAGCTGAAAATTAAAACTGATGAGAGGTATTTAGTGAGCGATTCTGCTTTTGTTGCCTCTTTTGGGGTTATTGAAAATCTTAACTTAACTAGGAGAAATCTAGACGGAAGAGTTCTCGTTAACTTTCACTATGGGTGGCAGCAGCAAAGCGTCCACCATTTTTTGCACTTTTGAGCACACAGGCTGCTTGGTAGACTTGCTTATTTTGGCCATGCCACGCTTGGAAACGGTGTTGCCAATTTTGAAGGTTTAAGATATGCAACTTCTGTCTTCTGTCTTGACACCGTGCAGCAACTAAAGTTTCTCCGCTGCCGCAGGATGGAAGTGAATAAAACCTCAGCCCTTTCAATTCCTTAGGGATGGCCAGGGGTAGGCACTCCTCAAAGTGGCTTACCAGTCTTTGTAGATAGAATTCTCATATTAAGTCAAACCTTATAATCGTAAAATAAAAAGTGAGTGCCATCGATCTACAGATCATCTTTTTTAATATCGCCATTTTATGATTATGGGTTGTTGAAAATCAAGTTCTCACTTATCAAATAGAGAGCTATGACTACAAAACTACAACCTATAAGCCAATTCTTGTTCAATCACTCCAGCAAACAACTAAAGGACAAAGGACTTTGCATTCGTTTTTATACTGCTTATCCAAAAATAAGCCAGAAAAGGCTAAGCTAGACGCATTGTTAGCATGCATAAGATGCTTTACTAATAATTGCTCCCCATTATTGCATTCTTTATATGAGCTAAGCCGCAATAGTTCTATGAGTGTTCTTGATTCTATAGCATTAGAAGAAGGCTTCATAGTTTTAATCAAGATTGTTCTACAAGAAATGTTTAAAAATGTGATCCCAGATAATAAGCTTTTAGAGCAGACTCTAGATATCATGGGAATTTTATGTGATATTTCTAGCAAAAATGAGCCCGAGCTACAGAGCTTGGAAAGTCATGAAGTATACAGCATTATTTGTCCGATTTCCTTTGTCCAAATAGAAAGGCCAGTCTGTTTGAGAAAAAATGATGGGAAATACTGCTATTTAGAATATAATGCAGTAATTCAAAAAGCAAGGGATAGGCAAGAAATCGCTGAAATTGGGCTTGTAAACGAAAGTGATATTAAAGAAGAGTCAGATTTTAAGTATATAATTAAAAGAGCAGCGTTGAACAAAAAAGAGTCTCTCGAAGTATGAACTGGGCACTATAACGGGTCAATAAGCATAATGGACTATGTAAGAAAAACTTTTCCAAGAGGAATTAGCTATATCCAATCAATGGAACTAAAAAATAACCACAAGTTGACTAAAATTGTAGCTCCGTTATCACTCAAGGCTCCAGAATTCAAGCACTGCATTACCTGAAACAAAATAAAGGACATCTGCATTAACTGTGGACTGACCCCTAAGATGCCTAATAAAGTCGATTTAATGAATATTCTTGATCTCAGCGTTGAAATTGTTGATGTCGCTGAACTTGCCAGCGCAATTGAAATCCACCGTAGAGAAGACGAAGGAAACGAAATCATAACGCGAATTCCAGACGAGGCTATAGTTGTTTTATTTGACACAAGTGGGTCTATGAATACTAAATTCAGCTCAACTGAAGACTATACAAGGCTCGATCTTACTAGCTCCTTTAAGAGTTAGCAAGATTCAAAAAAATAATTTAAAAATCTATATAATTTTTTTTTTAATTTAAAAACATTCTAATTAATTTAAGAATGTAGGCTATCTAAAATTTAATCGAATTATTTTAATAGCAGCTATTGATTATTATAAAATTTTGTTTGCTCACTCTCAAAAAATGCTAATTTTCCCAAAATAGGCATTTTTCCCAATGGTTTACCTTCATTAAAGAGAAGATTAAGCAGATCTTTGAGTCCTTCGCAGATCGTACAATTGGCTACAATCTCAAAAATATAACCTCTCTTGTACTTTTTAACTCAAAAGTTACCAAAATCTGTACCTTTACAGAAAACGTTCTCACATTTACGAGGACTGCAAAAAGTATCCAGGCTGATGGTCAAACTAAACTGTGAGACGCAATTTTTGAAGCTGCAAAGGAACTAAAAGAAATAAAAAAGAAATATCCAGATGTGATTTTGAGGATTTTATGTCTCAGTGATGGAGAGGATAACTATTCTACTAAGTCTGACTTGGAAGCAGCTCAAACTTTATTGTATAATAATATTACCATGGATGCAGTTGTAGTAGGAGCACTATCACAAAACCTGAAAGCTGTTTGTTTTTCTACTGGTGGCTATGTATTTTTACCATCAAATATACAGGAAGGAATCAAATTGTTTGAGTCAGAAACTTTTCTGTCTGTAGGATGTCGCCAGTCAAACCCTAGAGTTACTGTGTCAGATGAGACTGATTTAGCACAGCTCCAAAGCAAAGATTTCTCTACGAATCAGCCAAAAATCAAACCTCCTCAGCAGTCTTCTTTACAAGCTGAGAACCCGCGTCAAACTATTCACCGAGCTTCTGTGGCCCCTCCTCGACTTGACGCCAGCAACTCTGCAGTAAAATATAAGCGTATAATGAAAGAACTGCACTCAATCACAATGAATCCTCATCCAAGCGCAAGTATATACCCATGCGAGTTAGATACCGCATTTTGAAATATATTTATGAAAGGCCCAGACCACACTCCATATGAATTAAAATTAAATTTAATTACTTAATCCATTATTTCAGAGGTCAGCCTTAGAAAATTGCTCCTAAATAATTTCAGCAAACAATCAAATAAAGAAGGAACGATCATTATTCTTATTATAAGCCATTTTTTAAAGATTTGTCCATATGAAGGCGGCTTATTTCATCTGTATATGAAGTTCGGTGAAGACTATCCTTTGTCCCCTCCTGAGGTGAGATTCATAACTCCTGTTTACCATTGCAATATAAACGCCACTGGAAGAATATGCCATTCAGTCTTAGATCAATTTTATACAGTAGATACAACTGCCAGGTATATTTTAGACTGTATTTATGGGCTATTTATGACACCTGAACCTTTAGACCCACTAGATGCAAATATTGCAGCGGAGTATAGAGATAATTATGCAATGTATGAAATTAAGGCAAGAGAACATACAAGAAGACATGCAGGAAAAAGTATTGAAGAATTAACAAGGGGGCTGCTGAGTAATGATAATGAGCAAGGAGCTCCAAAGCATTTATTAGACCCTATAACTGGGGTGATTATGGACAATCCTGTTATAGTGCGGAAGACAAACACATGCTATGATAAAGAAACAATAACTAAAGCTATTCAATTCACTGGGAAAGATCCAATAACTGGAATCAGCATAACGATGGATGACTTGATCCCTAATGTGGCTTTGAAAACTGAAATTGAGAAGTATTTTGCTGCATTGCAGAAACCTTGGTTTTTGTAAGTTCGCTTACTATCTAATAAAGTTTAGAATTTAAATTATAGAAATCTATACAATTAACACAAAATTACGCCAATTTCAGTGGTTTATTTAATTGCAAATGTTAAATAGCCTGTGTGCAGCCTTTCCTGCTCAGCATCCATCTGTATTGACAAATTTCCTTTCTCATTAGTTCTTGCTTGATAAGGTCTTATAAGTGTTTCAACAGTCTTTATTTCTTGGAAATCCAGCTTCCTCAGCATTTGGCATGTTTTCTGAACTTGTTCTATGCAAGGAGAAAAAGTGCAAAGGTTTCCTTCAACTTTCAAAATCTCTTTCGCCTTTTCCACAGCATTCCATGGACACGGCAAATCCAGAAATACAGCATCAGCTTCTGTATACCCAGCATGCGAAAATCCATTTTCCAGGACATCTCTGCACTCACTGACTACATTGTTCTCAAGCCCCAACTGAATAAATTCGTTTTTGGCTTCTTCAGCTCTTCCTGGGTTGAACTCAAAAGTAAACAATTTTCCATGGGGAAGTAAGCTTCTTATGATAGATATTGATAGTGAGGCAGAGCCAGTCCCAGCTTCTACCACAATGCTTCCAGGGCGAATATTGAGGTTTCCTATGATCATCGATATGTCAGCTCTGTACAGAATTTGAGTCCTCATGCTGATCCCTTTGGTTCACAGCTCTGGAGTTGTGGTCAATGTGTAAATGTAGCCTTTTTCTTTGACTTCTTTGACTTTGGAGCCGAGAGGTGTGGAAATGATTCTATCGTGATGGAAAAGTCCGAACCGGTTGTTGAAAAACCCATGCTCTTTTAAAACTAAAGGCTTGATGGCGTTGTAGTTTTCGTAGATCATGATTGTTTTGGAAGGGTTTGCGGATTTGTCACAGAATAGACAACTTGCTGGCTGCATATTTTATATACCTTTTATAAAATGAATGGTTTATTTAATTACTATATTTACTTTTTTTATAATCAATGTGCTAAGAATAAATGAAAATTAAAGTTTTATTTTTTTGCTTATGTTGTTGTGACTTTCTTCTTTTTTCTTCCGAGTTTCGACTTCTTTGTTGATTTTTTTGAGATTTTTGAAAAATTCTGAAGACCTTGTGAACTTTGTCTCTGTTTGTTTTTTGTTTTCAATCAGCTCTTTTTTAGCTTTTTGCTCCTTCAGCATCTTTCGGTACTCGAATTTGCCATATCTTGGGTCTCTTGCCATTTTTTCCATAAGTTTCACAAGTTTTTCCTTTTTCCTTGTCCTGATAGTGCTCTTGTGTTTTCTTCTTGAGCTGTTTCTATCAGTGCTTGTCAATTCCTCAGGTGCTTTAAGTTCAGCTTTTGAAGGGTCAAAAACTTCTCTAGGGTTTAGTGTTGACTCTCTGCTGACCCCAAACGGAATTACTTCTTCCATCACTAGCGCTGGAACTTCAGCACTTTTGATTTCCATTTCTTTTACTACAGGATTTGCGATTGGATTCAAGCTTGACAGAAGATCTAAGCTGTAGCTCAATTTTTTGAAAATTCTAATGGCTTCTTGTTTCGCCTTTTCTTGCTCTTCATTCATAGGGATGCGAAGGACGTCTTTTTTATAATCTTCTTCATATAGCTCAGCCAAGCTTTTCTTTGACTTTTCATAGCTCATAAAGTCTTCTGGAGAGGTCAAAGCTTTTGACTTTTCTATAGGAAGTTTGGGTTTGACGTCGTCAAAGACCAAGTCTAAAATCCTTTGTTTAATGATGTCTTCTATTTGGTCAGTGACTTCAGGTGCTTGAGTGTTTGGAGTAGGGTTACGTGCCAATTCGAAATCTAGCTTGGTGTCAAGCAAAGAATTCACTGGCCTTGAGGTGGACAGGATTTCTCCTCTAAGTTGCCATGGCTTGTTGGAGACAAGTTTGTCTTCAATTTTGTCCATGTCTTCATGGCTTGTAAAGGTGAATAGCTTTTCTTGCTCTTCTTCGCTTTCTTCTTCATCAGGGCCTTTAAAGAAGTCTTTCTCCTCTTCTTCGTTTTCTTCCTCTTCACTTTCATTCGACTCTTCATCTTCCTCTTCAGAGACTTCTAATGCTGGATCTTCCTCCTCCATTTCGGCATCTTTTAAAAACTGTTCAAGCTCATCTATCTTCAAAAACTTATCTTCCACTGCGTTTCCTTCTTTTTCTCCTTCAGACTTTTCGTTTTCAGATCCTTCTTCCATTTCGCTGCCGCTTTGCTCTTCGATTTCTTCCTCATTTTGAGAAGACTCTTCGTTTTCTGAATTCTCTTCAAGGACGCTTGATTCTAATTCTTCTTCACTTTCTTCGAACATTTGTATACTTTTTCGAATATTTAACAAAAATGATAAATTTATAGGAAATAATAGAAAAATTGTCAATTTCGTAAGAAATAGGATATTCCTTGATGATTTTCAGCATCTTGCTGGAGTTTTGGCAGGAAATTTTTATTAATGAGCTCAAATTGTCCTCATATTTGCTCTTCGTCGAAGCCTTTTGTGAAAAGCATCTGATTCAATTCCTTAGCTAAAGAGTCTAAGCATTGATTAGCTTGTGTGTAAATATTGGTTGATGGAGTAAGCAGAGTCGTAGGCTCTTGTATGGTAGAAAAGAGAGACTCGACCTTTTCCATTATATTAATACTTATTATGGCAATTAATAGTGATAGCAGATTATAAATCCAATGCAAGAAGAAAATTTATATGACTTTTTAAACATGGGCGATAAAGGAAAACATAAGAGGTGGAAATCAGAAAAGCTCAATGTCTATGACTGCTTACCTGAAAATCGTAGTATAGCTCTACGTCCTGTACTTATTCCAGCAAGAGATATATATGAGGATTACTTAAAATTCAAGATCTCACGTGAAAGGCTTAAAATTTCATCTAAACATCAGGTAAAACAAAAGCCAGAGATGATTTTTACAAGCAAGCCTAAGCCAAAGTCGTCAAGATCTTCATTTGAAATTCCAAACACGCTTATTGATAGACGGATAAGGAAAAATACAACATCACTTACTCCCCCCCCCCCCCCCCTCCGTGAGCGAACAAAAAAAATTTTGTTCGCTCACGGAGGGGGGTTAATTTTTTTTTTTAAAAAAAAAATTTATATATAAATTTTTATAAAAAATATTTTTTTCGAAATTTAAAAAAATCCTAATTTGCAAAAATTGGGAAGCAAATATTAATTTAATTTGCAAAATTTATGTTTTAAAACGCAATTTGTTTAAAATTAAACAGAATTAGCTCTAGATTTCATTATACTAATTATCACTTATATATCAAAATTTTTTTCTATTAAAATTTTTTCTATTAAAAAAATTTTTGTTCACTCACGGAGGGTGGGTTTTTGGTCAAAAAATGGCGATTTTTCTAACTGTTTTGTTCGCTCACGGAGGGGGGGGGGGGAGTTAGTAAAAGTCTTGTAAAAGCACTTGACATCAGAGAAGTCCAAAAAGAATCTCCTATAAAAATTAGAAAAATTCCTCAAGTTTCTGCACACTCTGCTAGATCTCAAAAACTTAGTCATTCAATTCAAGCGTTATGCACACATAGATATCCTGAAGATGATGAATCCCCTGCTTGGCACAAAGAGCCTATTAGAAAATGAGCTGTAAGACCACCTGCAATAATCTTCTCAAAAGAGCCTAAATTAAAATGCTCCCAAAGAGGCAAGAGGTTAGAATTTTTATTAAAAAACCAGATGGATAAAGCAAAAAATGATATATTAGGAATGCTCAGCAATTGCCAAGAAGAGATAACTTCAAGCTTTAATGAAAGTTCCAGGTTTAATTAATTGTTATAAGTATTCAAATAATTATTTTTCATTTTAATTTTGTATTTTATTTATAAACATTATGGATAATAAAATCACCATTATATCAAAAATTCATTTTTAAAAAAAGGATTTCAAATGATATTGAATTAAGACCTTATCAATTGAGGATAATTTGGTAAAAGTCTATTTGATGCAATTCATTTCTAGTCATTAAATTTTGAATTTTAAAAAATTAAATCCAATAAATTTCGAAATTGTTTGCCTATGCTTTATATGCATTTAAAAGGCGTCAGTGCCAACCTGCCCTCTTGGCGCAACAGCCCAGGCGTTATGGCTATGGTTAACTGTAACGGATTCCAAGCCGACAATCAATTGCAGGCTCAAGAGATGCATCCGGATAGGTTTTGGCTGCTTTTTCCGTGGTTGTGGAGGTACTCAACAACGTCCTTTTGATCTGAGGATCCATTGGCATTCCTCTACCGAGAAACTGGGGATTTCCACCCAGGTCGCGGGGAGAAGTCTTTTTCCTGTAGCTATCGAAGGAGGGCACTTCGATACCCGATAGACTCCAAGGAGTTGATCCTTGGAATATAGATACTCCAATCGCCCGTAGCAGGGTCGCAAAAATCCATAAGCACTCAAGACTGAAGCATCAAGGCAAGGAGGAGACAGAAAGTACCGGAAGTGGGACAGACCCTCTGGGCTAGAGCCGAAAAGCGGTAGAACCTCGCGTACGGGAGTTCTTTGGTGACTGCGTTACTAATATGGCTAACTCCTTACTTTTAATAATCCTAATCCTAATTTGCCTATGCTTTTTCAAGCCCCAAATCTCCACATAAAAAATTATTTTTAGAATTTTTGAATAAGCTTCGGCTTAAATATTTCACCATATTAGTAAAATAATGTGAAATAATAAAATCCATTAAAAGCATTATCAGATCAATTTTTTGAGCAGCTCTCTGCTCATAAGAAAATTTTAGGAGCGTGGATCTATATGACTATTTAATACATCCAGAGGCAATTAATCTTTTATGCTTTGCAGGTATGAAACTTAGATAAAATAGCTAACCTACTTTGCGTTTTCGCCTCTTAAATGTATGTAAACTAATATTTATAATTACATTAGGCATCTACACCTATATATCGATTCATTCACCTAATTCTTTAACTGCATTAAAAATTGATATCAGAAAGATTAAGCTCTATCTACTTTTTATCAACTCTAAAAATCGGCTCCATGAAATGGCAGTGTATTTTGATAGTGTGCATTTCATCAAAGTACATTTACTCGAAAATTTTTTACATAGTGTGGTATTTGGTCCAAATTTAACAGGTTTTTCATTCAAATGTCTCACTATTAAAAAGTTCAACCATTTTCGACCAAATGTCCTTTGGTGAATGCACACTATCAAAAATGCACGATCATTGGACCTGCACCCTAAAAAATCTATATGATTTCAATTTCTCAGTAATTCTATTAAATATTTTCCCTTAAAATTATTAACTACTTATTATATTTTACTATTCTTCCAGTAAATCTCGAAAAATCTTTTCCATGCCCTTTATTTTTTGAGGTTTATTTGAAACTTCTAAATACTTACCATCTTGATCAGTATTTTTGGAGCAAAGAATTCAAATTACTGCACAGAGACGCTGCTACTAATTAAAATCCCACTAATTTTTATCACCTAATTTTTTGGGTATCAGTTTATCTCCCCACGCCCATTAATTCATGTTATTTTTATGCATTACTCTGCAGAAATGTCATATTATTTTATTACATATTTAATGGGCGTCTGCTCAAGCAGAAGAAAAGAAAAATCAATTATCAGCACAACTGATAATACAATGCGAGTGACTTCACGTCTACTTTGTGCTTCTGAACTATGTAAGTTTTATTTAGTCGCCAAAGAAGAATTAAGTATTCTAAAAGAGATTTATTTGGATCTGTCTCGAAAAAGTGACTCAGGAAAGACAATTGACAAAGACGCGTTCTTGCAGTTTTTCCCTTTGCCTGTATTTTTTATTTAGGGCTTGCTAGGTGAGAGATTATTTAAACTTTTTGACACTTTAAAGCGAGGATCAATTGACTTTGAAGATTTTATCGTTGGAATTGGGAGGTATAGTAAAGGCACAATCCAAGACAAGTTGAAATTGATATTTGAATTGTATGATTTAAGAGGAGATGGGTTCATTGACAAAGCTGAACTCGTGTCTATGGTCCATGGCTCATTGAAAGAAACTGTTAGCATCGCTGACATTTCGACAACTGAGGACGGGGTTTTCGAGAGCCCTACCTCAGGAGACCTGGTTATCAAAATCCGAACCCCTTTTATGAGAGCTAAGAGCAACTCAGTTACTAAAAAGAAGAAAGAGTTCACGTACAACCGAGACGGTCCAACTTATATTTCTCGGGTGCATTCAATGGTCAGGCATATTTTGAACCAATTTGGGGGAAAGGAAACGCTTGATTTTGACGAGTTTACTCAATTCATTTATCAACATCCCAAACTTTTCGACTTATTTTCAGTGATTTTCAAAGAAGAAATCTGATCAGTAAAGGTTAGGGGAGAGGATGATTTCATACCAGAAATTTGCATCCAAAAAAGCAAGTCTTTGGACGAGAGAAGCAGCTATGTCGGCTTTCAGCTATCTAAAAGTCACCCATTGCAGCCTGTTGACATGTCAGGAATTGTATATTCTTTCTTATACTAAATCGTTATATTGATTAATTCTTATCCATATTTAGCATAAGCCGAAATATAAGAAGCCAGAAGATAAAGATGTTTTCGAGAAAAAATATGCTGTGCTGAAAAAGAGCTTACTTATGTTTATAGATAACGAAGAAGATATCATGCCTTCTGGCGTTGTATTTATGGAAGGATGTTATGTAAATAGTGTAAATGATTATATTTTGACGAATAAGTTCGCAGTCTCTTTGAGTCACCAAAACCTTGGCTACAAAGAAGTCAAACTCTGATGCGACACAAAAGCGGAGAGAGACGACTGGATTAAGAAACTTGAAAAAGCGTCGAACTGCAGGAAATTCAAAGAGTACTACGAACTTAAAAACAGAATTGGTAAGGGGAAGTTCTCAGATGTCTATTTAGCTACGGAATATAAAACGAACCAAACTTTTGCTGTGAAGGTCATCATGAAGAAGAAGCTGAATAAGCAGGAAAGAGATTTTATGAGAAGCGAGCTTGCTATTATGAGGCTTATTGATCATCCAAATGTATTTTTCTTAAGAAAAAATAGAACCATTTTATTAAACAGATATGCCCTATTTTTGCATAAAATCAAAATTATTACCAAGCTCTGCAGTTTTCACCTGCTTATTAACAGATAATAAAATTCAAAGAAGTTTTCGATACTAAAAAGCACCTTCTCATTGTAATGGAAAACGCTAAAGGTGGCGAGCTCTACGAACGAATTTCAATGAAAAATAAGTTTTCGGAATACGCTGCAAGCAGGATAATCAAGCAGCTCTTGGAAGTTGTTGCTTATCTGCATGACATTGGAATTATTCACAGAGATCTGAAGCCAGAAAACATCTTGCTAGTTGACAAGTCTGACATCCCACAAATAAAAGTCGCTGATTTTGGGCTTTCCAAGCTGACGTCTCCAGGTGAAAGCCAATATTTAGCATGTGGGACACTAGGATATTCCGCCCCAGAAGTGCTTAAAAAAGAAGGCTACAATCATAAAGCTGACATATGAAGTATTGGTGTGATTACTTATCTTTTGCTTCGTGGGAAACTCCCATTTGAACATAAAGATAAAGAAATTCAAATTAATTTGACTATAACCAAACCAATTACTTTTGAGGACACTTTTTGGGAGCGAATCACACATTCTGGTAAAGATTTTATATCTCGATTGCTAAATCGCGATATTTCACAGCGCTATTCAGCTCAAGAAGCTTTACAACACCCATGAATTAGAAATGCAGAATTTTTTATACCCAGGGCGATTGATATGAAAAAGCTGAAATCTTCGTATTTGCATAGAGGGATCACGTCACTTAAGCTAGGAGACACGATGTATAGGGAATGCGAGCAGGAATTTGCTGCTGACTCATTTACTCAAAGTCTTCCTGATGTGTTAGAAGGTTTCGAGCCACTTGTGAGGCATCCTGCAGAAACGAACCTTGTAAATATATAAATTAATGTTAATTAACTTATTTATAGCTAATTTGGCTTTTTTTATTGAAAATCCCTCCAAATATTTTATTATGATAATAATAAACAAACAATCATGGCACTTTATTTATTAGTAAGGATTATAAATTTATAATACTCACTCCCCCCTCCGTGAGTGAACAAAACCATTAGAAAAATCGCCAATTTTTGCCCAAAAGCCCATCCTCCGTGAGTGAACAAAAATTTTTTTAATAGAAAAATTTTTTTATGGAAACAAAAATTTATATATAAGTGATAATTAACGATGACCCCTCCCCCTCAATCTTCATGTCTACTGCAACAAAAATTTTTCGAAAAAATCTTCATGCCAACTGCAACACAGCATTTATATAAAAAAAATTAATGCATTTTTTCTCTAGGTGAGTTTCTCAAAAAAACCATAAAATAGCGCTACTTTAGGTGTGTCAATGACCTTCTCATCGAGATTTGGACGGCTATTGCCATCGCTCGCCATTTTATTAAAACTTGTCTAGCTAAAAAGTACGGAAAAATTTAAGATGCGCATCGAAAATTTGTTTCAAGAGGATTAGGATTAAGATTATTATATACAGGCGCTAGCCATATTGATGACGCAGTCATTAAAGACCTACGTACGGAAGGCTCTACTTCTTTTCGATTCCAGCCCAGAGGATCTATCACTCTTACGAGTGCCCTTCCGGTATCTGTCTCCTCCTTGCCTTGGAAGTTCATTCTTGAGTGGGCGGCTTATGGATTTCTGCGCCCTGCTACGGGCGATTGGAGTAGCTTGATTCCAACGATAGGCTCTTGGAGTCTATTGGGTGTCAAAGTGCCTTTCTTCGACAGCTACAGGAAAAAGACTGTTCCCCTGTGGCCTGGGCTGAAACCCCAGCTTCTCGCTAGAGGAATACCCATGGGTCCTCGGATCCAAGGACGTTGTTGAGCATCTCCATTTCCAACCACAGGAAAGCAGCTAAAACCTATCCGGATACGCACTTCTTGAGCCTGCGTCTAATTCTCGGCTCAGAGTCCGTCCCAGTTCGCTGTAGCCATAAGGTCTGGACTGCTGCGCCAAGAGGGCAGGTTGACACGCCATTTTAATGTATATAATTTGTTGCAAGAGACATGAGAATTATTATTTTGTTTATATAAAATTTTATATTGAAAAATTGCATTTTTGTTGCAATAGACATAAAGATTGAGGGGGGATTCATCGTTAGAATAATGAAATCTCGAGATAATTCTGTTTAATTTTAAACAAATTGCGTTTTAAAACATAAATTTTATAAATTAAATTAATATTAGCTTTCCAATTTTTGCAAATTAGGATTTTTTTAAAATTTCGAAAAAATAATTGTCTATAAAATTTATATATAAATTTTTTTAAAAAAAATTAACCCCCTCCGTGAGTGAACAAAATTTTTTTGTTTACTCACGGAGGGGGGGAGTCAGAGGATTTTTTCAGATTTTATTCATGAAAAAGCTGTTTGGAGATTTAGGGGACAGAAAATCATAGATTTTTAGATTAAGAGGGATAATAAAATGGAAGATAAAGAAATACCGCCGAGGCTTATGATTCATAAAGTTGTGCTCGAGAACTTTAAATCTTATGCAGGAATCAAAGAAATCGGGCCCTTTCACAAGTCCTTCACCTCCGTGGTTGGGCCGAATGGTTCTGGGAAATCCAATTTGCTTGAATGTCTCTTATTTGCATTCGGGAAAAGAGCTGCAAAAATGAGACTTAAGAAGCTTTCAGAGCTTATACACCACTCTCACAGTTTCCCTGACTTAAAATCTGCAAGGGTTTCTGTATACTTCCAAGATATTCTTGACACTCCTGATGGATACGATATCATCCCAAATTCTGGGCTAGTTCTGACACGCATAGTGTCAAAAGATGGTTCTTCTCAATATAAATTGGATGGTAACCCAAGCACCCACGAAGAAGTTACCCAAGTTCTAAAGCTAAGAGGAATTGATTTAGAACATAATAGGTTTTTAATTTTACAAGGAGAAGTTGAACAAATTGCTATGATGAAGCCTAAAGCCCCAATTGGGGAAGAAGGCAAAATAGGGCTTCTTGAGTATCTAGAAGAAATCATAGGAACTAATGTGTATGTGCCTTTGATAGACCAAGCTGAGACAGAGCTTGAAGGAATTGCAGATGAAGTAACTGCACAAAAACTTAGAGTAGAAGAAGCCCAAAAAGCACTAGACCACTTGGAAGGCCCGAAAAATGAAGCTTTAGCTTACATTGAGCTAGAAAAAGAGCTTTATGATATAAGGAACTTAAGGAATTTCTTAGGAAGGCACCAATTTAAGACTGAAGAATCTAATTTCAGACAAGAGCTCATAGTTGTCGAAGGCCAGCTTCTGGAAACAGAAAACAGGTTCAAAGAAAAGAAAAATCTGCACATGGCAGCAATACAAGAGTACGAAGAAAAAATCGAGCAAGTAGCCACCTACAGTAGAGAAGAAAAAAGGATGAAAAGTCAGCTTGAAGAAGCAGTGAAAAGAGATCAAGAACTCATTGAAAACCAAATGTTTTTGAAAAATAAAAAAGCTGGGTTAGAAAAAGAAAAATTGGCTGAAGAAAAAAGGAAAAATGAAATCAGAGAATCTCTAGGTGAGCTTTCACAGATTCTCCCAGATGCAATAAGGAGTCTTGAAGAAACTAAACACGAAAAAGAAAGGGTTGATGAAGAATACCACGCAAGAAATAGAGAAATCATTGCAGCGACTGAAGAGCTTCAGCTTCAGAAATCATCACTTGAGAGGCAGCTTTTGCCATTTAAAAAGCAATATGATGACTGTAAAAGCAAAGTTGAAAATACTCATCAGAGAATAGAATTTCTTGTTAAAGAAAGGGCTCAAGAGGATGTAGAATTTGCAAATATTGCTAACGACATTGAAAGTTGCCAAAAGAATTTGGAAGCCAAAACAAGAGAATCAGAAGAAATTGAACTAAAGTGCCAGAGACTTCATAAAGATGATGAAGCGAGAAAGAAAAAGTTTGAAGAACTTAGTGGAGAATCGGATGCTTATAAAAAACAGCTGGCTTCACTTACTCCCCCTTGGCTAACGCCAAAAATATTTGTCCTCGCTAGCAAGGGGTTATATATAATAAATTTTTTTTCTAGATTTTAAAAGTCTAATTTGTATATATCTGAAAATCTAATTTTACATTTAACTGACAATATTTATGTTTTAAAAGATGCAAGTGTTTAAAAATTAATATAATTATTCTTTATATAGCAATTTATTATTTAAAAACGTTTTGTGCGCTAATAAATGGGGGAGCTAGGAAACAATTAGAAGAAGCTACCCCTCCGCCTCCGAACGAACAAACCATTGGAAAAATCTTTTTTTTTTGGATAAAAACTTACCCCTCCGTGAGTGAACAAAAATTTTGATATATAAGTGATAATTGTTATAATGAAATCACTTTAATTCTATTTAATTTAGCCAGCTTGCATTTTAAAACATAAATTTAATAAATTAAATTATATTTGATTTCTCAATTTTAAAAAAAAAATCCTCTAATATATATATTTTAACCAAAAAATTTTTCAGTTCTCTCACAAAGTGGGGGGAGTGAGCAAGCTGAAAAAAAAGCTGAAGGCAAAAATCGTCTTCTGCAAGAAATTTCTACTGCTAAAAGAATAGGTCAAATCCAAGGTGTATTAGGTCGTTTAGGAGATTTAGGAAGAATTGATGCCCGATTTGATATAGCGATTTCTTCTGCATGTCCAAGACTTGATAACCTTGTAGTTGAGTCAGTCCACGATGCTGATATGTTATTGGACTTCGTGCGTCAGCGAAATTTAGGAAAAATCACAATAATAGTGCTCGACAAAGTCCAGTCAATTTGGGAACAAAAAGCAAAAGCTCATTTTCGATCCCCAGACGATCGAGCTACTCGTCTTTTTGACCAAATCCAATATGATGACCCCCGATTAATTTCAGCTTTCTATTTCGCTATGACTGACACTCTTGTAGCTGACACTATGGACGATGCCCGCAGAATTGCGTTTGGCGGAAGTACAAGACACCGTGTGGTAACCCTTTCAGGAGAAATAATTAACCCTTCAGGAGAAATGCAAGGGTTTGCAAAGCCAAGGAGAGGGATTATGAGCCTTGTTGGGGAGAAAAAGACAAGTTTTTCTCCAGAAGATATGGATTTATTGCATCAAAAAATTAAAGAGGCGAATGATAGGCTGAATTCCACACATACCTTTATGAAGAACGTTCAAGGAGAAATTGCAGCTGAGCAGAAGCAAAAAGACCAAGCTTTTCATCAGTTAAAAATTATTCAAAGCGATTTACAAGGCATGACTCAAAGGCTGACTCAGCTTATAGCAAGGCAAAAAGAATTGCAAGAAATAGACCATGAAGGGCAAGAAGAAGAGCTAGAGGATCTTAAAAAGTTAGAAGAAGCTAACGAAAAAGCTATGAAGAAAATAGAAATTCTTATAGAAACTAAGAAAAAAGAGGTTGAACAAATTGAAAAGCAAATTGATGATATTGGGGGAGATGAATTCAAAGCAATAAAAATTAAAAGACAACATTTAGCTGAAGCTGAAGATCATCTGGAAGTCGAAGTAAATAAATATACAAAAAAGCTTGGACAATGCAAAAAAGATCACGACAAAATTGCAAAAAAACTTCAAGAGCTCATAGAAAGCTTACTTCCCCCTTCTAGCGATCAAAACATTATAAAAATACCTATAATAATTACTCCGATGTATAATTAATAATTGTAATAATGAGATTTCCAGTTAACTATATTAAATTAAAACTGCTTGCATCTTTTAAAACATTTTTATAGCTAGACTGATTTTTCATTTCAATGTTTTTTTATATTTAATATAAAATTTTATATGCATAAAATGGCGGTGGCGAGTGACCATCCACCCAGATGCAGGTATTATCATGTATATCTTGACAGGTGTTTGGAATTAAGAGCTTTTCAAAGGTTGGGCTAGCTTCGAAGTGGCTAGTTCCAATGATTAGTGGCCTGGCTCGAGCAGCAGCAGTTTTTGCATCTTATTTGCCTGCAGCACCCAAGCCCACGTTGGGTATCTAATAGAGGCAAGACGACTTATCTGTCGAGAATGCTTTGTGGCCTGTACAGAATCTCGTAAGCGGTTAAGCTTTTTCTTTGGTGATGAACTAGGAAAAAAAGGGAAGACAGGCTCGACAAGACTCATAAGGGCTACAGTCTCTCAATTTAAAAGGTTCGTAAAAGGATCGAAGCTAAATTGAGTTGGGTAAGCTGGCTGCTTAGGTTGGAAATGGAGGTTCCGACAAAGTCCGTATGGTTTGGAACATGAAGGAAAGTGTCTACGCCAAGAAATCAGGGTCACGAAGTGGAACGCATGGCGTTCAGGAAGTTGGGACTATAAAGATTCATCTTAGCTTAATCTTTATATAAAATTTAAAAAAATTAGCCATTTTGTAAGTGAGCAGAAAAATTTTGCTTGCAAACTAAGGGGTTTAGAAAAAATCGATCAAAATTTGCGCGACATAGAATCTGAAAGAGAAGAATTGAGGCCTTTGGCAGAAAGTTTAATCCAAAAGCATGAGCATGCGCTTGCTATTAGAAGAGAAAACGAAGCCCAGCTTAAAGAGCTGGAAAAAGCTCAGGAAGCTTTAAAAAAAGAGTTCGAAGAAATTCTAATTCCCCTCAGTGAGCGACAAAACCATTGGAGGAATCCTATTTTTTGGGTAAAAGCTCAAACAATATTATTAATAGAAAATTTTTTTATAAAAACATATTCGATATATAGTTATAGTTATTGTAATGAAATATCTAGCTAATTATTTTTAATTTTAAACAAATTGCATTTAAACATAAATTTAACAAATTAAATAAATACTTGCTTTAAAATTTATTTCAAATTCGATTTTTTAAATTTTGGAGTAAATTTACTAAAAATTTATTTAAAAAATAATTAATGACAAAATTTTGTTCACTCACTGGAGGAGTAAAAGTTCGTGACGAAATCAAAGCTAAAAGAAAAGAAATTTCCTCTACAATCAAAAGAATTGAGGCCGAAATTGACAAATGAGACCAAAGAATTAATAAAAACAGAGAAGACTATGAAGGATTAATAAAAGAGTACCAAGACATCATGGGAGATGACATGATAATAGAAAGCGTTGAAAAATCTGAAGAGAATGAAGAAAAACTTGAAAATCCAAGAAAAAGAATGAAAATTGATGACGAGAGAAAAACATTGAGATTTCACGTAAATAAAAATTTTCTCCCAGAAGAGCTTGAAAGCCTTCTCCCAAAATTCGAGAAGGTCAAAGACCTTGAGGCCGCCATCCAAGAAGAGCTCCGAGCTGCAAAGCCAAATATCACAGTTATCCAAGAGTACCGAGCCAGACTTCATGATAAGCGAGCAAAGGAAAACGATCTAAACGCAATTCGTGACAGAGAAGATATGCTGAAAAAGAAATACAACGAGCTTAAAAGCAAGAGATATAACGAATTCAATACAGGATTTACCATAATTTCCCAAAAACTGAGAGATATGTATCGAATGATTACCCGAGGTGGCGACGCTGAACTTGAATTTGCTGACTCAACTGATCCTTTTGCTGAAGGGATTGTATTTACCGTAAGGCCTCCCAATAAATCTTGGAAAAAAATGGCCAATTTGAGCGGGGGTGAGAAAACGTTATCATCCTTATCACTTGTGTTTGCATTGCATCATTATAAGCCAAATGCTTTGTATGTGATGGATGAGGTCGATGCAGCACTAGATTTTCAAAACGTAAGCGTGATAGCGAATTATATTAAAGGGAGGACAAAGAATGCGCAATTTATTATCGTCTCGCTGAGATATCAAATGTTTGAGCTAGCAGACAGACTTGTGGGAGTCTATAAAACTAATGATGTTTCGCATACAATTGCAATTAGTCCCTGCGCTCTCGTTACAATGGACAGTGAGAACCCTATTATAAGGCAAACAGTCAATAATATAACGTTGTAATTAATTATATAAGAAATTGTTATTTATTAATCTTCTTTGATATGTCCTTTAGAAATAAAATATTCTAGAGCTAAAAAGCTTATGAAAAGATAAGTGTAGATTAAAGCATAAGAAACTGCAATAAAATATTGGAATTTTGTGTCAAACAGGTCAAGTATCAAGCAAACAAAATATAAAATATTAAGAGTGATCAAGAAAAGTCCACACAAAACACCTTTACTTGAGAGCTTCAAAGAAAATCCTAAAATAAACTTATCAAGAACAATGAAAAGCGTTAAAATATTAATCCACATAAATATTGGATGGAAAAAGCTCGCTAAAAAGTTGACAGCAATAAAGCATTCCAATCCGTGCGAAATCTCTATATTTGCTTTTCTAGCAAAATTAAGTTGAGTTATGAGGATTGCAGAAAGCATTATAAATTGAGTCAAGAAGTTCCCATAAACTTGGAAAAGAGCGCTAGTGAGACCCATAACTATTAGTGAAAGAATAAGCGCCTTGAAATCATTTCTTTTTCCAAATACAAAATTTTTGATTAGCATCAGGTATATAATTAGAGCTGCAGATTGGTAGCTTCAATAACTTTGGATTAAAGATGTAGAAACATAATCAGGCTCAGAAGAGTTATGGACCCAAAACCACTGAAAGAGGTCAGAGTTCATTTTATTATATTTTGCCACGTTAAATCGTAAAAATCATGGAATATGACCTAAGGTTAAAAATAAGAATAAACTCACAAAGATCAATAAATTTTTTAGATTATTACAATGCATAATAGATCTACTATTATTTCAGCTGACTCCCCCTTCCTTTAAATTGGAAACTAAAAATTTTGTTCCAATTTAAAGGGGGGTTAAGAAAATGTTTTAAAAAAAATATGAATATAAAATTTTTTATAAAAAATATAAAATTTAAAAAAAAAAAAATTCAAAAATTTATCGAATTAGATTAATAAATTTGTTTAATAAAACGCTATTTACTCTTTATCCTTTAAAACAAAGCAAGATATAACTAAATTTTAATTATTAGTTAATACGCCACTATTAATTGGTATCAAAATTATTTACACAAAAATTTTTATTTTTATTGATAAAAAAAAATTAAAAAAAAAAAAAATTTTAGAAAATTTATCGATCAAGTGCTAATTTTGTTTAAATAAGATGTTATTTATACTCTATTCTTTAAAATAAAGCAAGAAATAAGTAAATTTTGAAATTTTATAAAGAATTCCTATTGAATTTATATCAAAGCTATCCAAATAAAAAAAATATCATTTTTATCAAAAAAGCAAAAATTTTTTGAAAATTTTTAAAAAAAAAAAATTAATTTTTTTTTTTAAAATTTAGCAATTAAGGATAATAAATTTATTTAAATAAGATGCTTTTTTATACTTTTTTCTTTAAAAAAGAGCAAGATATAAATAAATTTTTAATTTTAGTTAAGAAGAAGCATTTAACTTATATCAAAACTTTTTAAATAAAAATTATATATAATTTTTTATTATAAAATTAAATTTTGTTCCAATTTAAAGGGGGGTTAATTTACCAAAAAAGTGGAAATTTTACCTATATTTTGTTCCAATTTAAAGGGGGGGGGGAGTGAGAGTCAAATTTTACAATTTTATCAAAACTACTTATCCTTATATTTGTTCCCTAGGCGACGTCTGTAAGGTTGACAGCTTCAGCCAGACTGGAGGACTTTTGTATTTATACGTTGTATTTATACTTTCTTCCTGCCACTGGACTCTCGAGCTAAACACTACCTGCAACTTCTCTTCAAGCTTTGCAGCGCAATTATTTAGATATTTTACTACATTTCTCGGCTTTACATCAATGCTTTCAGAGTTCTCTAAAACTTGGCTTGCTAGCCTCGTTACAGCTCCACATGCAGCTGAAACAAGTCCAATGAGTTTATCAAGAACTCTTTCGTTGTCATCCATTTGCTTATTTCTCTGTTTTAAACTTTCTTCTATTTTTTCGATTTCCCTTAAATTTATATGTCTGTCTTCTTCTCTCTGCAAAATAATTTCGTTTAATTCGTGGTTTAATTGATTTCTTTCGTGATTCAATAGCTCCATTTTAGCTAGTGATTCTTTTAGCGTCGCATTCAGCTGTGTTTCATTTTTTTGTAAATATTGGTAATAAGCATACAAATCATTGACTGAAGAAATGCTGGTGGCTTGTTGAATTTCTCTGAATTTCTCTTCTTCTCGCTCGTTTTGCTTTTTTACTTCCATTCGTTTTTCTTTTAGCCGCTCGTCATGCTCAATTTTGTCACGAATTGGGATCAGCATTTGTAACTTCTTTTGATAGTTTAAGTATTTTTGTTTTAGCTGATTATGCTTATGCTCCTGCTGGAGGATATTAAACATGACTTCTTTGTGCCGAAAAATATTAAACTGCTCGTTTTTATCATTTTCATGGAACATTTTAGCTTCTTCAATTCCATTCTTTATGTCTTCTGCTTGAGAGCTCACTATTTCTGCGTCCTCTTTCAGCTTAGCGAATTCCTTTGAAGTGTCTGATATTTTTTTCTCTAGTTTTGACAAGTCATCTCTCATATCAATGACTGGTTTTACAGTGAATCCTAGCGCTTCTTTGCGTGATTCAAGCATTAAATTGAGTGTTTCAAAGTAATAGTACTCATTGAAAAGCCCGTTGATTACCTCGTTATGTTCAGCTTTTCTGCATTCCAAGATTTCATTTAGCTCGTCTTGCTGCTCTACCTTTTTTTCTAGCATTTCTAATTCATTTTCCAACTCTTTTAGGCCTTTTTCTTTTTTGATCACGTCATTGTGAATAATATTGTACTCTTTCTTCTTAGTCAGAACAACAAACTCCAGATTCTCAAGCTCCTTGCTAATATTTCTTGTGAATTGCCAAGTCATAGCAGTCGTGCTTCGCTGTGTGGAAGGGCCTGAAGAATACATTTCGGCGATCTCTTGAGAGATTTGATTCAAAGAAGCTTGGATTTCAGTAGATTGCATATGTTTTGGGGAATTTATATTTCCTAGCTAAGTCTTACTTTCAAAAAAATCAGCCCATGATGTGCCTGGTTTCCTTGGCCCGCTGAATGTTCTGAATGATTGGGTTGTTAAGAGCTTTCTTGAGCTGGAGGCCGTTTTAGGAGTTCGAGAAACCATTGGTAATTTGTCAGCTTCTTCAAGCCTGACTTCAGTTCTTGCAAAAATACTTTTTTCGTCCTTGTTAGAGATTCTTGATGACATTATTTTATAATTGCATCTTATTGTAGGTAACTGCTGAATTTATATTAAATAGAAGGAATATAGAAAGTGGAATGGGAATTCTGTAAATGGTTTTGAGATGAAAACATTTGAAATGAAGATCCATTTATGAAGTTTACAACTGTTTGTAAATATAGAATATTAAGGGAAGTCAGCTTTGCATTTTTTAAAGGCTCTAAATTCCCCCCCCCCTTTAAATTGGAACAAAATATAGGTAAAATTTCCACTTTTTTGGTAAATTAACCCCCCTTTAAATTGGAACAAAATTTAATTTTATAATAAAAATTTTTATATATATAAATCATAATTTTTTATGTAAAAGTTTTGATATAATTTAAATGTTTCTTCTTAACTAAAATTAAAAATTTAGTTATATCCTGCTCTTGTTTAAAGAATAGAGTATAAAGAACATCTTATTTAAATAAATTTATTATCCTTAATTGTAAATTTTTTTGTTTTTTAAAAAAATTTAAAAAAAAAATTTTATTGTTTTTGATAAAAATGATATTTTTTATTAAAATAGCTTTGATATAAATTCAATACGAATTCTTTACAAAAATTCAAAATTTACTTATCTCTTGCTGTATTTTAAAGAATAGAGTATAAATAACATCTTATTTAAACAAAATTAGCACTTTGATCGATAAATTTTCTAAAATTTTTTTTTTAATTTTTTTTTATCAATAAAAATAATAATTTTTGTGTAAATACTTTTGATGCCAATTAAATAGTGGCGTATTAATTAATATTAAAATTTTAGTTATATCTTGCTTTGTTTTAAAGGATAAAGAGTAAATAGCATTTTATTAAACAAATTTATTAATCTAATTCGATAAATTTTTGAAATTTTTTTTTTTTTTAAATTTTATATATATATTTTTTTTATAAAAAATTTTTATAATGTTGTTTTTTTTTAAAAAAAATTTCTTTACCCCCCTTTAAATTGGAACAAAATTTTTAGTTCCAATTTAAAGGGGGGGAGGAGTAAGACAGCTACTTTTTTTAAATTTCACTGAAATGCTGAACTAATATTAGATTAAAATAAAATAATGGATTGCTTATTTTTAAAAATCCTGCATTTGTTTTATAAATATTTAGCATCATTCACCAGAATATAATAAAATTTGCTCAAGATTAAATAAAAATAAAGATCTGATATTATATTAAAGTGATAAAATTGTGCATGAATTAAAGATAAACATTTTGATCATTTAATTTTACACTGATATATAGAATATAAGAATTTTTTCCTGCATAAAATCTTTAAATATTGATAATTACTATTAAGCTGAATTTTTAATGCTTTTCACTGCTAAATGCTTTGATGCATTGCCAAAAATCTAATTAGCCAGATAAACTTACTGGGTTTTTAAGTTTGAAATTAATGTATTTTTTCAGTTCTATATTGACTGCTTTATATCCGATTGTTCCTTGAACTTTCATTTTAATTCGGTCTATTACTTCTTTAGGCAAAGGCGCAATATTTTTTGTACTGTGTGAGCTTTTGCTCATTCTTATGTTTACTTTTTCTTTTTTGTCTAAATTTTCTGAAGAATTTCTTCTATGTATACTTTCTAGTTTTGCCTGCAGATCTTGTGTATAATTATTATGCTCTCTATGGGTAAAGCTTTGATAAATATTTCTACCTCTTTTCTTCGGTTCTTTATTTTCAATGTCTTCCAATACTTTTTTGAGTTTCCCTAATTTCGGTATAGGGATTGACAGTGTTTTTCCAATAAAATTTTCTTCAAAAATTGGATTTTCTCTCTTTTTTGTATTGCTGAGTAGCATTGTCTGCTGCCTTCTATGAATAAATAGTTCTCTATTCCTCTCATAGTTTTGGAATGATGAGACCCTTTGTCGACTTCGCTGAAAATTTGAATGCTTTTTCGGCATTTGGCTAATTTCGTTAGAAGAGGATTCGTCTTTTTCTTCGTTGATAGTATGAAAAGTGCAGCCAAAACTTGGCCCAACTAAATGAATTTTTTGTCCTGAGCGGAGATAATTCCCAATCCGATCTACTGGGATAGGAAATGCTTGCTTTGGAGTTTCTTTACTAGGTGATGACTTTTGAACGATATTCCCATTGCTACTTAATATGTAGCTTGGATAATATTCAGAGTCGGTTGAACTTGGAGAATCATCCATATCTATATCTTTTATTTGAATAAGTATTAATTGATTGCATTTTTATGCTTTTTAATAAAATCGCACTATTGGAATTATTGTTGTTTTTCAGTAATTTCTAATGCTAAATCAATATACTTCAGAATAATGTTTACATATATCAGAAATTTCAATTAATGAATTTAAATTGTATTTTAATACAAAGAAGCCCTTGCATAAATTAATTTTTTATCAATTCAATATCATTTCCAAAAAATTTTCAATTTGCTTGTACAGTTATAAAATGGCAAATAACCTCCCGCAAGCCCAATCTCTTGTTAAATATGACACCAAAATCCAAGTTTCTACTTCCTTAAAGGGCAAAGGCAAAGGAAAAAACATCCCAGGAAGGCCGAACGTCCCTGCCGACAAAGCTCAAATTGAAGATGTCCTCAACTCTGTGCTCCCCCCTAGAGAAAGTACCGAAGACGGTCAACTCTGGGTCCAATATGTTAGTTCAAACCCTGCAACCACCCAAGATGTAATAAAACTCCAAGAGCAGCTTGATAACTTACTTGAGCTTCGGCAAGCAAGAGAAACTGGGATCTGTCCTATTCGAGAAGAGCTCTATAGTCAATGTTTCGATGAGCTTATAAGGCAGCTAACAATTATTTGCACAGAAAGAGGGCTTTTACTGCTAAGAGTCAGAGACGAGCTGAGAATGACTATTCAGTCTTACCAAACTCTCTATGAAAGCAGCATTGCTTATGGTATGCGAAAAGCCTTGCAAGCTGAACAATGAAGAGCTGAAACAGACGCTGATATAAAGAAACTCATAGAAGAATGTGAAAATCTGACAGCGGAGGTAGACGAGCTTGACCAAGAAATTGAAGAAATCGAGCAAAAAGAAAAAGAGCGTGAAGAAATCGAAGCAAGAGCCCACACGGAAGAAATCGAGTTCAGGAAGAAAACCAACCAAAGACTTAAAGACCAGCTTGAAGCTTTGCTTTCAACCCCTAACAGTAAGTAACCATTTTAACTTTAATAAATGTCCCTAAGACAAGTCAGAAAAATCCTTGAATCCCAAAAATCAACAGAAAACTTAGACTCAGAAAACTCTTCAGAAGAAGAAATCATGGCCCAGCCTTCAAATAAATTCAGCGACTTTGTCATCATATCATCAAGCGAGTCTGAAGAAAATGAATTTGAGTCCATTGACCATGAAGAAGAAAAATTGCCAGTCACAAAAATAGCAGCCCCAAGGAAAAAAGAAGAAATTGTGACTGGGGATGTTGATTCTCTGCTGGAAGAGCTGAAAACTATTAAAAGTGTTGATGATGCCTTCCATATGCAAAGCACAGTATCTTGTCTGAAGAGACAAGCCAAGCATTTTGATCCAAGGCCAGAACTCGCTTTGTTGTTTCCCGAAGAAAACAAAGGCCAGAGGGACTCTCATGTGACGCAGAGGAAGATGATTTTAACCCCTGATAAGCAAAATTGGCCGACGAATATTAATTATCTGCTGGAAATGGAGAGATGTCCGGACTCTTCCAGGCATATTTTTAATTTCAAGCCTAGCAAAGGATATTCGAAGCTTCATTCACAATATATGGACAGCTTAATTGGGAATGATTTGAATGCTGTTAACGATTTTCTTAACTCCCCCCCCCCCTCCGTGAGTGAACAAAAAAATTTTGTTCACTCACGGAGGGGGGTTAATTTTTTGTTTTAAAAATTTATATATATAAATTTTATAAAAAATATTTTTTTTCAAAATTTAAAAAAATCCTAATTCGCAAAAATTGGAAAGCAAATATTAATTTAATTTATAAAATTTATGTTTTAAAAAGCAATTCGTTTAAATTTAAATAGAATTAGCTCTAGATTTCATTATACTAATTATCATTTATATATCAAATTTTTTTTTCCATAAAAAATTTTTCTATTAAAAAAATTTTTGTTCACTCACGGAGGGTGGGTTTTTGGGCAAAAAATGGCGATTTTTCTAATGGTTTTTGTTCACTCACGGGGGGGGGAGTAAGACATATCCATTTCATATAGAAGGATTGTACCAGTTGTCAATCGCTTTACAAATGAGAGGAAATTATAATGATCTGGAAAATTTATTAGAAAGAATTTTATATAGCTTTCAGCTGAGTTTTCATCATCAATTTTCACCGATTGGGAATGGTCTAGAACTTGATATCGCAGCAAACACATATAACAGAATTTTCTATAAGAGTTTATATATGTACGCTGAGTGTCTAGGGAGAAAAGGATGTGTTAAGGCTGCTTTAGAATTTGTTAAATTTATTTTGTCGCTCAATCCACATGATGACCCTTTAGGATGCTTACTTTTGATTGATTATTATTCTATAAAAGCCAAGAGACTTGATTACTTTTTGAGGTTCGCAGATAGTTTTATGCAGGAATTTTATGGTACTGGAAATTTATTGATGATGCCAAATATTTTATATAGTTTTGCGCTATGCAAAGCTCTGAGAGATAGGTATTTAGAGATAACTAGTGAGGATATTGAAAGGGCGAAAGCAATTGGAAATTTATCAGAGCTTACTGGAGAAAATTCAAGTGTGGCTTTAATTATTGCAATAATATGCTATCCAAATATAGCGAAATCACTATTAAAGAGGCTTGTTCCGTCGTTTGTTCCAACTGAGGATAAAAGAGAACCGGGGATTCTGGGCGATTATCAAAAAATCGCAGATATTCATGCAGCCAGAGTTGAAGAATTATGGAGACAAGAATACATCATAAATTGACTTAAAAATGGGCTGCTATCTGCCTCATTTTTAATAGGAACCAAAGATGACTTGATTAGTGATAGAAACTTCGAAGGGATCTTTAACCGATATAATTCTCTTGAACTAGCTGATTTTTCAAATGTCCCGAGATTATAGCGTTTCCACACTTATGGCTCTAATAGTCCCGATGTCTTTCGAGAAGATCTGAGGGTTGGTTCATCTAACTCTAAAAATTGATAAATTTGTCTATAAAACAGGTTTGCCCATTTGATGTTGGTTTCATCATCAACTTAAGTTGGTAAAACCTATCTTCGGATATCCTCAATAGACATCGGGACTATGGAAGTCCATAAGAGTTGAGATACTATAGTAGCTCCTCCTGAATTCCAAATTGGCCGTGAAGAAAACCATCAAAACGGAAATTTAGACCCAAATGCAAATCCATTCTACCTATTTTTCGCTACTTTGCTGCCCTGGAATTTCGTTAACTTCGCTAATTAATTATAAAAATTTGTTAATAAAACAATTTAATCTGTAACTCTTTTCTTTTTCTTTGGCTCGATGATTGTTTTCCTTTGCATAAGCAATCTCTGTGAAAGTCTTCTCATTCCTCTTCTAGGAGCCTCCACAAATTGATCTTCTTGTTCGGTGCATACCAAAGACCGATCTTCAAAGCCTAAATAGCCAATACATAGCATAATTTCTTTAAATTCTTCAAAATTCATAGTTTCACCTGCTTTTAGTTCAAACTCATCTATAATTTCTTTATATTCAGTGTCTGATAGGTAGCACCCTGCTTTTTCCAATGCAAACTTCAATTCATCAACACTTATAGTCCCATTCCGATCCTAATTAGAGTTTACAAGATCTTAAACTTAAATTAATTAGAGTGCTTAGCATGTCGTCCGATTCACAATTAATTACAAAAACCACATGGGCTAACAAGAATAGCAGTAGCATCAGCCCAGCATTTTCTGCGCCACTATTTATCGAGTTGAAGGTGATATTAGCGTTTGTTCAACTAAGATTCTCCTTCCTCTGGAGTGTCAAACATCAAAAACCTATGTCTCTTTATTCCCTCTGGATCAGGGCTATCATCTTATCCGATGAGCCGTCTTGATATTGTTGATGAAATTTCACCGGCAAAACTGATACAATCCCATGATAAAGAGAATTTAGCAGATCTAACTTCTCTCGCACCGAATGCCATTATATATATATAGTACAAGATCAAAATGCTTAAAAACTAGCCACATTGATTCTTCATCAAGGGCTCGCCTCTTATCAACTGAAGCAATTAAAAACTGTGTGTAATTTAATTTTCCTTTTCCGACGTAATTTATACTCTGTACAAGGGCTTTAAATTCGTCGCGCGCTAAAAAAAAGCCATTGCGGATCATTGCAGCTTCAATATCTTTAGCAGTTACAAAGCCAGTTTTCCTCTGGTCGATTTCTAGAAAAGCACTCTGCAATTCTTTTATTTGATCAGCTGATAAATTTTGCACCAAAATTTTCATAGCTTCATGTCACAGCTTACTTGGGGCTCTATATCGCTTTATTGATTTAAAGACTTCCAGCTTAATTTCTTGATGCGAATTTGATAAATTATTTACAAATCATTCATGAGATAAAGCATCTTGTAAAGAAATTCGGTAATCAGGATTAACAATAAGCATTTTTGAGATCAAAATTTTGGCTTCATCTGAAATAATTTCTCAATGGTTTTTTTATTAATTTGTTTTTTAATCAATTATTTTAGTTATTATTATCATGAGAAAAATAGCATGGAAACAAAAAAAAAAAATTTTAATTTTTTACCATTTCTCAACTTGGATCAGAAAAATCAAAATCTGCTTTCACAATTTTTTGGAAAATTTCATTTAAAGAATCTCCTTTAAATGGCTGTTGTCCAACAAGTAGAAAAAACATGACTACACCTAGGGATCAAACATCACATTCTAAACCATATGAGCCTCTCAACACTTCTGGAGCTAAATAGTAAGGAGTCCCTACTATTGTATTCATCTCTTCACCTCCAAATTTCGCTGACATTCCAAAATCAATCATTTTTATATCAGCATCATTATCTTTGCTTGAAACCAGAAAATTTTCAGGCTTTATATCTCTATGGCATATATTAATATTATGTAAGTGATTAACTGCTGTGAATATTTTCCTCATAATTTGAGCTACCTCTAGCTCAGTTAAACTGCCTCTGACCATCAAATGCTCGAATAAATCTCCACCTGTGCACAACTCCATAACTAACTCTTCCCACTAAGTATGAAACAAAAAAATTTTGTTTGCTCACAGATTGGGTTTAGTTTTTTTTAAAATTAATATTAAATTTTATAATAAATTGTTTTTCAAAATTTCCAATTCGCAAAAATTGGAAAGTAATATATTAATTTAATTTTGAAAGTTATGTTTCAAAATGCAAGCTGTTTAAAATTAAACAGAAATATTTTTCTCATAAAAAAATTTTCTATTAAAATAATTTTTATTACGGAGGGAGGTTACCCAAAAAATAAGGATTTTTCAAATAGTTTTGTTCACTCACGGAAAGGGGGAGTAAGTGAATATACATGTCATCTTCATAGGTTTCATAGAGTTTTATAATGTTAGGGTGATCAACGAGCATTAAAATTGAGATTTCGTTTTTCATCAATTTGAGATTTTTCATAACTCTTACTTTATTGATAGATTTAATAGCAAAATGCTTGCAATTATTTTCTATATCATAGCCGACCATTCTGGCTTCGCGCACAGTCCCGAATTGCCCACATCCTATAACTTTTATAAATTCATAACGAGTGTTAATTCCTAATTGTAATAATACGTTCTAACCTAGATGAATTTGAAATTTCAGGTTTATCAAGCTGTCTTGCTGTTTTGGGTCGAAGCATTTTGTATTCTTTTGGGCAGCATACTCCCATATTTTTTATTTCTTACTTCCCCGCCCTTAAAAAATTTAAAAAAAATATAAATTGAGTATATACTATTTGAATTTTTAATTTATTTTATCAAGAAATAGTTGATAAAATTAATCGATTCAGTGTGAAAACTGTTTAAATAGCACTTTAATTGTACTTTTTATTAATATATAGTCTAAATTAATTTTATAAAAATGAAATTCTAATTTATTTTTATGAAGAGTTAATTAATCAATTAATTTAAAACTATTTAAATAGCGTTTTCCTTTAATTATGTCTATTAAATTAGGTCAAAACTAATTTTAAAAAAAATTAGTATTTTCATCGTTAAAATTTTCCTATTGAAAACAAATTTGTTCCAATTTAAATGGAGTGTTTTGTTCCAATTTAATGAAGTGTTTTGTTCCAATTTTTAAAGGGTGTGGAATTTAGTAGAAAAAGAATCAAATAATGATTACCATGCTTGAGTTTATTAATGATGTATTGAAACTGTTGCTGAAATTCACAAAATGAATAATTTTCTCTTCCAATTTATTGAATTATTTATTAATACTGCTCTCTTATTATAGAATTGAAGCTAATTCCGGTAAAAAGAGCCTCAAGTATTATTTTGAGTAATTAAGATTGATATTTTATCTTATTTTTACAATAGAAATTTATAGGATGAGTGGAAATTGAGTTTAAAAATAATATACTTGAAGCAATTACAGCAATCTAATATTGAAGGTCACAAATTCTCTGTTTTACATTAAAAAACTATTCTTTGAAACTTGACTCCTCTTTTCTTACAAATTTTATTAATAAATTTTAAGTCATAAATGTTTATCATTTTCAAAAGATCTTACATACTCAAGAATTGTCGTTTTTTTAGCCGAAAATTCCCAGTTAAGTCTAAAGTCCTAATCCCCCCCCTCCGTGAGTGAACAAAACCATTACTCCCCTCCCCCCCCCCCCTCCGTGAGCGAACAAAACCATTAGAAAAATCGCCATTTTTTGACCAAAAACCCACCCTCCGTGAGTGAACAAAAATTTTTTTTAATAGAAAAAATTTTAATGGAAAAAAATTTTGATATATAAGTGATAATTAGTATAATGAAATCTAGAGCTAATTCTGTTTAATTTTAAACAAATTGCGTTTTAAAATATAAATTTTGCAAATTAAATTAATATTTGCTTCCCAATTTTTTGCAAATTAGGATTTTTTTAAATTTCGAAAAATATTTTTTATAAAATTTATATATAAATTTTTTCTAAAAAAAAAAATTAACCCCCCTCCGTGAGCGAACAAAATTTTTTTGTTCGCTCACGGAGGGGGGGGGGTGGAGTTAGAAAAATCCCTATTTTTTGTCAAAAAACCCACTCCATGAGTGAACAAAAATTTTTTTAATAGAAAAAAAATTTGATATATAAGTGTTAGTATAATGAAATCTCGAGCTAATTCTGTTTAATTTTAAACAAATTGCTTTTTAAAACACAATATAAATTAAATTAATATTTGCTTCCCAATTAGGATTTTTTTAAAATTTTGAAAAAAAATTTTCTATAAAATTGAGATATAAATTATTTTAAAAAAAAAGATTAACCCCCCTCCGTGAGTGAACAAAATTTCTTTGTTCACTCACGGAGGGGGGGAGTAAAACCTAAAATACCTGAAAAGCCTGAACCTTGAAGAAAAGAATGATATGAAAAGTTTATAGAGACTTCAAAACCTCATAAAAATGCTTTACAAGTTTATATAACCATAAGACATAACCCAAAATTGAAAGCATTTCGAGGTATGATGTATCCCTGGGCATTATTTATTGCTTCAGCAATTTCTTTATCTGGCCTTATAGGAGTTTGCAGCTATTTCTATTCACAATATTTGATGAGATCAAAGAAAGCAATAAACCAAGAAATTCCCATGCCCTACACAATGCTTGTTAAAGAAAATTTCATTCCAGAAAGCCGCCCCAAAGAAAGATTCAGTGATGTCATAGGGCTTGAAGATTTCATCGACGAACTTAATTTTCTCATTGACTATTATAAAAACCAAAAAAAATTTCAAGTAGCTAATGCCAAAATGCCTAGCTCTACACCTTCGTGAGCGATCGAAAAAATTTTTTAATTTATTGAGAGTGTTAAAAGTTTATATATAAATTTTATAGTGAAATTTTTTTAAAAATTAAAAAAAAATCTCAATTCATCAAAATTGGAAAGCAAAATTAACTGATTTGCAAAATTTTATGTTAAAAATGCTGGCTGCTCAGATTTCAATAGAGTTGGATAGAAATTCATTGATAATTATTGCTTATATATCATAAAATTTTTTCATATTAAAACTTTTTTGGCTCATAAAGTGTCGAAAGATAGGGTTTTTCAATGGTTTTGCTCGTTAATGGAAGAGGGGAAGTAAAGGGATTCTTTTGACTGGAGAAACAGGAACAGGAAAAACTTTACTAGCTAATGCAATAGCAGGAGAAGCTGGAGTATCATATTTTAAGATATCAGCTTCGGAATTTGATGAGGTGAATGTAGGATCTGGAGCTAAAAAGATGAGAGATTTATTTATTGCAGCGAAAAAAACGCAGCCTTCAATTATATTTATCGATGAAATAAGTAGTATTGCTGAAGAAATATATGAAATTAATGTAGGTGAAAGTAAGCAGACTGTAATACGACTAATGCATGAAATAGACCGAGCTGCTGATAATGACAAAATACTTGTTATTGCAGCGTCAAACTCTTCAGAAGCTCTTGATAGCAGGCTGATAAGAACAGGAAGATTTGACTGAAAAATCAATATCCCGGTCCCTGACCGCGAAACTCGTAAAAAAATCATAAAACACACACTAGCAAAACAATCATTAAAATTTGAAATTGATGCAGAAGAAATCGCGAGACAAACTGCTGGCTTTACACCTCTTCAGTTATTTCAAATATTGAACTCAGCTACTACTCACGTTACAAAAAACAATACTTTCTTTCTAAGCTCTACCGATATTTTAAATGAAATTCGAAAAATCAACAAAATTTCACGCCTCACAAAAGAGGAAAAGCTTCAACTCGCTGTACATGAAATAGGGATATTTCTCATGTATTTAAAAAAGCATGAGAACGTTCCTTTGGAAGATGTATCACTTTCATTGAATCCATCAAGCAAAAATCTTACAGAGCTCTTCGAGGTATATCAAAACACAACAAGAAAAGAAATTTTGGATCAGGTTGATATTCTGATATCGGGAAAGGCAGCCTTAGATTTAGTTTATGGGAAAAATAAGAGGATAAATGACTTATGTGAAGAAGATATTATGAAAACCAGAAAATATTTGAATGAATATGTAAGATCTGGATTGTTTAATGGCGAATCAGGTTTTGTATTTTATTTTCCTCGTAAGAGTAGAGGAAGTAGAAGATTAGTGCAATATGAAGTAAATCGATTGATAAAAAAATCACACAAAAAGAGCCTGAAATATATGCAGAAAGATCGAGCGTTGTTAATGCAATTAGCCGAGATTTTGATAGAGAAAGAAAATATCTCAGGAAAGGAATTGAAAGAAATAATAAGAAAAGCCAGATAAAAAGCTATTTCAATTCGCTGCATGAATATATAAAAATGCAAAAAATTGATATTTAGCTCTGAAATTTTCTAGCTACATTTAAATTAAGCTTATTTTCTAACACAAATAAACTATTAAGACTTACTTAAAAGATTTAATCGCCTTAAGAATTATCAGCTAAGTCAAAGTATCTGCTAATTCATAATCAAATTCTTTATCAATTTTAATTGTTTTTTCGCATAATTATCATCTCGAATTCTAATTAATGAGCCAGACTATAGCGCCAAAATAAAAATAAATTATTTCTTGAGAACTAAAAGTCCTATCCCCAATTGCTTTTTTCTCCCTACTTATTAATAAATAAATCTCATAAATGGGAGCTGTCAAATTGTTGAGAGCAAAAAAACCAATAGGAAGGCTAAGAAAACAAAACAGACCTATGCCTAGATGGGCTTTCGACAAGACTGACAACACTCAAGGCTATAATTCTCCTTTCTTATTTCCATTCTCCTAACTCTCAAAATTTTTCTAAAGGCAACTGAAATTTAACTTTAATAAAAATGGGCTATGGGTTCCGTGAGTGGTTTTTGATTTTTTAGCCACTCTTTCACTGAAGGCTTTAATTAAATATGGAAAAGCCTCGTAAAAAGGGAATCGATATCGACGACAAAAGCAAGTGGGGACATCGGTTTGAGTTCCGAGATCGAAGCCAAGTCCAGCGACAGATGTTCACTCCATTAGCTCTTACTTACTTAAATTTTATTCGTTTAACGTCTCCTACGGAGTTAGTCACCCAGACCTTCCCGACGTTTCTTCCACGTATCAGGCCTACAGGCTTCTGGGTCGACCTGCTTTGATCGCCAGGACACGCTTGAAATAGTGCTGCCGGCTTCGACGACTCATGAATGAGTTACTTTCTTGCGACAAGGGTTGTCCGCACAAAAACCCAAAAAATGGATTATCTGGCCGACTATCGGCAAAAAGGAAAAAATGTAGCCTGGGACGTAACGCCCAGTTTCACGCTAGGGAGTTGCCCGATTGGCCCAGTGGACTCTACTGAGCTTCCCCTTTCAACTTTCATGCCTTCCTTCCGCATGAGGAAAAAGCCATCCCTGAATCAGACTTGGGCTAGGCTCTGTTTACACCCAGAGTTGATTACCTAGCATTGCTGTCCATCTCTGAAATGGTAAAACCTTGCCGGATATAATTAAAATATGTGTTGAGTCTGCATGGCCGAGAGGCCATGCCCAGACGAAGACGCCATATTTTAATTATATTCACTCCATTAGCTCAACCTGCAAAGAAGAGGGCTCAAATCGCAGACGAAATCGTAGAAAGCGCCTCTGAAGAAATGTCTGATTCCCACCTGAATTCATATGACTTCAAACTAGAGCCCCAAACTACCATCCCTGTCCAATTGCCTAGGGCCAAAACGCAAGCCAACAAAAAGCACAAGCAGCCATCTGAGCCTCGCAAAAAGAAGAAAGAAGACGATGACCTTATCGTCAGAGATCTGGTCAACGAACTTCTCAATACAATCGAATTAGGCGCCCCAACTGACACGAAGATGATGGAAAGCACCTTTATTAACTGCGATCTGAGGTATTTTAACTTGGATTACATTGTTGAAAAGTTTGGGCTCTTTGATGTCGTTGTGGTAGACCCACCGTGAAGAATACGTGGAGGCCAAAAAAATTCTGATTCGCCGTTTATGTTTTCTAATAACAAGTTCCAGCTGGAGTATGATACGCTTTCTAACCAAGAAATAATGGAAATCCCTATAGAAAAACTCTCCAAGAAAGGGTTCTGCTTTATATGGGTATTAAGTGGAAATATGAATGCAGGATATGACTGCTTGAACAAGTGAGGCTACGAGTGTGTAGACCATCTCATATGGGTTAAGACTACACAAGGTGGCCGCCGAGCTATGGTTTCTCATGGCTTTTATTTTTTGCATTCCACTGAAATGTGTATAGTGGGCTACAAATGTCCGCCAGGAGAAAAAGTAGAATTCCGATCTAAAGTCTCCAACGATCTTATCATCGCTGATGTAAGAAAAAAAAGCCAAAAGCCAGACCAGCTTTATACTATCATTGAGCTTATGATGCCAGGATCCAAAAAATGCGAAATTTTTGCGAGAAATAATAATCTACGTCCTGGTTGGCTGTCTCTTGGCAATCAAATTGGAGAAGTTTTCGAAAAATGGAGAAACCATACAGTCTGCGATAAATGCAAGCGCGACATCCCTGAAGGTCTTTTGAGGTTCAAATCCAAGAAGCAGAGAAATTTCGACATTTGTGAACAATGTATAGAAAACGTCCAGCAAGAACGCAACGATACAATGCAGGATTATTTTAAGCTGGAAAATAATAACACTCAAGATACGCTGCACCATTACCATAAATGTGACAGATGTGGGGTGGAGCCAATTTGGGGATGCCGCTTTCAATGCTTACAGTGTGAGAATATCGATTATTGTGAAAGTAAGATTTATTTAGACTGTTATGATGAAATTATTGAGAGCCAAACTGGCTGCTTTAACCATATTTTTCAAGCTCATGAAAAACCACAAGCTGGAAATGGCTTGCCGATACATGAAAATAAGCGATGTGTCAGTTGCTATCAGAAGCCTATATTAGGGCCTTGTTTTTTATGTGCTGACTGCAGCCATTTGACGTTATGTAAATATTAATGTAGGCCAAAATTGTTTTTTCAACTGCAGCTTTAAAGAGTTTGAGCAGATAAAAGGCCATGATTCCAAGCATAGAATAGAAATCATAACATTATCAAATAGGACTTTTAAAATGTCCATATGTAGCGGATGTGGAAGAAATCCCTTAGTTTCGCCTAAATATAAGTGCAATATGTGCTTCAATTTTGAACTATGTGAGCATTGCTATATTAAAAAAGATACACTTGAATTGAAAGGATTTAATGCCCATAAACCTGAGCATACATTTACTAATTATTAATTAAGGGTTATTATCCAAGAAGAATTCATATAAATGCTATACTAAGTGTAATTAATCGTAACTATTGTTATATGTATATGACTTTGCTTCAAATCGACGCTATTTTTATAAATTGTTTATAATAAGGGTTATCAACTAATTACGTTTAAAAGTTTAAACTTTCTTCAATAGTCTTTCCTTGATTTATCAAACTCTGGAGCTCTTCTATTGTTGAGGTCGTAAAAGTTCGCATAATAACTTCATATAGTGAAAGCTTTGTATCTTTAAATGCTGGGATTTCTTTATGTATAAGCCTTGCTGTAATAATTTTATTTATAGTCAAAATGCTTTTAATTTCGGCTTCCAACTCTTGAATTATAGTTTCTTGCTTTGATATGTGGTGCTCCTTTGGTTTTGCAGATAATCTTTGCGATAATGTCTTTTTGCCACTCATTAATTTTTCTAACTGTGCTTTATCTTCTTCAAGTTTGCTTTCAGCAGATTCTCTTATCCTATCATACTCATTTTTCTTTTCAATAGCTTCTATAATCGCTTGCATATCCAATATTTCACACCTCACCCAATCCAATAAAATTTGATAAGGATTAATATGCGAATCTCTCAAAGGAATTTTTATTTCTCTCGCATTATAATTTTGCTGATAAAAGACATTTATATTTTTCAGACCTTGCATAAGTCCTAGGAGTTCATTATCAAAAGACGCATAATAATCCACATTTAATTTGCAGACATCTTCAAATTTTTCTAATGTTTCAAGTCCTCCTTGGAATAATTTTTCTGCTTCAGCTATTTGTCTGTTGGCTTCATCTGATAACTGGTATAATGAGAACTCAGTGAATTCGTTTTGTAAGCTATGAGCGATTTCTATGTAGTTTGGTCTTCTTTGTTCAAGAATGATTCTTTTATATTCGCCAGCACCTCTGAGAAAAAGTCTGAATTCTTCTGATGATTTTATATAAGAAAGCCCTACACATCTTTTCATAAAATATTCCAGTAATTTTCTTCTTTGTTCTATAAACTGAGGCTGCTTGTTTCCCTAAATAATTCTTACCACACGTTGCTTTGGCGGAAGCTGAGGAATATAACAGCCTGGCCATCTAATAACCAAACTTGATCGAAGAGCAATAAAATCTTTATAGCGACGATAAGTCTCAAATGGCCCTGAATTGTCTCTTCCAAGTATTGTATAAATAACGTGTTTAGTGATTTTATCCTCTTTAAAAATCGGATTTGTCACAGAAATCTGGATTTCTTCGTCACCTCTTTTGATTTTTGGAGTAAAATTGTCGTCAATCAGCTGAATTTGTCTGGAAATATTCTCGCTTACATTTTGCAGATAAACTTCTTCAGGCTCTTGCTCTTCTTCTACTTTCTTTGGAGGTTCTTGAACTTGCTCAACTTTCTTCGCAGGAGATTGAGGTGGAGATGAGGTAAGAGGGTCATAAAATAGTTGCTCCATAATAAATTTGTGAAATTTGGTGAATTATTTTGATTTTTAAAAATATACGAAAAACAGTATGGCTTCTAAATTGCTTTTGGTTTGTAGAAATATATCAGTTTGAAGAAGATTAGTTTATATCGAAATTTTCAATACTTCTGGTCGAAGAGAGGTAATTGTCTAGATTTACTTTTAAGAATTTTTCATAACGAATGGTTTTTTGGAAAGTAGAAAATAGAGAATGATAACCTTTGTTCTTAATTATAATAAATAATATCTACAAACGTATTTACCTCAATATATTTTGATATGCCAATGCTCTCGCCAAGAGAATAATAAATTATCAATAGCCGTCCTTTAAAAAATTGAAGATAATTCTCTGCAGACCATTAGGATCTTTGATTTTAGAATAGATTCAATCAATAATTAAGTATGAGTTCTCAATATAAATAATTTAATTAATAAATAAACACTTTAAATCATAAACCAGACAAATATCTATTTGCTTCAAAATATTTTTAGACTATGAGCAATAATAGCATCGAATAAACTTTTCATTTTTTTTCTTATTATAAGTAAAAATAGGAAAATTAACCATAGGCAAGAAATCTAATTAGCTATAATAAAATATAGTAATCAGCATTATTGCTATAAGGCTCAAAGTGAAAGTCAATTGGGATAAAAAGCTTTTTATTGGTATTTTAAGTTTTAATTCACAATAGGGTCATAAAAGCAAAATTTCCAATTAATTATTACAGTGAACTACACTGACTGGCACGGGGTGCTTTTGGCTCGAAACTGAGCCAAAAGCACCCCGTGCCAGTCAGTGTAGTTCACTGTAATAATTTTTGGGGGACTTAAAAATGAAGAGTGAAGAGAAAAATTGTATGGGCTGCAAAGACCCAATCTCCAGATTTATTCAACTTGCAAAGGATCCAACTAATTGTTGTCAGAAATGTCGGCGCTTTAAGTCAGCACTAGATGAGAGTACTCAACTTATAGAAAAAAAGCTTACTCCGTTCTTTGGAATATTTTTTGTGTAATTATTTTTTTTAATTTTTATATTTATGCCTCCGGACCTAAAGTAAATTTTTGCTTGTTATTAGTACTTTAATTATAAAATTTTTTTTTAAGGTATGGAAGAGTTAAGAAAAATCTTAGATATAAACACCCAAATCCAAAGAAAAAGCTGCAAGAATATGCACCCAAGCCCGGGAGAAATATACTTTTATTAAATGAAATAAAGCCAATATATTATAATAATTACTAATTTTTCTCAAAGATTAGGCTATTTGAAAATCTTCACACAATTATATTAATGTTTAAATTATATTAATTCACTATAGCACAATCCAATTATCCAAGTATACCAAACAAAGATGAAATGTCTAACTCCCCCCATTAAAAATGAACAGGCATACATTTTTTTAAATAATATTTTTAATATCCTTGCTATCATTAAATTTCTGATTTTATCAATTTTCTAAAAAATAAATTTAATATTCTCTCACATATATTTATTACAATTTTAAATTTTAAAATGATTATTGATTTTATAAAATGTTCATCACTAAATGGGGGAGTAAATATAAATTCCCTAACTTAATATTACACATTATTTTAAGAGTACATTTATAAAAGAGTGTATATATTATAATGGTTACAGAGAGAGTGTGCAATTATTTTTCAAATGATAAGAATAAGCAGATTCGCGGTGAAATTGATTTTTTTGCAAGAGTCAGAAATTGTGCAAGAGGATTTGATAACAAAGAAAAAGAAAAAATTATTGAGGAACTAAAAGATCTTGAAAATTTAGATCTATACGGTGAAGCTGCTATGGATAAATTGTCAATATGTGATATACCTGATACAGTTAAAGATTTGATAAATCAATACACCATGTATGTGAGAATAAACTTTAAAAAATGGGAAAGGAAGATTTAATAAACTTTACTTAAGTTTTAACTCTCATTAACGATCTTTATTTATAGTCTTCTAATTTACACTCACATTATTAAATTCTCAATGAATTAATTTAGATAAATCATTTAGGGTGGATATTGCCTTAGTAAATTTAAATTTATCGTTCTTGTATTAATATTAATTAATTGGCTTATAGATTTAAACAAACAACTAAATAAGCCATAAATTTATATACAAATCTATAAATTTTTTAAGTACAGCTCTCCTGTACTTTATCAAATTGCTTCTTTTGCAGCTTCAGATATTGATAATCCTGATTTATTATAATTATACTAAGGAAAGTCATGATTCAATAAACTTCAAGTAAGAGGAAATATATTGTTCTCATCAGAAATTCAAGTAATAATTTTGGGGGACTTAAAATATGAAAAAGGAAGAGAAAATTTGTATGGGCTGCAAAGACCCAATCTCCAGATTTATTCAACTTGAAAAAGATCCAAATAATTGTTGCCAACAGTGTAGGCGCTTCAAATCAGCACTAGAAGAAAGTACAGAACTTATAGAAAAAAAGCTTAAAAGACCTCTTGCTTACAAACCATACCCAACTAAAAAACCGCAAGAAGATGGAGTTCGATTGGGAAAAAATAATGTAATGCCTGCATGTGGGTATATCATAATGGTTACAGAGCGAGTGTGCAATTTTATTACCAAAAAGAAGAATAAAATGATTCGAAGTGAAATCGACTATTTCTCAAGAGTCAGAAGTTGCGTTAGATCATTTGATGCTATGGAAAGATATAAAATATGCATGGAGCTAAAAGAAATTGAAACTCTAGATTTAAATGGAGAAGCTGCTATGGATAAGCTGTCAATATGTGATATTCCTGATACAGTTAAAGATTTGATAAATCAATACACCATGTATGTGAGGATAAACTTTAAAAAATGGTGTAAAAAGGAAGATATAAAAATTTACTTAGAATAATTGATTCCTAAAATTTTAATTAATTAAACTCTTTTAAATTGACTTTTGTAAGCTAAAAATGACGCTATTCAATATTCCATAAACTTATACATGAATTTATATTGCTTTGCAGTCGCAACCATCCCTCATCTTTGTTCCCTCAGTTTTCTTACAGTCCCAAATATAGATAATGTTGGGTCTGTGTCTAAATCGTATAGCTCCTCACAAAGCCTTTCATCTAACTGAGCCACAAGATTATTAAGTCCAATTAAAACTCCAGTTCTTCCTATTCCTGCTGAGCAATGTACTGCAATCTTTGAGTTTCCTTGCCTTTTTTTCTTTATCATAGAAATCATGTAATTAATTGAACTGAATTCATCAAATACTTTAGGTACCCCTTGGTCTGGCCATGAAGTACTTTGCAAATGGGTGATAATTTTACATTCATCACTGGGAATATGAGTCACTAGTAGAGTTCTTTCTATTAAAGAGGAGTATCTATTAACCTTCTTTATTAAGGTAATTTCAAACTCTATCAAATGAATTGAACATTTAGTCGGAAAATATTCTTCACATTTCGAAACTCCTCCCTCCTGTACGCTACACATCATGATTATCAAAGAAACATTATATTCTCATATCATACTCCAGAATGCATCCATAGTACATCTAAGAGGACCTTGTGTAGCTATAAACATTTGCTCAGAATTTGCTATTGATCCATCAATAAAGCTAGCATTTATATAAAGGTAATATGAAAGAGGAACTATCGTATCTCGATATGGTAAAATATCTGCATAGCGATTTAATGGGCAAGTAAGGGCAGAATTTTCTATAAGCAGTTCTGCGTGCTGTTTAGTTTCAGTTATCCTTTTTACCACTCTGAATTCAAGATTTTTATCACGGGCTCTGCTATGATAGAAAAATTCTTTGTAAGGAATTCCTGCTTCTAATTCGACTATTTCAGGGTATTTTATTAAGTATCTGCTTGATAAATCCCGTTTTGAATGAAAGCCTAAGATCGGAATATCCATTTTTTTAAATTTATTGGTAATCAACAGTACCCAGAGGGCATATTATTGATTAACAGAAAATATAGAATTCTCTTATTTATAGGGTAACACAAATTGCTAGAATCTTCTTCGTTCAATCGTTAGAAATAACTATAGCTAATTTGAGTTCATAATAAAATGGCGATTTCTGATAGTCGAGAAATATTGAAAATCATAATGAAACATATTATTGCTGGCTTGACATTCATGGTTCATGCTCAAATTGCAATATTAGAGGGCCATCAGTGAAGCATTAAAATTATGTTTTTGTATAATAATTTATTTTCTAGTTAATGATGCATGGATTTAGATATCATGCAGACTATAAACTATTATATTATATAAGTCAAAGCCTAAATTCAATGCGAAAGTGGATATCCAAAATGAAATTATAGTAGATCATTAGCTTTTAACTATTAAAATATTTAAATAAAATATGGTTAAGTTTAAGAAAAATTATCATCGCGTTTACTAGACATTTAAAAAGAATTAGTCTCTAATCGCTAATTGTGAATTTTTATTAGGAGTCTCACTTTCCCATATTAAATAATTGAGATCTTATTTAGACAAAAGCATGAGGGTAATTACTGTGTGTTTCTTCTATTTTTTGCTTTTTACAAGAATTAACGAGCTTGATTAAGAGACAGATAATTCCGAATGCAGATAATTTTTTATTTTATATTAAAAAATTTAATTGATCAAATTAAGATCCTTAAAAAATATTCTGCTTTATTTTATTTTAATTATATTGATCTTTAAGATCGAATAGAATTTATTAATTCATCATTAGAATTTACTTTCATGCTAAGCATCTTAATATAAGATTCTATATAAAATAAAGTGGCAATTGTTCAGATCTTTTTTTGGAAGTTGGATCTCTAAAAGTAATCAAAATGCTAAAAATATTAGCCTTTTATACAGATCACCAAATATAGTTTTCATAAGAAATTAAAGTTTTAATAAAAGTTTAGATATATCACTAATTAAGCGATGCCCTCGCTTCAAGTGACTAATTGTACTATTTTATTTGCTACTATTCTTTCAAGAACTTTGCATCCCTGCCCTGTCTTTACTGAAATCTCTATATAAATCATTTTATGACGATCAGCGAAGGTTTTTGCTTCTTCGTAACAAACAACTCTTTTATTATTCATATCAATTTTGTTTCCAACCAAGATTCCAAAAACTCTATCGCCCGCAGTCATCTCAAACTCGTCTTTCCAAATGCTGACATTTTTAAAGGAAGATCTATTTGTTATGTCAAAGAAAATGAAATAAGCTTGAGCTCCTCGTATATACTGGTGGCCGAAGCTTGTCACTCGAGCATGACAGTATCCCAGAATTGAAGGGCTAAAAGCTTTTCACCTATTTGGTATTCTTTACATAAGAAATCTAAACCGATTGTACATTTATAGCTCATACTGAAACGGTTCAAAAGCATTTCTGATATATTTTAATTATGATTTGGGTGTATTTTACTGTGTTCGTTCCATTTTTACATCATACTTTTAAGAGTCAATTCTTTTATTAAAGCTAGTTTTCCCAGATTTCGAATCCCCTATAATTACAACTTTTTAAGACTTTTTCTCAAGTGATTTCAAATAAAATTGCTTAAGACTATAATTTCTGGAAAAAACAGAGAAGTGCACAAATCAATTATTATGCCTATTGTCAGTATTAAAACAATTTATTCAATCAACATTTTAAGTTCTTCCATAAAAAATTTTACAGATCTTTTTTTTATTCATAATTACTATTTACAGTAAGATAACAGCTATTTAATATTCATCTTATGAGTTTCCTTTCATATGAACATCTTAATAAAAGATTCTATATAAAATAAAGAGACAATGTTAGATCTTCTTTTGGAAGTTGAATTATCTAAAATTAATTAATATGTTAAAAATATTAGCCTGTTATATGCTAAATATGTTTTTATGAGAAATTAAAGTTTTAATAAAATTTTGACTCTATAATTAATACAGCGATGCCCTCGCTTCAATTGACTTATTGTGCTATTTTATTTGCTACTATTCTTTCAAGAACTTCGCATCCCTGCCCTGTCTTTGCTGAAATCTCTATATAAATCATTTTATGATGATCAGCGAAGGTTTTTGCTTCTTCGTAGCAAACAACTCTTTCATTATTTATATCAATTTTGTTTCCAACCAAGATTCCAAAAACATTATCGCCCACATTGCTCTCAAACTCGTCTTTCCAATCGCTGACTTGTTCAAAGGAATATCTATCTGTTATGTCAAAGAAAATGAAATAAGCTTGAGCTCCTCGACAAAATGCATAGCCTAAGCGCTGGAAACCTTCCCGCCTTGGAGTATCCCAGAATTGAAGGGTTAAAAGTTTTTCACCTATTTGGTATTCTTTACAGGAGAAATCTGAGCCGATTGTACGTTTATAGCTCGCAAAAAATTTAAAGGATTTCTGATATATTTTAATTAGAAATCTATTAAGTTCGTGAGCTATAAATTTTAATTAATATAGGTCTATAGCTCTCACTGAAACGGTTCCCAATAACTTTATTCAAAAAGCTAGTTTTTCCAGATTTCGATTCCCCTATAATACAACTTTTCCAGGTATTTTTCTCTCCTCTTCCATTGCTATTAATTATTATATTTTTAAAGCTAGTAAATAAACAGCAATTTAATAGTTTCATCTTTATCACAAGCTAAAAATTTGAGTGCTTCTTACTGAAATCCTTTCTTAAAGTATCAAACTTTATTTTCTCTTCAATTAATTCTAAAATTATAAAACTAAATCTTCAAATTTCGATTACCTTTTTTAATTTAAATAATGGACCAGATAGATGCATTTATTATCAAAAAATATTTTACTTTTTAATATTTTTTCAATGTTCCTGCATCCTTTTCCTGTCTTTGCAGAAAATTTCTATGTAAGCCATGTTATAATTATCAGCAAAAGCTTTAGCTTCTTCATATCTGATTTTTCTTACTTCATCAGCCTTATTCCCTGCTAAGATTATAAATTTCCCATCGAATTCAATGTCGGTTAAATCATCCAATCAAAATTCAATTTGATTTAACTCGATGGATTTGTAATATCAAAAATAATAACGTTAGCTAGAGAAGATTTAAAGGAAAAATTACCCAAATTTCTAAATCCTTGGTCTTTATCTGTATCTCAATATCGAAGAATTGCTGTTTTATTGTTTACTTGGTATTTCTTATATGCAATACCTGTATTAAATTCATTTTCATAAGATGGAAAAAAATCTTTGGAAGGAATGTTATTGAAAAATTGGGTTTTCCAGTACCTTCATTTCCTAAAATTATGACTTCTCCAAATAGCTTTTCTTGTTCCTCCATTTGAGCTCAAAAAATATTGATAATTAATATTACTAACTAGTTGACTAATTACATAAAAATATTTGATCTGTTGATGGCTTATAATAACTTTTTAATGTGAAAAATATTGCAAATATATGTAATAAAAACAGTAATTCTTTTTGTCCAAGATAGACTCAATCATCTGACAACTATAGATTTTCCATAAACTGCGATTATTTCAATTATAATCGCTGCTAAATATTTAAAATTAAAACGCCTGGGGTGTTTCTAAAGATCAACAAATGACGAGAAAATCTCAATTTTATATGAAAAAAGCATCTTCAACTCGTTTTAAATTTACTACTTTATTAGATAGCTTACTCTATAAATATTAAATTAATTAAAAATAAAACCATTTCAATCTCATATTTTATAATATAAAAGTGCTTTTTTCTAAGGTCGCAATACTTATTCAATTAAACACCTTATATCTACTCACAATAATCAAGTTTGAGCTTTTTGCACGGTCCCATATTACAACTCCTCAATTCCTCACTTTTCTGAGGCAAAATCACATTTGGGTAAAAGCCATAAAATTGATCAGGCACAGTCTGATATAAAACTTGGTTATTCAATTCCCATATTTGCTTAAATTGCTCCATTTGTGCAGCATATTCTTCGAATATGTTTTCTGAGTCTTTCAGCCTGAAGAGTTGTGGCATTTTTGGCTCATGAGGCCTTTCTACAGTCCTGAAATATTTTTGAGCATGGGATCTTACCTGTACCAGCGTCCTTGTGGCGATGTGATTTTGAATCTTATTTCAGTCTTTCCCATATAAATTAAGGGCTTCTTCAAACTTCTTTTTCTCCTCAGAATTCCATCGTCCTTTGTTATAATTTTCTTGAGATTGAAAATCTTGGTTCATTATATTGTTTATAAATGATTCCTCTTTACAGAAAATTCTTCATGCGTTATGGAAGCTTTGTGGATAAGAAAAAATAATGGAAAAATTCTCAAAATCATAGAAAATGAATGCTGATTAAAAGCTTTGTGGGAATAAATAAGGTAATGAGGAAGCCTTTTGAAGGGAGAAATATTGGGATTTTAAAGGCTTAATAAGTTTGAATTTCTTCATTATTCCATTTTGGTGAATTTTATTTGGAGTCCTGCTACAAAAATTTTGGAAAAGTCAATAAAAGTTGATTGATTTCTACTGTTGAACATATTTTGATGACGTCTCTCTTACTCTCCATTTAATAGGATTTCTCTTTTATTATAGTTAATTTTATTGAAAACCAAAAGAAAATAGTTATTTAGTAGGGAGTTAGAAATATGCTTTTTGAAAATTCATGAATTTTGCTTAAATATTACAATATTTGGAGATTGGGGCATAGCATCTGAAATATATAATTAGATAAAGCTTTTGTCTAATTTAAAAAAAAAATTTTTGTTTATCAGAAATTGAATTCTAGATGGTTTTCTAATTAAATATAAAAAACGACACCTATGAGATTTGAACTCATGCGGGGAGACCCCATTAGCTTACTCCCCCATCCTTTAAATTGGAACAAAATATCATAAAAAACTGGCATTTTTTGGGTACTTTGAACCCCTTATATTGTAACACAATTTACTTTTCAATAGGGAAATTTTATCGATGAAAATTCTAATTTTTTATAAAATTAGTTTTGCCTAATTTTAATAGACAAAATGCAACTGGAATACTATTTAAATAATTTTTCAACAAATCGATAATTTTTAAATAGTTTTTATATATTAATTTTATATATTAGTTTTAACGTAAAATGCAATTAGAATGCTATTTAAATATTTTTCATACTGAATTCGATTAATGTTTTATGTAATATAAAGTTTTTTTAAAAAACAAATCAACTCTCCTTTTAATTGTAAAAGGATTTTGTACCAATCTAAAAGGGGGGCTTAGCAGGCTAACGCCTTAACCACTCGGCCAAAGTGTCGGTTAGAGTCCCTCAATTTATTCTTTCTTTTATACTTAATTTTATTAAGGTTAATTTCACTATCGATCACTTTAAATAAAATTACTATTCGTCTGTGGGATTTTTTTGCTACAATTAATTGGTTAATTATTACTCCTTTATAAGCGATTTCAGCCGAATAAGTTCGTCTTGATACAATTTCCAAGCTAATTTGGTAAATCTTACTTCTTGTCCTTCAATGCCACTCTCACAGTTAATCATTTTTCTCTCCCACTCTTCTCTATTTAAAATATTTTTCTCTTCAAGATCGTCAATTTTATAAGCAATATTTTTCATATCCTCGATAGAAACCTTAATTTCTTCCATTACATCTTCTTTTGTGCAGTCTTCATTTATTTGGCAATATGACTTGACATCATTAATAGCTAATAAGCCTTTTTCTATGCATTTACTCGTGAGCTCAATAATTGACATACTATTTCCTATACTCATCTCTTCTTCTTTTTGCAAAATATAAAATTTCATCGGGGAAATGTGTCTTATTATCATAAAAAATTCTTGTTTTGATATAGAATCTTTATTTTCATTATATTTTATCGCAAAAATGACCTCATCAATTCCTTTTTGTATTTTTGCTATATACTCTTCATATAATTCTACCATTAATTCTAATACATATTCTTCTTCAATTAGCCCTGTAGCGTTGATTTTTAGTGGGTCTTGTATTGAAGCCTGCTCTACTTGAGAAATTAATTTACTTATAGAAGATTTCTCCACAACACCATCAAGCTTATCTTTTATACACTCAATAGCCCTTACAGTTGGCATATAAATAATATCAGCAGTTTCATCAAATGAAGAGTTTATCCCAATTTTTGCTTTTTGCATAAAGGAAAGTGATTTCAAATAAAACTGAAAAGAAAACATAGAATACCCTTGCAAGCTAAGTTTTTTACTCACCCCAGTGAACTTCAAAAACATCAAAGAACGCTTTGAATCTGAGGACCTTAAAACTGACGCGATAAATTCAAGGAATTTTCTATCAGTTATTTTTTTCAGTGTATATTTATCTGACATGTCATTATAAAGATAATCAATTACAGAGTGGGAATTGTCAAGATGGCTGGAAAAGCAAGATGTATAAAACGATGACATAATTTTATTCACCATTCTGCGGCTCATTGTAGCTTTTCTTAGAATCCATTTCATCGTGCGGCTTAAAAATTTTTTAAGAAGATTTGTGGATGATGGCATTTTTTTGCGGATTTTTTTATTTTCACGTTTATGGAAATGAAATTCGGCGAATTTGGTATACTCTTTTATTTTTCGTTTTTCCATGGATTCTCTTCGTTCTGTCCTTCCAGGAGACTTTAAATCTTCTTCTTTGTCGATTTCTTTATTTTCTTCTTCACCTTCATCTTCTTCGCTTTCGATAGTATATTTTTCGCTATCAGAACTTAGATCTCCTTCCTCCCCAGAGTCTTCACTTTGATTTTCTTGTAACTTTTCTAAAGCTTCAGTCCCTGATTTTTTGATTTGGCTTTTCATTGTATTTTCTGCTCTTCTTCTATGCTTTTCTCGGTGTCTTCTTTCAGTTTTTGCTGCGCTACCTTCTTCGCTTTCAGATTTTTCTTTGAATTCTCCTTCACTTTCTGACTGTGGGTCAGTTTCCCAATATGCTTCATCGGAAACATCTAATTGAGAAGGTCGTGAATTATTGGTATATTCTCTTGCAGCTTTTAAATAGCCATTTATCTGACCTTCTTCAATGCCAAAGGAATTATTAAAATGGCGAGCGGAGTTAAACCCTCGGTGTTCTGCGAGTTGATCCAGACCTGAGAATAGTGGATCCCGCTGGCGATAGTTCTCGGGGTGGGTTTTTGTGCTACCTTATCTCCTTAATCTACAGAAGGTAGGCTGAGGTGCTACATCCTTCTGTACTTTTTGGGGAGCAGTCTTTAGTCTGCAATAGGGCTAAGACAGGCCAAAAAGGAGATTTTGGATAACTCAGCGGTATGTAAAGTCCAACTGACGGTAAGCAGCACTTAACGGCTGGTCAAGGATCAAGATCTGAATATGTGAGTCTCCCTAGCAGACTGTCTCCCGTCACCCTGACGTCGATAGAAAAAGGCGTTAATTAGAGATAGTTTCTGAGCCTCCTGAGCGTGAAACTAAATCATGAAGGGGTAGGGGCTAAAAATTACCCAACAACCCTCTAGAATCAATCTTAATCAATGCCAAAGGCTTCTCCTTCTTTGAAGCCTTCACGCTTGCCTAGTTCATAGCCAGCTTGATAGCCTAACGTTCATGAAGGAGAATCTGCATTTGGAGGAATGATATTTACTATATCAATGCGCTCTTCTTCTAATTCTTTCGAGCTTGTAATTGAATAAGAGCGTAGAAGCAGATTTGGATTTTGAGGAGACAGTTCTTTAAGGGTTCGAGAAGATTTAAAAGGAATCTTACTCCCCCCCTCCGTGAGTGAACAAAACCATTAGAAAAATCACCATTTTTTGCCCAAAACCCGCCCTCTGTGAGTGAACAAAAATTTTTTTAATAGAAAAATTTTTGATATATAAATGATAATTAGTATAATGAAATTTCGAGCTAATTCTGTTTAATTTTTAAACAAATTGCGTTTTAAAACATAAATTTTTATAAATTTAATTAATATTTGCTTCCCATTTTTGCAAATTAGGTTTTTTTAAAATTTCGAAAAAAATTTTTTTCTATAAAATTTATATATAAATGTTTTTAAAAAAAAAAAATTAACCCCCTCCGTGAGTGAACAAAATTTTTTTTTGTTCACTCACGGAGGGGGGGGGAGTTTAGGACTTTGGTCAGCGCTTATCGGACTTGATACTGATTTTTCTAGGCTTATTTTTGCTAAATTAGACTGAGAGATAGAACGATTTTTCGAATTTTTTTTCTTGAGCGAAATTTCTTCTTCGACTTCTAATTTTTCTTGAACATAAATCTCTGGAGCTTTTTCTCGTATAGGAGTGTTTTCTTCTTTACTTTGCTGCTCCTTTATACTTCTAGAAGTATTTGGAGTAGAAAAAGTTCCTTTATTTTTATTTTGTCTGTCTTTCTTTTTTTTAATATCAAGAGAAGGTATTGAAGTTTTTCTAGCGCTGTTTATATCTACTTTCGAGCTTTCATTATTTTTTTCTAATATTTCCTTATTTTGAGAGACTTCTTTTGCTAATTGGTATAACTCTTCTCTTTTTTTAGAAATTTCTGATTCTAGGTTTTCAAGAGTTTCCTCATTTTCTGAAAAATCAATAGAATTTCTGGATTGTTGTAAATCAGATTCTCCATTCTTTTTTTTGGATAAAGTTTTGCTTGATTTTATTGGCTTGGTAGAATTAGCACGATTTTTTTGAGTATCAAGCTCGGAAGTATTGGGGATTGCTAGCATCCCAGATTTTCTTCTAATTTTTACTGGCTTTTGAGCTTTTTCTTTAATTGATTTAAGATTTAATAATTTTTGCTCGTTCTTTGGTGGCTCAGAGGATTCTGAATATGTATTAGCTGGAGCTTCTTGAACTGCACTTGTCTCACTACTTTCGATTTTCGTGATTTCTGGAGCTTTTTGAGAATTTTCATTAATTTTCGGAGTTTCAGGTACATTATTCGGGATTATTTCAATTGTTGGGGCAACTATGTCTTCTTTATCATCGCTAATAAAAGTTTCATTAGCATTGCTTGATGAAATTTCAGCAGCTTCTTCAGGAATATTTTGGACTAAATTTTCGATAAAGCCAGTCTGAGTATATCGATTTTTTGTGACTACTTTTATTGCTTCTTTTTTTACCACTTCTTTTACTATTTCAACGATTTTTATAATCTCATGTTTCTGCTCAGGCACTTCTATTTTTGTTTCTGGGATCATGACTTGGACTTCTTGGTCTACCTTTTCTACAGTTTCCAGCATGTGTCTATAAGCTTTATTAACGTTTTTTATGTCTTCTCCACCAAATCTAAAGCTTCGGTTAATGATTAAATTCTCCCTTTCTATTGGTGTTTCTCTGGTATCTTCATCTGTGGTTTCGAATTTTAATTTTTCATCTACATGCTTAATAAAATTTTCTTTTAATTTTCCTATTTCTTTTCTTAGCTTCATTTCTTTCTTTTTTCATTCAGCAGCTTCTTTATCGTATTTTGCTTTTAAATTATCATACTCCTTTGTTACAAAATCAAAATCTTTTTTAACTCCTTTCTTGTTTTCTTTTAGATTTGCTATTTTTTCGCTCAAAAATTTTATATAATTAACTGATTTTGTCATTTGCGCATTAAACTGCTCTTCTCTTTTATCCTGCTCTATTTTAGCTTCTTCTTTTGAATTTTCGAAAGATTTTTCATGGATTTTTTCTTTTTGTTTAAAAATCTTTTGGAAGCCTTTGAAGACTTCTTCTAACCTAAGTTTATGGCGAGTATACCTCCTCCCTCTGCGGGTAGCTTTGCCTCTTCTAAAAGGGCCTTTTCCCGTCACAACACTTGACCACGGGTCCTGCAGAAGGCCAAGAAAAAGTGACCGGCACAGAATCAGCTTATGCTGAGAATGAGCAAGTGGATAACAAGTCCCAAACCTACTCACTCAAACCGCAAGTGCCGTAAATGTGAAACGGGCAACCACCTGAGAGGAGGAATCTAGAACCTGGAGTATGGAACCGTACCGCAAATCTGGCAGTAGCTTAATTCAGATCGGTATACTGACTATAATTCTGATCAGAAAATAAATAGTTACGATAAAAAAGACTTTCTTCTAATAACTCTCCTCTGTCTAAGCAATAAACTGAAACTTGGCGTACTAATTCTCTTTGGCAAGTAGTGAAAATTAATTCAGCAGATTTGATTTCTTCAATAGAGCTGTCATTTTCTGATTCAAAATTAGTGAGATAGCGAGATTTCATAGCTGAGAGTCAGTTTTTCAAATTTGATACTTCTTGACGGCCAGAAGGGTTGCCTAAGTCATATCTTTCCGTTATTTCAATATGCTTTTCTGGGGCAAATGGAGAACCTTGAAGGTTTTTCTTTAAGTTTCCTTCACTCGGGTTATTGACTAATAAATGATCGATACAGTTTTCTTTTTTGCATAAGGCTTGATTTATGAGTTGATGGTTTCCTGGAGGTCTGGGAGATTCGCATATGTCCATTCCTTCCAGGAACTTTTCCAAAGTTTTAATGTCTGTTGGAAAAATTGTAATAGGCTGCAGAAGTGCCTTTGAAGATTTTATTGTGTCTTTCAGATATGAAACATCTGTTGTGTTTGTGTTTAATAAATATTTCCCTAATTCTGACAACTCTTCTTTCGCATTTTTTATTAATTGGGCTCCTGAGTATTTTCCCCTGACCCCTTGTCTTTAATCGAACAACTCTATAAAGTTTTCTAAAACTTTTCATGGCATATTTGATGAATTTTTTCATTGTCCAAGCAAGAAGCCTCCATCCTCTTCCAACCTTCAAATTCTAACTGCCTATAATAATAAATATTAAAGAGGTTGCGGTATATTAATTTCGAAGAGCTCTGGTGCTGTTTATTTATATTTACTCCTAATTATACCATTTCTCGAATCTCTAATGCTATAAATATTAAAGCTGTGATAAGTGAGTTAATAAAGAATGATGGCCAGTCGTTTGATAAAGGATAGAAGGAGTGAGGGATTTTAAGGTTCGATAAATTTGCATTTTTTTTGGCTTCTCTTCAAGTCATTATATGTCGAGCTGATTTAATTGGAGTTGTTATATCTTCATTGTCAAATGACCTATAAGTAGATGACGCAGGTTTTGATGATTTGGATTTCATATAGATATGATTATTTATATCTAATTAGAGTAAAAATAAAATTCCTACTGACTGTATTTATCCTATCTGCAAATAGTAAATAGGATGATAGCTAATCATAATAATGCTTTTTATATTGTATTTATGCATATTTTTTAGTGTTCAATATGTAACTTTATGAGAAAAAATATTATGTGAAATGAGAGCTTATAATTATAAAATAGCCATTTCTGAAGTCTGTATAGATCAAAGAAGGATAGCTAAGATTATTAAATTGATAAAAAATCTAGTATAAGATATATAAAATAGAAATTAATGATTCAGATTATTAGTATTCTGGGTACAAGTAAAAAGTTCTTGCAAATAGGTAGATATTAAATATTTAATATTTAATATAAAATATGCCAGAAGTTCTACCTGCGAACATGTGGGCATATCAAATTGCCAACGCCTGCTATTTTTTATCTTACGTCCAATGGAATCAAGTTTATCTTCGATTTGTCTTAACAGTCGGCTGCATATTTTTCGTTATATGAGGGTTTTTAGGCTTAGATAACCAAGTCGATATCATCATATGAAATTTCGGTCAAGCATGCATAAATTTAATCCACTGGATTTTGATGGTTCGTAAGAAGATTGTTTTCAATTTCGGTGACCCAGCTGAAGGTCTATACCAAAATGTCTTTAAGAACGTTTATTCACGATACGAATTCAAGCTTTTATTACACCGATGCATAAAAATTGTGGAATATAAGTCAGCGAGTTCCCAAATATTAAAAGCAGGTAACGATTTTGACACGATCGCGATTTTAGGCGTAGTCCATCCTGACACTAAAGTCCAGCTAAAAGTGGAAACACCTGGAAGTGAAGCTGTGGTTTCAGAAAACATGGAATCGTATTCCTGGCTTGGGGTTATTGATTATATGAATTTGCTGGAAGGCAAAAAAGAAAGTAGAGACTATGAGCAAATTTGCAATATTTCTGTAACAATAACTGATATTGTTCAGCCACTAAATGTGTTTAAAATCGATATCAAGAAAATGGAAAAACTGTTCAGAATCCAGACCCATGGTATGGCTATACAAAATGGGATGTATGCAAAAATGCTTGATTTTGTAGGGAGCTTTATTGTCAGTTTAGATTTGGAGTTTATTGAAGCTAAAAGAAATTATTTTAGTGTCATGAATGATAATGATAATGAAGAATAATTTATTTAATTACACATTTATGCCTAGTTACAGTGAATAAAAGCATTCCTACTGTTAGCATATTCCTATTACTACATGAAAATATGAAATTTCTTGCTTTAATTCATATATAATATTATAAGTATTGCAATTAATATGCACTTCATGGCCAATTAGGTTTTTAAATGCTAAATCTTTTAAGTAATAAATATTAAAAATTATAGTAAAAGTCTTTCGCTCAGATTTTGTTTATAGTTTTCTGCTACCGAATCTTGAGTCTTTTCACTATTACTTTGTAAGGATATTATGTCCCATGTGAATAGCATTTTTATTGCCCTTTTAATTATATCTTCTTTAAAGCTAATGTCATATTTCACAGGTTCTTCTTCATGCTTCTTCTCAAATCTGCCTACAATAAGATAAGCAAGCGCAGCAATTGTATTAGGCTTTACTTCTTCTACTTCTATAAGAATATCTTTCCAAATCTCTTTAAATGCTGTTTCAATAATTTTATCCCTGTCCATAGCCATTGAAAAGATTGGAGACTGTGGAGGCTGTGGAGGTTGCAGAGGCTGGTTTCTTGATTCTTTATATCGTGGCTTAAATTCCTTTTTTTTATCTCTTCCAAAATACATCTCAATTAAAGTTTCATCATAGGTTACTTGCATTCCAATTTCTTGGATTATTTTATGATCCCTTAAATCCTCGTAGACCATATCTGATAATTCACTGCTTCCAGGTAAACAGTCAGCAAATCCTGGCAAGGCTTTTCGCTTTACTGAAATAACGGCTCCGTCTGAAAGGTTTTTTATCTGGGCTTTGGCTGATCTTATTTTGGTTGCTCTAATTTCTTCATGGATGAGGAATTTTTCATAATATTTGTTAAGGACTTCATAGTAGAGATTGTCAAGGTATTTTTCTTGTAAGGATATTTGTTGTGGTTGAGGCTTTGGTTGGAAAAATGGAGCTTTGAGCTCTTCTCTTGGGCTATTAGGATACTCTGAAGATGCTTCGGTACTCGCGCAGGAGTCATTGTAGTAAAGCTTATAAAAGTTTTCTTTGTACATCTGTAATGAAATTCTTGGAGAGATTTTCTTATAAACGTCTAATCTCGATGTGACTAATTTTGCATCTGGCCAGCGTCCTAAGATTAAACCCATAAGAAAACCTCTTTGAAACTCATTAGCTACCCTAAAGATGAAAGCACCTCCTGCTAGTGCCTGATCTATATCATTACAAGGCGCAAACCGAGCTTCGATTTCAGAGCTTGGTATGAATGTATCAGGCACTAGAAGGATTGTATTTTGATCGTGAGGGATGTATTCTACATTTGCAATAGAAGAGAGAATGTCAACTACATATCTACCCATAATTATTATAAAGCTATAAGTTATGAATGGAAATTTTGCTTAAATATGAGGGAAAATACAAAACTTGGACAAAGATAAATTTGGCATTATTAAAAGATGTATTACTACTGGTAAATTTTAAATTAAACCGACTGTTATATAATTGTTGAAAATAAAGAAAGTTCTACTTGTAAATATTTAGAATTATCTAATAATAAATTTCAGTGAACCAGTAACTATGATGTCTTTTACAAAATAATTGAATTTTTCTTATAATTTGAGACAAAATCTCTAGAGTTTAATTTTTAAGTTGACCTTTTTTCCTGTTCATTTTTATGGATTTCGGGAATAATTGATATAAATAAGAATTAGCTATGATTTATCATATTTTTTTGAATTTAAATAAATAAAACATTGTGCTAATTTAAAATTATCTTATATTTAATTATTCATTGTAAATTATAATGTATAAACAATAAAGAAGTTAATTGATCATAATTCTTATAATATAAAGCTGATTGTGCTTATTTATATAGATTACTTTTTGCTTTATTTATAAATATGTATTTAAGCAATTCAAAGAAAAGTGGAGGATCAATTTTGACTTTAGCTGGACTTTTTTGCTACCTTTTAGGCTTAATTTTTGTGTTTGATCGCTTCTTTCTTATCATAGGCAACTTACTCTTTACAGGTGGGACTTGCTACATTGCTGGTACAGCGACTTTATTATCATTTTTCTTCAAACCTTCAAAATTAAAAGGATCAGCATGCTATTTTATTGGATTCTTTTTGATAATCTGCAATTGGACAATCTTAGGGACATTTATTCAATTATTTGGATTTTTCTATTTATTTAGAGACTTCGTTCCTCAGTTATATTCATCATCAAAATATATCCCAGGAGTTGGATCTTATATTTGCAATTCTCCTTTTATTCATGAACTGGTGGGGAAAATATCGGGACAAGGGAAAGCTACCTCAGTTTAATACACATGACTTGGCTAGCATAAATTAAAGCATAAGTAAAAACTATTTAATTAAAAAGTTTAGAAATGTGCCAAAGCAGCCAATGGTGTTTGCAAATTAATCATAGAATTATTGAAATATTTGATTCAAATAAGTCACTTATTTCTCATTGTTTGGGCTGAAATTATGTACTCAATCATCAAATAATTATTTTAACTCCATAGTTTACCTCCCTTGTTGCTAAATTCACTCTTTCTGTTTTTGCTGGTATATGTTCAAATTAATAGAAATGCTTTTAATTAAATTATAATCACAAAATTATTTGTTTTTGATATCTTATTCTTTCCTCCATTCCCTTATTTCCTGATTTTCTTTTTCTTTTGAATATTTTCCATTAATTCAATAGTTTTCAATTATTATCATTATTTGAACATGAACTTAAGTTATCATCAAGATCCATCTATCTTGACTACACCTAAATCAAGCCAAACCTATAAAAAAATTGACCCAAAAATTATCTTCAAATCCCAAATATGCGACTTTTCAAAACCTCAACGAATAAAAGGGTTTCCAATGTCAGCTGGGCCCAGAAGTAACAGTATCAGCCCAATGAGTCGCATTGTAAATACAGAGCCAAGCCACTCAGCTCTTTCTTCAAGAAAGCTTGAAAAAGAGCTACGAGATATAAACGATGACATTAATGATGAATAATTAGATATGGCATCTTATCACTTCGCGGTCGGCTACGCCAACTGCCTTCGAGTATATATTTAATCATATCCGCAAATTTTTTTTTATCCAAGAAATGGATAGCAATGCTAGATAAGCAATTCTTGACGTACCAGAGCTTAGCCCAAGTCCAGTTTCAAAGATGGTTTTACCTCAAGGGAAGGGTGGCAAGGAAGTTGGAAAGGGGTCACACAGCAGCGTCTACAGAAATCCTATACAAATCGGACACTTCATTGCGTGAAACCAGGAGTTACGCCCTGGCTATGTATAGGAGTTTCCTATGTTTGGCGCTGTAAGGCCGATAAATTCTGATCGGAATTTATCGGTTGGTTGCACCAAATCAATGCCTGGGTCGGACCAAAAAGCGATTTGGTCCGACGAACTTGGAAAGCTCCTGGGAAAATGTCTGCGCTTTCAGCGCTATATAGAGGAAACCTCTATATTTTCCCTTTTGCCATAAGTCGGCCCAGAAATTCCATTTTTTTGGATTTTTGTGTGGACACCCCTTATTTTCACCCAACAGCCTCAAGCAAGGCTGCACAAATCCGAAGACTGTCCACTTAATATTGAAGCCGAAAGGCAAGGAGGAGACACTACTGTCATTGGTGGAAGACACGTATCGGAGATCCTCTGTGATTGCGTAAAAATAAGGTTCGAGCTTCTCTGTTTATAATTAACTTAAGTTAAATTAAGAGCTTAATGATGAAAATTTTCCTCCACAAATCAGTTCAACGTATGATCAAAATTCCATAATTCACAACAGACTAAAATTTACTGTCAATAGAGCCCACAAAACCATTGATAATTCAAATTACAACGAAATCGACTACCTAAATAAATTATGCAACCACCTTATTACTGAACAAAACAAGCTTAAAATCAAGCTAGCTCAACAAGAAGACATGATAGAAGGGATGAAATCAAAATCCAAAACCTCAAATAGCCCTTTAAAACTGTTTCAAGAAGCAGTAACTCATCTTGAAAAAGAAAGAAAAATAAGGCAATTAAGTGCAAGAAGGTCGGCTACACCGAGAAAAAGAAATATTGTGATAAGTCATGGTTCAGCACATAAAGAAAATACAGCTGATTTCTCTTTGAACTTGAAAGGGTTAAAAAAGGACGACGATGAGCTTTTTACTTTTAGGCCAAAATCGCCAAGCACTCCTAATCATGGAGCTTTCCCAAGAGAAGTTTTCAGAAGAATCAAATAATAATGATATAGTCTTTTGGCATAATTTAGTAAAATGCGTCCACTTGTGGATTCGAACTTGACATGTGGAATAGCATTCTGTATGTCAGCATGCAGAATCCATATGTGGAACGCTATTTCACACTTCAAGTTCGAACCCACAAGTGGACCCTTTTTATTAAATATAGCCAAAAGAGTATAATATAATTTAAACTGAGAACACTTGCAATTACTTATTTTCTGTAGAAAGGACAGCATCTACTTGGCGATTAAAATAATCGTCGTCATCCAGCTCTCTTATATTAACTTTGAAGAGTTGCCTGATTAATTTTTCATGTAGAGTTGCCATATAAGCAATAGCAGGGCTCGCGTCTCTTACTCCAGGAAAAGATTGGCTTGTTTTGTATCTAAATAGGCGTTCATTATAATTCATTTCAAAATTGCCATATTCAATCCTTTCATTAACCCTTGCAAGGAATCTTAAACATTGAAATTGTTCAGCCTGAGATAATTCAGGTTCACATCTGATTGTGAACTGTGAGTAAAGCAAAACTAAGTATCTAGAAAGATCAATTCTTAATGATTGTTTTCCGTCTGGTAGATCTGGATACTCTTTAATAATTCTTTCAAATAAGCTACCTTGAAGACCTGGATCTTCAGGATTGTATTCAAAGCCAAGGATATTCTTTGCTTGCAGTATTAGGTTTGTGTTTTGCATATAATTAATATTAAATAATACAATTGCTATATAGATATTTGCATTTTGATGATTAGTTTTAAAAAAGAGAATCATATGATGACAACCTTATTAACAAAGAAAAATGATTTAAATATTCCAGGAAATTCTACAATTAAATGGTAAGGCTCTTCATATTGTGGTTTAGAGATATCGAAATAATTAATTCTGTCAAGCGGGTTGCAATATTTTATTTTCTGATTTATCAGCAAATTTATATAAAAATGTTCAAATTGAGACTTAGCCTAGGAATATTTAAATAGCTAATAAATGGAAACAATAAAGAAAGAAATAACAGACTTATGCTCTTCATTGATTGAAAACCACAGTTGTTTTGAGCCAGCTATAACTGAATCTGAAGATACTCGCAAGTTTCTAATAAATCGCATGCTTAAATTAAAATCTATCCAATCAATTATATTAGAAGCTGTAGCAAAACTGCATCCCATTATATAGCCCGTTCCCGGCTATAGATCGGGCTTAGCCAATCTTTGCTGGCAAACTCGGGGGGTTGTCTCCGTCACTTTGAGGTGACGAATCAACTTCCCGAGTTGGCAAATAGCCGCTATATGGCGATTTGCCAACTTGGGGAGTTGACTCGTCACATCAAAGTGACGGAGACAACCCCCGAGTTTGCCGGCAAAGATTGGCTAAGCCCGATCTATAGCCGGGAACGGGCTATAACAGAATTTCTAGTCAAGCAGAAATTTGGTGAATATTTAACCAGATCTACCCTATCAACCTCCCAAACAGATTTTACTAACCACGCTCTTCCATCAGCTTCAAACGGCTACAAAACCATAGTAAACAAATCTGAACAAAAACTGATGACAAAAAATTATGAAAAACTTCAAGACAAAGTCTCGATAATTACAGAAATTTTCAAGGAATACGCAAAACAAGAAATAGAAAAAAATCAAAGTATTTTGCCAGAAGGCATGAAAAAAGAAATTGCTGAAGAAAAAGTTTTGAGCAGTGACAAACTCGTCGAGAAATTGACTGAAATGAATAATTATGATTTACCATTTTATTTAGACATTAGAGATATAAGCCATGATGCATGGGAAAGACATGTGGAAGTTGAAAAAGAGTTTGTTGATGCTATTGAAAATGCAAAAAATCAGTTAATTGAGGTAGAAACTAAATATATGTATAAATTTGCATGGGTAAAAGAAAAAGCAGGAATTAAAATACATAAGCTGGAAGAAAAAGAAAAAGAAATTGTGTCAAAAAACAGAGAAGAATATGATAGAATTATGATGTGCTATCAAGATAAGTTAAGTGGAGAAATTGAAAACTATTTAAGAGAAGAAGCTATTTTAACCGCCGCAAATAATGATGAAAAAGTTACTGATTTGCCTTCCGCACAAAAGAAAATACAAAATTTAATAGCTGCTAGGACGATTCTGGAAAAAAAGATAATGCAGTCTGATAAAACTATTAAAGGCTTTGAAACAAGAATCCAAGTAGCAAATCAAAATTTAAAAGAGCTAACTGCTTCACAGGCTGCTACTAAAAATAATTTAAATGCTTTGAAAGAGACGTTTACTACAATTATAGATCTTGCTCCTATAAAAGAAATAGAAAAAGAAAAATTAGCTGATTTAGTTGAGAAAGAAAATTATGAAAACTTAGAAGAAAATATGAAAGGTATTTCTAAAGCTGAAAGGAAAGCACAAGAATATTTAATAGGTAAATTGACAGAGCTTAAAGAAAGTGTTGGGAATATTTCGAGTAAAATAGAAAATAAAGAAATTTCTGCTGAAATTGGAAAAATATTAGAAGACGTTAAGATTGATGAGTTTAAGTTTATGATAACTCTTTAAGTCCGTGCTTCTTGGCCTCAGCTTGGACTACAGCCCCGAATAATGGTATAGCGCCTTGCTATAATTGTGGGAGGCTTCTGGCATGTGGAGAAATTCCCCATGCCAGAAATACTTCCACATGTGAAAGCTGAGAGATATACTAGCTTCACATGTGGAAGTATTTCTGGCATGTGGAGAATTTCTCCAAATGCCAAAAGCCTCCTACAATAATAGCAAGGCATAATAGGTGGTGGGCCGGCCTAATCGTTCAAAAACTGCTTCTGTCCCCTAGCCTTTTATGACCTTTCTGATATACACCAAACACAGTATAGACCCATTCTCTTCAGCCAAGACCCTCAAGAAGTCGCGATCTTCTCTCACTGAGCCCAGGACCTGAACCCTATTTCTAAGTGGCATTTTTAATTGTAAAATTGATGAAGTATATTTGGAGTCAGAAAAAATAAGGCAAGAAAAACTAGCTAAGCCAGAAAAGACTGAAACAAAAAAAATTTTAAAGCCAAGAAGATCTACAGTTATCAAAGGACAAAGTGCTCAAACACCAAAACTGGACGAATCTCCTATACCTTATAAAAAACAAAATACGCTTATGGTTAGAAGAGAAGACATTAATTTAAAATCAAACTCACTAATCCGCCAAAAAGAAAAAGAAGCCAGCCAAAAGTTAATAGACAATTCCCCATCACCAGAAAATATAACAAATCAAGAATTCACCCCTGAAGATATTTTAGATCCCAAAAAAGAGCAAGAAAGCATATTCAGGCACACTGAAAGCCTTCCGCTAACTATTAATAGTCCAGCAATAAAGACTGAAAAAGAAATCATAAAGATTGAAAAAAAGAAAGAAATCTTAGAAAGAAAAATTATTCCAAAAGAAGATATAAGACCTCAGAGTCAAAACCTTGAAAAAATAGAAGAAAAAACAATTCATGAAAATTCACCAATAATAGTTAAGGTAGAAGAAGTTCCAGATATTAAGGTCGAGACTATAGATGAAACCATAAAAGATATAAAACCAGAAGAAGAAAATGTAAAAGAAATAAAAAATGAGACAGAAATTGTTCCTAAAATTGTTATGCCTCAAGACGAGCTACCTTCTCCGGCCAGTCTTGACAAATTTGATAATGTTGTTAAATCTAGTGATGAATTGCCATCTCCACTTAAGATTGAAATTACTACTAAAAAAGAATCTAAAGACAGTAATTATTCAAAAAATTCCACTTATACATCTTCTATATATGATAATAGAACAGAAACTCCTGACTCAATAAAATTTTTTAAAGAAAAATTATTCAAAATTCTATCTCACTACAGCTCAGAAAAATTAAGTGAGTTAAACATAAATTCTCAAGAATTAAAGCTTAGTCATTTATTAGAAATTGAGCTTTCCCAAGGATTATCATTACAAGAAAAAATTTTTTCAGCTCTAAGAGATTTTTTCTCTGAAAAATCAGAAATTTCTGTACAAACTGATGGAGAAACAAAGCTAGATAACTTAAATGCTTCGTATGGAAATATGATCAAAGGGCTTATCATGATGGAAAAAAGGAACAAAGAAAGAAAAGACACACAAAACTCGCTCACAAGAGGCTCAAGAGCGAATCAATCTGTAGTATCTTCTGGAGTTCTTGGGAAATTAAGTACATCTGCTACTGAAAAAATAGAGAATCCTGCAAGTATTAATAAGCCAAGCACTTTGATAGATTGGGTAAAAAAAATTAATAACAGAGTAGAAGAAGCTTATCAGAGATTTAACGCAGAATTTGCGATTGAAGCACAGAAAAAAGGATACAAAAAAGTTGGACTAGAAGAATCCAATCGGGTTTGGGCTGATATTATAAATAGAAGGGTTCAAGAGGGCGAAAATGATGAAATTTCTCAGCACCTAAGAGGGCTTTTGGGAACAGAAAAATATGAAACCCAAAAAAGAGCAATTATAAGCTTACTTCAGCAAAAGTATCAAAAGGGAATAAGTGTTGTGATTCTAGGAATTCCTCAAGAAGTGGCATTTCCTGAAATAATTGCAGAGAAGAGGACTAAGAAAAAAATACCACAACGTTTAATCCAAAAATGAGAACAAATAATGATAAAAATAAAATCAGAATCAGCAAGAAGATTGGGTTCTGGATACTCATTAGAAGAGAATTTGCCAGAAATTTGGTGCCTTATGATCAAGCACATCAAATATGTAAAATATAGAATTTTAAGGCTTCAGGGCTTACATAACACAAGCGTAACCTCATCTGATAGAAGCTCAGAAAAAAATTCTTTCCTTCGAGGCAAATTTGTTACACAATCTTTTTCTCCAAAACCTCCAAATACAATGGAAATATTTCCTAAAAATCTAGCAATACTAACTCCAAGTACTCGCCAAACACCAAAAAGACAGATGAATCGATCTTATCGTCACAGTTCTGATACTATAATAGAAAAATTTGATCTCAATGTAGCACGGAAGAATAAATTTCCTTATCTTTAAATATTAATTTTCCAGCAAAATAATTAAATACATTTTAAGATATTTATATACCTGACAACCTTGCTCCGTGGCTATAAAAGTTTCCTTCATTATACACAACTTTTCCTCGAAGATAAACCTTTGAAATTTTTCCTAATAATTTCTTCCCCTGGTAAATGCAACTTTCCTTATAAGCAGAATTCGAGTTTCCATGGACATGCTCATACGGATCCCATATAATAAGATCAGCGAATTTTCCTCTATCAATGCTTCCTCTTCTATGATTAATTCCTAGTAGCTTTGCAGGATGCAATGAAAACCACTTGGAAAGCCTGACTATATAATGCTCTCTTTGAGACACTGTGCTTGAAGGCGTACAAAGACCAGTCCAGATTGCTTGCATTGCAAAACCTAGCCCATTTACTCCATTGAGTGCTTTTTTAAAGCTCCCATTATCAATATTTTTATAATCAATTGGTATTGTAGCATGATGAGACGAAATTACATCGATCGCTTTCATCTTCAGCAAATCCCACAACAGCTGAGAGTTTTCTTTACTCCTAATTGGAGGGTAGTCCTTAAACCTCGTATCCCCATCTCTGATATCCTGGTCATTAAAGCACAAATAATGAGGAGCCGTCTCACAAGTCACATTTTCTATATGCTTTTTTTGTTGTCGGATTTTATTTATAGCACTAGCTGAGGATAAATTAGAAAAATGAACCTTGCAGGTTTCTGCTTGTAGAATTTCAAGGACTTTTTCAACACCTTTGGCTTCCCATTTGTCAGGAATATTTACAAGGTGATTTAAATATTGACGGTCTTTTTGAGAATCAATGAATTCTTCATTGTTAGTGCTTAATGGGATTGGTCTTTTCCCTTTTAGCCTTTTTTGGCGAGCTGTCATTGGCTGAGTTTCTTCAGGCTCTCTGTATTTAAATTCATTAAAAGAACTGCTACGCTGTCGATTTATGGATTTAGAAAAAACGGTTTTCCCAGCGTTTTCGTAGGATTTCTGCTCAGCTTTAATAAGTGCTGCTATGTTGGCTTCATTTATTTTTACTCGATAATCTAAATCTTCGTATATATCATGATAACTGGATCTTCGGCGATTTTTTGTTATATAGCCTGTTCGGCTTCTTTCTAGCATTGGATTTTCTATAAGTTTTTTTAAGGCTTCGACTGGTCGAGACATCCTCACTTCATTTGGAAACTGTCCTGAAAACCTTACGGAGCATTTAATACAATTAGACCTTGTTCTTTTATTTTTTTGCTGTGGGACCATTATTTCTTCGTCCTCTTCATCAGAAAGAACTGGATTAGTAGAGTCAGGAAATGCAGCAGCAAAAAATTCATTCTCATTCTTAATTTCGGTCACCAGTCTGTCTTTTAAGTTTAAGTGTCTACATGGAGAAGCCATAAACAGCATCCTTGTTTGCGGCAACGAAGAATCGATTATCAAAGGCACTCCAATTTCACTGATATTTGAAAAAACAGCTGGCAAATCATCAGGGAGAGCAGGAACCATCCAGCTTGGTGGGTATAAATACCCTTTAAATGCAAAAGCTCCTGAATGTCTAAGCGCAGTTATATCATTGAAATTTGTTGAGTCAATACGGATAATTTGTCCAACGTCACAATAAAGTTTAAATGTGGAGGGTTCATTTTCCTCGTTACATATTGATTTTTCCTGCAAAAGGAAGGTAACACCACCAGAAGCAGCCATTTGAGTGATGTTAGTTTTGCCTTCCCACTCAGCACGAACGCCTATATCAATAATTCCTGGAGAAATGTATTGGTTTTCGTAGTTTAAAGGATTCCAATCTCGAAATTTCGAAAGTAAAGCTTGGACTGGAATATTTTCATCGACAATGACGATATCATCAATTTCTTCATCTTCAATCAAAATCACCCCATAGAGAGGGACGCTTGCTCGATAGCTAACGATATGTCTACTGATAAGTGCAAGTCTGGCCATAAATTAAATATAAAAAATTTATAACCAACAAAGAAAGCGATTACCACAAGATTTAATTCTTGGAAAAATTCACATCTAAAAATTATCGAAAATTGTACCAGAAAAATGTGATTATATTTTTTATTTTATAAAAATAAGCAATTTTTCAATTTATTTAAATAAAATAACAAATTCAGAACTTATTGACTGTTATATTAAAAAAATTGCTAATAAAATATAAATCAATCCAATTTAAGCTTCCATTTCGTATAATCTAGCTACTCTCATTATCAGTTATGAAATAAACTAAAATGGCTCGTGTAATCGAAGCTCCTGCTATAGATGAAGAAGAAATCCAAAGAATATACGAATGGGTTGATGATATTCCTCTTTCCCGTCCAAAGCGTAACATTACTAGAGATTTTGCAGATGGAGTTATGATGGCTGAAACCATAAAGCACTTCTTTCCAAAGCTCGTAGAAATCCATAATTATCCTCAAGCACATTCTGTTCAGCAAAAAGTGGCTAACTGGAACACTTTAAATACAAAAGTGTTTAGGAAGATGGGTTTCCAAATAGCTAGAAGTGATATTGACAGCATAGTCAACTGTGCGCCAGAGGTAATTGAACGAGTCCTTAGACTTATTCAAGAAAAAATAAATGAATATAAAGACAGAAAGCCTGAGCAAGATGAAAGTCCTCCTCAAGGCGCAAGACTTCAAGGACTCGCAAAACCTAAAGGACAGAGCCAAAGCCCAACTGAAGTGAAAGCTCAACCTAGTAATTCGGCAGTAAGAGAAAAAGAGCAAGTTATAAATGAACTTAAAGAAACAATTGAAATTATGGAAAATAAAATTGCCAAACTTGAGCAGCTAGTCAAGCTGAAGGATTCGAAAATCCAGATTTTAACGAGCAAGTTGCAAGCAGCAGGGTTGAGTTAAATGCTATACACCTTAAGATTTATTTAAGAGTTATTAAATGAATGTGTATTATTATATAAATCATGGATGATATGAGAAAATTCTAATTAGTTTTAAATAAACTTTTGTTAGCAAAAATTGAGTTTAATAGATAAAACTAGAAGTTAAATAAAGCATTTTCTGTTTTGTTTAGTTTCGCTAATTTGCCACTAGATAGAAAAGTGTGACTTAATATTATCATCTTTTTATATCAAAGGTGAAGGACTTTAATAATCGTATGCAACCTTAAAGGCAAAGACATCTTTTATTTAGGAATTCCGATTTTATTCATTTCCTTCCATTTTTAGTTGATTTTTAATTTTTAATTCAAACCCTAACGATTTTCAATCTGAATTTTGATAATTTGATTGCTATAGTGCTTTTTTTCTTTTAATTTTCTGGATTTGATATCTTGAATAATATATAAATTTATAATAAAAAATAATTATTTTATTAATATTATGGCTTTATTAAATTCCAATATGTTGTAATCCAATATTAAAACATATCAGATATTAAAATTCTTAATTTTAGTATCAATTTCAACGAGTTTTTTGTTATCTTTTCTTTTTTTTAAAAATATGGATAAAAATGATTTATACTGCATATCCTTCTTTTTTTAAAATATAAAGATGAAATAGTTTAGTTAATTAATCATGAAGTTTCAATGAAAAAGGATAAATGGCGTTTTTATCAGAAATATCTTTCTTTTTACCACAATATACAATTTAATGAGATTTTTAAGGCAAAAAGAACTATAAATCTTTCAAAATTAAGTTTTGGTCTCCACATATTGAAGCTTAAATACTAAATATTACATCAAGCAAGAGATATTTATAGTGCAATATATTTTATTATTGGCATGCAGCTTCTAAAATACACTTATTTCTTTAATATAAATGACATATCTAATAATATTATGAAGTCATCTTACTTGCTTTATCATCATTAAAAAAAAATTATTTAATGTATAAATAGTTTTGATCTTTCACTAAAATGATATTAAGTTATAATTGCTGCTTGCAAGCAAAGCGCTTTATATTTTTTATATCTAAAGTTACTTAAAATTATACTATTAGCGATTGTGACGAATTATCTTTAGTAAATTAAGTATTTAAGAGATTATTTTAAAAAAGAATTCCTAATTATAATAAATTTGGAATTTAATAGACTTTTATTTAAATTAAAATTCAAAAATTATTAAAAGCGCACGTCAAAATATCAACAAAAATGATAAGGATTCTATAAGAATAGGATATTGAAGAGATATATGTTAACCTAGCAGCAATTTTATTTTAGAAATAAAGAAGCACTCTATTTACTAGTTATTTCCCATAAGAAGGCGATAAATGGGGTTATCTAAATAAAGCAAATAATTTTATTACGAGCATCAATAAACAAGATTATAAAAATCTATTATGAAGTAAAATATGATGCCGATAAGCTAGATCTAAATAAAATTTCAGCAACAAAGAATCTAATTCCAAGCCTTTACATTAGAACAAAATATTGATAAATTTGTCATTTTTTAGAAAATAGCTTCTAAAATTTCAACATTTTTGGCTTTAATGTGAGAACAATTTAATTTGGGTTAACTTTTGCCATAATCAAAAAATAAGTATCTTTGTCATATTTTAAAGCGAGGAGTGCCATTTGTAAATTTTTTTTTGAATTAAAAAGTTTTATATTAATTATTTTTAAAAATATTTAATAAAACTCAAAAATTAATCCCAATGCATGGAAATATTAAAAATTGACATAATGAATTTATGTCCCAATATATTTATTCAGAAATCTCAAAATGAAATGCTTACTAACGAAATGAAAAATATTCTATTTTAGCTAATCATCCAAGTAGCAATAATTAATTCCATAAAATTCCAAATTTTTTCCCAAACCTTCAGAAATATTTATGTGATGAATTTTAAAGCAAATTTAATCCTTCGAAAGCTAGGCGTTTTGTTATAAACAATTATAAAAATGACCTTGGGCCTTGACAGCGAAAAGGAATTTCAAGTAATTAAGTTTGCAGGCGCTGCATCATTTTTTGTAGGGCTTGTGCTCATTTCAATAAAAGCTGATGATTGAACAGATGCAGATTGAATTATGGTAGCAATTCCTATACTTCTTTCACTGTGCCTTCTTCCAATAGGAATACACTGTTATTTCAATATAAATTGCCCTCGAGGAAAATCTAGGAGATTTATCCTTATCATCTCTTATAATATTTCTTTATCATTGCTAGTATTTGGGATCATTGGATCTTTGACTTTAGACGATACTTTGGATACAAGCTGGGCTGTGGCTTTTATTGCTATCTGGTACACTTTGCTAATGTATTTGATATTCTGTTGCTTTATGCTACCTGGCCTTATTGACCCTGAAGTGAATATGAGAAGACAAGCATTTTTGCTATTTGTGTGGTTTTTCGGTCTTGGAACATTTTTATTATTGTTTGTCTTCCACCTAGATGAAGACTCTCCAGATTCCTTCGCGATTGTAACTATTCCGATTATGATTGCAAGTGGGCTGCATATCATTTCATGTGCGATCGCAAGATTTAGAGCAGATAAAAAATCAAATACAGGATTAAGGCCTATTGCAAATGAATTGATTTTTAATTCCGCGTTGCTCTTAACAGGACTTTTATTGATTTTAAGGGTTACAGTTAGTGATTGGATGCCAGCAATCGTAATTGCTGTGCCTACCTTAGCGCTACTTTTGTATGGCATGAGTGTCGAATTTTATGAAAAACCGAATTTAGGTCCTGAGTATGAAGCATTGGCTGTTGAAGATAATAATTAGATATAATAAACATATAGTAATTATTTTTCTAAATTATTTATAGACTATAAGGTGAAGATTTACTGCCTTTTGTGGATTTTAAAATTTTTAATTGAATATCTTCAAATAAGATTTAGTTACTATTTCCTCTCTTAAGGAAGGGAAAACAATAAGAAAAATTCTAGTTTTTGAATATAAAGTAATTAATAAATAAATAAATTTTTGTATTTTATATATAATTAGCATTTATTTTAATGAAATCTCCAGCTTATTATATTAAATTTCCTTAAAATAAATATTTAACATATAATAATATTTTTATAAAATAAAAAATCCATTTCGTAGATGAGAAAAAACGTCAAGGAAGAGTAATAATCATTTCTCTTTTATAATATAAATTCGCTTTTTCTTTAATAGATATAAAAGATAAATATCATAATTGCAGGTAAATGAGTTAATTTAAAAATATGAAGCTAATTCTTAATTATTGTGCTAGCTTATTCCAGCTAAGGCTTAACAAGACTAAGTAAGTCAAACAATTTATGAATAAATATTTGCTTACTTACTTAGTTACATAGTTTTTAAGGTGTCTAGTGCCCACACCCCTTAATGAAAAAGGGTCAAAGCGACAACTAGTGACGTCACCAAGCCATCTTGGAATATGTGGTCAGCCCACACCCAAGCCTTCTATAAGGCTAGTCGCCAGATAAATCGCCGCACATCTCACCCGGCGCGTTGCCGTCGCTTGTCCAGACTCAGCTCCTGCGCGTGTTCCGCCTAAGGGTCATCCTCCCGTGGGGACGTGCTGAGAGGTAAAACTCCGAAATCTTGAGTGCACTGAGGAGTCGTGCCTTTGGTTATCCCCAAAGTTAAACGACTATTGCTGTGCAGAAGTTCTCGAGAGAAAACCCAACCCCATAAATAATAAAATTCCATGAGGGAGAGAAAATTGCAGAGCCAATTTCTCTCGAACCGAATGCCATTTTGAATAAATATTTGCACAATTATAATTTTATTGATAAGCATAAGGTCTTAGTTTATTATACGTATACTCCAGCCGATAGCATCCCAAACAGTCCAGCAAATCCCCACAAAACACTTATGCAAATCGCTATGCAGATTTCTTTAAACAAACTTCTTTGAGATTTTGATGTTGTAAGTTGGTACACAAAAAGCCATGAGAAAAGAATGAACCCGATTACAAATAATAGTAAAGCTAGCTCAGGGTGAAGCTTTTCTGAGACAGGAGGGATAAAAGGTGAAAGACCTATTGGTAAGGTTGCCATTTTATAAAGAATGATTATTTATGGCTTTCTAATTTATTTGAGTGAAGGCATATATATATTGAAATTTGAGTATTGCAAACCTTTATAATAAATAATGAAATTTTTAGTGAATTTTGTTAAATAAAGATACCTATCGTGGATTTGCATTTTTCTTAGACACGTTTTTATTTATAATAATTCAATGTATGGGTTATTCTTCTTAGTTACCTTTGCAAGTGCTTTAGATTGGCTATTGAACCCTGCAAATTATATGACGACTGTTAATCAGAAATTAGGGGTAGAATTTGGCATTATGTGGGGAGGCGCTTATAAGCTTAATCATGAAACCAGAGAAGATCTCGCTGAATTTTCGTTCTTATATGCAGATCCAGGAAGGTTTTATATGCAGCAGATAGCCGATAAGGAAAATTATATAGAGCTTACACAAAAATACAGAATTGTTGAAAATTCATGGATAATGGAATTAGAAGGAGATCACATTGCCCGATCAGCATATGATAAAGAAGGAAAATTTATTAATCTCGTATTTTACATTGCTACAAAGCATGGAAGTATAAGCAAACAAGGAGATAAATTACTTGTAGATGGCATTGAATTTGAAATTAAAGTCAATTCTGATGAATCCTATATGTCTTATACCAAAGGAGCAAAGGTTGAAAACCTTGATGATAAGTTATGAAAAGTAAAAAGATTTGCCCAAAAATGGCTATTAGATAGTTTTAATAGCCAAAAACGAGTTGATGCGTTTGGGATGCTTGACAATAACATAGCTGATGAGAGCAATTTATTATTTTTCCAATTTATTATAAAATCTCCTTTCGAGGTAACAATTTCATATGGAAATGCTGAAATCCCTCCATTTGAAAATTTTGTGGAAAATTTCAAAGAAAAATTCAAAACCAAGTTTGGGGAGCCAGTTTATGAAGATTTTGAATATTCAACATTAAGTATGCTTCTATCTGGGCTGAGCTTATTTTCAGGTCCGATTATTGTGCAATCACCTAATGGTGTAGAAAGGAAAATGAACAATACTTTGCTAACTCCCCCCCCCCCCTCCGTGAGCGAACAAAACCATTAGAAAAATCACCATTTTTTGACCAAAAACCCACCCTCCGTGAGCGAACAAAAATTTTTTTAATAGAAAAAATTTAATGGAAAAAAAAATTTTGATATATAAGTGATAATTAGTATAATGAAATCTAGAGCTAATTCTGTTTAATTTTAAACAAATTGCGTTTTAAAACATAAATTTTTGCAAATTAAATTAATATTTGCTTCCCAATTTTTGCAAATTAGGATTTTTTTAAATTTCGAAAAAAAAATTTTTTTTAAAAATTTATATATAAATTTTTTTTTAAAAAAAAAATTAACCCCCCTCCGTGAGTGAACAAAATTTTTTTGTTCGCTCACGGAGGGGGGGGGGGGGAGTAAGCTTCGTCCCTAGCAAAACTTTCTTTCCAAGAGGATTTCTATGAGATGAAGGATTCCATTTACAAGTAGCTTGCAATTGGAACTCTGAAATTTGTGAAGAGGTACTTAAGAGCTGGCTAAATACAATGGATGACCGTGGTTGGATACCTCGTGAGCAAATAAGAGGCCCATTATCAGAAAGTAGAGTGCCTGAAGCCTTTTTATCACAGAATATGGACATCGGAAACCCTCCAACACTAATTTTTTCTATAGAAAATTTAAGTAAAGCACTAATGTACAGCTCAAAGGAAAATTTAGAAGAAAATGAAAAAGTAAAATTTTTTAAGTCAATTTATCCACAGCTGAAAAAGTGGCTGTCTTGGCTTAGTATAAGTCAATTAAATGAAGAGGGGTATTTTATGTGGAAAGGGAGAACGTTGGATCATAATCTTGCAAGTGGGCTAGATGATTATCCTAGAGCTCAATTGGTTAGCACCAAAGAGCGTCATTTGGATTTACATTCGTGGATAACTTATTTTACAAGATGTATGCACAAAATATCGGGCTATCTTTACTATGATGAAGACAGAGAAATTTATTCAAAAAAACTTCAAAAACTTGAATCTCAATTGGACGAACTTTTTTGGGATGGTAAAAAATACAGTGATTATTCTGGAGATCAATTTATAGATCAACAAGGAAAATCTCCATATTATTGGAGAGGCGACAATAAATGTGGAGATCAAAACCCATCACCACTTGGAGGTCCTTCTGACTGCAACCCATACTCAGATTCTCCATGCTGCTCTGAATTCGGTTGGTGTGGAAACTCCCAAGGCCACTGTTCCTGTCCTAAATGTAAAAGAGCTAAAAAGCTCGAAGACCGGCCTGAATTAATAAAAAAGAAAACATTTTCTCCTCATATTGGCTATGTAAATTTGTTGCCTTTTTGCATGGGAATTTTGGAAAAAGACTCTCCAGGATATAAAGAAATTATAAAGATGATTAAGTCTCCTAGCGAGCTTTGGTCACAGCATGGGCTTAGATCATTAAGTAAATCAGATATGCTATATGGCACTGGTGAAAACTATTGAAGAGGGCCAATTTGGATTAATTTCAATTATTTAGTGCTCAGAGGTATTAAACTGTATTACTGGGACGACGAAGATTTAAGAAAAGTTTACGGGACTCTAAAGGAAAATATTATAAAAACTGTTGTGGGAAATTGGAAAGAGAACGGATTTTTGTGGGAGCAGTATAGTGATGTAACAGGAAAAGGACAGAGGGTGCATCCTTTTGCAGGATGGACAACTTTAATTCTCAATATCATGCATGATATCTATTAACATAAGTTAGTTGTCAACTTAAAATAAACATAAAAAAATGTAATGTTTTTCATCATTCTTATCAAAAACAAAAATTAATTGCAAGGCAATATTGAATTAGGCTGTGTTAAAGCATTATAATTATAAAGCTCCTTATGAAAATATAATGAAATCGTAAACATATAAACCTCTATTTTTATATGAAAATTTACTATCACGAATTCTGATGAACAAATATAATTAAATGTGAAAGCATTATAACAATTTTAATAATTTTTCCTTTTTGATTAGACAATTTATTTAAATATAGCAGGTTCCTCCAAAAGGATAAATATTTTCTTCCTAATAAAAAAAAACTAGATGCATAAACGCAATAAAAAATGGGAGCAATGCAAATCAAAGAGCGAATTCGCTTGTCAAAAAGCAAAAACATCCATGTCAAAAATGCCTCAAAACTAAATCAAAAGCGCAGAAGCGTTATAATAAATCAGCCATCAAACACAGATAGGGAGCCAAAATTGCTTATACTAGAGAACAATGCAGGCATAAGATGCAAATCCTCAGCTGATATATTAAGAACAGAACCTAAACCTAGCGCCATCTTTATAAACGATCCAGTTTCAAACCCAATTGATTCAAATTACACTGGGAACTATGAACAAACAATAAAATTATCCAATGCTAGAAGGAAAAGTGCTTCTAATCCCGTGTCTTCTGATTTTTTTCAAAAGATTGACAGAAATAACAATAGAAAGCCAACAATTTTAGGAAAAGAAGAACTTATTTATATTCAAAATGGAAGCATTAAAAGCCCAAAGTTAGATCATCAGTTTGTATCTACATCGACGTTTAAATTATTTTCACCGACCGCAAACGATAAAAAGACCATTGAGCCAAAACAAAAATTAGAAGAAAAAATTGTCCAATCACATAGAAGGGTCTTTAGTGATGGGAACGCTGAAAATTTATTATTTAACAATAATGAAGGAAGACTTGTAAAGAATTTTGTACCAAAAATTCCAAATGGTCTAAAAAAAAAAAAGAGAAAAACCTTTCATATACCAAAAACTACAGATATTCATATAAAGCTTAAAGCTTGTTATAATAAAGAGCATACCCAGGAAGAGGAAAATTTTAAATTAATCCAAGCTTTAAATTTAAAAAATAAAGCAGAAAATGAATGAACATGAAGAGGAAAGCATGGGCTGTTAAATAGTTTAAATTCTTAGAATTTATTGTAAATGAGCTTGATTGCTGAATTTGCATTAGAAAAACGATAAAATGCCAGTTTTGCTCAGTTTCCAAGATTTAATGATAAATTAAAACTTTAAATAAAGAAAAATATACTTAAATTAACTAGCTTCTTAATTTCTGCTCTTATAATTTAAATATCAATTTTTTCCTCTTTGCCTCTACAATTTCCACAAATTTTTCCCTATAAATGTTTAATCAAAGCCATTTTAAATTTTCGGTATAAAACTCATCAGTGAAAAATTTTACCTGCAAAGATTACACATAACAACTATAGAGTTAATTTTCCTTTCTAAACTTTCTCATAAACTTTTTTAATTTTCTTTATCTTTCCATCACTCATTTCCCATGCCTTATTATAATTAAATGTTGGACTTACTTAAGTTTAACGTCCACTACGAGTAGCCGTTTCCAGGGCCGCCACCATATTTATCACGTGTCGGGACCATGAACCTCTGGATCGATTCATTTTGTTGCACCAGGGCATGGGACAAATACAGCGTTTCGGCTTCGATGGGAATTAAATGTTGGACACTAATAACTTTGCCTTCCTCCTGGAATCTGAAGTGAAAGGTAGATTGAGAACTTCGACTGCGAGCACAGCAGATAGCAGTGACAACTCACATTGAAATTTAGAAAGCTTCGAAGCTCATTACACACATGAAATAGAACCATCTTATGATTTTTCTAACTCCACAAATTGGCTTCAATTAATGAATCCAAGCGATGCACTTGCTTTGTTTACCCCAATGACAAAAGAACAGGATGAGCACTATTGTGCTCTAAAACCAAGAGTTGAAAAAGTCTTGGAGCTCCTGAATAGTACTCTTACTACTATTTCAGTCAAAGATGACTGCTCTTCGCAGCCTTCTAGTGTAAAACTCGCAATGCCAGGTAATTCACGTCTTTTGAATAGAAGAAGAGCGTTGACGATTGTTTAGAAACAATTAAAATATTTGTAATTTAAATAAGTTTATAGAAATGATTTTTGAAAATCTAGCTAAGAAAATTTAGATTAAAGCATCAGTCAATATGTGCTTATTGTGAGATATTTATAATTTCATATCATAATCGAATTCTCTTTGGAATTTAAATTTCTAATATATAATGATAACTTATTAGTTTTGCTTGAGTACGATCTGTAAGCTTCTTTTGCTCGTTTAGCTCGTGCTTGTAACATCAATTGGAATTCTTAAGTCATACCATTAATATGGCATCGTAGGCAATGCAAATAACTTCATTTAAACTCGATTAGAAAACTTCTTGGGACGTAATAAATATGCGAGTAAGGAAAAGTTCTATAAAAAGAAGATATTTATGATGGCATCACTAGATAAACCAGTTTCTCAGTAAAGAAATGCCTATGGATTCAAAGTATATTATGGTATCTCTATATCCAGCCATAAGTGTACAGAAAAACTGCTATGATAAAAATAAGCTCAGGCCGCCTTCAACTCTTAGCTTGGAATTATTCCAGTTTGCTGTAGGGTTATTGAACCAAGAGTCAAACAGCAGATGCCATAATTTAAATATATAATTGGCAGCAGCTCAAGCTTGAAAAACTTGGCTCTCAGTACAAACTTTGATATAAGCATCCCTTTAAATAGCAATCTATCTATAATCTTAAAATTAAATATCTTAAATATACATAGGAATCATGTGAGAAATGCTAGATCTGTAATCCCTAAACATAAAAAGTCCAAACATAGCATCTATCATAGAATAGCAAACTGCAATTGAAAACATAAGTGACACCAGCATTATCATAAGAAAATCTGATTGTTCTTTATAAGGAAAATAATCAATGCAATTATCTTGTTCATCATTACAACAACTGAAAAACTTTATAGTGATAGCTAGGCATATAAGAGTTGCAAACAGGAAAAAAGGCCCTAAAACATATAAAGCCAATAAGATCACCATCAAGTTATTAGGAATAATCAATAGTGAGAGCGATATCGCAATTACAATAATTCAAATTGTATTTTGAAATATCAGCCAAATTTCTATAAAAAATACTTCATAGCATACAGTGTCTTCCTGGACTTCAGCATAGCTGTTTCAATTCGAAACTCGCTTATAAATTTCTGTGCTGTATAATAAAATAACCAAGCTGCATATGAATCCTCCTATAATCTTAATGCTCATCCCCATTTAAATGGAAATGCTAACAGATTAAAATACAAGAAATTAGCTAACTTCACTATTATAAAATATTAATCCTTTCCTTTAGTCTTCTTTAAAAATCTTTTGAGTTCTAGCATTTGCACTTCAGTCAGTGCTGAATGGCAATCTGGACGAGCACACGCTTTGTTATTCTTAGATGCTATTAAGCAGTTTCTGCACAGGAAGTGCCCAGAGCACAACTCTTTCATGCAGCTTTCAATTTTATTGACTGACATAGTGCATCCTTGGCATTTCATTTCGAAATCTTTCACCTTCAAATCAACTTTACAATGTGGGCACACAGTTTCTTTTTTGAACTTTAAGATAGTATAGCAATCTTTGCACAAACAGCTGCAGCAATCTTCATAAAAATCTGAAAGTCTTTTTACTTTTTTGCAGCTTTTGCATTTATTTGCAAATAAATTGTTTAAGGAAGTTCTAGCTGATTTAAATGCATTTTTTCTGCCTTGCCAAATCTTATCCTTTCTTGATTGGTAAAGAAATCGATCCTTCTTTACTTCGTTATAAATATTATAATTCTTGCCTATAATTATTTCATGTTCTTGCTCAGTGTATGGGAAATTGCAATAGCCACATAGAGGTGTTATATTGTCATAACTAGTTAATAGCATAAGACTGTTAGTTTTCGAAGCGAGTTCTTTATTTGTGCATTTCCTGCAAACTTCTACCCCACAATCGAGAAAAATTTTTTCTTTTAGGTGCTTGCAGTCCTCACAAAATTCATTATTGGAAAAAAATTCTGAGATTTTTGGGTTATCTTCTGAGTATTTTGATATAATTTCTAATACTTTTGGCTCTAAATTCAGTGTATTTTGGTTAGCTCTACTAATTTGCAGTAAAAATAAGTCAATTAAATCAGAAATGTCACTATTAGTAATTTCAGCTGGCTCTATGCTGCATTTTTCAGTATTATCGATAATTGGGACTAAGTTTATCATGGGATTTAAATTTTGAACAAGCTGGCATTTTGGCTTATATTCGCTAAAAGGTACCATTTTGAGTTTTACTGATATAGCAACTTCAGAGTTTTCAGGCTGGACTGCTTGAGTTTTTTTCTTTACCGGTATTGCAAAGCCCTTGCCAGACAATGATGAAGGTTTAAGCTGATTTTCGATAGGCTTTTTTTCTTCTTCTTCTTTTTTTAAAGGAGCACTTGGGTCTTTCTTTGGAATATCAAAAGGCTTTTTGCTAGGCTCAGCTCCCTTAGGATCTTTAGAAGGCTCAGCTAATTTCGGCTTATCTAGGATCTCTTTTTCAGCTGATTCATTTTTATCAATTTGAGGGACTTCTTGAGATTGCAGATTTTTTCTGGGTATTAATTCTGGAGCAGGAACCTTTGGACGAGCTTCAGTTTTGACTCGAGGAATAGGCTCAGGTTCTTTAGGTATTTTATTCGAAGTCTGAACTTTTACACCTGCAGACATATCAAGGATTCTTTGAGGAGTATTTTCAGGCTTTGAATCAGGAATTTTAATGTTTGGCATTGGTTCTGATTTTTGGATAGGATTTCCTTGGGGCCTTGACGCTGCATTTTTTATTGGTTCCATTGAAGGAATCTGAAGAGGAGAAGGTTCTTTTTCAAGGTTCTTGGGAACTGAAGGAATTTTTTCGACTGGTTTTTTTACTTCTTCAGCCTTTGAGCTTAATTGAGGATCTGAAAAGAATACCTTTTTCTTTTCTTCTTCTTGCTCATTAATTTTAGGCTGAAAGCTCATCATTTGTTTAGGAATAGGCTTTTGAGGATTTAATATTGGTTTAGGTATATTTTCTGCTTGGGTTGCCAATGATTGCCCTGTCCTTGGAATATTAATTATATTGTGGCTAGAGATTTGCTCTGGGGCTATTTTTGTTTCAGCTTGTACGAATGGAGATATTATTGGTTCTTCTTTTATTCCTCCAGATGACTCTGAAGAAATGCTTGATCGAGATACAGGAGTTTTGTAGCTTGATTTAGGGTTGTACACACCTTTTACATTCATTGAACTTTTCAACATTCCTGAAGGTTTAGATGGATTTTTGGTTTCAGTGTTTTGGTCAATACTGCTTGCTATCATGGCAGAGCTTTTATTGCCTAACTGCATTGCAGGGTTTTTAGGAGCGTTTTTTGAAACATTTGCCAGTCCAGTATCATTCTTGTTTGGATCGTGTGGGATTACAGGGTCGAAATTCATTTATATTTTCTTAATAATGAAATCTACAAAAGCATGCATTATCTATTAGAATCTATAAACCTTATTTATTTTTATATAAACAATTTTAGTTTATAGTCTCGAAATAATCATTAGAAAGATAATTTAGGATTTATAAAAGCTCTTTAATAAGAGACATTTTTATGAAAAAATATTAGGCTTCTTGATTGGATCTTTTCAAAATAGAGCTAAAAAATTATGGAAAATAAGTTGGAATCAAAATTTTTTATTAATTTTACATCAGAAATTAATCCATGTGAATCTAGCATTCCTATTTACTATTTCTTTACTAATAGTTTTGTGTTCTATAAATATGGAATCGATTGAAAGAAGAACAGAACTGATTCTTTCTATTGAAAATTCTCAAATCTATGAGGTTCGTGAAGAAAATCGCTACTTGTTAGCATCAGGAGAACTGCAAATAATTCATTCATTATCTGAAAATATTTATCTTATTTCAATCGGTGATTTCTCTTATTCGCTATTCAATGAGCTTGCAGTCCTCAGAAATCATAAAAATCAATACTTCTTCCCAAACAATGATGGAGTTATTGAGCTGATATTCCCTGATCAAGCTGATGAGCTTGAGATCGAAGTTTTTGAAATATTTCTACAGCAGCATACAACATTAGCTAACATTAAGCAAGCTTCAGAATTTAATCAACCTCAATATATTGAATTAAATCAAGAATGAAGCGATATTATAGAGGACAATCCAAGAAATCAAGATGTTAGACAAGTGTCACAAAAAATTAAAGCTGGAATTATCAAAGGAGCTGAAATCGCAACAGAAGGGATTAGACAAGGAGGGGAATATCTAAAAAATAAAATCACCCCAGAAAAAGTAGAAGAATATAAAGCTAAAGCACAGATTGGACTATTTATGGCCAAGGTTATGGCGAATAGAGCAATTGATGCCACAAGCCTAGTAGCGCAGAATTTTGTTACAAATCTTCAAAATTCTGATATCAGAAATAATATTCAAAACTCTGAAACTTATCAATCTGCAAGAGAATTAGGCAGATCTAGCCTACTTGCAGCAAGCACAATATATGAAGGCTTAGAAAATGCAGTAAATATCCTAAGAGACGCAGGAAATACAGCAATAAACGAAATAAGATCAAGCCGGCAGCAAGGATATAGCAGACCTGAAGAAGAAAGACATGAATAATTTAAATCTTGGGACATGAATTTTTTAAAAATTTTAAACAAAAACTAATGATCTATTAATCAAAGATTAAAATTTCAGTAAAATAATCCAAGTTTTAATTATAACAAAAATAAATCTAGTAAAAAAGGCATTAAAAAGTGCGAAAAATTCAAAGAATCGTTCAATTTTCCATTAATTTATTTGCCGGGAACTTTCAAAATGCTTCAAGAGAACTTTGGAGAAACCAATATAGAACGCTATCATCGCTTAGAAAAAATCGGTACAGGAACTTATGGAGTTGTTTATAAAGCCGTAGATCAAGTAACCAACCAGTTTATCGCATTAAAAAAAGTCCTGTTCGATACAGAACCAGAAGGAATTCCTTCCACTGCTATAAGGGAGATCTGTATACTACGAGAACTTCAAAATCCTTATATAGTCAATTTGAAAAATGTGATTGCTAATGATGATAAGCTCTACCTGGTCTTTGAATATGTAGAGCAAGACCTTAAACAATACTTGGACAGGATTGCGAAGGACACTGAGGTAGATATGAAAATAGTCAAAAGTTTCCTGTATCAGCTTTTGCAAGCAATTAGTTATTTGCATTCAAAAAGAATTTTACATCGAGATTTAAAGCCTCAAAACGTCCTTATTGACAACGCTGGACATGTGAAATTAGCTGATTTTGGCCTTGCAAGGGCTTATCAAATCCCTTTAAGACCTTATACTCATGAAGTAGTAACACTGTGGTATAGGCCACCAGAAATCCTATTAGGGACTTTGGAATACTCATCAGCTGTCGATATTTGGTCCTTAGGTGCAATATTTGTCGAATTAATCACCAAAACTCCATTATTTGCAGGAGATTCTGAGATTGACCAGTTATATAGAATTTTCAGGACACTTGGGACTCCAAATGATAGAATTTGGCCTGGAGTCTCGAAACTGAGAGACTATAAGAAGACTTTTCCAAGCTGGCAGCCAGTAAGATTAGCAACACTAGTGCCACAACTAGATAGAGATGGAGTTGATTTACTAGAAAAAATGCTCACTTATGATCCAAGCAGTCGAATTACAGCTAAGGAAGCATTACTGCATCCTTATTTTAACGATGTCGAAGTTCCTGCATGGTAATAACTGGTAAGAATTAATTCAATTAGCTACATTTTTAGATTTAAAAGGAAAACTCGTCATATTTTTCCATTCTATCGTAATTTCTTATGTTGGCTCAGCTTGCATTTACGTTAGAGCACCTCATTCACTCGTGTGAAGAAGACGCCTTAGGGAGTTTTTTCTTATTTTGAGCTTTCGGAAATTCCACTTCAAATATAGAAAACGTTGGGCATTTTCTTGGCTCATTTTTAGTGCTTTTAGTTCTAAGTCTAAGTTTTTCTGTTGAAAAATCATGAAAGCAAGAATCCAGATTTTGAGGGGTGCTTGATCTTATTTTCCCATAAAGTTGTCCTGGCTTGAAATCAAACACCTTTACTCTTTGTAACTTTTCAAGCGGAATTTTCCTTTTTTGGCTAGTTTTTTTAGTAAATAAAAGTTTGGATTTTGTAGGTGCAAGAAGGCTATTAAACGTTTTCGGGGTTTCTAGTTCAGTATTTGTTTGAGAATCTTGAAATGTTTTATTTACAGGAGAAGGAGTAGGGCTAGGCTTGGGAGTTGGCCGAATTTTTAGGTGTCTAGATTTTGGGGACTGTTTTAGTATTTTATTACTCGGAGAAAATTTGCTACTTGTTGCAATAAGAGTCGGAGAATTGACTGACAAAAGGTTATGCCAGTGATTTTCAACAACCCCTTTAGTTGGTATTTCACGATAACCTTTAGGTTTAACTATAAGCATTTATTTTAATTTCACTTATTACTCTAGAGTTACTGAACTATACTTGAAGATCTTAATCTAAATGAGATAAAATCATGGATCAAGGCCATGAGTATTTGCAATTATAATTCGAATGAAACTAGATGCTTTTATATTAGCAATTTTTGCTTGGCTTGGTGAAGATATGCATAATTTTCAAATCAAAAGGCTTATTTTATAAATTTTATTATTGATTTAGCAAGATAATACTTTTAATTATATTAAATAATTTTCACTCTACAGATAAGGATTGGCACTGATTTTTTTAATATATTAGTTAAGATCGTTGATCTTTATTTATTTCTTACTCCCCCTCCTTAAGCGTTAATTTTTAAAAAAGTCTATATATAAATTTGTTTTTCAGAATTAAAAAAAATCCAATTCGCAAAAATTGAAAAAAAAAATATTAATTTAATTTATAAAATTTATATTTAGAACACAATTTGTTTAAAATTAAATAGAATTAGCTAGAGATTTCATTATATAAATTATCACTTATATATCAAAATTTTGTTTACGGAATGGGGTTACTGGGCAAAAAATAGGAATTTTTCCAATGGTTTTTTCTTTCACGGAGGGGGGAGTCAGTATTATTGATACAATTGTCTAATATTCTAATTTAAAGGATAATTAGGATAACTAATTTATATACGGCCTTCCTATAGATGGCGCGCAATGCGCCATCTATAGGAAGGCCGTAAGAATATTGATTAATTTTTTACCAGCTTATATAAAACTTAAATTAAAAGTAAAACTTCCTTGCAATACAAAAATAAATTAAGTCGTTTAAACAAATTTTAAAGATCATAAAATCACTAATCTCATCTAAAGAGTATATTTAGAGTATTTATTTTTATATTTTCCAGATTCATCAAGCCCTTAATTTCATTAAAATTTATCTTATAATAAATTTCGATTAGCAGACATATAATGAATTATGTCGTTACCAAAGCTTTTACACATCTAAGGCTCAGTTATTTTTTATTAAAGAAAGAAACTTCAGTAAACTGACTTTCTGCTCTTATTGGGATAAGCTTTATCTTTAGACCTTCAAATTAGAATAAACATCAGGAAAATCAAGCTAATTAAAAATTGAAGAAACCATGTAACCTATAAATGAAGAGCGCTTTTAAAAATAATTTTCTTATTTTTAACTAAAAATCGATTTAACCTTTTGAATTCTGTCTCCATTTTATTAGAATGTAAAAAATTCTTCCATTTAATGCCTGGATTATTTATTATCCGTTAATCATATCTCACTCCTCAATAAGTTCAATAAGTATGATAAAAATATATACAACCAATTAATAAAAAACTTAAAACGAGTGATAATCTCCATATAAATATATAATATGGGAAATACGCTAGATCAAAAAGAAGAAAAACTAGCCCATCCAACATCACTCCATAAAAATGATTTTACCTTTCATTACGTGATAGGTAAAGGAGGCTTTGGAAGAGTGTGAAAGGTTGAAATGAAGAAAACCCATCAAATTTTAGCTATGAAAGAAATGCTTAAAATTAGGGTTGTAAGTAAACGAAGTGTATACTCAGTAATGAATGAAAGGAGGCTTTTATCTATCTTAAAGCACCCTTTTATTGTGAACATGCAATATGCATTCCAAGATAAAGACAATTTGTATCTCGGAATGGATTTGATGATTGGGGGAGACCTACGTTTCCATCTCGGTCGAGTTCGAAGATTCACTGAAGAAGAAACCCGCTTTTTTGTGGCGTGCATTGTGACCGGCTTGGAATATCTCCATGTAAACGGCGTCATTCATAGAGATATTAAGCCTGAAAATTTAGTGTTCGATAACAAAGGTTACTTACGTATAACTGATTTTGGTATTGCTAAAGTATTAACCCCAGAAAATTTCAGAGATACCTCAGGGACTCCTGGGTATATGGCTCCTGAAGTTATGTGCAGAGAAAATCATGGGATTGCTGTAGATTATTTTGCACTTGGGGTTTTAACTTAAAAAATGGATAATTTTTCATTATTTATAAAAAATATGATGATTTAGATTAATGAAATATGATATAGCTCAGTAAGGGCTATATTTTATTAATTATCTGCTATTTATTTGGTGACAGTAAGAGCTCTACTCTCTTTGTAGATTATAAAAAATATTCGCAAATTATAATTACCTTTTAACTTATGAATTTATGATCGGGAGAAGACCTTACTCTGGGAGAAATCGAAAAGAAATCAAAGACAGCATGATGTCAAGACAAGTGCAGTTAAAGAAATCTGATGTCCCAACAGGCTGGTCAATGGAAGCAGCTGACTTTATTAATAAATTGTTGCAAAGAAAGCCTGAAAATAGGCTAGGGAATAACGGACCTAGTGAAGTAAAAAACCATCTATGGCTAAGAGATTTCCAATGGAAAAAATTGCTAGAAAAAAGTTTAGATGCTCCTTATGTTTGCTTAAGCGAAGATAATTATGACCCAAGAGTCAATAATGATTGAAAAGACGACATAGACCCTGCTATTCGACAGAATTCAATAGAAGAGCTCTTTGAGGGCTACTTCTTTGACGCTAGATCTCCACAAAGAAAAGTAAGTGATGAGAAAATCCAGCTTCAAAGAGGTGAAGAATCAACTGTACAGATAAGATATCAAGATAATGTAAGACGAAGAGATGACATATAAATTAAATAATTTTTCATATTTAAGGCATTTTCTCTTGATAATTTTATGCACATTTATATGCTGATTTTCAAGATTATCAGAATTCTCTAAAATATTTATTTATTTCTTAAAAGAAAATCCAGGATCTTTATAGAAAAAGTATTTTGTAAAGATAATCGTTAGCTTTATTATCCTCTCTTCCTCACTGTAAGCAAATATTGGTCATTAGCTTTGATTAAAACTGTATCATCTTGCCCTTCAATAATAACAATAGGCTTTTCTCCATTCTTTGAGAGCTGCTGTGATTTGGAAAACAATGAAGCACTATATCCTGCTAATGCTGGATCCATATTTTTTGATGCTATAGACAGTCCTGATCTTTGAGAAAAAATCACTCCTTTGATGTCAGGCTCTCCACAGATGCTTTCAAGCTTTTGATCAAGTCCTTTGAACAAATCCCTGCCCATATTATTATCAACAAAATTTATAAATTTAGCCAAATTCCAAAACTTACTATAAAAATTGGTTACATTAATTAATTGATTTTATATGCTTGTGATTAAGTGGGACAATTTGTGCTTTGATTTTTCCCAAAATCCTATTCAATATTTTATCATTGTTCGGACCTAAAAATGCATCTGGCTTAAAAACTGACGGTTTGCTTTGAGATGAGTTCATTCCAAAATCATCGTTATTCATGGAAAGAGATCTATTTGACCTCAAATTTTTTTCATATAATTTTCTTTTTTCTTCTAACGTTACATTAACGAAATCTCTTACTTCGAACAAAAAAAGTTTGTTCAAAAAATTAATATATTAATTTTTTTTCAAGTTTAATTCTCAAAAATTGGAAAGAAATGATAATTTAATTATAAAATTTATGTTTTAAAATGCGGAATTAGTAAGAGATTTTATTATAACAATTATTACTTATATATCAAAAATTTTTTATATTAATTTTTTTTTCTCTCACTGAGGATTGTGAATTTTCCAATCGTTTTTTGGTCACAGAAGTGGGAGTTAACATTTTTCTTGACCTTTTCTGCTCTATAAGAATTTCAGCATTTTCTTTTTGAATGCTTCTTAGACTTAATGGTGGGCGAAACTTCTTTTTACTGTCATTTATTTTAAGTCTTTTCGGAAATTGCAATTTAATTATGGATGGCTGGGCAATAGAAAATTTTCTGCCACTCAGGGAGTGATGCTTTTTATAGGTTTTTAGAGAACTTTCACTGTTTTGAGTGCTTACATCGAAGGTTTCAGTTTGGATTTCATGGTGGCTTAAATAAAATAGCATTCAGCTCGAGAGAAATTAGCTCTGCTTACTGCCTCCCTTATGAAATTTTATTTATGGGATTTGGCTTTTACTAAAGCTTTTGCACAGCAGCAGCGGTTTATCTTTGATTGAATAGAGTCAGAGTAACTGGTCTGAAGGCAAGAAGAGGACTAAGGGTTTCTCCATATAGCACACTAAGGAAGGAACCTTTAGCTGAGCACGTGCAGGAGCTGAGTCAGTAAAAGGCGAGGCAAGGCAACCAGTCTTGGGTAGATGGCTCAGCCGGGGTTGGCATTTGTTTAGGTATGGATCCGTTAGCGAATTAGTTTGGCCCAAAAGGGCATTTTAGCGCTGCGGCAGCCAGAGACTTTAAATATCAAGCTAATTGTAATCGGATTTCACGGTGACTTCGGGTTGAGTTTTGGCTGTCTGGCTCTGCAACTAAAGATGGGATATTCACAGTGACTATTGATTTTTTTCGATAAAAGGAACTTGATGTTGCATAGGGTTCATCTGGAGCCCTTGGAGTTAGCACAAATGATCGAGTTGATTGTTGAGATTTCGGTAATACACTGTCAGATGAGTTTGAAAATCTATTATATTGGCCTAATACATTTTGTATAGGAGGCTTGATATTGAGTTTGATTACATTGGGGCATACTCCGTGGTTTTCATTAGTTAGCTTATTTTCAGACTTCATTCCGTTAATTATGTCTTTAAAAATGGATTAATTTTTCTATTATCTAATCACAAAATCTTATAGAAATGAATGAATTATTATCTCAGCTCCACAAAGAAAGAATGGATAGAACCGAGAAATTCAGGAGCATAATTAAAAATGGTATAGTATTTTCTCTTTGATGGCCCTGTAAGGGCAGGCTTTTTTAGCCGGAATTTCTGAGATTGGTCGGACCAACGCACAAAGTTGGTCGGACCAACTCGCTTGTTGGTCAAACCAAATCAGGAATTCCAGCTAAAAATGCCTGCCCTTACAGGGCTATTCAAGGGAATTAATTATATCTTGATTCAGCAGAGAGGTGATGCAGACTCAATAATATATTTAAATTATATTGGAAAGATTTTGTCAGCCCAGAAATGAATAGCAATGCTAGGTAAGCAATTCCGTGCAAAGCCTCACAATAGTCTGAGTTCAGAGCTGGATTTTACTTGAAAGAGAGGCTTGGAGTTAGAAATGAATAACTCATCATGGCATCTTGGCCATTCAACTATACTCCTTTTTGCAGCAAGCCTACCAGTAAGTCTAAGTCCATTTTCAGGAAAACATGCCAGGCTCGAGAACTCGAAGAGCAGCCATCAAAATCCAACCTCCCAAAGCTGAGGGACATCCAGGAAAATACTGGAGACAGAAGGTGCAAGGTGGGCATAGATCACAAGCAGAGATGCAAGCCATGGTATTGGACGTTAAACTTTATTGATAAATTAAATTAATTTGGAAATTCAGGAACATTGTAATCGATAATCACATATTCGAAATATTAGAAAAACCAGGCGCTGCAGTTGGTTCGAAGCTATGGATCGGAGGAGAAGAATTAAGCATTTTTCTGCATAGGAATCCTGAACTTATTCAAGGAAAATCAATTCTTGAGCTTGGAGCTGGGGTAGGGTTAGTTAGTATTGTATGCAGTCTTTTTTCAGATAGAGTAATTTGTAGTGACAAAGGAGAAGTTCTAGAAATTGCGAGAGAAAACATCAGAAGAAACAGAAATTCTGCACAAGTTTTAGAATACGGATGGAGCGAAAATTCTGTTGGGATTTTTGATGTTATTGTAGGAAGTGATATAGTGTATTATGATCATGATTTTGTGCCTTTATATCAGGCATTGATGGCGAATTCTAGAGTTGGGACGATATTTATTTTATCATATAGAGATAGGCTTTATTCAATGCTGGATTTTTTCCCTTTGTTGAAAAATGACTTTGTTGTAAGGGAAGAAAGGAAGATTACAAATGAAAGCTATGTCTATATTTATGAGAGGGTAGGTAGAGAAACATAAATAATTTATAGAATTAGTGTTAGGGACTATTTTTAGTTGGGATTTAATATAAATATTTATAATTTTTAGCTATACGTTTTTTAAAACTTGTCTCATAGAATAATTTTATACTTATTTTTATTAAATATGGCAGCAGTAAATTTATAGCTCTCAATCTCAGCTTACTATTTTTTTAAAAGAGTGCAGGATGTCAAATTCTTCAGCATTTTATATATAATTAATCCGTCTATCATAAATCTCTCAAGAGTTAATAATATCAGTCATAAAATGCTTAATTTTAGTAAAGTTTAATTTAAAAAAAAATCACTGATCAGTTTTATTTTTTAAAAGAGCAACCACATTAAAACATATTTTAATAGAACTATTATAGAATCTGAAATATTTTTGTGTTCCATTTTGTTTTATACCAGTGTAAGTTTTTATTTCCACATCTAAACTCATTAATCTTTTATGTTAAAAAATAGAATTCTAATTTCTGACAAATAATAAATAGCAACTATGAAAAATTTTGACAGTTTAGAAGTAGGCCTGAATGAATTTTACCCTACTCAGAAGAAACCAACCTTCAGGCGAATAAAGCGAACTTTAAAGCTAGCTGGCATGTTCTCTTACAGTATCTTGGTTACTCAGATTCAAGAGCTAATTGTGATGTGGTTCATTGGAAATTACTTAGGTCCAAAAGAATTGGAAGCGTTTGGCATAAGTTCGATTTGGATAGAACTGACAGCAACCGCAACTTTTATAGGCATTTCTGGAGCTATTGACACTCTCTGCTCACAAGCTCATGGAGTAGAAAATATCAAGCTCCAAACTCTTATTTTACATAAATCGTTATTTATGGGATTTATGTGTTGTATTCCTTCAGCCTTCTTATGGTACTTTAGTACCGATATTTTCGCTTCACTTGGTTTGGAGTGTAGCGAAGAAGCTGGCGAATTTTTACAGTACTTTATTTACGCACTCCCAGCGAAATGTATATATGAAATTGTCAGCCATTTTATGTTTACCCAATATGTCTTAATTCCTGAATTTATATGCAGCACGACCGATGCTCCCCTACAAATTTTCTTCAATCTGATTTTAGTTCCTGCACACGGTATGAAAGGTGCAGCAATTGCTGGATCTATTTGTGCATGAATTCGGCTTATTATATTTTTTGGATCGTTAGTTATTATGAAATGCCATACAAAAAATTGGTCTGGATTTGATTTTACAAATTTCTTTACAGGATGGTCAGAATTAATGAAATTGTCGTTCTCATGCACAGCTCATATATTTGTAGAATGGGGAGCATTCGAAGTGTCAGCTTTATATGCTGCATGGTTTACTGATGGAGGTGTTAGTTTAGCTGCATGGGTTGTATTATTAAAAGTTCTATTAATAGAAGAAACTATTTCAACAGGCTTCGGTGAAGCCGCCGCTACTTTAATAGGAAATAGTTTGTCAAAACTTAAAATTGGCTTAGCGAAAGAGTATATGAAAATAAATATAATGCTTAGCGTTTTGATAAATGGTTTCACATTATCAATTTTGCTTATAAATAGATATGAATTCGGAGCATTCTTTTTACAAATCGATGGGAATAGCGCAAGTGCCGAAATCGTACAAAAGATCGGGGACACTTTTGCGTTATATGCGATTATATATGCTTCTGATAGCTGTTATTTAGTAATTTGTGGAGCAATGCGAGCTCTAGGCAAGCAACCGTTGAATTTAGTCTTGGCAATATGTGCTGATTTATTAGTTGGCGTCCCATTGCAATATGTTTTTGGAATTTATCTAGATTTGCAATTAAATGGAATTATTTATGGGATTTGTGCTTGCTACATTATAGAAATTGCACCGTTATTTTATACTGCTTTATTATATAATTTACCTTATGGCTATTATTTATTTATAGTGAGAAATTAATTATAAAAAGAATATCTTTTTTCTAAATTAGACTGGCATTACGAGGCTAATGAAGCACGAAACAGGTCACTTGAAGGAAAAGAATAATAATTATTGATTAAATAACGCATTATAATAAAACTTCTCAAGTTTTAGCTCTTAAATTAAGACGCTTTTTTGATTGAATAAATTCAAACTCTATATGACAAAATAAAGTGCCTATAGCCCATTTTCCAAAGCTATAGGCATAAGCAAAGGTAAACCAAAAAAGAGCAGCCCACCCAAACATCATAAATTTATCTCAGCTATTATCATGCCCATCTAAAAATACTGCTAAAAAGGCTATCGAACTACTTCCACATATAGACCCAATCATAGAAAACACTAAAAGCAATTTTGCAATATTCCTTGATTTTACTGTGAATAAAGTAAAAGAAAAAGCCAGATGAATAATGAAGAATAGCCATATAGGGGTCAATGATACACATCAGGATATTCTATAGTCATAATCTTCTTTCATAATTAATATAAAAATTTCAGAAAGGCCTAAAATATTCAGAGATAGCCAATACCAGGTATAAGAGGTCTCTAAAAAGACTATTTTTAGGATCGAAATGATACAAAGGATAATCAATGGAGCAGATATAGTGGACACTGAATGGATAAGTATGCTTTTTCTAGTGGTTTCTATATAAAATATTGATAGTATCAGGGTAATCACAAAGGCTGCCGAAATAAAAATATTTCTAATTAAGATTCCTATCACTGACCGATGCCAAGTAGCCATGCCTTTTTTACGTTTTACAAGCAGATAAATCACGACTCCAAGCATGGTATTGCATAATACAGATATTTCAACTGATAAGCAAATCAAAGGAACAAGGGATAGCTCATATTTTCTGTGTCCGGGAAGAATCTGAATAAAGATTACTGTGAGGATTCCAAAAGAAACCAAAAAATGAAGAAAAGCAAAAATACCTATAAAAATCTGTCAAAAAAGAGTAGCTTTAGGATGTCTTTCTATTTGGTGTCTTCATTTTATACAAGGACTAGAAGTACTGCGTTTTTGTCTTGGTCTAATTAAAGGCAGTTCTTTTGGATCCATTTATAAAATTCCATTACTCAAATGGCAAGAAAAACGAATTTTTTTAAATAGTAATTTATTATTATAATTTAGCTTCAAATAATAAAATAAAAAAACTAACTTAAAAAGTTATTTTTCTATTATAGAAAGGGATAATTAGTAAATCTTTATAATATAATAACCAAACAGAATTAATTGACTCCTATTAAAACACTTCATAGCTTTTACTATTTTTATAAGCCTACAATATTTTCTTAAATATAAATAAATCGATTCTTCAAATTATTAATAAAATAAAGTTTAATATATCTTAGGAATGTTTATTGCTCACCCTAGGTCACAAAATGATCTCCAGCTTGTAGAGTCTATTCGTGACCAAAATTTCAAACTAGCTTCACAAGTTAATAATGTAAAACATGGGCACGCTTGCTAACTCTTGGAGTTGACTCGACAATTGTTTTTGCTGGACCAACTCCACAAGTTGAAACTCCATTTAGTAGCCCAAGGCCAACAATAAGCATCCTAGACTATACTTGCAACGCTTGCTAATGTAAATCTAAATTAATTCATTAAGATTTTTAAAGTCTGGTCTTGAGTCTTCTTCAAGAGATAGCATCATTTTTAGTATTGATTTAATACGATTTGTGTAAGAGATAGATTCAATAATCAATGAAATACGGTCTTCAAGATTTGTGGATAAATCATTTAGCCCACAAGGAGGATTCAAAGTTGCCATTTGAAGGAAAACTAAGCCAAGCGAAAAAACGTCAGATTTGTGGATATCATGAGATATATGGAAACTCCCCGTTTTAATGAACTTTAGATAACTTTGGAGAACAGGAGGACTGAAATATGGAGCAGTTACATGAATTGAATTTGATCGAGTTTCTGCAAAATAATCTGGATAACTCGGCTTAAGGAGGCCAAATTTAATAAGTTTAATCGAATTTTCGGAAACAATAAAAGTCTTTGGAGTGATAGCACCATGCATGAAATGAGACTCTTCAAAATAAGTAAAAGCACTCACAAGAGATTTTATATAGAAATAAATCTGGTCTTCACTTAAAAATTCTTTTTTCTCTCTTCGAGAATTAATTCAATCGAGTAAAATTGACCCTTCACATTTTTCTCTAACTAAATAATTAGAAAAGTTTTGGCTATTTGTATTTTGAAGAGAAGTAATAATTGTGCATATGCTAGGATGCTTTAATTTGCATAGCTTTAATTCAGTTTGCTGACTAGTTTTTAATTCATCGATGCTTTCAAAAATTGTTTCTTTAATTATTACTTCATAGCCTACATCAAGAGCTAGAATTCCGTCATAAGTTTTTTTATTATTTTTTGAGTTGAGCTGATTCTTAATGTTAAGTTTTGAGATCGAAATATCTGAAATATTAATTTTTGATGGTAAATGGCTCTTTGCAGCTTGTTGAGCAGTTTTTGAGTCTTCGATGGATATATTTTCGGTATGAGCATTATGATCTTCGGTTTTTTGTTTATTTTCTTTCTTACTGCCCTTCTCTTAATTAGCTTCCATATTTTATTAATAGTTAATGCTTGGTTTTAAAAAAAATAATCAATTAATGTTTGAAATGAGAAACTTAATTATTTTAGAAAATTATTTTTTAGGATACAAGCTATCATAAATTTAATAGAATTAACTGGAAGATCTCACTATTATCATTACTATATACCGAAATATTTAAATAAAAATAATTTCACATTTAAAGTTTATACTCACTATCGAATAGGTAAAATTTCGCATAAATTAAGGTTTCCCAATGATTGTTCTCACTAAGCAAAGGAGGTGTTAGGTTTTTTCCCTTCCTTGGATTCATCTTGAATAGTAGCTCTTTCATGATTTTCTATTGGAATTTCACGACTTATATCAGGAGAATTGTTTTCTGATAACCGATATTTTGAGGTGGCATTAAGATTCGGGTGCGAATTGTTTCCTTTTAACTGTTTTGTTTCTTGATGCTTCGAGTTTCTTGTAATGCTTGCATCAGATAAAACACTCAAGCTATCTTTATCTTCATAATGAAGCCTGATAATCAAATCTCCAACTGGCTTATTATCCAAGTAAATTGGATACTCTCCACCGATTATTTTCATAAACCGAATATTTTTTAAGTTAATCATATTCTGTCCCATGAACATTTCTTTTTGAGGGGTTTGGTTTATAACTTTTATACTCAACACAACCTCTTTATTTAGCTGAAATACCTGATTCTCCTATTTCAAAATGGAGATGAATTTTTTAAATTTTTAATAGGTTTTTTATATACTTCTTTGTTATAATTTCTTATAGCTTTCCACGTGTTGAACAGAATCCAACATGTGGAAGGCTATACAAGAATTTATAAAAAATTTTAATCATTATTTAATCTTCCTCATAAAAAAATAGCAAAAACATTGAGAATGTTCGAAGATTTTCTCTATTAGTTCGATGGAGTGAGAAAACTGTCACACAGGTGATATTCCAGTTGTAACTTGAGAATTGAAAGTTTGAGATCCTATAGTCAGCTGGACATAAGTCTTCAAGTTTACAATTGTTGTTTCCAAATGTCCAGATATAACAGTTACATACAAAATTCCATTTTGAGCCTGAAACATTTTATTATAATTATTTACTTTGCCTTAAAAGATTTTGCCTTTCCTTCTCGCTTTGAACAAGCTTTAATCCTAACTCGTTCAATTTTTCATTCCCATGCCTTATTCCCTCTATTAGATTGGAACAAAAAATCCTATTCCAATTTAAAGGAGGATTAATTTTTATTTTAAAAAAAAATAATTATTTATATAGTTAAATTATTCCATATAAAAAATACTAAAACAAATATAAGCTGAGCACAATACTTTGAATTTTAATTTACTTTCATGATGAAATAAATAAAAAGATCACCCTATTCAGTGTTAAAACTATTTAAATAGCATTCTTCTTGCACTTTCTCGATTAAATTAGTTAAAACTAATTATATAAAAATTAGTATTTTCATCTTTATATTTTTTTGTTGAAAAATATAAATTGAGTACAATACTTTGAAATTAAAAAAAATTAGACGATTTTGCGCTTAAATAGCATTCTACTGCATTTTGTCTATTAAATTAGGTGAAACTAATTTTATAAAATTAGTATTTTCATCTATAACATTTTCCTATTAAATAAAAATTTGTTCCAATTTAAAGGGGTTAAAAGACCAAAAAAATGCAATTTTATCAATGTTTATTCCAATTTAAATGGGGGAGTTACTTTCTGTTTATACTCAGAAACTTTGGCTTTAGCAACATTTAATTTTTGCTCAAGTTTTATAAACTCTGACTTAAGATTTTCAAACGCCTGCGGGTTTCCTCCTCTTCTCAAGTCTTCTTCAAGTCTTCCCAGCTTTTCTTCTAACGCATTTTTCTGAAGCACTGCATCTTTTTCTCTTCTCGACAGTTCTGTATAGTGCATACCTCTTTATAAATCTCTGGGGACTAATTTCCTAATAAAAAATATTATTTCGACATTTTGCTCAAATCGAAAAAGTTAAAAATTAAAATTTGAAATTGTCATTTTATCTCTCTTAATTGCATATTTAATTTTTGACTTCTCAGATTTTTCTAAATGCCAATATAATTTTTTCTATTAAGCATTTGTGCTCAGATATCTATTAAGAGTCGCGCGCTATATATTTTTCTTGTAATATTTTGAATTCTTCTTCTACTTTATCACTATCATGTTCCTTAAGCTCTTTTGAGTTTCTCAGCATTTCTGACTCATTCTTAGCAGCTTCAAGCTTGCTTTCTAATAGTTTCATGTTATCTTTTATGTTCCTGTTTTCTTGTTTCACACTATCAAGCTCATATTTTAAGTCACTTTCTGTGCTGTTCAGCTGTGAACTCAGTTCTCTTTCTTTTGCAGCTAGCTCATCAATTTTTCTTTGCAGCTTTTCCTTTTCTTCTTTTTCTTTTTGATATTTTTCTCTTTCCGCTTTAGAAAGTTCTCTGGCCCTCATTTCAATCTGGCTATCTTTTTCTTGAAGTTTGTGCTGGTATTCTGCAGCTTCTTCTTTATAATAATTTGCTTGGCTTTCTGAAGCTTCCAAACTAGCTGTTAATGTTTCTATATCTTTTTTAAGAGTAAGGATTTCTTGCAGTTTAGCATCATGTGTTAGTCTAAGCTTATAAAGTTGTTCTTGCAAATCTTTATTTTGTATAGCGAATTTATCTTTATCAATGTTAAGGATTCTTTGCTTGTTTTTTTCTTCTTCTACATCATGGTTATATCTAATCATTAAATCATTTTTTTCATTTTTTATTGCGTCTCGTGATTTTCTGATTTCGTCGCATTCTTCGAATAATTTTTCTACCCTCAGCTTGAACTCGTCTCTTTCTTTTTTAAGGGCTCGAATTATGTCTTTGTCTGAAGCGTCTTCTAGCCTTTCTTGAAGCTGCTGAACTTCTTTAAAGTACTGGTTGACTTCAGAATTATGGCGATCTTTCATATCTCGAAGCTCTTTTTCAGCTTCTGATCTGTAGCTTCCATATTGAAGCTGCAGCAATTCGAGATTTCTCTTTAAATCGTTGACAATATCTTGAAGGCGACTGCATTCTTCAACTTTGTTTTCTATAGCGATTTTCATAGGACCTTCTATTTCTTCTACAAGCTTTAAACGCAAAATTTCATTGTCAACTGGCGGCATCATTTTTGCTTGCATTTCGTCGAATTCTTTTTTACCTTGCTCGATTGAGTTTTTTAGCCTTTGGACATAGTTTTCATATACAATTTTAAAGGAAATCAGCAATTTAAATTAGTATCATCAGCATATTTCTTAAAAAATAATAGGAATTTATTTTAAATAAAAATATAGAATCTTTGTAAACATTTATAATAAGATTCAGTTTCTCGCCTACTTTTGACAGCTTCAATGCACTTTGCTTGAGATTCTTGGCACTCTTTTTTAAGGCGCTCATGATGAAGTTTAAAATCTTCATGCATTCTACGGAGATTTTCATTATCTGATCTATATCGTTCTACAAGCTCTTTAGTTGAGGATAATGCTTTGCGAAGCTCATTGTTTTCTTCTAGGAGCGGTTCGTATGCACCCATTTAAACTGCTAAAACTATTTTTAAGAAATATGGACTTATTGAAATTATACAAAAATTGGTTATTTCTCTTAGATTTAGCTATTTCTTTATAAATACTTCTATTTTATGATTTTATCATTTATTTATTATCTGATTTTGCATTTAATTTAGCACTTTTCATCTTCAAAAATCCAATTAAACGTCTTCGGGCTTCTCCCTCCTGCATAACTAATAAAACTAGCATCATTAGTGGGTCTTGATTTTTGTGTTGCACTTGACAACATTGACTGGATGCTCATAACAACTGAGCTAACTTTCATAGAAGGAGACCAATCATCATATAAAATAGACAAGCAAATATAACCATTTGAATAGACATGCTGATGATGAGGGTATGCTCCTTTAAAAATTACGTCTGGAGCTTCTATAGGGTAGCTATCACTAAATTTGAATTCCAATGTATATCTTTCTCCAGCATAAACACTCCCTTCTGCCCCTACAAAGCTTACATATCATGTCATCCGATTAGGATCACTATCAGGAATTTCTAGCGGAAAAGTCTCTGAATAATGCCTTATCATCTCTTCATATTCTCTCTGAAGACGCTTCTGAGCCCTGCTGAGCATATTTAATTATAAATTAATAAAATAAATATTTTACATTTTGTCATTATTGGTAAAGAAAAAGTCACTGAGTTCTGAAAAGTTGGTCAACTCTTCGAAGCTCCCAGTGTTTTCTTCATCAGAATAATCCGTATCCTCATCTTTCTCATCGCCAAGTTCTTTATAATTTTCTCAATTTTCAATTAATTCTTTACAGTGCTTTTCACTGTCGTCATTTCATATTTTTCAATCTATATTTGTAAGTAAAATAATTTCTAAATTATTTAGTTCTTTTAACCTAATACCACCAATTTTAGCAAATTTCGCATTAGATATGTGGTAATCTTCTGCAAATTTCATTGCAATCACAATAGAAATAAAAATAAGTCTCTGGATATTTTCGTCAGAAATGTGAAATGTAGGATTTTTTTTTGAGAGAGATTCTAGGATTGAGTAAGAAATAGCTAAAACATTTTTTGAGCATGATAAATAATCTACTATAAATTCAAGGTAAGATAATAGATCTACGTGAACAGTTTTTTTTATTGAAAATAGTTTTAAACAATTTTCACTGCATAAGCTTGATATTGGAGAGTTTTTCATTTTGATTAAAGAGCTACATAAGCCTTTAAGTGCTGACATTTTTTATTATTGCGAACATCTGATAAGATTCACTGAAGTATAAATGGCACGGGAATTTGATTTAAGACTCAGTTGGAAATTGCGATTTAGCAGAAGCAAATAAAAATAAGGAAATTCAGAATAAGGGTTTTCAGTATTATTAGCCTTTAATGAGATTTTGCTGTCAAATTGTTTTGAACTTGGTGAGAATGCTCAACAAAAATATAATGCATTCGGATAATCAACAATTGAAAATTAGTCTCTAAGCTTTTAATAATTTAATTTTTGAGATTTTTACAACTAAATCAGAAAAAAACAATAAAGGCAATGACTCATTGATTTAAAGCATCATCTTTTCTTTATGTTTATCGTTATTTCTCATGGAGAATTTAAAGGTTTATTCTCGGTTTAACGAAGGTTTATTATATAAGAAACCGTAGAATTTTAACTTTAAAAACCTTTAACATTCGAAGTTTGCTATTTAATTTAATTTTCAACATAGAAAATGCCTTAGTCTTTTGCTGTAATGCATAAGACCATGCGGAATGTTGAACTAGCCAACACCAATGCATTCGTTTATGCATCACAAGTAATAAAAGGCATGAGATATTCTAATCTTAATTAGAATTCATATGATTTAAATAATAGATTTCATTAATTTATATATATAATTTTTCAAGTTAAAGAATCTCTTTATTTAAAATTAATACATTTCAATTTTCCACATATTTGATTTTTCCAAAACTGCAGTTTAAGTATTCTATGAAAAACATCAATTTAACTGCTTGGCTATTTTATAAAATGTCTGAATCAATTAAGGATTCAATGCCAGCTCCTTTCTTTAAAGCTACGAGAGTAACCTCATGCCAATACGTTTCTGCTTCAAATGGCCAAGCAAGGGCAGTTGCTTTTCCATGCAAAAAAACAGGTTATAAAGCAAAAAACTCATGGACTAACCAACGACGTTCCGCTGAAGTTGTTTCCCATGCAGATGCAACTTATCAAACTTTTCCAAATATGCACGTAGGTATGGACAAAAAGCCTTTGGTTCCTTACAATCCAGAATCTTATAGAAACCGTTTGCCGCAAGCAGATTTCATAGCTCCGTATAAAAATTCAAGCCAAATTGAAATTGGTGACAGATCTAGCTATAACAGTAAAAGCGTTTTTAGAACTACTTATCAAGCAATGCTATTAAAACCTGATATGAACGATTATACATCAAATCAAGGAATTATCGCTGAAAAGACGAAATGGACAAAAACCCGAATAAATGATTAAATAGACTTTATATCTAAATTTAATTGGAATTTAAATGGTTCTTAAGTTATTGAAACAATATTTTAATAAACATAGCTTCTATACAAATATAATACTCTTGTAATTGTATCAATTTATTGATAAAATTATAATCTAAAATATATTCCAAAGCCATTAATTTTTAGAGTATTGTAAAAATGGGATGATTCTTATAAATTACTCATGATCAAAAAGAACTATAAGTTCATTATCAAGACTATGGCTAAAAGAATCTGTGATTGAGGAATTAAAGTACCTACTAAAAGCGAAGAAACGCAATTTGGAGGCACCACAGCTCCCTTATGAAGAAATCCTTCTCAATGTATTTTCCTCATAATAGGAATTATAAATACCCTCATTTTCTTCATAGAGTTAATGGTCGTTGGGATAAGTCTTGGCTTCAACACGAGCTGCTCATCAGGATTAGAATATGTCAGGAATCTAACAATATTTTTTTTCTTCCTAAATGGCATGTATCAGCTCTGAATCTCTGCTCATAAATGGACATCTGATACTCAATGATTTCGATTCATTGCAATTTCTACAGTTTTAAATGCCTTTCTGCTATTTTTGGTTTTTATGATGATATCAGAACTTTCAGCAAACAAGGATTGCAGAAGCAAAGATGTAAGCACTTATAATTCTTCAGTCTCTATAATTGTGCTAGGAGCTATTACAGGGATATTTTATGTCTTCTTTACTGCTTACTTAATAATGAAATTATACTTACTCACTCGCTCATAAGTTCGCAAAGCTTTGACGAATTAACTTTTTCAAAATTTATACTAAATTTTTTTGTGTGTAAAATTAAAATCCAAGTTGTTTAAAAGTGAAAAGAATTAGCTGGAGATTTTATATAATAATCATTACTTATATATAATTTTTTTCTCAATAGTTTTGCTTGTTAACGAAGGGGAAGTTAGGAAGACAGCTATTGGTTTATAATGAAGGTGGACTCAACATTGACTATTAATTTCTCAAAAGTTGGGTGATCTTTTAATTTTATTATTATTAAACTTAGATAGTGAAAAATGATTGCTGGCAAAATAAACTTTTGCTAATAAAATTTATTTTCATACACTCATCATAATAATTAGACTATTTAGTCTTTATTTGATGGCAGAAAATATGAATATTTTATCACTATAGAAGACAGAAAAAATATAAAGACTGAAAGGTTTATTTGTACTATAACAGGATGCAATAGAAACTATAGCAACCAAGAAAACTTAAATAATCATTATAAAGCTGCGCACGGAGAAGCTCAGATATATTAGTGTGAGATTTGTATCAGAGAGAATACTCTTAAATATACGAACGAAAAACCTTTTGTATGCAAAGTTTTTGGCTGCAGAAAGCAATTTAGACAATGAAGTCAGCTTTCTTTGCATAAAAAATGCATAGAGAAGTAAATTCGAGAGTGCAAAAACTTAAAGACGAACTAAAAATAAAAAAGATAAACCCTAAGATAAAAGATAAATTATGAAATAAAATAATCTGTTTTCAAGGATTATTGATCCGTCAATTGACTAATGAAGATTTAATAATTAGCTATTTTTAATCACAGCATCTCAATGGCCATAATTACCAATTTTAATCCATATAAATTGATTTTAAATGAGATTTCCATTTAAACTATAATAATAAATTTATCATTCCTATAAAGAAAGAAGCTGAATTTTTCAATAAATTGAAAATAATACTAATCAATAATTTATTCTCTATCAATTTACTATTGCTTTTGGCTTGGGATATACTTCATTAAATGCCATTCTATAATACTTAATAATTCTATTCAATGAGATATGCAGGAAAAAAATTAAAAATAGTTTACTTCTATGAAAAAGTAAATTCTGTTCATAATAATCGCATTATTTAGCTTAAATATAGTTTAAAAATGAAAACATAAACCTTGAGAGAAAAAGGAATAATTTTGCTTAACATTTGGATTTTGGAAAACTTTTGATATAATCTTAACTGATTTTAATGTTGAACTTCAAGCCATCCATCAAAGAGATTTTGTTGAAATCATTAAATAGTCACTATTTTCTTAATATTTGCAATAGCAGTTTAGAATACTCACGAACACAAATCTATTTTTATCTGATCATAGCCAATTTATGAGACTTTGTTCGTTTATCTATTATGATACTATCAAGCTTTATCAATTTCATAAAATCCGCAAATCAAAACTGGAGAATTAAATCTCTTATGCGTAATCCTTATTATAGAATCTTATAAGTATTATATTTAATATTTATATATTTTATGTCGAGCTACTAATCTTGAATTAGTAATAAATTCTCTATAAGTAAATATTAAATCATCATCTTATAAATATAATAAATTTTCTCGAAGTATTATTTGAATGTTATTTGTCTTTAAACTTACTGGTTTCATAGAGTATTTAAAAATAAAGCGATTTGAACCTTCTTATTAAGGCTTTAACAAAGCAAGTTTATGAGTGAGTACAAAATATATTACTTAACTCTAATGTATGTTCTTAGCTCACTATCACAAGACTGCTGATAGTTGAAGGAAGGATTATTCCAACTTGGGGAGAACTGATTGACGGGAGGACAATATTCTGCTCTTCCAGCTTAGCCATGCACTCAATTTTGTCTTCATTTTCTGTTTTTGTCAGCACAGACGTCAATAGATTTAAACTTGTTTCGACCTGAGGGATTCCTCTAACTCGCTTGATTACCTCCTCATGCACTTTCTTGTGTAGAGAAAGTTGGCTCCCTTGTCGAAAGCATTCCATGCAGCCTTCATAAGGACAGGCGTAAGGCTTTGCGCCTGTATGCATAAACCGATGCTCCTTAAGATTCTGCTTGGATGAAAGATATTTCTTGCATATTTTGCATCTGAAGCGCTTTACACCCATGTGTTGGCTTTCGTAGTGTCTCTTTAGGTTAAATTGGTTGCAGTAATCTTTATTGCAGCCTGCAACCCTGCAAATAAATCTCTGGCTTTCCATAATAATTTCTATAGCTGAACGTCACTGGAAAAATATGTCTATAGGAAAACCAAAGCAAATTTCAATGATAAAAAGGATAGAAATTTCCTTGAAAAACCCATATAAAGCTCTCAAAAATAAGAAAGGGCATAATTTTGCTTTTGGTTTCATTCAAAGTGCTTTATATAATGATAATTAAGTTTGAATAATTGAATTGTTTTTGTCAATAAAGAATTCAAATATTTATTAGCTTTAAATATATTCCAGAACGAACTCTTAAATTAACTTGTATTTTCTTTATAATAATTTAATAATTTATTTTTGAGATAATATTAATTTTATATTTAAAATTTGTACACATTATTCTTGAAGAATAAATAAATTAAAATAAATAATTATTGCAGTATAAAATTTATCTTCTATTTTTTAAATTTCTAGCTCTATCGTCAACCTAAAGTATCCGTTTAAATAAATATGAAAGCTTTAATTTTGCTACTTTTAACATTACAAGCTATATCCCTAACTGATGAAACAACTGATTCTGAAGAAGACAGCACCACAGAAACAGAAGAAGACACAAACACTGAGTCTGAAGAAGACTCAGATGAAGATTATGATGAATATTCCATCAACTGAAGAGAAATTAGAAATGACGCAGAAAAATTATATGAAGATCTAATCTCAGTTTCCACAAACTCTGATGAAGATGATCAGCCTACAAGAATTGATAATAGTGATACAAGTGTCCAATCAATTATTATTTATTATGAAGGCCAGTCATATGTTGTGACTATCGACACTGATTATGCTAAAAAATATTTAAAGGAATTAGCAGAGGATGAATCTTCTTCATTTTTACAGGCAGAATCTTAAATTCCAAAATATAATTGACTTACCACTATAAATTTTCAAAATTATATTATATTATATTTAAAATTTATTAATCCTACTCAATTCCACAATTCTTTTCAGATCTGCAGGACATGATGGCTTTTGCACTAAATAAAACTTACAGAATTCATCCATTCCGACGTTGAGGCATTTCTGCCGTAGCCCCGCATCTCCAGACATCCCGCATATAAAGGTCCTTGGCATGCCTTTTTGCTTTTCAATATCTCTTATCTGTTGCGTTGCTTTAAATCCATCAGTAAGTGGCATATAAACGTCCATAAAAATCAATTGATATATATATCCTTGGTCTTCATAAGCTTTAAACATTTCTATTGCCATGCTTCCGTCCTTTGCACTATCATAGCTTGCGTGGAACATCTTTTCAGTCATTTCTTCAATGATCTCACGCTGACTGTCTATATCGTCTACTACTAAAATTTTCATTCTTTGAGGATCCAGCTTGTATTTGACAGCCTCTTTTTCAAGGAACCTGTTTATTTTAAATATACTAGTTAGTGAATAATCTGGCAATACAGGAGCATTATTTTTGCTAAAAACTCTTATCTTTCTATTAGCAATAGACTGAGTCGCACATTTTTTCGGATTTTCTTCTTTAAAATTTGTTTCATATTGTGCTGGGTCAAAAGTGACAACTCTTATCACTTCTTTTGAGCGATAACTGCATATTTTATGCGCAATATCTGGATTTTCGTCTAAATCTGACACATCAAAGCTGGAAAAGGTTGAGCAGTGATGAATAGACTCAATGCTAATATTTCCTACTGTCTGCATTTCGAATTTCATTGAGAAGCTATCTCTTCCTCGAGATCTTAGCCTGATAATCTGATTGCTTAACTGTTGGCATTCATCTATCCTATTTTCAGGCTGAGGCTTTCATTTAGAAGTCAAAGGAGTCTCATAAGTTTGATTCGCAGTTATTCTTATTATTTTAGATTTTGCCGCCTTATCTGAAAGAGAGTATGGGATTTTCCAAATTAATGAAAATTTGTCAGAGCCATAATCTTCCATTGCAGCTTCAGAAATTTCACCTTTAAGAAATACCAGAATAGAATCAAATAAAGCAATTCCAAAGCCAGACTGCACACAATTTTCGACTATTTCATCCATTGAAATCCTTTGTCTTTCAGTTCTTTTCACATGAAATAGCTTTTTTACATCGTTGCTATTAAGCTTCCTTGTTCGGATTACTAGTGTATAAGATACATAAAGTTCTTTTCCTACAGCAGACTAAATAATGATTACTGAAATTTCTGCCCTTAAATAGATCTCACTATTGGGCAGGGCTTTTTCGATAGCAAAGGCAAAAGTTGTTTGCAGGATATAAAAATGAATAGATTGGTCTCCTATTACTGATTTTGGAATTCCTTGGTCTTTTTGATAAGTGACTGTAATGCTTTTTCTTTGGGCTTTTCCATATAAAATTTCAATAGTGTTTTGTATATCATCGTCGATGCTAAAGGAATCTTTGCTTACTCCCCCCCGTGAGCGAACAAAAAAATTTTATTCGCTCACGGAGGTTTTTTTTTTTTAGAAAATTTTATATATAAATTTTATAGAAAATTTTTTTTTCGAAATTTAATTTGTAAAAATTAGAGAGCAAATATTAATTTAATTTGTAAAATTATGTTTTAAAACGCAATTTGTTTAAAATTAAACAGAATTAGCCAGAGATTTCATTATAATAATTATCACTTATATATCAAAAAAAAATTTCCATAAAAAATTTTTGTTCACCCACGGAGGGCGGTTTTTTGGGGAAAAAAAGGGATTTTTCTAATGGTTTTGTTCGCTCACGGAGGGGGGGAGTTAGTACAATTGAGTTGAAAAACACGGATTGATATATTGAGCATGTATAATAGTAATATTTTATATTCATATACTCTTGAAAGTTTTCTTTACTCCTAAGCTGAGTATTGTCTATATCGTTTGCAAGAGATTTTCCAAATGCTTCTACAGCTGGCTTAGAATCTCTTATATATCTCATCATTAATGCTTTATTGTTTATATTATCAGTGATATCATCACACATAAGCAGTGCGCAATTTTCTGCTTTTCACTTTATACTTTCTGCATAAATTGAGCATCCTAAAATTTCACCTTTACTAAATTCTATATCTTTTTCAAATTGCTTGAATAAAAGCTCTTCCTTTCCTGGGCATCCTTTTAAAATAGCATTTTTTATTAATAACTCAATCAATTCACGATACTCTAGAAAAAACATATCTATAAAATTTCTTGAATTCGGGCACATTCTGGCCATCATTTTAGCAGCTTTTTTATTGAATTGAATGATGCTTCCTGAGGAATTTACTATAAAAACAGCTGAATGCAAATTCTGAAAAAAAGAATAATAAGTAGCGTTGGATTTTTTCATAGTCTGATAGATTCTTCATAAAGCCCGGAAATCCTTTTCCCCCAGAGAAAATATTAAAGTGTAAGTAAAGGCTGTCAAAATCACTCCAGGATTTTTAAGATGATTCGTAAAAAATAGCACAATGATTTCCATGGTGCTAAATAATAGGAATTTTGTTCAGTGGGGATATAAAAGTAAAGTAATGATAAAACTAGATAAAAAGCCTGCTAAACTTTCGAAAAAATTCCCATTTGAAATTATTTTTGATAAAATCATAAAGTTTGGTATTTCTAATAAAATTCTTTGCAAGAGGGGAGAAGAATTTCTTGCAGCTAATCATGGGAGACATGCAGAAAAAAAGCTGAAAAACTCATATAGAGTAATATCACCTAAAATGAATAAGCATAAGGCTATTGCTATTGATCATACACAAATATAAGTCAGTGAATTTGCACGAGATTTGATAATGTCTGAAGAATAACGTTTTTCGGTAGAGCTGTCTTTGAATTGTAAGTACTTATTTTGCTCAAAATATTGGTCTTGGTAATATAAGTTGGAATTTTGTCTTGGAAATGACACCATGGGTTGCTAACGAAAATGGGTAATTGATATAATAAATGATTTATACATCAAAATAGTATGGTGAGTCGATTAAACTCTAAATTCTTTAGCTGATAACCGACAGTGGTGAGGAGCTTGAGGAAGGGAGTGCAACGTCTGATGTGAACCTTCGGTTTCTAGCTTCAATTTTAATCAGCAGCAAACCAGAATATTCTAACTTGGAAATTTCCATGAAATGCAGCCTATGCATAGGATGCAGCAAGGTGGCAAAAACTTCTTACTTTTGGAAGCGAGTGCAAGGTTCTGCCAAAACGATTAATAAGCGGAAAAATCGTTTGCTGAGTAGCGATGCGATATGGTTGGGAATAAGGGTCTTCGGACTCCGAAAGTTGTTTATCTATAATCTAGCATCAGCAAAAATGAATCATCAAAAAAATTTACCAAAAAAGGAGTTTAACGATATCTAGATTAACGGATTTATGAATAATTAATCTGAAAACTCTCCATGAAAGGCTTACTTATAATAGCTTTACTTATTCAAGGTTTACTATCTGAAAATGAGGCTGAAGAAGAAGTGGTAATAGATGAAGGAGGATCTTATTCAATCTCTAAAAATGAAGTAGGAGCTGATTATGATCTGCTAATTGCAACAATCACTGACTCAGATTTTGATGATCAGCCTACAAGAATAAAAAATTTGAATGAAGATATGGAGTCCGTCTTGCTTGATTATGACGGACAAAATTACTTAGTTTCTGTTGGACCTGATTTTCTTGGGGAATATAAAGCTCGAATAGATTCAGAAAAGTCCGCATCATTTTTGCAGTTAAATATTGATAGTAGCTCTAATTAAAATTTTTGATACACATGACTGTCTTTTAGAAGCACAGTTATTTTTTACAGTAAAATAAGTAAAATTGGTAATATAACCAAAAAAGTAAAGCTTATAATAATCTAACAGCAACCCATTCCTTATTAAAATTCTAAAGCTTCATACAGCATTTCTTTTTCAATACATCTCAGCTGCATCTCAAACCCATTATTAGGCGCTACCCTACTTCTTTTACTCCTCACATACTTAATTGCTTCCTCATATTCTCATTTCCTCAAAGCCATCATATACGCAATAACAATCGTCGCGCTCCTTGAAACTCCGGCGACGCAATGAACAAAAATTTTTTTTCCTTCATTTAGATTTCTGTGTATAAATCTAATAGCATTAGGTAAATATTTCGTGATATTTGCAGTTGGCCAGTCTCCAATCCTTATCTGATAGTATTGAAATTGGTCAAAAACCCTGCATTCTCTTGGATCTTCTAAAACTTGGATTATAATGTTGATCCCTAGACTCTGTAATAGCCGAGAGTCGCAGGCTGCTTCAATACTTCCTAGGTAAAGATTGGGGATTATTTCGTCTGGATCTATGCTATTGAACATACTGTAATAATAATATGAGTGGACCTTACGCAGGCAGGCAAGATGAAGCTGGCAATGTAAATCCTCAGATATTTGATGAACAAGCAGAGGAGTCCAAAGGAGAGATGGCTCGACTTACATCCTTTGTAGGGGCCATTGCCATTTCTGAGCTTGTCAAAACAACTCTTGGGCCGAAAGGAATGGACAAGATCTTGAAAAGTGCTGACCCAAATGAGCAGAAAATCACTGTTACAAATGATGGAGCAACAATACTAAAATCAGTCTACGTTGATAATGCAGCTGCCAAGATTTTAATTGACATTTCAAAAACCCAAGATGATGAAGTAGGAGATGGGACAACTACAGTCGCTGTTCTTGGCGGAGAATTGCTAAATCCTCCCTTCGTGAGTGAACAAAAAAAATTTTTTCACTTAAAAAGGAGGTTTAATTTATTTTGAAAATTTAAAAAAAATAATTTTAAAGCAAATATAAATTTAGTTTGCAAAATTTAAGTTTCAAAATGCAATACCGTTTTAAAAATTGCTAGAGATTTCATCATACTAATTATCAATAGTTTTGTTTGCTCACGGAGGGAAGTAAGAGAAGCTGAACAGCTTGTTATTGCAAAAATACATCCTCAAATTATCATCCAAGGATGGAGACTCGCTAAAGAAGCTGCAAGAAAAACTCTTCTCGATATTGCAATGGATCACTCACAAGATGAAGCTGTTTTCAGAAAGGATCTTGAAAGTATCGCTGGAACCACTCTAAGCTCAAAATTGCTAGTACAAGAAAAAGAGCATTTCGTTAATTTGGCTGTAGATGCAGTTTTAAGGCTTAAAGGAAGTGACGATTTGAAGCTTATTCAAATTATTAAGAAGGCTGGTGGGAACTTAAAAGACTCTTTCTTAGCAGACGGATTTATCTTGGAAAAAAAGATTGCTTCAAAATCTCCAAAAGTGAAAATAACCCCAAGAATTCTTGTAGCAAATACCCCTATGGATTATGACAAAATCAAGATTTTTGGCTCAAAAGTAAAGGTTGACTCTATTGACAAAGTTGCAGAAATTGAAGCAGCAGAACGAGAAAAAATGAAAAGGAAAGTCGACAAAATCTTAGCACACAAGCCTAGCATATTTATTAATAGGCAGCTAATTTATGATTATCCTGAAAGTCTGATGGCTGAGCAAGGTGTAATGGTTATTGAGCACGCTGATTTTGATGGTGTTGAAAGACTTTCATCTGTCTTAGGTGCTGATATTTTATCCACATTTGACACCCCTGAATCTGCAAAGCTCGGAACATGTGAGCTAGTTGATGAAATTATGATAGGCGAAGACAAAGTCATCAGATTCCAAGGTTGCCATGAAGGTAGAGCCAGCACTATTGTATTAAGAGGTGCCAGCACTCACATATTAGACGAAGCAGAAAGAAGCTTACACGACGCCCTATGTGTCCTCATCCAAACTATCAAAAATTCCAAAGTTGTCTATGGAGGTGGCAATACTGAAGTAAGAATGGCTGAAGCTACAGATGAACTCGCAAGACAAATCCCAGGCAAGAAATCATTAGCAATTGAAGCTTACGGACGAGCACTAAGAAAGCTACCAATGATTGTAGCTGATAACGGTGGTTTTGATAGCGCAGAAATCATCTCACAATTAAGAGCTGAAATCCATAATGGGAATACAACAGCAGGAATTGATATAGGTAGAGGATGCGTCGGAAATATGGAAGATTTGGGCATTAAGGAATGCTTAAGAGTTAAAGAACAAGCACTGTTAGCAGCTTCAGAAGCAGCTGAAATGATATTAAGAGTAGACGAAATTGTAAAAGCAGCCCCAAGAAGAAGAGAAGGATATTAAATTTAGCAATTTCTTAAGACAGACAGTTAGGAATAAATTACTTTTAAATAGTGAAAAAGGGACCATTTAAAAACAGATAAGATATAGCCAATTATAAATATTTCACCTTACTAAAGTTCTGCATCTAGAATTTTTTAAGATTCTATTTTGCAAAATTTTACTCAAAAGTGAAATAAAGACCTCTCAATTTCTATCAATTTATCTGTATTTATTTATCTTTCAAATCCAGTAATGCATACAGCCAAATATAATTTCAATCTAAAATTTCATTTTGATTTTGGAGATAATAATTAGATTTTTATAATTTAAGTCTATTAAGAAATTCATAATAAAAACAAAGCTATTAAGAAATTTCTAATTCTTTAGGATATAAAGATAATTTGTTATTGCAGTTAATCTATTTTTAGAGGTTGAGCCTTATATCCGTAAAACAATAACTAGCTTATCTTCCATTCTAATCAATAAAAATTTGTTTTACTAACATTTTTGGACACTGCTATGAAGTTAGCTTAACATATAGATTTCTTAATTATAAAGTGAAAAGCTCCTTGATCTAATTGTTTTTCTGATAGCTTAGATTGATATAAATATATGAGAACTATATTTAGTCATTAAGGCTTTTAATTCGCCTGGCTTTTTACATAAAAATCTAATGAAATACACTATTTTTATCAACAGAAAAAGACAATGAAATTAATTAATATCCATTGCCATTTCGTGATAAATTTTTGTTGACAGCATTTCATAAACTTTAAGAGAAAAATAATTGCTTTATTTATAAAAGAATTTTCGTTGTATTATATTAGCTGAATAAATGGAATACCCTTCTAAAAGTGTTCACTCTCTTGAGATTATGAATTTTGCGCCAGAAAGTGAGACAGAAGAGGCTGATGGGATTTTTGTAAGCTCTCTTGCTCCTATAACTTCAGAAATTCTCTTTCAAGTAGTTGATGAATTTGAGCTAGGACAACCTCAACATAAAATAGAGAATTCCCTAGGTGAAGCTGCCAACAGAATAAGTTTTATGGAAATGCGTTTAAAAAACTCAGCTTTTGCCAGCAAAAAAATACAGGCTTTGAAAAATAATCAAACAATTAAAAATTTTGGAGTTTGTTTTGACAAGCTTAAGTTCAGAGCTTCTGAAATTTCTCAGGAAATTAGCTGTGGGTTATGCGGTGGGGTCCTCAGAAAACCTTTTTTACTATCAGGCTGCTTCCATAACTGTAATTTTTATTTAGTTTGTAAACTCTGTATTGCCAGGTGGCTTAAAGAGGGCAATAAAAAATGTCCTTGTGGTAAAGATATAGAATCATATATCCCGAATAGGATTCTTCAGGCATTTATTTTTTATATACTTTATAGTTATCCAATTGCATCCCCGAGACTGGACAAAGCATATGAGTTAATAAACAGCCTTTCTACAATGAATATGCAGGAAAGCCAGGAGAGACAAAGAAAATTATTCAATTACAAAAAGACCACAGTGTTCAGAATTGTGGTTGGAGAACTTAGTTTTGGGTTCGAAACGTCTGGAGAATTTTGCATTCAAGACATATATGACTTGATTTTGAGAAGAACTCCAGTGAAAGGGACTTTTGCGTGTAAAGGGAGAGAGTTGGATCATAGTTTAATGATCGGTTTTGTAGATGCTTTTATTTGGAGAGAGTCAAATGCTTTGACATTAAATTTGGTATAAATTTAATATTTTCAAGAATTATGTAATTATTTTTAATTTTTTACTGTCAAGTTGTTCAGATTAAAAGTTTTGATTTTCTTCAGTCTATTTTGCATTAAGCTTTGCTTGGGGCTAGATGAATTATTTACTGGCTCATCTAGGACTTCTGGGATCGCTAAAGTTATAATCTGTGGAATATCATTATTCTCCATCGAAAGTTCTGGGGTTAAATGCATTTGATATAAAGGATTGTGTCTGTACTCAACAGATGGCCTTTGCGATGGATACATCATGCTCATATCAGTAGAGTTATTCCTTGTATGCATTGAGAACTCTTTGATTTCATTTGGATTAAGATATGATGCAGGCTTATTTATGCTTTCATGCTTTAAATGTTTATTTCTGGGATATTCAAAACTATCAGTAATGTCAGCTTCATTTATGTGAGAAAGTGGTTCCAATGTGATAACATTGGCAGATCTCTCATCAATTGATATATCATTTAGGTCGACTTTGGACCTTTCGCTTTCTAATATGACAATATCTAAGGAAAACCTCAAAACTATTAATAAAAAGCCTGCCCAACATATAGAAAGTGTTAAAATGTTTACATTTTCCTGGCTTCAATAGGATTTTTCATATAGAATTGGGATGATTAGAAATATGATTTCAAATAAATGATAACAGATAGTAATTATGGTATTTCTTAAAGATATATAAGGTAGAGATATAAGTAAATATAATACTAAATAAAAAATACTTATGCATAATTCAAGTGATATCATCGTAAAACACTGATAATACTTATACTCATAAGCAAAGACTAAAAGTATGCCGAAGATAATTCGTTTTAGCATAGATAATGGGTAGTATAAGTGCATTCATACTGATTTTTTTTTAAATTCTTTAAAAAATAAGCTAAAATATCCTTTAAAATCATTTGTGAATGCAGAGTATACCATTAAGCAAAATATTACAAAGAGATTTACTAAACAAATCCCTGATAAAATTGCACTTATTATCATTAAGTGAGTAGCAGAATCTACATTTTGGATAGTCAAAAAACTGTAAAAGTTTAAATCCATACATGAAGCAACAACAAACCAAAAGAAAATTGAATATCTCGCCTTAGATTCCTGCAACGACTTTTGTATGAATGGCAAAAAGGTTAAAATCATTAGGCATAGCAATAATATAACAAAATATTCTTGTGCATTATACAAAATTAAAACTGATTTAATTTCCATATATTCAAAATGAGGTTGGTATGGCTTTACATCTGAATCTTCATAATAAATATAAGCCTGAAAAAAGTAAACAATTTGTTTCCAAAAAGAACCATAGAATACTGACGTTGAAAAATTCATTAAAGGCACGTATCGCGCGAATTGGAAAAACGTAACTAATTGGATAAATCCACCTAGTAATTGGCTGCGATTTCAGTGAAAAAGTAGCACTAAGAGTAGCATTAGCGTTCATAGCGGAACCATAGAATATAAAGTTCCGTAGCCAAAGGTTTTACCATCTTCTTCTGTATTGATATCATAAGCAAGGGCCGAGCTTATTAGAAGAGGCAAAATTTTCATTAGAAATTGAATTTTATATGAAAATCAAAATTAATAAAATCATGGATAAACTCACATAAAAAAAATAAATAAAAACAAAAAATTCAGCTTTCTGACACATATGAGTCACCATTTTTGGCTTGGGTTTCTTAATTATAGGTTAATAAATAATCCTTAATTTTTAGTCATATAAAGGGATACCTGCTTTTACTAATAAGGCTACTCCATAAAATCGAAGATTTTGGTTAAGCTGAGAAATTCTCTTTATATCGTCTTCTTCCATTTTGTATTCAATTGCAGTTAAGTTCTCAATTTGCCTTTCTAATTGTGCAGATTTTGGAATAATGCATGCTTCTTGGCTCAGGCTTCAGTTTAATAGGATATTTGCACAGCTTTTTCCATATTTTAATGCAATTTCCTGTATAACTGGATGCTCAATCAATGGAGTCAATTGATGGTCATGTTTATAATTGAAACCTCCAAGAGAACCATAGCCTTGATACTGAATTCCCAGTTTTTTGCAAAATTTGATGATATTTTCTGATGTGTTATAAGGATGAAGCTCATTTTGAACTACAGAAGGTTTAATTCTACTTGATGAATATATTTCTAAAAGCAATGCTGCGGGAACGTTTGAAATTCCTAAGTCAATTATCAAGCCCCTGTCTACTAATTTTTCTAATTCAGCTCAAACTGCAGTAGTAGGAATATAGGAAAGCTCAAAAGTGTCGCCATTTGGATAGTCTTCACAGCCTGCCACAGAAAAAGGCTTATGGATTAAATAGAGATCTATATAATCTAGTCCTAAAGAATCTAAGGATTCTTGAAATTTTTGAGAAATTCTTTCAGGAGAATGGTCGCTGCACCAGAGCTTTGTAGTAATAAATAGGTCTTCTCGACGAATTCCTGAAGCGAAAATATCTTTTAATGCTCTACCAATATCAGCTTCATTTTTATACATAGTTGCTGTGTCAATATGTCTATATCCAGCATCTAAGACAGCTGACTTTACTGCATTATAGCATTCTTCACCTTTAAGTTTATAAGTTCCAAATCCAATAATTGGCATCATGGCTCCAGATCTTAGCCTTCTGTATCTCAAAGCCATTTTCCTTATATTTTAAAATTCGGTTTTAACTTTTAATCACATCTATAATTATATTTTAATAATTTAATCTACTAAAACTGCTGCTCGAACTATTTTTTTCACCCATATATGATCATGCTTCAGGCTCAGCTGGGTTTCTTAGCTCATAAACTTGCTGATTTAAAATTCTTTTCATGTCTTTAATATAATAAGCATTTAATTTTTTTCTAAAAACCTCACTTGCACACATATCAAAACGCTTTGTTTCACTATGCCGATTTATTATGGAATTTGTTTTTCATCTCATATCGAGGTAACTTGATGTTTCTTTTCTTTGGCTTAAAGGTTTATTTAGAATTCCTTCAGATTCCAGTTTGGAGTTTACAGCTAAACTATCTGTAGCAAGGGATTTGTGAAAACTGAGCATTGATAAGGTATTTAAGCTCTCCTCTTTGCTTTCGCATGGATCTATAGGGATTTCTTGATTGCTTGAAGCACAGGTGCTAGAGCTTATAACAGTTTCAGGCTTTTTTTGAGTTTCTGAAGAAATTTCGTTGACCACTATTAGCTCAGGCTCAGAAAATAAAACTTTCTTAGATTCAGATGAAAGAGCTGATGACCTTTTTTTTAAAATTGAAGGGAGAGAACTTGAGAGTTCATTTGAGTTGGATAATGGTTTTAAAGTTAGCTCTTGGGGAGGTTCCACTGAGCTTTCTGAGGAGCGTAAACCTTCTAAATCAGCTACTGTTAAAGCGGGATCATAATTTTGAGCCATTTTATAACAAATTTTGAATCAATTTAGAATCGAAACTACGTATTTTCAATGTTAATTGATTTGTATTTTAAACCTAAATAATTATTTTTCATTTCTCTTGGACAAATTTTATTCCCAAAGCAAATTAAATATCTCAAATTAAAATAATATCTTGTATTAGCTTCAATGCTGAAACTTGATAAATATTTTTTATTTTGCCTTATAGAAAACTAACTCTGATTTATTTACTGAAGTACATTTAATTTTGCATCATAACTCACAGCGCTTCCAGTTCTAGAAACTGGAGCACTATATTCCATCATTCCTTTCGGTATTTGGCATCCGTGTATTCTACACAAACTCATAACTGTTTCTTTGACACACATGATAGTTTCCTCCAATCTCTCTATTTTTTTCTCAACTTCATCTTCTTTTTCACTATTTCCATATCTTTCTTCTAAAATCGAATTAAAAATCGATTTATTCCTACTCAAAGAATTTTGAGAACTTTGACTTTTTCAAGATTCCCCTAGCATATCGAAGTCCTTATTTTCTCCAGGAATTAAATATTCATTTTCTTTCCTGAAATCTTCTTCTTCATTTACTGTCATTTTGTCATCATCTTTTTCTTCTTGAGTTTTCTGGATAATTTTTAAAAGGTCTTTTTTCGAGATAGGAGTCATAACCGGGAAGCTTTGAAATCGTTTGATTCTTCTTTTATTCTTATATTCCTCGATAGCTTCTTCTTCTTTTTCTTTAAGTCTATTATATCTCTCTTTTGCTAACATCAATACACTTAGCCCGTCTTCTTCAAAATTTCTTAAAGCATTTTCAAAATCATCGCCTGGGAGGACCAATAGTTCAGTCCTCTTTAGTGCTTTAACGCTATATGAGTGCTCCCGCTCTTCATTTAGTAAAAAATCAGTTTCTCCAAAGTAATAGCCTTCTTTTAATATATTAAAAGGAATTTTGGTATTGTCTTCGTAATCAGCTACCATCACGACTTCTCCTTTCACTATAAAATAAATATCAGCAGCAACTTCTCCAGCTTTGTAAATATGGTCTCCTTCTTCTACTCTGAAAGGCTTCAGAAGTGGCGCTATATACGCCACAAACTGCGGCTGCTTATTTTCAAAAAATGCATTATTTTCGAGGATTTTCTTATAGATCACAATAAGCAACTGTGTTCTAAGATTAATTGGCAAATCCTCAATCAATGAGTCTAAGTCAGTCCTGTCATGCCTTTGATAATATTCAATAGCATCTATAAGTCTGCTATGGAACTCTGGAGTGATATTATATTGTTTTGCTAAATTATTTACTATGTCTCTTTTTTTTTCTAGCTTAGACTCAAGGGTATCAGTGTTTGTCAAGATATTGGATAAAGAACTAATAAAAGTAGAATAAATAAAAATGCCTATAATCATTACAGCGCAGGAAACTATCCTTTCATATAGATTCCAAGCGTGGATATCTCCATATCCAACAGTAGTTAATGTGGTCACAGCTCAATAAACTGCACAAATATATAAGTCAAACATTTCTAGATCTTGGAAATTTCCTTGCATTATCCAATTTTTGTCAGTTTCAAGAAGCATGATTTGTCCTATAAACCCTCACAGGCAGGCTAAAATATGAATAAGGATGAGAAAGGTGATAATAAGCCAAAAAAGCCTTTCTAATGCAGCATCTATTTTTAATAGGTTACTCATATACCTTGCAACCTTATTTTTCATTTTCCCAACCTTCGCAAGACGAATCATTTTGGTCAGCTTCACTAATTTGTATAATCTTGGAAGTCTGCTTAGCCTGACTAATCCAGAGTAATTTTTATCGGTTTCTGTTATCATGTCTATTGGGATGCAAGAGCATAAATCAATCAGCATCCACCCTGCTAAATAATTAAGAAAAATCTTTTTATTGGAGGTTACTACGTTCATTTCACTGTCATAATAAGCTAAAATACTGTTGATCAAAACATCGAGAAAATACAGTGCATTAACAAATAAATCTGCTATTTGCCAATTCTTAGTGTCAACTTCTACGAAGCTTATTCTATATGGAGTAATAAAAATTGTATATGATAATAAGAGAAATAAAATAACTCTTCAAAAAGTCATAAAATGATCGTCAGGGAAAATAATACATTTCACGTTTTTGAATTCTGGGTTACTCCTGAGCCGTGGCTCTTCCTTTTGCAGCTCTTTTGCTCGTAATTTTCAAATATTTAGCTGCTTTGGCCCAGATAGGAATAGTTCTTTGTTGGTTCCAGGAAAGACTTTGGACATGATGAAATCTAATTATTTTATTAATTCAGCACTGCTCATTAAATTAACCATTCTCTATCTTTAATTAAGAAACTCTGTGCGGATAGGAAGCTAGTGAATTAGACATATATTAATGTGAATAGCTATGCAACTAAAAAATTTTGAATTCTTTGAATGGATGTGGAAAGGGATTGTGATTCAAATTTTTTTAACTCTTTTCCAATTATAGGAATAAATTTTTTACTCCCATCATAAACAAATAAAATTATTGGAAAATTTTTTTTTTTTGGGGAAAAACCAATCCTCCGTGAGCGAACAAACAAATTTTTATGAAAAAATAAGTGACAATTATAATAAGAAATACTAACTAATGTTGTTTAATTTTAAAAAGCTTAAATTATAAAAATATAAAATTTCAAAAATTAAATTAATATATATATGCTTTAAAATTTACTATAAAATTTATAAAAAAAAATAACTCCCTTTGTGAGCGAAAAATTTTATTTTCTTCCCCTGCGGAGGGGAGTTAGTCAAGAAAAATATTTTATAATCAAGCCCTATAGGTATTGCAATTATTAATAGCGAGAGTAAGTAAAAATAAATTAACTCTAAGCTGAGTTATTGGTTAGGCTTATATTTGCTGAGAAACTCTTCAATTTGCTTCTTCGTATCAGAATCAGTACTCATCATCAGCACATCTTTTAAAAGTCCAACTTCTCTTGGAGTTTTTGCATTTGGGTCAAGCTGGAACTGCAAATGATTGAAATATCCAGGGACTACTTGAATATACTTCACTTCTCTTTGTCCTAAGTCTGCCAATATCTTCTTACTCTCCCACATCATGATTGGCTATAACTTTTTTTTTCACTCACTTAGGAGGCTAAATTTTTAAAAATTATTTATAAACTTTTATAATGCAAGCAGCATAAGCCTTATAAAATTAATCATTTAAAACTTTTTTAGATGAATTTCCCAAAGATAGTATTACTCTCTCAGAAAGTTAGAGATAAATCTGCGTTTTTGGAGTTTAACTTATGAAGTGCCCAGAGCGTTTCAGCAAGCCCAACTGTAGTGAGGTACTTATATTTCTGACTAAGGACTGGCAGTAAAATTGAGTTTAAAACTGGGTCCACGCTTAAGTTAAGCTTGGCTGCTCCATAAAGTGTATTAGAAACAGCAGCCACTGGCAAAGCATCAATTTGGGTATATTGTATAAGTCTCATTAGACTCTCATGAACTTTTGACACTCTTTCCTTGTGAATTTTTATATAAGGCTTCAATGTTGATACGTTTCTGTATTCAGCATTCATGAAGAAGTAATAAATTCTCAAGAAAATCAATTTTTGGTCTATTTCTTTAGCTTTTTGCAAAATAGCTGGAGCACGGTTTTCAAGAGAAGCAAGGTCTTGCTCTGCAAAGTCTTTGAGGAAGAAGGAAGCTTCGAGGGCTGACATTCTTTGAGAGCCTGGCTCATTTTCAAAGCCCATAAGTCTTGATAGATTTCTATCTATTGGTTCTAAGGTGTATCCAAGTTCTTTGGTTACAAGAAGGCGAGATTCGTTGACATAAGGAGCACGGCATTGATACCATGCAAATTTCAAGCTACCAAGAAGGGTTGAAATCATATTTATTATGTCAAAAAATATTAAAGAAAAGTAAGACCAAAAATGAATTGTCTATCAAGAAGGATTATTTTTAAAAATATTTTAAGATATCAATTTTGCCCAGCAAATCTCTTTTTATTTTACTTACTGCTGATAGAATAAGTAAAAAAGAGATAATTAAAAGGAAAAAGAAGTATAAAAGTGTTGAAATGATTAGATCATCCATTTCAGAATCGATTTTTGAGTCAGTTGAATTGATATAGCTCTTCTGCATATAAATTGTGGAGTTATCAATGATTTTTGAATATTTTTCTAAATCATTTATATCTTGCCAATCTGCTTTATTATAGCTTGGTACTCTTTTTAACTCGTTTAAATAGATTTTGATAGCTGGCTTAATCCCCATGCTGATATAGCTTTTGGTGCAATCTTGCACAAATTTATCATTTGATTCACATGGATTCCCTATTAATAAATTAATCATGTTGTCATCATAATATTTATGAGGTTTTCTATAGTCAATATAATTTTGAGCATAGAGGCAGTCATCAATCATCGACTGAAGCTGCTTTTTCGGTGATGGAAATGGGTAAAAATCCCCAATAAAAACAGAAAGAGAGTCATTTTTAGTATCTAAAAACGTTTCTCTTGCTCAAAAAAATGCACTTGAAGATAGCATTCCTCTAGTTCCAGAATAAAAAATGAACTCTGACTGAGAGATTAAAATTTCTTTTAATGTCCCATGAAATCCATATACAGCAGCAAAATAATAGCCCAAACTTAATATTTCAAGGATCAAAATTTTCAGCATAAATGATTTTCAATGTGAATAAAAAATTGCATTTCTCGAATACTTATGCTCAACTTCATCGACTTGAACACCATGAAAGACATAGAGCCTATCAATAAGTTTATCTCTTATCTCTATCTGTCTCTCTATATCAAGATTGCATAAGCACTTTCAGTTTTTTTTATTTATTTTTTCAAGCTTGATAATACTTGGGATTGATAGCATTATGATTAATAAGGAAGGGATGAAAAAAGTCAGTTTCAAACTTTTTAAAAACTCAAATGCTCATTCTGTATGGCTTTCAATGTCTTCTAACGATATATAAACGCTGTCATTTAAATGATTGAAGGTTTCTCAAGGATAATTCATGTATAGATACGCAAAGCTTGAGTCAATTTTAGGAAAATCTGCAAGCTCTGTGTTTAAAATTATTGAGCCTTCTTTAATTATTTTTTGCAAGTTTTGAAATAGGTTGATTTTTATAGTCCGAAAAGTATTATTGCCATATTTTTCAGTGGATGACACTTTTGCTATAGAGAAGACGTTATGCATATAGCTTCTTTTATATATGTCATCACCTGCAGACATTAAATTTTTTTCAAAATTCTCAAGATTTGATTGAAGGGAAGACCGATAAAATTCCTCGGGGTAAGTTAATAAATATCCTTTTTCTAATAGATTAAGAGATCTGGAGTCTTGAATAATAGAAATACCATAAAATCTCATTATATCAAAGGAGTTTAAAAAACTTGACATTTTCAGTTCATTTGTGATAATTTTTTCTGTAGCTAAAGTAGCAATGGTTATAGAAAATAAAACAAGTAATGAAAACCTGATATTAAAATTTAGGAGGCTGCAAAGCTTAGTAATTTGACTACTTTCCAAATTGCTTTTTTCAGATTTTTTCTTTTTTTCTATTCTAGATAGTAAAGTTGATTGATGCATGTAATAGTTTGTGATATTACTTTTCATCAGAGACTTACTTGCAACCATAGAAACATCAGTCTTAAATCCAAATTCCTGGACCGATCCACTTTTTTGGCTTTCTTCATAATGGTTTACTGAGCCACCTCCTTCTTTAAAATATTCATAATTCTGAGCAATATATAGAGCTTCTAATGGTGAACCATCAATAACAAGCTTGACTCTCATCATGACACAATTAAAATCTTCATGATATTCAAATGGCTTGAACAAGCTATTATTCTTATAATAATCAGCAAGATTGTGAATAACTTCAAAAACCGTCCCTTTCCTTTCTCCAATTAAATCATTAATATTTTTAGATGCAGCATATATATAACCATCTGGGGAATGGAGGATTAAATTAGTATTGTGACCTTTTTCATTGAAATCTGCAACGAAATATGGGATCTGCTTGAAAAACACAAGTCGAAAATGCATTGTAACTTCTACACAGTTACCTGACGTGGTGATTAAAAAAAGACTTGGCCTGTATAATTCAATTCTGTCACCAGAGATAAGATTTCTTCTTAAAATATCGTTATGCATCACATCAAAAGGAGCTGGAATAAATTGGCAGAAACTTGTTCCAATATAATCATCGACAAGTTCTATTTGCAGCAGCTCACAAATTTCTTTGTTTAACTCCCCCCCCCCCCCCCTCCGTGAGCGAACAAAACCATTAGAAAAATCGCCATTTTTTGACCAAAAACCCACCCTCCGTGAGTGAACAAAAAAATTTTTTTAATAGAAAAAAAATTTTAATGGAAAAAAATTTTGATATATAAGTGATAATTAGTATAATGAAATCTAGAGCTAATTCTGTTTAATTTTAAAAACAAATTGCGTTTTAAAACATAAATTTTGCAAAAATTAAATTAATATTTGCTTCCCAATTTTTGCAAATTAGGATTTTTTTAAATTTCGAAAAAAATATTTTTTATAAAATTTATATATAAATTTTTTTTTAAAAAAAAAAATTAACCCCCCTCCGTGAGCGAACAAAATTTTTTTTTTGTCGCTCACGGAGGGGGGGGGGGAGTAAGTAAAGAATATCTCCAATTGATCCAAACATTCCGCTAACTATCATTATGGATGCTCCTAAATGGTGATACTGAAACCCTGTGAATTTTTCAACACCCAGGTCTTTTGAGTCTTTTAGACTTCTACTTTTATGCAGTAGCAATTTTCCTTCTTCTTCCCCTAAAAAGTCTGCTATATAGGATCCATATATAGAAAGTACTTCAGGATCTGAGTGATACCTTCTATACATTTTCTCAGCTTTTTCTTCGAACCTTTTTTTTGCCTTTCCGAGTTTTAGACAAGTATTTTGTATGGATTTTACGGAATGGGCAGATATATCTGCGAGTTTACGATAAACATCCCAGAGCTCACATGATACTTCTAAGTCAGATTTTCGGAATGAATTTATGTCTCGGATGTATCGTAATAAGACCAAATCTTCAGAATGCTCTTCATTTACAAGTTTTTTATAATAGGAATAAAATAAATACTGAGGCTCTATGTTGGGATAGCTGTAGTGAATTAGTTTATTTTTGTTCGACTGATACCATATGTTTAGATGTTTTTGGCAAGAAAAATTAATTTTGGATATTTTCATAAGTGCAAGATGCTTATTACGCTCATAATGCAAATAAAATAAGCATTCTCATACAAATAGCATCTTAAAAGATAAATATATTTTGGTTGAGTCTTTAAAAATCTTTTTTATTTCTATATTGAGGCTGCTTGTGAAATCTTTTGGCTTTATTCCTAAAATTAGTTTTCTAATTTTCAGCTCAACTGAGTATGGATTTTGTTTTTTTGAATTTAAAGTTCTGTTGAAATATCAGTGCATTAAATAATACAAAAGCATTATTATACATGGGAATAGAAATACTATGATGAGTCCATGAATAGATGCAGTATTAATTTCTCTTGAAATTTGATACGAGATTATTCCAAGTAAAACTAGTATTCAAGTTCCAGCTTCAAATGTATTATCAAATATGGATACAAATGGCAAATATATAGTATATTGAAAAATCATGTAAATAGATATAAATCCACTAATCATATTAAAATGAAACGTTGAATTGTAAAACGAAGAAAAAATCATAAGAAGTTGGCATAAAAGATCTTTCATACTTACAAGCGAATGCAGCCTATTTCTTTTGAGCTTTGATGTATAGCATGGATTACAATAGTAAATTGTCCTGAAAAAAATATTTGAAACTAAAATTGGTAACCCAAAAATCAGTGGAATTGATCAAAGTGAGTTGAAACCGTTGGAATCTATATTGCTATACTCAGAAACTCTTGAGTTATTGACAAAAAAAGTATATTTTGAATATATTCCAACGCTATATAAATAAGGAATTCACAATAAATACTCATAAAATCATCCTAGTACAGTTATAATACAGACAATTGATTTTATAGCGTGGTTCTTTTTACGATAAGCCTGCACATAGATAATAAAAAAATTTAATCCAAGACATCATATAGATATAACTAATAATACTAAAAAGCCAAGGCCAAGATTAAGCTCTGCGCAGATAGCGTCAAATCTTAAAACCTTTAACAAGGAGCTTAGAGCAGATTCTAAACTGATATTTGAAGTAGCCTCAAAATTTATTAAAATCAGTGATAGAAGTTGCAGTTTTCTTATAAATAGCGCAGTATAGTTTATTGCAAGTCTTTGCTTGCTTATTTTATTTTTGCTATCGCAGCCCTCAAGAGTAATAAATACATCAAATAAAGCACTTTTAAAATGACTAACCCGATCGGCTTCAAGACTTTGATAAAGTTTGTCTCTTTTGGATGTGGATGTGTCTAGCTTAAATGAATTGCTACTTCTTTTCTTTTCTTTTCCTAAATCCATATGCTAATTTATTGTATTATTATTTTAAAAATCATGTAATTTTTATATTAAAAAGAAACGACCTTTAAAATAAGATCTTATTGGCCTATGTAAAATAAATATTATTTATTTCTTAATATTCTTTGATAATAAGGATAAAAGTAATTTAGTGTATATTAATATTTAGCTCAACTCTAGAAATGCTCATTAAGGATTTTATAAAACCAGTGATAAGAAATACTGATTAGCAAAATTACAATTTAACTTTATAAGTTAACGAATAATCTAAGCTTAAAAATAGTTGAGGATCTCAATTTTTCCAATCAAACCATTCTTGATTTTATTAACAGATGCTAAGACAAGTAATAATACAACTAAAAGCAAAATAAAAAAATAGAGTAAAGTGGTAATCGTCAAGTAAGTCATATATGCATCAATTTTATCATCAGTAGAATTCATAAAGCTCTCTGTCATCAGCCCTACTGAGTTACTTATTAATTTTGAGTATTTCTCTAGTTTGATAACGTCCTGCCAATTTGAGCTATTATCAAAAAAAATAGTCCTTGTATCATCCAAATACAATTCAAGCGCAGGCAGCATTCCTGTGCTGATATAGCTAGTAAGGCAGTTAGGTATGGACTTGGCAGCATCGCTGCAAGGATTTCCAATTAGTAAGTTGTACATGTCATGCTCAAAGTATTTTGTTGCCGAGCCGAAGTCAATAAGATGCTCATGGTAGTCATAGTCCTCAATTGAGGATTGCAAGCTTTTTATAACTGAAGGATAAGGGTTTTTATTATCAAGAGTATTGATTAGAGAAGATTCGGTTTCTGATAAAAGAAGCTCTCTTGTTCAGAAGAAAGTAGATATTGTTAGAGATCTTCTATAGCCTGATCTAAGCCTGTAGCTAGACTGATAAGTTAAGGCTTCACTTATGCTGTTTTGGATAGCATAAATAGAAACAAAGAAATAGATAATGCTGATAAGTTCTAAAAAAAGTACTTTAAACAGAAATGTTTTTCAAATAGATGAATAAACTGCCTTTTTTGTGTGTTTTGGCTCTATTTCTTCAACTTGAATGCCATGGAACTCAGATAATCTTACAGTTAGTTTTTCTCTTAAAGCTATTTGCCTTTCTATATTTAGCGATGAAAGCTCATTTCAGTGCTCTTTATTGATTTTTTCAAGAGCAATTAGATTTGGAATAGAAAGAATGATAATAAGCATAGAAGGGATAAAAACAATCAATTTAAAAATTTTCAAAAATTCGAAAACTGAAGATATATGATTATGTGTTTCGTCGTTAATAGAATTAAGACTGCTATTTAAGCTTCTAAATGTTTCCCCAGGAAAATTCCAATAAATATAAAATAGACTTGCTTGAATTCCTTGAAATCCAGAAAGCTCAGCACCGTAGATTGTGTATCCTTCTTGGATAATTTTTTGCAAAGCTTGGAATAAATTAGTTTTAATAATCCTCAAGGCATTTTCACCTGTTTTTTCTGTCGTTTTGACCTTTTTTGTAACAAAAACATCATCCATATAGTCATAATTTGATATTTCATCACTGACTTGTAATAGTGTATTTTCAAAGTTATTTATACTTGACTGAAGAGAAGCTCGATAGTCAGTTTCTTCATATGCTAATTCATAGCCCTTACTTAAAAGATCAAGGGATCTTGAATCTAATAATATACTGTTTCCTAAGTGCCTGAGAGTAGAAAAATTGCTTACTCCCCCCCCCCCCCTCCGTGAGCGAACAAAAAAAAATTTTGTTTCACTCACGGAGGGGGGTTAATTTTTTTTTTTAAAAACAATTTATATATAAAATTTTATAAAAAATATTTTTTTCGAAATTTAAAAAAAAATCCTAATTTGCAAAAATTGGGAAGCAAATACTAATTTAATTTGCAAAATTTATGTTTTAAAACGCAATTTGTTTAAAATAAACAGAATTAGCTCTAGATTTCATTATACTAATTATCACTTATATAGCAAAATTTTTTTCTATTAAAATTTTTTCTATTAAAATTTTTTCTATTAAAAATATTTTTGTTCACTCACGGAGGGTGGGTTTTTGGTCAAAAAATGGCGATTTTTCTAATGGTTTTGTTCGCTCACGGAGGGGGGGGGGGGGGGGGAGTTAGAAAATTAGATATTTTCAGTTCATTAACTACATATCTTTCTATGATGATCGTAGCAATAATAATCCCAAGCAAAGCTGCATTAGAAATCCTAACGTTCACATTCATGGAATTACAAAGCCTTGCAATTTTACTACTTTCCTTTTCTCCTTTTTCATATTTTTTTTCCATTTTGGATAAAACAGTTGAGGCATATGTAAAAGAGCTCGCCAAGCCACTTTTCAAATTTAATTCTTCAGGCTCCATTGTAATATCAGTTTTATATCCTCCATCATTAAAAGATTCTACATGATGAGGTTTTGGGGTATTTTCGTCTGAATTATTCATCTGTGCAAAATATTCATAATCGTTGGCTACATATAATGCTACTAATGGCGATCCATCTATAACTAGTGTAATTCTCATCATAAAGCAGTCGAAATCTTCATGATATTCAAAAGGGACTCCTGGATTATAATTTTCATAATAATTCGCAAGGTTATTTACAACTTCAAATACTGTACCTTTTCTATTACCGATCAGTTGGTTAATGTTTTTGGAAGCTGCATATATATAGCCATCCGGGGAATGAAGAATTAAATTAGTATTATAGCCTTTTTCATTAAAATCTGCAATAAAGTAAGGGATTTGTTTAAAGAACACAAGCCGAAAATGCATGGTAACTTCTACGCAATGCCCTCGGGTTGTAATTAAAAAAAGGCTTGGCCTATAAAGTTCAATTCTTTCCCCAAAAATCAGCCCTCGCCTTAATATGTCGTTATGCATCACATCAAAAGGAGCTGGGATAAATTGGCGAAACGTAGTTCCTATATAATCATCAACACAATCAATGTTCAAAAGTTTGGCTATTTCATTATTTAAATACAAAATATCGCCAATAGTCCCATGCATACCACTTACCACCATAATTGCGTCTCCTTGTCTGTATTTCATTCCTGTGATTTTTTCAATTCCAGTATCTTTCGAGCCCTTTAAACTTCTACTTCTCTGTAAAAGTAAGTTTCCTTGGTTTTGTTCCAAAAAATCAGCTTTATATGATCCATACACCGACAAAACAGCTGGGTCAGAATGATACTTTCTGACCATTTTTTCAGCTTTTTCTTCAAATTTTTTTTTTGACTTGACAAGCTTTGTACATGCTTCATTAATTGACTCCAAAGAATGCTCAGAAATTTCTGATAGTTTTCTATAGACATCTCACAGGTCGCACGTCACTTCTAAATCTCTCCTGTTCAGCACATTTATGTCTTTTATATACCTTATTAATGTTAAATCGTCTGCAAACTCTTCATTTACAAGCATTTTATAATAAAAGTAATATAAATACTCAGCTTCTAAGTTCGGAAAGCTGTAGTATCTTGCTTTGTTGCGATGAAGCTGATACCAAATCTTCAAGTGCTTTCGGGAGGAAAAATTAATTTTTGATAATTTTAGCAAGCTTAAAGATTTATTTCTTTCATAGTGTAAATAAAATAAGCTTTCTCAAACAAATAGCATTTTAAAGGATAAAAATATTTTCGTTGCGTCTTTGTACATCGTTTTTATTTTTTCGCTTAAATTATGTTGAAAATTTCGAGGCTTTTTGCCAAAAATAAGCCTTCTTATTTTTAACTCAACATTATAGGGGTTTGTAATTGGAAAATTTAAAGCTCGGTCGAAATACCAATTCATTAAGAAATAGGTGATAAATGTTATACACGGGTAGATAAAAATCATTATTAAAGCACGTACGGAGTTTGTATTAATATAAATAGAGATCTGATATGCTATGACTCCAAATAAAACCATTGTTCAAGTATCGACTTCAAATACATTATCAAACATTGCTACATATGGCATATAAAAAATATATTGTGAAATCATATAAATCGAAATAATAACACATAAAATATTAAAATAAGCTGCTGAACGATAAAATGAAGCAAAAACAATAATAAACTGAAATAAATTGTCCTTAAGCGTCACCAAAGAATGCATTCTATTTCTCTTGATTTTCGCTGTGTAACAAGGATTACAATAATAAATTGTCCTAAAATAAATATTCAAAGCTAGGATCGGCACTCCAAAAACTAAAGGTAGAGCTAAAAATGTCTTGTAATTTGAGGCGCTCACATTGTCATATTCTCCAACCTCAGAATTATCATCAAAAAAAGTATATTTTACAAATATCCCTACACTGTACAAATAAGGGATGCAAAAAACATGTTTAAATATTCATCCCAGCAAACTGGTTAAAAAAAGAACGGGCCTCAGAGCGATTTTCCTTTTATAAAAAATTTGAAGATAAATCATGCAAAAGCTTATGCAAAGGCCTCAAATGCCACCTATCATAACAAGTAAAAATTCTAATTGAATATTTAAACTAATGCTCAGGATATCAAATCTCAGAATTCTTAACAACACGTTGAAGGAGGACTCAAGAGTAACGTTGTCAGATGTCTCGAAGCTTATGAGTATAATTGATAAAAGTTGAATTTTTTTTATAAATAGTGAAAGATAAGTCAGTATCAGGCGCTCTCTGCTTATTTTTCTTTTGTTATCGCTACCTTCAAGCTTTATCAGGGTATCAAAAAGAGTGATTTTAAAGCGGTTTGCTCTTTCGGCTTCTAAGCTTTTATACAAAATATCACGCTTAGATGTTGATGTGTCAAATTTAAATGAAGCGCTTCCTTGTCTTTTTTCTGCTTCTGAATCCATGCTGGATTTTATATGGATTTTATTTATACTGATTTAATAATTCTTTTTATCATGACTGGAGAACTATAATCGAGTTAAGAAGATTATTGTGATATTTGCAAATTAAAATTCTTATTAAATACTAATATATTTTAGGCTTTCATTTACTTCAATAATTAGCGATAAAATTTTCTGATTTTAATTCCTGGGTACTTAAAATTATTTTTTATTAATAAAGAAGTAAAAAAGAACCAATTATCAATTTTAAAATCTAAATATATTTGAGATGATACTTATGATGTCACCAAAGAAGAGAAAGCGATTTAAGTGAGCCCTTATTTGAGGCTTAACTTCGCCAATGCATGAAAATAATAAATAATTAATAGGTATTATTTATTAATTTGCTGAGCTTAGATTTTATTTCTTTATAATTTTCCTCAAATAGTAACTAATTATTGGAAATAATTTGGAAGATGGCTTCCTATGAAATGGCAATGACGAGCCTCTAATAAGATAGCGCAGGAGACTTAAATGACTTACTAATTCGCTATTTATAATAAATCTTATTACTATTACAAATCAAAATTTGAACTTAAATAGCTTTTTCAGATAATATACTTCTAAAAATATTTTAAAATATCAATTTTTCCAATCAATTCTCTCTTAATTTTATTTACAGCTCCGAAAACAAGTATAATTGATACAATAACCAGACAAATAAAATACATTAGCGTTGTAACCATCAATCTGATAATGTTTTCATTAATTTTTTGATCCATAGAGTCATTGTAAACATGCATCATGGCAATTGTGGATTCTATAATTAAGTTTGTGTATTTTTCTAATCTTATAATATTTTCTCAATTTGAACGTTGGAAAACAGAAAAGTCTCTTAATTCTTCTAAATACATTTTCACTGCTGCAGTGACTCCTACACCCAAATAACTATATTTGCAGTTTGATAAGGAATCTTCTAGTTTATCGCATGGATTTCCAACTTCTAAATTTATCATATCATCATTGTAAAACCTTTTGAAATCTTTATATGTAATCAGATTTTCAAAATACTCGTATTCCTCTATTAATTTTTCGAGCTGAACTTCTAAAGAAGGAAATGGCGATTTATTGTCAATTGAACCAATAAAAGATTCATTTAGGCCATCTAAATATCTTTCTCTTGCCCAAAAGTAAGAATTTTCTGATAGCATGCTTGTCAGATCCTGACTAAAAATGTATTTTGATTGACTAACAAAAATTTCACTTAACTCGACTTGAAATCCATATAGAGCAGCACAATAATAAATAATGCTGATAATCTGCAGCAAAAATATTTTTATTATGAATTTTTTCCAAACTGAAGAGTACATTTCAGTTTTTCCAAGCCTCGGCTCAATATGCTCAACTTCAATTCCATGCAAATCTCTTAGCCTATCCATAAGTTTGTCTCTTAGATATTGTTGTCTTTCAATATTCAAATGCGAAAGATTATGCCAATTTGTCTTATTTGCTTTTTCTAATATAATAACGCTTGGAATTGATAAAATTATCATAATTATTGGTGGAACAAAAAATGTAACTTTAAAAATTTCCAAAAATAAAAAAGTATTTTCCACATGATCTTGATAATCAATGGAAATTGTATGGACACTTTCGTTTAAAGTTCTTATAATTCCTGTAGGAAAATTATAATAAACATAATATAAATCATTCTGGATGGTATGGAAATCTTTTATATTGGTATTCGCTATTACATTTGCATGAGAAATGTAGGCTTGCAAAGAATGGAACAAATTTTCGTTTGTGGTCCTTATGAAATTTCCTTCAATTTTTTCAGAGATAGAGACAAAATGGTTAGAAAAAATATTGTGTAGAAAGTTGTATGAGGAAATATCATCATTGATAAGAATTATGCTGTTTTCAAGGGTTTCTGAGTTTTCCTTAATTGAATTTCTATAATATTCTTCAAAAAATGCAGGTTCATGCTCTTGACTGATCAAGTCAAGTGATCTTATATTTAGTAGCATAGAATTCCCCAAATACCTCATAAAAGCGAGATCTTCAAGCATGCTTGTCATTTTTAGATTACTGATCAACGCAGTGTCTAAAATTATTGTTATAAAGGTGATAATAAAAAGGACAAATATCGCGATTCTTATATTCATATTTAAAGCACTGCACAATTTTAGTATTTTTAGGTTTGCTTTTTCAATTTCTCTTTTTCCTTGGATTTTTGATAAAATTGATGAAGCATAAGTATGATTGCTCCCCATAGTGTTTTTTAAATAATTTTCGTCAGGCTCCATAGAAACGTCAGTTTTATAAGCGCCGAATTCATTGAACGAGGCAGTTCTTGTTTTAGTAATAGGTGAGCTATCTAATGGAGTAATAGCTTCAATAGAATCAGCGATATATAGCACTTCTAAAACAAATCCATCAATTGATAGGCTAAATCTCATCATTGTGCAGTAAAAATTTTCGTTGTACTCAAAGCATTTTCCAACTTCATTGTCTTCATAATAATAGATATAATTTTTAATCACCTCAAAAATGGTGCCCTTCCGGCTTCCAATGAAACTTTGAATATCTTTGGAAACTGCATATATATAGCCATCTGGAGAATGCAATATTAGATTTTTCCTGTGTCCTCTTGAATTAAAATCTGCTATGAAATATGGAATTTGTTTATAGAAAACAAGACGAAAATGCATGCTAACCTCAACACAGTGGCCTTTTGTGGTTATTAAAAACATGTGGGGCCGGAATAGGTCGATTTTGTCACCAAAAATTAGGTATCTTCTTAAAATATCATTATGCATCACATCAAAAGGGGCAGGCATGAATTGAATAAAGCTTGTCCCAATATAATTATCAATGCACTCTATTTTCAGCAAATCAAGAATATCATTATTTAGATACAAAATATCACCAATCGACCCAAACATTCCACTTACAACCATTATCGCTGACCCTTTTTGATACTTAAACCCCGTCAGTTTTTCAATCCCTCCATCATTCGATTCTTTCAGTGCCTGACTTCTAGCTAAAAATAAATTCCCTTCATTTTCTTCCAAAAACTCTGCCATATAAGATCCATAAATCGAAAGTAAATCACAATCTGACTGATATTTTTTTATCATTTTTTCAGCTTTTATCTCAAAAATGCGTTTTGCATTTATCAGCTTTTTGCAAGCTCGATTAAATACCTTTACGTGAAACTTTGACATATTTGAAATCATCTTGCAAACGTTCCATAGCTCTGATGTCACTTCTAAATCTTTGTTTTTAAATTCATTCATATCTTTTAGATATCTTAGAAGGATAAGATCTTCAGATTTTTCTTCATTGATAAGTTTTTTATAATAAAAATAAAATAAAAATTCTGCTTCTAGGTTTGGAAAACTGAAATATTTAGAAATTTGTCGATCCTGATCATACCAGATTTTTAGATGTTTTGAGCAGGAAAAATTGATTTTTGATAGCTTAAGCAATGCCAAAGATTTATTGTTTCTATAATGCAAGGTGAATAAGCATTCCCAAATAAACAAAAGTTTGAATGAGAGAAATTTTTTGGTTGCTTCAGTGTAAATTTTTTTAACTTTTTCAAGAAGATCATTGTTAAAATTTTGAGCGCGTTTCCCATTAATTAGCCTACGAATTTTAAGCTCTACTGTGTAAGGATCCTCTTGAGTTGAATGATTTATATTATTGAAATATCATTGCATAAAATAATAAAAGAGAAGCATTGCTAAGGGAAACACAAAAATCATCAAAAGGACTTTTGCACTTAAAGCTCCAATGTCATAAGCAACAATATGCGAAATCACACCAAAAATCAATATTAGCCATGTGCCAGCTTCAAAAACATTATCAAAAATAGTGACAAAAGGGAAGTATAAGGAGTACTGAGAAATGATATATAAAGATGATACTACTGATACAAGCTCAAAATAATACGTGGAACCTTGGAAAGATAAAATCACAATGAATTCTTGAGCGAAAAAATCTTTTAAAGTTGTCAAAGAATACATTCGGTTTCTTTTATTTTTTAACGAATAAGCAGGATTACAGCTACAGATTGTTCTAAAATATAAAATTAACTGGAAAATTGCTGCTCCAAATACAAGTGGCCATGCAAGATAAGTGTGGAGACGATTAGTGCTGATGTCTCCATATTCAGTTACATTTTCATTTGAATTTAAAGAGTATTTGAGATACAATAAGGTGGTATAAAAGTTTTCCTATGTTTGGCGCTGTAAGGCCGATAAATTCTGATCGGAATTTATCGGTTGGTTGCACCAAATCAATGCCTTGGGTCGGACCAAAAAGCGATTTGGTCCGACGAACTTGGAAAGCTCCTGGGAAAATGTCTGCGCTTTCAGCGCTATATAGAGGAAACCTCTATATAAGGAATAAAAAGCATATATTCGCAAAGCCAACCAAAAGTCCCTACACATATTATTATTAATTTTCTCAAAAACTTCTTTTTAAAATAAAGCTGGATGTAAAGCAGTACAAAACTGAGAGCTCACAAGTAAACACTTGATAATAAAATTATAAGATACCCAATTTCAAAATTTAATTTAATTGATAAGGCATCAAATCTTAATCCACCCATCAGCGAATTAAATATCCCAATCAAAGAGACTGACGGATCTAAATTATAATCAAAAATTACCATCGACAACAATTGAAATTTTCTTACAATGAGTCCTAAATAATTTAGAAAAACTTGATATTTGTTGGTTTTTCTTTTTCCGTCAATTGATTCAAGCCTAATAAAGACGTCAAAAAGAGTTGTTTTTCACCGATGGCCTCTATCATGAGCAAGGCTATGATAAAGTTGTTCTCTTCTAGTAATTGCTATTAAATTATCAAGATCCCTTTTTTCTTCGTCTTTTTCAAGAATACTTTCCATGAGATTTTGTATTTATGATTATAAATGTTGAAAATATTGTGATAATATGGAGTACTGATACAAATATGTTTAATTTTTTACTTATATTTATGCTTTTATTGTAAAAAAGAAATTGAGAATGAATTTAATAAGAATTTTGAACTTTGATTGGAATTGATAATATTTTCCATTTTAGCAGGCCGAAAAAGCTTATAGTTTAGTTTGGCGTGCCTATAAAGTTGTTAAAGCAAAATTTGAATAATTGAAAATATAAAGCTAATTAGAATATTGATAGATTGTCTCATTTATATGTAAATATTGACAACCGCATCAATTTATTAGCTATTTTGAGATTTTAAGCAGATAAACTCAGGATCATCATTTACAAAATTAAAAAAAATATACTTTTCTCCAATATTATCGAAATTGATTAAACATATTTAATGAGTTATCAACTCTTTAATCCAATATTAATTATTTATTCCAAAAATGAGCAACTTTTTTCATTTCTTAATGCTTATGTAGAAGAAAATAAAAGGATAATTGAAAGCTTATAGAAATTAATATTAAAAATTCATAAATTTCCTTAGTCCACCCCTCCGTGAGTGAACAAAGCCATTGGAAAAATCCCTATTTTTGCCCTCCGTGAGTTAACACAAATTTTTTTAATAGAAAAAATTTTTATTAAAAAAAATTTTGATATATAAATGATAATTAGTATAATGAAATCTCGAGCTAATTCTGTTTAATTTAAACAAACTGGGTTTTAAACATAAATTTTATAAATTAAGTTAAATTAATATTTGCTTTCCAATTTTTGCAAATAAGGATTGTTTTTAAAAAATTTCGAAAAAAAAATATTTCTATAAAATTTATATATAAATTTTTTAAAAAAAAAAATTAACCACCCTCCGTGAGTGAACAAAATTTGTTTGTTCACTCACAGAGGGGGGAGTTAGTTTTGATTATATAAAGTAGTATAAAATAATTATCACAATCCATTTTTATTTACATTAAATAAGTTATAAAAATTAAATATTTTTTAGAGTAAATTATAGTTGAGATAACATCTGCTTTAATTTCTAAAAAACTTCAAAATCTCGATTTTGCCTATTAATTCTTTTTTGATTTTGTTTACAGCACCAAGCATCAAAATAATTGATGCAAACACAATACTGATAAAATAAAACACTGTAGCAATTGTTAAGTTTGCTATAGTGTTTTCAATATTGCTTTCAGTCGCATTGAGATAATTAAACATCATATACTGTGCAGATTTTACTATTAAACTCGAGTATACTTCTAATTTTTTGATATTTTTCCAATTCGACTGGCTATAAATAGAACTGCCTCTCAAATCTTCCAAATAAATTTTCATTGCTGGAACTGTTCCCGCACTAATATAACTACTATCACAGTTTGTTATCGATTCTCCAATGATCTTACAAGGGTTTCCAAATTCCAGCTCAATCATATCATCATTATAAAATTTTGCGTATTTTCCATAACTTAATGTTTGTATAAGAAATTCATACTCATCAGTCACTGATTCAAGCTTTACTGAAAATGAGGGTGTTGCCAGTTTATTATTGTCGAGTCAATTGATAAAAGAAGAATTTACACTGTCTAAAAACTTCTCTCTTGCCCAGAAATAAGAATTCGCAGAAAGCATTCTTCTTAGTCCATGATTAAAAATGTATTTTGATTCATAGATAAAAGTTTCACTTAAATCAGCCTCAAATCCATACGAAACAGCAAAATAATAGATGATACTAATCACCTGTAATGAAAGGATTTTTATAATGAAAGATTTTCAAATTGGAGAATAATTTTCTTTGCCACTGGATTTGAGTTTGATATTATTAACGTCTATCCCATGCAAATTGTGAAGCCGATCAATAAGTTTATATCTTATAGTTGATCTCTTATCGGCGTTTAGATGTGAAAGGCTGTGTCAATTTGTTTTGTTTATCTTTTCAAGCACAATAATACTTGGCAATGATAAAATAATGATAATAATTGGAGGAATGAAAAAAGCTATTTTGAAAAGTTTTAGAAATCTAAATGTATAGTGTTTTCTCTTTGATGGCCCTGTAAGGGCAGGCTTTTTCTAGGGTTGGTAGGACCAACTCACTTGCTGGCCCAACCAAACTCAGGAGTTCTACTTAAAATGCATACCCTTGCAGGACTATTCAAGGGAATTGATTATATCTTCAACATGTTCTTTAAAATCTGTTGATGTTGTATACACGCTATCGTTTAAAGCATGCAAAATTATGGTAGGAAAATTGTAATAGACAAAATAAAAGTCTGAAGGAATTGTATGAAAATCTTCAAGTTTTGTGTTAACTATTGCATTCACGTGCGAAACGTACCTTTGAATGCAATGAAATAAATTTTCATCAGTAATTCTTATAGAATTATCAATTTTTTCTGATAAAGAAACCTTTGTATAAAACACATCATGAAAAAAACTGTAAGATGTTAATTTATCATTAACAAGCATTAAGTTTTCTTGAAGGGTATTTGAGTTTACTTTTGCCAAATTTCTATAATAAGCCTCTGAAGATGATGTCTCAAACCCTTGACTTAGTAAATCCAAAGATCTTATATTAACAAGAACAGAATTTCCTAAATATCTCATCAAAGCCATTTGGTTGAGCATATCATATAATTTTAAACTGCTCACAAAATTATTCTCCAGAAATATAGTTGTAAAAGTAACAGCAAATAAAATGGCTAAAGCAATTCTTATATTCATATTCAAAACTTTGCACATTGCTAAAATCCTCTTATTCGCAGACTCCGTTCTAATTTGGATTCTCTTTTTTGATGCAACCGTTGAGTTTTCAGCATTGCTGCTGACGATATGGTTTTTTAAAGAAATTTCTTCATTTTCTATAGAAAATTCTGCTAAATGAGTAGTTTCATTATAAGACTTGTTTTGGTATTTCAGTTTAGGTGATTCATCTAATGGAGTTATGGCTTCATTTGAATCAGCTATATATAAAACTTCTAGTGCATATCCATCTATTGTTAGCCTAAACCTCATCATTGTTCATGAAAACTCTTCATTATACTCAAAGCATTCGCCAATTTCATATTTTTCATAGTAATAAATGAAGTTTTTAAGGATCTCGAAAATAGTTCCTTCTCGATTTCCGATGTATTTTTGAATTTCTTTTGAAACTGCATATATATAACCGTCTGGAGAATGCAAGATTAAATTTTTTCTGTGTCCTCTTGGGTTAAAATCAGCTATAAAATAAGGAATTTGCTTATAAAAAACAAGACGAAAATGCATACTAACCTCTACACAGTGACCTTGGCTTGTAATTAAAAATTGATGAGGCCCTGTACATTACATTACATTAGATTAATAACGCTTAACGTCCAGTTGGTGTTCCCAGAGCTATCGCTCACCTTTCGTCGCATCGGGCCCACTGGTCTCTGGGTCGACCAGCTTTGTTGCGCCAGGGTGCTTCTAGGGCAAACGTTGTCGGCTTCGACGGCTCATGAATGAGCTACTTGCTTGACTACATGGGTTGCCTTTCCGAAAATCCATAAAAAATGGATTTTCTGGTCGGCTGTCGGAAAAAAGGAAAAACACATAGCCTGGGACGTAACGCCCAGTTTCACGCTAGGGAGTTGCCCGATTGATCCTAACGGACTTGGCTGAGCTTCCCCTTTCCAACTTCGTGCCTCCCTTCCCCACGAGGAAAAAACCATCCCTGAAAGTAGACTTGGGCTAGGCTCTGAACACAACCAGAATTGTTTACCTAGCATTGCTGTCCATTTCTGAAATATAAAACCTTGCCGGATATAATTAAAATATGAGTCGAGGCTGTATGGCCGGGAGGCCATACCCAGACGAAGACGCCCATATTTTAATTATGATGAGGCCTGTACAACTCAATTTTGTCACCAAAAATCAAAAATTTTCTTAAAATATCATTGTGCATGATATCAAAAGGAGCCGGAATAAACTGAATAAAACTTGTGCCAATGTAATCGTCAATACATTCTAATTCCAATAAATGAAGTATTTCATTATTTAAATACAAAATATCACCGATTGACCCAAACATCCCACTTACGACCATAATAGAAGCCCCTTTTTCAAATTTGAACCCCATTATTTTTTCCATCGCAATATCATTATATTCCTTAAGCGCTCTACTTTTTGCCAGGATTATATCTCCTCTTTCTTCTTTCAAAAATTCAGACATATAAGATCCATAAATTTCTAATAGATCAGAGTCAGTCTGATATTTTTTTATTAATTTTTCAGCTCTAGATTCAAGTTTTTGCTTTGAGTCAATAAGTCTTTCGCAAGCCTTATTAATTTCATTAGCAGGGTGCTTTGATATGCTTGAAAGCTTTTGATAAATGTTTCATAGTTCTAAGAAGACATCCAAATCAAGATCTTTAAGCTCGCTTATGTCCTTTAAATACCTCAAAAGAGCTAAATCTTCGGATTTTTCTTCGTTTATGAGTTTCTTGTAATAAAAATAAAATAAAAATTCACATTCTAAGTTTGGACAACTATAATATCTGGAAATTTGTCTATCTTTACTGTAATAAATCTTTAAATGCTCTGGGCAAGATAAGTTAATTTTTGATAATTTTAGTAGTGCAAGAGACTTATTGTGTCTAAAATGTAACGTGAATATGCACTCTCAGATAAAGATAAGTTTAAATGATAAAAACTTCTTTGTTATCTCTGTAAAAATGCTTTTAATATCCTCAATAGCATCATTCCCGAAACTATTAATTCTTTTATTAATAATTTTTCGAATTTCAAGTTCAGCAGAATAAGGGTCTTTTAATGGACAGTTATTAACTTTATTAAAAAATCAATTCATAGCATAATAAAATAAAAAAATGATAAAAGGGAAAACTAGTATAATAAAAAGTGTTTTTGTGTATAAAGCATTCAAGCTATCAGCTATAATATAAGAAATCATTCCAAATATTAGCAACACAAAAGTGCTTGCTTCAAATACATTATCAATAACTGTAACAAAAGGAAAATATATAGCATACTGAGAAATCATGTACAAACATAATATACTACATATCATCTCGAAGTAAAATTTGAAACGAAAAAGCGACAAAACAATTATGATTTCTTGTACGAAAATATCTTTTAAAGTGGCAAAAGAATACATCCTACTTCGTTTATGCTTGATCGAATATGTTGGATGGCAACTATAAATTAGTCTAAAATATAACAAAAATTGAAAAATCACTGCTCCAAAAATCAATGGCAAAATAAAAAATCAGTCAAGGTCATCAGAACTCATATCCCCATACTCAGTTACACTTTTATATGAAATCAAAGAATACTTAATGTATAATGTAGTTGTATAGATGTAAGGAATGAGCAAAATATACTCACAGAGCCACCCAGTAATTTGTGCACAGACAATAACAACTTTTCTTTGAATATTTTTTTTAAAATAAAATTGGCAGTATAAAAGTAAAACAAAAAATCCTCATAAATAAACATTTGACAATAATGCTACAAGATAAATCGTTTGGCCATTTAATTTTGTTGCTAAAGCATCAAATCTTATTCCTATCATTGACATATTGAAAATTGACAATAAAGTAGCTGATGCACTTAGATCATAATCCAAGAGGATCAAGGATAAAAGTTGAAATTTTCTTATAATAAGAGCTGAGTAATTTAAAAAGCTTTCGAGCTTGCTTGTTTTGCTCAATCTTCCATTAGTTGAATCAAGCCAAATGAAAACTTCAAAGAGAGTTGACTTTCAATGGCTCACTCTATCTTGAGAAAGACTGCGATATATCTGTTCCCTTCGAGAAATTGTTAGGAGATTATCAAGATCTTTGTCCTCATGTTTTCGTTTTAGAATATTTACCATGGGTTTATTTAATCAATGTTTAATTTATCATATCTAATATCAATACTGACTAAATCAGAGGTCAAATGTTTTTTATTTATAATGGATAATTTGATTAAAGGATGCATAAGAAAAATACAATTATTATGAGACAAAAAAAAATGTTATTGTCAGTAACAAAATAATTAATTTTACTTTGAAATTTACGATATATAATTCAAATTAATTTTTGCTAAAAATTGGATTTTAAGAATATTAATGGTAATCTAATTTTATTTGGAGAAAATTGCTACTATTTTGAAATTTACAATTATTGCAAAAAACTTTCTGAACCAAATGAGCAAAAAAAATGTTTGAAAATTAGAAGAAATATGCTAATAAATAAACACTTTTCGAAATTCAAATACTAAAGAAGGAATATGCAAATTCCTTACAAATAGTTAAGAATGCTCATTTGTCTTAATCTTCACCCATAGAATTTTTACTCCCCCTTCCGTTAGTGAACAAACCATTAGAAAAATCGCTATTTTTTACCCAAAAATCCATCCGTGAGTGAACAAAAATTGTTTTAATAGAAAAATGTTTTATGGGAAAAAAAAATTATATATAAGTGATAATTAGTATAATGAAATATCAAGCTAATTCTGTTTAATTTCAAACAAATTGTGTTTTAAAACATAAATTTATAAATTAAATTCCCAATTTAGCGAATTAGGATTTTTTAAATTTCGAAAAAAAAATATTTCCTATAAAATTTATATATAAATTTTTTTAAAACAAAAAATTAACCCCCCCTTCGTGAGTGAACAAAATTTTTTATTCACTCACTGAGGGAGTTAAAGCTATTAAAATTAATTCATCCTAATAAATTTAATATGTTTTTTTAAATTTTTAAATCCGATACCAATCTATTCTTTCGTCCATCTATCAGCTGCAATAAAGCATTAAATGGAAATATCTAGAAATTAAATTCTTAGTTTTAATTTAAACTTATGAGTTCATCCAAATATGGATGACAAATAATTATCAAAATACCATAAGATGCTTGCTCCTATGGAAAACATCAACTTAGACAGCAATCATCCACTACTTAGCCCTTACAGGCTCGATGATGAGGTCTGGATGGTTCCTTGTAAGCTGGATACCATGAAGCAGAAGTATTATCCTCTCGTTTACCCGAGAGTTTCAAAAGGCCATCTGCGACATCCATGGATTAAAAAAGAAGATGACATAATCTTAAGCCATCTTCCTACCGAGACTACTAAAAAGTGGACTATTATAGCTCGGGAAATTAATCAAAAAATTCATAACGACACCCCTATTCGAAATGGAAAACAATGTCGGGAGAGGTGGTGCAACCATTTAAACCCAGATCTCAAAAAAGGAAGCTGGAGTAATGAAGAAGACGAAATTATTATCATAAAACAAAAAGAAATCGGCAATAAATGAAGCATTATTGCTAAATTTTTGCCAGGAAGGACTGAAAACAGTGTTAAAAATAGATGGAAAAGTATTGGGAGGAAAAGAAAATGCGAAAGCTCAGGGTTTCTTACTCATGCCACGGGTGCGGGTATTGATACTTCAAGCACAGATTCACATGAAGATACTGAGGAAAGCCAAAATTATTCGATCAGAAATAGGGATCAGGATATTCTTTTTATCGAGCTCGGGCTTGATGAAATAGATCCGATTGAAGATTTCTGTCTTTAAATGCCTTTAAATACTCAAATTAATTATTTTATAACGGTTACTTAATACTACGCCTATTTCATAACGACTATTTTTTATGGCGTATTTTTTTAACCTATTTTTTTGCCTATTTATTTTTGCCTATTTTTTGGCCTATTTGTTTTTGCCCTATTATTTTTTAAACTGTTTTTTGTGGTCTATCTTAAGAAAAATTTAGGCCAAAAAAATAGTCCTTATGAAATAGTAGTCGTGTGAAGACACTTTTTATAACAATTCTTTGCCAAAAAATTTTCAATAACTTTTCAGATGATATTTTAAAAATGTTGTGAAAAGGCATTAATTACCAAGAAAATGCATTTCTTCATATAGAATAAAAATTACGCCTTCCATGATGGCGAAGACTGCAGTCCGACAGAAAAACAGGAAGTTCCAAAATTCTGGGTCACTTAACAAAATGGTGGCCCCGAAGGGCCACGAGTCAGATGGGGTGTGGTTCCGGGGTGGGAGCAGGTTTGGGCTGACTGGGTCTCTCCTCGACCCACAGACGAAAGACTGACGGTGCAATGCCAAGCAGGCACTTCTGGAGGAGCATTATGCTGTCTGTAAATTGCGGAGGTAGTTCCAGAAGGAGGCTTTGAGCGTTCCTCTCATACCCTGAGCACTACCAGGGGTTAAGAGAGTCCTTTGCTGAAGTCTTTTGGTCCAAGCAGGTTCTCGGGTGAGTCTCCTCGAAAGATGTCGACGTCATCAAAAATGGTGACGTCGACAGAAAAGAGCGTTAGGTGGCTTTGGTAGCTAGCGCCACATTGAGCGGGAAGCTGAAGCTCGACTAGATCAGGGGCTGAAATAAAACCCCGCTTTTACCCTCCGTAATTAACACTCTCTCTCATATAGAATAAATATCATTATTTTTGGCATCATCTTTGTATGTTAAATTTCAACATCAATAAGCCATTTTTCTGTAACAATTGGTGGACTCGTATAGACTTTTTTAAAGCGTATTGAAGTTATTATTTATTCAATAAAAATCCTTACTTTTTTATATTTCCTTTAATTAAGCGATTACCTCTCCAATTTCCAATGGATTTTTTATTTCTCCTCAAAAATTTGGATTTGATCTTTGGTTTTTTTCTTTATTGTCCATTTATATTCCGATCAACAATCGGTCAAAGTTTTATAAGACCTCATATGTAAATGTTTGTAAAATTATCAACAATTTAAACCCATATTCTGGCAATGGTTATAAATAAATAGGATTTTCCCTCACGTATGGAACTTTTAAACCAAGACAACAACCATCATCAGCCATGCAGCCCTTATAAGGTTGAAGATGGGGTCTGGATGATTCCTTGCAAACTTGACGACGTCAAGCACAAGTTTTATCCACTTTACAAGCCTGTAGCACCAGCCAGCCATTTGCGCCATCCCTGGTCCCAACAAGAAGATGACATGCTCTTAAGCCTTTTTCCCACGAAATCCAGCAAAAAGTGGGCCCAAATCGCCAAAGAGCTTACCCCCTCCTTGAGTGAATATAAATTTTTTTAGTAATTTTTTTTTTCGAAATTTAAAAAAAATCCCAATCGCAAAAATTGGAAAGCAAATATATTTATTTAATTTGTAAAATTTATGTTTTAAAATGCAATTTATTCAATATTAAGCAGAATTAACTAGATATTTCATTATACTAATTATCATTTATATATCAAAATTTTTTTCCTAAAAAATTGTTATATTAAAAAAATTTTTTATTCGCTCAGTGGGATTTTTGGGAAAAAATAGGGAGATTTCTAATGGTTTTGTTCGCTCACGGAGGGGAAAGTTAACGAAAAAATCTACAACAACAAGCCAGTCCGAAACGGAAAGCAATGTAGGGAAAGGTGGTGCAATCATTTAAATCCAGCCCTTAAAAAGGGTGGCTGGTCATATGAAGAAGACGATTTAATTATCCAAAAGCAAAAGGAATTCGGTAACAAGTGGAGTCTTATCGCAAAATGTCTCCCAGGAAGAACCGAAAACAGTGTAAAAAACAGATGGAAAAGCATCATCAGAAGAGTGAAAAAAGGAAACTCAGGAATGTTTGACTATACCGGTTTGTGTAGAAACACCTCGAGTGACCAAAACACTCAAGATGATGATTGCTTTTTCAATAATGATGGCTTTTGCTTTAAACCTATTGAGGAATCTTCTTCATGTGAGAGCTTGACAGGATTAGATGAGATGGATCCAATTGAGGAGGTGTGCTTGCCATGATCTAATATGAATAAAGTAATAGCTTTAGCAATCTAATTAGATTCTTAATCCAAAATTTCTTAAAAATTGAAAAAATTTGCCCGTCCTTGATCGAACGATTTTCTGGTGGTCTTTAATAATTTTGATGGCTATAGATACTATTGATTATGCCATATAATCACTTCTACGCAATTATAATGTAACCTATATAATATTTACTAATTATTGGATACTCTATCTCATGCGCTAGCTTAAAAAAAATTATATGAAAAAATTTTAATTTCAGGCTAATAAAAAATTTTTATTTTTTTTCCTCTTGATTGAACTATAGCGATCGTTTTTATTAAGAATAGGGGTTAGTATAAGTTTTTTAGGTGATTTGCTAGACATTGGAGAAATTTCCAGAAACGGTTTTTCTGCTAAGTTGCCTTTATTTCGTTAGAAATGAATTGGTTAAAAGTGTAACAGCTGGTGACCCTTTTTTAAATTCAAAAAGATATTTTTCGAATTAATTGGAAATAATAGAAGTCTACCTAATAAATGAAGATAGAGATTTTAGGTTTTAGTGACTTTTATTATACCTTGATTAGTTAAATCAGGTTTTATGTACGGTAATGGTACAGGATTAATTGTTGTAATTATAAAAATTATTAAGAACTAAGCTTTTAATTAATGATAAGACTAGAATATATTAAGCTTGATCAAAATTTCGCGATAGCTCTTTAAATGACACTTGCTTATTCAACAGCGAAGGAGATTGTGACTGTTTTGGAGGAGAAGTTCCTCTTCTTTTCGTAGCATAAAACGTAGCATATTTTCCTTTTGCCATCTGGTCTTTTATCATTTTAGAAGCTCTTTCCGGCGACATCTCAGGACTCTTCTGTGGCTTTTCAGCAGTTATTAGCGTGTCTGCATATTTTCCAAGAATTTCTCTCCTTATCCCTTGTGCTTTTTCTCTTTGCCTTGACTCGAATTTTTCTAGCTCTACAGGAGTATAAACCTCCAAAAATTCTTCAAGCACCATAAACCCTCCACCAACTCTCACGACTACTTTCCCTCTTTCAAGTTTCACAAAAACTCTCTTGGTCCCAAACAAATAAATTCCTAAATCTTCTCTTGTAAACGGTACATCTAAAGGATCTTGACGAGTATTCACATAATCAGCTAACGCAATATCAATGGGATCATCTTTAACTGGCAGATAAACTTCCCTTTCTTTTTGCAGCTCAGTTATAACTTCTCTTAGTTCTTCAATTTCTAATTCTCTTTCTTTAAGATTTTCTTTCAGCTGCTCTATTGTTTCACAATTGGCTTTATTTTTATGGCTTTCAATTGCAAATAAATCAGTCATCTGGTTCAGCTCTTGAGCAATCTGATCTTTCATTTGCAAAGCTTGGTCTTTCTGCTCGCTAATTTGATCTAATAATGAATTTAAATCTTCTTGGACGCAAAGATGTTGCTCAAGACTTGTTAATTCAGCTTGCAAATCTTCTGCTTGCTTACTCCCCCTTCCCTCTTTAACTAGGACAAAATATCTGTAAAGTTTCCATTTTTTAACTCCCCCCCTCCGTGAGTGAACAAAACCATTAGAAAAATCGCTATTTTTTGCCCAAAAACCCACCCTCCGTGAGTGAACAAAAATTTTTTTAATAGAAAAAATTTTTTATGGAAAAAAATTTTGACATATAAATGATAATTATTATAATGAAATCTAGAGCTAATTCTGTGTAATTTTAAACAAATTGCTTTTTAAAACATAAATTTTATAAATTAAATTAATATTTGCTTTTCAATTTTTGCGAATTAGGATTTTTTTAATTTCGAAAAAATATTTTTTATAAAATTTGTATATAAATTTTTTAAAAAAAAAAATTAACCCCCCCTCCGTGAGTGAACAAAATTTGTTTGCTCACTCACGGAGGGGGGGGAGTAAGTACTTTAGCCCTCTTTTAAATTGGAGCAAATTTATTTTTCAAATAGAAAAATTATATATGGTAAAAATAGTAATTTTTATAAAATTAGTTTTAACCTAATTTAATTAAAAAAGTGCAAATAGATATTATTTAAACAGCTCATAGCGAATCGATAATTTTTTTGATTTAATTTTCAGAAAGTTCAAAAATATTACGTTATATTTAATATTTAAAAAATTTTTTTTAGAGAAATATAATATGGATTTTCATTAGAGTCACCCATAAGGAATCGATTTGCCTATGGGGGTTTTATTTTGATCAGATCAATTTTGGACAGGGCAAAATAAAACCCCGTGGCCAAAGGCCTTATGGGGTTATTCCAAGGAAACCCTTATATGTATTTAAATTGGAAAATATTTTTTGTTCCAATTTAAATAGGGCAAGGGGAGTTAGAAAATTTATAAATTTCTGTATCTTTTGTGTCGATTTTCTGAGTCAATGAAGAAATTTCAGTATTTAAGGATTTTTTGTCTTGAAGCAGCTGGGAGACGTTGATGTTTAACTGATCAAGCTTTTCTTTGAAATTTTGGATGGATTTAGAGAGGTCTTCTTTAAGCTTTTTTATCATAGTATCTTGGCTAGATATTAAAGCTTTTTGTTCTTGGTCTTTTTGGGCTAAGGCTTCATTTCGGTGAGCTTTTGCAGAAAGTTGAGTCATTAACGCTTTCATTTGTAGCAAAGCGTTGGTAAGTCTGTCATTTTCATTTTTTAGCTCATGATTTTGAGATTGCAAAGACTCTATTCTAGTCAAGAGCTCTAGCTTTTCTTGGGTTAGGTCTTTGATTCTTGATTCATACTCATTGCTTCTTACTTCAAAATCTTCAATTGCTTTATCAAATCTCTGGGCCAAAATTTCTTTCCATTTCATTGAATTTTCTAGCTGTTTTCTTACATCCTCGAGCATTCTTTCAGTTTCTGCAGCCTCATTCAGTTTTGAATGCAGAATTTCTTGGTTTCCTTCTAATTCCATTATTCTTGCTTTTAGTTTTTCCTCTGACAGTGCCAGATTTTTGCTGACTGCTTGCTCTTTTCTTAAGCCAGCTATTGCTTTGTCTCTTTCGTCTATAAGTTTATCAATAATTGCGCTTTGAGACCTGAGTTGATTTGTAAGTTGCTCAGTGGTTTCGTTGATAGACATTTGTAGGTCTTGCCGCGATTTGTTGCTTTGTTCTACAATTGCTCTGAGTTCGTTTAATTCAAATTCAACTTTTTCTTTATTTGAAAGTTTGGCTTGTTGAGATTTTATGATATTCTGAAAATACTCAATTTCGTAGCTGTTTTTACTTGGTGACAATGATGAAAAGTCATCATTTCTATCAAAAGTCTGTTCGGAGTTTCGTATTTTTGTGAGTTCATCGTTAAATCCTTTGAATCCTCTCTCCTTAGCATCTGGGCTTGACATTTTAACGTATATTTACAACACTTATTATTAGCGAAACTTAAAGATTTAAATGCTTTATAAGCCGAAATTACAGATAAATAGACTTTGAAGCACGAAATATAAACAATTTTAATACAAGATATAAAAAACTAAAAGCTTAAGCAACCCTGATATTTATTTTCTATATTAAATTTCAATTGAAATTAATATTTTAATCATACACAGCCTTATAATAAATATGATAAAAGTTATTTTATTTTCTGCACAATTGATAGGCTTAATGTTAAAGTCATTGTTAATGTGAACACAAAAAGAGCGATACTTTTAAAAATATCATCTATCACTTGATATACATTTGCACATTTTTCAACAATATGAACTGATCTATTAGATATGCTGATATCTGTAGAGACGAAATCAATAAACTTGAAGCCTATAATAAGCAGCAGAAAATAACTCATTGCTCTAACTTCATATCCAAAGGCAAGAGAAATTCCAAATATAACGGCTAAAATGCATGTGATAAGGTTCTTGATCTTTATTTTCATTTTCTAAATGATCATTACATTCCTGCTATCTTTTTTCTTCATCTCAATGAACTTTTCTTTTGTGGTTTGCTCTTCTTTTGGCGTGGCATCTGGCTCAGGAGTTCTTTCTACAGTAGCTCCAGCCCTTGCGAGTACTTTTTCCCTTCTTTTTCTTCTAATCTCTTCTGGATCCATATTGTATGAAATTTAATAACCTATTACCCACAAATTTACAGCTTTTATTTTTACTTCCCTTAAAATACATATTGATAATAATTACTATATATGCAAAACAAGACTCTCTTATTTTTTAGAAATCCAGACCTTTCTCAAGATTTTATTTCTCCTTTGGAACAGCTAGGGTTATCAATTATTTGCATCCCAGTTCTTGAATTCGATTATATAAAATATGAACCAAATTTAAGAGCTGCTATACATGAATTATCAAATGAGAAAGGAATAATTTTTCCAAGTCCGAGAGCTGTGATTGCATTAAGTCGTTCTAATCAAGATTTAAGGCATTTAAAATGATATGCAGTTGGAGAAAGCACTGCGAAAGCATGCTTAGAAATCCTTGGGAAAACTCCAGAAGTAATCGGTACAAGAGGAGCAGCAGAACTGGCAGATAAAATTATTGAAGACCAAGGCCCAGGAGGCTCGTTTATTTATTTAGGAGGAGACAATCAAAGCACTCTTCCTCATGAAAAATATCAAAAAGCAGAAATAACTATCAAAGAAGTGTGCTGCTATTCCACAATTCCAGTAGGAAAAGAAAGTTTTTTAAATTCAATTCAAAACATCCAGCCAATAGGCTGCGTATTTTTCAGTCCATCAGGCGTAAAAACAGCAACAAAACATTTAGCTGACCAAAATTGGAATTGGGGAGCAGTAAAAACGTTTGCTATAGGAGACACCACAGCTACTGCATTAAGAAATAACTCAGAAATTGCAAGATGTGATGGAGTCCCTACTGAATTTAATTTAGAAGGTCTCAAACAAGTACTTATTGATTATTTTTCTCACAATTAATTATATAATAGACTGCCTTGCACCTGGAGCAAATCCAAGCTGATTCATAAGCCTAACGAAACCTTTTATAAAATACCTTGAAAATTTCTGGCAAATATTTAATGGTACAAAATCGTCCATTTCTTCATAATCAATGCTCATAAGACCATCTTCCTCTGCTGCATGCTGTAATAAATCGAAAAAATATTGAAACTCCACCCCATGAGTCGCTTTCACATTTAAAATTTCATAGATATGTAGAATTGTTGATCTTTGGATAAATGGAACGCCAGGTTTATATTCAAAATAAGCGACATTTTCGTTTTCATATAATAATCTTCCTAGCCAAGCAACGAAATCATCTTCTCCATCTTCTGTGCAAACGTTTTGCCACATATTCAATGTACAAGCTCCTTGAATCATCGAGGTAATCTCATGCGGTTTGTATATTTTTTGCTTATTTAAACAGAAAATTGCATAGTTTTCTATACATTTTTATTATAAATTTGGATATTTTAATAAAAAAATGCATAATTCGTTATAAAAAGTATAAATCTTGAACAGTAAATCTCCCATCTTTGTCTTCATCTAGCGTGAATAGTGTTCCTATATGAAAAAATGAAATCGTAACATCTCGCGGCATAATGATTTGTAAAATTTCTGACAATTTTAAATAATCTCTTTTCTTATCTTCTCTTACTCTTTCAAATTCATCTTTAATTGCTCCTTTAAGCCATTCAAGAGACAAATTTCCGCCCATTTATCTTTATTTTTATTATTTAAACGCTTTCGACAAGTCCGCAGTCTTCATCTAAATACTGATATTTTCTTGAAAGCATATTATTTCTAAGAGTTTCTAAAAACAGTGCCAAACTTTCTCCGACCTGCTCTACGATCCCAATATCCAAATTCCAATGAAAAACTCCTCCTTCTCCATCAACAACTAAAAATTCGCCATCAATATTTCTGGCAAATGGAAAATACCCATTTTTCCAGTATACCTGTTAGGAGTGTTATAAAGCAAATTATATTATTTATTATTAAAGCAATATAAGAGGGTATATATCGATACTCGACCTACCTCGATAGCATCAAGAATTTCTTCAACAGATATTGTGATAAATGTTTCTTGGAGCTGGATTCCTCCGTTATGGCTTTGAAGCATTTTTAAAAGAGCTAATGGAGGGTTTTGTAGTTGATTAATTCTGTTTGATGGGCCTGGCGGTGAAAAGTTAGGGACATTTGTGGAGAGCCATGCTAAGATATCTCTAAGAGCTTGATCTATTTCTTCTGAAGAGATTTGGGTACCTCTAGAATGACCTTTGTCTACCACGAATTTTTTGTTTGCCTCCATGCTTGATTTTATAAATGGATAAAGTAAGAGAGAAATCGCCTTCAGAAATCATACTTGAAAGGAAATTAATGGCGCCTTATAAAGAAAAGTTTGATGAAGAAACACCTATTTCGAAATTCGAGACTTTTAGAGAAAAAGCAAAAGAAATGATCAATTTCCATTTAAATGAAGATAATGGATCAAGAAGAATGATAAATCATGAGGAAATTGATAAAATGAAAAAAAGCATGTTTAAGGAGGAAAATACGTCCCCGAAACTTTCAGCAAACTTTAAAAAGAGAATGAATGCGAAAAAATTGGTTTTATTCAATTTTGTTGATGTTTTGTAAATATACAAATATATATATGCAAATTTAGGTTTTTGAAAAAATTTTAGCTACAAAAAATTTAAAGAAAAATGAGATATGAGCGATCTTTATAAAACTGAAATTTCAACCCAGGCAGAGTTTCTGAAAATTAAAGAACTAATGATAAAGCAAAATAGCTCTCTAGAAAATACAATAGAAAATATTAGAAAAATCAAAAAACCTTTAAATTCAATTAGAGGATCAAATAATAAAGATTATTTAAACGAGCAAGTAAGTGAAATTGAAGGAGTTTCGACGAATCTTTTAATAGGAATAGAAGGAATTGTGCTCGCATTCCATGAAGTTTTGAGATTGATAGAGCAGCTTGGCAAAATTTATACGTTAGAAAAAAATGAGCTTACTCCCTTTGAATTCTAATCGAAAGTCTGTTCCAATCTAAAGAGTGAGTAATTTTTTTGAGAAAAATTTATAAAAATCATCAATTTAATGTCTACCATATAACAAGCTTATGGTATGTTTTAATATTTGCAACATTATTGGGCTATAGCTATTTGCATTATTTAAGCTATACAAATTAAAATTTTGTTCAAATTTAAATTGGAATTAATTTAAAACATTTCGTTTTTATTCTTATTTAATGGGGAAAATTAAAAGTGTAATGCAAGAAGAAAAGGAAGCAGCTTTATCTAAAGCTAAAGAAAAATACGAAAATCAACTAAAAGCTTTAACTGAGCACAACAAAGAGCTATCTTTAAGTACTAAAGGCAAAATTTCTGAAGAAGAGCATAAAGATAAAATTCTTGAACTTGAAGCAAAAATAAAATCTGTAGCTGAAGCTTGCAATGAAAATATTGAAAATTCTAACTCAATGATAAATCGTGATTAATTTTCTTTTTTTTCCAAAAACTGAATTTTTACTTATAAATATTTGAAGATATATCAAATTAAAAAAATTTAATTATGGGTGGGTAAGCGGAAATCAGCAGAAATTAATAAACTTCAAAGCACAATAATTAAGCAAAATGAAGAAATCGATCATCTTCATTCTGACATAAAAAACTTCCAAGCAATTATAAAATCTCAAGAATCCATAGATTCTTCTCAAACAGCCAACTTAAAAGCAGAAATAAGCTACTTAAATGACATGCTTTCTCAGTCTCAAAAACAATTAGAATCTTCTAGGAAAAGCGATAATGGAAAGCTTTCTAAATTAGAATTAACAAGAGAAAGAGAAGTTGAAAGACTTAAATCCGACATCATAATGCTACAAAGCCAATTAGAAGAGTCAGTAAATCATATGAGAAAAACTGATGATTTAGGAAGAGCTGAAAATAAAGATTTGCAAAGAGAAATCAAAAAATTATCAGATGAAAATAAAAACATAAAAAAAAGATATAGAGAAGAAGTAGAAAGTCTTCAAAGGGAATTGCAAGAGAAAGATAGGCTGCTTCATTTAGATAGAGAAAAATTAATAAATGAAATTGATGTAAGAGAAGAATGAAAGCGGCTTCATTTAGAATTGGAAGAAAAAGATAGACAGCTGTATTCAGAAAGAGAGAGACTAATGGCAGAAATTGATAAAAAAGAAGAAATAAAAAATAAGCAGAAAATTGAATGAGCAGAAATTTGTGATAATTTAAGTCTAGAAATTAAACAACTTAAAGAGAAGCTATATGAGTCTTGTGAAAATAACCGAAGACTTCTGGAGGAATTAGATAGAAGCAGAGCAAATAAAATGCAAGGAGAAATCAGCTTTAAGACACAAAAAGAAGGGTTTCGAGATAAATTAAAGGACAAAACATTGGAAGTGAAAAAATTTTGGGAGATCGTTCAAGAGCTGCAGCAAATATGCATTACAAAAGGAAAAATTGACTATAATGATATTAGGTCACTGATGAATATCAAAGGGCTAGTCAAACGAGCCAAAAAAGGCCAAAAATCAATCTAAACAATTTAAATTTTATTATTAACCTAGAATTTCAACAGTAAAAAGACTCCATTAATAATAAAAGTTAAATTCATAAATTTAAATAACTGGTAAAACCTAAAATTTTTAAAAAAAGTAATTAATTAAAAAAGTAAATGATATATTAAATGCCCGATGATGGCGCTCAATGTGCCATCATCGGACAAAACCAGAAAAGCTCCACACAGGAAATGGATTCCACGTGTGGACCCTTTTCTGGTGTTGCCCGATAATGGCGCATTGGGCGCCATCATCGGACAACCTGTATAGATTACATAGACAGACCAAGATTTCTTTCAGATCAAACCAAAAGAGATATTTCCTCAGCACAGACCAAAGCAGCTGCTCAGATTAAAATATGAGACCACATGCTATCAAATTGATCTGACTATTCAAACTACTCAACTCCAAAATATAAAATTCTTAAGCAAAGATGCAGAAAAGGGATCCCGAGTAATGTTCGTGGAAGAGTTTGATTTATGCTCTGTAAAGGACTTGAAGTTCAAAACAGCTATCCTCATCATCTATATTTTAGGCTCTGTAACCGCGAAGAAGATCCGCCTTGCATGCTTGACATTACAAAGGACGTAAGCCGTACTTTTCCTGAGCATTTTTTATTTGTGCGTCAAGGTGGCCAGCAGTCTTTGACTAACATTTTACGAGCTTATGCATTTCTAGACCCAGAAATCGGCTACTGCCAAGGAATGGCATATATAGTCGGAGTCTTTTTAATGCATGTTGATGAAGAAAGCGCGTTTTGAATGCTTGTAAGCTTCATGTATAATTATCAAATGAGAGGCTATTATATGCAGGGAATGGCAAAAGTATATCAAAGCTTATACAAAGCCAATTATTTACTAAAACTTCATGAGCCTGCCTTATGGAAAAAATTTGCCAAGTCGGAATTTTATCCTCAGATTTACGCAATGCAGTGATTTATGACCTTGTTTACTTTCTCTTTTAATATCGACACAGTTTTGAGGATTTGGGATTGCTTTTTGCTTGAAGGCCCAAAAATACTTTTCAGGGTATTTTTAAGTTTTTTTAAACTTCATAAAAATGACTTGATAAATCTCAGCTTTGAAAATTTGCTGGCAGGAATTCGAAGGATTGAGACTAGTTTAGATGCAGATTTACTATTACGAGCTGCATTTAATATAACTTTATCAAGAAAAGAGCTATTGCAAATAGATCGGGAATATCAAAATGCTCCAAATCCTGTACTTATAAATTGAAAATAATAATGGTATAATAACAATTTTTTAATCGATAACTAATTTGAAAAGATCTCGTAAATAGATTAGGAATTGATGAATATTATAGTAATATGGAAAGTGCAGAGAAATATCTATCCTTGCTCAACCAATCAGATTTTAGAGAGCAATGCATTCGATTAGTTCAATATTTCTCTCTCGGTATTAAATCAGGCTTGAAGTATACCAATATGAATGAAATTTCCAAAAAAGCAGGGAGACTTAATGGAAATCTTCACATGGTGAGAAAAGTTTTACGATTTGGGATGCCAATAGGAGTTCTTATAACTTTATATAGAAGGCTTTCTAATAAGAATTTGGATATAATCAAATTGGCAAAAACCCTAGAAAATTTAGTCTCTTTAGTCTATTACTTTTCAGATCATTTTTTATTTTTGCACAAAATTGAAATTATTCATATGCCTCAGGAATCAAAAACTGTGTTTCTTGTGTATGTTTTAAGGAACCTGAGCTGGGTTATTGATAACGGCTTAATTGCGCTAATTAATGCAATTAAAGTCCACAAAGGGAACATCCAGCTTCAAAAAATGGTAATTTCTATATAGAGAGACCAAAATCTACATACTCAATTTTCACAATCAAAAGACAGATATAGAGCACTGGTAAGAAAAAACGAGTTTTTGCAATGGGTCATGATAAAATCAATATTTGACATCCCAATTGCGATTTATTATTTAGATAAAAAGAAATTCCACCCTACAATAATTGGAATACTGGGAACAGTGACATCAATAATCTACCTTCTTCAATGCTGGAAAAGAAAGAAGCTATAATTTATCCTTTTCTATTAATAAGTAAATTATTAAGCAATAAACATGGAAGAGGCTTTAGAGCTAATCTACTCGAATTCTGATGACTTTCAAGTCCTATCCTTTTTAAAGGTTCAAAGCTCCTCTTTGCAAGGCCAAGATCACTTGTTACTCAATATTTTTCATCATCTTGTCTTGGCTAAAAGATCACATCTAATTATGGGCTTATTCGCTTTTGATACTTCAATTTTAGCCCAACAGGATTTATGTGGAAAAACAGTGCTGCACTTTTTAGCAGAAAAAAGAGATTATAGAAATTTAGAAGCAATTTTGAAAATGAATCCTCGCCTCGGATCAATTAAAGACTCTTCACAAAGGACTGTTTGGCATACACTGCTTATAAAGCCTGATTTATTGGAAATATTCAAGTTAATGGAATATTGCTCTAGTAATGACTTTTATTACGAGGATTATTTAGATTTGACTGTAGAAGACTTTTGAAACATCTATTATAAAGATTTCCAAGCATTAATATGAGAAAAAGCGTTGGATGAGGACTTTGATTTACTAAAAAAAGCAAGAAAATGAACAAAGAAAAAGCTCAGTAAAGATATAAATACGATGGAAGATATAGGGCTTACACTTTTAAAAGAGTTTTCAATAAAGGCAAAACTCTCGAAATTAAAACAATATTTGTCGATTACTCCAAAAAATTTAAATTATAGAGATTTTAAAGGAAAATCTGCTATAATGTACATTCTTGAATCTGACTTGATAGATATAGAAGATAGGATTGACTTATTTTTAGGGTATGAAAACTCGGTCGACCTTTTTGATAACGAAGCGAAAACACCTATTCATTACTTATTAAGAAATAAAAATATTGAAACGCAAGCTAAAGTCAGAATCTTGAGGAAGTTTCGCGATTATAATCAAGATATGTTAAAAAATATGATATCAGCTGTAGATGTCTGGGGAGAAAATGCTTTTTCTTTAGCTGCAAATGAAGAAAGCAATGATTGCTTGCAAACTTTACTTTATTTATATGGCGAAACTATCGGATTATACTCAATCACAAAACAACTTCCTTCATATTTCATCTCAACTAATAATAGTTGGCCTTATTACTTTAAAACTCAAGACAAAGAAACATTTAAAAACTTCAAATGGAAATACCCTGTTATAATTAAAATATGGCGTCTTCGTCTGGCTATGGCCTTCCGGCCATACATACTCGACTCATATTTTAATTATATCCGGCAAGGTTTTGCCATTCAGGAAATGGACAACAATGCCATGGTAAGCAATTCTGCAGAGCAGAGCCTGGCCCATGTCCAACGACCAGAATGGATTTTACCCTCGAGAGGAAAGGGTGTCTAGGTTTGGAAAGGGTAAGTTCAGCAGAGTCTACAGGCAATGTCTAGACCATTCGGGCAACTACCTAGCGTGAAACTGGGCGTTACGTCCCAGGACTTGGAATTTCCCTTTTTCCCGAAAGGTGGCCAGAAATTCCATTTTTTGGAATTTCGGAAAGCCAACTCCCGTCAACTCAAGCAACAAGCCGCAGAAGTCCATAGCCCGCCCACTCAACACACTTAAGCCGCTATACGCGGGAAGGAGTAGACGTGTGTCCTCTTGGCAGTCTTTATGGCTGTTAGGACTGCGCCGCAAAGCAGGTGAACCCCTAGGGGTCCGTGGTGACTGCGTAATCATAACGGCAGACGCCTTCTAATGTTAATTAAGATTAAGATTAAGGAAATACCCTGTTAGCCCTCTTGAAATAGCGATAGAGCAAAAATCACCTGAGATGCTAGGCTTTTTAATTGCAAATGGGTTCAATGCTAATTCATTTACAAACTCAGGCAAATCAATACTTGAAGCAGCTATTTTAGTAAATGATATAGAAATAATCAAAACGCTCACAAAAAACAATAGACTTCATTTTTATTATACTGAAGCAAGTGACAAAAAAGGCAAAAATACTCATAACTCATACGAAGAAGCATCTCTTAATTATGAGAAAATTGATTTTAGTCTTTTTGCTGTTTCTTCTTTTACAAAGCCTCAAATTATTGTGATTTTACTTGAGCATTTTTTAATGCAATTAGGAAGTGAAGAAATGCTTATACCCTCTGTGAGCGAGCACAAAATTTTGGTTGTCCACAGAGAGGGTTAATTTTAGTTTCTAAAAAAATTTATATATAAGTTTATAGTAATTTTTTTTTAAATTTAAAAAAAATCCCAATTCGCAAAAATTGGAAAGAAAATATTAATTAATTTGTAAAATTTATGTTTTAAAATGAAACTTGTTTAAAAATTAGTTAGATGTAGCAAGAGATTTCAATTTTTCTAGCTATCACTTATATATATAAAAAAATTTTTATTTATAAAAAATTGTTTGTTCGCTAACGGAGGGTGGGTGGGCTTTTGAGCAAAAAATAGGGACTTTTTAATGGTTTTGTTCACTCGCAGGGGGGAAGTTACTAGATCTTTTATTAGAAATCATTCAGCGAAATCCCTTTGAAATATAAACAAAACTAGCTTTACGAAATTGCTTGTAAAGAAAAATGCGATTGAACAAGTTCGGGCGTTTTTGGAGTTTTTAATTAATAATATTGGTCTCTCTCATTCTTTGAAAATCTTTATCGAAGTTTACTGCTATACGATTTATTTTGGGAAAAATGAAATTTTTAATATGATGGGAGAATTATTAGAGAAAAATAGTATATCAATAGACTTAACTCATGAAATCAGAGAGTTAGAATGATTTAATGAATTTTTATATAAAATTGTTAAGAAAAAGCACATGACCTATTATGCTACAGACAGTTCTGACTACAAAGATTATTTTTCTCACTTTTACCTTTCATATACCTTTTTATCAAATAATCCTAGTATTGAAATCTCAAAAAAATTAATAAAATCAGAATCAATTTTTACTGAAATAGAAACAGAAGAAACCACATTTCTTTCGAGAACACACCTTTTATTGGCTGGGAAATTGGAATGGCTTAAAAGATTTAAAAAAAATATTTCAGTTCACAAGTCTTTTGAAGTAATTTTAATTGAGCTCATAAAATGCTCTTATCAGTATCATGCAGAGGAATCAAATAACTTTAACTTGTGCAGTCTACTAGATCTGTCAGTAGAATTGAATTACAAAGAATTATTTAGGACTGTTATAGCTGAATACGATAATAGACTCTATATTAATAGTCACAAACCTAACTTTATGCAGAGAAAAAAGTGGTTTATATTCCTTATTAACTCAGAACTGTTTGACATTTTACCAAAGCTCTTACTCCCCCCCCCCCCGTGAGTGAACAAAAAAATTTTGTTCACTCACGGAGGGGGGTTCATTTTTTTTTTTAAAAAAAATTTATATATACATTTTATAGAAAAAATTTTTTTTCGAAATTTTAAAAAAATCCTAATTTATAAAATTTATGTTTTAAAACGCAATTTGTTTAAAATTAAACAGAATTAGCTCTAGATTTCATTATAATAATTATCACTTATATATCAATTTTTTTTCATAAAAAATTTTTGTTCACTAATGGAGGATGGGTTTTTGGGGCAAAAAATAGGGATTTTTCTAATGGTTTTGTTCACTCACGGAGGGGGGGAGTTAGAATTGATAGTTATTTATAAAGAATTTAGTATAGCTGAAGACGAATTTAATCAATACCTACTTCAGCACCTCACTAAAGGTAAAAGCAAAGTCTTTATTGATATTTTAAGGCGAATTTCTTTAGAGAATTTGCATTTCAGTGTTAAAAAACTCTTAACTTATCAATTTTTTTTAAAAAGAAATGATAAAAGCGCATATGATGAAATGAAGCCTCTAATCTGTGCAACAAAAAATGCTATTATTAAAAAAAGGCCATTAGCTTATTACCTCTGCGAAAATGACAATTTTCTTCAATTAATTAAAGAGATATTAGATTATCAGCCACAGTGGTTACTTTGAACAGACAAATCAAAAAATTTGTTAACGCGGGCATGCAAATATGGGCAGCTAAAAATAATAAAGCTTATGATTGCTTATGAAATTCCAATACCAACAGAAGTATTTGCAAAAATCATTTGCGCTGTTTCTTTATTGGGCTATAAATTACATGATCCCTTTAAAATGCAAATTTGGAATCAGCTTACTGAAGAAAATCTGAAAAGAGAAGCTGTTATAACATTATTGATAAATTATTATACCACAACGACAGATAACCCAAATTCATCATCTCAGTATTATAATGAATCAGCATACAGCAATCCCATGATTGCAGCTTCATCTTCTCAATCAGAACAAACTATTATGAGTATGCTTGAAAAATGCTTTATTCCTGAGATCTTAGGCAAAACCTATAAAATTAAAAATTTAAACATGAAAAACGCATCTTCTCAAATTGGACAGAACAACTTAGAATTTTTTGATAAATATCCATTAAAAGAGTGCCTACTTCATAACCAAGAGGAAAATGTGGCATTAGTTCTTATTAAGTATTTACCCAAAGACATTTTAAGTTCGGATTTGTATCAAGAATGCATATTATTAGCCAGCAAAAGAAAATGGTGGAAAGTGCTAGAAAAATTAATGGAAACGATAAACCCAACAAATAAATCTTTAGGATTAATCGCTGAGCAACTAGTGAAAGAAAATCAATTAAACTTATTAGAAAAACTTGTTAGTTTGGCTGTTGAATCAAGAATAGGGATTAATAGAGCATTTTATACCGCTATTGCTGAAAAAAACATGGCGGCTATTAAGATTTTTGCTTCAAATTTAAATACTTTTTGAATCAGCTTTGGTCTTGATGTCATGACCAGTTTTAAATTTTCGCCTGATTTAAGAAAAGAGCTGACCCCTTTAATAAAAATGCTTGGTGAAAGCAACCCTTTGAAATTAGCCACAGCTTTATGCAATTGCAATTTGGTGAAAGAGATTCTCTCAACCCCAAATAATCACAATTTAATTATATGTAGCAATAATAGAGAAGTAAAAAAATACAGTAAATCAGAAAAGGAAGAGATGAGAAGTGATGACTATAAAATAACTCCATTAGAAATAGCTGCTCTAAACGGATTCTGGCAACTTTTAGAGCTTTATCTAGATAACTTGCCTTCTCAAATAGAAAACATAAAAGATATAATTTCATCGGCAATTCTTTATGCAATAATTGGGGAATCTGTACTTTTTAATGACAGATATAGTTTGTTTCGCTTTTTTCCGTACGAATAAGGAAAATCTTCCTTTGAGGATGAGTTGAGGCTTTAGATGGTTTTTATGCCTTAAATTTCTTAATGGGAAAGGTCTTTTGCTTATCCTTTAATTTAATTTTAGAGCATTTTTAAGCTAATTAAAGTGTTTAATATATATGCACTAATGGATTCATGACAGCAATATTTGGATTGGCTGACAGCATCAAAGAGTGGATTTAAGTGCTAGCCCACTAAGCCAAATAATGCACCACCATATTTTGACCTATATTTCTTACTGTAATTTGGTTTATTGATTCCATTTTTTGCCACATTTTTAGCAGACATAAATTTTTGATATGTCTAAATAATTTCAAAAAACAGCATAGCTATCACGATCAAACAATCTAATTTAAAATTTTCATTTTCATGCAACTATTTAACTGAATCTATAATTTATCTATTAATAAAATGCTTAGGCTCTTCTTTGTAAGATAAAATTCTAAAATATGAATTCAAGACTTATTTCAGAACAAATCTAATTAATTTTTAGAGATATGAAAGTGGGTGATGCCTTCAAGCTGTAGCGTATGCTTAAGATATTAAAGAATGTTTATAAAGAGCTCGAAGTAGTGCTATTACTAGCATGCTTAGAGTAAGAGGAGCAAAATTCATGGAAAATTTAAAATTTTATAATATCTATCATAATATCCATCTTTATTGGAAAATTAATAATCATTGAAGAAGATTATAGACTTAAGTCTTTCCAAGAAAATTAAAGCATATTTAATAGTATGCTTAAAGTTAAATTCTATATAATTTCCATCTTTATTGGAAAATTTAACATCTTTATAGAGATAAATTTTCATTGTTAAAAAAATAGTTTATAAGCAGAAAAGTTTGATGCCTTTAATGAGTAGTAGATGAGCTTTGAAGAGCAAGCTTTTGTTGAAGATAGCAGAGAAAACTTATAAAGAACTTGGAGTATAATAATCTTCTATTGATATGAAATCGTCATTATGGAGAAGTTTCATAAGAACTTATTCATTCATTTATTCATTAAAAAGTAATAATTCTTTTTTCAATTAAAATCAGATATCAAAAATTTATTTTTATGAAATGTGCAAAAAATAATAATAGGTCAAAATATTTTGGGAATGATCTTAGCGGGCTAGCACTTAAATTCACTCTTTGATGCTCTTAACCAATCCTAATATTGCTGTCATGAATCCATTAATGCATATATATTAAACACTTTAATTAGCTTAAAAATGCTCTAAAATTAAATTAAAGGATAAGCAAAAGACCTTTCCCATTAAGAAATTTAAGGCATAAAAAAACCATCTAAAACCTCAACTCATCCTCAAAGGAAGATTTTCCTTATTAGTACGAAAAAAAGCGAAGCAAGCTATACATCCAATTGCCTAATTATATCCCTAAACAAATATCATCTGCACCTCTAATATCTCGCTACATTTGTAGTCCTTCCAAATGATCATGTTCTGAGGATTTTATATTTCCAAATTCTCAGCAAGATTATAATCAAGTCTTACAGATTTTATTGAATTCTGAGCGTGATATAGAACCGGAATTTGATTCACTTATTATTGCTTCATTTTATGGTCAATCTTGGTTTATGGATTACATAAAGGGACACTTGTGTCAGTCATCTGAAGATTTGCTGAACATTTTTACAGCTTCAATAAATGGTTATACATGTTAAAAGATCTAAATAATTTTAAAATTGCTGATAAATTATAAGAAGTCTATTTCCTAAATAAAATAACTATATTTTAATAGAATTTATTCAATTAATACGTCCAACTTTTTGAAAAGATATATATTTATAGATTCGCTCCAAATTTCTATTCATTTTATGGAAGCTCTTGTAGCAAGTTTTTATTTAAATTAGGATCAAATTATAACTCGCCAGAAGAAAGAAAAACCCATAAACAGTCATGGAATGAGTTTTTGGTATTTTTATCAGAAAATTTATCAATCATGGACATAGAAAACACCCACCAGAATAAAATGAAATTTTTGCATATTTTTTATATATGTCTGCATTATCATTTATTAGATGTCGCTGTTCCTCTATTTCAGTTAGTAAATAAATTAGAAGTTGAGCCAAGCATTTTTGGAGGAATTTTGATAACTGCAGCTAGAATTGGAGATATAAAAGGACTTAACAAATTATTAGACATGGGCGCCAACCCTGATTGGTGCCAAGCTTTGCCACCATGGGAGCTTGTGCCTCGATATGATGCAAATGAGCTAAGTTCTTATAAAGAGCATGAAGATTTAGGCCCTTGGAGCGACTCTGATTCTTCATCAGTAAAGAATGAAGAAGCTCCCCGGTCAAATTTTACAGCAACGTTGCCTACAGCTTTGCATTGGGCTGCTGAAAGAAGTGATGAGAAAATGATAGATCTATTATTACAGCATAAAGCAAGAATAAATATCCAAGTTAGGCTATCATTATTAAAGCCTTATTTAGGGAAAAAGCAATTAAGAGTATTATTAGTAACTCCACTCGATGTAGCATGCTTAAGAGGAAATTGAGAAATTATAAGCAAATTAGGTGAAGTCAATGAAGAAAATTTAATTCTTGTTTTCATGTCAGGAAAAATTGATTCTTTTATTAAAGGGATTTCTAACATAAAAAATTTAGAGGAGTACGTTAAAAGCAAAAAATTGCTGAATAAGGCTTGTAGACATGGATTCAGAGAAATTGCTGAATATTTGCTTCAATTTTACAGAGGAAATGAAATTGTAGAAAGCGTAAAGAGAAAAGGATTAGGGATATTGCATTATTGTGCTATCAATGGGAATGAGCAGTTAATTAGAAAAATCATAGATAAGATTCCTGAAGAGCTTCAGAAAGAGCTATTTGATGCTAAAACAGCCTATGGATTTACACCTTACCTCTTATCAAAATATGTAAGCAAAACTCCAATGAATTTTATATTCAGCAATGGACTTACTGATATTTCATCCTACCTATTGCTTCAGCACTCCTTTTGTACTTCTTTTTTCAGTTGCCCAAAGTACCCCTCACTAGCCCCTCATTACCATTATGAATCCCCTCCTGCGTGGAAAAAAATTCCTTTAATTTTTGGATTATCAAAAGCTATAGGCTCTAAAAATATTCCATTATTATATTGTACTTTGAAGGACAATTTACTTATTAAAGATATTATCAAATATCATGAAAAAAGCACTTCAGAAGAAGGAAAAATAATTGATAACTTGTATAAAGAAGCGATTAAATCCAATAATTTGTGAGGAATGCAGATTTTAAGGGCTTGTGGGCTAATGCCTTCTAAAAAAGTGATGATTTTTGCTGCAGAACAAGGTAGAGATGATGTGGTTTTATTTTTGTTTGAATATTTTGGGATCAGTGATTCACCTTTTAGTAAACTTGAGCAAGAAGGAAAAATTAAAGGTTTTGACCATGGCTTATTAAATGATCTTATAGCATTGCATAAGCCAGAATCTATAAAACAAACAATTAAAGACACATTTTTTAGAAAAATAGCTGAACCAGCATGCCGCACAGGCTGTAGATACACCATTGAGCTGATTTTATCTATAAACCCACTAGCTTTTGATATTAAAGCATTAGAATCAATTTTCGGGTATAACTATTTTGATCTTGGTGTACTAATTTTACTTTATTTTGTTCAAAATTCTATGATAAATTCTGAACAAATTGAAGAGCAACTAAAATCAATAGGCTCGATGATAAGTGAAATTAAATTGCAGGCTTTACTATTAGAACTTGTCCAGAGAGGGATTATTAGTGAAAATAATTGGAATTTAATTTTGTCACATTATGATTTCAGAAAAGATTTTGATGAAGATACAAGGTTCCTATGAAGAGATAAGCTGTTTTTCCACACTGCAGCTGCAGATTTATTGAGAAATGAGGTTAATAAAATCATAAGTGAGTCATCACTTGTGTTTTTGAAGAAAAAAAAGGAGAAGAGTTAAGTTAAGTTGCTATTCAGCCATAAGCGGATATCACTAACCTATTAGCTGGCGTTGAATCACACCTAGCCTAAGGACTAAATCTCAATATTAGAGTTGCCTAGTGGAAGGAAAACCTGTCTAGCCCACCAGAAAAACTTCTGTGAGAAATAGAAAAAGGAGAAGAGGAATTAGAGAAATATATCCCTTACTTAAAATCATATATATCTTATCAAAAAAGCAGTGAAAATGAGCTGATTATTTATGATAAAAAATGAATTTCAATAGAAATTGATCAAGCACTGATGTCTGAATTAGTTGGTATAAAAAAAGGATGGCAGAAAATATTATGCCTAGTGCAGATGTTCAGCTCCTCAGGACTCTTTTCATTACTTGATACAAAATGGGTTCCAAATAAGCATAAAGTAAATTACTTGCTATCAAGCAAGGAAGAACCCAGCTATGAAATCATTCCTGATAAGGAGATCAATATAAAAGGAAAAATAGAAATAATTGATAAAAACATCGAAAACTCTTCTATATTTTCGTCAGTGCAAAAAAGCTTGCAGGTCACTATTGAAAAGCCAATAATCATCAGTAAAAATTATCTCCAAGCAGCAGTAAAAAGATATATTGGTTTATATAATTAATATTATTTTTCTTGGCATATCAACAAATTCGCTTTTATAAATTGGCTTATCAAACAAGAATATTTACTCATAAACGTATACTTAAAATTTTTTAATAAATATTACCTTAAAGGCAAGGCAAAATTGAGAATGATTTATGATAGCATTCCTCAGGAGCACTATGAAACAATAATTGAACAATTTAAGTTGATAAAGAAAGTGTATAAAACAAAGAATCGTAAAATTATTGATGAAATTTTTATAGGAAAAGCATGTGGAGCATTGAATTTATTAATGGCAATTAGAATGATATTTATAGAAGAACACACTTACTATAAGCATTTCCGCTTTGAAAAACCTCGAGAGCCAGAAGCTCCTAGACAAGAGCCAGAACCGCCTGTATTTACAAGAAGTGTGAGTGGCGTTTTAAGACCAACAGTTGGCAATGAAGATCCGCCACAAGAAATCACTGATACTTTTAACAAAGTAAATTTAAGCTATGTCAATCTTGCAATTAGATATGTCGAACCTGAGAACTATGAAGATTCTTCTTTTGATTCTGACGAATGAAAGTTCACTATTAACAAAGGAGACGCTATATACAGCTTACTATCATTTCGATGAGATAATAATAATTTTTCGCACTCTCACATTAAAATTATTTTTTTTAATTAAAAATTAATAAATCTTGCTATTAGAATATAAGTATTTATATAAATAAAATCGGCTAGAAATTTCCTTATAATGAGCATCACTTTTGCATCAAAATAATTTTATAAAACAATTTTTTTCTCACAAGATGAAAAGGGTTAATTCCTAAAAAAGTCAAATTTTCCAGTAGTTTTGCTCTCTAGCTGAGGGAAGAGAGTTAGCAAATGTGTCAATCTATAATGAGCTTAAGCTAAAAGTGATTACTCATAGGCTATTTTGGTTCTGGGAAAAAGATATGATTAATCTTGCTCGCCAAATAGAATTTGAGCTCCTAACACTTTATAATGAGATTGGCTTGGCAGTTTCCAATAGCTTTACTAATGAAAAATGTTCTCATCCTTTAAATGTCATAGAGGAATTCTTTGAAACAGAAGATTTAAAAACTTGGTTTGGAAATATGCTGATAGCTTTAACGAAACATAAAAAATTAGTACTAGAAGCTAAAGGAATTTATATTGATTTCAATGTTAAAGAAGCAAATTTTAATACAAAAACTGAAAATATAGATGATATTGTCAATATTTACGATTTAACCTTTGACTTTAAGTACGGATATATTCTAGTAACAATTTGGGTATATAGGAAAAATCCTTTATTAGAAATAGAATCCAATAACTCCCCTTACCTTCATGAGCGAACAAAATCATTAGGATAATCCTTTTTTGTTGTTGTAAAAACTACTCTTCGTGAGTGAAAAATTTTTTCATATAATTTTTTTTATGAGCAAATACTTTAAAATATATAAATGATGACTATTATAATGAAATCGCAAGCTAATTTTTTGAATTTAAAACAGCCAGCCTGCATTTTAAAAGTTAAATTTTACAAAATTGAATTAATTTTCACTTGCATTCTTTTTGAGTTAGGAATTTTTTAAATTTCGAAAAAAAATTACAAATTTATTAAATTTAAAACCATTTTTTGTTCGCTCACGTAGAAGTGGGAGAGTAAGGATTTTCCTATTAAGTCTGTAGATGAAATTAGCTGAAATTTCTTAACAAAAATGCTGACTCCTCCACAAATAATGGAAGAAATTTTGCAAATCACTGAGTTTACTTTGAAATTAAACGAATTCCCAGTATCAGAAAGTATTGGTTCAAAAGTCACTTTTTATTTTGATAAGCAGTCTCTATATGATGCAGTCTCTAAAAACTTTGAAATCTTATTTAGTGATTGCTGTTCATTTTCTGAAAAGCTTGTTAATATAAAAAAGTTAGAATACATTGCAAAGCAGCTTCAATCAAGAACTCTCTGGGACAATATAACAATCTCTCTTTCTCAAAGCACGTGGGATGATTTAATGATAAATCAATCTTTCTCTTTGTACACATCTTCATTTATCCTTGGAAATTCCATCTCAAATAAAATAAAGCGAAATGCTCAAATTGCATGTAATAACTTCCCCATCCTAATCTAGTCGATATGATCAGGGGCGGTTAAAAAGATTTTTGGCCAAAAAATTGCATATTTATTTATTTAATAACGTGAAGAGTACACGATATATTAGTAAGCATGCTATAAATCGTATTAAAATTGCTAGACAAGGTTATGCAGCATAATCTCTAAAATTCATTACTAAAAAATATAGATAGTTATAGGGTTAGCAGCGCATTCTTGACTATCTAAAAATATTTGGGCAAGATGCGGCTTAATTTTTCCAATTTATAAAGAAATTTTCTCAAACTAGAGAAGGGAGTAGGCATTTTTCCAAGCTAAAAAGAAGCTACCTCCTCAATTTTTCTATATCAAACTTAAGCCTAATCTGCAAAAAAGATGACACGGTGCTGATAAATACATCAAAAGTCCTAAAAATCAAATCCATAGACGAAATAAAAATAATGGGAAATGAAGAAGATTTTCCTATTAATAAAATATCACAGATTTTTAAGGTGTACAAAGATTTCCCTAGTGAAGAAGAAATCGAGATGAAAGAAGGACCGATTTTTATATGTGATTCTGCTGGGAGAATATGGTTTTTTGATCAGGAATCTTTACCCAAATATGAAGAAGCTAAAGGAGAGCTTTATAAGGAAAAGTTAAGGTTCCCTAAATGTGGAGAAATTTATAAACCGATTCCAAAAGAAATCTCTTTGCAGTTTTCTGAAAATCGGCCAGGTTTAAATTTAAGCTTGACAAAAGATTTTGATATTAAGGTCAATTTTGTTTTTCCTGAGCCTTCATTGGAGCAAACTCTACTATCGAATCCCAATTATTATGAGCTTATTGATAATTTATGCTGATATTTTAAACAGTTAAGAAAAATTACAGGGCTTAAACAATGAAATATCCCAGTGAATATTGACTGGAATGATTCAGGAGAAGCGCCAATAATAGAAGACATGGCTGAGTTTTTTAATAACGATATTAAAGAGTGCTTACTCCCCTTTAAAAATTAGGACAAAAATTCTTTTCCAATTTAAAGAGGGGTGGGGTATTGATTTTTAAAAAACATGAATTTTGAAAATATGAAAAATGTAAATTGAGCACAATAATATAAATTGTAATTTTTTTTCATGCAGAAATAAATAAAAAATTTATTGATTCAGTTTTAAGACTGTTTAAATAGCATTCTACTTCTGCTCTTTTATTAAATTAGGTCAAAATTAATTGTATAAAAATTAGTATTTTATGGAGAATTGACCAAAAAAATCGATTCAGTGAGAAAACTGCTTAAATAATATTCTACTTATATTTTCTATTAAATTAAATCAAAACTAATTTTATAATAAATAAGTATTTTCATTGATAAAATTTTCTTATTGAAAAAAAATTGTTCGAATTTAAAGGGGGGTTAAATCACGATGTTTTGTTCCAATTTAAAAGGGGGAACGAGCTAATAAATGTATACGAAGCAATTAAAAATGTTTGCGACTACAATGGATTTATTTTTGATATTGAAACATATGATCCCAATGATATCCAAATAAAGCAGATCTCAAAGCACGAGATCGCTAAATTGTTTAGTGAAAATATCAAAGAAATCGTGATAAAAATATCAAATTCGATTAATGAATGTTCCATTAAAGAAAACATGCTATTTGTTTGTTTGCCAACATCAAGAAAATCAGAAAGCATTAAAGATATATACTCAAAGAGCAGCACTATGAGAGTAATAATAAAGCATCTGTCTGAAATATCACTTTCTCAGCTTCCAGAAAACACTAAAGTCTCTCTACATAAAGATGAATTTTCCTTACAAGACCTTATCCTTTTTTCACAAGCACCTCGAATCAGTAAGCATTTCGATATGGTTGGAAAAATTCTCAATATTGATGTGATGATCGAAATAAATCAATACAAGAATAATCCGGATGAATTATTAGCAATTTCTATTAATGAAGTTTTATTAGTTTCTATTACAGCTGCTGAAATGGTGAATATTCCATCAATTTTTGATCTTTTAGTTAAGCTTAAAGAAAATACATGGCATGAGGTAAATTTATTTAAAATTTTGCCTGCTGATTTTAATTCAGTACTTTTTAGCCCTGAAGGAGTTTTAAATTATATTGTTCATTTTGGAAAATTAGATTATATAACAGCAACAGGAATTTGCTATGATAACTTACAAGCATTTTCGGTTGAGCTTACAAAAGACATTTTTTCGATAAAAAACCTTCCTGAAAATTCTTGTATATTAATTGTTTTCTTCGACAATGGATTCCCTATTGATTCAAAAATAGTTTATACAGGCCCACAAATCCCAAAGCATTTAATTGAATTTTATGATTCCAGTAAACAAAAGCAAAATCAATACAAACTATTGATGCAGGAAATACCACAATTTAAGCATTCTACCAAAACTCCACCATCTATCTTCAACTTGTTAAGCAATATAAATAATGAACAATTAGAAGATTATGACTTAATCGTTTCCAATGATTTTTTTATTTCATGCATTGGAGAAGAATACTCTTTAGGACATCAGAACTCTTATCGCTATATCAAAATTACTCCTGAAATCTATTTAATTAGCATTAATTGGACGTCAAATGAAAAAAGGGTGTTTTATTTTATTTCTAAAAAAACTGGAGTTCCTCACTCCCCCCCCCCCTCGAAGTTCGACCAAGATATAGGGAAAATTCCTATTTTTTTGGAAAATTATATAAATTTACTAGGAAAATAAGCAATTTTTCAAAAATTTTAAACTATGTGGGGGTGAGCTTGCGATTTTTGTATTCAAGTTCTAAAAAAAGCGTTACAAAACCATCTTGCACTATTTTTTCTAACTCTTACACCCTCTCAACCATACAGAAGAATATGATAAATATTTGTTTTTTTAACTACTAAATTATATAAAATAATTCTATATAATTTTTTTTAAAAAAATTTTTCTTAACCCCCTCGAAGTTCGACCAAAAAAATCTTGGTCGAACTTCGAGGGGGGAGGAGTCAGCCAATTATGAATTTTTCCAATAAAAACCCAACTGATAGAGGATTTCTTACTCATACCCAAAGCGGAAACGAAAAAGCTAAGCCACTGCTTTTAAACCATTATGAAAGCTACTTACAAATAGAATTAACAGAAAAGCAGCTCTCTTATAAGCATTCATATATTGCTACTTCTTCTGATGAAAAATTAAGAGTTAAAAACAAATCTAAAAAGAAAAATTTATTGATAAAGCTCTGCAATAAATCTCCTTCTCACCCGAAAAGCTTGAAAGATGCTATCTGCTCTCGAGCTGGCTGTGAACGCTCAGATTTATTACTAATTCGTGCAGACTGTGATTTGCGTGGAAGCTACAACATAAATCATCTTCAAGGAGTTTTCAAGCACAAGCAGAACCCTGAAGTTGAGTATGAAGCTACTATCTATCCCCATTCTTCTGACAGCTGCATTATAAAGTGGACACCATTTAGCAAAGGATTCTACATTTTTTACTTGAACTCTCACAAGCTAAAATCATCTAAGCCAATATATGTATGCCCAGCAAAAATTTCTCCAAGTCACTGTATAGTTGCTAATGTTGGAGATATTTTTCAAATGGAAAAGCATAAGGTGTTCGTCAAAGTCTGTGATGAATACAAAAACTTTTATTCTCCATGCGATTTTGAAGCTCATAAAATACTAGAAAAACCATTTGAATTAAATCCTAACGCTGAAGAATTTATCCCTTCCCCAGAGGTTGATTTAGAATCTCCATTACCATCAATTAACGCTGAAGTTTTCAAAAACCATATGTCTTTAGCTTCTAATGTACTGATATCAGCGACTCTTTTCAATAAAGCTGGCAAAGAATACCCTGTAAAGCTGAAATTTTTGCAAGAATTAGGCCAAGTTTTGCTTATAATTAAAATCAAAACTTCTACCGACGCAACTTTGAAGGTGTTTATCAATAATATAGAACTATCAAATTCCCCTATTGATTTTACTGTAAAGCCTATGAGATTTGAGGTGAAAAGGAAATTATTTTTTAAAAAAGCGAAAAGACTGCATGGGTTTTATGAGAATCATAATGTGGATGTGGTGAGAACCCAGTTTTTAGAAAGCTTGAGGAAGAATTTTAAGATTAAGCAGTGTGTCTTTATAGTTCCCACTTCCTGATCACCATGCGTTCCACGGTTAACTTGAGCCTTATCCGAAACCTCGGTTTCTCAGAAGAGATTTTTTCCCTCATTGGTCCGAAATATTTTTCTTTGCCGAAACCTCCATTTCCAGCCCAATCAACCAACTTACCCAAACCTGTTTAGATTAGGTCAGGCTGCCTTGTTACAGAACTCTTTTTCAACTGGAGAGACTATAGCCCTTGAGAGTCTTGCCTACCCTGTCTTTCCTTTTCCTATGGCTCATCACTAAAAAGAAAAATTCAACTGCTTATGCAGTCTGGGCAGACCACAAAGCAGCCTAGGCAAGTAAGTCGCCCTGCCTCTATCAGACACCAACCTGAGCCGAGGTGCAGCTGACTAAAAAGATGCAAAAAATGCCGCTTGAGCCAGACCACTAATCTGCGAAAAATTACCGGGCCTCTGGCTTCGAAGCTACCCACCCTTGGGCTTTTCTACTACGTCCGGATATCATAGGACACCAGCCACGGGAGGACAGATAGCTCATCACCAGCCATTTTATGAATTGAGGAAGAATTTTAATGAGGATGTAGAAACTTTGAGGGGATATTTAAATATCAAATTTGAGCATGAGCCTGGAATTGATGGAGGTGGGCTTAGTCGTGAATTTTTTGACAAATTAGGTAGAGAAATTGTGCTTCCTGAGCATCATTTATTCATTCTTAATTACGAGATCATCAGCTGCTAAGCTGTTACTTGTTAACGCAGTTATCCAGACCCGAAGGTTCCTCCGCTTTGCGACTTCCGCCTACAGGACTCAAACTTAATGGATAGCCTATTCTGTTGGTCGTCTCCTCCTTGCAAGCTACCACCTTTGCTCCAGTATTGAGTGGCAGATTTAGGAATTCTGCAGCCTTGCTTGAGGCTGTGAGAAACGAGGTTGCCTATTCCGTTTATTTGAAAAGTAAATTTTCTGATAGGGCTGTCGGCCAAAAGGAAATCCAAGCCCAGGACGCAACGCCTGGCATCGCGCTAGGGGAATTACCCGATTGATCAGGAGGAACCTCCTGATGCTGCTGAGCTTCCCCTTTCCAACTTGGAAGACCCTTTTTTCTGAGGTAAAACCCTTGGTGTCAAAATGAGCTGCAGTCGACCAAATTCGACGTTGCGCTCCATGTGCCAAGGTAAAACCCAGCCGAATACACATCCGAGCGCCTTTTCCCCTTCCACAAGGTCCCCGGGTAACCCGGCTGCAGGTGTTGAGGAAAAGGGCTGGCTTTCCAGTCGCCATTTTAATGTATTCATTTATTCATTCAGGTTGGCGATTTCTTCAAAATCAACCCCCTTTCAAGCCAAAACCCTAACCACTTAGAATTATTCCATGTCCTCGGGGCTTATTTTGCCAAAGCCATTCTCCACAAATATCTACTAGAAATAAATTTCGCTCCTTCTATATATAAGCAGCTTTTAGGCCGTGGACTTATCCCAGAAGATTTAAAAGACGATGACCCAATCTTCTATAACTCCTTAAAAGAAATCCTTACCATGGACCCTGCCTTACTTGAATACTCAGAACTTACCTTTGTAGTGACATCAGAAGACAAACAAATAGTTGAGCTAATCCCGAATGGTGCAGAAATAAAAGTGACTGCAGAAAACAGGCAGCAATATTTTGAAACTCGAGCCCTTTGGCATTTATATGGATCAGTAGCTTTCCAAATGGAGTCTTTTACCACATCTTTTCAAGATGTAATTACGCTGGATTTGCTATCATTCTTAAACCCTGAAGACTTGCAAATCCTTTTTAATGGAAGCTCGACTTATAATTTGTCGTTTATTAAGAAAAGGACTTCGCATTATGGGCCTGGGCTGTCATCACAAGTTGTGCAATGGCTGTGGACTTGGCTGGAAAATTCTAATGAAGAGATATTGAAGGCATTTTTGAGGTTTGTGACTGGGTCTAGCAGAATTCCTTATAAGCAAAGAAATTGGGGCATTGTGCTTTCCCCACAGCTGGAAAATGGAATTTTGCCAACAGCATCAACATGCGGAAGCACGATTTATATCCCAAATTATAAATCATATAAAGAGTTTTCGAAGTTTATGACAATTGCAGTGCTGGAAGGAAGTGAAGGTTATGGAACTCATTAATATATAAGTTTTAATAAATGGTGAGAATACCTCCTATGCATTGTTGCAGCAGGTAAACGTAAGATAGCAGTGAATTATTATCTGGGACAAAATTTATTTCAGTGCTAGATGCATTTGCTTCAATATTTTTAGGATTTATTCTAGCAAGGCAAGTGATTCGTGCAGTAAAGAACGTTCTATTTTATTACAATCTATTTTGTAATTTATAACTTACTCCCCCTTGTGAGCGAACAAAAAAATTTTGTTCGCTCACGGAGGAGGGTTAATTTTTTTGTTGAAATTTTAAAAAATTGCAATTCGTAAAAATGAGATGTAAAATTAATTTAATTTGTAAAAAGTATGCTTTCAAATGCAATTTGTTTAAAATTAAGCAGATTCAGCTAGATATTTTATTATAAAATTATTATTTGTATATCAATTTTTTTCATAAACATTTCACTCACGGAGGGTGGGTTTTTGGGGAAAGAATAAGGATTTTTTCTATGATTTTTGTTCCCTCATTGAGAGGGGAGTTAGTGACTGTAATGTTTTTATTCATGAGCTATTACTCACTCAGAGCTTGTTGAAGCTTAAGGAAGGAAATGCCAGATTGAAGTAGAGTGAAAAAATATTATAAAGCTAAAATAATTAGAATCTTTTGCTGGATTGTAGAATGGGGGATTGTAGCCATATGGTGGGTTCTAGAAGAACCAGAAATATCTCCACTTTATGGCTACTCTATTTTAAATGCTATTGGAGTTATTGTTGATATTAATTTTTGCTATGTCATTTATTCTTGCTACAAACTTGGAGTACAAGGACATTTGAGAAACGAAATAGTCCAAGCGACTGGCAGTCAAAGTGTGATGCCGGATTATAATGAAGTGGAGGCCATAGGGATGGATAACACTCAGGATGCATTTAATCAGTCTTCAGTCAAAGAAGTTATTGCTTATTCTCAGGATAATTTGAAAGTGATTGATTTAAATAGCATACCTATTCATGATTTTACAAAGGTAGATCAATAAAGTGCATAAAAATGCATCTCAACTTAATAATTAACTTTTCACATTTGTGATTTTATTGTTAAGATTACTATAATCACCAGAAATTATACCAATTCTTCCTTTTTGTGAAGCTATCGGCTTTAGGCTGTGGAGCTATTAGGAAGAATTGAGTACTTAAAATAGCGAGCACCATAATTTGGGCAAAAAAAGAGGAATTAACCCCTTATAGCTATGACAGTGAGGGATAATAAATGATCTAATTAAAACAAATTATTCTTTATTCTAACGACAATCAATAGAGTTTTTAATGATTTTCATTTGTTAAATTTAATATTAACAGTGTTAATTTGATTTTAATAATGTTTTTTGGCCAACTTTCCTTGACACCTTCTGATAATTCGGTATATCAAAAATGCTTTTATCATCTTTTTTATCTCAGCGTAGTTAGTAAACACAACTTTTGCTCTTATTCCCATAACAATCGGAATTTCTATTTTAACCGGAAAAGAATCAATTGGGACGAGCTCATGAATTCCTTCATTTTCCAAGAAATCATAAAGCCTGCCAAGAGCTGTATTTGCATTCTTGATTACATTTAAAACTGAAACAAATTCTTCAAGCGAAAGTGGGAAATCTTCACAAAGGTAGCAAAATGCTTTTGTTTCTTTTAAAGACTGAGTTACTGTGTCATTTACATTATTTCTATGGATTGGCCTTGAGCTGTCACCTACAAAACTGGGTCTCCGAGAATCACCAATTTGGATATAGGTTTCGGGGAAGATCAACGGAGCCCATTAAAATAGTCGTCTTGGTTATCTTTTATAATCTTTTTCCCTCTTTTTTTTAACCTGTGTATGAGTTCTGAACTGCAGTTTATATTTATTGCATTTCCACTTTCAATATATACATATTGCCTGAGGATGGCGCTATTTTGCGCCATCCTCGGGCAATTTGTATAACCTAGATAAAGGTTTATTCCTCCAGCTCTTCATCACTGTAATATTATACCCCCAGCTATGGAACTCATTAATATATAAGTTTTAATAAATGGTGAGACTACCTCCTACACTTTATTGCTGCTGGTAAACGTAAGATAGCAGTCGAGTTTTATCTGGAACAAAATTTATTTCAGTGCTAGATGTAATTGCTTCAATATTTTTAGGATTTATGCTATCAATGCAAGTGATCCGTACAGTAAAGAACTTTCTATTTTATTACGATCTATTTTGTAATTTATAACTTAGTGACTTTAACGTTTTTATTCATGAGCTATTACTCACTCAGAGCTTACGGAAGCTTAAAGCTGATAATACCAGATTGAAGTATTGTTAAAAAATATTATAAAGCTAAAATAATCAGAATCCTTTGCTGGATTGTAGAATGGGGGATTGTAGCCATATGGTGAGTTCTAGAGGAACCTGAGATGACTCCACTTTATCTTTACTCTATATTAAATGCTATTGGAGTTCTTATTGATATGTATTTTTGCTATGTCATTTATTCCTGTTACAAACTTGGAGTACAAGGAGATTTGAGAAACGAAATGGTTCAAGTGACTGGCAGTCAAAGGGTAATGCCAACTTATAATGAAGTACAGGCTATAGGGATTGATAACGCTCAGGATGCATTTAGTCAGTCTCCAGCTAAAGAAGTTATAGCTTATCCTCAGGATAATTTGAAAGTGATTGATTTAAATAGCATACCTATTCATGACTTTACAAAGGTAGATCAATAGCTGCATGAAAATGCATCTCAACTTAATAATTAAATGTTTCATATTTGTGAGATTTTATTGTTAAGATTGCTATAAGCATCAGAAATTATACCAATTCTTCTTTCTTATGAAGCTATAGGCGTTAGGCTGTGGAGCTATTAGGAAGAATTGAGTACTTAAGATCGGGAGCACCATAATTCGGGTAAAAAAGAGAGGAATACGCCTCATAGCTAGGACAGTGAGGGATAATAAATGATATAATTAAAACAAATTATTTTATTATTTTAACAAAAATCAATAAGTTTTTAATATTTTTATTTGTTAAATTTAATATTAACAGTGTTAATTTGAAATTAAGCTACTATATTAGCAAACAGAATGCGTTTGCGCGGCGAACTTAATGTTTTTTGGCCAACTTTCCTTGACACCTTCTGATAATTCGGTATATCAAAAATGCTTTTATCATCTTTTTTCATCTCAGTGTAGTTAGTAAACACAACTTTTGCTCTTATTCCCATAACAATCGGAATTTCTATTTTAACCGGAAAAGAATCAATTGGGACGAGCTCATGAATTCCTTCATTTTCCAAGAAATCATAAAGCCTGCCAAGAGCTGTATTTGCATTCTTGATTACATTTAAAACTGAAACAAATTCTTCAAGCGAAAGTGGGAAATCTTCACAAAGGTAGCAAAATGCTTTTGTTTCTTTTACAGACTGAGTTACTGTGTCATTTACATTATTTCTATGGATTGGCCTTGAGCTGTCACCTACAAAACTGGGTCTCCGAGAATCACCAATTTGGAATATAGGTTTCGGGGAAGATCCACGGAGCCCATTAAAATAGTCGTCTTGGTTATCTTCTATAATCTCTTTCCCTCTTTTTTTAACCTGCGTATGAGTTCTGAACTGCAGTTTATATTTATTGCATTTCCACTTTCCATATACCCTAGATAAAGGTTTATTCCTCCAGCTCTTCATCGCTGTAATATTATACCCCAGCAAAGAAACATTTCCTTGTACAGGGTCATTTTTCATGATATCATTAATAATTTCACATCTTTCCTCAGAATCTAGCTCTTCTAAAGGGTTTAGATAAGTTCTGTGTGAATGGTTCACCAGATAGATGTCATCTTTAAATATAAGAGAAATGCTTCTTCTTTTAGCTCGAAGATTTTTCCATCCCACCAAAGTTGTATCTAGCCTTATATAAGGTCCTATCTTCCACAGTTTGCAGACATCATGCGGAGCAATTTTTCCTACCAATGGGATCAAATTGCTCTTAAACTGCCATCGGAATTCCAAATAAAAATCTTTGAGCTCTTTCAATGCTGATGACGCGATTTCTTTATTTCTTTCCCATTTGTTTTTTTTTTCTTTGTATAGATACTCAAACAGAACACTTAAAAGCTCGCGATTTTTCTGGCTGACTGCCTCATCTACACAAGACCAGCCATTTGCATCTTTTATATGGAGATCAGCGCCACTGTCAGCTAGCATTTCTACAATTGCTAACTCTTCGCTTTAAGAGCAAGATTTTTTGCGTCTCTAAAAGGGTTTAAATGAATTAAAATTGAGCATTAACTTTATAGATTTTCAAAAATAAGGTTTATTTGAATTTTATCTGTCTAAAATTCAATAGTATCTATTGAAGATCTCATTATGATAAAATATTTAACATAAAAAATAATTTTTACTAAATTTTAAAGGGGCTTTTTTTCTAAAAATTAGGATTTTCCAATGGATTTAAAGGAGCGAGTAAGTATTCGCTTGAGTTTTTGCATAGCTTCACAGCCAGCATGATCGGAGTATTTGCTTTGTGGTCTGTGGAATTTATAATTTGAATTAAATTTCTGGGCGGATTGTGAAGGATTTGAGAAATCATCGGGATTTGACAGGCATAGACTAGGGCGTGAAGGTAGAAAGGATGATGACGAATTATGCGCTTGAGATCTCGAGAATAGGGAGAACGATGCTTGGGGATTGGTATAGGTCTTTCAAGAAAAAAAGACGCCACCTGTTTGGTATCTGTCAGCTGCTTTGTATGAGATACCCTAGGAGCAGCAGGAGGGACGTCATCGATTTGTACAGAATACTTGACCATTGTAGAGTCAACATCAATTGACTCGTTCATGGTTTTGTTCCAGTCATACCATGGATTTTCTTCTTCACTCGATTCACTCATATTTATAACAATTCCAAAAGCCATCTTAAGACGAATAATTCTAATTTATCAATGAGTGGAGCTCTAAACCCTCAAAATATAATTAAATGTAGCACTAATCAAGATGCATTTCCACAAGTTACTCAGAAATCATCGCATCCCTTTAAAATTTTCCCCGATGACAAAATACACGAGAGTGACTGGGAAGGAGGAATTGATTTTTTTCGTTTGTTAGATGTTGCGAATAAATTCAATAAATTTGAAACAGATTCAAATGCTTCAACAAGAGAAACTGCTTCTAAAGAAAGCAGAAATGAGAAGCAGAAAGAAAGTGAAGGAAAAATAAATTTAGCAGGATCGGAAACTGCTGCTGGGGAAGAGTCAAAGATAAAAAAGAAAAGATGCAGAGGAAAGTCCAATTTTAGAGTAAAACCAGCAAAAAAAAGTAGAATTTCCCAAGAAGAAAGTCAAAATTATGATTCTACAAATGTAAAATTTGAAAGCAATTATCCAATAAATATGAAAAGGCAAGACTTGTATGAAATTATGAAAAAATTTGAACAAAGAATAGAAGAAAACGGAGTATCAACATTAACTCATCCACTTCTAAAGCATCTAAAGCCATGCTTAATAAGGGATTTTCGCTCCGTTTGCAAAAATCATGAGAAAATAAAGCGAACAAAGAATAATTTTTATGATTTACATGTTCTTACTTATTGCCTTACATATCATGACGAAGACTTTAAAAAACTAAATATCAAAGTTCCTGGATCAAGATTTAAATCATATAATAGCGACTGCTTGAAATGTTTATTTGATTCTAAGTACATAAGAACAGCATTTTATTGTTACCTTGAAATAGTTTTCAAAGATAACAATTATAGTGGTTCGTTTTACAACTTTTCTTGTTGTGAGGAGCTAAATCATAGTGAGCTTTGTTGCGAGAAATGAAGGAGATTTAAGGAAATTTTGCAGGATATTTTTGCTGGTGATCAAGAAGATACCAAAAACTTTTTATTATTAGCATATACAGATACTGATCGTCTATTATCGATTGGTAATAATAGCTCATAAGTAAGTATCTTGCTAATAAATCACTTAGTATTAGTGCATAACTATTTTTGGACATTTTAATATTTAAGCAATTATTGGGGAATTGACTTCTTATCAGATTATTTGTCTGATAATTTTACCTATTCTAACTATTCTAAAGACCAAATATCAAACTATCAAAAAATTTTTGGTAAATTATGATTGCCAAAATATACAGAGTGAATAAGACACTGCTGATTCTAATTGACCCTTTTTTAAACGGCATTATCTTTGTGGCTGTTTTTAAAAGCCAAATGAAAATAATTTATAGTTTCAAGATGCCTATCAAACTAAGACTGTGTAAGACAAGTACCCTAAACTCTATTTTTAATCATCAATATAGCAATTTATTACGATTTATGACGCTAATATGAAATTTAAATAAAAATAATTCAAATTGAAATCACAAAAAAATCACTCAGAATGATTTAAACAATAGCCTTAAAGCTTTAAATTTACCAATTAAATAATAAAATAGGATTATCTTAATTTTGGAGTTTCTGCATCACTTCTTAATATCATTTTCACTCTTTTCACATTATTCAGCATAGGTGTGCTTGCATGCCTCAAGCTCAACCTATGTTTTTCACCTAAAACTGGAAGCTTATTTTTATCAGTTGATATCCTATTTTTTCTTAAATCAACTTTTTCTACAGGTGAATAACTCTTAGGCCAAATATTTACAAGGCCAGCAGAGTTAGGTGGTGATATCAAACTGCTTCTCGTAGTTGCAGAGTCCTTATTGATTCCTTTAAAAAAGTCATAAGATAAGGCTTCTTTAGCAGAAGGCCTTAATAAAGGACTGGCTTGGGTTAGTTTTATAACTACATTTATTGCTTGTCTTGATATATTACCCCAATACTTATCTGAAAAGCTTATAAAACAGTCTCTATTTTTTGTGAGGGTTTCTTTCGGAGACCCCGTAGAAAATGGAGATCTTCCAGACAATAAAATAAAAAGAATAATCCCAGCGCTAAAAACGTCAACTTTTGAGTCATAAGGGATTTTCCTTAAAATTTCAGGAGCTACATAGCCAGGTGAGCCACAGCTTGCTGTAAGTTTTCCGCTTACGACGCAAGCCAGCCCAAAGTCGATTAATTTAAAATTAGTATCATCGTTGTCATCTGCCATTAAAATGTTTTCTGGCTTAATATCTCTATGTACAATATTTTTTGATCCTAAATACCTCAAAACTCTTAGTAGTTTCTCTATAAATTTTATTGCTTTTTCTTCTGATAGTGGGCCTTTTGAAATGATTCTCTGTAAAAGAGTGCTGCCAGGAATGTAATCCATAATTAAATGGATGTGACTATGGCTTTCGTATATTTTATGAAGCTTTGCAATGTTCGGATGATCAAGCTGCCTCATGATTTCTATTTCACGAATAGTCTGCTCAAAGTTATTTTTGCTGTTTTGGACAATGTTTTTGCTTATGGATTTTATTGCATAAAATTTTTTGGTATCTAAATCTTTAGCTAAATAAACAGCTGCAAAGCTCCCATTACCAATTTGCTTAAGAAATTGATAATCATTTTCTATATCAGTCATAATTCCTGCATACGATAAATGATCAAGCCACTTATCAAGATCTTCTGACGATTTAGTGTAAAAATATTTACAAGAAATTCCATTGGAAACCCTGAAACCATATTTCCTGGGATTTCCTTCTTCTATATAAGGCTCAATGACTTTCCAGCTTAAATTAGACAATTTGATGATGTCATCTGAAAGCTGGAAATAAATAATCTTTTTACTGGTTAAATAATAATTGCTTTCATATAAGCTGCCTGAAGGACTTATCCGGCTAAGTGGTCCATAATATACAATTTCACCAAATTCTTCACAGTCTGAGCTTTTAATAGAAGTTCAGAAATGGCTCTCTTTGAGAGTTTCTGCCTGTGAAAAAATTGATGAAGGCATTTAATTTTTATAAAATGTTCAATGGAGACGAATAAATATCTTTTGCTTGGCAATGGATTTAAAAACTGTTAACTCAATAAAAGTTTATTACTAATATGACAAAGCTGTTTCATAGTTTTAGTTTAATAATCTCTTATGAAGTAAATTTGAATAAAGGGTTTAATAGAGTTAAAAATTAATGGAAAAGATATTTGAGGTGAGACAAATTGAGTCTGTTAACTAATATCCTTATCTGATAAAAATTTTATTAAATAATTAAACAATAAAACTAAAGATAAAAATAGATCCTTCAAAAATGCCATATGAGGTAAAAGAGCTTATGCAAGCTCAGTCGAAGTTATGTCAACTTCGCTTTATCAATGTCTAATTCCTGCTCTAAATCTATCAAATGCTCACAAAGTCTGTGAAGTTGCATGTGGAACTGGAAATGGAGTCCCAATATTGCTCAATCATCTTCCCTCTGACGCAGAGATTTGGGCTAGCGATATAAGTGACGAAATGATAGCAAAAGTAAATCAGCGTCAATTGCCTAGAACTCATACTGCACAAGCTTCAAATGATGCATTACCTTATGAAGACAATTTCTTTGACAGATATGTCGCAAATCTCTCCTTGATGCTGGTCCCTGATGCAAGTGCAATGCTAAGAGAGGCTTATCGTGTATTAGCTCCTGGAGGAACTGCAATTTTTTCAGTATGGGGAAGGGAAGAAAACTCAACAGCTCTTGGCTATTTTGAGCAAGCTTGTAGAGAAGTTATTGGAGAGAATTTCGCTAAAAAAAGATCTAATTTTTACTTAAATAACGCTCATGAAACCATGAGAATGGCAACAGAAGTTGGGTTTCAAAATCCTCATTATTTTTATGCAGCTTCTCCAATGGGACCTATTGGAATTGAAGAATCAGTCCAGTGTTATTTAGATACTCCACATTTAGCTGGAATTAAGAAGCAAAGTGAAGAGAACTATAATAGAATTGTGGAAAGATTGAGAGAAATTGTAACTGAGATGGATAGGAGAAATGAAATCTTAATGTTTGAAGGCGTTGTGATTGTGGTTAATAAATAATCATCTTTCTAGATATTTGAGGTAATTAAATTTTGATGATATTTATAAGAAGAGATTTTAAGAATAAATAATTGAAAATATAGCATGGAGACATAGTCAAATGATCATAAGTGCTATAACCTATGATTAACACTAAATAAATTTTATCTATGCCCAAATTAAAGATAGATGCCTTTCATAAAAGATACTAAATAGATAAGAACTATATTATAGCAATGCTTAATAAATTGAAAATGGCTCATTGTATATGCATCAACGCTTAATAAATTGAAATATGGCTTATTATATATGCATCAACGCTTATTAAATTGAAATATGGCTTATTGTATATGCATCAACGCTTTGATAAATTACTATCAAATTTCTAGAAATTATACGCCTAAAAATATATTTAATTTTAAATCTACCTATCAAATTTATCATCAATTTCTTTCATTATTTCAATTATTAAAATCATTAATTAGTCTAAAATCATATCAATTTTATTCTGAATAAGATGAATTAAAGTTCTGCTAGCCTCTTTTGCAACTTCAATTCTAGATCTTAAAGACCACTCTTCAAGTAATTTACCATAATTTTGATCATTACAACTAAATGAAGATTCTGGGAAAAATATTCCACCTGCGATGCGTTCCATAATGATTCTAAATGCCAGCCCAGTAGTGTTTTCATTTATAAATTCTTCTACTAATAAATCAAGTAGTTCTATAGGCATACCTTTCAATCTGAGACGATCCCTCCAATGTCTCAATAGCTTACAGCATTTTGACTTTACGCTGCTTAAAGGTTTCTTTTCATATAAGCGATAATGTGCTAAAGCTGAACTTATATTAGTTTCATCATAAAAAAATATTCTGACATAAATTGAGCTATTTCCTTCACGCTCTTTAGATAATAATATATAGGGCAAATCTTTGGACATATATGTATTTTCAATATTTTCAATCAGTTCTGGCTGAAGACTAATATTTACTGTTTTGGTAGGATGAAAAGATTTATAAGGATTTTCGTTAAATTCTTGTCTAGCTTCCAATGTTCTTTGCCTTAAAATCAATAATTTCATCCATATCCCCTTTATGAAGTTGTAGTTTAACGCACCAATTTTTGAAGTTACCTCTGCTATTAAATCTATCTCAATATGATTCCTTCTTATCATACTCATAACAAAGCTCCCTGCTGGATGTAATAAATTAATTCCTTCACATTTTAATTCTTCTTCTATTTCCTTTATCTCTTCGCTTACTATTTGCATATCAATCATATCGTCATAGCTTAATTCCAGTAATTTTATTTTATTTTCCATGTATTCATTATAATTTTCTGAAAAACTGGAAATAATCCTATTAGCCCTTTTTTCATTTTCTTCTTCATTAGTGACCTGGGCTGGGCTTTCTATTACTTTCTCTTCCTCAGGCGGTTGAGCTTTTTCTTTTTTCATTTCATTTGCTGGGATTTGTTTTAGGTTTTCTTTAGAGTTTTGGCCATTTGAATTAAATTTTTCTTTGAAATCCCGAGAATTTAAAGGTAGATTTGCAATGATATCCAGTGCGGATTCAGCAGCTTTTAATTTGGCATCTTGCTTTTTTCTTCCAGTACCTTTGCTGATTGCTCTATTATTTTGGTAAATAACGCATTCGAATTCTGAACCTTTAGGCTTGATTTCAAATTGGAATTTTATTTTGTTGTTGATAGCGAGTTCATTCAATATCGAGATAGGGTTTTTTGCAATCGGGTCCATTAATTAATTATAAGGGCTCCAAATTAATTTCAATTTTTATTATTTTATGGAGTCGCTTCATATAGCTCGTATGGAATGCTTTCTGATAGATCAGGGTTAGCAAAATCATGCTGAAGATAATCGATTAGTTCTTGTGAAATGCGCCCTCTTGTTCCATTGCCTATGAGCATTCCATCCCATTCTAGAACTGGCCTTATTGTATCAGATATAGATAGAAACATTTCTTCACAGTTTTTGGCTTCGTCTATATGGATTTTGCGTTTACCTACTGAAGATAGTTTTCCTTGTGATAAAAGCTCATTTGCATGTGCTAATATTAATTGATCTTCTTCATCTTGAGCATCATCTTTATTTGCAGCAATCACAAATCTGCCTCCAGGCAGCACAAATCCAATTTTCCATATGGAACTTTCCGCAATATACCCTTCCTGTGTTTTTTGAATCCCCATAAATCCCCCTTTCTCTTTTGATTCTACCTGAGACAATGCATTAAATAAGTAATTTGTTGATTTCATAGTTTCTAAAAATCTTGGATTTAAAGGTATATTAACTGTGAATTCTTTTGAAATATCTTGATTTTCATTTCTTGCATCACCTTCAAGCACAATTGCGTAGAAGACTGACATCCCTGGATAAGGCTGAATAAACATGCTTCCAGGTCCTGCCGAAATCCAATACTTTATTTTGCAAGACCTTAGCCCTGCTGATGCTGCAAGCTGCTTTAATGATGAGCTCATTGCTTCTTTTGATAAAGGCAGTTCTATTTTGGCGTTGGTTGCAGCTCTTATAATTTTATTTACATGAGACTGTAATGTGAATGCTCGACCGTTTACGATAGATACTGTGTCGAACACAACATGGCCTCTATGAACCATGTGGTCGTCTATAGGAATTGTCATAAATGCAGGGTCTGTTATAATTCCTCCGATCATTGAGTTGTACATTGCTTTGATCTGAAGGTGGCTAAGAGATATTGATTTGTCTAATGCTTCTAATATAGATTCGCAAGTAGAAAGGATCCTTACTGTACTCATAAAATGGAATATTTTGCATAATTGTTGCGATAAAAATAAATTTAGTATTAATTTTGGTTATTATGTTTTTATATTTAAGACTTAGTGATAGAGCTGCTTTTTTATTTAAACAGATTTAAAACTTTTGAAAAGGCTTTTAATTTATATTGCTTTATTACCTTTCTCATTCATTTTTATTGTCAGTTATAATAAATTTCTTTTCTATCAATTTGTAAGCATTTTTCCTTTATTTTCATGATCATTTCTTGCTAATATCATGAACAGTGTGCGTAAGTTCGTAATAATTCAGATAGAGACTAAAATTCTGATGAGGTTTATTAATTCTTGGCCTAATTATTTTACCAAATTCTCATAATTTATTATTTCAAAAAATAATCATTATTATTTGATTAATCACTAATAAATTCCATAATTATTATCTCACCACTCTATCATAAATTTTTATTAAGAAATGGACAGAAATTTTAATTTCCTTTATATGGTTCTGCCTTTTAAATTAGACTCCACAAAAAAATACTTTTCTTCTTTTCCTTTCCTCGCACCTCTAATTCACTGACATTCTTGATCGAACGACCCGCTGTCATTCGATTAAGGATAAGGGTTATATATAAATTTCTTAAAAAAAATTCCCATATAAAAGATTTTACGTGCTGAAGATTAGAGATAGAGTATATAATATATTAACAAATATACTAAAAATCTCATTTAAATTGGTAAAAATTGTATATATCTATTCTCAAATAGGTTACTTATATTTGAGGTGGGTATCATAAATATTCATATGTAAACCATTTGATCAAAAGATTGGAGGCTAATTTTTCAAAGTTTTGGAAATTTTTAATGAGGGGAGCAAGCAATCATGCCAAATTATTTTCTTTCTCAGAGAACATTTCACTGGTGGAAAATTAGCCAAATCTTCATAACAGCCCACGTAAATTTGTAATAATAAATGTCAAGCTTAAGCATTTCTGACTTTGAAATTCTAGATGTAATCAGCACTAAAGGCAAAAAAAATAACATTCGAATCTATAAGGCTAGGCAAAAGGGAAGAAATTCTTCAGATATCTGTCTGAAGACATTTACATCCCCTAAGTTTGCCCTAGTTCAAGAAGCTTTGAATGAAGCCAAGCTACTATTAAGTGCGAGTGCCCAGCATCAGAACATCTGTCAGATGCAAGATTGTTTCATCGAGCATGAGCAAGACTTTTTCAGATTTGGTATTCTCAATAAATTATTTTTTGCATATTTTGATTATTTTAAATGCAGAAAAATAATATAAATTTCGAAATGCCAATTAATTTATTTAATCAAAGGAAAATAACCTAAGTCCTATATTGTAATGGAATATTTCCCAGATGGAGACCTCGAAGACGAAATTAAAAGACGTAAGAGAAAAAAGATGCACTGATCAAACGACGAATTTTACAATATTTCAGACGGTTTGATCGATGCTCTAAGTGTCTTACAGTCTAATCAGATTTGCCACAGAGATCTCAAACCACAAAACATCTTCATGAGCAGTAACACTGATTTCAAAATTGGAGATTTTGGGTTGTCAAAAAAAGATTCATTTTCTGGCAGTTGTACGAGAACTCTAGTAGGGACCCCAATCTACTTTTCTCCAATCTGCGCTAAATCTTTTCAATCAAAAATGAGCATTTGTTTAATCTATCTGGGGAATAAATTAAAATTTTTATACATGAATTCTATTTTTTTATTTCCATTCGATAAATATTTGATTTTTTATAATTTAATACTTTTAATAAGCAAAATTCTTAGAGCGTAAATTCATTTAAAATAACCTGAAAATATTCAGAGCATTTGGATTAAAAAAGCTAAATTATGAAAGTAACGCCATGATTTAATTTTAATTAAGAAGGAGTAAAAGCTATATTGATTTCCAAATGAACGGTAATGAAACTAGCGTTCATTGCAACATGTTTAAAAATGATGTTTTTTCTCTAGGATTGACTTTCTTGAGAATGGCATCTCTAAAAAGCATTCGCGGACTCAATACTAAGTCCCAAGAAATAATAACCCAAAGGATTGATAACCTAAATTACAGTGAAGCAATCCGCGGGATGCTATTTCATATGCTTCAAGTAAAAGAATGTGATAGACCAGATTTTTTACACCTAAAATCAATAATGAGAGAGCTGAGTAATCCAATTTTAACTATTCAGCCGATCGAAAACGTAGAAACACAAGATGAAGAAGAAGAAAGAGAAGAAAATAATGTTCAAATCAACGAAATTACAGTTAAAAACTGTCCTAAAGTTGATATAGAAATTATTGAAGAATATAAAAAAATAAATAAAGAAGAATCTGACTTGTGGGAAATGGAAACCGAAGTCAGCGAAAGCGATATTACAGAACTGGAAGAAGAGGATAAAGAAAACGATTTTGTAGATGATGATTGTGAAGAAGGAGAAAATAAGCATGAAGATTTTAAGGATTCGGTGGTAATGGATTCGCAAGTTAAGCTAGTAATTCTGAGTAAGCGAGGAAAGGTAGAACTGATGGGAAAGGGCTGCAAGTTTGGAGGCCTGGATGTAAATGGAGGATCTAACTCTTCTTGGAAAATTAAAGCCTCTAAAAAATATTTTAATATATTTATTTATATAAAATTTAATTTTACGCTATTTCAGCGCTGGTTTTCTTCATTTCTCTCTTTAGCTCTTATAATTTCATAAATAAAATTCTTTATCAAATTGTCAATCTCCTCTTTCTTTTCACTTGAATCTTCATCCAATCTGCAAATCTCTAAAATAATTTTATATAAAATATTTTTATATGTAGTTAATAATTTTTATAAAGATATTTCGAGGAAATTTTATAAATTTAATAGTAATAGAAATTTTTATAAAAAAATTAACAACACTTTAAGGGCAAGCTAAAAAAACATTGCACTCTCTTAAATGGGGAGAGTAAGAGGGGATCGAAAAATACGAAAAACATAAGTTTCCTGGAGACAGTTCCGGCAGATATAACTTTATAGAATAAAGATTTATAAATAAAAATATTTTGAAAATCTGCTTGGAATATATCACTATTAATTTGAAAATGCCTTACATTAATACAGCAACCCTGACACTTAGAATTATTTGAAATACCGTTGAAAATGTCCATAGTTATCTAAATTTATTTAAAATTTCTTTATTTTCTTTGCTAATTGAAGCTCTCCTTATAGATATATTTGATCCTATCAAATCTCCATTCATTGATGATCATTCAATAAATGATCTTTTATGATAAATTTCTGGATTATTTTGGCTTCCTACCATATTTTTAATCTCCTCAAAATTATAGAGCTTTACAGTTTTATCAAGGCTTCCTGTAACAATTCATTTCCCACATCGCGAAAACTCAAAATCAAGAATTCCAGCTAAACTCCCTTTTAGCTCCACAACTAAATTACCTTTATTAACGTCCCAGATATGAAGATTTCCTTTCTTGTTTATACTTGCAACAAATTCACCACATAAGGAAAATTTTATTAAGCTATAATCGCTATTTTTAGTTCCTTCAAAAGACCTGATATAGCCTAGGTCTTATTATAGATATCCCTTGGGGTGGACAAATTAGCTGCCAAATTAATCCCACAAGTTAGCATACGATTATATCCTTTTATTTTGCCAACACAAGGATAGCTTAGCAATAGGCATTACTAAAGAAAACTCTGCTAATTGGGCGCAAATTGCATGCCTTATCTCAGTATGGTCTATATCAAGAGCCTGGGAATATTCCGAATTCTTAGATCGAGAACATAAATTTTGTTAAATGTCTCTACAGTTCAAGCAAAATATCTCCCACATGGCGAAAAATGAACAGAAATTATTTTATATGTGTTAATCTGGTTTCCATATACAAATTCGCTATCGTTATATACTTAATTTCTGATTAGAATTCTGGTCGGTATACCGATCAGAACAATCGAGCTCACCCTAGGACGTATCAGGTAAGTCTAGCTGCCTATGGACTTATTGTATGGTTTCTATCCTCCTGGTTCTATAGTCCTCTTATTCAGAAGTTGTTGATACACGTGGACACCACATGCCGTTAAATTGCTTAGTCTTGGGGCATGCTTTCTACTTGCTCCATCTTAGCTTTGACTGATTTTGCCCAGCCTTTTTGCATTGACCCTCTGCAGAACACTCTTAATCAGGTGTTGCAGCAGGAAAAAGCCCTTTTCGTTGGAAAAACCACCTTCATATGTAGCCATATATAAATTCAAGCCTGCTTGCTATATATCATATTTTTATATTCCCTGAAGTGGTCCCTATCCCGATAAGCTCATTAGAAGGAGAAAAGCATAAAGCTGAAATTAAATCTTTTTCATCTTTACAATGGCTTAAATAAAGATTCTTTGCTTTTATATCAAAAATATCGAGTTTATTGTTCCTACCTCCAATTGCAAGCAAACCATCGTTTGATAAAGCTGTTACACCATAATCTGTATTTGTATTAATAAAGTAGTCTAATTGTATATTTTCACTAAAAATTGCAACTTTAGAAAGTCTATTTGCATATACATTAAAATGGCGTGGTGATCAATCTACCCGCTTAACTCCTGTAATCAATAGCTTTACTCTGCCAAGTTTTGCCGCAAGAGGGTGATAGATCTTGAAGTTGGAAAGGGATTTCTCTCAGTAGTGTCAATTGAGTTCTTTTTAGTCAATCTGACTATTCCCTAGCATGAAACCAGGAGTACGCCTGGACTACGGATTCCATCTTAGCCTAGAGTAGCCAGAAATTCCTACCCGTTAATTTTCAAGGTGGAAAGCCACTATTGGTATAAGGCACTGTAATCAAACTTTCTGACTACCAAGTCGCATGTCTGATAGGAGCAAAACTTTGAATCCCAGCAGGGAGCTTTTCTACATTCTAACTAGTTGCAATTATAATTGGAGAGTCTATTTGCAATTAGGTAATTATCACAAGGAGAGTATTTAAGCAAATCGAAACTCCAATAATTAATTTTTTGATCTACTTCAACCTTTTTTGATTTTATATTCCATTTCTTACCAACTCCTCAGTTACTTACAGAGAGCATATATTTACCACAAGGAGAAAAAGATACATTCTGTACCCCACTTGTATGTCCAGCATAATCTTTATGGTTTTCTAAGTCTTTTACATTTATTAAAAACATGGACTGAGAATCGTCTATAATTAATAGTTTAACTTAAAATTTACTTGCTTTTATGCCATTTACGAGATTGCCAGACCAAGCTTCCCGCCATATTTCGGCACGTTTCAGCCAGCAAGCCTCTGGGACGACTTGCTTCGATAGCCAAGGAATGGTCTGATAAGGTGTTGCCCGACTAAGGTGGCTCATGCGTGAGCTACTTCTGCCTTCCTTGACGCCGTGTGACAACTAAAGGCTCCGTTTTTGCCGTCAGATGAAAGTGGGAAAAACCATGGAACTTTCACTTTCCCTAAGGTCAGGCCAGAGGGCCTCCAAGTTGCTTACCTAACTCAGTCGGGACAGAATTCCCTTGGAAAACCAAGCCTCATAATTAAAAAATGCAAATGAGTACTGCTGGCCGGTAGGCCAGTAGCGTGCGAAATGCCATTTTCTAATTATCCTACAATTAATAGCAATTTGTTTAAATATCTGAGAATTGGTGCTTTTCTCATATAATTAGCATTATATTGAAAGCTGATGCTTTGTTTTTCAATATTGTAGGCATAAATTCTATTAACTCCCCCCCCCCCCTCCGTGAGCGAACAAAACCATTAGAAAAATCGCCATTTTTTGACCAAAAACCCACCCTCCGTGAGTGAACAAAAATTTTTTTAATAGAAAAAATTTTAATGGAAAAAAATTTTGATATATAAGTGATAATTAGTATAATGAAATCTAGAGCTAATTCTGTTTAATTTTAAACAAATTGCGTTTTAAAACATAAATTTTGCAAATTAAATTAATATTTGCTTCCAATTTTTGCAAATTAGGATTTTTTTTAAATTTCGAAAAAAATATTTTTTATAAAATTTATATATAAATTTTTTTTTAAAAACAAAAATTAACCCCCCTCCGTGAGCGAACAAAATTTTTTTTGTTCGCTCACGGAGGGGGGGGGGGAGTAAGTAAAAAATAAATAATAAAATTTCCATCAGGTGTTAATACTCATGAGCATAAAGTATTCATTTCAAAACTAACTAAAACCTTTACGTCCTGGTGCTCTAGACTTCACATACTTATTGACTTTGACGTCTCGAAGATCAGGAAATTTGAGCAAGGGGTGAATTCGAGTGTTTTGATAGAATCACCAATTGATGCTTGCTGAACTAGTGTTCTTTTGAATTTTGTCTTCAATTTTTTGTTTTTATCAGAATTTCTCGGGGTTATAATTCTTCAGATTGATAATGATCCATCTCAATTTGCCATAGCTAAATCATTTTTAGAGGGCGAAAATCCAATTCAGACAGGATTATTTATGTCATTTATAGATGTATGCATGGAATTTTCTTCAATGTTTCATATTCTGATAGCTTTATTTGTAAAGATTGCAAGAAATGTGGAGGATTTTGAAAACACAAGTTTTATTACATAGTTATCACTGGTATTAATAGTCTGCAAAACTAGTATTTTTTCTCCTGACCTTCCTCATAAAAATAATTGTAAATACCTGTTTTTTAGAAAATTGTCCTTTAAGATCTAACAAATCTTTTCTAATATATCTTATTTTAATATAAAACTATATTTTAATATTTAATTACTGATGAGAATTTTAAAAACTTAAGCTATTGATATTAAATTTTAGACATTAGCGTCCTAAAGCTTAACTTTGATAACTTAATTAGATAATTATTTCAATTATTTGAAATTTGGAAAAAAAGTTTTATATTAGATTAAAATTATGTTTTCTCACTAGCCAAGAGGGAGTGGGCAAAATATTGACTTTGCATCAAGCAAAATAACCTTTGGATTTATTAGCCCATATGCTAACACCCACCTTGCAAACAAAACCCCATATTTTTTGGATAAAAACCCATACAAAAAATTTTTTATAAAAAAATGTTCAGATATAAAGTTATAATTATTATAATGAAATCTCTAACTAATTCTTTTTAATTGCTTTAAAATTATTTCAAATTGCATTTTTTTTTTTTAAAAAATTAACCCCTCGTGAACGAATAAAGTTTTTTGTTCGCTCACGTAGGGTGGAGTAAATACGTTCCACACTGCGAAAATACAATAGAATTAACCTCATAATCTACCTGTATCACCTTTATCATTTCCCTTGTTTCGAAGCTAAATATTTTTATTTCGTTCTCAAGTCAAAAATTTATTGCTATAAACTTTCCACATGGAGAGATTCCCATCGCCCTTACATTTTTTTCAAGATTTTTAAATAGAGATGCTTTGTCTAATGTAACATCTTCCATTCTGCAGTCATCAAAACTTACAGAAAATAAATTTGAGTGAGAAAAATCGACACCACTAAGATTACTGTTTTGAAAATTTGTATTTATCAACAAAGCGCCGGACAAATCTGCATTAGGAATATTGACATTCTCTAGATTTTTATCTCTAAATGAAAAACCAATTGAGTTTAAAATAGATATCGCATTGCTGGAAGCGATAGAAAGCTCTGGGTTTTCTTTGGAAAGCAATATTATGCTAAAAAGCTGCTCTTGAAGTTCAGGGCTTAAGTAAAGGATCAAATAAGTGCTCATTATTTGAAAAACTTTCCAGTCTAATATGTTAAGGTAAGAGTTTTTTAGAGTATTGATATTAGATAATCAAATTGGGATATTTTTCATAAAAGAAGCACTTAGATTTGATAAAAGTTCGTTAGGTGTGAGCTGATATTGCTTAAAATAGTTCAGACTAGCGGAATCTAAATTTTGTATATTTATTGGAATATTGTTGATATTATCAATCAAAGGTTGATCGCTATCCTTGGATATTTTTTCTTCTTTTCTTATTGGAATGTTGCTAAATTTCAAAATTTCTACTAAAGACTGTAATTTTGAAATTTCTTTGTCTAAAAATTCCAGCTTTGACTCATTTTCTTCATAAAAATTATCAAAATTTGGTTGACTATATTTCTCAATGAAACTGGTTAAATTTATTTAATTAACAGTTATTGAAAATTTTCTGGCATTGCAGCGAGAGCTGCAAGCTCTCCCTCTTGCTTTGCTTCTTCCTTAGTCATCTTGTCGGTCTCGATTTGGAGGGCAGAACCCGATCTATTCGACAATCAGTTAATCGAGCTGCTAGACTGCTCTAGGCCGGACTTGATCATTGCCTAAAGTGATCTAGACTGAGTCACTGTGCCTCACATCAATGGGTTCACTCTTCCAGAATATTCGAAAAAGGAATTTCAGGTCAAGCTGTCGACCAAAATAGAAGCAGTTTATCAGAGCTCCGCGCCTGATATGGTACTAGGGATTTACCCAATAGCTCAAGTTCCGACTTTGGTTGGACCAAAAGTCATTTCTCGTCACTGCTGACTTCTCCTTTCTAACCCCTGACTTCCATCTTCCCAACCCCTGACTTCCATCTTCCCATCATCTTAATATATCCTCAATGAAACTGTTAACCAAAGAGAATTTCATTTATATAAGAAAATAGCACAGCCGCATATAAGTTTCATTATTAGCACAAATTTTCTCCTCTCTTTTACGAATCCATTGCATTAACAATTCATAAATTTATTTACTTCAGATAATCGAAGAATAGAGAATTTTAGCAATAATAAAATTTTCACCATAAGCAATATCATTATTAAATAGCTTATAAATGGCAAGCGAAAAATCGTTTAAAGTTGAAACCAGAGTTTTTAAAAGAAGCATGAAATCCAGGCACAAAATCGAGCTTCCAAAATTTATCACAGAAGAAGAACTAGATGATATAATAACCCAAGCTCCAGGGTATCGCACAGCAACAAAAAAACGGCACTCAATACGAGCTTCAAGCTTAGCTGATGTAAATAGAAAATCACATACCCCGACGCACAAAAAAGTTTCAACGCTATTAAAATCCAGGGCATCACCATATGATGATCATGAAAAATTATTTAAAAAGAGGCCTCTTCAAAATACCGAAAATTTAGAAGGCAGCTATATAAGCCGGTTGTCACTTATGACAAATAAATACATTCTTTATTTGATTATATTTTACAGTATAGACAATTATATATAATAGCTATAATCTTATAACCAATAAAAATGTAGATACACTGGCTTGGTGAACCTATAACTTTTCTTAAGCACTTAATTTGGCATGGCATAGGAGTTTAAAAGCAAAAAACCTTGAATTAGAAGAGGAAGTAAAAGTTATGGGAGAAAAACACAAAGATGATATGGCTATTTTAAGAAAAGAGATTGAGAGATTAAGATCGAAAAATAAAATAATGAAATCTGAACATTTTGAGTATGACCAAAGACTAAATGAAGAAATTTTAAACTTAAGACGAGAATTAGAAGAAACTCAACAGGAAGTAATCAACTTCATTGACTCAAGTCAATTCAATTAGATATATTATTCGTTTATCTTCCACTGCCATGTTGCACGCTGCCACTACACCGACCACCATAGTGTGGCCTCCTTGGCATCGCTACACGACGACAAGGACACCAGTCTTGAAGTTTGGGCTTCGGCGACTCTTCTTTGCCTAATTCAGTCCGTCAGGCACCCTAAATACCCAGTCTCCACCGTCTGGGCTAAATGAACCCTTCTAGATATTCGATTCTCTGAGCTCAGGTGTCCGGTCGGAAAACCACCCAACTCTTGCTTTCATTACATAGCTGAGAAAATTCCACTAGAGGAAACCAGCCCATAATTAAAATATCAAGAAATGAATTTTCGGTCTGGAGATTGAAAAATCCGAGCAACACATATTTAATTTTCCAACTTCATTGATTCAGTAAAACAAATGCTTGAAAAGCTATCCGTAAAATGCAATCAATTTAATAGCACTTTTCCTCAGTCAATCTCTGAGACTTCTTATTGAGATATTGAAGAAGCAATATGCGGTTATAATATCAGTATAGAAGAACTATCAAAAAGGATACCAAGAATGAACTTGGATGCTTTTTTAATAGGACTGTCGTTAAATCCATCTCCTTCCACTGGGGAAACTCAAGAAATTGACGCATTTAGGAAGACAGCATCATTTCAAGAGTTTAATAATGAATATATTTCTCCATCAGAAACTCTAAATGCGGCTCAAGCAGTTGCAATTTTTAATTATAAAGCTGAAAATCCTGGAGAACTTGACTTAAAAGTTGATGATAAAATAGTTGTTTTGAAGCAACAAGATGATGGCTGATGACTTGGAAAAACTGGAGATAAAGTTGGAATATTTCCATGCAATTTTGTGAATTTAGAATAAGAGACATGGGTGTAAAAAACGAGAAATTAATAAGGAAAACAGTTAAATAATTGAGCAATGTAATTTTAATATGCTTATAGAAATGCTTTAGCTATACAAGTTTTTTAGATAGTTATTAATTAATTTTAGAAAATAGATCATAGCTTATTAATAACTATTTAATAATGCAAGTTTTAAATAGTTTAATTTTAATCATTAAAGAAATTCCATCTAGCTGGCATTTAAGATAGAAATACTGAAGCTTTAAAATAAATTTTCAAGGGGGGGTTGTGAAATAATGAATTTTAAAAACTTGACAGAGATAGGCTCTAAATCCCTTTCTGATAAAGCAAATCTATAGAAAAATATAATAAAATTCGACAATTACCTTATAAACATAAAATTTATAGATTAAATTAGGCTTCTCTTTAAACAGTTGCAAATTGGAATTATTTGAATACCAGAAAAATTGCTGATAAATAATTTCTATATAAAATGTTCAAACAAAAAATTAGCCTCATATAAGCGAGCAAAAAATCTTTTGATTTCATAGAAGGAGATTAAGAGAAAAGAAGATTTACCCTCTGTCAAGAAAGATCAGATACAAGGCAAAACCGAAATTTATAAGAATCATCCATCAATTACTCTTCATTATAAATATTTAACAATTTTGAAAAAAATTAAAAATACCTCAATTTACCTAAAATTATTTATTTTGCGTAATAAAGGAAAGTTAGGATTGCAAAACGGCCTTCTCGTGCTTATATTTATGCCCAATCTAAAGAAATCTTTTTTAAATCAGTCATTCCAGAGCTAAATTCTTTTCCAGCATTTAAGCTAAGTAAAGTTCACCATATTCCTGATGACGTATCTAATGTCTCATATACAGACAACGATGGTGACATTGAAGAATCCATCTTTAATATTCCTTCACAAACACAATTTCGTGTTGAATTTATTCAAAGGGATAATCTCGAAGAAATTGGCTTAAAATTCATAGAAGACCAATCCTGAAGGCAATTCAAAAAATCCAAGCAATTATTCTCAGATCACGAAATTCTTATCTATGTGAATTCAAGGCAATCCATGAAAAGTCGCCAAGCAATACTTGGATTTTGTAAAAATCCTACAGGAAAAATTGAAGTTTGCTTTGTATTTTCTACCAAAGAATTTCATATAAAATCAGTAGGGAATTCACCATCTCAAACTCATAAATTTTTATCATTGAAAAGATCAAAATCGACACTTCCATGAGAGATATCTGGAGTTTTAGAAAAATTCAAATTATCTATAAATTCTAGACTTGAGACTTATTTTTCTGGGTGGCTTTTGATGTATTACTTTGATAAATTTCATAATGATCAAAAATCTGACTGCCTATGGGCTTCAATTGATAATCAACCAAGTGAAAATGTATTCAACAAGGGATGATTAGAAAAAGTTAAAGCCAGCGAAGAAAAAATAAATATTGAGGACAGACCTTTACAACCTGCAAATGAAGCCACTTGTAGGGAATGTGCAATAATAGCAGCTGCTATTGACAATAACGAAGCCATATGGTCAAGCATAGGTAGCAGCCCTAAACCCCCACCCCCCCCACTCCCACCCCACCCCACCCCCCACCCCCACCCCCACCCCCACCCCCACCCCCACCCCCACCCCCACCCCCACCCCCCCCCACCCCCACACCCCACCCCCCTAAAAATGGCACCCCCACCCACCCTTCACAGATGGCTCCCCCACCCCCCTCCCTCAAAAAGAATATTTTAAATATAATCCAATTAAAGCGCTATATTGATAAATGAAGTCTATAAATTGCTTTAATAATTAAGATTAATTAATAAATTCAAATTAATTAAAAATTAATTAGGAAATATATTAAATTTGTTTTTTTATATTTATAAATACAATGCCAAAATTATTGATAATGTCAGAAATTATTAAATGAACCAAGCATAATACAATAACTACAGAGTGCAGCGAAGATGAATACAGTGTAGGTAACTTCAAGATGGATGTGATATGAGCTAATGCAGGATATGCAGAAGATGGATAATTAGCTTAAATAGTAGGTTTAAAAGTAATCAATTCATAAAATAAAATTTTTGCGAATTCAAGTATTAATTATATTCATATTTTCTTACATGCCATGCCTATATCACATCTTGAGTTGCCATTATTCTTTTTGATTGTTTTTTATAGCATTCCAAAACTTCTTCTCTTCTTCCTAACTATCTAGCTCCCCCCATTTTAATTGGAACAATAAATTTTGTTCCAATTTAAAGGGGGGTTAATTTTTTTTTTTAAAAAAAAATATCAATATAAAATTTTTTTTATAAAAAAAAAAATTTATATAAAAATTCAAAAACTTATCGAATTAGATTAATAAATTTGTTTAATAAAATGCGATTTACTCTTTATCTTTTAAAAAAAAAGCAAGATATAACTAAATTTTCATTATTAGTTAATACGCCACTATTAATTGGTATCAAAATTATTTACACAAAAATTATTATTTTTATTGATAAAAAAAATTTAAAAACAAAAAATTTTAGAAAATTTATCGATCAAAGTGCTAATTTTGTTTAAATAAGATGCTATTTATACTCTATTCTTTAAAATAAAGCAAGAAATTAGTAAATTTTAAAAATTTTATAATGAATTCCTATTGAATTTATATCAAAACTATTTAAATAAAAAATATCATTTTTATCAAAAAAGAATAAAAATTTTTTTGAAAAAATTTTTAAAAAAAACAATTTTTTCTTAAAATTTAGCAATTAAGGATAATAAATTTATTTAAATAAGATGATCTTTATACTCTCTTCTTTAAACAAGAACAAGATATAACTAAATTTTTGATTTTAGTTAAGAAACATTTAACTTATATCAAAACATTTTACATAAAAATTATATATAATTTTTTATTATAAAATTAAATTTTGTTCCAATTTAAAGGGGGTTAATTTAGCAAAAAAGTGGAAATTTTACCTATATTTTGTTCCAATTTAAAGAGGGGGGGAGTAATAGCATTTCCTTTATTATAATAATAATCTCCACAGTTTGGATTTTTTAATTGCATCGTTGCAATGTTTTAGTGTTTTTTCATAACTCTTTCCATTATAGAAGATGACTCCTATGTTATTGTATGCATCAGCATAATTTTGGATCAACTCTGATAGCTTATTTATAGCATTCCATATCTTATTCTCTACTGCCTAACTTATATAGAGCATCTCTTTCATTTGAAAAGCAATGTGCTAATAAAAAATAGTATTTGCTATTGTCAGTTTTACTTTTAGATCTCTAAATGGACTCTTTAGCCATTGTTCCACAAAGTTCATAAATATATACAGGATATACTGTTAATTAATACCAAAGATCATTATGCTTGTCAGCAAATTTCTTCAGATGTGGGGTGCTTAGTAGTTATAGGAAATTTTCACCCCATTCCGCCTACTCCTTAATCGATTGCGCTACGCTATATGATATTGTATAAATCAGTAATTTTTAATATCTAAAAAATAATAATTTATTTATTACGCCTGCTCTAAATTAGCATTTGTGATATATCTATACTATGTTAAGGGGGGTGTGCCATCTGTGAAAGGGGGGTGGGGGGGCCACTAAAAGGGGGGGGTGGGGGTACCATAAAAAAAGGAAGGTGGGGGGGTGGGGGTGTAGGGTTGCTACCTGTGCTTGACCAGCCATACCAAATCCACTTCTTCAAGAAAACGACCACAGCTGGATCCCTGCACTTACTACTAGCAAGCTAGAATTAGTTATCTATAACAAAAAAGCCTCAATAAAAGAAAAGTCAAAAGATAATAAATTTATAGTAAAACTTGGCAAATTCTTCAGAGACGATTTACCACTCGCACATTGCTGCTATGTTGCTGTTAAGAATGGCATTGCATATATTTATAATTCTTGAATGAAAGACAGAGTTTGCTGGGGAGAAAAATTTGGATTACATGAAGAAGTGACGCTAAAAGACTCAGCAAATCAACAGTCAACCTGGAGAATTACAGATATGTGGCGAATTGAAAGTCCATCAGATGAAACCAATATTAAGCAGGCAAAATAAATTTAAGGCCTATATAAAATGGATATTTGATTAAAGATTTTCTAATTGAAAGCCATTTTGGAAGGAGCAGAATTTTAAAAAAGTTTTGATATTATAAAATATAGGATACGAAAAGAAGTATCGCTATGAAAAGCTGTAGTTAAATTTATAATAAATTGAGTATAAATTACTGAAATGGATAGAATGAAAGAGCTATGATGGGAGGAAGAAATAAACGGCACCTTTCAAATGATTAAAAAAATCTCATTTGGCCTCCAATGAATATTGGTACCGCTTTGAGGTCTAGTTATTTGTTTTCAGTTTCTCAGAAACGAAAATTCAATCCTATTTTTTATTCTGGCTGGGGTTCACTGACTACTATGTCATTTTACAGCTTCATTTGAGCACCGAAATTCTAACATAAAGTGTTTAGTAGCAATTTTATTTTCGGAGTATAATTGCTTCATATGGAAGTTTATAAATTCCCACATAACTACTATTAGATTTTTTTCCATGCTATTGGGGCATTTTACGAAATTTTTATTAAAATTATACGTGAAAATTTTTTCCATTATTACATCGAAAATTTTATTGAATTATTTAAAGATTTATAAATTTAATGTTAGTTTAAATTAATATATTTGCTTGTTTCTTGGGGACTTCATTATTATAATATATTAAAATATAGTTTATACCTAAAAATTTATATTAAAAAATTTTTCTTGTCAAAGAAGAGGTTAATTACATCAAAAATAGGAATTCTTCTAGTATTTTATCTCCTGCCAAGAGATGGAGTAAGTATTTATGAAGTTGAAGAAGATAGCAAAGTAATATTTTCTATCATTTCATTCGCCACTATTGGCTTTTGCGAACTTCCTTTTATTGCATGTCCCAAGCTGAGAATATTCGTAGTAGCAAAATTTTTTTTTCTGTGGTATTATGGTATTCTGACTTGTAGCTAATATAGCTTTATGCACTGACGATTTTTATATTTAATTTAATAAAATCTAACGGAAAATAAATTAAACTCATCATAAGCTTGCATAAGTACTTTATGGGAAATATCTCAATTAACTTTGCATCTAATGCCCATTTTGTCTCATTGCTAGTTGCTTGTCTCTGTGAAATTCGTTGTGAGCGTATGATGATGAGATCTTTCCAAAGGTTTTTATCGAGGAGAAATCTAGAAAATGCAGAGAAGAGACTGAATTTGATTTTTAATTTATTTCCACATGGTATATTAATTATTTCAGAAAGAAATGAAATTTTATATTCAAATGAAAATTTATTAAGGCTTTTGAACTGTGAGCTCGCCCAACTTATACCGACTATTTCAGATCTCCAATATTGCCAAGGAAGAAAGCAATCTGAGCTGTCGCCTTCAAATAAAATTATTGAGCATGTAAAAATAATCCTCTCTTTGGAATTGAATCAGCAAATAAGCTTAGGGGTAAGCAAATGTGGGGCAACGTATTTAGAATGAAGGGCACAAAAAGTGCTATGAGGAGAGCAGAATGGGATACTTTTAACTGTCAGTAATGTGAATCACATTATTCAGCTTGAAAAGACAACATCTGATAATAAATTGAAAAATGTCCTTTTACGCTCTGTTTCTCATGAGCTTATCCCATTTTAAAAGCAAAAACATTTGAAAAATAACTAAATTTCAGAAAATATTTTTTAATATAAAAACTAAAGGTTATTTTATTAAATTCTAATCTGCTTGCATAAATGAATAAATTAAATCTGCATGATCAAATAATAATATATTCTAAGAGCTAGAACTCCGATAAATTCAATAAAATCATTAGCTGAATCTTTAAAAAATGATCCTGAGATTTCACCTTTCCATCCTTGGAAAGAAAAATTAAATATAATTTCGGTTTCAACAAACCATCTCCTATCTCTTATTAATGACTTACTTGACTATTCCAAAGTCCTTGTTGGTATGTTTTCAATTCAGAAATCAAATTTTGCTTTATGGAATAGTATTTATGAAGTCATTCAGCTCATCAAAATTCAAGCAACGAAAAAAGGTTTACAAATTTTCACCCGAATTGATCCTCAATTACCTTAGACTTACACTTATTTAGATTATAGAAAAGCTCTCTGTGGGTCTCCGAAGATCCTTATTCCCTTCTATAACGCTCCACTTATCTGCTTCGCTGACAATCGTCTTATGACCTTCAAAGTCTTATGCCTAATAGACATGGCCTGCACACGCTCCCTGATAATCGGAAAGTTTTATCACCGTGCTGTGCGCCAGCGGGGTTTGGCTTCTAGAAAATTCGAAAAAGAAAATTTTCTGGTCATCTGCCAGTTAAGATGAAAATTCGTAGTTCAGGGCGCAACGCCTGGTATCGACTGCAGAACGTTCCCTATCGGCCAGGAGGAACCTAACTGGTATTGCTGGGGCACCCTTACCAACTCAGAACTCCATCTTCCTCTGAGGTAAAACCTTGACTTGGATGTGAGCCTGCAGTCCTCAAACTCGGACATTGTGTTACAAAACCAAGTAAATGCTAGCCGGATACACATGTCGAATACCAAAACTTCCTTCCACAAGGTCCCTGGGTCTCCCCAGCTACAGGTTGGGTTGGTTCACCACATCATTTTATGTATGCTTGGACCCCTCAATTACCAATAAATGTACACACAGACCCACTGAGACTTAGCCAAGTTTTATTGAATTTGCTAACTTCCCCCCGTCCTTGAGCAAACAAAAAATTTATTCGCTCACTTAGGGGGTTAATTTTTTTTAAAAATAAAAAATCCAATTTGTAAAAATTGATAATTAAAAATAATTTAATTTTTAAAATTTATTTTTTAAATGCAAGCTGTTTAAAATAAACAGAATTAGCCAGAGATTTCATTATAATAGTTATCACTTATATATCTACTAAAAAAATTTTGCTTGCGTAAGGAGGGCGGGCTTTTACCCAAAAAATAGGGATGTTTTCAATGGTTTTGTTTTCTCATGGAGGGAGTAAGCAATGCTCTAAAATTTACATTAAAAGGATCAATTGAAATCCGCTGTATGTTAAATGAAAAAAATCAGTTAAAAATTACGGTTAAAGACACTGGAATTGGGATTTCAGAAGAAAAAATGAAAAATTTATTTAAAGAATTTGGCACATATTTAGACAAAGATTTAAATCCTGTTGGATGTGGGCTTGGGCTATGAATATCAAATATTATAGCTCAAGAGTTAGGATCTTCTATTGAAGTTAAGTCTAAAGTTTATAAAGGATCAAGCTTTAGCTTTTGTGTAAATATTTTTGATCAAAACACACAAGGTCACTTGCTGTTCGAAAATGAAACCATATGTGAAATTCCGAAAGAAAATAAACTCAACTTAACTATAAGCAATTTTGATAGACTTTTACAAGAAGAAAACACACAAGTTTTAATTGTAGATGACAATGATTTTAATAGATTAGCTCTTGGATCATTACTTTCAAGCTATAAAATTTTATTTAATGAGGCTTGTACAGGAAAGGAAGCTATTACAAAAGTATTAGAGATGAATAAAAAGAGGAAATCTTATAAGTTTAAGTTTAATGAATTTCTCTTGCACTTTTAGTGTCTTCTAAGTCCTTAATTGAGGTTCAGTTACGATAACAGCTAACTCTGAACAATGGTAGTTGAACCGACTTAGCCGTCAAACCGTTTAAGTTATCGAGCCCTTATAGACCTCTCTAGTCTGTGCCAGCCTCAGCACAGACCACTTCTCTTCAAGCTCTCAAGAATCTTGACTTCTCTCACTGAGTTCGGTTTATGGGTCCGGCCTGGTGGATCAGGACTATGGACCCATCCCTAACCGCCATTTTAAATATTTGAAATCTTGTAAGTTAATTATTATGGACGGAAGCATGCCTGAGCTAAATGGTTGGGAGGCAGCAAAAAATATTTTAGGTTTATATTCTAGTGGAAAAATTGATAATTTACCAGTAATCATTGGATATACAGCTTTTACATCAGATGCAGAGCTATCACTTTGTATAGAGTCAGGCATGAAAGAATGCATTATAAAACCGTGTAATTCTGAAATTTTGATAAATAAAATAACTAACTATTTATCCATATAAATTTTTTGATAAAAAAAAGCCTTTAAAATCTGCAAAAATGGAAGTCTTGAAGGAAATTTGACATGAATTTTCTGGATGCAAAAATTTTTATATAAGCTCTTCAAATAAAATCATTTAATTGATTAAATATTTAGTATTTATTTTACACAAATCTCGTTCAAATTTCATATTTTTCAATAATAGAAAATATAACTTTAATCATGGAAGATCCAATCATTAATCATAATCAGCTCACCACGGTGCCAACTTTTGAGCAGAATCTTTCCAATACAATCAATTCAGAAGCACACCCATGTCCTACCGAGCATAACCACAAATTTTCAAAAAATTCTGCAAAATATGTAATTGAGTCAAAAAAAAATTCGCCAAGAATTTTTGAAAATAGAAATATTAAATCTCACAAGGGGAATGCAGTTGTTCCATATATAAATAGCGAAAATAAAAATCTCATTGAAAAACCAGACGAAGAGCATAAGCTCGTATATGCAGAAACGTTTACCCTCCATTCATTTATCAAATAAAGCACAATATTAAAAATATTATCAATAATAAAATTTTTATAAATTTATTTATATAATATAACCGAAAGTTTAGGGAAAGGTCAAGTGATAAGCTGGAAACGATTATAACCCATAGTAAAACTACAAGAAATCACCACGAAGAAGCAAGACCAAGAACAGTCAGAATTAGTAAATGTGGGAAATGCAAAAAACTTTCATATATAGAAAATGACATTTGTTGTCATTGTAAAACTGTTTGCAACAAGAGCTCATACCTAAAATCTTTTGCGCGTGCATCTGCCTATTGCTGCTGCTGGCTTTGCACGTAAGCTTTTACGGATTCTTATATTTTAAACAATTATAATTTATGCGCAATAATAGATCGCTATATCCCATCAGAATACCGACTGAAAAAAATGGTCCAAGGCACCAGCTTTATACAGCCTAAGTCTGATTTAGCATCTTAAAGCTATAAGCTGAGATTTGTCATTTTCGTTTTTATTTTTCAAAATAGCTGACAATGCAAATTAATTTAAAATTTAAAATCGATAGTCAATAATGATCTAAAATATTTCAGGGGCTATAATATTTACTAAAAGGTTAAAGGATTTGTAAACTTAAAATGGATGTAATAAATTAATATAAATCTGATGGGCGCAAAAATAGGTGCAGGTCAAATGACATTGCCTTTTTAATAGTGTCCATTTCACCTAAAAATTTTTGGCCGAAAATTGATCGAAAATTTTTGATAGTGAGATGGCAAATGTCGCACTATCAAAAATTTTCGATGAAATGTACACTGTCAAAATCCACGGTCATTCGACTTGGAGCCGTAAAAAATAATTTAGGCTCATAAATTTTGATGATAAAAATTATCACATTAAGCTTATGTGAAGAAATATGGCAGCCGGTTAGGCAGGTAATTAAGATATGCATTTAAATTTTTGAATTTTTTCAACAAGTGAATAAGTTTTAAAATCAGCTAAATTTTTAGTATAAAATTTGAGATTGAATAAGAGTAAAGTTTATAATCTTCAACTGCAAGATGAGCTTATTAAATATTGATCCTGGGCTTGTAAATAATTGAGTAATTTTTGTCTAGCTAGTAATGGACCCAATCAGCAGCTATTTCCTATAATAAGAAGACTCAGGAATAGCGAGTAGTTACCAGAGTATTTTTGCTTGAAAAGCCCCAGTAAATCATATAATTTGGCTTCATTGTTGATTTGTCAACATCATACCAAATACAATAATTTTGAGACGTTCACTTCTTATAATGTTTATTATTTAAGCATAGATAGATTGTTATTTTAAAATAATTTTGATTATGCCATCTATGAATTCTTGTAAATTTTATCAAAGTGCACTTTACTATAGTGCCTGTACCGCAATAATTTTTTTATTTCCTGCTGCGATAAATAAATCATTCGAGTAAACATTTTTCATTATCTGAACTTTGGATTAGCTTGAAATGTATACTTGAATCTTAGTGTCTATCAAGTTTGAAGAGGTAATCTTAAAGCTCATTTGGTTACTATCGAGCACAAATTTTAACTAATTATCTTTCTTATGAAGAAGCTGAACGATAATAACCCAATATAATTTGAAATCAGATAACATTTTCGCAGTCAATTAAATGTCATTCAATAAATGATTTACATCTAATTTTAGGAAAAACACTTACTTAAATAACATGAAAAGCTATTAAACTTTAAATTATTCAAATATACTAGCTTGCGCACCAGCAGCAGCAAATAATTGATGAAAAAACTAATGACTTCCAGTTTGAGCTTGCTGAGCGGTGACAGTAAAAGCAGACATCATTTTCAATGAAAGAAAGCCTGCCACATCTCTTGCATTTGCATACTTTTACATTCCTCTTATTGTTTTCTTGGCGATCTGTCATTGTTTTGCTTCTGTTAATTAATTCATTGAATATAGTATCATTTGGCTTCGCTCTTACTGTTTCTGCATGATTGAATTTGCGTTCTTCTTCGATATCTTCATCAATTACTTGGTTATGGATCTCGTTATATGGCAAAACAGCACACCCTTTATTGGATTTATTTCTTTTGCTACTTGATTTTGGTTGGATAACATACTTTGAAGAAGTCTTTGAAAATTTTGAAGGGAGGTCACCTAACGAGGAACCTCCTCTCATGTCATTTTCAGTGGAATCGTTTTGTGTCGTGTTAATTTGGAAAAAAATCGGTGAGTCTTTCATAATTACAGAATTTTTTATTTATTATTGTTTGAATGCCATGTCTATATTAAAATTATAGTATTTTGATATAAGTTCTTAATTAGCATAATTTATCAAAAATTTATAATTATTAATTCTTTTGCGGCAAGGTGATAAAGGAGTTAATACACTTTGAATTAGGTTTATTAAATTATGCGATATTCATAATATAAAATGGCCATTTTGCAATATAAAAAGCAGAAGCGGTAATAGTAAATTTTATTTACATAATGAACTGGGATATCCTTATAATTTTTTTAAGGATGATGATGCTAATGGAGGACGAATTACTGGAGTGGGTAAGACCTGTCCCTATATGCTGAAAGTTTTGTATCTTTGCTAGCTGGTTGGAGTAGGCTTTAGTGCTTGGTGATGCCTTAACGAAAAGATAATTATATTTATCCCCGAATGCTTTCTCCTCCTACCAGATCTTTAGACTGTTTTTATATCTCACATAGTATTCATTTATCTGGATGATCAAAGAAGCTGACAAAGGGTGACTCTAGCCCAGAGAGCTGGTTATTGGGCTAGGTGAGTTTGCCAGAATTTAAAGAGAAAAGAATTTAGGAAGGTCACGTGCCATTTTTACTCAGCATATCCCAGCGTAGGCCGCACTTTTTAGTGTCCAAATAGTTGGTTTGTTTATAATCCTATAAAAATTTAGATTTATAATTTTTTCATCAAGTTTTTATAAAGATAAGTATTTTGATACTTTTTCAATTAAAACTCCTGGATTGCAGGGTTTTATCAGACATTCTTTCATGCCTGCATTTATGCATAGTGAAATATCCATTTCAGAGGTAAAAGCAGTATATCCAATAATGCTAGGCAAAATCAGAATCTTTCCTTCATAAAACAATTGATAAATCAATTTCGTTGCATCTCAGCCATTTAATTCAGGCATGCTGCCATCCATCACGACGACTTTATATGGTTTATTCTTTCCATTAGCTTCCTCTACTTTTTTTACAGCTTGCTTTCCAGTGCAAGACTCATCATACAAAATCCCATAATGACGTAATAAATCTCCAAGAGCAATTCTATTGAAATCATTGTCATCAACAATTAAAACTTTTGGATATTCTTTTTCTATATATTCGTTAAAATCTTTAATTTTTATAGAAGGTGCCTCTTCTGGTACTAAATATTCAGGTAATTCTTCAAAATTCGCATTTTCGATAGATGGGTTTTCTTCAAAAATATCAACAAAAAAGCAGAAAGATGATCCTTTTCCTGGAGCTGATTGAACTTTGATTGGCTCATTTCCAAGCTCTTTAGCAATTAAATTAGATATAAAAAGCCCTAGTCCACATCCTGACGGATTTATTATTGGGTTTGTAAGTGTGTTAAATTCTTTAAAAATATTTGACATTCTAGAATTCTCAATGCCTATTCCAGTATCGTTTACTATTATTTGCACCTTGCCAGTTGAATTTAATAAGCAGCAGACCTCAATATATCCTTCAAATGTAAATTTCAGAGCATTTGACAATAAATTAAGCAAAATTTGGCTTAATCTTAATGAATCTGAATAGCAACTATCAGGGATATTCGGATCAATCCTAACAAATATTTTCAATTTTTTTTGATCGGCTTGCAGCTTTACTAACTGTACAGCTTCATATATTGCATTTCTTATCAAGAACATTGATTTTTGTATAGAAAAAGCACCAGCTAAGAACCTTGAATAATCCAATAAATCGTTTACCAGTGAAAGGAGAAGTTTTGAAGAAACTGAAATGATGTTTAATTTTGTGTTCATTTCTTTATTTATAGCGATTTCTCTTTCGTTAGAAAGGGAGTTTGATAAAGAAATAATAGCGTTAAGAGGAGTTCTCAACTCATGTGAAACTGACCTCAGGAGGACATTTTTTAATTTGTTGTCTGATATGGTTTGTTCTAGTTCAATGATGTGGTTTGCATTTGCTACTATTAATAGGGTTGCTTCTTCTCCTTCATCTCATAAAATCTTTTGTGCTTTTCATTCTAAATTCATGTTTTGTGATTGGCTTAAACCTAAAATCACCTGCTGATTTATTTGTAAATTATGCACCAAGTTTATATCGTCAATAAGTTTATTGGAATTTGATAGATGGGAATATTTTTTGTCTTGGGAATATTCAATACTTGTGAGTTTTTGAATTACTTGGTTCAAATTGCACAATAAAAGGGTCGTTAAAATTTGATTGGAATAAAGAATAAGCTTTTCTTTGGATAATATTAAAAATCCATCTGGAAACAAATTGAAAATTACACTAAGCCTCTTTTCTGCATTTTCAAGATTTTTTCTTGAAATAAATCTCTCAAAAGAGTTTTTCCTTTGAAGACTACAATGGTTATCGCATAAAATAATGATCATAAAAGCCATAAGATGAGGCATTGTATCTCCAGTGTTTTCTATTTCTCCATAATAATACCCAATATAATGTCAAAGTAGTAAATGCTTGCAAAGTATTAAAATTCTTAACCATGAAGCATGAATAAAAGGCCACTCGCAAATATTTATGCAAGTAAGCGAAAGATTTGAAAGCAAAACCCTCGAAGACTTGTATCCATACAAACCCATTACTCACCAGCCAATACAGTTGCATTCAGCAAGTATGACAGCTAAAATTGATTTTCATCGTTCCTCTTTATTTTCAACTAATTTTACAAGAAAACAAGTGGCAAGTTGAGAGATCCCATATACAAAATGAATAGACTCAAGCCTCAATCATTTAATAGGAACTGCAATTTGAGCAACTCAAAGAACAACCCAAAACGAGACGACAAGTAATAGACGAGAATAAAGGAATTTTTGAAGTACTTTATATTTCTCGATTACTTCTTCTTGCCACCAAATTCTGTGTAATTTCTCCATTACTGATTTTATATTGGTAAATAAATTAATATAAAAAAAGTACCTATCAAAAAAATCAGATGAATTTTAATTTTTTATTATGCTGGCAAATGCTAATATTATCTAATTAATTTTATATAAAGACTTTTTTTAGTTTTTACTTAAATTTGTTGAATTTTGTAAAAGGACAAGAAAGGAATATTTTCTAGATTAAGTTAAATTTATCTCATAAATAGATATTTTTTAATTAATTAACAATTACTTATCATGCTTAAAGAGCTTTAAAATCGTTTTTAAAGTTTTTCCATTTTGAAATTTCGTTGAAATTTCAAAGTAAAACTTATAAACTAAATCAATTAGATATAATAGAAAATGATCACGAGTTAAATAAATTCAAAAAATTTAAATAAAAAAATTCTCCAATTGTTTTTGTTAAAAACTTTATAAAATAACTGATATAAAGACAATAATTAATTACATATTAAATTGAATATTTCATTGCTAAGATGAAAGATAATTTGATATTTTTGAAATTAATATCTCTGGGTCACAAGGTTTAATAAGGCATTCTTTCATCCCAGATTCAATGCACATTCCTAGTTCCACATCAGAACTAAAAGCAGTATACCCAATTACGATTGGCAAACTATTTAGTTTTCCATTAAAGTACATTTGATTAATAAGCTTTGTTGCATCCCAACCATTTAGTTCAGGCATGCACCCATCCATTATAACCAATTTATAAGGCTTTGATTTGCTATCATTTTCCTTAATTTTCCTTGCTGCTTCTTTCCCAGTGCAGGCTTCATCAAACAGATACCCTTTTCTAGCTAGAAGTGTTCCTAAAGCAACTCTATTAAATTCATTATCATCTACAATCAAAATTTGTGGAAATTCACTGATAATTTCTTTGAAATTTTTTATTGAAATTGGATGAATTTCTTCTGAAGTAAATTCAGAAATATCATCGTCAAATTTAAGCTCGTCAATGGCTTTTTCTTCTGAAATGTCAACATAGAAGCTAAAAGATGATCCAAAGCCAATAACAGAACTTGCCTCAATTGGTTTTGTGCCGAGCTCTTTAGATATTTTGTTTGAAATGAATAAACCAATTCCACACCCGGTTGGATTTATTGTAAGGTTTTGATGTAATTTAAATTCTTTTTGCATATTGATAAGCTTGGTTTCTTCAACACCAATCCCAGTATCTTTTACTGTTACTTTAATTTTTCATTTTTCACATAAAATGCAGCATATTTCGATATACCCAGTTATGGTCGATTTTAGAGAGTTGCTTAAAAGGTTTAGCAAAATTTGGCTGAATCTTAAAGGATCTGAATAAATATGCTCAGGAATTTGAGGGTCAATCCTAATGGTGAGCTTAACCCCTTTCTTTTCTGCTTGAAGCTTAATTAATTGGGCAGTGGTATTTATTGTATTTGTCAGCTGGAATTTTGATTTTACTATAGAAAAGGATCCAGCTAAAATTCTTGAATAGTCTAATAAGTCATTTATAAGAGAAAGCAAAAGCTTTGAAGAGACTGAAATTATATTTAATTTTGTTGCAAAATTTTTAGATAGTAAAACTTCTGAGTCGTACATTACTGACTCAGAAATAGTAGAAATTGCATTTATAGGTGTTCTCAGCTCATGAGAGACTGACCTCAAAAGCACATTTTTTCATTTATTGTCAGAGATAGATTTTTCTAGCTCTATGATATGACTAATGTCTTTCACAGTTAGCAATACTACCTCTTCTTCATTTCATAGGACTTTTTGAGCTCTCCATTCTAAATTTAAATTTCCAAGCTGGCTTATCCCTAGCAATACTTGCTGATTCAATTGTAAATTTTTGACAGAATTAATATCATCAATGAGCCTACTTGAATCAGAAAACTCAGAATATTTTTTCCCTTGTGCATATTCAATAGTTACCAATATCTTTTCAATCTGATCAGTATTGCATCCTAAGTACTTTGTGATAATTGCATTAGAATACAGCAGAGTATTTGATTGTGACAATACCATTAATCCATCAGGATAAAGATTAAAAATGACACTGAGCCTTTTCTCCATGCTTTCTAATTTTTGGGTTGACAAAAACCTCTCAAATGAAAAAAATTTAACTCTGCGGCATTGAGTTTCGCAAAGAAAAACATTTAATCCCCATATCAAGCAAAATTTTTAGCTAGTTCATGATGAAAGGTTAAACTTATTTTAATTTAGATGTAAAATTATTTTTCGAAACATCCCAATTTTTAATTTTTAAAGTGAAAATGCAATTAATTAATAAATTTAAGCCTTAAAATGCAAGCTGTTTATAATTAAATAGATTTGCCTAAAGAAAACATATATAGCGATACTTCTATTTTATAATTTTTATATAATAAATTTTTTTAAAAAGTTCTATCCAACAAATTTTCAATAGTTTTTCTTATTCATAGGGGGTATTTAGAACTGCCATTAAATGAGGCATAGTATCAAGTGTTAATTCGATACTTCCTGAGTAATAGTCTATATATTGCCACATTATTAAATGTCTCGCTAAAACTAAGAGTCTGAAAAATGATGTTTTTATGAATGGGAACTCACAAATGTTAATGCACGACAAAGAAATATTCGAGAGCAAGAGTTTTGAGGTTTTGAAATCACCCCTTGCCATTATCCATCACAATAGACAATTGTATTCGGATAATGCAATTCCTAGAAGTGATTTATAAAAATTGTCTTTATTCTGCACATATTGTATTAAGAAACATATAAGAAATTGTGATGATAAATATACATAATATCCAGGCTCTAATTTTAAGCATTGGATTGATAATTGATTTTGGATAATCCAAATAGTGAACCAGAACGATAAAACAAAAGGAAATCTTAAATACTGAAATCTTTTTATGATTTGATATTTCTCCTGAACTTCATTGTCCCACCAACTTTTTCGTAGCTTTTCCATTTAATTTTTTATTGCTCCGTTCAGTTAATTCAGTTCTTAAGATAAGATGCTTTTTAATAGTTTTATGTAAATTTTATGAAAAAGAATAATATTATTAGATCTTAGTCGCTGAATTTAGCATTTAAGACTTAAATTTGATGCAAAACTTTAAAAATATAATTGATTTAAAAGAATATTTAAATTTTTATTTAAAAATTACAAGAAAATATTCATTATTTTTAATTAAGATCGCCTTCTAAATTTTAGGATCAGCTATCTAAATATATTGAATAAATTCAAATGTAAATAAGAACTATCTTATTATATGATGAAAATTGCACCATTTTCGAGAATTTTTTTTATTCAATTCTGATAATAATTTTACTAAAAAGCTATTTAAGGTTTTTTTTAATTAAAAATCATATCAAAATTTTGATTTGTTCCAACAACATTTTATTGCAAGTATTCTATTATTTTTTTTATCAAGAATTGAGAGCTGCATGGCTTGATAATGCAATCTGTCATTCCTGAATCAATACACATTTTTATATCTTGATCAGAAGTGAATGCTGTATATCCGATTATCGTAGGTAAATCATCAATTTTTCCTTCAGAATACAAATTAAAAATAATTTTAGTCGCATCTCAGCCATTAAGCTCAGGCATGCTTCCATCCATAATAACTAGCTTAAATGGCTTCTTTTTCCTGCTCATTTCTTCGACATAATTTACAGCTTGTTTTCCAGTGCAAGCCTCACGATATAATATATTGTTGCCAAAAAGGATTGATCCAAGTGAAATCCTATTAAATTCATTATCATCGACAATTAAAACTCTTGGACATTCCTGTTTCATTACAGCGTTAAAATCTTTTATTACGATTGGAAAATTGTTTTCTGGAAGATTTTCTGAAAAAGAATCATCATATTGCATTATCTCTAAGTTATCTTGGAAAGCATCTTTTATATTAATAGAAAAGCTGAAAGATGATCCTTGATTTTCTTTTGATTGGACTTCAATTGATTTTGAGCCTAATTCCTTAGCAATAATATTTGAAATAAATAAGCCCAGACCACAGCCAGTCGGATTTAAATTTCCATGGTGGCTTGTATTAAACTCCTTGAATATATCATTTATCTTTGAGTCCTTGATACCAATTCCTGTATCTTGCACTATGGTTTTCATAGTTCCGCCAGAGCATGACACACAAGTAACTTCAATAAAACCTGAAACTGTAAACTTTAAAGCATTGCTTAATAGGTTCAGAAGGATTTGATTAAACCTCAATGGATCTGAAAATATATATGCTGGGATTTCAGGATCGATTCGTGAAATAATTTTTAAGCCTTTTCTCTCAGCTTGGATTTTTATTAACTGTATTGCGTTATTAATAGCATTTTTCAATAAAAATTTGGACTTTTTTATTGAAAAAACTCCAGCCAAAATTCTTGAGTAATCTAGCAAGTCGTTGACTAATGACAGGAGTAGCTTTGATGAAATTAATGTAATATCTAGCTTGCTGTTTCAATCGTTATGACGAGCTATTTCTGGCTCTTCTTTTAATGATTCAACAAAATTTGAAATAGCGTTTATTGGTGTCCTCAACTCATGAGAAACTGATCTTAGCATAACGTTTTTTAATTTACTGTCTGATATTGTTCTTTCCAATTGGATTAAATTATTGACATTCCTAACCGTCAATAATATAGCTTCTTCATCATCTCATAGTACTTTTTGCCCTTTTCATTCTAAATTATATACCCCAATTCTGCATATACCAAGTAATACTTCCACATTAAGTTGAAAATTTTGAATTAAATTAATATCATCTATTAGTTTATTTGAACCATTTCACTGTGAATAATTTTTCCCTTCTATATACTGAATTGATTTTAGCAAAGAAATTACCTGCTGTATATTACAATCTAATAGCTTTATTAAGTTTTCGTTTGAAAATAAAATCTTATGGTTATGTGAAATTATCAAAATTCCATCAGGAAATAATTCAAAAATTAAACTCAGTCGTTTTTCAGCATTTTCTATAGTTTTCCTGTGCTTAAATTCTCCAAATGATTTCCCTCTTGTCTGATGCCAGTTGAGCTCAGACAATAAAAAAATCAAAATTACTATCATTTGAGAAAATCCTCCTTCAGCCGATATCACATCCAAGCCTACAGTAAAGTATTCAAAATAATAAAAGAAAAAGATATGCTTAATCATAATTAAGCTCCGAATCCAGAATGAATATATAAGAGGTCATTCAGAAAAGTTTATCGATGCAAAAGAAAGGGTGCATAAAAGAACTTTAGATTCCTTTGAATTAGTAGTTCCCATTAGAAATCATAAAATAGAATTAAATTCAGATACAGCTATTACAATTCTTGATTTTAAAAGGCTTTTTTTGTTTTCTCCATATCATAGAACTATACATTCAACTATATGTAATAAATCATAGGGAAGATATTCCAAAATAATATCATGATTTTTTCCTGCTAATAAATTGATAGAAACTGCTATTGCGATAACCAAAAATAGGGTAAACGCAAATCTTTTTATTGTTTGATATTTTTCATTTACTTCTTCTTCGAACCAAGAATGATGCAAAATTTCCATTTTTATTACGAATTTAATAATTTAAGGGAATTTTTTATAATTTTTAAATTTTTATGTAAATATTATTTCATATTTGAGGACCTAATTATAAGAATCTAGATTTTAAAAAATTCGTCAAGACTATTAGCCTGCTTTTAAATTGGCTGGATTATTATGCATAAGCATAATGTGTAGAGTTGGTAGCAACATCAGCTGCCAGATCAAATTTCAAGTTGACAAGAGCAGTCTTAATCTCGCATTTGCCATTATTAAAAACAGGGTTATTTCTAATAAAATTAAAGAATCATCTGAGTGATTTGATAAACTTATGAAATTAGGAAACCCATGAAACAGTTGTCTTAGGGTTTGAAAGATCTGTACTTATTGATGGTCTACTTTTAGAGTTCGAGTAGACTATTAATTAATGTAGCATCCAAGTGAAAGGATTTTAGTAAAATTATAGAGATGTTGGTGGAAGTTGTGGGGGATATGGGAAATTGTGGAGTTTTGCAAATTCATGCATTATTGAATTAAAACAAGAGAAATGCTTATTAGACCAGAAGTAAAATTTAAGAATAAAAGAAATATCTTGTATTTGCCTATTTTTGAAGTTGACTCATAACTGACATAATCTGCGAGCAATGTTTGCATCTTTCTTACCTTGAGAGGTAGTGTAGTAGACATTTCATTATAATAATTATCATTTATATATCAAATTTTTTTCATAAAAAATTTTTATATTAAAACAATTTTTGCTCGCACACAGAGGGTGAGTTTTTGGGCAGAAATAGGGATTTTTTTAATTGTTTTGTTCGCTCACGGGGAGAGAGTTAAATTTTTTTTATATTATATTTAAACAAAATTGCAGCACTATTTCAAGTATTCAAATATTTTACTCATCAATATTTGAGAACTGCAAGGCTTGATAATGCAGTCTGCCATCCCTGCATCTATACACATTTTTATATCTTGATCAGAAGTAAATGCTGTGTACCCAATTATCGTAGGTAAGTCATCAAGCTTACCTTCAGCATGTAAATTAAAAATTTGTTTTGTTGCATCTCAGCCATTGAGTTCAGGCATGCTTCCGTCCATAATAACTAATTTAAACGGCTTTTTCTTCCTGCTCATTTCTTCAATATTATTTACAGCCTGCTTTCCTGTACAAGCTTCACTATACAATATATTGTTGCTAAAAAGAATTGATCCAAGCGAAATCCTATTAAATTCATTATCATCGACAATTAAAATTTTTGGATACTCTTGTTTCATTACAGCATTAAAATCTTTTATTATTATTGGAAAAATATTTTCTGAAAGATTTTCTGACAAAGAATCATCATATGTTAAGGTCTCTGAATTGTTTATTGCCCCATTATGGATACTCTCTTTGATATCAATGATGAAACTAAAAGATGATCCATGGCTTTCTTTTGATTGAACTTCAATTGAATTTGAGCCTAGTTCTTTGGCAATTATATTTGAAATGAATAAACCTAGTCCGCATCCAGTTGGATTTAAGGTTTCCTGATATTGTGTATGGAATTCTTGGAATAAGTCTTTAATCTTTGATTCTTTGATGCCTATTCCTGTATCTTGCACTATTGTTTTCATAGTTCCATCAGCGCATGATAAACAAGTAACCTCAATAAAGCCTGAAATTGTAAACTTCAATGCGTTACTTACTCCCCCTGTGAGCGAGCTAAAATATTTTGCTCGCTCACGGATGGGGTTAATTTTTTTTTTAAAACAATTTTAAAAATTTTTTTTCTTCAAAATTTAAAAAAAATTCATAAAAATTGAGTAGCAAAAATTAATTTAATTTGTTTTATTGATATTTTAGAATGCAGGCTGTTTAAAATTAAATAGAATTCGGTAGAGATTTTATTATAATAATTATCACTTATATATAAAAATTTTTTTCCTAAAAAAATTTTGTTCGCTTATGGAGGGTGGATTTTTTTGGGCAAAAATAAGGATTTTTCTAATGATTTGTTCGCTAACGGAGGGAGTGGAAGTTAGTAGATTCAAAAGAACTTGATTAAATCTTAAAGGATCTGAAAATATATACACAGGTAGCTGAGGATCTATTCTTGAAATAATTTTTAGTCCTTTTCTTTCGGCTTGAATTTTTATTAATTGTATTGTATTATTAATTGCATTTCTTAATAAAAATTTTGACTTTTTTATTGAAAAAACTCCAGCCAAAATTCTTGAATAATCCAGCAAATCATTTACTAGTGACAAAAGTAGTTTAGACGAAATTAAGGTAATGTCTAATTTACTATTCCATTCATCATGACAAGCAATTTCAGGCTCTTCTTTTAATGATTCGACAAAATTAGAAATAGCGTTTATTGGCGTTCTAAGTTCGTGTGAAACCGATCTTAATATAACATTTTTTAATTTACTGTCTGATAATGTTCGCTCCAACTGAATTAAATTATTGACATTTCTAACTGTCAATAATGTGGCTTCTTCATCATCTCACAATATTTTTTGTCCTTTTCACTCCAAATTAAATTCGCCAATTCTGCACACTCCAAGCAGAGTTTCATCATTAAGCTGCAAATTTTGAATTAAATTAGCATCATCTATAAGTTTATTTGATATATTTCACTGCAGATATTTCTTTCCCTCTATATACTGAATTGAATTTAGTAAAGGAAGTATCTGCTGTGCGCTGCATCCTAATCCCCTTACTCCCCCCCCTCCGTGAGTGAACAAAACCATTAGAAAAAATCCCTATTTTTTGCCCCAAAAACCCACCTTCCGTGAGTGAACAAAAAATTTTTTTAATAGAACAAATTTTTTATGGAAAAAAAATTTAATATATAAATGATAATTATTATAACGAAATCTAGAGCTAATTCTGTTTAATTTTTAAACGAATTGCTTTTTAAAAACATAAATTTTATAATATTTGCTTTCCAATTTTTGTGAATTAGGGATTTTTTTAAATTTTGAAAAAAAATATTTTTTATAAAAATTATATATAAATTTTTTTAAAAAAAAAAAATTAACCCCCCTCCGTGAGTAACAAAATTTTTTTGTTCACTCACGGAGGGGGGGTTAGTTAACGAGGAAAAAATATTTTTAAATCAAAAATTTATGTAAAAAATCAAAATTTTACTATTTGAAATAAAAATTCAATTTCACTTATAAATTTATGTCTTTGAATGCAAAATCTCTAAATTAATGCAATTAGCTAGAGATCTTAATGCTTTTACAAATATTTAATATATATTAGAATATTTTATACAAAGCAAACTATATTTAACAAATTTTTATCTAAAACAAAAGGATAATTTTAGCTTGGTTTTTGCTCAATAAAGGATAGTAAGAGCTTTATTAAATTTTCATTTGAAAATAAAATTTTATAGTCACTAGAAATTATCAATATGCCATCAGGAAATAGCTCAAAAATTAAACTCAATCGTTTTTCAGCTTTTTCTATTGTTTTTCTATACGAAAACTTTCCAAATGACTTTTCTCTTGTTTGTCGCCAGTTCAGTTCGCACAATAAAAAAATAAAAATTGAAATCATTTGTGAAAATCCTCCTTCAATTGCTGAGCAATCCAGGCCTACAGTAAAATACTCGATGTAATAGAAATAGAAAAAGTGTTTTAGTAGGATAAAATTCCTTATTCAGAAAGATTCAATGATTGGTCACTCAAAAAAGTTTATTGAGGCAAAAGAGAGAACGCATAAAATAATTTTTGTCTCCTTTGAAATAAAAGCTCCCATTAGGAACCACATAGTGGAGTTCAGCTCTGAGGATAGTATTATAATTCAAGACTTTATGGCTTTATTTTTATTATCTCCATACCAAAGTGCAATACATTCTAATATATGTAATAAGTCGAATGGAAGAAACGTGAATAGCATATCGTGATTTTTTTCACACCATAAGTTGAATGCAATAACGAATAAAATGATTTTCAATACTGTGTATGCGAAATTTTTGATAACTTGATATTTTTCATTTACTTCCTCTTCTCACCAAGAACTACGTAAATTTTCCATTTATAATTCTTTACAAAAAATCATATTCATTAATAAATTTGCAAAATCAATACTATGCCCAAATTAGGCAGTAATTTATAAAATATAGAGCTTTTAGATTTCGAGCAGTTTCGAAGTAGTTGCATAGCAATCACTTACTTTGAATAGGGTTCTAAGGGGATAATAAGTGTTTTATTTCGAAACTAAATTTAAAAAAGTTATTATATTTAATTCGCATAATTAATAATTAATTTATGATATCATAGAAATGTATTTAATAAAAAGAATTTTATATATAGCAAATCTTAATTTTATGAAAATTAAGAATTTTTATTCTTTTATATCGGCCCCATAGGCTATCTAAAAGATATAAAGGATATAATGTCCAAAAATCTATGCGAATATTATTTTAAGATTGGTTTAATAATAGACACAAACTTAAAATGGCTGGACGCTAGAGTTTGAAACTTCTCTAACGATCCGTAAAATAAAGGGATTGATTCTTAAGTGGGTCTTATGACCAAGTAGGGAGAAGTGGCACTTCTTAGGTGCTGGAGAAGAGAGCCCGTTCTTGGACTGAGGCAGTTAAGTTCTAACGGACGATTCACCGTCTCGCTATTCAGAGCTGATATATGGTTCTGGGTATATTTTAACCCAACTGACTAGAATCTTTCTTAAATTTTTCATTAAGATAACCTTATTGGAGTGGAGAAAGGAGCATACCATTTTGACTTTCAGATAGTGAGTTCAGACCATCTAAAAGGACTAGCACTGCGCGTGCGAATTAGCAAGTAAAAGGTGAAGTGACATGAAAGAGATAAAGGCAGCAACGGCTAAGCCAACATTCGTCCAGTTCAATCAGCACAATGGAAATGCAATTGGAGCAATACATAGGTTAAGGGCTGGATTTAATTACTGCGACTCGAATGCTAAACTGAGACACCTGGCATTGGATGACAGGTGTAACGAGTGTGGGGTAGAAGAAACTGAAGCACACGTAATGACGGAGTGTGTGAAGTATGATAGACTCAGACAGATACTACAAAAACAGCTCATGGATGTAGGAGTCGAATGACAGGAAATGGACTGACTGCAAGTAGTGCTCTACGGAGCAAGATACGAAACACAGGTGGCGCGACTTATTGCAATGGGAGAATTGTCGAAGGTAAGGAAAGCAGATGCAGCAATTAAGAAGTTTCATGTGGAGATTTTAAAAGATAGGTCTTGATGCTACCTAGAGGAGAATGCAACCAGATACCTGAAGCAACAACCAAAACAAGCTAAAATTACAGATTGATTGTTTAAAAGCTCATAAGAGCTTCAACAGTGCCTGCACTGTTATATTTAATAGAATAGAATAGAATAGAAAGAGATAAAGGCATTCAGCACAACAGTAGTTTCTTTATAATCTAAAAAGAGAATAACATAAAATAACTATGATTATTTAATAATTTAAGCACATTAAATTAAAAACTAAATCTCCAAGTATCTTAATCAAGAAGACTTTTTTGAAGCAGTAAATGGATTTCTGAAGTTTATAAAAAGAATAACAAATTTAGTAAATATAAAAATGTGAAATTACTATTCAGCAAAATTTCAACACTATTTCAAGTATTCAAATATTTTACTCATCAAGACTTGAGAACTGCAAGGCTTGATAATGCAGTCTGCCATCCCTGCATCTATACACATTTTTATATCTTGATCAGAAGTAAATGCTGTATACCCAATTATAGTAGGTAAATCATCAAGCTTACCTTCAGCATGCAAATTAAAAATTTGTTTTGTTGCATCTCAGCCATTGAGTTCAGGCATGCTTCCGTCCATAATAACTAATTTAAATGGCTTTTTCTTCTTGCTCATTTCTTCAATATTATTTACAGCCTGCTTTCCTGTACAAGCTTCACTATACAATATATTGTTGCTTAAAAGAATTGACCCAAGCGAAATCCTATTAAATTCGTTATCATCGACAATTAATACCTTTGGATATTCTTGTTTCATTATTGCGTTGAAATCTTTTATTACTATTTGAAAATTATTTTCTAGAAGATTTGCTGACAAAGAATAATCGTATTTCATTATTTTTTCCCTATTTTCTAATGCTTTGATATCCTCTTTAATATTAATCGAAAAGCTGAAACACGATCCTTGATTTTCTTTCGATTTCACTTTAATGGATTTTGATCCTAATTCTTTAGCAATAATATTAGAAATATATAAACCTAGTCCGCAACCAGTTGGATTTAAAGATTCCTGATGATATGTCTGAAATTCTTGGAATAAATTTTTAATCTTAGATTCTTTAATACCAATTCCTGTATCTTGCACTATGGTTTTCATGTTTCCATCAGCACATGGAATGCATGCAATTTCAATAAAACCTGAGAGAGTAAACTTTAAAGCATTACTTAAAAGGTTCAATAGTACTTGGTTAAATCTTAGAGGATCTGAAAATATATATATTGGCAGCTCAGGGTCTATTCTTGAAATAATTCTTAAGCCTTTCCTTTCTGCTTGGATTTTTATTAGTTGCATTGCATTATGAATAGCATTTCTCAATAAAAATTTAGACTTTTTTATTGAAAATACCCCAGCCAAAATCCTTGAGTAGTCAAGCAAATCATTCACTAATGAAAGAAGTAATTTTGAGGAAATTAAAATAATTTCTAGCTTGCTACTTAAAGCGCTATTGCAGGCAATTTCTGGCTCTTCTTTCAAAGCTTCCACAAAGTCAGATATTGCGTTTATTGAGTCCTGAGTTCATGTGAAACCGATCTTAATATCACATTTTTTAATTTACTATCAGATATCGTTCGCTCCAATTGGATTAAATTATTGACGTTTCTAACAGTTAATAAGATAGCATCTTCATCGTCTCATGATATCTTTTGCCCTTTTCATTCAAGATTGCACTGGCCAATTTGGCATATACCAAGCAAAATTTCATCATTAAGTTGCAAATTTTGAATTAAGCTAACATCATCTATGAGCTTATTTGAAACATTTCACTGAGAGTATGTTTTGCCTTCATTATATTCAATTGAATTTATTAAAGGAATAACTTCTTGCAGGCTGCAATTTAAAAGTTTGATAAGATTTTCATTTGAAAATAAAATTTTATGGTCACTAGAAATTATCAAAATTCCATCAGGAAATAGCTCAAAAATTAAACTTAATCTTTTTTCAGCTTTTTCTATAGTTTTGCTGTATGAAAACTTCCCAAATGACTTTTCTCTTGTTTGTCGCCAGTAGGTTCGCACAATAAAAAAATTAAAACCAGAATCATTTGTGAAAGCCCCGCTTCAATTGATAGGATATCTAAGCCTGCTGTAAAATACTCGATGTAGTAGGAATAACAAAAGTGCTTTAGTAGGATAAAACTCCTTATTCAAAAAGATTCAATAATTGGCCACTCAAAGAAGTTTATTGAGGCAAAAGAGAGAACACATAAAATAATTTGTTTCCTTTGAAATAAAAGCGCCCATTAGGAACCACATAGTGGAGTTCAATTCTGATGACAGTATAATAATTGATGACTTGGCAGCAACAGTTTTATTTTCCCCATATCAAATTGCTGTGCATTCAATTATATGCAATAAATCGAAGGGAATATATGAAAGCAGCAGATCATGATTTCTTCCACATAGTAGATTGAATGCAACTACCACAAAAATGATAAGTAATAGTGTGTACGCGAATTTTTTGATAACTTGGTATTTCTCGTTTACTTCTTCTTCTCGCCAACAATTTCGTATATTTTCCATTTATTGTATTAATGTAAATTATTTGACAAAAATCTTATAATTCCTTGTATATTTTTCTTTTTGCTTGTGTCAGTGAAATTATTTTTAAAATGTCAAAAAAAAATTAGCATATCATAAATTTATTTATAATTATATATCAATTTTTTTTTGGCATTGTAAAATTAATTTATCATAGCCAAAATGAAATTTTACTAATAAATTATATAAGTTCAAAAGTAACAATAATTTGTAAATAATAAAAATCTTTATAGTTAATAGTCTTGATTTTTAATATTAATAAATATAATATAAATTATAATGATAAATAGTGCAACACCTTACTGATTAAAACTTCTTTGCTGCAAGGTTTAATCAAGCATTCCTTCATTCCAGACTCAATACATAAATTTAGCTCTTCTTCAGAACTAAATGCTGTGTACCCAATTATTATTGGCAGACTGCTGAGTTTTCCATCAAAATATAGCTGATGGATCATTTTTGTTGCTTCTCATCCATTTAGCTCAGGCATGCTCCCATCCATTATCACCAATTTATATGGTTTCATAATTCTACAGCTTTCCTGAATTTTTTTGACTGCTTCTTTTCCAGTATACGACTCATTATATAAAATACCGCAATGTAATAATAAAGAACCAATTGCAATTCTATTAAAATCATTATCATCAACTATTAGCACTTGTGGATATTCTTTTTCTATCAATTTAGAGAAATCTTTTGGAACGATTTGAGAAATATTTTCAGAGGTTATATTATTATGAAGCTCTTCATAATAGGATTGTGCGAGCTCATCTTCATGAATATTTATAAAAAAACTAAACGAAGAGCCCTCACCAAGAGTAGAACTGACCTCAATTGGCTTTGGGCCAAGCTCTTTGACGATAATATTTGAAATAAACAGCCCCAAGCCACATCCAGTTGGATTGATGGTCTGATTGGTATGGGTATTAAACTCTTTGAATAAATTTGGCAAATTAGATTCCTCTATGCCAATTCCTGTGTCACTAATAATAATTTTTATTACCCCTTTTGTAACTAATAAGCAGCAGATCTCAATATGCCCTTTAAGTGTAAATTTTAAGGCGTTACTCAAAAGGTTCAAAATAACTTGGCTAAGTCTTAAAGAGTCTGTATAAATATACGCAGGCATCTGAGGATCAATTCTTGAAAAAATAATCAGTCCTTTCTTTTCTGCTTGAGTTTTCAGTAACTGCACCGCATCCTGTACAATAGCTCGAATTAAGCAATTAGTTTTCTGTACAGAAAAAGCTCCAGCTAAAATCCTTGAATAATCTAGTAAATCGTTTACTAAAGAAAGCAAAAGTTTTGAAGAAACTGAGACAATATTTAAATTTTCTTTAAATTTCTTATTTTGCACAATTTCTGGCTCACTCATAAGAGCTTCAGATAGAGAAGTAATTGCGTTTATTGGTGTCCTTAATTCATGAGAAACTGACCTTAAAAGGACATTTTTAAGCTTATTGTCTGAAATTGACTTCTAATGTTAATTAAGATTATCGAAAAGCTCCCTGTCGGGGCCCGAAAGCCCTTATTCCCTTCCATAATGCTCCACTCGCCTGCTCGCCAACAACCGTTTCACGGCCTTCAAAGTCTCGCTCCTACGGATATGGGCCTGCACATACACTCCGTAGTCGGAAAGTTTGGGTCACCATGCCGTACGCCAACGAAGGTTGCCTGTCTCGAAATTTCAAAAAATGGAATTTCTGGCCGATTTTCGGCAAAAGGGTAAAACTTGTAGCCCAGGGCGAAACTCCTGGCTTATCGCTAGAGAGTTGCCCGAATGGCCTAGAAAGGCTTTGCTGGGCTTCCCCCTTTTCCAACTCCAAGTCTCCCTTCCCTCGAGGTAAAATCTAACTCGGAAAATAGACTAGGGCTAGTTATCTAGCATAACTGTCCATTTCTTCGCTAGCAAAATCTTGCCGGATATAATTAAAATAGGGCTCGATACTGCTTGGCCGAGAGGCCAAGCCAAGTTGAGACGCCATATTTTAATTATCCTGAAATTGACTGCTCTAGATTGATTATATGGTTAGCGTCTCTGACAGTTAGCAAAATCGCATCATGGTCATCCCATAGAACCTTTTGTGCCCGGAATTCTAGATTTGAATTTTGGATTTTGCTTAATCCGAGGACTACTTCTTGATTTACTTCTAAGCTAGGAACTAATATTAAATCGTCTATAAGCTTGTTTGAATTTGATAAATGTGAGTACTTTTTGCCTTGACAATATTCAATTGTTGATAAGGTTTGAACTACTCTATCTTTGCTGCAGCCTAAAAATCTTGTCATAACTGCATTTATATACAAAATTGAGTGTGCTCCAGACAGAATTAATATTCCATCAGGAAATAAGTTAAAAATAACACTAAACCTTTTTTCTGCCCTCTCGAGGTTTTTACGAGATAAGAACCTTTCAAATGAAGTCGCCTTTATATTTCGGATATATAAATCACACATCACAACAAGTAAAATTGATAAATAGTGCGACATTGTTTCCTCTATTCTTAAATCGAAGCCCCACTTATAATAGTTGTGATAGTGTCACATAAATACGTGTTTGCAAAGAATTACAATTCTAAAGAAAGGACTTAGAATAAAAGGCCATTCACATATATTTGTATAAGCTAGAGAAACATTTGAGAACAGCAACTCAGAAGACTTAAAAGCTTCCCTTCCAAATACTCACCACATAGAGCAAGAAAATTCTGATAGCAAAATCGCGAAAAATGATTTGGCAAATGCTCCTTTATTTTCTAAATTCCTTTTTCAATTTTAGAAATCTTTTTTTATGATGATTTTATGGGTGATTTTGAAATAATAATTCAAATAAATGAGATCAAAGCAAAACTATCCCAATTATAAATGATTATTAATCCTATTTTTTTTTAAATAAATTCCTACATTTTTTTCTGAAGCAGAGAAGTAAGAACTCCATAATAATGCATACCACAAGCTGTGCAAATGAAATTTTCGCACAAAATATTATATAGCCACTTCAATCACAAGAAAGCCAGATTGTCCCAGTTATATAAAATACCCAGCAAATTGATATAAGAACTAATCGTGAGTAATTAACCTTTTTTAAAATCCTGTAATTTTCATTCACTTCTTCTTCCCATCAAAGCCTTCTTTCTTTTTCCATTTATTACACGAATAAGAGAGCATTTAAAAAGAAATCAATTGCTAAATTTAGCTGTATATGCTAATTTTTAATTTTTAAAAAAATATTTATTGAGCTTATCTTGGCAAATAATGCTTAATTTTGCTGATTAAAAGCTCAGAATTGCATGGCTTTATAATACACTCTTTCATGCCAGACCTGATGCAAAGTGATAATTCGATATCTGATGTAAATGCTGTGTATCCAATAATTATAGGCAGACTGGATATTTTTCCTTCAGCATATAGGTCAAGAATAGCCCTAGAAGCTTCTCAACCATTTAGCTCAGGCATGCTACCATCCATAATAATAAGCTTATAGGGTTTCTTTTTTTCGTCCATATCCTGCACATACTTTACAGCTTGTTTTCCTGAGCATGCTTCGTGGTAAAGAATATTGTAATTAGAAAGCAAGGTTCCGAGTACTATGCGGTTAAAGTCATTATCGTCAGCAATCAAGACTTGAGTAAATTGATTTTTAATTATCTATAAATAAAATGGAATTCGGTTCGAGAGAAATTAGCTTTGATAAATTTTTCTCCCTCATGGAATTTTATTTATGGAGTTGGGTTTTCTCTCAAGAACTTCTGCAAAGCAGCAGCAGTTTGACTTTAGGGATAACCAAAGGAACTGCTTCTCAGTGCATTCAAGAGGCTCAGAGTTTTACCTCTTAGCACATCCCCAAGGGAGGATGCCCTTAGGCGGAACACGCGCAGGAGCTGAATCAGGGCGAGGCATCTGCAATGCACCGGGTGAGATGTGCGGCGGACTGAAGGATGAGCTTCGTAGAAGGCTTAGTCGGTGGACAGTAACCGTGATTCCAAGATGGCTTGGTGATGTCGCAAGTTGGCTTAGTCCCTATTTAACTATGGGGAGTGGGCACTAGACACCTTAAATGTCAAGTAACTAAGTAAGTAAGATTTTTAATTACCTTATTGAAATCCTTGGTCATTATTAAGGCTTTTTCTTCAAAAATATTATCTGATGTAGAATCATCGTCAATGAACGTTTGAGCTGGAGGGAAATTTCGAAAAATATCAATAGAAAAACTGAAAATGGAACCTTCGTTTGGCACTGATTTAACGTCAATTGTTTTTGAACCTATTTCTTTGGCTATAATGTTTGATATAAATAAACCTAGCCCACATCCGGTTGGGTTTAAAGCACTATCAAAGTGTGTTGCAAATTCTTTAAATAAATCTCTAAGTTTATCTTTTGTAATTCCAATACCAGTATCTTTTACAGTAATTTTGAGTTGTTGATTTTTATCAAGAATGCAGCAAATCTCTATGCAGCCTTTTAGAGTAAATTTAAGTGCATTGCTTACTACCTGACCATTTGTTTCCCAAGCATTTTTAATTTTTTTTCCAATTCTTGCCTTTATTTTTAAGTATTTTGAAATAGTATCATAGGGAAAATGAAAGCAATTTCAAAGATTTTATATATTCTGTTAAAGAAATTTAGAATAAATTTGTGTTTATAGATAATAAAATATAATGAAAAAATCTATTTATTACTCTTCGGAATTAGCAAATTAAGCAAAATTTGACTAAGTCTTAAAGGATCGGTGAAAACATGACTTGGCAAATTTGGATCTATCCTTATGAAAACATTCAAACCTTTCTTTTCTGCTTGAATTTGAATTAGCTGAACTGTTTCATGAATAAAATTCCATAGCGAAACATCTGTTTTTTGTGCTGAAAATATTCCAGCCAATATTTTAGAATAATCAAGCAAATCATTAACTAATGATAATAGGATTTTCGATGAAACAGAAATTATATTCAGCTTGCTTTGTAATTTTTCATTACCTGATGCTGAATACTCTTCTTTGATAGATTCTACCAAAAATATGATTGAATTTATTGGCGTTCTCAATTCATGAGAAATCGACCTTAAAAGAACATTTTTCAGCTTGCTATCTGAAACTGTTTTTTCATATTCAATAATATGATTAGCGTTGCTTACAGTTAAAAGGACTGCATCTTGTTCTTCTCATAAAATTCTTTGTCCTCTTCATCCTATATATAAATCTCCATGCTGGCTTAATCCGAGATTAATTTCTTGATTCATATCTAATGTCCTGATAAGGTTAATATCATCAATAAGCTTATTTGTATTTGATAAATTTGACTGTTTTCTTCCTTGGCAATATTCAGTATTCGTCAAAAACGAAATCACTTCTTCAATGCTACAATTTAAAAGCTTGGTCAAATTCAAATTCGAAAATAAGACTTCTTTTTGCTCTGAAATTATTAAAATCCCGTCTGAAAATAGATTAAAAATAAGCTTTACTCCCCCCTCATTTAAATTGGAACAAAAAATTTTGCTCCAATTGAAATGTTAAGAAATGTTTTAAAAAAAAAATTCAAAGACTTATCGAATTAGATTAATAAATTTGTTTAATAAAAATGCTATTTACTCTTTATCTTTTAAAACAAAGCAAGATACAACTAAATTTTTATTATAGTTAGATAGGATGACTGGAACGGGGCTTTTTTGGCTTGCCGGCAAGCCGTTCCAGTCATCCTATCTAACTCTTAGTCAATACGCAACTATTAATTGGTATCAACAAAAATTATTATTTTTATTGATAAAATAAAAAATTAAAAAAAAAATTTTAGAAAATTTATCGATTAAAGTGCTAATTTTGTTTAAATAAGATGCTATTTATATTTTATTCTTTTAAAATAAAGCAAGAAATAAGTAAATTTTGACTTTTTGTAAACATTCGCATTGAATTTATATCAAAAATTATTTAAATAAAAAATATTATTTTTATCTAAAATAAAAAAAATTGTTTTACAAAAATTTATCAATTAAGGATAATAAATTTATTTAAATAAGATGCTCTTTATACTCTCTCCTAAAAACAAGAGCAAGATATAACTAAATTTTTTAATTTTAGTTAAGAAGAAGCATTTTACTTATATCAAAACTTTTTACATAAAAATTATGATTTTTATCTATAAATTTTTTATTATAAAAATTGAATTTTGTTCCAATTTAAAGGGGGTTAATTTACCAAAAAAATTTGAAATTTTATGTATATTTTGTTCCAATTTAAAGGGGGGAAGTTAATCTTTTTTCAGCTTTTTCGAGATTTACCCTCGAAACGAATCTTTCATATGATTTTTCCCTCATCATATATACACGCCATTCACATAAAAATATCGCGATAATTGGCATAAAATTGGATTCTGAATAAATATCAGACCCGTTATTCCCAGTGAATTTTGGAATAAAATGCCACAGAAAATGATGCTTAAAAATCAGCAGCACTCTAATCCAAAAAGATTTAATAAAAGGCATTTCTATGACATTTAGCCCAGCAAAAGATGCTATCGCAAATAGTATTTTATTTTGATTTTCTTCATAAAAGCTCATAAGATACCAAACCGTGAAATTGCATTCCGATGTGAAGATTGAGACTAAGCATTTAGTAGACATAGATTTACTTTCGGCAAATCTGAACAATAAGCTTAATAAACCCTGGAATGTAATTACTGGTAAACAATAAAAAGTTAACAAAGAGTTTTTGGTCTCGAAAATACTATTTAAGCACCACATGATTAATAATATAGCCAGATGGAAAAAAGCAAAGTGTTTTGATACTTGATAATGGCATCCAATGTCTTCTTCTCGTCACAAATTTCTTAATCTATCCATTTAAAAAAAATTATATAGTGACCTTTGAATTATTATAAGAATTAATGCGTGATATTATTATCTAGCTTTCTCTTATTAAATTTTGATCTCTCTCATATTTTCTTATGGTTTGGTGCACTTTTTAAAACTAAATAGGGAAAGCTGCAATAATTGATTATTAGTGAAAGCTAATTATACCCAATTATGGATCTATTTATTATAGATAAGTTTAAAATATTCGAATTTTGTTCTAAAAATTCCCGATCAGCTTTAACTTTGCTCATTTCTTAATAGATGGTAAAATAAAAAGACTTTACCATTTTATTTATGTCAATATCTATAGCTAATTTGGTGTCTAATTATTAATAAAATTGAAAGATTTTTCGTTTTCAAGCAAAATAAGTGATAAAATCAAAGCTTTTGTATAATCAAAATAATTAAAATTTTTATTTTTATTTAATTATAAATATACAAAAATCATGGATTTTCAAAATTTTTAAATATTGATGTGCTTTTACAGAATTTCCATTTTTATGTTGCTAAATAATGCAACACCTTACTAATTAAAACATCAGGATTGCAAGGCTTAATTAAGCACTCTTTCATGCCGGACTCAGTGCACAAAGTTAGTTCTTCTTCAGAGCTGAAAGCAGTATACCCAATAATTATTGGCAAGACATCAATTTTTCCATCAAAAAATAATTGATGGATAACTTTAGTTGCTTCCCAGCCGTTTAGCTCAGGCATACTACCATCCATAATAACAAGTTTATAAGGCTTCTTTTTCCGATCATTTTGTTGGATACTTTCTACAGCTTCTTTCCCTGTGCAGGCCTCATTACAAGAAATTCCATAATGGACAAGCAAGGCCCCAATAGCAATTCTATTAAAATCATTGTCATCGGCAACTAGCACCCTTGGATACTCTTTTTCAATAAGTCTATTAAAATCTTTGATTTGCATTAAAGGAAGATCTTCAGAAATTATTCCAGAGTTTATTTCTTCAATAGGTAGCTGATCTATTAATGCTTCTTCTTGGATATCTACGAGAAAACTAAAAGAAGAACCTTTTTGAACTTCTGAAATTACTTCAATTGATTTTGAGCCAAGTTTTTTAGCAATAGCGCTTGAAATAAATAGCCCGAGTCCACATCCTGATGGATTGATCGTCGTACTGACTTGTGTGTTGAACTCCTTAAAAATATTAGAAAGTCGTGACTCTTCAATTCCTATCCCTGTGTCATAAACAATGACTTTTAATTTTTCTTTTGAAGATAAAATACAACAAATTTCTATATTCCCTTTAATTGTAAACTTTAAAGCATTGCTCAAAAGATTAAGCAAAATTTGGCTTAATCTGAGAGGATCAGTAAAAACATATGCTGGCAGCATAGGATCAATTCTAGTGACTAACTTAAGACCTTTCTTTTCTGCTTGGAGTTTTATTAGATTTACTGAGTCATAAATAATACTTCTTAGTAAGCATCTTCTTTTTTGAATAGAAAAAGCCCCAGCTAAAATTTTAGAGTAATCTAATAAATCATTTACTAATGAAAGCAAAAGTTTTGAAGACACAGAAATTATGTCAAGTTTTTCTTTAAAACTCTCTTTTCCAGTAGCCTCAGATTCTGTTTTCAAAGCATCTGAAAGAGATGTGATAGCATTTATTGGAGTTCTCAGCTCATGAGATACTGATCTTAATAAAATATTTTTAAGCTTGTTGTCAGAGATGGACTGCTCCAACTTAATTATGTGGTTTGCATCTCTAATTGTCAATAATGCTGCTTCTTGATCATCTCATAGAACTTTTTGTACTCGCCATTCTAAGTTATGTGACTCAGTTTGGCTTAATCCCAGTACAACTTGCTGATTAAGCTGCAAATTTTTCACAAGATTGATATCATCAATAAGTCTATTAGAATTTGATAAATGGGAATATTTTTTACCTTGACAATACTCAATTGCTGATAAAGTTGGAATTATATTGTTTTGGCTGCATTCTAAAAATTGCGAAGTAATGGCATTGACATATAAAATCGACTTGTTCTCTGATAGTATCAAAATTCCATCAGGAAATAGATTAAAAATGACGCTAAGTCTTTTTTCAGCACTTTCCAACTTCTTTCTGGATAAAAATCTTTCAAATGAGCTTTTTCTTGAATTTCTGTTGGATAGATCACAAAGCCATATTAATAAAAATGATATTAAATGGGGCATATATTGAGCCTCTGTTTCTTCGAAGTAATAGCTATAATAATGCCAAAAAATTAAGTGTTTGAATAAAATAAATCCTCTTATTCATGGACTTAATATAAAAGGCCATTCGAATATGTTTGTATACGAAAGAGCAACATTGGACAGCAACAATTTTGCTGACTTATATTGGCTTTGCCCTAGGAGCCACCAAATAAAGCAATTATACTCCGAAAGAGCAACCACAAATAAAGTTCTTATATAGGGTCCTCTATTTTCGAAAAATACAACTGAGATATATATTAAAAGCTGAACCAAACCCATTTTAAGGCAAAGCTCTACATACCCTCAGCATTCAAAATCAAATATAAGATACCCAGCTGAAAACAGAATAATCGCAATAGCTGATAATTCAAGTCTTCAATAGTTGAACTTTTTCAATACATGATAATTTTGGATAGTTTCTTCGGGTTCAGGTCTAATGACATTGCCTTTTTGATAGTGTCCATTTCATCGAATTATTTTTGGCCGAAATTTGTTGTAACTTTTTGATAGCGAGACCGAAAAAACCTGTTAACTTCAGACCAAATGCAACACTATTATTTTCGACTAAATGCATTTCGGTGAAATATACACTGTCAAAAGTCCACTGTCATTTGACATGGAGCCAGTTTCTTCGTCCCACCAAAGCCTTTGTAAATTTTCCATTATAAATTACGATTTTTTTATGTTGTTTTTCAAAATTGAATGCTGATATAGTATTTAGACAGTTTTAATATATTGAGATAGCTTAGATAAAATATTATTAGTTTTTATTGCTGTTGATTAAATTTTTTGTTAATTTATAGGCTTGAATCTGAATAATCCTAAATTATTTAAATTTGTAATTAATTATTTTAGAATATAATAAATTACTGAAAACATCACATTTAATGAGCTTTAATTTTTCACTCTAGATCTGGCTAGTCTCCCATAATTTTATATATGAAAATTAGTTGAAATTTAAGTACCAATATAGCATTAAAGTAATAAACCAACATTTATATTTTAATTAGAGAAATATTAACAGTAATAAATTAATCTCTTAAATATAATTTTTTGCAAAAGCAATAGTTAGCCTGCAATAATTTATAGCTTTAAACCAAAGTTTTTAATTACCTTTATATAATATCTTAAGCATCTATTAGTATATAAAGCATTAAAATATGAAATGGAGAAAATTGAATTGAATTATCATTATTTATTTAAAAATTTAAAATTAAAATGTTCTTTTAAAAATAATTTAATAAAATAAAATAATAAAAATCGTATATCATGATATAGCTCATCCACAATTATAGATCATCATCATCATCATCATTGAAAATTTACCGTTGTAATTACTTGATACGCTCTGCATCTTAGACTAGAATTCGCATCTTTAGATAAACATTTGGATTTAAATAATAATTTTCTTTAAATTTAAAATTGATTTATTCTAGTTACTTTTTTTATTTTGCTAAGATGGGAAGCACAAAACAGAAACAGGTCAACCTCAAAGCCGCGAAGGAGGAGGATATCCAAGCCCTGGGATTTGGCAGATGAGGCTTATGTTACAGTTTCAGTACCCCCGTCAACTCACTTCCAAGGATAGATGATAAGGAATACCTTAACTTTACATTGAAATTTTACCTCTCTAAATTTCTTAGAAAGGGTGACGAAGAGATGAAACGGGAACTTTACAGCTCGTTTTTAGTGTCACTAGAAGCAAGCTTAAGAGTCGGAGATGTACTGAGAAGCAATAGGCTACCATCTGGAGATGCGGTGGTAACCTTTGTGGAGGAGGAAGCATGAAAGGACCTGAAGAATAGAGCCAGATTAGTTGTACAATACCGAGGCAAAAAAGCTCACAGTGCCAGCTGGACCAGTGCTCGAGGGTGGCGAGTTCAACTACGTCAGATACAAGATGCAAATCGCGGTTCCGACAGGGATTGCCTTAGATGAAATAATAACGGAGCTAAGCAAATATTGTAGGGTGGTAGAGGTAGTAGCAGACAACGAAGTAATTCTAGAAGAGGAAAGATTCAACGTGCACTTCAGTGCAAACTCCAGGTACATGCTATACGGGGAATTCGAGACAATGGAGAAGGCATTAGATTTAAGCGATGAAATTTTAATTAGAGGAAAAAGGATATGGGTGAACCATGCGGCTAGTCTATACTGCGAGACCTGCAAGGAAGTGGGCCACAATGTCGAAGGTCACGCGAAAATATTCGAAAGAAGATTGGAAAGGAAGGCCAAGAGAGGGCTAGTAGAGGAAAAGAGAGAAGAGGGAAGAAATTTACGCAGAAATGCAGTGGAGGGGCTAAAAAACAAGATGCAAATAGAAGCTACAGATAACGTAAGTAGAATTAGCTATGCAGGGGTAAATGTAAAACAAGGAGCTAATATTGGCGACAGCAGCAACACCAACAAAATAACCTCAATAACCATAGATAGTAATACCAGGTATGCTAGAACAGGCCGGCACCTGACCATCATCAGCACCGGCAGCCTGAATATAGTGAATAGTGCTAGAAATACAAGCAATATTAAGGGCACAGAGATAATCAGCAGCAGTCACAACAACGCTTGCAATAAAAAAGGCACATATCTAACTAGCGCAACTAGCTGTACTAAAGGCACAAGTCGCGCCACCAAGCACGACAACTTCAGTAGCAACAATGATCCGACATTACAAATCATATCGTCAATACAAGCTATGCCACCATTACAAGACATGTCGATGCAGGTTGCACATTCATTACAAGGTATATCACCATTACAAGACAAGCCAACGATGCAGGTTACACATTCATTACAAGATATGTCATCACCACAAACCATGCAATCACTGCAAGCCATGTCAGCAATACAGGACATACCAGCAATGCAGGACAAGCCAATACTGCAAGTCGAGCCAATAGTACAAGCCAAGCAACCACTACAGGACATGCCGACACTACAGGTCATGCTATCATTGCATGACAAGTTGTCACAACTGGCCAAACCGTCAATACAAGTTATGGCACCACTACAAGACATGTCGTCGATACGGGGTGTACATTCATTGCAAGATATGCCATCGCCACAAAGCATGCAGTCACTGCAAGACAAGTCATCACTACATGACATGACATCGATACAAGTTGTCCATTCATTACAAGATATGCAATCATTACATAGCATACCATCACAACGAGTCATACCACCGCTACAAGTTGCGCCGGCACAGGCTAGGATGAAGAATAGTAGCCTCATTGTGGAATTCCCAAAGAGGAGGACCATGACTGAAGCAGGATTTGGGGCTCCATCAGCAAAGAGAATCAGACATGAAAGACAAACCAGGGTCAAGACACTTTCTCACGCGAATATACAAGGGGCCAGGAACAAGAAGCAGCAACTGAGCAGGTTCATTGAAGAAATTGCGCCAGACATAATGGGACTATGTGAAACCCACTGTGTGGACCAAGAAGACCTCCCGAGGATTGCTGGCTATGAGTGAGTAACAAGCCCAGGGTCAGGAAGAAGTGCAGGTGTGGGCATCCTAATAAATAAAGAAATCGAAATGGAGATTGGAGAAGTGCGGACAGTTGTGATAGGTAGAGTAATAGGGGTGGAACTAGAAAGATTTACACTAATTGAAGCATACTCACCCGTGGAAGGAAGTGAAATGATGGAGATAGAGGACTTCTATAATGGTCTGTACGAAGCAATAGCATGGAGCAGGGGGCTGGACAAACATGAAATAATGCTAGGCGACTTCAACGCACATATCAGAGGATGGTGAAACAGTGAAACCAACCAAAATGGGATAAGACTTAGAGAGATGTGCAAGCAGTGAGGTCAGGAGCTGTTACAGCTAGACAAACCTACCCACCTGCACTCAACAGGAGGGGCTTTTTGTCTAGATTACGCTATAATGAATTGAGGGTTGAAAGACAAGATAATAGATTATGATGTAAATGAAGATTGCCCAATTAAGAGCGACCACTTGCCCATAACAGTAAAAATTTGGAACTGAGGACTGAAGCCGTACGAACAAAAAAGAAAGAGAATTCGACTTGACAGACTGCAAAATCCTGTTTTCCTCAAATTATACCAGAGTGAAATAGACAGATGCTTAATGGAAGAATTAGATGGAGATATAGAAGTAACAGACCAAATATATGAAACCGTATGCATGAGGCTAATCAAGATAGCAGAAAGCGTATTGGGTGTAGCTGAAGACAGAAAGCAAGGAATCTTGAGCAGAGGAGCATTGCAGAAGCTGGGTGAAGCCAGGAGGTGCCCATGAAAAGCTCTTAAAGGTCTCAGAAAAGGCAAAGGGGACTTACATTACAAAATTCAGATGGCTAAGTACAGACAGCAGATGAAAGAATTCAAAAAAGAGCTAAAAAGGGTAAAATTTATGAGCTTGAAAGAAAGGAAAATTGAAAAGCAGTATCCAGCGCAAAAGACATGTGGGAAGTGGCAAGAAGAATAAAACAGTCAATGAGAAATGGGCCAACGAGATTCACGAAATCGGAAGAAGGAAAAATAGTGGATTGATGAAGAACTCAATATGGTGACAGAGATTGGGACTGAACGGTCGACACACAAGCAAAGCCACCAACAAGGGAAGAAGTAGAGGAGGCAATCAAGGCACTCAGCAACAGAAAGGCGACAGGTCCGGATGGAGTACCATCGGAGCTGATTAAATACGGAGGACAAACAGTAGTAGAACTACATTGGAGGATTATTACAGATGTATGGAAGAGGAGATGACTTCCAAGGGCAATGAAGGGCGCGCTGGTAGTGCTTCTGCCGAAGAAGCTGGGCTCAAAAGCCCCTGATGACTATAGACCAATTACCCTACTCAACACCTCGTATAAGATTCTAGACAAAATTGTTGCTAACAGACTCGCATTAGAGGTAGAGGCCAAATCAATCATGCACCCAACCCAGGCAGGATTCATGAAGGGGATGTCCACGGCTGACCAAATCTATAGACTAGAAACGGTGATAGAACACTGCAGGACTCACAAAAAAGGGATAATATGTGGCTTCTTGGATATATGCAAGGCCTTTGACACAGTAAGGCACTCAGATTTAAATGAAGTAATGCTCAGCAGAGGAGTAAATACAGACACCATTAGCATAATTGGAGCAATGTACAATAACTGTGAAAGTAACATAATCATGAATGATAGGCTCTCAGACCCAATCAGAATAAAGAAAGGAGTGAGGCAAGGTGGAAGCTCATCACCTATATGTTTTAATCTGATTCCCAACGAGCTGGCATGGGCAATAAGCAGCGCTGATGTTGGTGTCGAACTGAAATCGGGGGAAATGAAGTTAGGCCTGCTGCTATATGCAGACGACATAGTGCTCATGGCGCACACGATGTCACAACTACAACAACTTATGAATATATGCAACACTTGAGCCAACAAGTACTACCTTAAAGCAAACCTGCAGAAATCGTTCGTAGTGGACTACTCAGGCAAACCAGCGAGAGTAACAGTGACAATAGAAGGAAAGCAGCTGAAGCAATTGCCACAGTTCAAGTACCTAGGGAAGGTCATAGGAACTTCAAGGAGTGATAGTGCCTAGGCCAAAGCAACACTAGAAAGAGTAAAATCTGCTGGAAGAGCCACCAAAGTTTTACTAAGTAGCATGTCCTGCATGCCTGTCGTGAATAGATCAATCCTTGCAGAAGCATGTGCCACAATAGTAGCGACTTACGCCAATGAATGTACACAGTACGAATGGAATGGGGCTACACTGAAATGTGCGGAGAACGAGAGGATGAAGCTTGCACGGATTATACTACGTGCACCAACTGGAACTGCGAGGGAAGCCTCTTTGTTGGACATAGGCTGAATTACCCTAATTAACCATATGAGAATGCAGCTTCTAAGATTCAGAAGGAGAGTCTACACTATGAATGATCAGCTCGCGGCACTGATGAGGAATATAAATGCAGAAGAGCTCCTACCGTGGGAAAAAAGATGCAGGAGAACTATGGAGCTACTTGACTTAGAGGAATTCCAAGAAGCGGCAAGACTTGACACGATCGAAAAGAAAAAATGGGTTGCAAAAATCGCTGAAGCCACAAGGAAGTTGAACCTGAAGGAGTCAGTGCTTAGAATGGAGAATGAAACGAAAAAGACAACAAGATTGTATCGACATCTCCTGGAAGGACTAGACAGCACATGAAGACCAACATTCATCACAGTGAATCAACATAATGGTTGTGCAATAGGAGCCATACATAGACTGAGAGCAGGCTTTAACTACTGTAACGCCAATGCAAAGCTACGTCATCTGACGCATAATGAGGCATGCGATACATGTGGAACTTTGAATCGGAAGAGCATGTACTCGTAGAATGCACGAGATACTTGAAGCAGAGGAAAGAGCTACTGGCACAACTAGACAATACAGGCATCGACTGACAAGCTATAGGACTGATACAGGTACTGCTATATGGAGCAGGTTATGAGGCATGTGTGAAGCGACTCCTGGAGATGGGAAGGGACGACATTGTGCAGCTGGCGGATGGTGCGATCAAGAGGTTTCATTTGGATATACTCAAGGACAAGTCGTGAAGGTATCAAGAGGAGCGTAACAAGAGGTTACAAGGTCAAGCTAGACAAAGGAAAATAACGGAGTGATTAAAGAAGAGCCCATAAGGGCTTGAGCGATGCCGAGAGCATTGCATAGATAATAGATAGATAGATAGATTTATTCTAGTTTTATATAATTTACAATTAAATGGTTTTGTGTCTCGCTCTGTATGATGAAAAGTAGCAATTTTGCAGTAAAATGGCTTGGGCCCAATCTTAAGGATCAAAAGCGACATATAAAATAAAATCTAAATGCTCATCTAAATGATGAAGGTTCTAGCCTAAGATATAGAAGGTATCAAATCTATTATAACTGTTAAATTTTTAATGATGAGATATATAATGATGAATAAGCTATAAGTCTAAACTCGGCTTAAAATTAATGTATATTAATTGTGAGAAAATAAATCTCTTAAATGAGGCGCTTTTATGTTTAATTATAATTGCTATGACATAATAGAAGGAAATAAACGGATTATAGAAATAGGAAAATTAAGGTCACTGTCTCTCTGTTAATTTTCTTAGAGGCAAGATTAATAATTTTGATTTTTTTATTTATTAAATTTTATCCTAAATTAGCAGGCATTCATTAAAAATATCCAGGCCATTGCTATCAATGTGGCTAAGCAAGTTATATAATTTTATTCAGCTTGGTAAAGTCTAGGAAATAAAGACTCAAAAAAATTATAATTAATTTTTTTAAATAGTTCTTCAAATTGATTGAATCTAGTTATTTTTTATTATTTTTTCTTTAAATAGTTATGCGATCAAAAGCAAATAAATCAATTCAATGATTTTTATTTCTATATAAAAAGTTTTTCTTTAAGAGTTACAAAATGGCAGATTAAGTCTATTTTGGATTATTAATTATCTATAATAAACAATAGGACCATGTTAGCGATAAAAAATTTTGATTGTTTTATAAACTTTTTCTTGTATTTTTTCTAAGGCAAGAAAATATTAATTTAGAAAATCAGCAATTCCATATTAAATAGAAAAACAAATGTTAGTGCTTACACCAAAACTTAAAAACTCCAATCCAGAAAAACAAAAAAAATTGCATGAAACTTCTGAATTTGAGTTGAAGCGTCTCTATGGGATTAGAAGCACAAAAGAGGGCTTTTCTCTTTGCATCTATGAGATTGATGCCCATCGTATAAGATACGTCGAGTGCATGACTCAAATTATGTTATCACCGTCTACAAGCTTAACTCAGCTTCCAAATTCTGAGCTTTTTTGCTTCGGATCTTTTCCATTATCAGGTGCTACCTGTATAATAGATTTAAAAAATTTCAAAGTCAAAAGGAAACTTCCTGATGGCATTTCTTGCCACAACTCAAAAGGGATTTATTATAAAAATTCAGTATATTTATTCGGAGGATCAAATAGGTGGGGTACACTCAATCTTGCCCAAAAATTTGATTTAGTTGAAAATAGATGGTCTTGCTTGCCTCTTCTCCCAATAGCAAGTCATCGATGCTCCCTTGTGGTTTATAAAGAATTTATTTTGATTTGCGGAAATAATCATACATGCATATATAAGTATGATTTAGAGATAGAAAGCTACTCTGAAGTACCAAATATAAGTTTTCCTAAATATTCGAACAGAATATTATTCACAGTAAATTTAAGGGTTTATGCTGTTGTAAACAAGGTCGGGATTTTCGAAAGTGGAGAATTAGATGAAAATAATTGGACTCTCACTTCTGACAATTACTTTGAAGCTGCCGATACGTATATAGATTTCCAAGAGTCTATTTACTTTGGCTGATTTTTAGGCCAAAATAATTAAATATGGCGTCACTGGAGTTTTCTGGTCTCTTGACCGAGATTTTATCTCTTGCATATTTTTATTATAAGGTTTGATTTCCCTTGGTGAAATTTTCCAGCTGTCCTAGGGAGAACGAGCCGGGTGGTTTTTCCTACCTACCTTAGGATAACGAATTTTCTAGAAGGATGCAAACTTACCCTAGGCGGTGGAGACTGGGACCTTTAGTATGCTGTTTGGACCCAAGTAAGTTCCTGAGCTCAAAAAGAGCCGTCGAAGTCAAACTCCAAGACTGACGTCTTTACTGGTGAACAAAATCCGAGGTGGTCGCACCTTTGTCAGGCCTGAGGAAAATGACGCGAATTTCACCTCAAAGCAGTATTGGGGGTAGTTGAGGTCAAGCAACTTGGTAACCGATGATAAATGTTATAGATTAATTAAGATTAAGATTTTTAGGCTACAAGTCTATTTATTACATTAACATCAACATTAATATAATTATAGAAAAGCTCGCTATTATTCCCGAAGGACTACTCTACCCTTAACGTAACGTCGCTTGCTCGCCATTTCGTGCACGACCTTAAAAAAATTGCTCTTTACCGGACAAGGGCTTGCACTCACATACCAGTAATTGAGTGAGTTGCGTCAGCAAGGTTACCCACCATTGAAAATTCAAAATGGTTGAATTGTCTGGTTGACTCTCGGCGAAAATGGAAATCCATAGCCCAGGGCGTAACTCCTGGTTTCATGCTGGGAAATAGTCTCAATTGGCTAAGATAAACGCCATTGGCTTTGCTGGGAGATCCTTTCCTACTTCCGGACCCATTTCCTACTGAGGCAAAAAAACTCGGCATTGGAGTAATGCTTTCGGCCGGTCAGCCCGATATTGCACTTCATCCAAGAAAAACCTAGCGGGAAAACATTCCGAACGTCATATTCGCTTTCTCAAGGTCCTCGGCACCCTTTGTGATGCCAGATGCAGGAGTCAATAGGGTGGGTTGGTTCACCGCATCATTTTAATGTATATACAAGTCTATTTATTACAAATTTAGCCTCCAAGAAAAAAGAATTGAACAGCTTGAGCCAGAAAGTATAATTTAAAATATTTATTAAGTTATTCGTAATAATTTTTTATTTTTATTCAATCGCGCTTCTTCACACCAAATTTATAAGTTGTTTGCAAGAGTTTGAGGAAATTAGGAGCTCTACTAAGTTTTAAATCAGAAGTTATTTAAGAAATTGTTGCAGGAGTTATTGCAGGAATTTGCTAGGCCAATTGCTACAGATAACGAAGGAAAAAACAGAAGAGAGAAGTTTTGAAGATGATTAGAAGGTGAGCATCGAGAGAAGATCAGCAGTAAGTTAGATAAATAAAATAAAATAAAGTAATTCGTAATAATTTACACTAAAATAAGACAAATCTTTCAAATGCAGCTCAAATTATTTATTTTGAAATCATGATGACTTTTAGAGAAAATAAATATTTACATTTTAGATTCACCATATTAATTACTTATAAGCTTGAAATCAGCTATAATTTTTATCAATAGAAGTTTATTGAATTATAAGTCTGAGGAGCTAGCTTTTTAATCATATCATTCATAAAATCGTTTCACATTTCTCTTTATTCAAATCATTCTTCAATCATTCATTTATATGCAAGTACCACTAAGACAAATATTTTGAATAAAGCTGCTATCTTGACTAGAGTCATCTCAACAAAAAAAAATTATTAATTTAATTAAATTAAAACGTGCTGAGTATTTAAATTCCCTACTTCTCACTGTGGCATTCTGTATGACGTAGTTACCTGGCGGCACAGCCACATTGGGTGGCTTCCATCTCTGGTAATTCCAAGCCTATGCCGAAACTCCTAGTTTCTCGGCATTGGTATTGCCCGATGGGTTTGAAAAATCTTCGTCGAGCACACCATTTCCAACTTGGCCCCCTTCAACCGTTTTGCTACTCCACCCTGCCGATCACCCGTGGCCGGTTTAGGAGTTGTTTAACCGTAGAGAGCATCTTGATCGTCTAACTTGCCTTCCTTTTCCCCAGGTCATCCCAAAAAAATACTCAGCCACTATAAGGCAATTCACCTGCTCCATTTCGGGGCGCTCGACCTGGCAAAAAGATCTCACGAGTAACTATCCGTGTGTCCGGCCACAAACCAAAGGATTTGTGCTTAAGTCCTTTGCTGTAGGGCACCAAATATTGCTGGGCTAGCTCTCGACTCCAAAAAACCATACCCAGATATATACTGATTACCGCCCACTCGTGGACGGGTCAGACATCATCGCCATTTCATATATATATCTCAAAATAATAAACATATAATTTTAGCAGCCATCTAATATACCAAATTTCCATTTGGCAATCATATTCCTTATCAATAATTTGGTGAAACAATGAAATTCCTTTCTCTTTTAGTTTCATGCTGTGCAATCTCTGCAGTCTATGCAGCACTTGGTGTGGATGTTTCATCATTGACAAGTTCAGATGCTTTTAACTGTTTGGCTCAAAATGGTTATACATTTGCAATTGTGAGAGGTTACTGCAGCTATGGAGCTGTTGACCCTAATGTTGGGGACAATATCGAAAACTCAATTGATGGAGGAATGAATAACACTGATGTCTATTTGTTCCCTTGTGTTCCTTGTGGAAATCCAGCAGGACAAGCTGATGCTTTAGTTGATGCCATTGCTGGGTCTCAATATGGAAATGTCTGGGTTGATATTGAAAATTATGCTTGGAGCTCAAACTTGGCTTCTAATCAAAATTTTATTCTGACGCTGGTTAATGAACTTGTAAATCAAGGGCAGAGTGTAGGCATTTATACAAGCTACTATAATTGGCAAAGCATTGTGGGATTAGGATGGACTGGTGTCTCTCAATACCCACTTTGGTACGCACACTATGATGATTATCCAAGCTTTGGAGATTTCACCCCGTTTGGTGGATGGGTTCAGCCTGCTATTAAGCAATTCAATGGTGATACATCAGCATGCGGAGTTGGAATTGATCAGGACTATTATCCTTAAGTAAACTCCTTTATTAAAATTTGTGATCTTCATTGAGCATAGTTTAATCAAGATATTATTAGTTGAATAATAAAAATTAAGCTCTGTATATCAAAACTCTCAAGCTAAAATAAGCCACTAGCATTTTGATGCTGGACATATTGAAGAAAATATAATTATCGAGCAGAAATTTTATTTATTATTCATTTATACACCTTAAAAATCGTTTTATAATTATAAGCCGTAAAAAATATTAGTATATAAGCCTGTGGATTAACTTTATGATAGTCTCTCCATAAATCTTATAAACTTCTATTTTGAAAATATTTTTAAATTTCCCATTTATCTAATTATTTTACACCATTTATGTGGAGAAACTGCATAGACAAACAATGTTTTTAAAATTCTGCTGATAAAGCTATTATCTGTCTTATTTAAATGTAGTTTTAGAAGAAATAAAGTCATAATATTAGCAGTTATACCTCATCACAACATTTCTTTTCTTTATGTAATTTCTTTTATAATAAATTTGTTGAGAAAAATGAAAATTCTTTCTCTTTTGGTTTTATGCTTTTTAATATCTGCAGTCTACGCAGTCATGGGTGTTGATATTTCAGATTACACTGCCTCCGATGCTTTTCACTGTATGGCCCAAAATGGCTATTCGTTTGGAATCGTGAGAGGTTACTGCAGCTTTGGAGGTGTTGACCCTAACGGCGTAGACAATATCGAAAATTCGATTGACGGAGGAATGAACGTCACTGACGTTTATTTATTCCCTTGTGTTCCTTGTGGAAATCCAGCTGGGCAAGTTGATGCCTTAGTTGATTATATTGCTGGTACCGGATATGGAATGGTCTGGCTTGATATTGAGACTTATTCTTGGAGCTCAGACTTGGGTTCTAATCAGCAATTTATATTAACATTGGCAAATGAGCTTGTAAACCAAGGGCAAAGTGTAGGCGTCTACACAAATTATTATAATTGGCAAAGCATTGTGGGATTAGGATGGACTGGTGTTTCTCAATACCCACTTTGGTATGCACACTATGATGACTGGCCAAACTTTGGAGATTTCACCCCATTTGGAGGATGGAATGAACCGACTATTAAGCAATTCAATGGTGATGTAACAGTTTGTGGTGTCAATGTTGATCAGAACTATCGTCCTTAAATAAACTCTTTTATTAAAATTTAGCAGTGTTTATTGAGATTAGCTCTCCTTTATTTTTTAAATCAAGATTTTTTGGACATTAATTAGAAAATTAATTCGCCAATATTTTGAGAGTCAGAACTTGTAAAAAATAAGAATTTATTGATTTATAAATCTGAAAAGTTAGCTTTATAATAATCCCATCACAAATCTACATTAAAAACATTTTGCATTTTCCATTTACTGTACACATTTTACGCCATTTATATATAGACGCCAAACAGTCAGACAATTTTTTTAAAATCCTTCAAATAAAATTATTATCTGTCTGCTTTAATTATATTTTTAGAAAAATTAAATCAAAATGTTGCAGTTGTCCATAATCACAATGTTTTTATTTTTAATGGAATTTCTTTTATAATAAATTTGTTGAGAAAATGAAAATTCTTTCTCTTTTGGTTTTATGCTTTTTAATTTCTGCTGTCTATGCGGTCCTGGGTGTTGATATTTCAGACTACACGAGCTCCGATGCTTTTCACTGTATGTCTCAAAATGGCTATTCATTTGGAGTTGTGAGAGGCTACTGTAGCTTTGGAGGTGTTGACCCTAACGGCGTAGACAATATCGAAAATTCGATTGACGGAGGAATGAATCACACTGATGTTTATTTATTCCCTTGTTTTCCTTGTGGTGACCCAGCTGGGCAAGTTGATGCCTTAGTTGATTACATTGCCGGGACCGGATACGGAATGGTCTGGCTTGATATTGAAACTTGGTCTTGGAGCTCAGACTTGGGTACTAATCAGCAATTTATTTTGGCATTGGCAAATGAGCTTGTAAACCAAGGGCAAAGTGTAGGTGTCTACACAAACTATTATAATTGGCAAAGCATTGTAGGCTTAGGATGGACTGGTGTTTCTCAATACCCACTTTGGTATGCACACTATGATGACTGGCCAAGCTTTGGAGACTTCACCCCATTTGGAGGATGGAATGAGCCTTCTATTAAGCAATTCAACGGTGATGTAACAGTTTGCGGCGTGAACGTTGATCAAGATTATTATCCATTATAAATTCCTTATTAAATTCTATTAATCTTTATTAAGCACAGATAAAAATATTATTAATTAATCAATATTCGAATCATTAAGAAAATTATATAAGTCATAAATAATTAAATATTCGAATTATTATAAATCGTGCTTTCTAGAAGGGTTAAGCTGTGGGCTTGGCTTTAACTGTTTGTAGTCCTTATACTTTAACCCATAGCTGCTTGGAGACTTCAAGGCAGACTCTCTCCACAGTTTATCTTTGCTGTCATATTCTTTTGCTTTCATAAGCTCCTTGAACATTGCCTCCCTCCAAGTTTTAAAAAATTTTAAAAATTCCCCTGTAGAAATCCATGTCTCAACTTCTGCCAAAGGAATCAGGCTTTGGTCTGAAAATCCTTTCTTATTCATAAAATCAATTGCTATGTCTTCAATCATGTCTTTATCTTTTTCCATTCCCTACCTCAAAATTACAGCTGAGTTTATAGCTTGAATTGTTGCATCTATAAATTGGTGCCCTGACTCCCCCCTCTGTGAGCAAGCAAAACCAATTAAAAATCCTTAATATTTTGTATAAGTGATAACTATTATAATGAAATCTCTAGCTAATTCTGTTTAATTTTAATAAGATTAAATTTTAAATCATTAATTTTACAAATTAAATTAGTATTTCTCTAAAATTATTTCGATATCACCAGAAACCCTTTATGGCTTGGGTTTCCCCACGGGATATATCCTTAAGCCCGAGCCATAAAGGTGCTCGGGCTATATATAATTTTTTTACAAGCAGAAAATTTTTGGTTCGCTCACTGTGGTGAGAATTGAGAGCTTTCCGTCTTTATTCTTATCTGCAGATTTATAGTATTTTATATTCAAAGCATAATTTGCATTACAAATAAGTAGCTGAAATGCAAAAAGAAAAGCGACAAATAGCTTCATCGATTATTTTATAAATATGGAATCTTTTAATAAGTTTAACCTTTCAATTAATTTTTATTTAATTTATAAGATCATATATGAAAATTTTCGTAGTATCTATTAATTATTTCCTTGCTTAATCATAAGCTGGAGTGAAATAATCCTGGTCAAGGATATGCACTCTTGCAGTACCATCTTCAGATCCAGTCACGAACATGTGACCTCTAGGGTGGACAGCAACAGAGTGGACAGGTCCGAAATGGCCTCTTACACTTCCGATTTCTCTTTCAAAGATCATATTATAAAATGTGATTTCAAAGCCTCCTTGATCTGTCGCTGTTGTGGTGACATCTCTTGCTTCTTGACCTCCAGCTACCAAGCAATGATATTTAGGACTTCCTTCATTTAGCATTAATGGAGAAATCACAGCGCTGTTCAATGGCCTTTGAGCATTAAAAACTCTTATTTCTTTTAATGTTTCTGGGTCAAGGAGCTTTGCAAAACAATCTCTTGAGGCAGTGATTAGCATGCTAAAGTCTGGCGAAAAAGCTAGACTTGTAATCTGATTTACATGGGCACGGTGGCTTAATAAAAGTTCACCTGTCTTTGTGTCAACAACGTCAATAATTCCATTCTGCGTTCCAAGGACAATAGTCTTGTTAAGATATCCCCAAACTCCTCGATAGTAGTGATCTCGGTCTCTTCTGACCAAATCACGCCTTGAAGGCTGTTCTCTGTTAAGCACGGATTCAAAATCATAAATATAAACCACTGATTGCTTCTTTTCATCACTTTCATAGCTAATCATGAAGAATTGTTGGCTGCCCATTGCGAACTCAACATCTCTCACATGGATTTTTGATGAAAATTCTATTGTTTTTATACCAATTTAGACTAAATGTGCTCATTTTTCAATTATATAAGCAGCAAGTGATAATCTTGCTTATGAGGATACTTTAGTGCCTGTTTCTACTTCAAAAATGAAAATGCCATTGATTGCTGTGCCTATAACGATATATTTTGAGTCTTCTGTGACTGTCATTGTTTTTACTGCTCCATCGCAGGCAAATGTACCTAATCTTTCAACTGGCTCGGACCAAAATACTGAGACTTTTCCATCAAAGCTTCCTGTAAAGAAAAGGTCGCCGTCTTTATTGAATTTAACAGCGATCACAGGTCTTGTGTGGCAACTGATGAGTATTGGCCTCATATTTTATTATCTTACTCTCTCTTATTTTCTTGCCAACGACCTATTTTTTTTATAAAAATCAAAATAATATATAGGGCTTTCTCTTGAATAGCCCGACAACGGGCTGGCTTCATCCGTTATCGGGCTATTCAAAGGAAAATCCTATATTAACAACTATAATTATTTACTTATAGGTAAGCAAGATAGTAAACTCTATGTTAATATTAAACATTTTTTGGAGATGAAACAAATAGCAGCGTAAATCTCTTGAATTTAATTTAAAATTCTATTAAAATGAAAACTTTTTTTATAAATAATGAATAATAACCATAAAGATACAAAAACAGCTTTATGCACATGCAAAATTCTTGAGCTTCATGTTAACAAAAGTAAAAAACATTCATCAAACCAGTTTTCTGGAGCTTTCTTTAAAACATTTAGCTGCCCATCTCCAAAAAAAACCCTTACTCTAGACAAGCAAACAAAACTGCATAATAATAGTTCAAGCTTGAAAAGTGTTTTTGATTTCAAAAGATTAAGGACAGGGTCACCGTTATCTCTAAGGATTGGGCATAAGGACTATCGACCTCTCAGCAAACTTTCTGAAAAAAAGAAATCCTTCTCTGAATTAGGCACGAAAGAAACAATTCCTTCTTCACCTTTTGAGAAATCTCTCTCAATTTCATATTCAACAAGATATCAAAAAAACCCTTCTCTTGTATATATACCTGATAATATATAAATTTGAAATTTTGGCTGTAATTTTATAGGTGAATTATAGTAATTATTTTATAAGAGTGGTGTAAAATTTAATTAATGTTGTATAATGAAATAAGGAAGGATTATAGCTATGAAGATACTTATCAAAAAGATAAAGTCATTCATGATCGATTGTATGCGAAGATAAAGACCGAAACACCTACAAGGCCTCAAACATCAAGGGCTAGAAGATTTAGAAGCTATCAAGATTTTTTACCTTTTAAAACAGCTCAAACAGCATGGCATACACCAAAGTTTTCTATCAGTTCAGCCAGATTGTTATAGATTTATTTTTATTTGAAAATAAATATATAATCAGTTAATATCAATTCATAAAAAAAGCTGCATCATTTTTGCACAAATAAAATATTTGTTTTACTTTTAATTGATTCTATTGAGCTATATATAATATGATAATTTATTATGCTAAGTCCTCCTCCTTTATAAGCAAATTCATTGAGAAATTCCTATTTATTGGACAAAAAGCTGCGCTCCAAGGTAAAAAATTTTTATATAAGATTTCGATATGATTAATGACTGCTATGATTAAATTATTAAATTTATTTTATAATATTTAAAATTTTTTTACATTCTAGAAATTAAATTTAATAAATTGAATTAAATTTTGACTTCCGATTTTGCAAATTAGAATTAATTTAATGAAATTAATGCACATTTTATTGTCAACGATAAAATTTTTTTGGATGGCTTGAAGTAAGCTAAAAATTTTCTGATTTAATAATTCGGCTATCTATAATTATTAATATTTTTTCTTCACTCCTCTTTCAATTGGAGCAAAATATCAATATAAATTTCCATTTTTTGGGTCATAAATTTAATAGGTAAAATTCCATATTTTTTAATAGCCTAATTTAATCGAAGAAGCACAAGTGAAACATCATCTAAACATTTTTGCACTATATCGATTAATTTTTAATTAAATACTAATAAAATAAAAAAAATATTGCGTTAATTTATATATTATAGAGATAATTATTTTAAAGCAAAAATTAAATCTTTAAATTGGAGCAGGATTTTGTTCCAATTTAAAGGGGAGATTAGCAAATCTATTTTGATAAAAATAAAATTTTTAAAATCATCATAAATTGTAAATACACATAATTACAAAAAAATCAGGATAATTTAGAAATCCCATAATAATGATTTCAATCTTTTAATTTCCCATAAAAGCATCATTTATCCTGATATTCATTTTACCTCTTCAAATTATCTTCATAAAAATGAACTGCGACATCTGCACAAATGCTGCAGTGGAGAAATGCTACTGTGCAGGAATCATGTGCTGCAATGACTGCTTAGAAAACCACAAACTGGCCTTACCTAAAATTTCTCACTTCAGTCGGAAGCTTTCAATCTCTGAAAAACCAATTATCTCCGATTTAGAAATCTCTCAGCTAGGTAAAAATAGCCAGAACAAAGAGCTAATTCTGTCCAAAATAGAAGAAGAGATTAGATTCGTAAATGAGGCTACAGAGGACTATAAAGCCAAAATTTCATCAATCATAAGAAATCTCGAATCCCAGCTTGACATAATATTAAGACAGGTTGAAGAACAGAAAGAGGAGACTTTAGAAAAGCTGAATTCTATAGTGAATAAAATCGAACAAATTGACCTAAATGAGTTTAATAAGTTTGTAGAAGAAAGGATGAATTTTGTGGACATTGACTTAAAAGTGCCTCATTTAGAAAATGTTTGGGATAATGTTGAGGTCGAAATAAAATATGTAGGACCAAGTATAGGCTCTGCAAAGCTATAGAATTTTCCCATAGATGGCGCTGTTTGCCCTTGATTTGTTCACTGGGAAAATTTTTTGGTTTCGACAAGTACTATATGGTTTGGTCAAACCAAAAAATTTCCCTCATGGGCAAATCAAAGGCGAACAGCGCCATCTATGGGAACATTCTATATATCATATTAAGCAAGATAAGCTGAAGGTTTATGATGTTTCTAAGCGAAAATTAGAAGTCATGACGATAAAGAATATGAAAAGCAAAGCTTTTTCTGCTATTGTAGGGCTACCTGGATCTGTGCTTGTTAGCGGAGGATCAACAATTCTTGGGCAAGCTGTCAAATCTGTGTTTGAAATAGACCTTAACACTCAAGAATTAATAATCCGAAACAATATGATTTATGAGAGATATTATCATTCTGGCATCTTCGTTGACAATTTTGTTTATGTTTTCGGAGGCATGGGAATAGGTGAAATTACTTCATTTGAAAGATACAATATAATAACATCTAGCTGGGAATTTATGGGAGACCTTCATTTATCTAGAAAACTTCCTGGCGTTTGCCATCATGGGAATAAAATTTTTATCGCTGGTGGAAACAAAGATTTCAGCATAGAAATGGTGAGCCTTGACAACTTTTACGTTCAAAGTATCCAATTGCAATTTCCTCTAAGCCAGCATGGATGCACATTGGCTTCTATTGAAAATGGGATTATAATTTTTCAAAATAAAAATATTTGTTTAATAGGCGATGACGATACTGAACAATCTTTGATGCCTGTTGAAGGTACATTAAACTGGTGAAGCCAATCACCGCCAGTTGTCCAGGATAAAAATATTTACATTTTAAGATTTTCTGATCTTTGTGTATTCCAATTTAATTATGCAACGCCATCACTGACTGAAATTTGCAAGATTGAATCGAATAATAAGTAGCTAAACTTTAAGGTTTTAAATATGGGATAAAAAGTTCTGAGGATAATTATTCTAAAGAGAGGTTAATAAGAATTAAGATAATATGTTATGCTATGTTAAAACTTAAAGCTGCAATGCAGCACTTCTCTCGATTTTCTCCAACAATTCCAACCATTCCAAACAATTCCAGCACAAGAACAACTTCTACAGCAACAGATCCAGCTTCAACTCCCACATCAAGCTCAGTAGCAACCTCAGCAATCACCCCACTAATTACCCATGTGAAAATCCCATGACTTTAATACATCATTGAGTCGCTCATTCTTCAACCAACTCAGCCATCAAAATCTAAGACCTCCACTCTGCCATCTCCTGCTCCTCAAAACTTCTCCACTGAGATTCCACTGCTTTCAACGCCCTTACTTCGGCTGTTTGCTTCCCTTTTTTGACGCGAATGCGCCCTGTTAAAAATATATATAGATATAAGATCATCATAATAAAATATAGGGCTTTCCCTTGAATAGCCCTATACATTTAATTTATAAAGCCTTTGGCTAATAGCGTACCGATTATGACAGTTAAATAAGCCAATGATTATCTTCAGCAGCATTAATTGGTTAATTAAGCTAAACTTTTAAATAAAAATGCAAATTTTAAAAACCTATAATCTAAAATGTCAGAACTTGGTAACTGTAAGTTATATTGCAGATGAAGAAGATTTAGCTGAATTAAAGCGAAAATACTTAGACGCCCCAGCACAGAAGTCCAAGCATGCTAAGACTGCTAAAGACTCCACTTTCAGAGATGTATCTTCTCCACTACTTGGATCAACCCATGCATCCCTCGACCTCCCTGAAACTCTTCGACAACGAATTGACCAAGAAAAAGCCAAATCAATTGAGCTTGACAAAAAAATCTCTGAGTACCAAGAGATGGTCAACCAGCTCAGAAGAAACATGGGAGGTGTTCACAGCTCAGCAGAAAAGCAAAAACAGCTCTCACGTGAGATAAGAATCCTTGAAAACCGTCTCGATAAAGCTGTCCAACGATTCAACCAAACTGTTTCCCACAACAAACAGCTCAGACTTGAAATTGACAAGCTAAGAAAGGATATACCTATTTATCTATGACTACCTATAATTTATATTTCCAAAAAATTCCCAAGCAATTCTAGGTAAATCAGTATAAAAACATCTATGAAGCCACATTCAAAAAACTTCAGGACGATCTCAATAAAAAAAGAAGCGAAATGGCTGAAGCAATCGCATCAGCAGAAACTGCTTATAAAAATCGAGAACAAGCCTTACAACATCTAGAAAAACTAAAGAAACAGAACGAAGAAGAACAAAAAGAATACGAGCAAAAATGGAACGAATTAATAGCACAAATAGAACAAGAAAAAAAGAAAAAAGAATTTATCCAGCAAAGGGAAAAAGAAAAATTAATGGAAAATTCTGTGACTGAAATAAACCCAGAAGACGAATATAAAATCAGAAACCTTACCAAGCTTTCTGAAGCAGAAAAACAGTCAACTAATGAAAGTGTGCAGCTTGTCAAAAGCTATGAAGAAGCATTAGCCAAAATTAAAGCCGAGACTGGTGTAGAGTCTTTACAAGATTTAGTAGATGCCTTTTTAAGATACGAAGAAAAAAATACAGCTCTTTTGAATTTCGTCAATGAATTGACGTCTGAAATTGAGCAGCTGGAAAAGCAGATTGAAGAAATCAAGTCAGAAATTTCTAGATATAAACAAATGGGAGCTTTAACTGATACTTCTAAAAAAAGAATGCTACAAAAAATGGAAGAAAGGCTCGCTAACATGGAATTCAGAAATAATATTAATGAACAGCGGCTTAAAGAGTCAATGAAGACTATTGCATTTATTAAAGAGCAGCTTAAAAGCTTTTTGCAATCTTTAGACCCTGATGAGCCATTACTTAAAGAAATGGAAGAAGAAGCGCTTACTGAGTCAAATATGATGAAGTATTTGGCTGAGGTTGAGCTGAGGGCTAATAAAATTATACAGAGTTATGCATTAATTCAGGCTCAAAAGCTGCAAGTTGAAGCTATTATGAAAGATGACCCAATGCTGCATAGAGCTAATATTGCAGCACTAAATAATGTTATGGCGCTTGGCTCACAGGTGGTGCAAAATAATGCACCTATACAGCTTTTAGTACCAGTACTTCAGGATGAAGAAGAGGATGGGATGGAATTTGACGATGACGAAAATCCACTCAGCGTTGATGAACTGAGAGCAAGGGCTGAAAGACAACTTCAGAACTGGAAACTAGCTCGTGGACCAACTGTTAAAGCCAATAAAGCGCAGGGTGCAAAAAGAACTACGAAAAAGTATATTTTTTGATTCAAATTCAGCCATTTTTTAATATAATTTATCAAAATTGAATATTAGTATATGAAAAAATAAATAATTCATAGATTATTTTTATAAGTTTTTTAAAAACTGTTAGTTATAATTCTTGGATTGCGCAATTTTTCAGATGTTTATCAAAAACATACTTGCTGTAAAACGTTTGTTTACAGTCTTCACAGCTCACTCTAGTACTTCTCTCATGAACTTGTCTAGAGTGAAATTTCAGAGCTGACTGATCCCTGAATTTTTTGTAACAAATTTGACATTTGAAAGATCTTTTGCTGAAGTTATGAATTTTGCCTTCATGCTGATGGAGACCTTTTTCGGTAGAAAATATCTTCGAGCATTCGAAACAGGTGAGCTCCGACTTATCAGAAGGAGGCTGCGGGTTTTCTATTTTGGATGGAATTTCGAAAACCCCTGGCTCTCTTACTCCCCCCTCAGTGAGAGAACAAAAAAATCTTGTTTGCTCATGGAGGAAGTTAATTTTTTTAAAAAATTTAATTTAAAGTTTGATAGACAATTTTTTTTTAAAAAAACCCACTTCGCAAAAATTGGAAAGCAAATATTAATTAATTTGTAAAATTTATGTTTTAAAATTAAAATTAAACAGAATTAGCTCAAGATTCCATTATAAATCAAAATATTTTTCTATAAAAATTTTTATATTAAAAAAATTTTGTTCACAAAGGATAGGTTTTTGAGCAAAAAATAGGGATTTTTCTAATGGTTTTGTTCGCTCATGGAGGAGGGGGAGGAGCTAGGCGTTCTTTTTGAACTTCAGATTGGTGAAGAGCTAGATCTTGAGCAGTTAAAAATGATAAACTGCATGATTTGCATGTTAGTTCTGGAATTAGGCTGATAGAAGGATGAATATCTTGTGGGATTGGAAGCTTCATGGATAATAATGAGATTTGCCAATAAATATGTATCAGAAATCGACTTACATTAATCCAGTCATTTTTTTAAATGGCGTGATAAAGTTTTATTAATAATTATTTGAAATCATATTAAAAGTAAAAGATTTATCCTCATCTTGGAGAGATTGTTTATAAATAAATTTTAATCAATATTATTTGCTTAGTAAGCTATCATAGATTTTATTTTAGATGCTTTATAGCAAAAATCTGATTATTATTTGAAGTTGATTTTGGTAGCTGAGTTCTTAGTTGCTAGACAAAAAACTGAAAATTAACTGCTAAAATATAAAAGCTATAAATGGCAAGATTTATGTTTAGTTGGCGAAAAACTGCGAAAAAACATTTATCTTCAAATATTCTACTTTCTTATGAGTATTGAGAACCTAATTATAAAAGAAATTCTAAATTAAATTTTAATTAAATTGTTTGGCTTGAGACTGAAAAATTTATATATTGCCATTATTTTAAGTTTAAACAGTGATTTTCGGCTAAAAATGTCATTCCATAAAATTATCCTCAGAAACCTAAAAAATCAAAAGAATTTTCCGTGATAATCAGACAAATTGGCTAAAATTGGGGAAGAATTTATCTAAAATACCTTTTAATGATAATATTTTTAGTATTGACTTGCTATAATTTTGTTTTATTAACAGAAAAGAGCAAGAAAATTGTAAAACGAATATTTGGACGTCAAACCTATACATGTATCATCCAGTCTTATAAATTTTAGCTATAATTTATATAAACTGAACGAAAAATGACCTAATAATCCAATGATTTTATCTTTTAAAGACATATAGCATACATTTTATAAATTTCTTAATAAAGAAAATGCTAACGTTTCAGCATTGCATATAAAATGTGGAGACCTTTCGCAGGAAATTTTGCAAATCATTCATTTGACAACTTCGCTCAAAAATACATTAGAGCAGACACCGCTCCTCTTCCAATCTCCCACCCCCAAAAATCAAAAATCGACATCAACGAACTCTACCCTTACAAACACAAAAAAGAAGAACTCGAAGAAAGATACAAAAAATTCCAAGATCTCCAAGAAAAAGTCAAAGAACAGCGAAAAATGATAAAAGAAAGAGACCTTTTCACAAAAGCCAGGAAAGAAGCCAAAATCCGTAATCAGCATTCCCTAATAATCCAAGAGCGTGAAAAGAAAAAGTATGAGATGGACAAAATCAGAAGTCTACTAAATAAAACAAAACCATTTAAAAAGACAAAGCCATACTCAGAACGAAGAGAAAGAAAATCAGCGTCTCGAGCTGAAGATACAACCATTTTTTCATTAACAGCTGCAGATAATCCAATTGTTTTATCTGAAAGGAAGCCAAACAAGTCTCCGTTACCGCCAATTAAACTGAAGCCAATTATGCCTGTAAGAGAATTCCAAGACAAGCTTCTTAAATCAATGAGAGGAAAAGCACCTACATTTTTTAAAGATCTTAAGCAAGAATTCAAAGCAATAAGAGAACAGAGTGAAATGACGTTTGAAGAATATAAAGAAAAAAGAAAAATAAGAAGAAGTGACCCACTTTATTCAGTAAGGAGAAGATCCTCAGAGATGTAATATATAATTATATAAAATAATATAACTTAAGATATAATAAATGCATAATTCTAACTCCCCTCTCTTTAAATTGGAACAAAACATCAATAAAATTTGTTTTTTTTAGGTGCTTAACCCCTCTTTAAATTGGAACGATTTTTTTTAATAGGAAAATTTATAGGTGAAATAATAATAATTTTTATAAAAATTAGTTTTGGGCTAATTTAATGGGAAAAACATTAGAATATTATTTAAGTAGTTTTAACACTGAATCGATTAATCTTTTTTATTTAATATTTATAAAATAAATTAAATTCAAATTATTGTGCTCGATTTATATTATTTAAATATATTTATAGTGAAAAATTTAATATAAATTTTTCTTAAACAAAACATATTAACTCGCCTTTAAATTGGGACAGATTTTTATTCCAATTCAAAGGGGGAGATTAAGGCTTAATTATTTTATTGCTCAATTGTAAGAACGCCCATTTGTTCGTTAAAGTGTTTAGCAGAGTCCAAAAGCTCAGTCACTACTACCACAGTGCAATTGCGATCAGTGTTAGCCCTGATCATTTCAACAGCATTTGTTAAAGCTTGCTTATAGTCCAATTTTTCCCCAAGAATTGGAACTGTCCCTCTATGGATCAAGCTCTGCTGAACTGTCTTAATTAAGCTAGAAATCGTAATAATAGGAACAGGTGGCTTATATTTTGATAGCAGTCTTGGAGCTCTCCCATGCTCTGCTAACTCCCCCCCTCATCCTTGATCGAACGATTGACTGTAAAAAATTCCTAAAAATTGGGAAATTAACCCCCATCCTTGATCGAACGATTTTCATATCATGCAAATTTTTATATATAAAAAAATATATTAGTTATCAAAAGCTTGGGAAGATGTACCTAATGAAGTTGCTTTCAGAGCTTTGAGACAACAGAAAGCTAGGAATCAACCATTCGAAGTGATTTAGTAACAACCTAGGCTTAAAAACTCAATAATCTAAAAAATTGAGATTCTTTAAAATTTAAAATTTTTTAATTCAAAAGGAACAAATTAAAATTTATACAGTTTAAAGGGGTAACTAATAAATTAAAATATTAAAAATTTGGTATTTTTATGAAATTAATTCAATTTTTTTGCTGTAAAAATAATTATTAAATACTCTTAACCCTCTTATTTAAAAGTAAATAAAAAATATATATATATATATTTTTTATTTTATATATAAATTTTTTTTCCCAAAAATTTTTTTTTAACTCCCATCCTTGATCGAATGGCTCTCCATCGTTCGATTAAGGATGGGAGGGAATAAGCATAAAATATAATTCGCTTCCAGCTCAATACAAGTTTTAATCGCACTTGATGCAATCGATTCTGCAATACTTGGCTTTATGCTTGCAATCCAGATTTTTTGGAACGCAGACCGGTACTCAATTGAAGATTCTGCGGTAGCCAAAATATTGGTGAGCATTTCCAAGGTATTTCTTCAGTTATCTTCTTGAAGTATTTCTGAGCAGACCACAAATCCATCAATACCATCAATTACTCCATTATAAACGTCACAAGCATCTGCTCTTAATGGATATGGAAGATTTCTTAAGCTCCCTAGCACATGGCCGCTGATTAAAACTGGTTTTGCTCTTTGTCGGCATGCTGCAATCACTTCTTTTTGATAAGTACAAATTCGCTCTATTGGCATTTCAGCTCCCATAGGGTATCTTGCAATCACAATTCCATTAGTTTTTTCAATGAACTCATAAAGAACTTCACTTTCCAGCTGTTTTTCAATTTTACACAAAATTTTGATATCTTTTCCTCTCAACTTCTCTTGAAGAAACGCTAACTCTTCATTAAAGTTTTCGTTTGAGAAAACAAAGGTGATAAAATCAGCGTTGGTCTGTGCAATGAAATCAAGGTGTTTTATTTGCATTTCAGAAAAATTCATAGCGTATTTGCAAGAGCCATTGATATAGACTCTTGACCTGTTATAAATGACTCCATCATTTTTTATGATGACTTTAATTTCGTCAGGATTGACAGACACTATTTCTCCACTGACCTCGTCGCCAAAAATGATGGTTTGGCCTTCCATTATGTCAGTCCCTAGGACATTGATGCTGATAAAGATTTTTTCGTCTTCGTCTTCACTTTCTTTGTATTCTTGGGCGTCTCTTTTGCCGACTAGAATTGTAAGCTCTCTGTCTTTTTCGACTGTGTAATCAGAAGGAACCCAAAGAGTTCTATTATTTGCAGGGATTTCGAGCAAAGTAGCTATGCTTGAGTTCATGCTTGCAGCTACAGAATACAGTCTGTCTATAAGAGCTGAGTATGATTTGTAATTGTGGTGCAAGAGCTCAATGCGGACTATGTCTATGCCAGATTCAATCATTTCTCTAATAATACTGTCTTCATACATTAAGGCATCCTCATCCAAAGTGCCAATAATTTTAGTAACTCTCCCTTTTAAACTAAAACAATCAAATTTTTTTACAAAAAATTATATTAAAATTCTAAAAAATATTTAAAAAATTATAAATTAAGCTTAATTATTAAAATTAATTAATTTTTATAAAGAATTAATTCAAAACATTTAATCGATCCAGCATGAAAACTTTTAAATAATATTCGATGGACTTTTTCTATTATAAAAATTTAGTATTTTCACCCATAAATTTTTCTTAATAAAAATTGTTCCAATATAAAGAGGGGTTAAAGTGCCCAAAAAATGAAAAAATTACCGATATTTTTCTCCAATTTAATGGAGTAAAGTCTTTTTGATTTGAGTCTAAACATATTAGATTTAATAAATTACTTAAATGTATGATATTAGAATTCTTTGATTAAGCTTCACTGAATGGCTATTTTAATATGAAATCCTAGTAGTTTAATTAGTTTTTTTATTCTTCTTTGACTTCTTAGGTGCGTCTGCAGCTAAAACCAATTTGATTGCGAAGTAGAAAAATGCTCCAAAAACTCCGAAAATTATGAGGATATAGCTCCATCCAAAGTGAGCTAAAGGAAGTGGCTCTCTATTAGGGTTCAAGTCTTCTTCTTGTCCATAATCTCCTTCAGCTGCTTTAATTTTTTCCTGTGCTTCCTTAATTTCGTCAAACAACTTTACCTGCTCTGGAGTCAGCTGGAAGTCTCCTTTTGCTTTGAATTCTTCTTTGTCGAATTTGATATGATTAGTGACAGGAAGATCTTCACTGTTGTGAAATTTCATCATAAGCTCCCTGGCTTCCTCTTCTGAAATATCTTCTATACATTGACTTAACATGTCGGCCACTGCCTTGTTCATCACTAGGTCTGAGATTTCTTGAGGAAAAGATTGGAAGAATGGCTCAAACTCATCCTGGTCATGAGAGAGCTTTGAACGGACCAGGAAAAGACAAGTACCAAGCTTGGTTCTTCTTGCCAATGCATCACTATCTTGGGCAAGGCCTAACTGTCCCTAGGCTGGCGAGCAAACACCTTAGAAAATCCAGTTTTTTGAAAAATGTAATCGAGGAGCAAACAATTTTTTATTTTTTTTTTGATGTAAACAGTATTTTAATATATAGTTAATTGACGATAATAATGAAACCTCAAGCAAATTATATATTAATTAAAACAGATAGTCTCATAAATTAAATTAGATTTTTTGCTTTATGTATTTCCAAAATATTAGAAAAAATTTTCCGCCTTAGTTGACAGCAAGATATTTTACTTTCTAGTCAAGAGAAAGGGAATAAGGTTAGTAATGATAGCAATATAAACATTTTATAATTATTGGGGAAATATTGTGGATTATTCAAATACCTAGGATTTACCAACGATTATTTATTATTTGGACTAAATACTAGCTTTGAAGGTCTGAGTGACTCTTCAATTGATACATTGCTTACATCAGGATGTGGGGCTTCTAAATTCACAATTTCCATATCACTTTCTTGATTTTCTCTCCCTTTTTCTGGCGCTTTATATATGCTTGTTTGTACTGGAATTTCGTCTCCATAGTTATCATACACTTTTACTCCTTTAATAATATTTTTAAAGCAGCCAATGACTTTTTCAATTCCCTCGTTTTCTTCCATTCCTTCTTTCCTAAACAGTTCACTATATCTCTTTCTAAATATCAAAGCAAAAGAATATATATGAGGCAGCAACGTGCATAAATGGCTTAAAAATAGCTCTTCAAGCTTGCCTTTGAAAGGAATAAAAGGAAGGTATTGAGAATTATTTTTAGAGTCCATTAAGTGAATAAATAGTGCAATCCCATGATTTGTAGCGACAAGTGAAGAGCTGAGCCCATTCAAGAAATTAAAAGCTTGGATCCACATATTTCCTTCAAAAAATACAAGAAGCATCAGTTCTACCACTTCAGGGTCAGTTAAATCAATCCCACACGTTTTTCCCCAAAGTAAAGCAGCTGAATATGCTTCTGTTTCGTAGAAGGTTTTTAATATTTTTTTCTTTTCCTCTATAGACAATATATCTTTTGCTTCTGATAAAGAACTGAATAAAAATTACTATAACGACGATTTTGCGTGGTAGAAAAATTGCTTTTCAGGGTCTTCTGTAATTTTAAAGCAGCTTGGGTCAGAAAGCATATCTAGATGCCAGAATCCTGAAATTTTGTAGCTTTCTATAGTGCTAAATAAGAACGAGGCTTTAAAAAGATTTAAATTGCTGTCGATGTTTTCAGAGAGGTCACTGTGATAAGCAGATTTTGCATACTCAGAAAGGTCTAATAGGAGATACTGAAAAATTGCTTGGAAAGTCCTTTCGTCAGTCCCATTTAAAATATCTATTAACTGCTCAACTGTAGGAGGAAACGGTCTATTGTTCACCCAATTATCAATAAACAGCCCGATTTCTGTATTTGATTGTGAATACTGCAATTTTGCTTTTTCAAAAAAGTCTTTTCGTTTAGCCCTTCTTTCATTCCAGTTCCACCCTTCTAATTTTAAATAATGTGTAGCATCTGATCTTAAAATCCAGCAAATAAATTTCAATACATGAATTTTTTGCACGACATTTTCAATATATGAGTTATCACTTTTCCTTATATCAATTGCAACTGCAATATCTTTTATTTGATAGCAATGGCTAAGCATGGTTTCTGCGTGCTTTACAATTCGATAATAGTCGTTTCCTTGTTTTTCTAATATTAGATATTCATCAATTACAAGGGTTTTTACTTCTTCATCTACGTCAATCATATCTTTTTTCAGCCAGGACTCTATTATTGATATATATTCTTCAGGGAGTAAATAGCTGTCTTGGAATTTTCTCAGCATAAATTGGGTACAGGTCAAATGAGTTTGCCTTTTTGATAGTGTCCATTTCACCGAAGTACTTTTGGTCAAAAATTTTTAAAATAGTTTATTCATTTGGCCGAAATTTGACGGTTTTTTTGGTCAAATGTCTCACTATCAAAAATGATTCGAACAAAGTTTCCCCTATGAGATGTCGCACTATCAAATTTCCGCAGTCATTTGACATGGAGCCCATAAATTCACTGACCACATTACTTTTTTTTTCTTTAACTAAAACTGATATAATTGCTGGGTTCATCATATCTTGATAATAAGCCGGGCTTTTTATCCCTGCCTTTTCATACTCCACAAGTATCCTTTCAAGCGTCTCAGGTTTTTGCCATATGGTATGGTCCATACAAGAAGTCACCAAATTCTGTGTTATTTTTTCAGACTCTGACGATGTAATAGGAAATACTTGAAGTTCTGAGCCTCCCCGTCCTAAAATCCAGAGATCACACCCGAATTCAATTTTATTCTTAAAAATAGAAGTTTCGGGGATTGTTATATTTACTACAGAATTCAGTTCATCTAGAGTAAACTCTTTTTGGTCTAAAATAATTAATTCAGTTTGGTTTACTACAGGATGGTAAATAGAAACTTCAAGCTCAGTCCCTGATAAAGCTGCAAGAAAAAGCATAGAATTTTCAAAAACGCTCATTTGTAGGAGGCTGGTAAATCTTGGGTAGTCAATTCTTGCAATTTCAGTGATTTTATTTTCTTCTGCAATCTGTGTGACTGTAAAAGAAGAAGGCTCTTCTCTGAAAACTGCTAGGAGGACTCCTGTGGCGCTCGCAATAAAGTCAATTCCAGTCACTTTGCCACCTTTTTGTGTAAAATCAGGCAGTCGGAACTCAGATAGTTCATCAAGCTCAACCACAACAATATCTCCAGTCCCCAGTCCTACAGCTGCAAGTCTTCCTAAACTATTGATATCATATTTCTAATTATCATTTACAATACAAGTGACGCTTGTTTTTTCAGTCTCAGTCAATTCTTTGCATTGCGCAAAACTCCCATCTAAATAAATAAGGATTGTCCCTTGGTCAGTCCCTACTATAAAGTCAAAATCCTATATAAAATTTACCTCAATGTGTTCTACATAGGTGCATCTCAGCTTTCCAGGGAGAATAACTTTTTTGGTTTGGGTGGAGGCTATGTCAAAAATGGTAATTGATGAAGGAAACTTGTCCTGGCAGACTAGAAAGCAGGCAAAGCCTGAGATGTGGGCAAAGTCAACGCCATTATTTCCTGTGCTGAGGGCACGCATGCTTCGCATATGCTTGAAGTCGAGGATGCTGAGTTTTTATTACACTACGTCAGAGTGGTGCCAGACAAGGCCAAAGCTTTGAGTTGTGCTGCAGAGACCGCTGATGGCAGGAATTTTTAAGTCTTCCCAAGCTCCAAGCCCGCTTATTTTGTGTTTCATTAAGATTACTAATGTGATTAATGGGGCAAATAGGAAAATTAATGAATTTTTATTTTGACTTATTTGGTGATTTCTGCATTAAGAGTTATTAATGAAATGATTAGATTAGATAAGATTATAAGCCTTGCTTAAAGACGGCCGAGGATTCTCACCTCTGCAAATTCGTCACCACACTAAAGGGCCCCGACTGACACCGTCTGCCTCACTTAGGCATCGACTACCTGACTTGCTCCCAGGACGTCCGTTCGCTATCGGCTGGAGCCTGGGGCGTAACTCCCAGTTTCACGCTAGGCACCTGCTGTCTTCAGGGTCCCTAATTCGAGTAGGGATCATACCTAATCTCGGGGACGATGGCCGACTGTGCCCTTCCAATTCCATGCCAGGAGGAAAAAAGCCCATGTCCCAGGTATCATACCCTGTGTCATGAGGAAAACCTCTGCCGGAATAATTAATGATGCCGAACCTGTATCTCGACTTGGTTTCTCCATCTGGGCGTTCCCTGCAGGTGTTGAGGAAATTGCGTCAAGAGGTCGGGTGGTCGTCTCCGCCATATTAATTTATTATTAATGAAATGATAAGTGGCTAACTGCAAAGGATCGCTCCCATATATCAAGATCCCATTAGTTTCTGAATCAATAAAAGCACAAGGCACGTTTAGCAGCCACCCACTTTTATAATCATTTGGATGTGTTGAAAATATTCTTAAATCTGCTATATAGTCCTCTATCTTTACCGAAATAGGCTCAGCACCTAACAATTGTTCTGCTACTGATGGCGATTTGCTTCTCACCTCTGAAAAATAGCTATCTAGCTCCTCCTTCAAAGCTTCAATAAGCCCTTCTGTATTTTCATCATTTTCTATGGTCAAATACCAATAAAAGTAAGTAAATTCTTTAATTTCTCTTCTTTTTATGGTAGCTTTAAACTCATATCCTTCTAATTCAGTTTCTTGAGCAGTAAAAGCAGGCATATCTTTTTGCAAATGAAATTCTAGTTCTAAAGCACAATTTCTCGGAATTCCTGTAGGCTTAACCCAGAAGGGATTATAGCGTTCATCAATATCAGGCTTTTCTCCTGCATAATAGACAACACACATTTCAGATTCTTCTAGCTTAAATCCGTTAATTTCTGCTACTGCTTCACAGTTTTTAAAAGTCTGAGATACCTGATCAGTAGCTATTTGCATTGTGGATGGGACAAGAGGGATAACTCCTGCCATATGCAAACAGCTGTTAACCTTATAGGATTGACTATAAGGTCCGATATTTGCTACAGCCCATGGCGAAATGCTTTGGACCCATGTGCATTTTTTTGCATCTTTAGTCCCTTTCACCATTAGCTTGACTTGGCAACTTTGGTTTGCATATTCACATAGCACTCTGCTAGGTGGGTTAGGAAAATTGAAAAACTTAGAGTAAACAGCATTAAAAGCAGCAAAGTTTCTCATGTCTTTTATGAAAACAACTACATAATAAATCTCTTTCATAGAAAATCCATGAATTTCTAGTATTTCTTCAAGGCCTTTTAGTATCAAAAAGGCTTCATGCTCTATGCTCCCATGTGGCATTCCAAAAGCTGCAACGTCTAGCTCTGGGGTATAAAATTCTTCAATATTTCGGAATAATTTATAAAATTTATGGTAAATGAAAATTTCTGTTATTTATTTTCGTATATAAATAGACCACTGTAAATTGATATAGGATAAGAAATTGCTTCTACACAATAAGGCTCCTTTTCTCCAGTCTCTTTATTCAAAAGAGAAAGCCCAGTAATTTGTAAATGCCCATATGGAGAATAGTCTGGAGATTTATCTGTAACAACTTCTGAGCTTTCAATCACAATTTTATATTTCATAATTGGGGCATCCAAAATCAAGCTTTCGTATTCTCCGCCTTCCCCACACATATTGAATCCGTATTTCTTTTTTAAGCCATCAAAATAGCTGATAAGGTCTGCAATTCTTTGACCGAGATGTTCTTTGCCAAGTCCCATTGAAGAAATTTTGATTAAAATGCTATCGAAGCCTTCTTCTACCATTTTTATGAGGAGCTCTCTTTGGTCCATTCTCCACAGTGGAGCAATGCTGGATAGTCCTAATCTTGAGCAGATATTCTCAACCCTGGCTCTTTGGTAGTCACTAAGAACTGCTCCGCTTACAACAGAGTCTATTTGAGGATATCTATATTTTGCTTCTTGAATTAGCTTGAAAAGATCTTCTATTTCGTCATTTTCAGTTGGGATATATGCAGATTCTTTATTTATGCTTTTACCAATAAGTCTCCTGGTAACTATGTTGGTTCCTAATGATTTTGCGATTGCTGGAACTAAAGTTGTGCCAACTGTTTGGAACATATAGCTGTCTTCTTCTGAAGCACTGTATGGAGGACCAATGATTGTGTACAAAGAAAATGAGTCAAAAATTTTAAATAGCATGGTATTTGATCAAAATTTAACAATTTTTATTGGTCAGATTTCTAATAATCAAAATATTCGCAAATTTCCCAATAAAAAATGTCCACGTTAAATATACGAGATCTATTGACATGGAACCGCACTGTATAAGTTAGCAACACATACTAATTCATGGCCCATTTCTAAAGCTTTGGCAAGTGCATAGAGAGAATCTTTTCCTCCACTTAGTAAGGCCACGAATTTCATATTATAAAATTTTTAAAACACTGCAATTAATTATTTCTATTAAAATATTCATAAAATATATATGTTGTTACTAATAATTTAGCGGGATGCTTAAAATGATAGACAGACTTCCTGTAAAAAGACTGCATGAGCGCGCCATGCTCCCAACCCGTGGCTCTTCTGAAGCAGCAGGTCTTGACTTGTATGCTTCAGAGCCTCTTATAATCCCAAGTAAAGGAAGAGGCCTTGCAAAGACAGGAATTGCAATTGCGGTTCCTCGAGGCCATTATGGAAGAGTAGCTCCTAGAAGCGGGCTTGCTGTGAATTTTGGGATTGATGTGGGCGCTGGCGTAATTGATAGTGATTACAGAGGTGAAGTAGGGGTTGTTCTCTTTAATTTTGGAGATCAAGATTTCGCTGTGAATCCTGGGATGAGAATTGCACAATTGATTATTGAAAAAAATGTTAAAATATGGCTTCGGTCGAATTTCTGGTCTGCTGACTGAAAATTCATATCTTGCATATTTTAGTTATGAGGTTTGGTTGGTGAAATTATCTCAGCTATTCCAGGGAAGCAAGAGCCTGGTGGTTTTTCCTATCGGATTTCTGACCTTAGTGAATCGAATATTCCAGAAGGTGCTTCTTTCCAGGTGGTGGAGACTGGAACCTTTAAGGTGCTGTTCGGACCCAAGTAAGTACCTGAGCTCAAAGTAAATCGTTGAAGCTCATGACCAAGACTGGTGTCTTCACTGGAAAACAAAGTCCGAAGTGGTCACCCCTTTGATGGGCCCTAAATAAAATGGCGCGAATTTCGCCCCAGAGCGTTATTGAGGGTAGTTTGGTCGAGTAACCTGTTAGTGAACGCTATACTTGTTATAGATTGATTACCTAATTGTTATTGAAAAAATCGAAGTTCCAGATGTTGTAGAAGTTGCTGATCTGAATGAGACTGTAAGAGGAGATGGAGGATTTGGTTCAACTGGGTCGAATTAATTTAATTAAAAATCAGAGGTCATTGGGAAAAATAATTCAATAATGATTTTTATATAATTGATTAGTAGAGACCATTTAAAATAAATAATGAATTAAGCTAAGTTTTTAAGTAGATCTTTAAAAGCTAATAAAACTTGCTAAAATGAAAATTTATTTCTTTAATAAGAATATTTATATCTATAAATGTTGCTTTTAATCTCCTTATTTTTTCAAGCAGCATGCTATACTTATATCCCATTAGAGGTTCACGAAACCAAAGCTCAATCATCTACATCAAGCTCAAAAAATATTCAAACAATATCTAATTCACCCACTTCTATGGAGAATTTCTCAAAAAATTGAATATCAGAATACAGCATATCTGTGAAGATTGGAACTCCTCCTCAATTTTTTAAGCTCCTCATCAATACGGCCTCATCTTGGACATTTATATCAGAACAGCGGTGTCCTGGCTGTAAAAAACCTGAGCATTTATTCAATCGAACTGCTTCTTCCTCTTATAGGTTTCAAAGCAAGTTAAACGATTTTTCCTTTGAAAATTTTTCGACGACGTCAAAATTAAGTTCTGACCTTATGAGCCTTGATAACTCCAAAGATCAAGTCAATCAAATTTTCTTATTAGGGTTTGGGGATACAGAGATAATCCTCCCAGAGTCCAATGTGGATGGATATTTAGGACTTGGGTTAAAAAACTGGTCTTATAGGACATTTCCAGAAAATTTGAAAATATATCAATCTGCTGAAAGCTCAGCATTTTCAATTTTCTTAAGCAAAGATGAGTCCAAAATGGCGTCTAATATTATTTTTGGAGGGTATGACCTGAAGAAATATGCAGTTGAGGACAGTTTTGCTGATGTAGAGATAGCTGAAAATGACGACTGAAAAATTAAGGTAAGCTTGATAATGTTTGGGCATGTTAAAATTTGTGAAAATCAGCTTGCTTTGATTCATACAGGAATTGATACAATTTTAGGCCCAGAAAAACAAATTGAAGAGCTTTATAAATATTTATTGTACACATATTATTGCTGGGAAGCGATAGATAGCATTAGATGTCCTATAATGCCTAATAATAAGGAACCTTATCCAATTTTATATGTGTACATTGAATCTCAGGAGTATTCTATTGACCCTTCAACTTATTTGAGAGAGATAGTTGATGATCAAATGGGTAACGTCCTCTTAGTATTAATAAAAAAATCGCAAAATTTATTCTGAAGCTTGGGCCATCCTTTCTTGAAAAACTATTATATCGTGTTTGACATAGAAGAAAAATCAATTGGCTTGGCTAAATCATTAAATAAAGGAAAGATAGAGAACGAAGAAACTCAAGAGACCCCGATTGACAATGATTCTCCAACTGCAAATGGGGAATTATCATCAGTTTCTAACGAAGAAAGACTGATTTATGTATCTATCATATTTCTCTTGCTTATTATAGTGCTGATTTTATCAATAGGATTGATTTGGTGCTGCCTTAAAAGAAGTGAAATGATTTATATTGATCAGGAAATTGAAGATTAATTGTAATATTTTTAATTAGTGCATTCAGAGATAAGATTTTATTACCACACTATAATGATATTAGATCTTTTTAACTATTATAATTCTAAATGTATTTTAAATTAAAATATGCTAAAAATCAAGGCCAAATTAAAGTGCCATTAATTAAAAATGCATATTTTAATTTTTTTTCAAAAATCAATGTAAAATGGGTTTGGCAGAAATATCCTCTTTAAATTTTTATTAAATTATTATAATTCCGCTAAATATGAAGGACTTGCTGTTCCAGTTCTCGAAATAGGATTACTATTCGGAATGAAAAGCCGCTCTAAGAACTTCGGAGAATTAAAACCAGAACTCGTCCCTTTATCTTTTGCTAAATAAGAAGCCATCGGATTACTCAAAAATTTGTCAGCAATTTCCATAACACTTTTATCACTGCCACTCAAATCAAGCGATCTCACAACGCCACTATTTGGCTGCAAAGGGCTATTTTTTCCAGACGGTAAATGAATAAAGATATTTTGTGCGTCCTCAATAGAAATCGTATTCGGCTCTTTTATCCCTTCAGTCATTATCATTTTCTTCTGATGTTTATGATGGTGTTTATGGCTCTTCTGCCTATTTTTCTCTTTTAAAGGCCCAGTTGGGCTGAAATATACATCTTCATTATTTCCTTGTGGAACAAAATCAACAATCGCATTTATAGGCAACTCAGAAGTTCTTTCTGTCTGTACTCCGCTGCTCATTTTTTCAATTTCAGTGCTTTTTTCTACAAGAGAATTTCTTGACGAATTCATTTTAATTTTGTATAGAGCTATATCTTTATGGACTTCGTTTTTAATTTTTGAACTTACATATCGAAGATGGCTTGGAACCTTTTGCTGGTTCATTGTTTTTGCGTGTTTCATTAGCTCCTTTGGAGAGTAATCAATTAAATTGTCAGAAATCTTTTCATTACTGAAAGAATTCCTGCTTGGCTTGTATTTTACTTCAGTTGAGCTTTTCCGGGTTTGAGAAATATTTGCTTTATTTTTAGAAAAATTTGCTTCTAGCTTAAGCTGATTAAAAGTGCAGCCATTAGGAAATCGTTTGAATACCCATTTGATGCCAAGGATAATGCTAACTTCAATGCAGCTTCTCCATTGATCTCTAGGAAACCAAGCTAGGAATGCGCTGACTTCAGGGATTTTATAAAGATCTTCAAGCATAACTTATTAATATAATTTTAACATTTTTAAATTAAGGATTTAGCTTGCTATTTAATAGATGATCTTCTTCAGAAGAGTCAGTGAAGACACTTTCTTTAGAATCTCTATGTCTAATAGCTCTTTTATAAGGGTATGGGAGATAATTAATAATTTCTTGGACGCCGTTAAAATATTTCTCACTTTCTTTGTGGAGAGATTCTCTGTAGGATTTGGATTTAGGATTTAAATTTTCACTGCAAAGGGAGCCTGAGCGAGATTTGCTGGCCCGCTTGTAGGGGTTGTTAAGAGTTGGGATTCTATTTAAGAAGCCTCTATAAGGATTTGTGAGATTATTTTTATCATTTTTGGAGGATAGAGATTTTTTCTTTTTGTGCCGAGATCTATTTGAATCAAAAGTTTTATTAGGGTCCATTTTTTCTCTTTTAACTGTGTAAAGAGCTGCTGCTTTTAGTTTTTTAGCTTTTCTTGCTTTTTTTAGTGATTTTTCAATAATATTTTTGATGTTTAGGTGGTTTTCATTGTTGCTTGGTTTTAAATGTTGCTTACCCATAGATACTCTTTTTTCTATTGGAGAAAGCCTAATTATCCACCTATTCTGGTTCGCCTTTTCTGCAAAATTAAATTCTTGGTCTTTTATTTCAAAAACTCCTCCATTATACTGATAAGTGTTATAGTCAAAAGTTTGTTGTGCTTGGAAGTTATCAAAGCTAATTGGCAGAGGCGTGGTCTTTCTTTGCTCCATCTGAGTTTTTGGCCTTTCCACAAGCAAACTTCTACCTGCAAAGCCATTTCTCAATGGATAGCGCAAGCTATCATCATAGTTTGTTAATTTCTCCATATAAGGATTATAATTAATTATTTAGTTTTCATTTGTTTAAGCTGTTTTTGAATTCTTGCAAGATTACCTCTACATAGCTCTAGCTCATCCTTAAGCAGTGCAATTTGTTCATCTTTTTCTTCAATTATATTTTGAAAATTCTGTATCAGCCCATCTTGTTCTTGAATAATTGCCATAAAATCAATTTTCGGGGCTTCTTTATTTTCCTGGGCATCTGACTGTCTTATAGAATCCCTTGCTTCTTCGATTTCTTGTGGAGTCAGCATCATTGACATTCTTTCTAAAGGTTCTTCACTTTCTAACAGTTCTTTTAAATTATCAAGCTTATCAAGCAGCATTGTTTCTCTAAACTCACCTGAATCTGAAATGTCAGGAACTTTGCTTTCATCAACAGTTGGGAACTTTCTTAAGCCATCATTATTTGATTTAAATAAGATTTCTGAAGGCTTATAAGAAATTCTGGCTATTGATTGTCGGCTTCCTGGGGTGCTATCTCTCATTACACTTAAACGGACTCTTCTTCTATCATTTAGCTTTGAGTTATTTTCTGTGAAAATTTCACTTTCTGTATTTAATCTGACATTTTCTGAAACTAAAATCATCGACCTCAGCCTTTCCAGCTCACTTTGTAGCTCAAGCTTCTCCTGGACTAGATTTTCCATTTTTGAGTCCAGTTGGTCTTTTTCTTCTTGGATTGTATGAAGTTTCATTTCCATTTTGATCATTGCTTCTTTATATCCTTGGTTACCTGCTTCCTCAGCTAGCTTAATTTCCATTTCTCTCAGTTTTTCTTGTAGGGTTTTTATTTCAGCTTCATATTTTGTTATAAGCGCTTTGCTGTCAATCACTTCATTTTTCACGATCACTTGTTTGATTTTTTTAGCTCTCTGGGCGAATTTAAGGGTAGATAAAGATTCTTCATAGGCATCTAGGCTTGGAGAAATATTACAAATAATCACGACTTTGGATTCTCCATCAAGTGATGGCTGAAGCAGCCTTGTTAGTTTACTATCTCTATACGGTATAGGAGCATTATTTGTTTTGTCACTTAGCCTCATAATTACAGTTGAAAGGGTAAGCAGACTCTATATATTTTTTACCTTGTTAATAAAGCTCATTTCTCTAGTCCTATGTATTGAAGCTGCAGTCCCATGCACATTAGCCCCTTCACTGCCTGCTAGATCTATCAAATTTAGCGTCGCCACATTTAAATCAGCATTCCCATATTCTCTATTTTTGGACTCAATAATCATCCTAAAAATCGTATGTGACCTTGAGCTCCTCATATTAAAATTTGTGCTAGCTATTTGCTTATGTGTTTCTCCCATATAAAGCAAAGAATTTACCTGGTTGACAGACGTGCAGACTGTTTCTGTTGCCCCTGCTACTTTTACACCACTCTAGTTAAAAGATACCTGCTTATCTTCTTGTATTTGAAGATTTAAAAGATTAGGGTTCAATAGATCGTTTACACACTCATTGTAGACTTCTAAATAGGAACATCTAAGTAAGAAACTCTTATCAGGAGTCTGCTGGATATAAGTGAATATTGTATCAATTGCTAATGGGACGATCCCTGGGTTGTCTTTTCGAGACCCTTGCATGGTGAAAGTTTTGCCGCTTCCAGTTTGTCCGTAACAGAAGATGCACCCATTGTAGCCTTGTAAAGCTTTCCATATGACTTTTTCACATATTTCTTCATATAAAATCTGTGTGCTTGTATTTTGGTCAAAAACATTGTCATATATGAACATTCTTTCTCCAGACGCTTCTTTTATAGAAGTGGGGCCTGGGATTTCCCAGCCACTTTGAGCTGCACCTTCCAGTTCTCTTGCCACAAATGGTCGGACCCTTACGGCAACGGTAAAATGCTCTTCTTTATGATCTTCTTCCATGAACTATTAATAATTATGTCAAAAAATTTAGAGCTCACATATCTGCAAAGACAATTCCCTAACAAGATGAACCCAGACCCTTGAAATCCTGACAAGATGATCAACTGTTCAGTTTTGGTAGAAAGATATTTCGATTGTGTAGACAATCTCAATGCACGGAACATAAAATCCTTAAAAAATGCGTGTCCACAGATGAAAAGATTTGCGACACTTTGCTATAAATTAGAGCCTAAATATTTTTTGGATTCAGTTGGAAAAGAAATTGATGAGGAAACTTATTTGAATTTATATATAAGTAAGCAATTAGGATATGAAACAAAGAAAAGAAGTATTTGGAAGTCTAAGGAACATAGTAAAGAAAAAGATTAAGCTAATATTTTAGGTATATTAATCTGTTATTTTCTTGAAAAGCCAGTTGAGCTGTAAGAAGAAGACCTTCTTGTCTTGTCTAGAGGCGGAAGGTCAGGGATTTCGCCTTCTATTAGCTGTGGGTGGGATCTGCAAAATTCTTCGACTCCTCCAGAAAGGAGATAGACATTCTCATAGCCCCTTTCAGAGAACTTTTGTGCAGCTTCTACACCTGGTCTTTCGTCCCATGCGTAAACAATAATGAACTTCCCTTGTTGATTTTTCAGTCTGAAAACTTGTGGCAAAATCCGGTCTCTCGTCACATTGGGGGAAGGGAAGCTGATCGAGTCTTTTATATGGAATCGATTATACTCGTCCTCGTCACGCAAATCTAATACGACAAATTCAGTTTCTTGGTTCACGCCTAAGGCTTCGGTGTTTACTGTTACTACAGAATAAGCAGATGGTGCTTCACTTACGGCCATGCTATAAATACTTGCAGTGTCTTCGATTTCTTTTACTTCTTCTCCGTCTCTGGCTAAGTCGTAGATGCTTTCTTTTGTGCTGGATTCTTCGATTAGTTTGGCAAGGGTTCCACAGCGAATTCTTCTGAAGAGCTCACCTCGTCGCTTGGCAACTGTTTGGTTGCTTACTCCCCTCCGTGAGCAAACAAAAAAATTTAGTTCACTCATGGAGGGTGTTATAGAAATTCTATAGTAATTTTTTTTCTTCAAAATTTAAAAAATTCGCAAAAATCGGAAAGAAAAATATTAATTTAATTTGTAAATTTATTTTTAAATTTAAAGCTGTTTAAAAATTCAGCATAATTAGTTAAAGATTTAATTATAATAATTATCACTTATATATTAAATTTTTTTTCGCTCATGGAGGGTGGATTTTTACCCCAAAAATAGGGATTTTTAAATGGTTTTGTTCGCTAGCAGAGGGGTAATTAGAATTTCGACCTGGCGCATTGTTTTGCCTGTATTGATGACAGATGTAACTCCTTCGTATTTAGGGTTCTTTGGGACTTTTTTTTGGATAGGCTATATAAGAAATACGTCAGATTTGGGACGATACTGGGTTGGTCTCTTGTCTACCATTTTATTTAAATTCTTATTTCTTAGGTTGTGTCAAACTTATTTATGCCTATTTATTTTTTATATTTTTTTAAATGTAATAATAATTAGGGCTAAAAACTAATATTGTTATTTGCCTATTTTTGAACTTTACCACCTAAGTGTGGAATCTTTTCCGCTTGTGAAAAGATCATTCCACATGTGAAGCCCTTTTGATTTCACATATGGAATCATCTTTTCACAAGCGGAAAAGATTCCACACTTAGGTGGTAAAGTTCAAAAATAGGCAAATAACGATAATTTAGAACTAGCATCTACCATGCTGACGGGTATTGGCTACTATATGGATAATTTATAGGTTTTTGATACTACTGGCTAAATTTCTAGAAATTTTTGGCTGCCTAAAAACTTAACGAACATTTCCTTTTAGCCACTAAATTTATTATTCATTAGCATAAGCAAAAATCTCAAATAAAATTTTAGTTTCCTATCAATTGAAAATTTTTGACTCAAGACTGAGATCTATAATAATTATTTATAGAAAAAATCACTGCTAATTACAAATGCTAGAAAGGACTGAAATTTTTATCTTCTTGATATCTTTTATTCTTTTCGGCGAAATCGGTTTTTGAGATCTCAGCAAAACTTCCATCTTACTTTTAATATTCGGCACCGGAGGAAAGCTTTGTCTTACCATACTGTAATACTCTCTTTCTTTTTGCAGCCTTTCACTGCTTTTTTTAAGTCCTCTAAATATATTTTACTTACTCCCCTAAATGAGCATGAAAAATCAGAATTATCCAAGCAAAAAATTTTTAATGTAGCCATTTTTATATAATCCCTTGGCTAAATTTCTTATGGCCGTTATACACACCATTTTCATATGAATTTCAAATTATGAATTTGCCATGCTAAAATCTGCATTTTGAAACCTATATTTGGTCTCCACATACCAAATTCAAAATGGCATGCATATGCATGATAAGAAATAATTGAAACGCATCATATAATATATTTGACCATTGATCGTAATATATCTACTAAAAACATAAATTTATTTTTAATTCAAATTAAATCTGATAAAAAAATTGAGAAAATTTTTCGACTTGAGTTATCAAACTCTAAATCTCGGAATACATGAAGCTGTGAATTTTCGTGATAATTTTTATCCTCAATTGAAAGACTCCTATCATTAATCACATGCACAAACATCATATCATTAGAAATTTGCTTCAAAATCACAGGAGGGGTAAGATTTTTTCTTTTTCTATGTAAGCGCTCAGTGCCTTCTCTGCGTAGGCGAATTGTGTTTTCTGTTTCATTTGTGGAAGCTTCGTTATTTAAATAAGAGTTTAAATTGGACTTCTCTGATGGGAAGTACATCTCAGTAGCTTTATTTTTGTAGAGATTGAGGGGAGTGTCGTATTGTATGGAAACGTCTTTATGTCGTTGTGTTAGCTTTCTAAATGTGTCAGTTTGCTTTTGAGAGTCATCTAATGATGAAGAAATCAGGTCTTTGGACTTTTTGTTGTCTCCAGCCCAAGATACGTGATTTTTTAGTCGATTTAGTTTGGTTTTTGAGCGCTTTCGCAATTCTTCAATGTATTTTTCTTCAACATTTAAATAATGAGCAATGGCGAGTTGGGATTGCTCTTTTTCTTGCTCTTCTTTTTCTTTTTTGTATCTCTTAAGCTGCTCTTTTGCGGTTCTTATTTCTTCGGCTTGCTTGGCCTTGTTTAGCTTGAATTCGAATGCTCTATTTGGGTTAGGCCATAACATCTTTTAACTTTTTAACTAAATTGTCAAATTAAGAGAAAAAATTCTATTATAATTTTAAGCAGGACAAGAAGGCTGCCCTCTTGATAAATCTGTAAAAATTAAAATATAATAGTAGAAATAGTTTTATATTGAAACATTTATGAATATTAAGAAATTTATAATATACAAAATGCTAAATTTTGGGACTCAAAAAGAAAAGATTTCTAACTCCTCTCCGTTAATTGGAAAATTAATATATAAAATAATTTGTTTATATGCAATTATTGAATATATATAATTATTTTACTTCATTTTTTTAAAATTATGTATGAGAATTATCAAAAACTCAATGAGAATTTTTTAATCAAAACATTAAGCTCTCCTATATTTTAAAAAAAGCTCAATAAACCCTGCAAAGCAAAACAAAAAAAAATTCTCATCTATTTTTAATCCTATATCCCCCATTTTAGCTAGATCCATTAATTAACTAATGTTCCCACTCCAGAACTCAGCACTTCAAAAATTTTTCGAATTCAAACGAAAAGGCACCCAAACCAGTGTTTTGACAGCAGCCCAAGTTGAAAAAATCCTCGAAAAAAATCGCCAAGAAATTAAAATAAAGCTCGAAACAAAACCCGTCCCAATCAAATTAGAGCCTCCAAAACTCGAGCCAAAATACGAAGACGACGATAACGCTCCTCTTTTTGCCCCAGAAATGCCAAAACTCGAGCGTCAAGAAGAGTGCCACAACACAATTGCCCTTGAGCTTTTTACCCGTGACGATTTACTAATCAAAACCAGCATGTTTGCCTCTGGAACTTTACGAGACGCCATTCAAAAATCAGCAGGAATTTACTGCAAAGAAAGTAACGGCTGAGTAATCCCTCTAAAAATGTACCAAGAATTCCGAAAAAACATCAGAAACCTCAAAGGTCTCACAATTCAAGAACTCCCTGAGTTCGTCGTGAAAGGCTTAGCAGACTCTCGCCCATTAAGTACAAAACGATGCCAGCACGATTATAGCTGTGAGACCATAAAAAGAACAGGAGATCTTCCAGAATCTTTACTAGAAAAATTATATCCATTTCAACAAGAAGGCGTACAATTTGCTTTACAACACTATGGAAGAGTTCTTATAGGCGATGAAATGGGTGTCGGAAAAACTATACAAGGGGTAGCTATAGCAGCTGCTTATAGGGATGAGTGGCCTGTCCTTGTAGTATGCCCTGCTTCTATTAAGCTAAATTGGAGAGATGAGTTTATGAAATGGATCCCTGACCTAGAAAGAAAAGATTTTTACCTTTTGCAAAGCAAAAGGACCATGAAAAACTCTGCGATTGTCTGGATTGCGTCATATACGATGGCCACTCATTTAGAAACTTTTCTGAATTCGAAGTATTTTAATGTGGTGATTGCTGATGAGTCTCATTATTTAAAAAACTACAACGCAAAAAGGACGAAATGCTTGCTTCCTTTCCTGCAGAAAGCTAAAAGAGTGATTTTGCTTACTCCCCCCATCTTTGATCGAACGATTGACTGTAAAAAATACCCATCCTTGATCGAACGATTTTCATATCATGCAAATTTTTATATATATATAAAAATATATAAGTTATCAAAAGCTTGGGAGATGCGCCTAATGAAGTTGTTGTCAGAGGCTTTGAGACGACAAAAAGCTACGGAACCAGCCACCCGAAGTACTTTAGTCATCAACCTGGGCTTAAAAAAACTCAATAGTCTAAAAAATAGAGATTCTTCAAAATTTAAAATTTTTAATTCAGTAAGAAACAAATTAAAATTTTATACAGTTTAAAGGGGCAACGAAAAAATCAAAATATTAAAAATTGGTATATAAAATTAATTCAATTTTTGCTGTAAAAATAATTATTAAATACTCTTAACCCTCTTATTTAAAAGTATATAAAAAAAAACCATATATTTTTTATTTTATATATAAATTTTTTTTTCCCAAAAAATTGTTTTAAACCCCTCCCTTGATCGAACGATGGCGAGCCGTTCGATCAAGGATAGGGGGGAGTTAGTGGGACTCCTGTTATGTCAAGGCCTGCTGAATTGTTTACACAGCTTTCTTGCATTAGGCCAGATATATTTTACAGTTTCCGAGTTTTCGCTGAAAGGTATTGTGACCCCAAAATATTATTTACTCATACAGACTATTCAGGGGCTTCTAATATAAAAGAACTCCATACTTTATTATCAAACACCGTCATGATCCGTCGGCTTAAATCTGATGTTTTGCGTCAACTCCCTGCCAAGCTACGTCAAAAAGTCGAAATCCCGGTCGTTAACGAACACTGCAGAAGCATTAGAAAACTTTATTATGAAGTCAAAAGAAAGAAAAATTATTTCAGAGAGGTCAACCAAGATGTATGTGGACTAGAAGCTGAAGCAGCTGCCAAGAAAATGGAAAGCGACATGTTTATGTCAAGAGCTTACAGTTTGACTGCTAAAGCTAAAATGAAAGGGGTATGCGAGTATGTAAGTTATTTAATCCAAAGTGACTGCAAGTTCATTATATTTGGACATCATATTGATATGCTTGATATGATTGAAGAACAAACCATAAGGGAAAAAGTTAAATATATAAGGATAGATGGCAGCACCTCACAGGAGCATAGGTATAAAGGTGTAGAAGCGTTTCAAACAATGACAGATTGTAGGGTAGCTATTTTAGGGATTTTGGCTGCTGGACAAGGTATCACGCTAACGGCAGCTTCTACTGTGGTGATGGCTGAAATGTCGTGGACTCCTGGAGTCATGATCCAAGCTGAAGACAGAGCGCACAGAATTGGCCAAGAAAAATCAGTCAACATTCACTATTTATTCGGCCCAGGAACGCTTGACGAGTACATCTGGCCTAAAATCCAGCACAAGCTTTCAGTCATATCTGGAGCTCTCGACAACAATAAAAACACGGCTTTAGACAGCTTAATAAACCCTGAAAATAGGCTCGGCATGGGTGATTTTGACGCTTTTATAGACTCAGAAATCCCAGAAGACCTTTTTCAAGACGAAATCGGCGAAAAAAGAACACACGGCGACATAGAAAGTGACGAGGAAGAAGAAGACGTCGAAGAGCCCACTGGAAAATGCGACATTGAAGAATTTGATGAATAATTCGTGTTTAATAGTAGAATAAATAAATATGGTTTGGTGAGTCTACCCTTATGCATGCTTAAACATTGACTGTGGGTGATTTGAATGGCTCAGAGCTCTAAGACGAGCTATCTATACAGGTGAAAAGAGAGCTGTTTTACTGCAAAATCTCACCAAGGCGTTTTCAAATGAAGATAATGTAATAGTCTCTATTAGTGTGCGCACAGCTTTTGATGTGTATTTGCAAGCGTTGAATATTCCGAAAGGGTCAGAGATATTGATGACTGCGATTAATATCCCTGAAATGGTAAGGGTAATAAAACTCCATGGGTTTGTCCCAGTTCCTGTAGATGTCGATGTCAACACGTTGGCTGTCACACCAGAAAGATTAGAGTCAGCAATAACTGATAAAACAAAACTTATCCTCGCTACGTTCACTTATGGAGTTAGATATGATTTGGCTGGAATTGCGAAGGTTGGGAAAAAGTATAACATACCAATTTTCGAGGACTGCGCTGAAGGCTATGTTGGGCCAAGCTATAAAGGAGACCCAAATGCTGATGTTACTGTATTCAGTTTTGGGCCGATAAAACATGCTACAGCTTTTCAAGGCGCTGTGATGATTATTAGAAATAATCCTGAGATCTTGCAGAAAGCAAGAAAAATACATGATTCTTACCCAGTTCAGTCAGGAAAAATTTATCTCAAAAAAGTCATAAAATACTCAGGAGGGATTGTGCTGCTAAATTTAAGGTGGCTGAATTATATACAACTAACTCCCCCCCCCCCTCCGTGAGCGACAAAAAAATTTTGTTCGCTCACGGAGGGGGGTTAATTTTTTTTTTAAAAAAAAATTTATATATAAATTTTATAAAAAATATTTTTTTCGAAATTTAAAAAAAATCCTAATTTGCAAAAATTGGGAAGCAAATATTAATTTAATTTGCAAAATTTATGTTTTAAAACGCAATTTGTTTAAAATTAAACAGAATTAGCTCTAGATTTCATTATACTAATTATCACTTATATATCAAAATTTTTTTTTCCATTAAAATTTTTTCTATTAAAAAAATTTTTGTTCACTCACGGAGGGTGGGTTTTTGGTCAAAAAATGGCGATTTTTCTAATGGTTTTGTTCGCTCACGGAGGGGGGGGGGAGTAAGACCTATTTTACTCAATATAGGTTTTGATTATAAAAAAAGAGTTGTCTCCTTATTAAGAGGGTTTGCTCCTGGACAAGGTTTAGAAGTGTATAGATTTAGACCATGCACTGCGATGATTTCTTTTTTATATAGAAGAATAAGCCATTTTGACGACAAAAAGTTCTACAAAGGCATGAAAAGCATCCAAGAAGGGACTGATATTTTGATAAAAGGTGGAGTTACAGTGCCTGGGTCAAACCCAAAAGACAGAACTTTTTGGCTTTATCCAATTGTTACTAAAGATGCTGCTAAAGCTTATGATGCTTTAAATAATGCTGGTATTGATGCTTATCAAGGGATATCACAACTATATGCTGTCCCAGTTCCTGAAGGATCAAAATGTCCCAAGCCAGATAAAGCTTATGAAATGTTTAAAAATTTGCTATATCTTCCAATTCATAAAGATGTCCCACATAAAGATATAGTGAAAATTTGCAAGCACACAGTAAAATTGTTAAATCCAAAACTTTAGACTTTAATGGAGATTATTTTGATAGAAATTAATTTACTTTAAATTAAAATTTGGGACTATATGTCAGGGATTTCAAATAAAATGCCTTTTCTTTCTTCTGGCTTGGCGTAATATGCTTTAATTAGCAAGGTATAGCAGTATCCTAGTGGGATCATCATTAATGATGCAATTATTCAGCACGGTAAAGCTTCAGATCAATTAATTAATTAATTAATCAATTTATGACGTTCGCCTTAGCAGCACTGGCTAGTGATTTGCACCTATACATGCTCATCGTCCCTGAGGACCCCGCAAGCATCCGTCCCTCCGCCAGAGGAAAGTCTTGCACAGTTGGATTGAAATTCTGGCTTGAAGCCCAAAGGGCTGATTTCCCGGTGCACAACTCCCAGTATCATATTAGGCACATGCTGTCTAGGGTCTTTCGGGATTCTTATCACTCTACCCATCTTGACCTTTGCTGGCCGTCCCCTTTTCAAGAATCTCTGGAAGTAAAAACCCATCTCTCAGGGATTATCTCTCTGGAGTATGAGAAAAACCTACAAGACCCGTTTCTCAGTTTGGTTTCCCCACCTGGGTGTTCTCTGCAGGTTCTGAGAAAAATTGCACCAAAAGGTCGGGACTGGTCTCCTCCGCCATATTAATGCACATACAAAGCTTTAGATAATTTATGCCAAAGGTATTAGACTAAAAGCATTGAGCGGATTATATAATAATACAAGCAGATATAAAAATAATTTATCTGAAGCAAGTATAAATCCAACGATTACTATTACAATTGCTGTAATTGTAAAAAATATTGTTACTAATATAATTCACATTGGGCAATTTTTGAATTTATGGCAATTTTCTTTATTAAGTTCATTTAAATTTTCTCCTTCACTTTTAAGAGATTTTATTTCTAAGTTTGGAGGGATTAATATCTCTGGCTCACATTTTTTTGGCTCTTCCTCGTCTTCCATATATAATTCAGTATTTTATAAACATTATAATTTGGAATTTTTAAAATATAGCAATGTTTTTTGATATTAGAGATAAATAAAACGCTTTTTTTTCGAGTGAAATGAGTTCTGCTAATAATACTCTCATGGAATTTGGTTTGACCAAGAGAACTTCTGCGGTTTAACATTAGCCGCATAGGCTAGAGGAATTGCAATAAAGAGACTCAAAGCTTCACCACTCAGCTCACCTGAGGAAGGTGACCTTAGGCCTAACATATACAGGAGCTAAGGATGACTGCAAATACGCAGATTGATGGTACAATTAGGTTTGTGGGGTCTTGTTTTGGTATTCCTGCCCATATAGTATGTCATTTTAATGACAGGATAGCTCGTGGACGTCACTACTCGCCAGGCCAAGACCCTCTCTTTGGGAGTGGCATTAGACCTTAAATGCCTAATTAAACTTGTAAGCTTATTTTTGATATTAAGTAAAATTACAAAAAATTAGGATAAAATAGACTCTACTTCAAAAATAATCAATAATGTGACTATGATTTAAAAGTAGATAGCAAACCATTTAAAGTAAAAAGTAAGCAATTGGTTGAAATTTTTAAATTACTCTACCTTTCAGCTCCATTAAAATATTTTACATCTAAAAGTAAAAGCTATCCTTATGATTGCTTATTTTTGCTGGATTTCTTATAAAATGCATATTGTAAATTCTAGTAAGTATTTCTCACTATTAAAATCAATTAAAAAATGAGAGCACATAAAATTATCACAAAAATATTTTAGAAAAGAAAATCTTCTAATCATTAGCTTTAAAATCACTTAATAATAAGCCCATAGGTGCTGTTCTCTATTAAATGAGGTGTAAACGATCTATAATAGACTCAACTTGGAGTATGACATTTAAAGCTTTGCTAAATCTAATTATTCCTCAATAATGTATTTATATATTCGTTGCAGATATTTATATTTCCAATAAGATCAAAATTCAATAGAATCGAGATATACGTACCTATAAATCCCATTCTAACTATTAATGGAAATTTTAATTTAAGGAATTTTAAAGCAATATCATTTATTTTAAGCCATACTTTCAACTCGCCAGAATCCATTTATATCTTTTCCAAAATGGCAGGAAACTTCTTGCTGTAGCGAGTTAATATACTTTCCGAAATTTGAGCGCAAGGCCAATCCAGTGTTTACATGGATCAGAAAAACTTTTTGCTCCCCAAGCCAAGGGTCAGCAGGGTTAGCTCCTTCAATTTCAAGCTTTCAATCGTCATTGTCGTCTCTATTGTCGCACTCTCCATCGCACATTACTTCTTGCTGATAACTTGTTGGTGAAAAATGCCAATGATCTGATCTCAGATATTTGCGAGTCCCAACATGATAAAGCCGAATTATTGAGTTGTTCAATACTGGCTCACCTATAGAGCAATTCCATAAATCAGTGCCTGATGGTCCTTTTACAATCCACCAGTCATTGATGTCATTACTTTCGTAGCACCCGACTTCTTGCTGGTAAGACCCAGATGAGTAGTTACTATAGTGAGAGTGTAAAACTGATCCAGATGCTACGTGACGAAGCTTAAATGGCACCCCATACCTCACAGCCTTCTCTGCATTATCTATGTCTTGATTGACTACCATATTATTATAAATGTTACTGACAATAGAATTAAAATGAATGTCAGAATTTTAATAATATTACAAGAGCCTAACAATATTAATTTTGAAAATACATGAAAGAAGAGCATTGATTACTTAAAATTAGTAGTATTTTAGCTATAATATTGAAAGTGCAGCCTGATGAAAAATTTACTGACTCATGGTTTTATTCAATTTTTGCTTTGAAATGATTAGCTAATTAAGTAATGATTGGTAAAATCTTAAAATTATCATAGGATTTCTGATGAGTTATAAATCAATTTTACTGAACTCTAAGCAATATAAATTTCGTTACTCCCTCCCCCGTGAACGAGCAAAATATCAGAAAGATTCCTATTTTTTGCCCAAAAACCCAAGCGACAAAAATATTTTATGAAAAAATATTTTGATATATAAGTGATAATTAGTATAATGAAATCTCTAGCTAACTCTGCTTAATTTAAAACAACTTGCATTTTGTAACATAAATTTTACAAATTAATTACTATTTTTCACGAATTGGGATTTTTTTAAATTTTACTATAAAATTTATATTCCAGAAAAAAATTCTCCTCCGTGTGCGGACAAACATTTTTGTTCGCTCACGGAAGGGGAGTTAGTGATAAAACATTTTATTTAATAAATAAAAGTTTTTCACTCCATAAAGCATTTTCTAATCATACTTAATATTATATTTATGCGCTTATTAAAATCTTCTCTTAAAAATCATAAAATTCCTTACTTCAGCTCATTCCATCAAAAATACCCTGAAAATGCCACAATCGGTACTCCATAAAGCATCCCTTTTTTGATCGTAAACCCTTCCGTAAGTCTCTGTATCCTATACTTCAGCACATCACTTTTTAAGCTCGCTTCCCTTAGTATCACCATCGCTCCTAAAAATGGTAAAATCAATAATTTTAATTTTTCCGAGCATTTTCTGCAGGTATATTTTCCTTCCAATTCTTCCTTGATTTTCTTTTCTATTTCTTTATCCATAAATTATCATAAACTTATGACAGTTATAAATAAATGACAACAAATTTCAAACACCTTCCAGGCTATACAGGCCACATCCCATCTGGCTTAGACGAAGAAGAAGGAATAGGCAGAAACGCTAATCAAAGCCACATTCCAGGCTACCAAGGCTACATTCCTAGCACCAAGTCTGAAAATCTCTTTGGAGAAACTTATGGAAAAATCACTCACAAATCATTAGCAGGGGAATTCCCAAAAGGCTTGGACACGGACCCAAAAGATAAGTATAAATCGGCTTATAGAGAACAATTCATTAACTTAAGCACTGTAAAAGAAAAGACAGCAACTGAAATATTAGGCGTTCAGCCTAAAAAAGGGAAAGATCCAATTGTTATTCCTATTGAAACTCAGTATAAGTTTTGGGCTATTGAGGATGAGGATAGGGAATTTAAGGCAGCGACCAATGCGTTTTTTGGGGACAGTAAAGTGAATTTTCAGGATAATAATAAAGGAGATGACTTGCAGACCACAGCTGAAATTTTCTTTGGGAGAGAGCAGCAAGAAGAGCCTATAAAGCATGGAGAACCGATACCAGGATATACAGGAGTTTCCAGAAGAGTGGCTGCGGATAATATTTTTGGGCTTACATATGCACAATCGAGGGCCTCAGCACATGATGGATTAAGTGAGCTGAAGCAGGAGCAAAAAGAAATTCTCAACCAAAGAGCGAATTTCGTACCTGATTATAGGAAATAAATTAATACTTTAAGCAAATTATGGTATTTTATCAATATTTCATAAATTATTGTGATAAAAATTTTGCAATATTAGTGCTGAGTGTGTTAATTTTATTTTTTAAAATTGTTAAAATCACTATAACTAATTAAGAAAATTTGTTCGCTATTTACGCATATTTTATTGAGATTATATTTTTTAGCTTCTAAACTTAGCTGATCAGCTATCTCAAAGTTTAAAAGAAAGAATGAGTTAGCTTGATTTAGCATTCTGTATGCTACTTACTAGAAAAAAGTTTACAATAAAAAATTATAAATCAAGTTAATGATAACAATAATTATATAGAAATTATATCTGGATCTTATAGGATATTCACCGGATTCCAACACGTGTGCAAATCTTGATTAAGATTCTCCAAAGTTTCCATATCATGTTCACTCAACTCGAAATGGTCTAACTGAATATTTTCAAGTATTCTTTCTCTCGTCACACTCTTCGGAAGCACCACAAAGCCTTTATTAATTCCCCACTTCAAAAGTACCTGAGCAATTGTTGCACTTCTTTCCCTAGCAATCCTAACAACATCTCGATTACTCCACAATTGTTCATTTCCTCTTGCCAATGGCGAATAAGCTTCAATTTGAATATGGTTTTCCTTACAAAATTCTAATAAATTTTGATTTTGGCACAAAGGGTGATATTCTACTTGATTAATGTCAGGAATAATTTCTGCATGGTCCATTAGCTTTCTTAGATGGCTGACAAGGAAATTGCTGACTCCAATTGACCTGATTTTATTTTCTTTTTTCAGCTGCTCTAGTGCCCTTCATGTATTTAATCTTGTTTGTGCATTTTTGGGGTCGTTTGGGCTATTTCCTGAGACTCCGGGTCAGTGAATAAGGACTAGGTCAAGATAATCTGTATCCAAATTTTCAATGGAAGAAAGGACTGCATTGTAAGCGGTGTCATAGCCTTGAAGGTTTGGTGGGATTTTTGATGTGATAAATAATTTTTGCCTTTCATATGGCTTTATGACTCGGCCAATTATCCTTTCGTTTTGGTAAAAAATAGCTGTATCTATGTGTCTGTAGCCTACTGATAAAGCGTATTCAACAGCAGATTCGCAGGGTGGCCCTTTCATTTGATAGGTTCCAAAACCAATTTGAGGGATTTCTATACCAGAACGAAGAAGAATGCTTTTTTGAAGGATCGCCATATTTTCACTTAAAATGAAATAATTTGACCTATTTCTTTCCAAATTTTAAAATTTTCAATAAAATTAACAATAATTAAGAACATAAATAAAATAGAAATTTAGGAAAATAAGTTAAAATTCAGCATTATTATAATTATAATTTATAAAAGGCATTTAGAAGCAAATTTTTTAAATTGCAATTTATCAAATTTTTATTACCAAATTTATTGATTTTAAAATTTCTCTATATAATTATTTATTTTAGTCTTCCCAAATTGAAATGTAAAATATCTTTATATTTAAATTAGCTTCAGAAAATTGCTTTGGCTTTAAATTTAATTTATTTCTATTATTTCGGCAGCCGAGTTTTGTTTATTAAACTTCGAAGGCATAAAGCATTTATCGCTAGCTTCATTCCAAATATTAGAAGCCCTCGGCAGGCTTTCACTATCTTCTTTATTTGGAGGAATAAGGCCCACATCATGCATTAGCTCCATATCGCTCTCATTCTCATTCTCGCTTTCACTTGAATTTATATTTCCAATTAGTTCTTCTTCATAATTTTTCTGCATTAAGCTCTGTACTTGTTGAGGCATCCTTAGTTCTTCTATTTTCATTTCACTGCTTCCTGGCTGTTGATCATTTAAATTTTGCTTATCTTTGCTGTTCGCTGGATTTCTTTTTCTTTGCTTGCCAGAACAACTTTTCATGCAGAACTTTACGTATTTTTCTAGTTCCCTACAAATTCCAGCTGGCAGTTTGTCTATGTCAAACTCAAACTGTTTTCCATTAATGTCCATACATTTTTTCACTATTTCGAGGACCCCATTTAAAAATCTTTGGTTCAGCTTTTTTATGTCTAAACAAAGTTTTTTTTTCTCTATAATGGTCATTGGCTTTTCATTAGCAGCTCTTCGTTTTAGTTTTGGTGTTTTTATATTTTCTGAAAGCTCTTGAGAATTATTAGGTAGATTTTCTGAATTATTTTCTGGTTCTTTTTCATCTTCTATCAAAGTGATTGGCTTTTTGTTTGCAGTTTTCCTCTTTTTTCTTGGTGTTTTTTTGGCTTCAATAGGCTCCTGAATATCATTATCTAAATTTTCAGTTGTCTTTTCATCAGCTTTTTCTTCAGATTTTGCCTCTGGCTTTTCTATCACCTTTTCTATTGATTTTTCTATTGGTTTTTCGTCTATTTTTTTATGCTTTTTTGAATAATCATAATCATGGCTCAATACCAAGCTTTCATTTCCTCTCATAAGCTTTTCAAAAACAGAGCTTAGTACTAAAGTAATTTGGTAAAGCTCTGATCCTCTTTTATTATACAAAAATGAATTACTTCATAGCAATCGCATATCACTAGCAAATTGATAGCCTATTTCGTATTTATTTTCATATAATTTCGTTTTGATTGTAGATAAATCAATAGGTTCTTTAACTTTTGAATAGTAGTCAGGGTACTCATTTAGGTTAACTGGCTTTCGAAAACTTGCGGACGCAGGGTCTTTTATTATTTTCTGAAGAATTTTTCGGATTGTTTTAAATCCAACTGACATTGTTGGCCTGGCTTCTCTTAAGATAGGCTTACCATTTGAAAGCTTGACTTTTTTATTAAGGGCTGGCTCGATAGGTCTATCATTAATTAGTAGTGTTTCATCTTGAACTGTAAGTTGAGAAAAACTTGTGTTTTAGGCTTAAATTTTTTGTTATACATTAGATCATTCTTAAAATCAGTCTTAATACAGATCCAACCCAACACAACAATAATAACCTTATATTCTCCCGTAATGGCGTCTAAAAAACATTAGCATCAAAATCAAGAAGACGTTGAGAAAAAATGAAAGGAAAAGAAATTTCAATAAAATCGAAAAATTTTCAATAAAATTGAAAGAGTTTTTAATTGAAGTTTATATATATATTAGTCTGCTTATTAAGGTTAAACGCACTAAAATACAAATCTTATCGACGCCATCAATAATTCCTACATTATAATATACATGGAAACTTTTCGAATTCGAGATCTTATTTTATCGCGAGAACTTGGAGTAGGAGCGACTCTGAGTCTCTCTGATGCATCTATTCGGAGTTACAACTGAAATAGTCAAGTAAGCTTTATTTAGAAATGGCTCACTCATGAAGCTGATTCACTTGCAATGGCTCGTTTCAAGGGAGTAGTTTTCTTCAATGGCTATGAGGACTTTTTTTGCTCAATCAATGAGGAAGGTAGCCTTGTTTACCACCATTCACCAAACCTTTCAATGTCTTTAAAGCTATCAAATGCAAATGAGAACGCTATTGGTATTGAAAAATTCGGTGACTCTCTATTATTGATTGTATCAAAAGTTACCAGTGACAAGGTCAGGTTTTATATGTTTAGCATATCAGACCTTAACAATAACCTCATAAGGCGCGTCAAGGTCTTCACCTTTATAGACATCAGCGACACGATCACCCAGCTTGCAAACTTCGTAGACAATTACATGGTCATATGCGCAGGTGACACCTTTTGGCTTCTTGATGGTGAATTAGGATCATGTGCGTATAGCTGCGTCCTACGCGAGGGTTACAAAGCAAAGTACTCAGGAGCATGTTTAATAATATGCGGCTTCAGAAAAAATGGTCTCAAGTTTGAGATTCGCGAGCTGAGCACCGGCAACACCTACCGCATCAACCTAAGGACACATGGAACCTTATTTTACTGAGAGATAATAGGTAGCTACCTAGTTATTGGATATGATGAAAACAAGTTAATTAAGACAAATTACGTTACTTTAGAGAGCAGGACATACACGAAATACCATCCAAGAACTTTCTTCAGGCCTAAATCTTCAAATGACGCATTAGTATTTTTCGACGAAGGTCGAGCTGCCTTCCTCTCGCACCTTGATGAATATATTATAGTAAAATCCTCTAGACTCACTATCAGTGACGCCAATGGCTATGTTTTTGTCCTCGATCAATTGAGATCACTCGTCATTATAATCTCAATTGAAACCCGGCAAATTGTAAATACTTTTAATTTGCCCATATTTGAGGATCAAATTAAAGGCTTTGGCGTTAATAGGGACACCCTGGAAATTTACGTTGGGTTTAAGAATGGGAATATATTAGTTATGGGCTAGATGGCTTGAATTGCTTATCTTTAACTAAAAAGGTTATAACATGAAATCTTTGTTAATATTTAAATTTAAATTTATTGAATTAACTGAAAGCATAGTCGTAGGTTATTGTTATTCTTATATTATATTCAAATTTTAAAAACTTTAAATTGGAGAGGTTTTTTTGGGGATTTATGGGTTTCATACTGGATAATTGGAATATTTATTTTTTCGACAGATTAGCTTAGATATGAGTATAAAAAAAGTAAGAATAAAAAGACTTGACTTAAAAATAATTTCATCTAACTAAATCGCTGGCATATTCTCCAAACTGAATAAGAATGTCTTAAATTTTCATACTAAGGCCTATTCTTTAATTTTCGAAGCCGAAGATTCCTTTCAAAAAATTTAAAATATAATAAGCAATTTCTTTTGCTACAATAATATATGTGACCTTAAGTTCTTTTCTCTCTCCTAATAAAGCCTTTATCAAAAACTCTTCAATCTCTCAATTTTGACTTTGCTATTCAATTCTGAAAATTATTTTAATTAAGAAGCCTTTTTTGAATTATTTTGAATATTAAATGAATTTCCATTTAAAATGAGGAATTTAATTTAATTTTAAGTTTTAACTTAGCAGCATTCTCTTTTATAATGTGCAGGAACTTTAACTTTTGCAATTGATTTCCTATTTTTCAATGAATTTGGAAGCGAGATAACAGCAGTGTACATTTTGGCAATCGGCCCATAAGACCAGCTCTTTAAAACAAATTCATCTTTGGGCGTTGCTACACACATATAAAATTGTTTATCAAACCTATGAACTTCTAGCTTATCAATTTCTTCCACTTTTAGCTGCTTTATGAGCTCAGCATCAACTAAAAATAAAATATATTTTGTCGTCAAAATTAATATGAGGTCTTCTTCTTCAACTATATGAATATAATAAATCATTTGTTCTCCTTTATGACCTTGAAGATTCTTTAAAAGCTCCTGGGCCTCTGCTAATTCACTATTATAAGCTTCCAAAATTCTTCTAGCGCCAAACTGCCTAGGAAATCGAACTCTTCCCAAAGTTTGGACTTTTCCTCTAGCTAATAGAATGGCAGCTGATGATACTCCTCCAGTAATTGTGGACCCAAATTTCAAAACAGCGGCGACAGGTGAGACAACGAGACCTGCGACTCCGGAGCCAAGCCCTTTGAAGAATCCTTTGGCTCCTCCTTCTTTAGCACCTTTCCATGGTTTTGTGAAAACTCCTTTAATTCCGTCAGCTACATCCATAACTCCGCCTTTAAACCCTTCATACATGTTTTTTCCAATATTGTCAGATTCATTGATTTTATGAACGTCTTCATCATTTCCTCCTACTTGTTTTACAACTTTATAAAGAGACCCAGTTATTTTTGAGACTGATCCAAAGCCGCCAGCTATAACATTTCCTACTAAATTAAGAGTCTTAACGTATTTCAAATTTGATGTCTCCGCTCGCTTTCGACCAACTCAAACCCATAGCCGCATTTGGAACACTCTACTATAGACGGATTAGAAAGACGCCATGTCAGTATGCTATTGGATGCTACGGAGTAAAGTCTAGCCCAATACCTCTTTCAGCCACTTTTGGGAGAGGCGACACCCGAAAAAAAGAACCACAGCCCTCCTAAGTCAGCAGGGAAAGAACCTGTGGCCCAAAAAATCATCGGATAACTAATACTTGACTGGAATGGTCGCCAGCTTACTCCCCAAGGTTTATCCACTCATCCAGCCCTAAAGGACCCGAGCCTTGGTTTAGGTATAAAGCCATTTGGCACCCAAAGTGGTGAGTCGTCGGCAAGGACATATTCTATGTCCAAAGTGATAAATCATATACAAGGACTTATCTTGTCGCCGCCATCATATTATTTATATTTCTTACTAAAGATTTGAAGCCTTTTCCTACTCCTTGGGCAAATGATTTCGGACCTTTAAGAAGTCCTTTTGCGGGTTCATTGAAAAATTCAAAAACGCCTGTCCCTAGTTTATCAACAAGTCCTATAGGATTACCGATCATATCAGAAGATCCTAATATTTTGTATACTTGAATAATCCCTTGTCTAATATAATTTTTCATGATAATCCAGGTTAGATTGTCTAGGGTTTGGAAGCATTGAGTCATCATTAATTCTCTGAAAAACAAAGGTGAGTCAGAAATATTCGCAAACGCTCCACTAAGGGTTTCTAATAAACCTGCTGCCCCAAAACCTTTTTTAGGATCAAGTCTGATTTGTGTCATTTTTTTTCTGAACGTCAGATTTAATTTGATAGCGCATAATCTTATAAATAAAAAATAAGTTTTTTTATTCATGAGGGTAGGATCAAATGGTAAAACTGGCTGTGTAGCCGCAAGCTGAGGATATAAATCTTTCATATATTTCCCTTTATTTTCAGTCGACAAATTTTCAAGTGAAGCATTGAGTTTATCAAGGATATTTCCTTGTAATTTTAATAATGTCCACAAAGTATCCTCATTGATTTTTGCCTGCATACTTTGTATGAGAAGCTCGAGCCAGCTAATTTTATCTATTGTATTTGACTGCTGATTTATGCACGTTCTGATCTCTCTTTGAAGCTTAAATTGGATAAATGGAACGATTTCTCCTGATTCTTCTTTGTTAATAGCGACAGGGGAATAGATTACAGGAAACATGCTATTCATATTATCCATATTATCTATTTGGAAATTCCCCAATTTTATATCAGCTTTTAAGGCTGTGTCTAATCTTTTCCCAAAAAGAATATCAGTCTTTTTAAGCTTGGCAAACAAGCCCATCATACTGATATAAATTTTTTCTGTCGGCTTTTCATCAATTATCGAAAGACCTATCCCTTTCATTTCTAATAAAACTTTAAATGATGATTTCACAGCAAACATTTCATATAGAGCTTGGACAATACTAGTCCCTTTAGGAAGATCAGGCTCACTTATATTAAGCTGCCTAGTTACCCCTTCGACTACGACTTCTACTTTATGGTTTCCAAAATTTTTCTGTTTTTGGATTTTTTCCAACGAGTATTTATTTTTCGCATTTTCACTTTCCACAATAATTTTTTTATTATTTACCAAATTATCATCAAAAGCCCATGGAACGACACTCCCTGGCTTTATAGTCATTGAAAAATCATCAAATCCGCTTTGTTTTATCGTGATTATTTCTTCAGTATGATTTGAAATTTTATATTCAGGATTTTTTGGGACAACAAAATTTATAAAAATTGTGGCTTCATCTTCAGATGAAACAACAATGCGGGCATAATGCATATTACCATTAGTTTGTCTTGGGATATGTCATGTATTGTCTTCAAGCTTAAATAAAGTGTTATCTTCAACAATGACTTGTTCTTCTCCTGGAAAACGTATTTGGAAATCTTCAAGATCATCAATATTAAATGGCCCAGACCATCTATTTCCATCAGCTGAAACTTGGACTCCTACTTGGATTGATAAGTCATCAGGCTGGTATTGGATTTTTTCATTATCCTCTAGTCTGAATTTTGTGAATTGCTGGTTTTTTCTTTTATCGTATTGCTTTATATAGACTGGGTATCCTAAATAATTAGCAATTATATATCTTGGACATAAGGTAATAACTTTTGTTTTTACTAGAGGAAGTGGGGCATTGGCAATATTCACGCCAAACATCAAAGTTTTTATATTCCTTTCTTGAAGAGTTTTAGGGACTTTTACAAGGCCAGAAATCCCTATTGTATTTTTATTAAATCCACCACTCCATTGGTCTTCTTCAGGGAATTTAATTTTTATTTTATTCTTTTTGCTTGAAAAAAAGCCAATTTGGTTTTTTTCTACTAAAAGGCTTTCAACCTGCAAATCATGCCCCGTTTTATTGATGATTATGTGTTCAGCTGAAATTGTAATTAAAATATTTTTAAGTGATTCTTGGGCATCTTGGCTTGTTTTTTCTAGATCTAGTAAGTCTAAATTACTACAAGATCTAAAGTCTTTTACTGATTTTTCTAAATGAAGACTGCTTTTTGGCTTCTCAAGCAGCGAAATTCTTGCTTTTTCAAAAGAATTAATCCAGCCTGTGCTTACCTTGGTATTTTCATCTATATGGATTTCAAATTTAAATTTCTGCTCTGGGTTAAACTTGTATATAGCTGCATGAGTTCCTGATAATATCAAATCTGATGACGAATTTTCATCATAATAAACAGTCATAGGACAAGGCAATAAATTTTCAAATAAAATCGGAGGGTTAATTTCCATAACTCTTAAAGTTCTGACACCATCAAAAATATAACTGAAATTTTCAATGAGCACATACAAGTTTTCATCGATACGGAGCATTGCGGTTGACGTTATTTCGAGTGTTCCTGTACTGGTTTTAATCGCTATTTTTGAAGCAGAATCAAGCCAAGAAAAAGGTATAGAATTTTTCCATAGATGGCACTGTTTGCCCTTGATTTGCCCACTAGGAAAATTTTTTGGTTTGACCAAACCATATGGTACTGGTCGAACCAAAAAATTTTCCCAGTGGGCAAATCAAGGACAAACAGCACCATCTATGAGAAAATTCTATAGAGAAGATGAGCTGTTTTCTTTTATAGTCATTTCATCAGTATTTAATATCAAAGTGATAGGGAAATCTGTGTTATTCATAATCACTATACCACTTTGTATATGGATTTCTTGTTTATTTTCATAGCTTTTTACATTGATTAAAATCGGGTATTGGGTATCCCCATTAGAAATCATGACTAACTGCATCCCAGCATTTTCTATGATAATCCCATGGACTGAATAAAAGCTTTCAAGCGTTAAAGCGATAGCACTTGGTGTCTGTGCTGTCTGAAGCATAGACGTAGTTTTTGAATGCGCTAAATTTACCATAAACAAGCTATTTATTTGGTCTTGGCCGAATTTAACACTTTTTTCATTTTTCAGTTTCCAATGAGCGGCATTTGGGGAATCTATTCAGACTTCTAAATCTTTCCCTAATTTATTGTAAATTTTATATGTTTTTTTGTTAAGCCCATCCATTTCTTCACCTTGTTCATAGAATTTTTCATTTCCCCAATCACTTAAATTCTGGCTAAATCTTTTGATAATTAAACTTACTTACTTACTTACTTACTTAATTATCTGGTGTTTAAGGTGTCTAGTGCCGCAGCCCAAAAGGGCTTATGGCAAAACTAGTGACGTAGGCGAGCCATCTTGGAACAGGTCAGCCCTAGCCAAGCCTTCTATCAACTCCTGCTTCACCAGTCTTGCTGCACGTCTCACCCGGCGCGATGCCGTCGCCCTTGTCTCGACTCAGCTCCTGCGCGTGTTCCGCCTGAGGGTCATCTTCCCGTGGAGATGTGCTGAGAGGTAAAAAGCCCGAAATCTTGAGAGGACTGAGGAGCAGTTCCTCTGGTTATCCCCAGAGTTAAACCCGCTATTGCTGTCCAGAAGTTCTCGAGTGAAAACCTAACCCCATAAATAAAATTCCATGAGGGAGAGAAAATTAGCAAAGCTAATTTCTCTCGAACCGAATGCCTTTTTATTTATGATAATTAAACTTACAGTTTCTGCCATGCTATATGATAAATTTATATTCAAAGTCTCTAAGCTTACTAAAGCTAATTCAATAGGCGCTTTTGGGTTTAATTGCTTCATAAGCAAGCTAAAATTCCAATCTTCCAATAAAGGCTCCCACGTTGAATTATAAGAATTATAATAATTTATATTCATTATTGTGGAAAATTCAAATTTTTGGGACTCTTTTTGTTCCCCTGTAGCCATCATATTAGAAAATTGCATATGAAGTAAACTATAAGGATTTTTTGTAGTATCCTCCAGCATAGTCAGCTGCAAAGAGTCACAATCAAAGCTAAAATGTATTGTATCTTTATTTTCCACCTGGCTATGTGATTTCTTTTTTTCGGAAAATTGAGAAAAATCAATAGCAAGCCATGGTTTTGCGACTTCTTGGAAAAATAAAATGTCCCTAAATCCATATACCACACATAAACTCTCAATGCTCAAATTTGCTTCCATTTTGGTGGAAGCTTCATTTGTTATTGACTTATAGCTAGCTGAAATTCTGGACGGGGTAATTAAATCTCTAGTGATTTTGTCTGTCCTCATTAAATTATTTTTTGAATACCCAAGCATAGCATTAAGTTGCCTTATGTCAACGCTGGCATCTTCTTCTGCCCATATATTTTCACTTGAAATGACCCTTCATAGTACATCATAAGTATACTTAATTTCAGCACTGGCTGTATAAATAGTTGATAATGATAGAGAAAAACTTGCTATTTTTGATTTAGGGTTAGAAGGATCTAGAGGAACCCATAGCTCAAAATTCGAAAAAAGCACAGAAAAGCGGCTATGATAAGTCGTAGTGGCGGTGGACACTGGTTTTGCCTTTACTTGGACACTTTTGGCTTGCTGTATTTGATTTAATTGGTGACTAGCAAATTTTAATAGAGATTCAGCATAGCTGGCACATGCCACAAACCGAATGTCATTAAGCCGAACTCCTACATCTAATTGGTCATTTCTGGGTTTTAAATGAATAAAAATTTTTACTTGAGTCATATTCTCATATGAAGTATTTTCATCTGTGTCTCATTCTCGCTGGTATTCTAATGGGTTCGAAACGACATTAGGAAATTCTATATCAGGCCGTAAATCTTCAATAGCCAGCTTTTCTAATATAAAATCCAAATCTATGTTTCCATATTTATCTGATTTTACGTTGAGATCAATATCATTTATCGCAATTTTTGTTAAAGGTAGGTTTTTCTCAATAATGTTCAGCTGGATTTCATTAAGTCTGATATTGGCTGCTATGCTAAGAATTTCTCCAATTTCTTTTAAGTTATCTTTAAAGCCTTTTCCTTCTATTAATTCTTCGTCTTCTTTTATCTCTTCATTTTTCCTTTCTATTTCTACTTTTTCCTGATTGCTAAATAAATTCAAAATTTCTATAAAAATCAATAGCTGGGAATCTGTCAGTTTTAAAATAATTTTGTCAATAATTGATTTTACCCTGATGCTGGGAACCATTGTTTGGGCGATTTTACAATTAAAGAGCACCATTTCTATGTCAAAAGGATCTAAAATATTCTCAATGTCACCTTTATGCCATTTTTCAACAGACTCGCATGGCAAGACTGAGCAGACTTTTACTTTTTTAATTAAAAAGTTATAGCGGTCAAAATCAAGCCCATCTAATGTTTCTATGGAAGTTGAAGCTGTAAATGTACCGTTATCGATGACTAAAAATGGTTTTTCTAAAGAATTACTGTCTGTTGGGATGATAATTATAGGGGATTTTAGAGTGACGTCTAGTATAATGCTTTGTTGAGTCCCAGTTTTTATCATATCTTTGAGGTATTTGTCACCTTTTTCTATAATTTGTCCTGTTTTTTCTGAGGCTTCTGAAAGGTATTTGTTTACGTCTACATTTTTTGTGAGAGCGCCTAAATAAACGTTTGTGATGGAAAATAAGGATTGTGGATGAAGACAGATAAGAGATTCTCCGCCTGAAGCTTTGAGCGTATTTACGGGGTATTGATCAAACTGTATATCTAAATGACTACCTTTGAAGATGTCAGGAAAAATTTGACTTTTTGTGACATTATCATTTACTACTAAAGTCCCAAACTTCAGAAAAACATATAAAGTGTTAGGCCGTAAACCAAAATCAACAGAAAAATCTCTAAATTCCCTTCCGTTAACGAAAAAAAAATCACCTTCTGTGAGCGAACAAATTTTAATATATAATAAATCTCTAGAATTCTGTTGAATTTAGCTTACATTTTAAAAGTTAAAGTTAATAAATTAAATTTATTTTTACTTTCCAATTTTTGCGAATTTGGATTTTTTAATTTCGGAAAATAATTTATTATAAGATGCATATATAATTGCTTTAAAAAAAAATTGATCCTCTGGGTCGGATCACGAAGGGGAATAAGCTCTCCTGACAGCATTTCTGTATTTTCGTCAAAAATTATAAGCTTAGAGCTTTTCACATCAAAAAGAACTCTTCACTGAACCCAATCCAAAGGTCCATTTAGTGATACAGGCATAGCTCCACTCATTTCTACATAATCACTAACCTGCTCTTTTTCCTGTAAAATTAATTTTAATTCTTCTTCAGCTTTTTTAATTTTCATATTTTTTTCTTCTTGCTCTTTCTTTTTTTCTTCTTCTGATTTTCCTCCTCCAAACCAGCCTTTGAATTTTGATAGACCTCCTTCAATAGGTTTATTTTTAATTTCTTCAATTTCTTTTCTTTTTTCTTCCTCTCTTCTAATTATTTCTGTTTCTTTTAAAGCTCTATTTCTTTCCTTCGTTAGTTCTTCAATATCTACACCTTGTTCCTGCTCGTCTAACACTTTTTTAAGTTTTTCTGCTTCTTTTGGCTTATTAATGGTTAGTGAGCGCCATTTCTTATAAGTTTCCCTATAATTTTTAGCTTCATTCTTTGTGAATTTTCGCTCTTGAGCTGATCTTTCAACTCCTTTTTGGAAAGATTTAAATAAATCAATAAATTCAACAAGCTTCAAAACATGGGTCAGCTGCCCTGGAAAAACACTGAAAACTACATCAGATTGGTGTATTGTCAATAACCCTTGAGGTGTATCATACTTTTTTGAATCTTTATATAAAATCAATTCAATTCTGATATCAATTGGAGAAAGCAAATATTTGTGCTCTGCATTAGTCAAAAGTTCTAAATTTGCAAGCTCTTCTAAAGCAACAGCTAAATTTTTTCCTGAGTCTTCTTCAATTTTTATCATATCTTTTCCATAATCAAAAAATAATGCAAAGCCTTTCACTGTTGTCAGTTTAAAGCAGACGTTACTTTCTGGGACATATTCAGGGACCCATTTTGAGTTACAAGTTTCAGCTTTCATTTCTCTGAGAATAACCCCGACTGAAAAATGTTCAATTGAACTAACAGAATTATTTCAATTAAATTTAATTCTCAGGCTACCTACTTGGGCGTCAGGCAACCTAAAGGTCCCAGTCTCCACAAGTAGGCGGCACCCTTCTAGAAAATCCGATTACCTAAGGTCAGGAGCCGGATAGGGCAAACCATCCGGCTCTTGCTTTCCTGACGAAGCTGGGATAATTTTACCAGGGAAACCAAATTTCATAATTAAGATATGCAAGAGATGAATTTCGATCGATAAACCAGAAAATTGGTCCGACACCATATTTTAAATAAACTAACAGAATCATCATATCTCAAGTAAATATTTTTTACGTTCACGATTAAATTGTCAATTATTTTTGATATCAATTTTTCAATATACCCAGGCTCAGCAGAATTTAGTTCTAAGCTTGAATTTAAAGCTTCAAAACTTTCTAATGCGAGTGCTTTACTAATTATAGCTGATTCCCTTTCTTTAGATTCACTTCATTCTGTTGGGGGTTTAGGATTTACCAAAGCAAATACATTTTCTACTTCAACTTGCAAAGGGCTTGAGCCAAGAGATTTTCATGGGATTTTCATAAATAGACGACCGACGAATCCAGATGTGAGATTAAATGGTAGACCTAGTTTCTGAAGGGCTTCTTTTTTTAGTCTGAGGTTTTTTAGTGAAACTTCACCGCTGAACATTGATATATTCAGCTGATCTGAGCTTAATCCTTCAACAAAATCTCCTAATACTTTATTCAGAACTTTTGCTATAGCTGAATTCATATTTATTAAAATTAGCTTTAATTAAACTAAACAATTATATCCGTTGCTGACAAATGGATTCTGAGACAGAAATATCAATAATCTCAACAAGAGACAATTTTGGCTTATAAAAGAGGCAGCAAATTTTTTAAAAAAAATTAGAATTTGTATTTTAGAGAGAACAATCACAATCTAAGAAAATCTATTGAAAATAGATTGCTTATAAGAAAAATTTAAAAATAAATAAATCAAAAAATATCATATTTTAAGGTCAAGCAGGTATTCATAAATTTATAAACTAATTTTGATTATTTGTATTATAAACATCGTCTTTTACTCCTGTTTAAGCGCTTTCACTAATTGTCCACTTTCAAGAGATTTCTGCAACTCTTTTAAACTCCCAAAGAATATTCCCTTTACAAACACAAAAGGTGTAGACTGTCTTCCAGTCAACGTTTGCAGTGCGTTAAAAACTTGTCCTTCGTCATTCATGTTATCGAGCTCAAAATATTCAAAGTTGATCTTATTTCTTCTTAATAATGCTTTTGCTGCCTTAGACTGTTCACAATTTGTCCGAGAATAAATCAAAAGCTCATTCTCACTTGACTGGCTTTTTACAATATCCATGAAGGGTTCTGAGAAATCAATCCTGGTCTCATTATTGCGATCAAATGTAGAGCACTGGCATCCCATTTCTTAATTAAAATAAATTTTATGAAATTAATTATTTTGAAATGAGAATAGTTATAAACAGATAAAAGAGAGATTTTAATGAGAAAATGAGATAGGAAGAAGGATGCTGAGGGAAATTGGTGAAAATTATTAGCAAAAATAAATTAATTGTATGGATATTTGGAAGGGGTTGTGGGGAGTTTAAAAATTATTGCTGTTTAATAGAAATTAATTCTGGTCATATATGTATAAAAAAAATTAATATGGTAGAGTTTGTCATCAAAATATTACAAAAATTGTATAAATCTGAGATAGTTTATACTTTTATTATAATTTCAGTTACTTGTAGAGATTCAAGATGAAAGGAATAAGGTAAAAATTTTAATTGGAAAGGTATGAATAATAAATTCCGAGAAACTGCTATTAAGCTATTACCCAAAGAATCCTTTCATGTTTTAAAATATATTTAAAGCTTTGTAGGTAGTCATTTAAAAAAAATGCAGGAAAATAAGTGACTAATTTAATAAAAAAAGAAACTACTGTTACAGTAATTATGCATTAATTAGGAAAAAAATAAGTAAAGATGCTTATAAAGAACTTCTAATCAAAAATCAACACAAGGAATTCAGAAAGGAAATCAAGTCCTGATAAAATTCGAAATTTTATCTGAAAATGCTAAATATTTTAGTATAAAAATAATTTTTTTCAATTCGTAACTGCTTTTATTGCCATCTACTTATTAACTATTAGAATTTATTATAATTTGTTAGAGACTGTTAAAATGGAACCTATAGGCCAACTGAAAGAATATTTAAGAAACAGCAGAGAAAAGCGAAAATCACTGATAAACATTGCAAATGACTATTATAACGAAATTCTAAAAGAAGAATCACAAAAGCCAAGCTTCAGGTCAAAATCAAGAGAAAAAGAAAACGATAGCAAGCTTCCTCCACTTCCGATAATTTATGAAAAGCGAGGTTCAAGCGATTTGAAAGCAAAGTCATCTTCAAAGACCCGACTACACACAACTTCTAGCTCAAGAGTAAACCATGATGTTCTTCGTCAACGATACCTATAATATATTATCATATTACCAATATATAAAATTCCACTAATCTGCCTTTATCCCATTTTCATAATGAGAATAGAATATCGATTCACCAGTCAATTCATTGTAATTGATACATATATTATTAATCCAATTTCTTCAAATGACAATTTACTATAAATGAGTCTTAAAAATCAATTTAAATTTCACTTATACAATTTTAAAAGGCTGAGTCCTACAAAAATGATAATTATAATTCTTTCAATTAGAAAAAAACAGCTTAATATAGCTTTAGTCCTATCTAAAAAGTATATAATAATATGGAACAAGTAAACAAAATATTGCAAGACTTGACCCATCGCACCAAAAATATGCCAGTTCTTAAAGACATTTCAGCAAAGACTGGATTGGAAACCGGTCATATTGTAGCTGGCTCTGGTGTTCTCTTGCTTATCTGCATGCTTTTTGGCTTAGGTGCCTCCCTGATCACAGATATTATCGCAATTCTGTATCCCGCCTATATGTCTTTCAAAGCAATAGAATCAGCCGAAACCGATGACGACAAGCAGTGGCTTACATATTGGGTTGTGTTTGCCATCTTCAAAGTTATTGACGACTGGTCTGAGATTCTCTTTTCCTGGCTTCCCTTTTATTATCCTATTAAGCTTGCGTTCTTGATCTTCTTGTTTGCGCCACAAACACGTGGAGCTTTAACAATATAAAAAAAATTTACCTGAAAATTATAATATTTTATATAGGAAATAGAAAATTTTATATATAAATAATGGAGTATATGAAACAGCAATAAGGCCTGTTCTTAAAAAACATATGGAAGATATTGATGCAAGCATTGGCCAAGCTATGGATATTGGGGAAAAAGTAGCGACAATAGCAAAGGAAGAAGCTATTAAGCAAGGAACCAATATAGTGATTAAGAATATGACTCAAACTTCTAACTAATTCACATTAAACAGAAAATTGAAGTTAAATTAGTTTTAAAAATAGTGACGTAAGATGGTGTTTTAGGAGGATATATACTTAGGACGGCTTTAACTTGCCCTTGGCTGCAATGTTTTTAATAATACTTGCTAAGTTAGCTGAGGAGTATAAACTACCTAATCAGTATGGCAAGTGCAAATAAATCATATTGAGCTAACTTCTCAATGCATAGTCCAGAGCAAGTTATAAGCTGTCCTTATCAATATCATGGATTTAAACTAGAGATGGAGCATATTTAAGAATATAAACAATTTGGATTAATATTGCAGTTATCTATATGGCAGGCTTTATTCTCAATTGAGTAAATATTCAATAATTAATTTTTAAGAAGCGTCTTGTAACTAATTTTATCAGATATTCCTACTTGATTTTATTATTTAGATAAAATTTGAAAGAATTACCTTATCATAATTTTATACTAATAATTCTTACATCGCAAACATAAAACTTAATTTAATATCTAATATGCATTATTCACAAAAATTATCAATTAATCACTTCCAAGTTACCCTTTTTCTCAGACTCCTTTAACAATAAAATTTAGAGCAGTTAAAAATATGTTTTCCAAGAGAAGACACAATAGGGTTGTATCTTGCGATTTAAATAAAGAAAATGCTATTTCTATTCCAACTTCTATAGGAAAAGACACATCACATTGATCGTTTTGCAAAGCTCCACGATTCAGAAACTTCAAGATTGAGAACTCTGAAATGTATAACTTACCTACTACTTTTAACAAAAGATCATGCTCATTTGGATATGGCCGGCGCTACGAGCTTAAAAGTGCCCAAGGCAAAGATTCCCCAGCTCCTGGAGCTTATAATCCTCCTACTTGTTTTGAACTAGCTAAGAGAGCACCTTCATTTGGCAAACGAAGCCTAAGTGGCGTCCCACAAAATTTGCCTGGGCCAGGAGCTTATAACCCATATATCCTGATCCCAGCTTTGGGATTGGGCTTGACTGACCTCAGGAGGCTTCAAATGGAGAGCTGACGAGCCAAATTTTTGCTGGCAAAGTCCCTAGATGACAAATCTCCAATATCAAGAGGATTTTCCATCTAGGAAGTTTGGTTCGTCAACTCCCATCTGACATCTGGAACCGCCAGACAAGCCCGATCCAAAGCAGAGATTAGGCTATATAGTCCTATCGGAAAAAAAGCTCCGAAATTTTCGTTTAGCCCAAGAATTGAAATAAAATACCGAGCATCTTCTCCACCTCCAGACACTTATAATCCTGTATATAGGCTTGTCGAAAATTCCAGTTTTTCTGATATAAGTTTTGGAAAAGGTGAAAAAGGGTGAAATATTTTGCCCAAAGTTGAAGAAAAGCCAGGACCTGGAAGCTATGATTTACCTAGTGCTTTTAGGTCAAATACTTCTTTTGACGTTTACAGACCGCCAATGAGAGGACTATCGCCTCAAATTTCAGCCAGAAGAGCCTCAGAAAAAGAAACTTAATGCAATTTTAATAATTTATCCGAAGTTTTTGTCAATTTTTCTAATTTTCATTTAAATATAATGATAAAGACCATACTTCGGCGAATCCATAAATTTCCTCCTAATCGCTATTTAGATGAATATGGGGATTTTTTCGATAGAGACCAAGAGCTGCTACATAGGAGATTCCAAAAAATAAGGTCAGACCGTATATCTATTGATTTCGATAACGTACCAGAGCTTTTCGCGACAACTCGAAAAAATGAGAACACAATCAGGGATTTATGAAGGCATAGAAAAGTAGCTGGGGTCATTTTGGGACTAAAAAAATCATTAGGTGTAGACTATTTTTTTTCTTATAAAAATAACTGTAAATTGCCTGTCATTTTGGCAAAGGACGAATTTCCAGAAATAAATCTCGTTCACCCACTAGAAGATGCCTATAGGCTCATGCGTGACAAAAATGATTATGGATTTGTCGACCCTTATGATATCAATATTGATGATGACGAAGATCAAGTCCGAGTCTTCTGCAAAGATGTAGACACTCACTTAATCTATCAGAACTGGCCAATGTGGTGCACCTTTCAGCGCTTTATTCCTGGCAGACCTAACAGGATGCTTATGAAAGTTGCTATCAACGATTGGGAAAACTCTGAACCTAAAATTCGTGGAGGCCGCTTAATCGTTAAGGATGATTTTGTATGGGTTGACGTTTATATTCCTGAATACCCACGAGTTCTCCTTGCCGATCTTTCAGAGACCACCCCAATGGATAAGTATACAGTCGCTGATTTAGAAAAATGCTTACCTGATGGAATTGAGATAGCTCCTGTGTACAAAGACAAAAGAAAACAAATCATTTACAAGTTTGCTTTAGGCTATAGAACCATCATGTACGATTCTTGGCTTCATAACGAATTTGACGTAACCAGAGCTGTAGATATTGACAGGACAGCTTTTGGTCTACCAATCCGTGCTCCTAAGACAGAAAAAGCTGTTGACCCGCTTCCTCCAGAAAAACAATACTTGCCTAAATCAGAAGAAGAAAGGATCAGAAAAGTCGCTCAGCTTTTAGGAAAAAGCTTTGATGAAGTTAAAAGAGACATCATTGTAGGACGACAAAACAGAGAAAAGGATAAAAAAGTGGTCGAAGAAAGGATCGCTAAGCAGCGCAAAGAGTATGAGAAATACCAAAAAGCCATGGAAGTCAGTGATGCACAAACTTCATCAGCCACTGAGAAGCCTGCTGGTAAGAAAAAATAATAAGTTAATAGGTAGCAATAATATGAGTAATGAGTATGAATCCATACCTGACCAGAATGTAGATGAACTTTTTACCTGTCCTATATGCTACCAAGAAACCATGGAAAATTCAGAAATTGAAGGCTGTCGACACACCTTTTGTACTGAATGCTTAAAAGCGTTTCTTGCTGATAAAATTTCCTGTGCAAAAGTAACACAAATCACATGCCCAAATGATAAGTGTGGGACTGTCTTAAAAAGGTCGTTTTTAGAGACCATAGTGCCTCCAGAAATTCTTGAAAAATATGATAAATTCAAAAAACGTGAAGAATTATCACAAAATCCTTTATTGAAGTTTTGCCCAGAGCCGGATTGTGAAGGGTATGATGTTGGAGGACACAAAAAAAATAAGCTTATGGTGCATGATTTTTCTGCATTTTTTAGTAAAATTTATTATAAAATTATGATTTTTTTTAAAAAAAATCTGGGAATTGCCAAAATATAAAGAACCCAGCTTACATGCAGCATTTGTAAGAAAAATTTTTGCTTTACATGCAATGAGCCTTGACATGGCAAAGAAAGATGCAAAAATAAAACCAATGTGGAATTCGAAAAATACGTCAGAGAGAAAAATGTGAAATTTTGCCCAAAATGTGGAAAAAGGGTAGAAAAGCAAGGCGGGTGCTCACATATGACTTGCATTTGTGGATTTATCTGATGCTGGAGATGTGGGAGAAACCCGTTTACGAGGTATCATGGAGTGAAGTGCTATTTTGGGAATTCTCTAGCAGAGATGCGATGAATTGTCATTCTTGGGATGCTTTTATCACCAATTCTCGCGCCTATAAGTGCATTGATTATCCTTGTTTTATTTTTTTCCTCAAGTGATGCAAATAGAACTGGGAAGCTTTACAAATATAGAATTTGGCTATATTTGATGCTCTTATTTTTATCAATTCCGGTTGAAATTGTAGTGATGGCGATTATTATTTTTCTATTAATAGACGACAAGTGGAGGCATTTTTCTCCTAAATCCCCTCCGTGAGCGAACAAAAAATATATTGTTCGCTCACGGAGAGGGGATTTTTTTAAAAATTTATGTTTTGGTTCAAAATTCAACAGAACCAGCCAGAGATTTCATTATACTAATTATAGAATAAAAAATTTTATTAGCTCACAGAGGGTGTGAGTTTTTGGCAAAAAAAGGATTTTTCCAATGTTTTTGTTCGTTCACAGAGAGAGTAAGCAGATTGTACGGACTTTAATTGGGATATCAGCAACTCTAATAGCAATTATTGGTGTATGTATTTTATATCCTCTTTTTCTATTAATGCTCGCCCTCGGGCCTATTTTCGGACTAATCTGTCTCTCACTCAAACTCTGCAGTCTCTGTAAAATGCAAAAACCTGAAGAAAATAATAGTAATTACCCACATGACTTTATTTAACTAGAAATTTTAATAATTTAATATGGGAGAAGGAGACATCGAATACAAGTTCATATGGGAAGACGGCACAGAGAAAAAATCCTCAAGGGATTTTTCAGGCAGAGCCACCGCTATTTATCCTAACGGCGACACATATGAAGGCTATTTCAGAGATGGGATCCGTGACGGTTATGGCACCTATAAGTACAGCACTGGGCAAGTCTATGAAGGCGACTTCAGAGAAAATTTAAAGCATGGAGTAGGCAGGATGGCTTATGGCAAAAAAGGCCATTATAATGGGTATTTCGAAAGCGGAAAAAGACATGGAGAAGGCGTTTTTATGTACCCGAACGGCGATACTTATAGTGGATGGTGGAAAGATGGGCTTAAAGAAGGCAAAGGCACGTATATATTTAAAGACACTGGAATGAAGGTTAAAGGCATATGGCGGGCTGGCAGTTTGACTGAAGGAGTTTGGGAACTGCCAAGCGGAGTCTTGTATAAAGGCATTTTTGAAAACAATAAACCAAATGGAGAAGGACAGTGGGTTTTCACTAATGAAAACGTGGTAGCAGGAGAATATAAACAGACAGTGAAAGAAGATGAGGACGCTGCCCCTGAAGAAGAGGAAGAAGAAGAGGGGGAAGCAGCTAAAAAAATCAAAGTTGATGTCAAATGGACAACCCATATCAATCTTTACAACTCAGCTATAGCAATTAATAGAGTTTTATAGTTAATTATTAAAGCGGAGTTTTAAGTTTAAGATAATTCTTCAAATCTTGTAATTCCTGACCTCAGCTTGGACTACAGCTTTGAATAATAGTAAGCGATTCAGCATAACCGTCAACCTATTTCTGTCCTCAACCCCTTAGGACCTCTCTGATCTACACCAGACTCAGTGTAGACCCATTCTCTTGAGTCGAAACTTTCAAGAAGTCGGTGTATTTCTCTTATGAGCTGGAAGTAAGACCTGAGCCTTACCCCTATCTGGCATTTTTAATTTTGAAAAGCGGAGTAAATTTCCAGCCTTCAGGAGTTTTTGGGACTGTTGCTTGAAATGGAGATAGTGACCTAATTGTAGGATTTTTGCTATGGCTAGGAGTAAAAGTTCTTTTGAATTTCTTGAGTCTGGTGATTAATTTATAGTTTCTTTAAATTAATTTATTTTATCATTCCTTATTTATTTTTACCACTAAATTCGGAATTTTACTACTACCAAAATCATATTGTGCATTGGCCCTTTTTGAGAACAAGTGCAAAGGTCATACTGATAGCCAGTTCCGTATTTTCCTAAGTCTGGGATACGAAAATAATCATAATATGGCCGGTGTGCTTTGTGTCAAAAAGGATCAATGCACAACAATAATTAATGTTAATGAAATTTATAATCAGTCATAATTTGTAGAGGATTTTTCTTCCAAATCTTTGCAGTTGTAATTTTGTATATAGAATTTTCATTCAGCCCACAATTCCTTTTCATTCCGCTTTCTCGAATAAGATCATGCACTGGAATTTTTAATGGTTTGCAAACTTCTGGGCTTGATTTCTTGTAGGGATACTCTTGTGAAAGATCAGCAGATGCTTGTTCAGTCTCTCTTGCATTTCTATGCTTTGTTCTTTTTGGACTAAATAATAATAGTTTTTCTTTATTCAAGACAAACTTCTTATGCTCATCAAAAATTTCATACAGTTTCCATATATTATTTATGATAAATATACGCAATATAAAACTATTTACATTAAATTTTTACTCCTCCCCTTTTAAATTGGAACGAAATTTTAAGTTCCAATTTAAAGGGGGCTAAATGTTTTTATAAAACTCATTTATAAAAAATTTTTTAAAAATTAAAAAGATATAAATTTAGTCCAATAATTTTATTTTAAAATGAATTAATTCAAAAACTTATTGATTTATGTGAAACCGTTTAAATAATATTCACCGCTGCACTTTTCCTATTAAATTAGGTCAAATTCGTTTATTTTTACCTATAAAAAATACTATTTAAAAAAAATTTGCTCGTATTTAAAGGGCTAGGTGCAAAAAAAATGAAAATTTCCGTATATTTGTTCCAATTTAAATGGGGAGAGAGTCATTATTTTTAACAGTTATATCATGATTTCTCCTCTTTAGTCTTCTGCTTACCAATAATGACGGATGGTACTTTTCCGTAAAATTCATAAATTTTTATCACATTTTCTAATAAATATGAATAAGATTTAAAAGCTTGCCTATGCTGTTATAATTCCATTTTAGTAATCGTTAAAATGGTAGATGCTTCTGTATTTGAATGTGGGCTTTGTCTTCAGCCTTATAATGAAGGCGCACATAAGCCAGTTTCTCTTCCGTGTGGTCATGTGTTTTGCCAAGAGTGCACAATAAAACAATCACGGATAGATCATATAGTATGCCCTATTGATAAAACAAGGCACGATGTTAACCCTTATCAGTTGCCTTGCTGCTTTGCTATTTTAGCAAATCTGCCTACACATAAGCCAAAAGAAGTTTGCTGTTCTAGACATCCAAAGCGAAAAATCAAATTTCAATGCAAAACACATGAAAAATATTTATGCTCAGAATGTATTATAGAGCACACAGGATCCGGGCATAACGTTGTAGCCTTTTCGATAAGCGTAAATATGATCAGACAGGAAATGAATGAAATTGAAGAAGCGTTTGAGTTCAGATATGAAGAAATCGATGAAATAGCTAAAAATTTGGAAAAAACTGAGAAAAGTTTTAAAGATTTCTATGATAAAGAAATGGCAAAAATAAGCAATGAATATGATTCTGCAATCAAAGTTTTGCAGCAAAGGAAAAAAGATCAAATTGCAGCTCTTTTGAAATGCATGGAAGAGCAAGGAAAATTGCTAGAGAAAACAAAAGCAAAAGTAATGAAGGTTGTAGATAGTTCTAGCCGAGTTAAACAAGAAATAGGGTCATTAAGAGAGCATTTTAATACCCAGAGTTATGAGCAGTTTTCTAATCAAGTAAGATTAATCAAGCAAGAGCTTAAATATATAGAAAGCTCTGAGCAAGTCCCAGATATACAATATTGGTCCTTAAAAGACCAAATTCAAATTTCGGGAGGAACCATACAACAAGTGCTAGCTGAAGATGACTCATTAAAGGAAAACCGATATATGCTGATTATATAGAATTAATCCTTTGCCAAGAAATAATTTATAATATTTTTTAATTAGAGTATAATTAAATTATATTAAAATTTTTTAAAAAGGTATAGATACCTAGAAGATTCTAATGGAAAAGCTAAAAACTGCCACCATAAGAAAACACCGCCAAAACTTGCTTTACAGAATGTCAGCCAGCCTGAACAAGAAATTACCAGTGTAACCTCAAGGGCTCAAGATGAAAAAGTTACCAGGCTACCTTCAAGCACAGAAAAAGAGTTATCAGAAGTTTCCACACTTGATAAGTCTGAAAGAGGGAGAAGTGCTATGCCAGATAGGCCAAATAATCAAATTCCTTCAAAAGCACAAGTAGCAAGAAACCGCCATCAGAGAAGAAATGGCCAGAGAAAGCGTAACAATTCATTATAAATATTAAATATAGCCAATATAAAATTAAAACGATTTCTTGCTTCCAATTAGTTCTCTATTACTAATAAAAATATATCTGATTATTTAACTCTCAAAACTGTTACCTTTGCAATTCAGCATATTATTGCCTTAAGTTATTTGCAAGGTAAAGTTTTTTGTCCCTCATATCATAGCAATACACAGTTTTACTATAATCCGTAAACAGAAATATTTGGCTTCCTACCCAAACTGGCTGTGTAGGGCACCATCATTCAGTTTTTCTAATCGGTGACACAATAAAGTCGATTAATCTTGGCTCAATTTCAATTTCTCTTAAATCTCCTCCTCGGAACATTATACCTAATTGCATTGTATACTGGTTAGCTGTTTTTCTATTTATATATATAAATAGGATAATGGCTACCTGCTATTTATTGTGATTAGATATAATATAGAATTTTGTCTTGGTACAAGTACAGATAAAAACCGTCCTTCCATCACAATTGGAAGCTCTTTGAATTCATTTGTAGCAGGGTTAAAGCTTTCGATTTCTTTTTCTCCTGATATATATATGATCCCTTTCAGCTCACAGATGCCCATTTGGGCTTTGGATTTGTTCATAAATCCATTTGGTTTTCACTCACTATCACCGATTATTCATTTTTCTGAAGAATTTGTGATGCCGGTAGCTGTGGCGCCACCAAAAACATATATGGCTCCATTATAGTAGATCATGGAGTGTTGATGTCTAGCAGTTTTTAATGATGGTTTTATTTCGATTTCTCTGAACCTAGGGTCAAATTATAAATTATGTATTTTTTGCCTTTTACTATTTTTTTTCATTTTATATTATATTTTATATTATATTGTTTTTATTTATTATTTCAATGGCTATTAAATTTTTTCCATAGGCCAATTAAAAATACTTCTGAGCATGAAGAGTTGTTTTGCCATCCTCCAGAATAAAGAACAGTATCATCAGGCAATTTACAATAAGCTGGGTAATCTTTAAATACCTGTGAAGGGATCTCTATACTGTTAAGAGAGTTACTTGCACCATTATAAAGAGATAATTGGTCAGAAACAGGCTTAAAATAATACAAAGATATAGGTTTTCCATACGGATAATACTGTAAAGCATAATTCAATTCCTGTTTCAGAACTTTCCCAAGGCTTTCATTATGAGTTGCATTTCTGATTTCTAAAAATTTTAGATTATGCGTCTCTTCAATAGTCTGAAACCTTTCAACTAAATCTGAGGCTTCAATATTATGTGAATAATCTACTGATAGTTCTTTTAGCAATAATTCCATTTCAACTCTAGCAGAATCCCTTACTTCATAGCACTCTTCAATTTGTTTTTGGATGATGTTATCAATTATTTGATGCAAATAATCTCGCTTTTTCACTAATAAACTCTTTATTTCTTCTACGTAGCTATCAAGAAGTCCATGCTCTTTAAGAATTCTGTCTCTTAAAGCTTCAGAAACTTTTTGTGAGTTTTCAATGCTCCTTTGTTCTTCTTTTTGTTTTTCTTCTTCATAAAACTCAATTGGCTGAATTTTATGCTCGTCAAATTGATCATTTTTTTATGATAATTTAATATGTGCTTGAAGTAGCATTGAAGGGAAGCTATGTATGGGCTGAGATGCTATATTTAATCATGCAATAGAAGGTTTTTTGAGCTCAGAAGTATATAAAAATGCTTGCGAGTAATGAATCTTAGCCCAAGTCCAATTAAGAGTTAGCTCATTGCCTCTTGGGAAGGGAGGGACATGATATTTGAAAGGCTGGCCCAATCAATGTCTGAGGAGGTGGCAGAAGTACCACTAGACTATTATAGCGGATACCCATCGAGATACTAGGAGTTGCATTCAAAGCCTAAAGCTGGCCAGAATTTTTTTTTTATTTTTTGGACCAAAAACCTAGCTGAACATACTGTAGGCAAGTCCAAGCGAGTGAGACTTAAGTAGATGCAACCACCTTAGATACTTGAGAGGACAGGTGGAGCAGCATGGCTTAGCGAATTCCTTCGCAGGTGGCAAGCTTGGATCAGGAGGGGAACATGGCCTTACACGGTGGCTGCCCAAACTCTAGTAATTAAGATTAAGAACATTTTTCATGTGGAATTCAAGGCATTTTTCGCAGAATTTTTCATTGTCAACTGTGCATATTAGAGACGCTTCATTGAGATTATTGCAAATTCCACAGTAGTATGACATTTTTATAGGGACTAAAACAAGACAAAAAGATTGTCAAATTCACTATTTTTATTTGACTCACAAATTAAGACATTATATAATTAAAACAGTCTATTATAGTATATAAATATAGAATATTTACCGATTTAAATTATTTAACATAATTTGATAAGATTTTACTTAAATTTATTTCTCAATGAAATAAACTTAAAATAATAAAATGAAACCTAAAAGCATGGCAATGACTTTTCAGCCCGATTTAAAAGAATGGAAGCACACAATGGTCCATCATCACAAAAAATTAAAAGAAATCAAAGAGCTTAAATCGTCAATAGACTGTTCTTCCCCTAAATATTTCCCTCACCTAAATCATATAAACTCAGCTAGAGTGCTCACCTCAAGAGGTTATTTTTATTTAGAAAACGAAAGAATTTATGAAGATAACATCAGAATTCTGAGAAATCTTACAAGTATTTCTAGCTCGACAGCTAGAACTCAACCCCCTAAAAAATATAATTCATCAAATTTCCAATATCGTCTATGAAATCAGGTAAAAATTTTACAAGAAAATTTGCATATATCTCATCGATTAAAAAATGCGACAAATTCAGTGGATTTTAAAAGCTATGAAAAAGATGGCTAAATGCCATATTGTCCTATATTAAAATCACATAAATGCTTTGGAGTAATTTACCAAGTTTTTAATAGCCAGAAATTTGATATAAAAATAGGGTCAAATTCTTTCGAAAAAAAAAAAATTTAGGGAATATTTTAAATGTGATTCACCTGAAAAAGACTACCAAAAACACTTAAAATACAGGGAAAGTATACTAAAATCAAGAGAAAGAAGATATAAAATAATAGCACGCAAAAAAAGTCTGGAGCCAAAGCCAGCGGTTATAGATGACCACGCCTATCAATTTAAGACGTTTGACGGAACCTATCCTCATGAAGATTTAAATTTTCAGAGATTTTATTAATTTTATACATCTACAGACGATCCTGACTGCTCTTCTTCATATTCACTCCCATAACTTTCATTTACCTCCCCAGCTGATTTTGCTCCCATTTCTTCTTCAGAACTCTTATATACAATACTTGAGTCCTGCGATCCTTGCTCTTCATAATCTTCTGCATAGTCGCTCTCATATTCTTCTTCCTCTTCCTTTTCTAAATTTTGTGCTAAATTCGAAATTTTTCCAATTTTATTACCTGGTTTGTCACTTGGCTTGAAATTTGGGGAATTTTCTTCACTTTTTTTATTTTTAGGGAGACTTTTGCCAGAAGGGTTTTTGTTTATTTCTGCACCAGATAAGCTGGCAAATGGGGAGCTTTCACTGATTCCGACTGAGTTTTTGTTGGCTTTTTCTGGGGAGTCTTCACTGTATTCATAGTTTTCTGGGGACTCTAAGAGGGATACTTTTTTAATATGCCCTGTGGAGGACTCTGAAGAGGTTTTTGACCGCCTGCTGCTGGACTGATCTCTTTCTGAATCTCTGAGCGCAGGGACTCCGTAGTGAACTAAAATTTCTTCGAGTTCATCTGCACTAATGCAGACGTCGTTTTCTGATTCTTCATATTGTAAAGCTTCTAATATCAATACTACATGGTCTTGTTCAATATTATTCATTCCTAAGGTTTGAAGACCTTCAATAAAGTTATCTGGGGATATCAGCCCATTTTTATCAAATTTAAATACTTCTTTTACTGTTTTCTTCAGTTTTATCATAATTTGTGCCATTACTCCCAGATAATGCCTTACCACCTTTGCCCTTTCTTCATCAGAAATGTCTTCGTCTTCTTCATACTCTTCTTCTCCGTCCATTGGTGACCCATATGCTTTCAAAAAATGCCGATAAGGAACTGAGTCAAGCTCATAATTGTGAGAATAAAACAATAAGCTCATATAAGCAAATAATTTTGAAGGAAACAGTATGTCAGCTTGCTTTAGGGCGTCTTTAAACTGACTCAGCTTAATCACGCCGGTTTCTTTATCGTCATATAGTTTGCAAGCTTCTTTTAATGTAACTTTATTTTTGTTTATGGCAAGAGCCAGCTGTTTATCGTAATCTTCTTCGTCCTCTGTAGTAAAAATGTCCCAGTCTTCTAGGTTTTTCCCTAATTTTGCGACTATTTCTTTGGGAGTGCTTTTTAAGATATTAGCTTGGCTTTGTGAAATTTCTGGGTCGTCGGGTTCTAATAAGAACCTAGATATTAAGTCTATTTCGGCTTTATCGGTGAGACTAAAAGGAGGTCTTTCAAAAAGGACTGATAATTCAGGTTTTGTGATTGGTTTTTCTTTGTTAGGGAGAGACTCAAAGAGGGCAAGCATCAAGCTTTGCTTGGGAAGTCTATGAAGTTGCATACGGAGAGATATGTGTTTAAAAGTGTCAGATAATTGGTTTGGTTTTACTGTTTTTATTTTTGGTTCTACAGGTTTGGAGTCTTTAGGCTGAGGTTTTACTTCTTGTTTTTGTTTGGGGGGAGCTGCTTGGGATGCGGCTGGGACTTCAATATCAATTTTATCAGGGAATGGCTGATTAGCTTGTTTTTGGTTTTCTTTGTTGTTTTGTTTTTCTACTTCTTCATCACTTGACGAAGAGCTTGAATTTTTGTCCTCAAATTCGTAATTTTCATAGTACTGGATTAACTTACCTAAATGGATTTTTCCTTTGTCAGAAATTTCTTTTAAAGCTTGCTCCACATGTTTTTTCTTTATTTTTTTACCAATTTTTTTTGTTTCTGAAACAAAGTCATCAATATCAATAGTTCCGGTCATTTTTTTGTCAATTAGCCGTGAAAATGTTTCGATATCAATTTTCTTTTTAGCTAAAATTGAATGGATTTTTTTCAAAAATTTATTTGGATTTTTCAATTTATCATTATTTATAATAAAAATCTCAATATTTCATAAGAAATATGATACTATTTTAGTAATTTTAAATAGAATACTCTTTTTAGGCTGAACTTTTGACTCTTCCATCTTATTTTGTTTCGAATTCTCTGCTTTTCCTTGCCCAGACAACTGATTTCTCAGCTGCTCTATCAACAAATTTTGCTCCCTTATTTTTTCTTCTGACATTTCAAGTTTACTAACAAGATCCTGGGCTTCTTTTTTCGATTTTTCTGAAATCATTTTTAAATCCGCTTCTTTTACAGCTAAATTTTTCTGCCCAGCATCCAGTTGTGCCTTAAGTTTTTGTATTTCATTTTTCAAGTTATTCGCTTCCCCTTTTTTCGGAGCTGCATTTTTCTTATTTTTTTCATTTTCAAGCGCTTTTTCTTTCCATCTTGAAGCTTCTTCTTGTACCTCTGCCAATACTTTGGTAAGCTGCTGATTTTCATTGTGGAGATTATTCATTTGCACTTCTTGCTGATAATTTCTATCTTCTGCGTTAGCAAAACCTTGAGAGCTTCTTGGGCTATCACGTTGTCTCATAACTTCTTCAAGATGATGCCTTAGTCTTGTACATTCATCGATGTAAGCTTGGATTTCTATCTCCATTTCGCTTGATCTTGTCGATTTTATATTTTTTTTCAATTTGTTTATTTCTTCAGGTGTAGGTGCAATGATTGGGTACTTTTGATAGTGTGTATTTCTATCTATTTATTATATCTAGCAGCGATTGCTGCATAAAGGTCCTTACGGGCTATGATTATTCATTCCGTAATCTTTGCTTGCTTCAGCTACCTTTTGCTTCCCAACTTCTCTTTTCTTATACATACTTTATCACCCTTAATAGGGTGATATTGTGCATTTGGTTGAAAATTGGTTAAAATTTTTTGATAGTGAGATGTTTGACCATAAAAAAACCCTGTTAATTTCGACCAAATTTCATATTATTTAAAATTTTTTTACCAAATGAATTTCGATGAAATATACACTCTCAAAATTGCACGATCATTTGCATAGACCCATTTCTTCATCTTTAGCTTGTAAATCCATTCTCAGCTCTTTTATGCTCTGTTTCAAATTCGCGACGAGATGGGTCTGTTTTATGTTTTGCCCTGGGATTTTTTCTGCTGGGTTTCTTAATTCTTCAATTAAATCGTCTCTTTTGATGATTTCCCTCTCATATTGGTTCAGCTTTGTCCTTAATTTGACCATTTCTTCATTGATCATATTCATTTTAAGTTTCAACGCCATGTTATCTTCATACAATCTTTCTTTGTCCATAGGAATCCCCCTTGGTCTTAGCCTTGCCAAAAAGGTCACGTCCGAGTCTCGCTTGGTTTTCCCTCTTAACCTGCTAACTTGAGCCTGCTTATGAGCTGAAATAGGGCGGCCGGTTTTACGATTTGATGTTTTAGAAATTTGGAAATCAGCTGCTTTTGCACTATGTGGGCGGTTGCTAGACTGCCTGTAGACTTTTTTCTCAAATAGATGTTCGTCGCTTTCTTTGCTGATTTCTTCATCATAGTGGGATGCAGGAGATTTTGGGTCAGGTTTCCTATATGAATTTTACATTTGAGGAAAAGACATTTTAATATTACGACAATTTGAAAGAAAATATATGAAGTTTTAATTTAGGGAAAAATTAATAATTTTGGGGGTTAATTATGTAAACAAAAATGTTTATTCTATTTATTATACAAGAAAAGCTATTTTTTAGCTTTTCTCCGCTGCTTAATAAAATTTGATGAAGGAGAATCAAGTTCTAAAGGCTTAGGCGCTATGCTACACTCATCTCTGATAGAAATAGCTTCGATTTCTTCATCTAAATAATGTAAAAGCTTCCTTATTTTTCAATTTAAATCCCGAATTTTTATTTCTTTATTTACTTCTAATCGTGTAAATAAATGTAAATTTTCACTTGGGGTTAATGGATTTGTGCGATAGCAATCTGGAGTTTGGCAATTTTTTAGATTAATTATGCATAAAGATTCAAAATCCTCTTTGTTATCTAGAGTGTAGAGAGAAGGACAAATGTCGTCATTGGTGCTGGAATGAGAAAGGCTTGCTACTGTTTCTGTTTTGTATAAATCTCCGTCTGAAACGTCTTCACATGACTTTATTGTTCTCAACATTGCGAAATTTTTTAATAGAGTCGAGCACATTTTTTTATGATTATAATACATCAGTATTCTTGTGGGATAAATATGAATTAATCAGCAATATACCTGTTTACCAAGAATCGCCGACTAAGGAGCATTTTTTAGTTCGCCATTTTTAAATTTGGTTAGCCAGAAAATATGGCATGCCAAAGAATTTGGCAAGCCAGTTATTGCCCGGCCAACCAAAAAATGCTCCTTAGTGGGGTATTCTTGTAAATAAGTATACTTTAATATGATTTTGAAAATAAATATTTTCTTGGGATTTTATATGAAATTGCTAGATAAAATAAGCTCAATAATAATTTATTAATAAAGAAATTAATTTAAAGCCATTTGATTATTTATTCACAATGGAAAATCCTAATATTCCTCAATTAGAGCTTGAGATATCTTCTGTATACACTTCATTTCTCAAGGACTATTATAAATCACAAGACTATGAAAGCTACCAAGAAAAACTAACGGAATTTCATACTTTGTCACCATTGAAAATATTAGAAGAAATATCTAAACATTTGTCAATTTATGCCAAATTGAAATCTATGGACTCAGGTAATCTTGATATAATCGATCATTATGAAAAAACCATTTCTGAGCTTAAAAAAGATATAAGATTTCATGTAGACTTAGAAAATCAACTAAAGAAAGGAATTGAGTATACAGAAGCGAAATTAAAAACTGTTGAAAATAATAGGTTTAGACATGAAAATGATACGATTGAAATAATAAACTTTTTAAGTTATATAGAGCTAACTACTTCCCCCCAGTGAGCGAACAAAAACATAATGTTGGGTTAATTTTTTTTTTCAAATTTAAAAAAATTCAAAAATAATTTAATTTACAAAATTTATGTTTTAAAATGCAAGCTGTTTAAAATTAACAGAAATTAGCTAGAGATCTCATTATAGAAATTATCAAATTATTTTTTCATAAAAATTTTTGTTCACTTATGAAGGGAGCAAAAAATATGTATTTTTCCACGTAGAGGGGAGTAAATAGCCAAATTATATATTTTCAGAAATAGAGTGTTTATTTTTTAGGAGAAAATAGTTATTCTTTGTAAATTATTATAGAAAATCTAAAATCTGATAACCAAACCTTAAACGACCTAATCCAAATCCGCAATCTAGAATGCTTACTCCCCACCTCTGTGAGCGAACAAAACCATTGGAAAAATCCTTATTTTTTTGCCAAAAAACTACCCTCCGTTAGTGAACAAAAATTTTTTATATATAAGCGATAATCAGTAAAATGAAATCTCTAACTAATTCTATTTAATTTAAAACAAATTGCATTTTAAAACATAAATCTCGGAGATTAAATTAAATTTGCTTTCCAATTTTTGCGAATTAGTTTTTTTTTTTAATTTTGAAAAAAAAAATTTACTATAAAATCTATATATAATTTTTTTTAAAAAAATTAACCCCACCGTGAGCGAGCAAAATGCCTTTTTTTGTGCTCACAGAGGGAGGAGTTAGACTTAAAAAAAATTATTGCAAGTGAGAGCGCAGCTTCTTTAAACAAAGAAAAAAAGCATAAAATTAAGCTCAATGAAAATCCCAAACTTATTTTAGAAATAAACAATTTGAAAAATCTTTTGAAAAACGACACAAAATTAATCGAGAATTTAAGGAAAAAAATAGACAAGTTGAAAAATAAGAAAAATCAGTTAAAATTAAGATTAAAAGAAAAAGAAGAAGAGCTAAATGATCTATTTGAAAAAAGCACTGCAGACCCAAAATACTTGGAATTTGACTCAAGAAATTACCAAACAAGCCACCAATCTCTCATTAATTACTTTAAATCCAAATTCGAAGAAAAATGTTTAGAAGTGATCCACTTAGAAAAACGTTTAAAACCCTTGCTTCACTTTGAAATCCACGAACGTCTCAACGAAAAATTCACAAACCTAAAGCCAGTTTACAAGCCCCGGTATTCTTTATCTCCAGGCAAACTTGATCTCAGCAAAAAATTCTCAAAAAAAAATTCTTCAGATTTTTCTACAAATTCCACCCCTGGCTTAAAGTTCCACAGCAAAGCATCCTCCTTATCCATTCCTATCTCTATTACTCAACGACCTTAATTTAATTAAAAAATTAGCTATCTTTTTTCTCCTCTAATGCATCTAAAATTTTCAATAACTTACTCATATTTTCAATAGCCTTAGTTTTAATTATGTATAACGTTTAACGTCCATACGGGGTAGCCTTGTCCAGAGCTACCGCTATATTTATTCACGTATCGGGCCCATGGACTCCTGGATCGATCGACTTTGCTTCGCCAGGGCACGGGACAAATCCAGCGTTCCAGCTTCGATGGGCTGCGCTGCCTCACTCCTTTGGCTCAGCTCCTAGACGTGCTCCGCCTAAGGATCATTTCCTCAGGTGTGCTGAGAGGTAAAACTTCAAGCCTCTATGCACTTGAAGCTGTGCCTCGGCTTATCTGCCAGAGTTAAACCGCTGTTGCTGTACAAAAGTTCTTAGAAGAAAACCTAACCCCATAAATAAAATTCCATAGGGGAGAGAAAATTAGCAGAGCTAATTTCTCTCGAACCGAATGCCATTTTATTTATCCATATTTTAATAGCAATATGTGCATCTGACAGCTTAAACTTCATTAAATCCAGCCCCAAAATTGCGTCTACCTGTGTAGTTTTTGGGATTTTTGAATATCTCTGCGAAAAATGCGTCAAAACGACTTTTCAAGCATTCATAGACTGGGCAATATTTAAAGCTTCACTTAAGGTAGAATGCATTTTTTCGACAGCGTCAGTTTGAAGTTCATCTTCAAATGTAGCTTCATGGATAAGCAAAGTGGCGCCATTTCCGGCTGTAGCAAGATTTTCTGATGGTCTTGTATCTCCACTATAGACTATTCTTCATCCTGACTCATGGTCAATAATAAACCCATAAGCTTCAATTCTATGGATAACAGCGACAGTTTGGATTAATTTTAGCCCTGGGATTGTCTGGGTTTCTGCAACGGGCTGAAATGTATAATGCAAAGGCCCCATTAATAAGTTGCAGACATTTAAGTAGACCTCAAAATTAGAAGGAGCTACTACAATGATTGGGGAATTTGTAAGTTTCGCCCTCTCGTGGAGAAGCTTAATAATTCCTATTTGATGGTCTGCGTGCAAATGGGATATCAAAATTCCGCTAAGATCAAGCAAAACTTGGTTTATTGAGCTTCCGAAGCGTCTTATTAGTTGTGAATAAGTGCCTTCTCCACAGTCAAGTAAAAGGCTTCCACCCCATCCGCCTAGTCAAGTTGAGCTTACATTTCTGTACTTCCCAGGCTTCATCGAAGCTGTTCCTAATAGTAAAATTTCTGGGTCAGCCCCTAGCTTTTTTATATCAATCACATTTTCATATGGCAACCCATGACACTGTGCCTCACTTTCAAAATTCAGCCCTTGGACTGCTTTTATGGCTTCTTCATAATTAAAAGGCTTTATTGCCTCAGCAATATCAATTCCTCTATTTTGTGCAGGGCTTAGCTTAATTTTCATTAGTAGCTGTGGAATTACTGCATTTGGGTATATTTTTTTCAAACTTTCTGCTTCGTCAGAGTTAATTTCTTTTCAATCATTTGGCGAAAAATTGAAAAGTTCTGGACAAATGGCGTTTAACTGGGCTAATAAAGTATCTGAGCTCTTATAAATTGAGGTTGGAGGAAGGGATAGGTAATATGATGAAATAAGAGAAGAGGAAAATAAAAGGTGTTTGCAGTCTGCAGGGAATTGCGATATTAAGGAATGGTAAATAGGGTTTAGTAAGACTTGGCTAGGGGAAAAGCTTAAAATTGCAGAAAAGTCGCTAGATAAGCTGGATAAAATAGAATGTAAAGAAGACTGAATATTTTGGGTGAGTAGATCTTCTGTTGGAAAATGAAGTATTGCAAAGGCTGGTGCTGGTGGTGCTGGATCTAACACTTGATCTGGAGTAATTATTTTATCCCCTATTTCTATAGTCTCCCCAGCGCTAAGTCTTCCATACAGTTTCCCTGGAGGAACCCCCAAGGCTTTTGCTTTATCTACCCTAAATTTTGGCGGCTGTAATTTTCCTTCAATTATATAAATAATCCCAGAGCTTGACGGAGTCATTCTTCTCCCCTCAGGAAATTCATAAAAACTGTTTTCTTCTCTAAATGCTGAAATCACATGAACTGTTATATTTTCGTCACGAAAAACTCTTTCTGTTGTAATTTTCACATGTGGGGCTTCAAAATTTTCATTTCCGTACTCGATAATGTCAAAAATTTCATTCCATACAAAAGTCAAAGTTGACTGTATATAAGCAGCTATGCCTGGAGGCCCATGGATTTTTCTGTGGAAATTAGGGACGCCAGCTTCCATCATGGAAAGCATAACTCCTGGCAATGCTCCTAGTGTGTCTGGATCAATAGCTGTGATAAAAATATCAGTGATTTTATTGATTTTTGCCTTGAATTCTGTGTTGAATCTTTGTAATCCTTCACCTGTGTTAAATAAATAACGCTTATTGTCAAAGCAAAGAAGCGCTGATGAGCTCATATGGTTGCTTGGAATCCCACAGATTTGAAGGTAATAGCTCATAATAAATATTACTTTTTTAGGAATTTTACATAAAAATTAATTAAATTAATGCAAAAAATTATTATTGATCCATTGCCGCTAATTCTTGACGGTCAGTTGTAGACTGTATCAGAGGAGTTTCATGGCACTAAGGCCTGCATTGCTTCACTAAACTTTACTTCATGAGACCTATTTTTAATATCTTTCTATTCAAGTATATTTAACATTTAAATATTTGGATCACCTTCACAGGATACCCAATGCCAATTAATAAAAGTGCATTATCTATATCATAATAAAATTAGATATAAATCTCCTATAAATTATCATTTTTTATACATATATTTAAACAAGATTTTATCAAAAATAATTCAAATATATGGATAGTGGTCCTCAAGAAAATCATCACAAAAATGAAAATGCATCGAAAACTGACTCGGATACCCAATCAGATCTAAATGACTTAAGGTCTATCTCATTTTCTAGTACTTCTTCCACAGAAGAAGAGTTAATGGTTAAAGCAGGATGGCTACGCAAGAAATCCACACACCTTATCAAGCGTTGGCAGTGAAGATATTTTGTATTAAAAGACCACGTCCTTTTTTACTATAACAACGACAGTGACCAGCAGCCAAGAGCTACTATAAATTTCAACCAGATAACAGTCGATATAAACGTAATTAACCCAGAATCCCCTGAAGAGCTCATCATAAAGCCTTTAGGCTCCCCAAGAGTTTTTAGGCTCAAAGGAAACACAGCAGGAGAAATAAAAGAATGGGTCGAAGCCTTAAAAAAACACATAAAAACATCAGAAGGGTTTAAAGAACAAAAATACATGGTGACCATCAAAAAAGAGTTCTGAAGGTACCCAAGGATAAGTAACGACAGATTTGAAGAAATTGTACAAACAGGCGATATTTTACTATTTAGAAGCAAAGCAATACCAGCAAAAATGCAAAGGGCTGTTACTGGAAGTAAATATGACCATGTCGCTCTGCTATTGAAACTGCAAGATGATCAAGTAGCACTACTTGAGTCTACAAGCCAAACTGGAGTCCAAGTCTTGTTATGGGCAGACTTTATGAGGTATCAGTGGCATTTGCTGTATACCAGACTTGTATATAGAAAACTGAATATTGAAAGAACTGATCAGTTTTTAGAAAAAACGGCGGAGTTTATTCAAGAAGTGTCTGGGAAGAAATATAGGCTTGCTAAAGCGATTTTTAAGAAAAGCAAAGGATTGGATCCAGGGTCAGAAGAAGGGTATTTTTGTTCTGAACTTGTAGCTTCAGCTTATAAAAAACTGAAGTTAATTGAAGAAAAAGTACACCCTTCGAGAGTTTGGCCAGGGAATTTTTCAACTGAAAAACCGGTAGAGCTAACTGGCTGCAGCTTAGGGCCAGAAGTGCTAATTGATTTTGAGCTAGGCTTCGAAGAGTAACTAACGAGTTAAAAAATAATTTTTTGGGCATTTTAAAGGATTTTTACCATATAATTTATTAATTTATCCAATTAAAGATCATTTTTTGTCGAGCTAAATTTTTATTGTTTTTTTAGGTATTTATTTACTATAAGAAATGTATGTTTTACCTCAGAAAATAGATAAAAATAATAACTAAAAGACTAGATTTCTTAATAGCTTATGATAATAAAATTGACAAATTATAAGAAAAATTTCGTTGAAAAAGCTATTAACTTATGCACTGACTGCGTCATTAACTAAGCCTTTCTTTGGTTTTCCTGCCTTGAGTGGGTAAAGAGTGAGCTTTGACTTAAAAAGTTCAAGTCTTTGTACATTCTTTTGTAAGGTTTCTGCACTCTTGTTTCTTCGTCTGTGGTCAACCTTTATTCCAATCGTTCTGGCAAATTGTGCGGTAAGGCCAGCTTTCTTGAGTTCTTCAAGAGAAAATCCTCTTCCTTGCTTTTCTTTGGCTGAATATCTCAATGTTTGACCATGAACTATTGGCCTTAAAGTTTCTAGAATAATAAACCGAAAATTTTTATTAAAAATATTTTTTCGTATTTTATTTTAAAATTTTTATATTTTATTTAAATTTTTCGAAAAAAAGCATGCTCCGCTTAAAGTTTTGAGAGGAGTTGGTGCTGATCTTGCCAGCTTTAAGCTTCTTGCTTTGCGTCGGCGTTGTTTGCGAGCTGGTTGATTGAACCAGGTCTTTACATAAGATTGCCAGTCCTTGTGAAAGTGAGCATTGGGAACCACGTTGTTGTGCTTCACCATTTTTAGAACTGCAAATGAACCTAAATCCTCTTAAAATAATCACAAATCTCTAAAAATTTTAGCAATTAACGCAAAACAGTTCTATATATTTAGATTAAATAATTAATTATTCTGATAAATAATTTAATCTTTTTGTAGTAAATTCACAAATTTAAATATGAAGTTCAGTAAGTCTCTCTACTTAAGCATTATTGCACATCTAAAAATAATCAAAAATAATAATCATTCACAAATAAATTAATTAGTGTTACTATATTTACGGGAAATTGACTACATTCAACTCTTTAAATCCAATAGTTAATATACGTAAAAATGGTGTGGATGGACCACCTGAACTCATGATTCTTTTTTTCAACATCAGCAGCAGGTAACGGCCCAGCTTGAAGGGGGAGGTAGAAAGAGGCCGGCAACCCTTTATGCATATTGGACTAGGTTTTCCTCGAACCCTTAGAAAGCTAATTACTGGGACTTGGGGTTTTGCCTCCTAGACCATCATTGGAAAGCGCAGGACTCGCAAAAGCCCCCGAGACGATGATAAATCATGGAAGCCAAGACTGTGTGTGTGAATCCCTTGCCTGCAGCGGCGAGGAGGGTGTCTATGGGGTTCCGCAGAGGACGTAGAGTATATAGAGGTAGTCCTATTGATTAAAAAAATCTCTTCAAAAGTACCTTCACTACTCCATTTCATTATTAACTAATAATTATTCCTGCCTTCCGAAATCCCACAATTCATCATCCACTTATGGCCTAAATTCAATTAATTTTCATTTCTTACAATTCAAAATGTCCCAAAAAGAGATCATGGACCTAAAGAAAGAGCTCGAGTTCCGCCGTCGCCAAATCGTCAAGCTCGAGCAAGAACTCAAAATCCGCGACGAGCGCATCATCGAGCTCGAGCACTCCAACAGAAAATTCGAAGACGAGAACCGCCAAGCCCACACAACTCTCGTAAACTTCGACAAAATAGTTGACGACCGTGCTCAAAAAGCTGCTGTCCTCGAAAAAGAAAAATTCCGCAAACTAATTGACGAAGTCACAGCTAAAAATGAAGAACTCCGGCGTGAAAACGACCGTCTGCAAATAGACCAAAAACTGCTTAAAGACAAAGAAAACGAAATTGAATTCTTAACCAGCAAACTTAAAGAAGTCGCCGAAAGCCAAGGCAACACTGACGCTTTCAAAGACATCCGCGGCGAAAAAAAGGACAATTTAGCCTTGAAGCGAGAAGTAGAAAAACTGACTAAGGATTGAACACTTTTAAGTAACCAAATGCAAGACATCATGTCAGAAAATCGAGTGCTTAGAGAAATGACGGGGGTGCCTGAAAATTATGGGTTTAATTTACAAGAAATCAAGCTTGCAGAAAAGCAAAAAATTGAAGAATATAAAGGAAGGATAAGGAGGCTTGAAGAAGAAGTCGAAGAATTAGAAAAAGAAAGGGTGGATTTGAGGTATAAATTGAGGAATTTATCGACACTTTATGGAGAAAAAGGCTTAAGGTTCCACCAATTGACTGCTGAACAAATGAGGATGGTCGATGAATTTGCGAATAATTTAAGGGAAGGGAGGGTAGAACTGCCGCTAAATGATAGATCTAAAGAGCTTTTAAATGAAATTGAGAGGCTAAAAGCACAGTTGCAGATACTGGAATCTCATTCGTTTGGGACCAAATCTACTGATAACGGCCTTTCTGAGCAGATTTTAGAACAAATTCGCCTTGAAAACAAAGAGCTTAAAGACCTTTTAATGAAACTTTTTTCAGGGATGACCCCTACTACTGAAGAAAGAGCCACCATTTCTCGACATATATTGCAGCTACCACCTGTCCCAATTCCAGACCCTATGGGAGAATTCCATGAAGGCTACTCCTACAGATTCGGCGGAAAACTCCCAGTCGCTGAAATCTGGACTGGCGAGCCTAAAAGAGACCTATCAGCTTTACAGCTTCAAATTGTAGAGCTGTTAGAAATGATTTCAAGAAGAGACGAAGACGACAAACTCACTGCAATCGAGTTAGAAGAATTCAGAAATAAATTAAGAGAAATTTTACTAGTCCAAGAAGAGCTCTATAAACAATATTCTATAGAAAACTTAAGGTGGAAAGAAGACAGAAACCATCTACAAAATCAGTATGAAACAGCTTTACAAGAACTCAGAGAAGCCAGAGCACAGGTAGGGGTTTATGAAGATATGGCAAAAACTATACAAGATAACAGTGTTGGCTCTGAGAGGGCAAAAGTTGCAGAATATGCGACCAGAATTGCACTGCTAGAAGTAAATAATTTGAGATTGGCAAGAAAATATGACTGTTTACAAAGTGAAGAAAAAGATTTGAGGATGGCTTATCATTCATTTGAGTCAGAACATGCTGAAAAAGATGTACTGGTACAGAAGAAAATAGGAAGACTTAAAGAGTGGAGGGTTTCTGCTACTTATCAGCTGCAGTTTTTGTTTAAACAGCTTAGGCAATCTGTACAAATAGACAGATATGAAGCTATAGAACATCAGCTTGATATAGCTCAAGAAAAATTAGCAGATTCTATTGTAAAAGAAGCAGACCTTTATAAGCGGCTTTCTAAGTATGAAAATATGGAACGTGAAAATATCCAGCTTCATGAAAAAATCAGAAATTATGATGACTTAAAAATCGATATGGACGCTGAGCTTGATATGGTTTCCCGCCGCCTTGAGTCTTATGATCCTTCTTTTCGCCTTGAGCAGGCTGTACTTCGACGTGTGGTCAGCCATCTTAAATCAAAATTCATAAGCCCAGAAACTGCTTTTAACCTTTTTGATAAAAATAAAGATGGAAAAATCACAAAGGACGAGTTTAGGTCTGCCTTGGAAAATATTGGAATAAAACTGATGCCAGCTGAGGTAACGGCTGTGCTGAGGTCTATTGATGTGGATTTAGATAACACTGTAAAATATACTGAATTTATTAGAAAAATGAAAATATATGGGGTGCAGTCGATGACTGAGGAGCAGCAAATAATCCAAGTGATATATCAAGCTGTGAAGAAGCTGAACTATACACTTTATGATGTATTCTGTATTTTTGATAGAGATGGAGATGGGCAAATTACTAGAAAAGAGCTTTTGGATTCTTTTACTATGCATTTCTAAATAAATCTGCTATTTATAGGAAAAAATCATAATTATTTTAGCTTAAATGCTATAGCATAATTTCGATTTAGGCTTAACAGTCAACCAAATCGAAAAAGTAATGAAATTAATTGACACAAACAAAGACGGTCTAATCGAATTTTCCGAGTTTTCCAAAGTTTTTGAAAGAGAATTAGAGCTTAAGCCTCAAGAGAAAAAAGCAATGTCAGCAGACTGGAAAGATGAGCTTATAGCCAGAATTAATGACACATTAAGAAAGGTAGGAATGGACTTATATCAAGCTTTTTCTGCATTTGATACAAATCATGATGGGAGAATCAATAGAGGAGAATTCAACCAGACCTTTGCGAGGATGAATGCAGGGCTAACAAGAGAACAGCTGGATGAGCTGTGGAACTCTATGAATAGTGATAGAGATGGCTATATCAGTGTAGCAGAATTTATTACACAGTTTAAGAGCAGCACAAAGGAAAGGGATTCTCAAATACTATATAAATTCAATTTAATTAAGGGCCATTTTTTATATAATTAATAGCGTATTTATCATAAAATTAAACATAGGAAATAAAAAATAAATAAAAATCACCAAAAAGAGATTAATTAGAGAAGCTGAAGAAGCGGTCAGAAATGACCCAGAATATTCATATGGAGGTGGAAGAGGAGATAGAAGACTAGTTGCCCTATATGAAGCTAGAGAACAAGCTGCACAGAATAAAGTAGAAAGATACCAAGTAAGGATGAAAAACCTAGAAACTTCTTTAAGTGAAGCAGAAAAGCATATAGAAATATTAGAAGCCAAAAATATAGACCTGACTAAGAAATACCACATCATGAGAGAAGAAGACGCCACTAATAAGCATAGGCTAGCTAATACTGTCAGCAAAGCTGAAGCTGAACAATTAAAACAAAATAATGAAATTTTGCAAAAAGAACTATCATTTTTTTCTATAAAAATACCTATAAATATAAAAAATCGTAAAAATAGCATATTTATTATGGTAAAATATAGCAGAAGCAAGAGCAGCTATGAACACTTATAAATCATTAGTACAAGTATCTGCAGACCACGTCCGAGCTTTACAGCTGAGCATTGAAAAGCGAAAAGACGAAATCGACACTTTCCAAAGAGCTATAAGAGAGATGCAAGCTGATAACGCTGAAGCCGCCACAGTCGGAAAACTTTATCACCAAGTGATGGTCTCCCGCTGGTCAGAAGCCTCCGCAAATAGAAAATACGACAGTCTTCTAAACGAAGCCAGGAACCTTCGAGCTGAAGCTTTCCGTCTTGAAAACGAAACCATGGAAAAAGAAAAAGGAATTTACGACCTCCAACAAGTCCTGACTGAAAAAATTGCCAATTATGAGTCCCAAATCCGCGAACTCAAGCTAAAATCTGAGCACAACATAAGCCTCGATAAGGCAAATGAGTTTATTTCTCAAATCAGAGACCTCGGGGAAAAGAAAAGTGAGCTAGAAGACGAAACCCGAAGGCTCCGAGGCGAACTTTTAGACCTAGAAAGCAAGTCAGAAGAAGCCAAAATCATGAAAAACGCAGCTGAAGAAATATACCAGCTTATAAAAACAGGCAGCTCTGACGATATTTCTGACCGACTTGTAGAGATGGCTGAAAGAATGAGCCAATTGAGGCTCAATGAGCTTAAAGCTAAGCGTGAAATGGGCCATAGTAAAGAAAAAGAAGAATACTATGCAAGAATCCACGTTCAAGATATGGACAATATAAGGACTTTGGAACAAGAAGTAGCAAGATGGGAGTCAGTTTTAGCCAAAAAAGAAGAAGCGTGACGCAAAAAAGACGACGAACGACAAAAAATGCTGCTGAACCCCAAGTTCCAGATCCACACTTCTGATGGTTTTCAGCCAAAAATCACACCTGGGGAGGTAAAGAAAAAAGATGACGATATTGCTACACTAAAAGAACAGCTGAGGATCGCAGAAAATACGATAAAAATCAGAAATGAACAAATAAACCATTTAACTGCTGTAAGAAATGAAGCAGAAAGAGCAGGAACTGGGCTGACTCAGGAGAGCAGGACAATATTTTCAAGAGAAGAATTAATAAAAATTACAGGGGAAAATGAAGCTGACCAACTAGCACAAGCGGCAAATGCGACTATAAAGACACTGAATGAAATGATTGATAATAAAAATGCACAGTTGGAGAGAAAAGAAGCACAAATACAAAAATTGCAACAAGACCTTGTAAGGGCTCAACAAGAGTCAGTAAGAGAAGCCCATAGACTGGCTGAAGAGCTGCAGACTAGGACAACAGGGGCTATGGCAAACTTACAAGGAGCCATTAATGCGTCTAATATAAGGTCAAGACCGTCAAGCAGCTATAGGCCAGATCTTGATGTATTGCTTCAAGACAGGGATTCCCGCTTGAACTATCTGATTGGGCAGCTTAAAGGGGCAGAAAAAATAAAAGAGCAAAATGAAAGGCTTCTAAACCAGCTTAGAAAAGAACTAGAAGACACCAAATATGAACTAAATATAGAAAAAGCTAAAAACACTGGAGAAGGCTACAAAAAAGAGCTTGAGCTCGCCAAAAAGCAGCTGCAAATTAAAGACAAAGAACTTCAAGGACTCAAAAAAAGTTTAGCTGAGCTCAAAGACGACCTCTTAAAAGCTGCAGAAACCAACGAAGTCAAAGAAAAAGACCTACGCGAAAAAGCCCTCAGAGAAAACTCTGACAACTCAGTCATAGCCCAAAACATGGCGAAAGCCCAACAAAGGATCGAAACTTTGACCAAACAAATGAAAGAAGCCAGAGAAGAAATAAACCGTCTGAAAACAGAAAAAATAGAAGTCGCAGAGCGAGAAACCAAAGCAAAAGAAGAAAACAAGAGAATTGTGGACAACCAGATGAAAAAACAAGAAATGCTGAATAAGCTTATGAAAGAAAATAATGAGCTGAAAAAAAGAATAGAGGAACATAAAGAACAGCCAGTAAGGGTGCAAGAGGCCCCCAGTAGGTATACGGCCAATCAGACAGCAGATATAAAACAGCTAAGAGAGACTATAGCAAATTTGGAAAAAGAAAAAAATAAAATGGCGAATCAGCTAGAAAAATTAAATACCAAAGCAAAACCGATCGAGATTGAGCCAGCAATGGAGAATTTTATAAGGAGGTTTGGGAATATGCTCAATAATAAGAGAATGACTTTAGAAATGCTAGCTGATGGACTGAAAAAGATAGCGGTAGGGGTGTTCAGAAGGAATTTAAATGACAAAAGAGTAGGGCTGAGTGAAGAAGAGACAAATTTATTGATACAGTTTTCACAGCAGTTTGCAGCAGCTGCTATGAAAACAAGAGAAGGAGGTGAAGAACCAGGAATTGCAATTAAAAAGCTTGACAAAGCTATAAAAAATGTAATTGCAAGCCCTATCAAATCTGTAAGACCATCCGAAATAGAAAGGTACCTTATCTTCTAAATCCAATTTTTATTTCCCGCTATAAATATTATATAAATATTCATAATAAATTATTATAAAAAAGCAAACGACACAAGACCCCAGGCTTCTTTAGAATCCCAACGCGATGAACGAAAATTCGAAATGCTGAACAAGCAAATCAGCATGCTAAAAGCTGAGCTCGAAACCAAAGAAAAACAAATCGCTCATTTTGAAGGCCTCACCCGCAAGCTCGAACAAGAAAAACAAGAAATTTCTAAACGCATCGAAATTCCAGCAGAAAAAATCCAAGAACCAGTCACTTTTAGCCAAATTTCTGAAATGGAAGCAATGCGAAAAGAACTTTTTGAGCTCCAGCAGCAAAATATGGCTCTACAAAAGCGAATCCAAGTAACCATTCAAAGTGAATGCAAAAAGCTGCAGCATGATAACCATATTTTGCATGAAGAAAATAAACATTTTAAAGTAGAAAATATGAGTTTACAGTCACAATTGGAGAAATTAAGAGCAGGGAAAATAAAAAGTGTAGAAGGGCTCAGGGAAGATGAGGTCTATGAGCTTAATATGAAGGTAAAAAGACTTGAAGAGGTCTTGGAGGAAATTTCGAAAAAAGAGCTTGAAGAAGCTGAAAAGCTGCTGGAAGTTGAGGCGGAAAATTTGGACATGAAATTCGAAAAAGAGACGCTTAGTTTGCAGTTGGCAAGACTGCAGAGAAGGATAAAAGAATTGGAGCAGTTCAAGAATGCAGTTATTAAAGAAGGGCTGAAGGTAAAAGATGAAGAGCCACAGACGGTAAAGTTTGCAGATGTTGGAGAAGCAGAAGTGAGATCAACATTTATGGAAGGACCGACAAGGTCAACAAAAGAGCTTGAACAAGTAATAGATTCTTTAAGAAATGTGATTGACAAGCTAAGAGCAGAAAATGACCTGCTGAAAAGAACTATGATGGCCACTCCAAAAGAAGAAGAAAGAGCTAACTTCATATTAAAAATTTTTTTTATATAATAAAAATAATTAAATTTATTTTTAAAACATTTATTTTAAATAAAAAAGAGTAAGAATGAAAAAGTCTTGACAATGAAAGTCACAAACTTAGAAGAAGAAGTCAAAGAATTGAGGCTGAGAGAAGATATTAATAGAGATTTAGAACAAAAACTGAAAAGGGTTAATGAGGCTAATGAAACACTTCGAAAAGATATGGAAAAAGAAATCCATCTTATGGATGAAGCAGACAAAAAATATAGATCGCTCTTTATGCAGTATGAGCTTCTGCAAAGAGATAATGACAGGCTTAGGAGAGCATTAGATGAACTAACATATCGATAAAATATGAATAAATTATATTAAAATTTGTTTTAAATTTCTTAATTTAATTATAATATTTAGATACTTTATCAATTTTTTTAATTTTTAATATATATATCTAATTATAATGAAAAAAAAATCTAATGGTCACCGTTATCCTATTTTCGTATAGTAAAAATATACAGGATAATAAGTATGAATCTTTCATCATTTTAAATAGTTATATTTAGATAAATTTTTTTAAATTATAATGCTATTAGTGAATTTATTTTTTCTCTTAAGCAGTTATAAAATAACTTAATCTTATTTTCTTACATAAACTCTTAACTAACTTCTTCTTGCCGCAATTAAAAAACCGACTAAAATGGTTCTCAATGTCTTTTCGTTTTATAATTAGTGATTTCATGTCAATTCGTAAGTCTGTTCAAAGTCAGCATGTAAAAGATCGGCCAAAAATTCCATCTGTTCCTCAAAGGAAACAATTAAGCAAACTTAACAATAAAACTGAAATAACGAAAGGAAGCTTACCAAACACGAAACCTAAATTAAGCCAATCTCCAGAAGGCCACACCAATTTAGATGATAAAGAAATTATATATAAAATTGTTATGAATATTTAAAAAATATAATTATTTGTTAATAAATAAACATTTATTATAATAAAATATAAATGCAGTTAAAAGTATTTACTCCCCAAAAGTCGCAGAGAAGCAAACCCATAGGAATCCAAGAATTTATAGTAAAATCAGTATTTTCAAAGGTAGACGAATTATTACAGAAAACATCGACTCCCCTATCCTTATCAATAGAAAAACGGGAGCAAACGACGAAAATTTTACTTATAGGACCACAGTGATTCCTAACTTCTCCTTCTCATAAACGAAAAAATTTTACTAGCTTCTGAGGGGAGTTATTCTTTTTAAAAAAATTAATACAATTATTTCGAAAATTAAAAAAATTGAATTGAAAATTAAATGATAATAAATTTAATTTAACATAAATTTCAACAAATTCAGCAAGAGATTTCATTATAATAATTATTATTTATATCTATTACAGTATTTTATTAAAAAATTTATTTGCTCACTAACTTTTTTTTGTCCAAATAATTGGGATTTTTCCAATGGTTTTACTTGCTCGTGGAAGGGAGGAGTAAACATTTTGAAATTGATTTGTCTGCTTTTAGGATCCAGAAAAATGGGATGGTCTCTTTAAAAGAAGCTATGAGAGATAAATCGTGGCTCGGCAAGGCCAAAGAATTCATACAATCTGAGTTGTCATCCTTTATAAACGCAAGTATAACCCAATTTCTGCTTTGGATTGGGCTTGACTGATGTCGGGAGGCGTCAGATGGGGAGTTGGCGAGCCAACGTTTCCCCAAATGGCAAATCCTCTTTTTATTGGAGATTTGTTATCTGAGGACTTTGCAACAAACGTTGGCTCGTCAACTCCCCATCTGAACGCCTCCTGAAATCAGTCAAGCCCGATCCAAAGCAGGAATCAGTTATAATGGAATTATTATTACTCATAACGAAAGCAATGGAGGGCTGTATAAATATTTTTTAGGAAAAGGAAACAATCATCCGCTTGTAAAGCAATGTTTTAATAGCAGATGATGGTGGTCACAAGCTGAAGAAGAGCAAAGTCCAGGGGTAAATATGTCTTGGACACAGTTGAAAAGTCAAGAATTTATTAATTCTATCCCAATTATAAGAGACAGGCCAGAAAATATAGAGAATATTGAAAAAAGGTCAATAGATTGTAAAATTTTTTACGAGTCTGAAGTCCTTGAAGAAAAAAGTGTAGATATTTCCCCATTAGGGTATGATATTATTACTATTTATATCCTATAAACACTTCAAAAATTAAAAAAATAATCATTTTCTAAAATAAAATATAAAGCTAAAATAACTACAATGCATTTAGGCTATATAAAAAGCTATATTACTAAAGTAGCTCATATGTCGTTTTAAGTGAAAAACTCCAATACATTCCTCATCAGATAAAATGCCACAACAGGCTAGAATTCAACTCAAATTTATCAGATAAAAAATTTTTATATATGAACATGAAAAAGTATTATAGCGCCTTAAGAAAAAATGTTTTTAATTATTTGCCGCTTACTTTTCATATAAAATTTGGAGAAGAAGACCCAGAATTTATCGAGTTTTTAAACTATTTCCAAGAGTTAAAATCCTCAAAACAGCAAAATCTGTGGATTTTAAAGCCAGGAGAAAATACAAATAGAGGAAATGGAATATGTGTGTGCGATACTTTAGAAAAAATTACCCAAGAGGTCAGAAATAACCCATTTCCTAAGACAGGTGAGCATACTTTTATTATTCAAAAATATTTAGATAGGCCTTATTTAATCAATAAGCGAAAATTTGATATTCGCTTGTATACGCTTGTTACAGCTACTAATGGAATTATTCAAGCTTATTTTTACCAAGAAGGATATTTAAGAACTGCGTGTAAAGAATACTCACCCAAAAATCTTGATAATAAATTTATCCATTTAACAAATGACGCTGTGCAGAAAAAGTCAGAGGACTATGGGAAATTTGAGAATGGAAATAAAATTTCGTATATGGAGTTTCAGAGGTATATAGAAAACAGAAGGCCAAAAGTAAATATAAAATTTATATTGAATAATGTCAGTGATTTTTTTAAATTTATGCATAAATTATTTATTTTAAATATTATATTAACTTTTTTGACGATGTACTCCCTGCTATGAAAGATATAGTTAAAGGTTCCTTCACACGAGGTCTACTCCATAAAGACTATTTTTTTCGGCCTATTTTTTTTTTGGCCTATTTTTTTTTGGCCTATTATTTTTTGGCCTATTTTTTTGGCCTATTTTTTTTTGGCCTATTTTTTTTTGGCCTATTTTTTTTTGGCCTATTTTTTTTGGCCTATTTTTTTTTGACCTATTTTTTTTGACTTTTTTTTGGATATTTTTTACTAATATTTGGGCCTAATTTCATACTAATGATTTTAATATTATTTTTAATGTATTTTAAACGATTTTATCAACATAAAATACACCTTTAACAGATCTCTTACTCCAATAATGCTAATTCATTGCTTTTTCAATTTCGAGAATTTTAAATTTAATTAGGATTTTTCCACTTAATTTACTCAATATTAATCGTGTAAGGAAATACATCCGTTACCCAATAATTATTTAGTTCTGTCAGGAGCTTCATGAATTATCCTCGACAGAAAAAATAGACCTAAAAAAAATAGGCCAAAAAAAAATAGGCCAAAAAAAAATAGGCCAAAAACAAATAGGCCAAAAAAAATAGGCCAAAAAACAATAGGCCAAAATAAATAGGCCAAAAAAAAATAGGCCAAAAAAAAATAGGCCAAAAAAAAATAGACCAAAAAAAAATAGGCCGAAAAAAATAGGCCAAAAAAAATTAGGCCAAAAAAAAATAGGCCAAAAAAAAAAGTCTTTATGGAGTAGACCTCGTGTGAAGACACGATAGTTAAAGATACAATACAAGCTGTTTATATGAAAATAAGCAAAAATAATAGGGCTCATACTTTTGAAATATATGGGTATGATTTTCTATTGGATTCTAATTTGAAGCCTTGGCTTTTAGAAGTCAATACTAATCCTTGTCTTGAGCTTTCGTCTCCTATTTTAGCGAGGATTATACCAGCAATGCTTGAAAATGCTTTTAAAATTGCTTTAGACCCTTTGTTCCCTGAGCCTCATCATATAAGCAAAAAAGCCCAAGTGGGAACTCTACAGGATCATTTGCCAGAAAATAAATTTGAGCTGATTTTCCATGAGAAATATGATGGCGCGAAATTATTAGAAAGACTAGAGTCATTAGGAACTTTAAATATTTTTATGAGCGCCAAAGATGAATAATAATTGAAAATTCTTCTTAACTCCCCCCCTTCGTGAGTGAACAAAACCATTAGAAAAATCTCTATTTTTTGCCCAAAAACCCACCCTCCGTGAGTGAACAAAAATTTTTTTTAATAAAAAAATTTAATATATAAATGATAATTAGTATAATGAAATTTAGAGCTAATTCTGTTTAATTTTAAACAAATTGCTTTTTAAAACATAAATTTTATAAATTAAATTTAATATTTGCTTTCCAATTTTTGTGAATTAGGATTTTTTTAAATTTCTAAAAAAATGTTTTTATAAAATTTATATATAAATTTTTTTTAAAAAAATAAAAGTAACCCCTCCGTGAGTGAACAAAATTTTTTTGTTCACTAACGGAGGGTGGGGGGAGTAAGATAAATTAGATAGTTTGGGGCTGGGATATATATTAAAATCTTTTATGTATATTTTAAAGATAAAATATGTCTTTTGTGGCATTAGTACGGGATCGGTATGTGAATTCTTATAACAAGCCTAACATAAGTGGCGTCCAAATAAAGGTATCCTCCAGTCAGGTAAACCGCATTCCAACCCTTGAAGAACTCACCGTTGTTTCCCTAAAAAACTCAAACTTATCATCTTCAGGCCCAGAAGGCGAAATCTCAATGACATGCCCAAATATAAAAGAACTCGATATCTCTGAAACTTGTATCACAAATTGGCAAGAGCTTATAAACATCTGCAAACAGTTAAACGTAAACTTTACCTCAGGCCCTTGAGTTTATTGATATAGGCCGTTTAAGACTTGATCCTCAATCTTTTGCTGATAGTGATAGTGTATTTGAAAAACTAAAATGGCTAGTTATGAATCGTGTAAATTTGGGGTACCAAGAGATGAGAATTATGAGCAAAACTTTCCCGAATATAGAAACCTTGGTCCTTAGGGCATCAAGAATAGATTTTATTGAAGTTTTTAGGGACTGTTTTCAGAATGTTACAAGGCTAAATTTGGGGAAATGTGATATCAGGGAGTTTTCCCAAATTGAAGCTTTATCTGTAATGGAAAATCTGCAAGAGCTGAAGCTATATAATAACCCAATTGCAGAAATCATCAATGTGTCACATTTAGATGGGTTTAAAAAACTGAAAAGATTGAATTTGAGTTTCACTCAAATATAAGAAAATATTTGATTAAATCATAAAAAATTAATATAAAAATTTATATATAAAAATTTTAAGGTGTTTTTGGTTATAATATATAGATATAAGAGATTTGCAATCAATTTACAATTTGAATAGTTTCCCAGTTTTAACTGAACTAAGGATTAATGACAGCACATTTAGTGAGAGATTTAAAGAACATGCTAGGAAAATCTTGATTAATTATCTACAGAATATAGAAGAAATCAATGGAAGCAAAGTTTCAGTAAAAGAAAGAACGACAGCAGAAAGGCAATTTTTAAGAGATTTCAGTGATCCTGCTGATATAAGTAGACATGTAATGCAGCCAACCAAAGAAACTTTATTTGAGTGGCTTATTCCTGAAGAAATCCCAACGAATATTCAAGTATTTGATAAAGTTCATAGCAAACATGGTAATGTGCTGAAATTTGCTGAAGTAAATTTATACATAATTATAATATATTTCCTATCAGATAGCAAAAGTCACTATTATTAAACTTAGATACTTAAAATAAAGCCAACATAAAATATAATATAAAGATGTATAGCACCGCCCACAGAAGCATTGGTGCATATAAGGCTTGAGGAAGGCGAATCTCAAGATCATGTTGTAAGTCTCAGTTGGAAAGTCAGAGACTTGAAGACTTTATGTGAAAGAATTTATGGGATACCAAAATCAGAACAAAAACTGTTCTATGGAGATCATGAAGTGATGGAACATCTTGGATTTGACTTGTTGAGGTTTGATAACCAAAATCTGAGTGCACTCAATTTAAAAGATAATGACGTGATCTTGGTAAGAAGAAAAGATTAATTAAGAGTTATTGGTAAAAATAAATATATAGCTCATGCCTTGTATTCCATGAGGAGCAGAGTGATGGAGCATCCCAGAAAGCTAACTCGCAAGCTAAGGTTGACGAGTCAAAATCCCTGAAAAAATTTGTATTATCTGCTGGGTTTACTACTTTGAGGGTTGACTTGCCAATTTTAGTTCACGACTCAACTCTATGGGGCACTCCGCCACTCTGCTGTCTATGGAAGGCTATAGCAGGTAGCAAGATATAGTGCTTATAATAAATGCTTTTGAGATCCATTAATTATATTATTATTGGCAGATATTTATAGATTATAAGAAAGATTATTGTTGGAAATTATATAAAGCAAAAAGCTAGGCCACGTTTTTATTTAATTTAGCAGGTGAAGTATATTCACTTCTGACCATATTTAGCTCAAGATTGCTTTTTCTGGTTATTGTTGACAGCTGATTTCTATGATTTTTTATATCATCCGCAATTTGAGCCATCTTAAAATGCTTTTCAAGAATTTTGTCCCTAAATTTATCAAATTCATGCATTTCCTTCATATATTTTTATGGATTGACAAATTGTTCAAGGATAAGTGCCTTTAATAATTTTCCTGTTTTTTATGCTATCCTTCTAAATAAAATTTTTTTCTAACGAAAAAATAATTCATATGCAAAAAAATAAATAATAAAAATTAATAGCCTTATTTTTCTATTTGCTCGCTTTTCTTTTCTATGTTTTTTTTAATTTTTTCTTTTCTCAATATTTTAGCATCCCTCTGAATTTTTAGCTGAGATTTTGTCTTTCTTGAGTCTCTCTGCTCAATATTTTTGATTCTTTCGTTCTCTTCTTCGTATTTTTCATTAAGACTTTTAGTTCTTCTATTAATACTTCTTTCAATCATTTTCTTGGTTTTTCCAACAGTTTCTCTAGCATAATTTTCTTTTTTCTCTTTTTTATCAGAAAGTGTCAATGACTTTGCAATGGCTTTTTTTAAATTTTCTTCTTGCCGCTTTATTTCTTCCATTTGGGATAAATTCATGATATACCCAACCTTTTCAGCATGCTCTCTTGCTGATTGAATTCTCATTTTTACAATTTTCCCATATTTTTCTATCCTTCTATCTATTTTTTCTTCTAATTCTTTCATAAGTTTTTCCACCTCTTCGCTTTCGCTTATAAATCTTTCCTCACTCATTACAATTTTTTCAAAATCCTGCTCAATCTTTTTCTTTATCTCCTCGTGTTTGTCTTTTAATTTTTCTCGGATTTTTATTTTGTTTGCCTCAGTCCTCCCTTTTATATTGAAACAACAAATTCTGTTCAAATTTCAAGAACTACTTTTTTCAAAAAAATTCATAATGATTTTTTTTTTAAAAGAATTGAATGCAATGTTTTTGAATTTTAATTGATTTTTTATTAAGAATTCATATAAGAAATTAATCGATTTAGTGTGAAAAAAATGTTTATATCGCAATCTACCTAAACTAATTTTATTAAATAAGATCAAAGCTATTTATATAAAACACATAAGTTTTTCACTTAAAAAATTTCCATTGAAAATTAAAATTTTTATAGGGTTAATTTACCAAAAAAATGAAAATTTTACCAATATTTTTGTTCCAATTTAAAGAGGAGAGTCAGACAATTTTTTCATTTTTCCTTCCAACTCTAAAAAATGCCTTCCGCATTGTTTTTTGAAAATTTCTTCAATTTCTGATTTTTTCTCTAAATGTTGATGTCTTTTTATATTCTGAATTTCTGTATGTTTTTCGTGCTTTTCTTCTTTTTTTTGTAATTCTGCTTTAATTTTTTTTTCTTTTAAGTCAAATTGTGAAATTTTCTCTTGGATTTTTTCAAATTCTTCTTTTTTTATAGTAGAAATATTGTTGAGGACTCTTAAGCTTTGATTATATTTTCTCATAAATAAAAATGACTCCGGACAAAAAGGTAATTCACTTTGTTAATTCCTTTTCCCCCCATTTTTATTATTATGGGTCTAAGTTTTTACACGTGAACTCCTAGACATTAGGAGAAATTGAAAGAAATTTTATATTTCTCCTACCTTCTCTATGTGTTTTACTTCTTACCATTTATTATATAAAGGCATAAACCTTAAGCAGCAGGTGCATGAGGAATATCAGAGAGAATGAGACAACGCTCCAAATTGCTAGTGTTTACTGTACTTCTGTACTCCCAAATGGCTTCACAGGTGCTTGGAGGAGCAAGCTGGACTGCAAGACCTATATGAGTTCGCGAGTAGCGACAAGATGGAGAAACTAGAAGCCTAACTAGAAGTAATTTATATTAAATTAATTGAATGATTATATTTTTTTCTTTCTCTGGTATAACAATAATCAATAACATCATGCGGGGACTGAAAAGTAACGCTATGTGATACTGAATTTAGGCTGCCTTTTGGCTTCACAGGGGATAAAGACTCACTTAGATTTATCCCATTTATAAGATTTTGTAGTTTAGCGAAAGCTAAAGGGTTTTTTCCTTCTAATTTTTGACAGATTTCTGTGGAAACTTTTAAAAGTTTGACAAATCTTTTCTGTTCATAGTGATTATAGCGGGGTAAAGAAAGTTTGGAAGAAGTTTCTTTATCGTTAAACTCTTTTGCGTTCCTATATTGAAATTTACAATGGAAAAAGCTCTTCAATTGCAAATCCAAGATGCTCACATTCTGATTTAGTTTCTTCTTGGAGTTTATCTAGTAGAAATTCTAGAAGAGTTTCTGCATTTCTTTGATTTTGCATGAGTTTTTGGCTACCATAACGAGAATTATACATAATTTTATTGAAGTTAAAATAATGTTTGTTTTAAAATAATAAAATTGATCATTAATATGAATTACCAAATTCTTTATCTATAATAAGTAGTTTAAGCAATGCATTCAAGCATGCTGAATCTAAATCAATTATCTGGACTATTAATTAACATTACCATAATATATTTAAATTATAGAAAATTTCAGAAATATGACTATTACTTATGAAATAATAAAACCTAATATTGGCCCTCCGATATCATTTCTATATAGGCGGTATTGGCCATTGTTCTTAGGGCTTTCCACTTCTATTTCATATATTGAGCATTCTAACTTTATTTTTCTTTTTGCTGGGATTCCATTAAATAATATTCCACCAATGTTGTCATAAATCACAGAAATAGTGTACTTCGTTTCTGCTGTCAATTCAATCATATTTGCAAATCGAATCTGCTCTTCTTTACTTTTTATTTCAAAATTTTTTATATGGCTCTGATCATCGACTATAATATTTTCTGAGCAAGCTATATATATATCTGCATGAATCGTAGCTCCTGAAACATCTCCACCCAATATCAGACCCAGAAGTGCTATATTTCTACTGCATGTTAAAGAGATTGATTCAACTTGATCTTTAGAAACTCTTCAACCTTTTGTTGGTCTGCCATCATAAGGATAAATCCCTTCAAATCTGTTTAATATTTTTTCTTCTTTTATCATTTGATTAGGCTGACTTAAACCTTCTAATATCTGTGCGATTTCTTGGATTTTTTCAAGGCGTTGATTATAATTAGAAATTGTAAAATCGCCCTTACATTCCTCAGCAATTTCTTGATACCTTATATCTAATCTGGATAGATTTTCAACTAAACAATAGAAAGCATCTTGAACTAATGTGTCAAACATCTTGAAATAATCTTTATTTCTCAAATTAAATGAGCCTCCTTTACAATTTTTGCAGCAAACTTTAGGAAATGTTCTTATTTCAATGTTAAGTAATTGGACTTCCCAAAATTCTTTTTTAAACTTTATTGCTGGCTCTTTATGCTCTAAACAGTATGTTTCCATAAATTCCAACTTTTTGCTTAGATTTTTATCAATAACATTTTTGTCTTCAATAACATAGTCTTTACAAATTTGGCATCATTCACATTCTTTACACATAGGATGAATGCATTTTGATTTTACAGGGATATTTTGATTTTTCCCCATAATCTCATTGCAGCCTCTGCATCATGGATAAGAAAATAAATCATCTACTTCCAAGGGTGTTGGGTTTGACATTTCACATTCCTTATTATCCAATGGGCATCTAAAGTTGCTTCCAGCGCTACTGAAACATTTTAGACAAACTGCGTGATTTGCTTCAGAACATGATAATTTCATAGGAGTATCCCAACCAAAGCCAAAGTTTGAAAGGCAAATAGGGCATTTTGTTTTTTCAGTGATTTTTTCTTTTCCTTCTGATTCTTTTAAAAATCGATGAAGATCTATCATATCTTTCAACTTCCACCCATAGTTTTTAATATATTCATAATAAATAGAAGGAATGCAGGCTAAATCAGACGAATAGATCTTTTGATAAAGAACGCCATTTATAAATTCCTCAGTATCATCATCTTCTATAGGCATAATTTCTTTACATTTTTGGCTGCAATTTTCACATAATGGTTCTAAAGTAGCTCTAGAAATTCATTTAGCAGAAACAAAAGGATGGGTATCACAGAAAATTTCAGTCGACTTAAATGCTGCAATTTTGTAGCAAAACTCGAGTTTCTTTTGATTTGACTCATTTTTACAGTTCCAATATTTCTTTTTGAGAATATAAGGCAATCCATTCAATTCTGAAGACAAATCACGCCATCTATTTTGCAAAATTTCACTAAAATCTATATCTTCTAAATTGATCAGATTTTTTTGAGATCGAGCGCTATAGCACTCTTCGCACAACGATTCCAGTGTTTTTGAGTCTAAATGTGTTGCAGGAACTCCTTCATGATGTGAGCATCCAATATAGTCTTCTTTAAGCTTCTCTAGAATTCTTTCATTATCTGGCAGATCAGAGATGTTTGCCCCTGAATCTACTCTGCATAAGCTACAATGAATACACTTTTTATTCTCTAATGAGTCGTTTATACAGTATGTGCATAAAGTATGTGAACAGAGTAGAATTTTTGGCCTTCTAACATTAAGATCGAAGCCTAGTTTGCAGCTGTGGCAGGATTTGTCGACGCCAGACATATTATTTTTATAGAATCTGCTGTCTCTGGAAATTACGATATTAATTGGCATCTATTCATCAGAAATTTTCTAAAGTTAATAAATAATTTTTATAAAATTTCTGAAGACAAATAAATTTAATTTTTTAATTGGTGGAATATTTCCAAAAATTTAGCTGGCCGATGAGGAATGGATAAGTTATTGCGTTTTTTCCCTATCGTTTTTTGGCTTCTCCAATAATAATATCATCAGCAGTTCCTATCTGTCTTTGTCTCTTCAAATACTCATAAATTTCTCCAAAAAGCTTGCTGCCCATTTTCTCAATGCACTGCTGCCTCATTGAATCTTTTTATAAGTAATCTTGAGTCAATTTTTCGATATGAAAACTTTGGGAGGAGGTATTTTTAATTTCATCAGATGGGTCAATATAGTCTTGGTCTCTGATGCCTGATTTTTACCGTTATTTTATCTTTTTCTTTCAATATTTTTCCACTTTACAGGCTCAATGAGTGCATCCAGTATCAATATTAAATACTTTTATAATATAAAGATGTATAGCACCGCCCACAGAAGCATTGGTACATATAAGGCTTGAGAAAAGACCATGCTATAAGTCTCAATTTTAAATTCAGAGACTTGAAGGCATATTTGAAAGAATTTATGGGATATCAAAATCAGAACTAAACTGTTTTATGGGGATCATGAAGTGATGGAGCATCTTGGCTTAGACTTTTAAGGTGTGATAACCAAAATCTGAGTGCGCTCAATTTAAAAGATAATGACTGATCTTGGTAAGAAGAAAAGATTAATCAAGAGTTATTGGTAAAAATAAATAGTGCTTAAATAAATCTAAGATGATTCATTAATAATTTTATCAGCAGATATTTATAGATTATAAGAAAAATTATTGTTGGAAATTATTTATTAAATGACTAGGCTAGTTAATATTTTTTCTTTTTATCATTTGATAGGTTGACTTTAACCTTCTAATATCTGTGCGATTTCTTGGATTTTTTCAAGGCGTTGATTATAAGTAAATATTAGAAAATTGCTCTTCCATTCCTCAGCAATTTCTTGATACCTTATATCTAATCTGGATAGATTTTCAACTAAACAATAAAAAGTATATTGAACTGACGAGTCAAACATCTTGAAATAATCTTTATTTCTCAAAATAAATGTGCCTCCTTTACAATAACTGCAGCAAACTTTAGGAAATGTTCTTATTTCAATGTCATGCAATGGGATTTCTCAAAGAACCTTTTTAAACTTTATTGCTGGCTCTCCATGTTCTAAACAATATGTTTCCATAAATTCCAACTTTTTGCTTAGATTTTTATCAATAACATTTTTGTCTTCAATAACATAGTCTTTACAAATTTTGCAAAATGAGCATTCTTTACACATAGGATGAATGCATTTTGATTTTACAGGGATATTTTGATTTTTCCCCATAATCTCATTGCAGCCTCTGCATCATGGATAAGAAAATAAATCATCTACTTCCAAGGGTGTTGGGTTTGACATTTCACATTCCTTATTATCCAATGGGCATCTAAAGTTGCTTCCAGCGCTACTGAAACATTTTAGACAAACTGCGTGATTTGCTTCAGAACATGATAATTTCATAGGAGTATCCCAACCAAAGCCAAAGTTTGAAAGGCAAATAGGGCATTTTGTTTTTTCAGTGATTTTTTCTTTTCCTTCTGATTCTTTTAAAAATCGATGAAGATCTATCATATCTTTCAACTTCCACCCATAGTTTTTAATATATTCATAATAAATAGAAGGAATGCAGGCTAAATCAGACGAATAGATCTTTTGATAAAGAACGCCATTTATAAATTCCTCAGTATCATCATCTTCTATAGGCATAATTTCTTCGTATTTTTGGCTGCAATTTTCACATAATGGTTCTAGAGTAGCTCTAGAAATTCATTTAGCAGAAACAAAAGGATGGGTATCACATAAAATTTCAGTCGACTTAAATGCTGCAATTTTGTAGCAAAACTCGAGTTTCTTTTGATTTGAGTCATATTTATAGTTTGAATATTTCTTTTTGAGAATATAAGGCAATCCATTCAATTCTGAAGACAAATCACGCCATCTATTTTGCAAAATTTCACTAAAATCTATATCTTCTAAATTGATCAGATTTTTTTGAGATCGAGCGCTATAGCACTCTTCGCACAACGATTCCAGTGTTTTTGAGTCTAAATGTGTTGCAGGAACTCCTTCATGATGCGAGCATCCAATATAGTCTTCTTTAAGCGTTTCTAGAATTCTTTCATTATCTGGCAGATCAGAGATGTTTGCCCCTGAATCTTCTCTGCATAAATTACAATGAATACACTTTTTATTCTCTAATGAGTCATTTATGCAGAATGTGCATAAAGTATGTGAACAAGGCAGAATCTTTGGCTTTCTATAATTATACTCTTTTTGATGAGAATGACGCCCTTGAGGCCATCAGCTCAACTAATAAGGTACCCATACTTTAAAGAAATTGTTAGAATCGTTTAAGAAAGAGTTGCTCTACTGGTCTTGCAAGTGAAATTCAGAGGATCTGCAATGCGGACAGACAGAGAGAGAGAAAAAACTAATGGATGCGAGCTGGAATTCAGGCAAAAAATATCAGATGTGTTGGAGTAAAGTATAAAGCAGGCCTTATCAAGGCTTCCAAGTGCTTGGCACAGTGGGATCTAAGTACCAAATTATTCTTGTAAAATATTATTTCGATCTGATCAGATATTTTTTATCTATATAAACAATTTTAGCGTAGCAATATTACAAATATAAGACTAAATAGCGTTTTACAGCACCAATATAAATACATTTTAACCTTATTTTATTATCTATTTAAATACAAAGTATTTGAGAAATGTCAACCCAAATATATTATAATAATTATTTCGTCTCACTTGATATTTTTGTTTTAAAATAATAGCATAAATTATTTAAACGCTTATTTACTATTTACTAGGCATCTGCTATTTTATTGAATTAATCAAATCTTGAAAACAATCTAATTTTTATTAAATGAATTATTTTATTAAAAATTTTTAAGCTCAAATTCTGAATTCCTTCCATAAAATATTATTTTGATTCCCTTTATGTCTCAATTTTTATTGCATATATGATTTTTATGTCTCTATGAATAATCCTTTCAGAATACCACAAATCAATGCTTCACAAATCATAATGTAGTATCTTGAGCCAAAATATCCAAAATTTGTAAAAACTTTAAACCCATGCTGTTCATATTTTCGATGATAATTGAAACGGTTTGGGTGTAACATCTCTTACTATATCAAGAATTTTATGATATTTGGCCATTGCATAAGAACTACAAGAACTTTATTCATAGTAGATATTTTTAAATGGTTTGAAGGTCGAGAAAATCAGTATAAGCATTAGAATACTCTTTGTATATTCAGTCATCCTGATTACCCATTAAGCAAAAGAAACATATTAATATAATTTCTTATTTGGCAAGAAAGTAAAATGTTTGATGCCAAAATAAGAAATAAATTAGATATTTAAAGAGCTGAAAACAAGATCAAAAACATTATATATAGTTAACTACACTGACTGGCACGGGGCGCTTTTGGCTCGAAACTGAGCCAAAAGCACCCCGTGCCAGTCAGTGTAGTTCACTATAATTAGATTTGTGCACTTCTCTGTTTTTTCCAGAAAGTATAGTCTTTAAGCAATTTTATTTTCAAATCAATTGAAAAGAAGTTGGGGGATTAATTTAATTTGTGTAAAAGAGAAATGGCTGATTGAAAGCAAGGAATTTAAAATATTTTCAATCGAAAAATCAAAAATTAAAGAATTATTTAAAGGACTTGGAGGAGAAGATTTACCATATACTATTAATATCAAGATTCTCCTACCTCATTTCAGTTTTATTGGCACAATTGCTCAACATTCCATTTTTGTTAATTATGAAACCTAATCCATCTTTATCTTTATAAGCAGTTGCCTAAAAATTGAACTTGATGAAAAACAGAGAAGTGCACGAATCTAATATAGAAATTTATAGAAATAATGAATTTAAATCTTAATATAATTCTTTCTAACAAAACTAGGTAAATAAAATCTCAAAATGAGCTTAATTACTTATAATTATAAACTTTTTAGTCTTAAACTATAATACTAGCTTTAATGGCTATGAGTACTGGCTTGCAGGCTTGAAGGGGGCTTCTCTATAATTTATTAATTAATGAAGTTAAAGCAAATAGAATTTTTAATTTTCAATATGAGAAGCAAATATTGAACAAAAACGTTTTAGTTATCCATAATTCGGAGATAAATATTTAATTATAGAAGATATTTATTCAGCTTTTGTCAAATTTTCAGTATTAAAAATTATTTAAAATTCAGAAGATTAAAACACAAATTTATGTGAGCAAATGCTTGTGGAAAGTTGAAAATTTTATAAAGGATTCAATTTGTTTATATCAATCCTTTTTATGTAAGAAAACTTAATAAAACTAAAATTTAATTATTTAAATAAAAGCTTGAGTTTATATTGTGACAATGTAAACTCCAACCTTTTTCTTCAGGCAAATTATATAGCCATCTTATCAGAAATATAAATTTCCTATATATTTTTGGCGTGTTAAAAATGTTTATGGATAAAAAAATGTCTGGTCAGATCGAAATAATATTTTACAAGAATGATTTGGTACTTAGATCCCACTATGTCAAGCATTTGGAAAATATGATAAGGCCAGCCTTTATACTTTACTCCAACACATCTGATATTTTTGCCTGAATTCCAGCTTGCGTCCATTAGTTTTTTAGCATCAGCCTATTTATCAAAATTGCTGCAGAAGTTCTCTCTCTGTCTGTCCGCATTGCAGATCCTCTGAATTTCACTTGCAAGACCAACCTTTTGATCAAGTAGAACTTTTGCTTAGGCTAAATAACTCTTTCTTAAAACGATTCTAACAATTTCTTTAAAGTATGGGTACCTTATTAGCTGAGCTCATCCAAAAGAGTATAATATCGAAGTCTTGTTTGCAGCAGTGACAGTATTTGACGACGCTAGACATATTATTTTTATAGAATCGTCTGTAATTATCAATCAAAAAATGTCTAAAGTTAGTAAATAATTTTAATTATAAAATTTTTGAAAACAAATAAATTTAATTTTTTTCATTAATGGAATATTTCCAAAAATAAAAGCTGGTCAACAAGAAATGAATAAGTGGTTGCGTCTTTTCCCCATCTTCTTTTGGCTTCTCCAATAATAACATCATCAGCAGTTCCTATCTGTCTTTGTCTCTTCAAATACTCATAAATTTCGCCAAAAAGCTTGCTGCCCATTTTCTCAATGCACTGCTGCCTCATTGAATCTTTTTTATTTGCAGGGGCAACTCTAGGAGACTCATAAGAAGCGGACTCTCCAGAAGCTTCGAGAACTGTATCAAGCCTTCTTCCTCCTCGCATTTGATTTCTGTAGACACTTACAATTTCTGTAAGCTCTTCTTCGTTATTTTCTGCGATTTCTGAAGAATCGTCAGTAAAATTCAGATTATAATATCCTGCTGCTTTAATAGGCTGCTCATCTCTTGGATTTATATAAGAAGGTGACTGTTGTGCTTCTTCATACTGTGAAGCTTCAAAGGTATTAGAATATGATAAAGAATCTTCTAAGTAATCTTGATTATATCCCTGATTATTTACTTGAGAATATTGAGTTTCAGTTAAATTAAACCCATCAGTCAATGTTCCATAATTTCCTTGTCTATCATACGAATTTTCTTTAGTAAACACAAGGGAAGCTATAGTCGACCCACTTCCGCTGAAATTGCTTGGTGGGGACATAGCTTTTTGAATTGCAGCTTGATTTTGATATCTTTGTTGAGGCGAAGAATACAGCATATCATGAGCTCTTTGTTTACTCCTATATAACTCTTACACTTGATTATGGATATATGCTTCTCTCGCTGCATTTTTCAATTTTTCCGCTTCTTGTTCTGCTTGTTCCCTCTTTTTCCTTATTAGTCTCTGCTTTGGGGTTTCATTTTCTGGGGATTTTGGCCTTTGTGGGACGATTGCAGTCGCTTTTCTTATATTAAGTGACCTAATTCTTGTTAAGCTTTGTCCATTAGTATCAATGAAATTTTGCATAAAAGATAGCGTATAAGGGTCATTTAAAATATCAGAAACTGAGGGTCTTCGGCCACTGTCTTTTACAAGGATATCTCTATGTAAAATTTACTGGACTAAGGTGCGCAACTGTGGGGAGTAATGAGAAGGAATTGGCTCAGCCCTTTCTGTGACGATTTTGAAGACTAAACCTAATAGGTTGTCAGCCTTAAAAGCATAATTAAGAGTGCAGAGTTCATAGAGGACACAGCCAAGTGACCATGCATCACTTTTATAGCTATATGGTTTATTTTCACAGACTTCAGGGCTCATATAATAAGGTGTCCCAACCACTGTATTAGCTGCCTCAGAGCCTTGCAACACCCTTGATATCCCAAAATCTCCAAGTTTCACAGTGTTATTTCCTGTTAAATAAATATTCGAGCTTTTTATATCTCTATGTAAAATTCCTAATGAATGGATATACCAGTTTAATGCTTTAACACCAATTATTTATTTTATTTTTTAAATAATTAATATATTTATTATCAAAATATATTGAAGTGCCAGGCAAATTTGCACAAACCAATTCATGATTTCTGTTTCAGTGAAAATTTCATGCTTTTTTGATTTTTGCTTGATATGGTAGCTGAGGTCTCCAACGTCACAATATTCCATAACAATAATTAGTAGGCCTTCTTCACAAAAGCTTTCTTTATATTTCACGATATTCGGATGATTGAGACGAGAAAGAAGCTCAGCTTCTTGATGGGCTCCTTGGATTTCTCTATCAGTCATACCACCTAAGAGGATCTTTTTTGCGACGTATTTAAGATGCTCTGACTGGTGCTCAACAAGATGAGCTGAACCTGAATAAAAATCACCAAAATTCCCTCGGCCAATAACGCCCAGTTCTTTATAGATTTGACTATAGGCCATTTTGATTATTCTCAGTTTATGTGATGGTTAAAGATATTTGACAGAAAATTGAGTATTAATAAAAGAGGAAAAAGAATTATTAATACATAAAATTCAAAAAATAAATTATTTTAGATTAAATTTATTATTTTTAAATTAAAAATAAATTGCAGAATATTTATAATAAAAGACTATAAAATTGCTTAAAATATTGGCACACTAATTATCACTCTTTGTATAATTTGCTTCTATTTCGAAATCTTTCCTGAGGTTTTTTATAATACAATGATCCCTGCTATTAATTTTAAGAGTTTCCTCTTCTTCTGCGAACGCTTCATTGAAATCGAACCTTCCAAACTTAGGAGTTTCTAATGGTTTGAAAAACAGTGGAGATTCAGCTTCATTATTTTGCAAATATTTGAAATTCGGGGAATCGCAACCAGTCGTCATTTCGCTATCTGTTTGCTTTTGCTCGTGTAATAAGAATTCTGCTTTTTCTTTGGTGTTAGAATTACAGCAACCCATTTAATTAATATAATGAAGTTTGATTAACTATGAGTTATAGAACTCTCATTTTTTCTGGGTAATTCTTAAAATGAATATAGAAAACTGAGATTGATTGAGGATTGAAAGTAAAGATCCCGCTTTTTTTCTTAATACTCAGGCATTTTTTATTATGCTCATCTTAAAAAATAGTAAAGAGCAGCCTATAATGATGAAAAAGTTAATTATTAATAAATCATTGATAATTTCAATAGCTTATCAAATTAAATAAAAAAAATGTTTATGATTACTATTACTAAAAGCTTGAAAGCTCAAATATTTTGCAAATAATTTAGTACCACCTCTTATCTATTTATAAATATTTTAAAAATCTAATTAAATTAAAGATTCATTAAAGATCAAATCAATTTTTTAAACAAAATATCAAATTAATAAAATACTGAGTATTTTAAAATAGCTAAATTCTTGAACTGCTGCCCATATCAGTAATCATAATTTTACTTCCTTTTCCTTTCTACATATTGTTTAGATTAGTCACATTTATAATATAAGCTACTTAGTGATTATTTTTAATATTGAACAAATTTTTTATTAGTGTCTTAACCCAATAGGCTTTTCTTTTCTTTTCTATTAAGAGATCTTGAGCCTAGTATGATGCTGACATCTGATTCTTTTTGCCAGCTTTTTCTACACCTTGCGATCAGAACAAAAAGCGTCATTAAAATTAATACAGATAGAATTGTGGAAACTACTGGATAATTAATGAGAAAATCCCCCAGTCACTTCCAAGGTGAATGCAAGATGTTGTTTTCTTCAACTTTCGAGGTAATTCCACCTTTAGCTTGTACTTGAAATATGAGAAGAAGATAAAATGCCACCATTTTGATATTCATTATAATATAACGTATACTTTTATGCCTGAATTTATTACTTGAAGCTGCTATTCTATTTTAGAGTCAGGAGATGCATAAAAGTGACCAATTTATTTTTCTGAGAAAATTAATTATCTGAAATAAATTTTAATTAGGGGATTTATTATACTCATGTATAAAGATTTATAGCTTAAAATGGCACGCATTGATATAGATTAATAATTAAATCAGCAGCAGTTTATTAGGTCTTATTAATATACATTTTTTATTAAACTAGCACTGAATTTTCATTTAAAATTTACATATAATGAATAGATATTTAATTCGCGTCCCTCTTAGATCAATTTCTGAATGGCGACCTCCTTTTCAAATCAGTTTGACCCAATAGGATTAGGATTGTCATTAAAGAATAGGGTTGCCTTGAATAAGTCACACCTAAGCCTCCGGAGAAGGCATGCTCGGCTTGGGTTGATATAATGGGCTTGCCAGCATCTTACCAGAGATTTCTGTTCTAGCTTTCGGCCTAGTTCTTATGCTGGAGTACATAGTAGAACTTGACAGCTGCTCCAAAGACTAGAGGGATAAATTCTCTATCTAATATATGTAACAACTATGCCTTTGCCGACCCCACTATTCGATTCTAGGGTCAAAACCTTTTTTATCAGAAAAATATGAAGAATAACTAAACGGACCCTGAGCTACTTTTGTTTAGGTTAACTTTTCTACCCAGTTGAGATTTTGCTCCTTAGCCAAGGAGCTTTTCCTTATATCAACCTTCACTATTTGGTCAATGGACCTTGGGCCCCTGGATATGATGGCTGGTGAGATGAACCTACGCCAAGGCTTATGGGATGAAGACTGGGCAGTGAAGGCTCCGGGTCTCTAATTGATTCAAAATCGGCAGAGAGGTGTAACCTCTAAGGCAAGATGAAAGCAAGTTTGCACCTCATCGGACTCTAGCGGAGAAGATACAAGTTAATTGGGTGTAGCAGCGTTGAAGACGGTTCTATGACGAAGACAACAGGCTTGAGATGTGAATATAAGCAGCCTGTGTTATCGCTTACTGCAAGTAATAGCGGCCTTAATGCTCAGCCCGGCAGGGTTTTTTTCTACAATAAAATGGGTCTTATGACCTCTAAATGTAAACCTCAACCTTAATGTCTATCAGAAAGACTCTAAGTCTTATTGCAGAGGAGGGAAGCAAAACCTAACCGGAACACAAATGCCCATATCCTGCTCGGCCTCACTTCAAGCTGCAGCAAGTGCTATCAAACCCTAAACAGTCCAGTTTGACCCAACAGGGAAGAAAACGATTTACAGCACACAAAGCGCTAATGTAAATTTTATTCAGACTTTTCTCAAGATATTTGCCCCTCTAAATGTCGGCTTCATAGGAATCCATACCTATTTATCATTCACAGAATATTTATATCCTCTAGTCCCAGGTAGATTTGGCCTCTTGATAACCTATGTCTCCCTTAACGCTCTAGGGGCATTAATGGCTTTCTCCGTCGAATATGTTTCAAGAAAATTCGCCAAAACCATATCTCTCAAACAAAATGGTAGGCAGCTTCTATTGACTTTCCATAGTGCTTTTACAGTAACATAAATACAGAGTTTTTATCATACAGAAACCATCAATATTGCAGATATCCAAAAAATCGAAGAATTCTCCAGAGAGCATTTCAAAATAACTACATCAGAAGGTGTCAAATTCCTAATAAGCCATTCTAGGAACGAAATCCAAGACGAGGAGTCCAAAATTCTCTTCAAAAAAGTCTTGGCTGGGATCACCATTAATACAATAGGTACTCCTATGCCTAATAGAATAAGAAGATATTAATCTTATATGAATAAAATTAAAAGAAATGATATAAGCACATATCTTGCTGAGCTGTCATGAGGGGGGTTATTAACTTCTCTATAGAGTTGCCAATAGTTCTGATTGTACACATATTGTGTACAGTTATCGTTTTGCTGGATTTGAGAGTATGACGCTATATAATTATTTACTATGAATATAAATATGTAAAAAATGATACTAAAATGATTGGCTTTAGGAGAAATAGCATATAATTTTGAGATAAAATCAGCTGGTTTGCGTTTTGGGCTGATAAATAAGTTTTTATGCATTGAGGGTGGCTTCTTCTGACTGTGTTGCAGAGACCTGGGTAGTTTGAGGTGTACCATGCTTTTAAAGAGGTTATATATTGGGCATATGCTGAGTCACCAGGGAAAAGTCCACAGTATGCGGTGCCTTTAGGACTATAGCTGCACTGGCAGACTGAGTTAAAAGTAATCCCTAAGGAAGAGTCAGCTTTAGAGACACAGTCGGCATTAGTCTGACATGCCATCGGCAAAGCAGTGCTAGAAGCTACAGACTGAGCGCAATAAGCAACCCCAGCTTTAGTCCCACAAAGTCCTGAGCTGCACAAAAGGTTGACATTATTTGTACAGGAAGGGATTTGAGTCCCTGCTGCAATGCTGTAATATGGCTTACAGACTCCAACCCCATTAGTATTTAATAAACACCCAGCACTGTTAATACACATATAATCACTTGTGCAGCCTTGCTGTCCGACTTGCAGCTGAAAAATGCACATGCCAGCTGAGCAGTAAAGGCCTGGGTTGCACTCATCATGTATGGTGCAATTTCCGAGGTAGTTTAAAGAGTTGCAGATTCCATTGTCACAGACTCCTGAATCACATGATAAATCGTTAGTGCACATTTCGCCTGGGAGAGAAATTCCTATTAGTTGAGGCTTAGGAGTGTTTACACAGGTAATATTAGATAATCCTAATGTTGGTTGACAAAAAGGGACAACTTTACTTTGGCAAGGATTGAGGTAATAGTGATTACTCTGATAATAAATGCACTGCTGAGGCTGGAAGCTGTAAGCTTGAGTTTTGCAGGAGTATGAAGGGCATGTCAAAGCTGAAGAATAGCTGATTAAGAATAGAAATACCAGCATATTTAATATGAGGATTAAAATTAAACTCTTGTTTCTTTTAATTTGTCACCATTTTCTGCTGCTAGTTGTATGTATAATAATCTGATTTAAGGATTTACTTATTAAATAATTTTTCAATAATCACCAAGGCTAGGGATTCTTATTCGTTTTTTACCAAATTTTAGATCTGGACTATTATTTCTGTAGGTAATTGGAGAATTTAATAATTTTTCTTCAGCATTTTTCTTACTTTGATGCAAAATTCTCATTTTATTTTGCAAATTAAATAATATTTTCGGTTTTGGATTGCAAGAACTAAGCCCAGCTTGACTTTTGCATCTTCTCGATCTTTTAAGCCTATTTTCCATCTGTACACCATGCTCAAAAATCTCAAGTTTCGCTAAATGATTGACTGCAAAAGGGCTATTATTGTATCTCCATGCAGATCATTTTGCTATTTCTTCCTTATGTTTTTTCTCTATAATTTCACTTTTTTCTCTTAATTTTTTATTTCTTTCTTTGAATTTTTGTCTAATAAATTCAGATTTTGCTTTGAGTTTTTCTTCAAAGAGTGGAGAAAGATAGTGATTTTTTCTTGGAGTTATATAGCTTATATCCATTTAATTTAAATTTATAAGAGATTTTGAGATGTTAAGTCATGATAATTATAAAATTTCTTATTTTGTGCGTATTCAAATATTGATTTTATAAAAATCAAATGAAATACTTATTATTTTCAACATCTAATTATTTATCATTAAAAATTACTTACTCTGTCTGTTTTAATTTTTTAAAATTTTAAATATTGAAATTTTAAAAAATCCCCGATTTTCATAAATTTTAATTAAAATTTAATTAGAATAAAGCTGTTTAAATTTCAAAAGAATTTCGAGAAACTTTGGTATAAAATATCTTTTATAATCCAGTATTTTTTATAACAAATTTTTGCTTTTTAATTTAGGCAAATCCCAAAATAGGATTTTTTTCAGAAGGATGGGCAGAGTTTATGCTTAAAATTGCTCTAAGCTGCTTTGAACTACATCCTAAATATTAGTTAGCCGTAAGGCTAATTTTCTTATGCAGAAACATGACAGTATCTAGGAACATCATCACTTGGCCTTCCAAGAATAAGCAATCCAATGCAAAGCTATCTCCACACTACATAACGCTTACTTTGTAAATAATTATATCCAATTTAATAATTTTCCCATACATAATTGGAGAAATTGGCTTTTGATCAGACAATCTTTCAACAAGCAGTTGATACCCTACAGATCTTGCCCTTATATGGAAATTGCTCATTAGTTTTCACTCCAGCTCGCATTCTTTAAAAGCATTAAACAATAAGCACATCAGGTTATAAGGCTCTAGTTTTGTTCTAATACAATAATTCCAATTATGTGGGCTCTCTCCTTTTTCATCTGCAGAGTTATTTTCTCCTAACTCCCCCCCCCCCCCTCCGTGAGCGCGAACAAAATCATTAGAAAAATCGCCATTTTTTGACCAAAAAACCACCCTCCGTGAGTGAACAAAAATATTTTTAATAGAAAAAATTTTAATGGAAAAAAATTTTGATATATAAGTGATAATTAGTATAATGAAATCTAGAGCTAATTCTGTTTAATTTTAAACAAATTGCGTTTTTAAAACATAAATTTTGCAAATTAAATTAATATTTGCTTCCCAATTTTTGCAAATTAGGATTTTTTTTAAATTTCGAAAAAATATTTTTTATAAAATTTATATATAAATTTTTTTTAAAAAAAAAAATTAACCCCCCTCCGTGAGCGAACAAAATTTTTTTTGTTCGCTCACGGAGGGGGGGGGGGAGTAAATAAATAGAATGCTCTGAATTTTCTATCCCATGGTCTGCAATTATAAATGAACTGGAATGTTTTGCAAAGGTAGGTCTTAGCTCGACATGAGCTTTTTCAAGAGAAATTCTTTTGGATCTTAATTTGATATTTAAAAGAATTTCATAGGTAACTGATATAGAAATTAAATTAAAACACTATTCGTAAACGCATTAAACATTGCCAGAATGTTTCCAGTTTGGATTTTGAACCTGAACCACCTATCCAATGGATCAGCTCCCTAAGGTAGAGTGCCGCGATGATTTCGATGAGGAGAAGCCATATGGTAGGCAAAATTTGTCTAGCCCATCTGGCAGGGACAGAATCCTTTGGGAGAGAACAAAACTTCCCTGCTCGATAGGCATCCCATGTCAAAAAGGAACAGAGACCCTATTTTCAGTTTCATCAGATGGGTTCTGCCTAATCATAGAGAACGCGCCTGAGCCAACCTCACCATTTTATTTCTGGTGACTGATAATGAATCATACTTTCTTTTGATAATATTCCATTTTAAGAAATTTTATAATTTTATGATTTTTTCATTATTTATTTTTTTAAAAATTAAGGATCTGCTTTTTTAATAGAAAATTTCAAAATAAATAACTATGAATATTTCTTCTAGCTGTATCTTTATCAGACGCATATTGCTGCAGCTCAGGATACTCCAAACAAGTATTCAAAATTTCTTCATCAATTTCGCTATGAAATCTATAAGCTCGGTATATAGCTAATAAATCTCCATTATCTATCGCATCTAGATTAAGCCCAGTTACAGACAAATGCAGTGGTAGATCTGTCTTATACCAAGGATGCTCTTTAATTTGCATAATCGTTATTCTTGAAAGCGGGTCTGCAGTTATCATTCTTTTGATTAAGTCTTTCGCCTGTCTAGAAAAATGATGAGGCATATCAAATTTCGCGTCTATTTATGAAATACTTTTGATCTTGGCAAAAAGAGATGAAATATTGTTTTCATCAAAAGGAAGGTAACCAGCTAATAATGCGTAAAGAACAACACCTATACTCCAGATATCAGCCTCTGGGCCACAGTATCTGTCTCCAGCTATTACTTCTGGAGCTGCGTAATTAGGCGACCCACAAGCTGTTTTGAAAAAAATTCCATCTCTAATGATGTTAGATAAGCCAAAGTCGCCGAGTTTTACATTTGAATCTTCATCGAGAAAAAGATTTTCTGGCTTGATATCTCGATGCACAACCTTACGGTGGTGGCAATATGATATTGCGGATATTATTTGTTGGAAGTATTTCCTAGCTTCAGCCTCTAGGAGTCTTCCTTTCTCAATCAATGAATATACATTTTTATATTAAATTATTTTTTTATCATATAAAATAATCTATTTATTTTAAAAAGAAATATAATTCTCCACCAGATACATACTCTAGTATTAAAATAATTTCTTTTTCAGTATATATCACATCGTAGAGCTTTATTATATGAGGATGATGCAAGACTTTGAGGATTTTGATTTCCCTTTGGATTTTTTTGTATAATTGCTGCTCAGAGATCAAGCTTCTCTTAATCATTTTGACTGCAACTTTTTGCTTCGTGATTAAATGCTCGCCGACTGCATAAAAAATTACGTTTGACTTTGGCAAAAGTTCCAGATCCTAATGGTCTTATAATACGATATGATCCTTTGAGTGTAGTCATTATTTAAATAATTGATGAAGATTATTAACCGTGGCAAAATAAAATATAATAATGAGGAGTTTTTTTGTGTAAAATTGAGAAAATTAGAATTATTATAAAAATTAGATTTAATTCTGTGAAATATCCACATATAAATGGAAATTAAAGTGATGTATTTTTTGCAGCAAAGACCAGAAGAGAATAATTCATTTAATAAAAAAAAGAAAACAAAATTTCATGATATTATTCAGATTTTTGAAATCCCAAATATCAAGGATAGTCAGACTGGAGCGTCTTCATCAATAAAGCAATTAGAAAATATTGCCTTAGGAGTTATAAAAGCGTAAGGTTTATGCAGAAGTCAAATTGATGGAAGAAAAATTCATAGTAATAATTATTATATTAAAAGATATGACCTTGATGGAATTTGTACTGATTTACGAACTGGAGAAGCATCAGAATGAGATATGCTGTGTCTAATTAATTTTTTTACACAAAAAATAATAAAATATTGCAATAAAAACCAAGCTGTTTTATATCAAAATGGTATATGCACCCCCAAGCAATTCAGAAATCACATTCTCGAAGAGGTATTTTAAAGAAGAAAAATGTGACAATAGAAATGAATGGAGATTTTGATTATAGGAGCAGGGATGGATTTCAAACAGCAGTAAGCAGGTCAAAAAGTTCTTCCCAAATGAAATTAATTCCTATTGAAAATATATGGCCAAGACGGCAGAGTAATGTGTATTTTCACAAAGGAAATGTCAGACAAAGTACAGAAAATTTAAAAAGAGCAAACACAAGTTCTAGTAGGCAGAAATCGCACTTTTCAAGCACTGCGCTTATTACACTTTCACCATTATTTAAATAGATGATGATTGGAAGCTATGTGATATATTCAGTCTGCGAGCAATTAAATATAGTAAATTATAAATTTAAACAAAAAATTAGATTCAATAAGAAGAATTAAATAAATATTTTTTGAAATAGCCGATTTTCTATTAATAAAATGCCATTTCTTTTATTTATTTAGCTATTTTCTATTTAATCTTTTCTAATTAAATATTTCAGCATTAGGATAATACTAGCCTAATAAATTTATATAATAAAAATAGAATAGTTATGATTTACCATAATATGGATGAGCAGATATTAATATTTGCTCTCAGCTCCGATAATCCTAAAAGAATCCAAGCAGAAAATTACATTACAAGTTTAGCAGAATCTCCTGGATTTTTATCTCAATTATTTTCAATCTACGAAAATTCCTCTGATAGTAAAATCAAGCTCTCTGCTCTTTTGATTGCCAAAAATTTATTAATAAAACAGTGAAATACCCTCCCCAGACCTTCAAAACCTAGCCCAATCACAGATGAAGAAAAAGAACAAATAAAAATTTTTTTGCTAACTCCCCCCCCCTCCGTGAGTGAACAAAAAAATTTTGTTCACTCATGGAGGAGGGGGGTTAATTTTTTTTTTTTAAAAATTTATATATAAATTTTTTAAAAAATATTTTTTTTCGAAATTTAAAAAAATCCTAATTCGCAAAAATTGGAAAGCAAATATTAATTTAATTTATAAAATTTTATGTTTTAAAATGCAATTTGTTTAAAATTAAACAAATTAGCTCTAGATTTCATTATACTAATTATCATTTATATATCAAAATTTTTTTCCATAAAAAATTTTTCTATTAAAAAATTTTTGTTCACTCACGGAGGGTGGATTCTTTTGCAAAAAATAGCGATTTTTCTAATGGTTTTTGTTCACTCACGGAGGGGGTTGGGGGAGTAAATAAATATTTCAATAATATTGAGCCTGATCCAAAATTGAGGGAATTCCTTCGAATATGTATAGCACATATCAATAAATTTGTGTTTTTACAAGGCTGAAAGGCGTTAAATGAAATTTTAATTGAAAAATCAAGATCGTCTGATGAAGATTTTTTAAAGCTTATCAATTTAATATTGAAATTACAAGACAAAACACATACATCCGCTAAAAATCAGCTAAAAGCGTTATATAGCACTTTATTTAATAATTTAAAAATACATTGGCAGACACAAAGCTCAATTTTACTTGACAAAGTTTTACTGAAAATAATGATCCTTACCCCAAATACTGAGCTTATAATTTCAATGCTCCAAAAATCAAAAATTCTTTTATATGAGCCAAATGGAGAAATCCCTGTAAAAGTTCTATTAAAAGGTCTTTTGCTTGTCTGTGGGAATAATCCTGAAATTTTTAGTTCTGATTTATTGATTCCTTATCTTGATCTTTGCTGCTTTTTAATAGCAAATTTAAACCCAACAAACACACAGCAAACTGATTTACTGAAAAAAGCTTGCTCGTCGATTAGATATTTAATTGAAAATAATTCTTTATCCAAAGAAATTCTGAAGGAAAAATCAGAGTTTTTATTGAATTCTATAGGTTTTCCTTATAATTGCCTATTATGTAAATACACTTGCTGAGCCAACGCCAGATCATGGGCTATTCAAAGGAAAATCTTATATATTCTAGACCAGTCAGCCTGAAAAGAAAAATGGGAATTTTGGATAGGAAACGACCCAATAGCATTTTTAGAAAATTCTGACGAAAACGACGAAGAATACTTAATCAAAGTTTTAAGTACTTTACTTGAAACTTATCCAGAAATATTAGGAAAAGCCTTAGAATTAGTCAGAAATTTAATATTTTTGCCTTTCCCAAAAAATCACGCAGTCTGCACACTACTTGGCTTAATCCCAAAAATGATGAATTTAGGATACAATTCCCCAATAACCTTTGAAAACATTATAGGAATTTTCAGTGCAATTGCGATAAACGGGTTTGATAAATTAATTATCCTGAGAGATATTTTATGGCTTTCTCGTAAATGAATTAAATATATCATGGACTATAACAACTTATACTTATTAGTCTCAAATATCAGGAAAAGCTGCGAAAATGACTTAATCATAGTATATGAATACTGTTTAACACTAAAAGAAATGCTTTACAAGAATATTTCAAGTGACCTTTCTTTAACAATTCTTCAGCAAAGCTGTGCAGATGTGTTTAATATCATTAAAACTATCACAATCCCACAAATAATATGGCATATGATATCTTTTGTTACAGCTTTAGTTGATAAATCGACAGGCCAAAAATCGCCTGAGCTGATTTCTGCTTTTCAAGTAAGTGGGTTAGCTGAGCTTATTTATGAGGAAAATGAAATGATTGTGCTGGCGCTATCTGATATGTTTGAAGGCTTAATTTATGCATATCCTGATCAAAAAATCATAGTTGAAATTGTTTCTCAATTTTTAAAATATTCCAATAAATAATTATTTTTTATAATAAATTGCATTAAATTATACATTTGGATAGATTAGCGGTTGTCTTATAGTAGATAGAGGGTCTAAGTCTAATTGTTTATATTCATTATAAATAAGGATAATTTTTAAAATAGAAAAAATATTTAAGCATTTACTTTAAATAAGTATATTAGGCTATCAAAACCAGATAATTCTTCTGCGCTAGCTTTATGGCATTTTTTAATAGCAAATATGGAAGGAAAACAGGAGAATATTCAATATATTAAAGAATTAATGAAATATTTAGGGAATTTTCATAATGAGGAGGATAAAGAATATTCACAGAAAATTGCTCAGGAACATATGTTTCTTTATTGGCAGGCAGGAAATATGGAAAAAGAGACAGATGAGCTCATTAAAAACTGGTGCCTTCCTTTGTGCAGCTTAACAGGAAACTTAGAAGAAGATTTGCTTGCTTTTGATTTTTTGGAAAAAATAGCCCTGATCCATATTTCTTATATAGAAAATGGACTTTCCTCATATATTTCGTATCTTCATATAGAAAATTCTGATACTTTTTCAGCTTTATGCATTGAAAAAGCTTTGCTGCTTATAAATAAATGCTGTATTTCTTCATTAAACTTTACCCAACATCTAGACTATGATTTTTGGATAGAAAAAATGTCATTAATTTCAAATCCAGTTCACAAAATTATAAATTGTGCAGCATTATTAACTGTTTTACCATTTATTCCTATAAATACAATACAAAAATATTCATCATTTATATACAGTTATACTATTCCTTATATAGAAAATTATTTTTATTCTGAACAGCCGCTTATCCAAAATTCTCGAAATAAAAAGCCTAGAAGCAGCCAATTTATCCAAAGCAAAAGAATAGACAATTCTATAGCCAACGATCCATATCTTAAAATAAACTTATTAGAAATGTTCAAGTTTATGATAGAAAGACTGGCTGGCAGAGGGATCAATTTTCTTAGCCTTTATAGCCAAAACGAGCAAGAAGTTTTCAATAGAATTCTTAATGGAGTAAAAATACAAAGTAATTAACTACTCAAATTCTTTAAATTCTGATTAAACTAAATTTTGGTCAATAAAGTCTTCCCATTGAGAAAACTCTATATTTTCTTTTTGGCACTTTTTATAAAGATCTGCTATTGATATATCCTCAATTACAGAGACTTAAATGTTGAAAATATTATAAAATTAGTCTAATTTGCGAAAATATTTAATTAATTTTAATATCAATATCTTTTAGACGGCCGAGATTGTGGTGATTTTAATTTCTTTTTTAAACAAATTGCATAAAAATATTTTTCTATTTGATCTTCATCAAGCTCCTCATCCCCATCGTCATAATCTTCACTGTCTGAGTCGGGTTGTGCATCAATAGTAGATAGACTTGAAGAAAATAAATCCTCGTCTGGGTCAATTTCACTATGAATTTCTTCAATACTTTCTCGCAATGGGTTTCCACCAATATTGAGCAACAAATTTGTCCGGAGTTTTCATTTTTCCAGCTCTTTTTTCTGTGATTCTGCTTCAATTTCATATTTTAGTTCTGCATTTTCATTATATAAACTCATTCTTTCAGGGAAAAATGGAGTTTTTTGCTCAACCAAATTTGAGAGTCTATAGGCAAGAATTTCACAAGCTCTTGTTTCGTCAATATCTGGATATGCCATCATCAAATTTTTGATGTTGTTTATTATAGTATTAGGATAATCACTACAATTTATAGCAGAAATTGCTAATTCTTGGAGCTTGGAAAAGAAAATCAATTTTACCCCAGCAAGGACTGAGATTTTATTATTTATTGCCTCAAGAAGTTTTTTTATTTTTTCATTGATATTGACGACCTCTAATTTTGACTCTTCTTTGGCTTTTGTGCAACTTTTTGAATGAGAATTGACTTGGCTTAATGGGACACATTCGTAGCAATTGATACATAAAACGTCGATTTCTTCTACTGTGCTCCATGGGTGTATACCTATTTAATTTAATATTTTTTATAAAAATCAAGTTAAAAAGACTAAAAAATACAGCGCATATATAGGCTTAGACTTATTTCATTAGCTATTTTTTGAAGCTTGGATTTTATTTTTGTTGCAGATCTGATTAAAAAATTATTTTTTGATGAGATTTTTTGTGATGTTTTTTTTAAAAATTTATGGTATGTGGATTTTAGTTTTCCGAGAGTAGTAGGCTTAGGGTCAGATTGGCTAAGAAATGAATTTGATGAAGTTTGGCAGTCTGTGCTGATTGAAGAGAAAAGTTTATCAGAATTTCTAGGTTGGTCAGAAAGATTTGATGATGATTGAGAAGATAAAGAATTTTTGTCTGTGAGAGTACTTGTTTCTGGGATTTTTGAAGGCAAATTTTCATTTTTGGATTCACGGATTGGTTTCGTGTATATTTTGTCATTTGATTCGATATTTATTTGTTTTATATGAGCATCAGAATCTTCTGCCCATTTTGATTTCTCTATATTTTCAGATGATTTTTTCTGAAATGATATATTCTGCACAGGTAACCCATAATTTGGCTTTGCTTGAGACTGCGTAGTAAAAGTTTGCTTGAATTTCGGCTTTTCCGCCATTAATATTATTTATCTTGGCTGTAAAGACATCTTGTGATAATATCTGTTCTATTCGGCAATATCAGATTTCTTTAAACGATAAAAGATTCTGCCCTTTTCTTTTTAATTAATAAAATAGATTAAACTCACAGAAAAATATATTTTTTTAGTTTATTAGCTATATCATTATTTATTTATTTTTATATATACATAAAATGGCGGATGACGTCCGACCCGTCCTCTTGAGACGGTTACCCGTGTATATCCGGCATGTTCTTTGAAGCCAGGAATTCGCTCAGCTGTGTTTGGAACCTCGAGCGAGAGGTCTAAGTGCGGAGACCGCTGTTTTCGCTACCAAACCCTTGGGCAGTTATTCGTGACTTCTTTTTGCCAGCAGCGCCCAGCTCAGTGGGTGCCCGAAATGAGGCAGGGCGACATGCCTGCCTAAGCTGCTTCTGTGGTTTGCCCCGAATGGCGAAAGCTGTTGAGTTCTTTCTCGGATGACCGGAAAAGAGGGGAAGGCAAACTAGACTCCTAACTCGTGGTCTCTCCAGTTGAAAAGGCGCTCTCTTTTTTTGAGCGGATCTGGCGATCTCACGGACAGAGTTGGCGCAAGATTCAGGGCGACGAATCAAGTTGGAAATGGAGGTGGTCAGCAAAGCAGTATGACCTATCCCTTGACCATCACCTCTACCGAGAAACCGGGGGTTTCGGCCCGGGCTTTGAAGCGGCTATGCCTTAGCCTCCCTACGGGGTAAACCCGTAGAACGTCACGACGACAGAAGAGGGACTTTAAATACTCATCACATCATTAACATTAACATTAACATTTATTTATATTTTTAACAAGCCAAAATACTAAAAAGATTAAATCATATCAGAAAAAATAAAAGAGTCAATTAATACTTCTTAGAATATGAAAATTCATTTAAACAAAATAATATTTTAATACTAAAAAACTATTTCAGTAATTAGTTAATTTTTTAATAATTCAAAATGCTGCGGCTCAGCAATCTTAGCCGTCGTTTCCTCATGACAAAAATCTACTCCAACCCCATCGAAGCTATCCAAGACATAAACACAGGCACTTCAATTGCTATTGGTGGGTATGGCTGTTGTGGAGTTCCTGAAAACCTTATCCAAGCTCTCAGAGACTACGGAAACTATGATTTCACTGTATATTCTATGGGCTGTGGGGCTCCAGGCTATGGGATTGATTTATTGTTAGAGTCAAACCAATTAAAGCGAGTCATCACGTCTTATCTAGGCTCAAGCACTCTTATAGAGGATCAATATTATCAAGGAGTCATTGAGCTAAAATTAGTCCCTGAAGGTACATTAATTGAACGTATTAGAGCTGGAGGCTCAGGAATTCCTGGGTTCTGGACCAGAACTGGGGTAGGCACTGTAATTGAAGAAGGCGGTTTTCCATTGAAATACAAGCCGGGAGGTAAAGGAATCCAGATTATTTCTGATGGAAAAGAAAGGCGGCTATTTGATGGCCAAGAACACCTTTTTGAAGAGTCAATTAGGACAGATTTTAGCTTGGTTAAGGCATGGAAAGCAGACACAAGAGGAAATTTAATATAAATATTTTAAAATAAATATTTTTCCAGAAATTTTAAAAAATAATCTTATTTTTAATAAGAAAATAAAAAAATCTCTGTTAAATCATATTATATTTTGCTAAAAAAACTATACAAAAACACAGCAATGAATTTCAATCCAGAAGTCGCTATGTGCTCCAAAGTGACCATTGCCGAAGTTGAAGAAATCGTTGAAGAAGGCGAGCTGGACCCTGACCAAATTCATACCCCAGGCATTTTTGTTCACAGATTAATTAAAGGCGAAAAATACATAAAGCCTTTTGAATATGTTTACCACCCTTCAAGTGAAGATAAAACTCAAGTTGACAATTATGATTTAAGAGCCAGAATTGCTAAAAGAGTCATCAAAGAATTAACTGATGGAATGTATGTCACTTTAGGCTTAGGAATTCCAAGCCTAATCCCTGACTTTTTGCCTCCAGATTTGAAGATTAGGATCCATTCAGTATCTGGAGCCTTAGGAGTAGGTCCATCTCCTCGAAATGGAAACCGAAACCCTGATTTAGTAAATTCCAATAGAGAACCAATCACAATTTTGCCTGGCGGCTCCACCTTTTCTAGCTGTGTTTCTCTAAATATGCTAAGAGGAGGCCACATGGATGCAGTCGTCGTCCCAGGTTTCCAAGTATCAAAACATGGAGATCTCGCTAACTGGATAATCCCAGGAAAAATCATAAAAGGTATGGGATCTGCCATGGACGCCGTCATCCACGAACAGTCCAAAGTCATCGTCACAATGCTGCATGCCCACGAAGGTATCCCAAGGATCGTAAAAGAATGCACCCTCCCTATCACAGCCAAAAAATGTGTAGATCTACTTGTCACTGAGCACGGGGTGTTCGATTTTAATAGAGAAGACGAAATCACATTGATAGAAATCGCAAAAGGGTCGACATTAAGCCATATAAAAGACATCACAGGATGCGCTTTTACAGTGTCCTCTGATCTTAAAGAAATGCAGCAATAGGCTTAATTAAATTAGCTTATACATTTGTTTCTTGGAAAATAGACCTAATAAAGCCAGAAATCACCATAAATATAAGCATTCGGACCGCCAAGCTTCGTCCTGTATTTTTTTGGGAATTTTCATTTGCGCTCTGCATGTCAGCGGCTTCTTTAATAAAATTTTTCATTTCTTGGCTTATTTGGCCAGTCTGTATATCTTGGACAAGCTTGATCACAGATTCTTTAAATTTTTCATCTCTTGCCAGTGCCATGAATTTTGCCCTTGTTTTTTCTAGCTCAGCCACAAAATCCACACTATTTGCTAACATCATGCCTAGGATTAAAGACGGGAAAATGGCTTGGAGTGCTTCAATTTGTTCACAAATTGTCAAAGGCAAAAACGGCATAAAAATCAAAAATTTCTGCTTTATTTTGGTGAAATATTCATAAATTGCAATAAAAGCTATCATTATCAACGCATTTCTTCCTGCATAGCCATTTTGTTTGGAATAAGTAATACCATTAGCAAGCAGAAAATTTGATAAATAAAAAGGAATTGCTTGGACCACTGCGTGCTGGATTTCTTTATCGTCAGTAGTTTTATAGAGCTCATATTTGTACCTTGAGTCAGAATTTTTGATAATTTCGAAGTTTTTCTGCATTTTTATGAATTCTTGTTGGGCATATGGGCTGGGGTTTTTATCAGGGTGCTTTTGGCGAACTTCGTATTTGTAGATTTTATTTATTTCTTCAGTTGACATTAATCGTGAAATTCCTGTTTCTTGATATGCATTTGGAGATTTGTCACTAAGATAGATGCCTAATAGAAAAGCAGCATAAAGAAAAGCGATTGCGAGGACTGTGAATTTTTTGTGTGAAATTGTGGGGTTTTGAATAATAAAACGGTGAACACCGAAGTTTATGCCAATTACAAATAGCAAATCATGCAGTGCCATTTATTGTATGATTTTTGGAAATGCTATTGAATTAGATGTGAAATTATTTGATAATAATTTTTTGCTATAGGAATTTATTTCATTCTTTTCATATTTTGTTAGAAATTATGATTAAGAGATAATCATTATAAGACTAGCTAAAATTTCATTATTTAGTAGCATCGAGTTCTTTAATTAATTTTAGCATTCTAAATAGTGACTATTACCATCAATAAATATTATTTTTATTTAACATTAATTGAGATACTCTAAAATTATAACGTTTACTATTACTTTTCTATATAAAAAATTTAATATTTGCTTCTTTTATCCTCACACTTAAACTTTCTAATATTTATTATTTATTTATGGTAATCACAGAAGCATTTTTTATCTAAAATTTCATAATAAAATGACCCATTCTAGAATTTAGCCAATTATTTTAATATGGAAAATTCTGAAGTCGAAGAAAATCCTCGACGCCCTTTCTTAAAATTTTTGAAATGAATTATTATTCCTTTCAGCATCGCTTACTTGATTTCTGTCAAAATAGATCAAGCAGAGCTGTCTCCATACGTTACTTACACATTTAAGCAGCATTGTGAACAAGATGGATACCCATATGAGGAATATTCTGTCACTACAGATGATGGGTATATTTTGTCATTATATAGGATTCCTGGAAAAAATAAAAACCCAGGCCCTCCAGTCTTGCTGGTTCATGGGCTGAGCAATTCTGCGCATTGTTTTATTTTAAATCAATGCACAACGCCTCCTGCTTTTAGGCTTGCAGATGAGAATTATGACGTTTGGCTAGGAAATATGCCTTTTTCCTCTAAAAATAGATTAAAGGTATTAAAAAATAAAGGATATTGCTTCATAAGTGTTTATGTTTATACAATATAAAGTTAGTTTTAATAGAGGAAGCCATTTAAGTAGAGAACACACTAAGCTTGACCCTAATTCTCATGAATATTGGGACTGGAGCGTCGCTGAAGTCATAGAATACGATCTTCCACCCCTCGTTAAATTTGTAAAAGAAAAAACAGGCTATGAAAAAATTGGTATTTTTTCTCACAGCCAAGGATCTGGAGCTGTCTTATGGATGCTTTCACTATACCCTGAAATGAAAAATGATGTAGCGATCGCAATATTATCAGCCACACCAGGAGGAATTTCTAAGCCAGAAAGTTTATATGTATTTTTATAATAGTTAAAGCTTCTACTTTCTATAAAAAAATGCTAATTATTGTATTATCATAAAAGATATATATAAATCTCCTAGCATCGTCTCTTGTTCATAACATTTTTGACTTACTTGGGATGAAAATTTGGTCAGATTGGACAGATGATCTATCTTTTGCCAAATTTATAGCGACTTTTCCTACAATTTCGTCCTGGATTGGTAGCGATGTTTTTGATATGAGCCTTCATGGAGGAAATAAAGAGCTTCATCTACCAGTTTATGTACACAGAATTAGAGGTGGGACAAGCATAAAGAATTTGAAATTTATGAGGCAGTATCAGGTGAATAGCTCAACGAAGCCTTATCTTTATGATTATGGAAAAGAAGGAAATCTAAAGAAATATGGAAAAGAAACTCCTCCAACAGTAGATTTTAAAAAATGCCAGACACCTTTAGCAGTGATGAATGGGAAGTATGATTTGGTTGTCCCACAGAAGGATTCAATCTTATTAAAAGAAAGTTTAAATCAAGATATGCTAGTGTTTTATAAAGATGACTATGAGCAAGACCATGGCGGATTTTTAATGTCCTGCAATATGAGCTATTTTGATGATGTAATTCGGCTATTCAAGTCTCATTTGAAGCTGAAATAGGTTATAGACTAATTTCTTAGGTTAAAAGTTAGCTATTTAATTTATTTTATATAATGGCAAAGGCATGGAATATTTTTTCATAATTTACTAACCTTAAATTAATTATGATTCCTTAAAAAGCTAGACCTATAACCCTTTTTGAATGCAATCTTTTTGATATTTGGCTCAGAAGCTTTAAATGAAGGCAAGCTTGATATAGCTGAATATAGCTTTGCCAACGAGCTAAACGAGCTTGAGTTCAGAACTATTTGATTTTCTGGGTTCCCAGCACACAATGTGAATTTTGCTCCTGTTCTATGGATTTCCAACGAACTTATATCTCCAATACTTACGAATTTCGCTAATTCTGCATTTATAAGCACTAATAAATGGTCCAGCGTCAATATTACAATAATATCTTCTTTTTCAGCTAAATGCAAATAAAATACAATTTGTTCTTTGCTGAACTCTGGAATATTTTTGATTAAGTCTTGTGCTTGGGCTGTTTCATTATTATAAGGCTCAAGGACTTTTCTCATGTTAAAATATCTTGGAAAACGAGCTCTACCACGAGGATTTACTTTTCCTTGGGCAATTAATGTCCCTGCGCTCGTCATTCCTGAAGCAATCCCGACGCCTAGCCTCAAAGCTGCAGAGACTGGTGCTGAAAATGCACCAATAATCCCTGACCCAATCCCTTTGAGAAACCCAGAAGCTCCTGCTTCCTTAGCACCAGAAATGGGCTTCGTAAAAATCCCAGTAATTCCTTCAGCGAGGTCTTTAACTCCGCCTTTAACTCCTCCATAAATGTCAAGTATTGCATTATCACTGTCATTAATCCTTTCAGCTGCTTTATTATCCCCTCCTACTTCTCTGACAATTCCGTATAATTTTCCAGTCACTTTTGAGACACTTCCAAAACCTCCTGATATGACATTTCCTACAAGTGAGCGGATTCCTTTTTCGATGCCGTGGGCAAAAGCTTTGGGACCTTTTAAGGCACCTTTGGCAGGCTCGTTAAGGAACTCAAATACACCAGTTCCAAGCTTGTCGATAAGACCGATAGGGTTGCCGAGAATGTCAATGGAGCCGATAAGATTGTAAAATTGAAAGATTCCTTGGCGGATATAGTTAGAAATGACGAGTTTGGAGAGGTCTGAAATGGTTTGGAATGAATTTTCGACTAAAAGCTCTTTAAAATATAGAGGAGTGTCTGTTGTATAACATTTTTAGATAACAAATTTAATATCTTATGGACTGATTTAATAAAATGATATAGAAAATAAGAAAAAGGCTTTATTAATAATGCAATAAATTAATTAATTAAAAATATTAACAAGCCATAAGCTAATTGAAGCTATCGCTCTAAAAATCCCAAACGCCAAGCCTGGATCAAGCTCAATATGTTTTGCTGAAATTTTAAAAGAAACATAAATTTTCATCGCGCAAAGCCGAATAAATTGGAAATAATTTTTTTTCGAAACCTGTGATGGGTTGGCTTTTAATTTTGGATCTGAAGCGTCTAAAAGTGGGCATAGTTCTAGTATTGTCAACTGATGGTCTTTTTTCTTATAATCTGGCTTTACTCCTAATTTATCTTGCAAAACTTTTAGATGGGAAGCTAATGTTACTAAAATTTCATAATTCAGCTGAAATTGCATTTCTTGTATAGGGGTTTTCCGTGAATAGCCTTCTACAATTTCTAAGAATAATAATTATTAGAGATGGCCAATAGGCTATTTAAGGGAAAATCTTATACCAAAATTTCAAGCCATGAATATTTTTCTATTGAAGAAATTTCTTGCTCATTTTCCGTTCTAGTTATGCGGCTTTTATGGATTTTTGCTTGAATGAAAGGAGGGTCATCGTCTGCTGGGAGTTTTTTTGGACTGAAAATGACAGGATACATATCATCAATTGCTTGCATGTTGTCTAATTGTAAAGATTTTAAGCTTAAATCGAATTTTAATAGGTTTTCAATTCCGTCTTCTACGAATTTCTGTTTGGATACAAATTTAAGCCTGAGGTATTGCAGACTTAAATAGTACATTTCTGATGGGTTGTTATCAATAACTGATATTCCGGCTCCAGCTAAAGATATATACCGAGAAAAAAAAACACATAAGCAATTTTTGTTAGTAGAATATTTATTTTCAAAATTATTATATAAATATATAATAAACTTAAAACCCTGCATTTTTTTCTTTGAAATTGTCTGTTGCCGCCTTAGCTTTGGCTCTGGTGGAGAAATATGCAACTCCCTCGTAACTCCATTAATAAATACTTCTGCTGAGAACTGGCCAAGATCTCCAAGTTTTTCTATATTTTCTAAAGAATATCCTTTAATAGCAGTCCCTAAGGCGACCTGTATTACATTTTCATTACATAAGTTATCAAAAGCCCATGGGGCACATTCTCCTGGTGGAATAACTACACCTATCTAAATTCTATATAATAATTATTTTCCTATTTTTTTATCTAAAATAATTAAAATAAGTTTATTCATATATAGAAAGCCATACCATAAATGGCTATACCCAATTTGATACGCCGTAATTTCTTGTTCTGTATAATTACATATCCTAAATTCAGGCTCTAAAGGTGTGACTAATGATATATGAATACAAGACTCATCTTCAGTGCTTACAATTACCCTTATAAAATGCATAAAATTGTTCTGAGCTGACGGTCGAAACCAGTCCTGCTGAATTTCAGATTTTTCTTCTTCCTTAGCTTGGATTTTTATATGAAAATCTTCAATTTGTTGGATATTAAATGGAGATGACCAGTGGACACCATTGCGGGAAATCTGGATTAATTTGGAATCATTAGCAGAGTCAAGCTGGTATTGCAAAGAGGCTGAGCTTTCTAGTGTTTTTATGTTTTCTGAAGAATCTGATACTTGTCTTATATAGATTTCGTAGCCTAGGTAGTTATTTATCATAAATCGTGGAGTGATATAGACAATTCTGCTTTTGATTAAAGGTGGAGGAGCGTCAATTACACGGACGCCTAGCAATATTACTTCTGGAGCTTTAGGGTCTAGCTGTCTCGCTTGAGAATTGTCTAAGGTAATTAACCCAGACACCCCGACTGCATCAATATTAAAATCTTTTGACCATGAACTTGTTGGTCCTAGCTCATCTTCGGCTGCTTTTATCTTTAAATACGTTTTATCGTCAAAAAATCCTATTGAGTGAGGATTTATTCTCATTTCGCCTATACCACAGTCAAGGTAATAATTACTTTGATTTACGATGCAGTATTCGCTATAAATATCAATCAGCTTGCTTTCATTGACTCTTTTTATTTCATTTTTTACTATTTTTCTTTCAGAGAGATTTATTATTTGGGATTTTTTCTCGGTATTGTGACTTTGGTCCAATGTGATAGAATTTCCTGAAAAATTACCTTGAAGAAGGGCTTGAGTGTATTGGAAATCACAGAGGCTTGACCATTCAGTTTCTAAAGTAAACTTGTGGTCTATATTTAACTGGATTTTTTGAATATTATTAAAATTAATGCAAATAAGATTTTTTTTGAAAAAATAATAGAAAAAATGGGATTTATGGGAAATTGTATATCTTCTCGTCTTGGGTCGATATTTAAGGTTGAAAAATATTCTCCAGGGTTTACTGTGCCTGCAGGAAAATCGATGTGATTGAAAAATACATTTATAGGGCACGGTAGAAAATTGGAAAAAACGTAAGGTGGTTTTAGCTGTATAAGCCTTTGGTCTATATCTGTTTCTGTTTTATAATGGTCGATTTCAAGAATTGCCCATGAAGATTCATTAAGCTGAATGCAGCCTTCTTCTATCACTGGTTTCTGCTCACTTTGTGTGCTGATTAGCGGATATCCGCCGATCTCCTTTGACCATTTTAACGGTAAAGGTAATGAAGAATTTCCCTGAACAGCCAATATTTCTCCCGAGTATTCCAAATTTACGATTTCTGAGGTATAGTTCACAAATTCTGTAGCTGATTGAATATAGATATGTTTTTCATTATCTACAGCTTTTACTGAGATTAGGCACGAAAGTTCTGAATCTCTGCCTTTTAATGAAAAACCTCTTATTCCAACACGTTCTATTATAATTCCTGATGCAGGCTGATATCCTTCGATTTCTAGAGAAATAGAAGCTGGCGGCTGGAAATCTTCCATAATCCCATGTTTTATGCTTTGGGAGCCCATAAATAGCTTATCTATTAGTTTTTGGCCAAAGCCTATAGACTGGTTAGGATTTATTAGCCATTTTTCAGTAGTTTCAGGGACATCAAGCCAAATATTTGCTGTCTCTCCTAAATTATTGTGAAGGACGTACATGAAATTCCCATAGGACGCTTCTTGAGAATTATCAGTAAGTGACTGTCTTATAGCTTCTTCATTCCAAAACGAGCTATCTTGGCTTAATTTTGTAATTAAAGTCCCAAGCATTTCTAAATTATGGAGGGTCAAATTGATATTAAAGATTCTTGACGATACAAATTCAATTAGCATCACAGAATCAGCAGTTTCTCTTTTCCCATTTAGCTCAAAGTCCCATTCTTCTAATAGTGGCTCCCATACAGCAATTTCTAAATTATAATAATCAGCAAAAATAAACGCTGACAAGTTTACATCAAGATATGGTCCTTTCAGGTTAATTTTTGAAGAAAAATTGCTTAAATGTAAATGCAGCAAAGAGTAAGCTTTTAATCCAGTGTCATCAAGCATTCTGATTTGAAAAGAATCGCATTCTATAAATATATCCATATTAGTCTCAACTGTATGGATTTCTTCTAACAGAATTTCTTCATCCTCCACCGCTTCAGCAGGCTTAAAATTTTTCCAATTTTCAGCTAAAGCTTTGAAAAACTGCAGATCTCTAAACCCAATATCAAGCCATAAACTTTCTATTCCTCTATAAATGAATATTTATTTAAAAATAAATATAAAAAAAAAATTATTTTTATATTTAAATATTTTTTTATAAATTTACCAAAATTTTAATCTGGGTTTCTCTATCTTTCATTTTTGTGCAAAAATAATTCATACTGATTCTGCTTGGTTTTAATAAATCTTGAGACCTTTCTTCTGTTAAATGTATTTGGCTCTTATGAATAAGCCCCACAAGTCCTCCAATATGTGTGATTTCAATTGTGGCTTCATCATTAATCGAAATAAAATCTTTTTTAATTATCTCGTTTTTTGAATTAAAATAGCTGGTATATTCCTGTGAAGAATTATAAATAATTGACAGCCCAAAATGGAAACAGCCTATTCTTTTGTGATGGTTTCTAGGATCAATTGGAACCCAGAGCTCGAAATTTGACATTTCTGCTGATAATTTTGTATTAAAAGCAGTGGTGTAGTGAGAATTTACCATTGTGTCTATTTTTTCTTGGTGGTAAACTGAAGCTTCATGCAGCTGATAAGAAAAAAATTTCATGATGTCTTCGATATAATCTGGGGTCGCCATTATACGTAAATCACTCAAAGATAGTGATAGCTCTAAAGAGTCTTCTCTAGGTTTTAACGTAAATTTGACAGATATCTGGATTATTTCTTCGACTGCGTCCACAAATTCGTCTTCGTCAGCTTTTACGAATTTTATAGGGTTATAAATAATTTCTCTGATTTCGATTCCGTCTCTGAGGTCTCTCATTTCGATTCTTTCTAGGCTTAGATTTCCGATGACGTCTCCATTTTTGTTGAGCTGGACACCCATTTTTAAAGAATTTATATTTAGCATCCCGAGCTCGCTTGACCCTCTTCTGAGTTTTAAAGAAATTCCTTCTACTTCTGCCTTTGCGAGGACTCCAATAATATTGTCAATGCGCTTCATTTTGTCTTTTAAAGCTTCGTCTAACATATTTTCAGAATTAATGGCAGGGACTTCTATTTTTGGCTCAGGAGGAGATTTTGGTAGTAATTCAAGTAAGCTGTCTTTGAGCTTTAAAGAAAAAAGAAGCAGAGACTCGTCTAAGTCAAAATGCATAGCGCTGAATTTAGCTTCTAGTATGAATCCTGGCACATTTTCTTGTTTGTTTTTGCAGTTAAATAGGTCTAAGTTTAAGTTGTGGGAAGGCAGAAAGTCTTGGAAAGATCCAGATCTCCACGAAACTAAGCTATCGCAGTGTTTTATAACAGCAATTTTGCTATGTTTTACATAATTAATTTGAAAATAACCATGGTTTTGCATTATGATTTTTTTAAAATTATTATTCGTACTATTAATAGCCAATTTATGCTTATTTGCAATCAATATAAGCATCCCTGCAAATATCAGACTTCTTTTTACTATTAGAAATAGGGTAATTTCTAATAATTAGAATTTGTATATTCTTTATAAATAAATTTAAAATAGCACATTATATCTTCTAATGAAAAATGATATTTATCATAATCTGTATCATCAATTTGTTGTATGCTGGAATTTCCTTTAAAATTACCAAGATCTACCACCAATATTCCTTCATCTAAACTATAGATATCCAACGGAATAAAAATAGCAGGCGCTTTCATACTAATATCAAGCTCAATAGTTGCTTTTGCTCCTGTTTTCACTAATTCTCCAATATAATTTTGCCCCATTATTATATATTCATTTGTTTTATCAGATGCCGCTTTTAGATATTTATTAAAATCCACCTTTTGTGCAATGGCTGAAGAAAATGCATCAGAAACAGCCAAGAATGACCGAATATTCAGCACAATATTCGACCCTCCTGATTCTATTATAAGTTTTGGCTGTGGAAGTTGGTCAAAATTTATGTTTAAAAATTCATTGAACATAAGGTAAGGAAATGCTTGGCTTTTTACAATTCTGTCTTCTAAAATCGTGTTTTTTACATAAATTTTCACATAGGAAGAGGATGGCCTTATGCCAGTTTCCACTGAAAAATTGTTGACCAAAAGCACCAAAAATTCTTTTTCACTGTCTTTTATAGTAATTTTTGTTAAGTCTACACGGAGTTTTACTATAAATCTTGAATAAGTGCTAGGCAAGTTTGCAAAAACTTCGGCGTTGGCTATGAATTGGTCGACGTCTGAGGCAAATTTTTCTTTTTCATGGAGAATTTGTTTTAGCTGCTCATCGATTATTTTCCTTTTCCTTTGTTTTTCCTCTTCTTCTAGTTTTTTATCAGCTTCTTTTTTTCCCCAAAAATACCCAGTAAATGCAGAAAGTCTGCCTCCTTTGTTTTCTGTTTCAAGTTTTTCGATTTCTTGTTTGACTGCTTCTTCTCTTCTAATAATTTCTAATTCTTTATTAACAGCGTCACGATTTTTTAATATAGAATCCAATTTATACCCTTTTTCCCACTTTTCTAGCTGATTTTGAAGCCCATTTATTTTATTTTGGTCTTTTCCTTTGCTGTAAATTTTTCATTGCTTATATATTCTATTATTTATAATTATTTTGATTTTTTTTTAAATAAAAATAAATTGTTTATTTATTTTATATTGAAATATATCCCTATAAGCTGAGGCTTCTTCGTTGGTAAACGGAATTTCAATAAAAGAAGTGACCACTCCATTCCTAAAATTCGTGTACAATGTCATAAAATCGATCTTAAACTTAAACTACTTAGAATGCTTAGTATGCTGCATGGATCCGCAGGATTATTACAAAAGCCGCCAGGGCTCATCCAGAATGGCAGCAAGACTAGCGATGTCGCTGGTGTTTCCTACTTCACCCTTCTTATCAGGTCGAAGGACCATCCTAAGTAAGTGGCAGCTAGTTCTCCTCCAAACCTCACGCTTCGTTATCTTGCCTTCCAAACTTAGTTCCTGCGTGTATTTTACCTAAGGGTCTCCTTTAGAAGTGTCAACTATAAAAACTTATCCCTCCAATTGCATAATCCGATAAATCGTATTGATATTGTGGCTAAAAGTTCTCCTATAAAACTGAATCCATAACTAAAATTCTATGAGGAAGAGAAAGTTTCAATGCACCGAATTGCATTTTATTTATGCCACAAAATCGACCAATTTAAACAGATGAGTCAATTGATTTGTCTCAATCCCTATATTTATTTCTGTATTATATAAATTTGCTAAAACTTGAGGCATAGTCAAGTCTTTTGGGTTTTTATTCATGACCATCTCTAGGCGAAAATTTGAAGGGCTAAGGATAAACCTATGGTTTAGTGGAGAACTCATTTCTAGCCTTGCCAAAGAATCAAAGCCGCCTACTTCATCACTTTTTATTAGAGAATCGCCATGGTCTATAAAGAATCTAATATCTTCTAATAATGCTAGTTTATAGGTTATAGCGCTGTCTGTGACAAATTCTTTATTCCATTGAGAATTCGTGGTAATTGCTTGGGCACTTTTTATCGCTAAACCTATTGCAAAATTGGATATACTTGATGATGAATCTTCATAGCGGATGTAGACTGAATTTATGGTAATTTGCAAGTTGTCAAGGATTTTTGTGACCAGTTTTTCTGTAAAGCCAGGGTCAGAATTTACAGACAGCTCAGACGAGTTTATATCCTTTTCCACTTTATAATTAATTTTTTTTATTATTTTTAATAAAAAATACTAAAATCATTGAAATTTCTTATAAAACTTCGAAGTTTTCGATTGACTTATTTTTTGATGACATTACCATCTCTTTTTCTAAGTCTTCATTTCAGTCTGATGAAGGTCTAGGGGTTAGCAGGATAAATACATCACTGATTTCAATTTTCAATGGGCTTGATGTCAGGCTTGTCCACGGAATTGTTGCATGCAGCTTTCCTATATACCCATATTTCAGCTCAAAAGGTAAGCCTAATGTTTTGATTGCTTCAGATTTTAATTTCAGATTTTCTAAGCTCATTTCACCATTAAAGACAGAGATTTTAAGCTGTTCTGGGTTTAAGTTTTCTGTAATATCTCCTAAAACTTTGTTCAGAACATTTGCTATAGCTCCATTCATTTTAGTATTTTAGTCAGAATCAAGTAAAAAAGAGAGAGTGGATATAAAGATTTTAATGCAGATTAGAACGAAACGAGTGACGGGGTAAATTTATAGCAATTAAACTAAATATTGATATCTTTAGAAATAAAATAAAAATTACAAGATATTTTTTTAGTCAAACTATATAATATTAGTCTATTTTTACCTCAGAAGTATACAAAATTTATTCATAAGAAATATAAGTATTATTTATTATTTTTTAATAACAAATAGGATACTCTTTGAGAGCTATTGGTTTAAGTTAAACTATCCAATAAAATGGCACTTAAAGCCATATATCGATCAAAATTTCTCAAAACCAAATATGACGTTGATATAGGCTCCCTTGGTACTGTTCACGGCTTGATAGACCGCTCTTCTCTATTCACAAGAATTCCTAAAGAGTTTTTAAATGCATTAAAACGCTCATCCCACACAATTGAATTAACCCTTCCTATAAAGCTTGACAATGGTAGTATTGAATGTTTCCAAGCCTTCCGAGCCCATCATTCAGCCCACACTTACCCTTTAAAAGGCGGCGTCAGATATGCCCCAGATATGAAAATCCAAGATGTAGAAGCCTTATCAGTACTGATGACTATGAAAATGGCCTGTGCTGATATCCCATATGGCGGTGCCCATGGCGGGATTTCAGTTGACCCTCAATATCTCAGCGAAGCTGAGCTAGAGCGGCTTACAAGGAAATATGCACGAGAGCTCAAAGAATTCGGATTTTTAGGGACTTCTATAGATGTGCTAGGCCCTGATATAGGAACTGACTCCAGAGTTATGGGCTGAATAATGGACGAATATGTCCAGCTTGCCCCAAATGATCTTAATTCGACTGCAGTTGTGACAGGGAAGCCTGAATCTATTGGAGGAATCGCTGGAAGAGATGATGCAACTGGTTTTGGGTTTTATTGTGCAATAAATGAATTTTTGAAATATCCTGAAACTATAGAAAGGCATGATATGACGCCGTGTCTTGATGATAAAACAGTCATAATTCAAGGATTTGGGAAGGTCGGCAGAAATATTGCGAAGTTTTTACAGGAAATGGGGAATGCGAAAATTATTGGGATTATTGAAAAAGATGGAGGGACTTATAATGAAAATGGGCTAAATATAGCAGGGCTGCTAAAACATTTTAAGAGACATAGGACTGTAAAAGGGTTTAATGGAGGAGATACTTATTTAGATGGGGAAGACCTTATAAGGGAAAAATGCGATATTTATATACCAGCTGCAGTTGAAAATTCTATTAATTCAGAAAATATGAGGGAAATTAACTGCAAAATTATTGCGGAAGCAGCAAATTTGCCAATAATGTTAAATGCAGAAAAATATTTATCAAATCAAGGAATTGTGATTTTGCCTGATATAATTAAAATATGGCGTCTTCGTCTGGGTATGGCCTTTCGGCCATACATACTCGACTCATATTTTAATTATATCCGGCAAGGTTCTGCCATTCCAGAAATGGGCAACAATGCCATGGTAAGCAATTCTGCAGAGCAGAGCCTGGCCCATGCTCAAAGACTAGAATGGATTTTTTCCTCGAGAGGAAAGGGTGTCCAAGTTTGGAAAGGGTAAGCCCAGCAAAGTCTACAGGCAATGCCTAGACCAATCGGGCAACTACCTAGCGTGAAACTGGGCGTTACGTCCCAGGACTCGGAATTTCCCTTTTTGCCGAAAGGTGACCAGAAATAATTTCGGAAAGCCAACTCCCGTAACTCAAGCAGCAGCCGCAGGATTCCATAGTCCGCCCACTCAAGACTTAAGCCGCAGCATGCTGTGGGAAGGAGTAGACGTACTTCCCTTTGTCAAGTCTTTATGGCTTGTTGGGAATGCGTCGCAAAGCAGGTGAACCTCACATTGAGGTCCTTGGTGTCTGCGTTACCAAACACGGCAGTCACCTCATTAATGTAATTTAAGATTAAGATTTTGCCTGATATTGTAATGAATACTGGAGGGGTGATTACGTCATATTTTGAGTATGTGAAAAATATTGGCCATATTAGTCCTGATAAACTAATAAGGAGATGAGAGTTTAACTCAAATGAAAAAATATTCCTTTGGGTATTAATAGTACTAGATAGAAATGGCTTATTTTTCTCTAATTAAAATTAGAAAATTTTATATAAAATATATAATTGAATTGATGGAATTTCTATTAAAAGCGGCTACGAGTTGGCCTGTATTAGTACATCGTCCTCCGTCTGAGCTTGAAATGGTTCATACAGCTCTTGATGAAATTATCAGAACATCAGTGAAATCTACAAGAAACACAGCAAGGATGTATGGAATTTCTTATAGAGACGCTGCATATGTGAATGCTCTTAACAGAGTTTACGAAAATATGAGATATAGTAGCTATGCTGCTTAATATTCAAAATATTTAGCTAATTAAAATGGAATTGCTCATATAATTTATAATTGTTTTTAAATTTCCACAGGAACTTATAATAATGCTAATATCGACAATATTTAAATGATTTTACCGAATTATTTAAATTTTATCAATTTTTATTACAACTTATAAGCCATAGTTTTTCACAATAAAATGATATGGATTTTCCTTCCAATTTTAGCAGCCTCTCTTAAAGTTGACCAATCAAAAGATTTAACAAAAATTGCATTTGGGTCTTGTGCAAATCAATTTGGGAATGATAATCCGGATCTTTATAAATCAATACAAAATTTAAACCCGGACCTTTTTATATGGCTTGGCGATATAATTTACTCAGACGTTCTTGTATTTCACCCTCCTTTTTTCAAAACTCGGGACCCAGAAGCCACAAGAAAAATGTACCAAAATTTTAAAAATAATACAGAATATAAAGCCTTGACAGAAAAAACAATGATAACAGGGATTTGGGATGACCACGATTACGGAATTAATAATGGTGATAAACATTTTCCTCTAAAAGATGCTTATAAAGAATTATTTCTTGAGTTTATTGATGAAAAAGACAATATAAATAGAACAAGCCATAAAGCTAAATTAAACTATAATTATGGCCTTAAAGTCTGGGAAGCTTCCCAATGAGACAGTCTACCTAAGCCCTGAAGGTATATTTCACCACCTCTCTCGCTAGTCCACTGCTCCATCAGGAAGTGTCGCCTCGGAGTCCAATTTCAGTTAACGTCACCATTTTATTTCAATAAGCCATAAAGGAATTTATATTTCATTTAGCTTTGGGAAATAATGCATTAAAATGGGCCTGCTCTCTCTCTCTCTCTCCAATGGTCTGAATCTTAACGCCAAGGTGAGCTGAAATGGATTCCAAGCAAAAATCAAGTGCAGCCTCAGCAGATATGTATCCAGGTAGGTTTGACTACTTTTATGTGATTGGAATGGAGGAACATAGCTATGTCTTCGGACTGTTTGTCATTCCTCAACCGAAAAGCCTGGGTTTCTTCTGGGTAAACGGAGGATGTCTTTTCCCCTTAAATGTTAAGTTAAGGCATTTTGGCATAGACTCTATGGAGCATATCCTTAGAAATTAGCTACTTCCAATCGCCTATCGCAGAGCTTCAGAAACCTATCAGCCGCTCACTAAAGACTAAACCTTAAAGGTAAGGAGGAAAACAACCTGTAAAGCCTCCTGGTCAGATCATCGCAAGTCCAGTAAAACTCCCATACAAAAAGTTTGGCTGCTTTAATAGCCTAACCTTTGGAAATAATGGAAAAACTGTCAAGCTTATTTTGCTTGATAATCGCTATTTTAATGAAAAAGATGTAGACATCCTAGGCGAAGAGCAATGAAAATGGCTCGAAAACCAATTAAAAACGCCTGGAGATATCACTTTGATAGCAAGTGGGATACAAGTTTATACAGAAGATCGTTTTGGGAAAGCAGAAAGATGGGATGAATACTCAAGAAATAAACTTTTAAGCTTAATCAACGACATCTCAGGAGTAATTCTTTTAACTGGAGATGTCCACATGGCAGAAATATTGAAAATTACTTGTAATGATAATTTATTTTACGAAGTTACGTCAAGCGGCATGACTCATACAATAACTACGACGGGAGGAAATTTGATATTGCTTTATCTCTATGGATGGCTTCCTTTTACCTTTAACGTAGGGCATAGGGTCACAGTTAAAAATTTTGGATTTATAGAGATTGACTGACAGTTTAGACTTTTAAAAATGTCTATAAGAAACTCTTATGGAAATATTTTGATTGAAGAAAAAATCAGCCTGGATCATTTTTCGTCAAATTTTGAGAGAAGCTATTATTGTGATAAGAAGCCAAGATATAGAAAAATTGTGCATGTTCTGTCATTTTGGGCAGTATTTTATGTGCCTTTATTGCTATTAGGTATAGACACATTGATTTTCTTTAGAAAATGGTCTCACTCATATTAGATTAATTAAGTTTCTAGATAAATTTTATTATATAGATAAGGAAATTCTGTCAACAAAATTAAAAAATATTTTTCGTTTCTTTATTACATGGTTTATTTTCTTTAGTATTATTCAGTAAAATTTTCCTTTGTGTATTATTTCTATACAGTCTGAGCATTTATGTAATTATTTCAAAAAATATCAGTTGTATTATTAAATAAAATGCTTAAAAAATCAGCAGATGAGCTGAGAGAAGCTCTTATGAAGCCAAACAAGACTGAAGGAGATATTAATGTAACTATTATTCAGAGACTCAAAAACATATTCAAAGAAAATCCTATTCTCAGACAAATTCCACCGAACCAAAGAGCTGAGGTAACTTCCAATTAGTTTTGTCATCTAATGAAGCTGAAAGAGTTGGCACCATTAGAAGTTTGCATAACAGAAAAAGATAAGAAGCCCGATCTTTATATTGTACTTATTCCCTAATTTCAAGAGAAAACTCATTTTTATTTGCTTTTAAATAATCTAGAAAGGCATTTTTTGAGAAAAAAATAAATCAAACTTTTTATTTAAAAAAAGGGAAACATTTATTTTTAAAAAAATAATTTATTTTAAATCTTTTAGCTTTATTTATTATTAAATTGATAGAGTTAGTGGAAAACTTCATGTGAAAAACCGTTCAAAAGAAGACTACTTTCTTGACCAATTTCAAATTTTTGGTTACACAAAATTATTGGATCACAATCAATGAATTCCTTCAAAGGTATAGGGCTTTCCCTTGAATAGCCCGATAACGGGCTGGCTTCATCCCGTTATCGGGCTATTCAAGGGAAAGCCCTATAACTTCAAGGGAAAATTCAATCCTTATCCAAATCCCCAGAAAACGTATGAAAAGAGCAATGGAAAAGGTAAAAAAAATCCAAGATGACGCTAGGCTCTTAGAATTTTTGGTAAAAACTGTGCCAGGAGTAAGACAGCTTGGCCAAGCTGGAAAAGAAAAAGTTTTAAGCTACTTTGAGCCCTGCAAGTTTAAAAATGGCGATTCACTAATAAGAGAAGGTGAAATCTGCAGCCACGCTTTTATATACCATTTTTCTATAATTTTTTACTATAAAAATATTATTATATAGTTATTTATTGTTATGATTCAATGAGAACCTGTATAATAGAAGAAGGAGAATGTAAATTAGTCAGCTCCAGACATCCAGTGCGAAGACCAGAATCAGCCCCATCTAAAGGCTTGATGTCAAGAACTACGAGTTGCTATAATTTTGGCCTTGCAGCATCAGGTGAATGGGTTGGGGAAGATTCAATTATTCTGAACAAGCCTATAGAGTTTTCTGTAATTGCTGCTACTTCTGTAAAAGCATTAAAAATTTCAAAAGAGCGGTTTTCTGAAAGCTTGGCAAGGGAAACCCAAAATACCTTAAGGGCAAACTTAGAAAACAAGCTTTTGTGGAGGGAACAAAGGAAAAAGAATATCTCACAAACCATTATGAAAAATGTGTATTCAGAAGAAGGGGTAATGGACCAAGAAACTTTTAGCCATACAGAAAAAAATTATTTTTTATATGAATAAATTGAATTTTAGATGGTAAAAAATAATTAATATAAAAATTTATTAGTAAAGGGTATATCCAATAGCTACAAAATCAGCACTATTGAATATAAGGAAAATTGAGCTAGAAAAAACAGATTTTAATGTTAAACAGATGCTTGCTATGCCAAATGCGAGGCAAAGCCCTAAAAGAAGCTTAAGCCCACTGCAAGAATTGATGACAAGTGGGCAGATGACTATCCCAGTTTCACCAATTGAATCACCAGTGAATTTAATGATAAGACCAAAAACCAATGCGTCGTCTATTAGGCCAAATTCTGGGCTTCGGCCAAGCTCATCACATTTTTCACAAAGGCCTATATCGGCTTATACATCCTCATTCGGAAACCGGCCAATTTCAGCATTAACATCATTTGGAAACCGCCCAATTTCTGCCATAACTATTAATGGAACTAGAAACCTCAGCCACGCTCTTTCCCTCAACAATTTATTAAATGAAAAGCCTGAAAAACCACTAAAAACCAAGCTGTATTCAGCATGCACCTTAGGATTTACATTAATTCCTACAATGACCAGGACACAATCATTAAACTCTATGGCAACCCCTACAGTTTCTTGCCAAATCCCAGCTGTTGTAGATGTAAAAGATAGGTTTGGGTATACAAAATTAGAAATAGATGACCCTAATGAAACTTATGCACAGAAAATCAGAAAAGGAAGGCCTGCGTCTCCAAATCCAGTTGAGGTGTGGGCTAAAAAATATTCAATAAATTTAGAAAAATAAATAAATGTTTATAAAGATATTGCAATTAATGTGAAAATAATAGTTATCTTATCATAGAGTTCTTAGAAGATCCAAGAGATTTATCACTTCTTGTAGGCTCAATATCAGGCTCAAAGTTCAGTCTTGATGATGTCTTATTTTCTTCAAGTTTAAATAATTTTTCGTCTTCTAGATTTTCGGCGCTTGAATCTCTTAGATCTTCAACTTGCATTTTTTGGCTTCGATTGGTATTGCCAATATTTGAGCTTCTGTTCGATTTTTCATCGAGCTCATTTTCTATTATTTCATTATAAGGAGGCTTATTGATGTTTGGATACTCCACAGCTTCATTTGAAGATTCAGATTCAGTTAGACTTACAGTTCTTACTTGCAGGGCTGACTCTGAAAGCCTGTTTTTGGTTGATTCAATAGAGTTTTGCATGCTGAAAGACTCGTGCTTATTTTCGTTTGAGTTTATATCAATCTCTTTTGTTTCTTCGTTTTTATCAAGCTTTTCATGGTGAATTTCTCCTTCTTTCTCATTCATGTTGGTATTTTCTTCTTGAATTTTCCCAGCTTCTTCTTCTTCTTCACTTTCTTCCCCTTCTTGTTCTCCTTCTTCTCCTACTTTATCATGCTCCTCTTCTTGTTCTCCTTCTTCTTGTTCTTCCCCTTCTTCTTCTTCTTGTTCTTCTTGCTCTTCTAGCTCTTCTTCTCCCCTTTCTTCATCTCCTTCCGTTCCTTCTCTTTCTCCCTCTCTTTCTCCCTCTCTTTCTATCTTCCCTTCTTCTTTTCCAACACAATTCATATTTCCTTCTTCCTTTTCTTCTGCTTTCTCCCTCTCTTTATTCTCACTTTCTTTATAAATTTCTTCTTTTTCACTTCTTTTTTCTTCTCCACCCTGCCCCCTTGTGCTCGATCTTTGTCTTCTTGTATTTGAGCTTTGGTAGCTTTCAATATCATTTTCATATTCTTCATTACTTGAATTTTCTCCAGAATTTTTGGGCAGATTTTCAGGACCTTTTTCATATTTTATTTCTAATAATCTATGTGACTCAGTCCCTGAATTTTCTAAATCGCTTTTCTTTAATGTCCCTGATCCGCTTGGGATGTTACCTCTAGAAGAGCCTAAACTTTTTAATTTTGAAGAATTGGCTAAATCCCCTGCAAATGGAGAAGCCTCACTTATTTGTTGAGAAAGTTTGTTTTGATTTGATTTTTCAGGGGAGTCTTCGCTGTAGTCTAGGTTTTCTTCACCTTCTAGCATTGAGATTTTTTTTATGTGACTTGTAGAACTTGTGGCACTACCTTCGAAAACTCCCAGAGCTGCATGATAATGGCTTAAAATACCTTCAAGCTCTTTTATTTGTATACAACAAGTTTGTGGTTCTTCTTCAAATTGTAATGCTTGCATTAAAAAATTTAAATGATCTTTATCAATATTCGTTAGCTCCAGAGTCTCTAACCCATCCAAAAAGTCATCTGGAGAAATCAGCCCTGATTCATTAGAAATAAACACCTCGCTCGGCGATTTCTGTAAATTTCTCAATTTTTCTGCAATTTTAGCTAAATATTGTCTAACTATATCCGCTTGTTCTTCCTCCAAAATTCCAGCTTCTTCATACTCATCCTCCATATAATTATCCCCATAAGCTTGTATAAAGCTCATATAAGGTGCAGAATTTAGCTCATAATTATGAGAATAAAACAGCAGTGAAATATATTTTAAAACATTTTCTGGTAAATCAATTTTACATTCCTTTAATGCTTCTCTAAACTCAGTAAAAGTAATTTGGCCTAATTTTTCAGTATCTTTATTGGTGCAAGCGGCTTCTAGCTCTATTTTGTATTTATTAACAACTTCTGATAAAAGCTCGTCAAATTGAGATTCGTCGCTTTGTTCAAAAATGAACCAGTTTTCAAGGGAAGCTTCTAGCTTATTTATAATATTGTCATTAGGAAAAGCTAGCAAAATAAAATTTATAATATTTTCTATTTTTTTCAAAATAAAATAATTATTGTTTGTTTAAAAAGCATTTATTTTTATTTTTTAGGAATAGATGTAATAGAATTCATATTTGACTGTGGCATATTTTCTTGTTCTATTAAATATTGACACAGTCTATCTAGCTCTGAATTTAATCGGAATTGTAAAGGAGGGTTTTCAAATAGCCCTATAAGCTGCACTTTAGACACTAATTGTTCCCCACTAAAAGCTTCGCCAAATAATATTTGTGATAATGACGATTTTGGTAGTCTATTAAGCTGCATTCTTAATCTCCCCTCTGTGAGTGAACAAAAACATTAGAAAAATCGCTATTTTGCCCAAAAACTCATCCTCCGCGAACAAAAATTTTTTATGAAAAAAAAATGGATATATAAGTGATAATTAGTATAATGAAATCTATAGCTAATTCTGTTTAATTTTAACAAATTTGCGCTTTAAAACATAAATTTTTATAATTAAAATTAATATTTGCCTTCCAATTTTTGCGAATTAAGATTTTTTTAAAATTTCGATAAAACAATTTTTCTATAAAATTTATATATAAATTTTTTAAAAAAAAAAAATTAACCCCCCTCTGTGAGCGAACAAGTTTTTTTGTTCACTCACGGAGGGGGGAATTAGTGAAATGTGCTTTAAAACATTAGATATTTCTTCAATCTTTATCATAGGCTTAGATTTTATTGTCGTATTTAGGCTTAGCTTTGACTCTTCATCAGTTCGCAGAGAAGTAGGTGGCGAGCTCTGAGGAGAAATTGGCTTGACATTTGGGCTAAAATTTACATCACTTTCTTCCTCTTCTGAGCTTGACTCAGAATATATTTCTTCTTGAATAAATAGCTCATATCTTGCAATAATTTCTTCTATAGAAATTTTTCCACCTATTTTATCAATAGCTTGCAAAGCTTCATTTTCAGTTATTTTTATATCAAATCTTTTTAGTTCTTCTACAAACTCTGATATATCTTCAAATTTTTTGTTATTTTTGCTTATTTTTTGCAAAAATTGTAAAATATTTATTTTTTCTTTTTGCATTTTTAAGTACATTTTTAAAAATAATTTTGGGATTTTCATGATGATTGGCTTTTCTGGCTCTTTTTTCTTTGACAATTCGTCTTTTGCTGCCTTTAATTCTTCTTTATTTTTCTTTAGCTCTTCTTTATCAGCCTTTCAGTCTTCTTTATTTGCCTTTAATTCTTCTTTTAAATTTGAAATTTCGCTTTTTAACGTCGAAATCGTCAGCTCATGCTTCCTTATAACCAAATTTAAATTTTCAATTTTTTCTGTATGCTCTATGCTCATTTTTTTCATCCTATTCCCCATTTCTTCTTCACTTTTTTCTTTTTCCCTCTTAACTTCATCCATTTTTAGCTTTAATTTCTGGATCTCCGTCTTCAAACTTTTTGTCGCTGATTTTTTTTCATTTGCAGAGTCATTTTCGAGCTCAATAATTCTTTCATTTAATTTTTTTATTTCTTCAGTCCCTCTATTCAGTGCTTTTACTATTTCTGTATTTTCTTGTCTTAAATTTTCTATAATCGCTTTATCATTTTCACTAGGAGAATCTTCAGGTGCGCTTCTTGGGTTAAAATCATTATTTGAATTAATATGACTCACAGGGGATTTTTTCCCGCCCATTAAGTTTTCTAAATGTCTCCTGAGTCTTGTACACTCATCAATATATGCATGATTTTCAATCTCCAATTCTTCATATTTCGTGCATTTTAAATTCCTCCTCAGCATATCAATTTCGTGCTCTTTTTTTTCCAGTTCACTTTTTAAGCCTTTATTAGCATTTTTCAGTCCTTCTATCAGGTGATACTGCTTTATTTCTGGCGACGATAAATTTTCAACAGGCTGTTTTCGCATCTCGTCTATAAAATCTTCTCGCTTTAAAATTTCTTTTTCCAAGTAGCTGATTTTGGTTTTTTGCTTTACAATATATTCATTGACGGAATTCAGCTTCATCTTTAATTCAAGATTTTCGTCAAATAAACGCTCTTTATCAATTGGCACCATTCTTGGTCTGAGTCTGCTAATAAAGCTGGAATCGTCTTCTCGCTTGAAATGATAACGAGTGTTCGTTATATTGCTTCTTTTGGCTGAAAGCCCTTTTTTTCGCAGTCCTGGGCTGCCGTTTGAAAAGCTGTCGTCATGCCGTGCGCTGCTTGGCCTCACATGGACTTGTCTGTTAAATCTTTTTTCAAAAAATCTCGTCTCGGGGTCTTTTTTGCCACTTTTTATACTTCTGGCAGGCGATTTTGGGAGATTTGTGCTAATTAAGAATTACATTTGAGGCGAGGACATTTTATCTCTCAACTTACTATAAATTTTCATTACAAAACCAATATTTTAGGACGACTTGCAGAAGCCAATTTTCCAAAGGTTTTTGGCTTGGGGAAGAAATAGAAGCTTATGGAACATTTGTAATAAACTGCACAAGGCGCACTTTACCCTTGGGAGAAAAAGACCTTATGGCCACATGATAATATTTTTAAAGTTTTCGAAAGGATTTATCGAGAAAAGAAAAAACCGTTTTGTTATAAAGAAATAGCATTAAATACTGGCCTAGATGTTTCTATGAAGCCCAAAGGCTTCCATTGACCTTCGATACGATTTTTGAATCAGTAGCAAATCCATATCAACAGCAAGCGGCGGCATGACTTCTTTACACTTCATGTTATTATCAACAAACAGCTCGCTTATATTATTTTCTTGAGGTTTATATAAAACCTGCGTGCACTCGTTCTCGAATAACTGAGATAAACTATGCTATTTTTATATAAATTAAATATATAGGTTTTTTATAGAGAAAAATAGAATGGGATTGTAGGAATAAGAATAAGTGTGGATGGAAGCTTTGAATATGAAGAAAACTCAATCTTTTTCTTCTGGTCCCAGCCCCATTTATACACTTGAGCTTCAGTGAGGCCTGTCAGTTTTGTGAGGCGGGCTAATGAGTCTTTATTCCATTCTGGGTTGTTCTCGAATTCTCTTTGCAGAAGCAAAATTTGGTCATTTGTTTTTCTTTTCCGCTTCCGGGAGCTTTTTTTTCTATAGGATTTGGAATGTGTTGGGGTTAGCAGAGAATGATGTAGAAGGTCACTACAAAGTCCTCGATTGTCTAACATGATTTAATTTAAATATGGAATTTCCGCCAATTTAAGATATCGGAAAATTTTATTTTTTATAAGGTTTTCAATAAAATCACTTTTGAAGCAATTTATAGCAGTTTTTAAAAAATTTAAATTAAAGATTTCTGATATTCTTTATAAATGGCATTAATTTAAAGGAATAATAATTTTGATAGTTAAAATTAGTTTTGTATAAATATATAATATTCACAATATAACTAAATAGTAATCGACGACCTTCTACCCATAGATGACTGAAGAGGGATTAAACTTGCTATCATGCGCATTTTTTTAATTTTCTCTTGCTCAGATTTTAGATAGGGGACATAAAACATAGCATATAGTGAAATAGACACAAAAAAATATAAACACGTCGTTATGATCATTTCGATCAGTTTATCTGATATCATTTCTTTGGATTTAGTATTAGCATAGTCAACTGTATCTTCCCATCCTAATTCTAGATTTATATGCTCATCCATCATCATTTTTAAAGTTACTAATGAAGATTTATCTTGCCCGATGAAGTAAAACCCATCAAATAAAGCTATCCAATATGCAGAATAAATTCCGTAATTATTATATGGATCTGTTGAATCATGGCTTTCAAATAATTTTTTTGTGAATTCGCCAGAAAAAAAATCAGAAAATTTTTTGTCACGCAATTTTTTACTGGATATTTCTACTAATTTATAGACTTTAAGATATTCTATAAATTGTTGATTAAACTCATAATGGTTATTCAGAAAAAGATCGAGTGAGTCTTGTGATGATGAATTTTTCAGCCAAGCTTCTCCTTGCCAAAAAAACATAATTGTGATATAAATTTTCCTATTCGCAAAAATCATAACCCCCCTCATGAGCGAATAAAAAACTTTTGTTCGCTTATGAGGACCTAATTTTTTTATAAAAATTTATATATATAAATTTTATAAAAAAAATAAAATCCTAATTTGCAAAAAATTTTGAAAGCAAATATAAATTTAATTTGCAAAATTTAGTTTTAAAATGAAGCTACTTAAAATTAAACAGAATTAGCTAGAGATATCTTTATACTAATTATCACCTATATATCAAAATGTTTTCATAAAAATTTTTTGTTCGCTCTCAGAGGGTGGGTGGTCAAGCATAGGTAGCAACCAGACACCCCCACCCCCCCAATAAAGGAACCCCCCTAAAAATGGTACCCCCACCCCCCTTTCACAGATTGCAGCCCCACCCCCCCCTCTCGCGTTTATCCTATAGAAGTAATTGATAGGAAGCAAGAAGAATAATTTAAATATAATCCAATTTAAACACTATATTGATAAATTAAGTTCACAAATTACTTTATATTTATGATTAATTAATAAATTTAAATTAATTAACAATTTAATTAGAAAATATATTAAATTTGCTTTTTATATTTATAAATATAATGTCAAAAGATATAGATACTGGCATTAATTATTAAATGAGCCAAGCACAATACAATAACTTGCATTAAATTTATTTATTCATAAATTAAAGCTAATCTGATGACCATTGTACAAGGATTGCAGGACTGAATTGGTAACAGGATTCAAATAGAGCTAATAAAAATAGTATTTGCTATTGCCAGTTTTACTTTTAGATCTCTAATTCGCCTCTTTAGCCATTGCTCCACAAAGTTTATAAATATATGCAGTATATACTGCTAAATTAATACCAAAGATCATTATTATGCTTGCTAACAAATTTTTTCAGATTTGGTGTGATTACTAGTTATAGGAAATTCTCACCTCATTCCATCTACTCCTTAATCGATTGTGCTACGCTATGTGGATATTGTATAAATCAGTAGTAATTTTGAATATATTTAAAATAATAATTTATTTATTACGCCTGCTCTAAATTGGCATTTGTCATATATTTTATGCTATATTAAGGGAGTGGGGGTGCTATCTGTGAAAGGAGGGTGGGGTTGCCATTTTTTAAGGGGGGTGGGGGTGGGGGTACCATTTTTTAGGGGGGGTGGGGGTGTGGGGTTGCTGCATGTGCTTGACCAGGTGGGTTTTTGGGCAAAAAATAGCGATTCCAATGCTTTTATTCGCTCACCGAGGGGGGAGTAAGAAACTCAGGCCTAGCCGTTAAATAATCGCTGCATTTTTCATATATCGCGAACCTAATAATAAGATAAAACCCCAACGCAAGCACAAATAATATCGCTATTCTTCATATATATCTCCACAAATTTCTAAAATCCCTTGGCCCAGCTCTCAATTTACTGGTATGTTCATGAGGGATAATTTCAAGTGCTCCATGTATATTAGATAGCCTATTAATACAGGCATGTTTAAGCTCAGAATAAGACTCATGTGTAGCCACTTTTATATGGTTTCAAAAGTTACTTAATTTTGTGTCAACTGTATAAGAAAAAGGTATCAGAATAAGCATGCAGATACAAAACATGATAAGCCCAGTCGCGAGTAAAGTATCAATTTTGTCTGAAAGTGACTCTATATCATTTTTCTCACAAGAAACTAGACTTGAGATCGAGGATTTGCAGTAGTGAAATGGCCCTGACATACCATTTAAAGCTATGAATCTTATTGAGCTTACGAGGACTATGCCGTCGTTTCAAGCAGATATAATAGATTCTGACTAATTATAAAATACATGTTTTATAAACTGTGATATTGTATCAATCAAATTTATTTTTTGGAGCTCGTCTAAATTCTCCCCAGTCCATACAGGAACCAAATTATCAGTGAAAATCTCATAAATTGAACAAGTTTTCCAATCAGTTAGATTTGATAATAAATTTGAATGGATATCAGTTAGGATATTTATATTTTCTTCAATATTTGTTATCTGGAAATCCATTGCAGCTTCGTTTCTACCTAGAAAATATGCAGCATATAAAGCTCTAGCATGAGCAGATAGGTCACAAAAGGAATTTTGGATTTTAGAAATATAAATTAGCGCATCAAAATTGTTGGCGTTGGCGACTTCTTGGGCTGAATAAATAAGTACAGCACTGTTAGTGATAATTATGGCTAAAATCTGTATATAAGTTACTGATAGAATGAGGAAAATATTAAAGATTTTAATTTTTTTGGATAAGGTAAACAAAATTTGTACACCATAAGCACTTCTGCTGAGGCTTAATGAACTTTGCGATTGTACAGTTCCAGTTAATGATTTTTCGTATAATGATTAGATTAGATTAGATTATGCCATTCGCTTTCGCAAGGGCCGGGGATTTGCGCCCCTACACGCTCATCATCCCTGAGGGATCCCGGCGGGCACCCTTCCCCGTCGCCGCAGACGAGGCTTCGCGCACCAGTCTTGACTTCCATGGCTCCTGGAGTCTGAGGGCCAACCACCTGGGTCGAAACTCCCAGTTTCTCGTTAGGCAAATACCGTCTTCAGGGTCTGAGGGTCATATTGCCCATCAGACATTGGCCGACCTTGCCCTTTCCAATTGTTGTACCGGAGGAAAAACTCTAAGTCCAGGGATTAGCTCCCTGGGCCCGAGGAAAACCAGCCCGACTATACATAAAGGATTACCGGCCCCTTTCCACCTAAATCCTCAACACTGGGCCGTTGCCTGCTGCTGTTGAAGAAATAGGGTCGAGAGGTCGGGTGGTCTGTCGTCACCATTTTTATGTATAGTTCGTATAATGATAGTTCACGTTCACGCTCCCTTTTTACAGGGACTTGGGTGATAGTAGTAGTTTCGTCTTCTTCTTCAGATTTGAGTAAAGTGTCATTGGATTCATAACTTATACTGACATCTCCATATTTTAGGCATGGGCTGTAATCTATCACTTCATTGAAATTTATTATAATTAGAATTATTTGGGTTATAAAATATATATGAAGGGCATATTTTGAGGCAAAAAATAAGACTTTGCCAATTAAAGTTTTTAGAAAATAATAATTTATGGTATACTTTAGCTATGGATGCGTCTTCATCGAATTCCTGCTTTAAACTGAACCTTTTTTTGTGATTTTCTCGGCCATAAAACTCTGAACTTTTCATTCATTGCAAAATTTCTTCGTCATCATTTATTAACACTAAATAATTCATCTTAAATTCTGTAATTTCTTTATATCCTCATATAACAGCGATGTTTTCGCCATGCAGTTTTGTAAATGCAGGTGTAAAAGGTGGATTTTTGGTTATATCAATATTCGGTAGAATTTTGTTTATTTTGGTGCCATAAATTCCTTTATGGTTCACAAATTCAGCAAAATTCATGCTGTAGTCGTGGATTATCCCTTTTTCAGAAATAACTGCAAAGTGGCTTTTAGATATTTTTTCTTTAAAAATCATCAAAAGAAATGGTCAGCAGTCTATAGCTACCAGATTAGCTTAGATTAAAATTATAGCGGGTCGTAGGGGCTTATTTCAGCCCCTCGCCGTCCAATTGATAGCTTCGCAGTGATGCTAAGCGCTATCCTCACACCACCTTTTCTCTTCTGACATCCCCAAAAAATGGTGACGTGAAGGTCTAACGGGGAAGACACCCTACCGAACAGAACCAATGGTCTCCAAAATTCAGCAAAAGACTCCTTCAACCTCTGACAGGGCTCAGAGTATAGGGGAATCGCCTTTTGCCCCCTCCATGGCCTGTCAGAGCCGTATTGCAGGCTCGGAAATGCTCCCATGGAGTGGTATCGGGACTTTGCGCCGGTAGGGTCATCTCGTAGGTAAGGAAAAAAGACTAGGATCAGCCCCTATGCCAAAAAACCACCCCGGAGAACTATCGCCATGTGGCTCGTCTTTCCTGAGCCCGGATCAACTCACGGGTCATCTGGAGTCCATGTCAGATCACGCCATTTTAATAATTCTATAGCTACCAGAAGAATTTTTATATTAACTTCAATTAAAAACCCGCTTGCATTTTTTATAATCCCTATTATATTCATTTATCCAATCTCACAGAGCCTCTAGATTATTCAGCATTGCCATTATTTCCATCAACTTAGTCTAAAATAGCTTAAACAATGTTGCAGGCAATTGAAGCTCAGAATTTGTTGACAAATGTGCATGTTTATATAAGCATCTTACTATATGTACATCAAAAGGTGATGGAAAAAGGCTAGAAAAATTACTCCCAACAAGATCTTTTATTTTAGTATGAAGTGTCTGTGCAGCTGATACATTTACATACCGAATTTCACCTAGTGTTTCCTTTTCACATGAAACTAATAAAATTCCGTTTTTTTCGTCGTAAAAATTAAATTGATTTATCTCTTTTAGATGACTTTGAAAATACTGCTTGGTTAATGACTCTTGTTTACTTAATAATTGTTGGGATTTATCACTTTCAAGCATTATTGATTGCAAAAATGTCCCGTAAAGGACATATGGCTCAACGCTTTTATTAAACTTTACCACCAACTCGGTATACAAAGTCTGGACAATGCTTAAAGATTTGCAGATTTTTGTGATTTGATTGTTTAATTTTTTTAGCCTTGGAGATGCTGAAGATATTTCACTCCAAAGCTGCATAAGTTTCATGCATAAGACTTCGTCTTCTTTTTTAGCTTGCTCAAGCTTGTTTAAATAATATAAAAATTTTGCTTCTTCATTTAACGTAGAGAATTATTAAAATGGCGTGATCTGTGTTTGTATAAGTGATTCGTACCAAGAGAAGAGCTAAATTCATAGTTCTCCTGGTGTTTTTTTTAGTCCAGGGGCTGACTTCGATTTTTTTCCAGACTTGCAACGACCCCTTCAGCGCATGTCTCTAGAGCATTATCGAGCATGCAATATAGCTCAGACAGGTCATAGAGGAGGCAAGGGTAGCTCACTCATACTAAGAGCCGTGAAGGAGGTTTAGGGAGTTTTGTCATTGATTGAACTAAGGAAAACTGGAGGGCGATCCTCCAAAGAGACTTCCTATATCACCATTTTTTGGTGACATCAGGAGCAAAAAGGCAGGTGTAAGGATATCGCTTAACACCAGTGTGATGCAATCCGTGGGGGGCTAAGGGCTAAAATAATCCCTGTAGCCTCCTAGTATTTTAATCTAATCTAATCATTTAACTTGTCATTTTCTGAAAACCATATTAAACACTGATGGACACGAAAATCCCCTTCTATGCTTGAATCTGCATAAAGGGCTTTAGAGAGTTTAAATTTGGCCAAGCTTGGGTCTTCCATTGTAAAAAAACAAAAATTTGCTTCTCATATAATGAAAATTTTATTTTTCCAAATTTTAGTTTTTAAATAACTAATTGCAAATATTTTGATAATATCGTCAATATTCTTGTCAGTAGGATTTAATAGAAATTTCCTCATATGAATTTCAAAATCAAAAGGATTTAGGGTTCGATTTTTAGCGAGAAATCATTTTAAATCTTGTTTTTTTGTTCTTGAATTTATATAAAAATGGCCAAGTAATAGTATTCCTAGCGGGGTTAGGATTATTGACATTAAATATATAGAATGAGGGTCGTCAATTAGGTATCCGAGTAAAAAAAAAGAGCTCACAAGGCAATTTGATAAATATTGGCACGATATCACAAATTTTGCAAATCTAGAGTAGTATGGAGCTTTACGGTAAATTATAAGAAAAAATTGAAAAGAGACTAACAAAAAAATAATTTGAAAATAAATAAAGTGGTCGTTCTGTAAGGTAACGTATAAAAATATCAGGAAATAATTTTGAATTATAATCAATTTTTGGTATTCTGAGTGAGAGCGTGCAGAAATATTAAATTCTGCGTATTTATGTCTGATTTCGCCTGAAAACATTATTTTACATATAGCAATAATAAAATTAGCGGCAAGAAGTAATATAATAGGTATTATGAAGCTCGAACTGATTTTTAGCTTGTCAGTGCTGTTGTTATCATGATACTCTTTTATATTTTGATAGGTAAACAAGTTATATTTCAATGTAATCATAAATAATGCTACAATTGGTATTTGAAATATACTGCATAAAATTGATAGGGTAAATCTGGGAATAAATGCGAATCTTTGAGGAATTGCTATTTTAAGATAAAAAAGTATTGTAAGAGCCAATACTTCAGCTATGCAGAAAAGCAGAAAAATACCTGAAAATCCTAAGCAAGTTATAGATATATCTACAGTAGCACAAAAATTATCAAATCTAGTGTAGCCTAAATTCTCTCAAATCCAATAAGTCTTATTTCAATGCTTTATTGATAGTTCTGGACTTCATAAAAAACTGATTGTCTGCAAACAAAATATAATGTTCATAACTACAAAAACAATCTGCTTAGTAAAAGAAATCTTTTTTCCTTTACGACCTGTGCTGTAGGAATAGATGAATACTTCAAAAAATGCACTTTTAAATGGATTTTGGGTATTTTTGATATTTTTATAGTTGATATGAGTTTCATCTGAAGAACCTAAAGGTTGAGAAAGCAGAAAACTCATAATTTTAATTATTAATTAACCATTGTAATCTTTCTCAGTATAATGTCTCCAACACATGATATAAAAAAATAATTAAAAGCAATAAATTATCCCATCATATGATTTTGGGATTATTTACAAAATAATGCAAAAAATGCAATTGCCTTAATCAGGGGTTTCTGGAATTAAACGTAAATAAAATTCAGCATTTTCTTTTTGAAGTTCTTAAAATAAGCTATTATCATTTTAGAAAAATGAACTTTTGATATAGCTATGAGTAGATAAGATTTCATTTGCTTATAAGAGTGAAATAGTATAACCTTTAATTTAAAGCAATACTAAAATACAATTCTTAGCTCCTTAAGGCTAAGAAAAATATTAAATGACAGTTATTTTAATTTAATAATAAAATTATGCATAATCCTTAAGGCTCTTAGAAATTCGTCATTTCTTTTCTTCTTTTCTTGAATAAAACTTCAAAACACTTATAAATTCAACGATAACATCAACATAAGCTTCAAGGCTCCATAAAAATATTTATGATGCATTCCATCAACCATCATAAACCAGACAATTTTAAATTATACTTTTCTCAGGCACTTTTATCTCCATCCTAACCTTCATGGGATGTCGGGTAAAAGCCCAGAGTATATTCAATCATAAAGATCTTCTTAAAATTAAAATTTATTTATTCTGATTTTGGTAGTAAATTAAATATTTTGGATGATAAATCAGCTTAAAAATCATATTTCAAGGCAGAAAATTATTGAGTACTTTCTTATTATTCACACTTTTAATTTAATTTTCTTTGAACTAAATTTGGCAAAATGCTAATATGGCAAGTGGCGAAGAATTGCAGTTTGGAAATACCTTATGATTCACCATAGTTAAAGCTAATACAAGAGAAAAATACAAAATAGATAGCTATTAAACAGCTCTGCGATATCGGGAAGTTTAATTTTTGACTCTAAAGTTGTTTTCTTAGGCTCAAGAGCAGTTCCTCTTGATTTCCAAGAAGTTCATTAATTGCTATGATTTAGTCAGCTCATCTCTTTAGCTTTACGTCAAATAAATCTAATAATTAAGAAAAAAATTTCAAGCATTTAGACTTCCGAATATTCTAAAGTAAATTTATTAAAATTTGATAAATTTCTTAATTAATTTACCGTTTTACTTATATTTAAAGAAATTTTCTGAATACCTTTTGTATAGAAATTATATAAACCTCATCTATAATTCAAGCTAATTTAGACCATTTTAGTAGCCACAAAAATTCGAGCTCTTAATTGTTTTGTTTAAAACTACTAATTTTGATGATTATCCTCAATTAACTTAGCATAATGCCAGATCTAGGCTATACATGGCTATGCGTTTTCCACATTTTAACCTCAATGTCCATTTGGAACTCATTTTTATGTCCAGCTTATAAAATAAATGGTCGAAGCCGATAAGGTTCAAAACTCCAAAGTTCGTAGTGGAGTTCAGACTTCTACTTGTACCCCAATAGGATCGAAAATTATGAGCATCATCAAAACTTTTTGCGCTTTGATCAAAACAGCAAAAGGGAAAGAAAAAATTTTTGCACTGTTTCAATTCTCAAGTTCCCTTTACAAGCATGGTTTCTTGGAATCAGAATTTGATATTTCCTTAAAAGAAAAAAAAACTTTGTATATAAACTCATTTGAAAAGACTATGAAAAATGGGAGGAAGCTAATGAAATCTTTTATGTTTTTTGATGAAATCGCTGCTATAGAGAAACACATTTCCGATAATTCAAAATTTTCAATCCTAAAAATTTCCGAAATTTCGTATCATTTTGTAAGTATGGTTTATTATTTCCTGGATAATCTTATTTGGTGCCTAGATAACAAGCTGTTTCCTTTGGATGATTTCAGAAGAGTCATAAGGAAATTAAAAGATTTTTCATCTCTTTTAAGGTGTATTATTCAGATCATAATTGCATATATTATGGTCAAAAAGAACAGAGCAATCCAGCTAGGTATTAGAAGTATTTTCCTTGGAAATTCCTGTAGAGTTTTTAAAAACGAAGGCAAATTAAAAAATCTATTGTTTTCCCTTCTGGCTTATAGAACCGAATTTAGATTTATGATTATTGATTTATCAATAAATATAATGAGAGGGCTTATGTCTTGCCAATCACTTAATCTTCCTGGATCGTCTTGTATCAGTCATAGATTTTCAGCTGTTTTAGGAGTTATTTCTGCAACGCTATCAATTTATAACTCGATCAATGCAGAGTGTAGAGCTCCTTTGCCTACACATGAACATAAAGGAAGAAAGTTAAGCGATAATTTAATATTATAAAAAGTTAAACTGCGAGGAGATAATTTAATAAGATAGAGGAAATAATAAAAATTATTTAAGGATAAAAAGAAAGGATAATATTCATTTTTATAGAAAATAATTTTTAATGGGGAGAATAATTGAGATTAAAGAATTTCGCTGAAAAAGGCTACAAAAATTATTTTAGGGTTACTTTTTGAGAAAAATCTTATGAAGTGTTTAAATTTTATAATAGAAATACGCTGCAGCTATATTATTCTAGCTTTTGAGATGCAATTCAAAAATCTAGAACATTATGTGATTTTGATAGCAAAATATTTTTACTTGCTCTCCCTCCGTGAGTGAACAAAAAAGTGAATTATTTTTTTGAAAGAAGCAAAAATTATTTTAATATAAGAGATTTTTAATACATAATTGATAATGAAAATTCTAGCAAATCTTGTGATTTTAAGCAGCTTGCATTATAATTATGATCTAAAAATTAAATAATTTTTATTTCCTGCTAATAAGGTGACAAAAGTTCCACTAAAAATTTTATATACAAAATTTCAAAATAACAAAAATTAACTTCATGAGAGGTAATATTATTTTACTCGCAAGGGGGAATTAGCAATTAATAAAAGGCTATTTCACAGCTAAACCCCCAGATTTACCCTGCAGTCCAATTAATTCAGTATTATCAAAAACAAAAAATCCCAAAAATATTCATCCCCTGCTTAATCTTAGTTAGGTGACAAAATGAGAAGGTCATAAAGATAAGTTAATTACCAGATTATATTCTATATAATCGCTAAAAATGTGCTAAATTCATCAAATTAGAATTACTTAAGGCAATTTATAATAGAACTTTCTATTATTTTTTTAATTTCAGTCAAAAAGAGAAATGCCCTATAATTTTTCTAGATGCTTTCCATCTTATTTAGTTATAAATCGTTTAAATCTATTTAACCATTAAAATCCTAAATTTTTGAGTCATATAAATTGAAATTCAATAATCATGGCTTATCGATCTGATGGAGAAAAGTTTGCAATGTTGATCATTACTGGAATTACAAATTTTTTTGGCCTCCCAGCAATATATGTCTGCTATAAAAAGAAGCTTTACTTTCCCTTCTGCATAGGGCTATTCACTTGCTTTACGTCTTTTGTTTATCACTCATTAGATAGTGTATTGTGGTCTTCATTTTATATCCCTTCTCTCGGAAATATTTAAAAAATAAAAATAAATAATTTTCTACCATATTTTTAGGAATCTCTATAGAATAGTATAGTCTGATCCCTGTTTTGGATCGGGCTTGATTGATGTCGCCCGGCATCAAATGGGGATTTGACGAAACAATTTTTGGTTGCAAAGTCAACTCCGCCTTCTTGTGATTGGAGATTTGTCATCTGGGAAGTTCACTTTGCCAATAAACGTTGGCTCGTCAACTCCCCATCTGAAAATTGGGAGATGCTAGACAAGCCAAATCCAAAGCAGGGATCAAGTTATATATAAAATCTCAGGAATGGCATAAGCTCGATAACATTGGCTCCATCATGTGCTTTATAACTCTTATGATCTACTGGATGGACAATTTACAGCAAAAAGATAAGACTACTTATACATCCCGCCCTTATTGCGATCTGGACTTGTTTTTAAGCTTCTCTGGGCTATTTTTAACCATGCTAATGCAAGCTCACCATCCATGGTACTTACAAAACACATTTACCCCTATTCTTACATTTGTTTTCATTTGTGGAGTCAAAAATCTGCTTTATCGCAGGGCTAGGTTCAATAAAGGGTATATGGTGAAAGGAGGCTTAATATTGGTCTTAGCAGTTATTTGTTTTATTAAAGCGCTTGATGAAAACCAAGATTACTTACTCCTCCCTTATTTTTTTGAGTTAAAACTAGTGAGCAAAAAATTTTCATGGAAAATATTTTATATATAAGTGATAATTATTATAATAAAATCTCTAGCTAATTCTGTTTAATTTTAAACAGATTGCATTACATTTGCTTTAAAATTATTTCTAATTATTATAATTTTTAAAAAAAATTAACAAGCCTAGTGATCAAATAAATTTTTTTTTTGGAGGAGGGATTTAAGAATCTATCATGGACTTTGGCATTGTGGAGGCTCCATTTCAAGTTTTTATCTTTGGCAAACCATCGACAAAGATAGAGAAATCAAAGGGTTAAATGTTATCAAATATTGTAAGCAGCAAAGATTTGAATTTTCTAGAGTTCTATCAGAAATGGTGACTTTGAAGTTTATCAGTAAGAGAGAATTGTTTTAAGCATAATATGATTAATAAGTTTTCTCTTATTTTAAAATTTGAAAATGTTAAAATTAAAATAGCTGGATAAAATTGTTTTACAAATTAATGTCTGCTAAGAAATCCCTATTGAAATGATATTAATACAAAACCAATAAAAAATTAACTTACTCTCCCAAGCAAACTATTGGAAAAATCTGTATTTTTTGAAAAATTAACCCTTTAAGGGTGATTAAAAAATTTTTAATATCAAAACTTTGTATGAAAAAATATAATTGCTATAACGAGATCCTATCTAATTCTATTAAATTTAAGCAGCTTCCGTTCTTATATTTAAATTTACAAGATCAAATATTTGCAAATCCCATTAAAGAGTAAGCAAAAATCTTGTTCGGCCTTAAAGGATAAAAATTATTTGAATTACTGATCAATTTCGTTACTGAGTAATCTCAATCCCATAAGCTTTCCCATAACACTTATAAGCTCATTCAGTACTTTAGACCCAATATTTTTCCCCTACACCTACAAGCAGCAGAGCCTCCTTTAACTCTTAACTTCTATTTAAACTTAAATTTGGCTGTTCTAAACAAGAAAATCCTCTTTATTAACTGATTTAAATTGTGTTTAATATGAATGGATTTATCAGAATCCATTTTTTATTTCATTGAAAAGAGTACTGATTAAAATAAATTAAAGAATATGACAGATTTGTTATCAACGCTTTATGTCTCACTGGTCGCTGGAGGAACTGCAGGAGCTGCAGTGGAGACTATCATATTCCCCTTTGACTCAATAAAAATAAGACTTCAAGCCAACTCTAACTTGAAGTTCAAGTTTTCCAATGCCTACAAAGGGCTTCCTTACTCGTTAGCAGCCACTTTTCCTTGTGCAGCAGCATTTTGGACAAGCTACTCAATGCTTAAGAACTATTTAAACCAGTATGTCTCTTTGCAGCTTTCTCATACTATTTCTGCGATGGTCGCCAGTGCGTGCTCAGGGATTGTGAGAAATCCGTTTGATGTCGTGAAACAGCAAATGCAGGTAGGAATTCATGGATAAGGTAAATTATTAATTTTTTAATTTAATAAAAATAAACTCTAAAATCATACTTATTCAATTAAATATCCCACCCAGAATTCATACTAAAACATCTTCAGCATTGAGCAGAGTACTCCAACGTCAAGGTTTTAAAGGCTTATGAATTGGCACTGCTACTGCAATATATCGTGATATCCCTTTTAACATTATCCAAATGATTGTATATGAATGGCTTAATGGCAAAGATTATGGCGGAAAAGATCCAACCATATTTCAGCACTTACGTAATGGTGCCATAGCAGGAGGTATTGCAGCCTTTTTAACAACTCCTATAGATCTCGCTAAGACTAAATTAGTGACAGATGGAGGTAAAGGTGAATATCTCGCATTGACGCAGACACTCAAAAAAATTTACAAGGAAGGCGGATTACCTGGACTCTGACTAGGCTGGAAATATAGAACGGTCCTAACCATGGCTGGAGGAATGATGTTTTTCGGAAGCTTTGAAACATTAAAAAGTCATATAAAAGATAATAAACTGCTTAAAATTGATTTTTTCACAATAAAATTATTCTGCAGCTCTATTTTATAATAAAAATTTTTTATTTATTTTTAGCCAATTAACAAAAAATGCAATAAATATTAAAATCTCTCATCTGACTTATAACTAAGAAAAGAAGACTATTGGCTCAAAAGCCTAATTATTCTATCTAGGCAAGCACAAACAGCTTCCAATACAAGATTGGTATAAATTAAGGGCGCTGCTGCGCTTAGCTTAACCATAAATTCTTTGAGGCTTGCCCATGGTCGTCTTGATGTTAAGAGTCCTGATGTTATTCCAGTTCTTCTTCAAAAGACTTGCCAAAAAGTTGATTGACAATGTAATGTTCTGTCTTGACTCATTATTTTTCTTTAAAAAATTATGTTTTTCTGCCTATTTTTTAATGCTTTTCCCGAAAAATAGATAATATTTTTAATAAAAAATAGACCCTCTGTCTTTGTTCTTCTTCAGATAACCCAACGTGAGCGACGGCAACACCCAAACACAAGACCTTCTTAAGTTGGAATTTGATGGTTCCTTTGGCTTCATTAATCTTCTCTTGCAAGTTATCAGCTGGGCTGACAGCGATAGGGAATTTGTTGATTTTAGTAAGATTTGGCCCGACGAGTTTTGGAATCTGTTTGATGATGGATTCTGAGGCTAGCTTCCCACCTTTAAATTGGAACAAAAAATCCTGTTCCCAACTTAAAAGGGTAAAAAATTTTATAAATTTTTAAAAACTAAAATAATATATAAATTGAGGACAATATTTTGAATTTTAATTTATTTTTATGAAAATTTAATTCAAAAAATAATCTATTGAGTGCGGAAATTGTTTAAAAAATAATGTTTTAATTGATTTTTCTATAAAATTATCAAAATTAGTATTTTAAACGATAAATATTTCTATTGACAAAAATATTATTCAAATTTAAAGGAGGTTAAAGTACCCAAAAATGGGAATTTTGCCGATATTTCTTTCCAATTTAAAGAGAGTAAGAGGATGTCGTATGGCTTGAAGAACTTTTTCATTGGCTTGCGCTGCTTGTTGAACTTTTTAAGCCCTTCAGCGTCAATCCAAGGGAGGCCAAGTTCTTGTGCTTGATCGCAGTGGACTTGGTCACCGAGGACAATGGCTTGGAGCTTTGGTCTTGGGATATGAGGGAGTCTGATGGAGCCTGCAAAACGTTTATCCTTTTGAGGGTCGTAGTCTTTAAGCCCAATCTGTAAATCAATGGTCTCTGTGAACTTGCGCTGCTTCTTGTCGACATTGATTTCATGGATTGCTTTCTTGAGCTGGTCCTGGTTAAGCTTTGACATCCACTCTTTTTATTCTAGCCTTTTTTATATAAAAATAATTTTAAAAAAAAATATTTAATATTTTATTATTAATTCTATTTTATAAAATATTTTTTAAGATTGAAGAGTAAGGAAATATGGAAACATTAAGAACGATGTGAATTTTTAACCTTATGGAAATTGTTTATGCTAACACACTCTAATTGATTGCCTCTAAGGACAAGAGTGAAGTTTCAATAAACTTTATTTCATAGATTCCTCAGTATGCAGAGGAGAAATAAAATGGTGGGCTGATGAAAATTAGACTCCGAGGTGCATCCCCTGTGAAACAGGTAGGATCCATCTCGGTGAACCTGAAAATAGCACGTCTTTCACTTTTTGAAGTAAGCTGGGTTTGGAGAGAAACCTTGCTGGAAAGTGAAATTTTGTTCTTCCCAGGAGATTTTATGTTCCTGCCAGATGGGCTAGACAGTTTTTTTCTACTGCATGGCCCTTCATTATGGGGACTTTCAGACTCCCTTCAGGCAGGGATTTAATCCTTTTGACAGGTAGGTCAGGCAGGAAATCCTAACTCCCCCCCCCCTCCGTGAGTGAACAAAACCATTAGAAAAATCCCTATTTTTTGCCCAAAAACCCACCCTCCGTGAGTGAACAAAAATTTTTTTAATAGAAAAATTTTTTATGGAAAAAAAAAAATTGATATATAAATGATAATTAGTATAATGAAATCTAGAGCTAATTCTGTTTAATTTTAAATGAATTGCTTTTTAAAACATAAATTTTATATATTAAATTAATATTTGCTTTCCAATTTTTGCGAATTAGGATTTTTTTTAAATTTCGAAAAAAAAAATGTTTTATAAAATTTATATATAAATTTTTTTAAAAAAAAAAAAATTAACCTCCGTGAGTGAACAAAATTTTTGTTCACTCACGGAGGGGGGAGGGGGAGTAAAGGGCAGCTTTCATTTTCCTCATTTGAACTTAAGGCATATGGAGGCTGGCTTTTTTGCAACCAAGATAAGGCAAAGGCTATGGTTTACTTCGTCTATAGCCGGAAACGGGCTATATGGCCAGTTAAATCTCTTAGCTTAACTTAGTATGCATAAAATCCAATATTCATAAGTCGATTTTATGATTTCTGATTCATAGCTAAAATTAACTAACATAGACATTTTTTTTAAAATTCAGACTCTCATCTATTTTTAGCATGCCACTTTTATTCCCACACCTAAGTCCAAATCTATTTTGCCTAAAAATCATTATTTAGCAAATTGAGCTAAGACAGAGCAACTTTAATTTAAAAAGATCAAGTTTAATTAATATCCGCTGTAGTAGTAAAAAAGATTTTGAATAAATATTTAAATTTTATAAAGAGTAATATATTAAATTAAATCTTTAAATATTTCTTCTGAGCATAAAGAACCCTATTTAAGGAGTCTATAAAATGAAGTCTATTGAAAATTCTAAGAGTAGCCTAATGGTAATCAATTAAGGTAAGTAAGCTATACATAAATAAGGCTAATTCTTATTCGCTGGCATTTTGATAATTAATTTAACAAAAATATTTTGTTAATAAAAAAATATTGCCTTAAAGTTTATATTTAAATACCAATTTGAGTTTTAATTAATTTTTTAAGCATAATATAATTGTATTTTCTATTAATTAAACATAAATTATAAGTATTTAAAAAACTCAATATAATCTGTAAACTTTTTTGTTTTATTTTTAATCATCTTTTTATCATTATCCTAAAATTTTGTATTAAATTTAAATTAGCAACCTCTTGATTTGCTTATATATCCTTGCGTCTATAATTAGCTAAACTAATAATTAATTTATTTATCATATTTGTAATAAAAACAGATTTTCTCATTAAGCAAAATTTTCTATACAAAAAAGTTAGGATGTAAAGCCAACATAATAAATTCCGTATAAAAAACATTTTATTGAATTAAAAAATTATGGGATGTACAGCAGTTCAAAGACCCAAGCTAGGGTCCACATTTGTGGAAGACCGGCAACGAATAAACGCAGTCAACGAAATCAAAGTCGACCCAGGAATTTTTGTCAGTGAAAACAAGCAAAAATTTCAAGAAGTCTATCGCTTAGGTAAAAGGCTAAAATTAATGAACAATGGAGAGGTCAGAATTTGTTACCATCGAGATACTTCTGCTAAAAGAGCAGTTAAAATACTGAGAAAAGATTTCCTTATGTATCAAGACGAGTCATTTGACTATGAAAATGAAATTGATATATTCAAAAGTTTAGATCATCCAAATATAGCAAGAATGTATGAGTTTTTTGATGATGATAGGCATATTTATATCAGAAAATAGAGAATAAATAGGAAATAGTCATATTTATTAGCCTTTTTACTATAAAAAAATAGGGGATTACTAGTAGTTTAAAGCAGAATCATTTAGTTAAATATGATTATATTGTTATGGAATATTGCAGCGGAGGTGAACTATTCCAAGAAATCGCTAAACGTCAGATGTTTACTGAAATTCATGCAGCACGCATAATGTATCAGCTTTTGTCAGCAGTTTCTTATCTTCACACTAATATGATATTTCATAGAGATATTAGGCCAGAGAATATTCTTTTAGAAGAGAAAAACGAAATTTTTAATATTTTTTATTAAATTAATAAGGAAATATCAAAATTCAAAGTTTAATTATTAATTATAATCAATATAAAGCAACATATAAAACTCATCGATTTTGGAGCTTCAGTCCTTTCCCGAAAAAATTACAAAATGATTATCGATCAAGATAGCTTAATTTACACAGACCCAGAAGCTTTAACAGGAGAATACAATGAAGCCTGCGACATGTGAAGCTGCGGGATAATTGCTTATATTTTACTCTGTGGTCATGCTCCACACAACATGAAATCAGTATCTTCCCTTGAAAATATGGATTTCGGGTACAACCAAGAGCCTTGGACACATCTCTCAACTGAATCCAAAGATTTCGTCTCAAAATTGCTATGCCCTCCCTCAGGTCGATTGGCAGCCAAAGAAGCCATTTCTCATTCCTGAGTCGCAAATCGTGCTTACCCTTCCCTCCCAGGCCAAGAAATCGTGACTGAAGTCCTCGAAAACTTGGCAAGTTACCACACAAATAATAAGCTTAAAGATGCAGTTCAAACTTATATAACTAGCCAGTTAATGACTTTAAAGGATACAAGGGTGCTAAGAGAAGTGTTTAGAAGTTTAGATAAAAATGGTGATGGAAAACTGTGTAAAAGCGAGTTGCTTGAAGCCTTTATATAAGAGGATTATTTGAATAGGTGCTTATTGGGAGATTTATAAATAGGAAATGAAAAAATTATATTAAATAGGTATAACAGCACAATGGGAGAAGCATTCAATGAAGATGATATTGCAAAAATTTTAAATGTAATCAGCGGCGGGAATAATGACTATATCAATTATACAGAATTTCTAAAAGCGACACTAGAATAGCGAATAAATAAAGTGGATTATTGGTCAGGCAATGCAGCCTTGAGAACATTTTATTTATAGCTGGCAAGGTTTTGCCAACCCAGAAATGGAGAGCAATGCTAATTAAACAATTCTGTAATGTTTAGAGTCTAGCCCTAGTCCTTTTTTTGAGGATTGGATTTTACCTCTAGGAAAATGAAGGTTCAGAGTTGGAAAGGGAATGCCAAATAGCGTCTACAGGAAATGACTGCACCATTCGTAAATCTTCCTAGCGTGAAATTGGGTGTTACACCCCAGGCTTTGAATTTCCCTTTTTGCCGTAATCAAGAAATTCCATTTTTTGGGATTTTTGTGCAGACGACCTTTCGTTCAACCCAAACAGTATACTGCAGGAATTCATAGCCTTCCCACTCAACATTGGAGTCGACGAGGCAAGGAGGAGACAGAGACATTGAACTCTACTTCACAGGCGCAATGGCATCAGGCGGTGAAAAAGAGATAAGGTGTGCTCAAACCGCTTCTCGCTCTATTAGTCATCTTACTCGAAGAAATTCTCTCTGTCGACGATGCAAAGAGGGTGAATACCCCTTGCGGGGATCCTGGTGGCTGCATTAGCAATTGGCTGCAGCCAAACCTTTAATAAAGTTATGCTTATGTTTAAGTTTAACACACTAGACCAGCGAAAAGTAATGTCCCGAGACAACTTAAAAGGAGCCTTCGCTATGTTCGATAAAGATGGAAACGGTACAATCTGTGCAGACGAGCTAAGAAAAGTGTTAGAAGGTGGTCATCAGAGTAATGACGAGATATGGCACGAAATTATCCACCAGATCGACCAAAACCGAGACGGGGAAATTGACTTGCAGGAATTCAGAGATTTTGTCCTATCTAAAACATAATGTTTATTTAAAAAATATTCCTTTACTCAAATTAACATTACTTCTTCATAATTCTTGCATTAACTGGTGATCTCAGTATATTTGTAGGAGACTTTAATACTTCTCTTGTATTACTCGGCGATTTTAATACTTCTCTCCCATTGCTTGGAGACTTCAAAACTTGTCTTTGCGTCGTTTTCTTTATAGCGTCAAGCTCCACTAAAGCAGTCACTAAGCCATTCCTTTGGTTTTCTATATCTCTCTTATAGGTATACCCAATAAAATTCGCGTCTTTTCTCTGTTTCTTTTTTCTCGAGCTCTCAGGTGGGTAAAATGGCTCATTTTCTTCAATTTTGTCAAAATTGCTGGTGTCGATTTCACTGCTGAGCTCAGGGACATTTGGAGCTTCAAGGTTTCTGATGTTTTCCCAATTAACCCCATTGAAAAAAGGATGAGATTTTATTTCTTCTACCCCTCTATTTCCAAGGCGGTCTTCAGGCTGACATATAAGTTTCCTTATAAGGTCAGAAGCAATAGGAGAAATCCTCGCTTCTCTTGGGATCGAAAAATGCTTTTTCCAAGCTAAAATTTTATGGCAGGTGTCTGCAGGCTTGTCAGCGAAAAATGGAGGATATCCGGCAAGCATTTCAAATAAAATTACACCTACAGACCACCAGTCGACAGCTTCACAGTAGCCTTCTTTACTGAATACTTCAGGAGCAATGTAATCAGGAGTCCCCACAGTTGAATAGGCAAGTTTCCTGTTCCTTCTGGCTTCAGCTCGTTTTCCAAGCTTTTCTATATATAAATCGTCGTCTTCAAGTTTCTGGACATTTTCTCCGGAGAGTTCGACGTGCTTTGATAGGCCAAAATCGGAAAGTTTTACGTGTCCTCGGGAGTCAAGCAGAATATTGTCAGGCTTTAAATCAGGTTTAATTTTTTTACATAAAAAATACCACAATTTTCTTTTTTGTATATTTAATTATAGGGAAAATCGTGTTTTACCTTTAAATCTCTATGTATATAATTTATCTTGTGGACAGAATCGACAGCTAGTATGGTTTCTGCGATATAAAATCTAGCTTCTGGCTCTGTAAGGACATTTTTCTTTATAAGTAAATTCATAAGATCACCACCTGGTAAATACTCCATGACAAGGTATAAGTATTTTTCGTCTTGAAAAGAGTTTTTGAGACTCACAATCCAGGGGTTGTTTGATGAAGCTAGAGCATCTCTCTCAGCTCGGATGTGCTGGATTTGGTTTTTGTAGACCATTTCGGATTTGTTCATTTTCTTCATAGCGAGGATTTCGCCAGTGTTTTTGTTTCTGACAACTCGGACTTCTCCAAATGCACCTTTCCCTATGACAGAAATTGGTTCGAAATCGTAAATTGTTATGCTAAAATGCATTTATAAGTATGGCTAAAGAAAAGCTCGTAGTCTATTTTTTACTTCAAAATAATAAAAAGCTAAATTTTTTTTAAATTTTATTTATATGCCAATTGGCATATTTTTTGACGACCCATACGAAGCTGTTCTGCTTCTTTATGCATGATTTCTTGGCGAATTAAGTTCTGTTCAGTGTTCGAAAGCTTTAATTCAGCCATTTTGACGTTGAGTTCTTGCCATTCTTCTTTTCTTGATTCTTCTGTTTTCTTAAGCCGAGAATATTTTTTCTCTATATAATCTTTAGCAGCTTGAGCCTTATCCCGAGTATTGCTAGAGATTGGGTCACGCTGGTCTGGGGTTCTATGTGTATTAGGTCGTGGGCTTGCCATTTGAATCTGAATTAATATGAATTTAAATATGGATTTGGCAGTTAAACCTTGAGCTATTTATTTTTCCGTAATGTATGGCAATGTCTTTTATTTGATTTTTGCTAGGCTAAATATTTTTATTAAATCACCTTTATATATTTTATCGAACAATTTCTTAAAAGCTTGGAAAATTAAATAGTCCTTTACTTTATCTTATGATTTTTATATGGTCAAGCATAAAAACCGCTTCCCTGCCCAGCATCTAATCTAATTCCATATATTTTATAATAATAAATATAGCTGCTGATAAATAATTTTAATGCTATTTCTAGTAAATTTGCTTATATATTGTACACTCTATCTCTTGTCGATAGATAATATATAAAACCTTTACGTAATAGTTATTCTCATCTTTGTACGATGGGGTATGGTCGGTTAAGGATAGTGGGCTAAGTGGAAATATTATTGGTAATAATTTAATATTTTTTGTATGAAAATTAAATAGATACATAGGAACTACAAGGAGAAATAATTCAAATTTTATAAGAATTCTAACTCTTCCTCTGGATAGTGAGTAAGCCATTAGAAAATCCCAATTTTTAGGGAAATCTCGTTTGGCTTGAGAGCAAATTATTTTTAATATAGAAATTTTACGAATAATAATTTGATTTATAAATATAAAAATGAGTCTTCAAACTAATTATAGCATATTTTTAAAAGCTTTTATTTATAAAAAATTTTATATAAATTGGATTTTTAATATATGTAAGCAATGCTTTTATATACATATATATATCAATTTTTTAAAAAAAAAAATAATACTCTATGATTTGCAAAAAGAAAATTTTTTTTCTAATAAAGGATAAGTAATAACTCCCCCCCTCCGTGAGCAAACAAAAAATCTTGCTAGCAGAGGGGGTTAATTTTTTTTTTAAAATATTTATATCAAAAATTTAAAAAAATCCCAATTCTCAAAAATTGGAAAACAAATATTAATTTAATTGTAAAATTTAGATTTATGATACTAGTTATTACTTATATATCAATTTTTTTTTTTCATAAAAAAAATATTTCTATTAACAAATATATGTTCGCTCAAGGAGGGTGGTTTTTTGGGTAATAAGGAAAATTCTATTTCATTTTAATTAAAATTCTGGAAAATATTTATGACAGAAGAGGATAACAAGTTCTTACTCTTCTACATGGTTGAGAAAAACCATTTGAAAAATAAATGCCATTTGGACAAAGACTAATTCCACTGAATGAGTAAAAATTTTTTATAAAAAAATATCTAATGGTAATATAAAAAAAACTTGTATATTAATTTTAATAAGTTACTCTTAAATAAAAAATTTACTATATAAAATAAAAAAATCCCTCAAAGAGCGATACCAGAAATTTTTTCAATTCACTGAGGAGATTTAGACGCTTTGACGTCAGAATTTGCAGATGTTCTTGATCATGCAATAAACAAGAAATATATTGTATGCATTCCATCACCTTCCTCAATTGTAGGGATAGAGATCGATAGAAGATTTGTGAGTAAATTCTAATCAGTGCATCATATGATAAAGCCATCTCCTTATGTCGAGCATCTCTTCCAAACGATGACTGGGAAAAAATCTATTATACCATCAATAAGCGAAAATTATTTTTATTTAACGCAGTTTTTCTATAGGAGATTTTAAAATCATAATCTATTAATAAAGAATGGAGAAATAAAATCCCATACAGGCTACTCTAACAAGTTTACCTTACAAATCATAAAAGAAGAAAATGCTCATGATAATAATGGACGGGTTTATAAACAAATTTTAGTTAGCGCTCCACTGGATGATTCAGAACAAAAATCTGCTATGCTGCCTCCTGAGCCGATTTACAAATTTTATTCCGCAAGAGAATATATCGGCTACTTAGAATGCGCAGTTGAAGGATCAGAAGCAGCTCTTATGTACTCTCAAGCCTTTGTGCAGCATTTTAACCATTCTTACATAATTTTCAAAGAATTTGCGAAGGATTGCTATGATAAAGTAAAAACAGGACTAAAAGACATGAAAGCATTGGTATTGAAAATTGAGCAGCTGAGGGGGATAGACAACAATAAAAATCTTTTGCAATATGCCTGTGAGATGGTAGAAAGCAATATTTTGTATAACATTTATGATAAACTTTTCAGACATATGATAGAGTTTCATATACAAAAAGAGCAAGAGTTCAAAAAAGACTCACTCCCACCTCTGTAAGAGAACAAAGCCATTGGAAAACACTATTTTTTGGATAAAAACCCACCATCCATGAGAGAACAAAACATTTTTTATAAAAAAATATTATATATAAGTAATAATTAGTAGAATGAAATCTCTGTTTAATTTCAAACAGTTTACATTCTAAAACATAAATATTACAAATTAAATTAATTTTTTACTTTCAATTTTTTACGAATTGGAAAAAATTTTACTATAATTTATATATAAATTTTTTAAAAAAAAATATTAACCCTTCTGTGAGCGAACAAAATGATTTTTATTCGCTCATGGAAGGAGGGGGAGCCAGAAAAATTACTGAAGCAGTTACCTATTGATAGCTTTGGGTTTGATACAGATTTACAAGGATGCAGATTTGATGAGAGCTTAGAAGTTCTGAACTCCATAAACGATTTTAAAACACCATGAGAAAAAGGAGAAGTTCTGACAAAATTAGCAGGTTCAATTGATAAATGCTGCAAAAATTTCCTCCTATTGAAAAATCATCCAAAAGCTGAGCGCTGGGAAACTACAGCTGATCAATATTTCCCCCTTTTAACTTATTTTTTAGCATCATATCAGCCTCGCAACATCCACGCCAATTTGACATTTATTCTTGAATTTTCTATTTGCCCTGCAGCTTCAAGTGAACAAAGATACCATTTAACTAACCTGATGGCAGCCTTACAGACAATTCACCAAATGGCTGAAGATTCTTCTAAACCTCAAATAGTAAGTATCCAGCCACCTGCAGAAGAGGAGTCTCCAAAACCGATAAGAAAGAAAAAGTCAAGGATGAGGAATACAATAGCAGTAATAAGCATTGAAGAAGACAGTGATGAAGAAATCAATCATCCAGATACGTCATATGGAGTATTTGGGCCGCCTAGTAAGCGTATTTTGTGATAATATAATAAAATGCTGACTAAATTAATTAGGAATTTTTCACAGCTGAAAAATTATTTTAAGTCAGCACAGCATGGAGTTCCTGGGCCTGAAAAAATCAATAAACTAGGCGAAGACGCTTATTTTACAAGCCCAGAAATCATTTCTATTGCAGATGGTGTAGGCGGGTGGACCACTATAGGGATTGACCCTTCTAAATATTCCTGGGAGCTTATGAATAACGTAGGAAAAGCATTTGAAGCCCTCCCAGAGCCACAAAAATACAATGCTAGAGATATCCTAGTAGAAGCTGCCAAAAATAGCAAAGAAATAGGCAGCTCTACCTGTGCTTTAGCAATCCTTGACAAAGATGAGCCAAAACTATATACAGCCAATATAGGTGACTCTGGATTTATTATTTACAGGAAAAAAGACGAAAATATCACCCTTGTCGCCAAAAGCAAAGAAGTTACCCATGATTTTAATTTCCCATTCCAGCTCGGCACAAATGGAGATGACCCTAATAAAGCCAGCTTTGAGACTTTTGAAGTCCAAGACAAAGACATTATTATAATGTACACAGATGGCGTAGGAGACAATTTGCATGAAGAGCAAATCACTGGAATTGTCAGCCTTTCTATGAATGCTGAGGTTAATTTGAAAGAAATTGCAGAAAAACTGGTGAAGCTTGCATATGAGCAGAGCAATAATAGGATGTTTAAGAGCCCGTTTATGATTAATGCAATGAAAGCAAGGATGATATGATATGGAGGGAAACCTGACGATATTACTGTGGTCTGTGGGGAGGTTAACTTAAAGAGCAACGAGTAGCTTAAATTAATTTTAATATTTTTAGCTAGGAAATAAATAATTTCTGAGATCTTGTATTCGGGTTATTATGTGCATCATATGTTCTCGCTCATATCAGTCAGGAGTTTTCATTCGTAAATCTAAAGCTTTTTCAAATAGTTTCAAAGAATATTGCAATTTATTTGGATCATTTAAATAGGATTCAGCTAGCCAAATCATGCATTCACTTGCTAAAGGATGATGACCCCCTGTAGTTTCATAAAGTTCGTGCAAGGCATGATTTAGCAATTCCTCAGCTCTTAGAAAATTATTATTCTTTTTGTAAGCAGATGCTTGGAGCATCAGAATATAGACAACGAGAAGAGAGTTATCAATTTTTCAATATTGCAAATTGAAAGTTAAAGCTTCTAAATATCCATCGAATTGAGTATTTTTGATTAATAACTCAGCTGAAACAACAATTATAGCTTTATCTTCATCACTTTTTAGCTCTTCTAACATTGGTTTTAAAACCTCATTTGTAATATGATCGGTCTTTTCCCTCAGCTTCTGGTACATTTTACGAAAAAATTCTCATTGATATCTGTTAATTTCTCTCTGACTTCGCTCATTTATTTTATTTTCGCATGTTTTCATCAAAAACTCCAAAATTGGATATATAAAACTATTACTAAAGGCGTAGTTCATAATCAAAAATGTCCTTAGAACACTTAAAGCATCTTCCATAGTAAGTACACCAAATCAGTTGCTAATTGAAGAAATATTAGAATAATCACCAAGAAATACATGAATAGCTTCTATAGTATTATTAGTAGGGTTGCTATTTGTTTTCTCTGCTTGATTTTCTTCGTTTCCATAATCGATGATTAAGCTAATGCGGCTGAGAGTGTCTAGTATTTTGGTCAATTTTTTATGCAAACTGTAGCAGCCTATCTGATTCTCTATCTGAAAATTAATGATTTCTTTAGTTTCATTAATTCAATACTCATACTCCTTCAGTTTCTGATAATGATGATTTTTTTCTTCACATGCATAACAATTATTATTGTATGGAAGATGCTCGCTTCATTTATGATGTTTACGTTTGAGAGAGGTTTGGATACTTTCAATATTTTTCATAGCAATTTGAGTTATATTAATAAACCCTAAAATTCTTTTTTCTTCAAATGGACAAATTGGCATTTCTTGAGAACCCTGATCCTCCCTACCAAACATATGATTTTTTATTTCAAGATCTTTAATTTTCTTTCAATGATTCCTTGCACAGAATAAGCATAACAATAAAGGAGACTCACAGTTACAATATTGAGTGACTGGCCTCAGATGGCACCCAACGCACTTTTCAAACATCTGACAATCAATTTCTTCAGTCATAAAGTTTATCAGCAAATAATTATAAAGAATGGAATGAATTTATCATTAATAATATTTCTGTTCTTAATCAGTAATTAAAATAGTACAGCTTAATATAAGAGACTTAGCATATAGAATCACCATTTATATAAAAATCAAGCATGATTTTACTTAAAAAAAGATTAATAAGATAACTCGAAACTTTTTATAATAAAATGCAGTTTCCACAAGACGTCGTCCCTCGAGAATCTGGAGCTTTTTTGTCAGAGACTTTTTCTCTATTCACTACTTGGTCTTCATATTTTGTCGGGATATTTCCTGGAATTATGTGAGATTCATGGTAATCTTCTTTTTTTTCTTCTTTTACGGCATTATAAGTGTGAACAGCAGGCTGAGGGGCAGTATAATGGGCAGCAGGAGGTGGAGCTGTGATGACTGGGTCCTTATTCTCTACATTTCTAGGAGGATCTGCTTTTATTTGAGGGCTAGAGGCTTCAGGATTCGTCAGAGGATTTTCAGCTATTTTTTCTTGGTCATTTGGAGCTTTCATTTGTGGCTGGATTTCTTCTTTAACTTGTTCAGCTTCTGCAGGGACTTCTTCTGCTGCTCTTTTCTTAGATTTCACTTTGACTTTTTTGTTCTTTTTTAATGTGGTTGAGGCTTCTGGGAGGGATTCTTCAATAACTTCTTCAACTGCAACTTCTTGAGGGGTTTCTTTTGGCTCTTCAATGTTGCTTTCAATAGTTGAGGTATTCTTGGCAGGCTCGATGGGTTGTGCTGGCTCAGGATTTTGAATTTCTTCGTGAAGGGGAGATTCTACAGGGATTTTTGGCTCTGGCTGGATTATGTTGTCAGGCTTTTCGTGGATTTGAGGGATTTCTTCTGTGTTCACTTGGCTGGTTTCTAGGACAGTGTTATTTTCAACAGAATCAGAAAGAATTTCAGTTTCAGGGATTGGCTCAGATACCTCAGCTTGAGTTTCTTCTACTTTGTTTTCTTCCTGAGCAACCTCAATTTGGGTAGCTTGTGTATCAGTGACTGTTTCAGTGATTTCTTGAGCTGCATTGACCGGGCTTGTATTTTCTGCAGTTTTATCCTCTATAGCTGGCTCTGAAATTTCTTCTTCAGCTACATGCTGAGAAATCTCCTCAACAACAGTTTGAGAAATCTCCTCAGCCACAGGCTGAGAAATATCCTCAATAGCAGGCTGAGCTGAATCTTCAATAGCAGGCTGAGCTGAATCTTCAATAGCAGGCTGAGCTGAATCTTCAATAGCAGGCTGAAAAATCTCCTCAATAACAGGCTGAGAAATCTCCTCAATAGCTGGCTGAGCTGATTCTTCAATAGCAGGCTGAGAAATCTCCTCAATATCAGGCTGAGCTGATTCTTCAATAGCAGACTGAGCTGCTTCTTCAACAACAGCCTGTGATATCTCTTCATTAGCGGCAGGCTCAGAAATTTCTTCAATAACAGGCTGGGATACTTCGCCCATAGCAGCAGGCTCAGAAATCTTTTCAATAGCAGGCTGAGAGATCTTTTCAATAACTGGCTGTTCAATTGTTGCTGGCTGAGAAATCTCCTCAATATTCTGAGATACTTCTTCTGTGACAGGAGGCTCAGATACCTCTTCATTGGTATTTGGTTGGGATATTTCTTCATTTACAGGAGGCAAAAATACTCCTTCAGGAGGCTGAGATATCTCTTCTGTAGAGACAGGCTGGGATACCTCTTCAACAATGGGTGCTTCCGAACTTTCAATGTTTTCAGGATTAATTTCAGATTGTGCAGCTTCTGCACTTTCTTCTTCTTTTGGTAGGGTTTGCTCGCTGTCTATAGGAATTTCACTTTTCTCTGTAGCTTCTTGTTCCAAAGTGTCTGGTTTGGCTTCATCACTTATAACTTTGCTTTCTTCAGTCTCGTTTTCATTACTTTTTGCTTCACTAGTCACTATTTCGCTGCTTTCTTGTACAGTTTCAGAAAGATTTTTAGCTGGCTCTTCATTTAAAGTTTCTTCATGCTTTTCTTCAGGATTTTTGGCTTCTTCTATTTCTGATGTTGGTGGTGGATTTTCAGTTTCCGCTTGAACATCTTGGGCCTGCTCTGTGATCTCTGGATTATTTTGAGCCACTTCAGGACTTTCTTGTGACAAAACTTCTCCTACTACTTCAGATTGATTCTCACCACCAGGTTCCATTTATAAATTTGAAAGATAAGTGTAAAACTTGTTAAATTAAGTTATTTAAACTTTATACGATTAATTAATGTTAGAAAGCATCATTATCTATATATTTTAGCTGCTAAATTATTTAAAATTCTTATGTAGATGCCACATAACTCATTCGCTTTATAAATTTACCTTATTATGCTGAGAAATAAATTAATATAAGCTAACTCCCCCATCCTGATCGAATGGCTTGCCATCGTTCGATCAAGGATGGGGGTTAAAAAAAAATTATATATAAAATAAAAAATATTTTTTTTTTATATATTTTTTTAAATAAGAGGGTTAAGAGTATTTAATAATTATTTTTACAGCAAAAAATTGAATTTCATAAGAATACCAATTTTTAATACTTTGATTGGTCACCCCCCCAAACTGTATAAACTCTAATTTATTCCTTATTGAATTAAAAATTTAAAATTTTAAAGAATCTCTATTTTTTAGATTATTGAGTTTTTAAGCCTAGGTTGATAACTAAAGCACTTCAGATGGTTGATTTCGTAGCTTTCTGTCGTTCCAAAGTCTCTGAAAACAACTTCATTAGGCACATCTTCTCAAGCTTTTGATAGCTAATATATTCTTGTATATATAAAAATTTGATATGAAAATCGTTGATCAAGGATCGGGCTTAATTTTCCCAATTTTTAGAATTTTTACAGTCAATCGTTCGATCATCATCATCATCATCAATTTATTCAGTGAGCACACAGGTGCCCTCAGCAAACCCTTATGGTTTTTTTTTTTAAGAATTCAACTATCTAGAGACTTTTGTACTTTCAATTTGTCCGAATTGTCTGCTACCGCCGGTTTTTCCTTAATTTCACTTTGCCATCTTCCCTGCAGAACTTTCGTCTGAACATTTTGTCTGAACTTCCGCCTGAACATTTTGCTGAACTTTTGCCTGAACTTTTGCCTGAACTTTTGCCTGAACTTTTGCCCTGAACTCTTGCCTGAACTTTTGCTTGAGCTTTTGCCTGAACTTTTGCTTGAACTTCTGCCTGAACTTTTGCCTGAACTTTTGCCTGAACTTATGCCTGAACTTTTTCCTGAACTCTTGCCTGAAATCTTGCCCAGACCTCGTCTTAACTTTTCCTCTAACTTTCGCCTCTGATTTAGGCCCAACTTTTGCGTTAACTTTCGCCTCAGCTTTCGCTTTAACTTTTCCTGCAGACTTCACCTTAATTTTCACCTCAACTTTTGCCGCGATTTTTGTCTCATCTTTTGCTTCGGCTTTTGCCCCAATTTTTTCTACGGATTTTAGCTCCACTTCTACCTCTACTTTTGTTTCAACCTGTGCTTCAGTTCTTACCTCAGTTTTTGCCTTGATATCGTAAGGAATCGTCTTGGTTGAATGAGTGACCATAACCAACTCCCCATTATCTAGCACTTCCCCTTGCATGCTGGTGAGTCTCTTGAGCAATTCCTCCAAGCCTATTTCGTGAGGTCGTATCCCTCCATTTTCCGCATCTTCTTCCTCTTCTTCAATTTCTGCCTCTTCCAATTCCATCTCCCACTTTTCCATTTCGTCTTCCAAAATATCTAACTCATTTAAATGCTTCATCAAATTCATCTTCGGAGTCGAGATCGTCCATGCGCTTCCAGATACTGCACAATCTTTGGTCAAATTCCAAAGCAGCTTTTTCTCATAAGCACGCTTTCGATTCTTTCTTCTCCATTTTCCCCAAATAAAAAGTAATCGTTCGATCAAGGATGGGGGGCTGAGTAAGTAAACAATTTATTGATAATTTTAGCTTAAAAAGTATAAGAAAAAGATAGTAATTTAAAATGTCAAACCCTCTAATACCAAACCTTGAACCGGAGAATATCTCGAACTTTGTATGGAAGCAACGATTAGGAAAAATCAACTGAAAAAAGATAACAACCCTTGATATTGATGCTGCTTTTCAAGCTGGAAATATTGATAATTTACAAGAAATTATTGAAAATTTAACATTTGCAGCTTTGGATAGAGAAGATTTAGAAAAAATTGGAGATTCAAGTGTGCTTAAAGTATTTAGACTATCACAATTGGCTATGGAATATCATTTGTATACTCAAAATCAGCTCAGTATAAAAGCTAATTCATGTGAGTCTCAATATAAATTGTATTTTGAGCAAAATCAATATTTGCAAGAATCGTTTACTGCTAATGAAAAAGAAATAAATAATTTAAAAGCTGAATTACAAAAGAAAAAGCATGCGGTGATGGCATATAAACGCCTTTTAAAGCAGCCTTTAGCTTCAATAATGATGAGAAAGGAGGCTGCCCAAGCAGCCGCAGCCAAATGTGAGCTTTGCTCTAAACAGTTTGTTTCCCAGGAATACTTAGATAAACATAAAGCTAGGAGGCATGCCCAAGAAAATTCGCAAAGCAATGTAACTCAAAACCAGCAAGCTCAACTTAATATTGTTCCAATAATGAATACTTTAAACTCATTTATGGCCCAACAGCTTCAAACTCTAGCGGATACAAATCTTAGGGGTATAAAAGTAATGCAAGATCTATATGAGTCCAGAATTTCAGCTACCTTAGATCCTCCCTCTGAGCTTTTTGTTATTTACAAAAACAATTTTTAGAAATTTTTCTATCAAATTAATACCTAAAAAAAATGTCTCTGTCTGGAGTCAAAGAAAAAAATCCTGTACCAGAATTTATGAAATGAATAGTTTTCAATCAATGATAATAAGAGAATCTCAACAAAGAAGCTTATATATGTCACAAGAAGAACAGGTAAGTAGAGAATGCATTGAAAAACAGATTTTAATTGAAGAGCAAAAGAAAAAAATTGAGGAAAATGAAAGGAAAATTAATGAAATGAAAGAAAATAAAGAAATCATTAATAAGAAAAAAATAGATTTACTCCCTTTAAATTGTAGTAAGATTTTATTTTGTATATATAAATAGCTTATACCCAAATTAATGTTGTTAAAATAAAATTTTAAGCTAGAATTTGCTCTATTTTAAATAGAAATAAAATTAGAATGAAACTAAAAACAAAGTAAAAGCTAAAATTGGCAAATTTAATAAAATAATATTTTAAATATTTTATATAAATCTCTCAAAAGATAAATAATTGTTTGAGAGTTAGAAAACATATTGGAAGAAGTACAAGTTGAGGAGCAAAAAATAGATTTTTCACCAGAAAGCCAGCCAATTATAATAAAAGTTCCTAAATCATCAAGAAGTCCAAGAAACCTTAAAAATAATTCAAGCCCTAGTAGCAAAAGAAATACACAGTCTCCTTTTAAGTTTGGCTCAAATGCTCATGATCTTGAAGATGATTCTGCTTCCGAAGACGAAAAATCGCAAGAAAACATTTCTTCTTTAAAAGTCAACAAAACCATTGAAGAGATTTCCATTCAAAAAACGAAGAAAAAAGAAGAAATCTCTGCAGAAATTGCAGCGTCTAAAGAGAATATCGAAACCCAAGTTGATTTTCCAAGCATAAAACTAATAAATCTTGAAGCTCAGAGGAAAAAAACTAACATTGCAAACAGGATTAGGCCGCTAATGCAAAGACAAACGCATTTAGCCTTTCATGAAAAATACACATCTCCAATAGAAACTTTTTATAACTATGACTATGAATATTTATATCAGTAAGATTTAAATAAAAAATAAATTTAATTAATCTTATTATGATTTTATTTAATTTGATCATTATAACTGAAATTCGACAAAAAATTGTGTCTGCATTGGAAAATCAATTTTTACGGTTTTCTGAAGAAGAAATTCATAATAGGCTGCGGAAAGATCCTATTTATTCAGCAAAAAGAATAGAAATTATAAACAGAATTAACAAAATGTGTGAAGAAATAAAACAAAACAGTATAAGCTCGAAGCAGAAAAAGTCTAATGAGCTTGAAAGTCCTCCACTTCCACAAATAAGAAAATCGCTCTCAGAAAACAAGGCACAAAATAACTCAGAGAAACTGCAAATTCCTGAGCTCAAGCCACAAGTTTCTGAGTCCAGATGAAACAAGCCAGAGCCAAATATCAAAATTTTTAACTTAAACGTAAATAATGAAAAATTCCAAGAAGATGAAGAAGAAAAAAAGACTTATAAAATTTCAGGAAGGATTGATGACTCTATTGCACAAAAGGAATCTAGACTAATACAAGGAGTAGAACATGTACAAAATAAAGAATCTATTAAAGATCCAGTTGCATCAGAAAAAGGAAGCAATAATTTTAGGGAAGGAACTATTTTTGGAGAGAGAAATTTAGGAAAAAATTCAGTTATGGGGCTGGAGACCCAAAAAATAAAGAAACAGATGCTAATTATAGGCGCTAAAGCAGTTCTTAAGCTGCTAAATAGAGATATCAAGAAGCATGATGTGGAGCTGCAAGAGATATTCTAGGTAATTTTGTAATATCAATATTTTATGTATATCAAAGTCGTATTAATATGCTAAATCTTAATTAAATTCTCAAAATAATTTAAAGCTATAATTTTCTTTATTATCTAAGATCTTTTAGCCTTTTTATGTGGCGCTCCTTCATCAACAGTAAAACTTCTGACTATAATTTCTTGCATTTTCGTAAAAGTATCCCTATCAACTTCATCAAGCTTTACTTTTATTTTTTCCTGCTCTTCATTTTCAACAGCATGTGGTGCATTTGTCGTGATTAATTGTACAATTTCTTCTAGCGTGGATTGGCCTAATTTTTTTATTTGTTCAGTCATTTCCCATTTTTCTTCAAATGAAACCACATTTAGTACTTAAAAAAAAATTATTCTTACAATTTTTTGATATACCGTGAACACGGTTATAGATCGACCTTAGAACCCCCCCTCCCCTCCCCACCCCCCTGGCAGTTTCAACTTTATTGAAATCTACAAATTAAATTTGACTTGTCAAATCCTTAGTGAGGGATTTGTAATTTTGAATTAACAATGCCGTTCAAATCGAAACCATCAGGGGGTGGGGGGGAGGGGAGGGGGAGTTTTAGGTCGAGCCATACCTGTTCTGGAGGTATATCAGAAATAGCTTTTTTTAATCATTTACTTATAAAAAAGGGATATTTTCCTTATGCAAAATGTTTTATCCCCACATTCGGGTCTTCCCTTACTATTTCTTCTTCGTCCCTCAAGTGCTTAGCTTGGCCTCTTGGTACCGGAATTTTTAATTTTGTGCAATATCTTCTCATTTGTTTTTCCAAGAACTCAGCTTGTTGATAAACGTCCTAATTATCGCATACTGTATGTGATTCATTATAAGTCTTGCAATTATTCCAAACTAGCTGCACGTCAGCAATAAAATCAGATAAATTATGGTAAGCCTTGCTCTTTATTTTCTTTTTGATTGAGCCTAGATCCATAGGATTTTTGATCTGCAAAGGATAGTCAGGGATCGCTAGAAGTTTCCAATCCACTGGATGGAGAAAATCGGCGCTCTCGTCATGAAGCTCGAGAAGGTTTAGCATTTGATAAGCCTTAGTTTCTTCGTCAGCTGTAAGGAACAGTCTAAGTTTCTATTACTTAGTCTCCATGTATGCTTATTTTTAAAATTAAAAGAATATTTTTAAAGAGTCTAAAATTAAGCATTTATTCATGAATTATAAAGAAAAAATGCACAAAAATTTTAATTATTTTATATTTTTATAAGGTGAATAAAAAATACCAGGCTTGATAGAAAATATATAGGGTACATTGAAAGAAAAGAATACCAAACCTTTATAGATTTGAAAACAGCATTTTCACCAAATTTTAAAGGTCGTTTATAATGCTTACGGACTCTGTAGCCTCTATACATGGCTTGGATGAAAATTATTGCATGCAATATTTCTTTATACAGCCGACAAAATTTATATTTTTTTGCTGCTCTTTGAATTAACAGGATAGAATTTTTAGTTTTTTTATATCATTTTCGCTTTAAAAATCCTCTGATGTGGGCTTGGATTAATGATACAATACTTAAAAGTGATTTATTTGCTAACTCCCCCCCCCTCCGTGAGTGAACAAAACCATTAGAAAAATCCCTATATTTTTTGCCCAAAAACCCCACCCTCCGTGAGTGAACAAAAACTTTTTTAATAGAAAAATTTTTTATGGAAAAAAATTTTGATATATAAATGATAATTAGTATAATGAAATCTAGAGCTAATTCTGTTTAATTTTAAACGAATTGCTTTTTAAAACATAAATTTTTATAAATTAAATTAATATTTGCTTTCCAATTTTTGTGAATTAGGATTTTTTTAAATTTCGAAAAAAAATATTTTTTTTATAAAATTTATATATAAATATTTTAAAAAAAAAAAATTAACCCCCCTCCGTGAGTGAACAAAATTTTTTTGTTCACTCACGGAGGGGGGGGGGAGTAAGGTCTTTGAAGGAGCTAAATGAATTGCTGACAAAATTGGATCACGCATGTTTAAATCTGTTTGGCTCTGTATGTCTTCTGTTTTTACCAAACTTGTGCCAAACTGCTGACCAAAATTTTTTTGATTTTTTAACTCCAACTTCAGTTTCGCGTAATTTTCCCTACAAATTCATCCTTTTACATATTTTTGTATTACTATAGCATTTTTCTTTATTTTTTGATAATTTTTTTTGCAAATTCAGCCCCTAACATTTTTTTGTATTTTTATTATTCCCTCTTCAATTAATTTCGAGAATTATTTATTATGAAAAAAATGCCAATTAAGGCTATCTTTTGCTTGAGCAAGGTATATGCTTTCCTTTATTTTTTTATATTTTTGATGCTCTTTTCAACCCTTAAATTTAGCTTGAATTTTAATTGCTGCTGCTACTCTTTTTCCTGCATTATCCGGAGGAACTGATATATTGCTTATGGTATCTTCTTCAACTTCTGTTAATTCTTTTAATGGCTGAATCTTATTTTCAAACGTATTTAATCTGTCTTGCAGTGTTGATAATTTATCATCAATAGAATTTAAACGTGTTTTTACATTACTTGATAAAGGAGAAACTGCTTTTTTTGGAGGAGTTTGAGCTAAAGAAGCTTGAGAAAAAGAGGGCATAGGACTGCTGCTTGAGTCTTTAGTTTTTGAGCTAGGAAATGGGCTGTTACTTGAGTCTTTAGTCCTTGGTAGAGAGCTATTACTTGACTTATGATTTTTTACATTCGGGCTGTTTTCAGTATCTTTTGAAAATGCAGGCAGGGTGCTATTAGTTGAGTCTCTTTTCACAGTTGGAATAGGACTTTCATAAGTAATAAAAGGAGACTTATTTTGGTCTTTTTTTATTTGAAAAATATTTTGAACTGCAGGTTTAGCTTGATTTTTATTTGTGATAGGATTTAATTTGGCTGGAGATTTAGGCTTTAGTTGTTTGTCTGATTTAATAGTGCTTGTTTGAGAATTCACTTTATTTTTTACGATATTTTTGGATGGTGTCAGAGAGTCTTTATCAAGGCTTGAATTGAATTTAAACGGAACAACTTGGCCTTCTGATTTATTTCCTGCCTTGTGGCCTAATTTTCTATCAAAACTGTCTTCATGCTTTGGGGACATTGAAAATTTTTCAATTTTTTCTCTCAACGTTTGAGGAATTTTATATGATCTTCTGGGCGTTGAAATTTCATTTGATATGCTTTTCCTTTCTTCTAGAGGAATTTTCTTTGTTTTATTATTTCTTGAAGAGCTAAAATACCCTCTGACTTTTTTTTCTTTGCCATCATCAATCCAGGGTGTCGTATCCAGCTGTATCCCATCGTTGTTTCTTATAGTCTGAGCTCTGCTTTTACTAAAAATATCAGGCAGCAATGATTCTTCATTTTTCTCAGCAGATTGGTCTATTTTTTCTTCTTCAAGGTCTAGACTTTTATTTATCAACTCAAAATCAATCGGCTTTAATTTGCCTCTTTTAGATTTCTTATTTTTTTCATTTTTTCCTATCCCAAAACTTAGAGTTAAAGGGTGGTTTTTGCCTAAATGTTTTGACGACAAATTATGCCCATGCCTTAAAAATGCAGTAGCTTCAGAATTTCTATGCAAATATTGGTACTCAGTTCCTGCGTTATAATAAGCTACGACAAGAGATCTTATAAGCTCTTCATCTAAAAAAGGGTTTTGCTGAATAATATTATTCTACTCCATAAAGAATCATTATTAATAAAATAATTTATTTTCTACAAATTTAGAGGGCTATTTTTCATTTTATATTATAATCGCTTTAAGTGCATGTGCTAACGACTCTTCATGATGGTTCAGTAGCGATTTTATTGCACATATATTAAGATGTGTCCCTGCTATATTCGTATAATCTCCTGGTAACTTCTTTTCGCATTCCAAAGCTTCTTTCAGAAATTGCAAAGCCTTACTCTCCCTCCGTGAGTGAACCGTGACCATTGGAAAAAATTCCTAAAGCCACTCCGAAGCGAACAAACAATTTTTTTAATACAAAAATTATTTGTGAAAAGTTATTTTGATATATAAATGATAATTAATATAATTAAATCTAACTTATTCTGAATAATTTAGTGCAATTGCATTTTAAAAATAAATTTGTATATAGAATTAATTTTTTATTTCCTTACTCCCCCCCATCCTTGATCGAACGACTCGCCATCGTTCGATCAAGGATGGGGGTTTAAAAAAAAATTTATATATAAAAAAATAAAAATTATATATATATATTTTTTTATTTACTTTTAAATAAGTGGGTTAAGAGTATTTAATAATTATTTTTTTTCAGCAAAAAATTAAATTAATTTCATAAAATACCAATTTTTAATATTTGATTTATTAGTTACCCTATTTAAACTGTATAAATTTTTAATTTGTTCCTTATTGAATTAAAATTTTTTTTTTTTAAAATTTTAAAGAATCTCTATTTTTTAGATTATTGGGTTTTTAAGCCTAGGCTGATGGCTAAATCACTTCGGATGGTTGATTCCGCAGCTTTCTGTCGTCTCAAAACTCTGAAAAAAACTTCATTAGGTACATCTTCCCAAGCTTTTGATAACTAATATATTTTATATATATAAAAATTTGAATGATATGAAAATCGTTCGATCAAGGATGGGGGTTAATTTTCCCCAATTTTTAGGAATTTTTACAGTCAATCATTCGATCAAGGATGGGGGGAGTTAGAATTTTTTTAAAATTTTCCCAAAAAAAATTCACTATAAAATTTATATAATCCCTTCAGAGCGAACCAACTTTCTTTGCCACTGATGAAGGGGGTTAGGATTTTGGTTAGTCCTTTTATATAGGCATCCTAAATTGTTCAAAGTAATTGCTCTAAGCTTGATTGTTTGCAAATTTACAGGCTGCTGTCTAAGCATATGATTAGCTCTGTGAAGTAAAGTCACCGAGGTATTGAAGTCGTTTTCATGTAAAGCTTCCATGGCAAGCTTATTTATATTGAGGACGATGTCTTCAATCTATGTAAGAGATACTCCTTGAAGATGGTCAAACATAAATCCATATGGACTGCTGAAAGATTCCATTAGATTAATTTCATTTTAGATTCTAATTAAATGGTCTTGTGAATCGGCTAGAATCTTTTATATATAAATATAAATGCTAAAACGATTAGGCTTTGCGAAGTTTTTATTTGTTTTGCTTTAAACTTTTTATTAAAATCTTAAGTAATCTAAAATAATTCTTTAGTTTACTAGTATTTCTCTTATAATTTTAACAATTTTCTAATTTTAATTAAAATTACAATTAAAGCACCGTTAAATAATTTTTGACTTTTTAAACATGGCAAATATTGATTTTTACGACTTAGAAGTCTATAGTGAATAATATTTACTTAAAACAAGGAACTGGCGCAATACCATTTTTCCTTATAATTATTCGCGGGAACCATGATGAACATAGAACTCGCCACAGAAGCTGAAGGTGAAGCTGTCCAATCACGCTTTTTAGAATTTCTTGAAACATTCAGACTAAATGACCGTGAAGTTTACTTCTACAAAGGCCAAGATCTTGTAGTTAACGAAAAAACCACGCTTTTTGTTGACCTTTCTCATTTATCCTATATTTACTAATTATAAATATTATTCTCCTTACTCCCCCCCCCCCCCCCTCCGTGAGCGAACAAAAAAATTTTGTTCGCTCACGGAGGGGGGTTAATTTTTTTTAAAAAAAATTTATATATAAATTTTATAAAAAAAATATTTTTTTCGAAATTTAAAAAAATCCTAATTTGCAAAAATTGGGAAGCAAATATTAATTTAATTTGCAAAATTTATGTTTTAAAACGCAATTTGTTTAAAATTAAACACAGAATTAGCTCTAGATTTCATTATACTAATTATCACTTATATATCAAAATTTTTTCCATTAAAATTTTTTCTATTAAAAAAATTTTTGTTCACTCACGGAGGGTGGGTTTTTGGTCAAAAAATGGCGATTTTTCTAATGGTTTTGTTCGCTCACGGAGGGGGGGGGGGGGAGTTAGCCATGTTTCTTCTCTTTAATTTAATTCAGCATAACTCTTTTCGATGACCTGCTAACAGCTCTTTTATCAGACTATTACAAATTTGAGCCTTTCCTTGAAAAAGCAGTCCAACGCTTTATGTTTAAATGCTTCCCAGAATACGCCAAAGACAACGAAATCCATGTAGGCTTCTTTAATAATTCACATGATGACAAAATCCGCTCATTGAAAACACAAAGAATAGGAAAACTTGTATCAATAAGTGCTACAGTCACAAAAAGTACTGAAGTTCGCCCAGAACTGAGGTATGGGAGCTTTAAATGTTTAGCTTGCAACTATGAAGTGAAATGGTTCTATAATTTTTGCTCAGGGACATTTTCTTGGCACTGTTAAGCTGAATTTTCCATTATATATTTGGCAAAAAATATTATTTTTGCAAGAAAAAAAATCAATTTGCCCCAGAATGCTGCCAGAGGAAATTTTCAGCCAAAAAAGATAGGGACGTGAAAGATGTGGTGCAGCAATTTAAGTACACAACACCTCAAATATGTCCAAACGGCCATTGCGGTAATAAATCACGATGGGAGCTTATTTTAGAAAGTTCAAAATTCTGTGACTGGCAAAAAGTCAGAGTCCAAGAACACTCTAACGAAATCCCAGCAGGCAGCATGCCAAGGTCAATTGATATCATTCTGAGACATGAACTTGTAGACACCGCTAAGCCAGGAGAAAGGCTCATCTTCACAGGCACTTTAATCGCAGTTCCAGAGGTCGCATCATTTTTAACCCCAGGAGAAAGACAACAAATGTCAATGAAACACGACGGTCAACGAGGAAGAGACCGGACTCTTGACGCAGTTACCGGACTAAAAGCTTTAGGTGTTAGAGAGCTGAATTATAAACTTGTATTTATTGCGTCTGCTGTCACTAAGCACCCTGCTTTTAATTTCAGAGAAGACGACGAAGTAACAGAGCTCACTGCAGCTGACCAAGAAGCCATTGAAAGAATGAGGGCTGAACCTGATTTATATTCAAGGATAGCAAGATGCATTTCGCCTACTGTATTTGACTATAGAATGAATAAAATGGCATTCGGCTAGAGAAATTAGCTCTGCTGGTTTTCTCCCCTAATTTAATTTTATTTAAGGGCTGAACTTCTAGTTGTATAAGACTTAGCAGATTCTGTGGTCAATATTAGCTCTCGTCATTCAAGACCTCACATTTCTGTTTCGAATCCCACATCTTGAGGGCAATTAGCTCTTCCTTATCAGCTTCCTCAAACTTCCTTCCTGCTTTTCATCTACAAATCATTATCTTCAAGGATTTTCTAACATCATCTCAGAATCCTTATCCCAAAATAAACTATCATCATACAAGCTCTCTTCATGTTAAGATTCCTCGCCATTGCTGAATCCTGGACCATAAGCCAAGGCTGCCTTGTGACTGAATTTTCCTTCAGGAAATTAAGCTCCATTAAAAAAATGTTTAACACCTTAAATTCTTAATTAATCGTAATCATATTTGGCCATGAAGAAGTAAAAAGAGGAATTTTACTAATGCTACTAGGAGGCTCAAATAAGAAGACCCCAGAAGGCATGAAGCTCAGAGGAGACCTCAACATTTGTATCGTCGGCGACCCCTCAACCGCAAAATCTCAATTTTTGAAGTACGTCTGCAATTTCTTGCCAAGATCTGTATATACCTCAGGTAAAGCCTCATCTGCCGCTGGTCTTACAGCAGCAGTTCAAAGAGATCTAGAAACCGGCGATTTTTGTATAGAAGCTGGAGCTTTAATGCTTGCAGACAATGGGATTTGTTGTATTGACGAATTTGATAAGATGGACTCCAAAGACCAAGTAGCTATTCATGAAGCCATGGAACAACAGACCATTTCTATCGCCAAAGCAGGAATCCAGGCTATTCTTAATGCTAGATGTTCTGTCCTAGCTGCTGCTAACCCTAAATATGGAAGATACGATAAATCATTAGAGCTCCGCAGAAACGTCGACATTTCGCCACCTCTGATGTCCAGATTTGACCTGTTTTTTGTAATCGTTGACGAAGGTGATGAACGCGTAGACAATGCCATTGCAAACCATATAGTAAATTTGCATACCAATGGAGACAGAGCGCTAGAAGGAGAATTTTCAATGGACATGATGAAAAAGTACATCCTTGGAGCCAGACGTATAAACCCTGCATTTACGACTGAGGCTGCTAAGCTTCTCAGAGAGCAGTACAAGCTGCTTCGGCAGTCAGACTCAATGCACCAGAATAATGCATATAGAATCACTGTCAGACAGCTTGAGTCCTTAATCAGACTTTCTGAAGCAATCTCTAGGCTTAATTATGACCAACAAATAAGGCCTGAATATGTATTAGAAGCTTGCAGACTGCTGAAAAAGTCTATTATTCATGTAGAAACCAGCGACGTAGATGTAGAAGAACAGTTTGATGAGAGTGCTATGAATGTGTATAGACAAGAACAAGCTGAAATTGATAGAGAAAAAAGACTGGCTGAACAGCAGGCTGGGCCTAAGAAAACCAGTATTTCTTTTGAAGAGTATGACAGAATGGCCAAATGGATAGCAATGCTGTTAAGACAGCAAGAAGGAGAAGCCGGCGTAAAGCAAGGCGAGATTGTGCAGAAATACGTAGAAGAGCACATGCATGAAGTCACCACAGAAGAAGATTCGGTGAGACTGATGGAAATTGTCAATGGAGTCATACAAAGGCTGGTAATGAAAGACCACATCTTGGTAATCGTCGAAGATAACCCAGAAAAATCTGAGCGCACCCTTAAAGTGCATTGGAACTACGTCCCTTAATTCCCTAATTAAATTGCCTATTTCTTAATTAAAAAATCCATTAGTGTGTATTTTCATCCTACATTTGAGCTCTTTCTGCGTTAAATTTTTCCTGATTTTTTAGAGAAAAATGATAGACTAAAGGTGGAAGAATATAATATCTGGGGATCATATAGATTGTGTTCAGCATAAATCCTCTATAAAGCCCATCCAAAATGCCTTCTTGATAATAAATCTTCTCCAGAGCATGCAAAATGTTTTTGTACCGAAAAGGCTGTAATGCTGGATTTGCAAATTGAGACTCAATCCTTCTTTGAGCTGTAGTAAGCGGGTAAAAAATGGTATGGAGAATGAACAAGTCAATCATTTTTTCATTTTCCCATTTATTGTGGAAAGCCACCATAGAATACAGCCAACATATGAATTTTGTGACCACAACTGGATTTTCTGAAGCCGGGGAAATTAAATGATTGAACTCTTTTATTTGATTGTCAATCTGCATGAAGTAGCCTATTGATCAAGCATGAAACCCACCCTCATCTTCAATGCCAAGCTGCCTAGTTTTAATAATAAGAAATATAAGGGATATTGCAGTACTTTTGCATCTTATCTATTTAAAATGCGATTTATAGCATGCTTACACATATATTTAATACTTTATTTCATATACATAAAATGGCCGGAGACGAGCGACCTGTCCTCCCGTGGCGGGTGACCTTCTTATGTATACCGGACGTGGTTTTTGGGTGCGGAGAGCTACTCAAGGGAAGGGCTAGCCTCGAGGCGAGAGGCCCATCACAATTTCCGCTGATTTTGTGCCTGACCGGGCAGCAGTTTTTCGTATTTTTTTTACCAGTAGCGCCGAGGCTCAGACTCGGTGTCCGAAAGAAGCAGGGGATTACATGCCTAAGCTACTTGGTGGCTTCGCCCCGAATCCCGTAAGGGGTTGAGTTTATTCTTGGAGATGATCCGGGGAAAAGGGAAAAGGGAAGGCGAAGCTCGACTTAGAATCTCAAGGGCACAAGTCTCTCCAGTTAAAAGGGGTCCCGATCAAAAGTGGCGATCTGGTGAATGGAAAGGGCAGTTTTGGCGTCAACTGGGAGACACAACGAGTTGGAAATGGAGGCGGTCAGCTAAGATAGTGATCTGTCCCTTGACCTCACCTCTACCGAAAACCCGGGGGTTTCGGCCCGGGCTTGCTGTGGGTACGCTCTGCCACCCTGCGGGTAAAACTGCGGCATGCAGTCCACGAAGTAGGGGCTATAAACACCCAGCTTAAACTAACTAACTAACTAATGCTTTATTTCATATCTATACTAGATAAGAATTATTAAATGAAAAAAAATTTTACACGAATGAGTAAAAGAGTTGAAGAGGAATACACTGGATTTCGATTTAATATTGCATTTTATACATGAATCCAACCGAATTATGGTTTTTAAATTGATAGGCACTAATATAAACTATAATTATCTATCATATACATACACATAATCTAGCATCGATCGAGCTAAAAGAATGCGTTTTATCATATTTAATCAATTTATAGAGTTATTTTAGATATATGATATATCTAATACAAAAATATAAGCTAAATTTGATAGCCATTTAAGAAATTTTGTATAATAAGAGATATGAAATCAAGTATTTAATATAGCCATATCCCTAGCCCATATCGGGCTATCTTATGGATATGCCTATATTTTGTAAACAGGCTATAAGTCGTATTATAATAGTGTTGCTGTGCGAAAAAGTGTAATATTTCTTATATTTCTTATTATCAAGAATAAGTAATTTGGTATTGAGGGGGAAAGGAGTATGGGGATGGAGGGTGCTTAACCAGCCTAAGTACTTAGAATTTGCATATTTTAGCTTATTTTGTCCATAATGGAAATGCTCATATGTCATTTTTGTAGTAATTAACTCAAATCGGTAGTTGAACAAGTCATAAGCTGTAAAAATTGAAGCAAATAAAAATGTGTTAGCATAAGGATCTTTAATAAATTTCCCTCCAATAAGAGCTATAAGAGCGCATTTTACTTTAAAAGAAGCTCAAAAAAAGTTGTTTTCTCAAAAATTCCCTGCATATAAAGTTGATAATTTTTTGCTTGAGATACAAAATAGCAATTCTCTATAACTTTTAAAGACTGGAATTTTCAAGAATTTTTGACGAGGAATTTGTTCTTTTGTTTTGAATTTATAGCTTTTGGTGTTCCATGCTTTCAGATTTTTGAGGCTTTCACTTAGAGATGACTGAGATGTGCTTGAGGATAATTGGTAGTTTAAGCCGATGACTCTGAAAGGAGACAAAATGAGTGATGATAAAAAGACTAAGGGCAAGTCTAGTGATGTTAAGAATTCTGCTGGAATCTGGCAGTGGAGATTAAGGTATAAAAGGTCCATATATTAATTTCGCATTATGGCTTATTATCAATAAGTTAATTATCATCTTCTGAAAATAAGGAAATTATAATAGGGAATATTAGTAATGGAAAGCTGACAAATAGCTTAATTGTTGTTAAGGTAGCTTAATATAGTATATCAAATATAGAAGAACGGCGGCAATAACAATTCCTACTATGCATCTCAGCTTGAAGTTTCTCCAATACAGTTGTCGTGACAGTCTTTTTGACTGTTGATTCAGCAAGTAACTTGTGCTTGCCAACTCGTCAGTTTTCACAGACAAATTTTCAGCGACTTCTGTGTTCTCTAGGACTTTTTGGATGCCTACATAAGCCAGCTCTTGGACCTGCTTTACTTGTGTAGTTAAGTTCTTAACTTTGTCTTGCCCATTGGAATTTCTGTATTTCTGGGACATATACTTGCAAAACAAGAATATGCAAATTATTTTTATTAAAAATTATTTTAAAAAATTCACTATAGCACAAAATAATTTCTAGGACTTCTTGTTCTGAGTATTTTTTGTCTTTTAAAGCTGTTTTTATATCAAAAAGCAGAGAATTTACAAGGTGTGAAGGGTAATTTTTGGGGCCTAAAAACATATAGCATATGTCATTATTCGCAATCATGCTTCACAGGCCAAATTGTGAGTCGGAAGATACCATTCATTCAACTTCAGGCTTTTCGGAGAGAAGGGAGAATATTTCTTTTCTTATAGCTTGCCTTATAGAGACACTTGGGATAAGCTCAGCGAGGATCGATCTATCATCAAATCTTCCAATTGCGAGGCAGAGAATATTTTCACTCATATTAGTATTTAATTGTTTTAAGAAGAAAGCTTTGTGCGTTTTAATTAAGTAGCAATAGAGCTAGAATAGAGATTTAGTATAAATTTTATGAAAAGCTTATGAATCTTATAAAATCTTAGCCTAAATCTTTCTTTTAATAATAAAAATTAAATCAAAAAAAAAATAAATTAAAAATAAAAAAAAAAAATTTATTAAATGAGGAAGTAAATAGTTAAAAGAAACCAGGTACAATATCAGACAGCAGAACATATATTCCACATACGCTTTTTCTTCAGATTTTCCTGCACTTTTATTCTCCACCTGCATCCTCAGACACACAGTCAAAACAGCAGTCCCAATGCTACAGAAAAACGCTGAGAGGAATGCATTGAATGGAAAACTTCCTGCCACTTTCATATAAATGTACTGAATAGTCGCCAAAACTAAGTTAAATCCAATAAACAGGTCAACAAGCTTAGTCCTCTTCTTCGTTTCCTTTGTGTACTTTTCCTTGAGAATTCCAAAAGACTCCACTAGAGAACTTATGACTGAAGAAGCCATTTATTATTTGCCCTGATTAATTAGCTAATGATTATAAACGTCACTGACAGCGCTCGCTACCTTTCCTGAAGAAATTCTGTGGGTGAACTGATGAGGGATTGCTTTTTCAATCCACTCATCAGGACATGCAGGGTCTGGAATAGTAATTGTCATGTCTGAGCTCTTACATGTGGTGATAATCAAGTCATCTAGGCCTTTTGATAAGAAAAGTTGAGCGCCATCACTGTTATCAATGGTAATTGATGGGACAGTGCCTGTGCTTTGCATCTGAGTTTTGGTAGCATAGCTTCCATAATAAATTTATTTTATTTTTTTAAATAAAAATATAGATTATTTAGGCAAATCAGAATAGAAATTTACAATTTCAATCCCTGAAACAATATCTTGGCAGACAACACTGGTATTTTTGCATTTGCTTATGATGATTGATTTTACCTTCCCTTTGACCTGGATAATACATTTTTCACAGTTTTCAATCATAATAGCTTTTTTCAGCCCAGCTTCTTCAGGAGAAATTTCGAGCGTCTTATTTTCTGAATAGTTTTCTATAATCCAGCTTATGCCTCTTTCAAATTTCTTATTTCACCCCCTTTTTAATTGAAACAAATAATTCTGTTCCAATATAAAGGGGGTTTATATTTTTTTAAAAAAATCATTATAATAAAAGAATAAGAAATTACATATATTTTTTAAATTTTATAAAGAATTAATTAAAATTAATTCTTCAGTGTCTTAACTGTTTAAATAGCATTCTACTTGATTCCCTCCATTAGATTAAGTCGATAAATTTTAAAAATTGGTCTAATTTAATGAGGATTAATCTCAAAAATGGGATTTTACTACAATTAAGAGCTGAGTTAGGCTCTTTTTTAGCGGGTGCAGGTGTTTTAGTTTCTTCACGGGCTGCTTTTTTCTCTTCAACAGGAGCTTTAGTTTCTTCTTTTGGAGCTTGGGTTGGCTTAGCTGCAAAATGCTCTCCAATTGAAACACCTCTAGCATTCCAGTTTAAGCCTTGCGCAAAGTTTGCCTTTACATAATCTCTCATTGCTACCACAGTCTCTCTCATTGTTTTATACCAAGCTGTGTGGGTCTCAACCTTTGCCATAAGAACTTTATTCCCATAAAATGCTGAAGCATCTAAAAAGTTGTCTACAATTGGTCCTGGCATAGGTGCAATAGGCCATTGAATAGATTGTACAGCTTCAAAGGCAGCAGTGGAATGGTTAGTGAAATTGTTTCTGATGTTTTTTAAGTCTGCTAATCCTTTAAAAATCACTTGGAGTTTTGAGATAATATGCTCTTGGTTCTCTTGGTCAGAAGGTTTTCGGCATTTGGTAGACGCAATCAGCAAGTCATTGACAAAATTCAGTCCTTTAATGAACTCATTTGACTAGATGTTAATTATACTAAAGTTTATTGACTTTATTATGAAATGTTAATATAATTTATATAAAAAATAAGGACTAAATTAGCAAAAATTGAATACAATTTGGACAACTTGTGGATCAACTGCTTGAGCAGTCTGAAGCAGCTGAGGGATTTTACCTAACTTGTCTTTTAAATGGAACAAAATATTGATAAATTTCGATTTTTTTTGGTAAATTAATCCTTTTTCTTGAACCAAAAATTTTTTTAGACAAAAATAATAATTTATATTTATCAAAATTAAAAAGTTGTATATGTCTTGTTTTATATATTTAAGAGGGAGTATAAATAGATTATTGTTTCAATAAGGTTGGCACGAATTATTTTTTTTTCTACTATGTAAATTTAATATCTAATTATGTTTTAAAATAAACTACCTTGATCAGCTTTTGTCTCCAATTTAAAGAGGGATAGTAAGACTGCAGTCTGGAATTCAACCAAAAAGGGAGGTATTTCTTCAGCTGGTGCTTTCTTTTCTACAGCTTTAACATCTTCAGTGGCTGCTTTTCTTTCTTCCCTTGCAGGAGCTCCAAATCCAACAAGACCTTCCAAGCTTCCTACAGCTTTTTCTAGTCTTTCAATTAGACTTGCAAGATTGGCTGCCATAATTTATGCAACATATTTAAAGCTTTAATAATTGGAGACTCTTATTATAAGCTATAGCGACCCAGTTAGGCTGCAACACAGACCAGCTTAGACTTATAATTTCTGCTTCTGCGCCATAAACCATCATTGGTTCTCTTATTTCGCCTAGACTTCGCCTTAAATCCCATATCAGGGCTTGTCTGTCATCTCCTGCTGTACATATATAACAACTCGAATTGGGAGCCCACGATATTGCGTTTACAAAGTTCTGGTGGCTTTGCAAAATAGCCAAAGGCATCCCTGGAGACCTGACGTCTAAGACTGTGACAAGAGGAGAGTCCATCATAATGATCGCAATGTAATTGGGATCAATTTTATTCCAAGCCAGCCTTAACAAAGGAACGTAGCCTTGGCTTTCATAGAGAATTGTGCATTGCTCTAGGCTTCGTAGGTCAAATCTTCTTACTGATCCGTCTGCTCCTACACTTGCAAAGGTGTTTGAGTCGTGGCCAAATGCAATGTCGTTAACTTCTTTTGTATGTGTTAAAATCTGTTTTCTCATAGCCTGTCTTTCAATGTCCCATATAATATCCAAAAATTTTTATATTTAATTTTTAATAAATTTAATCAATTATTATAGAAAAATATTTGGCCCATATAGTACAAGTAGAATCAATGCTTGCAGTCCCAATCATAGTCAAATCATTGGCATTCCAATCAAAACTTGTGATTGGGCCACAATAATCAGTGTGTCGATTATCTATCTTGACCTTAATTAGCTATAATTCTTTAAGTCTATGTCCACTGCCACATCGAATGCACAGCTTCCACTTCTGCTTCGTATGAGCCTGCTTGTATTGCATCAAGTTACGCCTGGTCTTGATCTGAATAGTCCTTCAGCTTTGGGAGTTCGGATTTCGACAGCTGTCCTTCCAGGGCAAACTATCTTACATCTACCAAAGGCCCCAGTCTCCATCTCCTGGGATTGGTGGCATACTTCCAGAAAATTCGAATTCTAAAAAGATGGTGTCAATTATTTACAAGATTTGCAAGTACATTTACTCCAGATTCATCAGACCTTCATATCCGCAAATGATCACTTGAAGTTGCCATCAGGTGAGGATGGGAACCTTCAAGATCTGGGATTCACATTATTTTTGTGGGTGCATAAGTGTGTGGAATCGTCGTTTTTACTTCAAATCGGCCCATTTCTGGGTGCAACTGGATGATTTGAACACTGTTATCTGTATCTTCTATAAAGGAGCCTAATGCTAATTGAAAAGGATAGCTGGGATGGTTCGAGAAATTAAAAGAATACACTGGCCATGGAGCTTGATATGTAAAAACTTCGCTAGATGGGCTTGAATTGTCTTCAAAATTTGTGGGTTTGCCATCTCCAAGCTGCATTTGCAGTGACATTATCTTTATAATTACAAAACATTATTTAATAAAATAGAAAATAAATGGACCAGGAAACTTGTAGAGATAAAGTTAGTATTGTTAAAAATGAGAAAATGAGTTTAAATAGTGAATAAGAAAATTTGGAGTTGTTTCAGCTTCTTTATTTTAAATAAAATGATAAATTTTGAAATGCTTTGATTAAGTTTTTGGCTTTAAACAGAGAATTTATTTGAATATGGATGAAATGTCTATGATATAGTGCAGAGAAAAGTGTCTTAGCCAATTTTTGAGTTGCAATAGGATTTTTAAAGAGGACAAGCTGCACAAATGATCCAGAAGAGGCTTTTAGACCAGTGTAAAATGACGAGAAGCTCAAAAAGAAGAATTAAGACATTGAACTTTAATCTAAGTGTAGGAATAATGTAAAATTAATTGGTGAGATATTCTAAGATTAATGCATTGTTGCTTGGACCATATCCAGCTTCTTGTAAAGTCTTGTCAAGCTCATTTAGCACATTTCTTGGGAAGGTTTCTACTAACTGTACTTCTCTCTTAGTAATGAACTTCCCCCAATTAATGACATCACTTAGCTTACATTCCGGCAAAAAATTTTTAGTTTCGAATTTCCCATCAGGTAGTCTTAATCTTATCGTAAAGGCATTTTCTCCTTCATACTCTGGAATTTGCTTCAATTCGACAGCATTTTTCTGCACCTGCTCTTGCAAAACTCTTGCCTCTTCAGCTCTTAAGCTCTCTTGGACTGCCCAATATAAATCTGGGTCCATCTGGTTTTCTGATTCTTTTAAGCTCATTTCTATAGCTTTTGCAATATCTTCGTCAGGGTTTGGGGCTCTTTGTTCTGGCTCCAATAAAGATCTGGGGATCCAAAACTGGTTTTCTCCTAAATCAGGCCAGAAATCTTTATTAGACTCTGGTAGCTCTCCCCTAACTACAAAAATTGTATAGCCCTCTGACTGTATATTGTGCAAAAGCGCTGACAAATAAAATTCTCCAACTCTTTGAGGGCCAGGCTGCTCATTCAAGCTGTTTAAATTTCATCACGTATCCTTAATTTTTCTTACTCCCACCTTCTGTAAGCAAAAAAAAATTCAATAATACATTTTATTTTAGAGATTGTAAACAAATCAATTCACATAAGTTAAAAAAAAAATTAATTTGATTCATAAAAATATATAAATTTTAAAATGCAAACTTCACAGAATTGGCTAGGCATTTCTTTATAATAATTATCACTTATATGCCAAGCTATTTTTTATAAAATTTTTTACTCACCCAGGATTTTTCCCAATGCTTTTGTTTCTCTCACAAAAGGAGTGAGTTAAGGAATACCAATGATCAAGCCTATTACAAATAAAAGCTTTTTCGTTGACTGGGTCATTTCCACGTTTCATTTCAGAGTTATAATAATCACACTCCAAGCCATATGCTGTGAGTGCTCTTTGTAAAGCCTGCACAGAAAAATATCCGCTTTCCCCCACATTAGCGCCAGCATCAAATTGTTGAGATCCTGAAAGAAGCTGATTTTCTTCAGTGTCTAGCTCTTGAGAAATAGTTGCAAGACTGACTGCATTCCAATGCGGGCCTTGCAATAGAGAATTTAGTGCATTGACTGCGCAAAGCATATCAGAATCCTGCTGCTCCCAATAAATATACTCATTTTCCATTTTAGAAATTATTTGAACTAATTTAATTTTAGATATACCTACATATAAAAATTTGCCATTATCCTAGTAAATCGGGATGGCTAATCAGTAGAATGTCTTTATTGATTGCTTTAAGGGATAATTATATAGCACTCTAGCATCGTTTATATCGCTTTGATCTGTGGGTTTCATGATGTTCGGGCTCTGCTATTTCACAAGCACTTTGGTCAGCTGATTTGTGTTTTTTCGTGATTTTGTTTCTTTTTCTTTTAAGTTTCTTTTCTTTTTTCTGGGCTTTTTCTTTTTCTATTTTTTTCATGGCGAGTCGGCTGCTTCTTCGAATATTTGGAACGTCTTTTAAGCTTGAGCTAGGCAGAGACTCACTTATACTGCTTCTTTCATCTATCGGGCTGTTATATGAATTTTGCTTTTCGGAGACTGTTGAGTAGGGGGATTTTTCTGCTTTAGATTCTTCAAGATAAAGTTTTGATTTGGTTGGCAATTGTGCTTTACTCCCCCCCATCCTTGATCGAACGGCTCGCCATCGTTCGATCAAGGATGGGGGTTAAAAAAAAATTTTTTGGGAAAAAAAAAATTTATATATAAAATAAAAAATATATATATATATTTTTTTTATTTACTTTTAAATAAGAGGGTTAAGAGTATTTAATAATTATTTGTACAGCAAAAATTTGAATTAATTTCATAAAAATACCAATTTTTAATATTTTGATTTATTAATCACCCCTTTAAACTTTATAAATTTTTAATTTGATCCTTATTGAATTAAATTTTTTTTTTTTTAAATTTTAAAGAATCTCTATATTTTAGATTATTGAGTTTTTAAGCCTAGGATGATGATTAAATCACTTTGAATGGTTGATTCCGTAGCTTTTTGTCGTCTCAAAATCTCTGAAAACAACTTCATTATGTATATCTTCCCAAGCTTCTGATAACTAATATATTTTATATATATAAAAATTTACATGATATGAAAATCGTTCGACAAGGATGGGGGCTAATTTTCCCAATTTTTAGGAATTTTTACAGTCAATCGTTCGATCAAGGATGGGGGGGGAGTTAGGGGAAACTTGGATATTAGAGGACTGCTTAGGACTTGGGCTTGGATTAAATATGATGGAAACTTCGGGGACAACAATTGGCTTTACTAATGGAGCATTCACCGATATTTCGCTGATAGCTATTTGTAAAGAAGCAGGCTTTTCTGGACTTTTTGATATCTCCTCTGACATTATTACATTATTTTCTATGTCTTCTCTCTGGTTTTCAATAACATTTTCATGCTCCGGTCTTTCATCTTGCTCAAGTTCTTCTATCTTGTGCATAAACGAACTAGAGCTGCTGACTCTTTTAAGCTCCTCATTTCCAATACTCCTTTTTTTAACACTTGTTGTCAATAAATTCAAATAACTTCTTGCTTCTGACCATTCTTTTAAGCTTTCCCTTCGAGGACTAATAGTAATTGACACTCTTTTTTCTTCATTTTCACTTTGGTTTTCTATTTCTAAAACAGGCTTATAAGCCACTTCAAAAGAATACGTATAAACCACATTTGGCTGGAGTTGCTTTATATCCATGTTTTCGTCTACTTCAATTACCAGCAACGACTTTCCTCTATCACTGTATTTTTCTTCTAAATTTTCTTTTTCTTTTACCCCAAAACTGCTGGCCCTTTCTTGTTCTTCTGGTATTTCTTCATTTAAATTTTCAATTGGTTGTTTGAATTTGCTTATGGTGCTGTAATCAAAAATAATTGTATGGACTTCGTTTGGGCTCTCAATTATCATCATATCTTCAGAAGCTGTATATGCGATTTGGTCAGGATGAACTGATGGCCTCTGGCTATTTTTTTCTGAAATTTCATTTAAAGCGGCATCCTTCTCAATTTGCATAGACTCAGAAATAGTGACTATAGGGTCTAGCTTTGCTTCAGACTTGCTTACTTCTTCAGATACCGCTTCTTCAGCTATAACATTTTCAGGAGTAAACACCTTTGGGAAATCTTTGTGGCTGGTTCTTCTAATTGAATCCTCTTTATTCAGTTCGAATTTTGAAATATTTTCTTTGTTTGCACTTGATACCTGCAAATGCTGCTTGACTGAGCCTGAACTAGACCTTATATCTGTTTTTGGGCTCTTTTTGGATAAGGTCTTTGGGTTGTCATTGTTGGGATTTTTTGATGGAGATTTAAAATTTGACTTTAAAAGTGCCTGGGAACTTCGAGAGCGTTGCTTGGACTTTGCGATGTTTTCTCTGTTTTTCTTGATAAAATCGATTTTTGGACCTTTTTGAGAGGTTGACCGACCGTGGGGCATATTTGAATTCATATTTATTTGTGAAGACAAACCGAAATTTTTGACATTAGTATATAGAATAAACTATAATTTTATATTATTTAAAAGTATTTAATCGTTCTTTTTCTAACAAAACGAAATTTGCTATTTAAATTTATTTATTTTGGTCCTGTGCTATTTGTAGCGTTTCCACTTGTTTGATTAAGGCAGACCATAAGCGAGTTCGTCTGAATCCACCCACATGTGCAATTGGTAAAGCCGCAGGTCCCATAAGCTTGGTAGCACGCATATTCATTTTTCCAAATACATGGCGAATTCACGTTTGTTGAGTTAAACACACACAATTCTGAGCTGCATCCTCCTATTTGGCATTTATTAGAAAGCATTCTTGTCAAGGCTATGCATTTGCCATTGACACATCTGTTAATATAGCATGGGAAAGAAGAACAATTTGAGACGTAAAGAGGACAAAACATGTCAAAGCAAGGAATCACTGGACAGTCTTCGTCAAATTGGCAGCTTGTGGCTTTGCTGAGATCGTCTACACAGATCGCTGTAGAATTATTTTGGGCATTTGTTTGGGCTGAAAATAGCGAAATTAGCAATATCAGAAAAAATTTCATTTAATAAATGGCTATGATGTATTTTTAGCCTCATTTTTTTAATGATATTGTAATCAATTCATTTTTTTTACTTTGAATTAGAGGATAATATAGTTTAATAACCTTGCACTTAGATAATTACTTTTTAGGTCAGAAAGAAAGGAGTTATTATTAAAGATATAAATATTCTCTTTATGAAATCATAAGCTCTAGATATTTTAAAGCATTAATATACTTCTAACTCCCCCTTTAAATTGATGCAAAATATTCTGCTTCAATTTAAAGGGGAGTTAAAAAAAATTTTAAAAATAAAAATATCAATATTTTTGAGTTTAATTTATTTTTATGAAGAATTAATTCAAAAATGAACCGATTCAGTGTGAAAACTGTTTAAATACTACTATTCTATTTGCACTTTACGATTAAAATTAGGTCAAATTAATTTTATAAATTTAAAGGAGATTAAAGTGGAAATTTTACCTATATTTTATTAAAAGGGGGTAAGCTAAAGGTCTCTGCTTATTAATACCCAGATTATCTTTCTAAACTACTAGAATTTATATTAAATAGACTAGAGTTATTTTTTAACACTCCAAGCTTCTTTCATCATATTTTTGCATAGAAGCATCGCTTCTCTAAACTCAACCATATTATCACTTTTCTTATTAAACTCCATATGAGTTGAATAAAACTCCGGATGAGTATTCGGATAAAATTTCCTGTTTTTCAAGCTCATATGTTTGGACCAGTTCGTTTTAAACGCATTTTTAGAATTCACCAAATAATTGGCTAGCTCTTGGTCTTTGTTAGGATCAATTTGCCCAAATCTCTCTGAGATAGATTGAGGAAATTCATTAACTTTAATTTCAGCAGAAGGGAATATACTGTTATAACTGCAATAACATATTATATTTTATTATAAAATAAAGCCTATCCTATAGGAAGTTATAAACAACTCAAGCATAATTTTCTTTGTGAATGCTCCATTGGTCTTGATGAAAATCTCGTCGCTCCTTGGTGATCTAAAAGATCCAATTCCTCTTCTTCTTTAAACCAATTTTCCCCTGTATTTAGCCCATCTAAAGCTTTTTTAAGCTTGAGCCTAGGCAGTTTTATTGTCCTTTCTGACTTAACCTTTATAATGTCAGGAGAAATTTCAGAGCTTCTCTTTTTACTTGCAAGAAATGTCGATGACATTTGTTTTATTTCTTCTGAGGTCGGCAACTGTGAGTTGGTTCTGCGGGTTTTTGTGAATTCTAATATAGACATCCTCATACGATTATTCACTGGAGTTTTCGTTCGTTTCAAGTTATTCTGCAACAACTGACTAGTGGAAGTTCCATTACTCTCCATATAAAAGCAATATGAATTGGTTTAAGAAACTGAATTTAATTTTATGCTGGGCTAGGCGGAATAAAGATTTGGGTTTATTATTAATATTATATATAGAAAAAGAGCATACTGTTTGGGATGTTTATTTTATATGATTCAGTACTTTTGATGTATTTAATGACTGAGGAATTCAGTATTATGATTTTACAAAGATTTTGTGTCAGCATTTTAATTCTCAGTTTTATTTCAAATCCTATTTTATTAATACTTATATCGGCATATCGGACAGAATTGTCATCTTTTAATTTTTCATTGAGAATCTATGCGTTTTTTCCAATTGCCTTTATTTTCTGTAATACTTTTTTGGCGATGCATCCCAAAGTAATGAAATTTTTGATGTTCTTTATGGGGCTAAAAGACACAAGAGAAATTTACAAGTTAACTTTATGTGTTTTTTTTGGGAAATATTATATGACGGTATTTTTAGAGTTGTTTATACAGTCCTGGGTAATCGCATACAACATAATTGAGTCTAAAAATTTCAATTTCAATGCGATTATTTATGTCGGTACTGTAATTTTATTCAGTATTTTATTAGGAGTATTAAGGTATTTTGATGCCAATAAAATATATAGAGATTATGTTATAGAATACTCAATTGATAACCCAGACCTTGACGGAAGATTGATTGTAGAAACTGAAGAAAGTGAAATTTATCCACCAAGTGATGGAACTGGGGTAGCTTATAAGCGGATTAGCTATGATCCAAAAGGGGATGAAAAAACCTGTGCTGTTTGTCTGGAAAATTTAATAAAGGGTGATATAGCACTTGAAATAAATTCATGTGGACATCAGTTTCACGAAAATTGCTTAATTAAATGGTTTGAAAGGCGGCCAATATGTCCGTTGTGTAGGATTCAGCATTAAAATGAATTATTATGTTAATAGAATGGTTTAGCTATACTAATATTAGTTTCCTTTATAAATGAGTTTTTATTTGGAAATTTGATGAAAATAGTGAATTCTCTAATCAAATTTAGAAAATTAAATTATATTTATTAAATCATGGCATGAAATTTAGTATAATAAAGGCTGTAAAATGATTCTTAATATATATTATTATTGCTGCCTTTTTTCAGAAATAACAAAAATCAAACGAAGCATATATCGCTTATTTCATTAATCAAATTTATTAAAATTTCACTCTACAAAAAATTGCTAGATGCGATTTGTAATTAAGGTCAAAAAATAAATTTTTAAAATCTGTCTTTATGACCAACTTTTCATTATAGCAAAATGTGGTGGAAATTTGACTTTTTCCCAAAAAGAACTTTTTAAATGAAATTCATATTGCAAAATCAAAGCTAAAATCATTGTAGCTATTATTTATGCTTTATAAGCTTTTAAAATGGCTTGCTGATTATTATATTGATTTATTGCAACAAATCTGCCCTTAGAATCTTTTTACTTTCATATCTTGCATAAAATCAGAAATTCTGAAATTAAGTCGATTATTTAATCAGAATTAAAGTTAAATGGAAATTAGGAGAAATATAAGCTTTATTTTTATTGGCATTAATTATAATTAAGTTGAATTCATTTTTTTTGTTATGGAAACTGGTCTGAAAAAACGTGCAGTTCCAAAAATCTCCTTTGTTTCTGCTCCAACAAGCCCGAAGCTATTTTACCGTACAGTAGAAAGTGGTTCGAAAACGCTACCCAAGGGATCAAATAAGATAACTCATCATCTTCTCCGCCCTGGGCTTCTTTCACAAGGCCGCAAAAGGTCCACAACTATCACTGCCAAGCCTCTCGCAAACTCATATCGACCGACGTCTCAAGACAGCACAGGCTGTTATACAGTCTCTTCGACCACTTCATTTCCTTGTAAATTTCGCTTCTCTGAACTTTCCAAAATTCAATCTCAGCCGAATTTTCATCCTGGCTCTCAAAATCGTCTACAAGGCATCGATCACATTCTTTCCGAAATAGAAAAAGAAAAATCGAACAATTTAAAACCTTACTATGATAATGGTAAAGTATTTTTCCAGAAGCTAGGAAACGAGCTAAAAGAGTCTGTAAATCTAGTATATGATGAAATGATGGCTAAAAAGAGAAAAAGATATAAGAGAAGCTTGTATATAAAAGTTGAGCCAAACGAAGTTCTGACTACAGAAGGGCTCAAAAAATTAAGAAAGCAATTAAGATTCGATATGAAAAGAGTTAATAAATAAATTTTAACAGCAGCTCCAATATTCGTTGTCACATCAATTGAATGGGTAAACTGGCATCGGTCTTGGCAGAGTCCACTGTCTAATTTCTTTGTCAAAAATGGCTGCTTTCCAGTTTTGAATGACTCCAAGATCAAACGGATGAAAACTTGAAGGGTAAATTTTAAAGTAATTTATTGAATCCCTTTTAACAAATTCTCATGTTGTGTAACCAGAGCTGACTAAATATATATGAAAAATGCACAATCCAGTCGTCAATATCCCAAAAAGTCCTGAAATTATAAGCGCTACAATAAATGCGCCATAAGCTTCTTGATCCTCAGATAGTCCACTTAAGCAATTATAAGCTGCCCAATCAATCGCGGCGCTTTCCAATGCAAGATACAAACAAAACCGGAAATGGTTCAGCTCTCCTATGCAAGATCCAATCCAGAAACAATGATGGTCAAACTTAGCAACGCATTCTTCACATTTTTTGCAATGGCGAGATCTATAAGGCTGGATTATATTGCATACATCACAATAGCCCTGCTTAGGAATTTCCCAATCTTCTTCACTCGACAATTCAATTTCCTGAAGAATTTTTGATCTACTTAAAAATCCAGGCTTTCTTCTAGTAAAAAAATATAAAATTGAAGCTGATATTTTTAGCGTTGGGAAATATAAGCAAGATATATCATTTTCCGTACAAGAGTTTGCTATATCATTAGGATACAGATAAAAAATCAATATCACAAATAAGTGAACCATAATATAAAAGCCTTGTGCTAACAAATAAGCAGAAAAAGCATCTTTTCTCATATATTAATTATTAAAATAATAGACAGCTCCCAGCTCCACACAGTTCTTCTCTATTACTACGGATTTTTCTTTCAGTGTTTTTCCACTGAATTGCTTTAAAGTCAGGCTCTGGCATTGTTTCAGTTTCTGTTTCCTCTTCAGACTCTTCTTTGGCTGTATTAAAGTTAATATCATCAACAGAAAATTCTTCGTCTTCTTCTATTTCTTCATTTTCCTGCCTTTGGGGTGGCCTGATTTCGCTTTCTTTGAAGCTTTCTTCTGAAAATATTGGCTCTGAGGCAGTAGGCTCAAGGATTTTGTCATCATCTGCATTAAATACTGACATCCCGCTCGGCTTTTTCTCAATCTTTTCAATCTTTGGTGGACCTTTTATTGAAGGCTCCTTAGTAATTCTTCGCTGAATTGCAGGAAAGGCTTCATCGTAGTTTTTGTTATAGTTGATATATAAAACCCTTGCAGAGCAAGCTACAAAATTTGGAGGGATTAGAGGAGTTATTTTATTTCCTGAGAATGGGTCAAAACCATCTACAAAAGTCATAATTGGGGTGTATAAAATAAAAAACCTTTTTTTCGATATCAAAATATAGCAATATGACCTCATTCTTTTATTATCAGGCTCTTCGTATACCATTAGCTGGCCTTTTTGCAGCTTGTAAGTTGTCAAATGATTTAGATTGGGTGGAATCGAGCTAAGATCCTCTTCTGAGATTTCATTTTGCAACATTTTTAACGCTTCACCTTGGGCACCTTCATTTATTTTTAAAATCTCAGTGAATTTTTTTGCTAAAATAGAATTTGTCCCACTCATAAACCTGACAATTTCAACTTTAGGAGTTGTAATCCTCAGAAGGTGCTCTAAGAATGCAAAGGATCTTGCTTTTTGATAAGAATCATACGGTGTTATCTGGTACATGTCAAACTTCGACTCTAAAAAGTTATAGGCGTCTTTCTCATTTACCCTTGGGGCGTCTACTTCTAAGAAACTAATTGGTTTTCTGTTGTGAATAAACGCCAAATCCATCTATTACAAAATTATTTATGGCTTCTGAGAAGAACACTAATTAAGAAAACTTTGGATTAGGTACTTAAAACTCATAATTATAAATTTAATCACTTGTAGTTGTTGATCCATCTGGCATCGGTCTTAACAATGAAGTGGTTTCGACTGGCCTTTCTACAGTTTCTGGAGCAGAATTGCTTACTGGACAGCAGATGAGGCCTAGTACCGTTGCTACGTACTCAGCATCTTCAGGTTTTGAGAGCTTTGAGGAAATGTTAGAGTCTTCCATCTTTTACTATACGTTTATCATCATTTCCAATATAATTGGTAAACTTGTAAGTATATGTGGCTTCTAGAATTCTCAAAATTATCATAATCATAGAAATTTAGAGCAAGCTGCTTCCAAAAAAAATTGAGTTGGTAAATTGAGACTTTTTAAACTACCTATAGAAAATTTCTTTTGCATAGTTAGTTAAATTTTCAGTTAAAAAAGACACAAAAAGGATTTATCTAATATCAATAGATAAGGCCTAATATAATAATTTAAAATGATCTAATAAAAACTTAGATTAGACTATTTGAAGTATTCAAAAACCATTGGTTTTAATAAATATGGGTTGCCAAGGAAGCAGAGCTGAACTGTCTGATGAAGAGCGTGTATTGCTTTGTCAGGAAGCACAACTGAACTATGCTCACAATAACTGCAAAACTGTGGATTTTTGCAAGCATAAATACTCAGCAGCTTTTGAAATTAACGCTGAACAGTGGCGTGATATCGTTTCTTATCTAGCCTTCCTTCATCTAAATATTTTTTTAATAAAAATAATAAAATAATCCAATATAAGAAATAAAAATTATTTTTATTTAAAAATATCAGAGTAAGCCTCAATGTCGAAAGCACTGCCCAAAATCCAAAGGCTGCTGATTTCTTTACCTCACTAAAGAATAAGGATGGAAAATTCCCACTTCGCATAATGCTCGTTCTTGGAGCAATGCTAAGCCAAGGAAGTGCAAGAGATAAAGCAAAACTCCTGTTTGAGACAAGAGATCCAATGGATACAAAAGAACTTCACAGAGCTGAAATCCACGCTTTAGTTGCTGAAATGGTTGACATTGCTATTAATAAACTAACCCTACTTCATGGGCCTGGAGCTACAGTTACTGAGGAAAAATGGGCAAATTATGTGAGGCTTCTAAATGAATATAAAGATAAAGGCATCCTGCAGATCGTCAAAACTTTCCTTATTCCTCTCTTTTGTTAGCGAGTAAGTTTTTTTTTGCTCCTAATAAGGGTTAATTTTTTTTAAAAATTTATAAATATTTGAAAAGGAAAATCTTAAGTTGTCTAAATTGAATAAATTTAGCTGAGATCATCATAATTATTATTTATTCAAAAAAATTTACTCGCAAAAGGATGGTTTAATTTTTCTAAAGCTTTTGCTGATTAAGTAAGGAGAAGCTAGCGAAGATAAAAAAGGAACCAAAAAGACAGAGGAAAAAAAGGAAGAGAAAAAAGAAGAAGAGAAGCACGAGGCTAAAGTTGGAGAAGCCAAACCAAAAGAGCACATTTCTTTACAAGATTTCCTTAAAGTCTTCGATGAGGAAGAAAACTCAAATTTATTGACTCCTCATGGGATTAGGCTTGTAGTGCTAAGCCAAAGACCTGCAATTATTAAGACTCAAATGACCGAAATTCTTGGCAAAAGCAAGAAAACTGAAAAGGTTGAAGTGAAAGGTGGGGTAACTGTTGAGACTAAAGTGGAGGTGACAGAAGAGACGCATAATAAGGAAAAGCACCATAAAGAAAAGCACCATAAGGAAAAGAAGGAGGGATCATCATCCAGCTCATCGTCAAGTTCCTCAAGCGATGATGATAAAAAGAAAGAAAAGCATAAAGAACATCATGAAGAGCACCATGAAGTGCACCATGAAGAACAACATCACGAAGAGCATCACGAAGAGCATCATCATGAAGAGCACCATGAAGATCATAAAGCAGAAGCTCAGGCTTAAGTTTGGAAAAGGCTAGTTAACTTAATCAATAAATAATTTAATAGCTAGAAAATAAAGATTTTATATTTAAATTTCAAGATTTTTTTAATTATTATAAGAATTCTTGCTAACGATTTACGAAAAATATTAAGAAAGAAATAAGCAATAAAGAATTTTTGGTCAAGAGTTTTGAGAGCTACTAAATTATATAAAAAGATTGCAAACTTTTGGATTAAAAGCATGTAGTAATTGAAAGTATAGCTTTAGTTGTTTATTGAAAAGATTTATCGATGCTAAAATAATTCTTTTAGTAGATATAATAAATTATAGAATTTCAATATCAAAAGTATCAAAACAGTTTTTCAAACAGCTTTAAAAATCTTATTCTCATCTGTTAATTATCTAAATAAAATTAGGTTATATTATTTAAATATGCATCCAATTCTTATCGCATGCAGAATTTTTAAATCTAAAAGACAGCAAATCTTTTCAAAGTATGGATTTAATCAAAATAAATTTTTTGGTAGCTTATCGAATTACTTTTTGCAATTTTTATGATAAAATTGCTTACTCCCCTCCTCCCTCCACGAGCGAGGAAATCCATTAAAAAATTCCCTATTTTTTACGAAAAACTGACCTTCCGTACAAAAATTTTTTATGAAAAAAAAAATGATTAGATTAGATTAGATTAAGCCGTTTGCCTTGCAGGGCCGGGGATTCGCACCCCTACACGCTCATCGCCCCTGAGGAGCCTTGGCGGACACCCTCCTTGTTGCCTCAAACAAGGGATTCGCACCACCAGTCTTGACTTCCATGGCTTCTGGAGTCTAAGGGCCAACCACCTGGGGTCGAAACTCACAGTTTTCTCGTTGGGCAAATACCGTCTTCAGGGTCTGAGGGTCATATTGCCCTCAAACATTGGCCAACCTTGCCCTTTCCAATGGTTGTCCTGGAGGAAAAACTCCGAGTCCGAGAATTAGCTCCTCGGGCTCGAAGAAAACCCAGCCCGAACATACATAAAGGGTTTCCGGCCCCTTTCCACCTAAATCTCCAACACTGGGCCGTTGCCTGCTGCTGTTGAGGAAATAGGGGTCGAGAGGTCGGGTGGTTCGTTGTCACCATTTTTATGTATATAAAAAAAAAAATGATAAATAAGTGATAATTAGTATAGTGAATATCAAGCTGATTCTGTTTAATATTAAAAATTTACATTTTAAAACATAACTTTTTATAAATTAAATAATATATTTGTTTTTCCAATTTTTACCAATAGGATTTTTTTAAATTTAGAAAAAAAAATTTACTATAAAACTAATATAAATTTAACAAAAAAAATTAACCCTCTTCAATGAGCGAACAAGATTTTTTTGTAGGGAGGGGAGTTAGTAGAAACAAAGATATAATGGCATGATATTTTAAACAGTTATTATTGCTATCCATCAAAGATTGAAGATAGAAATAATTGCAATTTTGTAGCCAAAAATTGTAAAATTCCTCCATTCTCACTAGCACGACTGCTTATTTTCTAGCCTTTTTAAAGCAGAGCTATTAAAGGAGGTGAATATGGCTGAGAATGCTTGTTCATACCGATTAAAAGAATCTTTCAGCAAACGATTTTCTCATAAAGGCTTAAAATAAGTTAAATTAATTTACCTTAATAAGGGTGTGACCCGGCTTTTTTCCATACATGAGATACTCTTAAATTTATTTACAGCTATGAAAAACCAATGCAATTTTAATGGCTTTTTGTTTTTATAATGTTTATGTGTGAAGATGGATTGAAGGATGCTTGGTTCAGCAAAAATATGCTTTTAGAGTTTCTACTGCCCTCAATAGAAAAAAAATTCCAAGAAGACACGAGAAGCTGCCTAATTACTTATAAAAGATATTCATGAGCGTGCTTTATTTTCTTATCAATCCTCTCAGCTAGTTTATTAGACTTCTATGATGAAAGGGTAGGGCGGGCCAATGATCGTGTACTTTTGATATCTGCATTTTACTGAAGTACATTTGGTCGAAAATTAGTTGAAACTTTTAATAATGAGGCATTTGACCAAAAAAGACCATTAAATTTAGACCACATGTCACACTATTTTTAAATTTTCGGACAAATGGACACTATTAAAAAATACACTATCATTTAACATAGAGTCGAAAGGGTAGCAATCTCTGCTATTTCACTGATTCCTTTTTTCGGACTTACACATATCAATATTCACATCAAGCGCTTAATTGCTGAGTTCGCTTGCATCCAGTTTCATCTAAGAAACATCGAAACAAGCAATCTCTTAGAAAATATTGGTGCCCTCTTCCCTTGCTTTTGCTTTACATTCCTCTGTATAAAACAGTGAAAATATACTTTATTTTATAGTATCTTTGAAGCAATTATTGTTTTTATCTATACAGGGCAAAATCTGCGAGGGATGATTTTCACGTCTATTTTTTATACAGTTATCAGCGTTATTTTTGAAAATGATTGGTCAAGCATAAATCTCCCCAACCCCTTCAATGTTTAAACTGTTTATAATAAATATTGGAGATATTTCACCTGCGCACATGCTTGCTAATATATTTAATAATTTGAGAGGTGTGGACTTCATGCTTAGCCAAATGATTACAGAAATATTTGAATACGATACTCTTGCACTAAAAAACGATGTGATGAATTTGAAAATATAACAGAGAACTCTCACTCTGCAGTTTATATATTAAATAAAGAAGGCGGCATTTCGTATTATAATAAAAAGGCTTTGGCAATAGCTGAACAGAATGGAAAACCTGAAAATATGCTTAAATATGGAAGATTTCAAGACATTTTTGATGATGATCGTTCATCTTGAGCAAATAGCTTGATTTTAAATGCATATAAAGCAGAAGGCGAAGCAAGAGACGAGGAATCTACGATATTTAAAAACCTTACAGATTTTAATTCAACAAATGTTCAAAATTCTGGATTTATCATAAAAACTGACATTGTGAAATGATATGATCAAGAAAAAATAAGAATCACTTTTATTGATGTCTCTATATGGTTCCTTAACAGATTTCTTCTTATAAAGAGCTATAAAGACCTGCAGGCTTTAGCAGAAAAACTGCTAAATAAATTAATAAAATGCTATGAAAAAGAACAGCCTTTGAGTTCAAAGTTTTTGGCGGAATTTAATTTGCTTAAAAATGAAATGAGGGGTCTACATTTATTTCAAAGCTATTGTCTGAAAAGAATAGAATTTAAAAGTGATTATCTTGACTTTTTTATCGAAGCCCACAATGTCATTGAAATGCTCTTTCAAAAAGCTTCACAAAAAAGAATATCAATTTCTCTAGCACGAGCAGATAATTATCCAAAAAGTTCATTTGGGGACAAAGCATTTTATTCCTGCATCTTAAATGCCTTGATCAATTTTTTGATTGAAAAAGCAGATGATGATTCTGAGCTGTCAATCTCTATTATCCCTAAAATGGTCGATGAAAATGAATATTTGCTTGAGCATTATTTTGAATTTACTTCACATTCTGCGTCACTAGAAGAATTTGAAGAAATTTTCCAAATTAAACAAAATACTGCTAAAAGAAAAAGCTGGATCGACATGATGAAAATCATGAAAGAAAATGGGACTTGTCTATTTATGTTTGACCCATTAATCTGTTTATTAAGGGGATACACTGATTACATGGTTAACCAAGAAGATTGCAGTTGGCTTTTCAGCTTGTATATTCCGTTTAAAACTTCTGGGACTGAAGTGGATGATAAAAAAATCGACATAACTCATCAGTGCGTCTCTGAAGGTGAAAATTACTCCAAGTGGTATATTTATGAATAATATATTTTAGGTAGCAAAATATCAAATATAAATAAAATTCATTTTTAAATAAAAAATTATTTGATTTTATAATATCTGTAATCGTGATAAGTATGCTTAGTCCCGTCAAAATGATAAGAAATTTTAACATCCAAATCTCTTTTATGCTCAGGATTTTTGCGAATTGCTAAGCTACCTATAATTTCTTCTCCTACCATAACAGGTAATACATCATTTAAATAAAACACGGTCTGCTTCCAATGTGTGTAATTTCTGTTTGGACTTGTCGATATCGTAATTCTTTCCCTTCCATGATTGAACTCTACGTCAAACCAAGCAACAATTCCATGTACATAGTCTTGTCTTGTTGCAGTCAATGTATATCTCGTAGCAATTTGATACTCATTTTCTTTTACAGTTTTCAAATCCATTGTAAAAATGCATGAATCAGTTGTCACTAGTGCCTCAGCTTCAACCAAATCTACAATGGGTTCGGCTAGTACATTAGGCTTTATAATTCCCATATCAATTCCATATACATCGTCCCAAAAATTTACCTTTTTCTCTTTGTAATCAGCATCTTCAATTCCAGCTATAAAAAGCTTTGCCTTGTCAGGGAACATTAGCCCATCAGGCTTCAGTCATTTATTTCTAGCATAAATCACAGTGTCCAGCATTGATTCATACAATAAAAAATACCCCATTCATTCAGAAATTATGATATCTACCTTAGATACAGGCAATTCAATATCCTCAACTTTCCCTTTAATAATGGTCACGATTTCTGAGTAGCCATTATCCCTGACGATTTCATGGGCTTGGTCTGCCACATCAGCCGCATCAATTCCATAGACATGAGTGGCTCCAGCTTGGGCTGCAAAGATACTGAGAATCCCAGTCCCACAGCCAATATCAAGGACGATTTTCCCTTGGAATAAATTTGGGTTCTGGATTATTGCGTTCATGTATGACTCTGTGCGGACTTCGTCTTTCAGCATTTCTTCGTGGATTCCGAAATGGGAATACGAAGAAAAATATGGGTCTTCTACTTCCATTTCTATGTCAAGGCCTGCCCATGTGGAGCTTGCTTGGAATTCTTCTTCATGTGACCCAGAGACAACTTCTTTTTGTGTGTTTGCAAGCAGTTCCTTTCTGGCCATTTATAAACGAGTTTTTGAGTGATTTTTCATTGATTTATTATTATTATTATTTATAGCATGCGATGTGTGCATAATAAAGAAAATTAGCCTTCAGGCTAATTTGCGCATTAATATGATTTAAAAGCCAATTTAACATAGTAAATTTAGTAAGAATTAAGGCTATTTTTCTCCAAAAGAACAGTATTAAGCAATCATCTCCTCTAGTAAATATTAATTAATCACTAACCCATTTATTTAATTAAATTCTCGCATTCTTTTATATAGTGTGGAAGCATCAAAATATGATTATTTGATGCACAGAAAATCCAAGGGATTGAAGGGATTATTGACAGAGAAGTTGCTTGATAAGGCACAGGAAAAGCTGCTACCTTTGCTAGGGCTGGAACGCTGTGTATTTGTATAGAGTCTTCAGTTGAGAGAATAATATATGCAGAATCCTCTGTAAAGCAATGGCTTAATGCTGGTTTTTCTAGCTCAGCTGAGCTGACTGGAGCAAAAGAGTGGGAAAATATATACAGAGAAGTAGAAGTGGTACACGAAATATAGTCTTGGTTTATTTGGACGCTGGATATTGGTGCTTCAATGGAATGCCTGTTCTGTACTGAGCCATAATCACAAAGAATCATATTCCCTGAGCTATCTGCAGATACCAAAAGTCCTTGATGCAGACCTACACCAGTAACTATTGATTCGTGATCTACAAACATAGTCGCTAAATTTAGCTCAGGGACACTTAAAAGCCTCACCATTCTATCACGGCTTCCACAAGCTAAAATACTTGAAGACTCATCAAGCGCAGCACAAGTCACTTTCCCTTCAAAGTCCTTAAAAACCTTTTTGTCCCTCATATCATTAGCTTTTTGTCTTACAATTGACTCTTCACTTGTATAGTAAAAATTCCCTTCAGAGTCAGTGGCTAAGCCGACTATTGGGTAATTATGTGTAAAAACCTTTTTGGTCTTCATTGTATTCATCCAGTTTCACATCCTTACAGTCTTGTCAAAGCTAGCTGTAATCAAATAATAGTCAATATTAAATATTGAGCTAATTGAATTTTGGTGGTACTCTAACGTATCTTTAAGCCCCTCCAAGCTCCAGATTTTTATCAAGTTGTCTGACCCTCCTGAAATAATCATAGGAATATTAGCTCCACTCGGATCAATAATCATTACTTTATTCACAACTCCTTGGTGCTCGCCTAAGACTTCTTGAGACTGTGTTTTTAAGTCACAAATTAGAATTCTTCCATCAAATCCTCCACTCACCATAACATTATTCCATACGTCAATAGTCCAGACTGCGTCTTCATGCCCAACTAATACGAAAGAAACGTCTAGTCCTTCAATATTATGGACTCTTATGCTGCCATCGTCACAGCCGACTATTAAAAAATCATCAGTAGCCTTGATTGAGCAGACTGAGGTTTCAAATTTAATTTCATTTGCAATTTCTTTGGATTCTAGGTCCCAGATTTTTACTGATTCGTCGACGCTGCCTGTGTATAAAAAGCCATTTTTTGTGCATAAGCAGGTAACAACAGCATTGTGGGCTGGCAAACTGGCTTCTTGTTCGAAAGTTTCGAGATTTCAGATGATAACTTTTTTGTCTTGGCCTCCAGAGATAATGTATTTATTATCTTCAGAAATAATTAAAATATTGACTGCTGAGGAATGGGCTTCGATGAGCTCGTCTAAATCTTCTTCTATGACGCGGATCATGATTTTTCCTGATCTTAGTCCTAGGATTAAGCAGGACTCTGTTGCTACGACGCTGTGGACCTCTTCAGGGGTTTTTACAACTCTATCAGCAAAAATCCCTTGAAAGACTTTGAGCCTTTCATCCATATCGGCCATTTTATTAATCTAAATTTGATTAATTAAAATATTTTCGATAAATCAAGTATGCAGTATGTCTAAGGAATTCATTTAGCTCCTATAGAGTATATAAATTGTGATATCACTTCGATAGATGTAAACCAACTCAAATTGCTAAAATTATAGAATTTGATTTTTTCAATTAATACAGCATATTTGCAATGAATACCGCTTCCAGATGAATAGTGACGAGTGATGGATTACAAAGGCCTTGACTTAATTAGACCATTAGACTTCCTAAAGAGAGGGAAGATGAGGTGGCTGAAGGGCAACTCCTCCCCACTTTAAATTGGAATAAAAAATCCTATTCCAATAAAAGAGGGTCAATTTTTCTTGGTTTATTTAATTAAAAAAATTATTTTTTATTCAGTCTGAAAATTTTTTAAATACCATTAAATTAGGCTATAAAACTTTTCTTATTAAAAAATTTTTCCAATTTAGAAATTTTACTGATATTTTGTCCAATTTAAAAGGGGGAGTAAGTTAAAAATTCAGGTATGAAGTATATCAAATATTATATCAAAATTTCAAATATCTATCATAATGTTTATAAAAATAAATTATTTTTAAATTATATTAATAGGTTTGAAGCAAACCTATCATACTTTGGGAAATAAAACTAATCCAAAAGTTTTTTTAATAATAAAACTCCTTATAAATTCATTTCCAACTAAAAAATTTAATGGAGCGTTCCTATCGTGCCAATGATCCTATATGACTAACTGAAGAAACCAGGCAAAAACTCTTCAGTAAGAATAGCGTATTCCAAACAATTACAAGAGATTTTCCAGTTTCACTTGGGAAAGAAATTTCCAAAAACGAAAGAGATAGCAATGACCTATTAAGCACCCTTACATACGGTGAGCTAGAGTTCATTTCAATTGGAGAAATATTTGAAACCATCAAAGAAAGGTACGGAGGAATCAAGCCTGGCGGAATTTTCTATGACTTAGGATCAGGCACAGGCAAAGGTGTCATTGCAGGTGCTCTTCTACATAATTTTGACAAATGCATCGGTATTGAAATTCTTGAAGGCCTTTATGTTTTAGTTTAAGTTTAACGAATTACTCTGGTATATTGCCTTCAGTCTTCTTTCACTTGAGGGTCCAGCTGCATTAGCAGCTCTGAGTAACGGTAGATGGACCTGCCTAACAGTCAAATCGTTAAAGTTAATAAGCCCGCTAAGACTTCTCTAGTCAGTGCCAGCCTCAGCATCGGCTCTTCTCTTCAAGCTGAGACTCTCAAGAAGCTTAGCTTCTATCACTAAGCTCAGATGATAGGACCCGGACCTGCTTAGCAGGAGTTAGGACCTATCCCTACTGACATTTTTAATATTGTGAGGCCTTTATAACGTTTCTTTACAACTGAAAAGAGTTTACGAAGAAACTTTCCCAAGTGAAATCAGCACAAGGCCTGATTTATGAGATTCAAAAATCCCCGAAATTGAATTTACTCGGAGCGATATGTTTACAAGAGGATGGGCTGATGCTGACTTTATTTTTGCAAATTCCACTTGTTTTGGTTGCTGTCTTTATTTAAAAAATATTAAATATTATTTTTAGATAAAAATTAAGAAAAAATAGAGTTTTGATTCAAGCATGATGCTGAGAATTGCAGAAAGTGAGGTAAAAGAAGGGACATGGGCCATAACGCTGACGAAGAGTCTGCCTTCAAGTAAATGGAAAATACATGAGAGTATAAAAAAGCTTATGAGCTGGGGAGAAGCTACTGTATACATACAGCAAAGAGTAAATAACAGTGGGGCAGAGTTAGGGTTAGATCAACTTGAAATTTAATCAATTAATAGCTTTATTCCTATATCATGATCAATTATAATGAAAAACAAAAATTGATAGAATAAATTAACCTACGTTAAATTTAAAACAGTAGCTTTATCAATCAAATATTCACTGAGCAAATAAGGAACTTGTTTTACCAGCTCTTCATGGGTGTAGACATTAGGAGAAGGAATTGACCCATCTCTTCTTTTTTTAAACATAACAGCATATCAAATAGAGCTTTTTTCTTGTCTACATCCTAATATTTTCGGAATTCTCAATTTCCCAATTTAAAATTTTATTTAAAAAAATTTACAATAAATTATTTTAATTAATAATGGACTTGAAGAAAATCATATAAAAAATTAATTAAAACATTACCTATTATTTTCGCTGGCTGGTCTAATTTTAAATCTCCTTTTCTTCTCTGAATATTTTTCAAGAAGTTAAACTCTGGGATGCTCTCTTCATTGCCACCTTCATCTGCTTCATGAATTGTATCTCGATTGTTGATTGGATCATCGATTATTTTAGAGCTATTTGTATGATCTTCATCTATATCCATTTCATTTTCTTGAGATTTTTCTTCTAAAGATGATTTAAAAGCAGAAGCAATATTATTTGTGGGCCTTGAATAGACTTTTGGCGGTGGCTTTGCTAGGCCATTTTGGATTTTATTATAAGTGTAATTTGAGTTTGTAGGAGTTTTTGGTGGGTTTTGAGGGCTAGGGGTTTCTTTTATGTTTGTGTAAGTTTTAGGGGGATTTGGAGCTTCTCTTACACTTGCTTGAGGGGTACTCTCTACTTTTTGCTTCTTTACTGGAACATCTTCTTTGTCAATTTTATCTAAGGTTTTCATAGCTTTATGTGCTTCTTTTGAAGTATGAGCGACTATCTCAGACTTTAATTTTTGAGTGCTTTTTTGCTTTTCTGCTAAACCTCCATTCAATAGAGAACAAAATCGTCAGCTTTTTTCGCGCCTTACTCCCATTCCAATTCTTATCAAGCATCGAAAATTTGCTAAATAGGATTATTTTCATATTAGCAAGTATAAATCCGATTCCCCGCCCTACCTTAAACCTAACTACCTATTTTTTATAATAATTAATTTTAGAGATATTTCACACTATAAATAATTCTAACTCCCCCTCCTCCGAGAGCGAACAGCTCACGGAGGGGTTACTTCTTTGAAAAAAATAAATATAATTTTTATAGTAAAATGTTATTTTTAAACTTTAATTTAATTTCAAAATTTAAGTTTTAAAATGCAAACTTTTTAAAGGTCAACAGAATTAGCTAAAACTTTTGTTCATAATTATCACTTATATATCAAAAATTTTTGTTCGCTCATGGAGGGTGGGTTTTTGGCCAAAAAAATAGGGATTTTTTCCAATTGTTTTGCTCGCTCACGGCGGGCAGGGGAGTAAGCATTTTAAATGCGACTTTTAGCACATTTGATAATATATTGCAATACCTATGCTAATTTAGTGAGAAAATCTTTTATATGGAAACACTGATGTATAGCAATTACGGGGCTATCAAAAAATATTTTTTTTCCAAAATATTTTAAACCCCATTCTTGTTAAACGATGCAGATCATTTCAATTAAGGATGGGGAGTTAGAAACTTTAATAATGAACATTAATATAATTTTTTATCTTTATGAATTTTTAGTTCAATTAAATGGCTAATAATATATTTGACCACTTCTAAATGAAATATTGATTTATTCTGCTTTACTCATTAATTCTTTGATAAATCAAAATATTTTATGGATAATTTTTTAAAATATTTATAAAAATTCAACCCTACTTATTATTTAGATTTTAAAGTGTATTCTTACTTCAGCAGAAAAATTTAGGCATGCATTGCCCACCCTTTTAAAATCGTTGATTGGTGACGTCAGTAGCCATCTTGTCTAGCAGGCATTCCAGAAGACATTCCAACAGTCAGGAATACTTCACGGATAAAAAACTAACAAAAATCATTTATAAGTTAAATCTCAGCTAATTCTATTAATATAGTCCCTTGTGCCTTTTTGGGCACAAGCATACTACCCATACTGAGCCAGTTTCGTTTTTTCCCAATTCTGGGATACGAAACTGGCCCATCTGTATGGACAGTTTACTTGTGCCCAAAAAGCACAAGGGATATACATTTTAACGCTTTTAATAAAAATATTTTATTAAAGATATTGTTTACAAATTTACCCTATTAATGATAAGCTAATAAAGTACTTGCTATTAAGATTAAGATTAAGATTACGCTGGGTATTTTAAGTCCCTGCTTCGTCCGAGGAAGCATTCTACGGTTTCCCGTATGGTGGCAGAGCGTTCACCAAGCCCGGGCCGAAACATGGTTTCTCGGTAGAGGTGAAAGTCAAGGGACGTGTCATACCGTCTTTGCTGACCGCCTCCATTTCCAACTTGGATCGTCGCCTAAGTTTACGCCAACACTGCCGCGTCGTCCGCCAGATCTGCCCATTGAAGGGCACCTTTTAACTGGAGAGACTCCCGTTTAGATGTCTAACTCGCCTTCCCCTCTTTTCCGGTCATCCCAAGAAAGAATTCAAGAGCTTTCGCCATTCGGGGCGAGCCACAAAAGCAGCTTAGGCAGGTAATTCGCCCTGCCTCATTTCGGGCACTCACTGGGCTGAGCGCTGCTGGCAAAAAGAAGTCACGAGTAACTGCCCATGGGTTCGGTCACAAAAACAGCGGTCTCTGTGCTTAGACCTCTCGCTTCGAGGTCCCAAACGTTGCTGGGCCAACTCCTGGCTCCAAAAACCATGCCCGGATATACATGGGTAACCACGACTGAGAGGGTCGGTCGCCATACGCCATTTTATGTATATAGTACTTGCTATTAAATAGGGATAGGAGTAAGTTATCAAGCTTTTTTTGCTTCTTTTTCTTTTCCCTAGCGATTTTAGCTTCATACTCTTTATTAAACGCGCTGAGAATTTTTGGAATATAGACTAAGTTTTCCTCTGGCTCCCAAGTGCTATCTTCTTTGTTATATCCTTGCCATTTGACTAGATAAGTCCAGCAGTTTTGAGCAGTGGAGAATTTCTTATCCAAAATCGATTCAACGACATAGAGATCTTCTTGTTCTTCCATTAAATAATATATTGTAAAGTCCCCTTGCAATTAAAAGGGTAACTCTTCCAAAGAGCATTTAAAAAAATTAAATTAAATTATTCTCATTTTATTATATTAAAATATTAAATGAAAAATAATCTGCTTGGTAAGTGAAAATTTAAAGGACTAAACAGTTTTAATTCATAGATATGGAATTTCAGTTTAAAATGAACTAATTCCCTCAAAAATAGCTGATACTTTTTATTATAATATGCATTCCTCAATAGTCACTACTAGTCTTTAAAACTAGTAGAACACAATTGAGAGTTGTTAGAAATCTTAAAATTAAATATAAAAAATATAATACTAATTTAATTTCCCCAAAAATTTAATAATTAAAAATAATTTTTTATTCTTTTGATTTCCAAAAATATATATGGCGCAGTCATTTTTGGAATTACACGGATTCCAGCCAAGTGAAAGCTCTTTTTCAGCCCATATTCCGCCATCTCTCCCAATCAGTACAATTTCCCCTCTCGCTCACATTTTTCATTCAAAATCTTCTGATTCCAATCTATCTGAAAAAGAAACCAGATCAGGCCAAGCAACTTATTGCCAATCACTTTGATCAAGCGACATATCCCTCACTAAAAAGCTTGCCCTGATGAAGCAGATTTTTGATAGATATCCTACTGAAGATATCATTGAACAGCTTTCAAAGTCAATAACCCAACTTTTAAATGATAAAGATCCTCCAATTGAGCTGTTGGTGAAAAATAACTACATTAAGCTGCTCCTTGAATTCGTCAGACTGGGTTTTAAAGATTTTATTATTTCAAGCGCAGCCTCAGCGCTGTCAAAAATTATCTCAAGCTCAGCTAAATATGCCAGCAAGTTCGCAGAAGCCCATGGGGTAAAAATTTTAACAAGGTCTATTAAGCCTGAATTAGAGCTTTCTATAGATGCCGTGATCTTGGCGCTTGCCAATTTAATTAAGGACGATAACCAATACAAGAACGAAATCATTGAGTTCAACCTGCTTGATATCCTTATTGAAATTTGTGAAAAAATAAGCAAGGTCAGCGAAGAAATATTTTATTCAATTGCTTATTTTTTAATGAATTTGGCAAGCAATAATTACAGATTCTTATTGAAAGACTTAGAAAAAATTGTTTATTTATTGGATAAAGCTATATGTTGTGACAATATTGAAATTCAAGCAAATTGCTTGTGAGCAATAGCGGGGATTACGAGTATTAATGGACAAATTCATATTTTATAATAATAATAATAATTAATGCTCTGTATTTATAGTCCCTACTTCCATGCGTGGCATTCCTCCGCGCTCCTTGGGGAGCCGTGCTGGCACGAGCGAAAAGGATGGACTTCCATCACTGGTTCTCTGAGCCCGGGCCGAAACCCCCGTTTTCTCGGTAGTGGGTTGCCCTATTGAGTCGTCAGCCGACTGTCGCTGGGCACCACCATTTCCAACTCAGCCTTCTGCCCCGAGTTACGCCAGTCTTTGCCTCCGGTTGGCCAGATCGCCCTCCTGAGAGGACCTTTTAACTGAGAGACTTGCGCCCTTGATCTAGTCTAGCTTCGCCTCCCCTCTTTCCTGGATCATCTCCAAGAAAGAACTCAACCCATTACGGGATTCGGGGCTAAGCCACAAAGTAGCCTAGGCAGGTAACTCACCCTGCCTCTTTCGGACACCGAGTCTGGGCCTCGGCGCTACTGGCAAAAAGAATGCGAAACACTGCTGCCAGGGTCAAGTCCCAAAATCAGCGGAAATTGGGCTGGGCCTCTCGCCTCGAGGCTAACTCTTCCCTTGAGTAGCTCTCCGCATCCAAAAACCACGTCCGGTATACGTAAGGACACCCGGCACGGAGGGACGGGTCGCTCGTCTCCGGCCATTTTTATGTATCAAATTCATATTTTAATTGAGTCAGGGCTGGTTGAAAAAGTGATTGGGTTTTTAAAAAGCGGGGAAATGAAATTAAAGATCCCTTGCATTAGAGCTATTAGGTATATAGCAACAGGAAATCCAGCTAATATAAAATATTTACTTGAGCATAACGCTTATGATCCTATTATGGAATTTAATAAGCAGTTCAAAATAATTGGGAGGCAGAATGCTGTTATGATTGGCTATAATAACATAACTATTGAAATCCAAGAAAACACACGCGAATATGGCATTTTAAATGCGCTGGCAAAAGACCTGGAAAGCAATATTTCTCATATGAAATATTGAGAAAATAAAATTTTATATATCAATAATAAAAATATTCTGCGATTAAATGAATTTTTAATTAAAAAAAAACACATAGCAAATCATTGAATTCAGTCTGGCTCAGCATAATCAAGGCAAACTGAAATTGATGAATTTTAGTATTTTTAAAGAAATAAAAATCGCATTCACAATTGAAGATGAGCTATTCCAAACAAAGATGTTAGAATTCTGCTACTCCCTATTTGAAATTATGGAAAGCAACGAATATTCTAACCCTTTATCTATTTTATTTTTGCGAAGCAAATGCTATGATTCATTAAAAGAAATCATACAAAAATTCAAATCATTAAAAGAATTATGTAATAAAATCGCCCAGAAATTTTTTAAAGTCAAAAACATCACCTGAGACGTTCCTATGGTAATCAAAGAAATCCCATATGAAGCTATAACTAAGCGGATTCCAAGCATTGAAAAACCTAAAGGAAAACGCAAAACAAGACCTAAGAAATCCAAAACTGTTGATCCAACCAAAATGAGTGTAGATGAGGTGTTAAGATTTATTAATAATGACGAAAAAAAATCCACAAAAAATCAGAAGCAAAAAAGCTCGACAAAAGAAGCGACTGACAGTAAATCAGAAAATGGGGACTTAATTGATAGAGAGGTCGAAGAGTTTAAAGAAAGAATAGAAAGCGCGGTTATCAAAGAAGAAAGACTGAAGCCCAAGATTTCACAAGAATGACTGCTGAAAATTAAGGAGTCGATTCCAGGGCTCCAAAAGAAAGATAAATCTTTTTAATCTGAATTTTTTTCAGCAAATTGCATAATTTAAATTTGAGATTAGATATTTTAGCATATTTCTTATAGTATTAATAGGATAGATAATAATAGATCTTTAAATTTAAAGGAAATGAAGTATATAACTCAGGGGCATTGATATGAGATAACTGCACTATTAGTCTAGGGGTATGATGGTAGCCTCCCAAGTTACCGGCCCGGGTTCGAGTCCCGGATGGTGCATTTTTATTAATATTTTAATATGAGGTTTCCTTATATAATTTAACTTTTTTCATCATAGCCGAGGAAACAAAAATAGAAGTATACTCCCCAAGGCACCTCTGGACTGGCTTCTTTAGACTTTGAGCATTAGCAAGGGTGGCGTTCTGTTCGGGGTTTCCTCTGCAATTTGCTGAGGGTGAGCTCATGGCTAAGTCCATGAAATCCTACCTCACCAAGCACCTCAGACGCCCAAAAGCGAAGGCTAAAAAGACTTCTGCCTCTCCTCCACATATTCAGGCCAGGAGACATTCTAAGGGCTTGGATGATGGCAATTGGAGATGGCACGAAATATGAAGCCACCATTAAAGTTGGTATATAAAGTCAAGCACTTATAAAGTTAGTGCCTGTCCTAGCTGGACCATACACCTTGTTGACATAGGCAACCCAATCCCTTCAGGCCATTTTCCCATATCACTCTTTCTCCGATTATTTATCGACCTAAAGGAAATTCGCCAGAAGTGGAGGATTAGGCTCGACAGACGGACAGGGCAACTAAGAGATTTTATGAAGAGATGCTTAGATCTGTAAAGAATCTAGAAGAGCAGGCCAGATTGAGATCATTGTGGCAGTCAAGGCTAGACCAGTACTTTCAGAGGAAGACTTAGGCTACATTCTGCAGCTTTGATAAAACTCGCCCATAAGGACGAGTCAGTGGGGTTGGATGTCCGGCTCATTTAAGTAGCCCCTTATATAATTTAGATATTTTTTTCTTAAATTTTTAGCATATTCACTGGGACTGAGACTCTATATGCAGTTGCTGTTATTGGCTCTGTTATGTAAATTATCCTAAAATTTGTCTTACTCCTCTTCTGTGAGCGAACAAAAAATTTTGTTTGCTCATGGAGGGAGATTATAATTTTTAAAAAGAATTTTATATATCAATTTCATAGTAATTTTTTTTTATTGAAATTTAAAATATCCCAGTTCGAAATATTTTATAGCAAATATTAATTAAAATTAAACAGTGTAGCTAGAAATTTCATTATCACTTATATATCAAAATATTTTTTTCTTAAAAAATTTTTACTCATTATGAATGGTGGGTTTTTTGGGCCAAAATATAGGAATTTTAAATGGTTTTGTTTTCTCACAGAGGAGGAGTTTAGAGAAATAGAGCCCTGCAATTTCTGGAGCATTTGTAACAGTGATTGTATTAAGAATCTGTCTGTCCATATTGAGAATTGAAATCAGCCCATTCATACATAGTCTGCGAAATCGTAGTTCGCTGCATAAAGCAGCCCATCTTCGGTAATCTAAATTGCAGAAGGTTCTAATCTCCCTGAAATCTGATGAAAGACACTCATATGGTGCACTTCGATTGGTTTTTGACTAAGTCTCATATCCAATTTCTATGCAATTCAGCCTTAAAAATTATTTTCCCATCTGAACTTACTGCAATTCCTGTAGGATGTGCTAAGCAGTTCAAGTCTAATGGTTTCAGTACCAAAAGCTTTAAATCAGCCGCAAAAATACTTCCAATTAGCGAGGCAATTGTGCTTTCTCTTAGAGGCTTACTGTCAGTGAAATACAAATAATGCTTAGTTCACTCAATTCTAAGCTATTTGGACCTCAATAATGGTTATCCTTCATAATCCTTCAGAATTTCAATTACTTCCTGCTTCCCTTCTTTATCAGTATCAGTCTCCTATCTTCATGAACTACTATTACCTATCCTCTTCTCCTTGATTCCTCCCTAATTTTGCTGTTCGCTAGCATTGCAATTGCTCACCTGATAGCAACTTCGTTCACTTCGCCATGTCTCCCTATTTCATCATCATTTCCAATTCAATTATAATACGAATTATAGTCTTTTCTTCTCTTCTATATTCTCTCTCAGAGAATCTTGAAAGGCAAACCTTCAATATCTTCTCCAACATGATCTCTCCAACCTGGGCAGCTTGAAGGATTTTTACTTTTTGATTTTGGGCTCCATTTTAAAAAGTGGCAAAGAGCAAGCACGTTTCCTTCAGCATCTTCTGTTCACTTCATATTCCATCCAGAATCCCATCAATCATAAGCTCAAAAGGGTCCTATTTGCAAGTCTTCCATTTTTTATTACTTAACTATTAGTCGTCATAGTAATCTTCTTCGTCACTTGATATTGATTTTTCTCTAGGAATTAAATCCTCTGGAACATCACCGCGTTTTACCATCTTTAATTGTGAGTCAGTGTATATATAATTTTATATGAATTATTTTAATATAAAAATAGATAAATTTTGTGACTTTTTTCAGAAATTAAGTGTATAAACTTCATCCAGTAATGTTTCTGGGTCGAACTGGATGAGCTCTTTGTTTTCGTAATCCAAAACTTCTAGTCTGTTTTTGATATTCTGTAAAAGTTTCCACTCGCCTGGCGTTCCTTGGCTATTTCGCTGTTTGAATCTTTCGACTTCGACATTATATGCAAGCCTAACCAGCTTGGCAATTTCTTTTTTGAAATAGTCATGGTCAAGGCACATAAGCGAACGCTCAGCTTCTGCCTTTTTACATTCAAGGTGAATTTCTTGTGTAGACCCGTCAGCTTCTGAAAGCGTGGCTGTTGAGATTGGCTGGCTGCAGAGCGGGCAGAAATCGTGGCCTTTGCACCATTCTTGGATGCAGGAAAAGCAGTAGGCGTGAGAACAAAAGAGAGTGCAAATTGGTGGGGAAAAAGAACTGATGCAGATTGAGCAGCTCATTTTACATTCGTAATAATGAAAATGATGGGGAAATAGATATGAATAGAAAAGTTTTAATGTAGCAATTTAATTATTTAGAATGAAAAATTCTATATGTCATACCACATCTGGCAAATATTAGGAAACACTGATTGCTTGAGATGCATTAAGGCTATTTTTATTTTTTTTACTTTTTTGATTATTGAAGACTCTTTTCTCGTTTCTTTTGCCGGAAAAAATTAATTATTATGTAATAAAGGTCAATATATCTTAAAGGCAGAATAGAGTAGCACAGTAATAGAATTTTCATCCTAAATTAAATTCAGATTTATTACTCTATAATTATCAGGGTGAAAAATTTAGGATTTCTTGGGGTTATTTCTTTAAACTTTTCATCTGATTATAATATTGCATTAATTTTCCAGAATATTTATTGTTTGCATCTAGCTTAGTACTACTAATAGAAGCCCTAATGAAGAGAGCTTTGATAATTTGATTGAGCTGGAAAGACATTCCAATAGACATCATCTTATATTGTGGAAAAATATGGAAAATAGGAATAAAAGAAAAAATAAAGGTTAAATTAAATAACCAAAAAATTTACTTGGTGCGAATTTTAAATCCAGTCGCCAAATTCTCTTCAATCTTCTCTGGTATATTATAGACATAAATAAGAATAATATTATATTGATAATTTATAATACACTAGATTTGCTGATTTTATTATTATTTTAAGCAATATAATAGATTTTTGGCATTTAATTGTTTCCTGAATAAGGCTTGAGACAGAAAAATATCTATTTTGCAAGTCTATTGGGCATAAAAAAGAAAATTATAGTAAAAAAAATAAAGACTAAAATTCAGATTCTCGTTTAATTATGTGATCACAATAATAAAAATGTCATTTAGGGTTAGGTCCTAGCAGCTAGTCAGCCAAGATGGACCTATAATCCGAGCTAATGAGAGAAGTCAAAGCTTCTTGAGAGTCTCGGCTTGAAGAGAAGAAGTCGGTGCTGAGGCTGGCATTGACTAGAGAAGTCTGAAAGGGATTATTAACTTTAACGGTTCAACGGTTAGGCCGGCTCACCTACTGTTGTTCAGGGCTGTTAATCTAGCTTGACTAAGTATAGAAGACTTAAGGCATAAGTGTGCTAAAGTAATTCAATAAACTTAAACTTAAATTATGGGATATTCCTCTTTGATTACGATATATGTTGAAGCTTCTATTTAATTAAAAGAAATCCTCATTTAATTTCCTCTGTAAGCCAGCTTCTAAAAGTTCTAAAAAGGAGGAATTTTAATATGGCAACTTTACACCCATTTCTGTTTTAAATCCATTATAGCTCATAAGCTTGACAGCAGTCTCAGGAATACTTTAAGCCTCTTTACTTTTATTATAAATTGGAAGAGCCAAATTTATAATCTTCTAGAAGATGTTAACTGCCAATATCCAAAATTTTCAAATCTTTCCAGAACTTTTGTTTTTAAAAGAAAATATCTTTGCATAAAATTACTTACTCCCCCCTCTGTGAGTGAACAAAGCCATTTGAAAAATCCTGCACAAAACCCACTCTCTGTGAACAAAAATTTTTTTAATAGAAAAAATTTTTTATGAAAAAAAATTGATATATAAGTGATAATTAGTATAATGAAATATCGAGCTAATTCTGTTTATTTTAAACAAATTGCGTTTTAAAACATAAATTTTACAAGTTTAAATAGATATTTGCTTTTCAATTTTTGCGAATTAAGATTTTTTTAAATTTCGAAAAAAAAATTCTATAAAAATTTCTATATAATTTTTTTTTTAAAAAAAAAAATTAACCCCCTCCGTGTGTGAACAAAATTTTTTTTGTTCACTCATGGAGGGGGAGTTAAGGAAAAGCTGCCAGCTTATCAGCTTGCTGGATAATACTCATCCAGTAGAAGAGAAAACAAATTGTAGGTAAATATATTTTTAACTCTTATTTAACGGTATGTCTTTAGTCTACGCTCAATGAAACCTGTATGGAATTTTCTTGTTTGTCGTCTAATTCAACTAGTTTTTCTGTCTTTCTTTTTCTAATGTACTTAACAACCAAAGGCGAAATGGAAAACAAGGCAAGGCATCCTACGAAAATCATATAGATAAACACTGCACTTCAACTGATATTTTGCAGTCCTCCAATCTAAATATTTCTTACAATTATTTGTCCCAACCCTGCACCAAATCCTCCAGCCCCATCCATAATTCCTGCAATTGTAGATTTTGACTCTTCTGGCTGGTCTGCTTGGTCTTGTCCTAAGTCTGCAGCAACGACTGCAGAGATAAATGCAGTCCCTCCTCCTAATGCAAATCCTAGTATCGGGATAACTATGAAAAACATCCAATATACATCAGGTGTTATGCTTCTAAAGATCCCTAATCCTGGAATAGGAATTAGGCAAGCAATCATAGCCGTGATAACTCTGTCTAGATATTTATCGCTTATTCATCCTAAAGTAACAGAGCCAATAACCCCTCCAATGTCAAAAAGTCCTGTTAATGCTGCAACTATTTCTTCACGGAGGTCTTGGTCGGTCTTTAAAAAATACGGAAGCCACATAAGCAGACCATAATTAAGCATTTTTAAGCAGCTAAATGTTAAAGCATATGGTATAACTTTTGGAATTTTCAAAGCTTGAATTGCTGATATGCGCTTCTTTTTGGGTATATTTGGGTTAACTCCCGCTGAATCCTTTGCAAAAACCCAAAAAATGCAACCCACTAGGCATAAGTTGGCGATCAGTACAATTAGGTACTCTTTTCACGAAAAGCCCAAGCTCATTGCTGCAGCTGAAAATTGAGATCCCAAGATATTTCCGACTGCTGCGCAGGACGACCATATACCAAGGATTTTCCCTCTTGATTCCTTAGCAAACCAGTTTCCCATAATAACAACTGTTCCAGGATATATTCCACCTTGCAGGCATCCCATAATCCCAAAAAATATCAAATAAATCGGAGGTTGGTCTATGCTTGACATGATCAAAATCCATACCTAATTGGATGATTACGATTCCCCAAAAGCCGGATGACACAATTAAGCCAAGCGAGACCACAAGAACCCTGCTATAAGAGTCCCCGATTGCCCCAGCTATCATATTCCCAAGAGCGTACATGAATAAAAAAAGCATATCTATAGCGCCGATTCATGTTGTCGAAAAGTGCAAATCTGAGTGGACATGAGGCAAAGCCATAGCCCAGCCTTCTAATAAGGCATGTCTTGACACGGTGCATATAAAGCAGAGCAAAAATATAACGAACTGGTACTTCACGAGAACACCCATTATAAATTATTCGACACATTGTGGGAGATATAAAAACTTCAGCGTCTTATTTTATGGGCAGTCAATAATCAAAGGTTAATTCTTTATTTTGGGCATCCTTTGATTATGCAAGCGTTAAAAATTGGATAAAAGCTCAAGAAGTGCAATATATGATTTTTGGTTATACATCCATTATAATTATAAGCCATTTTATGATTAGAAAAAGATGATAGTTTTCCTCTATTGAAATATTAGCAGGATTATAAATTGATAAAACATTCAGCAATAAAATTATTTTTGAAATACTCAATTTTTGAAAATTAGGTTAATTCCCTCAATTGATTTTAGCTGCTTACAAAATAAATTGCAAATTGAAAGATCTATAAAGAATATCATAAATATTATATAAATTAGTTATCAAAGTTTTTCCTATATGAAATATGAAAATCTTCAGCTTTTATAATAGAAGAATAATTTTCAGCTAGTAAATTTTTGTCAAATTTTTCAAGAAGATATGAAAGATAATTAAATAAAGCTTGAAGTAACTCCCTATAGGAATTATTTATATTCAATCTTTAGCAATCAATATTAAAGGAAGATTATAATTTGAGCAGAAATTTGAAAAAAAATTAAATTTAAATTGGCTTCTTTTGCACTGCTTTATATTTTGAATTGAACCTATTAAATAATAGTCAAATTTAAGTGCCAACTAAGGACTTTAAGAGATTTAGCTAGTAAGATTTTATGAGCAATGCAGCACATATAATATGAAATGAAAAAAACTTTAGCATTGATCAGCAAATATTTCAGCCCATGCGATTATGAAGCAATAAGCTTGAAATTAAATGATTTTTTCTAATAAATTTTGCAGGAGTTTGCAAAATACTTCTAGACTTAAATCTTAAAATTGATGTTTAATAGTCCACCATTTATATGTGATGTTAGCAATAAAATAAGGTTATAGCCAGTCTTAATTGTTCTTATTTAGAACAAATTCTTTTTATGAAATCAGGGCTATAATCTTCTAGAAGGAATAAAATTGCCAATATCCAAATTTTTATTGTCCTTCTAGAAATTTGTTTTTTATAAAAATTTATCTTTGGCAATTTTCCAAGTTAATAAATCGATTAAGTTTTAAATCATTGAGAAGCCCTTAATTGATGAATTAAGCCGGGATCAATCTGGATAATTTGAAATCAGACAAGGAAAGTAGCTCTTGCTTGCATAAATTTGTAAATTAATTTCAATTTAAAAGCATTTCCGCTGAAATTATTATTTATGCGCTGAGATTATGATTATGCCGTTCGCCAGACAGGGCGGGACTTTCCACCCTACACGTTCATCCCTCCTGAGGAGGATTGGCGGACACCCTCCCTGTTGCCGCTAACAGAGGATTCGCACCAGTCTTGACCTCCATGGCTCCTGGGGTCTAAGGTCAACCACATGGGTCGAAACTCCCAATTTCTCGTAAGGCAAATACCGTCTTCAGGCCTGAGGGTCATATTGCCGTTTAGGCGTTGGCAGACCTTGCCCTTTCCAATGGTTGCTCCATAGGAAAAACTCTAAATCCCAAGAATTACTCCTTGAGGCCTGAGGAAAAACCTAGCCTAGCATGTATAAAAGTATCGCTAACCCTTTTCCAACTTAATCTTTATCACTGGGCCGTTGCCTGTAGATGTTGAAGAAACAGGGTCAAGAGGTCGGGTGGTATGTCATCACCATTTTTATGTATATATGCGCTGAGCTAAATTCTTTAATAATGAAAGAATGGGTAATCCTATCCTGTGTCTAATAGCAAAATTGCTCCTTTCCTTTAAATTTTCAAATTTATGCGTGATGAATAAATATTCTTCATAGTGTCCGTTTTTATAAAATACCAGTAGAAAATTTAATATTTTAATATTCCTTATTTAAATTTATGGAGATTTCTCATAGCAACTATCACTTAAAATTTCGTCGAGAAGAATCTCCTAGTCAGCTAAAGAGAGTCAGAGTCCCATCAGATATCCTAGACTCTTCCCGCGTCAAAGGCAAAATCTCTCCTTTCCCTTCTTCAAGAAACAAGCTCTTTGAGTATAAAAACCGACTAAAGCAAGTCAACAGCCTAATAGACAACCAAGAAGACCTCAATTTCCTCGAAAACTCAAAGCAGCAGCACGAAAAATTCCTCAATTCTCTCAAGCATTTAACTTCCTTAATTCCCCTCCTTGATACAAATTATGACATTTCAAACAAAAGAGAGCTCGTGATCACTTTGCTTGAAATCTTAGACTATATTTTTCAGTCTGAACAAAACGAAAAGCATAGCGAGAATACGAAAGATTGCCACGAATGTGGATGCGAAAATTCGAAGAAAAGAGGAAGGTCCATTTCTCCTGGGTGAAAAATGATGGCAAAGGAGCCTGGGAAAAATTATATCGCCAAAACTATTGAGGTAGAAGATAGGCTTGAAAGGTGTCTAAAATGTAATACAGAGGTTATAGGGAGACATACAGGCAGCATTTGTGAATGGTGTCTTGATGGAAATGCAGTGGAAAACCAGTCAGAGTTGGCGGTCATACTTAAAGTTTATTCAAGCGCGCTGATGAATCCTAAATGTACAGACTTGGATTCATCATTTAGCCCAACTAAATCAATCGATATTAAAGAAGGCAGCTTATTACCAAAAAATCCAGAGTGGTTAAACTTCTATATGAAAATTGGAAACAAAGAAGTCAGAATAAGAGACTCTGACAGCATTTTATGCAGAATTCAATATACAAAAGAAACAAAAACCCTCGAAAAGGTCGAAGAAAACTCCATGCCACTTATGGAAACCTTAAGCGTATCCCCTAGAAAGAGATCTCGAAGGCCTCATACTCCATCTTTTATGAAACTAACCCAAGCTTCTGCATCAAAATCCAAACCATTTCGATCTCCTCTTCCAGAGATTAACCCTCAGTCAAGCAAGGAAACTTTGCTACAGAAAATTTTGAACTTAAAAAGCCAAGGCAGAACTATTTTGAAAAACCTAGACAATACATTAGATGAGCAGTTTAATTTTACAAATGAAAAGCTGAATGGGGTTAAAGAGTATTGCAATCAAATTTTAACAGCTTATTCAAGGCAAATCAGAAGCCTGATAACTGGGATTTTTGAATTTTTACCTGAATACTCTATGGGTGTTGAAAAATGCTTCAAAGGAATTGTATTGCTCTGCGATTTCATTTTGGATTGGTATAAAAATGAAGTAGAAAGCATGAAAGACCTGATTTCTTTACAAGGCGGAAAAGACAATCAGAAAAAGAACTACAAAAAGATCATTGATGAGCTCAGAGAGGAGCACTTGAACTATAAAATAAAGCACAAATCCAAAGCTTCGAAAATGAAAAACTGCATCAGCAAGTATAAGCACTTGATCAAACTTTACGAGATGGAACTAAACCGAAATTTAAGCGAAGATTAATGTAAATATACAGATTTACTATGAAAAGCAAAAACTAGATCTAAATTAGACTATTTATCATATATCTGCATATTAAAAATTAATAAATTTCAGCTATTTTTCATTTTCGGTTTATTTATCATGCCTTGAATTAAAGAAAATTTTATTTCTTTTACACTAAAACATGGACCTATAAAACATTGACCATGAATTTCAAAGTAGTTTGCAATTTTTATCTTATTAACTCCCTCCATATGTAACGTTTTTAATAAATCTGTCCTTTTCTTATAATTTAATTGTTATCTAATGATATCTCCGATCTCCATAACAATAGACGACATTGACAGTGCCGCCAACCAATTTCTCAATCCTACTATTTTCGATCTTAACTTCGGGAGCATCACAAATAACGATAATTTTGTGTATGTTGGGACCAATTCAGGAGATATCAAAGTCATAGACTTAGCCAACAAAGTCCAGACCTCGCTCGAAAAAACAGGCTCAGAGCACCGCCGAAGCACAAAATCCTTCGCAGTTAAAACAGGTGTTGAGCTTGAAGTCCTTTTGGATAAACACAATGAAGAAGTCAGCTGCATAAAAGCGACTAGCGATAATAACTACCTGGTCTCTGGCTCCTATGATGGAACTGTAAAGTATTGGAGCCTCTACAACAAAACAGTCATTTCAAGCATGGACCTACATTCTCCAGTCAATTCTATTGATATTTCTTCTAATAATGAGTTTATTGCAGCTGGAACTGCTGATGGGATCGTCCACTTGTGGGTTTTTGAAAAAAATCAAGCTTTTCAGCTCACAGGGCATGCGGGAGGGGTCACGAAGGTCGCTTTTACTAATGACTGCAGATATATCGTCTCGGTCTCAGAAGACACTTCATGCAGGATATGAAATGTGCAGGAGAGGGCTGAGTATAAGTCACTGGTAGAGCTAGGAGTCATCAGCTTTTTCCAGCTGACAGAAGACAGCAAATACATTATTGCGATCTCTGAATACATTTTTGTGCAGATTTATAACATTGAAACTTGCCAAACAAGTTCAAGAGAAGGAAACGCTGCCCAAATCACGTGTCTCGCTGTGTCAAAAGATAGCGAATGGGTAGTTACAGGCTCAAATGATAATCTTTTAGTGGTGTTCTATATTAATGAGACTGAAAAAAAATTGACGTATGAAGGGCATAATGGCGAGGTTCTCTGTGTGGACATAACAAATGATAACAGGTATATTGTGTCAGCTTCATATGACTGCACTATGAGGGTTTGGGACGCAACGGAAAACAATAAGCAGGTTTATCAGTTTGACGGAAATGAAGCACATAATAAGTATATAAAGATTTGTTGTGATAACAGATTTATTATATGTGGATCGTATGACCACAGAATTAGAATATGAAGCACAGAAGAGTTGGGAAAAGAAAAGGTACTGAGAGGACATGCAGGCGAAGTAAAGCATTTGATTGTGACAAGAGATAACAAATTTTTGGTATCAGCTGGATCTACTGATAATACAATAGTAGTGTGAAATGCACTGAATAATAAAAGGGAGGCAAGTTTAACTAGTTGCGAGGCAGAAGTCACTGCACTTGCTTTATCCAGCGACAGTAGTTATTTGATTTCAGCTTCAAAAGATGAAAAACTGCAAATGTGGAAATTTGATGACTTAAAAAAAGGGCCTACAGTGAAAGACATCCATGCCAAAATAATTATACTGCAAAGGCTGTACGATTTTTATTTTAGGACATTCTCTCGCCTATTTGTTAGAAAAATTTTTACAGTGAGAAAAATTCCTGAAAAGATCAAAGTTTTTTTCGGACATGAGAAAAAATTTCAAACAAATAATTTAGAGGAAATGTCTTTTAGTGAAAAGCTTTAAGCTACGTACTGCAAATAGCTCTTGATAATTTACAAGTTGTAGCAGCCTCAGTAGAACACAAAATCCACATCTGAAATCTCCTCGATCCCGAGTATGAAGCAGTTCTTTCAGGACACACAGACACAATAAACGCTCTCCTATTAACTACAGACAGCCAAAAAATAGTCACGGCTTCCAGAGATAACACACTGAGAGTTTGGAGTCTTGAAAGACCAAGAGAAATCTTCATTTTAAAAGGCCATGAAGATCATGCATTTTGCCTCCAATTAACAAGAGATAATGAATTCGCCATTTCAGGAGGAGACGACAGCAATATCATAATCTGAAACCTTATCACTTATGAGCTCGTCTCTACCCTCAAAGGCCATAAAAACGAAATCAAGTGTCTACAATTGACAAGTTAAGTTAATATTTGAAAAAGCGGAGTCAGCCATTATCCATCGCCTTGCTTGGCTCCAAAGAAGGAAGCCTCAATATACATAAGAGTGCAAATGAGTGAAATGGAAGTCTGCCCTTTTCTAAACCACCTATCCAAGGGATTAGTTTCCTAGGCAGAGCAATGGCTGGAATGTGCCCAGATTGCCCTGAAAGGAAAGACATGTGGTAGGCAGAGACAGGAAAATCTGCGGGGAGAATCAAAACTTCCCTCTTCGATGGGCATATTCAAACCTGAATGCCTACTTCAAAAAGGGACAGAGGCCGGATGGGATAGGAGTCCAATTTTCATCAATGTCATCGTTATATTTCTTTACAATTGACAAGAAATCAGCAATTCATTGTATCTGGCTCGAATGATAAAACTATAAGAATTTGGAACTTCTATGAGAGAATCCAGGTATGTGTGCTTAGAGGACATGAAAGAAGAGTCCTGAGCGTAGAAATTACTAACGATGATAAGTATATTGTTTCTAGCTCTGATGATGGGACTGTCAGAATATGGAATTTTGATGAAAGACGCCAAGAAAGGCTGCTAAAGGCACATGAGTCTGTGATCCACTGCTTAAAAATCTCAAGTGATGATGAATTTATTGCGACTTCGTCAAAGGACCAAAGTATTAAGATTTGGAAAATTGATGATGTTATAGTCAGGCCACAGTTCAGCATAAACGGTATGCAAGGGATCAAAATTTATGGCTACGACTCAGGGATCCTGAACCAAATCTACATAAAGAAGCTCACCAGTAGGCAGCCTCCTGATGACACCATGATAGCCGCTGTCATTGGGCCTATGAAAATCAGTCTTCTCCATTATTATTGCTATTTCGACTTAGTTGAGCACGTAGTAAAAGCACAAGAAATGGGTGCCCTTATATTCAGAGACAACTTTGGCCGAAGTCCGCTCTTTTACGCAATGTCCCGAAAATCCAGGAGATGTCTCGACCTTCTGTTAAACGACATCATTTTTTGCAAAAATTATGACACTTTAGAGCAATCCATGCACGCGTTGAGAGACGACATAATAAAAGTGTTGGACTCCCATTCCACACAAATAGTCCCATTCCTTGAAGCAATTTTCCGGAAAAGAGACGACGATGACTACATTTTATTTGCAGCTCCTAAAGGAGAGCTCCCTATCACAAAATTTTCGCATACGATTTTACCTAGAATTGAGGACTTTATATGTGACCAAGAAGAGCAAACGAATGAGACAGAATTTTTGGTGCAAATGTGAACTAGTCCTCTGAGCTGAAACTTCCAAAATGGCTCGAGGGAAAGCATTAAATTTCTAAAAGCAATTATAGAGTGCCCTATAATTGAGATATACGAGACACCTTTTATTAAGTCAATTATCAGGCTCAAATGGGACTCTTTTTATTACTTCAACCTTTTCTTGACCTTTATATATGCAATGAATATTGTGTTCCTTTCTTGGATTCTGTCACTAAACGGGACAGCTGATATCGGGCTTTTTATTGCATATTGGATTATTAATGTATTATTGATGGCTTATGAAGTTTTCCAGATGTATTCGTCAGGATGGGGATATTTCTTGAGTGCGATAAACTATCATGATATTGTGAGATTAGCGCTGAGCTTTACTTGAAGTATAATTGGTGCAACTGGCAATTTTTATGACGGGCTTTCCTTTTTTACTGTAATCGCGAATTTCTTAACTTTACCTTTAATTTGGAACAAAATATCTATAGGCATATCCTTTAGATAGCCTATATAAAAAATTTCCATTTTTAGGTAATTTAGCTCCCTTTAAATTAACAGGATTTTTCGTTAAGAGGGAGTAAGAGGGCTGGTCTACTTCAGAACATTTGACAAAACAAGATTTTACGTCAGACTGATCATTCGAGCTGCCTTTGACACAGTAACTTTCCTAATGATTTTGCTGTACTCCACATTTGGATTTGCTGTTCTTTATGTTTCAGCAACCAACCGTTTTGACATCGAATCTGCCTGGAAGGCAAGCTTTGAGCTAGACATGGGAGGGTTTGCAAATGATGGCTTTGACTGGGCTGAGTACTCAACTTTTACATTGGCTTCAATCCTTAACGTTATCCTCATGCTGAATAATTAATATGGTGGCGGTGGCGAAAATATGTCCTGACGGAGGTCGCACCACTCCGGGCGCCAAAATAGTTTATAGCCTAAACCAAGGAAAAACCCTTTAAATATAAACCCTTAGCATTGCCTTGAGCATGCCGTGAGGGGTGGGTAGTTCTTGGGAGTCAGCTGGTGCCATTCCAGTCCGAAGTATTAATTATCTGGATGGTTTTTGGCTACGGGTTCTTTCCCTACCGGTTCCGGAGGGCCGTAGACTTTTTTCCCTTGGTGTCACAAGTCCTCGAGGTGGCCGTCAGGAGGGCATTGGGCTAACCTTTGCCTCCATAGCACCGAAAGATGTAAGCACAAGAGGAGTCTCCCTAGCCCGTCGAGACTCATGGACATCGGTGCAAGCCCCAGGCCCCGGGAGTAGACTGCTGTTGAGACAGGATTCAGGCGACTGAATTTCTCTGGCAAGCAAGGCCCAGTGGTCGCAAGCGTGCGAATCAAATCTGGAATACTTTAAGCCCTTTAATCTTAATCATGCTGAATCTGCTTATTTCAATTCTCGGCAAGTCCTTTGACGACTTTCAGCAAAGCCAAGTTTCGATGGACACCAAAGAAATGCTTGATGTCGTCATCGAGTTCGAGTCACTGATGTTCTGAGCAAGGCATCGAGGTAGTAGAACTTATTTGCAAAAGCTTGACTATTTCAAGCAAAATAAGCGGGACAAAAAGGAAGGAAAAACTCAAGTTCTTGAAGACGAGTTCGAGAGGCTCAAAAATTTTTTAAGGGATATTCAGGCTGAAAAAGCAGAGTATATCAAAAAGAAAGTTAGCGAACAAATAAATGATAAATTTACGCAATTTGATAAGAGGCTGATGGCTTTGGAGAGACAAATGCAGAGTCAAGAAGGCAGATTGAATGACAAGCTTCAAGCAATTCTTACCTCAGTGCAATCAGTTCAAGCATCCTATGGACAGTAGTGCTTAGATTTAATGGTTTAAATATAATATGGAAACATATAATTTTGGATTAAAATTTTTTTGGCAGCTACTTCTCTTCTAGACTAAGCTTTCAGAGAAAGCGGTACTGTATACCAATCAAAAATGGCTTATATTCAAGCTGATATTATTTATAATGGATGAAGAAGTTTGTATTATAGGTGGTGGTGCAGCAGGAATAATTTCTTGTAAAATTGCTAAAGACTATGGCCTTGTACCTTGTGTGATTGAAAAGTCCAATTCATTTGGAGGTATTTGGAAAAATTCTGATGAAGAAATAGGAGTATGGAATAGCTTGCGGACAAATACTTCCAAATATTTTACATGCTTTTCCGATATGCCATGACCATCGTCGACTGATCCCACCCCACCCAATAGAGAAGTTATGGACTATTTTTTATCTTACATTAGGTCTCATTCACTAATTGATAATTTTCTCTTTAACTGCAAAGCGACTTTTGTCAACAAAACTCAAGAAGGCTACTCTGTAAGGTGACAGAACACTGTAACTGGGCAGATTTTCGAAAAAGATTTCCCTTATGTTATTGTAGCAAACGGCTTCCACACAAAAGAAATATTCCCTGTTGATGATTGCTGTTTATTAAAACTGAAAAATTTACACAGTGGAAAATACAGAGACCCCTAGCTTTCCCTTTGAATTGGAACAAAAATCCTATTCCAATTTAAAGGAGGTGATTTTTTTTAAAAAAAATTATATTAAATCTTTCTTTGTATAAAATTTGAAAATAAATAAATCGAGTAAAATATTTGAATTTTAATTTATTTTTTAAAGAATTATTCAGTGTGAAACTGTTTGAATAGCATTATAGTTGCCTTTTTAAATTAGAGCTAATTTTATAAAATTAGTATTTTCACATATAAAATTTTGGTATTGAAAAAATTTATACCGGTTTAAAGTGGGGTTAAAAGTGCCCAAAAAAGGAAATTTATCTATATTTTGTTCCAATTTAAATGGGGAGTAAGGAATTTATTGGGCAAAAAGTTGTTATAGTTGGCGCTTCCACAAGTGCTTGTGATATAGCCGAAGATTTAGCAAACTATGCAAGCGAGGTCATACAAGTAATTAGAAAGCCGCATTATTTGCTGCCTAAATATTATCATGGCATACCTATTGATTTTTTTAGTAAAACAAAATCACTCCAAAACTGATTAATTTCACGAGAATCTGTGGAAATTGGGCAAGAAATGAAGAAAGGATTTCGCCGACTGGCTGAGAATCCAGGACATCCAGATTTAGTTATTTTGCCGGAAGATGAGCAGTCTAATTCTTTTTCGATAGTCAACATTAACTATAAAAAATGTTTGGAAGATGGCAAAATCCAAATTATCAAAGGAAAACCGATTAATTTGACAGAAAATAGCTTAGTTCTTGACAACGAAAGAGAACTGGAAGCTGAAGCAGTCATTTGATGCACTGGCTATGAAGCTGATTTGACATTTTGTGATGAGAAAATATTGGAAATCCTTAATTATGATGGTCATGACAATGTTCTCCCAGCTGTGAGCTTTCTAAATACGATCCACCCTGATCTTCCAGGATTCGGCATCATCGGCATGCTCAGAGGAGTTTTCATAGGAACTTATGAGCTACAAGCAGAATTGATCATGCGATATATAAAGAATTTAACTAATTTAACTGAGCGCACTTTGAGAGAAGGTGTTGAGCATGAGCTTCGCCTTAGAAGAGCCATCCCAAAGCCACAATATATATACTATTCTCTAGAGTTTACAGAGAGACTAATGAATGCGCTGAATTTTAAAGGCATTGAAAGTAATAGTGATACCCAAGATATCATAAAATTCAGGGATATTTTATATCTTCCTCAGTTCTATAGGTTAGACAAAGGTGAGAGTCAGTTGATTCTTTGTAAACAGGTCATTGATGAGCTAAAAGAAAGGTTTTATATTCACGAAGAGACGCTTACTGAATTATTTTTCTCAAATCAATAATTACTATTGTTAACAGCTAACTAATAGAAATTGAAATAAAATTGCATAATTAGGAGATATTAACATAGAAATAAATGCAAGTCAGTTTAGCATGACTCATAAAATGGATAAAATTACTTATAAACCTGTTCATAAACGATATTTATCGCTCTCGATTTCTCCACGGTCTCGAAGCTACTACGGAACAGTTGAGTCACTCAGCAAAAACTGTAAGAATTTTCAAGATAACTCATTGCAAAAAGAAGTCCTCCGCAAAGAGCTCAATTCAAAACTGAACATAAATTTGCAAGAAAAGCATAAAAATGTAAAAGAAAAAGTGAACTATTTCAAGTCAATCGCTGACAAAGCAGCATTTTTAGACTCTCAGCTGCTGCTAGTCAAAGAAGAAATGATAAGACTTAAAAAGGAATCTCAACAAATGGAAAAATCAGCTACGAAAATACAAAAAGTCACCAGAGGGTATCTAATTAGGAAAAAATATGAAGACGTACTTGCTACTTACTTTTCTCCTTCTGTAAGCAAGCAAAAAAAATCAAATAATGCCTTCAGAAAATTAGGGGTGAGGCGGAAAAAACCCCGCTGGGTTTTTTTCCGCCAACTTTTTCACCTTTAAATTTATAGGAAAATTTTGAATTTTCTCCAGATGGCGGAAAAAAACCCCCCATAATAAAAAAAAAAGTAGTGGCGGAAAAAAAAAAACCCCAGCGAAAACAAAAACCGTCAAAGCCAGAGGAAAAAAACCCCAAATGGTGCTAAAAACGGAGGAAAAAAACCCCAATATACAATATAATTAAATGCTTAAAATGATAGGCAAATATTAGAGAAAATACAAATAAATATTTATAATTTAGTTACAATAAATCAATTAAAACAATATTAATATATAGATGTATAGATTTATTCTCAAAGTAACTATAAAGCTATGATTAACAAAAATAATGGAAAAATATAAAAATCAACTATAAAAAAAAAATTTACATTCAAAACCTGGCGGAAAAAAACCCCGAAACGGTGCAAAAACCAGAGGAAAAAACCCCGAGTATGGGGTGAAAATTGGCGGAAAAAAACCCCCAATTTTTTTTTTCAAATATTATCAGCGAGGATAGATTTTTAATGCTTATTACCTATTAATTAATTAATTAATTATTAAGCTAATTCATTCTAATTTGTCAATCTATGAGCTATTTATATATTGCTAAATCATTCAGCGTTCTAATTATAAAAAGTTATTTGAATAATAAACAAGAAGGTGAAAAATTTACTTTAATACTATCCAATACTAAACCATATATTTACTTTCGATGCATCATGTACTATAGAGGTTTCCTCTATATAGCGCTAAAAGCGCAGACATTTTCCCAGGAGCTTTCCAAGTTCGTCGGACCAAATCGCTTTTTGGTCCGACCAAGGCATTGATTTGGTGCAACCTACCGATAAATTCCGATCAGAATTTATCGGCCTTACAGCGCCAAACATAGGAAACTTCTATAGCTCATCTTGTATTCACTTGCGACACAAACTGCACTAGCTCATCTTGTGTCAACTTGTGGCACATCCTGTTCTTGCTTATTTTTGTATTCGCCTGCGACACATCCTGTAGAGATCATCCTGCATCCAACTGCGATATATCCTATATAGATCGTTATGAAAGAATACCTTAAGAGGTAAAATAGCGATCTTACAAGTCAAAATGGCAATGACAATTGTTATTTTTATAGCAATTACAGATTTGGCTTTGCAAACTTTTTCTATAGATTGTATTTGTCAAGCCAAACGTGAACTGGCCATACAAATGGTCTTTGCCATTGTTAGATGAATTTTTTAGATAGCTACTTTTGATCTTTAGATATTGTTCTACAGAGATCAAAATAACATATAGGGGCTATGCCAGTTTAACTTGTATCCACTACGACAAATCCTGTACTAGCAAAACGTGCATCCGCCTGCAACGCATAAGACTAGCTCACCTTTTATTCATCCTCGACATATCCTGAAAAGCTCATAATAAAGGAAGCATATAAACTTAGTCTTAACCTGATTGATGAGACTGGAGCAAATATGCTGAATTGTATCCGTTCACCCATTGTATTGAATATTTATAAATCCACAAACATAACGATGACACCCTCAATCTTCATGTCTATTGCAACAAAAATTTTTCGAAAAAATTTTCATGCCTACTCAACACAACATTTTTATAAAAAAAACATTTAATGCATTTTTCTCTAGGTGAGTTTCTCAAAAAAAAACCATAAAACAGCGTTGCTGTAGACGTATCAATGACCTTCTCATCAAGATTTGGACGGCTATTGCAATCGCTCGCCATTTTATTAAACTTATCTAGCAAAAAAGTACGAAAAAATTTAAGATGCGCATCGAAAATTTGTTGCAAGCGACATGAAAATTATTTTTTCTATATAAAATTTTTATATTAAAAAATTGCATTTTTGTTGCAATAGACATGAAGATTGAGGGGGTGTCATCGTTATATAAAAATCTATCCTCGCTGATAATATTTGAAAAAAAAATTATTATAAAAAAAAAATATTGGGGGTTTTTTCCGCCAATTTTCACCCCATACTCGGGGTTTTTTCCTCTGGTTTTTGCACCGTTTCGGGGTTTTTTCCGCCAGGTTTTGAATGTAATTTTTTTTTATAGTTGATTTTTATATTTTTCCATTATTTTTGTTAATCATAGCTTTATAGTTACTTTGAGAATAAATCTATACATCTATATATTAATATTGTTTTAATTGATTTATTGTAACTAAATTATAAATATTTATTTGTATTTTCTCTAATATTTGCCTATCATTTTAAGCATTTAATTATATTATATATTGGGGTTTTTTCCTCCGTTTTTAGCACCATTTGGGGTTTTTTTCCTCTGACTTTGACGGTTTTTGTTTTCGCTGGGTTTTTTTTCCGCCACTACTTTTTTGTTATTATGGGTTTTTTTTCCGCCATCTGGAGAAAATTCAAAATTTTCCTATAAATTTAAAGGTGAAAAAGTTGGCGGAAAAAAACCCAGCGGGGTTTTTTCCGCTTCGCCCGAAAATTAGCTTCCATCAAAAATTTTTTTTCTATGATAAGTGAAATTATATCAAATTTAAATTTTGTAATTGGATTTTTTATCGAAAATTAAAAAAAAAAATTGCTTGCTGTTGATGGCGGAGCTAGGAAATCACTGAAATCATAAACAAAAAAACCATTAACTGCTTAGGAAATTTAAGAAGGCAAAACGATTATATGATTTTCGGTGTCGGTCTAATGCCTGACATCGCAGCAAAAAGAATACAAAAATTGTGCAAAATTTACATTTTTAGGAAAAAAATATTCAGGCTTCAAAATGTTTATGAAATTCTTTATGAAGCAAAAGTAATCCATGCCTATAAAACTTTGGTTCCTGTAATGCAAAGGTTCCACGCAAAAGTTTGTGTTATGTTAGCAAGGCAAGAAAGTAATAAGCAAAAAAGGCTTAAAGAAATAAGAGAAAAAATTGCAATATTTAAAATCAGAAGATTTTATAAAAAGAAAAAGCTTAACTTTAGGCTTCTAAGACTAAAAGTCAAAAAATGGCGAAGACAAGTGAGGCTCAGACCAATGAGGAAAAAAGCTGTTATGGAAATCTTTAAAAAAGTAGCATTAGACGCTAAAGGAGAGCTGGAAAATAAGGCAATTTCTCAAGAAAATCAGCTTACGATTCCACAGCCTGAAACTATTGAAAAATCTCCAACTCCAGAAAGCGTTGATAATGAAGATGCCTTAAGTGCGGTAGACTCTCAAGCAGAGCCTGACGAAGAAGCAATTGCCAGACAAAAACTTCTAAAAGAGCTTGAAGAGCTCAGAAAAGCAAAATTAAAAATATCAGGAATCACTTATAACTGTAAAAAACTGCAAGAGTCAAGACTTTTACCTTATTTAATAAAAAGAGAGGCTAACTCGCAGCAAGAATCACCTACCAATTTATTTATATCCCTTCCAATCCCTGACAAAAAAGTGCCAAAACTGCCTGAAAGATCAATAACCACCAAAAATGCCCGAAAAATCAATCCATTCGAGGAGCCAAATTACATGAGGCAAACTATGTGCTTTAGCCGAAGAAGATGGGACGCTGAGCTTATTTTTGAAAATGAAGAGGACGAAGAAAAGTCAAGCAAAACAATTGACATGAAAAGCATTGAGAAAATCTCGAAGCCAACCACAGCCTTCCTACAAAAAATTTCAACCCCAAGAAAATGGTCACCAGAGAATCAGAAAATCTGGAGACCAAACACCCAATATGAGCCTGAGTATATCGGCGGTATCGATAACCCTCATTTTATGCCGAAGCTCAAAACTTTTTCCAAAATCAGCACCGCCACTCATTCACCGTCGCTGAGGACACACTCAAATTTAACAGAAGTTCATACCGAATCACTCACTTCAAATAATTCACCTGAAAATAAAAAATTCAGCCCTTTTTCGCTAACATTCCAAGGAGCTTTGCCTGAGTTATCATCTTTTATTACTCAATATAGCCCTAGCAAGTATCGAGTGTAATAATTAATCGCGATAATCTATTAATACAAAGTTATATAATGAACATTTATCTGACTTAATTAAATATATTGATCAAGAACAAAGCGCAGAGAGTTCTTTACACAGCATCAAGCCAAAATGCCTCAAATGATTGAGGCTACTAAAGCTGAAGTGGAATTTTTGAAGCAGCATAAAATTTTATTAAGAATATCTGTTGATAACTATAAAAGTCAAGCCCAGCATTTTAAAAAAAGATCTTTTACCAATGATGAGACATTTGCAAAGTTCTCAGAAATTAAATGAGCATACTTCCCCGACCTTATGAAATGGCCTTTAAAAACTCTTACTCCCCCCCGCTCCGTGAGTGAACAAAACCATTAGAAAAATCGCTATTTTTTGCCCAAAAACCCACCCTCCGTGAGGAAACAACGGAAAAAAAAAAATTTGATATATAAATGATAATTATTATAATGAAATCTAGAGCTAATTCTGTTTAATTTTAAAACTAATTGCTTTTTAAAAACATAAATTTTATAAATTAAATTAATATTTGCTTTCCAATTTTTGCGAATTAGGATTTTTTTGAATTTCGAAAAAAAATTTTTTTAAAAAAAATAAATTAACCCCCTCAGTGAGTGAACAAAATTTTTTTTGTTCTCTCACAGACGGGGGGGGGAGTTAAAGACTTGGAATACAATGAAATAACTGATGAAACAATAAATGCTTTAACATTGTTTAAAAATCAAATTAGCCAAGCTAAAAATGTTTCTTTTTTTATGACAAATTGTTGAATTGGATTTCTATCACCTATGATTAGGCTGCTACAATAAAGACGAATTCCCGACCATTTCTAATTTCAAAGAAGTAGAAAAGCTTGCCAACGAAGACTACACTGAAATAAAAAAAAGTTAAAAGAAATAGGCTTTCTAATCAGACATAAAGAGAAGGAATCCGGTTAGAGAAAGTCAAACAAATTTATGATAATATTTATATTAATCAGTAAATTAACTTGGCATCTGGAAAAATGATGAAGTGGCTTTCTTGACGATGCTTTGCATTGCAGGCGAATTAAAGTTGAGGAAGCTGTCTCGCAGAATTTGCCCTGTGTATCCAGATTCTTTTCCAGCATAACTGTAATAAGTTGCAATTCCTTTGAGCTCTAACACTTTAACTGTATCTTGGATTAAGAAAAACACAATATCATAGCCCCAGATAAATCCAGCAAGTCTCCATGAAATAGACTCCATATTCGGAATACTGCTCGAGTCATTAATCACATTGAGCCACCAATAGCAAGAAAAGATTGTTGCCACAAAGCAGGCAAATATAAAGGCGAAAATCAATATCTTGCTTGGTGTCCTGGTCCAAAAGAATCGGCTTGTTCTTGCTGCAAATAGTGTCAAGAAGTCGCTAATGGATACCTTCAAATATAATGCAGTGAGGATTTCTCCATAAGTAAAAGTGCTGATATCAAAGCCTTTAAAGAAGTCTGAAGGGTCCTCATGGTCCATATGCATCAGCATTAATAACACCAGTATAATAGAAGATACCAAAGCAATAGATCCAAGAGTGCAGGAATTGAAGAACATAAGGGTCAAGTTCCATTTTTCAGGCTTTTGTGATACCGTCACTTTATCATATGCAATAGAAATAATTGTACCGTCATTAAGTACTGTAATAAGGACAATAGCTATAACTGGCAAGGCAAAAGTGTTAGGAACATCGTCACACCAAGTGTCTTTCGGGTCTTTTGGCTTGCAGTCGTAGTCGCGGCTTGGATTTATAGCACACATTGTAATGAAGAAAAATAAAAGAAGCTGCACCGTGCAGGCTACTCGATATATACAATAATTATTCATTCTCTGATAAATCTTCCTGGCCCTGTATATGGCTTCGATGATGACTGAAAGACCTGCAGAGGTCAACACAATATCAGCAGCAGCCCTAGCTGCATCAGTTGCTCCGTCTACAGCAATTCCTACATCTGCCTGCTTGAGTGCAGGTGCATCATTAACTCCGTCTCCGGTCATCCCCACTCTGAATCCCATCTCTTGCAAGATTTTTACAATCCCAAACTTGTGCTCAGGGAAGACCTCAGCAAATCCATCAGCCTCTTCAACAATTTTATTAACCACTTCTTTTTGGGCTATGGTGTTTTCTGTATTCAGCACTTCAGAATTGTACACTTTGTCACCGAGCCCTAAGATGTGGGCTGTTTCTTGGGCAATGGCAAGCTGGTCACCTGTGATCATTTTTACTTTGACATCCATTTGTTTTGCTTTTTGGATCGTTTCTTTGGTGTCATCTCTAGGAGGATCATATAGAGGAATCAGGCCAATCATGTCCCAGCCGCCGTCTTCGTCAGATCTGGCGACTCCAATTGTCCTGTAGCCTCTTGAAGCTATATACTGTACTTGTTTAGAAACTTCATCAACCAAGCTTGGGTCGTTGGACATTCTCAGAATCACCTGAGGAGCTCCTTTTGTGCATTTGAATATTTGGCCAGTTACTTTGTCCTTTATGGTTGCTTCAGTTCGTCTATTACTTGGGTCAAATGGGACGAATTCGAGCTCTTCGAAATGGTCAAATTTGATTTCCAATGTTTTGGTGGCGTACTCATAGATGGTTTTATCAATTGCATCTTGTGAGGCAGCTTCTTTTTTGGATGCAAGACCTGCAATAATAAAAATGTCTTCTCTTGTGTTTTTCTTTAAGGCGACAGGATGCTTCACTGTAAGCTGGTTCTTGGTGAGAGTCCCTGTTTTATCACTGCACAGAATTTGCATTCCTGCGAGTTCTTCAATTGAGCTTAGCTTACTTACAATTGCTTGGCGCTTGGCTAATGCGTGGGCACCTACAGCCATTGTGGCTGTGCAGACCACTTGTGTTGCAATAGGAATTGATGCTACAAGGATAACGACACATATAGCAAGAGTTTCTAGGAAGGCATTTCCTTTGGTTATAACAACGATTAAGATAATGGTGACCAGGACAAAGGAGACAACCATCAAGATCCCTGTCACTTTTAATATTATTTTTTGAAAGTTTCCTCTGTTTCCTGTTGCTTGACCGACCAAAGTAGAAGTTTTTCCAAAAAATGTGTTTGAGCCTGTTGCAGCTACAATCGCTTCTAAGTCTCCTTTTTTGCAAATAGAGCCTTGATAGACCATTTCTCCTTCAAACTTTGTTACTGCCAAACTTTCTCCTGTCAAGGAAGACTGGTCAATTTCTGCAAACCCAGGTCCTAAAATCGAGTCTGCAGGAATAATGTCTCCCAGTTTAATATTAATTCTGTCGCCTTGTACAAGTTCTCTAGACAAAATGGTAGTTCATTCTCCGTCTCTCTTCACTTTTGCCTTTGGTGCTAAGTTTTTCTTCAAAGCTTCTATTGCATTTCCTGCGTTTTTTTCTTCGTACCAGCCAACAAAGCCATTGAAGAATTGGAGAATGAACAGAACACAAAAATCGATGTATGACAGTCGGATTAGCTCTATTATAAAGGCAATTCAGATCATAATTGGCATCGGTCCCCAGTAATATGACAAAAATTTAAGGAAGGGGTTGACTCTCTTTTCAGGTAGTTCGTTTGGCCCGTCTCGCTCGAACCGTCTATGTGCTTCTGCCGATTCAAGCCCTTCTGGCCCAGTTTGTATATCTTCAAGTTGCTGAGGAGTGAGTTGCAATTTTTCCTTTTTTTCTTCGTCTTCCCTCGAAGAGTGCCCTGAGGTGTTATTTTGTTCTGCAAGCTCGATCTCATCTTCACTAAGAATGTGCTGCTCGTCTGCTTCCATAGTTTTATAGGCCAGCCAAAATATGGAACGCTTATCATATTTAGCGTCCAGTAAAGAAAAAAGAAATGAACACTTTTACCGAATGCAATGTGATTTATTAGAAAACTCATAAGCATATCAATTTATAGAAAATAAAACAGTTACATGAAGAAAACAAATAAACGACACAAATTTTTGAAAAGAAATTGGATAATGGGCTTATCTTTTTAAAAAGGATCATTTAATTTCCTCTCAAGCATATATTTTAAATAAAGAAGTAAGAGAAAAAGACAATTAAAAATTGGTTATGAATTAATACTTGATTCATAAAGGAAATATAAGTGATATTTGCTATGTTCCTTCATCACTGGTTTTTTACTGGCTCGAAAAATAGCTAATTTGCTGAAATAATCAAATTTTGAAATTCCCTATCTGAATTGAAACATAAAGTGTATACTTTTGAATTCATTGAATTCTTTGAATTTATTTAAGGAAATTTATTAGATTAACTTTTCTATTATTTATTTTAATTATTACCTTTCAGGCTTAAACACTGAAAAATATTTCAAAACTGTATTCAGCTATTTTGCTGTTACTAATTTTATAGCGAAATCTTTTCTCAAAATTGTTGATTTGGATATGATCTCAGCAATAAGCGATTGCAATTTATTGAAAAATATTATATAAAAATTAACTTCATTTATCATCTTTGCTTAAAGATGATGCCTATTTAAAAGCGCATGGTATTAACTCCATCTTAGTTTCCGAGAATGGGTTTTTTAAGCAAGGAGCGTGAGTTTTTTTCATTAAAACGATTTTTTTCGAATTTTAACAATAAAGATCATTGATATTTGAGATAAAATTTTAATCATTTATAAATTAATCTTAATATAATCATTATATATCAGTCAATCTATTAAAGTTTGTCTCTATTCCATGTCACAAAATTGAAGCTTCCTTTAATCAGCTTTTCACAGTTCGCCTCTCTACAAATCCAGCCAGACATTGATCTCCAGTTTGAATGGCCAATCGGGCCTTTAGATCCTTAGATGAACACTATTACATCTCTTGAGCTTGCGTCCTTCAAGCACTCTAAAGGTCCCAGCTTCTACCGTATTTGATTATTGCCTAATAGCAGGAGAAGCTCTGCAATACGCATTTTAGGCTTTTACTTCCTTGCCAGAGCCCAGATATATTAGCCAGATAAGCATATCTCATAATTATAATTTGCCAAAAGAGGGTTCTCCATTTTGAAGACAGAAAATTAATGATACTAATATTTTGATTATCATAAATTATATATCAAAAACATTAAAACTTTTCACTAGCGAATTGATTTAAATTTACCAAAAATAAGCTGCTCAATAGCTAAAGAAAGGAAAGAAATGTCTTAACTCCCCCCCCCCCCTCCGTGAGCGAACAAAAAAATTTTGTTCGCTCACGGAGGGGGGTTAATTTTTTTTTTTAAAAAAAATTTATATATAAATTTTATAAAAAATATTTTTTTCGAAAATTTAAAAAAATCCTAATTTGCAAAAATTGGGAAGCAAATATTAATTTAAATTTGCAAAATTTATGTTTTAAAAACGCAATTTGTTTAAAATTAAACAGAATTAGCTCTAGATTTCATTATACTAATTATCACTTATATATCAAAATTTTTTTCCATTAAAATTTTTTCTATTAAAAAAAATTTTTGTTCACTCACGGAGGGTGGGTTTTTGGTCAAAAAATGGCGATTTTTCTAATGGTTTTGTTCGCTCACGGAGGGGGGGGGGGGAGTAAGCAAAAATTTATTTAATTAATTGTGCTTGCATTGACTTCAAAATTAAAGATCAAGGACTCTTATTATATAAATTATTTGGTATTAATTGAATTCTAAAGCAAATAGCAGTCATTTTGTGCTTAAAATCTCAACTAAAATCTTTTATGCATTATATCTTTTCGATGTTGGTTATATAAGTCATTTCTATAATCTATAAAATAAAAGGGAGCTCAAAAATAGTTAAGCTTGAGAAGACTCTTTTTATAGGGACTTGACTTATTTTTGCTCAATATTAATTCATTCATAGATTCTGTCTATAATTCTAGGAAAATATAAAGTTAGTATCCTAAAATTAGAGCTTGCCTTGAAAAGATTTCGTTTTAAATTTACTCTATTATATTTCTGCTTTCGTTCATCTCTCTAATTTTATACTAATTTTTACAAACTAAAATTTGTCCAATAAAAATGAAAGTTGAGGAAGACGTTTGAGATTCTAGCAACGATAGAGATTCTTAATGATAAAGAAAACCTCTCTTGCTCCCCCTTGGTCACGAGAAAGAATTTTTGGCCAACAAAGGAGGAGTTTTCGTATTAGCATTCATAATTCCGGATCAAATCCACTTTGAATGGGTTTAATTGAAGCGAAGGACTGTTTGAAGCAATCAATAGAAAGTAAAAAATGGGGGAATTACTCTTTATTTAAGCAAGGAGCAAACTATCATTAATTTTTAAATCAAAGTCGCATTAATATTCAAATATCATCGAATCAAACTTAACTTTATTTAAATCTCTTTTAAAATTTAATAAATTGCTGCCTCTATTCTTCCATATTTATTATAATTATTTATCAATCATACACTTTTATAGGTGGCCTCTAATCAAAATGTGCTGCCAGCATAGTGATTAGCGAGGAACAAAAATCAAATGAATAATTTAAGTGGCAACGTTGAATTTCCTTAGTTGTATTGATATTCGATAGATTTTAACTAGCGAGCCGACAATTTGACAGCAAATTTGTATCTAAAGGCTATCTGTAAAATTTAATGAGTTATATTTTTGCTTATTTAGGCTAAAAATTAGGCCATTTCTAGAACTATAAAATTAAAAGAGAAAAAATCACAAAATTCTATTTAAAAGGATTCTTATCATAGAGACCTTCACATCTTTTCTAATATTGATTTCTTTCTTAGATTTTGCCCAAATATTTAGAAAAATATAAAATCCTTCTACTCAATTGCATGCCTTTTTTGTTTTAAATTAATTCTCTCATATTTCTGCCTTCGTCATCAATCGAATTTCATATTTATTCACAGATCACAAAAATTCCACCAATATAATGAAAGTTGAGGAAGACGAAGAAAAACCTTTTGAGACTCAAAGTACAAGAGAGAATTTGAAGGATAAGCCCAAAGCTTCTCTTAAAGATCTCTACAAATATGCCACCAAATATGATTATTTTTTAATTTTCGTCGGGGTATGTGCATCGATGGGCATGGGAGCTCTGCAGCCTCTCTTTTTTTATTTTATGGGAGACTTTTTTGGCTCTATGGGCCCAGGAACCACAGCAAATGAGTTTTATGATAAGGCTAAAGTAGTAGCATATGAACTTACTGCGAGTGGCTTTGTCTTCATGTGCTGTGGATACTTAGCTGTAAGTTCTTTTGTCAATGTCGGTGCAAGGCAATCTTATCAATATAGAATCCATTACTTTAAGGCTATTATGGGCTGTGACCCTGGCTGGTTTGATTTAAGGCAAGTCGCAGAACTTCCTCAATCCGTAACAACCGAAACCTTGAGCATTGAGAGGGCAACTGGCGACAAAGTTGTAGTTTTAATCTTCACAATAAGCATGATTTTCGCTGCTTTCATCATTGGCCTTGTGAGAGGATGCCAAATTCAGTTGTTTTGCTTGTGTTTTGGGCCGGCAATTGTGTCAGGATTTTTCTTATCGAACTCTGGGCTGGAGCAAAGTGCTAAGCAAGCAGACTCATCTTATAAAATAGCAGGTGGGATCGCTGAAGAAGCTTTACAAGAAATTAAAACAGTCTCTTCTCTTAACGGTCAAAAGCATGAAGCCAAAAAATATTTTGACGCAGTTGCTGATTCTCAAAAGTCTATGTTCCTTAGTGGTCTCAAGATAGGAGGAGGCACCGCATTAGGAATGTGCTCTTACATGCTCATGAATGGCTGCAATTACATGCTCGGCGCTTATATGATCCATAGTAATCAAACAAGCTGAATCGAAGGTGAAATTTATGATGTCGGAATGGTCCTTACTGTTATCATGGTCTCCTTGATGGCTTTCAACAATATCTCATTGTGCATTCCAAGCATTAAGCTAATCAACCAAGGCAGAATTGCGGCTCTCAGTATCAAAAATGTATTAGAAAATAAAAGTAAACTCCAGCAAGGGACTCTTAAACAAGAAATAGTGGGAGCAATTTCTTTTACTGATGTCCACTTCGCTTATCCTTCTGCTCCTAACTCAGAAATTCTGAAAGGCCTAAGTTTTGAACTAGAATCAGGACAGCGCCTGGGAGTTGTTGGGAGCACTGGCTCAGGCAAGAGTACAATTGTTCAGCTACTACTGAGGTATTATGAGCCAACATCAGGGACTATCACAATTGATGGCAACAATATCATGGACTACCCCACAGATTTCTTAAGAGCCAATATCGGCTTGGTTTCGCAAGAGCCATTACTATTCAATACCAGCATATATGAGAATATTCGCTATGGAAAACAAAATGCGACGAAAGAAGAAATTGAGTTCGCAGCACAAGAAGCTGGAGCTCATAGTTTTATTGATGCTCTGCCAAACAAGTACCAAACCACAACAGGCTCAAAAGGCTCTCAGCTTTCTGGAGGTCAAAAACAAAGAATTGCAATTGCAAGGGCTTTTATCAGAAACCCAAAAATCCTCCTGCTTGATGAAGCTACAAGTGCCCTTGATAGGCAGACAGAGCATCAAGTTGTGGAAGCAATTGATAAAGCAATGCCCAACAGCACCAGAATTACGATTGCTCAGAACCTGCTTACTATTAAAGACTCAACTTTTATCATTATGATTGACCAAGGTAATGTCTTTGAGTTTGGTAACCATAGGCAGCTGATGAAGCAGAAAGGCAAGTATTATCATTTAATCAAAATGCAGAAAATCCAGCAGCAGAGTATGGACGATGAGCAAGTAAAGGCTAAAATCACTGATATGGACGAAACTAAAACCAAAGAAGCTGAGCAGGTTCAAAAAGAAGACGCCAAAAACGTCAGAAAGAAAATGATGATGATAACTAAAAAAGAAAGAGTCTGGCTACTATTTGGAGTTATTGGCTCTTGCTTAGTTGGGTCTTCTTATCCACTTGTAGGGTTCTTTGCAGGTAATGAAATCTTTGTTCTTTCTGATGAGGGTGACGACATGGTAAGCGAAAGTGCAAGATATGCTGGCTGGCTTTTCTTTTTGGCCTTCTGGGTTTGTGTCGGCTTGATCCTTGAAAGTGTCTGCTACCCAAAAATGAGCGCTAATATTACAGCTACTATGAGGAAAGAAAGCTTCAGAGCTATCCTCAGCTATGAAGCAGCCTTCTTTGACTTGCCAGAAAATAATTGCAGTGCCCTCTCTGCGAGACTTTGCAATGACTGTGAAAAAGTCAACGGCCTTGGTGGAAATATGTTTGGGATCATTGTTGGTGTCCTAAGCGGCTTAGCAGTAGCTCACGGGGTTTCTGCTGGGTACTCTTGGAGGATGTCATTAGTTTTTCTCTCAATTGTTCCTTGTATTGTTTTCGCAATCGGATCCACTTTTATGGCTCAATCTGTAGGTGTCGTCAAATTCAATTATGAGTCTTGCACTGCCCTTGCTGCTGATGCCATCATGAACTACAGGACTGCAAAGGCATTCAATTTGGAAACTGTCATGCTTGAAAGGTATCTGGAACCTATCACGATGGAGTTCAAAAATATCCAGAAAAAGGCACAGGCCTCTGGAATCACATATGGCCTCGGACATGGGCTCTTTTTTGGTGTTTATGCGCTGATTTTTTGGTTCGGCTCTAAACTTGTGGTGGACGGGTACAATGATTTCAAAGAAATGGTCATTGCGATTATTATTTGCATGTATGGCTCTGGCTCAATCTTTATGGCTGGAATTTTCGCTCCTGATGTGAAAAATGGAATCGAGGCTGGAAAGCGACTTTTCAAGATCTTGGATTATGTGCCTTCAATACAAGTTAACACCAAAGAAGGAGAGAAAAAAGAAATTGAAGGCAAAATTGAGCTTAAGGATGTCGTTTTCTGCTACCCAAATAGAAACTACATGGCTCTCAAGTCAGTCAATTTTACTGTGGAGCCTGGCAAACGCTTTGCTATTATTGGCAGGACAGGCTCAGGCAAATCAACAGTTATACAGCTAGTCATGCGTTTGTATGATCCTTTAAGTGGCTCAGTTTTAATTGATGACATAAATCTCAAAAGCTATAATTTGAAGCATTTAAGAAAACAAATTGGTCTTGTGGGGCAAGAGCCTGTGCTTTTCACAGGAACGATCGCAGAAAATATTTCATACGGTATAAAGGCAAGCTTAGAAGAAATCGAAGAGGCAGCAAGGAAAGCCCAAGCGATTGAATTTATCATGGACCCCAAGTATGCAGATGGGTTCGAAAGACAGGTCGGGATCAAAGGAAGTATGCTAAGTGGAGGGCAGAAACAGAGAATAGCGATCGCCAGAGCTCTCATAAGGAATCCCAAGATTCTGATTTTCGATGAAGCCACGAGTGCGCTTGACTCTAAAACTGAGCAATTGCTTCTCTCAGCTATTAAAGACGTGATGGCTGGAAGAACGACCATTATGATTGCTCATCGCCTCAAAACAATTTCGGAAGCTGATTCTGTGATGGTTTTGGAGAGTGGAAAGATCCTCGAAATAGGTACCAGAGAAGAGCTCATGAACCAAGGAGGGTATTTCTATAATATGATAAGCAATCTTTAACACATCAATAAATCTTACATAGTAAGAGTCTATATTTTCGCCATAATATGAAAAATTATTCACTATATAAGTGCTCTGCTGAAGACTGCAGCAATACTGCCAATGTAAAATGCTCTTGCTCCCCAATCGGCGTATTTCTATGTGCTGAACATCTTGGCATTCATTTAATCTTAACTTAACTTAATATTTACAGGCGTCCGCCGTAGTGTTGACGCAGTCACCAAGGACCCAGTATTAGGGTTCACCTGCTTTGCGGTATAGTCCAAACTGGCCATATAAAACCAGTCACCAGGACATACACCTACTCCTTCCCACGCGCGTGAGCCGTGGCTTAGTGTTGAGTGGGCGGGCTATGGGCTTCTGCGGCTGCTGCTTGAGTTGACGAGAGTTGGCTCTCTGAAATTCCAAAAAATGGAATTTCTGATCACCTTTCGGCAAAAAGGGAAACTCCAAATCCTGGGACGTAACGCCCAGTTTCACACGCTAGGTAGTTGCCCGAATGGTCTAGGCATTGCCTGTAGACTCTGCTGGGCTTACCCTTTCCAAACCTGGGAACCCTTTTCTCTCGGGGAGAAAATCCATTCTGGTCGTTGAGCATGGGCCAGGCTCTGCTCTGCAGAATTGCTTACCATGGCATTGTTGCTCATTTCCGGAATGGCAAAACCTTGCCGGATATAATTAAAATATGAGTCGAGTATGTGTGGCCGGAGGCCACACCCAGACGAAGACGCCATATTTTAATTATGGCATTCATTTAATCAAGGTTCCTGGACAACATAACTATCAAAAGCTTTTTGAGGAAGCGAACCCAAAAGCCAAAGAAGATGGGATTAAGTTTTTATTGTCAAAGATAATGGAACTAAAAGACATTAAAAATTCTTTACTCCATCTGGTTAACGAACAAAATAATTTTGCTTCTCACAGAGTTCTTATTTTTTTAATTTACATCGAAATTTTATAAAAATTTCCACATGGGGAAATTGGAAAGAAAAAATAATTTAATTTGTAAAGTTTCTGTTTTAAAATGCAAGCTGTTTAAAAACAAACAGAATTAGCTGGAGATATCATTACACTAACCATCAATTATATTTCATAAAACATTTTTACATTAAGCATTTTTTGTTATTTTTTCAATGTTTTTGTTCGAGGGGAAAATAATGAAAAGAATTTTCAATGGGCTTCTCACCATTGAAAACAACCTAATGACCAATATTGCTTTATTGGACTCACATATCAATTATTACAAAAAGTATATTTCTACAGTAAGAAATGCCAATGAAATCAATAGTAGTGAGGATGATTTAAAATGGTTAGCCTTGTCACCTCTCGAAGCGGTAAATTATCTAAAGAGGGTAACTAGAGTTACTTTAAGAGATGTATCATTGGATTTTTTGACCGATGAAATTTATAAGTTTGCGAATAAAAATATTCAAAGAACTTCTTTATTATTTCCTGATGAAGCTAAGACGTTGCATTTCAGAGAAGATAAAAGTACGATAAAAGAATTGGTTGAAACTAAGGATTTATTGGAAAACTGAAAAAATAAGCACAATAAGCTAGAGGTGAGCATCGCAAAAATAAGGAGGGATTGTGATATTTATAAACAAGACAAAGACATTGCTGATAAAAAACTCAGAGAGCTCACTTCTGAGAAAGAGAAATCTGACGAAGAAAAAAGAAAAGCCATACAAGAGCTTCAAGAGGAAAATTTAAAACTAACCTCTTTTTTAAGAATAAAATTTTTCTGAAAGCCTTAAAATTTATAAGATGATTTTATTTTAAAAATCCCAATCTTTCAGAAAAATCTTATTTAATTATAAAATTTATATGTTTAATTGAGAGATATTTAGAATAAATATAATTGGCTAGATTATTAATTTTATATAAAAAAAAAAATTTCCCCTCACTCTTAAATGACATTATTTACCAAAAATATTTATTTCCAATAGTTTGTTCACTCTTTAAGAGTGATAGTAAGAAAAATTATACATGATAACGATGGAAAATATCAAGAGCTTATGAAAGCATTTAATGATGAAAGAGAATATATTATGAAAAGAGGTGGGCCAAGAATTCCATGCGGAGTATGCCGAAGGTTTTTCTATGAAGATCAAGTGACACGAAATCAATGCGGCTGTATTTGTTGCAAATTTTGCAATTTCCCTCCTTATAAAATAGAGAAGAAAATGTGAAGATTTAGCTTGACAAACTTCTATCTCTGCTTAGTTTGTAATAAAAAACGCAGAGAAGGAGGCGAACATTGGAAAGAAATTAGTCAATAATAATTAATTATAATATGAATTATCATAAATGCTGCATTGAAGAGTGCCAATGCCAAGCAGATATAAAATGCTCGTGCATGATTTACCTGTGTGAAAATCATCGAAATGCTCATTTGGGTGGGAAAACCCATCATTTTTTAAATTTACAGACTATAGTAAATGCTCAGACACAAAGAGAAGCCATAAATTATTTGCAAAGAGAAATAGAAAAGCTGAGATTTCTTAGGACATAATTAAACATCGCTTTTCAGCCCGAGCATGGCTTCCCTACCATGCAGCCTCGAATATATATTTAATTATATCTGGCCAACCAGAATGGCTGCTTACTTACTAACTAACCTAAATTACTTATAAAAAATTCCCCTTTAGGCCACTACTCGCCTCCTCATAAAGCTCCACCTCTTGGTTGCAAGTGCGAATACGACCTTCCTCTGTGTCATTCCTCACGGGCGAGTGCTTACACTCGCTACCCAAGAGTTTGTGACGCTGGATCACCATGCAGTGAATCAAAGGTTCGCTCTTTCAAAATTCTAAAAATCGAATTTTCTGGACGGGCTGTCCACTAAATGGTGAGACTTGGAGTTGGAAAGAGGATTATGCAAAGGCCTTTATGCACCACAAGATCAATAGACCAGGAGCTACGCGCTAGACTTAAGTTTTACCATTTTGCAGAGTCAGCCAGAATTCCCATTATTTGAAATTTCTATACAGGCAATTTGTGCTCAAGATCTGGAACTGGAAGCACAGTCATCGAAATCAGAAAGACCAAAGCCCAGGGACTATTCGGCCTTGAAGCCTACGCGTGTGCACGACACAGTGATGGAGTGGGAAAACTCGAAATAGAAGGGGAAGTCCTTGTGGGCGGTATAGAATTGACGTTAAACTAGGCTCTTAAATCTTAAATGAATTAATCGTATCGAGAATTCTTAAGGGTAACTTAGTTAATGAAGTGTACAAAAATATTATGAAAATAGAGAGCAAGCTTGAAATTTTTTGTTCAAAAATTGATAATGATATAGAAGAAATAGCTAAATACACAAAGCAGATATTGGAAATTGATCAGTTCTCTCACTATGACGAAAATTCTGAATTTAAATGGCTCAATGGAAATAGCGATGAAGGAGTGAGCCTTTTACTCCCCCCAAACCATTGGAAAAATCCTATTTTTTTTTTCAAAAAACCCCACCATCCTTGAGTGAACAAATATTTTTATAATGAAATCTCAGCTAATTCTGCTTAATTTTAAACAGCTTCCTTTTTAAAACATAAATTTTACAAGATAAATTAATTTTTATTTCTCGATTTTTGCGGATTGTGACATTATTTTAATTTCTAAAAACATTATTATAATCTTTATTTATATATAAATTTTTAACTCCTCTATGAGCAAACAATTATTTTGTTCACTCACGGGAGTTAGAAAAAAAATTCAGAGATAGACTTAGAGCTGATCAGGTTGATAATTTAGTATATGATATCTTTTATAAAGAAGTTCTGGATATTGAAAAAGCCAAAAATCTAATTGTGATTTCTGGACTCGAAGAGAAGTCTCTTTCTCTTGAAACTGAAATAGTGGACTTAAGAAAGCACTATGAAATTCTTCAGCTTCAATTTAAAGAACTAACAGAAAAATATGAAAATGAAAAAGAATTTACACATACGCATGGAGGGCCGTCTGTTAGATGCTGCTTATGCCGCAGATTTTTTTATGATGACCAATTGGTAATCCATGATTGTGGATGCGTTTCATGCAAAAATTGCAAGTTACCAGAAAATCGAAAAATTGAAGATTTTGATCAAAATGAGCAAAAAGTATTTTGTTGGGTCTGTGGGAAATTCAAAGATAATGAAAATAATTGGATATGTTTTGAAGAGAAGCTCAAAAAAGCTATTAATACTTCATAATTTATTTTAATATTGACAGAAAAGTAAAAATTATTTTTATTGTAATTAATTAAACAATTAAATTTTTAATATTGATCCTTATAGCTGCCAATATTGACGCAACAGCATAAATTGATATAATAAGTAATTTAATTCTTAAACTTTAGGAATGCCACCAATAGCTTGATTATCAATTCCACACTCTCCAAAAGCAATCCAGAAATATCCTGATATTCCCCAGCTGGTTCCCCAGTTATTGGCGCAAATCCAATAATTCGTTCCGTTTTGGTTATTCCATCCGATTATTCTTACAGATGCGCCTCCAACGACTCCACCTGAAGTGTGCTTATAAATTCCTCCAGTGTAGCCTACAAAATCCTGGTAAACAGTCATTGTGCTTTCAACTGGTCCGTTGGTGCTGATAGCATTCTGAATTGCAGTCACTCCAGAATAAGTGTTTACCGTTGATGTTTTGTAAAGCTGGAGTATTTGTCCACTGGCACATGTTGAAGGGCAAGCTCCATCCACGTCTGTATAAGGTAAACAAGTCAAGGTTGATGCTCCATTGGTCTTCAAAAAATTCCATGCTTGATCTGGGTATCCTCCTCTGCAGCCAAAGTCAAAGGTATCGCAATCAATTAAATACTGTGGAGACAAGGCAATATTAATTTGGCCTTTTGATGCAACACATAGACGGTCAGAAAGTGCTTGGGTAGGGCCAAACGCCCAGGATGCGAGACATTTGCCCTGTTGAAGAATTGGGTGAACGCATCCTGGCCATTGAGTTCGGGAATCAAATGAAGTAGGAGCTTTTAACTTCATATAAAGTCTTTCTGGGGCTTCTGGAAATTCGCGAGGCTTGATCTGAGCATTAGCCAAAGATTTTGCTTGTGATACTGTCATTTGGCCAGCCCATGATAAAGAGGCAGTCCAGAGATTTTGACTCTGGTTTATAAATTCGATATCTGCTTGAGTTAGGACTGGAGATGAGTCATCAGGGAGAAAAGCTGGCCCTGATATTGCAAGTAAAAATAAAGAAGAGAGTAAGATAAAGTTCATTTTTACTTCACCAAATTATAGTTGAACCAAGGATAGATGAATGATAAACATAAAACTTCAAAAATTGAAAATTGAGTATAATTTAGACTTTTATATATCATTGATAATATTTATAATTTTTTGAGAATAAAACATGAATTTAATCGGAATTTCTGTTTCTCGCTTGAGATAGTAAGCTAAAATAGCTTCTAATGATTTTTCATAATACACTCATCCAGCTATTTAACCAAAGGTGTTAGGGTGTAGGGTGTTAGGGTGTTAGGGTGTTAGGGTGTTAGGGTGTTAGGGTGTTAGGGTGTTAGGGTGTTAGGGTGTTAGGGTGTTAGGGTGTTAGGGTGTTAGGGTGTTAGGGTGTTAGGGTTAGGGTGTTAGGGTGTTAGGGTGTTAGGGTGTTAGGGTGTTAGGGTGTTAGGGTGTTAGGGTGTTAGGGTGTTAGGGTGTTAGGGTGTTAGGGTGTTAGGGTGTTAGGGTGTTAGGGTGTTAGGGGTGTTAGGGTGTTAGGGTGTTAGGGTGTAGGGTGTTAGGGTGTTAGGGTGTTAGGGTGTTAGGGTGTTAGGGTGTTAGGGTGTTAGGGTGTTAGGGTGTTAGGGTGTTAGGGTGTTAGGGTGTTAGGGGTGTTAGGGTGTTAGGGTGTTAGGGTGTTAGGGTGTTAGGGTGTTAGGGTGTTAGGGTGTTAGGGTGTTTAGGGTGTTAGGGTGTTAGGGTGTTAGGGTGTTAGGGTGTTAGGGTGTTAGGGTGTTAGGGTGTTAGGGTTGTTAGGGTGTTAGGGTGTTAGGGTGTTAGGGGTGTTAGGGTGTTAGGGTGTTAGGGTGTTAGGGTGTTAGGGTGTTAGGGTGTTAGGGTGTTAGGGTGTTAGGGTGTTAGGGTGTTAGGGGTGTTAGGGTGTTAGGGTGTTAGGGTGTTAGGGTGTTAGGGTGTTAGGGTGTTAGGGTTTAGGGTGTTAGGGTGTTAGGGTGTTAGGGTGTTAGGGTGTTAGGGTGTTAGGGTGTTAGGGTGTTAGGGTGTTAGGGTGTTAGGGTGTTAGGGTGTTAGGGTGTTAGGGTGTTAGGGTGTTAGGGTTAGGGTGTTAGGGTGTTAGGGTGTTAGGGTGTTAGGGTGTTAGGGTGTTAGGGTGTTAGGGTGTTAGGGTGTTAGGGTGTTTAGGGTGTTAGGGTGTTAGGGTGTTAGGGTGTTAGGGTGGTGTTAGGGTGTTAGGGTGTTAGGGTGTTAGGGTGTTAGGGTGTTAGGGTGTTAGGGTGTAGGGTGTTAGGGTGTTAGGGTGTTAGGGTGTTAGGGTGTTAGGGTGTTAGGGTGTTAGGGTGTTAGGGTGTTAGGGTGTTAGGGGTGTTAGGGTGTTAGGGTGTTAGGGTGTTAGGGTGTTTAGGGTGTTAGGGTGTTAGGGTGTTAGGGTGTTAGGGTGTTAGGGTGTTAGGGTGTTAGGTGTTAGGGTGTTTAGGGTGTTAGGGTGTTAGGGTGTTAGGGTGTTAGGGTGTTAGGGTGTTAGGGTGTTAGGGTGTTAGGGTGTTTAGGGTGTTAGGGTGTTAGGGTGTTAGGGTGTTAGGGTGTTAGGGTGTTAGGGTGTTAGGGTGTTAGGGTGTTAGGGTGTTAGGGTGTTAGGGTGTTAGGGGTTAGGGTGTTAGGGTGTTAGGGTGTTAGGGTGTTAGGGTGTTAGGGTGTTAGGGTGTTAGGGTGTTAGGGTGTTAGGGTGTTAGGGTGTTAGGGTGTTAGGGTGTTAGGGTGTTAGGGTGTTAGGGTGTTAGGGTGTTAGGGTGTTAGGGTGTTAGGGTGTTAGGGTGTTAGGGTGTTAGGGTGTTAGGGTGTTAGGGTGTTAGGGTGTTAGGGTGTTAGGGTGTTAGGGTGTTAGGGTGTTAGGGTGTTAGGGTGTTAGGGTGTTAGGGTGTTAGGGTGTTAGGGTGTTAGGGTGTTAGGGTTGTTAGGGTGTTAGGGTGTTAGGGTGTTAGGGTGTTAGGGTGTTAGGGTGTTAGGGTGTTAGGGTGTTAGGGTGTTAGGGTGTTAGGGTGTTAGGGTGTTAGGGTGTTAGGGTGTTAGGGTGTTAGGGTGTTAGGGTGTTAGGGTGTTAGGGTGTTAGGGTGTTAGGGTGTTAGGGTGTTAGGTGTTAGGGTGTTAGGGTGTTAGGGTGTTAGGGTGTTAGGGTGTTAGGGTGTTAGGGTGTTAGGGTGTTAGGGTGTTAGGGTGTTAGGGTGTTAGGGTGTTAGGGTGTTGTTAGGGTGTTAGGTGTTAGGGTGTTAGGGTGTTAGGGTGTTAGGTGTAGGTTAGGGTGTTAGGGTGTTAGGGTGTTAGGGTGTTAGGGTGTTAGGGTGTTAGGGTGTTAGGGTGTTAGGGTGTTAGGGTGTTAGGGTGTTAGGGTGTTAGGGTGTTAGGGTGTTAGGGTGTTAGGGTGTTAGGGGTGTTAGGGTGTTAGGGTGTTAGGGTGTTAGGGTGTTAGGGTGTTAGGGTGTTAGGGTGTTAGGGTGTTAGGGGTGTTAGGGTGTTAGGGTGTTAGGGTGTTAGGGTGTTAGGGTGTTAGGGTGTTAGGGTGTTAGGGTGTTAGGGTGTTAGGGTGTTAGGGTGTTAGGGTGTTAGGGTGTTAGGGTGTTAGGGTGTTAGGGGTGTTGGGTGTTAGGGTGTTAGGGTGTAGGGTGTTAGGGTGTTAGGTGTTAGGGTGTTAGGGTGTTAGGGTGTTAGGGTGTTAGGGTGTTAGGGTGTTAGGGTGTTAGGGTGTTAGGGTGTTAGGGTGTTAGGGTGTTAGGGTGTTAGGGTGTTAGGGTGTTAGGGTGTTAGGGTGTTAGGGTGTTAGGGTGTTAGGGTGTTAGGGTGTTAGGGTGTTAGGGTGTTAGGGTGTTAGGGTGTTAGGGTGTTAGGGTGTTAGGGTGTTAGGGTGTTAGGGTGTTAGGGTGTTAGGGTGTTAGGGTGTTAGGGTGTTAGGGTGTTAGGGTGTTAGGGTGTTAGGGTGTTAGGGTGTTAGGGTGTTAGGGTGTTAGGGTGTTAGGGTGTTAGGGTGTTAGGGTGTTAGGGTGTTAGGGTGTTAGGGTGTTTAGGGTGTTAGGTGTTAGGGTGTTAGGGTGTTAGGGTGTTAGGGTGTTAGGGTGTTAGGGTGTTAGGGTGTTAGGGTGTTAGGGTGTTAGGGGTGTTAGGGTGTTAGGGTGTTAGGGTGTTAGGGTGTTAGAGGGTGTTAGGGTGTTAGGGTGTTAGGGTGTTAGGGTGTTAGGGTGTTAGGGTGTTAGGGTGTTAGGGTGTTAGGGTGTTAGGGTCGTTAGGGTGTTAGGGTGTTAGGGTGTTAGGGTGTTAGGGTGTTAGGGTGTTAGGGTGTTAGGGTGTTAGGGTGTTAGGGTGTTAGGGTGTTAGGGTGTTAGGGTGTTAGGGTGTTAGGGTGTAGGGTGTTAGGGTGTTAGGTTAGGGTGTTAGGGTGTTAGGGTAGGTTTAGGGTGTTAGGGTGTTAGGGTGTTAGGGTGTTAGGGTGTTAGGGTGTTAGGGTGTTAGGGTGTTAGGGTGTTAGGGTGTTAGGGTGTTTGGGTGTTAGGGTGTTAGGGTGTTAGGGTGTTAGGGTGTTAGGGTGTTAGGGTGTTAGGGTGTTAGGGTGTTAGGGTGTTAGGGTGTTAGGGTGTTAGGGTGTTAGGGTAGGTGTTAGGGTGTTAGGGTGTTAGGGTGTTAGGGTGTTAGGGTGTTAGGTGTAGGGTGTTAGGGTGTTAGGGTGTTAGGGTGTTAGGGTGTTAGGGTGTTAGGGTGTTAGGGTGTTAGGGTGTTAGGGTGGTTAGGGTGTTGGTGTAGGGTGTTAGGGTGTTAGGGTGTTAGGGTGTTAGGGTGTTAGGGTAGGTTAGGGTGTTAGGGTGTTAGGGTGGTTAGGGTGGTTAGGGTGTTAGGGTGTTAGGGTGTTAGGGTGTTAGGGTGTTAGGGTGTTAGGGTGTTAGGGTGTTAGGGTGTTAGGGTGTTAGGGTGTTAGGGTGTTAGGGTGTTTAGGGTGTTAGGGTGTTAGGGTGTTAGGGTGTTAGGGTGTTAGGGTGTTAGGGTGTTAGGGTGTTAGGGTGTTAGGGTGTTAGGGTGTTAGGGTGTTAGGGTGTTAGGGGTTGTTAGGGTGTTAGGGTGTTAGGGTGTTAGGGTGTTAGGGTGTTAGGGTGTTAGGGTGTTAGGGTGTTAGGGTGTTAGGGTGTTAGGGTGTTAGGGTGTTAGGGTGTTAGGGTGTTAGGGTGTTAGGGTGTTAGGGTGTTAGGGGTGTTAGGGTGTTAGGGTGTTTAGGGTGTTAGGGTGTTAGGGTTAGGGTGTTAGGGTGTTAGGGTGTTAGGGTGTTAGGGTGTTAGGGGTGTTAGGGTGTTAGGGTGTTAGGGTGTTAGGGTGTTAGGGTGTTAGGGTGTTAGGGTGTTTAGGGTGTTAGGGTGTTAGGGTGTTAGGGTGTTAGGGTGTTAGGGTAGTTAGGGTGTTAGGGTGTTAGGGTGTTAGGGTGTTAGGGTGTTTAGGGTGTTAGGGTGTTAGGGTGTTAGGGTGTTAGG